AACCCTAACCCTAACCCTAACCCTAACCCTAACCCTAACCCTAACCCTAACCCTAACCCTAACCCTAACCCTAACCCTAACCCTAACCCTAACCCTAACCCTAACCCTAACCCTAACCCTAAGCAAACCGCGGTCTTCTTACTGCCTCTGCCTTTCCCAAGGTCAAGCCGAAATCGAAGTCGTAGCACTTCTCCTTGGCCCAGGAGCTCATTACGATATCCGTTGACAGATCACGTTGACCTGTACCCCCTCTGATCGTCCCGCTAGGGAGCCTGCGATAGAGCTCTGTCGCCTCAACCCGAGTGCGATATCCCAGGTCTTCTTCTCGAAGAGAGCCACGAAGCTGAGACGCTACCTCGCCCAGAGAAGTGCTAAGAAGATCATCCACCTTCATAGCAGTGTTGACCTTGTGCACCACTACTCCCGGGTATGTTGCTGGTATGCGGAGGTGCGACCTGGTATTGACTTGTCTTGCAAAAGTCGTGCGCGTCTCTGCTGGACCCAGGAAACGCGGGAGACGAGCTCGTGTGACTGATCGCCATATGAGAGCGCTTACAACGTCATCCGTCGAAATATACTCTGAGGACACGTGCTGCATTGCGCTGGACTTTAGTTCTGTGAGTGCGTGCGGATTAAAGCCGAAGTAAGCCCAGAAGGATTCTGGGCTCCCAGACACTGCCCCAGCCGCAGATCGTTGATGCTCACTTTGGTTGTCAGTTTTGTCGATAACCCCTTCGTACCCAGAGAGCAGCGGGATGATGTCGCTCCGAGACTGGTTGCCCACCTTCATCTCTTCAGTAGTAAACGGGTCTCCGCAGCAGGCTTTGGAGAAGAGGTAGATCATCTGCGCTTCTCCAGCCATATCTATACAGTTGTGCTGACCATTAAACACAAGCAAGAGACCACCTTGAATAAAGTTCGCCTGTATCTCAAAGACAGGGGCGCAAGTGTCATGCTCATCAGGGAGGGTTCCCCGACTTGCAATGACATTCTCATCCAGCAGTCGAAACGGAAAGCCATCCTTCCTGAACTCTTGCATAGGCGGCAATTCAGTACGCAAGTCTCTGGCAAGGAGGCGTGGTAGCCTTTCGTAGGGCTGGATCTCAAAGATACCCGTTGATGATCGAATAACCTGTCCGGGGATCCATGGGAAAGCCAGTGTCAATTTCTCCAGACTATGCCTTAGATGACCAAGGATGGTAGACTGTGATTGGGGAGAAGTATCTGGTATGGCGAAGCAGAAGCAAAGCTGGGTATACAACCTACTGAGCCCAGGTCGCTGTCCCAGAACATCGAGTTCGACACTCTCCATGGTGCAGTATCGTGGGATGTTGCATGTCTTTACACGCCATTTCCTAGGAGTGACCTCCCTCTTATCCCGCCACTGTCCTGTTCATAACTCCGGAAGCCCGTCTAAGGTCCGCTGCGATATCGCATCTATCCTAAGTCGAGTGAGAAATGAGCAAAAGTGAAACTAGCCAGGAGGTTCCATATACGTCTCTTCCGTGGGTTCGCTGTGATTAGGTAGGACAACATGTTGGAGACTACAACCACCCCTCCGAAAACCTCGCGTTCTGGCCAGCGCATACGAATTAGCCGATGTCGCCGCTGCCTAAACACCCCCATATATCGAGCTTGCTGTGCTTGTCGAGCATTACCAAGACAAAGTACATATGGTCCAAGGGTCGTCGATGGTGGGATTCTGTTATAGGAGGAGGCTGGCGAGGCATATGGAATGCGAAGCGGCCCGACGGAATGTCGCCTGCGCGCCGCAGGCGAGGCACGTGACGCCTTGGCGCGAAAGCTCCTTAACTGCTCGGAGCCTGCGCTCCTAGAGGACGAGCAGTTGTCAGTTCTATTCGGTGACTAATAATCGGTCTACGGAGCCCTACACGCTACGAGATACTTAGCCTAAAACCCTTTATATTCCTCTATTAGTTCTAATAACTCCTCCCTATTATAGCCTATAAGGCCCGAGATAGATATCGATCTCCCCGACGTCGAAGTATAGGCGAGAAGCTATAGAGGCATACCTATAGACGTAATATCTAGGATAGGGATACCCGACGAAGAAATAGTCGATATCGAGGTCGTCGATACTATATAGATAGAATAATAGTAAGAAAGACAAGACTACTTTTAGATAGAGGTCGAAATCGAGAGACTCGAGTAGTAGCTTATAGCTATATACTATATTTATACTGCCGGTCGAACGCTAGAAGTAGTAAGGCCGGAAAAAGAAGTTAGAGATAGTAAAAGCTCTATAAGTAGTATATACTTTATATATATAGATAGTAACTTCGGCGGCCGCCCTAGGCTTAAGAAGCCTAAAGCCTTTAGAGGAAAAACTCTAAAGGAGGCTTATAACTTCGTATATATATTAGAGTTAACCTTTATATTAGTAAGGGACTCCTATTATATAGAAGAAAGTAAGGTCCTATATAGAGTAATATTCCTTATAGGCGAACTATATAATAGCTAGTATAGTATCTATAGAGTAGAGAGCCTAGAAGGCTATATATAGGCCTAGTTTAAGAAGTTTGTCGATAACTTAGTCGAAGATCCTACGAATTATATACTTAGTATTCTAGCTACTTATAAGAGCGTAAAGTAGCGAGAGAAGTAGTCGATATAGACTTTTACTACTAAGTTAGTAACGTTAGAGGATTAAATACCGCTATATACTAAGGAGTAGTATATTTATTATCTTCTTATAAAGCTAAGGCCTATACTATATATAGCGATTATTATATACTATCTAATACTAAAAAGGTAGAAAGACCTTATATTACTTATAATATATCTAGAGACTACTTCTAGAAGCGACCGCTTCTCCCTATAGCCCTATATATATAGTAAGAGGTAGATAGACAATATCCGCGACCGACAAAGTAACTCTAAAAGAGGGAGGCTTAATTAACCTCGATAACCCTAGTAAGATTTAGATATAATAGGCTATATACTAGAGAACTATAAGTATAGCGAAGGGCATAAGAAGTTTAGATACTATAAGTATAGATAGATAGGCTATATTCGGCCGAACTACCTCTACGAGGAACGAGGAAGTAATCCTTTAACCTATAGAGTCGGCGTAACCGATATAAAGGTAGCGAAGAAGAGTACTATATCGAAGAAGTCCGAGTAACTTACTAGTATCTACGTAGTCCGCTAGGACTCTATTAAACATAGTATTTAGTCTTAGCTAGCGAAAAGCTTAAAGGATATAGTCGATATATAGGATCGATATATAGAGGTAAGCTACTTACTTAACGATACTACCGATATAAATATAATCTCCTAGGCCTTTATATTACGATATAGACTAAAGAAGATACTAATTCCTTTACTATTAATAGAGGCATTTAGAGGTAAAACTAGCTACTACTATAGGGCGTATTAGGTTCGCCTATATCTAGTAGACTCGACTAGTATAGAGTATCTAACTAAAGGTATCTTCTATAGTATAGATTTAAACGGCTTTAACCTACTACTCGGCCGCCTATAGCGCCGACAGTATAGAGTAGTCGTTAATAGCTAGAACGACTATTAGTAGTATATAGAAGAAGGCGAGCTCCTCTCGGTTTATATATAGCTAGCTAGCGCCTTCCTTAAAGATATTAAGTAAGCGTAAATAGTATATACTATTATACTCTAGAAGGCCGATACTACTATACTAGCGGAGTTAAAAGATTTTAAAGATATTATTATCGATAGAGATACTAGTAATAAGCCGCTCCCCGATAGCGTTAAGTATATAATCGACCTAGAACCTAATAAGGAGCTACCTTTCTAGCCGATATATAATCTTTCGATAATAGAGCTATAGACGTTATAGAAGTATATCGACCTAGCGCTCTAAAATAGATAGATCCGTTATAGTATTAGTACTATAGGTACGCTAATCCTCTTCGTTCTAAAGAAGGATAATAGCCTTCGTCTATATATCGACTACTATAGCTTAAACGTAATTATAATTAAAAATCGGTATCTATTACCTTTAATTAGCGAGATACTAGATTATCTAGGCTATATAACGGTCTTCTCGAAGCTCGACCTTAAGGATATATACTACTATATTCCGATTAAGGAGAGCGATTACTAGAAGATAGCGTTCTATATATACTATAGACATTTCGAGTATAACGTAATACTATTCGGATTAACGAATATACTAGCGACTTTTTAGGTATATATTAACCGAGCTCTAGCCGGCTTAATTAATATATTATATATTGTCTATTTAGACGATATCCTAGTATATAGCGACTCGTATATAGAATATACTTAGTATATACGAGCTATCCTAGCTCGCTTATAGAAATACGACTTATATACTAGTAAGAAGAAGTATAAGTTCTATACTACTAAGGTAGAATTCCTAGGATATATTATTAGCCTCGAAGGTATATCGATAGATAGAAGTAGAGTAGCTATAGTTAAAGAGTAGCCTATACCTACTACCTTCCGAGAGGTCTAAGTCTTCCTTAGCTTTATAAACTTCTATTAGCGCTTTATTTATAACTATTCTAAGATTATATCTCTACTAACTAGCCTTATAAAGGGTATAAAAGACAGGAAGAAGTCTAGTCCGCTCTAGTAGAGAGAGAGTAAGGAGTATATATTTCGATCTATAAAAGCGGCCTTCTTAGATATACTAATCCTCTATTACTACTAACCTAGCGTAAAACTAAGGCTAGAAACTAATACTTCTATATTCGCGATCTCTACTATCTATTCCTAACTACTAAATATAGAGGAAGAGCCGGCGAAATAGTATCTTATTACCTTCTAGTTATAGAAGCTAAATCTAGTAGAGTATAACTACGAGATATATAATAGAGAACTACTAGCTATTATCGAAGGATTTAAGTAGTTTCGCTACTATCTAGAAGGAGCGCTATATACGATTTAAGTGCTTACTAACTATAATAACCTCTAAGGCTTTATAGGTATAAAGCAATTAAATAGACAATAGGCTAGATAGGCTATATTCCTAGTAGTATTCGACTTCGTTATTAAATATCGAGTAGGGAAGACTAATCTAGCCGATATACTATTAAGACGACTAGACTATAAACAAAGTTTATATATAGTATACTATCTCCTTCTAACTCTATAGAATAAACTCGTAGTATAGGAGAAAGATCTAGACCTTACGCCTATTATATATAGAGTTAGAATAACTATAACGACGAAATTAAATAACTAAAAGAAGACTATATACGAAGCTTATATAAACCTAAATTAAACGTCGTCTATTCGGAGCGTAGTCCGGATTATAGTAGATAAAGAAGAACTATATATAACGCCTTCTATAGATCTCGCCGAGCTAATTCGAACGCTATAATATATATATAAGCTAGATCGCCCGCTTAAAATCGACAAAGTATAGAGAGAAGAAGAGGGCTTATAGTACTTTAATTATATATTATAGGTCCTAAACGATAGCGCTATATATATAGAGTTACTATATATCTACTATAACGACTCTCTTATAGGCTACTTTAGCCGAGATAAAATATAGGCACTTATAGTATAGAAGTACTAGTAGCTATTATTAGTAAAGGATATCGCCGAATATATCTATATCTATTAAATATACTAAACTACTAAAGTAAGACAATATCGGCTATATAGCGAAGCGTAGGCGCTACCGATACTAAATCGGCCTTAGAAGGAAATTATACTAGATTTTATTATAGATCTCCTATCTTCGATATTAAAGAACGAAGTATTTAATATAATACTAGTCGTTATAGACCGGTACTCTAAAATAGCGCTATATATCGCGACTATAAAGCGCTATACTAGCGTAGAACTTACTTAACTATTAATAGACTTAGTAGTCCGATAGTTTAGCCTTCTAAAGAGTATCCTTTCCGATAGAGAATCGGTCTTTACTAGCTAATACTAGAGCGACTTCGTATTCGAGGTATAGGTAAAATACTAGCTAAGTATAGCCTTCTATCCTTAAATAGATAGTTAAACTAAAAGAATAAACTAAACACTCGAGTAGTACTTATAATACTACTACTATAAGTTCTAAGATATATAGTTATAATATCTCTAGCAAGCTAAATTCGTAGCGAATAATACTATATACTATATACTTTATATAAGCCTCTTCGAAATCCTTTATAGATAGAATCTAGATATATATAATCTTAGTATTTAGGACAAATCTAGAGAAGGGAAAGTACTAGTAGCGACGGAGTATATAAGATATATATAGTAGACTAGCGAGAAGCTAGCGGAACGCTAGATTATTATATAAGAGGCCTAGAAGAAGAGTTAGAATATACGATCGAAGCTAAAGGAATACTATATAGGTAACTAGATATTACTAAATATAAAGAACCTCCGTTTACTAGGACTAAAGAAGAAGCTTAGATCTTAGTATCTTAGACTATTCTATATATATAATATAGTCGGAGCGTAAGCTTACTACTTAGTACTTCTAACTTTATATCTTATTTATAATATCTTCTATATTTCGCTTCTAGAGCTATAGGAATAATATATAGGCGAGGAGCCTACTAATCCCTTACTACTTATAGAAGATAATAGCGAATAGGAGATCGAAGCAATTCTAAGAGATAGACTAAGTAAGGGATAGAGGGAATACTTAATTTAATAGAAGGGCTAGCTAGAGGAATATAACTTATAGGAACTAGAGTCTTATCTTAAATAGTTACGAGAGATACTATATATCTACTATAAGTAGAAGCGGAGTATATAAGATAGTACTAGAAGAAGAGGGAAGTAAGGAAAGAAGTATAGTACGAAGTTATAAGTATATTTTATAGCTACCGACTATAAATAGTCTTACGCCTCTTAGGGAGTACGCTACTAGTATATATATACGACTTATAATAAGCGATAGTAAGCTACTTACCCTTAGGCCTTCTTCTTTCCCTTACCCTTATTCTACTTTATAACTACTACTTCCTCTTCTTCTACCTCTTCTTTCTCCTTCTCTTTCTTACCTATCCTTTTCGCTACTCTCTTAGCCTACTCCCTTGCCTTATAACTAGGGAAGATAGAGAGGCTATACTTCGCCTTTAGCTTAACTATATTACTACTACTCTTAGCCTCTAAAGATAAGGCTCTCTTACTACTCTTCTTCTACTTCTTAGAAGAGGGCTCTATTGCCTCTAGTAACGAGAAGAAGAGCTTTATATAATAGACTAGTAGTATAGTACTATTATTAGTATAGGTAGCCTTCGTAGTAGCTATAGCGCTAACGAGGTATCTCTTCTTACCGGCCTCGACGTAAGTAGTAGCGAGCTCGTTAGATATAGGGCTACGTTTATCTCCTTCTTCTTTATTATTAAGGATAGTAGGTAGGTAGTAAGTAGGCGGCTTACTACTAGAGAGAGTAGTATATATATATATATTACGAGTAGCGACTAGACTCTCTAGTAACTTATTATCTTTATTATTATTAGTATCGTCCTTATTATCGCTAATAACGACCGGTAGAGAGATAACGACTTTCTTCTTACTAGTAGGGGCTTTAGCGCTATATAGTATATATATAGAAGTGTCGTCGCCCTTATACTTTAAGTATGCCTTACTACTACTTATACTAGCTCTACTAAGATCTATATTATCGATATCTAGGAATTTATTATCTAGATAGATCTTCTTAGTATAGCTACTATAAGCTAGAGTTATAGCGGCCTTACTATATATCTAATATATAGGTATAGCGGGTATAGCGCTACTAGCGGCTAGTATAAACTCGTCCTTAGAATTAGTACTACTTATTTTAGAGCTAGAAGTAGAGCTAGTATTAGGATTAGAGTCCTCGATAATAGTAATACTATTAGGACTAAGAATAGCGTTAACCTTATTAAGTTCGTTAATATTCGCGCTATTAAGACATATAAACTATATATATAGTTAGCTACTAGATCCTACTTAGAGTATAATATTTAACTTATAATCTTCTCTAGTATAATAGTAGTAAGAATACTATAATATATACTACCTAACTTACTAATTAAGACGTCGTTAGGGCCTATAGGCACGCTACCTATATAGCCCTATATAGTATAACGTAGTCGTATATAGTAGTCTTATTATAGCTATAATTAAACGCCTTTAGCTTGTCTATATAGATCTTAGAGGTCTTCTTAACCTATACTTTAAGTATATAGATTAAACGCTTATTACCGCCGTTCTTATAGCGCTCGACTAGTATATTATATATATAGACTATCTTATTAAGATACTTATATATACCGAAGTCGGTTAGTATATATATATAACGGATAGACTTATAATACTAGTAATTCTTACTACTAGGCCCGAATTTAGTATTATAAGGATACTCTACTATATAGTTAGTATACTTCTAGTATCTATATCTTTATACTATTATATATAATATATAGCTAATACTTATAGGCTTTCTTCTTATTAATATAGGATAGGTAGCGATTATAAATAATTATTATAGGCTTAGTATAGACAATATAGTTAGGCATTATATTATCGATAATAGTTTAATCTATACTTATAGCTTAGATATAATACTAATATATACTAGATATAATAATAGTATAGAGAGATATTAATATACTTTAGCTTAGAAATGTTTTCTATATAATTACCTAGAAAACAAAGGGGATATATATATATATATATAACACTGCGTTACGCTATATAATAGTATTTACTATAATATTTATAGAAGGTATAAATATACGGAAGGGACGAACTATTAACTACGACATATTGCACTCTATATATATGCTCTATATATGTAGACCGCGGATAATACTCCCTAAGGCCTAAGGACAGGCTTAACAAGGAGGGAGGCAATTGTTATAGGAGGAGGCTAGCGAGGTATATAGAATGCGAAGCGGCCCGACGGAATGTCGCCTGCGCGCTGCAGGCGAGGCACGTGACGCCTTGGCGCGAAAGCTCCTTAACTGCTCGGAGCCTGCGCTCCTAGAGGACGAGCAGTTGTCAGTTCTGTTCGGTGACTAATAATCGGTCTACGGAGCCCTGCACGCTGCGAGATACTTAGCCTAAAACCCTTTGTATTCCTCTATCAGATTCCCCTACGGTCTGCGGTCGAAGAGAAGGCCCGGGCGCAATCTGGGCCTCGATGGTGGCGAGCTCGAACCCTAACATTACGACGACAGAGCAGCCATCTAAAGTCAACTATGGCTACGGCCTTGTTCTCCGTACTACGCCCTATTGCAATGCCGCCAAGTGTGACTACCGCTTAGCTCAGCGCCGACAAGACCTGCACCAACTTCAAGATGAAATTTCATCGGCGTGGTGTGCTGCGCTCAGTCCACTTTGCGCGCCCATCGCGCCTTTTGGCTCGACTAACAGCGTGTCCCTACGCCGAGATGTAGCGAATGAGCAGCAACCTCAGTCGGTTAATACGAAGCTGCAGCACATGGAACGACCCTCTCAGCTTCTCCAATAGAAAACCCACACACCCTCCAGCATTTCCATCGTGCTTCCATCGATCCGCTGCATGGCTTGTTAGGGTTAGTACACGCTCCTTCCACCCTCATGCATACTGAAGCCAGTTGAGCAAGCCATCGTCCAGATCCGCAGTGAAGACCAAATCTCCGTTCCCTTACCGCACCGTACTCTATCAAAGTGACACAGGCATCGCCCGAATCTTGAGCCCCACGCGAAATGCTGTTGGTCACTACGGTCGTAGCGAGTGCGGTACTGGGGCTGGTAGTCAGACGAGGCTCGGCTCTGCATACAGGCAATCCAAATCCGATGACCTTACACAGTAGGCGTATTGGTTATTGTTGAGCTCTTTGTCCCTGCGATAGAAGTGTCCAAGTATCAGCGGTAGCCACACCTTGCAGATGTTGTGCGCAGTACCAATTGACAGCCAGCTGGAGCAGAAGGCCGAGACGGTACTTAAGACTCTCACAGTCCTGTTGGATAGAGCGACTTGAAGCCGCTATAGAAGAGAGTACCATTTCTTACCGGTCCGTAGGCCAAGGAAAGAACGTCGGAAGTACAAAAGTCTGCTGTACCCAGCTGGTCTGTGACCAGGCCGTAAATGCGAGTAGGTAAACTCGAGAAGTCGGAGCGTAAGCAGTCGCCAACGGACGAGCTGTTCGCTGTCAGGATCTTACCTTTTTTGAGCGTGGTGTTGATAAACAGGCGTGCACGGGAACAACATGGCTCTGTTGTGGCTTGCTGAAGACCGGGCTGATGAGTAGATCCTCAGATCTTCAGCTGCGAAATTGCGGGATCGAGCATATTAGTCGAACTAACACGGCGACTAGAAGAGCTTGGAGACAGCTGCGCTCTGTAGTGTTGCATGTTTGGGTGTCACCACGTGGGAGGTAAAGTCATGGTTTCGGTAACTTTCAGTAACGCTTGCATGTCACCGGACTCCTCATAGGCTGCAAGACCTGCTACGTGTGTTAGCACTGCGTGATCCGAAATGCTGCAAGGCTGTGGTTGCGGATGCTGTTCGAGAGGCAAACGGTTAATGCTGCCACGCACTCTTGGTCGTGAAACTTTGAAAGGGCTACCTGCGAAGCGTCATACCCCTAACGCTCTGCTCCCGACCTCAGCTGCACCCGCCGCATCCACAATCCCAGCTCTCTTCCGCCTCCTCCTCTCCCTCGCGTTCGCTCTCAGCGTGTCCTGAGTAACAAACTCCTCCGGCAACTCGAACTCCTTCTCCACCGCTAACGCGACCTCTGGAATGGGATGTCCAAATGCCGTGACGTTCCTGCCATGCCGTGCCTTCCCCAATGCAGCGTCGCGGAGATGGCGTTTGGCATAGAAGCTTGTCATCGGCTCGGGAGGCACATACGGCACCGGCAGTGGGGGCGGAGGAAGAGGATGCGAAGTTGGGGTTGGCGTCGGCGTGGCGGATACTGATGTTCCTGCTCCTGACGGACGCTTCCCAAGCCGGATCTTAAACCCACTCTTCACAGCCTCCATCGTCTCTTGCTGCAGCTGCCGCGAAGCTCTCGCATTCATCTCACTACTAGGCGGCTCAACGCTGCCCTCGCCGCTCTCCTCTCCCTCCGTCTCCCCAGCGTCCCGCGCAGCAGCAGCATCTCTCTCCATCTTCTGCTTCCTCTCCTGCTCCTTCCACAGGCGAAACTTATCGACAAGTGCCTTCACTTCCTCAATAAAGTAATCCCTTTTCGGCTCATACTTCTTCGCCTCGCCATCCGTGATGCCAGTGATGCCGAGCACTTTCAGCCAGTCGTGGCCTTGTAGTCCTTCAAGCAGTCGCTCAAGCTGCACTTTCTCGTGCATCGCTCGCTCCTTCTCAATGTTCCGGAGTTGCTTTTCGCGACGCTCGGCGCGGCGGTGGGACTTGCCGTAGTAAGTGTCGGAGAGGGGGTCTTCGGAGTAGGGCGGGATGTTGCGGGCTAGGACATCAAGGTCGACAGTGGGGCAGCCATTGTGCTGATCTGTAAGCGTGCGTATAGGCGTAGTAGAGACACCGTTGGTGGCGTCATCAGGACGGAGTGGTGCGGCTTTGTGCGGCGTTGTGTGGGTGTGTGGTGACTGCTTCGGTGCATCATCCGTCACGTACAGGACGGTATCTGTAGTGATGAACTCCTCCTCCTTCTCCACACCGAAGATGACATCCTCGAAGTTGGGAAAATAGACGGCCAATTCGCTCTTCAGCCTAGGCCCCTCGTCATGTGATCGTAGTGTCCGCTTGTCCTCCTTCGTGTTAGGCGGCGGAGCGGGCTTAGGGGGTGGAAGTATGCGCTGTGCCGGCGGGCCACCCTCGCTGCCATGTTCCGCGACGGCATCCTCATCGACGTTGAGGGCAGTGCGCACACCGTTCAGTGTCTCCAGTAGCTGGCCATGTGGTTGTGCGACGGTGACTTTGGTAGGCGGCTTCGTCTCGGCCGATGATTGGGCGATGGGGAGATGCTCGCTACTATTGTGCCTATGGCGTATGGTCAACCGCCTCTTCTTCGCCGGCCGTCCTTCTTCTTCATGAAAGCCGTTGGAGTCACTGTCGGCGATGATGGCGGCGTCACGGGGATGGGGTGGTGTGTGTTGATGATGGTTGGCCGACGATCGCGCTGCTGGCGGTGACGCTGAAGCTGAAGCTGCTTTTGCGAGCGACGCATGCTCGTCACTATGTCGTGCGAATTGGCCGCCGGCAGTTCTCGGAACACGTGATGGGCGGGTGTGCGATGGCATGACTGCACCGCAATGATGGCATGGCGAAGCGAAAAGGTCGTGGACGTGCAATGTGTGTGTGTTTATTGATTGTTTGGCGCGTGCTGCCTCCGTCGTCGCGGTCGCGCTTGCCTCATCGTACGTGAAAGCGAACGAAGCTTCCCTCCAAACGGCCAACCTCGCTTCACTCTTGGGCTTCTACTTATCACAACGAACACAATATACGAAGAGCAGCATGCTCTGATACCACTACGGTCACGTTGTTCTGTGGAGCCTCATAACAGATTGTTGGTGATATTCTAAGTGAGTGAGATATAATTCGTGCTGACCTCCACTCGACGCATCAAGCACTCTGAAGCCCTGCTTCCATGCGGCACATTTTGTTAGGCGTCCTTACAGCCTACTGAGTGACCGGTCTACTCGTCTATGACTCGCATACCTCCCCTCGATCTGGCCGCGAGTTTCCATTGAGAATCCGAAATCTTAGCCAATGCCTAGCGGTAGATCATGCGGTGTCGCTGCATGGGCAGCGCAGATTTACACATCCCGATGCGCACGGTACTGCAATCATCCCCATTGACTTCTCGGACTTCCGGGACTCTGAGACACACCCATCTCATGGACCGCCGTCTCCTCCCGAGGCGGCCCATCTCCTCTCAACTCCGATGTCTCCGAGAACCTACGAGAAGAATTAGCGCCTCCAATGATGAATAGACTCCCGCCGTACCTAGAATGCAGCCTCGGTCCCGAACGCCGATGATCCAGCACCTCCGACATGCCCAGCGCGCTGACTGTGGTTGACGATTTGTACGCCATCGGCGACTGCTGATACGGCGGTAGTTGCCCGCCGCTATGCCTCCTCCACCCATCATTGCCTGTCGGGTATGTTGCGCCTCCTGTACTTGGATACGGGCTCTGTGGTCCGGCTGGTGCGTTGCCGCGAAGTCGTGTCAACTCGTCCTTTAGCCCTTTGTTGCGGCCGAGGAAGAAGAAGAGGGCCGCTGCCAGTGCGAGGACGGCGGCAGCGCCTACTGCTATGCCAGCGATTGCTCCGGAGGACAGCGTAACGGCAGAGGGCGCTGCGGAAGCTGTCGGTGAGCTTGTCGCCGTCGCCGAAGTTGGCGGACTGGACGTTGTCGTCGGCTCGAGGGAGTTGGTAGCAGTTACTGTAAGCGTGAACGGGGTGGCAGTCGCCGCCAACGATGACAGTGAGTTCTTCGCCTGAATTGGGAGGTTCTCTCCAGGCTCCAGCATATAATTTGCCTGCTTCGCCAACTCCAGCTGAGTATCCAGCGGAGTCTGCGCAGTTGGATTGATGACGCCGAGCATGCCCCAACCAATACACGACCCAGGCGCTCCGCAGTAGTAGAAGACGGGCGACGTGTCGTTGACGGTGACATTATAAACAGTTTGGGTACCGGTGGTGTCGTTGGTGGGCTGCCATCCGGAGTAGAAGCCCGTTTGGCCGGTTACGTCTGCGATAGGGATGCAAGGGTAGCCATAGGCTGCCTCGATGACCGAATGGTTGCCGGGCCAGAATTGGAAGGAGACAATGTCGCCTGGGACGGCTAGGATGGAGTTGGGCTGGAATTGATTCTGGAGCTTGCCAACCGTGACCTGCGAAGCGTAGTTCGAGAATCAGTACACCAACACACGCTCGCAATGGGGAGCGCTTGTGATCACCCACATAATGAACAGTGATTTCGCCCTGGGTAGCGGTCGGCGTGGATGCATTGTTCGCGCCGGTTTCCTGGGCGTATACAGCGCCGAGGGCCGCGACCCAGGCCACGAGTACTCGCTGGATCATTCTGCGCGATGTTTCGTTGTTGACGACTACGAAGTATGAAAGATTGAGATATTAGCTTAAGACCACGCAAAGAAAAGAAGGACCTGCGTGGCAGGCTAGGGACCAATGGCACACCCCGCCGTAGCAGAAAAGGACAAGAGAATAGTAAGACGGAGAGATCTTTCGCCAACACCGCTTAGTGAAAGCACAGCCTTGCCAATTGGAGCTTATTGCGGGTTGCAATAGCTTAGCAGATCTGCATACCGGTCCGGATTCTGCTGGTGAGACTTTCCAGTGGTGGCTTCTAATCTCCGCACGAGGCTGCAAGCCACTTGCATGGTCGACTCCTGAAGGAACGGCCAAGACATTGATACGGCAGAAGCTGTTGCACATCTTCAGCAGTAACGGGTGTCCATACTGCCGCGAGAAGCTGCAGGTTACCGTCCGGTAGCGAAATACATGGCTCGGTCATTAGGTGGCATATCCAATGTTGTCTCACCTCACGCTGAGGATCCCGTAACCGTATGATGGATCGTGTGCTATATTTACGCAGTGGTAATTCGGAGGTCAGGGTGTGGCGTAGCTAGCGGTATGTTGGTTCATGTTGCTGACTCAACCGCAGCTTAGGCTTGTGGAGAGAGTCGGGTAAGGCTGAGATAGTATGCTTCCGGTGAACGCCGAACCAGGGGCTGAACTCTCTTTGCGAACCTGCTACATCCACTACGGTAACCCTCGCACACTGTTCCGCTTGCGATATGCATGAATACCTCATCGACAAGCTACGCTCCGTGAAGATCTGAACGGTGATGATTATGTAGATTGAAGGCTGGACGACGCAGATGCTCCGCTTGCTTGCGAAATCCGCGTGTGTTAAGACAATAATAACCAGAGCCCTTGAGTCTACGGACGGAGGCGCATCGCTTTCGTGGATGCTGTACGATTATGGCTAGCACTCTATTCTGTGTACTCATAGCGGTCCCCTGGCGCTGAACGTGAGTGAGACAGCTATCGAGCTCTGTAGATACTACCCAGTGGTGATATCTGTTAGTGACGGCCGCCTTGTTTCGCAATGCCTCTTCCAACAACCAATGCGCACAGCACGCTTTGGTTTCAATCGCACACACTCTCGGCCTCAGCTACCGAAGAACCAGGCAAGGAGTCGTTGAGCATCTCATGTCGTTTGCGACAGGCTGGCCAAACTTCAGCGCCGTCACAGCCACAGCTACCACAAGTCAACATCCTCCACCACACAATCTCATACATTTGGTAAGGCAGTTCCTTGTCCTTCCACAGATCCCTTAGCTCGCCTTGCATGACTTTGTGCACACACACGAAGCCATGTGGTGCATGCTGCTCGCTCTGTGGCCGCATAGACGAGGTCCTGAAACTGCAAGCCACAGGTCCGAGAAGACTCCGCAAGACAACCTTGGTCATATCATTCAAGCCGCGCTGCATCTTAGAAAGAGCTTTATAGCTGGAGTCGAGAGCGAACCCGGACAGCGCAGCAATGGGTCCCGTTGAAACTCCAGGTATTCTAGATAATAGGCAATGCTCGGCGTCGCAGTGCACAGCTTCGCAGTCATCAACTCTCCATAGCCACATCATCAAGCCGAGCCCAATTTTCGTTACCGGATCGAGTATCACGTCGGTGATGCCATCCAGCACAATTGACGACCAGAACGTGGGTCGCGAGCCTTACTAGTCCCTTAGACTTGAGGTACCTGCGTTGAGGCGGCCAAAGCCGAGAGTAACCGGCATGCCGAGACTGGAACGTTCCGAGTTCGGTGAGAAGTGCTTGCGCCCTTTCGGCGACATTGTGGACCGCTTCGCTGGCGGTGATGGCAACCGTGATCGCAATGTCATGCGGTTGTGGGTCATCAAGGCAAGGTAATGTATATGCGCGTCCGCTATCTTACTCTCCGTATCCCTTTCTGTTGACACACTCTCCTTTGCGTCGTTCTCAGTTAGTGAAACAACAGTCAACTCGAGCGACACAATCGAGCGGCAAGCTGACGGACACCACTCACTCTTTTCCTTATCGGTCAAGACCGTAGCGTGCGTGTGTAACGTCACCTTCACCTGCAATCGAAGTTTTGCCGGAGACAGATACCTCAGCTTTCACCATTCCTGGCCGCTTGACCATTCAGGATGTAGCAAAGCGGCGTGCGGCTTCTGGCAAGCTAATCGCTGGTGCTGCAGCGGTAGCCGATATACACGCATTCCGAGGCATAACCCAGCACAACCACAAAACCGAAGCCAAGCGATGGGAGTACCGCATGACCGCAGAAGCCAAGACTCGAGGAGGCAGCTCCCTCAAGAACGCAGCTCGCTACCTTAAGACACCGGGCCTGATCAGTTTAGGTGGCGGTCTGCCAAGCAGCGAGTACTTCCCTGTCTCCGAACTGGGCATCCGTGTCCCTGATCTCAGCGAACTTGACGCCGCCAGTGGGTGGTTGACAGCAGGCAAACACGACATGGCAGAAGGTAAGTCGATGTTTGACATCGCCACCGCGTTCCAATACGGTCAAGGCCACGGCGCGGCACAGCTCCTCCGTTGGCTTGTGGAGCATACTGAGATCGTGCATGATCCACCTTACGCGGATTGGAGTTGTACCATGACTGTTGGATCGACATCGGCCTTTGACATGGCTTTACGTATGTTTGCAAAACCTGGAGACTGGCTGCTCAGCGAAGAATACACATTTCCTGCCATGGTTGAGACAGCTGCTCCGTTGGGCGTGAAAGTTGCCGCAGTAAGAATGGATGCGTACGGTATGCTTGCAGACTCGCTTGACGAGGTGCTCAGTAACTGGGACTATGCAGCCAGAGATGGACCGAAGCCATTCTTGATGTATACTGTACCTACAGGACAGAACCCGACGGGTTCGACGCAAACGCTGCAGAGGCGGAAGGAAGTCTACGCAGTGGCGCAAAAGCATGATCTCTACATTCTGGAGGATGAACCCTACTACTTCCTCCAAATGCAACCCTACACCGGCCCTAATGCTCCAGACGTTTCGCCACCGAAGTCGAATGACGAGTTTCTGCGCTCATTGGTTCCCTCTTATCTGTCGCTGGATACAGACGGCCGAGTAATGCGGATGGACTCTTTCTCCAAAATCATCGCTCCCGGTACTCGTTGTGGCTGGATCACCGCCAGCGAGGAGGTTTGTGAGCGGTACCGCACGCACGCCGATTTGTCTACACAAGGACCCAGCGGTGTGAGCCAGCTTATGCTCTTCATACTCCTAGAAGAACATTGGGGTCACGCAGGCTATCTGGACTGGCTCGTGCATATCCGGCTCGAATACACAGCGCGCCGTGATGTGATCCTGGACGCTTGCGAGAAGTATATGCCCAAGGAGATCGTGAGCTGGAACCCGCCGATGGCTGGAATGTTTTTGTGGCTGAAGATCAACTGGCACAAGCATCCCACGAGCACCAGCAAGACTCTGCTGGAAGTTGAGGATGAGCTGTTCCAAAAAGTCATCGGACACGGCACATTACTGATGAAAGGCTCATGGTTCCTGGGAGAGAAAGGTAGTGCGGACAATGAGATGTTTCTGAGGGCCACGTATGCGGCTGCTCCATTCGAGCAGATACGAGAAGCTGTTGGGAGGCTAGGAGAAGCTTTGAGGGAAGCCTTTGGGCTGAGGGCTTTGTCTAATGGAGCGTAACAGCGCCGTAGAGATGCGCAGCGGAAGAGGAGGCTTTACCATGAGAACAAGGGATAGCAACGAAATCCCAGAGCGCTCTTCCAGATGCGTGATACAACGGCAAGATGAGCAAACGACCGTACATCTTAAATAGGACGGTCATGGTAGGGCTTTTTGACCGCCTTGTCCAAGCTCCTCTACGAACAATGCATCCGGTCGGGTACTCTAGCCCTGAACGCCTCACGATGGGCAGTGCGAATCAGTCCGCAGGAAACTTTCAAGATCAATCTAGGAAGAACGAGCGCGATAACATCAAGAACTTCCTCACAAGCGAAGAGCCTATGCGCAAATGGGAAGCCAGAATCTCACCTTCGCCTACCATCGACGCTCCCGTTCATCGTCCTACTTACTCGGTTGCACGCATTGAGGAGAAAGTCCGGCAAGGGCTTGACGTTCTGCTGCAGCATCACGACTGGGAAGCACTGCTAGACATCATGCGGGATCTGAAAGCTTTGGAGCGGATTCGTGCGCACGATAAGAGGTGCGAGAAGATGGTGGAGATGGCAAGGGAGATGGTTGAGAGACAGGGGACTAGCAGTGAGGACAGGCTGGTGCTGAGGAGGTGCTTCGATCTCTGGCTGAAGCCTCCTTACTCGGCTGATCTTGAGAGGCAGTCTGCGCAGTTGGAGACTAGTGAGAGCGGCATGGACCAGTAACCTGGAGCAAGTTCAACTGTATAACATACAAGAGACTGTTCGCTTCACGGTTATTGTACAAAGAATAATCCATGGACATTATGCCGCCCTCGTCTCAGCCTCCAGCGCCAACGCTAAATCCAATGATCGTGCCTTAGGAACGCATGCGGCCAAGCGAGCGGAAGTAATCGTAGGCATCGTCACCCTTTTGTTACAGTCTCTCCGCCTCTCGCTGCTTCGAATATGCTGCCTGCCTACCACCATCGCCCAACACCGCTTTAAAGTTCTGCCGCGCCTTCACCGTCGGCTTCCATTTACGGCCACTCCGGCTAGTTGAGGTGCCCAAAGACCACGCCGAGGCAGTCGGTGAAGGCGTCTGCCTACACTTGGCGGCCAAGATCACTTGTAGCTCCCTCTCTGCCGCCCCCACTTCCTTCTCCACGGCCTGAACAGGCGACCCGGCTGAAGGATACTCTCTGCGAATGGCGCTCAAGGCTGCATGAAGCTTAACGCGTTTTGCAGCAACTGCCGTCTCCAATATCCTGCATAATCCCGCGTACTCTTCGTTCGACAAAGGGTGCAGCAGCTTACTGACGACGCTGCCCTCGTGTATTCGTAGGGTTGGTACGTGCGATCGCGGTAGACGCTTCCCACCCATCTGCGGCAAACGCTTCTCACTAGTCCCTCTGCTCGTAGTCGCCAGGACTGTAAGAAGTCCCAAACTTTTGGCGGCCACTGCTACTTCCAGTACTTTGTGCATCTCGATATACTCCCCTGTCGACTGTGGGTGCAACAGTTTGCTAGTGACTCGCCACTCGCGAACTCTTAAGGTTGGTCGATACGACTTCGGTAGGCGCATCACATCGACCTGCGGCACGCATTTCCCACCTACCTGCCGCGGCAAGCGCCTTCTACTTACCTGCCAGTACTAGGGCGGAGAGGCAGCGCTGCCGTCAATGCTCGCTTTCCTTGCGCCGAGTTTGAGCTTGAACTTGGGCTTCGGTATAGGTGGAGGCGGCATGGTCGCGCCGGGCGAAAAGGGCGGAGCGATAAGCTGTGTGGAAGGCGCGCCGTCGCCATCCGCTATGAGCGACGGGGTGTTGGTGACGGTCGAAAGAGCGCTGCCAGCATCTTCCTGCTTCACTTCCGAGGCGGGCAATGCCGTTTGCTCAGTAGGCGCAGGTCCGTAACTCCTAAAAGCGCCCAGATTAAGGCTTGGCGCCTGCGCTGCCGGGGAAGCAGACAGTCCACCACCACCGAAAAAGGACGAGCCATTCGTGGGGCTGTGCAGCAGGCTGCTTGACGGCGTAGGAAAGTAGTTTGGTGAGGTAGGTTGAGGCAGCAGAGATGACGGCGTGATTGAGCGTGAGAGAGACTCCGCTGTGGTTGCCGGAGCAGGTGTGGGGGGTGGACGAACCGTGCCGCTTGGTTGAGGTGGTTGAGATATTATCCTTGCCAACCCGGCCTTGCCGGCTTGGGTAACGAGGCGAAGTTTTACCATTCCCCGCTTCGAAGGCTGCGAAGAGGGTTTCACGGAAGGTACTTTGGCTGCAGGCGTAGAACCACGACGCTGCGATGCCACACTGGGACTGCGACGCGGAGGGCTTGTAGCCGTTGCAAGCACGGCGATGGGTGTTTGTTGATGAGACATCTTCAATGCCTTGGGGCTCGCGGAGCGTTGGTTAACAACATCCACGCTTGCTTTGCGCTTCAGACCCGCCGCAGTCAGAGACAGCTTAATCGGCTCCTTCGCCGGAGCAGGAGGCATGTGTAGTCCTGGAGCCGCGGGTGGACCCATGGACTGCTGTCTCGCTAACTGCGCCTTCAGACTGATGTCCTCCTCACTATCCTTTCTCGGCTTAAGGGCTTCTTCCGCAACCGGGCCGGTATATCTCAAACCCAGCATTCGGATTGCCTGCAGATCCTCGCTGTCAAGCGGCTTCCTCGGGGCGGTTTTAACACTTCCAGTCTGCCAGAAACGCATCTTTCCCCTGCCGAGGTGCTTACACCTGTACAACCTAGGCAGCTTCAGGGTAACCTTCGCCGATGCTACCGCCGGGTACAGAAGCGCCGCAATATCGCAGAATGCAGCAACCTCATCCAAAGTAAGGTCCGGAGATGTAGTTGCATACCAAAGCGCGCGCTTGAACCTGTCTTCGTTGCCAAGTGCCGCTTTCAGCGCCGCGATGGCGCCGTCGGGTGTGGTCTTGCGACTGACTTCGAACTGTCGGGCTTCGCTGCTCGCTGCTTGCTCCAGTATCAAGCCGTCGGCCTCAGCGGGCTGTGGTCGAGGCTGAACCGGCTCAGAGTCGCCGAGAGCAATATGGCCAAGAGCTTCGCCGAAGCACGCGAGTAAGCGGCCACGAACGAAGGGCGAGGGCTCGTCAGCAATGCAGTGGAGTAAATACGCCATCATGCTCATCTTCCTCGCTACGCCAATCTCAACCAAGCACCGAAACGCAGCAACACGCACCAAGTCCGCGTTGGCTGGGCGGGTGTATTGCAGTACTTCGCTTGTCTTGTCTTTAGCCATACCAGCCTTGGTCAGCTTCTGCAAACACTCAAGCGCCGTGAGCGAGTAGATGTTGTGGTACGTTGTCTCCCACTCATCAATCCGTCTGTAGCGCTCGATGGCATTGATGCCCTCAGCCTCGAGCGGCTCGTCAGGGTTTTCCGGCTCCATTGGCTCGTCTTCGCCGAAACTGAAAGTGTATGTAGGCTGTGGCTCACGGTGTGACACCACGAGAGAGTCAGCCAAACACGTGAGGAGTGTTGCAACGTAGTGGCAGTCGGAGAAAGGATTGTCCGAATTATCGTTGAAGCGCAGCTTGTCCATGAAGAAGCGGCGTATAGCGAGTGGCACCTTGCCTTCTCCATCTCTCAACTTCGCCATGGAGCGTGGAATGGCGCACTGGACGATGAAGTTGGCTCGATTAGTCCAGTCATTCGGTCTTGGCATGTTCTCGCCCGGAAAGCAAAATAGCTCTTCAAAAGCCTTCATTAGATGAAATTGTCCTATCGTTCTCAGCTCGTCGGCATTACTGCTCTGCGGATCGACTCTTGCAACCAGAATCGCCAGCCCGTCGGCAGCCATCGCACGAATGCCATGGAAGTACCGGTGGTCCATCAGTGTGCGCACCAGGATGCTGAAAGAGACATGGTGCGGGTTCGCCAGTGTGAGATAGCGCATGGAGTCGTACTGCGCCACCAGATCCCTATCCTGCTGCAGCTGCGAGACGTACATGTACAACGGCATGGTAAGATGGATCTTACCGATCCATTCGAAGTCGGCATCCATGCGGATCCACTCGTAACTCTCTTGACCCATGCGGTCTTCGTCTTCTGAGGTCCAGTCCACAAGATTCCACTCGCGGCATTCTTCGGGTGAATCCAGGATGTCACCAAGACAGTACAACAGTGACTCTTCGCCGCCTTCGCCATTGTTGCTCTCGGCCATTGCGCGGTCTTTCTGGCGCCGTGAACGCTTGAGGCGCTTGTACTTTGTGTTGTACGGTATCTCAAGCTTCGTGGTCTGCTCCTTGATCTCTACGATATGCTCGTACGGCGTACCATCCGCTTCATGGATCCTGATCGTCATCGGGCCGGTGAAAACAGGTAGCGTCTCTGGCGCCCAGATCTCCTGCACGTGCTCTTTGATCTCGCGCATGAAATTGTTCGGCGCAAACGGCGGCTTCGTCTGCCGTTCAATCTGGCGCTGCAGGATCGTCATCTCGACCACAAGCTTCTTCTTGTTGAAGCGTTGGGACACTTGGAAGATGGGGCAGCCGGCGCCGAAGACCCACTGACGGAAAAAGGACTCGAGCTTGTTATGGCCGAGCTTCTCGCATTGCCGTTGGAAGTCCACCGTCGAGAGCTCACCGTTCTCGAGTGTGCCGGTGGTGGCGTTGACCAGGATCTTGTTGATGATGCGCTGTACGCCTGTGGTACCGCTCGCCTTCAAAAGCCTTCTGTCAAGGATGAAGAGGACAAGCGCGGATTTGAGATCTAAGAACTCGCGGATTGACGGGTCGAGGTGCAGATAGTGGCCATGTTGGGATATGGATGGACGATCAGCATCAAGCTCGTACACCTTCTCTGCAGCGAGCTTCTGTTGCCATCGGTAAGCGTTGTTGCCGAGCAAGGTCTTACCATACAGATCCGACATATAGCCCGCAATTCCGGAGACAACCCAAGCATCGGAAGGTTCTTTGGCGATGACGCTGACCCCTGCCCACTGCTCAGCAACCGCACGTATGATGGTCCTTGTGGTTGGCTCAAGTGGCTCGATGATGTCGGCTGGAAGGAGAATGTGGGAGCTGCAAATGGTGAAGCCAGCTGCTGCAACTGTATCGTGGACCATGTCATCCGCGAACAGTATCTTGTAGCTTGAGAACGGGAACGAGGTGTAATTGACGCCGAAGTAGTCGATGATCCGTGTGGCGGGATAGCAAGTGTTCCGCACTTGGTCCCCCCGACCAGGAAGGCAGAAGCCGTCGACCTTAACCGCGCGCTGACCGAGCCTTTCTTCATCATCCGCGTCCCGCACGCTGGACAAGTCGATTCTCTCAAACGGGCCAACAGCGAAGGCGATGTGGCGAGCAGTGACCGGATCTGTGAGGCTGAAGGTGACCGTGTGCCGCGTATCGTCTTCTGCATCGGCGACGTCGTCGATTTGCTCGCCGACGCACGCAACAACAAGCTCCAAAGCAGCATCCTCTTCGCTTAGGTCGAGGGAGAGCTGCGGCATCGAAGGGTCTGTATTTGCCGCAGTATGCTTCTCGGCCACGCCGTTTTCCATTCGAGCGTTGCCATCTACACCAAGCGGTTCTGCAGGCTCGACTGTCATCGCTGACGACTTTCCGAAAGCATCTCCAAGCGTCCGCGGACATCGTATTGACAGCTCCCAGGTACATCTCGCGGTCGCATTGTCGACGCAGGGAAAGATGCAGCTTGTGTTGCCTGGTAGCGGGCTGGCCTTGGTGTACATGTACGGGTACCGCTTGTCGCCTTCTTCGCTGCCAATCCAGTGAACGCCATCGCGGAAGTTGTCTACTTCAAACTCAATAAAGAGCTTGATCGGCGCAAACTGCGGGAGGTGATGCTGTCCAGCGGATGCCAGTATCGGTGTCTCCGCGATTGCCACGCCGTCCGCGTCTGTCTCGTGCCGCTCCAGGTTCGGCGTGCCGCTCACGCGAGCCGCTGTGACCGCCGCACTTCCGGCATCGACGTGCAACTCTTGGATCTTTAGCTTCGGCGGCAGCGCAATGAGGAGTTCTGGCCGCAATCTAGGCGCGAGCGAATGCAGAACCTTCTCCTTCAGCATCTCATGCTGATGCACGTTGGAGCCGGCCGGCATGCGCAGGCGACGGTATGGGTCCTCATACTCGTACTTGGCGGTGATGCCGCCGGCCTGAACGGAAGTGAGAGTACACTGCCGGCAGTGCAGCTGGAGTTGTCGTAGATCCTTCACGAGCGGCTGCACCGTGATCTCCGTGCTGCCTTTGAGCGAGCGGCGCGCAAAGTCGACATCCAAATCCACCCGCTGTTTTAGGATGCTATACTCCGGTACACTCGTGTGCTGGATACCATCCATCGCATCATCGTCCACTGCATTCATCCTTGCGTCTGCGCCGCTCACTCGTCGTCGGCGAGTGAGCCTTCATCTCCCGCTCCCGCCGTGCTCGTCAGTCGTGATGCGCCAGTAGTAATGGATAGAACGCGGCTCGCGCGGGGATGCTGTAGGCGTGGAGTGAGACTTCCTGCCGCCAGAACTACCGGATGAGATGTGTGTCCACTCGCAGCACTGTGATAAGTCGATATTCATTCAGAGGTCGGATCACAACAATGTCGGCAAGTGGTGCAGCTGCGCTTTTGACATTTCGGCTGCTGCCGTCCACCTCGCCTCGCGCGTCACCTGCACATGGAAACTGAAGCCTTGGCCCTGCGACTGTCTACAACAACACATTCACCAACGGAAACAGCGAGAATGTTGAGCGGGGAGGGTGTGCGAGTCAGGGAGGGTTTGCCATTCACTACACCAGCGAGCGATCAAATTTGGGTTGTGAATGTACAATGCCCACGAGGTACAGCAGGTTAGGGTTGTGGACGTTGTGCCCATCAGACCGTGAGCCTCAACGTGCACATCAACATCCTGCATCTGCTCACTCATGTCGGTTGTACTGACCTGTCCGGCGACGACATTCACTCCACCGTTACATGTATGCACGTTGTGATTAGCGATCCTGCCATAGTCAGAGGAGTACTCGGTCACAAACCTTTGCTCGGGCCCGCAATGTTCATTTGGCTGTGGGAACCCCATGGGACAAGGCTTCGGTAGCTGCTTGCTCTCGGGGCCCCGGAAGTGGTCCGCATTGATTGCGGAGACAGACATGTTGCAATGGATAAAATGGTTTGGATCAACTTGTTCACGTTAAGTGGCGACAGCTCTCCGTCACACAGTGAACAGAACAGTCAGCATGGCCGCATCCTATGTACTGGAAACCATGGCCCATTACCCAGTCCTACTGGCTGTGGTACTGAGTAGCGGCTGCTTCCTGACTTATGCCATATACCAGCGCTTCTACCATCCCCTCGCCAAGTATCCCGGCCCTCTTCTAGCATCGTTAACCGATCTCTGGCAGGTCTACCAGTTCTTGACCCTCAAGCAACCTTACACGCTCACACAGCTTCATGAGCAGTATGGTCCTGTCGTTCGCTATGGTCCGGATAAGCTCAGCCTTACCGACGAGGATGCCATTCCCGTGTTGTACCAGAAGGGCGGTAAGATGTATCCGAAGACCGAGTTTTATGACGCATACGGCGCAGCGCACCCGAATGTCTTCGGCATGCGTAATGAGGCTGTAAGGAATTTCTAGAGACAGCCAACATCTGCTATGGACGCGACAATGCTAATGGATCAATAGCAACATGCAACTCGGCGGCGGCACATGTCTCATAGCTTCTCCATCTCCTACGTCAAGGAGCTGGAGGGCTTCCTTGACAGCAACATTGCTATACTGAAGCGCAAAATCGCCGAGCACGCAGCTTCTGGGAAGGCGTTCAACCTCAAAGAACTGCTGCACTACTACGTGATCGATGTACTTGGCGAGCTCGCCTTCAGTCAATCCTTTGGACTACAAGAAGCGGATGAGGATGCTGCTGCGGCGATGGTACCGCCAGTCGTAGAACACAGCCTGCTGTCTGCCGCAACAGGAGCCTGGCCAAGCATGACGAAGACCCTTAAGCGCTGGTTGCCATACTTGCCATACAAGCCGACCAAAGCTCTCTTTCGTGGCCGCCAGGCTTGTGCCAACCTTGCTGCCGAATGTGTTGCCCGACGAATGCGTGCGCTAGAACACTTACGGAAGGAAAACCTCGGTGCGACGGACCAAAGAAAGGACATATTGACGAACCTCATCTTGGCGAGAGATCCAGAGACAGGCGCTCATCTTACTGAGGCCGACTTACAGACTGAAGCGTTTGGCTTCATAATCGCGGGGACCCACACAACCAGCGCCACGACTACCCTGCTGTTCTACCACCTTCTCCATGCTCCGGACATCATGGCTCAATGCGTGTCAGAGCTCGATGCCAATCTCCCGGATCTTACCGCAGACCAACCTGCTTACTCAGGTAGCATTGCCGAGTCGTCCCTACCTTTCCTCAAGCAGTGCGTGCGGGAGAACTTCCGGATTACACCGGTGTTCACCATGCCATTAGCACGCCGAGTCGTTGATCCCGCTGGTGCTACTATTGGAGCGGAACACTACCCGCAAGGTGTAAGTTATACTTTCCCTTTTGGGAACGTTCGGGGAGCACGCGCTGACACTATGACCCATTAGACCTCGTTGGCGGTCTGCAATCATGCCTTTCATCACAATCCAGATGTGTGGGGGTTTGATCACAACACATTCCGACCATCTCGATGGAACGAACCAAGTGTCAACGCTCGTGCGCGGTATCTGATGCACTTCGGCCTGGGCCCTCGGCAGTGCATTGGGAAAACGGTGGCAACGACAAATATCTACAAGCTCTCCAGCACGTTGTTAAGGGAGTTTACTTTTGTCCTAGCCGAAGACACAGAAGCGGAGAAGGTGCGTCAAGGAGGCTTCGTGGGCAGATTGCCCGATCTTGTCAGCGTGGGTGTTAGCGACCTCGGGACACCACTCATGGTGAAGGCGAGCTTGAGAAGCAAGCAAGCCCACAACCAGTCCACGGCGCCGTCGTAGGATCGAGTCAGTTATGCGGGTATCACCTCCAATCCTTCACAAGCACGATCACGCCTGACGTTTGCCCGCGTCTGCACAGTCCACCGCCAGTTTCGACATTATCGCCTGGAGTCACCGTGAAGATCTTGCACGGTTGAATAAGGTTTACTGATGCCTAAATATTGACTCGCTAGAGTCAGCGATCATGCTGAAGTCAGCATACAACCCTGCCATATAGCCCGTAGGATATTCGGGAGCGTAACCTTGACGAGACCAAGTACTGTGCTCGGCAAACGCGACGTGGTCATACAACCAGTACGTTTAGGATTCAACAAGTGATCCGACTTTCACGCCGCCGGAAAGCAGCGATACGCTGCAGATAGTGACACGCTCGCGCCGCAATATGATGCACCGAGTCTTGCCTCCAACACTAGAGCATACTGCATCAATTATTCATATCGCACGCTACATAGGCGTCCGTGCTTTAGGAGCCCGGCCTAGGTCTTCTATGATCGAATTTGTCGTGTACACATGCAGTGGGGGCATCAGAACAAGTCGAAAGCGCCACCAACATCCTATCTAAGCGAGCCGCATACAACCTGTCGGGCACGATTGACCGCATGCATGTAGTGACGACAATCTGTTTAATCCTCGTATACTTGAGGATCGCGGCGCGATGGAGCCGAGCCGGTATGGCACACTGCCAGCGACTGAACAGGCCCACAAGGACCATTGGAGCGAAGGGCCGTACTTGTGGAAAGATATTTCACAGTCTAGCCTTATATCAGTGTCTCTACCTGGCCATTCCGAGGACAACAGCATCCCATATCTCACTCGTCCACCGCTTGAGCGACGGTCCTCTCAGTTGATGAGCCCCACATTGGCCTCTTGTTTCTGTAATGCACTAGCGGTCATGATCCGAAACCTCTTGCCGAAGAGCCAGAGCGGGACGGTTAGCAGCGCAAATATGGCCATGATCATGCCGAAGATTCCAAAAGGCTCTGCTGCACCGGCTTGCTCAATCCAGTCGGCGACGAAGTATGTCCACGCGAAGGACACCACAGCCCGAATGATGGTGGTCAGGACGAAGCAGTTAGAGCTCATGTAGCCATAAGACTCGATGAGCTACGTAGATATAGTCAGTCAAGAACACATCAAGCCGGAAACATCGACTCACGTAGTTGAAGCCAACACTAGGTATTTGGGTGATGCTGAACGATACCATGCCAAAGCCGACAGCTAAGCCCGCCCATGTATGAGCGCCCGGGTACTGAGCGGAGAATCCAAATGTCCACATTCCGGTGACGGCCAAGAACAAAGCGGGAAACATGATTGGAAGACGACTTTCCGGCTCCGCAAGGCCATCTCGCTCGTGCTTCGCGGTGCGAGTCACCTGCCGATCGATGACAAAGTACGTCGCTGCCCTAGCGCTCACATGTCAGCGTGGAGTATGCGATCCGTATGGCTTTGTGCCTCACCCTCCGAGAAATGTGCCTATGACACCTGCAATGTTGATCAAACCAACATTGTTACCCCACAGATATGGTGGCATCGACAAAAGCTGGGGTGCCTGCAACTCATGCATCAGCGGCCATGTCGAAGTGATACAAGGTCAAGAATGGGGCTAACCATTGAAGCAGGTCACGACACCGCCAAGAAGTCCTCCGTAGTGCAGCATTACCACCCAAATGCCAGGAAAGACCAGGGGTAGCCACGGTGCAACGCAATGGTGAATGACATTGCCACGAAAAATGCCGACCTTGAGTTGCTGACCGATTGGGAAGGAGTCGTTCGGCGCTGGGCTGGACTGAATCTCAACGTGAGCGATATTAATTTTCTCTGTTAACACTTCCCGGATAGCGTCTTGCCGAGAAAGGTGGGCGGAGCGGTCGAACAAGGTTTCTGGTACCAGGAAAAACTGGCAGAGAAAGATGAAGCCGCTAAGGGCAGCGCTAATCCAGAAGATATACTTGTAGCCGTTGATGCCAGCGATGTAACCACCGCACAATCCACCAACAAAACTGCCACTTGCTAAGATAATGGTATAAACGGCCTAGCGTAAATTTAGTCTGCATTTTATGTAGACGACGATATGATTTCGAAGATTACCATTGCGCGGCCCCGCTGATGAACGAAAAAGACTTCGCCGAGAATCTCGGGTGATATAGTGTCGCCCGGCCCTCCACCGATACCCTGGACAACTCTGGCAGCCAGAAGACTGTTGAACGAGTTCACGGCGCCCGCCCATATACTGGCGGCGATGAGGATCAGCTCGGCCAGTAGCATGATAGGCCGACGGCCGAAGATGTTTGCAAGCGGTACCCAGAAGACATTCGATACGCCCAATGCCAGCACGTTGACAGCGACCAAGTGGGTAAGTTGTCCGAGTGATCGAGGCGGAAGCATCTCATGTGCCAGGATAGGGATTGCCGGCGCGATAGCTGACGAAGCAAAGGTCGCTATGAAGGCGTACATTGACACGGTGAGCAATACCGCAGTCTTCTCCACATGGGCCAGTTCAAGGGATCCGCCGGGCTTGCTGACGGGTGAGGGATCAGCTGAATATGATCTTCGTTATGCTCAGTGCCGGTCATTGTCCGCTGCAACTCGTGCTCTGTGTTTCGACATCAGTGTCTCTTCAAGCCTCACACGGCGTAGTAGCATAGACGTACCCACAAGAACAACGGTACCGGGCGGTCGTGCATGCTTGACCTCGTCCTTGGAAAGCGAGAACGCGGAACGCCAGCCTGACATGGCGGACAGGTCTTCTGATCGACTAATAACTCAAGAGTTTGTGTAGTCAGTGACTTGCCGCTTCGACACTTTGGCTGGTACAGAACGGAACAAGAACGTGGGGACTCCACATCTTTTGTTCCCCCGTACATGAAGAGACCCGAACGCTTTTCCCCGCACCGACCCGACAGTACATAGAAGTGCATGCGTTCGCATCACGCGGGCTCATGACGACGAGGGTTGGCTGATGTGATCGGGCCCGCACTGTACGTGATAGTGGCTTTCCAGCGTCGCAAATGCGCCGCTTGTACACTTTCACCTTGGAAGGTCTTGAATGGGGAGACCACAATCGTACTGCAAGAACCATCAAGGAACCGACCATGAGTGCTCCGGAGCTGCCCAGCACAATGCTTGCTGCACGGATTATTGAGGTAGATAAGACTGTTGCTCACTTGGCATATTAGTATCTCGACTGACTTGGGAAGATTTTGCTGCAGTACGGGAAGTCATATGAGCTTTCCCGTGTGCCGGTACCCCATCAACTTAAGCCACACGAGATCCTGCTCAGAACTGCCGTCGCTTCCTATTGCCACACTGACCAGATGGTCATGGACGGAGTTTTCAACGCGCCTTTGCCTCTGATTGGCAGCCATGAAGGGGCCGGAACAGTTACGGCTGTTGGATCGGCAGTCGAGAATTTCAGTATTGGCGATAGGGTTATGGCTCATGTAAGACGCAACACTTGTGGCGAATGTTCTGAATGTTTGGGCCCCGACGTCTGGAAGTACTGTTGCACAGCTCCTCGTGATAGTCTAGGCATCACCACGGACGGGGCCTTTGCAGAATATCTTGTTGCGGACTCACGTTGGTCTGTCAAGCTCCCCAAAGGCTTTCCGTTCACTGTGGCGGCTCCGCTAGCATGCGCTGGCGCCACCAGCTTCCGTGCAGTCAAAATGGCCGGTCTCGAGAGAGGACAGTGGCTTGCGATCGTGGGCTCGGGAGGAGGCCTTGGGCATCTGAGCATACATTTTGCGAAGCACAGAGGCCTCAATGTGATTGGCATCGATGCTCGCGATGCAGGCTTGGCATTGTCCTTACGCAGTGGTGCCGATCATGTTCTGGACGCCCGGAAAGGCAAGGACAGGATAGTGAATCAAGTGCAGAGCTTGACCAAGGGCAGAGGCGTTGACGCTACCATCAATCTTTCCGATGCAGGCAGTGCAGCATCCATGTCCTGCGCAATCACGCGAATACACGGGACTGTTTGGCAGGTCGCCCAGGTCAGTAATATGTTGAGGCTCTTGCCAAGCATTGCTAACGGTATCAGCCCCGAGACGTCGCTGTCCCATACCAAGAGCTTGTGCTCAGGGACATTCGCTTACGAGGGTCTGTCATTTGCTCGCCCATGGACGCCCAGGAGATGATAGCGACAGTAGCCGGGATGGGTGGCGACATAGTAGCCGTGAGGACGTACGTGGGGCTCGAAAGTCTTCCTAAGCTCCTTCAAGATGTAAGAGCGCATGATGCAGTCGGCAAGGCTATAATCGTAGTGGACAGAGCGCAAGTAACGCAAGCGTAAGCCTGCAGAGGTTGCATATCCCTGCACTTCTCGGCTTGCCTTTGCTGATAGCTCGATAGACGTAGACAATAGACGCGAGCGGGAAAGCAGCTCAACTTGTAGAACGACACCGCGCATCTTAATAGCGGTGTTTGCCTTGCGGGCGGCGGTTCTCTGCCCCGCATTAAATTCTCCGTCCATTTTGCCACGCAACCCACGAAAATCAGGCAACGCCCTGAAGCAGTAACTTCCATGGTTATATATTTATCCTGCGATTGCTGCCCAGATACGGTTCGACTGTAGTTACGGCATAATCGTCAATGTGAGTGTGTTAGAAGCCACCCGCATTCTGTTGTTCGTTAGCATGTCACTTGGAGATTGTAACACTGATGCTTCGTACCTATGGGAATCTGCTGCCCAGTCATCGAAAGGTTTTTCGCGAGCGCAACGAAAATATCGGCGCACTCTTCGGGCTCAGGCTGCAACTTACAGTTAACCAAAGAGCAGTGACGCCAACACAAGGACGAATGTGTATATCTGACTGGGGGCGCCTCCACTCACCACTCTTTGCAGAGGGTTATCCGCTTGCCATTTCTGCACGAACTCGGGAGAGTACCGTTTGCCCCACTCCGTGAGTAGGAGGCCAGGCAGCACAGCGTTAGTCCGAATGCGTCCATCAGTCTGGGCCAGACACTTGACGAGTTGCAACCCTGCCGCCTTTGTTACAGAATACGCCATACTGCTTCCTGACACCGACACCCCTGCTGTTGATGCTGTGTAGAGGTATACACCACCCTCTGGAGTTGCTGTCAAGTGCGGCTGGGCCTCTCGAAAGAGACGTAAACTTGACATTACGTTGGCTGACCAACATTTGTTCCATTTCTCGTCACTCAACGCTCGTAGGTCATCGAAAGCGGAGAACTCGGTCCATGCCTGACTGACGGATTAACCAAGCGCGAAAAATCAAGGTCGGAGTCTTACAGCATTTGCGATAACAACATCAATACCGCCCAGTTCCACGGTGGCTGTTGCGACCAGCCGTTCGATATCAGTGTCAGAACAGATGTCCTGCTCGAGTCAGCCGTGTATCACTGCAAAGGGGGTTTTGCTACCACAACGTCACCCACGGCTTGTATAGCGACAGCCTTGATACCGTGGCGCTTAGTGAGATCGACGGCAAAGTCTTGTGCGGCCCGAGCATCTGCAACATAGTTCAGAGCGATTGAAGCACCCTCACGTGCGAAGGCGTTTGCGATGGCTGCACCTAGACCCCTGTGTACCCGTCAACTGTTTGTCAAAAGCTCGACTGTGTCTGGGTGCAGATCCTTACTTGGAGCCGCCAGTAATCAGGACTCTGCGACCTCGTAGGACGTATGGCATCGTGGTCAACCAGTACTACTACACAGAAGATGCACCCGTTGGTTAGCTACTTTCTATACGCACAAATACGATTGAGAAGGTGACATGTACACTATCGGGCCCGCATCGAGGTCCCGTAGCATTGCCCAAATGGTATACCTCATGCCAACAGGACTGGATAGCGCTGTGCCTAGTAGTCAAGTTGCTATGTCACAATAGATCCACAAGGAAACTATGAGGTGATAGTTGCTACGTCGTCTTGGTCCATCATTCTCCTTAGACTGCTGGCAGAACTTTCGTCTCAAGCGACCCGAAGCCAATACGCTTTCCATTCTTGCCCGTAGCCCACCCGTCAAACACTACAGTGTCGTTGTCTCCGATGAATTGGCCCCCGACCACAGGTACTTCCTTGCTCCCGTTCCATGAGAGCTCCCAAAGACTCGCATTGTGTCCCACAGACTTGTCTATCCATTCGTTTTCCTGCAAGCTCGAGTCAGCCGTTTTCCATTCGTGATACAGCTACGTGGTGAATTACTGGGGATGAAATTGTGCCCGTAGCGACAAGCTCTGCCGTCCTCAGGCCACAGCCGGAGCTGGCACGATGGCACAGCATTTGGCCCAGACTGAAATAGCTATGCTTGAGGTTTGTGGTCGAAACCTTCTGCGGCGCAGCTCCGGCTCCTTGGAAGAATTAGCGTGTATCCTGCAAGGCAATGTAACCGACAACTCACTGCCCAGATATGCATTAAAATCGATATCGTAGATGGTATCTGCGAGGCTTTCATGTCGAAGATGCGGCTGCACCTCTCCGTCCTTCTGATTCAAAGGCGCTGCCTTCGCCCATTGCAGAGCCTCGGGGACGATGACCCATGGTGCCATGCTGGTCGCGAACGATTTAGAATTGAAGGGACCTGCCGGAATGCTCTCGTAGCTCTGTATATCCCGTGCGGACCAATCGTTGATGATAGAATATCCGAATATATGGTTGTGAGCCTGATCCGCCGTGATGGTCTGCCCGTATGGAACAGGGTTAGAGATCAAAATGCCTAGCTCAAGCTCATAGTCCAGCTGCATCGACGGCAAAAGCTTTGGTTGCCCACTCTCATCCTTGTACATGCCCTTGGGCCGATGAATACTGGTGCCACTTGGCACCATGGACGACACACGGCCATTGTACGCAATCGGACTATGATAGAAGTTCTTGAGCATCGGCATACCGGACATCTTGCAAGCCTACAGAATGGACGATCAGTAAGTCCAACAGATATGAGGTTCCGCACACATAGCGCGATAACACTCACATTTCCTACATGCTCCTCAAAGCAACTGAAATCGGTGAATTCAGGGATATCCATTGGAAGGTGTAGATGCACTTTATCGCTATCATGGAAGGCGGCGGCATTGATCTGACTGTTGGCGAACAAGGGAGAGGCGCCATTTGAAAGAAGATCGATCACAACTTGCCTAACCGCTGCTCGCTTGTCTTGAGGTTGGCGCGCGAAAGCGTTTAAGGTCGGCTAAATCGCCAGGATGTTGGCTAAGCTGGTTCAGTGCTACGAATGGTAGGCGCAAGACTGACCTGTGCAAATACTGCCGTTGTCGTCTTCAAGACAGCTTTAAAAAGTCCTTGTGCTTCGAGAAACGCGAGATCGAGAATGTGGCTGCCAACAATCGTGGCCGCTCTGGGGCTCTATACTCATAGTGGCGTCAACAGAGAGCAACATGTGGCGAATGGTTGCCCGAGCAATATTGACCAACCTCGCCGTCAGTACTGAATACACCGAACGGAATGTTCTCTATCGGGAACGGGCAGTCCGCTGCGGTTGCGATTGGAAATGATGGCATCTCGTCATATAATGATAACGCAAACGATGTGTAGCAGTCCTCAGAATAAGAACTTCGTCAACTCATGGATGCGTGATCTCGGGTTATTGGGGGCCTAGGTCAGTGGACAATCGGATATCGCATCGGGCCCTCTGCGGAGATGAATGCCTTCGCAACATTATCAGCGTCGGGGACATGGGCTGGGTGATGTAAATACTATGCATTCTATCACTACCTTGGTCTTTTTGCTGTAAGTTCGTACTATTAGCAACACTGTTTTCGTTATGATTGGGGGACATCTGAAGGTCACCATTGTCGGTGCAGGCTTGGCCGGCACCATCGCAACACGGGTCTTGCGCGAGTTTCACGATGTGACGCTCATAGAGCGCACACCATCTACCCGCCAGGAATTCGGTGCCGCCATCAATATGGGTCCGACTGTTACCAGTTGGCTGGAAAGTGTCGGCTTTGATCGGAAGAAAGCGGGCTCATTGGTAGCAACTCAGTCGCGAATGTACAGTGGGAAAAGTGGCGAGGAACTACAGAAGATCGACATGGCGCCTTTTGCACAGCATAATCCGTCAGATTGGCTGTTCCAGCATCGTGCCGACCTATGGTCCGAATTCTTTCGCCTAGCTACCGGTCCCGCTGACGAGGTGGCGTTGAAGCACGAAGACGGCAGTGTAAGATGTATCTGGAATGCAGAAGTACTCGACATCGATGTGAACAGCGGCGATGTAACGCTCGCGGACGGACGCGTCATTCCGAGCGATCTCGTCATTGGTGCCGATGGGATAAGGTCGGTCGTGCGACACAAGGTGGTTGGTGAGGAAGCCTTTCGCTCTGCACGACCCTCTGGATCTTCGGCTTTCCGCTTGACTATACCCGCGGAGATTGTCCCAAAAGCATCGGCAGACAAATTCTTAAACCGCGAAGCACCGGTGAGCCTGGAAGTGTTCCTATCACTTGATTCTTCAAATCGTTCCGTCGTTATGTATCCATGCCGGGACTTTCAGCTGTTGAATATGGCGTGCATTGCTCCAGACAACGTCATTGGCGTAGAAACGGAGGAGTCTTGGTTCGCGAAGGGTCGCAAGACAGATCTCGACAGATGCTTTGAGGACTTCTGTCCGGAGATTAAGAGTCTGCTTGGGTATGTGATATTGCAGCGGTTTTCTTCCTGAAAGCTACGTCTTAGGCCTGACTCAGATGATAACACAGGGTGGCATGTGACGACACGGTAAACCTATGGCAGCTAAGAGACCAAGACCCGCTACCCACGTACATTAACGGGCGAACCGTGCTAATAGGTGATGCTGCACATGCAATGACACCACATCAAGGACAAGGTGGGACGCAAGCAGTCGAAGACGCCGCTGCGTTCCAGTTGTTTGCGCATGCTACTCGGGCAACTGTCCCGACCATTTTAAAAGATTTCGATCGTGTACGGCGTACGAGGGCCAGTCAGATACAGAACAACACCCGCGAGGTAATCAGCTTCACTGTCCAACGCTGGTGTAGGCTTTTCACTGATATCAGGATGTAGGCGCACGAGCGGAAGACGCCTGAGAGGCTTTGGAAACATAGTCTGTATAACTGGACCTATCCGGGTATCAACGAGTGCTTGAGAAGGCTGAACGCGGGCGAAGAAATGATTGATGTGTGAATAACAAACCCTTTGCTTCGCTCGTCAATATACTTGGATAACTCTCGCAATGTGCTTATCTACACTTGTCGACCCGTGAATCTTGATCGGAATGAGTGGCCGGAACGCTTCCTACGCAAACATGAGCTATAGTGCCATCTTTCCAATCCTAGCGTAGATTCCGAGTGCGTGTACAACCATACTTAGCTATCTGCATTCTGCTGTGGTTTCAAGGTAAGCTAGAACTGCACTCAAGTACCAACGTCCTACTGATGCGGCGTAGGACTTCACCTTGGTGGTACGAAAGTGGCAATTCTTCACATCGCGAAGGAACAAGAAATGGATATGCTACAATTGCGCATCTTAAAGGCGCGAATGATAGGAAACCAGTCAATAATGATCGTCGAGTGAGGTCCTCTAAGAAACCAGTATCGTGACTGCGCCGAGACACTGCGGTAACAAACGAGTCAAAGATCAATCTTTTATCGCTAGCTAGCCCATCATTCTCACTTGGGCAGTTCAATGCCGCCATGATCTTCGCCGAGTGCCTTGCCGCCCACCTCGAATGGTTTCGCCTCTACCAGTACATACAACATCCGTGCCCACTTGTCTTTGCTGGGATTGTGCCATGCGTGCATGGTGGCGCGCTGCACACTCACATCACCGGGTCGCATTCGCCGCCGGGGACCATGTTCAAGTTCCTCGAGGATAAGATCGATCTCACCCTCGAGTACCACACCGTAGTCTAGCGAGTTGGTTCGATGCATTGGTGAAGTTGCACCAGGCTCCATGTCCACCATGCGAACCACGCTGCCATCTTTGTTGGCAATTGTTTCGGGATTAGCCGGTCGAATGAAAGCTTCAAGGTCTTTGTTGTCGCTGAATACAACTGGGGTTTCGGTGGTGGCGTAATGAACGTGGAAGCCAGCAACTCCCAGTCGCTTCAAGGTAATCTCTTCCGGCAGGCCATCAAAGAAAGCAGCTTTTCCGTCGGCAGTATGTGTAGTGATGAAGCGGTGTGCGGGCCGGGTGTCCGACTCAGAGCCATCGTCGTATTTGACCATTGCTATGTCCTTGCAACTCTAGACTGTATGATCAAATGGATGAGAATCAACTTGCGCGTGTAAATCAGATAGAAGATGTACAGATGGGGAGGTTTCTGTCCGTTTGAGCGTGAGGGCGATGTTACCGATCATGTAGCATTGTACTGCGGGCCCGACCACGCGATCCGATATTACCGCCTTACTTCAACCGCCGATGGCATAAGCCACCCATAGGTTTAGCCAAGCGGCTCCTCTCAGTGTCCCGGTATCGAGGAGTATAGGGTTGGTGGTTTAAGCGCGCCGTTGCACCACCTCGCCTTGAGGACTCAGTGCTCACTCTCAAGGGCATTGTTCGACTACAGACGACCACCAACCAGTACACCATCATGTCTCTTTCTAGTACTCTACAGACCGTACGCAGCGAACTATGGGTGGTCCTGCTTGTGAGCTCCGTTGTGATGCTCTGCGTGCTGCGAGCTGTGTGGTTGAGATATCTTTCTCCATTAGCTGGTGTCCCGGGCCCAGCCCAGGCTTCACTGTCGCGGTTGTGGTTAGCCTACCACTCTATCTCAGGGGATATGCATCGAGTCATCCCACAACTCCACAAGAAGTACGGGAACATTGTGCGGACGGGACCTGACGAAGTCAGTATCTCGGACGTCGAAGCGATACGTGCCATATACGGGCCAGGATCGAAGTACGCTAAGAGCGACTGGTATAGTGAGTAAGCCTATCAAGACATCTGCAAGTTTTATCACTCACTTCCAGGAAAGGTGTGTGGCAGGGGACGCAGCCAACAGATCTTTTCGCCGAACGCCATATTCCCACTCACGCGGCGTTGAAGAGGAATATAAGCCGTGTCTACACCATGAGCTCCATGACCGGCATGGAGAAGTTTGTGGACAATGTTATCTCCCTTTTCATCAAGCGTATGCATGAAAATGCCAACACCGTTATCGATCTTGGCAATTGGCTACAACTGCTAGCATTTGGTGAGTCCCTCGTAGTAGTCGTACATGTCGGGATGGTTGGGCTAACGAGAGTCACACAGATGTCATTGGAGAAGTTTCCTTCTCCCGCAGTTTCGGCTTCGTGGAGGCTGGAAAGGATGACGGAATGCTGAACCGCATCGACAGAGCGCTGGCATCGTTGGCGTGGGTAGGCCAACTGCCAGGCATCTACTGGCTGGACCACTACCTTAAACCCTTCATTGGAACGCACCTGGACGCGTCGCTGCGACATGGCACGATTCGTAGTTATGCGGAAGCTGAGGTGAAGTCGCGACAAGGCCGCGACAGTGACCGCAGCGACATCCTAGGCCACCTGTTCAAGGTGTCAGCGGACGACCCTTCTGCTCTGGACGAGAACGCAATCACTTCGGTGGCTACAGCGAATGTCTTCGCCGGTTCGGACACGACAGCCATCACGCTACGAGCCATTGTGTACTTTCTGTTACAGCACCCGACATGCCTGCAGCGGTTACGCTCCGAGATGCAGCAGAAGAAGGAAGATGGCAGTCTTAGCTTTCCGGCGCCTTACTCTCAGCTCAGTGCTTGGCCGTACCTGCAGGCTTGCATCTCGGAAGCTCTGCGCCTGTATCCCGCCGTCGGGATGGCGCTGCCACGAGTTGTGCCAGAAGGCGGCGCCGAACTCGCTGGCCACTATCTTCCTGGAGGGGTAAGTGAATCTCGCCACTGTTGGCAAAAGCTCGTGTCAACTGACGATAACGTAGACCATCGTGGGCATGAACGCCTGGGCTGTGCACCGTAACTCGCAGATCTACGGCGCGGACGTGGATTGGTATCGCCCAGAGCGGTGGTTGGATGCGAGCCGGAAGGGCAATATGGGTGCGTGAAGCCTTCTTACCCGCATAATCCGTGCGGCACTGCACAGCGCAGGTCAACAAGGATTAAGTTAACGGAACATAGAGCGATGCTTCCTTGCTTTTGGCGGAGGAGCGCGTCTATGCATCGGGAAGAGTGAGTTAACTCTTGGAAATCCAACCTTAGAGCGCGCATGACGAACTGTTGACAATCTCGCAGACATCAGTTTGATGGAGATCAGCAAGGTGATCCCGATCCTCTTTGATAAATTCGACATGGAACTTGTTACTCCTGGAAAACCACTTAAAGAGACGTGCGCGTAAGTCCCCAATCCCAATTGCACATGTCAACAATGGCCGGCTGGCTGACTACTATCCTTGTAGATGGTTCGTCAGGCAGGAGGGTTTAATAGTCAGACTGCGGCCGCGCAAGTATGCGTAGAACCTGGTACATTTGTAAAGGCTATGCCATATGGCGATACCTTTTTCCTGGTGAATGGCGAAAGAACTATTTCAAAGGTTAGTCTTAATGACTGACGTAGGTCGAAGTACGCGAATGCATACAACTTCATGCCGCTGCGGATCATTCATCGTGCCATTGATAACTTGTGCTGCTGTGTCCGGATGCATTGATAGACCTGCTTGCATGTTTAATGGTTTGATCGGCCGGTAAATCTTGCATGGTGTCGAATACACAACCTCCAACCTTTGACTCCAGAGTTCACAACATGGCAGCACTTGCGTAAGTAAGTGTCGCTACACTCTGTTCCACGATCCAATAGTAAACTGACTATGACACATGTTCCTCTATCGAGCTCATTTGTCAGCTTCAGTAGCTGGGTCACTTTTGTAGGATGCGCATCTGAACTTACAAGCTCCCAGCCCTCGGCCATGAGCTTACCATAGACGCCATCATCCTCTGCATCACCTGCTGCGCCTGCCACAAATGTCGCGGGCATAAAATGCTCGTCTGTGCCATGCGCATCCCGAAAGCCAGGATGCTTCATGAGTTTTGTAATTGCCCGGCGAAGATGGGGCCTGGAGTTCTTCGTAATTGCATCTTCGAATGATTGACGAAACTCCATCGCCCACGAGTCCGGGCTTCGAGGCATAGCAAAATTGTCACGGTATCGTATCATCTGTGTCCAGTCGTTCCGGTACAGGTTGTGTACGGCACCGCCAGTACCAATGAGGAGATAACCCTCTTTGCGTAACGGCCGCAGAATGGAACCGATTCGCATATGAAAGTGCGGGTCATAGTGAGCGTTCAATGATAACAGGGTGGTCGGAGGACAGCCATCAGGAAACATTCGTATGAGGATTAGGAATGAATCGTGTATCCAGTCAAAGGTCGGGTTCTCCTGAGCATCAATATTGTGGCCTCGAGGGAGCGTGACAACGCGCTTGGCGGTTGCAATATCGGGATTGAGCTGGTAGTTCTCCTATTTGCTTAGTTCCACGTACGCCACTGGGTTCATGCCCGGGTTTGGCTTGGTCGCCACCTCGATCCGGGCGGGACCCTTGACGTCCCAATGTGCGCCCTGCTCATGTGTTTCAACATGCGTCGCGGGAAGATTCTGAACGGCCATGCCATGATCGAACTTACCATCATTACGATGCCTTTACAGCCGTGGGCCAGGGCATCATCACTGCACCTCTTCCAGTAGTCAGCCGATGCCGACGCCTCGCTCAGCTCATGGTTGTGCCATGAGAAAGGAAATGCACTGGGCTGATCCAGTTCGTTTCGGTGTGTGGCATCGTAGATCGATGTCTTGCCTGCGGTGTCGTTATGGCTTATGCACGGGTAGCACGACAGACGAGTCCCGTGGGACTGTATCGCCAGGAATTGCAGCGCTGCAGAGTAACCCATTGATCATGCTAAAGGTGAGCTCACACCGACCGAAAGGCGTCAGGATTGTCGCACGTACATGCACGTTGCTCTCCTTGGGCCAAGGAAATTCGGGCCATTGCGACGCCCGCCTCGGCCACAAATCTCGTTACCTGAGGTTGCGTGTCCGCATTCGAGCCGAGTGCCGAGCGCCGATTGCTGAGGGGTCGTTATGATTGCCGTCGTGCACTATGGGCGAACGTGTTGTACACCTACCCCTCGCCATCATCGATCCTGGGCCCGCGTGTTGCTGCTGTCGCCAGCGACCATGAAGGCCGAGCCAACTACTCAGCGTACCGCGTTGTACCAATGCAGCACCTGCCAGCGCTCCTTTGCGCGCCTCGACCATCTGGCTCGCCACGTCCGCACCCGTGCGTCTATCTCTACTCACACCTCGTTTTGCGGGACAACCCGATTCTGACAGTACGCATCGTTGCAGACACATCGGAGAAGCCGTTTGAGTGTCCTACCTGTGCCAAGGCCTTCAGTCGCGCGTAAGCCGCAGATTCAGCCACGTGACCATGTCATGTCATTCGACTTTGACTAACCGCACGTCTTGCCAGCGACCTGCTGAAGCGGCATGAATGGCAGCATGTACACGGTGCCCCAGGCCGCCCGCCTCGCGCTGGCCGGTCCAGCGCGCGGACTTCCAACGCATGCATCCTTTGCGCCTCCACAAAGCTCAAGTGCGACGATGAGCGGCCATGTCGGCGCTGCATTAAGAAAGGTGTGATCTGCGACACGGGACCCTCCGGTGCCATACAGCAAGTCAGGCCGCAAGCCGAGTCCGACCACATCGATTCCATTCACGTAGAACAGCGATCAAGCTGTCCAGACCCCACTATCAGCGCTCCTCCACTCCCGCCACTCAATGGCAATTTTCAGCCGCCTCTGGCAGACATTGTTGCTCATGACCCTGGATCTTCGTTGATGGACCTCGACGCACCAGCTAATACCGCCCCAGCCACAACTGGCCCGGCTCATCGACCAGAAGGCGATGGACAGGCTGCAGACCATGAGCGTTCTATGCAGCGCACAGACGAGGTTTCGAACCTGTTTACTGAGTACCTTAACAACCTTCTTTTCACCTCGCCCGGTGAAGGACAAGCTTTACCATTGCTACCCCCAGGCACAACCGGCAACACTCCGAACTTGTTATGGGAAGACTATATGGCGGCAGACCTCGATCACAGCCTATTCGAGGTACCCTTTCCCGCATTGCCCGAAAACGACCGCATCTTTACTGCTCACGACAACGTGCCTCCGCCTATAGGGCGGGACCCTACCCGGGAACCTTCGCCCGAGATGGTTGTTTCTGTGGAAGGCGCGAAAGCATTCGAGACATCCGTGTGGCATTGGGTGCCAAATGCAGCAGACACCGGTGCGGCCGGTGAGCCAGATCCATCTGTCATCCCCGCCGATGTACCTCATGGTCCAGACGAAGATTGTCCATACACTTCCGTTGTCCTAGCACGTCATCTATGCCCGAAGGATCGAGATCGAGTCCTGTCAGTCATACTCGATCATTGCGACAAAAGCAACATCGTGCGTATTGCAACGACCTTCCCGTCTCACAGCATTCTCGAGAGCTTTCTTCGCACTGCTCTTCACCATCAAGCCGTCCGCTCTCCAACTGCGTGGATACACGTCCCGACTTTCTCAACAAAGACGGCGCGAGATTGTCTGCTTTGTGCACTTATCGCTTGCGGTGCATTCATGAGTCCTGTCCCAGCAGCTCAAACCATGGGTGCAGCAATGCCTGAACTAATCCTGGCGTTCGTTAACGCTTTGTGGGCGCAAAATAATGCTCTGACACGGGATCTCCAAGTATGCCAAACTTATGCACTCATTCAGCATATCATGTTCTGGAGTGGCAGTAAGCGCAGGATGGAGATTGCGGAAAGCACACAGCAGCCACTGGTCACAATCATACGACGGTCCGGCATGCTGGCTGTAGAGCGCGGAGATGACCTTACTCCACCCACGTTTACTGATGGTCCAGATGAGCTGGACAGGAAGTGGCGAGAATGGGCGCAACGAGAGTCGCGTATCAGGCTGGTTCACCACACCTTCGTTCATAATGCCCAAATTTCGATGACTCAATTCGTCAACCCCCTGATGACTTGCAGTGAGATGGACCTGCCGCTGCCAGCGAACGAGAGTCTATGGTCTGCTGCAACACCAGAGGAATGGAGGGCGTGCTGGCATGCTTCGGGTCAGAGTAGCCACGAGCCTAGCTCGCAGGTGTCCGCGTCGGGCTTTGTGCGCCAGGCGCTTTTGGACGCGCATTGTGGCCAGGCGTACGCCGAGCAAAGGCGGCCACGGTCTGCGCTAGCACCAGCATACGCAATTTACGGCCTATGGGACTCGATATGGACCTACAGCGTCGGCACAACCTGGCTATGCTGGGATAATCTACAGTTCCAAGCGGCTCCGTTAGGACTATCTCCTCGTCAAGAGCTCCTCGTAAAGGTCTTGGAAGACTTTGGGCCCCAGGATACTTTTCCGACGGCCCGGAACATTGCGCGCCTGGGACAGCCGGTCGGCTTGGAGAAACATCCACATGAAACAATAATCTTAATCCATCACATGTGCCTATTCCTTTTTGCACCACTCAAGGATATGCCGGTTTTTGCGGGCAAGGATGGTGCCCTCGGAGCACATCGTGTTCACCCGCGTCTGCAGGAGTGGACGCAGACACCTGCTGCTCGCCGCTCGCTGTGGCATGCAACGCAGATATTTCGCCATGTTCGCCTACTAAGACGTGCGCAAATTCAGAACGCTGTAATTGTCGCTCTGTATCAGGCCAGTTTGACTCTTTGGACGTTCGGCATTGTCGCTGGCGCTGCGAAACTTAAAGCCGTTCGCTCGGGCGTGGATGACACTACGACTTTGACTGGTCCAAGAGGAAAGGAATTTCGACTGGATGGAGAGATGTCTTCACAAGTGGAAAGTTTTGTTGCTCTTGGTACGGGTTCGCCGACTATATCGACTGTGCGAAGAGGTCGCGATACTGTTATACCAGTACTCTACAGTCCTGGCGCAATGATGGACGCTGCCGTACATCTGTGCACACCTTCGCCTACCCAACATTCTGCGCACACTGCTCCTAGCTTTACCCGCATCGTAACAGGTTTGATGGAAGATTTATCGAAAGCAGCTTTGGGCGTTGGCTTCGCTTGAGCAGTAGTCGGTCTTACAGCCACCAGGAAGTGGTAGCCAACTAAATCATCTGTGGCCTAGTAAGGTGCGACGTAGCAAAGAGCATGCCAGTGCCCAAGGCGGACCGCTGCGGAAGAAATGCAAAGCACGCGTGATCGCCAGGTTAAAGTCTCATCGCAGTAGCAGATACTTTACTCCAGGCACCACCCCAACACCCAGCGTTACCAGTATCGGAACTCCGAACATTCCGAGTCCAATAAATATGCCTTGCTCGAAGAAGCCTACAGATACCTCGTACAAAGGGCGACCATTGGGTGGCAAAGGCGCGAGTGCCTGTTGAAGCGAGCATACCGGTTCTGTGTGCTCCCGGCGCTTCGCGTTCGCAGTCCATGCTGGTCGGGCCTCTGTAAACATGACAGGTGTGTAGCGATGATGGATGGAGATTGGTTGACTTGGAGAGAAGGGCGCCGGAGGGCCAAGCAGAAGTGCTTCGGGCATACGGTTGACGAAAGTCGCCTCAGCCGACAGATGTTGCGAGATATAGTTGGCGGATTTTGCGTCCGAGAAGATGTACAAGGCTTGATAGGGCTGGCGCAAGCCTGTCGACAGGAAGTCGATGCCGTCGTCGATGCTAGTCATAGGAGAGATATTGAGGAGCCCAGGTTCCTGGTCATTGTCGAGGGCTTCGCGCGCTGTCTTGGGTCTGCTCAAATCGAGTCAACCTCTCCGTATCTCTCGACTTTCGCTCTGCATCTCGCAACGCCCGTGCTAAGGTTCTTACCTTTGTGCGATGTCATTTGCGGCATCTGGACACATGTGGACGCTGGCGCTAGACTTTTCGACACGGTTTTTGGCTAGACCAGTCAGTTTCCGTACCTCGACGCGAATCTTGTCCCGGTACTCCGACTTGGACTCTGTAAGGAAGGCCTCTACGTGCTTCAGGAAGTTTTCGTGGACGAATGCATTGACTAGGATCAGGTCGGGAGCATATGCAGAGCGAGTGCCGAAGCTTGTGCGGGCTGATAAGAGCGTGTGCGCAGCTTGTTGCACGTCTGCCGTACGATCCACGAATGCCACAACGCGAAGGTTGGTCTCGGGCGCAAGCTGACGCAGCGTCGTCGCCTGCAAGCCATCGTGGACAAGGAGTGCAGTCGGGAAAGCAGTCTCGAGGTCACAGTCCATGCCGACGACACTGAATGTGTCGTTGTCAAGACATTGGGATAGCAATCGGGTAGAGCACACCTGGCACTGCTCTCAGGTTACGAGCAGTCTATTTCCTCACCTGCTGTTAGCCACGTCGCTTCTCCTCGTGCACTGATCGTATTGAACGTGGTGTGCCTTATCATAGGCGGGAGATGATTGAACGCACCTGTATAATGACTGTGTTACCTGCAGCAATGGCTGCGACCAACGGTGACACAATCGTGAAAATAGATAGCTCGTTGTTGGTTGCTTTCCGAGGACGGATGATCACCGCGCCAACGGCGAGGCTACGGGTTTGATTGTCCTCACCTCGAGCGACGTTATACTCTTGCTTAAGGCTGTGCTTGAAATCAAGCGCCTTGTGATGCGCGCGCAGGGCAGACACGCTGAGGCTCAAGTCGCTGTCGCACTCGGCTGCGGTTCAATTTGGGTTGTCTCGCCTTAGTGCGTCAGCGAGTCGACTACTGGTGCCGGCCAATGCAGCGTGAAGCGCCTGCAGTTGCTTCTGTCGGTATCTGAGGTTTGCTGCTCGTCCATCGATCAGTGCGCTTTGTAGTCGACGTAACGACGTCAAATGCTGGTCCATGGTCGGTGCAAGGTGGAAAAAGCGATCAAGATTTCATGCAGATTGGAATACATCTTCATCGATATCATAGGGTGCAGTTCGCAGGGCTATGTGGCAACCCAGACGATGCAGTGATGGGATTCGGCTGCCCACTGAGCCGAGGCGGGCGCAGCGCGTAGCATTGCTGACCGTCGCCTCAATAGTGTTCGCGGCGCTGCAAGGGAATGCTATCGAGCGTTGACTTGTTCATCGACATCTTCAACACCCAGGATCCTGTCGCTCGAGCGGGCGTTCGTCATGTCCACCACGACCACCCTCCTTGACAATGCAGCTCTCAACAGCACCCCTGTTGCAGCGTCAACGACCCAAGCCTTTCCAGCCTCTAGCCATGAGCAACGGTATCTGGTCCGCCCAAATTAAGAGCACAACCCTGCAGGCTGGCCTACAGATCAGTATCGAGTGCCTGCATACCGAGCCATCGATCCGAATGTGGATACCTCGATACGTGGCGGAGAGGGACGTAACGCTATAGAAAATGGGTAGGACTCCGGCGACCATACAGGGTCGCCATGGCTGGGAAACATCCAGTTGGGTGCACGCTTTGCGATGCGCAGCGGCTAATGAAGCCTGATCCTACAGTTGCCTTCGTTCGGGTTATGCTGAATGGTGTCCGAGCAAACTCGGTGCGCTACACCATTTGCGCGCATGGCGCTTGACACTAATCGCGTTCTAGGCTTTCGCCAAGGCGTGTAATGCCACAGTGGGCAGATATACAGGGACTTTCAATGGAGGATACAAGATTGGAGGCGAGTGGTGATATGCTGCCTTCGGTCAATCTCGAAGAGGCGCTGTCGCAACATTCCACGGCGTACTATAAGTATACTAGCTCAATTAGTCATCCGTCGAGCGTTTTGAAAGCTCTCTTCCACGTCGCGTAATGGTTCCTCGAGCGAGTCGTTTCTGGATTTCTGCATACTATCGGCGAGGAACTCGACATGTGAACATGTGGCAGGAGAGCCGGGTCAAATGGGTATCATCAATCTCAGTTTCATTTGCGCGCTTTTGGACTCATCCGATGGAGACAGTCGGTCTCGGAAGCGCCCTCAGCCGCGGCCACTGCTCGAGCGAGGTGTTGAAGCCATGATCTTTCTCGGCGATCATTGTAGAGCAGCAATATATGCCTCCTCTTCCGCATGTAGTGGCGACTACCATCACGACCTCGAGCCGCCCAGACGTCGAGCGACAAGCCATAGTTGTGCCAAACCCTCGTCGGGTTTCAGATAGCTAGGACCCCTTCTCCATGATGGCCAGCTCGATCAAAGATGCGTGCACTATCGACACGGAATCTTATCCGTACATCTATGAGCAGAACGTAGCGATACCCATCAAGATTGATGGGCAGCACACTGGACAGCCGCAAGACATTGTACGCTGCAACGTGTATAGGCCCAAAGGCCCAGAGAAGACTACCTATCCTGTACTGTTGACTTATGGACCATATGGAAAGGATGTCCCGTACGAAGTGTAAGTCACGATGAACTTGATGTGCTTCTTCTGTGCTGAGAGGCGAACATGCAGGTTTCATCCAGCTTCATTCGCTGAGGTTGATCCGGGACAGAAGTCGGAGCACTCTTGTTGGGAGACGCCGGATCCGCTCTACTGGACTTCTCACGGATATGCCGTTGTACGTGCGGATGAGCGTGGGACGGGGCAGTCTCCTGGTGTCCTGGATACGATGTCCCGAGCAACTAGTGAAGTCTTCTTTGATGTCGTGGAATGGGCAGCTGTCCAGCCTTGGTCGTCTGGAAAAACTGCCTTGCTTGGAGTAAGCTACTACGCCGGAAGCCAGTGGAGAGTCGCTGCGCGCCGACCAAAGGGACTTACTGCAATAGTGCCGTGGGAGGGGATGTCGGATTACTATCGCGATCGTTGTCGCCAGGGCGGCATATTCGAAAACGGCTTCATCTTCTTCTGGTGGAACAGGCAAGTCGTAAGCAACCAGTACGGTATCCCAAACGGCAAATGGAAGATTGAGCCGGTCGATGGCCCAATATCGGACGAACGGCGTGCCGAGCTTCGCAACGATCAGGTTGTTGATAACGCGTCGAACAAGTTCCGCGACGATCAATACTACTCATCAAAAGAATATGCGCTTGAAGACATCGAGGTCCCGGTACTGTCAGTTGCCAACTGGGGCGGCATTACAGTCCACCTGCGCGGAAACGTCGAGGGCTACACGCACGCCGGCAGTAAACTCAAGTATCTACGTTTCATTACTGGAAGACATGATCTTCCATTCTTTTACCCTGAGGAGGTGGAAATCCAACGCAGCTTTCTCGATGCATTCTTGAGAAATGACGACAGAGAAGGATGGTCCATACCCGGCAAAGTCCCTGCCGTTGACCTCCTACTGCGCAAAGGCAATATAGGTGTGAACAAAACTGAAACCGAGCGCTTCGCATTCAAGCGGCGTCACGAGAATGAGTGGCCGATTGCACGAACGAAGTATACACCTTTCTACATGACACCAAACCTTGAGCTGGGAATGCAGAAACCAGACCTAACCACACCCGCCACTCTACGGTATCAAGCCTTAGGTTCGGAAGGCAATGCGCAAAGCTTCAAGTTCATGACAGCGCCTTTCAAGCAGGAAACTGAGATCACTGGACACGTTGTGGCACATATCAATGTGTCGTTGGAAGCGACCGCTGACAACAAGAACCCATCTGATATCGACATCTTCGCTACCCTGCGCCACATAGCGCCAGACGGTGCCGAAGTCCTCTACACCGGAAGCGCTGGCGACCCCGTTCCGTTATGCAATGGCTGGTTGCGGGTGAGCCTGCGTAAAGTGAACGAATCTCATCCCCGCCATCGCGCCTGGCTTCCTCAACGTGATTACCTGCGCTCCGATGCCCAACCGGTCCGTCCTGGGGAAGTCTACGGCGTGGATGTCGAGCTGTGGCCGACGAACGTAGTCGTTGAGGAAGGTGGCCGTCTTGCTTTGGAAATCGGATCTGGCGATCTGAAGAATGCTGGGCTCTTCAAGCATGATCACCCAGAGGACAGGTAAGCTCGAGCACAACAGTGAACTAGTAATTCAGAGCAAGACTGACATTATAGTCAAAAGACCAGTATCGACCTTTGGCGGTGCGAACCACATCCATTTTGGCCCAAGTGTGGAGAACTACGTGACTTTGCCAATCATCCCACCTCGAGAGGGCTGAGGTCTGGAAAAACAGTCTTGTATGATTGCATGTAGGCCGGCGAACTTAAGGACTTTGTGGCAGTACCGCATATGCCTCAGGGGCGACCCGGGCAACGTGCAGCATTGTAGGGCCCAAAGGGCGGGCAAGGCGTGGTATGCCAACATCAGAGCTGGACGAGTGTGGACAGGTCAGGACTCCGGTTCGACCTCCTACAACAGGAACGGAAAGACATTCCAACTTCGGCATATGGATGTATGTTGTGAAGAAGATAAGATTCCGTCGCAGTAGGCGTTCTTCATGCTTATTCTCCAAGCGAACAAAGACATAATGCCAGCTACACACCTTCTTCCGTTGCAAGTATCAGACGAGCCAAGGCGTAAACTTCACCACGTCGTGGAACTGCACCTCACCAGCCCTCACATCTCTTCCGTGAACATCATGCGAGCGATACTGGCAACTGCCCTTAGCACAGACCCAGAATCCATAACCTTCCCATGCCGCTCCAACGCCTGACTTGCCTTGCCGACTGGGGACGCCGCAGTTGCAAGGCGGATTCGATGGGCTGATCCCGCGCGTGTCGTTCCATGTGGACCAGCTGTTGTTGCAGTTGTGACAGATGAAGTACGGACGACCGGCGTTGCCGTTTGGATTGTCACGGCGGGTCACATATTGAGAACAAGGGTGTTGGCAGTGAGCGCATGTCATGCCCGGTAGATACTGCGCAGGCTGTACAGCGGGCTCTTCTGCAAGGTTTGTGAGCGACGTTTCGTCAACCGTATATTGTAAGGCCATTAAGTTTACCGTTGTACTGCCGCTTGACAAGTACCGCTGATGGAAGACGGTCCTCTCGTTTGTAGCTGCGTTCGCTCGAACAACAAGCACCCATTTTGGGCAGATGACGCTACACCTAAGGACAACAAATGTGTAGTGACAGCTTCGCGACAGTGCGCTAGGGCTGAGATATGAAGGTGCTCAAGTGCCGTCCCACATACACCCATGTCGTGTGGCGTTGAGCTGGGCGCTTAATGCAACTACCTACAAAGCCAGCCTGCTAGCTCGCCGTCCGTTCGTGAGTCTATCTAGGGATCATTCAATACATTACATATGTACATCCATCCTGTACACTGCACATGGTCATCCTCTAAGCCCGCTTGAGTCTAGAACTCCATTGCTCAATGCGTTCATGAGAACAATGCAAAGAAAGCAGTGCCAGCAATCGCTGACAAAAGTCCACCCAAGTGTAGATGCAAGGTACTGCCAGCGGCTTTCATGGACGTTGTCGTCTGTGCTGCGCCAAGGAGGCCGCCATTCGAGTTTCCAGCGGCAACCGAAAGTGTCGCCGGCGACGTGGTCCCGCTCGTCAGATTCGTCTTCGCTGAAATTGTGGTAGTCACACCATTGAGAACCACCACGCCTGTTGAGGAGCCTGGTACCGAGATCGTTTCGCCATCCACGACCGTCTGCGAGTTCGCGGAAAGTGTGAAAGTGGTACTGGCACCCTTCACCACCACGCCCAATCCGGTTCGTTGTAGGGTCAATGACTTGCCGTCGGTGCCAGTGACCACAGCTTGCGCTGTCGCGGTTGATGAAGCACGGGTCAATGTAACCGTGGTACTGCCGATAACAGCGTGCTCGCTAATACCAGCAAGCGCGCTGATGCTTTGTCCATCCACAACAGCCTGCGAGCCAGCCCCGATAATAAGAGTGCTTCCACCCTGTGCGATTAGGAGGGAAGAGCCGGATTGTACAACTGTGACCGGCTTACCATCCGTTCCGGTAACGACAGCTTGCAGCGTGGCAGAAGATGCCGTTGTAGGTCTAAGCGTGATGGTTGAGCCACCCACCACGGCCTGTGCGCTAGCTGCAGACGGTGCACTTATGGTCCGCCCGTCGATGACTGTTTGGGCTCCGGCGGCTAGGGTTGCGGTGCTCCCACTCTGCGCGATGAGAAGCGACGAGCCTGCTTGCGCGAGAGTCACTGACTTGCCATCGGTACCGGTTACGATAGCTTGCGGTATAGCAGACAAGGCAATTGTCGGCTTTAGAGTGATTGTTGAGCCTCCTACGACCGCTTGGGCGCCCGCTCCGGGTGGTGCGCTTATCGTTTGGCCGTCAACCACGGTCTGTGAGCCTGCTGGTAAAGTTACAGTGCTGCCGCTCTGCGCGATAAGTAGCGACGAGCCTGCTTGGGCAATAGTAACGGACTTGCCATCGGAGCCGGTTATGACAGCCTTCGCGGTGGAGGCAGCCCCACTAGCTTGGATAAGACGTAGTGTTGAGCTTCCAAAAACAGCTTGTCCGTTCGCTAATGAAGGTGCGCTGATGGTTTGACCACCAAACGTGGCCATGGCACCTGGTGCGAGTGTGGTTGTACTCGAGCTGTCGTGCAAGACTAGGGAGGAACCTTGCTGTAGAACAGTAATGGATTGTCCGCTCGTCCCTGCAACGACAGCTTCGGTTGTAACAGCTTGTGCAGACGCTGCTGGAGCATATGCGAACGTGGTTCCTTGTCCGTTCACCAGCGCGGAGCTGCCTGAGCTTGGTATTCTAATCGTTTGGCCTGCGATAGTAACTTGAATGCCGTTCGGTACAGTTGTAGTGCTGCCAGCAGCTGCGATGACGGCAGAAGATCCTTGCTGCACGACCGTAATCTGCTGGCCATTGTTGCCGGTAAGGACTGCGCTAGGCGAGCTTTCTGCAACGCCTGCAAGCGCCATTGCCTGTCCGTTGACGACCGCAGCTCCACTAGCGCTTGCGACGCTGACCGTCTGGCCTCCAACTGTGACTTGACTACCAAGCGCAGCCGTCCTTGTACTACCTCCAGCCGCAATGATCGCGGATGAGCCTTGTTGAACGATAGTCACTGATTGACCATTGTTACCAGCTACGACCGCTGGCAGTAAACTTGCAGGGGAGGCACTCGTGAGAGCGACTGTTTGTCCGTTGATAGCCGCAGATCCACCAGAGCTGGGGACGCTGATCGCTTGTCCAGCCACCGTAACCTGCGAGCCTAGTGCGGCAGTCGTTGTGCTCCCGCCAGCCGCAATGACTGCAGAAGAGCCTTGCTGGAAGATAGTTACAGCTTGCCCATCGTTACCTGATACAACGGCAGACGGTAAATTATTGGTGGTTGTGAGTGCGACTGCCTGTCCATTGATGACGGCAGATCCGCTTGCGACGCTAATGGCCTGTCCGGCGACAGTGGCCTGCAAGCCCAAAACGGCGGTAGTCGTGCTATCGCCAACCGTAATAACAGCTGACAATCCCTGCTGAACCACGGTCACTTGCTGCCCATTGTTGGCCGTCACCACAGCTTGCGTAGCCGGTACGGCTTGGGATGCCACCTTTACGGTGCTTCCTCCAACCACAAGGCCCGCGTTGGCCGCACTCACGACTTGAGCATTAACGGTTTGCGCTGCTCCGCCGACGGAAAGTGTATTAGTTCCAATCACGATGGCGTCGCTAGTCGAGCTTGCTTGCACACTCGAGCCTCCAATGTTGACGTTCAGGGCTGTGCCTTGAGGTATGGCTTGTGACGAGGCTTCCGTCGATTGTGCAACAGTCTGTGCGAGTCCAGCGATGATGCCGCCTGCGTTTTCTGACGAAGAAGCTGACGCAGTCTGACTACCAGCATTGAGCCCCTGAGCTACTGACGTTTGAGCAAGAGTCTGTGCAAGTCCAGCGATGATGCCGCCTGCATTCAGGGACGAGGAAAGTGACGACACTTGACCACCAGCATTTCCTACGGCAGGTGAAGCTGTGGACACTGGGTCGGCTTGAACAGGGTCATTTAGGGCAGTGCTTGTAGAGGCAGCCAGCGTATCGCTGGATGCTCCCATAGCTTGTGCAGGCGTCTGCTGTGAGCTTGAACTCGGAGCTGGAGCAGGATTTCCACTGCTCTGCTGCACTGGGCTTGCAGTACTAGTTATTGGGTTACTGACCGCAGGAACCTCGCTAGAGGAGGCCTGAGACAGAAGGGCTGGATCGGTTGAAGTGTGATCTAGCGAATTAGTCGAGTCTACAGCAACTGCTGTAGGTGTCAGTCCAGGCGTTGTGCTTGTGGACTGGGCGACCTGTGATGTCTGTGACGGTGTTGGCGTTGCGGAAGTGAGACCCCCAGCAGTCGTCGAGACACCGGCCGCGGTCTCCGCCTGAGAAAGTGGCTTCGGAGGGTCGAAGAAACCGCAAGTAGCCGTACAGCTGCCCCACAATGGTTGCAAAGAATTAATCGCAGGAGGTTTGTAGATGTCGGGGCCATAATTGCCTTCCCAGATAGTACCGCATCGTGGATTCTCCTTCCCAAGCCTTGAGATGGCCACCGACAGGGGCACGGACTTTGACAGCTCCGTCTGGAGTGACGCGTATGCTGCAGCGCACGGCGTTGCGGAAAACCAATACTCGGCAGGTACATGGTTTGGATATAAGTGGGCGTAGTCGAATGTATATTGTTGGTACCCCTGTCCAGCGGCCTGGGGAACGCCGGTTGGGAGGTTCCAGACACTGTAGATCTGGTCGCCAGGATAAGTTACGACCACATCAGTGGTGACCGTCCCGATAGTGCCACACGAGTCGTACGCATATAGTGTAGCGAAGCTGAGCGCCACGTCTGGCGAGACAACTGGTGTTCCATCCACCAACGCCGTTGCAGGCGCTGTGTGGTTGACGGTAGCACCGGTGGGTGTACAAATGTTCCCGCCTATCGTTGTGACTGGCCAATAGTACAGTTGAACCTGTGGTGCGTATATCGTGCAAGCTCTGTCCCCATTACAAATGTCGTTTCGCGATGCGCTGGTCGGCTCGGGGCATGGTGCAGAAACTGCCGTATAGGGAACACATAACGATGGATATAGCGTGTAAGTGCTGGCTAAGCAGGAGTAATGCGTGCTCCACCACTTATTACATTGCGCGTTGTTGAGCGAGCACGACGGCTGAGATGTAGGGTACGGACTCAGTGTTTCAGTTGTGCTCATTCCGAAAACGGTGGTAAGAGGTCCGGTCCATGCTGTTAAGAGCTATCAGTCAGTGACCCGTGACCGCTGAGAAACGCGAGGGCTTGTTTCAGCTGTACTTACTTCCTGCAACTCGAGGCCATTGATCGCACAAAGTGAAGACGGAAGCATTAGTGAATGCAGGACCAGGTGGAGTGATAGCCATGGACATGTTCTCCGCTTTGGTATGGCCTGGTGTAGCGAGCCAAGCAGAGTTAGCCGTTGCGAAACTAGCAAGATCTGTGAAGCAAGCGGGCATTGTTGCGTTGACAGAGGTGGAATTTGCAAACGATCCAACACGAGGCGTAGCGAAGCCGGCCGTTGGCCCTGCTGTAGTGGAATTGATGTAAGGGTCTTGTCCATAGATCGGCGCGGACGTGGAGGTAGCTGCTATCGTCGAAACACCGAATAGATACGGATCGAGCGCGTATACCGAGCCGGCTGCGTCAGACACGCCGGGAACAGTGGCGCTGCTTGCGTTACTACTCGTGCCTGACGAGCTTGTCCTCGCAGACGCCGACGATACCGCTGGAGGCGTGTATGATGGGAAAACATAGCTTGAAGTTGTCTCCGACTTCGACGACGATGCCGGAGTCTTTGCACCGCTTGAGCTGCTAACTATGGCTGTCGAGGAGTAAGTCGCGTTCAGTGAGTAAGGGTCTGTTGCGTATGCGGATGGAGCTTCTGACACGGTCTCGGATGTGAGGCTCGCGCTGGATGGTCGCAAGGACGAAATGCTATATAACGTTGAGCTTGTAGCAGTCAATCCAATCCCTGAAGCAATTAGGTCTCCCAGCGCAGCAGTTGAAGAGGAGCTAGACCGAGGAGAAGCTGAGCTAGGAGACGAGCTTGTGGGCGTGCTCGATGCTAGGTTGCTTGGCGTACCCGTTGTCAGACTTTCAGGAATACTTGAAGTGGAAAAGGTCGAAGTGCTTGATGTTGGGCTAGGAGAAGCACTCGATGCAGAGCTCGATATCCCGCTTGAACTCGAACTCGTCAGTACATTAGGTGTTGAAGTATTAGACGGAGCTAACGTTGCACTGGTCGAAAGACTCGACGTGGGGCTGACCGAGCGACCCGATGTCGAGCTTGTGAAAGAGCTGGATGTCGAGGTCGTGGAACTGCTTGAGGTCGAAGTAGTGGGGTTGCTTGATGTCAAAGTCGTGGAACTGCTTGAAGTCGAGGTCGGGGAACTCCTCGATATCGAGCTCGTTGAAACGCTTGTAGTCGAAGTCGTGGTACTGCTTGATGTCGAGCTACTCCGCACTGCTGAGGAAGACGATGTCGCTGTAGCTGAAAATGCCGCAGACGATGTCACTATAGCTGAAGATGAGGTCGCCGATACCACAATCCCTGACGATAAGGTGAACGAGTACGGGTCTGCTGCATATGTCTGAGCAGGTGAAAAACCTGTTGTCGCATAAGCCCATATCCATTCGAACCTCGAACTCTGTCCCCAACGCACTTGCTAGCACCACATCGGTGGAGTCGGTGGAATCGGTAGAATCATCCTGAGCAAGCGAAACCCGCAGTAACCCTCCGAGAACCCATAAGTAGACACCCGCTGACTTCATGGTTGCACAACCACACGCACACGCGCACACACAATGCAATTGTTCAAAAGGAGTGGATATACTTGCGCTTCATGGTGACACAGCGGATGCAGGTTCGTAAGCCAAAGCAGTCCGGGAAAGACAATCGGCGGGCAGGGCTGAGCGCCTCTCCCATCGACTAGGTCTCTTGCCACACGTGCCGTTAGGCCCCCCATCTTCAGTGTAGTTGATGGGGGCTGAAAGCTACAGCAGCAAGGGTGTCGCTAGTTGCTCCTACTCCGGTATTCAGCTCGCTAGTTCGGCAACAGCCCTCGACATTGGTTGGCGCACGCTTGTGACGCGCGTTATGGCAACATGTCGATATACCAATCATGCCTTGTGCTGCCGAGTTTGGCGCCCTGACAGCAAGGGTTCTGCATGAGTGTCAGAGTGCATGCACGCTAGAGATGGCCTTGCCAGAGGAGGATCGCGCTTCATGGCCTGAAACTGTGGAGGAAATTGAGGACGAGCCGCTACGGTTCCTGCCGCCAGACCAGAAATCCACCGATGTCATGCAATTGGCGGAGAAAGCCGTGCTTAAGGATCGCGTTGACTCAGCCTCATCACAAATAGGATGGGCAGATGGATACCGTAGTTGTTGCGCCAAGCTAGCAGCCCTATCATCGAGATCAATCACAATGTGGCCGGTCTGGCTGAGTTTCACTGCGTAGAGGCCAGTGATCGAGAAGAGCCCGTGCCGTGGCTTTCAGAAATGAGCGTCCTCTTTCCGACGATTATCAGCACTTGTTGAACTCAACCCATCCTGCTACTCTCGTGTGCGTACAACATCTCCACTTGGCTCACTCAATTAGTGAACTGCTGCCAGAATGCCACGAAGCAAGCAGCCTGGGCGCTATGCCTCCCACTTCTCTGGCAAGACCGGAGTCACAGCTCTGCTGTCTCCTGCCTGTTTCTGTGCGCTGCTGAAGGGCTGGGAGGCTGTTTGGAGTAGTGATGGATGTAAACTGTCTCGAAGCTGATGATTATGCTGCAGCTTTGTGCGCATCGTGGATGCCTTCAATTCCCAGAGTTTGCTTGTTGTTCTAGCGAGGCACAGTCGCCATAACAGTGAGTGAACAAATGAGAGAGTTGTGGGTATGCTCTTCACAAACCCATTCGCACTCTCACTGGCGCCGCGAATATGAGCCCACTCATCAGTGTTAGGCCTGTTGTCTGACATTGAGACGATCTGCGCAACCGTTCACGGTGTGCTATCTTGACCATAGCGTTCGTGGGAAAAGGAAGAACTTATGCCATACTATGGCTCCCACGGATACCTCGAAGCGCGTCACAGTCCGCCAACGCTGCGTTGGATGCACACTCCGAGCATGTCCGCCTGTCATGCTGCCTTCGTACACTGAGCTGCGGTTACAGCAATGCTCTCATAACTGTACAGTCGTGCTCGATTCGTTAAGTCTCCCGATTTCGCGCATCTTGTTGTCCCCAGACAATCCACGTAAGTCGAAATTGATGGAGACGACCTCGGAAGGCGCGGACTGCAAAGGATGGCGACATGTCCAACCTCACTTCATGGCACTACACGCGACTTGTACTGAGCAGGCACCCATCAAACTAGCCATATTCACGCACTGACGGATATCTCGCTGCCAGACCATGGCGCTATGGAAACCGCCGAAGAAAGGTGGGAACGATGGGCACCTTCAGCACGTTGTGGGTATGGATGTGCCGTATCGCGAAGCGATTCTACATAGCTAACGCAGCGGCAGATCTTGCTGCGAGGATATGCACATTGCTGAAAGATCGGCTACAACCCCTACCAGACATCGAGCAGGAAGTAGAAACCACCATCAAGCGATCCTTTCCGCTACCCAGGAGCACGATATCACCTGGGAAAGCCAACGAGCTCGATCGTCTGGGCAGTCAGCTATGGAACGCTACCACCAATCTGTGCAGAGCAAATGAGGATGAGCGTGACGCAAGCATAGCGCTGCCTACGCGCCGGCGCGTGATCGTAGTATTTCGTGTGTTCGGCTACCTTCTCATCGACGCAGCGCACAACGTCGTGCCACCACGCGGGAAAGATTTCGAGCAGCATGTGCGGACGTTCAAGGTCGCCCTTAAAGCCTGCCGCTCTTGCCTTGAAACCTCAGAACTCGGGCTGGCGCAAGGCGTTCTAGAAAAGTGCTCTGCATATGCGACTGCCGCTGTCGAAGACGTCCCGACGATAGGCGTTACCAATGACAAGGAGGCCGACACTGAGTACCACAATACGCTTAATGTCCTGGTCGTTGAATATTACCTACTCCGCATGACGCATGCCTGGAAGTCCGACCGTTTCGACCTTGCCGATCACTTCTTCGTCAAGGTCAGCCAAGCCACACTTGCAACGTGCGCGTCTTTGACGGAGAAGGCGGCCGACCTCTTCCACCGAGCATCACGTTCTCTGGTGAAGCAGAAGCGGTGGGATGCAGCTATCCAGTGGTGCGAGCGCGCCATTCAATCGCTCAATAGCTGTGAAATGGAGGAGCTAAGCTTCAACGTCCCAGAATTACGCCTGGCGATCACGGTGACCTACGTGGAAGCTCTGCTTGCCAGTCACGTCAGCGATGCTCAGTCGCGTGCTGCTGGGCTCGTTGAACAGCTCGAAAACGCATACGGCATGAGCAACCGCTTGACGGTCGCGCTGTTGCGCTTCCGGATTCTGACCGCGATCAGACCGGTTGACTCGGACGAGCTACAGAGCACGCTCTCGCACATCATCCGGGTAGTCCTGTTGACTGAGAAGACTTTCAGGATGTGAGCATGGTAACAAAGCGAACATGAAGTAGTGCTAACACCGGCTAGGGTAATGCAGACACTTCACGAAGCGAGACATGATAGCACTCAGTGTGCACTGGCTGCGCTGCAACAGCTGATCGTATCGAGGCTGCTTGTAAATATTGCACCGGATGGCAACGATGACGAGATGGCTTGCGAGTGGCTTGAGAGAGCTACGGTGACATACGTCCTTTTCGCGACGACCCTGCCGGAGCAGGCATCCAATCCACTCACAAACAGCATGCTTCCGCTTTTCGATACGATATTCAATCGCACAAAGCGCTCATTCTCGCCAGAAGCCACACACACGGCACAGACTCTGCTCTGGAAGAAGGCTAATATCGTTAGTGGTGATGACATAGGTGTAATTTGCAGGCTTCTAAGTCACTCGTTGTTCGATAGCGCTGGTCAGGTCAACAAGGCCAGAATCGGGAGGTAAGACTCACAGATTCCGGTGCATACACTTGCTAAGTTGCAATAGAAAGGCCATTTCTGCAGCCTTAGCACGGAATGACGCCAATGCTGCACGCGAAGCTTTCTTCCAGCTGCCCGCCGCCCTTCAATGTGAGAGCCTCACCCGCTTCTTGCTATTTAAAGCCGCTCTTCTTGATGGGGACCACGAGCTTGCCTACGAGTGCCTGGACATCATCACGAAGCACGCAGATAGAGACCCATCATGCCTCTATGCGTGTGTTCTGGCGGCGCAGCAATCAAATATGCGCCGCCTGGCTGTGGCGGCAATGCAGCGACTTATTGGCAAGCAGCCAACTGGTGTGCACCTACCTTCACTGCTGCGGTGCACAGCGCGATTACTGATCGGCGAGATCGAGGCACAACAGCAGCTAAGCGATGGAACGATGGAAGAGATCGTTACACTTTTCGAGCGAGCTTCGCAGTCACGGGATGTCTTCCACAACGTTATCGACGAGCAGTGGCGAAGTGAGATTCAATGGTGGAGCAAGAACGCCTTCAATTTCGCGCTACGATTCTGCGCAGACATGCATCCCGAGCATCTTGTCCGTTTACTGGCCGTATGCACGGCGCTCATGGCAGAACATCCAACCGACGACGGCATCATGCATCGCGATCACTTCGTAAATCGCAAGCTGCTTTGTAACTTTCTCGCAAGCAGCGCGCTGATTGTACTGGCGCGAGCAAACGATGATGGATCGGAGTACGGAATGCAATGTTACCTACGAGCTCGCGGCGAAATTACAGACTTCCGGTCAAGTGCAGAGACGGCGCTCAAGCAGCGCTCTTCCAAGCACGGCGACAACGACGTCACAACAAGACGACTTTTCGAGCTGCTCAAGTTCGACCTGGAATGCATCCTAAAGCTTCAGCTGTGGGATGAGCTCGACGAGGCCGTCCGGTACTTCTTGTCTTTCGAAGGCACCAACCGCTGGGATACGCTCACCGATCTTGTACTAATCTCTCACGATCGCGCCACCGCTGCTGGCGTAAATGCAGCAGCAACTGCGCGCATCCCACAACTTCTGCAGAAGTGCATTAATGAGACCTGGAAGCAGGACAAAGACATCACGAAAATGGCCCGCTGGCTGCGCCTCACGTTTGGGACTCATGCAAAAGACGAAGAGTGCGACTTTGCATTAAAGATCGTGCAACAAGCGGCTGCCGTCGCCAAGAAGGGTGATGACGGCGAGACGGAGCGCTACCCCGATGACGAGCTCCAGTGGCTCGCGACGACGGCGTTCAACAAGGCAGTCGACTGGCTGCACGCCCGACATGTGGAAGCCGCTGAGCCATGGATCACGGCTGCGCTGGAGTTGGCGAGATATGCCGACGACAACGGTGCGCTGCATGCAACTCTGACACACAAGCGAGAACTTGCCAAAAAGAGGGCGCGCAATGCAGCAGCCTCACCGGTGTGATGTTTTATTGCGGCATATGAGAATTTCCAGAGGTCGGCTTTGTGTACTCCGCTGCTTCTGTAGCTGCTTCATGTGTACTCTACTCTGTACGGAGGTTGTGTGGCCCTACTGGCTTCACAAGTATCAATACCGAGTCGCCTTCCTTATAGCTTGCCTAAGAAGCTGATTCTTGTGCTTTGGAAGGTATATAACACAGCACAACATCCAAAGATAAATGATCGAGTACGGTGGACCGCCCAGCGTGCTACCATGAAGGTCGGGCCGAGCTCCGCCAGAGTTCACTGGCCACTCAGAAAGGGCGCTAGCGGCTGGCTGCAGCCGCCAGGCGTATATCAAGCTCCCTTTTCCTTCGTTCTTCGCGAGTTCACTCATCTCAGCCGCCGCGTTTAGTGTAGCGGTGCAAGACAAGATTGCGCCTTTCTCTTGTTGCTTGAGTCCTGAGAATGAGACTCCATATTATATCACCTGACAGGCACTGCAATGTCCTGGAGAGCATGTTTTACAGCGAGCACAGCACGCCGCCAACATTTATGTTCCAATCTCCTCTTCTTTGTCAACGTGCGACATACAGAAACGCCACGTTGCGGTGGCATGTCCAGGACTCGTAGGATGCAAAACGCCGGTACATACTTACGTTTGTCTGCCACTACGTGGGTCAGACTTAGACCACTGGCGCAGTTGCAAGGTCCGTGACGTTTTTGCCGAACGAGCGATCCAGCATCAGAAGATCTCCAGCCAACGCCGCGCATCGCCTAAGACATCGCTGCTGCTATAGTGAAGTATAATAATGGTACCATTTCTTGCCGAGCACCTCTTAACTCACGTGAATATGACGCCTCGAGTTCGCGCGCCTTCCTCTTTCATTTGCAAGTAGCTGCCCGCTGAGGCTATCGCACATCCTTGCCATTAACCTCCCTTCCCCAATTATAACCCGAAAACGTCCAACCACCGGGATGATGAGGCCACGACATCGCGTCTTCGTGGCAATTCGTGCTGATCCATACGCTCTCCTCGACCTGCAGCAGCCACATTCCAAGCCGTGTGCGACATCACTTCTCGTACTGGTCCACACATGAAAACCACAGTGGCTCATACAACCCTCCACCGCGCCAGACAACAGGAACTTCGACGAGCCACCATGCCGACACCAACCATCAGACCCTATGACCACTACCCACTCGAACTACACAACATCAAAGCGCTCTTCCTGCAGCGGCAATACCGGCAATGTATTCAGGCCTGCCGCAATGCGATACGAAACGCTGAAGAGGGCATCGCCGAGCATCCACTGCAGCAAACGTTCATCAACTTCTATCTCGGCTCCGCCCACGATGAGTTGGCTCGCCTCATGCACGATTCCTCGAACGCGAAGCTTCCCGCCTTCAAGCAAGCCGATGACTTCTACAAGCAAGCTATCGAGTCGACCTCAGCGTCCACGTCCGAAATTGTGGCACTGATGAACCGCATACCGCCACCTAACAAAGCTATGGCTTCCGAGGCAACTCACGATCTATTCACCTACAAAAGTCCGTGCCTGAGCGTGCGGTCAACTCCGAGATTGCGACAAAGCCACAGACGCATGGAACCACTACCCACACGTTCGCCAACAATTTCAGCATCTAGGGAGACGAGTCTTTCCGACCTAGCCAGCGACGACAGTTTCGACCAAATCATGACACCGAACAGAGTCCTGCAGCGCGACGTCTCCCGCATGTCACTTCTTGAAGACATAACGAACATCCATCACAGATCAACCGTACCTGGCCAGCCCTTGCCACGCACCATCTCCGGCAACCTGCTGCAAGGCTTGATGCGACCAATCAGACCCGGCGACCCAGCGAAAGCCTTCCACGTCCCGCCCCGTCTGCCGTACGTTAGCAACGCGGTGGGCACAGCGGCTGACTCAAGGCTGCCGAAGCTGGTCACTCGCCCCATCGACGGATCGCCGCTGCGGAGACAAGCGCCTTCATCACCTAGGGTGGTGCCTTCTTCTTCACCAGTCTCGCCAATGCCAGCGCCGGATCACGATGGGTTCGACTTTGACCCAGATACACCATCACCTGTGTCACCTGCTACCCCTATCAAAGACACAGGCTCTGCGGCTCGACCCGCTCATACGCCACACCATTCTGAGCACCACAGGCACCGCTCTATCTCTGTAACGCCAGAGAAGTGCGCAGAGCTAGAAGTTTACGGTGTCCTAAGCGAGCACATCTCCGCAATACGCACGCAGATCATCACCCACCTACACCTACTCTCCATAGCTCAGGAACGTACTGTCTCCGCGCAGCTGCTTCGGAAGGCCCAGAGTGCGGCTAGAGCCACAGCTCCTACGACGGGCACACCACTCGCGCCGCTGAGTAGTAGCGTGGATGGGACATCCTCCGATAGCAGCAGGCCTGGCAGCTCTGACAGTAAGCATGACAGCGTCTTCAGCAGCCAGCATGGCAGTGTGCGGGCCATCGCCAGACGTCGCACACAACAGCGCTGGTACGGTCGGGGTCAGCGAGAGGGTACGAGTAGAGAGGGACGTCGCGGAGTTGCAGAGACTGGGAGAGAGGCGATGGCGGTGTGGAAGAGGTTCGATGCGGCGAAGTATGAGCTGCTGGCCGAACGAGCGCTGGCTGAGCTCTGAGAGCACAGACGCAGTGATCTCTCGAACACCAAGCGCGAAAGGCACGGAAGAGGTGCTTGCCGGGGTCGCCGAGCATGACGCCATTGAGCATTGCGGAATTGCTGGCGCGGAAGGATGTCGAAAAACATAAGTGCTTGGCATGTGCAATATGCTCTCGCGGCAGCCTAGAAAGCGTCGAGCGGCAATTACCAGCCCAGTATTACCGTCCCTTGCCACGGTAGTGCCACGACAGCCAGGGCTTGTTGATTAGGAACGTCACCACGATCGTCACATTTGATGAGAGAAGTCAACTGCACGTTATAGGGAGATCTTCTGGAAGTCGCGCATGCCGCTTACGTATTTGTACAATGTAGATCGCGGAGGTGTAACATCACTCCTACAGTCAAACGATGGCATGATCGCATTTCTTATCACTACTGTTCCCTAGCAACAGTGAAAATGGCCCTGAGCAGCAGGTTTAGAAACCCGGCCGTTGCTCCCCATGTACTGCGAAGACGCTTGGGTCTCGGTGCACATGTCCGATCAGAGTAGGTGACGAGCCTTACGCTTCTTAGCGGTCCCTACGATTGCAAGCGGGCGAATTTCGTCCGCAAGTACGGCAATGTCCTCCGCAGCCAGCGCTTTTAGCTCAAAGTGCACCCGGCAGATGTAGTTCAATGCCTCGGCCATTAGCTATGGAGTCTATTTGATGAAGTCGCTGGAAGTGGGTAGCCGTTGACTTCCCGGCTCCGGTTTGTTGAGCATTTTGAACATCGTTCGGTTGGGAAGCGCATCACTGAGTCTTTCGAGACACTCGATGTCTTTCGCTTTGCGCAGGGCGCTTTTGTCGGTTCGCAACAGCCATGCTTACGCATTCGCGCCGTTGCATAGGAGGCACAGTCGGAGGTCGGTAAGCTGATCAGCTTTTGAGAGCATGGAGTGGCAGAACTTGACAGCTGAGAGCAAGCGATTGTGGGACGGTGGTGTGACAGTGGCCGGACGTGAGACGGTGGAGCTGAGGTCGAGTATGGTGCCTTCTATGAAAGTATATCGTTCGACAGTCTCCTGTAAACGGACATGGATGTGGATACCGCGGAGCCGTAGAACATTCTCACTGCCAATGTTCGCTAGAAAAGCTTCGAGCTGCCAACCAAAATGTATCGACCGACGGGAACAAGAAGGTGTTCTTGAATACCTGTGCGGCTCGTTCGTGAGTGTACCGACAAATGCGGAGGGGAAAGTGGTGAGGCTGCCACAGACTGCGCGCCACAAACGGGAACTGCGCGCACGTTCGTCGAAGGAGCCTTTAAGCGGCGCCATGGCCTTTTGCACAGTCTAAACCTCTTTCACGACCTTCTCCCTAAGCACCGATGGCACCGCGCGAGGCAATAGAGCGTGATTGGTCTAGATCTGACGTAGCCAGGTATAAATGATTATCGTTGGATGCTCACTGAGGAAAGAAAATCAAGGATATGTAATCGCACATTCTCCGGCAAGCGCTTGAGCGGATACGTCGTAAGAAGAGTTGCGGCGGCGTTCAGCGAAGCATTGTGCAGCGGCGGCTGACCATAGGGCGGTGTAGAGCGGCCAGCACCGAGCAGGCGCTTCTAATTGGGTTCTCTAGGCGGAATGAACAACGTGGCGTCAAGTGATGGTACAGAGGTGTCCAGTGAGACGCCACAGGCAGGGACCGGGCCTTCCTGCTGCTTAACACAGGCCAATGCAGTGCGACTAGATTGAGCGGGCAAGCCACGATCACCCCGCGTTAGCATAGCCCGCCGGGAAGGATGCATGTGCTGTTCGATCACCGCGCTTGCTCCCAGGCTCTGCCTTGGAGCTGTGCTCGAGATTGACATGGCCCTAGCATCTATCTTGTTGGAGGCCAACAGTGAAGAGTGAGCCTCCTTCTCCGAGTCCGACAGCACCGTTATGCTTGACTTCTTGACCGGTGGAGCGTCTACCTCTGTGGTATACTGCAAGCCGTTGAGATGGATCTGATCGTCTCCATCGTGCGGTCTCTTGTTCCGCAGTGCATAGGTTTTCCTCATGAACGCGGCGTTGGCCGTAGCGCTGATTAGGCGCTCCAGCTCGCGGTCAAAGACCTCCCGGTAGTTGAAGAAGGCGTACGACGGGTCCATCGTGAAAGCATTGCGTAATGACGCTGGTGTGTTACGGAGGCGAGAGTAATGCCATGCGTGTCGCCTGTAGCTCCCGCAAAGATTTGAGCTGTGGAGGCATTTGATGAGGAGGAAGGTACGACGCCCGTTGTGAAGAAGGAAGGAGCAACCAAGCTTCGATGCGTGTGCAAGAGGTTGTTCAAAGCTGAGTCGTTACCCGGGCCAATACCCCTGTGCTTGCAAGAGTCAAGTCGGACGAACGTAGGCTAGAAATGGGTTCCTTCATGTATCCACTCCCCGGGAATGGCGAGCACCACACCACACCATCCCACTACCTGAGCGGAATTTGCTTGGGATCATACGCCCTCCCTTCATGCTAATTCCCCTCTCATGTCCAATCCGCACAGCCCAAGGCCATCAAGCCTGCTTCACAGCAGTGACCTTCTTCACATCATCAACCCAGCCCATTGCCACTTAGGTCATCTGCGATCAGTTTTTTACCCACTCCGTCCTCTTCGGCGAGTGTCAACGAGGCAGGACGTCGCAGTGCACAGTCTGCCATTCTCGAATCATATTACGCTTGGAGGTGATCTCGGTCCTAGAGGGTATGTGTCCTTTTCCTTGCGAGAAGTGATCACTGCAGATTCATGAGTTTGCCTCAATCTCCGCCCAAACAGCTTCGACCTTCGCTCTCTTCTCTCGCGCTTGCTCCCTATTCTTCGCCGTTCGGTCCAAACGCTCAGCGCGCAGGCACTTGTTAACGTCACGCTTGATGTCGCTGCACATGCCCGCCGCCTTCCATAGGAAGCCTTTGGCATGACACTCCTCGAGTGCGGTCATGATTTCGTCGCACCCTATTTGTTCGTTAGTTCGTACTGTAACATTTCCGTGAGAGGAATCCATCGCACCTTTGTTATCTTTAGTGTGGAGATGCGGATGCATAATGGCCGACCACAGAACGATCTACAACGCGAACGTCTTGAGAAAACAATGTTGCCGTCGTTGTGAGACCGCACTAGTCACGTGCCACTCGGCGAAACTCTACCTTCTTCCGCTTAGTCATGCTTGTGGCGTGCCTACACCCTCCACGAGCACACTTTCTGCATTACCAGCGTGACAGATCATAAATGGCACAGCAAGTGGCTTCTGCGAAGAGGCAGCAAGGTAGTCTTCCTCCAAGTGCCAATTACATCAGGTGATCAATGACTGACAAGTCTTAGATTTACAAATTCAATACTCGAACTACAAAGAAACACTCCAAGCCATCGCCCAGAAGATTGGCGACGTCGAGCAAGAAGCAGAGGAGCACAAGTACGTCGCATCGCGTCACGATATCCGCCCCTTTCCTACCTTTTCTTGTTATCAAATAGACGGTGTGACACCGCTCTTCCGGCCCAGCCGTACCTTGCTCGTTTCAGGCTTGGACCGCAAAAACCTTACCTCACCGCCGCGAGGCCTTCCATATTCCGTCGTAACTACCGAGTATCGTACTTGTAACCATCTCGTCAAAACAAGCCGGCACCAATCCGAATCCTACGCACCGTGCTTTCGATGCCGAGCACTGCCGGCGCCACAGCTGCCTTAGTCGAACCCGGTCGCTAACGGGTGCTGTAGGTTAGTGCTGGACACACTCACACCACTTCCAGGCGGCCGGAAGTGCTTCCGCATGATAAATGGTGTTCTCACCGAGCGCACTGTTCAAGACGTCCTGCCTGCCTTGCAGACGAATGCGGATGGCCTGAAGAAAGTGCTAGACGAGCTGCTCAAGCAATACCGGACGAAGCAGGACGAGATGGAGAAGTGGAAGAAGAAGCACAATGTGCAAGTCGTTCAACAATGATCTTGCGAACTGCGACTATTACCCGGACTCTTCGAAGAGGCTGTTCTTGACCCGATGCCATTCGACTCGTGACAGTGGTTACGGAGCCAGCGGGCGACCATAGCCGGTTAGATCTGCGCCGAGATACCGGAGGCTTTCGGGCGCCGGCAACCATTGCTCATGAAAGCAATCTGCTGTAAGCAACGTCCTTGCGACACTCGAGGCTATCGGCCACCGGGCAGCGACGCTTAACGGAGTATCCAAACCGTCATATGACCTTGCGCCGATGCTCGTAGGTTGGGTTGAGCAGCTATATTGATGGCTCAGCATTAAGCCCATGTCAGCATGGGTTTTAACCGATATGTGTTGATATGGCCACCTGATTCCACCACTGGTAGCAAGCTCAATGCGACGAACACACCTTTTGCTACTGCCAGAACCTTGCCACGCCTGCTCGATGACGGAAATCTTACCAGCAATTGCGCTGTCAAACTGACATGATGACATTGGGCGGCAAGGCCTTTGTACTACACACCCTCTCCAGAGGAAAGGATCAGGCACCACCCATGTACATGGGTCCTATAGCCTGATGCTAACGCAAAGTTGCAGAAGCTTAGCCGCAGCTAGCAGCCTCAAGGATTGGGTAGAATACAGCATCAAAACACGGATTGGATTCCGAGAAAAACGACGCTAAGTAAGGTACAGACGCACGATCACTGGTCGTTGCGACTCCATGCTTCATGTAAAGTAAGGCTGGCAACCACATCTGTAACAGACGCGATAGACGCACATCCCACGCACGCCATCATGGTGATGTGCTTTTGCGGCGCTGCGATGCCCTGCCAGCGCATGAGCTGCAGCTAGCTGGATCATCCAGCATCATGGAGTGGCGCAACGACGGAGCTGGGCGGTCATGCTTGCTGCCCGCATGAGGATGGAAATAAGTCTTGAACAGGGGGTGGAACGTCGATGGCATGTTTATCCCACGTGGGTGGTACTGTGCGCAGTAGTAACTACAGTGGGTAGAGTGAGTAAGGGCGTATAATCTAATCTAAAAGAATGAGGTGATGTGATTGACGAATGAGCGCCTTCACGTAAAGATTTGTCGCCGTGATTCGCTCGGGAGTCCAACGATACGGCTGATCTCGCGGTTGCAGCGCTCCGCCGTAGAGTCGCTGGCGTTGCTGAAGCCTTACCAGCATTGCTCCCCAACCGACTCACACTCCCATCATTGTTGTCAGTTGCGACTGGCTTTCGGGTGTCGCTGACCTCCTCGGATAGAAGAGGGGTTGGGCGGAAAGAGGCTTGGCGGGCCTCGAAACAGAAAATCAGCCGCAGACCGAGCCACTGATTTTCGCGGACTATTTCGATTCGCTTTCGCAGCAATTGTCCGACTCGACAGCCAGTTGTTGCACAAGCCGTCCGTAACGCGCATAACAGCTTAGTCCGCGAGACATCCCTCCACAGAAGCCGGTTCCGCATCACTAGCCACATCGCTTACCGGTTAGCAACAAGGTGTCCGCTGGCTCGAAGGTCGCTGCGCCGGCCCGTTCTTGCACGCCTCGTCATTGGGCTGCAACGACGCTTGCGCGCAGGCTACACGTCCCGTTCACTCGACCACTCTGACTTGGCACGAGATTGAATCAGTTCACCGCTGGCTTGAGGCGTTCATTGTCTGCGGTCTAACGACGAGCGTGACGTGACCTTGCCGCAGACAGTCGCTACCCACGTTACACCGCCGCGCATTTGCTGCAGGCACTACGCCGCATGAGATCTCGGACGCCGGCACCTCGCCTCCACCTGCTGCACCCCCCGTGCTAGTCGCACAGCATCTTCCAACGTCCTGCAGCAAGGGGCGTCAACTGGGACAGACGGTCAGGCCATTCTGGTCGCAGTGACGTGGACGGCCAGCAAATCAACTGACAGCTCAGCAAATCGACGGAGCGGCCGCGCAAAGTCCCGTCTGCCCTGCAGGCGACCGAGTACAATATGTCACAAGAAAGCCCCAGAGAAATTGAGGAGCTGGAGACGGCCGCCACTCCTCCTAACGAAGATGAAGCGCAGCCGGCAAACGACGAAACAAAGGAACCAATGGATCCAGGGTATGACTTCGAAGTCAAAGAACAGGATCGATGGTTACCCATCGCAAATGGTTAGTTGTACCTTGCGTCCCTCTCCAATTCCCAAAGCACTCCAGTACCCGCCTTCCCTGTCCCTCCCTCCCGTTACTTTGTGCGATGGCACCACCACTCATCTGTCAGCATCCCTTTGGCGCGAAGCTGCAGGCCAGCGGATGTTGTGCGATGGGTCGCTCTGCTCGCGACCACATATAACGGTGCACCGCGCGTCTCGTCTGCAAGCTCCGTCGAATCAGAGGCTTCGTCGCCAGCCTTGCGAGCTGCAGCCTTCTGAGTCGTGCGCGCGCGGCTCTCTGGACGAATTGCAATGCCTTCCTCATCGTCCCCGCAGTCTTCCTCTTCATCTCCGCAACTGTCACAGCGTACTAAGAAGGCCGCAAAGACCATCTGCGACAATGACGCTAACATACACAACTTTGCACCAGTCGCTCGCATTATGAAGTTGGCCTTGCCCGAGAACGCCAAGATTGCGAAAGAGGCGAAGGAGTGCATGCAAGAGTGCGTGAGCGAGTTCATCTCCTTCATTACCAGTGAAGGTACGTACTTTCTCACGTTGTGCAGTGGCGCGCTTGTTTGTCTAGCGCTGCGGCTGACAGGTGAGACAGCGTCGGAGAAGTGTCAGCAAGAGAAACGCAAGACCGTCAACGGCGAAGATATCTTGTTTGCCATGACTTCGCTCGGCTTCGAAAACTATGGTGAAGCGCTCAAGATCTATCTCGCTCGGTACCGTGAGGTGAGTCATCCATCAACCCCACTCAACATGTAGTGTTGTATATCTATCAAGTATCGTACTGACTACTCAGAACCTCGTTGCGCGGGGCGAACAAAAGCCGCCTGCCACAGGAAGCGCGGGTCCGGTCACTACTTCGCCACCCTACGACACCGCAGATCAGCAAGTCATGTCCAACCCGATGGACCCCGGCGTCGTAGGCAGCAGCGTCGACTTCGGCTACGGACATGCTGGCGGCGAGCAATACTGAGCCATCGTCGGTTGCAGCTGGGTTAATGTCATGCTGATCGCCTTGGATCCCTTAGCATTTACACGAAGAAGTAGGGAAGCGATGGCTCGAGCGTGATAGGAGAGAAAGCTTGAAGTGGCGCAAAGCGATGGGGAAGCTGACGATTGAGAAAGAGCCGCAGGGTGAGGAAGAGCTCAAATCCAAGGTGGAGCTTGAGGATCCGGCGCACGCGTCCAACTGCGGATCCGACAATTGGCAACTCTCCTAAACATTCACGCCTTTGCCCACGGTCTAGACTGTACGACGTCTTGCTGTCGGGTCCACTTGGATCTTACCGCGAGCTGTCGCAGGCGTCATGCACTTACATCTTGACGACGGCGTGCGCGATCCGCCAGCTCAAGTCGACACGGCTTCTACGGTGACGGCACTCTAGCACACGGAGGTGCCGTACGTCTATCACCTCCAACTCACTGTTATCACAACATACGGGCGTACTGGCGTATTTTCGGTGTTCTCTTATTTCGGCATCGGCTCGCTTCCTTGAACAACGCGATGCATGTCTATCGCTCGCTATGCGGATGCGAGAACGGGCGGATGTCATCATGACCAGGAAGCTTATTGTACAGTGGGGACGGACAGAACTGGCTTCGAAGCAGCGCATGTGATACCCAACGATTCCCAATGGATGATCCTGCTGCACGCGCAGAGAAGTAATCGTATGTAGAATAGCAGTAGCCGCTGTAACATCATCAAGCGACACAGTCGAAAAGGGAGTGCGTGTATTTCTGTACGCTGAGCAAATCTTCGAATCCATTCCGAGACGACCGACAGGTACCACTAAAGGAGGGGCCCATCGATGGCTCACAAGTTGGCGAAAGAATGCTCTCTGTTCGCGCTTTGCTCCGCTAAGGCTGCCATCTTCATGACCGCTCTCTCAACCGTACCCAACATGGCATTCCCTCGTGGCTTCGCAGATCATAGCGAGTCATCATGCCCATGTGCATACATGAAACGCCCTGGGATTCAGGATAGTCACTCCTGAATCGCCGTCTCCTTTGCTGTTTCCTCCACAGCCTTCGGGTTGTCGAGTGATACATCTTGGTAAGTAGCGGATGCGTAAAGCCGCTCGAATGCGGACTAAAGCTTTGATCGGTAGGAGGGTCAGCTATGCCTCAGACATTCGCGAAGGTTTATACGCTTACCTTTCAAGCACGAAGACTGACCGCCTTGCGTATGCAACGAGCTTGGGCTTGGGCTCCGGACATATTTGCCTGCTGCTTGCGATCTCGCTCGCTGCGTAGATTAGTGGAGTAGGTGTCTTGGGCCTTGGGGTCGCTTCTGCGTCTTTTGAAGCTTGAAACTGGTGTAGACGACAAGATCGGCAGACGAAGTAGTCTGGACGAAGCAATGAGAGCACCCTGGAAGAACTATGTCGAGTTTGGATGGTGTTGTGGGGATGTAGCAGTGAAATCCTCGAACAAGGGAAAGCACAAGCAACGACTATCTCTGGAACATCTCCAAGCCATACACATCTGTGCACTCTATCGTATCAAGCGTATCCGACAAGGCATTCCCTCTCGCGGCTTTGCTGCGCCCATCTGAATCTGATACGCCTCCTCCCCAAACTGCGTCTGAATCCCCTCGAAATCACTGGGATACCCACTCCCATCCCCTCTCAACTTCACCAGCTCATCAAACGCCGCCTGGAACTCAAACTTCCGCAACGTCATGGCCAAGATAACCTTCGTCTCCAGTACCGCTAGCTCCTGACCGATGCAGTTTCGTGGACCTTTGGAGAAACCAACCCAGGCCGGATTACTGGTGAAGTTCGCCGAAGTATCAGATTTGGAGTCGTCTTTCAGAAAGCGTTCGGGGCGAAACACGTGAGGGGAGTCCCAGTATTTGGGGTTACGGTGCAGACCTACGTCTACGCACCACATCATGAAGTGCTCGGTTGGCAGACGCTGGCCGGTCGTTGGGTCTGTGGCGAAAGAGCCCGGGGGTCCGGTACGGAGGGTGGAAGCTGGCGGTTGCAGGCGGAGGACTTCGCGGATGACTGCGAGTGTATACTCGAGTTTGTTGAGGAGATGGCCGTCATGGCGGAGTTGGTCGGCGACGGCGTCGGGATCGGGGCCGAAGACGGTGTCGTGTTCGGCGCGGATTTTGGCGAGACGAGCGGGGTCTTTGCTGAGGTAGTAGTAGCAGTAGCAGATGGTGCTGCTGGTGGTGTCGTGGCCGGCGAAGATGAAGGTTTTCATGTTGCTGATGGCGGCTTGCTTGAATTCCGAGTCGAGACGTTTGTTGTTGGCAGCACCCGAGTCGCTGGCTTTGTTTTCTTTGACGTAGGTGTCCATGGCCAGGTCGATGACGGTACGAGATTTGCCTCGCGCTTCCCGCGTCGCCCAGCGTTCTTCGAGACGTGCGCCAATGTAGCGGTCCATTATCCACTTGTTGTAGGCTTGGCGAGCCCAGCGGTACGGCCAGTCGATGGCTTCGATTGGATTGAATATTGCTCCAGTACCGACTAGCCGGATTTGCTGCATCAGGGCATCCACGAGCGGGTTCGGCGCTCGTTGTGAGTTCAGATCGGCGTCGAGCACGATCTTGCCGATGATGTCGACAGTGAGGCGAGTAGTATCGGATTCCATGCGGAACAGGTCGTTGTTTCCAGCGCGTTTCGTCAAGACGTCGCAGAAGACGAGGCATTGATCCACCATGAGCGGAACCAAGCTGATGAGATGGTTCGCGGCAAAGCCTGGGTTGAAGGTAGCACGCCACTTCTTCCAAGTCGCGCCCTCGCTGGCCACCAGATCACCGGGCCCGGAGACGGTGCGCATGAAAGTGCCGACTTCGACAGCTTTGGGAAAGCTCTGCTTGACAGTGACCTGGCCCATGACATCGGCGTCCATGATCATCATCGTCATGGGTCCGAAAGGCCATAGATCAAGGTAGAAACAATCAGGGAGGTCGTACTTTTCCTTCAGAATGGTCGCAAAGGTCTGCGGGGCGGCGCGTTTGGGCTGCGTGCGGAGCGTTTCGTTCATGCTGATGAGAGAGCCCCATAGGTAGGAATGAGGCGGGCCGGGTAGGCCTTTGACGAGGGTACGATGATAGTGGAGACGTTGGAAGAAGCGAACGACGAGGCCGATAAGGATGATGGCTACTGCCCAGCCAAGGCGTGTGATGGTGAGGAAATCTTGTGCCGCCATTGCAGCATGTGGGAGAGAGACTGGAGGGGGAGGGATGAGCAAAGTATAAGACTTACTATGCCTGGTAGTGAGGCTTGACGGGGCAATGGGCCGATGGGTAGTGTAGCGCTCAGCTCGCGTATGCAGGCGTTTCGTACAGTAAGCTGCAGGGATGGTGGGCGAGGGAGCGAACCACTCAAGGCACTGCTACTCAATGACGGCGACAGGCTGTTTATGGGAGTACATCAAGTCGGTGGCCATGATAACCCTGACTCTGCACTGTAGCGCCGTGGAACTGTAGCTATTGGAGAGCGGTCGGTGATGGGGACGTGGAGGGAAGACAGCGACATCCCTTCCAGTCGCCGTCTCTGCCATTTTCAAGGGTCTGCGGGCGGCGATGGTCCGTGTGTTACCTGGGAAAACGGCGCTAAGGGCGAAATTGTCGAAATGCGCTTCAACAGCATCGAACTTTTTCCCATTTCCCATTCCCGTGACCTCCACACCCTCTCTACCACTCAAACAAACATGGCGGACGAAGTGTACGATGGTGCCATTGGCATTGACCTTGGTATGCATCATAACACTACACGGTGGAGAGTATGTGCAGCAACTGACGATCCCATAGGCACGACTTACTCGTGTGTGGCCAACTATGAGGGCGCCGGTGTTGAGATCAGTGAGTGTGAACGAGCCATATGCAATGCCCCGGACTGGTCTGATTGATCGATATCCGTGCAGTCGCCAACGAGCAAGGAAGCTTCACGACCCCCTCCTTCGTCTCCTTCACGTCGGAAGAGCGTCTCATCGGCGAGGCAGCGAAGAACCAGGCGGCCATGAACCCGGCAAACACCGTCTTCGACGTCAAGCGATTGATCGGTCGCCGCTTCGACGACCCCACAGTCAAGAAGGATATCGAGTCATGGCCGTTCAAGGTCATCGACGATGACAACAACCCCAAGGTGCAGGTCGAGTACTTGGGCGAGACCAAGGTCTTCTCACCGCAGGAGATCTCCGCCATGGTGTTGGGCAAGGTGAGCGGCAGAGTCACTCTGATGACTTGAAGTGCTTGGTGGCTGACTCCACGCAGATGAAGGAAGTCGCCGAGACGAAGCTGGGCAAGAAGGTCTCCAAGGCCGTCATCACCGTCCCAGCCTACTTCAACGACAACCAGCGCCAAGCCACCAAAGACGCCGGCGCCATCTCCGGCCTCAACGTCCTCCGCATCATCAACGAGCCCACCGCTGCCGCCATCGCCTACGGCCTCGGCGCCGGCAAGTCTGACAAAGAGCGCAACGTTCTGATCTACGATCTCGGCGGTGGCACCTTCGATGTCTCTCTCCTCAACATCCAAGGCGGCGTCTTCACCGTCAAGGCCACGGCTGGCGACACGCATTTGGGTGGTCAGGACTTCGACACCAACCTTCTGGAACACTTCAAGAAGGAATTCCAGCGGAAGGTAAGCAGTAACATGTCCGTCCATGCTCAAGGTTCAAAGCTAACTTTTTTGCAGTACAAGAAAGGTACATACTAACCATCTCATTTCCTTCCCCTGCACTGCACTATCCCTTCCATGTACCTTTTCGTCATGGCCTAACTCGCAAGTCTACGGCTTCCCAACAGCTAATGTACGATACACAGACATCTCCGGCGACCCACGTGCGCTGCGTCGTCTCCGAACGGCATGTGAGCGCGCCAAGCGTACACTCTCCAACGGCACCCAGACAACGGTCGAGATCGACTCCCTTTTTGACGGCGAGGACTTCAACGCCAACATCACCCGCGCCCGTTTTGAAGACATCAACAACAAGGCTTTCACTGGCACGATCCAACCCGTCGAGCAGGTGCTGAAAGATGCCAACATCGAGAAGAGCAAGGTGGACGAGATCGTGCTGGTGGGTGGCAGCACACGTATCCCACGGATACAGAAGCTTCTATCCGACTTCTTCAACGGCAAGAAGCTGGAGAAGAGCATCAACCCGGATGAGGCGGTGGCGTACGGCGCGGCTGTGCAGGCTGGTATTCTCAGCGGCAAGGCTACGTCTGCGGACACTCAGGATATGCTGTTGTTGGACGTCGTGCCGCTCTCCCTCGGCGTGGCTATGGAAGGCAACATCTTTGCCCCTGTGGTACCGCGTGGACAGACAGGTTCGTGTTGTGCTCGACACCAATATACGAGGATATTGCTGACTTTCTTCTAGTCCCAACGATCAAGAAGAGGACATTCACCACAGTGGTACGTTTCAGTCATGCGTTCGGTCGGGAATACTGCTGACAGTCATACTCTCTACAGGCCGACAACCAACAAACCGTCCAATTCCCCGTATTCCAAGGCGAGCGTGTCAACTGCGAGGACAACACCTCCCTTGGCGAATTCACCCTCGCACCCATTCCACCCATGAAAGCCGGCGACGCCGTCCTAGAAGTCGTCTTCGAAGTCGACGTCAACGGCATTCTCAAAGTGACCGCCACCGAAAAGACCTCCGGCCGCAGCGCCAACATCACCATCTCCAACTCCGTCGGCAAGCTCAGCAGCGGCGAAATCGACAAGATGGTCGAGGACGCGGCCAAGTTCAAGTCGAGTGACGACGCCTTTAGCAAGAAGTTCGAAAGCCGGCAACAACTCGAGTCGTACATCTCGCGCGTGGAGGAGATTGTGAGTGACCCGACGATGAGCATGAAGTTGAAGCGGGGCCAGAAGGAGAAGATTGAGAGTGCGCTCAGCGATGCGATGGCGCAGTTGGAGATTGAGGATGCGAGCAGTGAGGATTTGAAGAAGAAGGAGTTGGCGCTGAAGAGGGTGGTTACGAAGGTATGTGCTTGCAGCCTATCCGCTGTGGAAATGGGTTGTGGTTCGCTGACTTATCCTCGCAGGCGATGTCTACCCGCTAAACGCTTACGCATGAACGAGCCGGCGTTGCGGCGTCTTGTCTTCGGAAGCATGCCGCGCACTCACTTCGAACACAATAGATTGCCTTGCTACTTGCTGTATGTGGCGGCAGCGACGGAAAAGCACGGCGCTCCGTATGTACTGCCTCGATCTGTGTCGAGGCGCCAAGTGGTTACGGCAGTATGTAGTACTGTATGCTATCATCGCCCTTATCAGATTGCAATCGACGGCTCGTATGCTCCTGTCAGCCTCCACCTTATCCCAGTACTCCATCACTGCGGAAGCTCGGCACGCGCGTCTGCGAGTCCCGCCTCTGCCTGCTGCCACCTCTACATCTTCTCCGACCCGATCTGCTCGGCATGCTGTATCAAAGGTAACGTCAGCTCCCCTGATTTTCTTCTTCACCAAAATTCTCGAACCAGGACGGGAGAAAGGCTTACACCGACACTCCTCTTCCGCTCCGCCGCCGTCTCCAGATCCGCAAGCGACGCCTTCCGGTAATCGCCCTCCACCACCCTGACCTCCTGGAAGCTCACCGTCGGCACGAAACCCGCCGACTTCCAGGCTTGCGGGACCTTGGCGTAGAGCTCGTCGACTTGCTCGAGCGAGAGGCCCTTGGTTTCGTAGATCATGGCCCAGACGAAGAAGATGCAGATGAAGCAGAAGCCTGCGACGTATCAGCGTTGGTTGGGAGGTGAGGGCGGGGGATAGGGAAGAGGTGGTGTGGTCGGGACTTACTACCCCAGATGAAGAAGACCTTGGAGCCGAGATCGGCGTCGCCGGGTCCGTCGTCGACGAGGTAAGGTGTGGCGTAAGCGATGGCCCAGTTGAGGAGCCAGTTCGAGGCTGTGGTCATTGAAAGGGCCTTGGCGCGGACTTTGAGCGGGAACTGTTGGGAGAGTCAGTGTGTGCTTCGGGAGTGTCCATGTTCGAGCACACTCACGATCTCGCCCGTCACCACCCAAGCACTTGGACCCCATGAGCACGCGAAGAAGAAGATGTAGATGCAGACGAAAGCGATGAGCGCCTTTTGTCCGACCGGGTTGGCCGTCCCGATTCCTGTGCCGACACCAGCGACGATGAATTGGCTATAGTGCGAAATGGTGTAAACGTTAGCAATCGACTTCTTGGACAAAAAACAAGGCTCGTGGCGATCAGTTACGCACCAGACTGCCATACCAATGGCGCCGAAGAGCAGCAAAGGGCGCCGGCCCCACGCTTCTACCATCCACAACCCGGGAAACGTCGAGGCTACGTTGACGGCGGATGTGATCATGCTTACGACGAAGCTATTCTGGATGCCGGAGTTGGTGAAGTACGATGTGCCGTAATACTACGAAAGGGTCAATCAACAGCTCAGCATTGGATACAGGGTCAGTAATGCGTCTTACGAAGATGAAATTGACGCCGGTCAGCTGCTGGAGTGCCTGCAACAGACAGCCAGTCGCCAGCCGCTTGCCGATGTTGCCTTTGAAGCAATCCAGGTACGTTGCCTTACCCAAAGACATCTCGTACTCGTGGTTCGCCGTAATCTCAGCAAGCTCTTCCTGAAGCGCAGGGTGAGCGACGTCCAGGCGACGCAGCCTGCTCAGCGACTTGGCCGCCTTTTCGGGTTGGCCGCGCTTGATGAACATGCGCGGTGTCTCTGGTAGCATGAGCATACCGGCCACGAGGATGATGGCCCAAGCGAATTGCACCGCAATCGGAATGCGATAGCTGCCACTGTCGTTCCGCTGTCCGGTCGAGTGGTCAACAACTGATGCCAACAGAAGGCCAATGGTAATCGCAAGCTGGTAGCTGCCCACGATTGTGCCACGGATCCACTTAGGCGCCGTTTCACTTTGGTAGAGCGGGATCGAGGCTGAGATCATGCCGACGCCGTAACCAGCGAAGAAGCGGCCAGCCACGAACAAAGGGATTTTCGTTGCAGCAGTCTGCAGGATGACACCGAAAGTGAAAACTCCGGTGGAGACGATCAGGCCCATCCTCCGACCAAAGTAATCGCAAGAGGGAGCTGCGGTCAAGGCGCCAAAGAATGTGCCAGCGGATAATAAAGACACGATTTCAGACGACTGTGAAGCCAAGAGCACAGGCAAGCCAGTGGTAGGGTTGATCTCACCGGTAGTGGTGAACTCTCGCAGCCAGTATGGCATGGCGAGGATACCTCCAATGGTTCCTGTATCATAGCCGAATAGTATGCCACCGAACGCTACGAACAGGCCTACGAGGATCGCAGGCCATGCTTTGCCAGCGGTGCCTTCTGGTGGTCGGATTGCAACACCCATGGTGGCTGGGCTTGTTTGGCGATTTGGTGTGGTAACGCTGGTAGCAAGTAGTGGTAACAGCGGCTTCAGGGGAGTGCGCGTTAAGCTGTTAATGGAGGAGGTAGCACGCTTTATACCGAACAATGACTGGCTTGTTGATACTGCACGAGGGCTTGCGTGCATGATGATCGTCGGCAAGCTCCCTCTTCAGCATGCACGTCCATTTGCTACCTTGGAACCTTATTGTTGTGTGAACCGTATGACCAACCTATTGCACAAGATGAGGACGCATTAACTTCATGCCTCCTGCAGTGTGCGGTCCGTATGGCACTCATCGACGGCGGCCTTGGGTCCACGACAACCCTGCCTCAGCAAAACAGGTGGTTGAGGAAGCCAGAAGGTTAGAGATACAGCAACACGTTCTTAGGGTCGTCTAGAATACACCGCATAATGTGTACCATATGAGAGGGGTACATGCAGGTTGAAACGCGACAGGCTCTCATTGAGCTAAGTTTGTACTGCTGAGCCGCGTCCTGTTACTGGTGATGGAAGGTGCAGTTTACGGGACCCAAAGCTCCATGACTGTGCAACATTAAGCTCTTACGCATCCAAGATGCAGCGCGTGAAGGCATAATCAGTCGGGAGGCCGTCATGCTGCAGGCACATTCGGCCCTTCTCCGCACCCCACAACAACCCAAGACAATCCAAAATCCTCCGACTGGTTTTTGCCATGGGCACCAATGGAGAAATTGTGTGTTTTCGGTCCTTCTCGCAACAGTTCAGCAGAACGATTCTGAAATAAAGTTGGCGAGGGCAGTTAGGGCAGCGATCTGGCCCCAAACATGCAGGGGCCAAGTGCAACAAACTCGCAACCTGCCACATCGACCTCGGCGGTATCACGGCGTTATGGGTGTATGGATCCCGTTAGTATTCGGACCGTAACCTTCAACAAGATACGGGCCCATGGCCAGCTTGCAGGAGAGATGGCGATTGGATGTTTGTGACGAGTCGCAAAGCCGTTTCGCCATGAATGTATGCTCACCCTGGGGGCGCGATCAAGCATGTTTGCCTTTCTCACCACTGTAAGAGCGCTCCTGCGCAGCCTTGTCCGGAGCGCGCGACTTCCTCTGCTGCTCTTCGAGCGCCTTCCACTTCTCCTCCGGGATAGTCAGTGCTCGAACGTTCAAGTACTTGCAGATAGCCGTAACCACACGATAAGCCCATCGAGAGTAAGCCACGGCCGAAACTGCGAAGTAAGCCCATAGATAGTATAGCTCCAACTCTGCTGATATACCTTCGAATCCAAGATACGGCAGGCTGACGAGAGCGGCACCCCCAATGAGAGGTAACAGTATCCACGTCCAGTACGGATACGGTTGCCGCGTTAGGTGAGCTAGGACAGTCATGGTATTCATGCGTCCAAACACGAATGACAAGGTGAAGCAGAGCAGACACAGATGGTTGTCCGGTAAGAGGTGAGAGTACGGTGAGCCCAACCAAGCAACCAACGAGCCTGTGAAGACGACCATGGGCCACCATTCCAAGAAGACTGGAGCGAGAGGTAAGCCTTTTGCTCTCCGAGCCTCAGCCACATTCATCACGCAAGGAGGCAAGGCTGCAATGAAGAAGGTCGTCAGCAATAACGGCGCCCAAATATCGACTACGCTAAGGTTTCCCAGAAGTTGTGGAAAGCCAATCAGATTGGCCATTGGTTGGTGCCAGATCTGCGGCCCGAAGTATCCTGAGACGGCCATAATCAAAGCTGCGATCGCCAGTCCCTCAGTTGGCCCGTTGAAGTAGCCCAGGTACAGCGTGTGGGTATGATACGTCTCCCAGGTTGAGAAGAACATCGCCAGTGCCGGGATCAGCGCAGTGAGCGTACCAAGCTTAGTCGGACCCAGACCCATGGCTGATGTTTCGAGCAAAGACGCAAGCGTGCAGTTTAGCGAATCTATACCATGATCGAATAGCTCGCCGAGACCGGAGGATGTGCCAGTACGACGAGCTTGCTTGCCGTCAATGTTGTCAAGGGTGGAGTAGGCCCAGACGCCTATAGCGTAACTGTAGTAGACCCAAGAGTACTTCGGTCCTTGCAGGTCTGGATCCATGATCGCAAGGAGCGCGACATTGGCGACTACGCATACGAGTCCAATAAGCGTGACCATGTTCGGAGCGAGCCATAACGGCAGGAACTCAACGCAAGCGTTCCAGTAGTGCCGCAATACGTAGTATGAAAGCGGCGACTTATCCACAGACGAGTACTTGTATGTCTTGAAGTGCTGTAGTGCTTCCTCTGATAGAGGGTCGACTTTGCCTGCCTCTAAGGTCAGATCACTGACTCCGTCATGATCAATCATACGGATGCTCACGTTGCAAAGCCATGACGACTATAACGATATCCTGAGCCAATCCTCTTGCCTTAGTAGACCGTACATTGTCAAACAGGTTTGTCCTGTAAGAAATGCGCAGTCGTCCAATCCAGTGGGCCACATGTGCTCCGGAAGTGTCAGTGTCAAAGGTCTTTGCTCTCAGCTTCTCTCATACAGCTCGGCAATGTCTATATATGTTGTACCTGCTGCCTGCATCAAGCACAGGTCTTCTGAGGCATTTCGGGACGAGAACAGAGCGATACGTCGTGTGGTCATTTAATAGAATCGACACCCATTATCCCATATCACTACTCAAGGACTTTGGGAAATGTAAACAGTAGCCATGTTAGGCGTCATACTCTGTACGTTAATCTGATTCATATGGGCAAGCACGACGTCTGCACAACTGTATGATGGGTTCATTGCGACGAAGGGCTCTAATGGCTTGTGCCTTTCGTTCGAGAGCCTTACAAAGGCTTGCCACCAATGAACTCCGACCATCTCCTCACCTCAGGTGGTATAACGCCTTCAGGCTTCGGCAGCTTCTCACTCATGCACTGCGCGAATAGCACAGCAGTCTGCTCCAAAGTTAGCAAACAGTATCTCGAAAGTCACATGGGATCGCACTCACCCTTGGCTCCATGAAAAGCGGGACGCCAAAGTCCACAGCATTCCTCCTCATCACATAATCCTCATCAACCATACTGCTTGCCCTTCGCTTGGCAAGGTTGAACACGCCGCGGATATCGTACTTCTGGAACACCTCCCTCAACGCTCTCTTGTCCTCCTTCGGGAACTCGATTGTTTCAACATTGACACTGCCGTCCTTGCTGCTCTTCTCCAAGTGCTGCTTGACCGCATCGTTAGCAGCGTAGAACTTGTAGCCCAAGGGGACGAGGTAGTCCACAATCCGCGCCAAATCCGGAGTCTCGGTGTCACCACCAAACAGTAAACCCTCACCCGGCAGCGGCAAGCGGAAGTTCATCGTGCTTTGCATGGCCGTCCAGTAGGCTTCCACAAGGTCCTTGCCGAAGCACGCCATCTCGCCGGTACTTGCCATCTCAACGCCCAAGTACGGGTCAGCACCTGCGAGACGTGTCCAAGAGAACTGCGGTACCTTCACCGCCAAATAGTCCCGCTTCTCCTTCATCGGGTCCGTGGGCTCAGGGACATCCTTATCCAGCAATGCCCTTGTGGCAACGTCGATAAAGTTCGTTCCTAACACCTTGCTGGAGAATGGGAAAGAGCGCGAGGCGCGGAGGTTGCATTCAATGACCTTCAGCAGATCTTCACCGCCTTCGGGATCCCTGGCAGAGATGATTTGCATGTTGAAAGGCCCGGTGATATTCCACGCTTTGGCAACTTTCTCTGCGATCTCCTTGCAGCGATCGATCGTTCGCTCGGAGAGACTGGCCGGAGGAAGGACGAGTGAAGCGTCTCCGGAGTGGACACCCGCGTTCTCGATATGCTCGCTAACGGCGTGAATGAGCAGATTGCCATGCGAAGCGACAGCGTCAACGTCGATCTCCTGAGCACCCTCAATGAACTTGGTGATGACAACTGGATGGTCTGGGGAGACGTTGCTAGCAGCGGTCAACTTCTCTTCGAGCTCCCCCTCGGTGCGAATGACTGTCATGGCTGCACCGGAAAGGACGTAGGATGGCCTGACTAGCACCGGATAGCTAACGGAGTCCGCGAATTGCTTCGCTTCTTCATACGAGGTAAGCTCCTTCCACGCCGGCTGATCAACACCAATCGAATCCAGGATCTGCGAGAACTTGTGCCGGTCTTCTGCCTTATCGATGTCCTTAGGGTCAGTGCCAAGTACTCTCGCTTTGCCGGTCTCTTGTAGCTTCAATGCAATGTTCTGCGGTAACTGCCCGCCTACTGAGACGACGACGCCCGTCGCGCTTTCGAGCTCGTAGATGTCCATCACACGCTCGTAGCTTAGCTCCTCGAAGTACAGTCGATCCGGTACGTCGAAGTCGGTGCTGTAAGTCTCCGGATTGTAGTTGATCATCGCCGTCTTCTTGCCCAGCGCCTTCAGACTCAGCGTAGCGTTAACGGCACACCAGTCAAACTCCACCGAGCTGCCAATCCTGTACACGCCACTTCCCAGCACCACAATCGGATGATCATCGAACTTGATATCATGCGTGCTCGCATTATAGGTCGTGTAGAGGTAATTGGTATCTGCCGGAAACTCCGCAGCAAGTGTATCGATCTTCTTCACCCATGGCCGGATGCCAAAGTTCTTACGCCTGGCACGGACGTCGTCTTCGGAGCTGTTGACCGCCTTCGCGATCTGCTTGTCGCTGAAACCAAGCTTCTTTGCCTTCAGCATCAGCTCCTTCTTCACGCCGAAGAGAGAACCAATGTCCTCGAGCTCGTGTGTGCAGTCGACAATGTTCTGGATCTTGTAGAGAAACCATTTGTCGATCTTGCTGAGTTCGTGGACGCGGTCGACGGTGTAGCCTTCGTGCAGCATTGCTTGGCCGACAGCGAGCCAGCGGCGATCAGTGGGGTTCTTCAACACCTCATCCAAGTCGTCGAAATCGTCGCCCTGCACGCCCAGATATCTTGGATCGATCTGGCGAATGGCCTTCTGGAAGCTCTCTTCGAAAGTCCGGCCAATAGCCATGACTTCTCCGACAGACTTCATTGATGAGCCGATCGAGCGGTTGACATTCTGAAACTTGGAAAGATCCCAGCGCGGTATCTTCGTGACGATGTAGTCGAGTGAAGGCTCGAAGTTGGCCGTGGTGGTGCGCGTGACGGCGTTCGGTAAGTTGGGCAGATCGTAGCCAAGACCAATCTTGGCTGCTGTGTATGCGAGAGGGTAGCCGGTAGCCTTGGAAGCGAGGGCGGAAGATCGAGACAAGCGAGCGTTGACCTCAATCACACGATAGTCGAGACCGTCTGGTTGGAGGGCGTACTGGACATTGCATTCTCCGACAACTCCAAGGTGGCGGACGATCTTGATGGAGGCCGTTCGAAGCATGTGGTACTCCTCGTCGCTGAAGGTCTGCGAAGGCGACACCACGATACTGTCACCGGTGTGGACACCCAGCGGGTCGAAGTTCTCCATGTTGCAAACAGTAATACAGTTGTCCGCGCCGTCTCGCACGACTTCGTACTCCGCCTCTTTCCAGCCCTTGAGCGACTTCTCCACCAGAATCTGAGGCGAAAGCGTCAAAGAGCGTGCAGCCAAGTCACGCAGCTCATCGGCGTTGTCCGCGAAGCCAGACCCGAGACCACCGAGTGCGTAGGCGGCGCGGACGATGATCGGATACCCAACCTTCTCTGCAGCGTCGAGAGCTTCGTCAATGCTGGAGACAGCAATGCTCTCTGCGATAGGTATGTTGATCTCCTGCAGCGCCTTCGCGAACAGGTCTCTGTCCTCGCTCGTCTCCAACGTCTTTGTGCTTGTGCCCAAAACCTTCACGCCGTAGCGCTCAAAGATGCCCATCTTGTCCATGCGCACACCAAGGTTCAGTGCCGTCTGCCCGCCGAACGACAAGAAGATGCCATCCGGCCTCTCCTTCTCAATCACATACGTGACGTACTCCGGCGTAACTGGGAGGTAGTAGACCTCATCCGCCAGCACGTGGGCGGTTTGGATGGTAGCAATGTTCGGGTTGATCAGCACCGACTGCACGCCCTCCTCCTTCAATGCTTTCAACGCCTGCGAGCCTGAATAATCGAACTCGCCAGCCTGTCCAATGGCCAGTCCGCCTGAGCCAATAACCAGCACTTTCTTAACATCGACCTTGTTCTGGCCCGGAGACACTGCGCCGGACTCTAGGTACGCTTTCGCGCTTGGCATTGCCTGGGCTGCAGCTACTTGCCTCGCCGCGGCACATGCCGAGAACGGTCGCACATACTTAGAGCGGGAGACGGTCGTCTTTTGCAAAGTCGCCGAGCTCGACGCAATGAACGTACGTTTGCTCGCTCGAGGCGCCAGCTGCTGAGCTTGCGGGAGGAGCTCATGCCGAAGCTGGCGAGTAAGGCATCTGTTGAGAGCCATACTGCTCCCGTGGAAGGTAGAGAGCAGTTCAGGCTTTAGTGTAAGGCTCCTACGAGCGCTACTATATAAGTGAATCGATCGTGTGACTTGGTACGTGCTTGTCAATTCACGCTTGCTTTCCAAAGATGGTCCGAGATGTAGTCTGTCATGTGTACGGTTAGCGAGCGGTACTCAAAGGCAGTTGCTCGCTACGCATCGCATGAAACCGCGGAGCGATATGGCGAACCTTGACTGGTGAAGAGGGTCGGCGCAAAAGTCATAAGGGCAGCCTTAAGCCTGTTCAGGCTAACAAGGTGGAAGTTTAGTATGCCCTTGGGCAAGTACAGTCTAAGGCGACTGTAGTGGTAGGTATGCGACTTTTAATGTTATATGTGAAGCAATGGCTTATCGGTGGGCGCAAAGAATTTCTGGTGCAGATCATGCAGCTTTGAGCTCCAGTTCGGTGACGGAGGAACGTTCTTCCGCCATATCTCCGACTACATGCGCAAGGCTCCCATCGCTTCGCACAGGGAGACGATATTTCTGGTCGTAAATCGCCGTGAGGCTGAATGCGTACAGTAACTAACTTCCCACGGGGAAAAGCCCTGCTGAGCGCTCCGCGTCTACCAGTCATCTTCTTCGGCCGGCCGTTGTGCCATGCCTGAGCCCAACCCTGCTGTAGGACCCATCCCAACCCAGCCATCATCAGCACGAGTAAGGCCAGGCCCATCTGGTAGCTCCTCATCAACGTCAACGTCGTTGTTCCGTTCTGCATCATCCGCCTGCCCATCCTGCTCCTCATCCTCATCAGCCTGCCCCTCCCCACCAAGCACAGGTGCCTCCAGCAACCCAGCCGGCGCCTCCACCCCCACCGCCCCAACCTGCTTAATCCCCTTCTCCGCCCTCAACAACCTAAACTTCTCCGCCGTCTCCCTTAATGCCTTCTGAATCCTCACTTCCTCCTCTCCCAACCGCACCTTCTCCCGCTGCAGCGCCTCCATCTCCTGCAGCCTCCGCAGCCGTCTCGACTGCATCTCTGCAACCTGCTTTCGCAAACGAGCAATGACACCGTCGAGTGTCGGCAATGGCGTGATGACAGGCGGCGTCTTTGGGCGGAGATGCTCGTACGGATCCGTCGATACTACGTTGGCGGTGCCGTATGTGCCGTGTCTGGTCTGCGCGGCTTCGAAAGCGGCGTTGCGTTCTTTCTCGCTGGTATCCGAATCACTCTTGTCTTCTGCGTCTGAACCATCACCTTCAGCTGCTGCAATCTGTGCCGCCATCTCCTCCCGTCTTCGCTTCTCTGCCTCCTTCTCTGCCTTACGACCAAGTTGCATCTTGCCGTCTTCCGTGAAGTCGTCGAAGTTCTCCATGATGTCCTCATCATCTCGCACGAGCCGGCTCTCGGCTCGATTGTACTTGTCTTTCTCCTTCAGCACAAGACGGCCATTCATATCTCTCTCTACATTATCGTCCAGATCTTCGTCATCCAGACCCGGATCGTCTGGATCGAGGGATATGTACTCTTCCGCTTGTTGTTCTTTGGCTAGCCTAGCGCGCCGTGCTTTCTTCTCCTCGATCTCTGCCGTGGAGGGGATGGCGGAAGGCTGCTGGTAGCGGGCTAGAGACGAGCCAAACTTGGAGGTGAGATCCAGCGCTTGCGTGCTTTGCGCGACATCTTGCACGGCTGCATCGGAGTCGCCAAAGTCCTGAGGCGTCGCTGGAGTGCTTTCCTTCAGCGCCTGCAAAGACTCTGCGCTGTAGCTTGGCCTGTCATCGTCCGCATCTGAGAATGGCCGTGGTGGCAGATCGTACAGACGCTGGGACGCATTCCGCTGGATCGCTAGACGTGAGACATTCGAACGCTTAGGCCTGACGATGCTGGCAGGCGTTTCGCCATCGCCATCGTCGTCCGAAGCTGCGGAAGGCTTGAAGCTTGTCCGGAGGTTGGCCGACTTGCGCGGCTTTACAACAGGCCGTTTCAAGCTTGTTTCTGCATTACAATATGCTATCAGCGCTGACTCAGGGCTATGTGAAGGCGTCAGATGGGCTTCAGACGTGATACTACAAGTGAGAGTGATCGTACCTTCTGCCGTAACCCCTGCCTCCTCCGCCAGCGCATCGCTCTCAGCCTGTCCTACTTTCCGAGGAACACGCTTCGTGCCAAAGCTTTTCTTCATCATCTTGCCAACTCGCCGCGATTAAGAAAGGTTTATGTATGAGAAAGCAGCCGAACGTTGCGTACGTACCAAGAAGTCCTCTAGATTGACCTAGATCCGTCAAACATTGATCAATAAGCTTTAATCAATGACTCGAGCAGCCAGTGCCTTATCGATTAGCATCAGCACCAGGCAGCTATGTTGTCTGCGGAGGAGGCAAGCAGTAAAAGTGAAAATATAAATGGTTTCACACTACAGGAGGTAACTTTCGAACGTTCCGCCAACTACATAGCAGCAACATACACCACCAACGCCACATCGCGCCATCGCTCAGCAATCCGCGGTAGATATGATGAGAGTAGTAAGTACATCGAAAAGTGGCCAAGAGACCGCGGCCGCAACGCACGCTTGAGCAGCTCAGTAGCAAAGCCAAGTTAAGCGTAGCCACCAACCACTTCCAAAGAGATGCAAACCGGGCCTGCCTGTGCACGTCCGCGTCCGCCCAAGCCACCGGTTCGGGTGGTTATCATCTGTATCATGACATTCGTAAGCTCATCGCGTGTTTTTTCACCATTTCCAACCAGGGGGTACGGTAGTATAGTGGCCCGTCTGTCTCCTGCGGGGAACTGTATACCAGCCAGCATCCATAGCCTGTACGTAGAGCGGCTCTACCGCCGCCCCGCTTCCAGCTCCCCAGGCGTCACAGGTCCCAGTTCTTCAACCGCACCATGCTCGCCTGCTTGCGGCTGCGCGGCCTGCGTCTGCCTACCAAACCTCGGCAGCCGGATAGCAGGCATTCTCCACATCGGCGCCCTTCCAGCCTCCGGAGGCACGGGTTGCTCCGCTTGTTGTTGATCTGCCGCCGGCTGCAGCGTAAACGGATCTCCCCTCGGCACGGCGGCTCTCGCACCACCAAAAGCCACACGAGGCCCAAATACAGTTCCCGGCCGGCCAACCAACCACGCCGGGCGAGGGTTACTGGGAAGATTGATCCCACGTAGTACACCCGGGACTCGTCTGCCCGTCGAAGCAGCCGCAGCACCTCCTTCTTCTTCCGTCCGCGGTTTCGGGACATAGTAATCGGCCTTGCAGAGCGGACAGCACGCACGGCGACTGGTGAGCCAGGGGTCGACGCAGGCGCCGTGGAAGGCGTGACCGCAGGTGAGGCCGCGCACGTCGTCGTCATCTTCGAGCGTGTCGAGGCAAATGGCACAGGCGTCGCCCGGGACGGCGAGGAGTTCGGGCGGCGCGGCGGTGCGAATGGGATCGTCTTCGTCAAGGTCTTCTTCCGCGTCGGTGGCGGTGGAGTGGGTGCGGTTAGGTTGTGCGGCGGATGTTTCGAGGGTCTTTTCAGAGATGTGTTGGGCTGCTGCTGAGCCTTCTGGTGCTTCCCTTTGCGCGCCGGCGGAAGTGGCCGCAGTGGCGTGATCTTGACCTTCCACTCCCTCCGCTGCTGTGGGCAGATGACTCGATTCAACACTCTTCCTGCCATTTGTGCCAATCGTGCCCGCCTCATCCTTAATACTCGCCGCACGACTGGGTGGAGCTGTAACGCCGCCCGCCGCAGGTAAGCCCTCAGCCTCTCGGAGCGCTCGCCAAGACTTGTACTTGGTCATTGGGAATCGCTCATTGACCTCTTCCATGCTCATCAACTTCTTCTCCCTCCTTCGCCTGTGCGGTCGAGGTACGTTGGCGAGGTCGATGGGCTCGCCATTCTCGGCGAAGGCGCGCATTTGCCGGTTACGGGCATTGTAGCGGAAGCAGTACTTGACGCCCACAATGATCCTATCAAGCATTTAGCACTCAACGTATATACTAGCAATGCTTCGCGTAGCATACCACAAGTTGGTGAAGACGACGCCGAAGCCCAGTGCCACGAAGAAGAGTAAGGGTGAGCTGGTCGGTCCACCACCGGGAGTCTGCGGCGTCGGCGTCGGCGTGGGCGTCCCTGTCGGCATCGTGATCGTACTCGTTGGCGAAGACATGATTATCGACGATCCTCTTTCTCCTCCCTACACGAGAATGTCTGATGACCGTCGTCGGTGAATGTGTGCTAGATGCTCGCTGCTGACACGACCATCCTCCCTCAAGCGACTGGTAGCGTATGATATGTCTGTAAGTGAAGGTGTATCCGACAACAAGTGTGGCGGTATTCTTGCCGGTACACTCGGCAGCGGCGTGAGAGTGAGGTTGTGTGAAAGTGAGCCGCAATCGACGATGCGATGGTTAGTGTGTTTGGTTGCTTTCGCAATCCTCCCCTTCCAAGGCTTCGAATCCGCGGAGAGCGACTCCACTCCGTTCGGCGGCAGCTCGGATGCAGCAGATGACCCGGGAAGCGGAGTAAGCGGATGCCGCCGGGTAAAGTGGCGAAAAGGCTTATTTACTCTACTTAAGTCTTGTCTGAAATGGCCACGCGAGGGTGGAGCTGCACGGCGAGAGTCACGGAGATGAATGTGAGAAAACGAGATCGGTGCCTGTGTGGTATGTAAAGCCCAAGTGTCACAGGGAACGCGGAGGCAAGTAAGTCAGCGTGCACGAGCCCCCCTCCCAGTGAATCAAGGCAAAGTGATCGACAATCTGGCCTCCCAGCGGTGATGTCGTCGATCTGCCGCACTTCCTTCTACCGCACTTCCTTCTGCCGTATTTCCTTCTGCCGTACACATCATTGAATCATCAATGCGATCTCTACTCAAGGCTGAGAAGAGATATAACATGTTCGGACAGCCGTCAAATCTATCTGTGACATATCAACAAGCGAATTTTCATGAGGATGGTGGCGTTAGAACCTGCCTCAGCGTTCCACAGAGCCGTTGCGCCTCGTTTGACACTGTCGGCCCGACCTGCTCGAAAACCTTCCTCCTGCCACGGGCGAAGTCAGAGCTTGTCCAATCTGTCCTTCTCCGTACTGGACCGACTTTTTTGGCTCTTTCCTCCGCTGAGTAGAACCGTTGTTGCAGTCACTTTGCTCCCCCCATTGGGGCTGTGAACGATGCCCGTCCGGCGCACCCATCGGCTCGGAGATCGCAAGCGGTGCTGCAGCCAGGATAACGACCGCAGAGGTCTGGCCGAAAGCATAGTAGTTGTCCTCGCCAGTCCCGGGTTGCATTCGCCGGTGCTCTACCTGCAATAGATCACAGCAGAGACCTCGAAAAAGGCAGGACCCCATCGAGTAGGGACGGTGAGTAAGCACCTGCCCCCTTCAAAATGCTACGCTTATGACTATCTATATGTCCTGTAAATGATAGTGACATCCTCATATTCCGGTGAAATCTTTGCAGCCAAGATTTGTAGCATGTTCGACCCTCTTTGCCCCGTGCTGAAGACCATTGACTTCTGCGACGACCTTCGATGAGACTCAGTCCTTTGCCATGAGCACCGACTCTGCTTGTATCTCTGGTGTACTGCTGGTAACTCGCAGAGCTCGCAGCTATCAAGACCGCACGTTGAGCTAGGTGAGTAGGATACGTAGAGGCGGCAGCTGAATAGCATCAAGCCAATTGTATCACTGCGAGCCATGCAAAGCTGTCTGGGCCGGCTGATCCAGTGACTTCTGCACTTCTGAGGACATTTACATGCGTCGACAAGTTGACGCTCGGGTATCCGATATAGGTCGCCATAGGTATAACAATCCTTGCAGCCGAATGGCGACGCGGCAATCTATAGGGTGTTAGACTGTAGACCAGGTCCAACAGAGGATCAGAACGAGAGCACCGGAGCAGTAGAGGGGTAATGGTCGACAGACATGCACACGCCCTTCTGCATTGCAATGGTGTATCGGAATCACTACGATGTCGCACACTGTCTGCAGTACCAAAGTTGGTAAAAACCTCCTGCTAAGCAACAATCGCTTCTGCGCCCCACGTATACTCCAAAGCACCATCGGCAAATCTTCAAGCGCGTCTACGAGTAGTTGCAGTGCACCAAGTTGTCAACAACGAAGTCGGTATCCTGTTGCTGAACGGCGCTAGAGAGTCGGTCAGCACGTTTGTCCACGACTCCACCACCTATCGCTCACGTGCTCAACTTACGCATTCGCGATACCGAACGTGACGTTCTTCAAGCCGGTGTAGGTCGAGGGTAGGGTGGCGAGATTGAGCGGGGCGGCATTTGGGCTAGTTGGCGCGAAAGCGAAGGTGACCTCGGGAGCCTGTTGGCCGTTCGTGTAGTAGCCGGTGACAGCGACGGTGCATCCCTCGGAGAGATCAGCAGCGCCGGTCTTGCTACTGAGAAGGCAGCCTGACACGGATTAGTACGGTGACGCTAGATGAGAGTGGTGGTGAAGAACATACCGAAGTAGAAGCTGACGAGGTTGAAAGACTTGGTACCGGAGGCGGCGGCAATGGTGCCAAAGGGGTTGAGGCTTAGGGAGCCCAGCTCGAGAATATCTTGCGACAACGTCGCAACGGCGTTGTTTGGGAGTGACTTTGGGACGATTCCAGCGGTGCCCACGATTGGTTGCTTGAGAATGTTGGTCAGCGTCTGTTCTGCCGTTCAGAATTTCACTTCTACTTACGGCGGCGAGGAAACCACCGTAGTCAAGGCCATTGTAGATATTGACCGGAGTGAGCGTTGGCAGGAGCGTGCTGGCGGGTATGTCGTCGTACTGCTTGTTAGTTAGGAAGCGACCTCGCCAGCGGTAATGCTGTGGTGTGTACGGACCGTGTCGACGTAGGACTTGCAGTAGGAAATGTAGTTCCTGCTATCAAGCGCAGCACCAAACGCGCCGGAAAGGAGGGAGAAGACGATGGCCGAGGTCTTCATCTTGCTGAGAGTGGGAGGCTGGTTATGCAAGCGTTGTGGTAAAGCGCTCTGGCTCGTGTCTCCGGTAAGATTCGATATGAGGATGTCGGGGAGAGAGTTGGTAGAGCGGGAAGAGAAGGTAAAGATGAGCTGGGTGTTATATAGCCCTTACCTTGGCCAACGTCCGATGCTTGCGTCTTTGACCGTGTCTCCGCTCAGTCTTGGTAAGTGACGTCCAGGATCGTGTGTCTCATCCGCATCTGCGCCTGCACACCACGCTCGATAGCAGTAGCAGTTCGCTCAAATGCTTGTCTGCGTAGTTAAGAGCCTGCTGAGATGGGAATGCATCATGCGCTACTGCGCGACTGCATCACTCGTTGTTCAAGGTCGAATGTTAATTGTAACAGACGGTGCTGCAAGTGGTGCATTGTTCGCCTATTGACTTCCCCTGCGCAGCACCTAGAAATATATGCAGCTAGCATTCAATGTTATAGCTGCACGTTAGTTGTAAGCGTAGCGCCCCGATCGTCACTTGTATACATTTGAGGCAGCCTCCTGCACACCAGATGAGCGTCTTGCATATAGCAAAACGCTGTGGTTCGGATCCAGCAGTATACATATCGGTGGTTTGCCGGCGCCGGGGCCAAATCGGAAGGTCTCCATAGGTGTGAGCTATACGAGTAGCATGAGTAGTAGTAGCACGTAATGCATCTGTGACCCGCAGATCAACATCCGACCTCCCGAATTGGGGAACCGCGCACCGGGATAGCTTCGGCGCCTTGCCGATCCCTTCTCGTCTACCCGGTTGCCGGTGTCTCAAGGACTTCATGATCGGCCCTAATACGATTCAATCGGCAGGCACAGGGGGTTATTCGGCATTGGCAGCAATGCTCAGTGGAGCTTCTCACTGCTTGCTGTAACTCCCTGCGTGGGTGCAGCGGTGAAGTATCAAGGTCGACCAGCTTCCAAGTCGGACTATCGGAGCCCACGCAACCTAGCTACTCTTGTATTCTCCCATAGCACGTACTCTGCTCCATCTCGAAGAGGCCGAGACAGTAAGCTATCGCTCCGCCGCAGCTTCGTTCACATATGCGTCGCAATAGCTGCTGTATTTGTGAAAGACCGCGTTCATTACTGCACCCGGGTGAAGCGCCTGAGTCGAGAAATGGACATTAGAGTCCAACTGATGCACGCGGACGAAGAATTGTTTCGATTCCGTCCGAGGTACGGTAATCTCAGAAAGCCGTCCACCTCAGCAGCCACGCTCCTTCACCCTCCAATGCTGAAACACTCAAGCCTTCATCAGATTAGCAAAAACCGTAACCTTCTCCACATCCAACCCCTCCTTCTCCCTCCCCTTCTCCCCACCTTCAACCTTCGACGCCGCAACCTCCACCTCCAGCCGATTGACGCCCTGCATCAGACTCCCCTCATAGACATGCGTCCTCCGTCCGGTCTGAGCATCAAACTGCGTATCCCTCTGATTCAGCCTCACGCCATTCAGTGTAACGAAAAGCTTGTACGGCCGACCCATGCTGAGCTGTTTGCTGATCGTCGGTGCGATTTGGAGGAAGTAGTGACTGTTCGGCAGCGTGATGGTCGTTGACTGGGTGGAGAGGTGGTCGTGAGCGGGGATGGATGTGCTGAAGCGCTTGGGGATCGGGAGCTGCGGGTGTGTTGAGACTGTTACGCTTGGTAGAAGGGCCATGGAGATGTCGTATGGCCGGACGGCGAGCGGAGGGAGGAGGGAGGTGTAGTTATAGCTGCTCGTCGGTTGCGACATGGGAAAGGGACTCCCTCGTACGGCGGGTGGCGGCATCATGCCGTTGGTGAGAGCGGCTGGTAGTGCGGCGGTAAGGGCAGGTGATTGCGATGGCATCTTTTCGGCCTTTATGCCGCCGCCGAGAGGTGACCCGGAATGCGCGCTGCTTTGTGGTCGAGGTTCGAGAGTCGGTACTTGAGAGCTTGAGCGTGCAGCGCCGTTCACCATAGGTGAAGGGCGTGCTTGTTGGCCATTGACACCCGCGGCGACCATCTGCTTTTGGCGGAGTAGTGCTTCGTTGTCGACGTGTACACCTGGTGTAGGCGAGCCGCGGTGCTGCGCAAGGTTGAGTGTCACTTTTGGTTTAGGGCCACCCAGCTTGATACGTGGTCCAGCTGGCTCCTCGACCTTCTCTCGTGCATTAGCAAGTAGCTGCTTGACGTGCTCCTGCAGACTGTTAGCAATACATGACTGTATTAATATGGTCGGAGGCTTACTTTGAGCTCGTCCGCGAGGTTAAACATTTCGCTGCCCGATTCGTTGTATTCTTGCGCGTTGCGCCAGATGAAGCTGACTTCCTCCTCGAACGCATCCCAGGTCTTGAAGTCGGAAACGCCTGTGGGTGGGGCACGGCCGTGGATACCTTTGGTGCGCTTCAGCACGCCTTTGAGTGACACTGGATGCTTGATCAGCTGGTAGTAATCCTCCAGCTTCCTAGTGGGCAAGTTGGCGAAAGGCGTGTAGATCTCCAAGCCTCTATTGACAGATGTTAGCACCAATCCTGCTTGTGGCAGAAGGACCAGAACCTACTCCTCGTTATCAGAGTAATGCAAGAGATGCGTAATGATCTTTTGCTGTGCATCTTGAAATGAGAATCCAGTGAGGTCAAGGTCGCCAGTCGTGACAGCGCCGCCGTCATCGTCGTCGCCGGGAGTCGCCGCACTAGGTGCCATGGACGGCTTTCGGTCTGACGGTGCCTCTGAGTACTTCGACGCTGGAGGCTCAGAGCGTCGTACAGCACTCGCGACATCCCTCACGTCTTCCGCCTCCTCCTCGTGGCCGGCATGCGTACCGTTAACGGTGCCATTGCCATCGGTCGTCGGTAGTGGAGTGGCGAAGGCACTGTAGTTCGGGTCGTCTCGGTATGCTGGGTTGTTAGCACGCATGTAGTTGTACATGACTTTCCGTATGCGTTCGGCATCCTCGTAAATCTCGCTATTAGGGTCGTTATAATCTTTGGCGTTCTGGATCATGCGCTTCAGGTCGCTTTCCAGCGCGGTCATGGTGGGATATGCATTCTTGTGAAGCTTCCTCTCGATGATATCGAGCGCAAGCGGCAGCTTGGTGAACTCGTAATACTCCGGTATGTCCTTTCGTGGTGGGAGTGTAAGAAACTGTGTAGCGACATAACGTCCACTGCCAACGCTTTAGTATACTTAGTTAGCAGGGTGATCATGTTGGACTTACTGCTTGTCCTTCTGCTCGCGCAACTGCTTTACTAGGCGCAGACCGAGCACTTGCACCTCCGTCTGCGAGCTTGTCACTGTTGTTGATGCATGGTTGGAGTTCTGCACGTCAGCGCATCAAGTCAGCTCAGTATCGCGTCTGCTGGGCTATTTGCGGGTTGAGTGAAGTGCTGTGGCTCTTGAAGCGGAGACTCGGAGGTGCTGCAGTGGGTTAAGGTGAGTGGTCGGCGCGCGCTACCCTCGTCTTTGCGAGCGTCACAAACGTCAATCACTTCCCTTCCATCAACAACACCTTCCCGACCACCAACGCCTTGCGCGACAAGCACCGTTCGCATTCCATACAAGAAGCCACGCAAGAGTTATCGTAAGGGTGTTTGGGATACATACGAGCAGTTTCAGCTTCTTCGACGCGCTCCCTCCTTCTGACGAGGGTGTTATCGCGTTTGCGGCCTTGCGCTTCTTGCCCGCCTCCATAGTGTTGCGCTGTCGACTTCCGTATGTTCACGATGAGCAACAGGGTGCGGACACAAGCAACCAACGGTATGCGATGACGGAAAGAGATGTAGAGCCGCGTGTATGGTACATTTACGACAAACCATACGCCTTGCGCACGCAGATGCGGGTCTGTGGATGTTGGCCCGAGCGCTGACGCCAAGACATTCGGCTTCAGCACGGTCACGTGAAGACGCAGCTTACTTTGATAGATACCCGACGAAGTCGACACGCTATATTCATCATTGGACTATGTGATCGCAGCTATCGCAATCGCCGCTTCTGAGGACCTCTTTGCTAAGGGAATGCCATGGCTTAAGCCACTATTCTGACCAAGCTCGCCACATGAAACAACACGCCGCCCATCTTCTCCCAGGCTCTCCTCACCTAAGAGGTACTACCCTTCTATCTCCGAGAGCCGCTTGTCTCCACGCTCTACTCCGCCTTACATGTAAGCCATCTCACTAACCTATTTGACCAGATGTTTCTCCCAATCGCTGGCGCTTCGCTTGAGCCCGCAATTGACGCACCACATGTTGCCATTGACCACTCCATCCATCGCAAATACTTTCGCGCAGTTGCCACACTTGTACTGCTTGGGGTTCGTTGGCGGCGTCTCGGCGCTAGCCTTAGCGAATCTCGGCTGAACAATCTTCATCACGTCCATCGTGAAAGTCGAGACACTTTCGATGCCGTTGAGCAGCGCTTTCTTCGACTCGCCGGTCCCGTCTGGCGAGCTAATGAGATGTGCCCAATGCTCCACGAGCTTATTCCTCAGGGCTGCCGTCGCAGGCACTCTGGCACAGCAGTTGACGATCAACTGAAGTGATGCGGCGTTCGGCCAGTTTTCGTCAAGCCAGGCGGTGACCGCGACGTTCATCTTTTCTCGCAGGCCAAACACACCATATCGTTCGGCTTGAATGTATGCATTAATAGCAATTTCAGGGCACTCTTCCGGCCGTCCAGGAATTATCCAGCTGCCTGTGTACATATATTTGATGATCGCAGTAAATATCCGGCCGATAGGGTCCTTGTCGTTGAGATGAAGCTCACTTTGCTGGTCATCAGATTATCAGTATGATTTCCGAAGCAAGTGAGTTCTCTGGTCGTTGCTTGCCTCTCCTTTATCCTTCCACTGCTGGTGGAGCTTCGGGGCTTGCGAAAACACGATGGCTTTGTGGACCTTATTTGTTCGGCCGCCACTGATGATTGTCAAGTCTGAGAACTCCCTGGTTCGGAACAATCTGCAAGACCTTAGCATGATGTTGTGATGTTTCGCTAATTGTATGAGCTTACTCTTTCAAAGCCGGTATCAGTTGCCAGTGCTCTGTCGCCTTGGCCTGTGCAGGCTCGCTTATATTCGGAGTTGTCATTTTGAGTTTGATTGGCGTTGATCTCGATGGTGTTGAGCGGCTGGCATTGAAGATGTTCAACCTAGAGATCTAGAATAGACCTCAGGTCTGTAAGCTCTGCCACGTGCTCGCAACGTACGGCACCGCCAGACGCGAAGAGTGAAGTCTCTCCTTGCTCTGAAGTGAGGTAGTATTGATGAGCATGCACATATTAACTACTTACCCGACCTTTGCAGCTCCAATGCATCAGAGTGCTCGATGATTTTGTCTGCCGCCGCCGTCACCGGCGCCGCTTCCGCCACCCACAACCACGCCTGCCCATGCCAAAGCATCTACTTACACCCCCTCTATGGCGTCCTTAACCAGGTAGTTCTTCCACGCGTCCACACTCCGCTTCGCACCGCAATTGACGCACCAGGCCTGCCCGTTGACCGACTCGTCCATGACGAAAGCTGCCGCGCACTTCGGACACTTGTACCGTTTGTGCTTGCGGAGAGTGCTTTCAGCGATGCTCGCATCATATCTGGCGAGGATGGCGTCGTAGACATCTTTCATGAACACAGGGAGGTAAGCCTTCATTCTGTCGTGGAATCTCTTGTGTTTATCCGGCTTCCTGTACAGTTCTTGTACGTGATCCATCACGGAGGCCAGCATGGCATCGCGCAGTGGCGCCGAGTCGGGCAGATAAGCGTAGATAGCTCGGATCAGGTCTGTACAGTAGTCTGGAGCTTGATCCTTCTCATAGAGCCAGGTGCGGGCTTTCTTCATTATTTGTGCCCGTAGGTCGTCGATGCCGAGCTTGCCAGCGCTCACGAAGAGCCTAATGCTGAAGTCTGCCTTTCGCCCCGTCCCCACCATCTCCGACGGGGTTTCCCAGCCGCTGGTGTACATATAATTCAGTAGTGCATCGATGGTCAGAGGGTCAGTATTGTTGGGCAGGTATACCATATCCTGGACCTTGAATCAGAGCTCGAAACTGCGAAGCAGGGAGATGAAAAGTTGATATACCCCGTCAGAGACCTTAATGGCGTTTCCCCTGCATTCTTCCGCAACGAAGGTCGACTGCGGGCACACAATAGCCTTGTGCACGTCCCAGGTACGTCCGGGGCAGATGAGTCTGAGGTCGGAAAACTCCCCCGACTTCAGTAGCCTTGTGCGAAGTTAGCTCGGGTGCTGTTATATGCTCACGGTTGCATCGTTCTTACTCTTTCGTGTTCGCCACCAGCTTCCAATAATCTCCTTGCTTCTGTGGTTGAGCTGGGGTGTGAGCTCCGGAGGCCATGGTTACAGTTGGATGTTTGCTGATTGCTCTCGGGGGATGGATGCAGGAGAAAAAGAGATCGAGGTAAAGCAATGGCGTGGATTGGTCTAGCAATTCTGGTTCACATGAGGTGAAGCAACAACTAAGCCGAAAGTGAAGCTCCAAGTATCGACGCCGAAAGTGAAGCTGCAAGTACCGACGGACCCGTGGCCTCCGCCAATGTACCAGACGTCGATGCTGGAAGCACGCTCAAAATCCTCAGAGTCACTCGTGCTCCAACCCTGCCAACCGTACCGTGCACGCACCAGACGCCTACGCTCAAAGTACACTCGACAGCCCCATCCCAGTCCCTACACCGTGTCAACCTACATTTACTTTACACCCGCAGCCCAGATTTACGCCCCAAACCTCCGCGCAAACTCCTCCACAATCTTGGGCGTAATCTCATCACTACTGCTCCCCTCCACCCGCCACAGCACGCCCAAGCGCTCATAATGCCTCAACAACGGCCGCGCATTCTCCTCGAAGCTCTTCAACCGCGCCTGCCACACCTCGGGTTTATCATCATCCCGCTGGATCAACTGCTCGCCCGTCACGTCGTCCTTTCCCGCAATTTGGGGCGGGTTAAAGGTAGTGTTGTACGTGCGGCCGGAAGCGGGATGGATCCAACGATTGCAGATGCGATCGAGGATGATGGAGGTCGGGGTGTGGATGTGGATGACCATGTTGATGGGCAACAACGTGCCGAGTTGTAAGGCTTGCGCCGCGGTGCGGGGGAAGCCGTCGAGGATGAAGCTGGCGTCCGGGTGGTCGGAGTACTCGTATTCGTGTTGTTCGTCGTGCGCGTTGCCGAGGGGGGGGAGGCTGAAGAAGTTGTCGCCCGAGGCTTCGGCGGGCGCGGCTTCGGAGGCGATGGAGTAGTTGACGGTGAAGGGTTGCACGCCGCCTTTGGGGATGAGCCAGCCGCGGGTGGTGAGGGCGTTGCGGATGAGGCGCAGGATCATGGTGTCCGGGACGAGGGCGCCGGAGCGCATGAGGGAGTCGGCTTGGATGCCTGTCATACGTAGCGGTTAGAGTTCGCATCGTGTGTGAGGTGAAGGGGCGGAGGTGTGGATAAGTAGGGGTGTGCTTTACCGAGTGGGGTGCGCTGCCGGACATTCTCGCGAAGTAAGTCGCCGGAGGAGATGGAGGAGAGTTGGGGGTAGCGCTTGAGCATGCGCTCGGTCTGGGTACCCTTTCCCACGCCCGGTGCGCCGATGAGGATGAGACGGGCCGCTCGTCGGAGTTGCATCATGTGACAGACGGTGTTTGAAGGGGCTGACCAAGTTGGGGGTGATTACGTGGTGTATTACAATGGATGTGATGGTCGAAGATGTGCTTTATGCCGAAGCGGTGAGAAGGTACCGAGTACAAAGATAAGCGAATCGTACTCGCGTGACCGCGAGGTGCGACGGGAATGACTAGCTCGTGTCGTACCACATGGTGAATGACAACAAGGGTAAGACAGCGGCGGGGGGTGGAGAGGCTGTATGGGGGGGAGAGGGTAGTGGTGGAGGTGTTGAGAAGAAGATGGTGCCTCGGTGTTGTCGGTGGAATATTTTGGGTGAGGTGAGCTATGTAAAGACTAAACTAAAGATGGGGGGAGATGATTGCCGGGAGCTTCAGATAGCCGATTCATCCCCGCGTCTCCGCAACAGCCCGGCCCGGAGTTTGCAGCGGTAGGGCCGAAGAAGCTTTCGCTCAGCGATGGAATAGAATTTGACAAAGGCAAAAGCTTACAACTCTTTAAGCAAATGCCACTGAACGAGGTACGTGATAATTAGTATTGATCAATCAATACATTCACGAATGTAAGACGCTTTGATGGAAGAGCAGGTGAGATTGAGAGGATATCAGGCTGATGGTTTGATTGATGATGCTGCTTGGGCTTTGGACCGGAAGCGGGCGCGTAGATCTGCCGGCGTCTGCTTCTGCTTCTGCATCTGCACGGCCCCTGTCGATACATTCCACGTGCGGCGTGTGGTGTGAGCTCAGCAACAGCTCGCATCATCACCACCTCATCCTCTTTTCTCTCATCACACTTTACCTATACAACCTCCATCCTCCCAGCATCGCTTGTCCTCATTATACGAGTGACAGCGGTGTGTACTCTATTTATTGGTAAGATGCTCTCCACCAACCGCCACGTCGCCGCCCAGATGGCCCCCTTACTCCTTCGTAATGGCAACCGCATCGCCTTCCAGCGCGCCGCACGCTTCCCACGCCAACTACCCGCCGTGGCCATTCTGGTCCCACGCAAGGCCTTGTCCACCGACACCTCCACCGGCCACGGCAACGAGGGCAACCAGCCGCCACCAGGCTTCAACATAGACCAGGCGCGGAAACCACTGCCGAAGGAGCAGCAGCAGCAGCAGCAGCAGGGCGAGAAGAAGGCACAGATGGCATCCTCTCAAACCCCATCAAAGGCGGCGGCGGCGGAGATGAAAGCGAACGACGTCAACATCCCCATCGCCAAGCCAAGCGAGCGCGCTCCCACCAAAGCAGAGGAGACGCGCAGCCTCAACGAACTCGCCGCGAGCAAGCATGCCGCCGACGAGGCCGAGAACAAGAAGGAACTCGCGAAGAAGGAGGAGAAGAAGAAAATGACCCTCTGGCAACGCGTCATGCACGAAGTCCACCACTACTGGGACGGCACCAAACTCCTCGCCACCGAAGTCCGCATCTCCACCAAACTCGCATACAAAATGGCCGCCGGCTACGAATTGACCCGCCGCGAGCACCGCCAACTCCACCGCACCGTCCAAGATCTCGGCCGTCTCGTCCCCTTCAGCGTCTTCGTCATCGTGCCGTTCGCCGAGCTACTTTTACCGGTCGCCATCCGCCTCTTCCCCAACCTCCTCCCCTCCACCTACGAAGACGCCAAGTCGAAAGAGAGCAAAGCCACCCGCCTCCGCACGAACCGCAAAGAAGTCTCCAACTTCCTTCGTCAGACTTTACGAGAAACCGGCCTGCCCGTCTCCGCCGCCACGCTAGAAAAGGAAGAATTCACCGAGTTCTTCCGCAAACTCCGCGCGACGGGCGAGTCGCCGTCCAAGACCGACATCATCAAAGTCTGCAAACTCTTCAAGGACGACCTCACCCTCGACAACTTGTCCCGGCCGCAATTGGTGGGGATATGCAGGTACATGAACCTCAACACCTTCGGCACGGACGCCATGCTGCGCTACCAGGTGCGCCACCGCATGCGGCAGATCAAGCGCGACGACCGCGCCATTTCGTTCGAGGGGGTCGAGTCACTCTCCGTGCCTGAACTGCAAACCGCGTGCGCCGCGCGAGGGCTACGCACGCAGGGGATGAGTCCGGGGCGGCTGCGGGATGACCTACAACTCTGGCTCGATCTGAGGCTGAAATACGGCGTCCCGTCCACTCTTCTAGTCCTCAGCAACGCCTTCATGTACGCGCAGGGCAAGGAGACGGAATTCGACAGTCTGCTGGACGCTCTGCAGGCCGTGCTCAGCAGTATTCCCGAGGAGCTGTTCCACGAGATCGAGCTGGAAGTCCATACCGCCGAGGGCGCGGCGACGAACAAACAGCGATTGGAGGTGCTGAAGGAGCAGCAGGAGTTGATCGCCGAGGAGAACGAACAAGCCGCCGAAGCGAAGGAGAGGGGTAAGGTGAGCGATCGGGATAATATCGATGAGCAGGATGAGGATGTCAAGCAGGAGAAGGCTATGAAGGCCGAGGAGCAGGCGGACGCGGGAGCAAAGGAGGTGGGAGAAGGGAAGGAAGCGGCGGCAGCGGTGGAGGGGAAGGATGTGGAGAGCGAGAAGACGGCCGCAACGGGCGAGGACGAGGATGCGAAGTTGCGGGTGGAGGATGTGGAGATGGAGCGGGATGCCAAGGCGGCGGCGAAGAAGGCGGAGGGGGGGAAGGCTTGAGTTGAGTCTTCTTCCGCGAGAACACATTTGGGTTTATGTTTCGCAGCTTCAACCACACCCTTCTCTCTCTTTTTCTTTTTTTGTTCGAAGGAGGGGTGGGATAGACGATAGAGTCGATGTACAGAGACGGCCGTGGAAGGGCATGTCGTGGCGTGACAAAGGCGTTGCGGAACCGGGCGTAAGAACCCCGAGGCTTGACGGCTAGTTGATAGCTTTGCCGTCGGTCGGGGGATGGGTAGAACTCGGCAATCGCTGCTCATTCAGCGGATCATATGAACATAGAACAAGAAGCGCGCAAATTCTCATGTCAGGCTTGGCTTATTAGGCGGACGGACTGAAGCCTTTGCCAAACAAATCCCTCTATCCCTCCATCTCATCCCAACCACGTCCGTTTCCAACTATCCCCACTCCATCTAAAAAACAAAAGGTCATACAGCCATCGATCGTGGTAGTCCGCCCCGTCATATCTTCGCCCCCGCAGCTCTCACCATCACCTCCCTCGTCAACATCTCCCCCTCCCTCCTCCTCTCCGCCAGTCGTCCGATGGCTAATAAACGTTCAATCATCTCCTCGTCCCCGAAGTGACTGTTATGTTCGAACTCCGGTTCCTCCCCGTACGCGACCCGCGCGCAGTCGACGAGGATCCGCGCCGTCATGCCGAAGACTCGATACCGAGGCTGGGAGAGGGCAGAGGGGGGGTTGTGGTAGAAGGGGGGTGGGAGGGGGGGTTGGAGGGTGGATTGTGATTGTGATTGTGACTGTGGTTGTGACGGCTTCCCTGGGAGGGAGGCGGCGCCTTCTGCTGTAGAGTGGGGAGGCATGCTTGCGGCAGTCGTTTCTGGCGCGGGTGCGGAAATCTTGCGCGATGGTGTAGTCGGAGGTGGAGTCGGAGTCGAAGTCGGAGGAGTCGTATTGGCCAAGAACACAGTTGACGGCGTGACAGGAACGAAAAACTGATGCATCCGCCACGCGCTCTCGTGCCAGCTATGCCACGACCCTTTGTACCATTCCCCCGGCACCGTGCGACGGATGGTGGGGTCGAGGTCGTGGGTGCGGAGGAAATTGAAGAAGGGTGCTGTGAAGACTGCTGCTACCTCTTTTGCGTCGAGTTTTGGGAGTAAGTCCCGCGAGGCGTCTGGGTTGCGGTTTTGGGCTGATGGAGCGGGGGTCTTGAGGTAGGCTACGCATGGTCGCACTCCTAGTTCGGTCATGGCGAGGTTGGTGGGTAGTTCGGTTAGATGCTCGACTTCGTAGCCGACGGGGAGTTTGTCATCGCGCATAGCCAGTCCGATCTCCTCGAATGCTTCTCGTCGAGCGGTGTGGAAGGGCGTTTCTTGTAATGTATCTGCTTTTCCGCCCGGAAGCGCTGCTTGGCCGGAATAGTTCTTCAGGTTTGCCGAGCGGATGGTCAGGACGACGCGGAGGTCACCGGCGCGGTCGGCGAAGAGGAGGATCAGTACCGCGGCGCGGCGGGTGAGGGGGCATTTGTAGTAGTTCGTTGGTTGGGCGGTGAAGGCGCGGAGGTTGGCTAGGGCTTTCTGGGGAGGGGGAGGTGTTAGTAGGGACGGAGGGGGAGAAGAATGGTGGTTGTTAATGGAGGATAGAGTACCTTCGAGGCGGGTGATAAAGATGCCATGGCGTCGCCGTCGCCATGCTGGCATAGTCTGAGGTGATCTGACTTGGATATCTGGTTGATCGAACATGCGAGTTGCCAACCGAGGTCTGTGGTAGGTGGAGCCGGAGATACGTTACGCCGGCTCACTGCTGCCTTCTTGGGATTAGCCGGTTGTCGCGCGATTCAAGCGTAGTGTCTGTCCCATGTCGCAACGAGTTCTCAGCTCACACAAACATGCGGCATCAAACATTTGCTATGGCTGAGTGGTGGACCACACAATTTGCTTCAGTATATTGGCGGGTCCGCTCTGTTCAGCCTCTAACATTCCTGGCCTTACCTGATCCACGGAGCCGGGAGTGGTGAGCGGAAAGTGTCTTGCAGTGTTGCAATTCTTGCTGGTGTATACCTACACGTATGAGACAGATTCCTCAATGCTCGGACAGGTCTCTCGTCTAGGATGTCCCATATGTGAGCCACAAATGCCGGGCTATGCGCCACTATTCCAAGTTAATCGGCTGGGCGCGGAGAAGTCATTTGTGGCTACCAAGTCTTTCGTGGACGAAATGTATGTCCTTTCTGGCCACAGTATGTGCTCTGGGTGTTTCTGGCTGGGTACGCGCACTTATGCGGTAAACCGAACGCTTTGCCTTAACAATCTGCGGACTGGAACAGATCTGTCAGCTGAGAGCATCCCTCATGCGACCATCATCCCCATCAATCCGGTGAAAGCCCAGCATCTTCCGAGCCCCGTGAAAAGCTGTCACTTCTTGTTTCGCCACAGCTTCACACAACGTAAGACCGGCAGTGGCAAGCAGACTGCAACGGATGTCTGCATACGTTTACCTCCATTAGAGACATGTTGGAGGTGCACGCCGTTTGATGCGATCGCTCGAGCTCAATGCCAACTCAGCTGCACAGCTGTCTTTTCCGGAATGTCTTGCGGTGTGTTCGACTGCTGCTGAGACGCTTCCTTTCACTCTTTCCTGCTCGCTTGTCGTTTACCTGCTATGTGTCTCATACAAGTCTTACTTTCTAATTCGTCGGCCTTGCACCTAAGCATAAAACCCACTTGTCAGCCCTTGCGTTCCACGTCTCCAAGCTCTAACCCCTAATCTGTCCCATCCCTGCACCAACCACAGTCCCGGCGCTGTCCACAATCAGTCTACTCAAAGCATAGTCAGCACAAGAAGTAACTACCAACATGGCCCTGTACGCTAACTTTACCGACCTTTCCGAAAAGTTTGTGCTGATGCTCGACAGAGTACCCATCTCGTCTAAAGCACCTGAGCTCGTGGTTGTCAAGTGCCATGACCGTATCTGGCCGCCGCTCAGTGCCGCGATCGTCTCCGAGAGGTCCAACCTGCTCTCAGCGAACGCCTCACCCGAACTTGATATCGACGACCAGGGCAAGGTCATCCTACGTCTGAACGATGAGGATCCGTACATCGTGGAGTGCCTGCTCAGGTATATCCTTTACGGTGATTTCGTTCAACCTCTACAAGCCACAACGGGGGCTATCCAGTCACAATTCTTCGTGATGGCCTATTCGGCGGCAAGCAAGTTTCGCGTGTATGGTATGCAAGATCGTATGCTCGCCGTGCTAGACGAACTGCTGGCCAACAAATTCGATCCGGCAAACGACGCCAGTCTTGTCCGGGAGCTCTGTCGGGACGATCTGCCCGACACAGCAGACGTCAAGAGACGTATCATATCTCGTGTTTGGAAGCAGGCAGTGAACATCTACACCAACACCACGCGTTACAGAGCTTTCCACGAGGCCGTTTCCAAGATTCACCAGTTCGACAATGGCATCGCCCAGCGGCTCGCGCAGCAAATCAAGGGTATGGGGTACATGTACAAGTGTCAGAGATGTGGCAAGGAGTTCACATACCCCGGGGACATTGGGCCCAAAGCGTGGTGTCCCCTTTGTGGAGTGAAGAATGACACGGTCAAGCTCGGGGCCTTGAAATAGGATTGGTTGATGACGCATGAACGCGGTAGAGTGCGGTGATGATCGCTTCATCGGGCATAGCCGCGGAGTCATACTGTTGGCGGCGTTGTACAGATAGCCTTGGATCAGTTCGCGATGCACTTCTTGACAGCTGACTGTGGACTGCTAACATCACTCGATCGTCGGCGTGTGTGTGCTGGAGAGCGTGCGTAGCTCAGGGCGCGGTATCAAGGCATTATGTCGAAAATTTACTTGCACTTGCCCGCTTCTTGTCAGTCTTTGCATTCGTTCTGCACAGCTACATACATAGTGTCGTCTGCTCCACGGACCAGAAAGTACCTGAAGATAAGGCGTTGCTGCGTGTCCGGCTATGTCGGCATTGTATCAAGCCTACCAGTCACCGAACGCCACTCTCAACCTTGATCAAGACGCTTTTGCCCACTAGCTTGGCCGATATAGGCGCCTTACATCAACTACATGTATACAGAAACGTCTCATTGCCGTCATGGCTTCGATTTGCATATCAAGAGATTCCGCACGCGCTATACGTATACACAAATGAAGCATGACCGGTCAAAAGCCGACGGAGACAGTAGCGCAAACCGCCAATGCGGCGGAACAAGCGGACCCTACACCGATCGTCCCAGATGAAGAACCCTCAGAGCCCATCGCAGCCTCAGATGAAGACGAGACGCCCCGGCAAAGTCGAGATGGACCAGATCTGCGGCCGTCACTCAGTCGAGTGTCAACAGGCCCTCCCTACAGCATCTTCAGCCACAAAGCGAAGATGTTCATCGTTGTAGCAGTCTCCATTTCGTCCCTCATATCGCCTTTCGGCGCTACAACCTTCTACCCGGCGCTCAACGTGTTGGCTGAAGACCTGCACGTGACGCCGAGTTTGATCAACCTGTCCCTTACGACCTACATGGTAGGCTTCCCTTCCACATGCTTGGAAGAGCCCACGCTGAGTAGACTTTGTTGTAGATAGCCCAAGCCATTGCGCCGTCGCTGATAGCGGGCATGTCTGACAACAGCGGTCGTCGACTTTCATACATCGTCTGCTTCGTCATCTTTGGTGTGGCCAACATCGGCCTCGCGTTGCAGACCAGCTACGCCGCATTACTGGTCTTGCGGATGGTGCAAGCGTTCGGATGCAGTGCGGCCATTGCTATGTCATCTGCAGTGGTGGCTGATATCGCGACCTCAGCGGAGCGAGGCAAGTACATGGGGTATGCGACGGCAGGCCTGCTGTTTGGCCCGGCGTTCGGGCCCACCATTGGAGGCCTGTTCGCACAGTATCTGGGCTGGAGGTGGACCTTTTGGTTTCTGGTGATCTTCTCCGGATCGTTGCTTCTTCTATTTGTGTTCTTCTTCCCGGAAACATGCCGAAACGTCGTCGGAAACGGGTCCATACCAGCAAGAGGCGTCAACCAGTCTGTCCTCGGTTATCTGCAACAACGGCGGCACGCCCGGGAGATGACAGCACACCCGGAATTAGAGGCTGCCGAGGAGGCAGCGGACGAGAAGATGACGAAGAAGCGTGGCTTCGCTTTTCCAAACCCGCTCCTGACCTTCAAAATCCTGGGCGAAAAGGAAAGCTGCATAGTGTTACTGTATAATGGCTTCTTCTTCACGGGCATGATTGGTCTCGCTACACCGGCACTCTCCGAGCTCTATACAGAGATTTATCATCTGAACACGCTCGATCTCGGCTTGTGCTATATTGCCATGGGAATGGGGAGCTTGGTCTCGGCTCTAACGATGGGCCATGCAGTTGACTGGAACTTCCGAAGACACGCCAAGCGTTTGGGTATAGTCATCAATAAAGGCAGACAGCTGGATCTGCGTAACTTTCCGATTGAAAAAGTACGCTTGGAGGTCGTCGTGCCAGGGCACATCGTCGGTACGATCGGGTTTCTCATCTTTGGTTGGACGCTGAAGTTCGAGACGAGCCTTGCAGGTCCCGAGATTGCCATGTTCATGATCGGATTCGGTGTCTCAACTGCCTTCAACTTGACGAATACTCTGCTGATCGATCTGCACCGAGACAGTCCCGCGACAGCGACTGCTGCGGTGAACTTTGTTCGCTGCCTAATGTCGGCGGTTGGCGCGGCAGTCATCATACCGATGTGTCATGCGATGAACCCCGGCTGGGCTTTCACATTTATATCGCTACTGTATGTGGCACTCATAGCGATGGTGTTCTTGTTAATGGCCAAGGGTCAGAAATGGCGTACTGAGGCGGCCGATAGAAAGGCTGCGAAGGATGCCAAAGCGAATGCAACGGAAGATGTCGAGGCATTGTCGCAGCTTGATGATGACACACCCCCAGTGCAGGAGAAGATTAAGGACAAGAGATAGGTGGAGATAGCTCTCAGCCATCTTTGCCACCTTCCACAACGAAGAAGCGTCCTACTGTCTTGCTTGCCGTGCTCAACGGATCCCACTGCTGGTCACCACCTTCCGCATGAGTGCTGGGCTTGCGTCGCACGCGCCTATGGCGACCTTTGACTTCTTCCTGCTCCAGTGCAGACTGCAATGCCGCTAACCCCAGTTCGGACTCTCGCTCGCCGTGAATAGTCTCATCGCGTAGGCCATGCAGCGGTTCGATGCCTGTCGTCTCTACCTTCTGTATCTCCTTGACAAAGTGAAGCTGCGATGACAGCGTTGAAAGCATGCTGGCTTCCTCCACCCGATCCTTGGGTGGCGGAAGAGCGGACAGTCGAAGCAGGTGATGTAGCTGCTTAGGTGTGACCTCTGGTAGGTCTAAGGCTGCGTCTTTGGATGGGAGTAGTGATGCAACCGACCATACTGGCTTGGCCAAGAGGCTCTCCACATCGACTTTGCCTTTATGGTCCTGACCTGAACTTTGCTGGCGTGCAAAGCTCAAAGCATGCCGACTGTGGCATCGTTGAGCGAGGCGAGCGCTATCGAAGCGTCGCACAGGACGAAGACCACACGATAGCATAGCTGGTCACGAGGACGGTGAACAGCTTGTACACGCAACGAACCCATTCTCGTTGTGGATGACATTGCCAGGAACAAGCGCACAAATCCCCTGACAGGCCTAAGGCATCAACGGTCGGCACCCACTCAAACAGCAACCCGACCGTTGTCTGCAGCAATATATGGGTACAGAGAGTACTCTGCTCATTACGCTCGTGCCATCAGCGAGGTAAGACAATGTAATGATGCTGGGCAGCACTTGCACTGCTCAGCTGTGCAATCCTACTCTGCTGGGACATCCACATTCAGGGCACACCCAGAACGGACTTTGCCGCCGAGCGCTCGAGCTCCATAGTTGCACGTCCAAGGATCCTCTGACGCAGCGTAACTGAAGACGAAATACGAGCTACATACCTAACTTTCCTGGATGTCCGTTTTGGTGCGGGCTACCATTCAGCTCGTGGTGCCATGCTTGGAAGGCACAAATGCTGCTTTCAACCATGGGGCACAAAACATGAAACACTGTAAAGCGTCTCTGCATCATGGATAGCACTCGCGCAGTGATGTGCAACCACGGGATCATTTTCTGGGCGTAGGACGCCCGTTGCCTCCTCAAGCACTAGACAGTTCGTCAGACACATGGGCCATCTTGTACCGTGCGGAGGAGGTATTGGAAGAGCTCATGTAGGTATCCAATCTGCTGCGAGTACTGGAGGGCCGAACACTAGTCAGCACTTCGAAGGCCAACGCACAGCTTAGAATTGGCTTCACATGCATGAGGAGCTCGAGAAAGGGACAAGTCATCAGTCAGGACGCTGGGCGGAGTGACCCTTCATGCTCCAGCGCGCCACAGAAGCGTAGCAGACAACTGCAGGTGGCATTGTGAACAGACGGTGTTGGCTGTCATACAGCACTTCTGGCTGTAATTTTTCGTCGGTCGTGTCGGACTTCATCAGGGACATTTGCAAACTGCCTGTGGCCAGCCATCGCACTGCCATCCACTAACACCACGTGGGCGTGCAATCGCGAAGACGTACCTGAACACTCCTGATGTACAAGTCATCTACGGAACGAACACAGCAGCCTGGTGCTCGAACGAACGGCTACGCGATCTACAGCGGTCCGAATGCTCTGTACGACGGCAGCTCAGGTCGGCGATTACACTAAGTGCTTCGGCAGGAGATCCGTTGTACACTTCGACCTCGGTCTGCACTCAGCCAAGTGCGGAACGACAATCAGCAAGTTCGGGATAGGCCGGATCCAGCTCAGCAGGCGGACTCATTGCAGCAAACGGTATATCGCCCGCACTCAGTTCCATTCTGACAATGTTCCATGAGTCAGTGAACAACTAAGGACTCTTTGCCTGTTGCGAATTCTGCCGCGCCTCGCGCCTGGGATCTCTGTAACCCTCCAGTCGCTAACATCAGGCGGCAAGTATCGCCGTGTCCGCCGTGGAATCAGAGGGGTAAGACCAGGGTATTCGATGTAGCTGGGAGCGAGCCACGACTGCCGATGAAACTCAAACCCAGAAATGTCAGCCTCTCGGCACACCATGCCGACTATCTGGGCGCCTCTGTCAGACAAACGGCTTCATTTCCATTTAGCCTGATACAAGAAGAGGGTAAGGATCAGCAACCTGCAGACGCCCCGCATGTCGCGACCACGCGACTCATAGATGGGACTCTGGGGTTGCCCGTGGGGAGGATCGAGAGTGGTCTAACATGAGCGCGACCATGGAATCCCATTCAAGTCAATGCAGATCTGTTGCCCCCGGTTAAATCCATGACTCGTAACTGCAGGTATGGTATTTGTTATAAGAAGACGAAGAGGACAACCCTGACTGCGATACCGTACGATCACGGACGATCTTCTCTTCCTACCTTACAGCCTTCACAATCAATCCCATCCCGTCACGCACGATGGGCAACCAGCAGAACCAGATCGTTGTCGGGACCGGCCGTGGTGAGGCCACGGTCAATGTCCAAGAGCTGCTCACTAAATCATGGTATCAATATCCGCACCTGCGAATGCTCTATGGTTGGCTCAGTGTGGTCCTCATGGTCCAGGCGACCAACGGCTTCGACGGCTCGTTGATGAATGGTACGAGTCAAATGGCGGACCGTGTGTGCAAGCGAATGGGACTGACAGACGCTTCTAGGGTTGCAAACGCTCACCTACTGGCAATCGGTAGGTCTAGACAGCATGCTCACCGACCGCACGGACGGTTGCTGACAGAATCGGCAGTATTTCGGCCATCCAACCGGCGCTCAACTTGGTGTGTTTAACGGCACCCAAGGTTTGGGCAGCGTCTTCGCAGTCTTCTTCCTCTGGTGGCTCGTGGAGAAAATCGGTCGTAAGCTCACTATTATCGCTGGTGCCTTCATCATCGTCCTTGGCGTCTTCATCCAGTCCTTCGCCACCAACCTCGCAATGTTCGCCTCCGCCCGCGCCATCATCGGTATGGGCTTGTCATTTGAGTACACCGCTGCGCCGATGCTGGTCACTGAGCTCGCACATCCAACCCACCGAGCTCAACTCTCTACGCTGCTCAACACACTCTACTACTTCGGTGCAACTCTGGCCGCTTGGGTCACGCTTGGCACACTGACGATCCAGAGCGACTGGAGCTGGCGCAGTGTCTCGCTGTTGCAGATGTTCCCATCCATCATCTCGATCCTTTTCACATGGTTCGTACCGGAGTCTCCACGTTGGCTTGTCAAGAAGGGCAAGGTGGAAAAGGCCCGCGACATCATCCTCAAGTATCACTGTGGAGGCGACGAGAGTGATCCCTTGTTGGCCCTGGAGATGCACGAGATCGAGAGCACCCTTGCCTTTGAGCGTGAAAACAGTGGTGGCAGCTGGCTCGAACTGTTCAAAACTCGTGGCAACCGATGGAGAACATGGGTGGTTTGCAGCTGTTCTTTCCTGACCCAAGCGACCGGTACCACTCTTATCGGCTACGTATGTCAAGCGCTTACGCCGTTGAAAGGACAGGCTGACACGCTATCCGCAGTATCTCGTGGTCGTGCTGAGTGGCATCGGTATTACCAACCCTCGTACCCAGTCGATCATCAACGGTTGCCTAACGATGTGGAATATGGGTTGGGCTTTCTGGGGTGCTTACGTGGTACGTATGAACTGGTTTCTAGACTCACAACACCTGCTGACCCGTTGTTGTGGCCTTAGATCGACAAGTTCGGCAGGCGCAAGATGATGTTAAGTTCCCTGACCGGCCAACTGCTCCTCGGCTTCCTGCCATGGACGATCTGCAACGCCATCTACACAATGCGTGGTACCTCAGGCGCCGGCTACGCCGTCATCGCGTTCATCTTCATCGGCTCGGCCTTTTACTCCACAACATGGAACGGCATCCTTACTGGCTACACCGTTGAGTGCATGAGCTACGACGTCCGCAGCAAGCTCATCGTCTCCCAGAACTTCCTAGTACAGGCCAGCATCACTGGGTTCAACTACCTCAACCCAGTCGCGTTGCAGAACATTGGCTGGAAGTATTATGTGGTCATTGATGTCATCATCGTCGTGGCGTGGGTTGTTGTGTACTTCACATACCCCGAGACGAGCAAGATCACGCTGGAGGAGGTCAGCACCATCTTTGACGGGGAGAGGGCAAAGCATGCCATCCTGGATGAGGACATCATGCAGGAGGCAACCAAGTATTCCGCGGATGACAAGGCGACGGTTATAGAGAGGAGAGAGGTTGCGTCCGAGGCGTAGACGGAGTCTTGCCGAGTCGTAACAATGCAATCATCTGCAGCTTAGAAGCATGATCCTGCGGGATATACTCAGCCGCTAATCATTCAGAGCGCGAGGGCACAGTTGTATGCTAACGAAGCTTCTCTCGTTGCCCAAGACGGATTGAGACATTTTGAAGGATTCTGTGGCGTGTCAATGCGAACATCTGCGATCCTGCGCAGCGCTTGAGTGCTTACGCATGGTTGCTGCCTTGGCGTCAGATCCCGATCGATGAACATGAGCTGCAGCGGTGTCGCACAACACTCGGCCGAGTGATTGACGACCATGTGTACTTGACCTACATTGCATGAGCGACATGCATGACGCCGATCTTGCGCGCCACCGAGTATACAAGCGTTTGTACACAAGACTGTCGGATGTCGTTCGCCACCGAGCAAACAGACCGACGTGGAGTATCGGCGGTATCCATTGGCGCCAGCGTGCTGTTGTTGTGCAACTTGTCCCTCAGTCAAGGCGCCCGCAGCAACTGAGCCTCGTTGGTTGACACATCGTTCCCTGCTGTACAAGGTAGGGTAAGGGACTGGCTCATCCGTTTGTTTGGAGCGGCACGAGTGCGGAGTGACTTCTCCAACCCGTGCAACTCCCGTTCAACAGAATTTGCAAGCTGCATGGGACGATACCAGGAACAGGTATGTGAAGCTGTAGACAGGAATGATCTACGTTCGATGCTTCTTCTCAGAGTTCTGGCTCTTGCAGATCGTCAAGGGGTGCCGGATCGCCTTGCCCTGCCGCTGATTGTTCAGTTTTGCCGCGGTCATCTTGGGTTAGCTTCGCTGCATGCTTGGTCCTGAAATAGCTCCAACTGCGCTTCATTGGTGGGGAGTGTTTGCGCAATCGCCAGATGTTGCCCGTCTTTCAATTACTCGTCGAGGACTTTACGACCAGTGACCAGACACCCCGGGACGGCGGGATGGGCATTCAATAGAAGAAGCGTTTACGTCTTCTTCGAAGTGTTTTCTAGGCGCAAGCATCGACGCACGTCTTTCTGGGCTGGACTCAAATCGCTCCCTTAGCATCAGCCACCAAACGACCAGCTGATCCACCATTACTGCGCCTTCGATTAGGAAGCAGCAAGTGGTTGCTTATTCGAGCCCATTCGCCTTACCCGGCGTTCATGAGGTTGCCGCTGCAGCAACTGTCGTCTTTGCTATCTTCTTAAGCCATAACCGCAGGTCGCAAGACACCCGCACAAGGCGTGCATACGCATACTCCGAGAACTACCGTCTTCTCGGACCTGAGATCGCTATGTTAGCCTTCATGCCCGCACATTCACCGCACCTCTCTAGCATTCACGCGACCTCAGATCCATTCACGAGCGCGATGTCAGTTACTATCCTGCCTTCGTCGCCTATGACCTGCAGCCAGGCTCCCGTGCCCGCGCTTCTTCCCATGGCGACGGTGCCGTCGAAGAAACCGAAGCTCTCGCTCGATACAACGAACACATCACCTCTCCTAAGAGGGAAGGCATCGACCAGTCTGCGACTGGAGACGCTCTCGGCGACGTCGCCAACAATCCGCAACACTTTCCGTAACGGACCTGATGCTGTGCGTTCTGCAAGACGTCCGGCGCTACGACCTGCCTTGACGCCTTTAACGACCAGTGTCCCTTCGGACCCCATCAGGAAGCCGACGCCCATACGCACAGAGGCACCTAACTCCGCCGAGTCTGCAGATCTCTCGTCCTCAGCAAGCTCCGTTGCTTCAGTCTCAACGGTCGACTCTCTTGCATCCGCTGTGCCGTACACAGTTGCTTTCAACTTGAACTCGATCCTCTCGAACGGCCCGATACCGCGAGCACCGAGACGTGTACAATTGCGGCCAATGTTTCCGCGGGCGAAGAAAGTGGCCTTTCGGGCGCCTTTGACCGAAGACATCGAGACGAGCAAGTACACCTTGTCGCACTACGACGTTGCATCGTCGATGATAACTCATTCCACACCTGGAGTACCACCATCGCAACACCGGGAAGACGAGGATGTGCCGTTAGAAGAACCGCGCCACGAGGGCGTTGACGCCGTGGCCCACATGACGTTAGATGAGACCTCGCATCTTAGTGCAAATCCTGAAGCGCACGCCGAAGGTGATGCAGATGAGACTGTACCCATACCATGCACGCCAGTTGCTGGCAGGAACAAAAGAGATCGCGAATGGTGCTGGACCCTAGGTCCCGTAGACTCGTCCGTTTCCGCCATCGATCAGAGGCACGAGAGAGGCATTGACGCTTGCGAGGCGGACGCCAAAAGCTGACGACATGCCTTTGCTGCCGGATCGTGTTACATGAGTAGGTGTTAGGACGTGGTGCAATTGCCGGTTTTGCATGGCTTGCTTGGAGATACCCCCATTAGCGATAGATGAATCCGTAGGATATGAGACATGATTGTCGTCATCAGCACGTCGTGCCTTCCATGTTGGCGTGCCAAGCTCAATCAGCGTGTTTGAGCGATCTTTCCAAGCCTCAGATATGCACATTCCTGCGCTTTCTTCCGTGCCGTCACACGCTGTGACATGTAATCAAGCATTGTCTTATGTCAAATGATCATTTGCTGTAATCAGTGTGGCTTGCATACCTAGATATCTGGGCAATCTTCACGACATCACAATGTTCACCATTGCATCGCTCATAGACCTTTTCAACTTCCGTGTACCAGGCCGACGCTGGCAATTGTTCGAGATCTCTGACCTTGATATGTATACTGCCCTCAGCATTTGCTGCGGCGACCTCTGCTAAAAGCGGATCCAGCACTCCAACCTTCGTCAAGCACTGCTGTCAGAACACTCTGACGGCACAATGGACACAACGTATGCCCATCGTCCAGCAGCAAGCTCCAGCCGAGCTTGCTGCAGCTGCCCTTTGTACCGCTTTCGACACCATCGAGGACATTGACACCGCGGACTGGAGAGTAATTGACTTTTGCTCCGGTGGTGGCGGTATGCTATGTTCACGCCCTGAGACCACACCGTTATCTAACGTCTCTACAGGGCCAGTACCCGTCATTGAACGCCTATTCAACCATAAACGGAGACTGGACGGCAAGAAGGCAATCCCATTCCGCCTGTCGGACCTGCACCCTAACTTGGATGCTTGGATGGACCATGCTGCGCGTTCATGGAATCTGTCATTCATCCCACAGCCGGTTGATGCAAGCAACCCTCCCTTCAGCGCCATCAGCGCCACTACAACCGAGTCGAACATTCAACATGACGCGCGACAGCACGGCTACACCTCAGATGGGAGTAAGGTCGCCAGACTCTATTGCCTCTCATTCCATCACTTCGATGATGAAACTGCTAAGGAAGTCCTCCGCAGCACGCTAAAAACAAGCGATGCATTTGCCATTGTTGAGCTTCAGGAAAGACGCGTTGGTAGCTTGTTACTGATGCTACTCGAATTCTGGCTATTGTTCGTTGTTATAGCGCTCTGGTTCTGGCACGACAACGCTCATTTGCTGCTGACATACGCAATTCCTGTGTTACCGTTCATTCATTGCTTTGATGGCTTGGTGAGCTGTCTTCGCACAAGGACGTTCGATGAGACCATGAGTCTTATCGAGGCTGTTCAGGGAAACTGCGAGAGCCGGCAGACCTCTGGCGGTGGAGTGCTCCAGGGTGGTTGGCACTTTACTCATACGAGGCAGCTTCACACTTGGCCGCTGGGATACATGACGGTAATCTTCGGCAAGGCAGTTGACAGCGAAGGGAGCTTAATAGCGAGCAGTTGAAGTATCGCTGTTCATGATCTCGACAATGGCGAATCCTATTGGGTATAGTAATGCAGCCAACGGGGCTGCGCCGGGAGGAGTGCTCACGAGCTATCGCTTGCGGTATTCCACTGTCTGATCGTTAATCTGTCAGACTTCACAACCGTACGCCAACCGGGTTCACGCTTCTTCCGTGCCTACTACAGATGGAGGTATGAGGGAAGACAAGATGCTGTAACGAACAACGAAAGCCATCGATCGCTCCGCATCGCACGGACCATACCTGCTCGCTACGACAGAGCGCAACGTCATCCCGTGCCGTGCTCGACAGCCATGCCTGCATTGCCTTTGGCACATGTTTCCAGCCTACGCTGTGCCAGATGGAAAGTAGCAAAATAGGCTACAAAGCTAGGTCTATCAATGGTCATGTAGCATAACGCATGTTCTGGAGCGCCATACTATCGCCTTGCAAGCAAGCCGGGTAGTCTGCCTTAAGATCCCGTCCTTAAGACAATAATCTTTCTTTGTGACGCTGGGAAGTGGTTAAGACGTCAACATGGCGGACGGAGCACAGTCAATGGCCAAAGGGCTGATCGGCAAGCTACCTGGGCCTGACAAGGTACCCGACGTGCCAGACAAGGAGAAGCTAATGAAGACCCTTGAGGAGAAGACCGGTGACTTTCCGGAGAAAGAGCAATTAATGACGGCGCTGGCTGCGCAGCAACAAGCGACCGGCCTGTTCGCGAGAGCGTCGGCTCTGAAAGACATGGCGATGAAAGCGCTGAACCCAGCGGAGCGGCAGAAAATGATGCAAGAGGCATACGACAAAGAGCTGGAAGCGAACGGAAAGAGCAAATGGGCGTCGCGGCTAACAAGCGGACCTTGGCAAGGCGGTATGGGTGGTGCTGGCATCGGTGGAGGTGTTGGTATGGGTTTGGGAACAGTCGTTGGTACGGTGGTGGGTGGCGTGGTGAGCTTGCCAACCACCGCCTTGGGCGGGTTGGTGGGTGCAGGTGTTGGAGGGATCACCGGGCCGTTTGTAAAACTGGACCAGAAGAAGGCAAAGGAGGTTGAGGCGAGGGAGCGAGCCAAGGGCAAGAGTGACGAGGAGGTTGCTGAGGCAGTAAAGAAGGAGGCAGTGACTGAGGATCCCTCGGGTGAGGCAGACGCAGATGCAGGCGAGGGTGCGTCTGACGAGCCCGCTCAAAGTTCCGGCCATGGCGCTGAGTTCAGCCAACCGGAGCAAGGGTCCGCGAAACGCAATCTTGAGCGGCAACATAGCGGTGGTGGCGTGCCGACGCAACAACAAGATGCCGCTTCAGAAACGCCGACTAAAGCTCGCAAGAAGCCCAAGAAGATCGAAGTCAGGTCGGGAAAGAAGGCGAAGAGCGACGCGTGAAGACTTTGAACGGAACTCAATGACGGGTTCACTCGAATAAGAACTGCGTACTGGAAGCACTGAATGTGACCAGGTGGGTCTGGAGAAAGCTATTGGATGTTGTCTGGTTAGTACTTCAACGTCGTTGACAAGTTCTTACCTTGACTGCCAGAAATACGCTCTGACTACGGCTGTCTTGGACGGCAAATTGATCGATCATACCAGCCCTCCCGGCGATGTGAGTTCAAGTCATAGAACAAGGCCACCAAAAATGTGCAGGTTGCGAGGATCTGGAGCGCCAGCCTGAGATGAGGTCTCTTGGTTAGGAGGCAGCACCAAGGAAGGGGTCGTTGTCGCCGCGGAGCTGGGCGTCGGTGTCGTGTCTGGTTTGGCGAGTAGCCTGACGAGTGCGGCATGGCATACACTGTCACGCTACGTTCAGTAGACGGTTCGGTTGATTTGCTGTGCCTTCTGCTAAGGAAGTAAGCAGGGGGTGGCTTCATGCTTTACAGACCTGAACCGTGTTGCTAAAGTTGAACTATCATTGAACGTCAATTGCCCAGCACCCTGGAGCACTCTCCCATCCGACAGCCGGGGCCGGTATAACCCGCATGCATGAGGATCCGGGGTAAGCTCATGCTCACGACAGTGGAGGCAGCCGTCAGCCATCATAGTAGGCGCTCTAGGTTGGTCGAAATTGGGTCCATCCCTTGAGCTTCCGAGAAGACCCGCACTCCAAAGCCCTCCTTTGACAGTTCGGCTGCGAGAGTTCGTGAATGTTGTGATGCCGATCCGTTCCCCATGCTTGCAGCCCCCCTCAAAGCCTCGGCAGCCACCGCCGCCGCATTGACATTTCCAGACTTGGGTCGGCTTTGCGGAGCGCATTCGGCGTAAGAATGACCGCGGTCTCGTGAGCGCCATTGACTCACATGCATTTCACTTCTACTACAACTCTTCCTAGTCACCAGGAGTTGTACTATTGCGTTGGCCGTCAGGCCACCAAAACCTCACCATGTCGTGGAAGAAGGTGAGCTTGACTCGCATGAGCCAAGATGATCTCCTACTGACAGGACGACAGTCGACTGCGCTGATGGACACCATCAAGCACTACAGCAGCTTCCCCGCGACCGGTGTCTCATTACGGCAAATGGTACAGTTCGGTCAAAGTGTGTCGACGGGGACACTATTTCGCGCTTCGCAGTTTCTGTCCGAAGAGTTGCCCATTCGGTTGGCGCATAGAGTGCAAGAGTTGGGGGACCTACCCGATGGCTTGAACGATATGCCAAGTATTAAAAAAGTGCAAGACTGGTATGCGCAGTCGTTCGAGGAGATTACGACTCTACCGAAGCCGAGCTTGAGCACAGAGGTGAAGGAGCGTCTGTCAAAGCCCGCCAAGAGTACTGGGAAGCCCTCACGCATCCTCAGCGAGACGACGCACAATCCTAGCGTAAAGCCTGGTCAATACAAATCGAATGCAAAAGGAGTGCCGGGCGAGGACAGCTCTGCTAAGCGAACGGGCAACGTGCGACGGTATTATAGTGCCGCAGACGACAACGGCGAGTGGCCTCCCGAGTTGAGCGACTTTAACACACGCTTCGCAAAGCTGTTGGAGAAGATCAAACGACGACATGACCCTGTGGTGACCACCATAGCGCAAGGCATTCTCGAATACAAGCGGAAACGGCAACGCATGCAGATCGACCACCACATCCAAGCCTTCCTCGATCGTTTCTACATGAGCCGTATTGGCATCAGAATGCTGATAGGCCAACATATTGCTTTGACTGACCAACGAACGCATTCGGATCCGAACTATGTGGGCATCATCTGCACGAAGACGAACGTACGGGATTTGGCACAAGAGGCTATCGAGAACGCTCGCTTCGTATGCGAGGACCACTATGGCTTGTTTGACGCACCGAAGGTGCGATTAGTATGCGACCCCGGCCTGAGCTTCATGTACGTACCTGGCCATTTGTCGCACATGCTGTTCGAGACGCTTAAGAACAGCTTGCGGGCGGTTGTTGAAACGCATGGGCAGGAGAAAGAGGAGTTTCCTGTCACTCAAGTCATCGTGAGCGAGGGACGGGAAGACATTACTTTCAAGATTAGCGATGAAGGAGGTGGAATACCGCGGTCAAGCATACCGATGGTGTGGACGTACATGTACACGACTGTTGATCAGACGCCCAGTCTGGACCCGGACTTCAATAAGAGTGACTTCAAGGCGCCGATGGCTGGTTTTGGATATGGATTACCGATCAGTAGACTGTATGCGAGATACTTCGGCGGTGATCTGAAGTTGATCAGCATGGAGGGGTCAGTAATCCACCTTAGTTGTGAGTATAGCGTGTCCACCAGCTGACCATCAAGCAGTTACGGCACAGACGTGTATTTACACCTCAACCGCCTCTCCTCGTCATCGGAACCACTTCAATGACAACGACCAGTCATGAGGGATGAATGGACAAACACTACTGTGCTAAATGGAGGTCTGACGTCCTCCAGCACACAACAGCCGGCCGGCACGAGGACCGGCTACGCCGACTCGCGTTCATTCCAAGGATTGACACGCGTCGGAAGACAAACCGAGTTAGACCGAGGCGCTAGCCTCAACCTGGCCGCAAGGGCCATGAAGTTGAAGATTAAGGACAGCAAAGGTCTTGACAGTATCATGAGAAATCGAGAAGTTAGCGAAAGGAGACAGGTAGGTGACGCGGAAAGCATGATGGGCAGCCGGGAGGGCGTTGGAGGAAAGCCGGGATGGTGGAAAGATGTAGGCATGGAAGAGGGCCTGTGAGCAAGCTCCTCACGGTCGGCTTCACCAGGTGTCTGGTGCGTTGCGTGTGCAATTTGGGGGTTGTAAAGATGTCTTGCAAGGCTCGCAAAAGCGATCTGCGTTGCCTACGAAAGCGGCTGTGAAACGATACATAGGCAGTACAGACACATTCTTGAGAACAGAAACACGCTCGATCGTCAGTGAAAGCACTGTGAAACAGACATCGAGGTTAGTCCGCCTCCTCGCCAGACTCACGCCAACGATCATGCTCCCGCCATGGTCCATTAGAGCGCGATCTGCTGCCCTCAATGGTCGACGCTAGCGTGGAATCGTGGTTCAACCGGTCCACTTCCGCTCGTACACTGCCCTCCTCGGCGTCTTCAACGTCGCGATACTGTATCGCTTGACGCTTCGGCCCGCCATCTACACTGCCCTGTTCGTTGGGCAGACGAATGGCTGAAGGCAGCCACGCGGAGCTTGATGACGGCGAGAGCAGGATTGCGATCTGAACTAGGTTAGCCATGCGATCTCGATGTACATATGGCAAGGAGATATTACTCACCTTCCACACAAACACCGCCAATGGGACGATTAGAAGCATTATAGCCACCTTCCTCTCCTCGTCACGCCACGGCTCGATGCAGGCTGTAGTCCTTTCGTAGCGGACCATGCAGGCGTCGGCGTTGTGTCCGTTACCCGGGAAGGGATAAGCCATGTCCTTCGGGCTGTTGAGCCCACAACATTGGAAAGCATCCTGGATCTTCTGGATGGTCTCGGCATCTCTAGCGCGGAACAGACTCTGCCATTGCTCCCTCAAGGCGCAGTCCAAGCTGCCAGGTGGCGAAATGTGCGTGCCAGCTAGAGTCGCAAGAACGGTCTCGAAGATCAGGAAAGCTACAATTGTGATTTGAACCACCCGTGACGTCTGAAGATGGCCCTTTGCGGCAAGACCCTCGTTAAAGGCAATGACCGCCTCAAGGGCGATGCCGGCAAGAGGTGGGAGAGCCACACAGAGACCAGCTATGATGTCGGCAATAGGCAGAGAGTAGACATGCGCACTGTGGAGTGCGTAGGCAGCAAGGGCTGTCAGCGCGCTAAGATACTGAACCCTCTTCGTTAGAGCGTAGCTACATTTACGTAGGCATAGATAGCTTACCACAACGCTGACGCCTGTGACTATCTGTCGTCTCGTGATGGCCATGATGCCTGCTTATGAGAGCGTGTATGCGTTCGCCGTGCGATGAACGCAGAGACACTGCACGTTCTGCTCCCGAGGGTGCCACTGTTTCCTCCTTCAAGCCAAGGACTCGAGACAGTGCACTGTATAACGACGTAGCGATGACGGCACAATTGAAAACACAAGAAATGAAGCAGTCGAAGTACAGGATCAAGAAATAACCAATGCGCGGAGCCCTGCAGCTCGAATCACGAACAGGAACACTTGGGAGGGGTAGATTGAGCTGTCTGAAACTTGATGCGGTGATGGTGTGGTGCGCCAACGCGTTCTATTCGCGCTGCACGCGACATGCGCAGATGGAGCCCTCGGAGCTGCAGACGATCGGCAAAAGCTGGGGTGACACTTGCAAACCATCTGTGACAGCAGTAGCGCTTGCAGCTCGCAAAGTCGATCATAAATTTCATTCACGTGCTCGCTAGAACGCTATCAATGCTCCCACCATTTAGATGACAATGCTATCAACGTCACAGACATCATGGTCTCCGCGTCCTCGAACCAAGGCTTGACCGCTCGCCATAACGGCGCTGTAACTCACGCAGTACTGTTTCACAGAGGCGAGCAGCCCCTGCAATCCAGTGTCATCGTCCGCCAGATGTACGATCACTTCTCTTGCAGAAGTACCTCTTCTCACGAAGTAGTGTCCGTCATATGCGTACCATTCTTTCTCCAAGGCATTCTCGACTTGCTGCCTCGTGAACGTCTGCGTGTCTGGCCATGTCAAGAATTGGTCAGTGTTGGAGTTCTGGAGAGACTCGGGAATAGCGCCGTTGGCGCCTTCCATCCGCGCTAAGATATCGAGCGCAGCGGCGTGCGTCGATGGCAGGAGGCTGTCCAGATTGTCGATCGCCCATTTGGATCGTTGCAGGAACTCGGAGACGGTTAGCATGGCCCGCAACACTTCGAAAACAAGCGTCAACACCCTCTGCGAGTGTGGCAAACGTAGCAATCCAGGGTGATCCAGCACTTCCGAAATGGGCGTCTTCAAGCTGAGAAGTACGGATATAAGCATGTCCTTCATAGCCTTTGAGTGTTGTTCGTCCGTGACCGCGCTCTGGTACATCAAAGAGTCTACGGTCATCGCGCAGGCCTCCAGAATTGGCAGTGCCAGGATCCACGAGCACGCGGTAGATAAGGCCATCCGAATGTACGCAGGAAAGATTGCGGTAAGCAGGACGTGCCGCAAGCTTGGTGACTGAGTGCTGCTGCAGTCCAGCACGCCGTCCATGGCGCTGACAAGCTGCTGGACAAGATACGCTTGCTGATCATCGACGGCAGCTCGCTCACTGACCGTATGCACGAATACAGCGAGCTGTTTCCTCGTCCTGCCATCTGCCAGCTTTGGTACGTAACTCTTCAGCCTGCCTTCAACGTACATCGGGTCTCCAGCGGGCAGAGGGAAAGCGGAGGAGTTTGTAAAGAAGCCATCGACCGGACAGATATCGATGGTGTGCTGCTGCAGAAATGAAATTATATGCTGGACGAACTCGACGTACGAGCCTTCCGCATTCGCATCGGCTGATGTGTTGTTGGGCGAAACGCAGAGCTCTTGGTAGTTGGACTTCATGGCTAGCATGAGCGCTTTTAGGAGATCACCGTATTCCTTGCGCAACTCCAACACATACCCCGGCCGGGTACGTAAGGTCTTGTCGAAATCCTCCCGCATGTTAGAAAGGACGATGGAGAGTACAGCAAGCCTTCGTACACGTATGATGTCCAAGCTAACGTCGAAGCGAGCGGTTCTCGGATTGCGAGTGAACGGCAAGTTATGCAGCATGGCGTGATTGTTGTGACTGTTGCTTAAGGCAGCAGTGAGTAGGTGTTGATGCTTGAGCAGCGCCTCCCGTTCGACAAGCGAAACCAGCCACACTCTGAGCGAGTCCACCTGGAGTTCCGAGTCCCCAGGGACACCTCCTACAACGAGCCGGGCGTAGAAGTACGGTGTCCACTTGCGTTTGTGGTCGGTGTCACGAAGCTGGCGCCATGAGTCAATTGAGTACTCGTCTGTGAAGCTGCTCAAGCTTCTTCTACCGGCTTCGACGGCGCTGTGGACAATGTCCGCCCAAACGTCGACAAGCCCAGCTAGTATCGTGTCTTCCACAGGACCATCAGACCCGAAAATGTTCGACAAGAGCTGAGCTACTCCGCTTTGGAGTACTTCGCTTATGCTACTATGCTCCGCAACAGATCCGCCTTGGCCTGTGGTTAGCGCCTGCAAAGCGTCCAGGTCGCCGTAGTCTTGGCTCTCCTCGCTTTCCAGTTGACTCTCTGGCATGCGTAGGAGCTTTGATTCGACAGTTAATGCTGTCTTCAGCACCTGAATAGCTTCGTCTAATACAACGAGCAGTCGTCTTTCGGAAACATCGAACGGTACGAAGATCTTCCAAAAATTGCAGCCTTGGATGAGAGCCACCGCAGTTGGCAGATTGTTTGTTGCATTGAGAGCTCGTTTGAGACCGGCCAAAACATCCACCAGAGTAGCAGCGATCTGCCTCTGATTGCTTGCAATTGTTGTTGTGAGCATACAGTCTGTTATGGCAACAACGCCCTGCGCCCTTGCCGTTGCGAAGTCACGCTCCGCCTCGGTCTTTGCAAGGCGATACTGTCCCACCGTCTTCACAAGGATGTCCTGAAACCATACCGTAAACGGCTGCAGTGCCTCATCCCGCAAGGCACTCGAGGCCTGGAAGCTAGCGAGGTGGGTCCATGCACGTACGCTGAGACGACAAGCTTCTCGATGGGACTGAGTATGGTCCACAAGGTTCTGCAGAAGCTCAGGACGCAGCCGATGGCTGGGAGGCGAGGCGAAGTAGAGGGTACAAAGCAAGTCAAAGTGGTTCCGGAGAGCCTCAATGTCCGACTGCTTGACATCCGCGTCTTTCCGATACGTTCGCCCATGATTTGGCACAAAGCGCCAAACTATCCCGCTTATCTTCCGATCGGAATAGACGCCGTACTTGCGCATGTTCAGCAGCCCCAATGCCAGGATTTTGAGGAAACTATGGAATGATTGGTCTTCGGGCTGCAGTTCAAGCGAAGGCGATGCCTCAAGCACGTCAAGGTACGCAACAGAGCCGTGCGACTGCTCATGCTCCAGTTGCGCGAATCCTCGGCAAGCAAAGAAGTCAAAGATGGTGCTCAGCACCGGCTCGCATTCAGACCAGCCCCAGTCGCTGACCAGCCGGTAGCATCTGGACAACGTTGCTCGCACGTAGTCATTGATCGTTGATGAGCGGCCACTGGCCGTGGCTGGATACAGGCTAAAGAGCCGCCCAAGAAGCTGTTTTGGCAGCGACCAGCCCTGCGGGATCGTCTGAAAGCGGCTGCCTGGCCGTGCAATACCATACTCGTCGACTTCTAAAGCAGGGAGCAAAGTGAAGATGCCATACCAGACCTGGTCCAGGACACTAACCGAAGTGCCTGAGCGGGTGGGGTTAGCCAGAACAGGTTCGATGACATCCCAGAAAGCGAAGCCCTTGAATTCGTTCGTTGAGCGTCGTAGACCGTGGCGGAGAAGCACGGCTGTTGACAGTGATATATCGTCGTTCCGAATGCCAGCTTCACGTATGGTATGGTGCCGTAGGGTCTCGTAAGTTGCTCGTAAATCCTCCATCCGACCAGCATACAGCTGCTCCGCAAGCTTCTGTGCGCTGCGCTTGACTAGTTCATCAGTCCGCTGCTTGACCTCGTGCGTAACCATGTAATCATTACACAGCTGCGATACTTGCATAGCAATGACCAGGGTGTACTGCAAGCAACAAACATGCACATCTGGTTTAACGCATGGCTCCGCGCTGAGTTCAGCGCTCACTTCGTCTAGGTTTTCGACAAGCCCCTGTAGGTGGATGATGCATGCCCGGCGATCGACGGGGTCGAGAAACGCAAGGCATTTCGAGCAGTAGCGTACTATCGAGCGAAGCATATGCTCAACGTTAGATCTGACAATAGCGAGCTGTTCAGCCTTCGTGATTTCAGCTGGTAAGTTCACAAGCGTAGAGGAAGCGTCCCGGATGCCTTGAGGTATCTTTGCCATGCCGGATGCCACGCCTTCGGTCCATGGACCCCATTCCAGTACTTGCTCGCCCACATGCACACGCATGCGGCCAGTGACGGTTGCAAAGTTACGGTCATTGAGTCTGAGACTAGCCGCAAAGTCGCCACTGCCAATGAATGTGCTCTCGTGGAAGAAAATGCCCAGCGGTAACGGACGCACATCGAAGTCTGTTGCATAACGGGATCCGAACGGTCCCAGGCCGTTCAGAATGGTGCTAGTAGTTGTAGGTTCTTCAATTGGAAAGTCCTCGACGATGACAACATCGGGCAGAGGCTCGCTTGGCTGTCGGTAGTGACGTGAGTCCGCATTGAGATGTCTCGCAAGCCGTTTACGCTGTCTTAAGGGCAGCCGAGCCCGCTCCATTTGTTCTTGGTGATCGTTGTTATTGAGGAAGTGGTCTGTCTGCGAGCTAAGCTCGACTTGGCAATGGACTGCACTCGGTTGCGCGTGTGCGGCTTCATGCTGCTGCAGATATCGAAGACGCTGTAAGCCTGTGGACGGCACGGATCGGGCAGGCTTGGTGACAGCTTCAGTCAAGCAATTGATGCGGCGCACAAAGGCCAACGACCGGTGATGCTGATCAAAGGTCGATTCAAGAGACTCGAGCTGAGCGTTACGATAAGTTGTAATCTGTGGGCGTTGTCGGTTACGCCTGCGACGTAGACTATCGTCGAGCTCCTCAGGGTCGCCCATCTGTGCACTGCGGTCTTGAGACTCACTGACTGCGTCCGCACGGTCGCGTCGAAGGACTATAAGCTCAAGTTGCGTTTGCCGATGCCGACGAGTGGTGGTGACCACTCTTCGGGATTTCTTCTCCAGGCTTGCGGACTTACGCAAGGGCTGCGGCAACCTACCCTGCTGAAGATTGCTGATGTCGCGTAGGGGAACGTAACGATCTTCAGACAGCCCTTCATCAGCTGGTGGTGGGAGCCTATGTTTCTCAAAATCCGTAAGTAGTCGCCGCATTGTATGACATGGCGCAATGGTGCCTTCCCGCCAGGCGTTCAAGGTCTGGTTGGCCTCGGCCGTGTCGTCTTCGGTGGCGAGTCGAACGACCTTATTCGACGGAGAATGTCTGCCGTGGTTCGTTTGTTGTTGTGCTTGACGGCGAGCCAAGCGAAGGAACTGGGGCAACGGTGCATCGTTGGACATTACAGGTGTTACGTCCAAGATGCTTAGTCGATGGCCACATGATTGCTGCTTCGGACGTTGTTGGCGTTGCCATCCTCTTGTTCGCTTGATCACAGTCCTGGGTCGTTCGAAAGCGCTAACGCCTCCTCTTTCCTCGGAGAAGGATTGGCGCTGCTGGTTGATACCTCGTAAAGCATCAGTGATCTTGGGTTCTCTGATTCTTGTGACTGATGGCTTGTGGTTTCGGCGTGTAGATGCAGCTAACATTGGGTCTACCCAGTCTACTTCCATCAGATCAGCGGTGCATCCTATGTTGCGCTCGAGCGTGAGTTGAGCGGTCAGTCTAGGTGCTAGGCGGGGAGCAGACCGTCCGGCGCCTCCGTCGTATCTAGACTCATGATCGGAAGCTGCTTCATTATCGGTAAGCACGAGAGGGCTGTTTCGCGCCGGCGTGGTGGAAGCGTGGCCGATTCGTTGGGCGATTCCTCGGAGCGGACGCATACCAGACGGTGGCGGTGATGCTGTGCTGGGACATCGTGGCCTTTGCGTCGAAGGGGACGTTCGGCGCTGTTGTGCACGGAGATCAATCTTGAGCCAGGAAGCGGGCAGTACACCCCGAATACGTTTGCGGGCTTTCAGTAGTTGTCTTTCTTCGACATACTGGTCATTATCAGAGCCCACCTCCGAGTCCGTGCTAGAGCCCACCTCCGAGTCCGTGCTAGAGCCAACAGCGATCGCAGGTGCCTGAGCTCTTGACGTTCTTGCGAAGCGCAAGCGACGAGGCACAGATTTCGAGCCTGGGGTTGGAAACTCTCCGGCTGTCGCAACGTCCAAAGGCGCGTCAGACGAGATCTGAGGTGTGGGTAGAGCAGCCTTAGCGCTGTAGGGCAGTCTGAAGCCAGAAGGAAGCACAGGCGAGGCCGCTTTGCCTGAGTCACTTGAGGTCGGCGGCAGGGATGGAGGTGTAACGTAGTCACCTACATCGGCCTGTGCGGCCACAAGGGACGTGGGGCCATCGTTGAGAGATTCTTGTGCGTGAGCTTGTAACGGATGCGGTAGTTTCCTTCGTTTGTGGTTGATGTAGACACCGCCAGTAACTCTCCGTTTTAAAATGGCTTCAATCTCCGGAAATTCATCATCAGACTCTCGTTGGTCAGCGGCGGCACTTTGCGCGGCACTGAGCACATTCTCAGTCTCACGCGCAATGTCAGAGGATGCAGTCATCAATTCAGGACTTTGTTCTTCGGGCAAGACGTCGGCCTCCTGCAGGTTCCAACCCTCCTGGCTCTCGACTGCACCAGAGGATTGACTCTGCGTCTCTTCCACACCATCGTGGACGATCCTAAAATGGACAGGTTTTAGACCTCGCTGTCTCCATTGCTGATGGTACAGGGTGCGGTCGTGCAGATAGGGATGCAGCTGCTTCTCCGTCCTCGCTCGTAGCGGCCTGCGATTGAGTACGGCGGGGCTTGCATCGCTCTCTGCGAAGTCCGGGTTCTCGATTCTCCCGTTCGCCACGGTCACGGTATTCGTGCCTCCAGACAAACCTCCCAACAAGCCAGCGAATGGAGGCGCAGGTGGTGTGCCACCGAGCTCACTAAGTGGGGAGGAAAACGTGCTTGCATAGTCGACCCTGCCATTGTCTGGCGTTGTCGGTCGGTCAAAATCATGTACAGCGAAAAGCTGGCTCACATTTCGAAGCTCGTCGTCTGCATTGCGCCGTGAACCGGGCTGCTGGTCGGGAAGCAGATCTCGTTCCTGGGCAATTGACTTGATTGGGGAGCCAGGGCTGCTCGATGTGGCTCTCGGAGTCTGCGACTGCTCGTTCTTTGCCGACCTACGATTCTTGCCATAGGTAGCGATGCTTGTAGCCTTGCCCTGCAGCCAAGGTTCATCGTCACAAGCTGATTCAATGAGATTCTGTCCGGTAGCGCAGTCACCCCTCCGAGCAGGGGCGGCTCCAGTGACACGCAGAGATGGCTGTGTCTCGTTAGCTTCTCCATGATCATTGATCTTTTGTCGCTTTCGGGCCCTTTCCTGGTCCTGCGAATCATTGCTGAATGCAACGTCCTCGTCTTCCGAGTCTGCAACCTCGATCCGGCCCTTCCAACGCTCCATTCGTACTATGCTGCATATTCATCTTGCACGCCGGCGCTGCAGATACGATCGCCGGCGAGTCTGATGTGGAAGTGACAAGACATGCAGTCGGAGTGTTCAGACACGCGATGGGAAGACGCGCCGCAAAGTGGGGCCAAAATGGACCCTGACTCGAGCCACGATACGTCAGCGAGTTGCGAAAGGCAGCCGCATCTGCAGCATGCCATGCAGCCGTATCCAACTCTAGCTCGGCCCTATTGATGAATCGGCTTGCCTGGCATACACTCGCTTAAGATCTGGCCAACAAGTTCCATAGCATCAAGGCGACAATGTCGCAAGATCCTCGAGCACTCCTCCAGCAGGTAAGCTCTCCACGCCTCCGGCGCACGTTAAGCACGTGCAGCGACTTACAGAACATATACAGGCCGACAAGGCCGCCTCATCCGCTGGGGGCGGCTTCTCCCTCTTTGGCGGGCGCACAGAGAAATTCGAGCGCGCCGTCGAGCTCTACACCCAGGCAGCGAATGCCTTCCGCATGCAGAAAGCCGGTCGCGAAGCAGGACAAGCTTTCGAGAAAGCTGCATCGTTACAACAGCAGAAACTCAACGAGCCTGACGATGCCGCGAACACACTCACAGAAGCCTTCAAGAGCTACCGAAAAGACGAGCCGGAGGATGCGGCGCGGTGTTTGGAGCAGGCCATAAACCATTACACAATGAAGGGCAACTTCCGAAGAGCGGCAGGGTACAAGCAACAACTAGCGGAGCTGTACGAGGTGGAGATAGATGATCAGAAGAGAGCGGCAGAGGCGTATGAGACGGCGGCCGGTTGGTTTGAGAACGATAATGCAGAGGCGTAGGTATTGAGTTGTCTGTCTGCTGGCAAGCCACTGTTACTGACGCTCTCGGCACGCGCAGACTTGCAAACAAGCTGTACCTCAAGCTCGCCGATCTCTCTGCCCTTGAGAAGGACTACTACAAGTCCATATCCAACTATGAGCGCGTCGCCAAATCCAGCATAAACAACAACCTGATGAAGTGGTCGGTAAAAGAGTATCTCCTCAAGGCAGGTATATGTCATCTCTGCACCGGAGACATGGTAGCCACCAACCGAGCATTGGAGAGCTATCGCGATCTTGATCCGTCATTTGCCTCGACACGGGAGCACCAATTGCTTGTAGATTTGGTGGAAGCGGTAGATGAAGGTGATCAGGAGAAGTTCGCAGACAAGCTGTTCCAATTCGACCAGCTGAGCAAGCTGGACAAGTGGAAGACGACGTTGTTGCTGCGGGTGAAAGAGGGTATCGAGGAGAAGGGTGAAGATTTCTCATGATGTCGAGCTGATGGCCCTGTGAGGCTTGGTTGAAGGCGCGTGGTGACATCCGGTTGAGCGAGCGATCCCTTCCTTGGGCTGTAATAGCGCCACGACTGCTGATGTGAAAGTCGAATTTTCGCTGCCACTGTGTTGTCTTGCTATCTTAAGTTCGCCTTGAACTATTGATTGCTCCAGTGTGTCGTTCATGCCGTACGGTACGCGAGACACTAAGTAGGTCGGACAGTACCATTTACAGCAGTAGCTGATGTGCAGACGGCATACTCCGGCTATTTGTCTGTTCCTTTTCCATTTCAAACGCCTTCCTTAGGCACCTTGGCTGCGACGACATGGGCTCTCTCCTCGCTCTCCGGTACTGCAGTCTGTTGCCGTGCGAACAACAACTGTCGCCAACCCCATAACGCACCCTTCTTGTCGGTATCTGTGACCTGATGCTTGGCCTCCTTGAGATCGCTTATAAGCGCCTTACTGATCGCATGTTCATCTTGCTTTACATGCGATTCGTTGAACGTGCCCTCTCGTGTTTCCTTCAGGCGTTGAAGCTCCGGTTGCCACGCCACATAAGCTGTAACAACGCCAAAGATCGTAGCAAGGCTAACACCCCAGAATGCTGAACCTGCTCTGCTCATGCTGTTGCTTTGATAAGGCCGTGAGAATAAAGGAGAGCCTGATGTTGCGCACCGATCACATGATTGGACCAGATCATGGAGTCACTCATGCTCAGCATTACGCATATCATGACCATAAGAACCCACCCACCACTCTCATCCTGACGTTCCTCTCTACTTGTGCAAAGGCCTATCATGCTCCACCTTCGCGGACAACGAGCTTGAGCGCCTAGCGCGTACTGTGATGCGTCCACTACCTCACCTTTCCTCGCTTAGGATATTTGGGTGAATTGACGCTGGAGTCAGCACTGTTGACGTCACGCGTGTTCAAAACTCTACGTTATGTCGGAGCAGACTGCTCCATCTAGCCGTACACAGATTGAAAGGTAGGGCAGACCGTGAACGACAGCAGTCTATCGTATTGACTTGCTGCCCGTCTTCGTAAATCTTTCTTCCAAGACCGCTAGCTTTCCCAAAAATGTCTTCAATCACTAGCGATGACGGTCTGTCGGACCAGCTGAGACAAGAATTACAAACTATCGAGAAACAGTTCGAAGTCAACACGCAGATCTTGAAGGACATCAGTGCTCGCTTTGAAGAAGAGCTCAAGGAGGGACTCGAGAATCATGGCTCGAACATTGTACGACCCGTTAATCCGCGACGACTGTATCGTACTAATGGTTTCTACAGCCCATGAACGTGACATGGACGCTCGGCTTCCCAACCGGCAACGAGAAGGGCCAGTATCTCACTATGGATCTCGGAGGCACAAAGCTACGGGTTTGTTGGATCAAACTGAATCAGCGCCATGGTCAAACGGAGCTGGATCAGGACGTCTATCAATTCCCATCGGCAGTCAAGACCAGCGATGCGGACACATTATGGAGCTTCATTGCCGACTCGCTACAAGACTTTGTTGGGAAACGTTCGCTACAGGGAACTGCAGAGAACCCGCTACCACTTGGCTTCACCTTCTCTTATCCGGCTTCGCAGGACTACATCGACCATGGTGTGCTTCAAACCTGGACTAAAGGCCTCGCGATCAAAGGTGTCGAAGGTGAAGATGCAGCCGGCCAGCTTCGGGATGCGATGGCTAAGCGGGTATGCTTTGCGATCTCCGACCACTTCGTCGTCCACAGCTGACCACATGCAGAATCTTCCAATCCGCTTAGTGGCCCTCATCAATGACACTACCGGCGCCATGATTGCTTCAGCATATAACGACCCTGACACTATCGTGGGCGCAATCTTCGGCACAGGCTGTAATGCTGCCTACATGGAGAACGTGGGCTCGATCCGGAAGATGAAGATTGATCTGCCGCCAGACACGCCGATGGCGATCAATTGTGAGTATGGTGCTTTCGACAATGCACACCGTGTGTTGCCTCGGACAAAGTATGACGTAGCCATCGACGAAGAGAGTCCAAAGCCGGGTGAGCAGTCCTTCGAGAAGTTGAGCGCTGGACTGTATCTAGGCGAGATATTCCGGCAGATCCTACTGGATTTATATGAACGACAAGTGGTGTTGAAAGGCCAGGATGCGACAAGCCTCAAGCAACCATACGCTCTCGACACTGGGTTCCTGTCCGCACTAGAAAACGACCCGCTTCCAGGAGTGAAAGCACAGTTTGCAGAGTTATTGAAGCTTAAGCCAACGGACGAGGAGCTGTGGCTATGTCATAGATTGGCGGAGATCATCGCCATTAGAGGGGCAAGACTGTGTACGTGTGGTATTTCCGCTATCTGCCGCATGAAAGGTATTAAGTCCGGTCATGTTGCCGCGGACGGCAGTGTGGCGAACAAGCATCCTACATTCAAGCAGCGGTGGGCGCAGGCAATGGGCGAAGTGCTCGATTGGCCGCAGGACCGCAAAGAAGACCCCATTACCATCACGAGCGCCGAAGACGGAAGCGGTATTGGTGCGGCGGTGATTGCGGCGATGACGGAAGAGAGGGCAAGGCAAGGGAATATGGTGGGCATACGACAGCAGAAGTAATAGTCGGCTAGTCGAATGGACCACGGACGGCAGATTGCCAACCATTTTCTAATGGACTTGAACATTGCGCTTCGATTCCTCCCGAGAACCGCTTCGTTATACTGCATGGTTGCGGCAGTGCCCAGCGAATGTCGCAGCTGTCATCAAGGACTCGATCGCCAAGGCTCGAGTCCTCCTCCACCCTCCGCACCAAAGCTTTCGCACCGAATAGACAACGCATTGGAGAGCAACAGTGCCGATCGATACCTGGAGAGTCTGGCCTGCCATACCTAATAGACCCATGTCTTCGAAGCAGGGTGTTGACAAACTAATACTCACGGGCACGCGCATCCATTAACGTACAACATTCAGCGCTTTGAGTACGGCGCGGTGCTAGCACGGGTTGTCTGAGGGCAGTGGGCGGGTGTAGATGTCCCCTATAAGACCCGCGGTAATCTCAATGAGAAAGGCATGTGTACGCCCACGGCAGGCGCCACTTCGCTCCGGAGCTCATGGAGAGTAGTCCGTGAGGTTTCTGAGATGGCGTGGGGAGGCTGACTAGCAGTCCGTCTGCTGTCAGCCTTCATATACTCAATCTGTCAGTAGAGAAAGCTTGGGTTGCGTGCGAATAGTATTGCGCACTCTCTCGCGCGGATCCAAGGCTCCCCTTTGCTCAGCACAGATAGAGCCCAGTTGACTGTAAATGATGTTCATGCCGTCATTCCCTGCACGCTAGTTCCTGCGGCTGTGACCCGCTGGCAGAGCAGACCTTCCGAGCCGAATGTCTTCCAGTATCTCGTCCTCGAGTTCATAACGGTGCTGCAGCGTCCGCATGTTGCCATGATGGAACTGATAGTACCGGTCGAATTTCTCGTCATCGCCGGAATTGGTACATGGGCGCCTGCCGTAAAATTTCTGTAGACTAAGTGTATCGACTTGCAACGGCATCCCAGCTAGCTTCGACTTTGTGCCACACACTGTCGCAGAGCGGATCGTCGGCAGGGATGGAAGGCTTCAAGCACTCGACAGTAATCATGGCCAGCTGCTTACTGCGGAAGCTTGCAAGCCAGCGAGCGTCAGCCTCTTCCGTTGGCATGCGAAGCAGTATACGCTTCTGACCAGGAAATGTCCTCTTAGCGATGTAGAGCGTAACTGCAGCAATGCGACTTTGCACAGCCTTCCAGATGTGCTTGTTGACAAGGCGGAAGTTCATGAAGCTGTCGATGTCGAGGTGAGTGGCCAGTTCGATCACCAAATCGTCGTGAAAATTCTCCATGGAGGATGTGTACGTTTGGAGGCTGCAGCGCGGATGAGGAGGCTCGGCAACTTCGAAGGAGTGACCGAGGCCACACTTTGAGTAGCAAGCGAATGTGCCCGTCAATTACCAAAATTCCACCGCAGCAGGCTGCCCTACACTGCTTGTCTTGCTAGAGACAGAGATGCGTCTCGCTAGGTACTTTGTAGTTGACAGTCGGCACTCATCGAGTCGTGGTGGTCAGTTTCGCCACCGCGTTGTAATTGCGGCGCCGCCAAAATCGTCGATATCAACACTCAACTTAACCCTTGTTGAACTGTGCATCGGCAGTACTTCTGTGAGAGAGAGGGGAAGGCCGCCTGAGGTATGCAGGAACATCTTGAGCCATAGCGTGGACTTGAGCCGTTCCGATTTGATGTCAGTCGCTAAACGTCAATGTGAATGGTGAGGAGGCCTGGAAAGTGGTGGGCGTAGCAGTGCTTCTGGCCACTGCCTATCCACCAACAAGCACTCTGACTTCGACATCTCCGTGCCAACTGTCGGTTTCACCCTGCCGCGCTTCCAAACATCTCCTTTCGCCACTCTTCAATAAGCTTCCCACACTTTACAAGCACGCCCGCGGCCAACCTCCTAACTTTCTCCTCCTCTTTCCCGTTGCCGCCCCCATTCAATCTCATCTCCGCACCCCCAGACTTCTCAAACACAATCTCCGCCCAGGCCTGCGTCTCCGCCAACCTCTTTTGCTCCTCCCTTCCCAACCTTTGTCGACTCTGCTCCGCATTGACCTCCAGCATCGTCAGTAGCGAGAAGAGCACAGCTTCCAGCACTGTGATGTCGCCCGCAGCTTTAACGCGTAAAGTCAACAACAAATCCCAAAAGGCTGCGGTCAGGTCTGGGAGGTGCAAAGTAGCAGGCCCGGAAGCGTGAAGGAGAAGCGCGATAGTCTTAAGGAAAGTCGTCAGGACTATAGGTGCGGTGGCGAAAACGGTGCTGGAGGCGTAGAAGGCAAGGTCTTGGTTGTAACGACTTATGAGTGGTTGGAAGAAAGCGGTGGCGAGGAGCTTGGAGAGTTTGTTGGGAGTACGTTTACGGACGGTACGTTGACTTTCATTTGTTAGACGAGATGAAAACGTCCGGACTTTGACTGCGTCCAGGTGGGTTGTGGAATGATCCGCGGCCTTGAGCGCTAGCGGCTGCATCAGACGGTCTTCAAGTCGGTTCGTGGCATGCTGCAATCGCTTCATGGACGTCTGCGCCGTGGTGTAGGTCGCGTGTAAGCGTGGTTGAAGTGTTTTCGATGGGAAGTTTATATCGGCGAAGGCTGGGTTCATCTCATCTTCATGACGTAAACCGGCAAGCTCCCTCCCAGCCAAGCCAATTGCGGTCATCATCACACCCCGCTGGGCGATGGAGTAGCCCTCGACAAACACCTGCTTGCTCAGCCACGGTCCCAACGCCTCCACGTCACTGAGAAGTACTGCGATCATCGCCCTCAATCTGAGGTCGTCGAAGTTGTCGGTGTCAAACGGATCCTGAAGATTGCACAGCAAGCTCAATAACTCCTCTGCGTGGTCCTTGACCTCACTGCCGAAGTTCGACTTCCGACGAACGAGCGGCGCGGCGTGCTTGATGCCCAGCTGAAAGCGGTCGTGATCCTTGTCGTCGCGGAGCATGGTCATCAAGTCCCGAATATAGACTGGTGGTCGCGGCTTGTTGCGGTTGACGAGAGTGGCATCGTCGTCGCTGTCTTCTGGGTCGCTATCTGGCTTAGCATACGGTTTAAGGCCGTCATTGTTTTGCTCGTCTTCGTCGTCTGCGTCAACGATCTCGGTGACCTTCTCGCCAATGACTTCTGACTGTACTGGCGGAGGTGGTGGGCGCGGTGGACCAAAGACTGGCTTGCCGTCGATTAGCTGGACTTTCGCATCGCTAGTACTAATTCGCGCCTTGACCTGTGGAGGGAGCCGCTTTCCTGCCGTGATGTTGTGAATCAGCCTAGAGAAGTCTTGTAAACTGCCAATCCCATCTTGAACTCTGACAAGGCCAAGGTACCACACCGCCTCCTCCGTCCGTACATCATTAGTTGCAAAGTCCATTCGGCTACCCTCTTTATCCACTAGACTTGATATACTCGTAGCAACAATCATCCCCAGCCATCTCGCTCGATTGCCTGATGTGTCAAGACGATTGCTAGTACCCTGCATATGCTGGCTTGAGCGTGAGATCAGCAAGACTGACATCGGACTTCGTCGATGCAGATAACCCGCGGTCATGAGCATGACCTGAGCGATAACTTCCTGCTGCAAGATTGGTGCATGTTCAATGAAGAGGCGATCGTTGAACGTGCTCATGGTGCACTCGAGAATCGTTTCCAGGGATGACGACGTCGGAGTGTGCGCCAAAGCGGCGATGCTGGCGCGTATGACGGGACGAGAGTACGCAGCCGCCAGAGTAGGGTTGTACAAGACGGCTGTGAGAAACGAGATGGACTGCTCGTCTGTTAACAGGGCCGAGAGGAAAAACGCAATCGCTTCGATGTCCGTATGGAGGCTTGTTGTCTCTGAAACTGCAGTATAGGAAGACGACGTTGCGACTGTGGATAGCCAACGAAGGGTCTGTTCCAGAAATCGTCTTTTGGCATGAGCAGGCAAAAGAGTAAAAATTGACCGTAACTTTTCACAGTCGTGCGCGATTAAAGTAGAAATGAGTCCACCGATTAGACTGCTCGAGTAGCCCAGGTTGAGTGACTTCGCTAGCATTTGCGCGGCGTCCTGCATCGCGCGGGATACGCTGCTATCATAGTGATGCGGCTCATGAACAGCCAGCTGCGCAATATTTCTCCCGAGCCATCTGGCGTACTCAGCACCGTTCGAAAGCCAACACTTTGGGCTAAGTGTATTTGATTGACTATAATTCGTGACGTCTTCGGCTTGCGCTACAGTTGATATTATCTTACCGGAGGTCACAGTAACGGCAAGCTCCTTCCAGAGAAGGTCTCGCTTGGTCTGATCAAGGGTGGCAAGCTGCAGACATGTCCACAGGTTTAAGATCACATTGTCGCCTCTCATTAGGGCCTGAAATGCCCCTAATAGGCTCTGTAGTTCTGCGAGCCTCTCCAGCTTGTCCACTTCTGCTCTGAAAATCGCGCGCAGCTTCGCAAGCAGAGCATTGAGGCCACTGACGTTGCAAAAGCACTTGAGGAGCAGGTCTCTGTCTGCTCCGTGCAGTGCGGGCCAAAAAGTGGGTAGAAGATCATTGACCAGAGTGCTAAGTATCTGGGTCTGCACGGGTCCGGGGGCGGCTAAGTTGAAGCCATTCAAGCCGTCTTCGGAGAGAAGCTGCTTCAAGGTGGCAACCAGAGTCTCAGCATCCGGTAGGGACCGCAGGACACGTAGGGCGTCTTTAGCCGTACGCAGCTGCTGATGAGTAACCTCATAGTCCTGGAAGACGCGAGGGGATCTTTTGGCAGGTTTTGAGGTCGCCGCTACAGCATGGTCGTCCCTAGTCGAAGCCCTAGTGCTGACAGCCTTGAGTGCTGACTCCGGAGCGTGGTGATCACTTGGACGAGCCGTCTTGACAGCCTTCAGGAGTTGATCCATCCTCTATTTGGGCACATGTTCTCGCCACGGCCACCTGGGGTGCATGTTCTTACGAGATTATCACATATGAGTGAAGGTGCGGTCTCACGTGCTGACGCGTTCTTACAGCTGGCTGAAAAGTGCTCGAAGCATGGAGCTTGACCGTGGTAATCGATAAGACCTGTATGAGCTCAAGACATCACGACCTGTGCGTGGGCTCACTCTCGCGCAAACACCGAACCCTCGACCTGTGTTCGACGGCGACATGGCAGCAACCCTACAGCCTGAAGGCGTTGCCAGAACGCTCAATGGCCACCCTGAGTCGGAGGACAGCACCACATCACCACGATGGAGTCACATGAACCGTCTCCTGTCCCGTCAAGGCGCCTACACCGATCCGGATGAGTACGAACCTGGCGCAACGCCCCTGAACAATATCTCCAACTCGCGGATCCTCGTCATTGGCGCTGGCGGTCTGGGCTGTGAGATCCTTAAAAACCTGGCTCTCTCCGGCTTCCGACACATCGACGTAATCGACATGGATACCATCGACGTCTCAAACCTCAACCGGCAATTTCTCTTCCGCGAAAAGGATGTCGGGTCGCCCAAAGCCTCAGTCGCTGCCAACTTCGTCATGAAGCGCTGCCCAGGTTGCACCATCACTCCACATGTCGGCAAGATCCAGGACAAGGACGAGGACTTCTACATGCAGTTCAACGTCGTTATCTGCGGCCTCGACAGCATTGAAGCCCGACGCTGGATCAACGCCACACTTGTCAGTATGGTCGACATGGACAACCCGGACAGCCTGAAACCGCTCATAGATGGCGGAACTGAAGGGTTTAAAGGCCAAGCTCGTGTCATCTTTCCAACCATGACCAGCTGCATTGAGTGCCAACTGGATATGCACGCTCCTCGCGCAGCCGTCCCGCTTTGCACACTCGCCACAATCCCACGGCAGCCTCAACACTGCATCGAATGGGCGCATATCATCAAGTGGGAAGAAGAGCGCAAAGACATTATCCTCGATACTGACGACCCAGAACACATTACCTGGCTCTATCAAACTGCCATTCAGCGTGCCAAACAGTTCAAGATCGAGGGTGTGACGTACTCGATGACTCAAGGCGTCGTGAAGAACATCATTCCAGCAATTGCATCCACCAACGCCATCATAGCCGCCGCCTGCTGCAACGAGGCTTTCAAGATCGTCACCTCATCCGCTCCCTTCCTCGGTAACCCAGGCCAGAATAACTACATGCTCTACACAGGCGACAGTAGCGTGTACACGTACACGTTTGAGCACCAAAAGAAGGATGATTGTCCCGTTTGCGGAAACCTGCCAAAAGGCATTACCCTTGACCCTGAATCCACGCTAGGCGAGTTCGTTGAGTCACTGGCTGAGCGACCGGAAGCGCAGCTCAAGAAGCCGAATTTACGGACGGAGGAGAGGAGTCTGTACTACTCCACTCCTGCAGGGCTGGAGGAGAGCACGCGACCGAACCTCAAGCGCAAGGTGAGGGAGATATTAGCGGAGGGAGAGGAATTTGTTGTAAATGACCCGAGTTTCCCGGAGGTCACACTCAAGTATGTGGTGAGATATGGTACGTAGGTGGTCCTATACTCACAAGGGAGTGAGAAGAGATTGGCATGATTACCTGCATAGCGTATGGCGTTGGGACAGACGGCGTATGTCGCTGGAGTAGGCTGGAGTAACCGATGCAGACATGCAACTTGGAAGCATGTTAGTTCGAGACTGGGTCTATAGAGAAGCCTCGCTACAATCTACAACGCGGCCAAGATGGCCTCACCGATCCCAGCCGCACTTGCTGGGTTCTGTCCCGTGATCAACTTTCCGCCCTTGCCACTCTGAACAACCTTCACACCCCACGGCTGGTCAGCCTTGACGATCTTGGCGCCGTTCTCCTGCAGCTTTGTTTCGAGCATGAAAGGCATGGCGCTTGAAAGCCCGACCTGATCCTCCTCCGTGTTGGTGAAGGCGGTGATCTCCTGGTCCTTCACAAGGTAGGAGCCGTCGCTGAGCTTGACGTTGACGAAAGCGGCGGGACCGTGGCAGACGGCTGAGGTGACTTTGCCGGCTTCGTAGAACTCCTTAATGAGCTGCTGTGAGTCGGAATCGGTGGCTAGGTCGAACATTGCTGGGGGGAGTCAGTGCGCAAGCACCATTTGCGGTCCACCATTCTCTGAGGCCAGGTTATCTTGACTACTTACGTCCATGTCCGCCAACGTAGAAAATGCCATCATACTGATCCGCCTTGCCAAGGTAGTTGCTGAGCTTGTCGGTGTTGGTCCACAGCGCTTCCTTCTCCTTTAAGAACTTGGACGCTTCGGCATCTTCTTTGAACATCTCCACCGAGCTTGGATCTAGCGGCGCTGCGCCGCCTTTAGGTGAGATGATGGTCATATCGGCCTTGCCCTCCAGCTTGTAGTACGGGTGGGCGAACTCGGGAAGGTACCATCCTGTTTGCTTGCCAGTATCGCCTAGCTTGTCATGGGACGAGAGCACGACGAGGATTTTGGGCGACATTGGAAGAGATCAGAAAATGGGTAATGGAATGGTAGGAGAATTGGTATCAACTGATGTGAAGAGTTCGAGGGTTGCAAGATGCGGAAGATATAGTCTACGTTATATAGATCGAGAACTCACTAAGTGGTCGCACAGCTGACAGCTCTACACATCCCTAGCACCTTGAGGTGCGTTGAAACACAATGGCCTGACGCACCAACACGTGAAGCGAAGAAGACAGGCATGACGGAATGCTTACGAAGACCCGGAGCGAGGTCCTAGCGATCATATCGCCGTAATCGATAAGCGATAAGCGTTCTACATGCGCGTACAGTACGGAGCTTCATCTCCTGCTCACGTCACTCGTGTTGCGTTGGAGCATGCGATATCCGACCAAGATATTGGATGAGTAGCAATAGAACATCATCGATTCCACTTTTGCAGCGCATACATACCTTCTCATCTCGGTTAGTCTGCTCGTTGCCCGCTTAACTCTCAATTAGGCGATATCTCGACCGCACGCCCTTTGTCTTTGCCGATGATAATTGTCTGGATGAATGAGTCGTAAGTGGAAGTGTCACAGGTGCCGGCCGGCGTAGGTGTAATGGCCCGGTTCCGTAGCAACTCTCTCCTACCATGTCATCTCCCCTGACTGTTGCTCCTTGTTCGCGCAGAGAAAGCCACTACTCTCGTCCCATCATGCCGACCGTTGACGGTCATCCTGAACTGTCTATCTGCCATCCCGCCGACCCCATTATTGGCGCTGAACTAGTGCCCAGAGCCTTGACAGTCCTTAAACCGTACCTACCAACTGCACTACCACTCTACAGGCGTCTGCAATTCGGCAAGTTCCTGAACTCCTCCTGCTTCATTACCAACTTCGGCCATGACGACATCGTACGCTATCAACATGACAGAAACGACTTCATCGGCGCTGAGGCAGCGACGGACGGATCGAACAGTGAAGGGGGTTTTAAGCCATATGTCTTCGCCTTTATAGACCGCTCTGTACGACCGGAGACCGAAGTCTGGTTTTTCGCCTCGTGGGAGCATGATCCACCTCCCGCTACGGATACCAAAGCATGGCATCGCATCGACGCAATCGTACTAGACCTCCTGGGTGCTATAAAGGACTTTCCCGTGCCGGAAAGCATACACCAGCAACGATCTGCTCTGAACGGCCTACCGTCTCCCTCCAATCCCACCACCGCCACGGACAAAGACGCCGACACCGCCGGCTTCTCCCGTAATGACTACGGCGGCCACCTATCAAATCAGAACATCATGCTCTGGGGTGCAGTCCACGAACGAACAGTCCCCATATTCCAACGCCTTGGCGTGCTCTCGCTCGACTTCAAGACCAGCTTAGCACCCAATTTCACTTTCCTTTTCAACCTTGACACTCTCCATAGCCCGCGACCATTACCAGAGGGCCTGATGTGGGGCGAGGTGAAACCGTGCCATTTCTCTCTCGTGCGCAGTCGCACACAGATTCCGCGGCAGGACCGTACGCTGGCCATCTTACCGTCTCTAGCAATCTACCCACGTGGTGGTGAGGGTTCGGATCCAATTGCATGGGCGTTCATAGGCCTGGACACGAGTCTGACGAGTTTGCACGTGGAGCCGGGGTGGCGGGGTAAAGGGTTAGCGAAGGCGATCACGACGAAGATTCTGCGAGAACACGTGGTAGGATTTAGCGAAGACGGGACGGAGAGGCTGGCGCTCGGGTATGTGATTGTTGGGAACAAGGCGAGCGAGGGCATGTGTCGGAGTCTGGGTGGAAGGAGTAAGTGGGAGTGCTATTGGGCTAGGGTTGATCTGGGTAAGGTGGGATAGAAGCCTGGATGGAGCATGAGTAATTGAAACGGCGGTGTTCAGTTGCCGGAGCTTCTTCGAGTGGCGTCTGCAAAGCTTCGGTTAGCTACCGCATATACTACGTTTAATTCACAAGATTCAGATATCAGGATGGAGATGTAGATCATAGTCAATTTGAATTGTGTTGTTGCTCGTGTGTGATCCTCATTGAGGAACTCAGGGTTAAAAAGGTGTAATCAGAGGAATTCTGAGAGGAATTATGAGAGAGCCTTGTGTGCTGACGTACCTGCGTCCCGTGTCCGCACTGGGATATAAGGTCACGCGGATCGGTCAAGGTGGTTATAGCTTGGGGACAAGCTGCTCATTCTCGCTGATGGCTGGCATTGCTTCGCGCTATCTGGCTGTAAAGTTTGAACGCCGCAAAGGCCGTGGCCGGGTGAACGTCGTTGACGGACAAGATTAGTCGAACAGACCGAAGCCCATATCCTCGTCCTCCTCCTCCTCCTCTTCCTTCTTCTCCTCCTCCTTGGGCGCATCCGCCTTGGCCTCCTCCGCCGCAGGCGCAGCCTCCGACGCTGCCGGAGCCGCAGCCTGCAGAAGTGACGGATCCCTGATACCGGCTTTGAGCTGCGCAATCGCAGGCCACTCGTACTCGGTCTCCACAGCAATCGCCAACAAGTTTTTGTAGGCGTTGAGGATGGTGTGCGAGACAGATGGCAGAGTCGGGTAGTGAGCCGCAAGCGAGATCTTGGTGATGTTCATGATCGCCGTCTTCATGCCGATGGCGACGCTGTGGTTGATGGAAGCAATGGTCGGGTAGTTGGCCGCAAGACTGATAGCCGTCACGGCCGCAATCGCCGACTTCAATGCCTTTAGCAGCTGCTCCTCCTCAATGTCCAGTACACTCGGCAAGAATGTCATGCCGCCATCGTAGATCTGCGCAATACCCATGCCGTAGGTAAAAGGAGAGATGTTGAGCATGTTCAGCAGCGTAGCTTCAGAGGCACCGACTTTGCTGCCACCCTCGACGATCTTCAAGTCGGCCGTGATTTCGATGGTACCACGAGCGATCTTGGTAGGCACACCGAGAGCCTGGAAGAATGAGGTCTTGCCAGGTTCCATGCCGGTGTTGCCGGCCGGGATGAAGACATCTTGTGGTGCTACAGCGCCGGCACGAGCAGGTGCCGCGATACGGTTGGACAAAATCTGTTCGCGGGTCTCCTTCAGGTCGGCATTGGTGAAGACGAAGCCGACGTTACCCTTGACGTGGGGAAGAAGGCGTTCATACTCGGGGTTATCGTTCTGGAAGGTCTTGATGGCGCGGCGAACCTAGACAAGCATACTCGTCAATATCGCCCACTACTTTCCCTGCGTCCATATGCCAAGCTTCTTACCATAGTGTTCTTGCCCATCAACACCACACCCTTTCCGCGCATGGCATGGCGGATCTCGTGCATCTGCTGGGAGGAGACATTGTCGACGGTGACGATGAAGATAGATTTGTAGTCTTCCAATAAGCCCTTCAACTTGTCGAAATAACCGGCCTTGTTTGCAGATTTGCCCCCCATAGTGTCGACGCAGTATAGGGTGATGGTTTAAGGCGGGTTGTTGTGGTGTTTGTAATGAATCACAATGTTATCGGCATTGTTCGTGATGCGGAATTCGAGGTGTGAGCGGCAACTCCCGCCAAATGAAGGCTTGGCGACAAAACGTACTCTAGCGAAATCCGCTCACGTGAGGTTCTGTGCTGACTTCAGTTTCCGTTGAAAGCAGTTTATGTTCAATGACTGTGCATGTTACGACCGTCCACCTGTGCGCCCACAGAGTGACGATACAACAACTCACCCACACGAGTATGCTTCAACTCCATCGCTCCTGAATGCGCCAATCGAGCTATTGGCTGGCTGTACCGCTCGCTCGCAGCATGATCGAAGCCACAAACGGGACAGGCTGCCGGCTTAGCCTCGCAGGATGATGTGCAAGGCTGCTTCTCCTATGGCATGCTCCTGTCTCTCCCTAACCTCTCGCTATTAGAGCACAACGAGTGAGCGCATTTTGATTCAGGCTCTCCAGCCATGACGGAGGCGTTCGGCGTGGCATCTGGCGCAATCGGTGTGGCCTCCTCGCCATCGAGCTGTGTCAGAGCCTTCTCGACTATTATCATGCGTACAGAAACTAGCCTAAGGACGTCGAGGCGGCTGTCCAACCAATTGCCGATCTAGCCATGAGCTTTTCGCTATTCAAGGCCACTACAAGCAACAATATATTCTTCAATCCTAACCAGGCACATATATTTGAAAACTTGCTTGAACCACTGCTTGAAGGTCTCGACAAACTCGTGGCTGGATGAAATGAGGTCAGGAAGCATGACCACAGCCAGGGCGCACTTCAGGATGTCAAGCGAACCTTCTCAAGGCTGACGTACGCTTTCTAGAAGGACACTGTCACCTGGCTTGAGGCTATAGTTGATTTTCTACTTAGTTGCCTCTTGGTTGCACTGGACGTACTCCTGCTTGACATGGCAGATAAACGCAGTACTACCTTGCGGCGACCACTCAGAGCGCGCGGGCCTTTCTGAGACTCTGTTCGAGTCCTTGCCTCCCCCAGTGCCGCCAGAAGATCGAAACTGGATGTGCCCAGACTCGTAGCGTGACCATATCCTTCCGCCGTGGCGGGCTAGGCAGGCACAGATCCTAGACTCTGCACGAGACAAGCCTGGATTTCGCAACGTTTGAGCTCTGATCGCCAGACATGTATGAACGCGTGGAGAACAAGTTGTCAATCAACGGCAGAAAGCCGCTTCCACAGCGACTACAACCGCGGTTTGAGTTCTGGCACATGGTTGACCCACATAGGACTGTGATTGATCTTGCCCTCTTCCACGAATCATTATCTGCAAGGGCTACGCATAGGTCCCCGGTTTCGCTCGGTCCTGCTAACGCCCGAGCTACGCTCGAGTGGAACATACTGTACAGTTCAAAAGCACTCACGGGTATCTTACAGCATTTTCAATTCCGCCCCAAAGCCCACTCACTCCATCTCAACCGCTACATCCCCCTCATCCGGCAAGCTCGCGACCACCTCCTCCACCATGGCCGTCAACTGATCGATATCCGGCCTCTCCGCCGGCTCAACCCTCAGACAAGCCCTCACCACCTCCTTCACCGGCTCACTAACGACGTCCTCCTTCTTCTTCGGCGCTTCAGCATCGGTAACTCTCTGCTTGCCGCGCTTGGCCTCGGCCGGACCTTCATCCGGGAAGCGCCAGTCGCCGCCAAGCACGCAAAGGGAGAGCGAGCCGCCTGTCTCCTCGCTTCGAGCTTCGAAGGGTGATTTACCGACCAGACAGGCGTAGAGTGTGCAGCCTAGCGACCAGATGTCCACTTTCGTGTCTATGACGGTTCCAGTCTTGACGTCGAAAAGTTCCGGCGCGCGATAGGGCATAGTGCTGTGTTCGGCTGCCTGGTCCTGTATCTGCAATGCCAGCGCTCTGCTAGTGACTGGCGTGGGACTCGGTGCGAGCGAGCCAAAGTCCATGAGAACAGGTTGCGTGCCATTATCCGAAATCATAATATTACCAGGCTTGATATCCCGATGTGCATAACTCCGCATCTGACCTTCTTCCATCCCCTCCTGCGCTGCCATGACTTCACCTTCCATAAGCGGTTCTTGCTCCGTGTCTCCGTTGTCTCGCCGTCGCCGACTCGTATTCGCCTGTACAGCCGCCGCCTCAGCTTCCCGATCCGCTTCAGCTGCTTGAACGCGGACTTTCTTCGCCTTTTTCCTGCTCGTCTCACCCCCTGGCGCGCCCTTGACGCGGTATTGATGCATTGCCTTTAACGCTCGACACACGCCCAAGAACAACACCATGAGCCTCCGCTCCGGAAACCGCGCATGGTTCACCAGATTTGCATTAATCGCATCCTGCAGATTCCCTCTTCGGTAGTACGGAAGCAATATATAAACCGTCTTGTTCCCCTCGCCTCCTTTGTCGTCCTCCACACAATGATCGACCGCATGTATTATATTCGGATGTGGGCTGAAGAGACTGTACGCCTCGACCTCCTTGAGTGCCTGCGACACGCTTTCTTGCCCAAACGGACACCGGATCTTCTTCAATGCGTATAGAGTCGGGTCGCCGGGGGATTGGACGAGGTAGACGTAGCTGAAACCGCCTTCGCCTAAGAGCCGCAGGATCTTGAAGGAGCGGCCGTTAAGGCGCAGGGAAGGATTAGCGGGGAAGCAATTGCAGCATTGGGAGAGCTGCCACAGGGTATCGAGGATGTAGTGAGAGAGTTGGGTGACGAGGGAAGGCTGGGACATGGCGATTGAGCTCGTGTTGTTGGCAAGTCGGATATTGGTACACCGGACGATATCATGCTATGCCCCTGTTCATACTCGCGCCCTCGCAACTTCACGGAGTCTTTCCGTGGTCAGTGAATCTTACGGAGTAGACGGATCTCGCTATTGCCGTCGAGGTGCAGTCAGCTCAGCCTCAATGCGCTTAGTCACCGTGTTTGAGACCCTAGGTACTCTGCCATCACTAGTCCTTTCCCTACTTACCATACCAAGGTTGTTAAGTACAAGCGCTGCTGTGAGCGGCAGAAAGACTAGATAGCAAGACTTTTCTAAGCTTTCTGTTCGTGCCAAATGCTTGCCACCCGGGCCTGCTGATCGCCGCTTTTCTGCTTCCCCCTGGTGTATGGGTGCATCCTCGGACAGCATATTTCGTCGCACCTAAGAAGGCAATTCTCACATCCTGTATGCCGTTACTTCGATGTACAGAATCTCTGCGAGAAGCTCAGTGACAATGATGGCTTGTGAGAGCCCACGGAAGAAGGAGCGAAGTAAACCTATGAACCACTGCACTATTCAAGGCTGGGTATCAAATACCTGTAAAAAACCAGATCAAGACCGCATCAAATGCGAACGCTAGCGAATTAAATCGCTCATCGTACCATTACACATCACTCATAAGACCCAAAAGCCCTTCTCGCAGTTAAGACAACTTGACGCAATTCGCCGCTCCGACCGTGAACGTCGACGGAGGCGTGAAGACCAACTCCAACCCCGGCAGCACATTCGGCTGGTTGTTCGAATACACAGCCGACTGGCCCGTCGAGTATTTCTGCACACCGACTTGAGACCCGAACGTCTGCCCATTGCTTGTTTGCACCTGGTACGCCGCGCCGTTGTTGCTCACTTGATAGTAGTCGAACACGGCCTGCCCGGGCACAGCTTCCTGAAACGTCGCGATGAAATGGTAATACTGCGTTGGGGCTGAGAATTGGCTGGTGTACCACTCGAAGCTGACGTTCCTGCTGCCGACGGTAGATCCGGTGATCTGATAGTACAGTCCCTGGGGGGTGCCCTTGTAGATGTAGAGGTCCTGCCACAAGGGCGCCCAGAGGGTATCCGGGAGGTAGCAGCCGTTGTTGTCGCTGCCAGGTAGTGTGAGCGAGCAGGAGCCAGCACGATAATAATAGGCCGAGTTACTGGCGTAGTTGGGTTGGGTGACGCTGAGCCAACCGTTGACGCCCATATAGACTGTGCTGCTCGTGACGCCGAAGAGGGAGAGGGAGAATGGAAGCGAGATGGCGAAATACTGGTCGTCGTAGTCTGACACGGCGAGCCTGGCAGAGGTAACACCTGTGATGGCTGTTGGACTGGCGAGGACGACACCTGGTACGTAGACGGTGGTGGTGACTGTCGTAGTTCGTGTCGTGGTTGTTAGTGGGGTGCTGGTGGTCAGGCTGTTGTCAGGGAGGGTCAGCGGGTGTCCTAGAGCGTGCTTCGGGGGTGGGAGAGAAGGGATGCTTACGGGACAGAAGTAGCGGTTGTATTGGGCGTGGTGGTGTACAAAGGTGTTGTCGTTGTCAGTGGGGTCGAAGTGAAGGTGGTGTTCGGAGTAGTGGTGTACAATGGCGTCAATGTTGTTAGTGGGGTCGTGGTTGTATTCGCTGCAACATTGTTCGTCTGAATGTTGGTAGTGGTGGTAGTGGTGGAAGTTGTGCTCGTTGTGATCGGCGTTGGAAGACGCAGGCAGCTGCAAGCCGACGAGATCTCTGAGCTCGCGAATGCGACCAATGCAGCAAGGGCTGGAGGGAGAGGTACTGTAGACGTCGTGCTTGCTTTTGCCGACGACGTTGTGCTACTTGAAGACACCTTGCTAGTTGACGACGTCGTGCTAGATGACGTTTTGCCAGCTCGTTTCTCGAAGTCGTTCAAGGTCAGGTTGCTCGAGAGCTGGTCGTCGGCGGGTTTCATCATGGCTTCTCGTTTCGTCACGGCAGCAGCTTGACTACTCGCCGACGTTCCGCAGAACACTGTCGTGATATACAAGGTCGAGGTGCTCGTGACATTAGCGGCAGTAATCGTGGATGTATCCGCTATAATTGTCGACGTTGGCGCAATGAAGGTCGTTGTGCCTGATGCCAACGGTTAGGAGCTGGTTTGTAGCTATATCATTTCTGGCAACCACTTACTGGTATCCGCCGTGATCGTACTGGTGGGATCCGTGATCGTTGATGTTGGCGCGGTGGCGGTGATTGTGCCTAGTATGACTGTGAGATGACAACCCATCAACAGATGCGATTTCAACATACTGGTATCTGCCGTAATGGTACTGGTATCTGCCGTGATGGTTGCTGTCGCCGCCGTAAAAGTGTCTGTGCCAGTCGTGGACGTCACAGTCGTCGGAGTAACCGAAGTAGAAGTCACCGTCGTATTGACCACGCTGGTTGTGATGTGTATGAATGACGAACAGAACGAGCTTGCTGCGCTGGCCGCATTAAGTATCGAGATGACGGCAGAGACTGGGGCACATGTGCCAGTGAAGACAGGAGACGCCCATACGGCTGGAAGTGCTGCTAGAACCACGATGGACCGCATTGTATCGAAAAGATTCGAACGAAAAAGACAGGAACTTGATGATGAGAGCGAAAACGCGCGCAGGAGCGATCAATTATAACTCATGCGCTCCAGGGGAGTCTTGCTCTACTACGGTAGCCCAGGGTGTGTGACTTACCATCGTCCTCTCGACGCCAGCGGCTAGACAAGTCTTGCACTGAGTGTCGTTACAGGGTGTTCTGCCAAAAACATTGCAATCTGGAGCGCTCGCTTAGGCTCTCGCAAAGTTTCGCTCGTGTCTGTGGCTTGCGTGGGAAAATTGCTAGGGCCATAGTAACCGGCATATTCGTGTATGGCTTGCGTAGTGAGGTCGGTAGGGCCGCGGCAGTCCGATTGTCCGTGCGACGTGCTGCGCGGGTATGGCTCAGTAAGGTCTTCATCCGGCCTAGCGGTGTACGGAGGGTTTAGAGACACGCATGACAAGGTACCCTGCCGGAGCCTAATATAGCACGTGGCACAACTGGAGCGGAGGGAATTGTGCGACAAGTCTGACTGGTCAAAAGACAAAGGCAGCCGTGGTCAGCCAGAACTGGGAGGACGACACCGCTTTCGGGCTCGAAGAGTGGTAGTCTCCTAGCCACAAATGGACGTTAAGCTAGCATACCCCCGACCATGCCAAGCTACCGAACAGTCTCGACGTTTCAAGGTTTAATAAGGGGCGGAGCTGATTCCGAGGTCCAGGTCGCCCCAGTGCGGAGGTACAGGGTCTGCTCAGGGCAATCAAGCATAGCCAAGGCTCAACGGCACCCTTCCTCGCTACATGCACTACGTTGTAAGACCGTGGAATGTCACTGCTCGGTTACGGGCTGCCATCAGTCTCGAATAAGGGAAGCCTCCGTTGACTGGTCTCAGCTGCCGCGCAGCGTCGCACACGGCTTTCATTCCCCCAGCATACATGTAGGCTCGCCTCGTGTGGCTCAAATGTCAGGCAGCCACGTCTGACTAGAACGTGAAGGCAGCTGATTGTCGCACCCCGGTGCACAACCCACGTCGGAGCACTACCGTCTGTGCGCTCGGCTTTTTAGGCGGTCTTTCTGCAGCTTAGCTGCTCTAAATGAGGAGTGTTCACCAGTGTGGTCGGACATCAACAACTTTGAGAAGCCTCGCCTAACTCGAACGTGAGGACGAGCAAGAGACACACACGAGCGGCACAAGCTTTCGTGAATGCGGCGTGACTCGTGGACAGAAGCATGCAGTGGCCACTTAAGCGAGGAGTGAATTCTTTGTGGTGCACACGCACCGTTCATGACTCGGTTCCCCTGAACACAGCAGGAATAGTGCAGAAGTACCTGCGGTAGGTAGACCAATGACCGTGGTCGAGCTCCTCGACTTAGTTCACAGTGTTGATTGCGTAGACGTGATCAAGGTAGTTTCGCGTAGTCTAAGGCTACGCGCTGAAGCTCATCAATCAAACACTTAGCTCCTTTCTTGGAGTCTCGGGGTCCACGCTCATCCATTGCTGATAAGCCATCCATACCACACCCCCGCCGGTAGCCCTACTACAAACACGCTAAGCAAAAACTCCACCGCCGTCCTTCTAAGCGTCAATGGTACCCTCCGTCTCCTCTTCCACTTCGCCTGACTATCACATTCCGCGTCCAGATCGCCAATATGATTCTCCTCATCCGAATCATCGGCGGGATCAGCCCAGCGTACTTGCGGGTAGAAGCCTGCCTTCTCGATAAGCGGGCCTTGATGCTCAGGGAGCTGAGGGAGCACGTAGCCATTTGTGACGGCGGGAGACACAGAGCGCGTGCGAGCATTGTAGCTACGCTGTACGCCGAGGGAAGACGAGCTGTTCTGCCCCGAAGACATGGAAGAAGATGATGCACGGTGTCGACCGTTCGCTTTGGTCGGCGTGGAGTAACCGTTCGCTCTCGCTTTATAGCGTGGTAGAATGAGTTTGTTCGTCGTTGGACTTGAGTCTCTCAGCTCCTCGGGGTTACCCGCAGCTCGGACGGATATGGTGACAGCGCGTAGCAGTAGGAAGGCCAGCGTAAAGCCCAAGAGCATAGCGTAGTCGATGAAGATGGTGAGCTGATCGGGCAGCAAACACAAATGTGTCTGCACTGTCCGCATCGAGCTCCCCATCGTGTTACCCTCCGCATCGACGGGATTCCACAAGCTGACGAGCAGAAAGCCGGGCGATCGGACACCCATAGCCCAGCTGAAGCTCTTGACCGTGATCTCTTTGATGGTTCGAAGAATAGGAGTGCGGCTGCCATCATTGTTCGCGACGTCAGGCTGGCCAATGTTGTAGTGATGCACAATGTCGCAGTAGTCGTGATCGTCACCAGAGAACACGTGAGTGATGACTCCGGCCGCGGAGACGGCGTTGACAACCTTGGTCGTTAACGGCTGCGTGATGACATTCTGATATTGATATCCTGCAGAGATGGCTATCGCGTGGCCTTTTTCACGAAGCGGGCCGCAGTCAGTATCTGGATCGCGATATAACGGGACGTGCGTGAGTAGGATGACTGGTAATTGCGCCTTTGCTGACAGCGCGTCTTTGGCTAGCTCTGCCGTTGACGGATGATTTGTCAGGTCGCCAGGCTCAATGACGGCATGAGGATACCGTGGGATATCCTGCGAGGTTGGATAATAGCTTCCTAACGCCTCCGCAACCGCCTTCCCCGCCGGCGTTCGCAAGTTCTCGAGGAAGTCAACTGTCGGCTTCCATGTAGGTGACAGCTCCTTGGCCCGCTCCGGTAATGTCTCGCCACCTTCTGGAACGTACTGGCTGAAGGCAGACAGGGAGGGTGCATCGAGGCTGATGAACGTATGGTTCCCGATGATGTCGATCCTGTTGGTGTCGCCGAAGTGCATCTGAAAGCGACTGCGAACGGATTGCTGCACACCCGCTCCAAATCCGAGGTCGTGATTGCCAGGAAGGCTGGCAATGACTTGTCGCTGCTTCCCGCCAGCAACAGCATATTCCTGCGATGAAGCATTTCGGGCGCCATTCTCGACCGAGACCTCATGCGCTGGCACCTCGAAAGCGGCGAACGTCTCTCGAGCCGTATCGGGGTACAGCTGTTTGGTATCGAAGAATATGTGACCGAAGCGTACGAATTCCGCGTCCCACAGCCGCTGGTCCCAAGCTTTCCAGCGACCCTCTTCGCCATGTAGGAAGTCCTTCGCGTCTTGCTGTGCCTCTCCGTCTTTCGGTCTCACAATACCTTTGTTCTCGAGGTACTCCCTCTGGTGCCTGTTCAATGGTCGAGCTTTCTGCGGAGCCCACTCCCTACCTCCGTCGAACAAATCGCCAAGGAAAACCACCGAATCCGGATCCAGTCGATCATTGGTAAGTCGGAAGTTACGTGCCATATACAAATCCGTATACCTCTCCGTCAAAGCGGAGAGTGGCCATGGTCGACCCGGATACGTATGCGGGTCGACCAGCTGCGGGTCGGCAATCAGCACCATATGGTGCGGTGAGGCGTCCGAAGGCCATTCCTCCCATCTATCCCATGCACATGTCCTTATATGCTCAGCGAACGTTGTCCGCTCCCCCCAATACACAACATAAAGCCAAACCAGCGTAAACAGTGAGGTAGTCACGGAGACTCGGCGGAGAAGCGGGTATCGACGTGCTAGTCGGCGGAGATGCTGTTGAGCGGCATGGCGGAGGTGCATCATCTACTCCTCGTAGACATATGCAACGCTCCTCCGCCTGTTGCTGGCTTGGACTTCATGGTGAAGTGAAGTGAGGGTCGTGCGTTCTTCGTGCTATAAGCAGGGATCCAAGGAAATGTTGCCGAATACGCGTAGCGGCTCCGCCTTCACGCGGCGTCGGTGATTATGTAACGGCTTACTGTTCGAGGCTGTCTACAATGCACTTCAACATGTTTTACAATGCACTTCAACATGCTTTTTGGGGGCTGCCTACTCTATCCACTCAACATGTCGGACAGCATATTACTGTCCCACATCCTTCTCTTCAGACATGCGCCGCTTATAGGAACTTGCTGGCCAGCGACATCAAGCCGCCTGCGCCGGATGACCCACCACCACCGCCCATTTGGGACTTCATAAACATCTTTATGGCCATCTGTGCAGCCGACTGGACAGCATCCTGCTTCGATCCACCAGCGACATTGCCCTGAGCGCTCTGTTGATCGAACAGTTTAGCCGCCTGACCCATGGCCATGCCGACGAACGCATTCTGGCTGGTTCCGCCACCGGAGCTTCCACCTTGGCCGAACATTTTCAGCGCCTGCATCGCTGCCGCAGAGCCCATGCTGTTGGGTGAAGCTTGTTGTCCACCGCCTCCACCACCATAGAACTGTTGATGTTGCTGCACCATGTGCTGCTCGTCGATGTCATCGTTGGCAAACTGTTGGTGCTTACCCTGCATCATGCCGAGGACGTTACTGAACATGCTCTGGTCGCCGGAGTCACCAGCGTGCTGCGCCGCGTGTTGTGCGGCGCCTGAGAAATCCCCGTACCCTGCACCTCCGCCACCGTAGGAGGTGCCGGTGGAGTCACCAAACCCTTTTCCGTATTCTAGAAGCGGAGTGTTAGCGTTTGTGTCAATTGGGATGGAATGTCTACCGTCACTTACGCTGACCTTGGTTGAACGAACCCTCGTGCCTGCCATGATCAGACTGGTGACCGTAGCTACCTTGACCAGGCTCGCCGCTTCCACCGTAGCCCATACCTTGTCCAGCTTGCTGACCAAAGCCGCCACCCATGCCGCTAGAGTACGAATCTCCGGTACCGAACCCGCCACCACCATGCTGCCGGCGGCCGTAGTCATCACCACCTCCTCCGTACCCACCTCCCTGGCGGCCGTAATCGTCTCCTCCGCCTCCGTAACCGCCACCTTGTTGACGACCATAGTCATCTCCGCCACCATAGCCTCCACCACCGCCTCCTCCATAGCCTTCGCCTTCCTCGCGGCGACCGTGGTGACGCCGTTCTCCGCCTTCACCACCGCCATAGCCGCCGCCCTGGTTGTAGTCTCCGCCGTAAGACATGATGATATTATTGATGAGGTTATGAGTGGTTAATTGCGCAAAGTTGTGACTTGGGGAGCTACAGAGTTTAAGCTTAGATCCCTCAAGCGAAGATCTATGCGATGTCTTCTGCGCGTCAATAACCTGGCTTGCGCCAGCATGACGTCGGCGGGGCGATGGCGGGGCAGTGCACGGCACGCGTTTCACATTGAGCGCGTCAAACAAGTTTCAAGCAAACTGATTGAGCAGGGAAACTTAGACAACTAAGGTAAGGCACAGCTCATTCGCTTCGGTCTTCCTCCTTCACATCTCTTAGACACAACACACACAACACTTCAACCGAAACATCTCCAATGGCGTCGACAGGGACATACATCCTAGTCGGCCTTGTCCTGGTCGTGGCCGCAGTGGCGGGCTACATCGCGGTGTATGCTAACCTCCCTACTCCCACCACTATACAGTATCTGACGCTCAAACACCAGCTTCGGCATTCCGCCCCAGCTAAAGCGCCAACTGGAAGAAAAGGCGCTCGAGACGATGGGCGAGAACAAAGCCTCGTACATGATGAAAGACGCCGTATCCAAACTTCCAGCGTCCGATCAAAAAGTGAGTTGTCTCCATTGTTCTCCCCTCAAAGTCTACGAAGAGGTATCCATACTGACAGGCAAGTAGGACGTCAAAGAACTCCAAAAGGGTCTTGGCAACGCGCTCGGCGGCTCGTTGCAGAATCCGCTCGGCAAGCTAGTGGGTGATGTCGGGGATGATGCGACGAGGCCGGCTACTGGTCGCTAGAGGTAGGCCCAAAGGTTGGGGAACTGGGAGAGGGCGGGCGAAGAGATGACGGTATCTTAACTGACGACTGATTATGATCACAAAACCCCACAAGCATTACGCGCCCAATGTCGCCAACACAGTAAACCATGACCTTGATCTCATAAGCGCGGCACGAACGACACTCAAAAGATCAAGTATTCGGAATTCCCTCATTGTTTGAGGACATCCCTTCGAAGCTATGGACTATCCTTCCTCTTCTTTTGCACCCTCTCCCGCTTCCTCCTCTCCCGAACCCTCTCATACCTCCTCCCCTCACCCCCCTCCTCCCCCTGAATCTCCGCCACCAACCGCCGCTGCTTACGCTCATACTCCTCGTCCCTCTCCCTCTTGTCCCTTAACTGCTCACGGGCAACGAAATTGGCATCCTTCCTCAACTCCCTCAGTGCCCCCTTGCGCTCCCGCTTCACTTCTTTGTGTAATTTGCGGGACTCGCTGCGGTCGTGGTCGGGATCGTAGTGTTTGTCTGGGTTGAAGCCGGATTCGAATTTGGGGATGGAGGTGCGGATTGGTTGGAGCCGGTGGTGATGGAGTTCTAGGGGCCGGAGGCGGAGGTGAGAGCTCTCAAGAAGGGTGGTGAGGTGCCTGAGGGCTTTGGTTGCGTTGAGGCGTTCGAGGATATGAACGAAAGGACTGAATATGTGCGTGAATGCGGAGAGGTCCTGCCAGAGATCGGACATCGTGGTGAGGTTGTCCAGGTGCGGCTGTCTGTCCGTGATCATGTTGGAGCGTAGAGCGTGTAGGGTGAAGCGGACAGTTTCGGGGATGTAGCGTTTGGAGAGCTTTTGGTAGTTGAGACATTGCGCCACAAGAAAGGCGCCGATGGTGGCAGTGCCTGCGGCGTTCGGGAGGTTGAGACCGAGCCATCGCGCCATCATGGTGATGGCGGGCGTGACGACTTGGTGGAAGTGGTCGCTAGTCGGGTAGGTTGCGCCGATAGCCGTGATGATCATCAAGTCGCCGTTCGTCGGCTGCACGTTGAGACGCTCGTGCCAGGCTTGCAAATAAAGGCGGAACGCTTCGCCGATTCGAGTAGCGTACGTTCGGGACAGACTGTGCAGGTGGCGTATTAACTGCTCGGTTACTGCAAGAGAGTGTCCGTTATTCGCCATATAGGCTAGATGGTCGACCAGGGCTGCGGAGAAGTCGGCCATGGCTTCTTTATTGGCAGCGGAGAGGGAGGGGTGGTAGAGTGCGCGAATGCGCTGGATGACCGTTATAGCCTGCTCGGTCGGCACATTCTTGAAGACTTCGAGTAGCTCGGCGTGACTCCGCGGACACGGATACGTATAAGCCAAGCCCACCGAGTTCTTAGATTGTGGTGGATTCGTCGCTTTCTGTGAGTCTTCAGCAGCCCCGTCGCCTAATATGCCTTGGACGAACTCTGCTTCTTCGTCAGCTTGTGCCTCATCCTGCGGACCCTCAGCTTCTGATTCGGAGTCGTCCGAGAGCTCGGCCTCAGGATCACTGGCAATCAGATCATCATCAAAAGCGAAATCGTCCTCATCGTCGTGGTTGACCTTCTCTTTGATCTCCCTCGGTTGAGGAAGCGATGCCTCGAAGCCAAAGTCGCCAGCATCATCCGCTACCTCGTCGTTGCCAAAAGCATCTGGCGAGGCTTCTTGATCGACTTCACCGCCGTCTTCTGCCGTGTCGTCGTCTTCGTCATCGGACACTGCCTCGCCACGCATACGCTTTAGCCGCTTCTCCTCCATCTCCCGCAGGTGTTCGGCTTGTTCTTGCGCCCTCTCCTCCGCAGTCTTCGTTCTGTCACTAGGCTTCGCGCGGGTATCTTGGGCCAGTTGTCGCAGGCGTACTTCGTACTCCTTGTCCACCTTCGCGCGATCCGCACCGTCGAGCAATTTCTGCCTCTCAGGGTTCATCTTGGGCCCGTCGCTGTTAATAGCTGTCTCCGCTTCACGTTCGACTTCCTTCCGCACCGGCTTGTGACCTTGCAACAAAGCAAGCATATGCGCCATACTTGCGTCAAGTTGCTCGCGGAGGTCATCGTCGTCTTCCTTCGCCTTCTGCCGCTCGTACTTGTGCAGCTTCGACTTGGCTATGACCTCTTCCATGACCTCCTTCTTCGTCTTCTTACGTTCTGGCTCCTCCACCTCAGCCTCTCCAAGCAGCTCATCTCCTTCATCAACATCATCCCGCCGCCTCTTCTTCCGCAACAACCCATCATCCTCCTCTTCCTCCGACCCCTCACTGACAGCATCCACCATATCCCCGCCATCAAACTCATCCAGACTCCTACCCAGATGCGTCAAACCAATCTTACCTTCGTCCCCATCACTCCCCTCCAAGTCGAACAAACTCCCGCCCTTCTTCCTCTCCTTCTCCCTCGCGAATCTCTGCACCGCCCTCTCCTCCGGCGTCATAGTCGCATCACCTTCCCCGATCCTCCGATCAATCAATCCTCCCACTTTGTTCCGCCGCTGCATTTCAGGCAACAATTGCCGCCGGCGCATCTCCTCGCCCGCACTTTTCGTGACGCCTGGTCTGTGCAGGATTGCCGCATACTTGCCTGGGTTTGGCTTGGCAGAGAAGCTCTCGAACTTAGCGGGTCGTGCTGAGCCGGGACGCAGCTCGAAAGGGTTGAAGCTGTTGCGGATCTGTTGGAGGGCGGCATGACGGTTTTGGTGTTGTGGGCCGTCTGCTGTCCTGCCGGCTTTGCGCTGCTTCTTCGACTTTTGCGGGCCGACGATGCCGTTCTCACGGAGTTGCGACTTGAGCGCTTTGAGTTGAGAGGGAGGCATGGCATGCGCTGACAGATGAGCAGGTGAGGGCTGATGTTGTGTGAACTTTTTGTGATCGAGAATGAGATTTAGATCAGATTAGATCCGGCGGGCGCGGACGAGGAACGGGCCGCTGACCGTAGCGTTACGTACCTGCCCCAAGCCGAGTGAGGAACAACACTGTCAATCGGCAAGCGGCATGCTGCATGCTGCTGTCAACATGGCAAGGACAACCAGGAGAAACATAGCCTAAGCTTGCACTTTGCAGAGATGCGGCATCCACTTGGCCTCCCTTCGCCTCACCATGACCCGCCACCTCGATGACCGCTACCTCTGGCTCGGCTTCTCCCTCTTCTTCCTCACCGCCGCCTACGGCATCCACTACGCCTTCACCGACATCCTCCACCTCACCCAAATCGACCCACCCTCCACCTCACCCGAACGCTCACCAGATGAAATCCTAGAAGATTCCATCGACCTCTCCACCCTGCAAACCCTCGCGACATCCCCCCACCACAACATCGCCGAGTCCGCCATCAGCATCATCGTCGCCCGCTTTGTCCGGTCCGAAGATGCTCGGAACGAGTTGAGGACGGATTTGAAGTCAAAGGATCCGGAAACGGTGCGGCGGGCGAGGATTGCGACAAGGTTTTTGAGCGAGCACCCTGTCAGCGCTTATGCGGATGCGGGGTCGGCGTTTGCAAGGTTGATGGAGGGTGTGCGGAGGAGGGGTGGGTGGTGGACGGATGGATTGGAAGAGGAGGGGGCGGCGGAGACGAGATGGAGGCGGAGGGAGGTTATGGTGTTGCATGAGGGTGGCGGTGAGGTGGGTGAAGACGCCATTATAAGGCCAGTATGATACAAGGGCACGTAAATGCGACGGCAAAGAGTTGTAATGGACAGGGAACGTGACGATGAAGCCACCGGACGGAGTGAAGACACAACTCTACACCATCAGCATCTCCGGACTCACGACGGCGCCGTCCTCATCCTCTCCATCTCCTCCTTCGTCGGCGCCGAATCATTCAGTTCCCCACAACTTTTACACCGCCTCGCCTCCTCATCCTCCTTAAACGCATTCACAGCGCTCTTAATCTGCGTACCCAAATCCGTACAGAAGAAACTGGCCTCATGCACCACCTCCCCACACTTCCGACAATACCACCTCAACCGATCCTCGCTCCCCTCCGGCCGCGGCAACTCCAGCACAACCCCAACCGTATCCTCAAACCGCACAGGATTGTGCGGGGTGTTGCCTGGAAGTAAAAAGAGCTCGCCTTCGTTGATGTAGATGTCTACGAACTCGCCTTGCTGCACGGTCTTCAGGAGCATGCGACCGCGGTATTGGTAGAAGAATTCGGGCGTGGAGTTGATGTGGTAGTCGGTGCGGGCGTTGGGGCCGCCGACGATTTGGACGGTGAGGGGGTCGTTGTAGATGAGGTGGTTATTGATGGGAGGTTTGAGGAGGTGGGAGTTGGTTTCTAGCCTGCATTTGAGACGATCGGGTCAGTCTTGGGGGAGGTAGGGTAGGACGGTTAGTGTGGTGGAGAAGGCGAACCATTTGGGTATGTTGAGCGGGGATCCTAGCTTCGTTGTTGAGGCAGACATGGTGTGCGATGTCGTGAACGACCTTGATGGTGTCTGCGGTGGTTGTAGTTGTCGTTTCTGTGAAATTCTCGATGCAATGCAAGTGGACCTCAAACTACTTGCGCCTCTTGTTGCTGTGAGTGGTGCTCTTACCAGACCTTGCATCTCTCGAAAGACTGACGGAAAGGGTTGTCTCTGGGGTGGATCTTAATGGCAAGCTGTACGAGCTTTTAGTCTGGAAGATATGCTCATGCGACAAGCAGAGAGTGTGTGAAACTGTATCAATGATTGTTCATCCGGACCTCATAGCGTCATCTTTTCAGAAGCCCGTCTATCTCCGATGCAGGTCACTCGGCTGGCACGGCTAAGGCTGAGACACTCTACTTCCCTTACACGGTAAGGCTAAGACACTCTGCTTCCTTGCAAATACCTCTCTGGGAACGTCACGCAGTTTCAATTTGTAGACTGTGAGGACTCCACTTACATGCGGCAATATCACAGTCTGCGTTCGCGTGTAAGAAAGCAAGGGAGTGCATTACTGCCGGCGAACAGAGCCAGTTGATAGAAGACAGTCGTGTTATATTCATGACCTAAAGTCTATAAAACCTCGACTGGTTTACTCCACACCACCGCCTCTCCGCCGCCTCAGCAGCTCAGCCAGCGGCACATCATCCTCATCATAAAAGTCTGCAACCTCATCAACCCCAAAATCAGCCAACCTCTCCCCTTCTTTATTGCGCCAGCCCTCTTCCCCCGCATCATCGCCACCATCCCGCGTCAATCGCGCCTCAGCCGGAAGATCTTCGTCCGTGACCAGTGCATCCTCATCTTCGTCGCCGTCATCCTCCACTTCGTACACACGGCCTGCATCTGACTTCGACAAAGCCTCGAGACGTTCGTGGAAAGGACGGCGACGGACGACGTACTCACCGTCTGCGTCCTCGTAGCGCGCCATGTCTGCTTCCTGTCGTGCGCGGAAACTGTTGATATCCATTGGTAGCGTGTCGCCGCCAGTTGCGGGTCGTCGGGCGGTGCGGAACATGCGGTCGGGATCTGGGGGCGGCCAGGGTTTGCTTGGATCTGGCAGATTGGTCAGTGTCGGAAGTACACCACGGAAATTCTCCATGTCTTACCATCAATGCAGTTGTGCTCGTAATCAAATGCACTCCGAATACTAGGACTTTGTGCAAATGGCCAGAACCAGATCAATGGGTTTCTGCTTCCCATCCCCTGGCAGATATTCGTCCAGAATCCGGCATCCCATGGGAACTCCTGCTGCTCGATCTTGACTTTAGTGCCGTCAGGTCCGTCTAGATAGCCGCCGAGTGTGCGTGCACGCCTCAGCAGAGCATGATGGCGCTCCACTTCCCAGCTTTCGATCGTCGTCATGTTCAGCGTCAGCGACCAGATTGTACGTCCGAGTAGCAATACGAGAGCGAACAGGACGAGGGAATTGACAACGACGAGTACGAATAAGTGGGCTAGCTGCCACACGTTTGGGCCCAGGTACTGCTTGGTGGTGAGACATGGACCTTATAAAAGAGGAGAGTACAGAAGTACGTACGCTTGGTAAATGCCGCTTTTGCCATAGTACGGCACATCGTGTGTAGAGGAAGCGTTCGAGGTAAAGCATAGATACCACAGCGTAGAAGAGGAAGCGAACGAAATGCGGAAGGATGCTGTGAGAGACGCAGTTTGCTGGAAGAAATGCGTTACTTACCTTGATCCTTACCTATCTCGTTAGATGGAGAAGCCTACCTGTCCATACGCAGTGATGGTCCATTTTGAGGATGCAACTGTCTGGCATAAGAGACTGTATCTAAGCGACAGAAGAGCATTGCATATGCTCACCGCCGGCAAGTCTTGCAATGATGTGCCCTCGGCGGCTTCCAGATCTCGCAGCGTCTACACCAGCGCTGGGAAAGTGGCAATTGGGCTGCATCCGCGGCACTACCATTCAGGCGGACTGTTTCTTGCCAGTCATTGGGTACGGAGCCTGGATCTTTGTAGCACGCGCGGTAGTAGCATACTAGAAGCGCAGTGACCAGGGTGTTGAAGAGGTAGGCATCGCCTTTTCGGAGAGAACCTGGTTCGATGTGCTGGAAGAGATATTGGGAGCTGAGAGCCAGGAAGAGGATTAGCACTGTTACGCCTGGTGGGGCGAGACGTTGGATGAGAGGTTTCTCCATGTCTTTCGGGGTTGGGCCGGGTCTTTGTGCCCTCGACTGGATAAGGGAAATGTTCATGTTGTTGTCGAGGAGGGGAGGCTTGGGAAACTGGCACTGTGCGGGACCTGCCGGAGTGACGACGGTCCCCCACGTCTGCGGCCTTGCTTCATCCCACCACAAGCATCGAAACACTCATATTGCGTGACTGCCCAGTATCAGCGTGTCGCACAGCTTCTAAGTCTGCCTGGCTCATCCGGAGTTGATCTATCCCTCTCTAAACATGCCGCGATAGTCGCGCGACGCTCCGCAACCACCCACGAGCACACCCAACGAAGCCGCTGCCAATCCAACATCCTTCATCATGGCACGCGTTTACGCCGACGTCAACCAGCAGATGCCGCGCGCATACTGGGATTATGACAGTGTCAACATCAGCTGGGGCGTACTAGAGAACTACGAGGTCGTACGAAAGATCGGTAAATGAAGCACGTGCTTGCCTAGCTCAGAAGCTCGCGAACTGACAGACCGCTACCACAGGGCGCGGGAAATACTCTGAAGTATTTGAAGGCATCAACGTGGTTAATTACCAGAAATGCGTCATCAAAGTCCTGAAACCGGTCAAGAAGAAGAAGATCAAGCGTGAGATCAAGATCCTCCAGAATCTTTCCGGAGGACCGAATATCATCGGATTGCTGGATGTGGTGCGCGATAGCCAGTCAAAGACGCCCAGCTTGATCTTCGAGCATGTCAATAATACCGACTTCCGGACACTGTATCCGAAATTCCAGGATATGGACGTGCGGTATTACATTTATGAGCTGCTGAAAGCGCTTGACTTTTGCCATAGCAAGGGCATCATGCATCGCGATGTGAAGCCGCATAATGTCATGATCGATCACGAGAACCGGAAGTTACGACTCATCGACTGGGGTTTGGCGGAGTTTTACCATGCAGGTACTGAGTACAATGTTCGCGTGGCAAGCAGATACTTTAAAGGACCGGAGCTGCTCGTCGACTTCCAGGAGTACGACTACAGCCTCGACATGTGGTCACTTGGCGCCATGTTCGCGAGTATGATTTTCCGTAAGGAGCCTTTCTTCCATGGTAACAGCAATAGCGATCAGTTGGTGAAGATTGCTAAGGTGCTGGGGACGGAAGACCTATTCGACTACCTGGACAAGTATGACATCGAGCTAGATCAACAATATGATGACATTCTTGGCCGGTTTCCGAAGAAGAGCTGGCACTCGTTCGTCAGCTCGGAGAATCAACGGTTTGTGTCGAATGATGCGATCGACTTTCTCGACAAGCTGTTGCGATATGATCATCAGGTGAGCTCTCAACGTGGTTTATCGAACCCCGACGTTTGCTGATATGTATCTATAGGAACGGCTTACTGCAAAAGAAGCGATGGCACATCAATACTTCGCGCCGGTTCGCCAGGCTGAGGCGACAGAGCTGCAGAAGACGAACAATGTTCACCAGTGAAGACGATACGCTAAGCAGATAGTCACAACTGCTCGGTTCACACGCCGTGGAATGGCGCAAAGCCAAGCTTTCGACACCAGGGAACGTTGAGGGTCAAGTCGTTGCGCGTGCGTGTCCATTCGGGGCGCAACATGTCAGCGCCGTCACAGCCGCATGGCGGAGCGATGACCAGCTAGCAGCGTGGAGACGGTGTATAAGTCCGAGATACCCCGTGACGAGAGTCTGCGAGCAGCACGATAGAAGATGAGGTAAAGCTGTACGGCAGCCGAGCCAGACGAGTTAACGAGCGAAGATCATCTACAAGTACATTCTGCGCCGATATATCTTACTCATCCCGCCACCCTGAAAATTGCCCTCGAGGAAGCCAAAACATCTACAATTGCTCGACTTCACGCCAGATCATTCACATTTGCTAGACTCCAAGAAAACTGCTCCCCTTCAAAACTCCTCCCACCCAGCCAAAGGACTGTCAGCTCGTCGATGCCCGTGTCACTAGCATGACCAATCAAGCCGGAAGACACATCTACAAGGCCCGGCTTACTTCTTCGCAATCACTCTGCCTGCCTCTCTAGGATCAATGTCCTTGTAGTAGCGATCAAACATCGCAGATATCTTCGGACTTTCTATTTCGATGGACCCGTCGATGGCTGGCTTCGCAACGGGCTCACTGTCGTCGTCGTCGGCTCCGTTCACCGAGCCATGCATGGCATTAAGGCTGGTACTGCTACCCCTACCGACAGCGGAGTTTCGGTTAGCGCGGGAGTGAGATATGAAGGATGGTGCGCTTCGTACGCTACGGGATGCTGGGCAGCGTTCTTGCTCCGGCTCTGACTAGCCATGGTCTGTTGGCTCCTGGCCTGGCTCTGACACTGACCAACGTTCACCTGCTGGCTCTTGGTTGTCATCGCTCAGGTGCCGCAAACCTGTATGCTCTGTATACCTCTGTTCATGATGTGCTCCAGCCAGACGCATCTGGGCGGATGTGACGCCATTTATATTTGCGAAGCGTCCAGGTCGCACAAGGACACACGATGGTAGCATTTTGCGAGGCAGGAGTCAGCTCCAGTCCCGTTATAGCACTAGAATCTGCGTACACAGGCGCACCGACCCAAGCAAACGACACCGCAGCGGGATATGCTTGCCGGAATCCCACAATACCACCGATAACAACGCCCTCGACCACTACGAATGGCAGGAGAATAGGTCGTCTATGCACTTGAGGTCGGCTGTCGCGCTGAAATCGGCTTTGCTTGCAGCATTCGTGCCACCGGACCATGGCAATCATGCCCTCGCCTTCTTCAACTCTCCGTTAGCCATGCGAAGCGATACCAAAGAGCGTTCGTCGCTATAACCCACCGGAAACCGCCGTCCGCTATCTTTGAGGAAAACACGGCGGATAGCTCGAACTCCGGGTATATGATTGGGTAGCGTAACCTCATGAATACGCTAAATACCGGGCGACCCAAGCTGTCCGTCCGGTTCCTGTTGGTATCCTCTGCAGCGTACCGCGACCCGATTGCCGCGAGTGGTACGAACGGTTTTACAAGGGCAGGTGTTCACGCAGGATCGGTTCCTGGCCGTCGACGATCTCGATCCGCACATACATGTGTTCGCAAGGGTGTTGACAGGTGTGCCTGCATACGGTGGGCTCGTGCAGATCTCGTGCTACCCCCTCTAAAGTGCCGGCATCACACGGCATTTGGAACTGGTCATCTATCTCAGGCGTCTGACCGCTCCACATCGTATATTCCGACCTCACTTCCCGCTGCGGTCGACCGCGGAAACTACCATGGCAAGCGGTGAAGCATAGGTGGCGCTATCCGTCATACTCTCGAGCACACCACGTGACGCTTTGTCTCGCTTGGACGGTATACACCCGACTGCTGTGGCCATTTGGTAGCACTCGGTGCCAGCAACGAAGGGATGCCTGTTATCTCGAACTGCCTGTCGGTCCGACTGAACCCCGTCTCGAAACACCTGGAGAGGAGTACAGGAGGTGTGATAACGTACACAAATGGAACAGGGAACCGATGGCAATCGAAAGCGAGTCTGGTATGCATGGAGTCCGGAACCTGCGACCCTACATATACCATGCAAGCTATAGACATGCATTCGCTGCCAGAGCAAACGACGTCCTGTAACTCGCAGCAATGTGACATGGTATACGTCATGCTGTAAGACCCTCCAATCGCCACGTGCTATGAGTGTACAATCGGCGCCTTGTAGCTGAGAGCTTATTCCTTCCATCTGCATGTTGCGTTCTCGTGACCGCGGGACCGTCCAGGGGCAAGGCACTGCGATGCTGTCGTGGCCACCAAATGCGGGCGTACTCGGGCAGCATCGCATGAACGCAAGTGGCTCAATGTTGTTATCGTAGGATCTGACGGACTGACGCAAGCAGCTGAATGGAGGTCGTGCAGGATCCGCGAATGGCTTGAAGGGGATGCCGCTCCGTAATCGACACGCTTTTGGAAAGCTTAGCTGCCCGATACTGCAACATTGACACCACGCCGTCGGCGGTGCCGAGGGAGTGTCATTTGCCTATTCCGGTCGCGGTTGCATATCGTTGCGCAACAACATCCGGAACAGCCATAGCCACTCGCATCGAAGACTGCAACATTCCCGACAGCAACGGCGGTAAAGCATCTCCACATCCCTCGCCACCAACGCTTAAGCCAGCCTCACCTCTTCATGCGCCCTTCGCCCACCAAGCGCGGAGCAGCAACTACACCTACTCAACCCAACTTCATCTCCTCAAACCGCGCAACACTCTCCTCAAAAGCCCTCTGCTCCGCCACCTTCCCCCTCAACCCCTCCTCCTCCCGCCTCCTCACCTCCTCCGCCACCCCACTAGCACCTAATTCCAACCCGGCCAAGATCCGCTCTTGCTCCTTAACCACCCTCGCCGCCTCCTCCATCTTCCCCTTCAACTTCTTGATCTCAGCATCCGGGTCAATCTTGCCTTGCAATTGGATAAAAACCGCCGCGTCAGAGCCAAGGGGATATACCGCGCTTCCCGCGGGGATGGGGTCGGATTGGTTGAGGACGGTGACGGTGGTCAGGTATTTGCCGGAGAGGGTTTTGATCGACGCCACTTCGGCGGAAGCGATGGAGTGGGCGGTGGAGTTGAGGGCTTGAATGTACGCTTGCCCGTTCTCTTTGATGCCGTATTCCTGCAGCAACGAGCGGATACCCTTTGAGCATCCCAATACGACATCGTAAGCGCGTTCGCTCTCTTCGTCGTCGAGACTAGCGTCGTACTCCGGGTAAGCGGCGATGACGATACTCTTCGTCTTGTCGCCTTGTCGGCGCGGCAGACGTTGCCACAGTTCTTCGGTCAAGAAGGGCATGAAGGGGTGCATCATCCGCAGGCCGCCGTCGAGGGCGGTGTAGAGCGTGTCGACTGCGCTTTTTGACGCCTCGGGCGTGCCGTCTCGGATGATGGATTTACTGTTTTCGATGAAGACATCGCACAGCTCGTACAACCAATAGCCGTACAGTGCCTGGGTGGCTTTCGAGAACTCTCTGGTCGCAAGCGCCGCGTTCACCTCCTTCGCCGCGTGAGTAAGCTTGTGCAGGATCCACCGCTCAGGTAGGGACTCCTTGCCCGTCTTACCGGCGTGAGCTGGGGGCGAGTAGTCCGGCGGTAAGCTCCCCAACACGTACTTGGTCGCTTGGTAGATTTTGTTGCAGAAGTTGCGGTAGCTGCGCATAACCTTGACGTCGAAATTGATATCGCCGCCGCCGGTGGTGTAGTTAATAAGTGAGAAACGCAGAGCATCAGCGCCGCACTCATCAATACCATCCGGAAACGCCGACTTCTGCCACTTCATAGCACGCTCAATCTCCTTCGGCGCAAGATTGCCCACCTTCAACTTCTCATTCAACTGCTCCAACGTAACTCCATCCATCACATCAACCGGATCAATAACATTCCCCAGCGACTTCGACATCTTTCGACCTTCCGAGTCGCGGATCAACGAATGACAGTACACCTCTGTAAAGGGCACCTTCCCCGTCATCTTCAACCCAAACATGATCATGCGCGCCACCCAGAAGAACAGGATATCCCACCCCGTCTCCAGCACGGACGTCGGATACAACTTCTCCAGATCATGCGTCTTCTCCGGCCATCCCAGCGTGGAAAACGGCCAGAGTCCAGAAGAGAACCAGGTATCCAAACAATCCGGATCGCGCTCCAGCTCAAACTCCTTGCCGGGAAACTTCTTCCTCGCTCGCTCCCGTGCCTCCTCCTCCGTCTGCGCACAGACCCAATACTCCGGTTCGGAATCATACGCCGGTCCATCTTTAACCTTAACATACCACGCCGGCACCTGATGTCCCCACCATAACTGCCGGGACAAACACCAATCGTCGATCGTCTCCATCCAGCGATAATACGTCGCCTCGGCCGTCTGCGGGCGGACTTTGATCTGCCCGGACTTCACAACCTCAATCGCCGGCTCGGCCAAGGGTTTCATATGCATCCACCACTGCGGCTTCAGCATGGGCTCAATGACATCCTTCGACTTCGAGCAAAGCGGGATCGACATCTTATTATCGGCTTTGCCCACATACAACCCCAATTTCTCCAGCTCAGCAATAACGGTATACCTCACGTCAAACCGCTTTTGCCCCTCGAACATGGGTCCGGCGTTGGAGTTCAAGGTTCCGTCGTCATTGAGGATATTGATGAACTCGAGATCATGCTCCTTCCCGCGCTTGAAATCGTTGAAGTCGTGCGCGGGGGTGATCTTGACGGCGCCCGTACCGAAATCCTTCTCGACCGTCTCGTCGCCGAAGATGGGCAGGAGGCGGTCGACGAAGGGATGACGGACTTTGCGGCCGATGAGGTGCTTGTAGCGCTCGTCGAACGGGTGGACGGCGACGCCGGAGTCGCCGAGCATGGTTTCGGGCCGGGTGGTGGCGACTTCGATGGTCTCGTTGGTGCCGTCGATGGGGTATTTGAAGTTCCAGATGCTGCCGAATTCGATCTTCTTGTCGTAGCCCGGTACGTCGAGTTTGGTTGAGCCTTCGAGTTCCTTTTGGTCGACTTCCAGGTTTGACAAGGCGGTGGTGAGTTTGGTGCACCAGTTGACGAGTCGGTTCGCGCGATAGATGAGACCTTCGTCATGCAGCTGCACGAACGTCTGCCGCACGGCTGCCGAAAGCGTCGGGCTCATCGTGAAGCCTTCCCTCGTCCAGTCCATCGAGCCACCCAACCTCCGCAGCACTTTGTTAATCTTCTGATGGTACTCTTCCTTCCACTCCCACACCGTCTCAACAAACTTCTCCCGTCCGAGGTCATGCCTCGTCAAGCCGTTGCGCCGGTTATACAGCATATTCTCGACAACGCTCTGCGTGGAGATACCGGCATGGTCACAGCCAGGCACGTACAGCACCGTGAGACCCTTCATGCGGTTCCATCGTATCATGGCATCTTGTAACGAAGTCGCCAACGCATGGCCAATATGTAACGCACCGGTAACATTAGGCGGAGGTATAGAAATGACAAAGTGACCCGCCTTCTTCACATTCCCATCCTCCGCAAAGTCCGGCAGATACAACCCTTCCCTCTCCCACCAATCGTACCACGCACTCTCCACCACCGACGGTATATACGCCTTATGATACTCATCATCCAGCGGCTTCAGAATCTTCTTCTCCCCCTTCGGCGTGTCCTCCTTATACGGCGGCAGCTTCTCCTGCGCCTTCTTCTCCTTCTGCTGCTTGGGCTGCGAGGCGGCGGCCATCGCTTTCTGCTTCTCCTGCTTCGCGGCAAGCTTAGCTAGTTTCTCCGCCTTTTGGCGTTCTTTGGCCAGCTCACGCTCGCTTTTCTCCTTCGCGCCCCCATCGCGATCGCCGCCGTCTTGGCCGGGCGCGTTCTCACCCTTGGGATCGCCATTCGCGGCTTCCAGGATGGCGGCTTTAGTGTCGTCTGAGGGGGGAGGGGGTTGGCCGGAGACGGGCCCGGTCTTGATGCCGGCGATGTTGTGGGAGGCTGCGTTGACGGCCATGATGGAGTACGAGTCAGACGTCCTCCAAGCAGTGCTACAGATATGGACCTGGGGTTGAAGTTGCTGAAGCCACTCGCGCCGGAAGAGCGCCCGGCGCAGTATCTTGCCCACGCGAGCGGTGCCTTCCTAAAGCGGCTCGAATTGTGTGGTGCAGTGTGTAGTTGGGAAGACTTGTACGAGATTATCCCGAGCAAGTTACAGCACAAGGTTGGTTATATAGCTTCGAGGCTTTGCGCTTGCATTGAAACGTCTAGATAGAGGAATGATAGAGTCCCGGTCTGAGCAATCAGAGCTTGACCACCCAATGCACACATTTCGCAAGGCAGTAAGGCAGCAAGGCATCCACGGAGTCGGCTGCGTGCGAGATAGGAAATCGCCTCAGATCCGCAAATACTCAGACATTCCTACTTGCGAAATACACAACGCACCACCTCTTTGTACAAGCTCGTCTGTCTTCCGAGATAAGATACAGCCAACGCGCCATCCGTTTGGCGAGTACGAAATATGTCCTGCGCTTTCTGAGTAACGCTGTAGAGTAGACAAGTGTAGCACATCACACTACCCAGCGGACAGGTGCAATCCTAGAGCACGTCCTACCTACAGCCATCGCTGTGTAGATGCGCAGTGCTCGACCGAAAGTGGTCACAAGGAAGTGTAAAAGATATCCTCGAACGTCTTCGGCCGGATCGGGGAGGTTATATAGACGGCTATCTGTACAACTTCCTGCGCAGTGTGGACCGTGCCCAGGCGACATGAAGGAAGTCATACTGAGCCGAGAGAGTGTGCCAGCTCACGGTACTCCAGACGGACGGACTGACATACAGCGTCTGCCCGAGAGACAGCGTTGTGACGCTCTGGCCGCAACACGAGACTGAGCGTCGGCGGGAAGACCAACTGTCTCTATACGTGAGGCGACTTTGAGTGGAAGGGTGTTGATGTTCAATCGCAATGGCTCTCTACATGCACGGCCTTCAACACGAACTTATATCTGCGCCAGCATTTATTGGTGCGATTGAATTACTACAGTAGGTAGAGAAGTGCAGGACCTTGGAAGGGCTGTTGATGTTGACTGCTACAACGTAATGCCGTCACACCTCGGCTGGAGGCTAGCGTGGTAGAAGGAAGGAAGGGGTAAGGCTGAGACGAGACCCACAGTGACTTGTGCCGCGCTTCCCTCTCGGTCTCTCGCTCGCTCTGCCCGCCGCCCGCCGCCGCCGCCGCCGTTCGTTCCGTTCGTTCGTTCGTTCGTCCGTCCGTCTCATGCTTCTCTCTATTTTTATCGTGACGCTTTTTACAGCAACCACGCAAATCCACGCTACACGCCCCCTCCCCCGACGTCAGCCTACCGTTGGCGACCCAATATCCCATATCGCGGGGTAGTTAGTGGGTAGGGTGAACACTATTGTCGCGCGTTGTGGCATAACAACGCTGCGATAGTGTGAGAGTGTAGCTGGTGGTGGTGGTGTTGTGCTGGAGATTTGGACGCGCGGGCGCTTGGGTCGTGTTACAGAGCGCTGGCTGCTAACGCTCGCTCGGCCGGAGCGCATTGAAGTTTCCTGCGGCCTTGGATTCGAGACAGACGAAACGGTCTGGCGGGTGATAGATGCGCGTCTGAGCTTCAACCCGCTCGACTTCATAAGATGGGACGGAGGAAGATTGAGGTAGACTTGCTCCGACCCCCTCACTCACTCACACTGTCACGCGCTTACACTTATCACTCCTCGTAGATCAAACCCATCCGGGATGACCGCAATCGGTAGCTACCACCCACCCATCGTTCCTGCCTCCTTTGACTGACTCGTCATACAGATCGGTGACGTTCCTCAAGCGCAAAGGCGGGCTCTTCAAGAAGGCGCATGAGCTGTCGGTACTGTGTTCCGTCGATGTCGCCGTCATCATCTTCGGCCACAACAAGAAGTTATACGAGTACTCATCTTCAGACATCAATGAGATCATTGGCCGCTTTCAATACTATGGCGGCGCGCATGAGCACAAAGGTCCGGCGGACTTTGCAGATAAAGGAGGCGGAGGGGATGATGACGACGATGATGAAGGTGGCGATGAGGGGGATGAGGGCAGGAACACGCCGGCGCCGGACCAGCCATCGATGGGACACCCACCCATGCAGATGCAGCAACATCCCGGCTTCCAGCATGTGAGACATGGCACGCCGTCCGGATCGCCGCCCATGCATAACGGGGCCATGCCGCAGTTTGTTAGAGTACCTTCACCACTACCGCCAGGCACATCCCGGCCGTCGTCGAGGACGGCCCAGCATCCTCCAAACGTCCGACGACCCAGCTCGAACCTTGCTCCACCACATATGCAGACGCAGGGTCCGCCACCTCAGCCGAGCTACGCTTACACACCCAATCCACCCTTCTACAACCCGCAGGCTGCCGCGCAGATGCAACCGCGGCCGGAGATGCAGGTTCGACCCGTCCAGCAAAGCCACCAAGCGACCTACCCACCACCATACCCCCCGGTCACCCATGCCCAGATCCAGCAAGCTTACATGGCCGACCAGAGGCGATCATCCGGACCGCCCGCCTTCCCGCCACAGCCAGCCCCTCAAGCGAACATGCAGCGGCCACCGTCGGATCAACATCTGCAACCGCCGCAACACCGTCCAATGCCTTCGCCACAACCACACCAAGGACCACCGCGGCCTTCTCCATCCCCGCAACCACCCCAACAACATTTCGCAAGCCCTGCCATGCCGCAGCCTAGACCCCTCCCCGCAGCAGCCAAATCCCAATCCATCTTCACGCCCATTGACGACAGCAGATCCATGCTAGCCCAACACTGGGGCGCCAGCATCGACTCCCAAATCGACCCCGCAATCAAACTGGAAGGTGGAAGCGGCCCCCGCTCCCAATCCATCGACATCGCCGCCATGCACCGCGAGAGACAGAACGCCGGCCATCACAACGGCCTCTCCCCGAAACCACCACCTTCCGCCAACAAAACCCCTCTCAAATCCCCCCAACCACCCCAAAGAACAACAAGCACCCCGATCATCGGCCCGCCCCAACGCACCGCAACCATGTCCTCCGACGCCAAACGTCCGCGCCTCAAGGTCCAAATCCCGAGTGAACAGCAATCCGGCGACGAAGGCGGTGGCTCCCCCTCCGCCGACAACGAAACGGCCGCCACCACCGCCGCGCCCCACACGCAACAACAAGCACAACAACGCGTCCTCCCTCCTCCCTCCCCGAGCACGAATGCCCTCCTCTCGGCCGGCGCACAAGGGCCACCCAACCCCTTCGCCCGCCCCGCGCCGCCCATGAGCACGAATCCGCACGCGCTCAACCGCGACGCCGCCGCCGGCGCAGTCAATCAATCCACGTCTACCGGTCCCGGTGGCGGTGTGGTGGGGCGGGATTACATCGAGACGCCCATCTCTGCTCTGCCGTCACGATTTATGAATCAGGATTTGTTGCCCAGTCCGAGCAATTTCTTTCCGGAGTGGGGGTTCGGCAGGGGTGGGGGTAGTGCGGGGGGGATGGATGGGGGGGTGGGGTTGCCGAGTCCGTTGAACTTCCAGACGCCGGTCGTGGGGAATGGGCCCGGGTGGAGGCAGGAGGAGGAGAGGGAGAGGGAGAGGAAGAGGGGGTTGGAGGAGGGTGAGGGGGGTGGTGGGGGGGATGGAAAGAGGGTTAAGACGTAGACCTCTTGTGGAGGGAGAGACAGGGAAGGGAAGGTGGGTGCTGGTATTGTAGTCGGCGGTGTTTCTGTGCCGGGGGCTGTAGGAAGGGAAGGAAAGGGAAATGGAAGGGAAGGGAAGGGAAGAAAAGGATGAGGGGCCTTTCATTGTGATGTTAACCTCTCTCGGCGTTTTCTGGAAGGGAGGGGGAGGAGGGCACGGATATATACCCGGCTGGCTGGCTGTTACGTTAGATTGTATGCTCTTGTTCATGTTCATGCTTATGTTCATGCTTATGCTCATGCTTATGCTCATGCTTATGCTCCACGCTTATCGTTTGCTGTACTGTACTGCTCTGTACATGTGCATGTGCATCACCCACCCACTCCCACTTTCCGTTCGTAATCCATCTTTCCCGTTGTGGGAATGTGGGATAGTCCAGATACGGTGCGTGCACGTGATGTCGCGTTCGGTTCGAGTGGGAACCGTTTACCGTCTGCCCACCCCACATTGATCGGAAGCGTGACTTCCCTCTCCGGACTGTGTGATCTTCACCACTCTCCCATCATCAACGGACTCAAGCTTCTTAATAGCATAACACTCATGACTTGTTGAAACACACCGAGATCGAGCAAAACATGCACCCCCTCTCCTCCCTCCCCGGCTACGACACCGCTCCAGATGTGTACGAGACCGCCGCCGCCGCCGCCGATCCGGCTGCCGAGGACACGGTCTCCAGTCTCCCCACAACGGCAGGTTCGGGTGTAGAGACCGATGCGACCACCGAAGACGACGAAAGTGGGACGGACGACGAGGGAGGACATGGGATCAGTCATCGCCGGCTCCACCCTTTGGAAGCGCGGGCGCGGTTTAGGGAGACGGAGGGGTTGGTGAGGGTGGGGAGGGGTGTGGAGTTTGGGGATCGGATCGGCAGGAAAGGGACGGGGACGGGGACGGGGACGGGGATGGGAAGGGCGAGGGGGTACAGAGTCCGCAAGCGGAGAGACGGGGACGAGGAGGAGGAAGAGGGGCTGGAGAAGAGGATTGCGAGGTTGCGGAGGGAGGTGGAGGAGTGTCGGGCGCTTGCTGAGGCTGAGAGGGAGAATGAGGAGGTGGGAGGGACGGAGGGGCAAGGTGGAGAGGGGAGGGGCGAGGGTCATGAGGGCGGTGAGGGGAAGGGTGAGGGTGTGGAGGGGTTGAGTAGGATGTTGGCTGCGATTGAGGTCCCAGAGATTGGGCGACGCGGGGGGTGGAGAGGGGATGGGGCTGATGGCCGTGCGACGGTGTTGCCAAGCAGAGCGCAGGAAGAGGGCGATCACGACGAGCAGATGCTGCGTCGCGTTTCGGACTTTGACGCGCGGTTGGCAACGTTGGAGCAAGCATTAGGTCTCGCGAGTCTGGACTCTACTGTTTCAGACACTGTAGCTGCACCTGTGCTGCCGTCGTTGGCGATGCTGGATCAGCAGTTGAGCGCTCTCACGACTGCGACATCATTATCTCAACTTGAAGCGGCGGGGAGTCGGATTCGAAATCTCAAAATTGAGGCGGAACAAGCGCGAGCCACTACCAACGGCGAAGTCACGGAGGGGGAGACCGTAGCAGCGCTGAGTTCAGAAGACGTGGCCAAGCTACAAAAACTCTACGAACTTCTCCCAGCACTTCAGGCCTCGCTCCCTGTGGTGCCGTCCATGCTCGCACGGTTGCGCAGTCTGCGGACACTACACACGACTGCTGCCAGCGCGGCCAGCGAGTTGGAAGAGCTCGAGCAGCGACAGACGGAGACGGAGAAGGAGATCAAGGCGTGGCGGGAGGGGTTGGAGAGGGTGGAGCGTGCGGTGGGAGAGGCGAGCGAGAGTAACGGGCGGAATGGGAAGGTGGTGGAGGGGTGGGTTAAGGAATTGGAGGAGAGGATGAATGGTTTGCGATGAAAGAAGGGCTCAAAGACTGCGCTGAGCCGCTCACTTTCACAAGCTAACTCAGAATTGCCATGACTGCGCGCTTGAGGAGCAATCTACTCATGCAAAGGATACTCCGAGCTCGGCCCATTCGCCTTGACCTGCTTATCCCGCACCAGCTGCCGATCCTCATGCAACTTCAACACCGGCTCGAGCTTGCCTTCCGCGACCGCCATACACAGGTCTTTGTGCTTGGTGAACCACTCCTCGACACTCTTCACCCGATCTGGCAGGATCTCGTCCAGCAGCTTATAGTCCCGCTTGATCAACGGATCTTCACCACCGGAGTGCTGCCACATATGCCAGAACCCGGCGAAGTTCGTCTGCCACGTCAGCAAACTCCCGTCATCGTCTCGCATACCGGCATAGTCCTTCCCGAACTTGTACCCGCGGAGTTCGGGGTACAGGTCCCAATACTCATCCTCGTCCATGTCGATACAGCGAGCGGATTTGCCAGTGACCTTGCTGAAAGCTGCGGCGAGGTCGGTGTACCGGACGTGTTCCGTGGCGACCGCCAGATCCAATCCCGAGGCTCGTCCGGGCTTGCCGTCCGAGGTATACGCGTTGTCGAACTGCCAGCGCACGTACTTGCCACAATCCTCGAGCGCAATGTGCGCCACGGCGCCGTCGTGGAGTGGGACGCGCCATTCCACTACGCCGTCGGAAGCGATAGTGGGAGTCATGATGGTGTGCGAGGCCAAGACCATGTCGAGATACGGACCCGTGGTGAACAGCGCGGCGCCCATTGAAGTGCGTTCGCGCGAGGGAAAAGTCTGGGCCCGTTCGGCGTGCCATTTGGTTTGCGACAGAATCCAGTCGCCTACGATACCCTTGATGTCGTAATGCCCGGTGCGGAATTGAGGGTCGTAGTTGCCGTCGCGGGAGACGTAGTCGAGGTTACCCCAGACGAAGAACTAGAACGCCATCCGTCAGTTTCGGACGGCTGTCTCAGCAGGAAGGTGAGAAAAAGCGGACCTTCACACCAGCTTCCTGCGCCAGCTGATAACTGCGGATGCCCCAGAAGAGCTCATTCTTCTGCCCGATGACGAAGCCGTCGAGGTTCACAAAGGCGCCCCAGCAGCCATGGAAGCCTTTGCGCAGGTCCTCGTCTTTGTCGAGACTGCCTTTGACGAGCTCGACGTGGGGGAGTTGGGCGAGCTTTTGCGCGCGAGGGCTTTCGAGGTTGCGGGTGAGGATGCGGACGGAGTATGCTTGGTCCCGAGTCAAGGCTGGACTTGGGTTAGCACGAGAGTGTTGGTTGGTCGGTCGACGTTGGTGTGCTTGAGCGTACCTTCTACGACGGGGACTCCTTGTGCACCCGTGCCGCCGATGATGAAGATTTGCTTTCTTTGGCTCGCCATATTGTCAGATGGATTGAGTCCGAACTGCACGGCGAGGTGAAGGTACTTCAGCATTGTACGCTTTTGTCGGTTCACGCATGATTAGTGATCCCAACCTTTGCCATAGACTTTCAGTCGTTAGCGACCACGGAGGCGAGCTTGGCAGCACAGTGTGATTGCATGATCATAGCAAGTCGACGTTAATCGTTTACTGAACATGCTTCGTACGTGTAGGCTGCAGAGGAAACGGCTGATTAAAAAGGGCTGAAACAGTCTCCTTGACTTTCTGACACTTCTAATCACGTCGATATCTGGCTGTCCAGCACTCTAACACAACATTGTCATGCGACTCGGGGCAAAGGTAGGCTTCGCGCAGTTGGTGTGCAACGGGCCAAGATGCCTTTGTACTATCACTAGTGGTAAATGCTCACTTCCAACTCAGAAGTCCCCCTGCGAAGCTTCTCCCGCTCTCATCATATTGGAAACACCATGACCATGCTCGCACTTTCGACTGTCCTGGCTTGGCTATAAGAGTTCGTCCCCACCATCTGCCTCCACCACGTCGTCTGCAGCTAGTACATCTCCCGCCATCTCGCCTCCCATGTCAATCTGCATTCTTCCGTAGTTGCGGTCTCGCGATCCTCAGCTACATAGCATTGATAGGTGTGAAAGTCAGCCAGGGTTCAGAACAGTCAGAGGCGCTACAGATCGCACAACTTAGCTCCATCCTCAACGTCACTCGGAAGTACTTGGCGACCAAGTGTCCAATCTTGCCACGTGCAGCCTGATACTGGTGAGGTGGATTCTGGCCTTGATGAGCATGTCGATACATTCGCATGGTCGGAACACTGAGCTTCTGGTCCCTGACTGCCCCGAGTGACAGTCCTTCTTTGCGTGACCGGCCATTCTAGGGTTCGAAACGTGGTCGCGCAGCTTCGTCCTGGCTAGCCATTACTCACGAGCGTAGCTGTCTACGAAGAGAGCGACTGCGGGGTCCTGGTGATGTGCTTCAGCCCAGTCCTGACGTTTGAGGCGTGGGGAAGCCCAGGAGAAGATTCGTCAGACAGCGGCGGATGCATGCTGGCTAAGTCTGCGATCAGCACGTATGTGGTGAGAGCGGCGCGGGGACTAGGTCACAAAGCATATTTCGAGGGCTTGATCGTTACTGAACCCTGGTTCGCAATAAGCTGTAGACAGGTTTTATACACAAGGCGGCAGGCTGACGGATGGCGCTCCCGTAAGCGTAAAGCAGTCGGTGCTAGGAATGTCGCAGATTCAGTTCAGTGGTGATGTGAAAGTGAAACCCCGAAGTAGCTGTCACCATACGTACTCTCAAACAACGAAGGAGCACTGTGCGTGTCTTCTGTATTGGTCCGATGCGACGGTTCGCCAGTCAAGCCTTACCTTGTAATGCCTTATTCCCAGCATCATTCTCGCTTTCATCACTTCGCATCTGACCCTCGTCATCATCATCGTCGTCGTCGTCGACAAGATTATTTGCATCCACATCCTCATCCCCCCTATCCTTGCCGCCTCCGCATTTAAGCTTTCCGATTTCATCCATGAGCGCTCCAAAGTCCCCTTCCGCCTCCTGATTCTTCTCAATACATATCTCCGTCCACCGCTGCTTGCACTCCCGCCAACACTCCCGGGTACTCACTGTGCCAACATCACTGATACCCGTCGCCAGCACCGCCCTATAATACTTTGTTGCTCTCTGCCCAATCTTCCCGCCCGCTAACTGCTCATCTTCACTCTGCTCTTTTCCACCATGAGCCTGTCGGTACTTCTTCCTCGTCGTCGCGCTCGGTCTCCGGTCGAACTGTGATACAGACGCTCGATTCCCTCTGCGCAAATTCTGGACCTTCGGATCTGCTAGATGTTGGCGTAATGCGGCTTTGCCCGGGAATAGCTCAGCAGAGTACGTTTTCACGGATCGCGCCACCACAGGACGGAGAGCTTCGATCTTGACACGCTCGGAACGTCTCGCACCTGGTGCTCCTAGGACTTGATCGAGGAGGAAGCGTCTGACGAAGGTGAGCCGAGGCCTAGTCAGTGGTAGTTTGCGACTAGCAGTATATCCCGCCATGCGAAACATGCTTCAAGAGCCTCATCTTCTCCGAACTGCGCATTGAGGTAAGCCTTGTGCAAGTTGCCCTGCTGTATCTCTGTCATGCGGGGATAGCTGTGCTGACGGAGCGCATGCAGGGTGCGGTTGTGGCGGGACTTGTTATAGCTAGCAAGAGTGACGCTGTCATCGTGAACCGATAGGGGAAGGTGAGAGATCACCGCAGATCTCATCATTGCCGTGAGATGCAGCAAGCGTGAGTGCAAACGAGAAAAGTAAGCACGATACATGCTGAATGTTGACAAAGTTGCAAGGCAAACTGTGAATCTGATGGTGCTTGGTTGTGGTGCTCCGTTGATGAGCAGGTCTGTTACACCTAGCGTACACAGATAGAGGACGTACCGGCTTCCTTCCACTTGCGCCTCGAACTCCAGTTTGTACATCTGCCTTTGTGATCTGCTTATGCACAACACATTTCTACGCTCACCGATCCACCTCACCAAACACCAAATCCATCGTACCGATGATCGCCACCGCATCTGCCAACAAATGCCCTCTCGAAATCTGGTCGAAGCAAGACAAATGCGCGAAACCCGGTGCGCGAATCTTACACCTGTATGGTCGCTCTGAGCCATCGGATACCACAAACACACCCATCTCGCCCTTTGGCGCCTCAATGGCGGAGTAGGTCTCACCCGGCGGGACGGTGTAACCCTTGCTGAAAAGCAGGAAGTGATGGATAAGCGCCTCCATGTTCTCCTTCATCGCCGCACGCGGCGGAGGAGCAATCTTGTAGTCCTCGACCTTGATCGGACCTGGGGGCATTTTGTTCAAGCATTGGTAGATGATGCGAAGAGACTGCCTGAACTCTTCCATTCGGCATAGATAGCGGTCGTAGCAATCTCCGTTCACACCGACTGGGACGTCAAAGTCGACCTCGCCGTATGCATCGTAAGGTTGGCTTTTGCGGACGTCCCATGGTACGCCGGACCCACGGAGCATGACGCCGGTGAAGGAGTAGTTGAGCGCGTCTGCTGCGGAGACGACACCAATGCCCTTTGTTCGGCCGATCCAAATGCGGTTGTCTGTGAGTAGTTCTTCGGTTTCGTCGATGCGGTCGCCGAATTGGGTAGCCCATTGGTAGATATCGTCTAGAAGACCCATTGGTAGGTCCTGAGCGACACCACCCGGGCGGACGTAGGCGGCATGAAGACGAGCGCCGGAGACGCGTTCGTAGAATTCCTACTGATTGTCAGCGCACACAGCTCGTTCATCTTCGTGCAGACTACTTACCATAAGCTTCTCACGCTCCTCGAAGCCCCACAGGAAAGGTGTAAGGGCACCAACATCCATGGCGTGAGACAAGATAGACATCAAGTGGTTCAATATCCGGGTAATTTCGCCAAATAGTGTCCGAATCCATTTCGCACGGTCCGGAATCTCAATGTTCAACAACTTCTCCACCGCCAAACTAAAACATTGCTCGTTTGTCATCATGCTCACGTAGTCGAGGCGGTCGAAGTAGGGTAGTGCTTGGAGATACGTCCTGTACTCAATCAACTTCTCCGTGCCTCTGTGCAGCAACCCAACATGCGGGTCCGCTCGCACGATCTCTTCACCGCTCAGCTCCAAAATCAGACGTAGCACGCCGTGGGCGGCGGGATGTTGTGGGCCGAAGTTGACGGTATAATGCCGGATCTTGCGCTGCGACGGATGGTCCTCAGCGGGTGCCTCGTCGCCCATCGCATCGGTATCCACCGGGTTGCCGAAATTGGGGTCAACAGGTACTAGCCGTGTGGTGGCGGGGTTCTCGACTGGCGCAGCAAACCGCCGTGTGGGAGTGGAGGAGAGGCATCTGAGTTGTTGGGGGCGGAAGGAGGGTGTGGCGAGGGCTCGCTGGCGGAGGCAGAGACGCTTGGCGCCGTTGCATGCCAGGCGTGCGAAGGGGGCTGCCATGGCGTAGATGTTGCTGCAGTGGCAGGCTGCAGTGAGCGGAGAGGAGAGAGTGGCCACTGGAGAATTGGGGGTTGCTGAACTGCGATTGCATTGGAGTCGATGATGCGGGAAGCTCCAGAACGCACAGGCCAATCGGCACGCTTGCCGCGAGTCAGTGAACCATCAAAAAGTTCCTTCGCCATGCAGACTCGATTCAATGACCCAAATCAGAACATGATCACTCGATAACAGTCGAACAATGCCGAGTTGGGCACCATTGACCGAAGAGCAGTTGCAGCAACGGCGTATTGTCAACCTCAACCCCGAGACCGTAACGGATGTCTCCGCCACCGACATACCTGGCCATTATGGACCTGGCCAAGATGATAGCTGGGACTTGGAGCGCTTTAAGAAGGGTCTAAAGGTCGACTTCCATCAGAACGCACCGCACGACGCGGTCTTTTCACTCGTCGGTGTCGACGCGTCAATAGCGAACGCCTTCCGACGAATACTGCTTGCAGAGATACCGACACTTGCCATCGAAGATGTCTTCATCTTCAACAACACATCTATCATCCAAGACGAAGTTCTCGCCCATAGACTCGGCCTTATCCCTCTGACTGGCGGCAAGAAAGGACTAGAATGGCTTCGCTGGTACAAGAAGCCGCCACCCAAAGACGACTTTGCCGCCCAAGCACTCCATGACGACGACGACGGCGAGCCAGGAGTAAGCACGCCCAATGATCACAACACCATCGTCGTCACACTGAAGGTCGAATGCCGTTGGGCGACTGAGCAGGATGATGGCAGAGACGGACGTCAGCTTGCTCAGGAAGGCGAGACGGATCCCGAGGTGCGCTACGTTGGCAGCAACGTTTACGCGCATCAACTTGTCTTCGAGCCACAAGGGGAGCAGACTCAGCATTTCTCCGGCGAAAACGCCATCAGGCCGGTGAACCCAGATATTCTCATCGCAAAGCTACGGCCAGGTCAGAAGATTGATCTTCGCTGCCACTGCTACAAAGGCATAGGTATGGACCATGCAAAGTTCTCCCCTGTCGCCACCGCATCCTACCGACTGTTACCGGATATCAACATCATCAAGCCCATCCTCGGTGCGGAAGCGAAGAAATTCCAGCGCTGTTTCCCGCGAGGCGTTATTGATCTCAAGCACGACGATGAGACGGGTGAGAGTAAGGCGGTCGTTGCAGATCCCATGAAAGACACCGTGAGCCGGGAGTGCTTGCGGCATGATGAGTTCAAGGGAAAGGTCAAGCTCGGTCGAATCCGGGATCATTTCATCTTCTCCATCGAGAGCACGGGCCAGTTCGAAAGCGATGAGCTGTTTTTGGACAGCGTGAGGCTGCTTAAGGCGAAGGCAGAGAGGTTCAAGCGCAATTTGAATGCGTTGAATGAGGGGGCGTGATTGGTGATATGCCAGGCGTAGCTACGAGGTTGAAGGGTTAACGGCTGTTTGCGGAGGCGCCATAAGAAATCGGGTTGCGGACTGCTATCTCGTTCAACACCGCTTTAGTTGGACCATGCGGACTACTACCTCATTCAACGCCATTCCAGTCGAAGAACAATGCGGGCCAATATCTCGACAGAAGCCGGTCCCGTTTTTCATCATCTGGGTTGCTCAACTAATGCCTCGGCCGCAACGCAATCGGCCGTCGGTCACCATTCCGGAAGTGTTGCAAATCTGTGATCCTCCCCACCGATGCCTCGTCGTTGCGAGGGCATCTGTGAAAGGCTCTGCTCCTCGCCTCGACCGTTCGTAAGGCCAGTATCGGCTCCACATGAGCCTTGTTGCGGCGAGACCGTGCCGGCGGATGAGGGATCATTGATCGGGCTTGATGCAACGCCTGCGATATGGGGCGAAGCGATGAAGCACGCCACACATTTGTACGGTGCAATGACTTGGGAGACGGGACTAGCTTGAGGCCATGTAACATGACGCATGCGACGGCGTCGTATGAGTGGAAGTCACAGATGACGAGAGGAAGTCATGCATGTGTTTCGCAGCCTCGCCTTCTGCATCGCACGGAACCTCTTCCTCCTATCCATACCATAAGTAGTCGCACAGACCAGCGAGAAGCCAACGCTCCGGACTCTCCAGCTCCGATCTTGCAAAGAGACATCGGTATTGTGCGGAGCGCGGCGAAGACGGGACTCTGCGAAACACTGGCTGGTAACGAACGCCGACCGCATGCCGTCTATAACACCGTCTTAACGACCTGTGTTACCCCACTAGAATCTCCACCTCTGTCTGTCCAGCGGTCAACACACCACTCCTATTGCCTCCGTCCATCATACCCTGCACATACGCTTCTCCGATCAGCTTCGACAACCCGTGATCAGCGTCTTTGCTGAAAAGGAAAGGCACCTTCGCGTTCCTGAACAGGAAGATCCGGTCGCCAACGGCTGTTCCCAAAGGACCAATTCCAAGCCCTCCGCGCTGCGTGCAGAAGAACCTACGTCCTCTGCACACCATGTCCAAGGCACGCAAATAGCGTTGTGCTCGCAATAACTCTTCTTCTTTCAGGTATAAGCCGGCATTCTCCTTATCGCGGAGGATCTGCAAGTAGACCGTCGCGTCACTTACTGCTTGTTGAAGCTCTTTGGACTCCGGCGCATATACCGGAGGGTTGTGAAACATATTCGCAATCAAAGTACGCACCAGGTCCATTGGAACCCTGGCCGTTGGAGATCCGTCTGCAGCTTTGTACGCAGTCGTAGCGATGGCACGGCATTCGTTCATCCAGTTGAACCCTTTCGCAGCATAGCCTTCGGGTCCGTCTTGTTCATCACTTTTGGTGCTCCACTGCCACAGAGAAGGGACTACGCTGCTGACCTCATCGACGAGGTACCCACACAACCTGATATGTGTCCTTTCGGCTGACTCAAACCCGCGGAACGCTGGCGTCGCACGTTCTGCGGCTGATCCGGGAAGGTCTCCAGCTTTGTAGAAGCCACGAGGCAGCATGATACTCAACGAGGTGGAGTTGAAGTTGGGACACCAGGATGGTAGATCGGACGGGCGGTCCCTTGACGACGCAATTTGCAGCAGGAAGAGACTGCTATCTGTGACGAGCCATTTAGCGGCGAGTTCGACATACACGTTCCAGTACTTCTCTCGAGCTGTCTAGGAATAGTCTACTGTAATTGCGTCGCGAGTATCTTGATCAGCCAAGCCAAGAACGGCATATACTCTATCTACGGGCTCGGATACTTCTCGAGAGCGGGCATAGTGGCACAGCTGGAGTAGAGGGTAGCTCTTGCCTCGTTTGCGATATTCGCGGATGAAGTTCGGTACCATCATTGCATCAAAGCCGTCGCTCTTCGCAGGATCAATACCATCATGCAAGCGAGCGATTGTCGCAAGACCAACCCGGCTGATATGGTCGGCCAATAACGATAAATTCTCCCACGAGACTGAGCTCGATCCACAAAGTACGATCACCTCGCCGCCAAGAGCAACCTCTTGCACAATCCACAACCGTCTGAACCATGAGCGTGCCAAAACTTCCCCGATGCCCTTCCAGACGGGGTCTTCCATCCGCGGCAGGTCATGCTGCAGTAGCGATTTGTTCGTGATCACAATCGAGTCCGGAGTTCTACTCAACTGACGATTCAGATCCGGAATAGCCCGCATGGCAAGTGTGGTAGAGAGACCTGAAGTTCCGAGCCAGACAAGGACTCGCTTGGCGTGGGTATAGTAGTGGCCCATAAGCGGTACCTGGATGGCCTTCTCTGAGTCATTGGACTGGTCAATGCATATCGCATCAGCCCACACAGCACGTAGCTGACCCATGCGATAAAGTGTATAGAGAGCCTCGTGGAGAGATGGCGTAAGCAACAGAGTCCTGCCATTGCATATGACAGGCACGGTCGGTTTCTCACCGTTCCAAGCGTAGGATATTGCATCGTAGTCCGGCGTCGAGCCTAGAGAAACTTGTCGCAGTTCGCACACAAGCTGACGGTCCTTGTCAAGACCACGTACACCTAGGAGCCTGAAGTGATTCGACAGGAGCGCGGCGTATTGGTAACCCTGGGTGATCGCCGTGGGCATCGTGATGTGCGGTCAAGGCAGCGCGTGAGGGCTGCACACATGAGGCCGATCGCATGTCAGGCCACGACAAACGTCCTCGCAAGTATCAGCCGGTTCACACAGCTCTTACGTACCCTTGACACGTAGCGCTTTAGCACCAGATGATACCAATAACTAGCGAGTATCTCAAAGGCTCTCGACTTGGCATGCAGCTTAGCGGCCCGCGATAAGCACAGCTGGAGAGTGTACAACAAGATGAGACGAGGCTTTGATACAATCAAGATGCTGACATTAGTCCTCCGCTTCACCGATCCTTGTTAGCCTAGCGCAACACTGACGACGGTCCAAAGCAACGAGGACTATACATCTCAGCAGTTCTATGCTAATACAACTCACGTCTGCCTTCTGCTTGTGATCAACACACGTTTGATGAGTTCCAGGAGGCCACCCATTGTAGCCTGTTGAAAGATCTAGATGCCGGAGTCATCTTGCCATCCGTTCTTCGAACCACCGTGGGCCTCCCACCAGTCGGTCCAAGTACGACATGTCTCTTGCATCTCAGCGAGCACAGGCTTGTCAATCGTGATTCGTTTAGGGTTCTCTAAGATCTGCGCGGCCAGGCCGGACGAAGCGTGCCATGCGATATGGCAGTGCCTTTGTGGATCCATCAGTCCCGGTCGCCACTGCATCACTGTGGCCCCCCGCTACTTACATAATCCATGCAGCAGGGTTATCCGCCTTGAACGCAATGACAAGGTAGCCATTGAGCGGTAGCAGAGCAACATCGCGTCGAGGTGGGTTGTGCAGCTGCATGCGCTCGCGGACCTCCTTTGAAGAGAAGTCAGCGCTAATGGTATGCTTTGTAGTACATTGGCACAAACCTCAATGGTAGTGTATGGGGTGCTTGACTGCACGAGGAGTGCGAAGTCATGCCCGTGCAGGTGGATCGGATCTGCCATTTCGAACGGTCAGCGACACTTACGGGACATGGTTAGTTTCACGTACGAGCGAGCGGTAGCGGTTGCTTGCCTACAGCTGTTTGGTTGGTCTGCTCTGTGATGAGCAGCACGACCCAGGCATCAAGATCGTTGTCCGTCTCAACAACCGCAAGCCACTTTTGCTGACTGAAGTCTGCATTCAAGTTAAGCAGCGTTGGGGAAGTGTAGTTCAGCCACATGGGCATATCAGCTAGCTCAAACCTGGGTACAGAAGCGTTCGGCCAGTACGGAGGCCAAGTGTTACTGGATCGATCCGCCACAAAGACATGGTTGAAAGATGTACCGTTCCAGTGGACCTCCCACGGTACGACGGGTTCAAGACTACTATAAGTCTCGTCCGAACACAAAGTCGCGAACTCCCACATCGACGTGGAGGGCAGAGATTTGCTGAAAGGGTTATAGCGGACGATGCCGGTGCGGTTGTCTGGTTGAGGGTTGTCGAACCGTGCGCAGCCGCCACTCGCGGAAACTGTACGGATCCAGTAGTTGCCATCTGGGCTAGTGACATTTGGTAGTGCCGACACGATGATGTTGTATCGTTGACCTGCAGAATCAGCGACAAGCCTTCCGAATAATGCTGTTCGATGACGACGTACCGATGCCGATCAAAACGCTGGAGTTACCGTATGGCTTTATGGGCACAAAGTCGGCTTCAATGACCTGCAACCAATGACCGTCGATAGAGAAGATGAAGGTTGTGTCAACCGAGGTGTTGATCAGCCGAAACAAGTAGCGAATACCCTAGCATGGTAAGTCAGCGAGCTGGAAGCGGCCTAGTTCGAGCGGGATTGATACTTTCTGAAAGAAGGTGGTATATTTTCCTGGACCATTGTACGTGCCAACCCCGTCGATGGTGATGGATTGAGACGTCTGGTTGGGAAACCCAAGCTCCCAGGCGCGGAAGGCGCCCATGTGGCGCCAATCTGAGATGAGTAAAGGATCTTTGGCTGTGTCGTAGTTCGCTGACATCGGGCCGTAAATGATGAGCGGGCCGAGTAGGCCATTTGCATACTACAGTCCATCCGTGAGCCAACACCGCATCCACGTGCTCTTGTGGTACGAAACCTACCTGCAGCGAATAATGCGAGTGGTACCATGACGTGCCATACTGAATGGCATGAAAGCGGTACGTAAGCTGTTGGCCTGGTGCAATGGCACACTGTGTGATAGCGTTGACGCCGTCCTGGTGGTACGATGGATAAGGATGGGCGAAGCCTGATCTGATGATGTACAGTCTGTTGAGCTCACCATTGGAGATGTACCGAGCTGCCTGATACCGTGCCTACGAACCGCAAAGCATGTGTTAGCCACTGGTTCGTAGGCCGCGAACGTCTAGCGCCCTTACCAATGGACAGTCGTGCCATTGTTCTTCAAGTTGTTATGCACAGTCACTTCGATTGTGTCTCCCCAGCCTATAAGAAGCCATACTGCTGTTAGCACTATCCTCGGTCAACAGCACAATTCATAGGTCTACAGACATGCGCGAATCGCAGGCCCGGGATATGATCTGTTGAAGACCTGCCCGTCCGTGTTAAGCACGCCGTCCAGTGTCAGGTTCATCTCGCTAGCATATAGATGATAAGAGCGGACAACGCCGATAGGCGCTGTTTGCTCGTAGTCCGTATTAATGGTGAACTCCGACCGTGTCAACGGGTTCCGGAGCCAACAGCCGCGGTCACTGTGAGCAGAGCAGGGGAGATAACCCTTCATTGCAGTATAATCACATATGAACTCGTCGATCTCAGGGCTGTTGGGTGGCTGAAAGATCGGACCGTGACCTGCGAGCGCAGTGTTAGCGACTAAGCCGAGTCGACTGGCCTCTCCATCTGATCGCCTACCTGCCCCATCGAATAGCTTACTACCCGGAGACGTTATAGGGACAGCATCCTCCAACAAAGGCTGCTGAGGCTGAATACTAGGCTTCCATGAGTCCGGCGTCCAGATGCCGAACGCGTAGAGGAACGTCGCCACGAACTTCGGTACGGGAGCCATGATGAGCGCTCAACAGTGGAAGAGAGAAAAGTGGAAGAGCTTGGAAGAGAACACACCGTGAGCCGAAACCGCACCTTATGCTGGAACGCACAGCTTGGACGCCATTGATCAGGAGACCGCTCGATGTCGTGGTACGAACGACCTACAATCTTCTCCGTTGGGCGACCGCAAGGTGCGCAAAGTCAGCAGCAATATACAAATGCATGCATGCACGTAGCGATAAGTGAGCACCCCCACCAGCCATAGCAAGCAGCGTTTCGCATCGCATCCCTGAACCACAGGATGTCTTCGGCTAGGAGTGACACAGCATTGATGAACCAGCCATCGCTGCAGCTCCTCGACTCCGTGGTAGCCAATCTGCGTTCGTTGTGATGAGGAGGTACGCTTCGCTTCTCTTCGTGGGACCCATCATACGCGAGGACGCGTCCGAAGTACACCTGCATGTAGTCGAGCATTACATCGAGTAATCGAGACATGGTTCACGAGCGGCTAGAGCCGTCAGCCCTGTCCAGATTCGGCTGGCGTTCTTCCCCAATTCTCTGCTTGTGAGAATGTTCTTCTTGATCACAGTTCACGGCAATGAAAGTCCAGAAGACCGACAGAATTGACGTGCGGCCAGTTATTCCGTTGTCAAGGGCTGAAGGCGATACCTCGTCAGCACGGGACGGTCACGGACCAGCGCCTTCCAAAGGGCGACTAGGTGGAACGCCAGTATGCGCGTCAGACAGCATGGCTGACAGCTCGTGAGACGCAAGACTGCGCGAGGCTAGCTGAGAAGTCTCGTGCACATCAGCTGACCAATCGCTGGTGAATGCGTAGCGATGCGAATATTGCTGTACTCTTCGGGCCCGCTTCCAGTGCAGTTCTCGATGCTCCGCTCACGCGACCCCATGCTTGCCAAGCGTGCGGTCTCGCGCTCACGCACAACAGCAGCCCTAGGCAGAGTGGTAAGAGCGCTTCCTTCTGCTAATAATCAGCGGCATCAGTTCGAAACTTGCCTGGTTGTGGCGGTGGAAAGGGACACCAGGGGAGTTCAACCTCAGCAGGACATATGTATCTGTGGCCGAAATACCGCAAACGTGCTCAACACCTTCGAGTAGGACGCACCCTCTTCGTATAGGACGCCCACCTGCAGGTCAGCAGCCATAATGCAGGGACCTCGCTGCACAAACCAGCTTGTCGCCAGTACTCTCGTCCATTTGCCGATCACAGAAGCCATGTATATAACTGCTATCCGATTTGGATCTGCTTGGATGGGCATACTACGCGGCACCAAAGTACATTCGATGCAAGTGAGACAGTGAAAAAATCCTAGCAACCGAGTATACTTCGCTCGCACATGCAGGTTGTTGGTATTAATCAGAAGCCAGAACGCCACGCCATGCATGACAAACACAGGGAGGTTTGATCTCACATTCATGTCATTTCACGTTTCTCCTCCTTCTCAATTCTTCTAAACTCCATCTCCACCAACTTCACACACACATCCGCAATATCCTGCCCAGTCCTCCACGTTCGTATCGTCACACCTCTGGGCTCCAGTTCACGCTTGACCTTCGCAAGCCGAGCAACCCAAAGGTATTCCTTCTTCGTCATGCCCGCCTCGCTAGGAGTTGCGGGCAGGCTGTCAAAGCTGTCGTCTTCACCCCAGCCGCCCGAGAGCCTATTAGACGACTTGGTGCGAGAGAGGCTGAAAGGGTAGGAAGAGACGTTGCGCCGACTAGGCAGCGGTGGTCTGTTGCCGGTCGGAGTTGTGGGCCGGGGTGTTGCGTCGTTCATGGCGCGAAGCTCATCCATTGATTTCGTGGCTCCGCCGGACAAACGGCGAGGTGCATCGAGCCGTGCTGGAGCCGATGGCGGCGTCGGCTGGTCGGTCGTGGACTGGGGATGGTGCCAGTTCGCCGCACTGGAGAAACGCTGCATCATCTTTGGCCTGTTTGGAAGTGGTGGCCGTCTGGTAGTTGTAACCGGAGAGTCTTGCCTAGAGACCTGCGAGAGGGGAGACGGTTGGAGCTGTGTCTGCAGCGCTGTCATATGTGGCATTGCAGGTGGTGGCAGTGGCGAAGGTGGCCGCGAACCATCAAGTTGCCACATTGCCGAGGGGGGCTTCACAGCTGAAGAAGGCTTCCGTGGGCGGGGCGGAGGCAGCTTGGATGCGAAGTTCTCGGGTGTAGGCGTCGTTGCTTGGCTGTTTGGTGACGGGCTACGCAGCGATTGTGGCTTTGGCGGTGGAGATGGAGTAGCCTTTTGCCCATTCGCCACGCCATTGATGCTCTTGAGCAAGCTAGATGGTACTGAAGGCTCCAGCCAGGGCCTCCTTGGAGTTGGCTCACTAAAGTCAATAAGATCTTCCTCCTCTGGTGAAGCTGTCATTCTTGCGCCCGGATCAATCCTTTCTTCCCGCGGACGTTGCGGTAGCGATGGCTTCGACGTCCCCTCTATGACACCGTCGAGGCTATCATGCCTCGCAGCGTCCGGATTGATACCTCTACGTGCACGTCGCGTCTCCTCTTCCATGTCCGCCAGAGAAGCCGCTATTGCTGCTTTGAGTTCAGCCTCGTCATCGCGAGTATCAGCCGGTCGTGACAGGCGCTTCGACATGCTGAGACTGTCGCCGCTACGACCACGGGAATGGGTATTTTTCTGCTGCGGATACAGAGGCGGGCTTATGGAAGGGTCGAAATAGCCGGGCCTTGTGGGCGTCGTGACGTCCCGTATGAAGATGCCGAGCACGCGTCCTGGGTTCTCTCGTGCGGTGTCAGCATAGACCTCAAGATCTGCCTCGCCACTGTCTCCGACTAGGATGAATTTCCGTTCCGGGAAGTCTCTAAACAGCTTGTCGAGCGATGACTTCTTTCTCTCCGCCACCGGCTCGAATATGCCGTTGAGCAAGCCCGCATACTGCTTGAGGTGAAAAGAGCCTTTAGGCAGTTTAGCGAGCTTGAAGTAGCTCGCTAAAACCGGGAACATCTGCCAGGGCGAGTTCGAAACATAATGCAGCTTTACGCCCATATCGTGTAGAGTCGTGTACCACTCACGGACGCCTTCGATAGTGAGATCACCAAGTTCACGTACAAAAGCATTGCGCACGACCTCGCCTACGCCCATGCTGATTGCTGAATGCTTTACGGTGTCGTCAATGTCACTGATCAGACTGACTCCCTTTGGCGAGGTGACCTTAACCTCCTCAGTAGCGGAGAGCTTATCGGTGGCCAATATGCGCACGTGAGTGGGCACGAAATCCAGGGCAGCGCGGTGCGTGAAGTGACCCGATGCGTCCGTGAATACGGTTTGTTGCCTCGAGTTCGAGTCATTGTAGAAGAACAGCCTGATAGGGCTGTTTTGGATGGCATTGTTCATGAACGGTCGCACCCTTTGCATCAGGTGCGCATTCGCTTTGGAAAGCTCTACCGGGCTTAGCTTGGAGCCTTGCGACCACGACGCTCGCTTCTGGAGAGGCGCAATGGTCGGAGAGCCTCCGTCTGCCGAAGATGTCGAGCTGACGATTGACGAACGGTTGGTATGCCGGCCATCTGGCGATGCGCCTGCACTTGGGCTACCAAACACGCCCTCCGGATCAGGGCTCTTGGTTGGGTCTTCCGTGTATATACCGCGAGCCGCATTCTTCCGCTCGAGTTCGCCTTTTCGATTGATCTTTTCGATCTCGAGCTGGATGAGATCTTCTTCCTCACGTGACTGCCGCTCTGGACTACCTGACCTGCTTGGCGCTTGGCTTGGCACGCCCGATTCGCTCCACCGCCCTGTCGGCTGAGGTACACCAGCGATTTGCCTCAGCGCTCCGATTGCCAACCGATGCTTGCGGGTGTAAGGGCCTTTGTGCGGTGTATATAGCCATCCTCTCACGTCTACATCGACCACAGCATTTCGGTCCTTGTGACTCTCGAACTCGTTGTGCCAGTAGTCGCGCTGATTGTTCAGGTTTGGTATGTCTTTCGAAGGCTATGCTTTCGTCAGCGCAACTGACCTGCTTTCACAAATGCTCCTTAACCCGCGCGGCTTACCTGGTGCTTAGCATGCCTCCTCGCATAGCTGGGAAACAGCACCATCTCCTCATGGTCGCTGCGTACCACAGCTGCATCCAGTAATGCTCCCTTCGCAGCACCACTCGCATGCTCGCCGACGTCCCTATCGCCGCCATCATCGCCGGTGAAGTAGTTGTGACGTATCTCATTCGCAGCTCTCAGGTAGCCCGCAAGCTTTTTGCGGCGAGAGCCTTGGCCTACAGCTTCAAGTCGAGGGCTGGGAGGCCCGTAAGACTGCCCACTGTCTGCTCCATAGTAGGCCATCTTCGCAGACCGCCGCTCAAGTGCACCATCTTCGAGGGTTCCGGAACGTGGCACGCCAGGAGACTGCCTTCTTAGGCTGACAGGTCGTGCACCAACTACCCGCTGCTGTTTACGCAAACGTCTAGAGACCAGATATTTCCAGATACGCGAATATGCCTTATGCCCTAGGGATGGTAGGTGAATATAACGATACTCCCACAGGCGTCTCTTCGTGCGATCGCGAACATTGTGGAAGAGCTCGTTGAAGCCGCCTCTACAGTTGTGATTGAAGCTCCGAAGAAAGGCCTTCCATGAGGGAGCCACGGCTGGCTACGGTGGGAGACAGAATCCACCTCCCGAAACGGATACGAGTGCCTGCCTGCCTACCTATTCTATGCATCAACCAGTAAGCCCTTGACCAGCGTACCAACGTGCTTGCGCGTTTCTTGCCCACATGCATGTTCGGAGCAGGGAGTACGTCATTCCAGCCAAGCTTTTGGGCGGCTCCATGCAACCTTCATTGACACATTTGGCATCTTGCACCCTCTTCGCAGCCTTTCCGTTTGAACATCTTCTGGAGCGAACAGTTCCCCCCAGTGGCAGAGCAAAATAGAAGCCTTCGATGACAACTACGTTACTCTGGGAACAGCATGTCTTGGGCATGAGCCGCATGTACCTTCGCACAACGGCGAATGACATTCGTGTCTCAATTTGATACCGACGAATACGGCTCGTTGGCATAGCTGCAAGAAGCCGTTGGAAGTGGTGCGCATAGTATTCACCATAACCAAGGCAACAGCAATCGTTTTGTCTAGGAATGGGAGGGTCGAGGGTGGAAGACAAGGCTCTCCCAGATCTCGAGTCCGTACAGTACTCGCCGTGACGCGCTAGCGAAGTCGTAAAATGCACTGCGCTTTTGCAGCCTGGTCTCCACGGGCGGAGGCTATCTGCCGTCTGCACTGGAGCTCCTCACTATAAGTACCGAGACATTGCGGCAGTCCCTATACCCAACGTAATAGTCCGAATGGCTACGCATGGCTCTGCCACATGGCGCATGGTAACCATGTCTTTGATTTCGTCAACAACCTTTCAAGAGGCGCTGCGCTATCGCTTGGATTGGCGAGCGGACGAAAGTCTATATGGCGACGCATAAGCCCGAAGGGGACAAGCTGACCGTTTACAAGTGCGCGACTCACGACCTACATTTGCTAAAAGGCGTGGCACGAGCGTTCAATGTCCAGACAAGAAACGTTAACTCAAACGATCGCAATCTAGTTCGCTGGACAACACTGCTTGCACTTGCAAACAGGAGACCCTGCTTGCGACATTCGGCGCCCCAAGCTACAATATGTAGTAGTGTGCTCTTCATCTATATATGACCCTTGTCCGTACCTGCAGATATCGAGACACATCCCTGCTTGTCCAGTCACTGTACATACAGCATCCTTGTCACACAACTGCTAGACAGCTGTTTCTGACCACACGCTCTTGAACCTACCCATTCACCATCCACTTGACCTATACCGCATCCATCAACAGCCAGGAAGACTCAAGAAATCCACTCGTTCAAGTGAGCTGTACATTGGCATTGATTGCTGCAGGAAGAACTTGAAACACCAAGACCACGACAGGAGGAACACACTGCATGCGCAATTGAAGTCAGAAGGACGGATCAAGCAGCTAAGTACATATATCAGGTGCAATCATCAGACGCTGACAAAAGGCAAAGAGAGCCTTGACTACCGAGAGAGCAATAGCACTGCGCGAACGACTATCTCTCTGTTCTTTGTGATTGCATCCTTGGAACTAGTGAGGAGGGTGTAACGCTGTGTACTGGTCGCCTCTCGGTCAACCGCTACAACCATGCATTTGCCTGCAGTAAGTATACTTCAGTCGTCTATACCCGAAAAGCGGACTGACATGCTCTGCAGCTCCCTGTTTTCGCAATACTAACAACAGCCACATTCGCTAAACCTATTGTTCGACGAACGCTACAGCATCGTCAATTCACCAATGCTACTTTTACTAACGTTACTTCGACCGAAACGACGAATGGTACAAATTTGACCGCCACAACGAACACAACAGATTCCTCATTGAATTTGACAACGACGTCAACGTCGCTTGCATGCGTGTCGACGGCAACTCTGACCTCTGGTATGCAGACGCAATATACTACCATGATCAATAGCTAATGCCACGCCAGGTGAGACTTGTAGTGAAGTCGCGTCAGCATATGGTATCCAGCTATCAGCATATGAGGCAAGCCTTCCCGGAGACTCTGATGCCTGTCAGAGTCTGCTGGCAGGGTATCAGATCTGCGTTACCAGTCCTCCTGTGAACAACGCTACGTTAGCTGCATCGAACACTACCTCAGCCTCATCGAACCAAACCTTTGGGACGGTACAAGCGGCCAACAGTGTTGTGAACACTACGCAGACTTCCAGCAACCTCACGACCTCGTCCGCATCGAACCTTACCACTACAAGGGTTGTGCAAGGGCTCAATGTCGCTGTAACTATTTCGGATGCTACTGAGAGCCTCACAACCTTATCCGCATCAGACCTGGCCACTACTGGTGTCGTGCATGGGCTTAATGTCGCCTCGACTACCTCGGAGCCTTCGGATAGCCTCACGACCTCATCCGCAACGAACGTAACCACTACTGGGGTCGCGCAGGGGCTCAATGTCGCCTCGACTACCTCGGAGCCTTCGGATAGCCTCACGACCTCATCCGCAACGAACGTAACCACTACTAGGGTGGTGCAGGGGCTCAATGTCGCCTCGACTACTTCGGAGCCTTCGGATAGCCTCACGACCTTATCCGCAACGAACCTAACCACTACTGGGGTCGCGCAGGGGCTCAATGTCGCCTCGACTACCTCGGAGCCTTCGGACAGCCTCACGACCTCATCCGCAACGAACGTAACCACTACTAGGGTGGTGCAGGGGCTCAATGTCGCCTCGACTACTTCGGAGCCTTCGGATAGCCTTACGACCTCATCCGCAACGAACGTAACCACTACTAGGGTGGTGCAGGGGCTCAATGCCGCCGTGACTACCTCGGACTCTGCGGAAAGCCTCTCGACCCCGGGTCCAACGACCCTGACCATCACGAGGACCATTCAGGCGCTCAACTCTGAACCATCGACGGAAACGCTTACGACGACCGTTCAGGCGCCTAATACTGATGCCACTGCCTCCCAGTCTACGGAGAGCCCCTCGACCGCGGATGTATCGACCATGATCTATACGACGACCGTTCAGGCGCCCAACTCCGATCCATCCACCCTGACTATTACGACGACCGTTCAGGTGCCCAACGCCGCTACCACTGCCTCGCAGCCTGCTGGAAGCCTTTCGACCCCGGGTGCATCGACCATGACTATTACGAGGATCATTCAGGGCCCAAACACCGGTGCCACTACCTCGCAGCCTGCGGAAAGCCTCTCGACTACCGATGCATCGACCCAGACCTTGACCACGATCGTTCAAGCGCCCAACACCGATGTCACCACAACGCAGGCCCCGGAAAGCCTCTCGACCTCGGATGCATCAGTCCTGACATTCACGACGATCCTTCAGGCGCCCAATGGAGAGGTGACCACGACGCTGCCTCTGGGAAGGCTTTCGACACGAACGAGCTTCACCACCGTCGAGCTGACGTACACCGTCGGGGCTGGCCGGTTCCAGGGTGAGCGAACGGTAACCGTTACGCGGACTAAGAGCGATGTTTTCACTGTCACGACCACCACTACCGAACCGTGTACGGACGCAATTAGCACAAGCACTGCAACGGTAGAGGCTGCACAGTCGCTGGTGACCATCACACCAAGGTTCGTACCGCCGTTCTGCACATCAGATTGTCGCGATGACACCATCGATACCTCATACAGGTCTCGGGGGTTCGGTCCGGTCACTACTGCGACCGCATCCACAACTACAAGCTTGCAGACCTCTTCGACCTCCTCAACGCTGTCATCGGCGACATCAAGCACGTCCAGCGCGGTGCTAACGTCGTCTAGCGTGGCGACATTCTTGGCCACGGCAAGCACATCCACTACGGGGTCAGCATCGTCTAGCACCACGACAGCCTCAACCGCATCAAGCACGTCTCCTACTGGATCGTCATCGTCTAGCGTCGCGACATCTTCAGCTACGCCGATCACGTTTGCTGCAGGACTAACATCGTCTAGCTCCACGACAGCCCTGACCACGTCTAGCACCTCCACTACAGGACTGACCTCGTCCAGCCCCACCACAACGCTGACAAGCACTAGCACTAGCTCGCTAACGTTCACAGTAACCTCCACCTCCTCGTCCGCCGCAGCAACAGCGACCTCGGCCGGCGTTGATGCATACACGATGTACACCGGCAACGGCTCCGTCGCAGCCGGCTGGCCTGCTGAGTCGCAGTGGGTCAGCTTCGATTACATGTACGTCAACAGCTAATTCCGACCTTTCATCATACTGACCCAACCCAGGTTCACCGCCAACACACCGAACATGCTCGCATCATGCGCTCAATGGGGCGTTCCCAACAACAGTGACGACGAAACCGCCGATATCAAGACCGCAATCCAATCGATCGCTTCCTCGACAGGTGTCGACCCCCGCTTCATCCTCGCAGTCATCATGCAAGAATCGACCGGTTGCGTACGCGTCATCACGACCCAGTACTCCGTCTTCAACCCGGGCCTCATGCAATCCCACAACGGCACGGGCACTTGCAACACCAACTCCGCACCGATCAACGTCCCAGGCGTCTCGGCTACCGGCACCGTGCAGACCCCGTGTCCGTACAGCGAGATCTCTCAGATGATCGAAGACGGTACCGCCGGGACAGCCTCGGGAGACGGTCTGGAGCAGGTGTTGCAGAAGCAGGGTAACAGTGATGTCAGCATGTTCTACAGGGCTGCGAGGATGTACAACGGAGGCAGCATTGACCCCAGCGGTGACCTCGGCAAGGGGTGCTGCACCCTTTGCTATGCAAGTGACATTGCCAACCGGCTAACCGGATGGGTTAATGCGCCGCATGGGTGCACGCTTTAAGCTTGCTTTGCTGGGATAGAGGCGTTGCGAGAATGATACAGCGATGGGAGAGGGCGACCTAGACTGCTTTAGTGACATACTGGGACGAAGGATGGGACACACGGCTGCGATTGGTGCTGTTTCATGCGGGCTTGTCTGCTTTAATGACGATAGTGACGCGTGATGAGAGATGAAGAGTAGATAGAACGAGGGCGTCGGACAATAATGTACATCAACAGCCGACTTGCGCAACCATATATAGTTGATCAACTTACACATAGAGCCTACCTACCGCTTCGTGCCCTTCCCTCTCCGACTCTGCAACCCGTGCCTGAAAGCGCCAGGCTTCCCTCTCGCCTTCCTAATCCCACCTCCGCCGCCACCTTGACCGCCACTCATCTTCTCCGCACCCAAACCGCGGCGCATGGGCCTCTGCTTCCCTCCACCCCTCCCACCACGATCCGCTCGCGGTTTAGCATGCGCCCTGACCGCAGCCGCCACTTCCTGCTCATCCACGTCCATTTCCTCATCGCCGCCACCATCAGCATCACGCTTATTACTAAACTTCAGCTTGCCCTTTTCGCCTCGCCTCGGCGCATCTTTTCCCTTCAACGCGGCAACATACGCATTGATCCCGCCTTCTAGCGAACCATCGCCAGGCTCACTACCATTCAGCATGCCCTTGTCCTCAAACTCCATAACATCGTCATCGGATGCTTCCTCGTTGAAGACAAGCTTGCCGTCCAAGTCCACGTCCGCCTTCCTCTTCACTCCGTTCGCCATTCGTGGCTTCGTAGGCTTAGTGGACGACACATGCCCCAGCGCTCTCCGATCCAATAGGTCCAGCGGCTCATCCTCTTCTTCGACAATGTACTGCCGCCCGCCCTTCTGACCAGCTTTCTTGCCCTTCTCTGCAGCCCGTCCCAACACCTCGTCATCGGAGATGTCCTCGCTTTCCGCTCCCTCTTCCTCATCGGAGCCGTACACCGCTTGATCGTACTCACTCTCGAACCTGCCCTTCCTCCTTCCAGATACGTCGTCATCGTCGTCCTCCTCTCCCGCACCGTCCTTTCTCTTCTTCTTCCGATCACGGCTCTTCCGGATATTACTGATCAGCTTCCGATCCGCTTCAGGAGTATACTTCTCCACAACCTCAATACCAAACCGCCTAATCATACGCTCGAAAATATGCTTCACCTTCGCCTTGAAATGTGCTTTGTGTTCGTGACTCCACACAAGCAGATTGGGGATCAGTGTCGGCAGTCTCTGAACCACAAGCTCAGTCGGCAGGCTGATAATGCAAACCTTGACAAAGCCGAGCACACTACGCACGATTTCACGATTTTTGCTTGTCAGGAACAGATCCATCGTCTGCACCAGATCGCTCACGGTCTCGGGCTTCAGCTTACTGCGAAATTCATACAACAGCCGCGTGAGCGCTGTGATGGAAGCGGAGATCATGTGTGGAGTCGAACCTGCTAGGCCGGCAGATACCATCGTGAAGTACTCTTCGAGGCTCGCTTGTGCTGGTGGGGCGTCCGCGGGCATATTGGGAACTTTCGCGTTCACCACTGTGCCGCCTTCGCTCATCTTCTCACCCATCAGGACCAAAAGGTCGAAGGCAGCCGTCCGGGCCTTTTCGTTGACTTCTTTGGCACTGATGACAACTTCCGACAAGACAGCAGGTATGAAATGCAGGTCGTCCTTTGGTAAGAAAGGCACTACTTGTGCGATACTTGCCAGTCTGTCTCGTCTTGCAGGCGCTAAGGCTTTATCAGCTGCGGTGAGAACAAGCTGCTGGAGCTCGACACTACGCTCTCCGAGTGCCTGCTTGCCGATCTCCGACTCGGCAAGGCGTGGGATGAGCTTATATGCCTTCTTCTGCAGCTGAGCGTCGTCCTGTTTGTTAACAATGTTTGCAGCCATATTGAACAAGCCAGCGAAGCTTTGGCGGGGGAGGTAGATAGACATGGTGATAACAAGGTCCATCAGTGTATGCGACATCGGCGGCATCTTGCTCTTTGCCTCTTCGCTCGAAGGCTGCTGTTTCTTGTCGGCGGATCCGTCAGTGGTGCTTTCGGTAAGTGAACCTTCTAGCATCGTCGCCACGCGCTCAAAAGTCTCCAACAATTCCTTCTCGGGCGTGATGCTGAGGTAAGCATTGATGCATTGCAGTAGGTTACCCCGGTTGTGCGGAAGCGTCTGGCTGTAGACGTTGAACAATACAGCGAGTAGATTGCCCGCAAAGCCTGCGAGATGCTGTATGTTCAATTTAGCCTCCGCCTTCGTGATCCTGCCCTGCTTTATAAGATTGTCATGGTCGTCTTCAAGCTCGGCAATAGCTTTGTTCGTGTCTACAAGGCTTTGCAAACCTTTGCACACGTCCGTCCGCAGTTGCGGCTGCTGATACAGCAAGTTGCTCAGCATCTCTGCGAAATCCTGATCGAAGCTGTTGCGAAGATCAAGCGGCAGTTCGCAGTATCCAGGCAGACAAGCCCATATCTGCGCCACCACCGTCTCGAATATCTTGATCTCCATCGTCTTCTCCGCGCTGCCATGGTTGAGGACTCGTTGAAACATCGTCTCGCTGAGCGGCACTAGCTCCGAGCGGAAGTGCGCAAGGCGTGCATTGCTGGTGGCGTCACGCACTAGGGGCAGTAGCCACGCTCGGCCTGGCTGGGAGTTTACCGATCTGTCGAGATTCAGCGGCAGGATGGATAGAACGTTGTCCGGACCCATCGCACGAATGGCTGCCGAAAGCACAGCGTCCGCTTCCAGCTTGCCTGCGAATGCATCATTGCTACGGAGATCGCCCACAGCTTGCACGATCCCATCCAGCAGCGGAGAGGAGCGCCAGCGTAGTACTTCAAAGGCTGCAGTTTGGACGTTAAAGACCTCGATCCAAGCGGTCTGATACTTGACGCTCAACAAGTCGCGCAGAGTCTTGCCGATCCTTTCTAGTACTTTGTCGTCCATGACGGATGGGTCGAGGAGCACCGAGTCTGGAACGCAGGTGTGCAGCAAGGAGATCAGGCATTCTGACGCCGATATGCGAATATTGTGTGAAGAAGAAGCGAGGAAAGAGGAGATCAACACGAACAGGTCGGGCAACTTCTCAAACGTCTCTTGCGGCTCCACTTGCGCAGAGACGTCGTGGCCACGACTGAGCACGGCGATCCATGGCGGAAGCAGCTGCGAGTCATTTTGCGACGGTTGGAGCTCTGTAATCGCAGCCAGCACCCGAGGAAGTTTGGCAGACGACACCTCATCCGCTAAACCGGCGAAGATGATCTCAAACACCTCAAATGCGGCCATGGTCAAGAACTCGTTACTGCCTCGTGAGATATTGAGCAGCAGCTCGCATAGAGCATCAATCTTTTTGCTTGGCCACCCGTTCTCCGCAGCCGCTATTGCTTTCACAAGTTGCAGTGCATGCATCAGACCCGGCTCATGCTGTTGGTCGTCCTTGTGCCTGTGCTTCCGCTTCTTGGTGCTCGCCTCATCCGCCGCAACCTGCAGGTTTCGAAGTGCAGTCTCGGCGCACATATCCGCGGCTGGATGGTCGAGTGAAGGGCTCGGAGGGGGATTCCTTAGGACTCTGTCCAAAGCTTCGTGCGCCCTCTTGCGAACCTTCGGTCGAGGGTCCATAGCCAGGGCCAACAACCCGCCAACCGCACCTCTTGGACTGCTCTGCGACTGCGGAAGCGCCCATGCCTGCGCATCTTGAGCGACCAGCAGAGACTCTAGGCAGCCAATGCTCGCTCTTAGTAAAGGTGCCTCAGCATCCGAGAGTGTCAAAGCCGGCGCAAGGCTAGCCAGTATCTGCGAGAACTTCGAGCGTAGCAGCGGCGCTGGTACATGGCTCGTCACGAGATCCAGCAGGTAGATGACCGCATAAGCGACTTCCTTGTTGACGATTCCCTTCTCGGTCGAGATGTACTGTTTCAGCAGACTCAACAGTGCGGCGAAATAACCAGTCGGCGTAGGCTCGCTGTCTGAAGTTCGAAGCGTATCTTCGATTGCGCTCAGTACCACGGCCGTTTGTTGCTGGTTTTGCAACTTGGGCGAGGAGCGGATCTTGTCGAGACGCTCTTGCAGAGACATCTTGGGCGCCCGTTTGCTTGTTGATCTCATGCACCAGGTGAGACCAGGACCGCATACAGCATGAAAGTCGAAAAAAGTGCGGAATTGATGCGCTCAAGCCTCGATTGAAGGAAGCTTATCTATTGGCTCCGCTGAAAGCGGCTCTAGCACGGGTAATCCCACCCCGTCGGGTGTCAGTTGTGCCAGGAAACAGCCAGGTCGCCCCCGCAGTAATAGTCAGCTTCCGTTACACCACCACCTCACTCCTATTAACAGGGGACTGGGGGCGGCACGGTAGCGATGATAGCCAAACACAGGGTCACGCACAGGCTGGGCATTCCGATCAAAGACATCGTAGTGAGCCATACCTTACTCAATTACCAGAGTCAGTCACGAAACATCGGACAGAAGCGAGGTAAGAAGGATGGCTTCGGGTAAGCAGAGTAAGTGCGCTGGTCTGTTCAGCACAATGACAGCCAGTTTCCTTGCTTTCCGTCCGTTGCTATTGCGTTGGTCCGAATAGCTACAGTATCAAACATCAAAAATCTACAGCCACAAGCTTGTTCTCGTCCCCTAAAATCCGACGCAATGCTGGCCTCCCGTCGTCTGTTCCAACTCCTCCTGCCAATCTCATTACTCTGTTTCCAGGTGTACAGCATTCTCTTACCTACACAAGATCCTTTCTACCAGCCGCCTACTGGCTTCGAAAACCGGACCCCAGGCGCCATTCTACGCACACGCCGGATCGAGGCTTCCTACTTCGGCCTGATTCCCGATGCCGTGCGTGCATATCAACTGCTCTATCGCACCACAGCAATCAACGGCTCAGCCATAGCCACCGTGACAACCATCTTCAAGCGTCCCCAAGCCATGACAGACCGCTTCATCAGCCTCCAATGCCCCTACGATGGAGCTGCCAAATCCGGCTGCTGTCAGCCAAGCTATAACTACCGGCTCTTCGCGCCACAAGACGACATCATCAACTCGGTGGACTTCCTTTCCCTCCAAGCGCTGCTGATGGATGGCTACATTGTCTCATCACCCGATTACGAAGGACCTGATTCAGCCTTTGGCGCCGGACGGTTATGTGGCATGGCGGTGCTGGACAGCATGCGTGCTACTGCAAAGTTCTGGAAAACACTCAAACTTACCTCGAACAAACCCCTGATAGTTGGTTACGGCTACTCCGGCGGTGCAATCGCCCTCGGGTGGGCCGCTTCGCTCCACGCCCTCTACGCTCCCGAGTTGCACGTCGCCGGCTGGTCACTAGGCGGCACGCCTGCCAACCTCACGGGCACGTTAGCCTCCATCGATGGAACACTCTTCGCGGGCTTCATACCGCAAGCGCTTGTTGGTCTCAGTTCGCCAAGCGCCTACGGAGCCCAACTAATCCCCGTTTACAACCGGATCTTCACTCCCTACGGCAAGACGATCCTCAACATAGCCACCCGCATCTGCGGCGTAGAAAACCTCTTCACCTTCGAGTTCAAGCAGATCCAAGTCCCATCAGTCCAGACTCTAGGCACAAGGCTGCTGCATCAACCAACTATCGCCGCTGTACTGCAGGACAGTATAACGGGCCTCCGTGTCAACGAGACTCCTATTGCGCCAGTGTACATGTACCACGCGATGCAGGATGAGATCATCCCGTACGCGAACGCGAGCGCACTTGGTCGCACATGGTGTGAGAATGGCGCTTCCGTGCAATTCGTGTCTGTTGCAAACGGCGGGCATGCAACGGCCGGCAACCTTGGGTTTGCAGGATCTCTAGCTTTTATCACGGCGGCGTTCAATGATACGACACCCAAGGGGTGCACTCAAACCACCATAGACAACAATCTGCTTGATCTGGCGGTGCTGGGAAGCGAGCTGGAACCTGTGTTGGCACGTATGCTCGAGGCTCTCGCAGTCGTGGGAAGGGGTGACACGAATATCAAGAAGGATCTTTCTCGCTCAAGCAGACGGTGAGGTGATGGCCCTTTTCATGGAAGTGGTATGTCGATCTTCCGCCTGACATCCTGCTGTCGGCAGCGCTTCTCGGACATGCATAGCTTTGGGTATCTTGGTGACCTAATCGAAACCTCTCCGCGTCCAGAACGCCTTCGCTTCTTCTACGGAGGTCGGCATGGTTGAAGCGAGCCTTAAACTTCGCCTTCCACAGCCATGCTCATACCCTTCATTGCCTGCGTCCCATCTCGTGGCCTCCCTACAACAACCCCTCGCCTAACAACCTGATCCACCTCCCGACTCAAGCCAGCCCACACCTCCTTCCGTCGCTCCACCGCCCACCTCGGCCTCTCCCTCGCGGGCCGCCACGCAAGCTTGTTCTCCGGTATCTTAGTAAGATCCACCAATCCTCCACCTTCCGTCTGCGTGACAAGCTGTAACATCTGATGCAACAAGTCTTTGCCCTCACGTTTCAGACCCTCTCGTCTCCTCTGTGCTTCCGGCTTAGGCTGAAGTAACGGCTCATGCAACCACCCCAGCGTCTTCCGCACCGCCACCGGACTATCAGGTGCGGGCATCCGCAGCCGGAAATTCTCGTCATGCAAATAGCAGACCGCACCCTCCAGACACCCAATCTTGACCTTTTGCCTCCGCAAATTCAAGCGCGCAGCAGCGCCCATCGCGTCAGCGTTAACACCATCATCCTTACCGCCTCCCACTTTCCCTTCGTTACCCAACTTACCCATGTCCGTCCTAACCTTCTCAATCTCCTTCTCCGCCTCTTCCCGCGCCTTTCCTAAGTCAAGTTTAGCTCTCTTAATCTGCTCTTTAGCATCCCACAACGCCCGTTCCAGCTCCCCAATCCGCGCAGACCGCTTCCCAGCCTCCTTCATCCTCGCCTCGAGCATCTCGATCCGCACTCCTTGCTCCTCGAGCTCGGTCTCTTTCTCCTTAAGCACGGCGTCGCGCTGTCGGAGGTCTTCATGGGAACGAGTCAGCTCTGCCTCTGTATCGAGGGCAGTGAGTTTCGTCTGTTTCAGCTGGGTAGCCCTTGCGACCCATGGTGCTGGTGCGCGATCGAACTCGACTGTGTTGTCCAGATCTGCAGCGACGGATGCGAGATCTGAGAGTGTGGTCTGGAGGGAGCGGAGGCGGGTGGCGAGTGTATTGAAAGGTCCCGCTTCCGGATCCGAGAGGGCGAAGACGGGTACCGCGGTTTGTGAGAGGATGGTCGTGACTTCGTAAGTTGTAAAGGGGTCGTTGCGGCCTTCGTCGCTGCTGGAGAAGAGATGTTGCAGTGCTTCTCCCGCTTGGCGTGTATACGCTGCGATCTGCGCGGCGGCTGGCTCGACACGGTCGATGTGCTCGGCGCATGACCAGTCGAGTGTAAGTGACCGGGCTTGCAGGTCGGCGAGGGAGCGATGTGTCTTGCCTGCCATGACTTTCGCGTTCCTTGCGGCCTGGATGAGTGTATCGGCGCGGTTCAGGATGAGCGCAAGGTCGGTCGAAGCGGTATCCTCATCCACGTCCTCTTGATGTTCACCGACTCCGTTGACCTCATCTTTGGCCCCAACATTACTCTCAACCATCGCTTTCACAATGCCAAGTGCCGTCGCCGTACCCTCAAGCTGACTCTGCAAACACAACGTCCGCATCACCAACCCTTCCGCATGCGCGGCCAGATCATCCTTCACATGCAAGCTCGCCAGGTGCTCCATAACAGCCATACTCCTCTTCAGCTCCTCCACCATTTCTGCCTCCCTAAGCCCATCACTCCCATCCCTCCGTACCGCATCAAGATAACCATTAAGCGCTCTTTCAACCGGCTCAAGTTCATACAACGCACTCTCCCATTTTGCAAAATCCTCGACCGAGCCGCCACAGATAGACTGCGTGAAACGATCCGCCATCGCCTTGACCCAGGTCAAATGATCCAACACCTGCACAGCAGCGAAGACAGCATCATCCCGCCGTCTTCCCGGCGCACCAAGGCCTTCTCGAACGACACCGGCCACCAGCGCCGCCTTGAATGCAATCCTCTTGAGCCTCAGCAGAGCCAACACGCTGTCCCTTTCCGCCTGGAAAGCATCCGGCAAGAACATCTGCACGATAGCCAGATGCTCACTCGCCTCTTGCGCGTCAAGCTTGCGCAGTTCGAGATCAATGGTCTTGACCTGCGTCTTCTCCGCCGCATCCCTTAACCTCAAGTTCAAGTCCAGCATAGCTCGGCTCTTACTACTCAGATCCGCAGCTTCCGACTCGGAGATCTGCCTGCTCGCTTGCAGATCGGCTAGGTCGCTTTGCATCTGACCTACTAACGCTCGGTAGCGTGTGATGGTGTAGTCAGCCTCATCGAGCGCTTCCTGCTGCTGCTTAGCCGTGCGTTCGCGGTCGTGGAGAAGGCTTTCTTTGAAGTCGATTTCCTCCTGCAATTGCTTCTCGGACTCGGTGTAGTTGACTTGCAATTCGTCATTGAGCTCACGGAGGTCCTCGAGTTCTTCGATTGTGAGACGGAGTTGAGCTATCTGTGCGTCAAGGCGCCCGTTACGTTCGGTCAACTCCTCGATCATCTCTTCGGACTCCAAAGCAACTTCGAGCTGTTGGCGGAGATCGCTGGTGTCCGCTTCCGTACGTAGAAGTTTCTCCTTCGTTTCGTTGTACTGCGTCTGTAAACTATCGGCTTCCTTGACCTGCACTTCAAGGTCATCTATGCGTTCCCTGAGCTCGGCTTCTTTGTCTTGCGTTATGTCTCGTAGCCGAAGCAAAGCTTCGCGCAGCCGCTCGTTGCTCTTTTCCATTTGCAACCATCCGGCACTCGTGCGCTCTTCGGGACTCATCTCTTTGCTCAGCTCGCCATTCTCTTCCTTCAAGATCTCAAGCTCCAGTTCCATCTCCTCATTACGTGCCCGAAGCGCTTCCAGCTCGGCCTGCAAGCTCTCCGCCTTCTCCTCCGCCATCTCCCGGTCCAGCGTGGCAAGCTCCATAACGCTGTCATGTTCAGACTGCATTGATTCCACACCTGCAGCCCTCTTCTCCGCCTCGGCTAAGGTCTGTCTCAGGTCTGCAATCTCCTGTTGCTGAGGCCGGTACTTGTTCTGCAGCTTCTCGATAATGCTCTTGTATTGGTCGCGCTCTTGCTGCGCTTGTTCGAGCGTCTTCTTGACTTCACGGTCTTCTTGCCGCTTGCGCTCCAGTAGGCGGACTTTGGCTTCCAGCTCCTCTATTTGCCGGTTTGAGGCGGTGGTGCTGCGGATGGTGCGCTGTGAATGGATGGATGCTGCCGTAGGCGAGGAAGGTCGCCGTGATCGAGTACTCACCGGAGGCGGATCGGGTGGTATGGGTGGAGGTGCGAAGCTAGGCTTTTCAGGTTCCTCTTCCGGCTCGCGTTCTTGGTCCGGTTCTTGCGCGCTTGGTTGAGCATCATGCACTTGTGGAGTAGCCGGACGGTCACTGGCATCGTCGTCGACGACATCATCAACGACGCCCTCTGCGGTAGAGCTCAACCGCGGTTCAAGCTGAGGGCGTGACGATGGCGCACGTGAAGCGGATGGCCTTGACCGTGCGACGCTACTACTACTACTCGTTCGCGAGATAGATGTCGGCGGAGCCAGGGATGATCGAGAGCTCCGCTGAGTGCTTGACGATCCTGCAGTCGGAAGTACAGACGTCCTTCGCCCCGAGGCCCCAGCTGTTGGTGGAGCGAGACTCTGTCTAGGCTTAGCCGCCGCGCCTGCAGCCGGCCTGCTCTTAGCGGGCGGAGTGTTGGTACGCGACGTCGACGCGCTTGAGACGCCGTTGCTACCCGGTTGCTTGATCGGTGATCGCAGACCACTTCCGAGCCTCGCTCCCGGCGTAGGACTGCGCGCTACCACACTCGCTCCCCTGCCTGGTGCATCCGTGGCAGCCTGTCTCCTGAGCCCATTGACAGCCGTATGCACGTTACTAGGCCTGCCTCTCGCCACGCCGTTGCTCGCTACTGCCTTTGCTCTCGGCCCCTCGTCCTCGAGTACTTGTCGAATGCCGGCCGGCCGTAAGAACATGCCATAGTCAGGCTCGCAGATGAAGTAACGCTCCCCCTTGACGGAGCCATCGTTCTTTCCGGACGCATCCTTAAGCTCTACTCCCACCCAGTCGCCAGTCTGGAAATGTGTTGGGCCGAGGAAGCGAATAGTTGCGATGCGCTGGTCGTTGAGTTCGATCTTTTGGCCCACAGCGAGCGAGGAGATGTTCATGGTCGGGGCCGCATCGCAGACTCTGACGGGTGCATGTCCAGCATTGCGTCCTCCGCCGTGCTTATGCGTGATACGCTGCTTGTACTGTTCCAGCGGTATCTGTACTTGGACGCGGTGGAGGTCGCGTCCAAGCATGTGCCTTCCCAGTGCGGAAGCTGTGCCGAGGTGCCGAGCCGAGCGCCTCCACAACTTCAGTTCACTTCACATTCTTCCCTATCTCATTGCTCCTACGTTGACCTGCCATATCATTCATCATGCTCGACACTGATACTCGTATAGGTGTGCAAGCTGAACTTCCTCGGGCGTCGATCTTCTACAACATCATGAGATGCTGTTCCTGTCGACATCGACCAGTAGAGCAGCATCCCATACTTAAACCGACAATGACCTTATTGAAGCAAGTCAAAACTACCTCCTCTGCGTGGAAGTTTATTGAGCAATCTATAGCGCATTGTCGCCCCAATCGCGCCGTCAATAATAAGCAGCACAGCCTCCAATAATGTATAAGACCTAGCGTTTTCCAAACCTCTCTTACCTTTTCTCGAGCTTAATCTCGTACATACTGCCCACTGTCGTCGCCTCTCCATCTTCCTGTCTCAAGCTTTATGGTCAGCGAGTCCTCTCAAGCTTCCCAAACGACATCCCATTCAGAGTGGAGCAAGACCGAGCCGACAGCATCACAGGCTAAACATACCATGGCATTTGCAAACAGCCCACACTCAGCGCGTCCCTTGCGCATTGAGGGCGAGAAGTGTAACTCAAGCACCTTCTTACCCAACTACGAAACAGCCGTCAACGAAAACCTGCGTTCCTTCGACCATCCGGAAGCTCCGGCTAGCAAGTACACAGCGTCAGACGGCGTGGCAAGCCCGGGGACAAGGTGGTGGACCGGGATGTCAAGACGAAACCTCGTCGTCATTTCCATGCTTGCTACCGTCCTTGTCACCGTGATCGCCATCATTACCAGCCTGCTAGTTAACCGCCTCCACCAGCCGCAGAAGGTCAGTCAGCCGCTTCCTCCTCCTCTGCAAGGTCCCGCTGAATCAGCGCAGACGCATACACCGTCTCGCTCGGCAAATGTTGTCACCTTGACGGCGACGGTCACGGATGTGGAGGTCAAAAGCGTTCCCAGCCTACCGTCTCATACACAAACTTGGAACCCAACGATAACCGTCACAGTTACGGCAACTCAAGTGCTAGCCAGCACGTTCGTCACGAGTACGAAGTCAATGCTCCCGACGCCATCATCGCTAGTTACGAGCTATACCACCATGATAGCAAACAGTCAGTCATCGTCTGGATCAGAGATGACGAGCATTCCGGCATCTGTCCTGTCCGCCGAAGCTTCCATTTCTGCCGTCCTGGCGAGCATTGCCGCCCATCAGGTTGCTCCACTCACCATGCTTGATGCATCGACAAGAAGCGTACCGCCACAACAGACAACCATGGCCATAATGCCCGTTGTGACTGCTTCATTCACTACGCTAATCGTACCGAATGATCCTGTAAATCCATCTGTGGTCACCAAAGTACAAGCATTCGATGAGCTGACGGCTTACAGGTATTGAGCACGGCATCTTCGGCAGCTCTTGCGCCGCATACGATTGCAGAAGGGTGGATAGGTCGTTGTGGCGTTCCCGGTACAAGCTGCAATGGCAGCGAGAGCCTGACCGGGGTGGGCAATAAGCGGTCGGAGACAGCTCTTGTGGTTGTTGGACATACAATGTTGTAACCTCCTGGACTGAGCATGAGGTTATAAGTTGCTGACACGGTCACTGCATGCCGGCACGAGGTCGTAGTGACTGCAGTCAGGCGCGCATTCTGAAGCGACCTCTATGCATTCATGATAAGGGCACGTCTGCCAATTCACTCCACCATTCGTATCTACAACCTCACCGCCCACCGCAAACCTCACATCAATCCACTTGCGCGGCTATATTCATACCCACCGTTGTCGGAGTAGTTTGCCTATTACCGCTAGGTACCAGCTCCATCACCATGACTATATAAACACTCATGGCCGCACTTGTGATGCTCGGAAACGACGATCCAAGCCCAGCCATTGGAAACAACCTCTGTGATTGTCTCAACCTAGCCGCCTCCCCAGAGGACAGGATAGCTGGCTCAATGAGTACACGAATGGCCACTAAGAGTTCGCGGATACCGAACCTTGCCTCTTCAGCAACAGTCACGTATTCCCAGGCCTATGCTGGCTCACTGGCCCACAAAACTTCCACTGGAGGTGACACGGAAAGCCTCTCCTCCAACTACGAGCCAGAACCGTGCGAGCAGCTGCCAGGTGGCGTTCCTGATTCCTACGAACATACGGCGCAGGAAGTGTCCATGACGAGGCCGATGCAGGGGCCCCGACTTACTATTACTGATCAGCGCAAACGTGACCTGGAAATACGATCGTCACCCGTAGAAGGGGAGAAGATCCCGGAGATTGATATGCCTTACGATGACGGAAGAGATGCTGCCGCTACTGACATTGTGAGACCGCAACAACAGTGTAGTTTACGGTACGCGCATCCCTCTCACACGAGCGATGAGCTACCGCGGTGTTCACAGCCGAGTGTGATGCAGGCTACAGAACAGGAGCCAGAATTTGTGACCGATGACGTGAGCAATGCGAACGATAAGTCACTTAAAAGGCGAAATTACAACACCGGCTGTAAGTACCGCAAGTGGCTGATTGGTTACTCGTGGCTTTGGCAACTCTGAATGTGACCGTGCTGTCCGCAGAAGCCAGCCCATGGCAGCAGTGGCCAGCAGGCCACAGGGCCGCGTTGCACCGTCAAGCCGGCGAGAGCCGTCAACGATTCCGTGCAATAAGAATGTCATCGCAGACGGTGACTCCTATCGACTGAGCTTAATGTTATATCCTGCACGAGTGCCGTACAGAGAATTGAAAGGAAAAGAGAACGGGATTGACAGATGACACAGAAGCAAATGTGCCAACTTCAAGGAAGGACAGACCTACTGTGTGGCCGGGCCCTACGCTGATGCTTCCCAAGGGAGCGCTGCAATAGTAGCGTTGAAGTGTTCACAAGTCAGCACGAAAGCGGCGCGCTGCTAGGTGAGTACAGCTGCCGACTTCCCCTGTTGGCTGGCACTCATGAGCGTTGCCCTTATTTAGGAGATCTTCTTTAGTGGTGGAGTTGTACTGTCCGCATGCTCCACGTTGGAGTGGATAATGGAACGAGGGAGCTCGTACCCGGTCATGCTGGCCTGTAAGTTACCGAGGGAGATGCTATACGGTATTTTTGTGCAGCAAGGTTTGTGATGTAGTCTGTTTGGACAGTCAGGCGGAGTTCGGACACAAGTGGTAACTCCGAGAAACTCCGTCACCACCATTAGCTTCCATTGTTGGTCTGGGTAACATGTTATACAGCATCGACCCCCTACAGTGTGGGCCAACCAGCATAACTTGGCACGGGTGGCTACTTGCTTGCTAACACTATTACTATATTTCTTTTCGGTTGTTCCTGGCCTTCGCCAATAATACTTCGCTCCAATGGTCCAACGCGCAATGAAGTTCACGCCGGAGGTCCTCCTGTCCGCGCCAAGGCGATCTTCAGGCATACCAAACCCATCTGGAACCAAGGTGCTGTACACATCATCAACTTACGACTTCCTGACTCACCAGAAGACGACAGAGCTACGTCTACTGAACATCCAAACTGGGGGGTCAGAGGAGCTCTTGGGAGACGAGGCATCGGACCTCAACTGGCTAACTGATGATGTTTTCTGCTATTTGCAGGCGAACAAGGACGGTACGACCAGCTTGTATGCTTCTAACACGGCTGGCGAGCGATTCGTGACTGGCGTCATCGATGCAGCTGCGAGCAACCTCAAGCTTAAGGCGCTTCAGGATGGAGCTGCTGTAGTCTTCAGCGCGCCGACGCTTCCTGATGGCACCCTCTACTCTCCGGAAAAGGCGAAGCAATCGACTAGATCCAGCGGTCGGTTATATACCAGTCTCATGGTGCGCCACTGGGACAAGTACGAAACACAAGCGAAGAACGCACTATGGTATGGCAAGCTCACCCACGGCGACAATGGCAGATACACTCTGTCGAAGCTCAGCAATGCTTTCAAAGGTCACCCTGAATTGGAGTGTCCAATCCAGCCTTTCGGGGGTAGCGACAATTTTGACATCATGAAGACAGGTATTATCTTCGTGACGAAAGATCCCAAGCTCAACCCAGCCCTGAACACCAAGTGCAACATATACCTGCTTCACATGTATTCCTGGACTGGTAATCTCCCTAATCTTCAGCCAGTCCTCGAAGAGATTCCGATTCCGGACTTCGAAGGCGCCGCTACCTGTCCGGTCTTTGATGCCACAGGCACCAGAGCAGCGTGGTTAATGATGAAAGACAACGGTTACGAGGCCGATCAGAACCGTACTTTCGTCATGGCGGACATCAACTTCCCACAGAGCGTACAACACGCGTCGCGAACAATCACCTCGCTAAATCGTACTGCTTCCGATGGTGACAAGTTTTGGTCACTAAGCCCGTCATCGATCTGCTTCTCGCTAGACAGCCATTCTCTGCTAGCCGTCGTGGAAGATCAAAGCTATGCGAAACTCTGCAAGGTCGATTTGGGTCTGGACCGCAACCAGCCACGGCAGCCGCAAATGCTGACCGAGCAAGGTCACGTCAACGATGTGAAACCTCTTCCCAACGGCACAATTTTCGTTTCCGGCAACTCACTTGTCGACAACTCTTGGTACGCCATTGTCGACGACCGTCAGCCGAATAAGGTTGTGACGTGGTCCCATTCGAGTTCTGCCGCCGGTGGGAAGTTCGGTTTGAGACCGGACCAAGTCTCGAGCATATGGACGCCCGCCAACGATCCGAAGGTCAACATGAACGTTCACTCGATCGTCGTCAAACCGAGCAACTTCGACTCCAGTAAGAAGTATCCCGTTGCGTACTTGATCCACGGCGGCCCCCAAGGGGCGTGGACCGACGCTTGGTCAACACGCTGGAACCTCGCCGTCTTTGCCGAACAAGGTTACATAGTTATTGCACCTAACCCTACCGGCTCGACTGGCTACTCGCAGGCTTTTACCGACGCCATCCGATACAATTGGGGTGGCGACCCTTATGAGGATGTTGTGAAGTGCTTTGAGTGGGTAGGTGAGAACATGCCAGAAGCAGATAATGACAACGCAGTAGCACTGGGTGGAAGCTACGGCGGGTACATGGTAAGACGGTCGATGTATAGTGAGAATGGTGTTGTCGCTAACTCTGTCAGATGAACTGGATTCAAGGCCATCCCCTCGGCCGCAGATTCAAGTGTCTCGTCTGCCACGACGGCGTCTTCAGCTTCCCATCTGGCCAGCTGACTACCGACGAACTCTACTTCCCCATGCATGACCTCGGCTACCCATCCTGGCTAAAGCCGCCAGCGCACATTACAGACAACCCTACAGCCCAATCAAACACTCCTTCGTGGACACGTTGGGATCCCGCCAACTACCTTGACCAATGGTCAACACCCCAGCTCACCATCCACAGTGAGAAGGACTACCGCCTTCCGATCGGCGAGGGACTAGCCGCTTTCAACGTCCTGCAAGCGCGAGGAGTTGAGAGCCAGCTCTTGGTCTACCCAGATGAGAATCACTGGGTGCTCAACCCGGAAAACAGCCTTACGTGGCACAAGGTCGTGCTGAATTGGATCAACAAGTTCATGGGCTTGCCTCCGTATAGCACTGATGACCCGAATGGCAATGAATTTTGGGGAGGAATCAAGAGCGAAAAGGAAGGCCCGCCGGATGTGCCCGCTCAAGGCAAGTCGGAGATGTGAGGGACTCCGACGATGATGCCTGCTCGTAGCGGGCGCCACTTTGGATAATCGACAACAATCAGTCCCGTCTTGATTACTCTATATACCTGTCTCCATATGCCATATCGTACTGAACATCTGTATGCCATATCATACAACCGCATCTCGCATCCCACATCCGTACGCTGCCCATTACTCCAGCAATAGCTTGTAGCTGGCAACTTCGAACGCTCTCAGCTCGACAGGCAGGCCCTTGTCCGTGAGCTTCACCTCCTCCAGCTCATCCTCAAGCAAATTACACTTCCACGCCTTCTTCACGCCCACCGGTCCGAACGCCACGTACCCTCTGCAAAGTCCGCCCAGACTATCGTACACACGCAGAACAACATGGCGGCCCTTCCTCGGCGGCATATCGCCATTACCCGCGTCCTCATCGTCCTCGCCTCGCTTCACTGTGTCAACAACCAGGCCCGGATCACTGCCAGGCACGAGCTTGAAAGCACCCATGAGCTCCTGTATCCGCTCCGGTGTCGAGTGCTTGTGCACTCTCGGCGGGTAATTAAACTCGTATCCGGCCCTCACAGTCCTCTCGTCCAATCCCCCGATATGCGGCATGATGGCCCAGCGAATGTGATGCCTTCCCATATCCGCCGTTGCGTCGGGCGCCTTCGGTGCACGGAGTAGCGACAGCCTCATCACGTTACCCGCAGTTGCGAAGCCATACTTACTCTCGTTGAGGACACTTACGCCGTAACCATGCTCTGATAAGTCGGCCCATTTGTGGCAGCAGACTTCAAACTTCGCCATGTCCCAGCTGGTGTTGTAGTGCGTTGGGCGGCGGATAATGCCGAATTGCGTCTCGTAACTCGCTTCCGTATTCGTGATAGTGGTCGGAAACTCGACCTTGAGGAACTTCATCGTTTCATGCCATTCGACTTCCGCCTCCGTCTCCACCATCGCCGGCTCGTCGCTGCCGGCAAGCGCAGACAGCGAGATGGTAGTCTTAATCCATGACTTCTCGGAGATCTTTGTCGTGGTGCTGACGCTGACGCGCTCAGGGCTGGTTGAGGTGATGGTGGTTTGGCTGCTTGATCGGAGTTCCTTTCGAGATCGGAGATGGAAGACTTCCACGTCCCATGCTTGCCAATATAGTGGCTTGTCGTCGTAGATGACCAGCTGGTTCGCTTTGCTGCCCTTGGCAACAACCTCCCGCCTCGCTTTCCTGTCGTACAGAGATGTGATGACACCTCCCTCAACAGTAACCGCCAGAGCCGGATTCTCAAGAACGAAGACGTTGTCGGCCACCTGCTCCACGCTCGCTTGGCAACGAACAGTCATCCGGTTCGGTGGCTGCCGCTGCCAGCCGAGCGTCTGGAGAAGCACATATTGGTCTTGATAGAACGCATTCTGCTTGTCGGTATCAAAGCCGAGAGCGTTCAACGCGCCATGCAACGCCTTTTCGCCCTTCTCGGATACTTGCGCATACAGTTTGTTTGAGTCATCCACACACATGTGAATGACACTCCCCGGCAAGCAGTCATGGAACTGACAAAGCAGCACCGCCTCCCACATAAAGTCGATCTCCTTCTTCGGGTACTTATACCCCTTGTCGCCTTTGATCGTGGCCAGTGTGGCTAGATACTCAATGTCGTGCAACAGCACCTCCGCCTTTCGATTGTTCCGCTTATTGTTCGCCTGGGTCGTGTAGGTGCCACGGTGGAGCTCGAAGTACAGCTCGCCGTACCACGTCACCAGTTCCGTTTCACGCTCCGCCACCTTCCGCTCAATGCGGTCGAAGAAGTCATCCACGCTCTCCGCGACCTTTACCTTCGGCAGTAAGCCCACGGTGTTAGCCATGCCTCTGCATCTGCGCAGCTTCTCCAGCATGCCGAAGGTTGGGCCGCCGCCACCGTCGCCTTTGCCGAATGGCAGTAAGCTCGTCGCATCCTGATCCATGCTTTTATGCTGCGTCACGCTTCTCTTGACATCGCCGAAGTGCGCGTCGGCAGTGTATGTTTCGCAAGGCGCCATGTGGCAGATGACTTGGCTGCCGTCTAAGCTGACCCAGTTGAAGGTAGTGTGCGGGAACTTGTTAATGTTGTTCCAGCTCAACTTTTGCGTGAAGAAGCGCGTCATGCCCGCTAGACGGCAAATCTGTGGAAGCTGAGTGCTGTACCCGAAGGTGTCGGGCAGCCAGAATGTTTGACACCGCTCTCCGAATCTCGATTCGAAGAAGCGTTGACCGTATAAGAACTGCCTTACCAGTGACTCGCCGGAAGGCAGGTTGGTATCGTGTTCAACCCAGCTGCCGCCGATAGTTTGAAAGTTGCCCTTCTTGATGTGCTCCTTCACACGGTCCCATGCATACGGGTACAGTTGTTCCAGCCACTTGAATTGTTGCGCCTGGCTTGCTACGAAGCGGTGCTCTGGGTAGCGGTCGAGCAAATCACACTGGTTCGACCACGATCGCGCGATCTTCCGCTTTGTCTCGTCCCAAGGCCACAGCCAGCAGGTATCAATGTGGCAGTTGCCGATGGCATTGACAATGGCGGGCTCTGTGCCGTTATTCTCGTTGTCGTAGACAGCTTCAGAATCGATCTCGGAACCCAAGAACCGCTTGGCTATTCTTCGGCATTCCTTGATGCAAGTCTGTGAGCCCTCACCGGCAATGAAGCAGTCAATGATCTCATTGCAGACTTGCAGCGCTTGATGCTCCTGCCAGCTGTCCTGCGGGAACTCTCGCGCAGCATCGCCGATAATCCAGTAATCGTAGAACAGCGCTCGAGCTTCCACGTTCACACTTACAATGTCAGCCATAGCGAGTTGGAAATAGCGGTTCATCTCAGGTGGCTGGATGACGTCGCCGGGAGGATTGCCAAACATGCCGTTGCATGCCATTTCGATGTACAGGGTGTGCTCCTTGTCAGGCACCCGCCACTTGTCTGGGACGACCCATTCTGTTCTCTCCCCTCCACCGGTCAAGCCTTGCAACGGCTTCCCATCCTCCGTCCACACCATGGCCTCGCTGTTGGAGTCCCAATGCAGCTCCACTTGAGGCTTCTCCGTCCATTCCATTGGCAGCTTGAACTGCACTCTAAACCAATGCGTAGTCCAACTCGGCCCGAACGACTCGCCTACGTGCGTCTGGCGGTATTCGTTCTTCTTGCTCGTTGCTTCCTCAAAAGTCGGTCGTGACTGGCCGGGAGCACTCCAAACATGGAGCTTGACGTTGTCATCACCTGCCAAGCGGCCATCATACAGTTTATCGAGCAGACCTTGGGCTCTGTATTGCCCGCCGTCGGTGAACTGTCCCAGCCGATCGACGTACAGATTGTGGATCAGCTTGCCTTTGGGTCGCTCGGCGAGCTGCGGGTAGCTGGCGGAGGTGGTGGGCACCATGCTGCGTTTCGTCTCGCCACCCATTGCAGTATTGTACATGAATGAGCTGGTTGAACTGTTCCGTAAGCGAGCTCCAAGGTACGTGTACACAACAGCAGCTTCCGCAGCAACTGAGCTAAAGCTTGCGCCACACCCGCGTCTGTGGCTCCGCTTACGTCGTGCCAATCATCCATTGGCTCGACTAGAAGAGACGCTAGGCCGGGTGCTTCCAACGTCGGCCTGTCGTATCCAACAGCGTACACCCAATACACTATCACGAAATCAGCGTGGAGAAGGTATTACTTGGGACATCCGATACGGCTATAGTCTCCTATTGATCTACTTTCCTAAGAACCACTGCTACTCATCAAAGCGAGCATGAGCACTGGTAACCGTTACGCGAAGTCGAAACGCTGCCGTTAACTGTATCATAAGTCTCTTTGATCGAGCCCTCGTTATGGGGCTGCTAATCACACAACGGCCAACATCAAGACTGACATTGTGCATCTCTCGGACAGGTTCTGCCCCTAAAGTGGTCCTTTCAACGGAATTGGCACGTATATTGCGGCCGTAAGTTCGTTATCCAAGAGTAGCCACTTCCCAGCGGCGACGGGCCACGAGCAAAACATGTAGGAACCATTAGAGTTCCGACAACTTTCGAATATTACGACCGACTCATTCCTGCCATCTTGCGCCAGAAGTCGCTACAGCGTCCACTCCCTCCCTACGATCGTGCTGGTCCGGAAGTCCAGTCGGATGGAGAGTGTACCAACCTCGGAACTGTGAAGCACAAGCGTCCAGTCCTCGGCCCATCGATCGAGGCCAGCTCAACGACGTCCCGTCTCCTGCCAAGATCTCTACTATTCCCGACTCTACTGTGGCCCTTTGTATCGATGATCCCTGGAAGTCTAGTAGTACACTTCAGAGTGTTTTTTGGGCCCTCGATAAGGGCGCTTCCTGAGTACGCTGCCGCTCCAAGACGGGTGGAATCGGAAGCTCACAGCTCTATTAGTGCTCACGGTTGCAGATTGCGCACTGGCAAGGTTCCGCCACTCACTGAAGCGTACAGGGGCGGAGCGAAGACCGAGGCTGTTCCGACCATGCACCTCTCAGAAATACCACCTCGGTGTCACCGTGTCACTCTCCGTCGAGTCGTCAAGCAGCCACTGAGCCCGATAAGAGACCAAACTGGGCCAAGGGTGCATGCACCGGACAACTCGATCAGGACACCATGCTGCCACTCTTGCATAATCCGGCAGTTATGGTCGTGTACATGCGACTTGGGAAGAGCAACCAGAACCTCGGGACAAGCTATACTGTACCAGGTAGTCAGCCTTGGCAAGCCTGATGGCGCATAAGCTTGCTCTGGGCGCTGCGGGACATGTCACTTTAGGCTCTCTCGTCGCGTGCGAAGCTGATCCCGACCACTCTGGAACGAGCTCCTCGGACGTTTGGCATCGATCGAACGTTCAACCTGCTTTCATTCCAAGAAGCCTTTGCGTAATGTAAAGTTGGACCCGATTGTCTCCGGGACGAACATCAACGCAAAGCTGCATTGCCGGGCGGCGATTGTAGAGCGGACTGTAGTGCGTTTGGGCGTGGAAACTGGTAGCCTTAGAAGTCTTACTGTTTTTTGCAGCCTCTCCGCGCCGTTATGAAAGGAAAGGCATTATTAAGACGGTAACCTTATTGTTTCCTGTGCTTGTCGACGCCTCCAGGAAGTCTGTCGCTCGGGTTATGCCTCTTCGGGCGCCGAATCTAGAGCATGGATGATCCACGTGGCTAGCATGCTGTTTATGCGCTCACCGTGCTCTCATAGCCGCTAGCATTGTACCAATCCGATCATGGCCGACGTTCTGGACCAGCCCGATCGCGACGATCCCCGCGTGGCCTGGGGAAGGTTTTTGCGGGGAGTCAGTGCTGGCTCGTTCCAGTACGAGCTATCCCTCTGCAGGCCTAGCACCTTAGCTCATGTGGGCGGTACTGCCAGCTTATCAGACCTTTCTTCTCCACGTCCTTGGCTGGGTGGCGTAAAGTTACTATCTTCAAGGTTAGGTTTTGTCCTTGTATTTGTACAAGCAGGACTTGGCGAACTTGGCCAGCTCTGGGCTTTTGCGAATTACCGCGGTAAGTTGACCGCTTGTGCTGCGTGTGAGGTGAAGGCCGGCATACAAGAGTCTCTTGTAGGCGCCTGTTGTGTTACTGTTTCTTGCATCCCAACAGCATCTCTTCGTTCCATCCGGCAGTCCATACCTCGTCTTCGACCGCCTTCCCTCCTTCCAGCTGCTTTCCTGTCAGTCGCTTCGCGACACTTCGATAGCCAACCATGGCACAATATGCCGATAAGATGGAGGTTGAGGCTGCGCACCTTGAGCGCACCATCTCCGACGAGTCCACCGCCTCAGCCAAGGAGAACGATGCTCGCATCCACGCTTTCACCCCTGAGCAGCAGAAGAAGATCATCCGCCGCATCGACTACCGTCTCGTCTTGACGCTCGGATGTCTCTACTGTGTTTCGCTCATGGACAGAACGAATCTGGGCATTGCTGTTGTGGCTGGCATGGCCGTCGACTTGAAGCTCGTCGGCTACCGATACAGTATCATCACCCTCGTCTTCTTCATCACCTACGTCCTTCTTCAGCCGCCGGCAACCGTTGTGTTGAGGAAGGTCGGCCCGAGAGTTTTCCTGCCCACCATCACCATCCTTTGGGGAGTGACGATGATCTGCTTCGGCTTCTTGACGAACTACGAGCAGATGCTTGGTCTCCGACTCGTGCTCGGTATGTATATTGCAAGCTAGCGCCACATGACACGAGCGGAATGTCGCTAACAAGCCGCAAAGGTATCTTCGAAGCCGGCTTCTTCCCCGGCTGCGCGTACCTGCTCAGCTGCTGGTACCCCCGCTACGACCTGCAGAAGCGTAACGCCGTGTTCTACCTCATTGGCAGCATGTCGTCCGCTTTCTCCGGCATCCTCGCCTTCGGCTTCTCGCACCTTGCAGGACACGGTAACCTCGGCCCTGCGTACGGTCAGCATTATGCGAAGACGAAGACGGCACCGGCCGGCATCAAGCCTGGCATTGCTGGATGGCGATGGATCTTGTAAGCAGCCCTCCTCAGGGACGCTCTTCCGAAATATCAGGGACTGACAAGCTATGCGTAGCATCCTCCAAGGTGTAATTACTGTCGTCGTTGCCGTCATCGGCGCCTTCACCATCTGCGATTTCCCAGACAAGGCTGCCAAGAAGACTCGCTCCTGCGCTCTGCCATTCCTCAACGCTGAAGAGGCTGCCTTCGTCGTAGCCAGGATTGAGCAGGATCGTCATGATGCCATTCCTGAGCCATTCAGACTTGGACATTACCTGAAGCAAGCCTGCGACTCGAAGATCTGGGGTTTTGCTTGGTTGTTCGGCTTGACCACCACTTGGTACGCATACCCGTACAGCCTCCTTTACATCCTGCTCCAAGTGCTAACAGGGATTTTTTACAGCACCTACGCCATCGCCTACTTCCTCCCCATCATCCTCAACGAGGGCATGGGCTTCAGCGTCGGCGCCTCGCAGTGCCTGATCGCCCCACCTTACGTCTTTGCCGCGCTCTGGATGTACGCCTGCGCCGTCCTTGGTGACAAGTACCACATCCGTGGCCCATTCATCATCTTCAACGCTCTTCTGGGCGTTCTTGGTCTTGCTCTCCTCGGCTTCACGAAGAACGCCGGTGTTCGGTACTTCGGTGTCTTCTTGGCCACCACTTCCTGCAACTCCAACATCCCCTGCGTCCTTACTTACCAGGCGAACAACATCCGTGGACAGGTACGTTGCACCCCAGCTTGGCTTAAGATGAATTGCGCTGACAGTGTTCTGCAGTGGAAACGTGCGCTTGCCTCTGCAACCCTCGTTGGTGCAGGCGGTATTGGCGGTATTGTCGGCAGCACTGTGTTCAGATCTCAGGACAAGCCAGGCTACAAGCCAGGCATGTACGCGACTCTGTTGGCCAGCGCCTTGATTGTGCTCATCACCTGTGCGCTCGAGTTCAAGTTCTGGCGGGCCAACAAGCGCGCTGCTGCCGGTGGCAAGGTGATTGAGGGACTGGCTGGCTTCCGCTACACCTTGTAGATGTCTTTAAAGGGTGAGGATGGATACTGTATAGGACAAAGTACGAAGATTTAAAGATGATTTGAACTATTCCTCGGCTGTGACAAACATGCGAATATTGTATCAGTAATCACGCTATGAAGCATCGCTCGCTTATCACGCCGCCACTTCTCGGCGAAGAGTGCTAGTATGCTGGTGCAGTTGTGTGCCTAATGAAAAGGCTACGGTTTCTGTTACCTCGGAGTCACACTTTCCCAGGTAGAGCAGCTTGGGTTCACAAGACGCCTGGGTAGTAGAACTTCCCTTGCGGCGGATTAGCTAGAGCTAGCCAGCTCCTGCAACATCTCTCGCGTCGCGGGTAGGGACTTCGAATCGCCATACAGCGCAGCAATCAAACTGCCATCAACGCTCGGAAACTCTCGCTGCAACGTTTCAAGATCGCGATCCTCTTGGCTTTGAGGCTTGCTCATCTCGAACTGCTCCAAGGCTTCTCGCTGCTCGCCACGCTCCTCATCGGGCACGAAGGCCGACTCCTCGAACGTGTCGGTTCGGCGTGGCTGCTGCTGCTGCTGTTGTTGCTGGGACCATTGACCGGGTGGTGGACCGGGTGGCGGAGCGTAATTGTGTGCCTCCGTTGATGCGTACGGGCTGCCAGCTGACTCTTGGTCTTGCCAGGGGTTCTGCTGCAGGGATTGCTCTTGATGTGCGTATGGGTTGTTGCTTCCTAATGGGTGTTTTTGATTGCCGCCTGGCGGCGGGTATGAATTTTGACCTGACATGTGTCTGGGACTGGTACTGAGATTGTTGTGGACCCGTTTAGAGACTTCGATTCTTACATTATCGGGCACATGTTGTTACTTGCTGCCTGCGTTCACATTCGCCACGAAAGTTCACACCGGCCGCGTGGAGGACGGCAGGCTTGGCAAAGGGGTCCGGCGCTTTCACATGCTTCTCTCAGCCTCATGGTCAGCGTCATGTGTTAGCGTCGGCCTTCCTTCCTTCATGGTCACGATGGCAGTCGGAATGCTTCACGCTGTCACTGTTTGTAGGCACTGGATCTTCTTTTACCCATGCATCGATCAAAGGTAGTATCTTTATATGGCCATCTTACCTCCCCTTCGGCTCCCTAGCCCTCTCGATTGCTAACCTTCACACTGTCACATGCTTGGTCGACCGCAAGCCATCATGGTGATATTGGGTGGACAGCGCTATCATGATAGGTAACGGACATAGCAACGACAATGCCAAGCATACCAGCAGCGACTAACATCGCTAGATCACGTACTCGGCCGACCCAACACTCGCTTCCGCAAGTACCAAGTCTTCACCGTTGTCTTGTTGTGGTCTCTGTACCTGTACAAGGGTAACCCAGACGGTCCCAGACCACTGCGCCGACTCTCTCAATACCTCACCAAGCGATTGACGACATGGCGCCAGTTCGTCATCTTCTGTCTATCCCTCTACGTCGCACGCAACTTCGCTCGCGTTGTCGGCCTTGAGTCTCCAGAGCCACTAGAGAATCTATACTCAAGTGCCTACTTCAGGGCAACATGGATCACGACGGCATTGGATGCAGGCTTCTGGACGGCCATGCATCTGCGCCCGAAATGGTTGAAAGACTTGGCCAGTGTCATCTTCACCGTGTACTATTTGTTCTGCGCGGAGCAGGCGGACGAGATGGTGCGGAGAGTGCGAGGAGCATTGACGCTTCAGCACTTGCGGGTGAGCTGGAACAAAGCAAAGACGCCGTACCTCTCGGCTGTGACGAGCTTGTTGCGGCCAAAGGAGATGACGGTGAAGCCGCACCGGCTGCGGATTCATAGGCCCGAAGCGAGCAGCTACAAGGAACCGATTATGGCTTGGCTGTATTATCCAGGTACGTCTGAGCAGCTACAAGATGAGGAGAAGATCGTTCTCGACATACCAGGCGGTGGCTTTGTAGCTATGGACCCTCGATGTCATGACGACAAGCTCATGGCTTGGGCTGCGAAGCTGCGTCTTCCGGTACTGGCACTGGACTACAAAAAGGCTCCTGACCAAGTATATCCGTATGCACTGAACGAGTGCTACGATGCATACTGGCAAATCATCGAATCCAACGGACGCTGTCTCGGCTTGTCTGGCAGCCGCTCGCCGAAGGTTGTTCTGTCTGGTGACAGTGCCGGCGGCAATCTGGCGACAGGGCTGATGTGCATGTTGCTGTCCGAGAGTCCCTATGGCGGCTGGAACCCAGGCGACCGCGCGGAACATGGAGCCTTACCTGTGCCGGAAGCGCTAGTACTTATCTATCCAGCGCTCGACATGAACATATCGAACTGGATGACAGACGAACAGACAGCGCTACTCGTGGCTCCGGAGCGAAGACGCGCGCACAAAGGTGTTATCAGCCGCAAAAGCGATGACTATCGGCGCTTAACGCACGACACGCCTTACGCGTCTACCGATGACTTCAACAGAGCGGATGACGAAGAGCGCCCGAAAATGAAGCATTCGATGAAGTCTTCGCGGAACCTATCTACGTCGGGCAAAGTCAATGGCGGAACCGACGGTACTGCCAACGGAAAGACGCGCCAGCCGCCAACTCGACTTCAAATGCGAAGCATGATCTCATACTTCAACGACCGCATCCTCTCACCAGAGATGCTTCGAGCAATGATTATCATGTACATTGGTCCGCACAACAAACCCGACTTCGCCACGGATCACCTACTGTCACCCATCTTAACACCTGAGAACATTCTCGAACGCTTTCCCAAGACTTACTTCCTCACTGGCGAACGCGATCCGCTAAGCGACGATACAATCATCATGGTTGGTCGACTACGCCAAGCGCACCTGCAACGCTTCCGCGAGCGTCAAGAACTCGGCATTATTCCAGCATCCGAGCGCTTTGACGACTCCAAGCATGTCGAGGAGATGCTGATCCCGGAGATCTCACACGGCTTCCTGCAGTTCGTCGGAGTCTATCCGGAAGGAAGAAAGTACATCGAACTGTGCAGCAGCTGGATGAAGCAAGCTTTCGACGAGTCCGACGCCCGCGATCTGGAAACGCCTGTCGCAGAACGCAGGAGCAAAGACTACTTCGCCCGCAGCTTTGGGACACGACATCACAGCCGCACCGGCACCGCCGGCTCCGAGGTCGATGAGCGGCCGCTTGAGATACCAGGCCTAAGCATGACGCCTATTGTTGCAGATGCCGCAAAACGAAAGGCGTCGAGCGGGAAGGGCAGGATCCACAAGCGTGCTGGCGGGGGCAGTGGTGCGCGAAGTCCGCTTACCACACGGAGGAGCTTTTTGCGGCTTACGAGCGGGCAGGACTTCATGGCTAGGCGGATGAACTCGGTCACGAGTGGGTTAATTGGCGATGCGATTGAACCTATGACGCCGTGATGCAGGGAATACGACTACGAGCTCGTATCTATGCTTGTTGCGAAAGCGTTGGATACTAGCAGGTTACTGTACTTGATCTCTGAAACCTCTTTTGACCGATCGGTTGTTGCAAACTACAACAGGATCCTGAGATCCTTCCACTGTTTGGGCCCGCCTATTATATTACTTACCACATCCCGGTACTAGCAGAGGGTCTAGTGAGAACGATGAGAGCGTACGAAACCATCAACATTTGAGTATAGCAGCAAGCTCTGATACCCACTGAATCCCAGGGACATGCTCGAGCTCGAAAGATGGCAATCGCAGAGTCACGTGAGCGCACTGTCGGTATGGGATGTTTGCCGGCAGTGGTGCGCCATCTTAACACGACGTGCAAAGTCCTAGGCTACCGAGAGGCCCATTTGGTGCCGGCGCGGGCTGCCGGCTTCGGACTGCACGCTTGTGGTAATCTCGTGGTCAGATCCTCTCGATTGAGATATCTATCCACCATATCTGCGATGTGGGAGGCTACTACAGTGCAACTGGCTTTGATGAAAGCGGGTCGTTACGACCCAAACACATTAGGCCAGGCCGTTACCAGCGCCGCGATCGTCCTCTGTAGCTGAGCCGGCTGCGGTGGTGCAAAGCTCTCACCGTACGCCTCACCCCACTCCTGCGTCTGCCATGCTTCCTCGAATGCCAACAGGCTGGCGGCAAGCGGAGCGTTGGCCCCATTGGAGGCGGTTGTGCCGTTGAGCGTGTAGTTCACGAACAATTGCCAACGTGGAACGTAGTACGAGCTGATCAGGCCGGCCTGCATATGATATCAGTCATCGGTCATGGAGGAAGAGATTTCGGCGAAGGCTGCATGCTTACCCATTGCTTCGATGCGTAATCGCTGATCTGGCCAGTCGGTCCCCAGAGCGTGATCTGATTGCGTGCATTGTACTCATAGAAGCTCGCCGTTTGTGAGCTTGAGGTGAGATTCGTCGCGTTGTTTGGCAGGGTGGCAGTGGGAGCAGACCACGATCGAGCCTCCGCGATCCATGTCGAAAGGTGGAAGTATGGGATAGGGCTAGCCGCAAGCATTGAGTCAAGAGCCGACAGGAGGCTGACCATCTGTTGGCCATATATCGTTGCGTTGCCCGGGGAGTACGTAGCGTTAGCCGAGTGGTTGGAGGCGCTGACAAAGCTAGTGTACAGTGGGTAGAAGGCGTTTGCCATAACTTGCCTGGTAACATCTGTAAGATCGAAGAGGTAACCAGGACTATCCCAGAGTGTAGGCTCTTGCGCAGCGGCCCCGTAAAATTGCTTCCAAGCACCGACAAGGGTACTTGTGTTGTATTGGATGGTTGTAGGGTGGTGACCCGTGCGATTCAGGAGTCCGGTGACGTTCGGAGTCAGCTCCCAAATTGACTTGGTGACGGACTGTATCGTACTGATCTGAGTGTTGTTGTAGACGGTCTGGCGCATGGTGTCCCAAGCTGTGTACAACCCTGGCGGTAGTGAAGCCGCGCCGTGGTATCTCGATGTCACCCAATCATGGAAGTACAAGCTGTTGTTCAGGGGAGTGCTGGACCATGCTTGATCAAGAAGAATGTCATACATAATTTCATTCCCTTCTTGTCCTTCCATGGTGAGACCCATGCCTACCATGGTCGAGCTGGCGTTGTTGAGAGCTTGGATCGGGTTGATAGTGACATTCTCCACCTGGCCGTAAAGACCCATGTTCCCGCCATAATCATGGAGCTCGCACCAGATCCACGGCTTGCCATAGTAGGAGTTGGTGCGTTGCCACTGCGGCTGCGTCTCAGAAAACAGATCGAGAATGATCATATCGGTATTGTTGACGCCACCCAAGTAGGCTCGGATAGCGGCGTCAGTCCAGAACGTAGCGGAGCTGAAAAACAGCCATCCCTGCAGCATCCACACAGCATTCGGATCGGCAGCCTTCAGAGCAGCAATGGTACCAGCGCTGATGTTGCGCAGGTAAGTTGTGTCAGCAGAGTAAGGGTTGTTCTCGTTGTATCTGTCGTTGATGTCAGTCATTCGGTCACTCTTACAACCAGGGACATTTCGCAGCCTACTGATCCAACGTATAGATACTGGACACATTGCCATAAGCAGCTGTCTGCTTAGAGATAAAACTCTTCTGCAGGGTAGTGTAGAGCGGATCAAAAGGCTCCAAGAACGATACGTTCGTGTTTTGACGCGGGAAGCCGTTCCACTGACTGCCGTTAATGTACATAGCGTTCGGGTAGTAACGTCCAATCTGCATCGGCACAAAGCCTGGGAAGCATGGTAAGACAGGCGTCATACCAAGCTCAACCATACGAGCAACAATTTGCTTTCCGAGCGTGAATTGGCTGCTGATCCAACTCATCGGCAAGTCGCCGCCCCAGGAACCTTGAATATTCCCGAAACGGTTCCACGCCTGGAAGGCTGGGCCGGAGAAGAAGCTAGCAATATCCGAGTTGCTGAAGCCGGCGTCCTGGAAGACCTGCATGAGGATCTGCTCATAGCCCACCCAGGCGAGCGGTAAATTGACGCCGCGAAGCGCAAGCCAATCAAGCTCAAGCTCCCAGTCTTCCCAGGTCCAGAATGCTGCGGTATAGCTGAACGTCACAGTGTTAAAGTGATATCTCCACGGCACGACGCTGGAGCCATGGTACGTTGAATTTATAGCTGGAAGACGCTGGGGTGTCAGATGCAAGCGAGAGCCAATGTACCAGTAGATGTCCACGTGGACGTAGTTGGTGAGGTACCAGCGCAGACCGCTTGCAAGAGCGATCGGGCTGTTGCCGGCAATGTTGATTGTGTTATTGACGCCATTAGAGACCGTGAATTGGTCGTTCTGCTTTGAGATACCGGTTGTGGCGTGCGTTACGAATGAGCTGTTGGTCAGGTTGAAGGTAAAGTCGTTCACGTGGTTCGGAAGCCTGCGCTGCACCAGTCCTTGTATACCTGCAGTAGATTGAGCGTTACCAAAACTAATAAGGGCGGTCAACGCCGCGGCAACTAGACCAGGAACACGCATGGTAGCTACTATGCCCTTGGCAAGTCTTGGACGGGTGAGCTTGAGAAAGCATGGCGAAGACGGCAGAGATGTAGGCCTTCTTTACCATGACGTCGTCCTCGAACTATTGAGGTGCTACCTACAAGGCTGCAGTTCGTTCCTGCATGTCCCGCAGACGCTTTTTCTTTTCTGTGGTGAAGTCGTGCTAGCCAGGAACGTGTCGCTTCGATCTCAGTCATTGGTGGGGTGGCTCACACTGCACCTCATGGTCTTCGACGAACCCGGCATCGACTCGCCTTGGACAACCGAACTGGAATGCCAGGCGGCTCCAAACTGCAAATAGGTGACCAACAAGGGGAATGGCAAGTCCTATGAACATGCCAGACGTGCATCGACTTAACGTGATTTTCGAGGGAACGATCACGTGCTCCCGCGTACTAGTCGTGTTCTGAGGTTATACATGATTTGGGGTTGCAACCCTTGCGGGGAGTGAGATCAACTTTTGCACTGTTCAAGGACATATTACGCGCGAACCTTTCCCTTCAGTAGTGTTATGCGACTGCCTGCGACTGGTTATCCACGGTCTCCCTTGCAAGCAATCCCTCGGAACCTTAAACAGACCCTCGGAATCGCCGAGCTTTCCGTAACTCGAAAATGACCGCAGTCGCGTATAGCCATAGACGGCACGGTCCATTCGTTCAGCCTCCCGCCTAGACCGGAGACCCTCACAAGTGGTTGCCAGTCACTGGGTTATCAAGGTCTTCAAGGTCTTCAAGGTCTTCAAGGTCTTCAAGGTCTTCAAGGTCTTCAAGGTGTTCCTTGTCCCTAACAAGCAGCCTCCAGGTAACTCAGTCATTGTCATAAGTCACTACGGTCAGCAAAGCAGGATCCGCGCAGGTCCTGAGCCTTTCCACGGATACGGAGAAGCAGATGCGACTGTGCCGACTCTCCTCCAATCCTTCATCAAGGCGCACATAAGCCCAAGCACCGGGAGGCATCCTCCTGCGATTGAGGCTACGTCTCCATGGACCCTGGGGAAGTGGTGACCGCAACCTTACTGAAGCACTCGAGCTCAGGCTGAAGCAGCATAGTGTCAGGCAGGAGATGTGTGAAGTCGATGTCTGCAGGGACGGACGATAGAAGTCCTTCAGGAGTAATGTTCAATGCAAGCGATGCTCGAGACTGATGCACGATCTAAGATCAGACGAACAGCATCAGCCGCGGACGTCACCGGTCCAGCTTCGACAGAAGACATTCGCACTGTTGTGGCTGCCACCAAAGCTCACAGCAGCTTCCTGCGCCCTTGAAAAATTGCAGCGCTTCCGGCAATACTTGGTATTGCTCGATCGACTGCTGCCAGAAGAAGCACTGGAAGCAGCAGGAGCTCAGCTGTGTCAGTCTATAGACGCTCCTGTCGCGTCATCTGCACAGAGGGCGTCTCGTATGGATGCATGGACGTACCTCAAGATCGTCGCATACTTCAATGCTGCAGCCGTAGCGTTGGCGAAGAATCTTAACCTCGCCCTGCCCTCTGACCAGGGCCAGAGTCGTTGGGAACTTGGGAAGACACCAAAGTCGAGCTAGTTCGAAGCTCGACAATAAGCTAACATAGTGTAGGAAGCCTCTTCGCCGCTAAGTAGTCACTGGCAAGGACACCCCAGAGAACTGGAGATACTTTTTGGACCCGACTCGAGAGGCGAGCTCCGGGACCATCACGAGGAGACACGCATCGAAGTCTTGATGAAACCACCTCGCAGATCGCCAAGCTACGTCGTGGATGCTGAGCTCGACAATGACGCACCCGGCTGGGCGCCTCGTCCGGCTAACAGCGAAGAGGAAGCCAAAGTCGTCGAAGTCCGAGAGATGCAGGAGCTTGCTCGGCAGAAGGTAAGTGAAGGCCGCTTGCCGACAAAGCACGACGTGTAAGCCATCCTCACCAGGTTCGCAGAGGCTAGTCGGACATGCTGCCAGTCCATCAGCTTGCCGTTAATTACATGGACAACGGCGTTCGTCCGAGGTAATACGTAGCCATCGAATACACCTCGTCGAAAGGCGCTCTCAGCGTGGGCACGGCGTTACGGTATACGGAAGCAGTGTGAAATTAGCAAACGTAGACGACGTATGTGGGTATGTACCTAGCAAGTGCGTCATCTAGGCCGCCTTAACGCCTCGCCATGAAGCGTTCACGCTCCCGTATTTAGCCATGATATCACTGCGCCGCAACGCCACGCATACAGCGTCCTCTGTACAATGGTGGACATCCCCGAGCATCTCATCTATACGTTTCTGTTGCTTGCGATTAGCTCTCATAGCCATGCCATCTCCGCCAAATCGTTTTATGCTGCTCGAGGAACATGAATGTCGCGATCGTATGCGGCCCAAGTCGGATAAAGCTGGGTACCCAACCCTTGAACATCCATCCAAAGCCTTCCGCAGCAGTGATCGTCCTCATGAGTGCAAACAGGCTCTCTGACGATTTCGAGCTCATGACGCGTGTCTTGATTACATCCACAGGACTGCAGACAGTCGTGGCAACAAAGCCTGCCATAAAGGAAGCCGTGAAGTGCGTGTAGAGGTTGTCGCCCATACTCGTCCGCTGAAGAAGCTCTTTCTTGAAGATATCATAGCTGGCGAGCTGAGACGCCGTCATGAGCACGGCACGTGTGCTGTTGGGCCAGACGCCGCGGAAGAGACTAGCGAAGCCTTCTTCGCGCACCATGCGGACCAAACCGTCTATGGCATGCTTGTAGTTATGACGTTCTGCAGGTGGTAGACCGGCGTCGTTCTGCATGCGGACGTTCATGATGTCGGCTGGGTTGCCTGCAATACCGCCTAGGAAGCCGGAGGTTGAGGCCATTGCGATGAGTGCTGGGAAGGAGGGTTGCTGCACGCCGGTGGTGAATACTTCTTTAAGCTCTTCGTATACGCCAAAGCGGGTTGTGCTGTAGGTTAGCTGGCGAAGGAGGGAGGCTGACAGCTGGCATGCGACGATGTCAATCATGGTGTCCAAGTAGAGGACGACGGCGGTTAACCACTCACGCCGCGGTATAAGCCCTTGACCCCATCATTCCGCAAGACGTGTACGAGCATCTGGCTCAACGTCTTCTTGTCGCCATGGTGCTGAGTTTGTAGCCGGACCTAGCTCGATGGTAAGCGTGCTACGCACGCGCAGGCAAATGTCGGCTCGACTATACCTTTACTACGGCTTGTCAGTGATGTTATCACAACACACCTCCTTGCACTACTTACAGAGGTCCAATGGATGCGTCACACTGGCCGCGAAGCAACTCGCGCTTCCTCCAAACCACAACGGGTAGTGAATGGGGCCATGCTGAACATCCTTGCTCTTCTTGACGTCTGCGGATGTTGACATGACACTCCCGTAAGCATTGCTTCGGCAGCAACACTCACTCCACTGCTCCGTACCGGGCTTATGAAGAAAGGTGACTATCTGCTTTCGAAAGGAAGTTAATGCTATATCTTGCTCGTCAACTGCCGGGGATTCCCGAAGGCATAACGACGGGGCGCGGAGGAGGTTCCTGAGCCGAGTGACGCATTGGCTGGCGTTCGGCACTCGGGTCCTTGCAGCCATGCAGCAAAGGCCACGCGAGACGTGACATTATTGCCTTGGGCCGCGGCAACATTTCACGCAGACTCACAGCACCTTGTCAAGACTTGACTCTACTCTGGACAGCCCAATCGGGCAGGCACGCACACACCCAGCATGGTCAAGCTTGCTTGCTCCACAGCACTGTTCTGGGCTTTGCCAACCAACATCAGGCCATTGATCCGCATTGCATACCTTAGCCAGAGACGCGCCTATTCCCAAAGTAAGTGTCTTCGTGACCTGCCTTACCTCCGGAACCATGTTCGACATCCAGACTATTTGCAGCACAACTACCCCTGGAAGCAGGCTTGCCAGCACTGAGCCTTCCAGGAGGCATGGTCGTGTATACCTCGGGAATAAGCCCAAGCAAATTTTGTGCCACTTATTTGTCACCGGCGCACGCCTGTCCCAATATCAAGCTACACCTCGAGTAACAGCTAAGGTGTTGCAGGCTCAACACGCAAACAACTAACAATTGCCGGTGTCGACTACCCTACCGATTCATGGACCAACGTTCCTCGGGCGATCTTGTCGAACTATGGCCGGAAACTGCACATATCACAGCATCACCCACTAGCCATTACGAGGCAGCTCATCGAGTCTCGCTTCGTAGGTTTCAAGAACCACAACAACTTACCTGGAGTTGTTACTGTTGACCAGAACTTTGACTCCCTCGGCTTCGCGCCAGATCATCCTGGACGCAGCAAAACGGACACCTACTACGTCAATGAAAGTACGCTGCTACGAACGCATACTACGGCTCATGAGCGTGACATCTTCCGAGACAATCAAAGCGATGGTTGGACGCTTGCAGCAGATGTCTACCGCAGAGATGCCGTTGATCGGAGCCATTACCCGATCTTTCATCAGATGGAGGGCGCCCTAACCTGGCATCGACCAAATTTCAGCTCACGAGACGCATGTTTGGACGCTATAAAGGACAGCCTTCGCAAGCTACCTAAGCACGATCTTGCGGTTGAAGATCCCAATCCTCCGTTTCATCCGGACCACAACCCGTTGCAGGAGAAGTACCACTCACCCGAGGAGGCCGAGGCAGTCGGTGCCCACCTTAAGCGTTCGCTTGAGGATGTTGTCGTAACAATCTTTACCGAAGCCGACAAAGCGCTTGCCTCAGCCGGTCAAGCTTCGTCAACCGAGCAAGAACCACTCAAAGTGCGCTGGGTCGAAGCGTTCTTTCCTCACACGTCGCCTTCCTGGGAATTAGAGGTGTGGTGGAGAGGCGACTGGCTGGAAGTGCTCGGATGCGGTGTCATCGATCAGCCCTTGCTCATACGTGCCAATCAACCAGACAGAATTGGCTGGGCTTTCGGAATTGGCCTTGAGAGAATCGCCATGCTTCTATTCGGCATCCCAGACATCCGTCTATTCTGGAGCAAAGATGAGCGTTTCTTGCGGCAGTTCCGAGCTGCGGACCCGTACAAACGATTCCAGCCTTTCAGCAAACACCCTGCAGCACCTCGAGATGTCGCTTTTTGGCTGCCTGCAAGTGCCCAGGGCCCGGTAGTGGCAGATACACCTGCATCGAACAGTTCAGCACCCAGCCCGGCAGGCGGCCAACGGACGGAAACTGTTAAGGCGGGTGTCGAGCCTGTCTTCCATGAGAACGACCTCATGGAGGTTGTGCGGATGATCGCCGGAGATGCAGTCGAAGACGTCAAGCTTATCGATGATTTCACGCATCCCAAGAACCAGCGCAGAAGCTTGTGCTATAGGGTCGAATACCGCAGCCTCGAGCGGACGTTGACGGCGGAGGAAGTCAACGCCATGCATGAGCAGGTGTGCAGCGAGCTTGTCGGCCGGTTCAATGTTGAGATCAGGTAGCCATGCCAACAACTCCACGGAGAAATGTATCTCTGCTGAGACTCGACATGGATGCACTGTGCTCACCGACTGCCCCTTAGTCTGTTCTCGGAAGTGTAGCTTGTATAGTGTTGTAAAATAACCCACTCTGCTCACTGTCTGGTCACGCAAACGGACGGGAAAGCCTGACTTCACTGAACTCTATTTGACCACGTTCGTAAGGCTGCGCTGAAACTACCACGCTACCTCCATCCACGTGATAGCGTGCGGCGAGGGACAGAGATCACGTGAGCGCACGGACCTCAAGTCCGCGCTTCCTGTTCGACCTGGCGCTGCATGAACGTAGTCTGTGTGGTTGACCACTACCCACTCGTCACACATCGCCGTGAACAACTTCTAAGGGCATTATAACTAAGTATAACTACAACGACCCTCTTGCAGGTATGCAAGAGTGAGTGCCGCTGGCTGTAAGCGCATACAGGAGCTCGAGGATGGTAACGGCTCGTCAGCGCTCACAGCTGCGATGACATGGACCGAACAAAATGGCCTGCGATTGCTGGATTCGCCGTTGGCACGTATCTGCTGTCGAGGGATGTGCCGACAACCTTCGCCTTCGAAAAGCCAATCCATACAAGCATTGTCGTACTTGCTTCGTTGGCCGCCGCAACCCTTGGGTTGAGCAGGATACTGCCTAAAAGTAGTGGCTCGCACGAAGACTACCACGCAATACCGTTGGAGGATTGTGGGACACTGCGCTCATCCCGTGATTCGTCACCCGCCCTGGAGAATGTGCGATACCCTTCTAGTCTGCGCAAGCTACGGATACTGTTCCTAGGTCTTGTTGCTGCGATATGCTTGAGAGTGGTCATACTTCGCGAGTTACTGGCTTTCTACCAGTGTACGACGACTAGCTGGGAGGCACTTATACCACTGGCTTTCGCGTGTGCGGATTACTCCGCCAGGCAACCATTGCCGTTCAGGAAGCGGGCAGTGACTGATGATCCTGACATGAGCATCCACGAAGCTTTGGGTAAGGCTTTGGCACGGTCACCATACCGCTACCTTGGTTCTACGGCATTATTAAGCTTTGGGAGCATAGTAGTTCTTTCGACACTTAAGGCACCAAGATCTTCCCATATCTGCGCAGCTTCGCTGCCATATCATTGGATGATACCATGTCTGCAACGAATCGGTAGTATCCTCGACGCTGCCATGTTATACTGCATTGGACAACTTCTGCGTCAACGCGAGGGGAGAGGTCCGCGAAGCATTGCGCTGCGCTTTACATCAGTTGGTTGGGCATTCCTCTTCTCCGCTGTTGTTGTCTCGTTCGGAGGCCTTGTCTATTACTACGTTACGCCAGACGATAGGCTCTGGATTCTTACGATACCCACATTGTACTTCAGGGGCGTTTTGCGAATGAACGCCTTATTCTGCTTCACTGCTGTTTCTGCATTATTCACGGTGAGTGTTGCCGATCTGATTAGCGTTCGAAAGAGGCATACCGCTGACGCTTGGTCAGCTCTACCATACTAGCTCCATGTCCATCTCAGCCATAGCTGCCTTTGTCTCCGTCTGCACGACGAGTACCGCCTATGCTTGGACCCTAACGCATCCTTTCCCTCCGACATCGACCGCTATCGCATTTATCGCGACCTGCGTGACGCTGATAGGGTTTGCACTCTACGTCCATGCCGATGCTGCTTCTACCAAGGAAGACCCAAGTGACTCGCATCGACTGTTTTCCAAGCCACCTTACTGGCTTTATCTCATCCTATTTGTGCTCCTTTGCCTGCATGGAGGACTGTTGGCAACGCGCAGTACCTCTGTCACATACCATCCGATCGACTTGCTTACCTTTGAGGCGGAGACGCAACATGAATCGTACTTCAACCGGAGCAGCGCTAGTCTTACACTGCGGGAGGCAGCGGAAGCATACCGATTGAGGTACAGCCGACATCCTCCGCCAGGCTTTCAGCATTGGTATAACTATGCAACAGCGCGTAACTCGGTGATCATCGACACTTATGACAGCGTCCAGCGTGACATCCTGCCCTTCTATTCATTGAACCCGGAAGTCATACGCCAGCGCACGTGGCAACTACTGGCAAACCCATGGAACGATGTTGCTGGTATCAGCATTCGCAACGGATCGGTGTCGCTCAGCACAGATGTTGTGGGCACTCACAGGTGGATGTTCGACGGCTTGGTGGAGATGATCGATCACTTCGCTGAGTACTTGCCAGACATGGATCTCGCCTTCAACCTCAACGACGAGTGCAGAGTCGCGGTTCCGTTCGAAGAGTTGGACCGCATCCGTCCGAGCGTAGCAACACCCAGCAACTCTGATACGGACTACAACAAGTTCAGCGCAGACCGCACCCAGCAATGGCCTCCGATTCCGACTGAGCCTCTGGCTGAAACCCCGCTTGAGGAACTCTCTTGGCAACGTACGTTCTATGAGTTCGGAAGCGTCAGCTGTCCACCAAGCTCGCCAGCGCGGACCCAGCGTCTGTGGGATGTCAGCCAAATGTGCATGGATTGCACGCTCCCGCAATCATTAGGCGCATATCTTGCGAATTGGACTATGGCTGCAGACATCTGCCACCAGCCCGATCTAGCCAACCTTCACGGCTTGTACATGTCTCCCGCGGCGTTCAAGGCAGCGCATGACCTGTATCCCATCTTTTCCCAATCGAAAGCTCCTGGTTTCAACGACATCCTGTACCCTTCTCCGTGGAATTATATGGATAAGGTGAAGTACAACCCATCGCCTGAGCACCCGGATATGCTGTTCGCAGAGAAACACAGCACGCTCTTCTGGCGAGGCGCAACGTCTGAGGGCGTATCAAGCGTCGGTCAGTGGCGAGGCATGACTCGTCAGCGCTTCATCCATCTAGCCAACAACATCAACGGCAGCGAAGCACCCCAACTACTACTACTCCCGCAGGGGGCCACGAGCGTTATCCACAGATGGCAGACGCAGCCTAGCGAGGTCAATACGTCAGCGTACTCTTACGTGCCGATTTCCGACTTGACAAAGCTGCTGTCTACAGACGTGCACATCGTAGATTCCATCGCTCGATGCTGGCCTAAGGACTGTTCGCAGCAAGCCCAAGAGTACGCACCCTTAGCTCCACCAACCGATTTCCAAGATCACTGGAAGTACAAGTACCTTCTTGATCTAGACGGCGCAGGCTTCTCGGGCCGATTCTTGCCATTCCTGCAATCGCGCTCTCTGCCATTCAAAGTTGCGCTGTTCCGTGAGTGGTGGGATGACAGAGTGACGCCTTGGCAGCACTTCGTCCCGCTCGATATTCGAGGCCATGGATTCTGGGCCACGCTTTCATACTTCGCCGGCGTCAATGGAACAGTCAAAGGAAGACATGTCGTGATGGAACCGCACGCGCACGAGGCCGAGAGGATTGCGGAGCAAGGCCGTGCTTGGGCCAACAGAGTGCTTCGCAAGGAAGATATGGAGATCTACTTCTTTCGGCTGTTGCTCGAATGGGGACGTCTTACGGATGATGCTAGAGACTCGATTGGATACACCGATGATCTTGTATAGGCTCGCTGCTGCATTGACTGAGTACACATTATCTAGGCAACATAACGCTGCATACACCACCCTCAGATTTCACACCCGCCCTGAAAAACAGCCGCTTCCCGCTCCCTACCACCGATTCTGCAACGCTCACAGTAACTTTTATTGGTCGTAGCTCGTAGTTCGTTTCTCGTTTCTTTCCGTCCGGTTGACGTTCAAAGAGCAATCCAGTGATTGGTGACGGCAAGCAGGTAATCCTCCTCGCTGACGGCGTCCCAGAAGCCCTCGTCCTTCCCGTACCTGCCCGACTGCCCGTACGGACCAAGCGTGCTAGGCTGCTTGTCAAATGGCCACCGTCCGCGCGACGCCACTTCCGCCAGCGCAAAGTCACCGTGCACGAGTTTCTTCTCTGGGTGGAAGATGCAGCCCGCGAAGAACAGCTCTACGGAGAGCTCTTGATGCATACGGCGCTTGAGCGCCATCATGGCACGAGCGGCTTCAAGGACCCTACGCAATTTGTCGGCACGTACTTGAGAGTTTGTGTCGCTCCCACAGCCGCAAATGTCGATTGCGCGCACTTGTAGCTCGCCTGCCCACTTCACATCGTGGTTGTGGAAAAGGTCCGCGCACACGTATGGCACGCTGATTGAAAGATCACGCATCTGCGGTAGGTTGGCAAGCAGCTCGCAGACGTGCTCCCCTTCCTCAAGATGTCCTGGAAACGGGTGATAGAAGCCATCATCTGAGCGGGGCGAGTGCTCAAGCACCTGCAATGTTTTGGCAGATGCTTTGACCAGTGCAAGCATACCGGCGACAGAGATGGTTGAAAGGTTGGTAATATCCAGGCACTCAAGGTTCGTGGCAGTTCGGGCCATGAGCTGTAAGTCTTCATCACTGATAGGCTTGTGCAGAGTGTTGCCGAAAATCTTGAGACGCTTGAGCGAGCGGAAGTCGACCCGAGCATCTTCGAGAGGGTTCGGGGTAGTGTCGTTCTCAAGCGCATGTGCCTGGTCTTTAGGCAGGCAGACTGCCGTGAGCTCGAGAGAATGCAGTGGCTTACCAACACCCGTATGCGCGTTGAGGAGGTTGACCCAGTCATTCACACCAGCACGCCGTAGAATGGTCCAGGGCACGCTCAAGTACTGCAGTTCGCGGCAGCTAGCAACAACCGACAGAATGAGCTTGTCGGTCTCCGCAGCATAGAAGCCATTGAACCATAACCGCTGCACGTGCTGAGCAGTAGTTGGCAGGCTGGCAAACAAGCGGTCCGTTTGCTTCAGTGATCCGTGCGGATCACGGTAAAGGGGGAAGCCTTTTGGCTTGTCAATGAGCTCGTAGAGATTGTACTTCGGCCTCCGGAGAGTGAGATCCGCCCAACGTTCGGAGCCTCGCCAGCGACGCTCAAAGACACGCTCAAAGTTGTAGCTCAGAGCCCAATCGTGCCATTGCTTGCAGGTCTGGCGGATGGAGTCGGTGGCGTCCCAGCGTAAACACTCGGCGCTCAGCGGGCCACGCACATATCGCGTGAACTTTGGCGCTTCCGAAGGTAATGGGAGTAGATTCTGCGTCAGGCCATAGGTATAACCTACGCCTTCAGCCTTGTTGGCCTTGGTAGCCTTGAGGAGGATGTCGGACAGGAGCTCTTGCGGAAGGTCGTTGATATGCATCCCAGTATAGCAGTGTCGTTCGCAACAGGCGTCCAACGGTCAATGTCGCCCTTTAGCTTAAGGTTCTGACTGGAGTGTAGTGGAGAGAAGGTATGAGAGAGAGATTTCTGCAAAAGCCTACCATATCATGGGATGGGTCGATGATTCATATTGCGCAATACCTGCTCTTTCCGCCCGCACCCTCCAACCGCCTTGCCTCCGCATACCACATGCGCGGAATCGCTTACCTACCCACTCGTCTTTGACGTCGCAGCGACTTGAAGTGGCAATATGTTAGTCACAAATACGAGTAGGTGTCATGGTTCCCTACTGCCAAGATTCTTGACGAAGGCTTTTCGCCCATTCATGTGACCCGCTATTACCCTCACAAATCTGCGGACTGGATGATGCCGTGCGGAAGTACGGCTCACCTCCGCAGGCTGTACGCCACGTGCATAATTCTGGGGACATTATAGTTGCTCGTGATTACTTCAGTACCGCTGTACAGCTGCTGTACCGGAGGAATTCAGCCAAGCCGTAGAAGTTTGTTGTCGGTGTCGGTCCTTGAGCCGGCGGAAGGCGAAGCGCTAGAATGAAGCGAAGTCTTTCCATCTCCGCGGAGAGCACGGTCACATGATGCTCATAGATCCCGGCCATTGAACGAGCTCATTGATGGCTGGGGATGAAGTAAGAGTGAATGAAGTTGAGAATGATTCATTCAGATTCGTCTCAATATTACAGAAGAGCTATTATCTAGACCTATGCTCGCTACGCATTCGCTTTTCGAAACACATAACCATATCCCATGTAACTTACACTACTCCAACAATGCCAGGGAGCCGGAGGTGCATCCTGATGCATGCAGTACCGCTTACTTGCTACCACCCAACATGCCGCCAACAATTGGAAGGCTGGACAGAGCGCTGCCGCCCTTCTTCTTCTTCTTGTCGCCATCGATGAGGCCAAAGGACTCGAGTAGCTTGTTGATGCCCAGTCCGCCCATGAGGCCGTTGACAAGACCACCAAGGCCGAGACCGTTAAGTAGCTGACCGACAAGACCAAGCACGCCGGCAAGTAGCAGACCAACCGCGGCCAAGATCTGGAACAGCGGCTGGGTCATCAAGCCCCACAGCGGGTTCAGCTTCTTCTTCGCATGCGGCATGTCGTTGAGCTTCTTCTTCGCGTTGTCAACAGTGGTGACCACCGTCGTCGTGAGCTCCTTGAGGTTCTCCGCCAAGCGGTACTCCTCTGGCGTAGCCTCCTTCGTGCCGGCGCGGCCCTTGGCCTGGGCAGCGATGCGGCCGTCGGGATCGAGACCACGTAGCGAGCCGTTGCACTCTTGTAGGATGCGTCCGGCTTCTTCGATGAGAGGTTTGACGTCGTTAACGAGTTGGTCCTCGTCCAGTTCCTCCTTCGGTGTGCGGTCAGCCTTCTCCATGTACTCGGTGATCTGCTTGCAGACGGGCTGCACACGCTCAAGCGTCTGCGTGCAGATATTGCCCATCTTCTCAGCAATCTCGCGCTCTTCCTCACGCTTCGCTGCCTCCGCAAGCTCTTCCTCTGTAGGGCCTTGGTACTCCTCCTCAACAATGTTCTCGAGTAGGGTAACCTCTCCGATCTTGTTGCCTTCTACGTCGATGACATTGCCAGCATCATCGATCTCTTGACCAACGCAGTGGCCAAGGTCACCCATCGTGAGGCGGCCCATGAGTTCGCCATTTTCGTCGCGAACTTCACCCTCCTTATTGACACGTCGGCCGGACATGGGGTTGACGCGTCGCTCCTTCTCTTCCGGCTCCCACCGCTCTGCCTTGCCGATGGTGTTGCCGTTCTTGTCAACGATGTCACCGTCTTCATCGACGGTGTGACCTTGCAGCTTCTTGAGGTCGCCTTCAATGACACGACCGACAATGTCGCCAGCTGGGGTGACGATCATACCATCCTTGGTAATTTGTAGACCCTCAAAGCCTGCAAATGGACCCTCGGGCGAAGTGTCCTCGCCGAAGACAAGCTCGCAGCGCCCGACGACGTTGCCAGCATTGTCCCAAATCTGGCCCTTGCCGTCAACCTTCTTGCCAATCATAGTCTTGACATCACCCTCTACCACACGACCAACGATGGTGCCGTTGCCGTCGACAGCATTGCCATTCTTGTTGATTGTGCAGCCGGCGAGAGCAGAAAGGTCAACCTCTGCTTCCTCAGGCGCCTCGTAAGGCTCAGCATGGCCCTTCACGTTGCCGTACTTGTCGATAATGTCTCCATCTTCGTCGACGTGCATACCCACGAGGCGCTTAGCATTACCCTCGACGAGCTGACCGACAACGTTGCCATCGCCATCCTCAACCCAGCCGTCTGCCACAACGCGCAAGCCTTCGAGCCCAGAAAATGGTCCTTCGCCGCGGTGAACACGCTCGTTCTCCGGGATGACCTCGCAGTGGCCAACCACCTTACCAGTATCGTTGTGAATGTCACCGTTCTCATCGCAGTAACGGCCAGCAAGCTCGGCAGCATCGCCCTGGACAAGACGGCCGAAAGGAATGCCGTTCTCGTCAACAACGTAGCCCTGCTTGTTCAGCTTCTTGCCATTGAGGATGCTGTTGTCGATAACAACCTCTTCCTCCTCTGGCAGAAGCTCCGCGTGACCCTTAACATTGCCGTAGCGATCGACGATGTCACCGTCCTCGTCAACAGCGAGACCGACGAGACGCTTCGGGTTACCCTCGACGATCTCGCCAACCAGGTTGCCGTTCTCGTCAGCGACTTTACCGCCCTCAACGACATGGAGACCTTCCAAGCCGGCGAAAGGACCTTCAGGCTTGGCCTCACGCTCGTTCTCTGGTATAAGCTCGACACGGCCAATGACCTTGCCCTTGTCGTTCCAAATCTGACCTTGGTCGTCGAGCTGCTTACCGGCGAGGTCCTTCGCCTTGCCTTCGATCAAGCGAGCGACCGGGACACCCTCGTCGCCAATGACAAAGCCAGCCTTGTTGAGTGTCTTGCCCTGCAGGAACGAGAGGTCAATCGCCTCTGGTTCTGGCTCCACCTCAGGCTCCTCCTCCACGTAGCGCTCGGCGTGGCCAACAACAGAGCCCTTCTTGTCAAGTATGTCACCATCCTCGTCAACAACCCGACCAATGAGCTTCTTTGGGTCGCCTTCGGTAACGATACCGACCGTGTTGCCTTGGTCGTCCTGAACATAGCCGCCTTCGACAACGTGCAGGCCCTCAAGCCCGGCGAAAGTGCCCTCCTCCTCCGGCTCTTCCTGCGCGACAGTTTGCGCGCGGCCAATGACGTGACCCTTGTTATCCCAGAACTGACCCTGGTCGTCGCACTGGAGGCCCAACTTCGCGAGCTTCTTTGCATCGCCCTCAATGAGCTCACCGACGATCGCGCCGTTGGAGTCCACGAGCTTGCCGGACTTGTTGCACGTCAGACCCTCAAGGATGGAGAGTGGTGGCAGTTCAGGACCTTGGTCTTCCTCTGCCGCCTCCTCCTCTGCAGCAGCTTCCTCTTCAGCCGGCTGCTCTTCGGCCTGCTCCTCCTCGCCCTCTTTCTTGACCGTTCGCACGTGGCCGAGCACGTTACCCTCCTTGTCAACAACCTCACCCTTGTCATTGCACTTCTTGCCCTTGCACTCCGACAGCTCACCATCGACGAGCTCGCCGATGACTTCGCCATCTTCGTCCAGGATCTGGCCGTTCTTGTTGACCTTGAGGCCATCAAGTATTTCCAGGTCAGGTAGGTCCGGAGCCGGTACACCTTGCGGTGCTTCACCGAGTTCTTCCAGCAGTTGCCTCGTAGCCTCCTCAGCAGCCTCGCCAGGAATAACGTTGACGTGTCCGACAACCTTGCCGTTCTTGTCGACGACCTCACCCTTGTCGTTACACTTCTTGCCGGAGCAATCCTTGAGCTCACCGTCACGGAGCTCGCCGATGGGCTCACCGTCCTCATCAAGCACTTGGCCCTTCTTATTAACCTTCTTGCCGTCGAGGATCCGAAGGTCGAGTAGAGGACCGCCGGCCAGCTTCTCAGCCGCACCCTCAGCCAACTCGGTCTGGCCCAAGACGTTGCCCTCTTCGTCAACGACATTACCCGCTTCGTCAATCTTGAGAGTGGCCGGGTCGATCTCGCCGTCTTCGATCTTCTGTCGAAGCTCCTCGTCCTCGATTTGGCCAAGAATTTCACCTTGGTCATCGACGATCTCGCCCTTTTCATTTAATTCGTGGCCTTCGAGTGCCTCGATACCCGGAAGCTGATCCTCGATGCCTTCAAGGGGTTCCTCCTCGCCTTCGACGGCTTCGTCTGCAGCTCCCTCCGCCTCGTCAGCGGCACCTTCTGCCTCATCGGCCACACCGTCAGCCGCCTCGCCATCAACCAGCTCGTCAGCGGCTTCGACCTCGCCTTCCGGAGCATACACGCCCCGCTCGACAAGGTCTGCGGCGTCTGGGTGGACCTGGGCGTGGCCAACAACGTTGCCTTCCGAGTCGATGAACTCGCCCTGGTCGTTTAGGGTGGCGTGCTGCAGCTCCTCTGGGTCGCCATCAACGACTTGGCCGACGGTGTTTCCATCGTCATCATAGATGAGACCGTCTATCTGGCAAGTTAGGCCTTGGAGAATGTCGAGGCCTGGCAACTGGCCTTCCTCGACCTCACCTTCACCAGCCTCTTCAAGCTGGTCAAGGTACTCGTCTGCGCCCTCGGGCAACTCGTCACCGCGCTCCTTGGCCTCGGCTAACTGCTTCTTGATGACCTCGGGGAGTAGCTCAACGCGGCCCACGAGGTCGCCATCCTCGTCGAGAATCTCTCCATCATCGCCAATCGGGTAGCCTTCCAGATCTTCAGCGTCACCCTCTGCAAGCTTCGCGAGGGCGTTGCCTTCCGAGTCGTAAACGTGACCGTCTGCGTTGACTTCGAGGCCTCGCAGGACGCTCATGTCAATTGGCATGCCTTCCGGCATTGATGGGAGACCACCGGTAGCCTCCTCGCCATCGGGAAGCTCGCCGTCTGCCGCATCCTCTGCGGTCTCCTTAGCGTTGTCGGCACCTTCTTCGGCTTCCTGCTTGACGTCGTCAACGCCTTCTTCAGCTGCGTCCTGGATTTCCTGGACGCCCTCCTTGGCTGCACGCTCGACTTCGTGAACGCCCTCTTCGCCCTCGTCATCAGCGCCTTCGGCAGCCTCGCCAGCTTCAGGGGCCTCGCCATCGACGTCTTCAACGGCCTCGGCAGCTTCATCCTGAGCACCTTCAGCAGCGTCACCGGCTTCATCAGTGACTTCGCCGGCGACCTTTTGACCTTCGTCGGCAGTCTCTTCGGCAGCGTCTTGCGCATCTTCCGCAGTCTGCTCGGCGCTCTCCTTGGCACCATCGGTGGCGTCTTTTGCAGCGGCCTTAGGATCTTGGTTGGCTTTGCCGGCGAGCCCAGAAGCCTTGCCTGCGAGGCCTTGCGCGCCTTTCAGGAGATCGCCACCCCTTTGCTGCTCCTTGCCTTGTTGCTCCTTACCTTCGTGCTGAGCTTGGTGAGGAGCTTCATCGTCGGCCTCACCCTCACCGGCTTCATCATCGGCAGACTCGCCCATCTGGCCAGCCTTCTGAGTGGCGTCATCGGCAACGTCGTCCGCTTCGTCACCCGCTTCTTCGGCGGCGTCTTCGGCGGTTTCTTCTGCGTGTTGCTTTGCGCCGCCGACGGTGTCTTCATCGTCTTCAATAGGCTCGGGTGCTGCCTCTTCAAGGCCTTGCTTTGCTGAATCGCCAGCTTTGGTAACCTTGTTCATTGGACCTTCGTCCTCGTCTTCGTCTTCATCGTCCTTCATCTCCACTCTGCTTTGCGGCTGCTCGGTGGCTTCCTCGGCAGTGTCCTCGACCTGGTCTTTGCCTTGCTGTGCAGTCTGCTGAGCTTTGCCGGTCGCTTCATCTGCCTCCGGTCGTGGAGGTAGCGAAGGGGTGTCAGTCTCTGGCTTCTTTGAACTGGCAGCCTTGGGTGTCGAAGGTGCACCGCGAGAAGCGGATGATGAGGCCTGGCCAAGCTTTTGGGGTGTTTGGCCGGCCGGCTTCCTCGTCGCGAGCTTAGTAGGTGTCTTCTGGGTGGACGAAGCGCCACCCGTCTGCTTTCCAGCTGCTGGAGAAGGCGCCATTGTCTTACTGTCTATGGGATTACTAGTCTGTGGTGTAGGGTTTCTCGAGCTTCTCCGAGACACAGGGGTTGTTCTGCTCGGAGTAGGAGGAAAGGAATAATACGCGTATTGGCTAGAGTTGCTACTCATGCATTAAGAGACAAAAAGGGAGAGGTCAATGGAAAGAAAAGTGTGGCTTGGACCCGCCTTAGTCTACATATACCAGCCCCGACACGCCGTTGAAATGGAGCAGGGCATCGTGGCCGCGCACAGGAGGCTCTTGCAAGCGGCTGCCGTTACGTTTCACTGGATGACGTCGGGTTGGCGTGCAGGGCCGCTAAGGTGGGTGGCAGGAGCTTCGATAGCTCGCGCCTCTTGTGGCCAGTGAGCGAACACGCGGCTGGAGCAAGCAGGATTGAGGAGACTCGATGGCGCACTTTGCCCGTGATCGGCACCCTCTTGCAGCAGAGTCCACCCTTGCCGCGTGACGGCAATGGCTTGGACGCCGTCTGATAGGTTCGCCTTGACGTCACAGTATACCAGCCTCCTGTCTGCACAATAGCATGCCGTGTCCTTACTGTTCGAGAAGTGAGCAGGAATTCAACGTAGCAGTCATGTAGTGCGTGGGATGATTGCTCGAGTAACTCGCCTTGCCGATGCCGCACACATTACCCATTGCGGAAGCCTGATGAACCAAAGCCTGGCCAAACTCTGGCTCGATCATCGCAAAAACGAACCGTGGAGAAGATGGCTTGTGCGGCGGATAGTTACTAGCTTGACGGCATCGACGATCGACAAAATGTCCGCCGCTGTCAACAGACGACGACGCCACAGAGCTGCCGGAAACGCCGCTTCTGTCGCATGAGTGGTGTGCCGGCTTATAGACGGAGGTGTGACTGCTTCCTATCTCGATTGGCTGTGGTGTTGTGGATGCGTGTTTCTCTCGGAGACTTTGCTGCAACGCTTAAACCCAGATCGCCGTGGTCCGTCCCCGGCCCTCCGCAAACGCCACATCGCAATGTCTCACATAGTCAGACGTCAGGCTTGCCAATTTCCGTTACACCAATGCGAAGAATAGGGGGTTGATGTGAAGGCGCAACAGATAGATGACTTCTTCCCGTGGTAGTGCTTGGGAACAAGTTCCAAACGGTCACATTGACTCATTGCGACCAGTGTTAAAACTCTCCATCCGCTGCAAATGCGGCTCGGATTCCCCCTGTTAGGAGTTCGGCACAGTGCAGTTGCGGTACTTGTTCAGTGACAAGTTGACAACCAAGGCACTAGAGTAGTAAGGCAACAATTGTTGAGTCCAGGCTCTAGATCGGCCGTAAGCGAGCCGCGGAAACGAACATCGCGAAAGCAAGTAGGCGAAGCAAAAGAAAGTCACTCCGTAGGCTGTCCTACCGAACAGCATTCATGTGGTATGTCAAGCAAGCAAGCCAGCCAGCCAGCCAAAAAGCACGATTCATCTGATGTCAATCAGCATCCTCACTTCTCCAGCGCCTTGCTCGAGTCATGCACCGGCTTCTTCTCCGCTTCAACACCTGATTGAACACCGCGCCCATCACTTTCCGCCAGACCCAGCTTCTTCTTGAACTGCAGACTTAGGCTACCCTCCCTCCTCAACTTCTCCTCCTCCAGCCTCAAAATCTCCCGCTCCTTCTGCGCACTCTTACTCCGATCCATCTCAGCCTCTTCCCGTTTCCGCTTCGCCTGCGGATCAAGCATGTCCTTGAACCCCTGCTCGGCAGCCTTGAGGTGGCTCTTCGCGCCCAGATAACTTTCTAGCCCGATCAGCACCGCGTACGACCTTGAGATATTACATTTGGACAGGTCTGCGCCGGCCTCCTTCAATGACTTGACGAACTCGCGAAAGTTCTTGACCGGCGGCGCGTAATGTCCGCTCAAAGGCGAGAGCTTGCGTAACTCGCCGCGTTTGATTTTAATCAAGCCTAACGAAGTGTTAGGTACGGACGTTAGCATTATCTTAAATAGCAAGCATGTAGTCCCGGGTCATATTGCTTACCCGCGGCGCTCACGCGAGCTCCACGTAAGAAGGAAGAATGTTGGAAGGCACCGGACTGTTTGATGCCCATATACATCCGCATCGAGGTGTCCGCAACGAAGATCCACGTGTTCTTTTTGGTCGTCTTCCGAAGAAGATGATTCATCAGCGTGTCTACCGAGACATGGTTGACCTTGTCAAGCCCTTTCGCATCGTGCAGTTCCTGGTTGGTGTACTTGGACGCATCTTCACCGCTGCCTTGGCTTAGCTGAGACGAAACATCCGACTGTGAGGAGGTTTCGTCGTCGTGCGGATACGGCGCCTCTCCGGTCGTGACCTCTCGCCAACTTGGTGTCTTATCGGCGATTGGCACGATTCCATTCACACTGTCCTTATACGCAGGAGAGGTCGTTATCGGCTCGCCGTCCTTTGCCCAGCAAAAGTGGCCATGCTTGTCAATGGTCACAAGGTACCGCTGCCTCTCTTCGCGTGACAGGTACCGCACTTGTTCCGTATCCAAACGTTTCCGTGGCCGATCTTCAAGGTCCAGATTCTTGCCTTCTCCGTGATCCAGCCAGTAGAAGAAGTTCTCATGCGTATCACTCTTCTTCCACTCCTGGTGATACCGCCTGAGGTTGCTTCCATAACGGTGCTTGAGATCAACCTTCTCAGCATCAGCATGATTTCTCGTGATCGGCCTAGCATAGCATTACCATCTCTAGGAAGTACTCCAAGCCCATGATCTTGGCATACTTCTCCCTCTCCGCCTTGTCCAAGCGCCTGCGTTCCCGAACCTGTGCGCGCTGCTTATCCGTCATGGCCTCTTCTTCGCTCTCGCTCGTATTGTCGCTACCGGCGTATTGCGCTACGGTACCAACCATGCGCCACCTATCACGGGTATGGCCTCCGTTCGGAGACATGCTCTTGCGCTCGGTGAGCGAGCGCGGAGACGTGACATGGCGGTACCTTGCTTCTAAGCGTCAGCCGATTCTTCTCACCTTTTTATCGACGTGGTCGCGTGCTCACCTTCCTTGAGCGCCTATCGAGCAATCAGCAAGTAGGGTCTGGCTAGGGCGGAGTAGTTGTTGCGAACCTCAACCCATCTCGTCGACGGATCCAATCCGAGGCCTTTGATCTCACGCCGGGCGCGATATCCTCTGTAATTGCGCTGTATCACCTCGGCAGCACGAGACCGCTCAGTGGAGGAGTGTCGCTCAGCTTCCTGCTCTCTTCGCGCTTTGATCTGCTTTGCCCGCTCATCCTGCTTCGCCGCTATCTCGCGCAGCTTCTCTGGAGGCGGTAGGGCCAGCCTACTTGAGCTGCCGTCCATTGAGGGTTAGAAACCACGGCAATCGGCATTCCGGTGACTTCATATTCATTGAGGGGCACCGGACGCAGGGAATTGAAGATGCAGACCCCGCAGCCAAGCAAACAGGGCAGGCACAGGATGACATAGTGACAGCAATCGAGACTCTACGGGCGGACGACTCGCTTGGGAGGAACGAGAGGGTACCATACACTGCTTCACTCCATGCAGCCATCATATATTGAGCCTACGTAGGGTCACCTCCAGCTTCGAACAACACTTCACTTCATAACCCTCGCCCACTCCACCATGTCCTCAGGTTGTCAGTGTGCCTCGTCAGTGAAGTAGATTTCGCAGACTCGGACTCGCACTGGCACCGCCCATGCCTTGAACGCCATTACTCTGGCCGTCCCTCGGTGTCGTAGGCATGCCTTGACCGTCTGCCCGCGCTTGGCTCATGGTAGGACTTGCTTGCTGAGGCTGCGGTGTTTGCTGGCCTTGATGCTGAGCAGGAGGCCCGACCTCTGGGTATGGCGTGGTCATTGGCGCTGGAGGCGGATAGTTCTGCGGCTCGGTAGTAGGAGGCTGCGTTGGCTGCGTCGGTGCCTGCATTGGCGGAGCGGTGGAGTACTGGGGTGGCGGCTGGTGTACTGGTGGAGGTCCGCTATACGGGTCCTGTGGACGAGTGAATGAAGCCTGTGGACTGCTATGCAGTGGCTGTCCGATGGGTGGCAACTGCGTGCTGACTGGGGATTCTGGCCTTCGGGGCCTGTACTGTTGCAGCGGCGGGGGATACGCAGCAGGCGACTGCAGTGGTGCATGGCTTCCATGTGGGGAGTGATGGCTGTTCGGCATCGGCTGGTTGGCCAGTGGGAATGTCGGCAGTGGCGAAGGTCGCTGTGCAGGGTTGTACGGCTGTTGCTGAGGACCAGGAAGAGGCGGGCCATAGCCATAGCTCGGTTGGCGCTCATGCATTGTTGGACCAGCAGCCGGAGGAGGGTGCTGAGGTGCAATGTGATAGCCATTCGGTTGCTGACCGTATGGCGGGTACCCAGAGCCTTGAGGAATCGGCTGTGTGTTGCTATAGGCCGGAGGCGGCGGGCCAGTACCGTTCATATGTGGTGGAGCAGGCGGTTGGCTAGACCTTGGCAGCTCCTCCCACGGTGGTTTGCTGGGAGCTTCATTTGACTGTACCGCGCCGCCAGGCGGTCCGGTCCAGCCAAGATGTAGTGGGAACTGGCGCGGAGGCGAAAGCGTGGGCGGCGCAGGACCTGCAGCTGGGACTGGCTGCGGCGAAGGTGTCGGATTCAGCTTGCGCTTAATGAAGCACTTATGACACAGAAATTCCTCGATCACCGCTTCCGTAGCGGCGGCTGCACTTGGCTCAGGCGGAGGGGTAGGGACGGCAGGATCTCCATGAGAGGCCATAGCATGGCTGCGGTAGTCCTCCGCGAGGGCATCGTTGACATTCGGAGGCCCCGACTCGCCGTTCAGCTGAGGCATTGGTGTTCCGTCAATATGCGTTGTGCCAGTGGCGGTGACGTGTGCCTGCTCGCCGGGTCGAATCTGTCCATGCGGCACACCATCCATGTCTGGTCTTCGATTCCACGTCCGCCCGTCAGCGCCTGGAGGCATGAACCTGATCTGTTGGCTTCGCATTGGATCAGTCAATGGAGCCGGAATCGCCTGGTCGTAGTTCGGTGCGCTAGTAGTGTCCCCGCCAATCGTCATTTCGTTTTGTCCATTCGAACGTTCGCGCTCAAGGTCGGCATACTCGCCCAGCGTCATAGACAGTCTTCTCTGTATGGGTGACCTTGGCGGGGTAGGCGGTCGTGCTCGTGCAATTGCGTGCCAGCGCGGTGTAACGTCGATTTTGCACTTCGCACACTGGCGCTCAGGCTGCGCTTCCGCCGGTTCTGAGATCTGTGTGACGCCGTCCTCACCCGTTTCACTCTTCGCATCGGCAACCGAAGAATTTCTTGCGCCACGGCGCACGGCTGCTGCAATGCTATGTGCAGTTGACTCTCTTCGTCCGTTGACTGATCCGGATAATGCGGCCTGTTGACCCTTGTCTTTAGTAAGCTGCACGAGGTTCGCCTTTCGCACGGTACCAGTCAAGGTGAGGTCTGCCTGCTTGTAATTCTCCACGAAGACTTGCAAAGCAGTCCGTCCAGACTCATCGACCACCTCGTGCATCGGGTGCACCATGGTCTTAATAGCGTGCTCCTTGCACCAGACTGCAGCGATCACAGAACCCGTTTCCGAAACCAGAGACACAGTCGTGATCTGATCCTTGCGAGAGCCCTTCACCGGCGTCACATCGAAGCCGAACTGATAGCCGGCCTCGAACGCGCACGAGGCGTGGAAGTTCGCGTTGCACTGAAAGCACGAGATGCAAGCGCCAGCATCTTCACGGACCTTGCCGCTGTGATCTTTGTTCTTGCAGAGCTTGCAGACAGCATCAAATCGTGCCGGCGGTATGTTCTGAAAGCCTTCAGCAAGCTCAAGCTTTTGAGCGTTGCTGAAGCGGATCTCTGGCGTCCAGACTGCGCAGTAGACATGCATCCAGTTATTGCCGGTAGTGCGTTTTAGCGGTTCGCGCGGCATCAAGGGGTAGTTCATCGACAACTGCTTGTTGCGGTACTCTGCTCGCATCGCGTCCGCAAGCTCCTTCTCCATGCGCTCCTTTTCGCGCTCCCGGTCGGTCTTCTTCTTATGTGAAACCTTAGGTGGCTCGACCAGATCCACAAGCGTCTCCTCCGTCAAGCACAAGCAGCATGCGTAGTCAGTGGAGACCTCAGGAAGTCTGTCATTCTGGCACTGCTCGCACACCCAGTAGACGGAGCCGTCTTGCTTCAGCCCCTCGTTCTCCTTGAGACCGAAACATCGCCGATGCACCGTAAGCTTGCAATGGGCACATGCAACAGTATCTTCAATTCCGCGGCAGACTGCGCAAGGCAAGACTTTCAACTGCGGCGGAGTAGGAACGATAGGTGGTGGAGGTGGTGTTGGCTCCTTGGGCGGAGGGGGTGGTGGTAGCTTCTTCTTAGGTGGCTCGGGTATCGGAGAAGCTGCGAGCTCCGTCTTTGACTTCTTCTTCGGCGGCTCGCTGGTTTCGATTGATGGCAGAGCGGCGGGCGGCTCCTCAACTGGGAGGTTCGCAGCGTCGTTAGCAGCAAGAAGCTCCCGTAAAAGCTCCTCGTCAATCCTGCGCTTCAACGCACGTCCTCCGCCCTGTGCGACCTTCTTTGCGACTTCATCAACATCCTCCCACTGAATAGCGTACTTGCGCCACAGACCTGCGCAGCGCAAACACAAAGCGAGCATCATCCGATCCTTTTTCTCTTTCCCACCGCTCCTGGAATCAACTGCCACCGTCTGTCCAGCTGAAACGAATGGCGCCTTCCGCCACTGACGCGAGTGCATTGTGTTGCAGAACTTGCAAATGAAACCACGGTTACGGCGTATTGCTTTATCGTTGTCGAACGCCGAGTCGTCGCCATCGTGCAACACTTCGGCTTGCAGTTTTGCGCCCGCATCGCTCTCAACCTTGCGCTTCGAGCCCTTCCTGCCTCCATAGTTGCCCCAGATCTCTCTGCCTTTCGGTGTCTTCTTCCATAAATAATAGAACCGAACAATATCTGAGTTTGGCAGATGTGTCTTCATGTGCAGGCGGATGAGCCTATGCTCGGACCCGTACTTGGCAACACCTTCCTCGAATTTTGCAAGCTCGCCTTTCGTCAAGATCGGCTCGTGCAGATCTCGCTTCCGGTCCATTGTCTTGAGTTTGTTGAGAGCGATATCGACATTGTAATTGCTCTGTGTCAATAATTCCAGCGCTTTGTCAAGGAAATTGACGCCGAAAGGCGGCACGCCAAGGCCGCGAGCGTATACTTTCGCTTTCTTGACAAAGTCGTCAGTAAATGCTTCCCTCTCGGCCGAAGGACCTGTCTCTGGCATCTTGTACAACAATTTGGCTGTGCACCTTGGATCGTCTGCGGGAAAGTCTTCTCCACGAGCGACGTAACCCGGGGGCTCATCTTGCACCCACTTTGGACGCCGCGCCCGCTCTTCGCGATCTGCTTCGAGAGCGGCTATGGTCTCTTTGGTGAACTTGCCGTCTTTCTTATGACTCGTATTGGCTTTGTTGTAGCGCTTTTTGATATCTGCAGGCTTGACCAGTTCAACAGGCCGGCCATGCCACATGTTGACGTTCGCTTGATGGCGTGGTCCCAAACGCGAGCTTGCCCGCGGGTAGATTGCACGATCATCGTACTGCAGCGCATCTTCCACACGACAGTGAATGCCAAGATATCGCATTGGCCACATCTTAGCTAAGGCGATTTCAGCTGCAGTGGCCGGATGAAGATTCACAGGCACTTCGTCGCCAGTCGGACTCGGTGCACGTGTGCTGTCACTAGAGGCTCCGGGCTGCTCTTCGTCCTCGATTGGCTCCTCCTCGGCCTCTGTAACATCGCCGCTGATCGTCGGAGTCAGCCGCGCCTCCTGCTTCTTCTCCGACGCTCTGCTGCAAGGTCCACAAGCCCAGGCGAAACCGCGAGAAGGCTTCTTGGGTAAAGGTGGCTGAACGCAGTTCATGTGGTATGAGTTCTTGCAAATCGCGCATTCCACAGACTCGTGCGAAGCGCAGTACCTAGCGCAACGCTTGCACGTTTTGACTGCACTGGTAAGCTCTTTTACACGGCCAATCTCAACCACAACGAACTTCCAACGCTCGTCGAGAGCTTTCTTGACCTTCTCCGGCACATTAATGATCTGCGCGACGGGAATACATTCGTACCACCGTCGGATGAACCGATCAAATACTTGAACAAAGTAGAATGAGTCGCGTTCTTTGCGGTACGCCTCCAGGTCCTCAATCTCGGAGCGGTGCTTGATCATACATTTACCGCGCAGAGAGCTCAGTGGACAGGTATCGGAATGCATGGTGCCGTACACCAAACGAGTGTCGCTGTTGAATCGTTGGACGTCTCGGGGCCGATAGTACCAATTCACCCGCAAGGAGTCCACAGGCGAGTTTGGGTTGTCAGAGTCAACGTGCAGGAACTCCATAACGCGGCACAAGTAGTATGGATCACCTGGAGGCTCACAGACAAGGTACACGTGATCTACACACTAAGCGTTAGCCTGTCTTCGGAGCGCATTGTCTTACGCCAAGCGGGGTAGGGTGCCACCTCGAAAAGGAGGCACTCATGTCGGGCTTACCATTGACCACGAGCTTGGTGCCATCATCGGCAATCAGCTCACCCTTTTTGTTTAGACAGTTTCTGTGCTTGACGAAGGACATAACGTTAGTCTCCCTCGCCATGTTTGGTGTGACCGTAGTTGGCTTTCGCGATGCAGAAGCGCCCAACACCGCCGGTGCTGGTGAGGTGTTGGATTGTTGAGGCGCGCCTCCAATGGCCTTTCGCTTTTTGGAAGCCGCTGCAGGCGCAGCTGATGTCACGGGCGTGGATTCCTTTGAGCTACCGTTGGTCAGATGCGTGAGGCCATCGGCCCGTTTGACATCAGAGACAGCTTGAGAAGCAGCCAAGGCATCAGCAGGTGGAAGTTTCTTCTTCGTCGTGATTGTAGTTCCGAAGTCGAACTCCATGTCTTGATCCTCAGCATAATTGGGCCTAGCGTTACCCGCTCGATTCCTCGAGCGAGTGCCATAAGTGGCAACGTCAGTTATTGTTAGATCGCCGTCCTCCGTGTTCAATGCAAGTGGAGGGTTGGAAGTCGTCCGTGAGTCGCTAGGCGGATCAGCGGCATTTCCGCTGCTGTTGATTGGAGGTGGCAAGGGCGCAGCTGGTGAAGCTGTACCTCCACCACCTACACTACGTGCGTTTACTGCTTGGAAGGCTGGTACGCTCATGTCGCCAGTAATATTCGAAAGAGAAGTCCAACCGTTCACGCCTGATGCCGCGTCGCCATTACGCCAAGGCCCTGACTCCTGGCCAGAGGATGACACGTCGGTAGGAGGCTCGGCTGAAGCCATGTGACGCGCAAATAGGTGGCAGGATCATATGCTTCGTGACATGCACAAGACCATATTGCAGCGTTTAGAGATGCAACAATGTTCTGATGGAAAATTTCTGCCCGGGCTTGCAAGATGGTGCCTGTTTGTTGGTGGTCAATATGTGGTAAGACCGTACTGGCCGACAGAGGACCCTTCGCCAGTTTATGGTAGAAGTCAATAGATCCTTGCAAGTATCGGAGTCTCTCCGAATAAGGGTCAATCTTGGATATTCGTTTCCGGGCGTCCAGGGAACTAAAGCCGTGTTTCTGCGCTATGGAAAGCGAGACATATGGGAAGCGGCAAAGGTAAAGAAAAGAAAGCAGCGAGAGCGTTGGAAATGGAGGTTTGGATCGCGCTTCCCGCCCAGGGCTCAGGACCGGCTAGCAAGGGAAGGTCCCGAGCCTATTTAAGCGAAACTAGCAGTTATGCGGAACAATATGTTGTTAACGCTGCATTCGAAGCATCCACGGCGACTCTTGACTTCATCGAGACACATGACCGAAGGATATGGTGCTAGACAGGCTCATCGTCGGTCTTTGACATTGCTGAGTTTACGTTTCATGGACTATGACAGCGGCAGATTGGTGTGGGGTGGTATCTGACGGACAATCGTGACTTTTCGAGCCGACGAATCTGGTTTACAGCGACGGCCAATCAGCAGCCGTGCATCTCGGCGTAGCGCATCTGGAGGAAAGTCTGTCCCCCTCGATGTGCGAGAAGCGACTTCATCGCCTCACGCCAGACCTCTGCTATAGCAGTAGTCCTTGACAGACACGAACCATTGTTTTCCGTGCACGCTCTTTGGTTAGATGTTATACGGATGCTTGACTCCTACTGACCAGCATTGCGAGATCGTATACGCAGATGAAGATTTACAGCGCCGTGAACAGGGTGGTAAGATAATCTGCCACATCTACACACTAACATCCTCGACTGCCGCATCAGCTTGGAAAACGGGGAGTAGCGATGTTTGCAAGGTTGACATGTATGCTGTTCATGTCGTCGCTCTGAAGGTGATGTTACGGGATCGGCGGGCGCTTCGGCCGCTTAGCCGCTTCTGGAGTTAAAGATGACTGCAGCGCCACACAGCCAGCACTTTTCTGCAACGGTTAAAGCACAGTCCTTTAGTTTGTTCAATGCTGCAGAATGTTTCTAGGCTTGCAACAAGGCAAATGATGACAACCACCCCGAAAAGGGTACCTATACCAAGGAATGGCGTCGATTATAGAGGAAAGGTTGTGTTGGCCCCTATGGTCAGAAGCGGAGAGTGCCCGTCTCGCCTACTCGCCCTGGAATACGGAGCTGACCTTGTCTGGGGACCCGAGACCATCGATAAAGCGTTGATTGGCACGACTCGGAACATCAACACGGCGACGAATACTGTTGATTTCACTCGCTTATCATCAAATGGCGCCAAAAATCCGGCTCTCAATCCAGACCGAAGGGAGAGTGTGATTTATCGACTTCATCCAGGAAGAGAAAGCCGACGTCTAATCTATCAGATCGGCACTTCTAACCCGGAAACCGCTGTAGAGGCTGCGAAGGTCATCGCGCCGGATGTGGCTGGTATTGACGTAAATGCTGGATGTCCAAAGCCATTCAGCACGACTGGCGGTATGGGCGCCGCCCTGTTGAAGACTCCCGACAGGCTCTGCTCCATACTGAGAGCGCTGGTGAAGGAAGTTGGCGAGCCCAACGAAATTGGGATTAGCGTGAAGATTCGCATTCTCGAAAAGCCTGAAGATACTGAAGCACTTGTGCGCAAGTTGTGTAAGACTGGCATCACTGGCTTGACCGTCCACTGCCGCACGACACCAATGAGACCGCGTGAACGAGCAATCAGAGACCAACTGAAGATGATCGCGAACGTGTGCCGCGAGGCCGGGGTCGCCTGCGTGATGAACGGAGACGTTACGTCACGTGAAGAAGCGCTTGGTCTCATTGCTGAGTTCGGTTGTGATGGTGCTATGATAGCTACCGCCGCCGAACAGAACCCGTCCATATTCCGGCCGAACTTAGAAGGCGGGAAAGCACCTTGGCAAGAAGTCGCAAGAGAGTATGTCAAGACAGCCATGGAAGTCCAAAATCGGTGGGGCAACACCAAGTACCTACTAGGCCAGATGATTCCGGGCAAGAGTCCGGCGTACAAAGCCATGACGCACACTAAGAGCTACAGCGAGCTGGTTCGTAGCCTGGGCTACGACGATGACCTACTCGCGCTGGCGCGAACCGTCGACAGAGCACTCGACATTGGCGACTACGAAAAGCCGAAAATGTCGAAGGCGGAGCGCAAAGCCATAAACAAAGCTGCCAGGAAAGCAACCGGTGAGGCACAGGCGAGCGACGTCGCATTTGAGCAGACGACGGCGGGCATCAAGCGAACAGCGGACATGGCGGAGCTGGACATGCCGCCCGATGTCGCCGGCGACTGCGGTCCAGCGAGCGTACCGGAGCACGCGTCTGCTTTGGCTGTCTAGGCTTGCCTCCGTGCCGCTTGCTGGAATAGGGTTCCTGCAAAAACCAAGTGCTGGAATGTGGGTTACCGTCGAATAGGACATTCTCTAATCGAAGTCGTGGAACAATAAAGACCGAATGCAAAACTGCTCGTCTGTTGAAGATCACCTCTCAGTGTCGCTTCCAAAGATTTCCTTCGGCCATTGAAGCCGATCCGTGTTTGCCGCTTAGTAATCTGCCGACGCAAAAGGAAGGTACTTAGACTTCCGAAGCTCGAACGCATGGTGTCAACCAGGATGTGTCCATGGTGATATAGCAAACATACATACACGGTAGGTCTGACAAAATTTCAGTCGTTCAGCTCACCACTACTGTCTTCAACCGAGTAGTTGATCACCACTTACCACCGGAGAAAACGACACTAGCACGATGGGCGGCGGACCAGCAAAGGACCTCCTCTTATGTCTTCTACCTTATCCCGAACCCAAAGACGTTCTCGACACAATCCGCAGACGTTTCCCGTACATCGAAATCGACTACCGTCGAGTCAGTCTTTTCCCGTCGGCGGACGAGTTGAAGGCAGCGGTGACACCTGAAGTATGGAAAGGAGTGACCATACTGTACACCGTGACCTCCTTCCCAGAGAAGCTCGACTACGCGCCCAAATTGCAACTCGTGCAGCTGTCGAGTGCCGGTAGCAATCAGATACAAAACCACCCAATCTACAAGGATAGCGACATCGTTATCTGCACCAGCTCTGGTATACATGGCCCGCAGATTGCGGAGTGGTGTATCATGACAGCCTTGGTACAGAGCCACAAGTACAATGCATTGCATGATATGCAGAAGCAGCATCAATGGGGCCAACAAAAGGGAGACATAGCGAACGTGCGAGACATGGTGGGCAGGAGACTCGGCGTGCTCGGATACGGGAGCATTGGCAGACAGGTAGGACGCGTAACGAAGGCTATGGGAATGGATGTGTTGGCATACACTGCCACGCCGAAGGATACCGCTGAGAAGAAGAAGGATCAAGGCTTCATCGTGCCTGGCACTGGCGACCCGGATGGGTCGCTGCCCATCGAGTGGTACAGCGGACTGGACAAACACAGCCTGCACCACTTCTTGAAGCAGGACATTGACTGGCTTGTGGTTTCCGTACCGCTTACGGAACAAACAACCCGCTTTCTTTCCACAACTGAGTTCAAAGCGCTCAGTCAGGATGGCAAGCGACCGGCTTTTATCACAAACATTGCACGAGGCAAAATCATCGATCAGCCAGCGCTCATAGAAGCTTTAAAGAACAACACTCTCGCGGGCGCTGCGCTGGATGTAACAGACCCGGAGCCGCTTCCGGAAGATAGTGAGCTGTGGTCTCTGCCCAACGTGACGGTCACGCCGCATATCAGTGGTGTCGGGTCGTCATACATGGAACGAGCGTTCCAGCTTTTCGAGGTGAACTTGGGCAAACGAGAAAAGGGCGAGAAGCTTCTCAACGTGGTACGAAGAGAAAGAGGGTACTAGTCGGAGAAGAATGACCTAGCATATCCGCCATATGAGGAACATGATCCAGTACCAGCATACTTTTTGTTGAGAAGATCCATCCTTGGGCCCTATCCACAGCAATTTCAAGACTCAATTGTTATGCCTACACAGCCTGCGACTCCAATCCGTCTCCAGTCGTGGCCTCGGAGTAGCAGACGCTCGGTTTGTCTTCTTCGTTATGGTGACACTTTCTCGGCCTCGGCTTCTTCCTCACATCCATTGAGATCTCACTGATTGTCGTAGCTTCGCTAGCAGCCCGCGTAGGAGTCTTGCTGCTACGTGCCGTCGGGACCTTGCTACCGTGCATCGTCGACGCCTTGCTAGTGGGCGCAATAGACGGTCTCTGCCAGCTTCGGGCTGGTATATGATGTGCTGTCCATTGGCTGCTCGTACCACTAGGTACAATGGAAGAACCCGATGACGTCGCAGTCTTCCTAGTCGTGTTGCTCGGTTGGTGGGAAGCTTGACTGCTAGCAGAAGTCTGCTGGGTTCCCGTGCTCTGCTCGGGTTGCCGCACGATCTCTGCTTGCGAGAAAGACCTAGGCATGCCTGCAGTGGCTGACCTGCGGAGGGCCGAATGCTTTCCAGTGGAAGTTTTCGACTTTGGCGACTGAGCCGCAGTATGGTCATGTGCCCCGCGGGAAGCAGGGCTGCATACACCTATCTGCGTGGCGGAATCCTCTGGTGCCAGTTCCTCTTCGGATATCGAGCTTCGCTCAAAGTATGGCACCTGCTGCGATTCTTTTGGGCTCTGGTGGGCACCATGAGATACGTATGATCTGCCACTTACGCTCAAAGGGCTCGCCTTGACCGCATGTTCACTGCTGGCTCCACAGCTGCTGCTGGGCGACGAGCTGGGCAGATCGTGACTGTCTGAAGCTTGTGCCTGGTCTGGCAGCACGTCTGTCGGACTGGAAGATTCACGAGCAGACGCGCCTTTTGGTCGGCTAATTCGTGAGGTAGTGCGGGCTTCAGAGCGATGGCCGTCACCATTCCTTTTCGAGGTGCGTTTACTGCGTGGAGAGGATACATTAGTTGGCTTTGTCTGATGCTCGAAATGCTGAAAGCTAGTCGCCGACCCACTACTCGGCGTCCTCGGTTCCTGTTCCGACCCATTGCTCGTATCGCTAAATTGAGCATGATTGGACTCAGTCGAAGATACCTCAGCCGGGCCGCCTGCGGAGAGTGCCGAAATGCCAGAGCAGGAACGTGGAAGCTGGCCTTGGGTATTCAACGGTGTATGTGTTTTGTCAGGCATCGGTGTATTCCTTGGTGGGAAATATGCATTCCGTGGCGTACGCGTCTGGGATGCTTTAGTACCGGGGTGGCGGCTGCTCGCTTTTGAAGACGTCTTTCGCACAGACAGCGTCGTCGGGTTATCCGATGTACTAGGCATAGTGCCGCACGATATGGGCTCGAAGTCGGTCGGCTTCTGAGAAGTTTCGCGCGTAGAGGTCCGACTTGATGCGCCAAACCCGCGAAAGTCTGGCTGAGTGTTCGAAGATGCCGGGTTTGGATGCAAACCGTGCTCATCACGTATATCAGCATTCTGATAGCCATTCTGCTGGTGATTATGATACCCGTAATTGACCCCTTTCAGATTGCGACTGTTCGCTTCGGCACCTGTCGCTTGCACAGGCGAAGGCGATCGGACATTCACCTGAGTCGGCTCGAATGATTCGAACCGTACGTGGGAGCCAGGTCTGCTCTCCTTCGGCTCGTACTTGTCATAGTCGTTACCATCATGATTGTCGTTGTCGCCTCCCTTACGTCCGTTGCGATGGCGCTTTCGACGAGGTCTCTTGCGACGATCTGGATTGCCATACTCAACCACAAGCTCCAGCCGCTTGATTTCTTTCTCAGCATCCGCAATGGCCAGCAAAAGTGCTTCGTGCAGCTCCCTCAGAAGCAACTTCTTCCACTTACCTTCCTTGTCGCGATATCGTGATGCTTTCCAAGCGGTCGTCGCAAGGGTCTGTAGCATGGACACCACGCTGTCCCGCGTGCGTATGTTACGTACTTGGTTCATGGCATCAGGTGGCCGTCCGTCAAGCAAGCCTGCCTGGCGCAAATGCTGCGCAACATCTCGTAGCCATGGTGTGGTGAGATCATATGCTTCGCAGTAAATGCGTAAGGCAACGGGCCCGTCTTCACGGAAGCGCTTGTCCCTATGAGCTCGTACCATAAGCGCAGCAATCTTGAAGAATGTGCGCAACGAGGTTTGGCGTTCAGCAGGCATGAGGAGAAAGGTGTCATTGATAGGAGGTTGAGGCAGAGAGTGGAAGGTACTTGAGAAAGGGTAACGTGAGCGAAAGCTCACGGTGAAGGTGGGTTTTCCACAATGCGTAGTGCATATCGGCGCAATAGTAGTGCCTAGCCTCGTGTAATCTGATCGATGCTGCCACTTGTTGCCTCTGCCGCCAGTTAATGGCGCATGCAATGCGGGTCTGTGGAGAAGTAGGTACGCACCGACGACAGGCCATGCTAGTGACCACCACGCCCGTAGTATGCTGCAACCCCAACACAACCTTATATGCAATGGAAGCCAACTGCAACCTCGCCAACTGTCAGATAACAGCGTTTCAAGTCACCTTGATCTCTGGCTTTATCATCGGGCTCGGTGCCACAGACTGAGCAGGCGTTGGCGCGTGTTCGGCCTTCGTGCCCTTTCCACGCCAGGTGCTGACAGCTGGCACGTCAGCGAACATCCTTTCCTCCTCGGTCTTGTACGCTCGCGGCGTAAGCTTGATCAAGCAATGCAACGGCACTTCCATCCAAGGGCTCTGTTCCTGACTTGAGCCCATGAAGTAAGCGTAGATGCACCGCAGAACGGCTTGGTGAGTGACGATGAGTATGTTCTCCGACCTTTCCAGCTCCATGATGATAGGCTCAAGCCGAATCACCACGTCTCGGTACGACTCGCCGCCAAGATAGCGGTAGTTGTATTTATCCTCGTCTCTGGCCTTGAAGTCTTGAGGATACTGAGCCTCGATCTCGGCGTAGGTAAGACCGTCGCAAACTCCAGAATCGAGTTCATCTAGAGCCTTCCATGATAGCTTCTCGTACGGTAAGTAGCGTGCAGTCTGCGCTGTGCGCTTGAGCGTAGATGTCCAGACCGTGAGCGGCAGATCACCAGCTGATTTCTTGACCATCTCCGGGAGAAGTTTGGCGTACTGTTCGCCTCTTGAGGAAAGGTTAGCGTCTCCGCCGATCTGGCCGGATAGGTTGTACATCGACTCGCCGTGCTATGACTGTCAGTAGATGCTGCTACCCAGCTGCTCTGCTACACTTACACGGCTAATCCAAATACTTCGGGGCTTTATGTGCAAGTTCATCAAGTAGTACACCACCCGGCTCTGCAAATAATCTTGTATCCGGTTGATGATGACCTGGCTTCCCACATCGATGATCTTGCAATAAGTCATGTCCGCCTCATCTTCATCCAAGGTCTCGTAGACTCGCTCGTACATCCGTATTCGCTCCCTAAAGTCTCTGGCAGCCTCTTCTGGATCTTGACCCTTGTAGTCAGGGCTGGTCGTCTTGACCTCCTTGATGTTTGCCATGATTAGCTCCTCGTCGTCGCACTTGCTTTCTACGAACAAAGTTTCGATACCCTCAGCATCGCACCGGTCTTTGATCCAGCGGCGCCGAGCCTTGGTGCTATTGGTCGCGTCGAGGATGGCGATGAGGTTGTCGGGCTTACGGAACCAATTACACATGTCCTTTACGGCAGCTTCGGCAGCTGCCATCCGTAAGCGTTCTCCTTCCTTGTTACTGGTATCGAAGAAAGCTGCGGACGGCTGTGGAGTTGATGTGCGCCGATAATTGCCGACATTGAAGCACTTGGCGGTTATGCTTAGCCAGCCGAGATAGCGTACAACTTTCCAGTCGTCAGCTTGCAATACACATGGCAACAGCCGCCTGGTTAAACAGCTTGCACATCTAACCCACCTTTCTGAGCGATGAGACTCTTGCCTCGGGCTGGCAGCCCAACCATGACTACGCATATCCGCGTCTCCTCTACCTGGACCCCAACTCCGTTAGTCTTCGCATTTGAGTGAGCTCGGCTGCGTGATGCGGGTCGCATGAAGTCGCCCTGCGGCGCACGATTGAGCTCGGGCCTATACTGTTCCACATTTGCCTGCGGTTGATCTGTTGTTGGTGGCGGCATTGCTGATGGCATGGTGTCAAAGGCAGACCATACGGTCCTGGACAGTAGGCTTTGGCGAATGAATGTCACTCAAGGCGTCTAGCGATTGGTTTATCCAAGCATTAGTTGCCTGTCAAGGCGGCCTAGTCGATTGTTTGTGTGATGGTGGTGGTTTAGTTGGGTTGAACGTCGAACGGGGATACTTGTGCAGCCTCCCTAGCAAGCTCATGGAAGGGTTCCAATTGTACCGTAGCCAGACAACTATAACCCAGGTATGGCTGAAAGAAGAGTCGACCCCGAAATTGCGGCTTCTGGGACGGTCTTGCAGTCTTATCTGGCTGGAAGGAAGCAGCAGTTGCTCTACCGTCTCGACGCGCACAGGACGACTAATGCTGACTCGTAGAGCTCCTTCACTCCGTGCAAGAGCTCAATGGCAAGTGGGGAGAGGGGAGAAATGGGTGTCTCGTGCCCACTGCGAAAATGACGATTCGCCAGGCGCGGACCGAGGCCGTTCCTCTGCGCCGACTTCCCATTCGGCGGATGTCGGGAGGCGAGGTGCTCATTCCGGAAGGCCGCCGAGTGGCGTGTTGCGATGCGGTACATGGTACCGGACATGGTACGTTCTCTTCCTAGAGGAGACGAAATAGAGAAGACTCACGCGAGCGAAGGAATAGTTTCGGGCGCTGGCGCTGGCGCTGGTGCTGGAGCGATGGCGGCGCTGTGGCGTAGGGCGGTATCCGCTGCCTGCTGCTATCCCGTTCATGATGGCTGATAAGAGTGAACTGAAAGCACTGAAAGCAAAGCAGGATATGGATGCTCACCCAGGAAGGCACGCAAGCACTGAGTAGCGATGTAGGTGAGGTAAAGAGTGTTCGTGCTGACGACAAACATGTCAAATGCCTAGACACGTGCTGTCATTCTTCCCACCGATGGGCTAGCGCGATGCATGCGCGGGTTATCGTCGACTACTTCGACTCCTACCTTTGACTCTCTCCTCATGATTGTTATCAACAACGCCAACAGGAAGCCCATCAGTGTCTGGTCATGCTGTTCGCCATACGGAATTCGTGAAAATGCGCTTAATCACTACCATGGCCGCCACAGTTCAACTCGCAAACTTCATCATCTCAGCGGCCGACAAAGCCATGATAACAGCATATCTCGCGAATGTAAGGCATCGCTATGCATCGGCAATGATATTGTATGCTCGCTGCACTTCCCGCTACATTCTGCCGCAAACTAGCTCTAGTCAATGCCGAAGCTCAGTTGTCGGTTGTCCAGCTGCTCTTGCTTCATCCACCGCATGACCCCTCGCAATTCCTGCAGTACGAGCACAAGGTCCTGTACCGCTGTCACTACTCACTTGCATGATGGAGGACTACCCGAAAGCGAAGCACAGGAACTGAGCAGCCCTTTCAGCACCAGTGCGTGCCGTGTCAGTTTACCGCTCTTGAAGCCTATTGGCCGAACGCAACAGCGATTGTGCCTCTGAACCCACCGCCAGACGCTCAACAGTACCCGCGTGTTTCACAGCTTCCGCCATCAGGTTTCTGTCGTGGCATCAACGTTGCTGATGTGAGACCAGCTGCGTATAGCAAACCGGCTCCACGACAACCGAATGGGACAATATGGCCGTCAACAATTTTCACAATGGATAGCAGAATGCTGCCACATTTCGGCTGACTTCGGTATCGCAGGCGGGCAGTGACTGTCTACCTGAGCCTCTCAACGGTTCTATCTCAGCTCCAGCATACTGTCAGACCCGGTCCGCTCATATCAGGGTGAGATTTGTAGCCCGAGGTCGGCAGTGTCTTGGACAGTTGTAAGCTACTCATCTGTGACTTTCAGTATCCGGTCTAGAGCCTTGCGCATGTACGGATGTGCTTGCAAGCAAACATAAAAATGCAGACAATAAGGGGCGTTCACGAACGATCCGCTTAGTCATCGCAAAGGACGAATGTACTTACATTAACCCGGAAATTGCATTCTTTCTTGAACCAATTTACTTCGACCGGCATTCACCGGGACTCAGTCTCAGACTACGCTTCGAGATTAGCTTCTTAGGGTTCACACGGGTGATCACTGCGGCTTACCGTGACAGCGGGAAACGTACCAAACGCAGTCGCCACGCAACTCCAGCCTTGACCGCGCACAGAATGCGTTCATGCTGCCACCCGGGAGACTGTACGGCTAGCAGTGTGAAATGCCAATGATTACCTTACCATGTCGTGCTTACAAATGCTGTAAGACGAACACGGCGCCGGCCGAGGTGTTGGACAGACCGGCTGCGTTTCGGTTTTGTGAGTCTTCGCAAGGAATTGAAGTGATAGTGATGCTCTCGAACACTAATGACATACTTGTGGCACGTGTTAAAGAGATAGATGTTGGCACGCGAGACGCAACCATCATACATGCGGCCCAACCGAACCGGACCGCCCAGTGCTGACCGCTTTTTCTGGGCTGTCGTTCGCTGTTCGTAGAAGATGCAGAGAAACTGGCCATGGTTACACGGCGTGTTTACAGCATTGCAGATGTGTGTACACCCTTCTTCTCCCTAGGGCTGCGCCGCCGCTCGCCGTACCAAGCAATTCTTCGATGCTAGCTACACGCAGCGTTGATAGCGAGCCCTCTTATATGATAGTGATTGGAGCCGTCGCAATCACATTGCTTGAGCCTGCCTCCCTTGCATGACTTGCCCGCTGGTATCGCAACAATTGCGGCTACTCCGCTTCCGGCCGAAAAACAGGACAAAGAACAAAGAAAATCCGTTGGTACTTGCTCAAACACTGACCCAGCAATGCATCAAGTCCGCCACACTACCGCGCTGAGCGTTCCTGTCATTGGACAAAGCAGGTGCATGCCACCGTCGTCCAGAGGATAATAGGAACAAAGGATCCAAGTCTGCTTGCTCCTCACCACTATGGAGGTACTTGATTCGTCGTGCTGGCTCATTGAGCGATGTAGTCTGTTCATTGTCCAGGAACATGCCAGCGGAACAAGAGGCTTGCGTATTCTTGCCGTGATTGTTTCCCTTCGATGTCTGCCACGTACCAGTCACCGTCGTCAAGTCAATTGCCGCAGCCAGGACTTCTGGCTATACCGACGCTTCGTACAGGCGGGGCTGGGCAGATAGTCTGGACGAGACACCTCTGGCGAAGAAACATGTCAGACGGGAACGGGAGCGAGCAAGGTGCCTTGGACAAAGCTCAGCACCAGGATTCACATGAGAGCAATAGTAACGAGCCTGGTCCCAGTCGACGTACTTCTTCGACCGTGTCGACCAGATCACAGCGTCGCTCTCCGAACAAACCCGGTGGCAACAAGACGCCACTAACACCTGAAGAGAGCCCGCCTTTCAAGGTCGCGAAGAAACGCACAGCAGGCGTTATCGACGGCGAAGACGAGGCGTCCGAGGATACCAGCGCAACCCCTACGCACAGTAGAGGCAGCAGCGGAGAGGCAACGCACGTTTGCATCTGCCAGCCGGATCCGAGGATTCCCAGGCCTCGTAACGGTACGTAGCTCAAACGCAGCCGCGTAAGGACTAACTGACAAACGTTCTCAGCCTTCATTCTCTACCGCCAGCATCATCAGGCTCAAGTTGCGTCTCAGCACCCAGGTCTTGCTAACCCAGAGATCTCCAAGATCATCGGTGAGCAGTGGCAGAGTCAGCTACCCGAGGTGAAAAACAGGTGGAAAGGCCTCGCCGAAGAAGAAAAGCTCCGGCATCAGCAACAGTATCCGACATATCGGTATCAACCGAAACGCAACGGCCGTCGCAACAGCATCTCGTCTGACCCAGCCACAGGCGAGAAGCCAAAGTGTGCCAAGTGTGGTGGTCGAAACATCCTCTCAGCACCGTCTCCATTCGCACAGACGCAAGTGGACATTGCAAGCCCGTCATCTCTCACTCTGGCTTCCGCCAGCACACCTATCTCACGGACACTGCCCGTGTTGAAGGATTTGAACCTGCAGTCACCTGCAACCCAAGGTATGGGTAGGGCCTTCCCGGGCAGCAGTATGTCGCCCACACACAATGGTCGTCACGAAGATCGCGACGATCTCGGACCGTTGAATTCAGACGTCAAGCGTCGTAGATACAACGGCGAGCACCCACAGTCAGTCACTCGTGTCATCCCGCCGCGATATGGCCTTCCACCACCACCGCCTTCGATCCACCCGGTTGGCCCAGGTACGCCTTTTCCGTTCAGACCAGCAGGAGTGCCTCCGCACCCGTTCGCATCGCCGACTACGCATGTGCACAGAGAGAGCTTGCCAGGTCTTCGAGGTGTCGTTAACGTACCCGGCCCAATGGCAGCTCCGCCAAGGCCAGGCATTGGCTATCAGCAGCATCGCATGTCGCAGGGCCTTGTTGGGCCGGATCGCTCGCTTACATTGCCACCACTCCAAACCGGCAGTATCACGGGCGCGTCCGGAGCAGCTAATGACAATCTGGAGAAGACAGCCGAAGAGCAGATTATGGCTATGTCTTTCCGGTACAAAGTCAAGGTGCTCAGTCAAGTCGCGCCTCCCGCGCCCGTCAATGGCACATCTCGTGGTGCGCTCATTGCAGTCGAAGGTGACGACCGGCAGGCAGTTGCGGAACTTGGCAAATGGTTGCATGAGGAGCTGAAGAAGGGAGTCGACCTCGCGGTGACATTGTTCGACAGTCCAGACATCTCTGCCGATGACAGGGAGAAGGAGCCAATGCGACAGTGTCACCTACTCGCCGCCGCATGGCTCTTGAAAAGTGACGACATCTTGGCCGCCATCAGTCACAAATCGCCCGCCGCCTTAACGGATTCAGTCATGCAGGACGTCACGGCCGCCGCAGACCAAGCCACCGTGGTGCATAAGCTGTTCGAATACCGCGACGACAGCGAGGAAGTCGTGGGTAAGGCAGTCAACGAGGAAGCCGGCGATAGCGATAAGGAGCAGAGTGCCCCAGACGAGCTAATGGATGTTGGTAAGACGCCAATGACAAGCAAGCCGGCGACCGTCAACATGGCCGCAGACCCTAACGTCCCAGCGAAGCTAGTCGGGCTTGTCGCAAACTACTCCCTGCACGCTAGCAATGTTTTGGCCTGTCGCATACCTATTGGCCCGCACGACCCATACTCACCCAGCGATCACTGGCAGTGGACAGCCACTCAGTGGCGTGGCATCATTGGACCCGACCTCACGATCTATCTGCGGGACGCTGTGGTAGGAGACAATGGCAAAGCCACCGTCGAAATCTTGGAGGAGGGCAATCTGTTCGTGGCCAAACGTACCCACCTCGAAGGCGGGAAGGGTTTGGAGCTGGAAGCAAGCGTGCTGCGAAGGCTCGGGTTCGAAGTAGGTGAGTGGGTGCGCGGTTTTGGTGCAGCTAAGAGTGCTTGAAACTTGATCGTCTCGTCTGTGTAGGAGGTGACGTTTGCAAGTGAGCCATGCTGGTGTGTATGCGGAGTGAGCCTCTACTATTCGTATGCAGGCCTGACTGGCTCAGTGCTGCTGCTTCGCCTTTGCCTCTTGCTTGACCTTCACCAGATTTGCGAAGCGTGTCTGTGCACCGACCCCCTCAACGAAGACGACCGCGGCCCACTTCCAGAAGGTTGATGTACGCGGGTTGACGGAATGCTTCGGCAGAGTGAATGTCATAAAGTATAGCATCTCAGTCAGGTGTATAGCGAGCATCGCGCCGATAAGGTAGGGCTGGATAGTCCATGAGAACCTGGCAAACCCAGAACCAATTATGCGCTCAACGATGTGACCTTTGGCGAACCACCAACGTTGACTGTAAGCGACCATGGTAGCGCTCACCGCGATGAAGTTGACCAGGTAGAAGCCCGTTGGTGGCAAGAATTCCTTTATGGCAACATCGGAGCGTCCAAGACCACGAAGCGCGTCCTTGTCCATCTGGACTACGCGTTCCCGTGCGTCTTTGTAAGAAGCCAATGGTGGTTGAAACGGGATGCGGTACGTATGGCCACGACATACGAAGGTCATGCCACTGAGATCGACGCCAGACATCCTCGCATCATATGCTTGCCATGAGTAGAGCTTGTGGTAATGTTCCAAATAGCGTACGATCTGCGGATGCATCAGCTAGTCATGGCTATCATAAGAGCAACAGTGCTGGTTACCGAGTTGTGGTGGTCCTCATTCATGTGCGTGACAATACGGCTTTTGGCGGCGTTATCCTTCGCATCTGGGTCGGCCATTCTCGTGGTCTGATGGAATGCAGGGTTCCTGATATGCTTTGGCAACGGCAGGCGTGCTACTCGATCAATTCAACGATGGAGCAGGCATTGCGTGGTGCAGCATTCACTTCAGGTGATAAACAGGGCCCCGCCAACACAAACTTACAGAGCCAGTGAACCTTTGCATCACAAACAACGTTACAAACCCGAAGATATCATCAGAGCACGTTGATAGCATTTTGATGTTCTCTTTGGCATAAGGTATCAAACTGCATGATTTGAGAACAGCTCTGTGAGACTGGCTCACAACAGCAGTGCGTACACCACCTTTTCGAAATAATGTCCGCATCCTGCCCGGGTCTGTGATGAGACTATGGAACGCGACGCCTAAAGGCTGCAAAATGCAGCAAGACGAATACTGCGGCCACATCCGTGCCTTCTTACAGAGTGGCACTGCCACTGGTATTGCCTGCTTGCTGGCTGATGTCGCTACGCATATCATACCTACACCCATTGTACGGTCAGTGAAAGGCGCAAAGAGCGTGCACTTCCCACTGACATATTCATCTCTTCAAGGGGGAGCTTCTTCTTCCCATCAGCCACTTGATATTTCTTATGAGTGGTGCTCGAGGAAAAGCCGACGCGTTCGATAATGTTTTCTCCCGCCTGAAGTGCTGCTTCCTGGACGCGGGTAGCTCGAAGCTTGCGAACCATTTCGTACAGCTGCAACGAGACCTCCACGTCGGCGCGGGAATGCTCACAGGAGAACACGATGCCTAGAGCGGCTGTATCTTCGATAGCCATACAAGCGCCTTGGCTGTGATCTGGGAGCTGTCAGCCATACATCTTGTTGGGGATTGACTCTTGGTTGGAAGAGTATTTTACCGGCATCATAGGGTGAGCAGCATTGCCCATAACACGAGCCTTTCTCTTTTGCCGATATGGATACAGCTCGCGGACCAACACCCGCCAAGGCCTGATACCTTCCGAGTTCCGCAGATGGGCGAAAACGTTGGCATCTAGGTCTGGATATGGCGCCAGCAGCCCGTCGACCTAGTTCCAGCCCTCACCACCAATTTGCCGTTTTCTCTGGGGATGAAACAGTAAGACGATAGGAGCTCAGGACCGTCCGTACCGCCTTTGCAAGTTGACATGACGATCTTGTTGATGCCTTGCCTCCCCAGTACTCGATTCCGCTGTTGACGGAGTAGTCTTCAAGACCCAGTGCTTGGACCTTAAGATGTTGGCACATTGGCGTGTAGGCAGGTTGAGGTGGAGATCTTCTTGTCAGGTACCATGCCCATAAGTGTCCAAACGGCGGACCCGACGGCGTCACAACCGACGACAACGTCATGCTCAGCACTGTCTCCGTTGTCGAAGCTGACTCGACCAGTCTCCAGGTCGATATCGGAGCATTTGCGATTGACGTTAAGTTTGGCAGGTAGGCCAGACCCCTCCTCACCAACAATGCTTTGCATTGGCATGCGATGCATGTCAACACGATGGATCAAATAATACAGCTAGCAAAAGCGTCATGGGCTTGAGCACATGATACACGCTTTGTCTTTGCACATCAGGACTTCCATTGGCCCAACGCCGCTCATAGTCGGCCAGATCGTAGACGTTGTCCCATTCTCCAGTGTCCCGCTTGTGATTGATGAGCTTTTTTAGGATTACCGGCCTGCCCTCGGCGGTGCCGACTCCCATTCGTGCAGCCAGCGCGTCCCATTTGCCGCACAATTGATTGCTGACCCAGTCTCTCCGGTATGATCATCGCGTTCGTAAATGGTGACTTTATGGCCAACGCGCCGGAGAGAGATTGCTGCCGCTAGTCCACCGATGCCTCCGCCGATGATGGCGACATCCAGCACTCGCCGTTCGTAAAGCATCCTGGCTGCCTTCAAAATGTCGTGTCATCTTCCTTGTTGGAACCAAGCAGTGAATGTGATTGTGAATTCACGTCCAAACGGAGCTCTGGCGCCCTACCTTCTTGAGGAAGAGTTTCGGCTTGATTAGCTTCAATACTTTCTTCCTGTCCCCTGGCTAGCCACCCACATTCATGCTGTTGATGTGGATGACTTCAACTTGAAACGTGCACCTCTACAGCTACATCTTACGGAATACTCCAGCTTGACACAATCTGAAACGGAGGTTCACCGTTACACGAAGCAATGGCAGGCTTTTGATCCTCTTCTTTGACGTTAGAAAGAAGGCAAATTACAAAAAGTCTGCTACACCTCTACTCTCCGCCGTTCATGTCCGGAAAATCGCGAAGAAGTCGCTAGCAAACCGAAAGCTATCATCAGCGTGGTATTGCCCGCCTCCGGTCTGCATGAAGAGGCAGCGTGGTGGCGCCAGGCATTCTCCGGTTCACGTTTGCCGAGGAGCGCGCTCCGATCTGAACGCCTCTTTGATCGGCGCTCACGCCAGCGCTACCCATGCAGGCACCACCCGTGTGGCTGAAGCTGGCTCCAGTGGATTGCGTCAAGCCTACCGCACTCGCGTGTCCACACATCCAACTCTGGAAGTGTGCCAGAATCAGGTTTGCGCGCCTATCTATTACGTTTCCATGCATTGACCCTGTCCTCGCTCTCTTCCCCTTTCAGCAAGTTCAGCGCAGTTTCATCTCTGGCATCCGCTTCCACATTGCTTGAGAGCATCTTGTCATGTCCGCGCAGCAAGAAGAGACTGAACAGCAAGCCTCCGCCGGTGCCGAAGGCAACGTCGGACTGAACGCCAACGCTAGCGCAAAGGGCGAGGCTCAAAGCAAGCAGTCCGCAAAGCGCACACCAAAGAAGCTTGGTGGCAAGAAGCCGCAGCAGCAACCGACGCCCGACAATACCCAAGACGAGGCCGAAGAGAAGCAGGACGGTGAAGGGGAGCACGAACGGGCCCAAACCGACGTCCAAGCAAACGGAGACGCTGACGCCGACGGCGAAGAAGAAGCTCAACCCCAAATGGAAGAGGAACAGCAGTCGCGCCAGCCATCCCGCCGGCGCCAAAGCCGTGGCCGTGGACGCAAGGGCGGAGTGCAAGAGAGCGACTCCGAATCAGTTGCTCGCAGCGATGTGAGCGCTTCGGGTGGTCGCCGTCAGAGGCAACGCCAGAAGAAGCAACAAGCCAAGGGTTCACAGGGCGGGCCACTCGACGATATCACCGAGCAGCTACCAGGAGGCGAGCTTGTCAATGGTGCCGGCGACATGGTACAGAACACTGCCGGTCAAGCCGTGAATCAAGTCGGCGACACTGCGGGCAAGGCCCTTGGTGGACTGACTGGTGGGGGACAGCAGCAGCAGCAGGGTGGGGGTGAGGAGGACAAGGGCGAGCAGCTGAGACTGAGGCTTGAGCTGAACCTGGACATTGAGATCCAGCTCAAGGCGAAGATTCACGGTGATCTCACGTTAGGTCTGCTGAACTAGGATGATCGCAGTACGCTGTGCTTGGACGGAAATTGGGCGTACGGTGTAATCTTGATTAACATACTCTATGGCCATGCATGCATTTAGTGTAGCACCATACATTTCATCCAAGCCATCTTCGTGCCCTACCGCCTCCAATGGAGGTGTCGCAAGTTTTGCATTGCCGGGTCTCCTCATCCGTGAAATAGTCAGTGTTGATCGTCTGCAGTAACCGCCTGACGTCCAGGCGGAGTACCCTCTTCTGGTACCCTACCAAAGTGTGTTGATGCCGGACATAGACACCAACCACGGAAATGCTCTCTGATTACGCACACCTACTTCGCACATCTCCAGCTTGAGCACGCTAGGTATGCTGTTCTTGCACTGGAACTGACGAGAACCGCGTTGATCGAGCACGCATTCAGCATCGACAAAACAGCCTGGGCCGATCTGCGCGCATATTGTCTGCCAACTTCTGGTCTCAAGCTGCAGCAACCAGCCACTGTAGTCTGAAACATCGGCACGCTATCACACGCCGGACTGATAACGGGGAACGCACACAAGTCTCCGAGCACGCGATCTGCGCGGCGTGACAGGGAAGCGTAAGTGCTTGCAGGCGCCGCTGACCTCATTGCTGTGGCGCAGGTACCGGCAAGCATCAGCCGGCTCGTCGTCGTCCCTTCGTTCGTCGGCATGCAGGCAGGCGTGGAGCTGCGCGCAAACAGGTTTCGCGCAGGCCGGCCGCTGGCGTGACCACTTCGTTGTGCTGTGAGGTCTCCGGTAGTTGATCGACTATGCGCGCTTGGTGAAGTTGTGCCACATCTCAGGGTATCGTCCGACAACAGCGAGATAATCGTCCTTAGTATTCTACGACCATAGCAAGGCAACCTAACGTCTGTATTCCGAATAATGTCGGGACAGGGCGACAGGAACGTAGTGGAGCAACCGGACCTCGAGCGGGAATCCCAAGCCAAGCCAGAGCCGACGAAACAGCGTACAGTCCAGCAACAAGAGAAGCAAGACAACTACATTGCACAACAGCGAAGAGCCGAGGGACAGGAATCGAATCGATCCCGATCTCAATCACGGCGCGACCGTCGCAAGCGTGTCAAGCAAGGCGTAGAGGATGGAAAGTACATGAAGACGAACTCTTTGCCGGCCCTGGAGGAGGCCGACGCCAATGGCGAGTTGATGGCGATGGGCCCATTCGAGCGGATAGGACCAGACAGCACGAGTATGGATGGACCCGTAACAATGGCGAGGGCAATGAGAGGGGAGATTCCGATGAGAGGCAGTAATCCGAAGCAACCATACTACGCGACGCCGCAGTCGGGTGGAGGAGTTCGTACTATGAGTTAACTGATTCTTTCAGACGCGACTGGGTGCTGACGAGATACACAGAGCGAGCTCAAGGACACTGAGGGCCTCAAGCTTACACTCGAGGCGAACCTAGAGATCGAAATCGAATTGAAGGCCAGCATACGAGGTGATCTGACCTTGTCTCTATTGTAAGTGTTGCCCTTCTCCTTCTCATGCCGCTTGGTGGATGTGAGGATGCCTCTCATACTTCTGCAACAGTGAATAACTGTCAGTAGTGCTTAACACGGCGCTATGGACAACAATGGAACTCTTGGGGGAGAGGATGACTCGGTTGCATCAACGGCGTACTTGGGCGGGACCTAGGCTTACGAGCTGTTACAGTGAGGCGATGTGAGCGCCATTTGAGCTCGACTCTGTGTACTATTTACATCATCGAAGCAGACTGGACAGTACATATGTCCACCTTTGCACCTGCAAATGCTCATCATGCACGCAACATACGCTATCACGTAAAACAGCGGTCCGATTTCGTCGCTATGTGCGACGTTTCTCCAGACTCCAGACATGAATATATCCCAACCATGATCATCAACCGAATCTTCGCTACGGCCTAACATTCTCGCCATCGCCGTTCTTTTCAACCCTCGCAGAGCTGTGTCGGAAGAACACTCTTCTCGTTGAACCGGCTCTACCGATATCGCCGAGGTGCTTCGTCTTGTCCTCCTTACCCTTCTCCGCACTTGCCCTCTTCGCCTTCTCAAGCATACCCTCTACCCACCTTGCTTTCTGCTCGGGTAACTCGGTCTTCTTGCCGCTCGCCGGTCCGGCCAAGCCTGATTCTGCCCAGCCTTGCCGACTGCCCGGACGCGCAGCAGCATTACCAGCTGTCGACGGTCGAGAATCAGAAGGACTCTTGGGCGTAGAGCGCTGGCCGGCGATGCTGTTGACGGGGCTGCTATGCCACTGCGCATTGTCGGCCGTGACCGGGCTGGTGGTATCACTTTCGCTATCGCCCATGGTGAAGCGCGGCTGAGGATCATTCAGCCACTCGGTTTCCCCCGAACCCACCATCGATTTTGCCCAGGCAGCAACGGGCGTGACGGGCGACCGTGCTTTCGACTCGGCAGTAGTAGCGGGAGTGGAGTTACTGACCTTCCGAGTCGTCGTGCCGTCTGCCGTCATCAACTCGATTCCGCCGCCGGAGACGGTTCGGCTACCGTGGTGCTCGGCGTACTGACGCAGGTAATCCGCCAAGTCAGCCCAACCGCCACCCACGCGGACCATGACTCGTTCGCCTTCACCGACAAGGCGGACGAACAGCTTGATTGGCTCCTCTCTGCCCGCTTGCGTAAGATGGTAAAGCTTAACCTCGTCTGCTGCGGCCTTCTTTGGCGAAGCCTCCGCCGGAGCAAGAGTGAGCGCCTGGACGGAGGAGGCACGCTTGGAGACCAGCGGTCGCGGACCGGAATAGCTTCTGGGTTCCGATGTACGTGGGGTCGAAGTCTTAGAGCCTGGTTTGGACGTGAACGTGATCGCGTTGGAAGGCAAGCGTTCGAGCACCTCACTTACGTGGCGGTCAAAGGTGTCATTGTCAAGCTTACGGCGCCGTGATTGCTTTAATGGGGATGAAGTAGGTCCTCTGAAACCTGGCTGCTGATGTCGACGTTTTGCCATGATTGCGTTCAGCGGCTTCGGACTTCCATCTTCTGACTGTCCACTTAACGGCGAACCAGTCAGACCGTTCTCCCTCGCTGCAGGATTTGGCAAAGGCGCGAAGGAAAACGAGGCTGGTGATTGCGCCCCGAGTGGCGAGACTGGACTCACAGGCAGGCTCCCAGTCGGCCCGGGCGGCGATGGGAAGGTAACCATGCCTTTATAAGTCATCGAAGCTGCTGTGTCAGGTGTCGCTGTATCTGGACCATCAATCAGCGAAAGTGGTTCGTAAGGCAGGTGCGACGCAGCACGCGATTTCCCATGGGAGCTGCGTGGTGGCATTTCAATGCTCCGTACGCTGCCACGCGGATGGAGTTCCATACTGGCCAGAGACGCACGGTGAGCTAGACTGGGCTTGGCGACGGAATCATCGTCGGCTATGGCTTCGGCGTCCATACTCCGCTGTGACTCCGGTATCTCAAGGGTCAAGCGCATCGGACTGGTAGACGACTTCGACGCGGAGCGCTGTGACTGCGTCCCTTTCGGCGTCGCGGTGCTACCGGCGCCGGATACGACATGTGAAGGAGGTTGGGCGTGGAAATAGTCCACACTCGTTGCGCTTCCCACTTGCGCTTCGGGAGAAGACATGGCCATTGAAGCAGGCGATGCCTCTTCCATGATGTCACCGCCGTCAAAGTCTGCAAATTCCGGCATGTTACGATTACCTCTTGGACTTATGCTGCCGTTGACCGATCCGGCGGCGCGAGCATGCGAAGTGGGCATACTGGGGACGTTAGGATCAAGCATGATATCGCTGACTGTAGGGACGAGCGCCGTCTTCGACGACTTTTTCGAGCTCGACCTGTTTCTAGTCTTTGGCACAAAACCGAGCGGGTTGCCTTGGAACTCCATATCAGGGGTTGCAGGAAAGCTTTCGACGAAGAAGCGGTCAAAAGTGTCAGACGCCATCGCCAGCTGCGGCGAGTGCAGCTCGGGTCCAGAGTCCTCCTCGTCCGCTTCTTCCACCACTGCATGTCTGGCTATTGTGAATGGCGGTGTTTCTTTAACCGGCGAATTGGCTTGCGTCTCCGGGGGCGACGCAAGCGGCCAATCAGCCGGATACTCCGGTTCAGGCGATACGCCAGGACTTGGCGGACTGGCTGGGCTTGAGATGCGGCTGGGTTGGTACGTTTCGGGTTTGGGTAAGCGCTCTAGCCTTCGTTCCTGGCCTTCGTAAGGAACCTTGGGCGTTAGTGACGCCGTCCTCCGCCTGCTTTCTGCGGACCTTGACCGAGGCCGGAAACCGCCGGGCATGTCTGTATAATCCCGTTGCACGGGACGCTGATGCAGCGAAGGGCCGCTTGACGATCTTTCAAGCGACGAGGTCTTGCTGGAAAGCCTGGTCAATGACTTATGTGACGGCCTGCGCAGTTGTTGTGCCGCGTCTCCGTTGCTTGTTTGCTGGTTGACCGGACTCGTCGGCTTCCGGCCACCCCATACAACGGCATCTTCATTAGCGCTTTCGCTACCCTTGCCCGTGGAACGCCTAGTCACAGGAGGTTTTTGGGAGCTAGTTGAGAGCATACTGTTTGATCGCGACTGATCCGGGCTTTTCTCTTTCTTGAATAGTCGCGTCCACGCAGTTGTGGCATGCTCAAAGGGGCGCACAGGAGACTTGAGCTGCTTCTGCAAGCTGGCGGTACGATCACTCTCACCATTTAAGAAGGCGGCGCGCTTCCGAACGGCAGAGTCCGTGGTTGGCTTAAGTTGGTCGAACCCGACTTGCTCGAGCGGTGGCGTTGCGTTCAATACCACGTTCTCCAGCGAGTCGTTAAGCGGTCCTACGCGGTCAGGTCTTTCGTAGTCGATAACAATCGGAACGTGTCTTGTGTGCTTTGACGGGCTGAGTGATCGGTAGTCGGGGACTGAGAAGGTGCCCGGCAGCACCTCCCTATGCTGCGCCCACTCACTCATCCCCTCTGGCAGCGTCTCTGAGTCGCCTCTACGGAGCTCAGCTGGCGATGGCGGCTGCTCCATGAACGGCTCTGGCTCAAGTAGCGTCTCTGGCTGAAGTGGTGACAGCCCGAAGTCGAAGAAACCAGTATTGTGCTTCGGTGAAGGTATGACGGCCGCATGGTTGTCGTTCGGTGGCACATCCTCGGCGAAAATGAAAAAGGACTTTGGCTCTGGCTTCATGGTATCTACCATCTGCCAAGGTTCGTTCGCTTTCTCCGTTGCTGGTTCTTCTCGTTCCGTGGACTGTCGCCATTGATTCTCGAACACTTTGCGCTCAGCTTGCACCACCCAATCGGCGTAGGCGGTTTCGAGATTCTCGAAGTCCTCAATCCAAGCATCCGGAATGGTCTCTTCTCTGCCCTCAAGCTCGTCTAAGAAGGCGTCCAATCTTTGACCGAGACTGGAAACCTGCTGCTCCACGATGCCTTTCATGTCAGCCATGGTCTCGTGGGTAAAGTGCGCGCTGCCGGTACTCGCACGTGCTCCCGGAGATACCGCGATCGACGCCCACCCATGGTCAAGATCCGTTCGTGCTTGATCCATATCACGCAGAAAGGCGGGAGCTTGCTTGAGGATTGAAATGCGGACACTCCACACATCTAATAGCGCATGCAGCCGCGAGAGGTAGGGTAGAGCCTGCAAGATGGTTGCCGTAATCAACGCAGTGAAGTCATCCAACTTTCTCAAATCCGTAAAAGCTCCGATGCGGCCGATGCTGTCGTTGCCGGTCACCCATCCATCGCCGGCTTGTCTATTCGCGGCGAGCACGAAGCCTTTCATGTCATCGAGGTCCATTGATTCTAATTGCCGTCCGATGTCATCAACCTTTTGCTCGTATGCCATGACCGTCCTACTTGGCATGCTGCCCCACAGCTCCTCCGTGCCATCTTCACTGCCACGTGAGGTCACTGGGGAGCGCAAGCTTGCGAAGCTCATTCCGCTCATGCGCATCTTCTTCCGCGCCGGCTCCGGCATCTCGAAGGTGCCTGGCCATTCCCAGCCTTCCAGCTCTCGTGTCCAGGAGCGCAGATTGATGCATGTCTGTGCTGCCTTGGCACCCAGGGCTCGTTCTGATGCCGATGCCGTCTCGAAGCGTGCTCCAAACGCGCTGTCATGCTTGTTTGTGCTGTCGGCGGCGAAGATGCGTAAAGTCGAAGTCGGCGACAGATCACGAAGCAGTGGATCGAAGTCACGCAGATTGCGGATCGGAGATCTGGATGGCGAACGCGAGTACTGACTGCGCTTGGTGGAGGTCAAGATTGGTTGGTTGATTGTTGGGTTGGAAAGAGCCATTGTTCTGCTCGAACTCTATCTGCTGCCACAGCAATATGTGTAGGCGGATTGGCTTCCTACGGCGAGGGTTACCGTTTGGGCAGTGGCATGTGCGAAGCAGGCGGGAGCTCCATGGAGTGGATCGGCGCACACTGGGCAGACTAGACAGTGACTATTCTTGCGTGAGAAGTAATTCTACCGCTCGCTATAGTTCGCTACAGACCAGCATGGAAGAAGTTGGTGGAAATCACTGCCGCGGGAGATGGATGGCCATCTCCGCCCTACATCTTCGCTAGACCCCTTGTATATTCCCACGCTAACGCGACCCACAGATCGGCCATGGTTCCAAGACATGGGGCCACGGTGCCGGTGCCGATAAGGGCGCCACGTGCTATACTGCTTGTTCTAGTGACACTTCGCTGCAACGGTCAGAAAGTTCGACTGACACCCTCACAGCGATGAACGTTTCAATGCTCGTCCAATGGCGGAGAAATAGCCATGTGTGCGGGTCAAGTGAAGCAACAGATGCTGCATCAGCCACTACTGCCCGATACGGATAGCTTGCACGGCCCGCTTATGCGAGGCGAGGCTGTGGAGTGTGCATTGCATCGAGTCAAGACATAATCTTCTGGTATCCAGAATATCAATATAAGGACACAGGGGTGAGCTCCTACCAAAGGCAAATTATGACGGCCAAATCACGATGGCGACTCATAACAACCTTGAGATGACGGATTCACCACCCTCACCGGTCTCAAGCAGCGCGAGATCATCGCGGCACGACGGTGAATGTCCAACCACGCCATCAACCTCACCCTCATCATATGGAGGCACAAACGCAAGTCCTTGCACTGCTTCACCTCCGCATTCGAAGCTCCTGGCTGAGGCTGTGACGTTGTTCCCAGACATCACTCAGTATCTTGCTCTTGGCTGCCTGGTCATCAAGGATTCTGCCACATACCAACAACAACAGAGCATTCTACCTGGCGAAGGATTACGATGGCAGGATGTCTACGACCTTCCATCACTGCTGGTATCTGACACGGGCCTTGCGTCGGATCTGAAAAGGCTGCTCAATGCTGGTTGGCTTCGCGTTCAGTCCAGCCGCAGCGTGCAGGACAACCGCTGCAGTATCTTCCGCGTCTATGTGCTTCCTGCTGATGTCGGTAATGGCTTCGTTGACCGACAAAACGTCAAGCTGTGGACTGCATTGCAAAATGTTGTCCGCGTAGTTGATGTCCAGTCTTCTACGTGGCAAGGACATTACAGCTACGGACCAAATGTCCGGTTCGATCCTTGGACTACTTGCGATGAAGGCTCGCTTTTCTATATGTTCAACAAGATACCTTCACCTGATCCATGCGTTACGACAGTGAAGGAGAGGTATGCTCGGGAAGCCCTCGAGGATATACTGGACTCGACAGCGAGCGCTCTTCCTGGACTGAGAACAGTGCTATATCCGTACCAGCGTCGATCAGCAGGCCTAATGCTCCAGCGTGAAGCCGTCGTACAGATGCAGCTTGACCCGAGACTTGAGCAACGAATAGCTCCCGATGGCACAATATACTACTTCGGCTCTCGTGACTTGTTATTCCTTCGATATCCTCGCTACTATGAATTATGCCGTGGAGGCATCCTTGCCGAGACCATGGGCCTGGGAAAGACAGTCATGCTCCTTGCGCTGATCTTGGCTACTAAAGATCACCCGCCTCAAGTGCCGGCTCAGTACGCTGCGCCCAAAGTGCGCCCGGTAGTCGGGCGGTTGTCAGACATGGCAATCTCCAACATTAACAAACGTTCAATTCCGTGGAAAGTGGAGCGCAACAGAGTCCGTCGCGCTTGTGGGCTAGACATGGCTAACACCGACATATTAGAGAAGGAGCTACCAACATACGAAGTACCTCAGATACCGCAGCGATGGCAACGGAAGACCGTTCTACCTCCACCTAAGATGATGATTCTGGCTGCCACGACACTTATAGTTGTGCCACGCAACCTTTGTAAGCAATGGCAGTCAGAGCTGAAAAAGCATGTCGAGGACGGCGCATTGAAGGTACTGGTGATGGAAGACCCGAAGCATGTAATACCGCCACCTGAAGAGCTTCGCACATACGATGTCGTACTCTTCAGTCGCACTCGCTTCGAGCGAGAAATCCGGGACGGCTCGGATGAGCAAGGCCGTCGACTTACTCAGCGCCTATGCCGCTGTCCGTTCATTGGCAGCACAAGGACGAGAGATTGTCACTGTCCACGATCTGACGATCTGTACGATTCGCCACTGAAGCACTTGCACTTCAAGCGCCTGATCGTAGACGAAGGTCACTACTTCTCTAGCACGAGTGGCAATGCTGTTGCGGTGGCCAACAGTATAGTCACGGCTGATCACCGTTGGGTTGTCAGCGGAACGCCTGCGAAGGATCTTCTCGGAGTGGAAACGGAGAATCTGTGGCTCACGCCAGGGACGCAGGACGGTCGTAGCTCACTCATCGAACATAGACGCAACTTCCACGCGCATGAAGACGTTGGCGGAGCCATCAAGAGTCTCGGCTCGCTCGCGTCAAGGTTTCTAAGAATACGCCCGTGGTACGCAGATCGGTTTGAGCGAAAAGCGGAATGGGACGAATACATCTACCGCCACGAAGACGTACGCAAGAGAACGTACTCCGGCTTTTCGACCAGCCTGCGGCGAACACTTGAGGCAATTGTAATTAAGACACAGCCGGAAGATGTGGAACGTGACATCGAGCTGCCTCCGTTGAGCCACGAAGTGGTGCGCTTAGAGCCGTCATTCTACGACAAACTCACTGCCAATCTATTCACGCTTGTGCTAACCGCTAATGCTGTTACCTCTGAGCGGACCGACGCAGACTATCTTTTTCACAAGAACAGTGCGAAGGCCCGCTACCAACTTATTGCAAATTTGCGACAAAGTGCCTTCTTCTGGTGAGCAGACCAATCTGCCAATTCAGTTGTCTCGGACAGTGCTGACCCTTTTGCTCATAGGACTGGCTTCAGTGAGGCTGATGTGATTGCAAGCTTAAAGAATAGCCGTGGGTATTTAGCCAAAGCGGAAAACGAGACTCGCTGCAGCGACGAGGATCGTGAACTGCTGGCCGAAATGCTCACGGCCGCCAATGACATCCTTGCTTCGAGTGGTTGGAAGGCGATGAGCAGGTCGCACGAACTCGGTCTGTTTCTCGATGGTTGGCCGCAAGAGAGCGCAGAACATTGGGCGTTCGATGGCCAGACGCCGCTTATGACTGGCATATCGCCACTCCTGGAGGCGCAGAAGCACGTTAACGAGCGATCTGGCACAGAAGATGATCCCGGAGAAGGTCTGCCTGGAGCCGGTATCCGCGCGCTCGCGCCTGCTCGACAGGGTAGCATGCATGACACCCCAATGGAGCCGAAGGGAGCGAAGAAAAGCAGCCCGAAGACAGAGAAGTCTGTGCTGACCAAGTCCGGCATACCAACCTCAAGCGTTGAGGCTATGCCGGCTCTCCGACGTCGTCCTTCCACAAGCGCTAAGAGCAATACACCGTCACCGAAGACATCGGCGCAGCTGTTTCGAGCTGAGAAGGTCGCGAGGACGCCGAAAGCAAAGAAGGCGAAGCTTGCAGTGGCCGACGGGCTTGAATTTCCAAATTCCACGATTGCCCCTTCCTGCGTCACTCCAGCCGCCGAACGCACGACACCCTGTAGAAAACGGCGTCGCTCAGAAATGGACAGTGAGCTCGAATCGCCATCTCGGTACCTGCGGACGCGCATCATCGGCACGGCCTCTGCCAAGCTCAGCTACCTCGTCTCGCAAATTGTCAAATATTACAAGGACGAGAAGATACTAGTCTTCTACGACGGTGATAACACGGCGTACTATATCGCGCAGATGCTCGAAGTTCTCCACATAAAGCACGAAATCTATGCCAACTCGCTCCCGGCTAACCTTAAGAGTGAATATGTCGTGCGTTTCGATCAGGAGGTGCAGGACCGGGTGCTCCTCATGGACGTCAAGCAAGCTGCTTTCGGGCTCAATCTGAGCTCAGCGAGCAGAGTCTACTTCGTGAACCCGGTTTGTCGGCCCAATATCGAGGCTCAAGCGATTAAGCGTGCGCATCGGATTGGTCAGACAAGAAAGGTGTACGTCGAGACTCTTGTACTGAAGGGTACTATCGAAGAGAAGATGCTCGAACGCAGCAAGCGGATGACCAGGTCTGAGCATAGAGACGCAAAGGTGCTGGAAGATGATGGCGGTATTCGTGAGATCATTCAAGGCGCTCGGTTGCTGTCAGTGAGTGACCATGAGCGGTTGTCATATGGACAGATGGCACCGCTAGAGCAGCCCCAGCAGCTTTGGGGAAGGGAAGGCTGGCGGGAGTCGGTAGCTGCCACTCCAAGCGGCCGCAAGGAGAAGAAACGAAAGATGAACGAGCGTGCCACGGTGGACAAGCTTGACTACCTTCCAAATGCGCATATGGAACGGCGGACACTGCGATTCGTGGACTGCACGAAGGGAGACGAAGACTACAAGGTGCATGAAAGTGACGACGAGCCTCTTGCGATTCGAAAGCAACATGCAGCCCTGCTCACGGCACAAGACACCAGCTCAACGAGCATACGCCGATTGGAGTTGACAAACAGTGATGTGATGACGCCAGCGCCGCAAACAGAGGTGTTCATGCCCATGTGCCATGAACCCGGAAGCCTAGCCAAGGTGCCGCCGCTATTGCCACCTCTGGAGCTTTCAGCACGAAGAGTGTCATTACACGACTTGCTCAACGACGCAAATGCGCCGACTTCTGCTGTCGCTGGCGGCACAAACGGCACAAATCAGGTAGACGTTTCGGCTTGAACGACTACTCTGCGGCCAACGGTACATATACAGTGGCCATGTACACTATGTCGTGTTGATAAAGGCGAACGAGTTCACGATGCACCGTTTGTCGTGCTTGCCGCCGCTGCGCCACAGCTTTTCCAGGCGCTCAGGATAAGGTCAACAATGTGATCCATACCTTTCCCGTTCTTAACCTGCGCGAAAATGGTTGGTCCCCCTTCTCGCATCTTCCGTGCGTCTCTGTCCATCACGCCCAGGTCTGCGCCAACGATCTCCGCCAAGTCGGTCTTGTTGACAATGAGCAGGTCACTCTGCGTAATGCCTGGTCCGCCCTTTCGCGGGATCTTGTCGCCTCCACTGACGTCGATCACGTAGATTATGAAGTCAGCTAGCTCTCGGCTGTAATTTGCAGCGAGGTTGTCGCCACCACTCTCGATGAGTAGTATCTGCGTGCCAAACTCGCGATGAAGGTCTGTTAGAGCAGCCAGATTGGCACTGATATCTTCTCGAACCGCAGCATGAGGGCAGCCTCCAGTCTCGATTGCTCGTATTCTCTCGGCTGGCAACGCTTTGTGACGAGTCAGGAACTCACAGTCCTCCCGCGTGAAGATGTCATTGGTTACGGCAGCTATGTTGTACTTGTCTCGCAGAGCAAGGCAGAGGGCGAGCATCAGCGCTGTCTTGCCGGACCCTACTGGCCTGTGCAGTACAACAGTCGTTAGAGATGCTGTTATGTCGCCCATGGATGAGTACAGAGAAGACATACCCACCAATGCCTACAGTAAATGCGCGTTCCGTGAAGTCTCGACCTTCGACGATAGGCATTTCGCGGCCGAGGAAAGACCCGGGGCCATGGAGAATTTCATGGGTGTGGCCATGGTCTCCTCCGGCGTGAGAGTGGCTAACACCGTCGTGTGAGTGCGCCATAATGCGAACGCACGACCGGCTGGTAATCACTTTTTGTCTTCAAGGCTACTGCGAGATAAAACGAGACGCCCTATCTTAATATGTTCGCGGCGCACCTGCGGACCCCTGCCGTGGGGTGCATGAGCGACGATCATCTCCACTGCGATGTCGGCTTTCTACTTCACTCAGGTCGTGTAGGTATATGATGATCGAGCATTCCTCAGCGGCGATCAAGTATGTCGGCTCGCACTTGCTCTAAGCATGGCGTCGTCCAACAGCGACATCTGGTCGGCTGAGAAGTACAAGACTGCGGCGAGCTTCGTTCCGGCCCTAACCACGACTGTCGTGAAGTACCTGGACGTTCAGCCCCACGACCATATTCTGGACATTGGTTGTGGAGATGGCACGCTCACAACTCAACTGGCCAAAACAGCCTCTTCCGGGCGAATACTCGGCCTGGATGCTTCTCAGTCATTCATTGCAAGTGCGCAGAAGCAACACACGACCGACGCATGTTCTTTCAAATTACAGGACTGCACCCAACTCGACGCATGTTCAGATGTAGACGGCAGCTGGGACAAGGTCTTCAGCAATGCAGCCTTACACTGGATCTTGCGGAAGCCCGACACGCGTGTTGATGTCTTTCGCAACGCACATAAAGCGCTCAAGTCAGGCGGTCGGCTAGTCTTCGAGATGGGTGGCGCAGGCAACGTTGCCGAGGTGCAGGCCGCTTGCACTGCAGCGTCGCTTCACTGCGGGCTGTCGATCAGCGAAGCTCGAGAGGCGAATCCATGGTTCTTTCCTAGCGTCAAGTGGATGGAGCAAACCTTGGCCGACGTAGGCTTCAGTGTCGAGATATGCGAGTTGGAGTATCGGCCAACAAAGCTCAACCCAGACACGCCATCTGGCGAAGGTGGGCTTATTGGATGGTTGAAGCTACTAGCTGCGCCCTACATCACAGCTGTTCCGGAGTCGAAGAGGGAAGCCTATCTCCAAGAGGTCTGTGATGTGCTGGATCCCATCATGACCCACGAGGAAGATGGGACGAAATGGATGGGCTACACAAGGTTACGCGCAGTTGCGCGAAAACCCTAAGCCGCTCAGCGGCACGCTAGCTCACATCGTCGTCGCAAGAGATCACGAGCCTTCCGCTGCAAGCCGATGTACACAACGCGTGTTCGCCTATTCATCGGTGAGAAGGCACGCTTGGGTCGGCTTCGCCGCTGTATATGCCGCACCTTATGACAGCGCCCAGACACCGACTGATTAGGCACGCCCATTCGTACATACCTTCCAAGCCTTCCGCTTGCTTCCAGCGTAGCGTGACCTCTCTCAGAGCCCTTAGGGCCCACAAAATGACCGATGTGGCAAGCTGTTGAGATCTTGCATCATTCCCGCTAAAAGGTAGCCATCAGCCGTCCAGGTGAGAAGGTTGACCACATTGATGTCAATCTCCAACCGCTCCAGGTTTGCACATTCGCACAGTAAGCCGTAAGCGAGCCCTGCCATGGTCTTCAAACCGAGTGTGTGGGCTTCCTCTTCTGGCAGCCTCCAGCCGAAGCGGAGCGATTTGAGGTGCTCGCGGCCGTCTTCCCCGATCAATTGAAGAAATGTGTGCAAACAGTAGATGTTGTGGACGCTGAAAGTGTTCACTGCGTACGGGATCAACACTGTCCCAGCATGGAGTAGCATGCTGACGCGGCTAAGGCCCGGTGTTGCCGTGCCTAGCAGTCCGTGCAGTCGACATGGCACATATGTGACGCTCAGAGAGCAGGTTCGAAGGACATCGTCCGGCTTGCTGAGGTCTCCTGAAGGCCGTAGCAGAGCATCGAGAACGTAGACAGGCTGCGTGATCCTAAAGAACGCGAACTCGTCTATCGTAGTCCGTATTTCGGGAGGGAGATTCACAAAGCGAAACCTTTGGTCAGTGAAGACGGACTCATTCACCGACTGGATCATCTCAGTGGCGGACACGCTGGAAGTAGTGATTTTTGCTCCAGACCGGCGCTGGTGCAGGTTTTGATGGATCAGGTAGCCGTTCTCATCAAATGCATCTACGCGAGCTTCCGCAAGAGAAGCTGACTCGCAGTGCGGACATGTCAGACTTGATGTTACCGGCGCGATGTTGAAGTGTCTGCATGGTTGCCAACCTAACGCGCGGCGCAGACGCCGGTTATTCCTGTGTGACTTAAATCTGCTAATGCTCACCATCTTGGCTGGCCGGGCGGTCAGTCTAGCCTGATAGCCGACGTTCCTTGTTGTCATGACTGAACAAGCCTTTCCAACGTACTTTGTGTCTAAAGATATTGGGAGCCTAGCTGTTAGAGGTCCACAAGCGTGAGAATCGCTACCGAGTCCGCATGACTGCTCTCACATGTGACAAGATCGCGCACAGACCAAACAATATGTCATGAAGGAGGGTATAGAAAGCTCGCTGTTTGTGTCATTCATCACACATTACGTTTAGCACAACGGGTATCATCGTTCGTTTAGAAGACATCGCACCGCATGATCTTCACCTCCTGCAGAGGGCGATCGCTTGCGTCTGTCCTCACTGCACCAAGCTTGTCCACCACGTCCATGCCTTGCACCACATGGCCGAAGACGGTGTGCTTGCCGTTGAGATGCGGTGTCTGGTTATGTTAGCGTACTTGTTAAGACTCGTACATTGATATGTCGTCTTACCGGGCCAAGAGTGATGAAGAACTGGCTCCCTACTATCTGTTAGCAGCTGCAAGATCGCGTGCAAAATGACTGTGCAGCATACCATTCGTGTTCGGCCCAGCGTTCGCCATGCTCAGCGTACCCTTGTCCTCATGCCTCAGACTCGGCACAATCTCATCTTCAAACTTCGCGCCGTAGATGCTGCTGCCACCTCTCCCAGATCCAGTTGGGTCACCGCCTTGGATCATGAAGCCCGGGATGATACGGTGGAAGATGACACCATCGTACTTGCCAGTCCTTGCCAGCTCAGAGAAGTTCTTGTTTGTCTACGGTACCGTTAGTGACGTCAACACGGCTTGGGTGACCGCGATGCTTGCTCACCCGCGGCGTCTCCGGGAACAGCGCGATGGTGATGTCTCCGAGCGTAGTGTGTAGGATCACGCCTTCTGCAAGCTTGTTGCCGCCGCCAGTGGAAGCCGGCTGCGCAGGAGCGGCAGAAGTCGTGCCAGTGGCCGCCGGTCTGCTGGTCGTGCTCGACTGTGGCGTGCTCGACTGCGGCGTGTGCGAGGACTCGTCCTTCTTGCCGAACAGCTTCTTGAGCTTGTCCATGATTATGTCTGAGTGGGAATGGTAAGTGAAGTGGTTGGATGGAGTAGGATCGCAGGTGTTTGGAAATGGATCTGCACGCTACACAGAACGGTGATCGACGTCAGTCAAGACCGGTCCAGACTAATGCAGGGTTCGAGTGCATATCCCTGGATATTGCCGAGCACGTGACATGGAGGTGAACAACCACCTCCGTCCCAAAACCGTTGCAATCAGTGGACACTCACATGCGGCTATAGTAATTCATTGCTATACTACGGCTCTGTGACTGATGCATTGGTCCCAACCCATGAGCTTACCTGTAAGCCTCTAGGTGGCCTTTGGCATGAGAATCGTGGGCAACATGATTGGGAGAAGCACACCACTCGGAGTACCATCCCGGAACCATGACTTTCCACATATGCTGCCCTGTGGCCAACGACATGTTATTCTCAAGCAACGGTATTCGGAGCATTGTGCCTCTATGTAAGTCATTCCAGAACCACAAACCTACCTTGAAGCTGCATTGTCGGTGATGAGATGCTATGGACGAGCAATTGAACAGGGTTCGTCATCAAGGTAGGAGTATACTCTCAGCTTCCTATACTATTTGCAAGCTACCATCCTCTCCAACCACTGTCTGTCGTTTGCCAATGGCCTTGGGAATGCAAGAGAAGTTCACTTACTGAAAACGCTGTCTCGGCGCTTGTTGTCGCGCAGCCACTTCTCTTTCAGAAGCTTGCCACGCAGCTCGTTCGCCAAGCGGATGTTCCTCGGTGGTAGGTCTGTCGGACGATCCCCAGGTTGAGCCGGGGCCATAAGCTGCTGTGCCGGTTGATAGGCATTCAGCGTGGAAGAAAAATGAGCGTGGGATGATGCTGCGCGGCGGATGATGAAGCCGTGCTAGGCATGTCAGCATGACCTGGGATTCGAATAGTATGTACGCTATCTGTGCTATCATCAGGTTTCACTCTGGGAATCACCCACCTCAGCACCAGCTGGCGTGTCGCTCGATGGTTCGCGGCTAAGCCTTGGCTCGTTGCGGCGCTTGGCGGACATGAGATCGGTGGATACAAGCTCGGCACGCTTCTTGCGCGGCGGTGAGCGAGAACGAGGCGGTGAGGCACGGCGAGTGCGTTTTGGTGGTGGCGAGCGGCTGTCGGCTTCGCGTAACGATGACCTGCGGCGGTCGCGCCTGGGCGAACGTGAGCGGCGTCTATGAATTGGAGAGCGGGATCTGCGGTATGTGTCACCACGCCTGATTGATCTCCGCTCCACACCATGGTCGCGCATGGTCGGGCGGTCAGTGCTACGCTTCCTGCGTGGTGGAGAGCGTGAAGGTGATCTAGAGTCGGATCTTCTGCGCTTGGGCGGAGGAGACTGCGACTCAGACGATGAGTTTCGCCGACGGCGGGTCGGAGGCGGTGAGGAACGTGATGGCGACCGTGTCTCTCGGCGGCGGTGGCGGCGTCTCGGTGGTGGTGAGCGTGTTCGACTGCGTGACGGAGACCGACGGCGTTCACGGTCTCTGCCGGGTATGTAGGAGTCGGTAGAAGCTCGTGGTCTGTAGCTATCGTCATCGTCACGACGTCTAGGAGGCGGTGACCTCGAATCTCGTCTTGGCGGACGACGATCGGAGCCATGACCGTAACGTCCGCCTCTACCTCGGCGCTCATTGCGCTCCCTCTCACGAAGCTCCTCGAGCTCTTCTTCGCGCTTACGCTCGGCTTCGCGGCGTTTCCGTATTTCCTCGCGCCTCTTGTCTTCTTCGGCCTAACGAGCGTCAGTGCCTGTACCGATTGGGATGCTTGCACTTCTGCATACCCTGACTTGGACAAGCTCCGCCTTCTTCGCCTCCAGCAGCTCCTTCGGCACGCCCGAGCCGCTACTTTGCGCGCTCAAGCACAACTTCCATAAGTCGTGACAGAACTTCGGTGCGTCCTTGTCAAGAAAGCCATTGAGGGATATCTGCAAAGCCTTGATGTCAGGCTGTCAAGGAGCGGTTAGCGTCGGGTTAAGCACATCCACAATGTGTATGGAGACGTACGTAGCGCGGCCCGTCTATAAGGTTAAAGATGGTCTCGGTCACCACATCATCGTCGTTGCCGAGGATAGTGGCAATCTCGCTGTTGACCCACGTCCTGATGACTGGAACATTGACCTTGGTCATGTCCACCTTCTGGTTAAACTCGGGCGGAAACTGCGTTGTGCGGAGAAGGCGCTTGTCGACGTCGGTAGTGAGCTTCGACGACATGATGGCGGTCCGTGGTGTGCTCTGGCACGCTTGTTGCTACGGACGTCAAAGGAACATGGTTAGAGGAGGGGGCAATGTTGGCGCGAGACAGCAACTTGCATAGTGGAAGTCGCGTGCTTGAGGGTTGAAGCTCACGTCAGTAGCGTTGTGCCTTAGATAAGCACTGCAACCACCATTCGGCCCGAACAGCTCGCTTCGTGCTCAGCTCCTTGACGACGATGACTCTCCGACATATCCAGCATTCTTCTATTGACGACACGGAGCGTCTCAGAAGAGACCAATATGCAGGTCGCAGAGGTTCTCTCGGACCTTAGCACTCTCTATCTGGCTGTACGACACCCCTGCCGTGGCCGAACTCTGGCTGACAGATTGCAAGGATCCGAAAGCGGCAGCGGCTCTCATCAGGTATGGCAACACCAATGTTTCGTCATCTCAAGGTCGCGACAACGATCCAGACCTGAAGCGAGCTCGCGACCTTCTCGAGCTCCACGCTGAGGTAAAGGTGGCGCACCAGCATGGCAACGATCGAGAACTTTCAGAGGCTCGTCAAGCTGTGGATCGCATTATGAACGAGCTGAAGTGACGCATTCCGCCTTGCAAATCTCAAAGTGGTCGGTACATGGCAACTGTACTCCGCTTTTGCAGTATACGTTCTGAATCTCAGCTTCTGGTATCGTCAGGTAGACCGGCATCGGCTCTTCCTGCGAGACTACAGCCCGGCGGCGACGTACGCTTTAATTTGCTCCGGGCGTCGAGCGTTTGTATGTGTCAGCAGCCGCCGGAAGGCACTTGTCAAATTACTTTCGTCTGAGAAAGCAAACTGCGAAAACATCCGAAAGTGGTGCGGCTGCGACATATAGCTTTTCCACGATATTGGGCTTGAATAACGAGCTGAGCGGCCATAGTAGGGCCCAGGAAGGATGGCACGGCGAAGGGGTCAGAGGCCATGCAAAGACTTGCTGGAAGTGGTGAAGCTTGGGCTGGGACGGGCGGTCCGCCGTGGATTGGCGCTTGTAGTAGCACGCATCCACGGAAGCGCCATGAAGCTGCCAACCGGACGCCAGAACGCTACCTCACTCATATCACGTTGTAGAAGGCTGCATTGAGCGCTTTGGTTCGTGTATGAATGCGGTTGAGGCTGCATCGAAGGTCGCTGTGCTTCGGCCAATAAAGTTCACACAGCTACTTGCGGGCAATTTAATGCAAAAGTATCGCTTACGACGACCGTGTGGGACACTGCTAATGGACAAATCTGCGTGAGCATTTCGGTAAGCAATCAACCAAGAGGCTTATGCAACGCACGAGCGATCAGCCGGTCACTGTCGAAACACAACAGTTCAGGCTGTTCGAGTTCGCTGCCGACTCCCGTGCCTGCCCCTTCTGGAAAAAGCGGAAGCAGAGCCGCACTTAGGGCGACTGTTTGTTTAAATCGCATTCACACCCAACAATTTCTGCACCACGCAAGATCTGTCAACGATTGGACAAGATGCGCTCTCCGATACCCATGGACGCTTGCAAGAACAGGCATGTGTGGTGCAGCAGATCCTGGAGCGTTTGTGCATCACTAGCTTAACATCAGTTACAGCCAAACTCCAGCGAAGCGATAAGGCCGGTAAGTAGCCTCATAGCAATGTTCAAGTAAGCCACTGGCATGAATCCTCTTGCTAATCCCTTTGTGCCCTCAGCAATCGCTTGGAAGGCACCTGCAGCCAATGCACCAAATCAAGGCAGATCGCAGGCACCACACCCGACATTCACGCAGCCAGCGCTATTTAAAAATTCAGCATCCGACACTTCGGTCATTACCAACCCCTGGTCACCCTCACAGAAAGCGCGAATCACAGCAAGGAACGCTCAAGCCGGCTTGCAATCGTCAGACTCCATATCTACGCAGCCGCAGGAGTCGCACGATCGAACAGCAAACATGACTAACACCTCGCCACACTCTGGTGTCAAGGATTCCCAACCTAACACAAGTTGGATCCGCTCGGAGCCGGCACGGCCACAGATGGCTGAAACCCGCAAGCTTTGGATGGAGCACATCAACAGAGCCATGGACACATTAAGAGACAACAAGGCATGGTCAACGACCGAGCTTGTCCAACGCGCACAGGAGTATCTTGAGAAACACACGCAGTACCAGCGCCCGCACCCATGTCCACCGTCTCAGGCGCCGACTGCGCCGAACAAAGCGGCTCGCTACGACAACCTGCACCACTCCTTCTCGGTGCCTGGAAGGGACGCTGTGTTGTATGCAGAGCCTCAGACGGAGATAGGTCGTGCTCAGCTGCGTGAGATTATCTGGACGTCAATCCCGTACCGTCTGCAGATTCAGAAGCCACAGCAGTGACTGAGGGAGCCCATATTGTATGGCTGAATGCTCGCGTTGAATGGGGTTGTGGAGCGTGGCATTGCGAGCGTACTATGATTGCGCGTGCACCCGGCGTTGGAGACTTCACGCTGCGACAGCTTGTTTGTGATCTTCTGATTCGTACACACGGCGCTCGTATACAGCAGCCTAATTGTCTCTCTGGCTACTTGTACATTGACATGCATGCCCGCCATCATATTCACTCAAGCTGAGCCTCATCCATGTTCCTCACGAACAGCGTGAACCACTTAACCATACCGAGATGGTTGTCCACGCTAATCCTCTCATCGACCGTATGCACGTTGCCCAAACCCTTATCCCACGTGGGATCGTAACCAGGTCCGTAACGGAAGATGTGCTTTGTCAGCGGCCAGTAGTAGCGCGTGTCGGTATTGCCAGTCATCATGCCCGGGCTCACTATAATGTGGTCGCCGTAGACGGCCCGAGTGGTGCCTGCTAGGATGGCATACGGCGTGATCGTGTCGACGTTGGTCGGGGTAACTGGTGCGACTTCGAGAGTGTTCTCCGATGGGTACATGGAGATGGATGAAGCTGCCTCCTTCGTACCGTCAAATGCGTGGAGGGTGAGGTTGTACTTCTCCGCGACCGGCTTTGCGAGCGAAGTGAGATGCGAGAACACCGTCTCCGCGGTATCGCCAATGTTGATACGATGGTTAACTGTGACCATGGTTCGCTCGGGTAGAGCATTAACCTTGACGCCGCCTTCTATCACATCGACAGCCTGGCTGGTCTGCATGAGGTACTTCACCGGACGGCCACCGAGCTTCGCGGCCTCGAGCGCAAGCTCGTCTGGCTTCGCCTTGCATTGTGACTTTGTGCTGTGCTTACGCAACAGCTTCTTGAGCTTCTTCGGGAAGGTGGGTGCATGGCTGGCACCGCATTCCAACAGACCGAGCATTGGGTTCTCATCCGCGAGGTAGGTTGGATACTGCTCGGCTTCGATCATGGTGACCAGCTCGCTCATGACACCAATGCCGGTGTGATCAGTAGGGATCGATGAGTGGCCGCCGTTCATGCGCACAGTGATGTAGACATCGGTGTAGCCTTTCTCGCCGACACCAGGGATGGCGAAGACTTGGTCCCTGAAAAGAGTAAGCCTATAGTCACGGCAACAGTGACGGCATATATACTTACCAAGCGGTTGAGAAGCCGGCACCCTCATCAACAATTGCCGCCACACCGTTATTGCCGTGGCGGTCGTGCAAGAAGCCAGCTAGATGACCAGCACCTCTCCGTCCACTGATCTCCTCATCGAAGCCGAAGCTCATGACGATCGTCCGCTTCGGCTCATACCCAGCAGCGAGAAAGAGCTCAATCGTTTCCATGACTGCAATAAGCTGGTTCTTGCAATCACTCGCGCCTCGGCCCCAGATGAACTTCCCGTCATAGTGGCCGCTGAAGGGCGGATGAGTCCAGGCGTCAACGGTAGACGCTGGGACGGGCACTACATCCTGATGCGCCATAAGGATCAGAGGCTTCAAACTCTCGTCACTGCCTTGCCAAGTGTACAGCAGACCATGTGTGTTAACCTTCTCGACCTTCAAGTCGCTATGCATGCGTGGGAAGGTCGCCTCCAAGTAGTCGGCGAATTGATACATGATATCCCATCGCTTGTCCTCGCCCACCTCTCCCATATTGTCGAACGACTCCGTTGGGATCTTGACCGCACCAGAGTGTCGGACGATGGACGCATTTCGGAATGCAGGAGTCTGAATGTACTCCCACATCTCTCCGATCTTGACATCGTTGACTGGCGGGTAGAGTGGAGGAACCTGGACACATGAAGCTTTTGAGGCGACACCATCCGGCAGGCCACGGTGATGGGAGTGAGGAACAACCTCTCTGAACAACTGCTTGATCGCGTAGAGCGTCAAACAGACGAAGAAAGTTGCGGACAATATCCGCCGAGCATAGCTCTGTGATTTGGGAGGCTGATCGGCCACGGAGACCGGAAGGAGCTTGTTCTTTTCCATATCGAGGGGAGTGATGACACAAGAGGAGAAGGAGGAGGAGCAGGAGGAGGAGGAGAGGATGATGCAGAGGAGAAGAGCAGTATTTACCTTGACAATGGCGAGTTTCTAACCACAGCTCTACCTTCTTCATTGAGCTTAGGATGTTGTTTATCTCGGCGACGTCGGCAGAGGGAGCTGTTGGCCGAGTGGGGACGTACACGTGACTTGTCGATGTGTCTCCCGAAGCGGGGAAAAGGCGCTGTAGCATCCTGTGAATATGACTTCCGTTATCACAAGCAGCCCTCCGAGCTTATGTATCAGGGAAAACATGGCATAGCAAAGGGTGAGCACGTTGGTTAAAGCATCGATCTAGTCCACTCCTCGCCGACGAGGTGGTAGCTGTTTTCGGATATGCTCTACTCCACATGTACCTGCATCTGAAGACGTCACCTGAATCCTCCACATCATGGCCATCTCCTCTTCATGGTCAAAGTTGCGCTGGTACGCTACGTGACCGGACGCGTCTGTAACCCACGGCAGATACATATATATCGGTGCCTGGTAAGTAGTTCCACTTCGTCTGCTCTGCTCACTCTCGCTTTCCTGTCTCCTTGTGTCTGTTCGCGTAAGGTTTATAGCCACTCGTCGAAAGCATGGCGTACAACAACGGGCCAGCACCAACTGGCTACGGATACGGCGATTCAGCACCTTCTCAATGGCACCAAGGCGGACGACATGGCTTGCAGCACACGTCTTACGCGGATGCGCCGCCTGCCTACACAGATACCCACTCCATATCCGGACCGTCTGTGGATGTGAAGCATGATGTGGACCCCATGCCACTTAATCCGGCAGAAGACGAAGACGAGCAGATAGTGGACCGCGCCTTGGACTTCGCCCACCACACTATTCCGCCTTTCCCCCAAGCCAACCGTCGGCGCCTCCCGGGACCAGTCGTGATACCGCAAGCATCTCCAGGCCCAGGCCAGCCCTTCACGCGCGCATATGCTCCCATCCTAGCCGAGCACGGAGTCCCAATGCAAGCTTTTGTGGAGCTGATTGACAACTTCAACATTGTGTCCAATAGCAGCCCACCGCTTCAGATCCTCGATCTGGCTAGCGGTGCTATCAGCTTCGTACCAATCCCACATGCAAGGCTTGTAGGCTACGGCGTGTCCGCTGCCATCAAAGTTGGCGAAGGGGTAGTGTCGAAGAGTAGAGGTGGCATGTTCATCAAGAAAGTAAATCTGGAATTCTTCAATCCGCGAGGCCTCAGGATTGAGCTTGCCACCAGCAAAGCGCTGAAGGCGAAGCTCGGCATGGACCCCGAGGTGCCACTCGCTGCCCCAATAGCCGCGTCCAACGATATGAGTAGCGTTCAGCGGAGGATGGCTAGCCTACAGGGCCGCGTCGCACCTTTGACGTTCGATGTACCGCTACCAAGTAAGCCCACCAAGTTCCTCGACAGGCTCTGCCTGATGCAGCAGAGGAAGAACGCGGAAAGACAGGAAAGGAAAGCGCAGGAGAGTCGGCTGGACTATGCAAGCAAGAGCGCCGAGATTGAAAAAAAGCTGCTCGAAGAACGGTCGAAACACGGCGAAGAGCTGCAGAAACTCAACGTCGAGCGTCAGAAGCTGGAACATGAGCGAGACAAGGAAATGCAGAAGGCGCAGCGGGAACGCAAGCCGGAGAAACGGGCAGAGAGGGAGACGGAGGCCATGGCGGACTTCCGAAAGGAAATGAGGAAGTTGGACGAGGAGTACGATAAAATCCGCGGTAAGCATGATGAGGAGGTACGTCATCATGAAGGTGACAGGAGGAAGGAGGATAAGGAAGGTCGGCAAGGGGATAAGATTCAGTGGATGCTGATTGAGAGCCTGTGAGGTATTAGGCCCCATGGCTAGAGGTACGTTGTCTAAGGTATAGAAGGCAGACTAGTACGTGTGACAATAGGTCGCACCGACTGTTTGAGCAGAGACTCTGTTATCAAACGCACGCGACAGGCTGTCTACATTTCGACGATAACATAGGCTATTGGACAAACGCAGCCGACTTAGACCTGCGAGTGGACGGGAGGAGGTTTTACTCCAGTCGGATGCGGTTGGGTAAGGAGAAATCAATCTGTGCAGGACTACGTGTCAATAAACAATTCTGCAGCTACAATCCGTTGCGGGAGCCATGTCCCCGAACTACATTTCAACCTCCGTTCACGTCTTGGTAGTCTCGTGTACAACCGAAGCGTCTTCGCGCTGCTCAAGCTCGAGCTCCTTCTTCTCTACTGCCAGCGCAGTCTGCACATCATGAGCTCTCTGCACGGCGTCGACATTGCCGAAGAGGATGTCGATTTCCTCGAGCGTCATCCGTTTCGTCTCAGGGACGAAGAAGAAGACGAAGAAGAAGTTGGCGAGGCAGAAGATGGCGAACATGAGGAAGGTCCTCCAGCCGATGTCAGCAACAGCGATAGGCGTAATCTTCGTGATGACGAAGTTGAAGAGCCATTGTGTCGTCGCAGCAAGACCGACACCGTAAGCCCTCAACCTGGTTGGGAAGATCTCCGAGACGAACACCCACGGGACTGGTCCCCAAGAGGCTGAATAGCCGATAACGTATAGATAGATCATGACCACCATAGCGATGGAGGCGTGGCTGACACCGGGAATCTTGGTGTTGGGCGGGTGTGTCGCTAGTACGGCGCCAATGATGAACATCATGGCGGACATCCAGAGGGCACCAGCCATCAAACTCTTCTTGCGACCAGCCTGATCAATACCGACGAGCAGGAAGATGCCGGTAGCGATGATCTTCACGGTGCCGTAGACGCCAGTGGCGAAGAGGGAGGCATTGGTCTTGCTGACGCCAACGGTCTGGAATATTTGAGGAGCGTACTATATGCACTGTTAGCGATACGTTCTGAAGAACGACCTCGCGATAGTTGACGTACGTAACCAATGCTGTTGGTTCCGCTGAACTGCTGGCACATCATGATGACAAAGGCAAGCAGGAAACGGCGACGGCTGCTTGGCTGCAGACACTCCTTCCAAGTGAGACCCTCAGTGGCGTTCATTTCCTCTTCGATAGACGCACGGATCTCCGCCAGTTCCTCCAGAACCTCCGGGCTTTCAATGGTGGCGCAGCGAGACCATGCTAAGCTGTTGGCGGCAGCCTGGTGCTTGCCCTTCTTGGTCAACCATCTGGGCGACTCCTTGAGGAAGAATAGTCCAATAAGCATGAGGCCACCCGGAATGAGCTGAACGCCCACTGGGATGCGCCATTGCTTCGTGCTCGGCTTGATGTGGAGCGCAACGCCGTAGTCGAGCCAGTAAGCGAATGTTGAGCCAATAACGAGGAATTCCTGGAACAGACCAGCAATCCGGCCACGTTGCCTGGCTGGAGCATTCTCGGAGACGAAGACAGACATGACAGCGCTCATGCCACCAACGCCAAGACCTGCGATGACACGACCGCCGTAGATCAAGCCGATCTGAGTGTGTGCGCCGGTCTGTATTGCCGCACCAACGAGAAAGATGGAGCAGAAGGCCATGAGCGTCGGCTTGCGGCCGAACTGCTCGTTGATGAAGGATGCGGCAATGGCACCGAAAAAGCAGCCAGCGGTCAGGAGCGAGACGACATTGGACGAGATCTCGGCGTTCTTCGCGGAGGCAAACCCTGTGCTGCCAAGAGGGAGACCGAAATCCTTTTTGAACGAGTTCAGGGAGAGGACGGATCCCATGACGCCGGTATCATAGCTATACAGTGTCAGCAAGCTGGTGTAGACATCTGGGTGGTATCGATATATCGTACCCAAACAGCAACGAGCCAAGGTAGGCCACCGCCGTGAGGAGGTAGACCCGCCTGTTCTTTGCGAAACCCGAGGCGGACGACATAGTGACTGCGGCGAGTGGCCACGAGAAGGTAACGGTGAGTTTGATATGAAATGGGATGAGATTTCAGAGACCACGGGAAGCGATACTATCTTATACGCGCCCAAATGTGGAGGACCGAGGGACCTTGTCGACGTCCACGTGGAGTATGTCTAGATGTAGATGCGGCGGGGACTCCACGTGCGGAGTGGTGGAAATGTCATGTCCTTTGCTGTGGTTGGCCAGGCTGGGCCATCCATGGCTTGTTCGCACCAAATGGCTCGGATTTGGCACGGATCTGGATGGACATCACGAACTTTGACCTCACCAGCGACTAATGGACGTCCGCGTCGATGAATCTAAGCTCTGCTTCTGGCCTGGTGGCAGACGGAAGAATCGAGGCAATTATTCCACCAATGAAAGAAAGTTGCAGATTCCTGCCAAGGAAGGCACAACAGCGCCCGAAGTTCGGCCTTTGATATGCCGACTCTGGATTTCACAACATGGAGCAAGATGGAGTCATGCAAGCTCGTGGACTGCTTCGCAGCACATACGAGTCCTGTCTAGTTGCAGGCAAGCCCGAACGTGGCCGATATGTCAATGCGGACCAACGTCAGCATTGAGGAAGTGGAAGGCGAGGAAGATCTAGCCACAACCATCAAGCTGTTCGAAGCATACGCACAATCTCTGGGCATTGATCTTACCTTCCAGGACTTTGCTCATGAGCTCGGAAGCATGCCAGGGAAGTATGCTCCCCCTCAAGGCATCCTGCTGCTCGCCAAAGCCGCATCAGGTGACGCTTTCGGTTGCGTCGGCCTGAGACCGCTAGCAGGTCATGGCTACTGCGAGATGAAGCGGCTCTACGTTGCCCCTGAAGGCCGCGGACTGGGGATTGGGCGGGCTCTCGCGGAGCGTGTCGTCCAGGAAGCGCGACTTATGGCCTATCAAGCGGTGCGTCTAGACACGCTCCCGAGCATGGCATCTGCTCGGCACCTGTACACATCCCTCGGCTTCCGCGAGGTTGAGCCGTATTATGAGACTCCGATTAAGGGTACCGTATTTCTGGAACTTGATCTAGCCAGATGAAGAGGGAGCGCTTGTCACTCGTTCTTCGTCCAATAGTTTATTCACAACTGACAACTCTGGCCGCAACCTTGCCCTATCTACCGCGGGGTGTTGCCTTTGCAGCCAATTCTTGTTACGCCTGATGATCGGCTGTAAATCATTCACAGCGAGACTCTATTTCGCTGGTTGCTCCTAGAGCTACGCAGCTGACTTGTGCTTGACTGGATGTAGGTATCGTGATCCAATGCCGGATGGCTGTGCCACTGATCACGTCGATCAGATCACCACCATCAACTCCACCCTCTTGAGCTTATCATCCTCGAGTGGCGGATAGTAAGGCACCATTGCGTCCGCACTCTGCACGTACGCGTCATTGTACAACCTCCAGTATGGCGTCCTGACCTTCCTTGCTGGGTGAAACAAACCCGCCCAGACATAGTTCATGACCGCGCCTGTGCCGACAGCCAACCTGACCGCATCAATAGCCTCAATAACCCGATCGATAACATGTGGAGACGTCTCGAACAGGTTCGGGTACAGCAGATTTAGCAAGTGTAGCATAGCGTCTTCGCAGCCCAGCCCAACGACGCCAAGAGCTATGTGTTTTACGACGCTGGCGGCAGTTTGACGGTGGACTTGGTCACGGTCGATGAGGGCATCTTCGAGCAATGGCGTGACCGCGTAGACATAGTCTTTGGCCATTTCGCCGATATACTCGAAGAGGAAGGAAAGGGACTTCAGCACGCCGTTCTGTACGTTGAGCTCCGGTACACGGTATTCGTTCATCAACGCCGGCAGGACAGTGAAAGGCGCGCAGGTCTCGGCTACGATGCCGATGGCGACAGCGGTACAGACACGCGACTGGCGCTCTTGCACGCGGAGGTTGTTGAGCAGCGTCGCAAGCACGTCCTGAGGTCCAATGGCTTTGGCAATGAAGCCAAAGGTGTTGTTGGCTGCACGCCGGATGCCTTTCTTGTGGGCCTTCAGCATGTCCAACAGCTCGAAGCAAATACGCATCCATTCGCGGGCATTGACGCTCTCCGGCCCACGGTCAGCAATGCGTCCCACCAGATCGATCGTGTTCTCCTGCACTTTTTCGTGTCTGTTGCGCAAAATGGGTGTAAGGCGAGGTAGCAGGTCCTTGATGGGAGGTTGCATGCTGTTTATGCCCACCACGGTGACGATAGAACGCATGGCACCAAGAATCGAGCCGAGCACCTCCGGGTACTCTTCACCAAGATATTCGTAGAGTACGGTGCCAAGCTTGCCCATCAATCCATCTTCGCCGCACTGCTTCATCACAATCGCAATCCGTGTGACGAGGTCTGCGGCTTGCTGTCGAACAGTCGCGCTCTTATTGTTCAGACGCCACAAGATCGTACTCACAATCTGCGGCAGGTACGGCTTACAGCGCGTTCCGAGTGCGTTGACCACGGTACCGAACCCATTGAGCAGCACGATGTCTTCGACGCTCTGCTCCTGGAATGCATGAAGGATGCCATCGACGAGCCGCTCCTCGAGCCGCTCATTGATGTCTGCTGCGCCCATAGCCGAGATAACCTTCTCGATGGTCTCCACGGTCATCTTTCGGTAAGCCTCGCTTTCATCCTTCAGATTACCGACAACTCTCTCCACTATCTCGCCTACACCGACCTTATTGCCGAGGTCAACAGTAGTCTCAACGACCTGCTTGTAGTTTCGCTTGTCAAGCGCCATCCGGCGGACCCAGAAGCTCTTGAAGAAGTCGTTGAGGACCTTGTCCTTCAGGTACTGCGCAGTCACGCCGCTCGTACCCGCGCATTGGGAGATGACCTTGAGCACGACCTTCTTCATTTCTTCGTCTGGTGACTGGAACTCACGAAGCAGAATCTCCATGATTTGACCGGTGTAGTAGTTCGAGTACTCCTCGTCCATAAGCGGGATGATATAGCCGACAGCCTTGAGAAAGCCAGCGAGACCTTTGCCACGCTGCTTACGAGCACCGGTCCACAAAGGGTTGAGGATATCGTCGAATGACTCAATACCGAAAGGGTTCGAAGCTTCGGCGAGCGCAGCCAGAGCAAGAGAAGTAACAGTGCGCACTTTAGCCTGTTCGTCATTCAGGTTCTCGCCGATACAGTCCACAAGCCCCTTGAGATGGGGTAGAACGGCACAGCCCATGAGGATGGGGATCTGCTGCACGATCTTGACGCCGGTGTGGCGGGCTTGCCATGATTTCTTGCTCTTGCAGACGGCCTTGAGAAAGGGCAGCAGTGTTGGGATACCCAGAGCGCTCGCCACAACAGCGAAAGCACGGGCGGTGGTATTACGCACGTACTCGTCGACGTGATCGATGTCGGGTCTCATCGTGCTGATCATGTGCGCCAAGCCGGCCGCCTTTGACAGATTTGATATAATCTCGCGACCCTCAACGCGAGCGTAGTAGTCTTGATCAATGAGCAGTGGTTCAATGACCACCAGGATCTTGTGCACATACGGCCGGACTAGGTCATCGAGCTTGTACAGCACACGATCAATGACCTTGACGAGTAGGTGGCGCTCTTGGTCCTCAAGCGACTTCTCCATGAGTAACGGCAGGATCTGATCGAACAGCGGACCAGCACCGAAATGGCGTGCATTGTCGGTAAGCTGTCGTAGGGCCGTCTTCCTCATCGGTGGTGTGCCGTTCTTGACCTTAAGCAGGAGACGCATGATTTTGCGCTGCTTTAGCTCTTCTACGCTAAGCTCATTTTCATCTGCGCCGTCGACAAGCTTGCCGAAGTAGGCCATGTCTTCGGCCTTGAAGAACTGCAGGTCGCCAACACCCGGGATGTCAGAGGGTAGCTGCTTGCCCATCGAGCGAGCGTCGACGGGTTCTTGCATCATGAAGCCGCCGGTATTGACGGGAGTAGCTGCGGGCGCGATACGGCGGGCTGGAGCACGAAGAGGCTCGTACCCAGGTGGCGGCTCGAGGATTTGATAGCCTTCTGAGGGTAGCATCTCGTCCAGCTCCTCGTCCGAGAGCGGTGCGTTGCGGCTTGAGATATCCGTGCCAAAACCTGACGCAGGCTGGGTAGCGGGCGCAGGTGTAGCGCCACCGGCAGCGCCAGCTATGTCCCACTTTGAGCGCTTCTTGGCGGCTGCAGGCGTAACTGCGCCATTTACGCCATCAGGAGCGCTTGTGGTGTCCCATCTTGATCGCTTAGCCGCCTTCACCTCTCCGTTGGTGGCATGCCCATTCGTTGTGGCTTCGCCGTTAGTAGCATGCGCTTCCTCCGTGGCAGCATCAACGTCCCATCTCCTCTTCCTCGCCCTGGTAGGTTTGGCAGCCACATGCCCGTTCGTACCGCCATTGATCTTACCGTCCTGCTCTGCACTGCCATCCTTAAGCATGGGCTTGTGCTCCTCCAGCCCGTCCATCTCCTCATCGTCTCCATGCGCAATCTTCTCCTTATCCCTCTGCTCGATCAGCCTTCGCACTCTCTCCTCTTCTCTCTGTAACTCCCGCTCTGCCATCGTTTCGCGATACGTCTTACCCTCGCCATCATCCAGCTCGCGCCTAAAGCGCTGCTTCTGATAGTCCGTCTCGCGACTCGCAATCTGCGCCTGCTTCTCCCGGCTTTGCAGGATGTCGCCTTCCTCCGTTTCCCCCGTTGCCCACTCGTTCATCTGAGCGGCCGTAGCTGTGTACTGACCAATAAGTCTGCCATCGTTGCCATCCTCGCCGTCGCCGTCCTCCATCACCTCATCGCCGTCGTCGGCTGCGATGGAAGTATTGTAACCGGCAAACTTGTCGGCTGCATTATCGCCGTAGAGATCCTTGTCGAAGTTCTCAGTGAGGGATGCCTTGGTGTTGTTGCTGCGTTGACCGTTCACTCCAACGCCGAAGCCCTTTTTGCCTGTGGCGTTTCGCTCAGCTTGCGCTTGGCGCACCTTTTCGAAGTCGGCGTCAGACATCGTGGACGTCAGGCGGTAATGGACGCTGAAAAACAGTGTATGTCCTGACGGTAAGGAGATGGACGAGGTGGGAAACTCAAACGAAAGTGGTTCATGAATAAGCTCTCGGCTGCTGTCTGCCTTAGGCATCTAGATGGTTCCACGTGATTTACGTAGGCTATTGCTCGATGTAGGACATGTACCAGACAGGAGCCGAGAGTGCTGATTGTAGGGTATTGAAGAGACGTGATACGACAATCGTCATTTGCTCTAGCTATTGCATGGAAGCGAAGTGCATCGTGCTATGAGTGTCCAGGAATTTCCATGATAAGCGCAGTCTGAATGTACGCAATCAAACCCTCCTTTCCAGCGCCATCGCTAAAACATCAACTAAACAATCCCGTCATGCCATGAATCTGACCGTCGCGCTCAGTTCTTCCTTCTGCTCCTCTCCCTTCCTTGTCTTTGCACCTGCCAAAAGATCCTGATACTGCCAACCCTCTCCTAAGCGGCCGTTGACATGAACGCTGTCGGCGGAAGGATGGCCTTCGCTTTCTCGAAGTTCACCACGGCTACCTGCGCATTCCATCCGCTCTGATCCAAACAGTCTTTAGCGTACTGCAGCGTCATGCCAGTCTGCGACATCAGCGCCGCCACCATCTGCTCAGCCTGCGGTATAGTTAGGCCTTCTGGCAGCTGCGGTGCGCCATCGATTTCTGCCTGCGCGGCGTATGTCGGCTCGGCGTTCCACCCCTCGGCATTCTCAGGCTCAAACGCTTGCGTGCCGCCGTAGCTGCGCAATGTAAGTTGATCGCTGACAATGCGGACGCCCGCTACCCCGCCTGGACCGAGGATGAAGGTACGGTCGAAGCTGCGTTTCTTGATCTGACCGCTTGATGCCACAAGCTCCTCAACCTCGCCATGAACAGTAATGAAGAAGCCGTCTACGCCATTCGGTGACTGCCCCGTCGGATCTGGCACACCTGGTACCATCCTCGCCTCGACAATCCATTTCTTCGCTTCAGCCGCGAGATCGGGATGCTTCGTTTGCGGCAGGCCAATAAAAGCATCTGCAACAGCCTTCGTGCCGTGGAAAATCCTAGCTTGCCGCGCCGGAAGCTGTTGGATCTTTCTAAGGTTGCGACTCTGCTTGAGCAAGCCCTCCCACTCGCCCGCCTCGTGCTTCTCAGTCGCTGCCGGGTCGCGCGGTGCTTGCGAGTTGACCGCGTACGAGAACTCGGAGTGCTCGTCAAAATAATACGCCGCGAGTACTGCGCGGTCAGAATCGAAGCCCGCAAAGAACTTCAGTACGAACTGCTCGGCGATACCGCCCTCGTCTTGAAATATAGCGCTCCGGATTGGGAACGGCATGTCGGTAATCTGAGCTTTATTCGCCACTTCTTCTTCAGTGCGCACTTGAACATTGTTGAGCTGTCGCAGGTTCGGGTACCACTTAACGACTTCAACCGCATAGCCTGGGTCGTTCTGCTCGATTGGGTTGCCAGTCAGAATCAGGCGTTCAAGTTGGCCGAAACGCCTGCGCCAGTTGTCAAGGGCAGATAATTTTCGGAACTTGTTGTTCGAAAGGTCAAGGTTTTGCAGTCTTGGCAGCGTTATTGATAGTGAGGTAACAGCGGCCAGATCTTCAAGGTCGTTGTTGGCAAGGGAGACACTGGTTATCGCAGCAAAGAGGTCTTCCTTCTTGTCGAATGAGTGTTCAAGTACTTTCATCATAGCCGGGAAGAATTTGCTCGTAGTCGATTTAGACTCGAAGATCTTCTGTTGCTGAAGTTCTTCGTCTTGGCCAAGCGCGCTTAGGTTGAGAAACTTCGTTTCGAGGTCGTAGCGTCGCTCAAGTACGTGCCTGAGCATCTCCTTGATCCTCTCCGCCTCGGATGACACTACCGGAGTGCCCTGAACAGCGCCACCGAGTCGCTCGATACTCACGGTCGTCCCAGCCCACCCGTAGCCGTTCATTCGTACAAGCGGCGGCACGTCCTCAGGTGCAACCTTGACGATCAAGTCGGATCCTTCCACACGTGACTGTATACATGTTAGTAACCCAAAGTAGCCGGCTCGAGAGAGCCGATTAGCCGTACGGCAAGCGCTGCCCAGTAAAGCAAATCACAGTCCTCGTTCTGTGTTTGGCTTGTAACGGGGGCGGACCGGATATGGTGATTGCGCGCACGCAGAGCAAAGCGCGTCGATGGGCCAATTGGCGACAACATACCTTCTTAATCCTCACGCTGCGTGCTCTTGACCCGAGTCTTACGCTCGCCTTTTTTTCTAGCCACTTCAACAGCGAGCTGACTCCCCCATCTTCGTCGCCGGAGGCCTTACTCTTGTTCCAACCAGTGACCTTAAGCTCGACCAGACCGCCTCTTGGCCCGCTGGAGCGTACTTCCTTCATCGACACGTCGCTCGCTCCTGCCTGTCTTAGAATCGCGCGCTGTGCCGTTGCGCTGATGATTCCGTTCCGCGATGGTCGTCCACCTGCAGCATCCTTGCGAGGACCTGTGGGTGGTGTGCTCTTGCCGACGCCAGCTCTGCCTTTGATTGATAGCCCCATGCTGACGTCGCCGTCTTTGTCCGCGCGGAGAGCTTGTCGTCGAGCCGCTGCTGGGCCACGCGGCGCCGCACGTGGAGGCTTTGAACGCGCGACCATTGTGCTTTCGTCTGTGCTTTTGATCAAGGCCAGCAAGGTACGCTGGTGCGGGCATCCAGCCTGCTTGCTGCCTCGGCCTCAAGTGAATGTAGTCTCTTCAGAGCCGCCTGGTGAAGATTGCTGTGTTAGTGAGTGACGGTGTGTCGAAGAATCGTATGGATACGGCAATTCCAGTCTGTTGATGTGGTCGAGGGAGAGTGGTAGCGCATGCGACTATAATGAGGCCTTGCCCCGTGAAAGAATGCAGCTATTGTGCGATGGTGTTAGAGCAAACCGCTGACTCATGCATCGGGTCCCGCATCCGCATGCAGACTACCAGAATCGCTGCCACGCTGCATCAATATTCAGGTTCTTCGTGAATACTCTTGAGTGTCCTTGCTCGACACGCGCACGTCTTCCTATCTCCCACGTGAGTGAGAGGCGGGTGCTCGATTGATGGCGATGCAGTTTGCCTTTCGCACGAGCGATTTAAAGAAAGTCGACCGCTTGTCAACGCCACCCTGACATTGACACCTATCCGCCATTGCTACATGTAGTATAAGCCTACCAGTGCCACTCACTAACGCCATATCATTGAACCGGCGTACCCATACGGATGTTGTGTCAAGCTGGCCACCTGTCGACGACTAAAGGCACATGCCACCTGACTCAACATCGTCTACCGATCGTGCAGCGTTGGAGCGACCTTGACAGAGGGCATAGCATGGCACAGCGCTCGATGCAAGGAAGTATAGTCGGTGCGGTTGCAAACTGATGTTATTCATTGCAAATGCGAAAGAATTTGGGCTTGTAAAGCGTGGCGAACTATTTGACCAAGCAGCGACATCTTTTGCAACATCTCCTGCAACAACTCCCTCTACCTCGATAAACACATAGGCTACGTTAGCACTGGCAGCCAATCAGCTTACATTCTTGAATCGCCACTTGCTCGGGTACCGTTATCTCAGAACCACGCTCACCTGCCTCCAAGCCTTTACTGTAGCCTGCCAGGGAATGTAAGAGGTCGCTGAGCGTCACGCTCGCCAGCAACGTCCAAGGTAGGACGCAGAATACGCTTGCCAGCCATTCCGAGTCCGACCACATGGTCAGCCCGGGCCAGCACAGCAATGCGGCTAACATAAACCATTTCTGGTGCTTGTCTCTCCGATCCATCCACACATACAGCCTGATCATGACAAATACTGAGATGGAGAACCAGACGAATGCGGACGAAGATGGGCTCCTGGTGCCCATGAAAGTGTTGATGCCCAAGAGCCAAACAATCATTTGCAAGGAAGCCTTCAATGGCTCGGTCACAATTAATGCTGGTCGGCTACTGGGCCAGTCGAGGAGTGAACCTGGGGGCAGCCGCTCTTCGCCGCCCCGATGTTTGACCGAGAAAATGATGTATGCTCGGACTAGTGAAAGTAGCCATAATGTACCGACGCAAATGAAGGCCTTCACAGCGCGACGGATGTGGCACGAGCACTCCAGCGGGTAGCACCACCTGGAGAGCTTCGGTCCTGACTTCTTTGTTGCGTATCGGCTATCAGTGTCCAGTTGCACCGCCCGCTGCTCCCACCATACCCGATCCCTCGCATTGTCATTCGGTGTTCCAGGCACCTGCCTCGACGGCCCTATTGCGAAGCTCGCCGCAGCGCTGCACGAGGTTGGCTGTTGGTAGACGCTCTCTCTTGAGCTGGAACCTCCGATCCTCGACCAACATGGCACTGGCGGAAAGCGTGGTTGCAGCTCTTTACATAGACCGCTCGGATGGTTACAGGCAGACGAAGCCTGCAATTCTTTGCAGAAGTCAGGCGTTCGAGACGAGAGTTCAGCATCCGGCAACAGCAGGGCGCAGGACTTCCTGTCACTGATGGAGCGCCCCTGTGGCGGCTTCCATTCTGCGCAGTTCAGTGCGCCTGTCGGTAACAGTGCATCGGAGTATGCTGCTACTGAGCCTCGGAGCGGCGGCGAAGGTGAAGACTCAGCCATGGTAGTCATCAGACATGCAAGGGAACATGCACGGTCTGTAAGCCAGGGGTGGGACACCAGAATGCTGCTGAGAGGTGACACCGGTAGCGCTGCTTTTTCGGCACACTCAAGTTGAGGTGCTCTCCTGTGGGCCTCCCGGTCCCAGTGGTTATGCAAATATCTCCACGCGCTCCATCGCATGAGGAATGGCGTCAAAGGGATGAACATTGGGCGTAACGGCGAAGTTGGCGCTGTGGGCTCTTCTGGAGCATCTTCGTGCATATCAGAACGAGACAATGCTTGTTCAGCATCTCCAGTCTCCACCAACACATTCCACCCTAGGAGACGCATCTTACTGCTGGTGGAGGTTGAACGGCGCTACTCCAGTCTGTTTCCCTCAAGAGAGCATGCGTTTCGCCTTCGAGGATTGTCGTAGATGCAGCATAAGAGCAAAAGCCGTCCGCTAATTGAAGTTCCGCCTGATCCCCGAAGCAGAACCGGTCGCAGAATGGGTGGTCGCGGCTTTGGCGCATGCACTAAAGATCAGGTTTGATTCACTGATGGTTACTGTGACGATGTCATACAACCAATACCGCAGCGATCAGCTGATTGCTATGGGAGAGTCTCGTAGGGTACTACTGAAAGTCTGGCATGGTTACTCGCGCCCTGCGGAAGAATCGGGTGCGACTCGCCTCAACTGCTGCTGGCCTGAGAGAGCTGCCTTGGAACGGTGCTGAACGCGAGGAGCGTCACCGTACCGGATCGTCCGGGAATCTGTCGTCCAATGCAAGACATGCCTCACCTGGGCGAACATGGCGCTAATGGACGGCTGCCAATCAGTGCGTGCTTCGTATGCTGCTCAGATCACCAGATAGCAGGGCGGGGTGGCTTAGCGAACGCCATGCAGCAACACCTCGCCTGAGCTTCGAGGCTCTGCCCGATGGAAGCGCGTGCAAACCAACTTCCTAGGGTCGCAGCACGCCATAGTCAAACCCCCTTGGCCGATGGGCTAGTGGAGCGGTTGTCGGCAGCATTCGACCGGCACGCAATTGCATCAACACGTCGTCGTAGTTGCCCCGTCCAACACCGTTCCTGCGCAAAGAGCACCGCCAGTGGAGAGCCCCCACGATCATCACATTCCATGCTGCCACGCACTAAGTGCCGGATGGATTCCTGCTCAGGAGGTGCAGCGCGGTATCGTGTAGATTCTCGTCACGGCAACTGGGACTTCACGCCACCCGAAAGCAGCCGAAAAGCTGATTCCCAAGTCAAACGAAGGGCACCCGCGCTGTTTGCAACAGGCCGAGACGAGAGCAACGGGCCTGATATGAGGTTCATGGCCGAGCAGTATCCGGCCTCGAACGTCTTGCCCGACACCTCACCTATCTCGGAAGAACAATTGACGAGCGAGATTAAGGGACTCTATACTGCGCTCGTTATGTTAGAAGAGAAATGTACCAATATTGACGCCGCACAGGTAGCGGACCCAAGCGCCAATTCGGATGCTAGTCAGTGGCAAGCACTTGTTGCACTACATCGTACGCTCTTGTATGAGCATCATGACTTTTTAATGGCAACGCAGCACCCGTCGGCAACCCCAGCATTGCGAGCATTGCCAACTAGATACGCTATGCCCGCAAGGATGTGGAAGCACGCAATACATGCTCTCGCTTACCAGACAGTAGCTCAGCTATATGACAGAATACCAGTCTTCCTGGACACCCGGATCGAGTGTATAGCTGATCTTACCCGTTATCGTATAGCGGTGGAAGAGGGGAGGGACGCGCATGCTCAATGGGGCAGTGTGGCGGCATCCTGGTACATCAAAGCGTCGGATCTACAGGTGGGCAGATTACATCACCACCTCTCGATTATGGAGCGTCCAAGTCTTCGCAAGTTCGCCTGCTATATCAAGTCGCTTACATGCGCTTTTGAGATGAAGACGGAGCTATACCGTCGTCTGGACAGTGTCGCAGCCCGATGGTGTGCTGAAGAATTCGTAAAGCCTGATCGGCTTGCAGATTTTGAGAGGCCCTGTCTTCGCAGGTCTCGATGTTACAGCATAGCGCTGACATACAACGCCAGTCCCAGCGCTGGAGGTTCTCTCTCGCCGCCTCACACCGACCCCGAGGGTGGAGCTCAGTCAACAAGAAATTTCCACCTACGATTCGGCAAACTCATTGAGCCAATGCAGTATTGTTCGATATCAGTACTTCAGGTCTCACCGAACCCTTCTCAGGTGAAAACCAATGGCCTACCGGAAGGACGATGCGAGATGCCCGAGTCTATGATCGTTGAGTGTTCGGGCTGGAGCAGGTACCTGGATGTACTCGCAGCCCGTTGGACGCCGTGGTGGCCTGACATCCTCCGTTTGCAAGTGTCCCGCGTGGAACTGGCATTCCGTCCTGGGTGTTCATTGCCACCAATGCCAATCTGCGTCGCCATTAGCGCGTTGACTCTAACACCTGGCGTCTCAGCACGGTCAGCCCACGAGCCCCACACAGAGAACATCTCCCAGGCCGCTTTCTCATCCAACATGCTCCTCTGCCCATTAATTCTGCTGAGTGGCATCTGGTTCGTTTACCAAGCTCCAACAGAGCAAGAAGCTAGGAGGCAGCAGTTCCTCACTGCATTGGGAGTGTCACTAATTGCATCACTCGTGTGGGGTGTGGTGTTCGAGAGGGCCTATTCGGACACTGATGCGCTCAACCTCATACTTAGCTTTTGGGTAGCCGGGTTCCTCAACGTGTTTGTCCTGCTTGCCATGGATCTTAAGCATAAAAGCATCTACCTCGTGTTGACGGCCATACTGGTTGGCGTCCTTTGTGCTATCTGGCTGAGGCAAGAGAGCCTTACCGTCACTAGCGGGTTGCCCGGTATGGTCGAACAAGCTGGATTACTTGGGGTATTGTTGGGTGCTCTGCTCTTGTATGTTGGTCAGCTTGCTGCAGAGAAATTTGTCGAAAAGCGGATGGCGAAGCTGAAGCCAAGCGCGGCATCTGCGCAGGTTTGACACTGCACCCTTGTTTTCGAAGCAGACCACTTTGACGCCGGAAACGACTTTTTCCGCTACTTCGCGGTTGGATGATACGGATGCCGAATGGGCATACACCGGGGTTCCTGTTGGTTCGCCTGGTGTGAGAACATGACTTTCCGTACTTTGATACGGTTGTACGATCGTACGGGGCGCCCTGTAGGGTACGCGTGGCTGAATCCGAGCCGCCATTCTACAAGGTCGGGCCAGGTCACCTTATCTGAGGTGACCTGCTGCACATACGTTTTAGAGACGGAGATCTTCTTGGTGTGGACATACCCTTTTGATGGACTGGTACGATCCCCGATTATACGGCGCGGCTCCGTGATCAGCTTTGACTTGCCGTCATACAAGACACGGCACCGTAGGTATATCTCGAAATAGCTGCCAAAGCACAGAAATTCGGAACAAGTAGGGTTTCAAAGGTCGCCAAGCACGCTCTCGGGGTTCGATGTTACATTCTCGCAGCTTGGTAATATTCCTGGGTGAAGTAGTTGTGGTCCAGCAATTTCGGCTTATGCTGAGCAGCGGGAAGTCTTGCGTGTACCTGAGGTTGTGCCTTGCTTAGGGAGAACGAGCAGTAGACCCCTATAACCGACGGCCTCATTCCGTTCGGCTTGAAAAGCCTTGAACGCGGTGCCGTTGTCATCTGGCTGCTTAGAATGGTACTGCAGATCAATTCTGCCGTGAGGGTTTCGCGGGTGTGCTCACGATCATTAAGCTATTTTGGAAGTGTTCCCTTGATCAACGATGCCCAACCATTGTGCACAATCATAGCGCAGCTCATGCTGCGTCAGAATCTCCTTCCTACTCATTTCGCGGATGACAGCCGCCTGCGGGACAGAGGTACCATCCTGCGACAAGCACGACAAGCTTATACAGTACAGAGATGCAAGATATATTGCTGAAACGTGCCGACCGGCTCAAATCTGTTGGCACATCTGAGTTCGATGCTGGTCGCACAATATCGCTTCGAGAGTATGTGGGATGCTGAGCCTTGTCGCATTCTCCTTGCTCCACGAACGCGGCGTCCCATCTAGACTCACTTCCACCCCAGATTCCAACGTTCTCACACCACCAACCCCCCAGCGCTAGGATATGGCGGCGTCCAGTACCGCGCCATCCCGTACAAGCCAAATTCTGGTGCAACTTACGATTAACCCAGCCAGGAGCTCAAGGATGTATCTCTACCTGCCAACGAACTCGCCAACATCGACGTACTGGCAGCCATAGTCACACTCCGTGCTAAGCATCCGGCAGGTCTTCGTGCGTTCGCGCTGCGCCTCGACTGGCTCGTCGCCTTGGTGCTCGCGATCACCAGCAAGTACCTCCTTGAGCCAGCAAATACCTCCTTGAGCCAGCAAATACCTCCTTGAGCCAGCAAATACCTCCTTGAGCCAGCAAATACCTCCTTGAGCCAGCGGCCTGGTGACTTGAAGGATTGTGACTTCGTTCCTCAGCCGCTTATGGACTTGATGTCGCTGACCGATGAGCCGCGGGACCTGTCTGAGCTGCCTAACGATTGCGACAAATTCGCGTCGCCATTTGGGTTGCTGTCGGTACCGTGATAGTGGCATTGTGAACACCATGGTGAAAGTTATGTGGTTGTCTTTGACTTCTGTTCTGCGACTCGGGCGTGGTGGTGTGTTTGCGGCAATGTAATGCTTTATTGCGATGAGGCAATATGGTTAAATGCAGCGTGCCTCTAACGATAATATCTATATGCTCGCTTTAGGGATAGTACATGATGAAAGGCAAGCTAACAGTCATTCCAGAATACATTGCCTTAACATATACTACACCCTTCAGGCCACCAAACAGCATGAGAAGGCATTTGCAAACCCAAGCTCTCATTTATAGATTAGGCCTGTCGAGCCGTAGGTCTACCGTCCTGCGTGGAGGAGAGGTTGAGCGAGCGAGCCATCTGCGCAGCCGTTGACTGCTCAAATATTAGGGCGTAATCAACACAGCGTGTAGACCAGACATCTTCAAGGGGGCGATCTGCGGACGGAGAAGCATGGATCAAAGCCTGAAACGCAGCGCATGCCAAAAGGGGTCGGCTCCTTAATCCTGCAACTGCTCATCATTTTGGGCGTTGTCGAGGATAGGATTGGTTTCTATCGACGCTCGAGCTGCCTACAGTACTGCTTTTCTGAAATGCGCAGCGGTCTCCGTGAAGCTTGCAACAATCCAGAGCAACGAACAGCTCCGTTGTGATCTGGTGTCGCCCCCACGCTTCCAAAACCACCTGGAGAGTCCGCTTGTGGTGCCCAACACATTACATGCAATTATCATAAGTCAGAGTGCTTTAGCCATTTCGGATGACCGTGAAGGTTGACGGTGATGTTCATAAACAACCACTCGCGGTTATGGCGGCGACCGTTAATGCGACTATGCATCAGTACTTCGTAGCCCATGGGAAGGGCAAGGGCTGGGTGCAGGCATTACAAGTCGCGCAATGGGTGGCTGATGAGCTTCTTGCTCGAGGGCTCGTCTCTCCGGCCCTAACGCTACGTCAGTCCTGAACTCGACGTCTACAGTTTCCAATCACCGTACCCTTCCGGCCTTGCAAGATGGTCGACTCCCATAATGACATTATAGAGGGCGTCGACTCATTTGATTTCAGAGAAGTGGTACCAGAGGCATGGCTTCATGCGAACCTCGTGGTCGCATGTGCATTTGACATAGTGACGCGAAAGTCGGAGACGGAAAATGCTCCTTCCAGTGACGTTGCTTGTGGTGCATGCTTGCCTTCGAGGAGTTATGGCAATCTCACACATTGCAGTAGGCGTGTCTTCTCAAGTCCGTTCCATATAACATTCCAATGAAACGCGATGTCTTCTTCGCGGAAGACCGACTCCAATTTATTTGTACCCAGCGCCATCATGATTAGGAGTCCGCGACCTGGTCAAGCACCAACCACCAAAGCTATGTCTGTTTCACTGGATCTATCAATTTTGAATATCTAACCAAGGGTCTGCCTGCTATGGCTAAACGCCGGGCGTGGCGCTGAGCGTTTAGACGAGTCATGAGACCGGTTACCTCGGTCCCTGCCAGGTTTCGAAGCGAAGTGCTGTGACTCCCGAGTTCCCAACAACCTGACAGTCTGCAAGAGACACTATCAGCACTTTAGAGTGGGTCAGCCGATGCCTCGCGATGGCGGCGGAATACGTACTATCTCTCGTAATCTCAACAAGCATGAGTCGTAATGCTCTTTTCGGGGATCATGTCCGAAATATCTTGCACTTCTTTCTGCTCTCCCCAACAAGGTAGGGCGCCGTAACCATGCCGGGCTTTACGCCGTTTGGTTGCCTAAGCCTCTCGTGTTGGTATCGAGCACAGGGTTCGTCGCTACTTTTGAATGGAGATTACATCCGATAAACCTGTGTCATCGTGTCGACTCCAGCTGGACGTCTTTCACCTAGCCTTCGACTTCCTTGCTTCTGTCCCTCAAAAACTCCGAGAGCCATAGCAGTGGCTTCTCTGGCTCGTAGACGGCAAGATACTTCATGCCTTCGAGCAGATGCGGTGTGATGTTCTGGTTTAGGTACTGCCTTGTTGGCCCGCCATGCGCAACTGGCTTCTCCGGCTTCGCCGCAGGTGCTGGTGGCATGGAGTCAGGACGTGGTGCAGATACTGCTGGCGGTCCTGGAGCGGCCATAGGTGAGGCTGCCGATGCCTGCTCCGCCAGTGCGAAAGGAGTGGATGCTGGGGGCGGTTGAGGGTCGGTTATGTCCGCCGGCTGGATACTGCTCATTGTGGTCTAAGGACATGAGTGTCAGTAGGTGTTCGCTAAGCGGTTTGTCGCTATGACCGACCTCTTGCGCTATTCCATCCTTCATTGTCACGTCACGGCTATGTGTAGCACCACCGTTCGGCAGCGTATTTGCCATGCTGCGTAGCAAGGGCTTAGATCTTCTGCCCACCAACTGTGTTTCCACACACCGAGATCAGAGCGAGTCTCTTGCTTCTGCTGAATGTGTTCTAGTGACCACAACAAGGGCCCAGGCGCCCCGGATCAACAGGCAGCCGAAACTCCGAAGGTCACCTCACTTCACCCCTACTAATGTGCTTACTGTAGAGGGTCCAACACAGTACACCTCATATTCCACACCGTTGCGGTAACCGTCATTATCTATACCATCGAACTTGTAGCCAAGATGGTCGAAATAGAGCGACCACGGGCATTGGCAACTGTTATCGCGAACGTCCAGCCGCAAGGGACCGCAAGAACGCTGTAGCGGCACGTAGGTCAACCCTTTTTCAGCCTGCAGAGCAAACGTCAACCTGACATGGTCGAAAACATACACGATCTTGGACTGATCTAGCCGTCCCTACATATCCACTGCATTAATTGGTTAAGAAAGGTGAAGGAAAAGAACATCGCACCGTTGAGCCTTTCACCACGAACCAGACTTAGAGAGTCTGCGCAAGCATAGCTGATGCATCGTGGAACAAATCCAGCATGTGAAGAGTGGAGCTGTCGCCCAGTGAGTGATCAAGCTTCATGAACCTTCGCGATGCTGGCTTTCTGTTACTTATACCACTGCCGGCGGCTCTGATGTCCTGCACGGATTGGAGTAGCCTATCTTACCCTGCTCGTGCAGATGATTCATAAACCTTGAGCTTTAGCAGTCTACCGCACCAAATTCGAAACACCATCGAAGGACCCATGGAACCAATGGCCTGCTCCACTAGGCTGACGCCAAGGCAAGTGATGGTTGTGCCTTCCACCTGTGGAAGCTCAGTTCTTGCTCTTTTACAGAATGTGATGCTAGTCAACTCGCTCATTGGCCTGAGCTTTCGTCATCGCTTGCAAACGGGTCCTTCAAGATCACGAGTCTCTGCCCTCCTTCCAAAGCTTTATCGTCATAAGCTCAACATTTCCTGCATCCTCGCAGATCCTCCCCTTCAACTTCTGCACACGACTCGTTCTCAGCTGAACACGCTCTCTGCCCGACGTTCAACGAGTATAAGTCAGGCTAGGTATCCGCACTCTATTGACGCAAGACAATTTTCTCCAAGGAACTGTCAGCAGTTAATCTCACAGAACTGCCATCATGCCGCCAAAGGTAATTGATGGTCACTTCGATACACAACAGCTCATGATACTAACAGGAGCAATAGAAGGTCAAACCGGAAGCTGCACCAGAGCCGAAGCCCAAGCCGAAGGCCATCGAAGCGAAGCCGGTCAAGCCAACAGCTCGCAAGGCCAAAGAGCCAGCCGTCTTCACTCTAATGCCGAAGGATGCTGGTGCGCTTACCCTGGTCGACGTTCAGTACGAAGGGCTCTCGCTTGAAGCCAAGCCGACGCAGAGGGGGGGCTATCGTCATGTGCTCAAGCTGGAAGCGGCTAGCGCGTTCACCATGGTCCAGACAGTATGTGCATAACCGGGTACATGTGTTACTCGAGTTACTGACTAACGTATATAGTATACAATCGCAGAAGGTGAATTTGTTGGTCATCAGGCAATCATCATCCGCCCCGCCAAGCCTTTCGACTTCCTCAAGCTGCCGAAGGAGCTTCGTGCTCGCATCTACGGGTTTTACTTCGCCGCGAAGGGCGTCGTGGGTGCGCCTATCGTGCTCGACGGCAAGCGGACCGACACTAAGGAGGTCTATGCAAAGCATTATGCTGAGGGCAGCAAGTCTCGCGTCGGACTTCTTGCAGTCAACAAAGAGGCAGGCATAAATAGCGCGCCCTCCTGTTTGTGAATTTCATGCTAACATCATATGACAGATTCATCATGGAGCCATCAACTATCTTCTATGCGCACACCCTGCGCCTGGAATCCACGTCTGCCCTGCTGGAGTTCCTCATGCAAGCTCCGTCCGAGATTAAGCCACTCCTCAAGTCCATTGAAGTGAAGACGTTCAGCAAATCGTCCGCGCGCAACGCGTTCTTCTCGTTAGCCGCCGACGCGAAGAACATTACCAAGCTGCGGTTTGAGCAGGGCGTCTACGCAGGTACCGATCCGGCCGCGGCTGTCAAGTCATTCTACGCCGACACCTACAAATTCCTGACTAGCATTGGACAAGTCAAGGGCGCGAAGGATGCAGGTGTTGATATTCTTGAGTTCGGGAAGCAAGCCTTTACCGACAAGGTGAAGGAGGGCAAGGCGTGGAGCAAGGAGGACCGCGAGCAGTTCATTGCGAAGCTGCGGGAGAAGTTAAGGTGAGTGTGCTCCCCTTCAACCTCAAGACTCTCCATACTCGTCCACGGCGGTGAGACTGATGCGCATTCTTCAGGGGTTGATAACACTTTCCTTGCACTTCACGTCAACCTACGGTACAGGTGCTTACGCAGGCATGAGTTCAGGTCCTCCTACACCGGCTGGACCTGTATCTGCGGGTCAATCAAGGCCGGACACGATTGCGCTAAGGAGTTGAGGCGCGATAGCTATGGGTGGTGGAAGGTCGACGAGCCTACCGCGGTCCAATGATCGTACGACCTTGACAGCAATGTTGATGATATTGTTGGAGGGCCGGAGGAGCTCTTTCAAATCTCCCAATATACTGGCCATTCTTGTTATGCTGGCACGAGCTGTACTCTATGCAGTAATGAGAAGACATTGATCTCCAAAAAACGATATTTCTTTGTACACTCGCTTCTCTGTTCGCTTGAACGCAGAAAATGGCGATACCAAACGCTCGCCAAACTCACGAAGTGAACGCCGCACGCTGGAAACTCTCCACGCTGATATCAGCAGGCTTGCCTTCCACTTTCGGCGGCTCTTTAGACGAAGCCCTAACCTGCGCCTTCTCCTTATCAGTAATGGCCATGCTATTTGCACGGCTGCCAGTATCGATGCTGCCGGTCATGGTATTCACCCGTGAATGAGCAGGGCTACTTTGGTTACTCTTCGCCGCTATCTGTGCCTGCGGTCGTCGCTGGATCGTCTCGAGATACGGTGATGGCAAGTAACCTAAGCGTCCGTCCCTTGACCGGCACTGCCACCACTCGCTTGGCTGGCCCATCGGGTCGGTTTTTGAAAGTACAGCGACAAGGTCGCCTTTCTTGACACTGATATCAATGCCTTCTGTAAACTGTTGACCGGGTTGCTGCTGTGGCGTGTAGTCGTACAACACACGGCAGAAATCAAGCTTGCTCGGATCTATCGGTCCTCGCTGACCTTCTGCTGAGTAGGGTGAGGCGGCTAGTTGTTTCTGCTGCTCGGCTTCTTGTGAAGCGGCGAGCGCGCGGATGAGCTTGCCCATGAGGTATGGTAGGCCGAAAACGGCGATGATGAAGAAAATGAAGGGTTTGCGACTGGGCTTTGGTTGTGCGGGTGAGCCGTCGGGCGCAGCTACACCGCTGAAGGCTGCGAAGTTGGCTGCCGTGAGTTCTTTGCTGGATGCTGGAGGCGGCCGGCCAGTCAGTCGAGCGATGCCGTGTCGTATCCATCGTAGGACGGTGAAGATGCCGAGTACGCTGCCAAGCGTCTGTCTGAGGTTGCCGAATCTGGTAGACGAATGTCAGTCCAAACCCCAATGCAGGACTCAGAGCGCACTTACTGCTCAGCCACGCTCACCATGGCGAAGAACGAGCTATGCGTCGCCATGTACGTGCTCTCGAGCATCTGTGCAAACCCACCAAACGCGCCAACTATGCTCTCAATCATCTGGAACGTCGCCTGCGTACTCTGATTCATCGTTTGCGTCAAACTCTGATCTTGCGCAGGCGCGCCATACATGCCAGGTTGACCATACATCCCGCCATAACCGCCCATTCCATACGGAGAGTACATGCTGTTCCCGTACATGCCTCCCATGCTTCCCATGCCGCCGAGACGACTGTACGGAGAACTGTAGGATGAACCGTAGCCACCCATGCCGTACGGTGAGGAGTAAGGTGAAGTCCGATTGAAAGGTGATGTGTAATTAGAGGCGGTGCGGGTGGCTACGGCGTTCAGGGAATCTGGTCGTGAGGGTAGTGCTGGGGCTGAAGAATCGATTGCTGATGGTGGCACTGCGGCTGCTGTCGTTGAAGTTGGTATCGCGGCTGTTTGAACGTCAGCTTAAGCGCCACGCAGTATTCGCGGCCAACATACCTGAGCCACCCGCCGCCGCCCTTTCCCATGGCTTCGGTGGCGAGCCGGCCAACGCCGCCATGCCAAAGCTCGCGGACGGTGTATGTCTCTGGGTATATAAGGCCCCTTAGATGTGATTACAAGTCGCGTGGCAAGCTCGGTTTCTCCTAGTGGTCTTCCCTCTGTGCGCGACTGCTTGATAATGCTTATCGGCGCTGTCTCGGTGTCGGTTCACTCCCTAGTGAATAATTTCAGGGCGCGACAAACAATAGTGCGGAACCAGAGTCGTCGAAGGTCAATGTCGCTACAGGTCAAGCGAGGTGGTGCGAAACGGAATGGCTGAACTTTCCACCATCGAAGCGGTGGGTTGAGCGTCACTCTGCCGCGAACCGAAGAGCCTCGGCTCCAGTCTTTCTTTGCGCCCCGGAAAACCCCCACATGGGGAACTTCAACATGATCTGTATCGGCGCAGTTGGGGCTTCATCCTCTCTGACGGATGGTCTTACATTACAAGACTGTATATTGTAGAAGCTACACTACATGAGAAGGAACGATGTCGCCGTTATGACCGCTGCAAGAAGCCCAAGCCAACCCCACCGCACGCTCTCTGCGGCGGACGTTGTTGATGGCAAAGGGCCCGAAGATCTCGTGCTCGTGCCGCCCGTCGGTATACGCGACGCGCTCATAGGCGTCTCCCTCGTTACTGATGGCAAAGCCATGACCGTGCCATCAACGACCAGCCCTGAGCTTCCCTCACTCACGACATGCCCCGCAACCGTTTGCGCAGGCCCACCGACAGAAAGGGTTTGAGTACCCAGCACGACCGCACCTGATTGTTCCGGGAGTGTCGAGGCTGTCAGGGTTGCGGTACTCAGTGTAACAACTAGTCCGCTTGGTCCAGCGTGGGAGAGTGAGACGGTACTTCCCTGCAGGAGCAGATTGCTCGCTGGGTCAGCACTTAGTATCTGCGTGCCCAGCGTCAATGCTTGCCCTCCAGCCGCAAGAGTCGTCGTTCTGGAGCCGTACGCCACCTCAAGGCCACCGGAGGTCTGCTCGACAGTAATGCTGGAATCAGCGATGGCGACTACGGCGCCCGCAGGCGGCGTCGAGCTGGATTGACCATGCTGTGTGGCGAAGCTGGTCTGGCTTGCCCACGGAAGTGGAATGGTGCTCCCTTGCACCACCAAAATGCTGGCCGTATCAATGGCCAAAATTCCTGTTCCCAGTGTCCATGCTTTCCCGCCAGCCGCAAGGTTTGTCGTTGTAGAGCCGTAGATGATTTCAACCCCGCTTGCTGCCTGCTCGATTGTGACACTCGTGCCGGCGATTGGTACCACAGTCTGGACAGCCGACGTCGAGCCTGGCGATGTCTGTGTTGCTGCAAAGCTGATCTGCACCGTCGCACCGTCATGAACAAGTAACCCTGGCCCAGCCGCGCTGATTCCATGAATCTCGATGCCGACTAAAGCTGCTGATCCGCCTGCTGACAATGTGGTCGTTGTCGCTGCATTCTGCAGTATCACTCCACTCGAATAGACCAGCGCGCTCACTGTCTGCCCGCCGATAGTAAATGCGACAGGATCTACCGTTCTCGTTGTCCCAAAGCTGACCTGCACCGTTGTACCATCGTCAAAGAGAATCCCAGATCCTGCGGCGCTGACTTCATCGGTATCTGTGCCGGTGGAAGCTGGTGATCCGCCTGCTGATAGCGTCATAGTGGTGAAGGCATTCTGCAGTATCACTCCGCTTGAGAACGATTTGGCGGTCAATGGCTGCGCACCAATGCTCACATCCACTGGAGCTGCTGGAAGCGAAAGCTGTGGCTCAGTTGTAGGACCTGTTGTTATGACTGTAGCTGCATCCCCACTATGCACGGACGAAGGACCTCCGTGGGCTAGCGTGACACCATTGACTACGCTTGCGATGGTTGGGATGCTGAACGTTTGGCCGCCGATCGCGATGTTGCCAGAAGGTCCGACTGAGATCATTTGGTCACCCAAGACGATGCTCGCCGCAGCCAAGATTGTGGTTGTAGACAGTCCTCCCGCAAGCACAACTCCTGCACTTAGATCAGAAAAGACCTGGGCGGTGTAAGTCCGGCCCACGGCGGTGATGGTAGTCGCAATTGGTGTTGCAGACTGTGGGTTATTCATGACACTAGATGCGGGCGGCACGCTGGCTGATGGTGGGCTGTTGGGCATTGATGGCGGGCTTAATGCTGCAGCAAGTACGCTAGCAGCGTTCTCCAATAGTCGTTTCGACGACGTTGTGATTTCTGTTGTGTTTTGTGCCGGGTCCGTTCCCTCATTGAGTGGTACACTAACTGCCACCGGATCTGGTGGGTTATACATCGTGCTCTGACTCGAAGCAGATGGACCCGCCAGGTTCGCTGCGGCACCATCCGGCTGGTCAAAGGTTGTGCTGGACGACGAGGTTCGTACGAGTGCACTGGCTGGGTCATTGCTGGAGTCGCTGGGAACAGTAGCCGAAGCTGTTGACTCGCTTGATGGGTCTACATGGTGTGAAGAGGTGCTAAGTCCCATAGCTGGCGTACTTGCACCTTGATCCTGAGCGGTTGCCACAATGTTGAGCGTATTTTGACTGGTCTGTGCGGGCATATTTGTGCTGATAGTAGAGCCGGCAGATGCTGGGGTTGTCTGCGCCGCAACCGGTACGGTTGGCGTAGCCTCCGCGGTGGCAGCTAGGAGGGCTTTTGGAGGATCATAGAGCCCGCCGTACCAGGCTGTGCATGACTTCCACGCGGGATCTAGATCGATCACAGCCGTCGGAATGGCTATGAGGGGCGCATACGCCACGTGTGGTGAGCAGACAAAATTGCTAGCCTTGAACCCAGCTGTAATATAAGCATTGAGGGATGATTGACACCAAGGCAGCTGATTATAGACGCTATTCGGTATTGGCTCGATAAGGTCGCTCAGATTGTAGGGTCGTTCTTCGTATTGCCAGCTTGGACCGGTTCCGGATAGGCCTGGACCTTGCGGCAGACCGTCCAGTTGATGGTAGAAGAGGCTTTTGAGATCGCTGCTGTGCGCAAGTGGGATGATGGTGTTGCTGTAGCGCCCACCCACTGCACTGCATGAGTCAGAGGCGTACAAGGTCTGGTACGAGACGTAGATAGTGGGTGATGTCAACGTGGTGTTATAGTCCACTACTGCTGTAACAAGCTGCGTGCCGTTGACAGACAATCGTGTTGCTCTAGCAGTTGCGGTGCCGTTTTCAAAGGCTGTGGCGTTTGTCGGTGGCCAGTAGAACAGTTGCACACTATTGCCGGTGATAGCGCAGCTTTGACAACCGAGCGTGCAGCCGGGAGCGTACGACTCCGTAGAGGGCCACCACGTGCTTGTGCCGTTGGTGGCCCACCCAGGTATGCCGGTGTCGCCGAACACTCTGTACTGGGCGTAATTGGCTGTGATAAGGCTCTGACACTGCACATCGTTGACCAAAGCTGCTTGACAAGCCGGCTGATTAATCCGTGCTGGTGCTGTCATCGCGCCTGCTGCGATGTACTGGGACCAGGATGACTGGCATTGAGGCACAATTGAAGGCAAAGCGCACGCTGGGGTAGTGATGTTATATGCGACGTTAGTCCAGACAGTCTCCGTTATCAAGACCGTGGATGAAGGTCCCGTGGAGGTGGGTATGAAGGACAAGTACGAATGGTTTCCATTTGCGATTGTCCTCGTAAGCGTCTGCGTTGCTACGGGGAAGTTATTGTTCGGTCCCCAAACTGTTTCCACGGTGGTGTATGTGAGTGGATCAGTCTTGACCCATTGGGAGGCGTAGAAGTATGTTTGTGCCCACACGTCTGTGACTGTGGTCGTAGCTTTTGTCTGGTAAAAGGTTCCCATGGATGCGCTGCTGGTCCAGTATGCGCTCCATTGATTCCAGCAATCCCACGACACTGTGGCGTTCTGATACAGGAGAATCTTGCTGCCGGAAGAAATGGTGCTATTCACAGTAGAAGTCCAATTAGAGGCGTAAGATGTGCGGTACGAAAGAGTGAAACCTGTTGATGATTGTGTCAAGGAAGCCGCAAGCAATGAAATGATAGACAGTGACAGATGCATAATGAACGTAAGACAAATTGCAGAACGGCAGAAGCAGGACAAACGTGTTGAGGATAATCCTGAGAATATCATCCTACACTCGCCCACAACTGGCATGAACAGTGCAGCGGCAAAGTATTGCATGACCCAGACGCCACCTACTACGACTGGGGCATGCCTAAACATTCGGCATACCAGTAAGCGCCCAGCACGCACAGCGGCTTCTGGACACCTGCGTCGGCTCAGTTCGGCGACCTTCATGAAGGACTTCATGTGAAGCCATATGACCTAGGCGGCGCAGAAGTGACGCTTTGAAAGCTTGGAGGTCATTTTGGGATTCGTAGCAATATCTCTGGCTATGCAGGACCTCGTCGACCCTCGCTCTAGGTGTAAGTAGTGGTGGTGTCATTCGAGCTATTGCGCCCGGATACTTGTTGTGGGTATGAGTACAGGGTTGAAGTCCATCAATAAGGGGCCAGCTCTTGCCGCTGAGTCAAGGACTAAGATTCTTCGCCACCTCGCTCCTTGGCCCCGTGCCAGACTGCTCGTCTGCGGCACAGACGTCGTCGCTCTTGCAGAAATAGCATTAGCTTATCTGCTGCGCCTGTGACGCATCCAAGGGTGCCGCAGACAACGTGATGCAAGTGTAGACTGGTGGCTTGGAAGACGAAGAGAACATTGCATAGCTATCCAAATCTCCGGGCTAAATCATTCCTATACAGGTTCTGCCCGAAGGTTCTCGACATAAAAACGGTGCGACCGAGCAAATCATAAACACATCCAAAGACCGCGCAGCAGAAGCGGTTCTCGTAAAGCTCAGCCATAAATGTCCTGCCCCTCCTGAATGCAACGCCGACAGGTTCGCCACGACTATTGACATGTTGACGCATATCCTATCTCTTAAGAGCTCAGCACGAAGAGCGAGACATTATCGGTTTGCGTCGCGGTCGAGCTAACAATGTCACTGACTACACCGGCATCAAGCGATGAGCCAAAGCTCGGAGCGGATGAGTCTCCGGACTGCCAAGTCTTGATGTGGATGTTGTTGTTGTACAGAACAAGAGCTCCAATCATCGGAGTTGCGACGGGTCGAACGAAGTAGTCGCTGTCGCCCCCAGCAATATTGCCGTGGAGCGTGCTCTTCATGCGGCCGTCACCGGGAGCAAGAACCTCGAAAATGTCGAACTCGCCACAGCCGGAAGTCCAGCAGGAGCAAGAGGCTGTGCCGTATTGAAGGGTTCGCGGGATCTGAGCGTTTAGCATCCAGACAGCGGGCATATTCACGGGATCGTAGATGGAGGTTTGGGTGCCGGTAATGTTGGGCATCTGGAACTCGAAAAGGAACACTTTCGAAGCACCAGCAAAGCCGTGGTGCGCCACTGAGCTGGGACGGTAGTACCCACAATCACCGTTCTCGCCACCGCACTTGTTGTCACTCATAATCACGATCTCTTCGGTTGAAGGCAGCGTGATGTCTTGAAGCGTCTGCGGGGATGACGCGCCATTCTGGCCATTGGAGCTAGCGTATGACAGCGAGTTGCCGAACGTGTAGTCAAAGACGCCTGAGCCCGAGCCGCCATTATGGTTTAGGAAGACTAGACCGTCCGAGGATCCCGAAGCGGAGTCGTAGTAGGCGTCGCGAGACCACAGAAGTCCACCCGAAGAGCTGCTGGAGCTCGATGACGAGGAGGAAGTTGCTGCGGGCGATGCAGAAGATGCAGCGGAGGAGGGCGACGAGGCCTGTACAGCAGTGGTCTGGGCGGCGCTCGCTGCAGATGTAGTCGCAACAGCCGGGGCGGAGGTGGGAGTGCTGGCAGCTGCGGACGTTGACTCTCCAGAATACTCATTGATCCAAGACTCCACCACGCCGCCGACAGTGATGACAACCCAATCACCCACGGCCGGTTCTGGCTTCGCCTCGCGGACATCAATGGCCGGCTCGGGTGCAGCTTCACGCTCTTGGTGGTGAGCGTGCCCATGCGCATGTGCGTGAGCATGCGCGTGCCTCTTCTCAGGCGTGCTGCGGCGTGCTTTCGACGAGGTACCTGGCGTGTAGACGGCGAACTTCTTCAGGTTGATAGGACCACGGAAATGCATCGACACCTGTGGTCATGTTAAAAAGCTGCATATTGGCCTCTTCGTCCGTCACGATGACTCGGCTTACCTCTTCGTCCAGCGGCGACATCGATCCAGAGTAGCCAAATGGTGTGCTAGCACAGTTACCAGTGGTAGAGTCCATGTTGGTGATTTGGTTGTACGAGCCCGAGCCACCGACACCGGTGTACGTGATGGCTTCAACGGCTTGGCAATACCAGTTGCCGCCAACGTCAACACTGCCATCAGAGCAGAGGTCGCGCTTGTCGGCAACTGCTGCGGTGGCGAGCAGCGCCGCTGCTGCGTAGAAAGACTTCATATTCGAGGTGTTATCGTAGTCCTGCCGGAGGCACTTGTGGGAAGATTTACGCAGGTCGTCAAGGACTGTTGCCGTTGCTATGAATGCTGTTGTTCCTTCGCGTTCCAAACACGTTGCGCTGCGTTCACAATCAATATGTCGCTGTTAATCCAAGAAAGGAGTGACTGGTTCACGGTCGAGTGAACTTGTTGGAAAGAGTGACTGAAGGTGAGTGTTCCCAAAGGTTGGAATGAGGAGGACGGACGCACAGAAGAAAACGAAGAGCAAAGCCGAGATATGAAACACAGGAGAGACTTGGAATAGCAGTGATTGCGTGTAAGGCGTCCAATTGGCAGGGGTCAACGCTCCGGCTCGTCCTACCGAAATTACATTTCATGCGGGTGGGCGCCACAATGTCCCACTCCGATGTTGGTGATAGGATGCGACAATGCTCTTCATGCAGACTGTGAAGCTCCCCTGTCGGTTCACCAAGCAGAGATTTCACGCGGCATTTGTTTTTGCGACGCACCACACGTGTGGTAAGCGTGAAGTGCTGGAGCTCCCAGTCCTGGAATCCTCTCGCTAGTAGAGTTGCGGGTACCTGAATGAATTCCGCAGCGTTGTTCCGGCGATCTCAATGCCTGGCAACCCACAACAGTCCGTGCCCCCTGACCGTTGAGTTAGGATCGAGAACAGTCGAGCCGTCAGCATCCTGCAACGTCCCAAACGGGTTGGCAGTGCTCGAATAGGCCGATCTGCGAAACAAATGACATTGTTTGGAACTGTCCTTCGACTATGACACGCGCCATAGGCAGCCTCTCAAGCCGGTAGCGTGCTGCATGCATATGAAATGCGGGCAACCCATTGCTCGGCAAGCCACATGGCATTGATCACGGTTCCGATCATGCGGCAGACTCATAAGGCCATGCTTGCTTCGTCCACTTAGATGGAAGAGCAGAAATCCCTCGCTTATCATCAACGCGGCTGCCAAGTAGAATAGTGTGGTTGCCCAGCACGTTGCATAAGAGTCTGCGGAGAATGCGCCGGGTGTGCAAGCGCTGTGTCCAAGCCGTCTATGCTTGGCTCTATTCCAACACGACGTCTAATGTAGACATGTCTATTCGAATCATTCACGCAAACCAAGCTCACTGCATAACAGTTTTATGAGCACTCGCACGCGCCCCAGCATGCTTTCATATGTCGCAGAACCTACTTCGGATGCACCTCGTTGACGGCGGTCTCATCGTCATCACCGTCGCCGTCGGCGAACACATCACGCTCTTGAGCATCCTCGTCATCGGTATAATCGTCCATATACCCACGTCTGCCTTCGAGATCATCATCATACGTGGTATGCAGTGACACATCGTCTGCGCCTCTCAGCGCGGCGACAGCACCTCGCTCGGACGGCTCATCAATGTACGAAGAATCAGCCGGTGGACCGCCCTCCGCAACAGCTGCTGCTTCTTCCGCTTCGAGCTGCTTCGCGCGTGCCTTGGTCCGGATATAGATGAAGTAACCTGTAGCGACACCTGCGACAATGCCAATTACTATGCTGATGTAGCTGGTGATTTTTGTCCTGAAGTCCATCTTGTCGCCGTTCTCGGCCAAATCGCCTATCCTGCTGCCGATCCAGATGTGAAGCAACAATTTTGGCGACACAATCGCCGTCGCGAGCATGAAGTTCGGCCAGGTCACAGTTGGTATCGTGCTGATGGCGCCATTGCTTAAACTGTATGGCAGTGGACACAGCCTGATCATGATCAGAAGCTTGAGCCCATCATGCTTGAGCACCAGGGAGAGTGCCGCGAAGCGCTTGTTCTTCTCAGTCAACTTGCTCACGAACCCTTTCAGCACCGATCGCGAAGCAATGAACGACGCCGTCGACCCAAGCACAGTCGCCGTGCTCATGATAAACCAACCCTTCATGCCAAACACAAACCCAGCTATAGTTACAAACGACGAGTATCCGATCAACGGCGGAAAGGATACGAAGAAAGTCATGAACCATAGTATCAGCCAACCTCCGGGCAGTTCTCGCCATCTTTTAGCGGCTGGCGCAAGCCATCGGAATATGCGCTCGTTGTACACCAGACCCAGTATGACCCCCACGAGTAGAATTACATTGAGTATAATGATGCCGGCTCGTTGTAAAGGTGTGAAGTGAAACCATAGCTTGACTGCTCGCCGTTGTATAGTTTCCGCATTTTGGAGCCATCGCGGTCGTTGATCGTTAGACCGTTGTATGGAACGTCGCTGCCAAAGTGGCTCTGATGTGCTTCTGCCATGTGCGATCGGGAGGATAGTATCGTCGTCGTCTTCTATCTGCGAGGCGAGCGCGCGGGCTGTGTCAGTGTAGGGTAAGTCGTCGCGTGCCATGTCTGCCCGTGATTTTGGAGACTCTGATGGAGAGCGGGAGCTGTGCACTTGCTATATCTGGGAGCGAACAGCACCCGCAGAAATCGTTGCTATCGATGCATTGAATGCGTAGATACGGTCTGTCGTGATGGGACGTGAGAGGGAGGCTGCAGCTTAACTCCGCTGACGACGACGACGGATGCGGAGTCAAGCAAGCATCCGACTCAGCCCTACCGAGACGCCACTGAAACATCTGACAGGCACGAGACGAGATTGGGAAAGCTGGTCCTACTGCCAAATAGTGGGACCCTGCTCTTGCGACAGCGATGTTGAGTGATTTCAGCGGCCGTCGGTGAGAGACTTGCACACCAGCTGGCCTCAAGCCAACCAACCAAAAGCGACTGTAGGAATTCCTGCTGTTACAGCTCTGCAGTTCCGACGTCCGGCTGTCATCGTGGGATAGAGCACAATATCCGATAGCATGATATTCAAGGTCCCTATCTGGAGGGCCGGTGTCTGTGTTAAGGGTTGTAACTACGGCCACATGCCTCTAGGTATACGCTGCTCATGCCACCCGTCTCGCGCCAACAATCGGCTGATACCATCATCAAATGCAGCTCCGTCCTCCGTGTTAATTACGTACCACGGATCTGTCACTCTACCTTGGTCCTAAAGCCATTGATTCCTCGTCATGGCGATGTTGTAACTGAAGCTGCTCTTCACAAGGCCGCTAAAGACGCTCGACCTCTGCAGCACCTCATAATCCACCAGAGCTTGCTGGTCCCACGAAAGCTGCTTGAGTACATGCAGATCTGAGGGCGGTAGCAGCTCCATCTTCGAGGTCACGTTCAGCGGCGGAGCATGCGCAGCTGCTTTGGCCTTGAAAGCTGCAAGGTCCGTGGTGTTGCCGGAGGCGACGTAGATCACGTTGAGGTTGTTCGCAAGTGCTTGGTTCATGTAGGCTCTTGTCTGAGATGAGTAGTTGGCGTAAGGTGCATCCAGCCAGCCTGCAACTCTCGCATCATGTTCGGTGCGTAGATGCGCTCCGTAGAACGCACGCCTAGGGATGGCCTGTCCCGCATCGAAGCGCAATATAAGGTACCGGGAGACCAGATTCTGTACGATCACAGCAGCCAACCGCCGTATGGTTGGGTTGACACGCAGTAGCTGTCCAAAGTTGCGACGAAAGCCACGCGGTACACTTCTTGTATCCACCTCCCACAATGTCCGCTCCACATTCACCAGTGTTAGATTGTCTGGAACAAACTCTGCCTTGCTCTTCAGCCACTCATCTAGATGCTCACGGTACGCCTTCTTAGTATTTGTACCGTCGAGGTCGACCCTTCGACTGCGTGGCCAGTAGTTGCCAGGCAATGCTTTTGCCATTTCCTGTCCCTTCTCCGGCTTGTAGATAGCCATCTGCGGACATGTCTGGCTCAGGGCTATCAAGAACCAATCTTCGTCGAACAAGAGGTCAAATGGTGCTCGTGAAGCCCAGACATCGGCGAGATTATCTTGGCTTCTCGTCGCCATGCCCGGCAGGATGATGGACGCACCGGCTTCAATGGCGTAAAGCAAGAAGTCGAGGATGTTGCCGCGCACGTTGCCGATGCCCCCATTAGCGTTGTCGAGATCGAAGACCAGGTTCGAATGCCACTCGGTGCGATTGCAGTAGGCTGCAATAGGTGACGGATTGAACGGCTGGACAACATGTATATCTAGCCATGAGCGGATGAAGCCCGAGGGTGATGGATGGTCGGTTCGCGGTGTGCTTAAGCTGCCGTACGGATGCTGCGTACGGTACCAATAAGAACCGGCATACAGTGGCAACAACGTCACGAATACCAAAAGTGCGTTAACGGCAGACGATCGGTTTGTTACGCTTTGAATATACATTGTGTCCTGTTGTTCAAGGACATTCGGCTTTGGATTCGCGAGCGCTGCGTTGCAGCGTACCAGAGATGACTCAAGGTGCCTTGCTTCTCTGCATTCCGCAGAAGGTACTGAGACATCCATCAGATACAGAGTGACATGCAACCACTTCAGTCAGGACTGCGTGTGCCAAGTGGACTAGGTACCGCTCTGTGAGGAAAGACACTAGGGCCATCGCCGGCTGTAGCAGCCAAACTGTCCGCGTCATCCGCGGTGCCCTCCGCGTCGGCACGCTTCAGATGTGCCATACGGTCTGGCGCGGTAAACATCTCTATGTTCTCGGCGGTGAGCGCCTGGGGAGGGCCGGCAGTGGCAGAAGTCTTCTCATGGCCTTCATCACTGACGCCACGACCGAATCGTGTTTTCGGATCTTCACCACTTTCGATAAGTGCGTCGTCTCTTAGCGACATCGCTTTCTCCTCGGCTTCCCTTTTGCGTACCGCAGCGTCACCAGGTAGCTCTTGAGAACGATCTATAGCGGCGTGGTGATGGAAGTCCAGCTTCTCCAGCTCTGACGAGAGGTGCTCTTGTGGAGACTGAGATGCATGGTCTGAGATAAAAGACGAGGTCTTGCGCGACACGCGCGGACGCTTCTGCGTACCGCTCTCAACGACCTTGGCGAGCGCTGCACGCTTCCGCTTTCCCTCAACAGCCCACTTCACCAGCATTTTCTCGAGGTTCGGCTTCTTCACAGGCTTCGATAGATAATCGTCCATGCCAGCCATTTGACACTTCTCCCTATCGCCTTGAATCGCTGACGCAGTCATTGCCACGATCGGCGTACTTTGGACCTCCGGATTCGAAACAAAAGGCGCCGCGTTGCGGATTGTGTAGGTAGCACGGTATCCGTCCATGATCGGCATCTGTACATCCATAAGGATGATGTCAGGCCGAGGGTTCTCCTTCGAATCAGGTTGTTGAAGATAGTCGAGAGCCTCTTGACCATTCCACACAGCTTTCACTGGAAAGCCGAGCTTCTTGATCGTCTTCAGCGCTATCTGCTGATTAATGGGATTGTCCTCGACAACTAGAATTTGTGTTTTGCTGCGCTCCTCTTCGCTCAGTGCAGGTTGCGGAGCGTCTGACGGCCAGACTTGCAAGCCTGGGACGCCGTTGCCGGAGGATTGGCGGTGATGCAGAGGCTTGGCTGGAGTGGTGGGCGTAGTCGGCACACTATGCTCGGAGCTCGCCCGGGAGACAGAAACCTCTGACTGCAGTCGATCGGGGATGGAACCTAGGTCGAGGATTGGCGAGTTACCGCCCTGGAATGCAGCCTTATGGAACGGAATCCAGAACGTTGCTTTCGTGCCCACACCAAGCTTCGAGTCAAGCGAGATCTTACCGTGCATAAGCTCTACAAGGTTCTTGGAGATCGTCAAGCCCAAGCCCGTCCCGCCGAAGCGTCTGGCAGTCGAGCTGTCAGCCTGCGAAAACGGTTTAAAGAGCTTCTGTCGCACTTCCTCCTCAATGCCGATGCCCGTGTCTTCGACAAGGAAGTGGACCTCCACCGTTTCCGCAGTCTCCCGCTCAGGCCAAACGCGCATTGTCACGCTGCCCTCAGAGGTAAACTTGATCGAGTTAGTAAGAAGGTTCGTCATAACCTGTCGTAACCGTCCTGGATCACCCATTACCTTCCAAGATTTCAAGTCCTGAATATCATCGATGTATCTCAGGCCCTTGCGCTCCGCAGCAAAGCCCAGCATCTTGTTAACATCCCGTATAACGACCGAAAGGTCAAACTGTACCTCCTCGATGTCCAGGCGCCCACTCTCTACTTTGGAGAAGTCCAAAATGTCATTGATCACGGTAAGCAAGCCGTTCGCACTGCGCTGAATGTTCTCGGCGCACTCCTTTTGCTCCTTGGTCAGCTGGCCACTATCGTCATCTAACAGGATCTCTGCCATGCCGATAACGCCCGCAATCGGCGTGCGAATCTCATGGCTCATGTTGGCCAGGAATTGACTCTTCATCTTGCTCGCTTCTCTCGCGGCCACACTTTGTGCCATCAAGCGCGAATTCTCGCGCTCACGCATCTTGACCTCCTCGGCTGCCTGATGCAGCTCCGTAACATCCATACTGACGCCAACAACGCCGTCTCGGTATGTCTCGCCGTCAAGACCGCCTTTCCGCTCCTGCCTCAACATGGGCAGCAGCCGTGTGCTGTAGAAGCGCTTGTTAGTCGTGTTCGCCACATCAACTAAGCGTTCCGCGGCTCGACCTTCCAAAACATCCAAGATCGGCCCTCTGTAAGCCGGAAGCTCGTTCATACGGTTCTGCTCTTCGAATATATCCCAAAGATCCATGCCAAGATAGTGAGACTTCGGCACATCCGAGTCGTAGGGCTCTGCCATAGAAAGACCCTCGAAGAGTGTAAGCTTGCAGTTTTTGTCGATGGCCCAGAGTGTTATTTTTGCGGTATCAATGACACGAGCAAGCGCCTGTCTCATTTGCCTCGCTTCCTCGCGCGCCATTACCACATCGTGGATATCCGTGCAAGTTCCGAACCATTTCATGATCTCTCCATTCTCGTTCCGCATCGGCACGGCTCGGCCGAGCATCCACCGCCAACTCGCGGACTCTCTGTTCCAAGCTCGGTACTCTGTAAGGTATTCGTCACCCGTTGCCAGACTATGCGCCCATCTCGGCTTTGCCACCTCTAGATCGTCTGCATGGAATGCATTAACCCAGCCGTCGCCGTGACTCTCCTCCCGCGTTAAGCCGGTAAAGCTGTACCATCGGTCGGAGAAATAATCGTGCGAGCCATCAGGCGTTGTTCGCCAGATCATCTGCGGCACCATGTTGCTGATCTCCTCAAACTGTTGCTCATTCTCTCTCTGCTGGCGAGAGATGGTCTGAGCGTAGTCCGTGACGTTATAGAAGAGCACCAGACCGCCAAGGAATTCGCCTTTGTCATCGAAGAGCGGCTCGCCTGCGACGTCGAACAGCATTTTGCTGCCGTCTATGGCGCTGTAGATGCCCACACGATACTGCTCGAATGATTCCTGCTCCCTCATGACGCGCATGATTGGAAAGTCTTCGAGGGCGAGCTCGGCGGAGAAATCGCCTTTGTAGAGCTTATAATGGGACAGGAAATCGCGTGCTTGCTCGTTCGAATCGAAGTCGCCATCCTCAATCCATGGGTAGATGAGTTTGATGGCAGCTTTGTTCGGCAGGCCGAAGCTTTCATCCTTCCACATGGCGTAAGCGGGGATGCTCATACTGTTGAGAATCGCGTCCTTGAGCCTGTTAGTCTTCGAGAAGATAGTTGGAGCGGACGCTGCCGAGCTCTTAGACGGTGGTCCTCGTGGCGGAAAGTCTGTCAGAGGGTGGGCGTAGGGACTTGTGACATTGGGATGCATCGTAGGCGTTCCGGGCTGCTTTCGCTGGCCAGAAGACTCCGAGCTTGAGCCCGAACTCAGACCGGAGCTGGAACTCATACCTGAACTCATACCCGTTGGCGCTCGAGCGACCGTCCTCGTTGTCGTCTTACCGTTTGCGTCCGCCACGGAAGCCGCTTGTGCTGTCTGCGTTGATGTGAAGGTGAGAGTGAAATACTGCTCATCCTCGGTGGCCCACACAGAGATGATCATCTGCGCTTGGACGTAGCTGGACATGTTATGTCGTGTACCAGCTGGTAGCCCTGTTTGTGGGTTGCGATCCGCAGAGAAGACGATGTCAACAATCGCGTCGTGGACTTCAGTTCGCACGCCACTAGCTGTACTTAGTCTGGATGATCCAGCCGACGTTGTCCGCGCATGACTATGACTTGTGGGAGTGTGTTCTTGCTGTAAACCTCGAGAGTGATAAGTATTAAGGTTGGTAAGCGAGCTTTGCACGCGAGAAGCGTCGTCGACAACAGTTCCGAGAAAGTCTTCCCACGACACGAATACGGCATTCCCGTTCTGCAGCAGGTCAATGCCCAACTGGCCAATGGACACGCCGTATAGCACGTCGGTGGCACTGTGCACGTCTCGGCTCTGAAAGCGGGTTAATGCATCTAGACCACCTGTTTCCGGAGAGCTTGCGAATGGATCTAAGCCGAATAGGCGCCCCATGGCTTCGTTTGCAAGCAAGACGGTTTTCTGACTAGACAGTACCAGCACTGGCATAGGGAGATACTGCAAGGCTGCGAAAGCCAAGTCGGTCTTGGCCTGGGTTGGCGGTATCCTGATGGACAAGCCTGAACGCGATGGAGACATGTTATCTCGCACGCTTCCTCCATCAGCTGAGAAATAGTCCTCCGCATGCACGTCTTCCGCCTTCGCGTCCGACAGACTGCGCGCAGTCTCATGGTCTTCGAAGGCCACCCGACCGCGGCTCGCCATGTTCGGCACCATGCCTGTTGCCTTACCACGACCGCTCGCGAACAGCCACTTCACCGAACTGTTGTCCAAGACTCTGCGTACACTCGCGGCGAGACATGCAAGTGCATGGAGGGTTCGTATCCAGCCTTTTCAACCATTTGAAGGCTCCGCGGAGCCACACTGCCAGTGTCGTTACGCGTTCGCATATACCTCGCGACCTTGCCGCCTAGTCTGTCGAATATGACCAAGTCAGATGTATTAGGTGTTACAAAGGATGGGAGGGCGACCATTTGCGACACAGAGTAGGAGCATGAGGTGCGCGATCGAGCAATAGGCTCGGTTCTGACGTCGCTGCAGGCTTGGAGAATAAAGTTCGAACGGCGGTGCATGGGAAGGAATGAAGCGCTCCCGAGCCTGCCGGAGAGCATGCAACGAAAGGAGAGTCTGTCTTTAGGACTTACCGGCCTGGCCTGCACCCTAATGTCTACCTTACTCATGCGACGCCTGGTGATCATCCATACCTTGTTCGCACGAAACGGATGCCCCTGCGTGCCCGCAGACATTCGCCGCAGATCCGCGTTGATCGCCGTCGGCAATCCTTCTCCCTTGCCGGCAGAGGCCGGTCGAGAACACGACAGGCCTGCTTCATATGCACCGTCAACATTGTCTACTTCGTACACATACTACTCCCTTTACTTTCTAACAGCCGAGCTGGCACCCGGCAGCAGCAGTCTAGCTTGTACGTGATGTGAACGAAGATTCCCAGCATTTGTCAGAAGAAGGCTGTGGTCGTTTCTACAAAGGCTGCCGCGGCGTACGCAAGCCTCACATGTTCGCCACCTTCACTTCCACCACGTTGTTATACAAGCCTTTTCAATATTTATTGTATGATGCCCCCACTTGAGACCTCACTACCGAGCGTATACAGTTATAGCAAGCCGAGATTCTCGCGGACCGCGAAGCGTGGCAGCAATATGACCAACGCATGATTCCTCGCATCTGTAGATTCATGCCATACAAGACTTAACGAAGAGACATGCTACGATGATCCCGCAGTACTCCGGCCGCAACCGTGGGCCCTCTAAGGGTGGGCCCAGTGGTGTTCAGCGGTCGTATGCTTCTCAGCTTAAGGAGACCGAGGCTCTCTTTAACAGCTACGAGCACCTGCAAGGACTGGAACGCGGAGATGCAGCACTTACGATGCTTCGCAAGGTAGCATCGCTGGTCAAACCGATCATGCGGAAGCGTGGGTGGAAAGTTCAAATCTTGGCCGAGTTTCTCCCATCAGAGCAGAACCTGCTGGGTTTGAATATCAATAAGGGCTACAAGATTTGCATTCGGCTACGATATCATAACAACCCGGATCTGTTCCTTCCGCTCGAGCAAGTAGTTGACACAATGCTTCACGAACTCTCCCATAATGTGTGGGGTGAGCATGACAGCAATTTCCACAAGCTATGGGATGAATTACGAGACGAGCATGAGACCTTACTTCGTAAAGGCTACACTGGAGAAGGTTTCCTATCTGAAGGCCACAGGCTCGGTGGTGACAGGTACAACGCGCCGGCGCCACACGATATGCGCCGCCTGGCCCGCGCTAGCGCGGAAAAGCGACACGCACAAGGCCAGCTGAGCAGAGGTTCCGGGCAGCGGCTGGGAGGCACGCCACTGCATCTGCATGGCGGTGATGTGAGGCAAGTCATCGCGGACCAGATCTCTAGGCGGAACACAATCAACAGAGGTTGCGGCTCAGGGAGGAAAGACGCGATCAAGATCTCAGATGATGCCTCCAATCACACGTTCAAGACCTAGGCGGAAGAGGACGATGCAAATGATCGAGCGATCGCGCAAGCGCTGTATGAGTTGTTGCAGCAGGAGGAAGAACGGAAGATTCAGAATGGCACCTTTTCCAAAGTTCCTGGAGATGGTGGTCTGGCCTGGAGCCCGTCAACCGGCCTCTACGATCCACGTCTGAGTGAAGACTCGTCTCAAGGACGCAAGGTGCCTGACGAAGATGAGCAACTGAAGTGGGCATTGCAGGACAGTATGTCGCATCCAGAGAGTTCGTTGTCAAGGTGGTCTCCCGTCTCGCCTTTGACACCACCACCAAACGCTCAAGGCCAAGATCGTGCGATGTCCGCGCCACCAGTGCCGAATAACACCAAGCCCATCGTCAATAGTGTGACGCAGACTGCAACAAACAACGTAATTGCCTCTCGTCCTACCGAGGTTGCCGATGCACGGCCGGAGGCAGCTAGAGTGCCGCCACCGTCAAGAACATCGACCACTCAATCAGCAGTCCACGTCGACCTCTCCGAGCCTTTCGACCCAGACCTATGGACCTGCAATATTTGCACCTGCATCAACCCTATGCAGTACCTAGCCTGTGATGCTTGCGGAACCGAACGACCGCAAGCGACGCCAGCGTCACGTCCAGCGGCGGTGGCCAGGTCGCGTACTGTCGGAAGCAGGCAGCCGGCGGCTATCTCAGCGACACTATCGCTTCCGCACCCGATACAGCGTCTCGGGTGGAACTGTGAGCGCTGTGGTGCGTTCATGGAGCACCGATGGTGGACTTGCAGCGCGTGTGGTTTGATGAAGAGCGCGTCGTAAGTGCAAGCATTAGGCGAATGCACTTGCCCTTCGCTGGCAAGGTGACTATGAATAGCGTAGCATTCATTGCAAGCGGTGATCTTCAGCGCATCATTCGCAGGCAGCCCGACGGTCTAGGTATCGTTCAGAGAAGATTGCGCGTTCTGCCCTAATAAAAGCTGCTTCAAGCAATGGTACTAAAGCCCGATACCATTTATGCCTTGCAATTCTTTATGCTGAGCTTCTGAGCTGCTCAGCGCGAGCACTCCTCCCATCCAGCCTCATGTGTCCACAGCACTTCCACAGATGGGTACGGAGATCTTGGGTAGCGCTTTGGCTCCTAGGCAGATCCAATCAGGCCGGTGCAGTCTTCGCAGGTCCTACGGTTTGATCACTTCCGCCAGTACCGCTCGCATCAGTGTCGGCAATGGACCTTTTTGTCTCGGCTTCCTTCGAGAAGACATCGTCCCAGTAATCCTGCCGGAAGCCGTCCATGAGCTGCGTGTACTGCGGTCCAGCCTTGACCCAACCTTTGACGCCGCCCTCGAGCACCGTGACATGCATGTTATGGTCATTAGCAACGTTACGAACATGCTCCAGGAACCAGCCTGCACAGCGAGGGCCCCGTCCGGAAGAAGAGCCGCAGGTGAAGACAACCCACTCTATATCCGACTTATAGCAGAGCTCCCAGAGTATGCCACGATTCCACCAGAAGCCTTGGGCTGGGATGTTAATGCTACCACGTATAGCTCCGCCTTCGTAGTCCGTCCGTCGGACGTCTACGATGAGCATGCTGGCGATCTTCATGGAGAGGATCATGAAAGCTCGTCTTTGAGGCATTATCTCGGCTTCCATCGTGGGCTGCGGAAAGGCTGCGTGCCATGGCTGCTCGTTTGAGGCCATCTTCAGAGCAAGAATGGGATACTACGGCTTGGTGTCAACAAATGTGTCCAATATGCAAGCATGTGCCCATTCCGCTTGTCCCAGTGCGGAAAGTCTCCGCTTCGGCCAGTGGCCCCTTTGCCTCGCTTCAACTTCCTACTCTACTTCAACTCCTCATGTGCGGGTATCGCTAGGCTTTCACCATTTACCTCGTCATAATGAAAGTCTGTAACATGTCAAGGTCCAATAAGGCCAGCATCCTCCCCATAGATGACTCGATCCATGGTGCGACGCGTAACTCGGATACTATGACCAGCGCAGGAACCTGCTCAGGTCTTGGGCAGGACCTAACCGATGAACACTTCGACTTCCTCGGGTCAACCAAGGAGATGCGTGATATGATCTATGATGTTTTGTTGAGGCCAGCACCGGACTTGTGCCGAGCGCCATGGTGCCAATCTTCACAACCAACAAGGCCCCCAGCTGTCCATATCAGCAACGCGCCCGTGTACAATTGCCTCATCGTCAATAAACAGTTCACTCTCAAGTATCGGGAACGTCTGTCAGAGCTCATGACTCCGAAAGTCTCGTACTATCCCTGCGCGGTGGTGGAGCTGCCGATTCCTGCTTGTATACGCTTAGGCGAAGCCGTGGAGGTGCGCTTCGAACTGGAATATGCGCAAGGTAGGATAACTACGTCGAAACTGACACCGACGAAGTCGTGGCACATCGGAATACCTTGCGAAGTATACAGGAGCAGATGCCACACCTCAAGCGCTTGGACATTCGACTGATTGTACAGTTGCCCTATCATAATGATGGCTGGGACCAGGAGTGGCAGCAGGACCGCTTGGATCCAGTTGAGGAATGTTTCATGGAAGCGGCGGCCACCAAGATCGAGATTGGCAGTACTGATACCACACACGAAGAGCCGCGAGGATGGAACTCTACCATGTGGTGAGCTGGAGATACTCCGGAGAAGATGGACTTCGGACGATGGATGGTCAGATATCCCTTATGAGGAGGTCTTCGTAGAGCCTCGCAAGTAGCGGTCCTAGCATTCTGTTGAGCGTGCTTTCCTGTTTGGGGAAGCTAAAGAGCGTGGGACATAGCGCCTTGGCGCGGGAGTTACACTTTCCCACTTCACTCTCTCATCACAGCAGACCTCAAATTCGGCATTCCCGGAATTGCCGTCATAAGCGACTACGGAAAGCATGCATGGGACGAGTGCCGCGAATGCGACTACATGCAGCCGGTCGAAGACAGCCTCAATGAAGCGAACCCTACCGATTGCAGCTCAACCTTTGGTATTACCCAAAACGGAAGGGCAGGAGTGTGTCGAGCACGAGATTCAATGCAAGACGTGGACGCACTCAATGGAGGGTTGGAACACGCGCCAGCCACGGAACGTTCTTCGTAGTCGGCTGCTGCGAATTCTGCGTGTGACACTAATGCCTCTTCATCATGTGCAAATTGTCTCAGCCTGCCATTTGCGCCCACTGCAAAGACTTGCTGGTATCGTCTTCGGCAAGACTGCCGGAAGCACTGGGGAATCCGTCCATCTAGCAGACAGAAAAGGTACGACTCCAGCCACCCAAAATAGCTCTGTGAATCGGTAAGCAAGGTCAGGAGCGCTCTTGATACTCGAGACTTTACCCCGTGTACAGGAGATTGAGATGGACATATCGACAGTGTTGAGACAATCGCTGGTTTGCAGATGTCCACAAGGAAGCCCATGGAGGGCTAACGAGTGGCTCGTAAGCATGTAGCTTGCCTCTTCGCTGACCGACATGCTACCCATGCCGCTATCACAAGCACCCTCTCCGGTACTCATATTTGATAAGATAGCCGGCCACACTACGATGAACATGAGGTCGTCCTCCGCATTACTGCACTGACAGCTTGTGCAGTGGAAGGTTAACACTGGCCGCTGTCACCGTACAGCTTTGCCCTGCGTTTGACGTTCTAAGAGCTGTTTCAGCAACCTTCGTCTGTCGACAATCCTTCGCTCGTATGTGAGACCGTCAAGATTCGCCCTTTGAGATCTGGAGGCGCGTCCATGTTAAGACTTTGTGCTCTTGTCATCTCTGCGGCGAGCTGGCTGTCTTTCTCATGGTGGTATTGCGCGTTGGTCAATTTTTCCAGCCCTCACAGACGTAGAGCCTTATCAGCTTGTCCGCATCAACCCTCGAAGTGAATCTGCTTCTGAAGCGAGCAAACGGAGGTGGATCTGCATCTATAGCTTTAAGCTGCTGAAGAAGCTACGGGTAAACAAGATCTTAGCTGCATTAGGAAGTTGCCGCAAGCAGTCAAATTGTGGTTTGGCCGGATCCTGCCATACCATGCTAATCATACCCATTAAGCCATACGCACAATCGAGGTTGACGTCGACCTGCGTCTGCTCTCGACTTGACGGATCAGTGCAGAAACACCACATGATAGCGGGACGGCGTTTGGTCGTCGCATCGCAGGTGTGATGCAGTCTCAAGCTGCTGTCTTGCAGGCCGCCCTGAAAACCCACATGGAGCTTCCAATTACTGGGCCCGGCATGTCGCAACCAACACATTGGGCAGACTACACCTGGCTGGTGACGAAAATCGACAGAGAAAAGGGTGGCCGTCGCATAGTATCGATGAGAGTCTTAATGCTAGGAATGAAAGGCCGGCAATAGGATGTTCGGGGCCCATAGTCAGGCGGAAACCGATGTTCGGCTAACAATCGTGATGCCAACATGCGTTGCGCTTCGTCTCCTGGGCATTAACGAATGCTACCATGGCTGGCAACCACTCTTCGAGAAGCCTCGCCAAAACAAAATGTGGTTAGAAGTGCTTGAGGCGAAGATCGATGGCAAGAGAAACCGTATGGCCACGCTGATTTCGTCAAGCTCCTAGGACGCGGTCTGGGTATTTCTGACACACCTGCAGTCCTGTTCGTCGGCGAGCTGATACATGCGTATCCGGAAGCAAGGCTGACCCTAACATATCGGGATTCTGACGCCTGGTACAAGTGAGTGGCACGAGGAAGCCGGCGAATGTGGTGATTGACCTGTGTTACAACTGACTGGGATGTCCGCCAGGTCAAACCTGGAAACAGTGGGAAAGCTTATCGATCATCCTCTCACCAAAACTCTGATACCGGTTGAACCTGCTCTTCGCATGCACTCCCGGTTCACCTGATCAGCTTTCAAGCGGTCTCGTAAGATCCTTTGCAATAGTGATTCTCGCGGGAATGCCAAGGTTGCGTACGAGCAGCATTAAGAATATGTTCGACCCACTCGTGCCCAGGTATCGGCTGCTGAAGTTCCACATCACAGATGGGTGGGACTCGCTTTGTAGATTCCTCGATATTCAGCATCCTGGTGTTGAGCTCCCACGTTGAAATTCAACGGAGACACTGAATAAGCGATTTGAGGTTGCATCAAGATTTACGCTGGTGGCTATTCCAAAGCCGTTGCTGGTGCTAGGCCTCTTGTCATTCGGCAGTGCGTGTGCCCTTTTCCGAATCTATTGGTGAGGCAGGTAGTTCTCGTAATAGGTCTAGTAGGCGATTCGAGCAGTGCTATGACAGCTTCAAGTCCATCGAGATTGCCTGGGACTTATATAACTGTTATTGTGAGCTTGCAGCTTACAGCATGGCTTGCCTACGTCCTGCGTTGTCCCTCTGCTCGTGAAGCCGTTGGTTGCGTCGGTCGTTTAATTCTGAAGGTGCTTTAGCATGCGGTATGCACGATGCGACATTCAATGGAATCATCCGGGTCCTCCTCTTCTCTCATGCCGAACACACCTTCCATACGATGCTCTCCGGTCCGCTCGAGTCCCATGCAAGGCACTAAAAAGTCGCCATCCTTGTCCGCCGCAGCTACTGCCGCGCGAGGAACAACAAGCTCTGCGGCAAGATCAAGCACACCGCCGTAACCGCCTCCTTAAGGGAGCGTAAATTCGAAACCAGCCGTCCGGTCAGAGTCGTAGCACGCTGCGCGCTCAGCCTTTCGCACATTATGTAGAGCGAAACAGGAAGACAAAGAGCTGTATACTCCAGCATGATGGAACACTGTCAAGTCTTGTTCTGCCGTAGCAGACAGACTCTGTAGGATAATGTTGGCCGCTGCTTACATTTAGCGAATCTCCTCATTGGCAGCCGGAAGGGCCACTGTACACATCTCAGTCAAGTAGTCAGTACGTCGCATCTTGTACGCCTTCAGAGTGCTGACCACGGGTGGCGCTGGAGAGATAAATTTGGATAGATCGTTGATGTCCTGTGAGCCCTACCTTGTGTCACCCGATAAGGAGTTGATCACGCCCAAGCCACTTGTAAAGCTTTCGCCCACCCGGGCTTTATGACTCAATGTAATGCTTCGGAGGCATGGGCGTCCTCTGCAGCTGATCCGAAGAACGTCGGCACAGACGTCGCCACGACGGGAATGTCAGGACTGGAAGAAAGTAGGCCCTCACTCTGCAACAAAGGCGGTCATCCACAAGCCAACATCGCTATTTCGCGTCGACATCACCACAACGTAGGCTACGAAGGCTTCCCAGACCGGTTCCGGGGGCCACTTTGGAGCGCCCGGTCCGCGTCTAGCAGAGACTGAGATCGTGCTGAGTTCCGACCGCTCGTCGAGCCGCGCAACCGACGAAAGCACCATTACGCTCTTCGTCCCTAAGCCATCCGCAGTGGCGTGAGCGATGCGGCAACGACTGGGACCTACATGAGCTGAGGCGGTTTGGGAGAAAAAAGGTGTCAGGGACGCAAGTGGGTCCATGGTTGCCGTGAGAATTGTACTCATGCCGGGTCCATCGCCGCGGAGAGCAATGAAGCAACGTACATGACACGGTCTGAGCCCTGGAGCGTTTAGCAGCGAAGGTGGCGGCCGTATACTGCAAGCAGATGTTTCATGACTGGGCATCTCTGACGTCTGTAATGCCCATTGCGGCCAAGCTTGCATAACTGCTTCCGAGGGATCCTTTACTACCTGTGCTATCGCAGCCTCGAGAGTTCACATGTTGGCCACATGCGGCGAGCATAGTTCTTATGAGCAAAGATCACCTATCGAGTCATTGCCAAGTATCGTGGCAACGAACAACAGCGATGCAAAACGTCTTCGATGCGAAACATGTCTTTCCGCACGATGCCGGGAGCTGATGCAATGGACGTGAAGTGAAACGATGTAGTGCTCTTGGTTTATGTGGAAAGGAGAAGAGCAAAGTGCTTGGCGCGAGTCTCCGCAGACGTCCCAGCCGACAATGCCGGCTTCGGTGGCTCGGTATCATTTGCAGACTTCCAAACTCTGCCAGACTGCGCTCATGCCAACACCGCCGCCTCCACCGCCGCAGCTCGACACATGCCTTCAAGACGCTCGGCGAGGTCAGCGCCGCGCCCCAGTCTGCGTAACGACCGCTCTGCTGCTCGGATCGTGCAGCATTTCGCCAATCAAACCGTCACTTGGCAACCTTGGCGTTACCGCCCAGGATCAAGCCAAGATGGCGCGGCGGAGGGACGCTGATGAGGCAGTGATGCGTTCACGCTACATAATGCACTCCTCCGCCCCCCGTATGCGAGGACAACGAGTGCCCTCCATGATCATTGTCTCAATGTCGACGCACGTATAACATTCGAGAGGTGCCTGTAACACACCAAAGACATGCAGGCCGGATCCGACTTGGCGCCAAAGGCTGGGCGAGAACACGAACAGACTGTCACTCCCTTGTCGAACCTAAGACATCCCAGTCCATGTGTACTACCGCCGATGCAACCTGTCAGATATGCTGCGAACGATTACGGCAGGCATACTGGACATGACAGATCGCGAGCAGACGACGACTACTACACCTCCGGCTCTATGTCATCGGGCTCATTCGTGTCACCCGTCTCGTCAATAGAAAAGGACCACGACCGAGAGTCGGGTGTGACAGTCAGAGATCCGGAGAAGGCGATGCACAATGCGCGAAATACCGATCGACGCTCGAGAGACAATCTAAGTCTCACATATACCGACGATGAAGAGGCAGAGGATGAAGGCCGGCGGATGCAGGAACAGAAAGCGGTCAATATTCTGCTGTTTCTCGCAGGGCCATGCGTCCTGCTGTCAGCATTGAATGCGGCCTGGACTATCATCTCGTGTGTCATCACAAGCCTTACACAGCCGGTACGCCTATGCGCCAGAAGACCGACATTCGGACAACAGCTTGCTGGCTTGCTGGGTCCGGCACTGAACCTGCAACTCCGCTGCATCCACACCCCTTTGCCGCCATATGCGAATGAAGATGCTGTCTACCATACCTGGATGCTGGTGGCAGTGCATCTGCTATCTCCGTTTCTGAGCCTTGGCGTGATGTTCGGAAGCTGGGTGTTAGCCTTCTACTGGGTGTCATCACTGGTCGTGGGCGATCCTGCAGGTATGGACAAGCAGGACGACGGAAGGGAGACCGTGCTGGGGCTGCGAAGGTGGTGGGAAGCGTGGCTTCTGCGGAGTGTGAAGGAAGAATAATGTGACCAAATCCTAGCTGGGACTTAGCGATGTCGTTCATGACTTGTGATACTATGTATGCACCTTACTTGAACTTAGCATGGCGTTGGTGGCGATGGGAATGTGCTTCGTATATATGAAGCGTGTACTGAGATGATTCTTTACTTCGAACTTCACAGTTCACTCCAAGCAGTAGCAATTCCCAAGCTTCGTCCTCAGAATATCTGCCCTTGAGCTCGCCTCGAACGCAGGCCAACACTCTAAAGTCCGGCGAAGCTTCGGCAGATATTTTTCTGAATATATATATCAAATGTTCGACCATCTATACTACTGTAATTGAGCCGTCCGGTTATCTTCATTGGTCTAGTTGGTCACATGATATCTATCAGTTATTGAACGAATTCTAATACCCTTCGTTAGGTGGTCATGATTTCCGCTTGTCATGTGTACATACGTCAAGCGCGGGAGACCTGGGTTCGATTCCCAGATGGAGAGCGTTTCCTTTTCCAGTTTTTGGTCGATAATCAGCAAGCTCGAGTGAGGTCTGAACGAAATGCGTGTTGACATGCATTCCCGGTGCTTCGTTTTGCCGGCAGCCCAAGTCAATATCGATCGCGCATTCGAGACATGAGTAATTCACGATATATCTAGACTGTTGGGTGAAGGAGCCCAGGAGCAGCACTTATGCATTATAGGACAGCTACGTATACAACCAAAAAGTGTTAGGGTTAATTGACGCTGAGCATGAGTCGATCGCCTGAGATCATTGACCCGGAAGGTCAATATGGGAATATAGTCAAGCTTTCTGATGGGCTGGCAATCTGTCAATGGCTTCCGACCGATGATGCCTCGTCCTCACCACGTGGCAACAACAAGAAGATTAGGGACGACCTCCGTGATCGAATGCCACATCCCTACATTAATGCCGACGCCGCATTCTGGGTCGCATACTGTCAGGACACATCGAACCATGTCCGATCGGAAGCATGATCGACGGAGACAGGCTCTCAAGGCCCGCTTCTACCCACCGGATACGCTGCCGCCATTAATGGCGAGGCGGTCGGCAGCCCTGGCGTGATGTTTGGTAAGGACGTTTACCTCCGCACCGCAGAGGTCGGGTACTAGCTAGGCGAGGGATACCGGAATAAAGACATCATGTCCAAGGCTATCCTGGCTTTCGTCGAGTGGGTATGGCAGACGTTCGGTATCCTAATCCGCATTAATGCCGAGACCTACAAGTTCAATGCTGCAAGCGGGAAGGACCTGGAGAGGGCTGGCTTCAGGTGTGAAGGCGGAAGGCCAGACGCAGTCGTTAAGAACGGTGTCATATCGGCGACATTGATGTAGGGAGCTTTGAGGCAAGAGAGGTACAAAAAGCGAATATCTTGATTGGAGCATCAAGGCAGGCGGGTCACTTGGTCAGACTCGTTGGTGGGAAGCCGATTGCATTGAAGAACCCCAACGCCCCCTGTATCATTCCCAGATGCTCGAGTTTAGCTTTGATCTCCATAAGCATTGTTACCCACGTAGGTAAAAGAATGAGAGTGTATGAAGACAGCGGCTAACGAAGCAGAATGAAATCGATAATTATATAGACCCCTCTTCCAATGGCTTGCGCTCCCTGCCCAAAATAGGCGCACTGGTCTTGTGGCTGCCCCTTGCGGCTTGGAAACCATATGCTGGTTCTACAGTGTACTATACTGTCGTTGTCGTGATTGCGAACACCCGTAATGTATACTTCTCCGTTGTTACACCATGACGGAGGTCTTGAGTAGTACAGTACCCGCCTCCGAAGTTAAAGCTGCATCCGGATCGCCTGCAGGGACGCATGCAGCTTCGAACCCAGAAAGTCAGATCCACATCCACACTAAGGAAACAGATCAACATGCAGTCGCTACCGCTGAGCTAGCTGAGGCGATATCATCTCCGCAAGCTCCTCCCATTCCAGATATACCTTCCTCCGCAGATTCCTCACCCATCAGCGAGCGCAACCAAGCACCTGGCATTTTGGATAGAAGGAAGAGTGTCAAGCCTGGCAGTCGGTCACAGAGCCGGTCGCGCAAAGGCGGGCTTGCAGCGCGGCGTGGTCCGCCCATCAAGATCAGCATGGCGGATATCGGAGCGGAGATGAGGGCGAAGGATGGAGACACGCCCGGCCAGGAAAGCGAGATGTTTGAGGATGCTACATCAACACCGAGACCTGGGTCGGCTGCGGATGGCGAGCACCGTGGCAGGACCGCAGAGGAGCAAGTCATCAGCGAGGCAGCGGGCTTAGCTATTAACGGTGCACCAGAGAAGCTTGAGAGCACGGTGGAAACAAACAATGGCCGTGTGGAGAGTATTGACATGCCTAATGGGCATGCGACAGCACCTGCGCACGCCGCAGTAAACCGAATACCGGACTTGCCACCCCCGCAACCTTCTACATTCCGTGACCGCAGCATATCGCCTGGCAAGCCTCTTCACGGCTTGTCCGGAGACTTTCCGATCAACACACCACCACCGCCGTCAACAGCTGATCGGTTACGTGCTCTCGAGCAACGACAGCTTGGCGAACGAACCAACGGTCTGTCTCCACGGCCACCTGAGAGCTTTGCCCGAAAAGCATCAAGTAGCTTCACCGGACTTCTGAACCGAATTGGCAGTGTTAGGAAGCCTGCCAGGTCTCCACCAGGACGGCAGGAGGGTGGCTTTCTCGCTAGGAGGAACACCAATGCATCCATGAACACTTTAGATACCCAATCCAATGGCTTGACACCAATCGCTGACCTTCCCGAAGGTGTTGTTTCGAAGTTGAGCTTGCAGGACCAATTCAACAGCGTGAGGAGGCAGGAAGAATCAACGACGGGTAACGAGAATGGATATGTGGAAAATGGAGCCGATGACAGAGCACAGATGGTCAGAACTCACAGTGACGCTGATATGTTAACATCACCCACCAAAGCCAGCCAAGACGAGCCATCTCCGCGACTTGATCGAGCCATGTCAACACCTGGAATACTGAAGTCTCCACCTCTAGACATGAAACTACCCCCTGGCACAGCTTCCGGTCTTTCAGCGGGACCGTCAGAGGAACCACGGCCGGTCAACTGGGATCTATGGCAGACTGTGGTCTACGAGGGTTCCGTCGCAGTGAAACGAACGAATGCGGACGAACTGCGCGAGGCAATCGCTTCTGGCATTCCAGCACCGATAAGGGGTGTGGTATGGCAGGTACTAGCAGACAGCAAGAGCGACGAGCTAGAGACCGTCTATCGTACTCTGAAAGCTAGAGGCACAAAGGTAGAAGACACATTGAAGCCGATGCCTATGGGTCGAAGCGACTCGCAGCCACTAATCAACGGAGCATCTACAGAAGAAGGTCTTGCCTCATCAAGTGCCAGCATCCACTCCGAAAAGTCGACACCTGCAACATCCGCCATGGCTAGTCCGCCGCTTTCGGTGGAAGGCAACCCGATCGATATGCAGGAGAAAGTGTACGCCGAGAAGCAGAAGCGCGAGACTGCACAGATGCAGAAGCTTGAGAAGATGATTAAGCGCGACATGGGTGCACGAACTTCCTACAGTAAGTACACTCAATCGGTGGGCTTGCAAGATGGGCTGTTTGGCGTGTGCAAAGCGTACGCGCTCTTTGATGAAGGTGTAGGGTATGCGCAGGGCATCAACTTCATCGCCATGCCGTTGCTCTTTAACATGAGTGAGGAGGAAGCATTCACGCTACTGGTCAAACTGATGAATAAGTATGATTTGCGGAGCATGTTCACTCCCGACATGGCTGGCCTGCATCTTCGGCTATATCAATTTGAGCGACTGCTAGAGGACATGGAACCAGCGCTGTACTGTCACCTGCGGAGAAGAAAGGTTGAGCCGGAACTGTACGCCACACAATGGTTTCTGACGCTGTTTGCGTATCGATTCCCGTTGCAGCTTGTACTACGCATCTACGATCTGGTGTTGAGCGAAGGCTTGACGGCGATTATTAAGTTCGGCCTAGTCCTCATGCAGCGGAATCGCCAGGCTCTACTCGAAACGAAGGACATGAGTCAGCTTAGTTCCTTCTTGAAGGAGAAGTTGTTCGATGTTTACATCGATAAGTCTCCGTCAGCATCTTCGTTGCTAGATTCTGGCTTCTTCGGATCCGTCACCGGCGGCGCAGACAAGGAGCTCTACCGCGCAGATGAGATGGTGCGTGATGCGTGTGAGATTGCGATCTCTGAAGAGATCCTGGCCAAATATACTGCAGAATGGGAGGAGCAGACTCGGACTGAGCGTGAACGGACCGAGGAGCTCGAAACTTTGCGCAGCACCAACCAGACCCTTACCACGCGGGTCAAAGCCTTGGAAGAGCGCACACAACAGCAAGACGCTGAACATGTGTCCATCGCTTCCGAGCTCGTCAACCTGAAGCTGCTGAATGACAGCCTACTCGACGAGAACGAGGGGCTGAAGCTGCAGATCCAGGAGCTGAAGAAGGTTGTGGATGCGCAACCGGCAGAGGTAGAGGAGAAGCTCAAGGAGGAGATGGAGCGAATCATGACCCGGAACGTGGAGGTGCAGAATGAAAACCGTGCCCTGAGGGAGGAGTGCGAAGATATGGAGAGGGAGTTAGTTGGGGCGAAGATGGCGCATGCGCAGGTGAGTCGTTGCGAATGTCATAACTGCTCTTCGGATGACACGCAGAAGCTAACAGGAAATGCAGGCACGAGCGGATCACGATGCGCTACAGCAGCGCTTTGCAACCATCCAGGCGGCTATTAATGGATAGAGCCCAATGCAGTCGCCAAGTCGCCACACCAACACTCAGCACGAGCCTCACGGGCGCCGAGACAGCACTCGGCTTGGCCGGCTGGATCCTGATCACGACACTCGTTCACTGGATAATGTATGAACTTGAACATAGCACGAGGCGGTGACTTGCATACATGTAGCATTCAGAGCGTTATGGAGCGGTACGGGAGCAAGTCAATTGCAGGCATCACTTCTGAGCGTTTCACAGAAGATCTGCATATTGTAACAAAAAGCATGAACATGGGATATTGAGTATCAAGTTGGCATAGCGAAGAGAAGCCAGGTGTATGTATGATGATCCTACGGAGTGACTGCGAGTGGTGGCTGCAAAATGGAGGATAGGTGCGAGTGCCTCGCACATGTCACCCAATTAACGTCACTTCACATGCAGCAGCAGCAAGCAGCGGAGTGGTTTGAGAGGCTGCTTCCCACTTGGTCATCGATGTATAAACACTGACCCCTACCATACGCATATACGACACTCCAGGCCGCTCATCCGAGCGAATCCTAGCAATACTCCTAAGTGAACACCAAGCCTACAGCTCTACAATACAGCGCGAACCACTCAAGGGGACACCGCGGCAAGCACAGCAAGCAGCGACCTGGAAGGCTCTCAGAGGTTCTTCGAACAAGCACCACTCGCAATGGCCAGCAAACGGGGCGTAACATCGATGGCCGAACCGCCACCGTCATCGGCTATGACAACTGACTTCAAGTCGACGTTCGAACGCAACCTTAACCACGAATTCGGAACGTTGCCGGCACCTCCCTCCACCGCAGTCCAGCCCTTTGAGTGGATAGAAGAGCCAACATCGTTAGCACCACCAGCGCTCAGTGGCGTGCGGAGTAGGAGCAGGACGCTCCACTGTCCGCTCTGGCTCCTCACTACGGCGCCGGCGCTCCTGGTCGTGCTTGTGATCGCTGGAATTGTACTTGCGGTTGCGGCGCGCAAGCACGGTCATGGGATGCAAGCTGCTGTAGTCACGGATATGGTTGTGTCTATGACATCTATGACTAAGACGGGTAATGCGGCACATACTAAGGCTACGACGACCGAGCGGACAGCGAGCACGAGCACGAGCACGAGGACCGTAACCATCACGCGGGAGGTTATGTCCCAGACGAGTCTCCAGTTCTTTAGCTACAAGGCACCGGACGTCGTGAGTGCAAGGCTTGGGTAGTGCACACGCTGACAGCCGGTTGGAAGCGACTCTGACACTGGCGAAAGGCTAGAGCAGAGCGAATCACATGCGGCGTTGGCACGCCTGCGACCGGCTCAGCTTGTGACTTCTACATATTGTACAGTGATGCTTGTATCGGCGCCAGCCAACGCCCGCTATGAGAGAAGCACATGTTGCGTGGCGTTGGCGCACACTACAGATTCGTCAAGTAGTCCTCAATCTCTTGTGGGCTCAGCTTCCGGAAGCGCGGACCTTGTGCGCCTTCTACGCCCTCGTAGCCAAGAAGATGGTTCGCTGGCGGACCAACAATACCTGCACAGTAGTAAGCATCGGCAAAACGGTTACGTGAGTAATAGGCCACTTACCAATCTCAACCGTCTCTCCATTCATCTCCCCCTCAATCGTCTCCTTGAGCGTTAGCAACGCAATGTGCACCGCATCCTCGAGCTCGAGGCCCTCCGTATACCGCTTCTCTAGGAACGTCTTCGCACTCGTCGCGGACTTCCCGATCGCCGTAGCTTTCCACGGGAAATAGCTCCCTGACGGATCGACCTGATACAGGCTAGGCCCGCCCTTCAATATTCCTCCAGTCTTACCCGTCGTCTTTTTCCGGTCTTCGGCAGAGTCATCGACCGCCGTCTCCTCCGCGCCAGCCGGCTTCGCATTCTGCTGCTCTGGTTCAATGCCCTCGTCATAGCCAGCAATGAGCAGCGAAACACCGTACGGTCTCACACCCCCGGACTGCGTCGCCTCTTGCATCACCCTCGCGACGTCTTGCACTAGTATTCTCGTGGGCGGATACTCGTTGTATATCCGCTTGTAGCCTGTGTGACTGACTTTGCGAGCCTTGTCTACGAGCACGCGGTAATCGGGACCCATCCCGGAGTAGACCATGCCGATGTTGGGTGTGATGAGTGAGATCTTCGATGATGAGGCTGGGTCGATGAGGGGTGTGGAAGACTTCTTCTCCGTTGCGAGGACGATGCCATTTGCGGCTTTGATACCGAGCGAGGTTACACCTTGGTTGACAGCGTTGAGAGCATATTCTGCGGACTGTCAGTGGAACGAGGTCGCATTAGCCCTGCTACATTGCGATCGTACCTATTTGGACGAGCTTGCCACTATGGACTCGTCAGTGGAAGTAACCATACCGGCCTTTTGCCAGCTTACCTGGGCGAGAAGGTGGTGAGGGAGAAGGAGTATCTGTCGGCCATCTTGGCCTTCCGCGGATCGGTAGAGCTGCTGAGAGAGATTAATCGCCGTCGCTATGAGTAGATGACTGTATGTCCGCTTTCTTTACACTGTATGGGTGCCCTGCGATCAACAAACAGCTCGATATGCTCGATTCAAGTTGTTCGTTGAAGTCAGGCAAACGCGAGGTACGCGGAGAGCTATTGCGCCGATAGTCAGTGTCAATAGTCGTCGCCCGCAGATGCCGGGTCACACGACACCTTTCACCTTCCACAGCCTCCGAACTCTTTACTTTTGCTACTTCATCATGCGACCACCTTCATCTTATCTGGATCTTGACGCAGGCTGAACATTCCGACTTGCTCTTCCGGAACAGCATAAGACGATAACTCGAAGCGATGGCTGCTTATGCATCAGGTTCAGACTGGAGCTTCCCTGATGATCTACCAGGCAGCTGGACACAGGACGATGTAGATGCTCAGCTACGTGCTGAGAGTGAATCTCGCAATGCACCTCCATCTCAAGCGAAACCTAATTCAGCCGCGCCTCCACCTCAAGCGAGCAACGAGGGCAGCAAACCTAAGAAGCAGCGGACTCACTACCCAACCCGGACGTGCCGGATATGTCTCGAAACGGTACCACCGACCTTCCACACAGAGGAGCAGCAAGGCTCGATACTCCCAGAAGCATTGCGACCTTCATTACGCGTGACCTACGAATCGCCACCCGGTGACGGCGGCCGATTGATCCGCCCATGCAACTGCAAAGGCTCTCAGAAGTACGTCCACGAAGAGTGCCTCGGCGCCTGGAGACGCCAAGATCCGCTACAGAAGCGTAACTACTGGCAATGTCCGACGTGCAGGTATCGGTATCATCTCCAGCGGCTGAGCTGGGGACGCTGGCTTAGCAGCTCCGTGGCGCAGATTGCCCTGACCCTGACCATCTTCATGACCACTATGTTCTTGCTTGGCTTCGTTGCGGATCCGATCATCAACTTGTACCTTGACCCTGTCAGCACGATTGCCACAGCCGGCGGACCATCGGGCAGTCTGTTGTACGAGAACGAGCCAGCGACTTGGGTCGAGCACTTCATCAAAGGTTTAGCATCACTGGGCTTACTGGGCTTCGCAAAGTTCCTTCTAACACTTAGTCCGTGGCATTGGTTCAATATGCGTGGCACCGGCGTCGTTATCCATCGGAGTGGACAGGCACTCGGCGGAACAGGTAGAGACCGCTTACAAGGTCTTAGCTGGTTTGCGATCGCTCTTGGAGTTGCCACTTTTCTGTACACTGTCTGGAAAGGCGTGAGAGCGTGGTCAAGAAGGATGCTGGAAAAGGCCGGCGAGCGCGTTATGGACGTTCCAGGTACTGACGATGACGATGAGGATGACGATTAATGATTGTATCATCAGGCATGCTTCACGAACTGTTTCTTGAAGGCTTTTTGACCCAGGAAATTCATCTGCGCAAGCGCTGGAGCTCTCATTTCTGATGTAAGAATCCGCACCACTTAAGTTGGCTCGCCCTTCCCCCAATCTTGGGATTCCATGGCATGACAATTAGTCAACGTGCGAAGATCGAGCCTGCAGTTCACAGCTATGCTGGCAAAGGCGTTATGCCCGCGCCCTAGCAGTCTTCTGCGATCAGTCCATGGACTTGCCCTTCGCCATCGCCACCCGAAAGTCCTACGGAACGGCGACTGTCGCAGGTTCTGGCACACCTCTTTTCACTTTAAGCCCGTCGACATTAATTGTTCGGGTTCTCTGACTGCTAATGGGACGCCTTTTTCGTCAGTATCCGACGCCTGCTCCCGTGTGGGCGCTACCTCATCTTGATCAGCGCGCCTACGCTTCTTTACCGGCATCTTCGACGGCACGTTGTTGGCCGCCACCTGTGCCGCCCTAGCCTCGGCTTCAACCCTCGTCTTACAACCACTAACGGTAGCCCACTCGCTCTCAACCACCATGACACTGCACCCGAAGAAGCGTCCCTCTTCCGAGACCTCTTCTCTGAAGCGGTACTCTACTCGCTCACCACCCGCCATGATCCCAACCCTACCCTTAGGGGGCACAACCTTCATATTGCTTCTCAACATGATGTCCATATGCTTATAAATGCCAAGCTTTGCCACAAACTGCTCACAGACGCTCATGTCTCCATCTGTGTCGATATACAGCGCTCCAAGCACCGATTCTACTACGTCGGAGAAGGCTTTCGGTAGATTCATCGCGATCAGGTCTGGCCACGGGTACTCTTCACCGTCTGCCAGAGCGGTCGCTACGGCGTCTTGGTAGCGGTCGAAATTCGCCATCGCCACTTGCTTAGCTTTGAGCAGTTGTCCGCCGGCGCGAATGAAGTCCGCCAGTTTGAGCGTTCGGGTAGCGGTCGAGACATCATGACCATCTCCTGTCTTCTCAACGGTCCTGTACTCCTGTTCGATCTTGGCGTTGAGACAGCAGTAGCCGAGGAAGTGCTCGTTGACCAGCGCCTCATGAATGTCGTGCATTTCAGAGGCTTTCAGCTTCCTCGCATTCCCACACAAGTACGGCACGATGATGGCATCCAGTACAGCATCCCCCAAGAACTCTAAACGCTCATATGACATCATTCTTCGCTGGAATGGAAGCGACGCATGTGTGAGTGCTTCGATGAGCAGGTAAGGGAACCTGAAATGATGGCCTATGAACCGTCCCAAGTCAGAAGATACTTGATCTGCCGCGGTCTGCTCCATGTGACCTCGGAGTGACGAGCATATCAAGTAATGTTCGGACCAACATTGCTTAAGCAAAGACCTTATGCAGGTGTACGCATTTTGATAGCCACCATCCAGGTAAGCGGCCCCAATTAAGGCTTCCACGACGTCGGCAAGGGTCTTACTAGATATCTGTTTGGGTTGGCTAAAATCAGTCCTAAGTACTTCGCTTGCATAGATAGGCCGCCACTTTGTTCCGGTGAAAGACTTCGTTAGAATCCAACGATTCAGTTGAAGATTATGAGCAGCCTGAGCAAGAGTGTTGTTGCTCACCCTTCGGGACTTCTCCATCGTGAGGTACTTCTCCGGCCATGTCGGATGGAGCACCATCACGTTGATTGAGACCCAGAACTTGAGCAAAGCGTCTCCCAAGTACTCGAGCCGGTTGTAGTCCGACTTCTCAGCCGCGGACGGCGCACTTATGGCTTCCTGAATCAGATCCCCATTCTTGAGCTGCAGGTCTTGAAGAACGCTGCTGTGTTGCATTTCCTGCACAGTCAGTCGAACGTCAACCTGATGCATGATGGAAGGAATAAATGCGGCAAATCGAGCGGAACGTAAGGGCGTCTTCTCGACCGTACAATCTTCCAGCGCAAAGCTCTCCTCCTTGGTGTACGCTTGGTTAGAATGTTGTCGGGCTTGTACAGGGTGAAGGAAGTCTCTGCGTTTTGGGAACCGTATCGCAAGGATCCTGGACCTCACTTCTCCGGTGACGGCATCAGTGCACGTCGCCAACCTGCTGAATATGTACAGTCTGCTTCCCAGCGAGTTTACGCGGATCAACAAGCCGTCATCATTCGCTTCGCGGACTGCGCTGAACCATTCTGCTGCAGATGTTGAGCCGGTGTCCAGCGGTTCAGCCGGCTCAAAGCACATGATAAAGTCGGACATGTTGTTGACGGGCATTCTTGACGAATGTACAGTTTTTAGCAGCGCCTTAGTTCGCGCCTGCAGAGGCGGCAGATGCTGGTCCCTGACGTCAACTGGCTGTGATTCAGAGATGTTGATCAAATATGTGGTCGTCTCATTCCAGTACAGTTCGAGTACTGTAGAGTCTTCTAGAGGCATGGGCATGAACAAGGTCACGTCAAACGACTCGTCCTCGGTAGCCGATGTCATGGTCAGGGGAGCCGAGTGCCACTGTACATCTGTGCCGCGCATAGCCCTCGCGCATCTCAGCCACGATGACTCTCGTGGAGCTGCAAGCACAACGCTTGGCTGGTCTGAACGTCCTTGGAAAGCCTCGCATTCGTGTACTTCGGTCAGAGGTAAGAGATTGTCAGTTAGTAGGCCGGCTTTGTGCAGGGCGACATATGCTTCAAAAGCGGCATCCTTAATAGCACCTGCTTCACTGCTCCAGCGATCCCGACTGGCAGCGCTACGCACGTCTGGATGAACATAGGACGGCAGCGTGACTGATGCCGTCCACGCATTGTCTTTGCCACGGACTGCGTAAAAGTCCGGCTCGGTATCAACATAATTGTTGGCTTGCACGCTGGTATTGCAAAAGTGATATAAATGAGCTTTCGCGTCGTTGATTGTCAGTAGTGCGCCAGTCGACTCCACGCGGTACGATCTAGCATTGAGTGCTTGTACGTCTTCAGCCTCAGCTGCAGCGCGCTCGGCACGGGCGCTCTCGTACTCTCTTTTCATCTTCGCCTCTTCTGCTTGCCATTTGGACGCACTTGCGCGCGTGTCGTCTTCGGAGACGAGCAGGAAATACCTGGAGTTTTCTTGCCGAGCACGCCCTCGCCGCTGTAAGAAGGCGATAAACGTGTCCGGTTGATCGAAATTGATCACTAAATTGCACGCGGAAACATCGATACCCTCCTCGAGCACGCTAGTCGCCACAATCAAGTTCTTATCGCCCCTCCGAAAGCCCAGCAGGTCATTTTGCTGCTGCCGAGGGTCTGCCAGATCCGCCAGACTGGACCTTCCCTCGAACGTGGAGGTGCCGACGAAGCTGCCGATGCTATAATGTCCTCTCAGCTGTTCAGCGTTACGGAGAAGGTGCACAAGAGCTGTCACGACCGCTCTCTCTTTCACGAAAACAATGGCCCTTACTTCAGGTGATGCATAGGCTGCGAGGAGAGACAGGAGGCGATCTGCCTTCGGCGACACCAGCAACCGGCCGGGAAAGCGGGCTGGGAACGCACGGAATAAGTCCACAAGATGTTGACGTTCGAGAGAGGTAATGTCCGGGAGCATAGTGGTGCCGTACGATACCGCCGCCGTGATATATCGCTCAATGCAGGTATTCACAAAATGCTCCGCAGAGGGCACGCCAAGCTGATCGTACACGGCCTCTGCACAACGATTGAGTTTGCTGATCTCGTCATAGCAGGATGTCGTCCGCTTTTCTACAGTCTTTTGTAGCTTGCGTCGTGATCTTTCGTCGTGATACTGTCCAAGCTCAGCAACATACGGGTCGGTCAAGAAGTCATACTCATCGACCGCTCTTTTGACTGCAGCACAAAGCTCACTCGATGCAGGATAGTCCAAAATGCTCGTGGGCGGATACTGCACGATTGTTATGTGAGGGGGGTAGACGAACCGCATCAGGTCCTCTATAGACCGCTTGGGCGTAGCCACAAATGCATCGAGGTTCGCTTCGAGCTGTGTGAGACTGCCGTACTGAGCGTTGATCGCCGGACTCGCAGTAAGGCCCAGAATATGAGGGACTTCTTTGTGTGAGTTGCCTGGATGGTAGAAGTGTTGCATGATAGCATTCATGGGGTGATTCTTGATGCAATGGTGCGCCTCATCAAAGACCAGCAACGCAAGACGTGACATACGCACAAATGCGTGGCTCAACGCATCCTTGAGCACTGCGGGTGTGCCAATCACCACGCGTACGTCGGAAAGGACAGCATCCCACAAGCGCTGCTCGGACCATGCATCGACGCCAGCTTCGCCGGTCAAGGAGAGAATAGGGTAGGCAGAGAGGTGCAGCTTCAAAGTCTCCAGGTGCTGCCGGCAAAGCTCTACACTGTTGGCAAGAAACCATATCAGCTTGGTAGGGGTGGAGGTCTCGAGCTCATGGCGTATGCGTGCAATCGCGACCAAGGTCTTGCCGCTGCCTGTAGGCATCTAGTTGACCAGAGTTAGTCTCTACAAAGTGTACCGCTTTCAGCGCCGGCAGCTTGCCACAATGATCCTGTTTCCGCAGAGGCTGGCCTCCAGCATCTCTCGTTGGTAAGCCCGCAGGCTGACCGTTTCGCCGCCATCATCAACCATTGCATGTCATGGGGAATTACGCTCCGCAATTGATCGGAAAGAATTAAGGGGAAGGTCAAACCATGTATACGAGGTGGTCGACCTCGTGTTACACAAAAGCGCCGCAACCTTGCATTTACAGCTAGCAACGTGCAACGCTACCTCAACATGCTCACTATAAGCGGATATCGTCGCGCTTATGCAAAGCCTTCAGGCTCTGTATCTAGGGAGCCATCGAATGTTCCCATGGGTTTGGGAAAAGCTACAAGACCGTGGTAGGAAGAGGCGAGCATTTGATAGTAGAGGAGTCGAGAGCAGGGCGGAACTTTCCGCGCCGTACGTATGTCATCCAGAGTCGCCTCTTCATGTACTTTTGATCCTTCTTCCCTGATCTAGCTGTACTGTGTCACGTTATGGCCATCGTATTGCGCAGCAACGTCACCAGCATCGCTCACAATGCGTCCATCAGCATTGCTCTGCCGCAAAAGAGAGCTGAGGCGTTTTTCTTACATTGTCGGGGCCTGAGCACGCGACCTCCCCTACAGCGACCAGAAGTCGCATATGTAGTTGTCCAAGATGATGCTCACCTTCCTTTCGTGGATCTAAGCAACTCATCGCACGGACGGAGGCGCGAAGATCTCAATCACCGCGCCGATGGTTCCAAGGAGAACCCCGCAGAGCGTCTCCAAACGACGGATTCAGACGACTGGCACGCGGAGGTACAGATTGTACCAGAATACAGAGCTGCGCTACCGGAGCCATCCGCTACCGCCCTCACAGATCCGAAGGGTGCCATCAAAAACATAGGGTTTCTCGAGTCTGGCTCGCCTCGTGAACCAGGACCAAGCGCAAGTGAGCACGTGGCAGCCCCTGTTCTTCCACACGGTGCTACTGCACATGTTCTAAAGAGCAGAGCACAGTCGAGATCAGAACGCAAGCGACGACGCATCGAAGCAGGAAGCTACCGAGCTCAAGCTGCAGTCCGCGACGCGCAAGGACAGTCGGGGAGAAGTCGCATCGAGACCGTGCTCGCCAAGATCGCCAAGCTTGATGGTGAGAAGGTCAGTGGGAACGTAACACCTGTATCTCCCAGCGATGATGAGCCGAATGCGAAGACTCTCGACAAGCCATTTAAGGACGTCAAGACTGTACCACAAGTCACAGAAAAGTTAAGGAAGCTCGGCCGGGAAACATGGCAGACTCAGAAAGAGGCACTCGAGCACAAGTTTGGTGATGCGGGATGGCAGCCAAGAAAGCGCCTGTCACCGGATACACTTGATGGCATTCGTGCATTACATGCTTCCGACCCAACAGCTTATTCCACGGCAACCCTTTCAGAACACTTCAAAGTGACACCCGAGGCTATTCGGCGCATATTGAAGTCGAAATGGCGACCGAGTGAAGCGGAAGCCGATGACCGTCGATCACGCTGGGAGCGGCGTGGTGCGAAGAAATGGCAAGCTATGGCCGAGCAAGGAATGCGGGCGCCAGCGAAATGGCGTGCCATGGGAGCTGGAGGAGAAGAGGGTCTGAAGGAAGAGAGAATGCCAAGAAGGATAAAGGATAGGAAATCTAACCACCTGAGTTGGGACGATGTTGTGGGCGGGATGGGTGAACGAGTCAATCCGCACAAGCAACCGTTAGCAGAGAGGTTTCTCTGACGTTTCGCTCTTACGACTTGAGTACATGAAGCCTAACTATTGCCGCTTGTTGTACAAACGTCATATCTATCAGAATGGGAGACATAATGGCCAACCTTTGTCCATAGTAGTCTAGAGCCAAGGCCACTGGCAGTGTTTCCCAAAAATCAGTGACCTCGCGTGACGCCTTGAGGTACTTCCTAATCGGGCATGACAGTGGAGCTAGCGAGCGATCGACCATGCTTTCTCTGCATTGTGCTTCTTCAAGCTGTACATCTCGACGTAAGAAGGCAATCTCACATTCTGTCCTGCTCGCCGTAGCCAGCTGCGTTGGGTTGTTCCCTCTACGGTAGCATGCCGGCGCACAATGATGGTGTCACTTGAGCGGCGGAACCTGCCACGACCATGCCTCCGACATCCACGTCCAACATCCGCGCATACGTACAATGGAGAGCGCCGTCAGTGTATGCAGGCGAAGAGATAGAATGCATCATCACCTTCCGGAATGTAGCAAGCCTTGAAGACGAGGCAGAGGAGGATGTCAGGACACCGCTTGCCAATGGCTCGGCGCATTCGAGAGCGCCTTCGTACACGGCTTCCACGCTGCCTAGTAGACGCACATCGATTGCGCAAAGCAGACCACCGATCTCAAGAGGAGCTTCTACGATACCACCTAGAGCGGTAACAGGGGGTAAGGGTCACCGACCAACACTATCTCTGAATGTTGTCAGCGCTCCCGGGAGAGGAGGGCAACGTAGCGCACCATTACCGAGCAGGACTCCGGCAAGCGCGGTCAGAGGCCATGGACGCTCGCTATCGATTATGTCACTTGCGACCGACGTAGCAGCCGGAGCCAAGGTGCCTAGTCCAAGCGTTCCACGTGCTCGACCTGCCAAAGGCCATGGACGGAGCGCAAGTCTTCAGGTTATCCCTCGGCAGCCACCCTCACCCGCCAATGCCACCCTGGGACTCGGTATAGGGACACCTAGGCAGCCGTCTCCATTGTACGAATCTACTACACCGACTGCCCTCCAAGGTGCACAGGGCGAACCTTTGCCCATAAGACCTTCGAGAAGGCGACCCGGTACTGTCTCTGCAGGTAATACTCCACAGCTGGGTCGGCAAGAAGCACTCCGAAGTACTGTCCCGGAGGGTCACTTCGACGCAAACTTTCAGTTCCCCGCCAAGACATTGCCAGGCGTTAAGAGCCCGTCGCCGCAATCAGAACGACCAAAGCCAGTGAGGAACCCTTCGAATTTGCGTTCAACTCAGCAACGGGCTATCTCACCACGACCCCTGGAACATTTGCAGGCTGTGTCGAACAATCTTAACCCTATTTCGCGCGTGATGTCCGAGTCTTCCTTTGGCGATACACCGCGCAGCAGCGCCGAATTCTACAGCATGAGTAACCACAGCGACGAAACCCTGACTTCGGAAGCGCCGCAGCATGACGTCCCGATCGGCAGACTGCTACCGAAGCCAGGGCTCTCACGGCAAGCGTCGCGCTTACGGCAAAGTAGTTATGGCGAGCATGTACGGCCTGAGACGCTGATGATGGCTTCGGTGCAGACTGTGGGTAGTTTCACATTGGATGGGAGCCTGGTCAACGCGGCACCGTTCGAGGAAGTCAAACGTAAAGGCGTGCAGAGTGGAGGTGGTGTGGTCGGCATTGAGCGCTCGAAGCGCAGTTCAGGAATGTTTGGTGCATTTAGCTGGGGCAACATTGGGGAGTCCTTAAGTGGCCTGCTGGGTGGCGATGAGATGAGTACCATGGCGCAAATGAAAGCGGAGGCTGGGTCCAAAAGCGTGCCATTACTCTCGACGCCGCAGAGCTTGCTATTCGTCAACGTGACGCTGGCGCCAGGTGAGAGTCGAAGCTACAGCTACCGCTTCGCATTACCACGAGGACTTCCGCCCAGTCACCGAGGTCGCGCAATGAAGGTCAACTACCATCTTTCCATTGGCGTCCAGCGCCCAGACGGCCAAACGGTCAAGCATGTTGAAGTACCTTTTCGGGTACTTGGCAGCTACAACACACGTGGCGAAACGCTAGGTCATGATCTCATGTCGCCGTATATACTGTTGCAAGACCCAGCACGCACGACAAGCATTACACCGGACCCGAATCTGTCGCCTTCAGACTTTCCGCCTTTTCCAGACAAGGAGGCTCAAAAGCAAGTCATAACGCCAAAGCAAGGCTTAGAAGACTTCCTACGTTACACGGAAAGGCTACTGGCGCAGCGGAAAGACTCAAACGGCGCACTGCTGTCGCCAACGTCTCCCTTAGCGTCTCCTTCATTATCGCGCCAGCAAAGTCCTGCCGACCAGGCGCCAGTAAGCGTGAAGGAAGCTATTGACATGGCCATCCTGCGTTCAAACCACGTCAACACACCCGAAGGTAAGCAGAAGCAGCCCGAGGCGCAAAGCGCGAACCGCTTCAACATCGCTCGCTCCGGCCAGCCGGTCGCCGTCCTGACAATCCTCCGCCCTGCGTACCGACTTGGCGAAGCCGTCCTCGGAACCATCGACTTCGCGATCCCGACACCATCAGCTGCGAATGCACCATCATCAATATCCACTTATGCGGTCCGTATCGAGCTCGAAAGCGCCGAACGGGTGGATTCGAGCCTTGCACTTCGTAGCCCCAGCTCCATCCACCGCGTCACACGCAGAGTACATGCATCCGTATACGAGAACACGCTATTTGCAAGACAGGCCAGCTTCAATCTCACTGTCCCCCTGACAGCCACGCCAACGTTCGAAACGACGGGTGTGAGTCTGGGGTGGCGGCTAAGAATCGAGTTCGTAGCACAACGGCAACAGCAGCGCAGCCCCCAGCAACCGTCCGAGAGCGGCGAACGGATACTTCGTGACGAGCAGCTCTTGGAAGAACTAGGATCGGACGAAAGAGGGACGGTGTTGATTGCACGGGAAACAGTGGCAGCTGAGACGTTCGAGATTGCTGTCCCGCTGATAGTGTTCGGCTCACCAGGGGTGGAAGGGCCGGGGGCAGTGAGCGACGCGCTAGAGGTGTAACTGAAGCGTCCAGCAGAATAATCTATAGTCTACATCAAGTGGAACCTCATATATTGATGCTGAACATCCAATCGTCGGCTCGACGCACCCAGCGTTATCGTTACATAATTGACCGGAAGGCTATTAAGTCACGTGAAACCGCGAGTACTTCAGTCGTTGACAATCTTACATTTGTATCTATTCTGACAACTAGCTAGAGTTTGCTGTATCTCTGGACAACGTACGCACGCCATGTATGCTTCGCGCAATTCGTAACCGCGCAGTTTGCTCGCTTCACGCGCCCACAGTTACGGAACCACTCTGCCCATTAGCGAAAAGGTTCAACAGGCCAGTAGCAGCCTCACGCCGCCGCAGTTCTTCCTTCACCAATCGCTCCTTCCGCGCTTTGATCCCACGCTCAATGAAACGATTGTCTTCACTCTCGTCGACGAACTCTACGCCGTGAATCATGAAGGACATGCCATCGTGCTTCGTCTGTGCCCACTCGCGTGAGCGGATATGGTGCTGCATCGTACTCGCGTATGTTTCCAATGGTGGCAGAATTAGAACGGTGATATGCATGTCGCAGTCCGGCGGGATCTTTATGGGCTTGGTTGGTCGTGCGGATAGAACAAATGGGGACGCGGCATGGTCGCTGATGCCGGGGTTGTCGGCCTCGGAGTCCTCGCCATCTACATCGCGCAGGTCGTTATTGAGCTCGCCGAAGTCGCCCTTGAGCCAACCGGAGTGGATGGCAGCAGCGATGACATCGGAGTCGTCGGTGTAAATGTCTGTACCCCATAGCTGACGGCGCTCGCAGATAGCGGCTAGCAAGCTTGGTTCGTCCCCTGCTTCGGCATCGTGCGATTGCGTGAGGTAGTAGCGAGGCGCACGGATTGTGTAGGTGCAGTTTTCTCTACCTTCCAAGAGCGGTATAGTCTGCATCTTAGTGCTGAATTTGATCTGCGGATCGCGCGCTAACTCTGAGGGCGACATTTGCGTGAGCGCAACTTCGTATACACAGGAGCCGAGGTGGTGTCGAGGTTTGGCGGCGGCCTCTTTGAGCACCTTCTGATTGCTTACAGTCACACTTGGCTTTCGCGGTATCGACGCTGGCTTCGGAGTGTGACGATGGTGATGGTGTGCGGGATGTGCGTGAGTCGCGTGATGGTGATGATGATGCGCGGGCGGAGCGACTACACCGGGGTTGGAGGGGAACCGCAGCATGTTGAAAGAACCGGCCTGTCCGTCAACGGGATCGTGGTGGTGATGGTGATGGTGGTGTGAGTGGAGATGGTGGTGATGGTGATGCGATGGATGGGTCGTTCTAGACCGCTTGTTGCCGCGCTGTAGGTCTGGTGTTGCGCGGCCGTCCATGTCAAGCTTTTCGTTGTCTCTAGAACGGCGCCCACCCCGTTTGCTGCCTTTAGGTTTCGAGCTCGCCTTACCATCTCCAATGCCTGCGACAGCCGTACGAACGAGATCGCCGTCCTGGAGGTGTCGCGCTGGGCTGAGACGAGAAGGCGTAGTCATGCCGTTCATGGACTGTCCGGCTGTTGGCGTAGCGCTGCCAACACCGCTGCCAAGCCCGGAGAACATGCGACCGAACTCCATCTTGATGCCGGGATGGTCGCCACCAGGACCGATGTGCCGTGGTTGGGCACCCTGAACAGCTTGTGGCAGGGGCGAGTTGCGGCCTTTGCGGTTAAGATCTGGACTGATGCCGAGCAATGCTCGATGCAGTGAGCCATCGCTCTCCTTTCTTGGCTGCTCTCCACGGAAAGCTTCCATACGTTGGTGCTCTTCAAGCGTCAAAGGGCGTTCAACGAACCCATTCCTTGCTCTCATGTACGGTGGCAGCTCTGCAATCGGTGGTGACGAGCGAGGTTCATCTCGGCGCAACTCGTGCATCGGCCTTGCCTCGATTGACTCGCGAGCAGCGTCTGGCCCGTACTGATATGCAGGTCGAAACAAGCCTGCCTGCTGCTCCGCCATTGGTGTGCCGAATGATCCTTGCTGGAACCTGGCAGGTACTTGTCGCCCATCGCGGTCAAGGTTCGGACTTCCATAGACGTCGTGTTCGCGTGGCTGTGATGTCACGCCGTTTGAATAGGCATGCATATCATGGCGCGGTATGCGCTCAGGCTCGCCAAAGTGACGGAAAGCGCCATAACGACCGTCGATTGGAAGCTCCCTACGTGCGAGAGCCTCGTCAATGTCGCGCGGGGGCGCGAGCTCTAATGGCTGACTGTTCGGTCTTCCTATCATACCGTTGCCGTTCAACGGTACCCTTGATTCCTGCTGCTCGGGCCTGAACGCTCTGAAACTGTGCGGGGACTCTCTCGGGAACCGTGGTGAAGTAAAGACCTCCCTTCGAGCATCCAGATCCGAGCGATCGTGGAATGCAGACTGTGCTCTTGAACCCCCAAACACGCCATCTCGCAAAGGACTCGGCTCTCTTCGACCAACGCCTTCACGCATGCTAGATGCTCGTGCTCTTCCTGGCGATAGTGGCTGCATCGGTTTTCGTGTCGAAATCGGTCCGGCTGCGATAGTGTTCGGGGAGCTGTTGAGCCTACGTTCATCGCCGCCGCCAAGGATCGAAGCTATCGGCATGCTAGGCGGTGGGCGATGTGAAGCAAAGCCTGCTAAATCGCGGACGCCCGCAAAGGGTGAGGAGATGGGAGGTCCGCGCGGGGCAGACGCAAGGTGTGCAGGGGCCGTAGGCGGTGGCATTTGCGGCGACGATGGCGGGGGCATGTTGCGCGAGGAGAAGAACGTCGGTGGTGGCGGTGGTGGTGGCGGCTCGAGTGGACCTGAGTGAAAGTCGTCAGTATATACTATGGTCAATGCAATGCGACAAGGCAGGAGCTACCTGCTACCATTTGCGGCGGCGAGCCCGCGCCGCCAAGGGAGCGGCGTCTGGTAGGGTCGAACTGCATTGGCATGTGGACTAGCCCATTAGGCGGCGGTGGGTATGGCGGACCCAGCGCTGACAGATGGGAGGCGTGCTGGGAGGGAGGCGGAATGCTGTTGCCCAAGCCTGAAAAGAGGTTAGCCGAGTGAAGCTCACGCCTCGATGATCGCATGAGAGCTGTCCGAGCTAACGGTTGCTAGCGCCCGCGAAAGCTTAATAAAGCCCCGGTCCCTGAATCTGTGCGCCAGAATACAAGTCGATGATCCGCTGAGATAGGCCTTGCATTATATTCAAGGGTTGGACTGCGCATATGTATCTGTCGTTGTCGCATAGCATAAGAGATGCGGAGGTGACTCGTGCGCCGAGCTGAAGCATCCTTGCGGCGACCTTAGGTCGCATGCGGAGGTGCTCAAGTGCCAGAACAACCGACGTGTCTCCGCATGCGTGGTAAGCAGAGTCGTCTCCAAGCTTGCCTATCGATCCGGTATCCAGAAGTCTTGCTTGATGAGCTCTCTCAGGGAAGTACGTGCGCAAATTGCACGTTGTGTAACGATAAGCACGACAAACCCACGTACCTGGTGTTGGAGGCCATGCTCTTCCAGGCGGTCCAAGGCTGCCTCTTCTTCCATGTGGTAGAAACGGATCTCTTGACGCTGAGAACGGATCGGAAAATGGTATTTGCACGGGGGGTTGCGCAGTCTGCTGTGCAAAAGGCGGTGGGTAATTTGGGGGTGGTGGATGGTGGTTGAGCGGTCGTTCTGCCGGTCGCCAGTCCATAGCAGCCGTCATTCAAGGCAGGCTACCACTTTGTGCTCGATGAAGCGGTTCATTCATTCATTCGATACGCCGAGTAACCATTCATCCAGGTCGTTGTGCCTGCTTTAGCCTACCGACCTCATCATGCGACAGACAGATGAAGCACCGCAATATAGACCTATCAGGTCAGCAAGAGATTGGTTCCGGTGGGAAGTTGTAAGTGTCGTCGCAAATTGTCGGAACATTCGATATAGCTCTTCTAGATGATTATTGTGCAAGAAACAGAGTTGCAAAAGCGAACAGGCTCAGGATCGGCTTTGCAAGTCATCCGCGGCGGGATCTGCACTAAACGTACCTGGCGGAAGCCACCTCCCCTGCTAGTGCACCGATGATCCCTGGAGCATGAGCGCATGTAAAACGCTCGAAGCCGAGTTGGGTAAGCACGAGTTCCATCACCTCACGTGCTTCAAGCCTATATAAACACCTTTATCATCCGCAGCCTGTCGTCAACCAACCTGAATCAACAGAATGCACTCCCTCACACACACTTTGAGCAATCATCGACAGCGGCGCGGAATAGGCATCACGAGTGCCCACCTTTCGGGCAACCGTTAATGAGGGGCTACAACATTTGCGGTACCGCAATCCGTTAGGGAGGAGTGCCACCGTTGCCGTCTATTTCGACCTCGAACTTCGAAAGAACTGCGCTGGTCTGCTCACAGGCTGACCCGCTCTCATAAATGAAGTACAACGTGTGTTCACGCTTGAAGGGCTATCGCAAACACGATGGCATTGGTTCCACGATATGTATCGAATGCGCAACACTGCTATTGTATGCTCCTATGTGACGTGATATGGGAGAGTCGTTCCTTCCCATTTCAAACCAAAGCTTGGTCAGATAAGTCCGGCACAAGCCGTGCTCTGCCTGCACTGACCTTCACTTCCTCACGTTCGAACTGTTGTCAACAGGTTGGACCGTCTACCCCGCTTGTTGAAAGGAACACGCACCACGCGGGAACTGCAAGGATGGCCGTCTTCGTGCCGTTACCACCGCCTGAAAACCAAGATCTCGTACCAGCCCTTCGCATACGCCTTGGTGACTATTATGCTGCGGTCCAGAACTCCCAAGACGTTGCTGACGGTCTAGAGGTTAGGCTGACCACCAATGACATTCAAGCGCACCGCAAAGTGAGCTGTTTTGTAACGGACAAGGATGTCTCACGCCGTACAAGACGCCGTTCTATTCACACCTGGCGCACAGCGGCGCTACTAGCGATGCAGCGGAAAGTATTGCGCGGCACAATGCGGTCGTGCAGCCGCAGGACGAGAATCTGCCGGGGAGCGATCCGGTGACTGCTGAGCCGGAAGCGAGGAGTTTGAGAAACAAGTCAATGAATGCTGAGCAGCAAAGCGATGCGCTCGCAACCTTGAACGCCCGGTTGATAGAGTTCAACCAGCTTCATGCGGTACCGCCAGTCTCCTCGATGGCGCACTTAGTCGTCCCCTTTCCCCCAATAGAGCCATATCCGGTTAACATGGAACTGCTACACGCCAGTGCTGTAGAAGTAGAGCGCAGGCAATTGCGCGGTCGGGGAGCCCGACTCACAAAATACGAGATGGTCCGGAAACGGCGGCCTCGAGCGGCGGCTGTGCGCGATTGGACCGCGAGAACCAGCAGTCAAGTCAGTCATTACACATTTGCGCAAGGTTGCAAAGGTCAAAAATCTCGCCCAAGTGGTGGCGGGGGGCGGATTACTGCTGGACAATCGGAGGAGGCAGAAAGCCCTAGATCAGGGGTGCTTCGAGTGGAGCAACAATGGAAGGGAGATCATGAGAAGGACGTAGGCACCAGCGGCCTGAATGCCGCTTACGATCTCATACGGATTGGCAGCACGAGTCGAAGAACACTGTAGATCTGCGATGCGTGGGTGAGTGAGCGAGGGTAGAGGTGTTGAAGCAAAAGCGAATTCGACATTGAAGTTTGGAGCTGCCCTGTGCGGCAAAAGTGGGGCCTCCACCGGAGGATGCAACAACAGACACCGAACACGGGGGGCCATTCCAATGCACTGCTCACGATGCTTCTTACGTTCTCGGCTCATTCTTCTCGCAAAGTCAGCCTCAGCAGCCACATGCATGGCACCTCTGATGTTGTAAAAGGAAATACTGATGTTCGTGCTTTGAGACGTCTCACTCGGACTATGATGCCGTCATCGACACTGGAGTACCGGCCAAAAGCCTAGGCTGATCTGTCATCTCCTTCTTGCCTCTGCTACAGTCCATTTTCCTTCCATCTCATTCAGTAATCGGTCTTGCAGGTGTGGTTTCTGTTGGCTTTCCTTGATTCTGAATGGCTATCCCTAACCCGTTCTACCGTCGAACACCGAACACTCGAACGTAGGCGCACGCGGGGCGACTACAGTAAATGTCCTGTCTTGCTTACGCTATACAGATGCTGGGGCTACCATTTCGAGCTGACGCCTGACCACCTCACACCAGAGCAATGCGAGCCGCTCAAGCACTCATACGACACACTGGGCGAACAAGTACTCGACCGACTGAACGAGTTATCACCGCCACCGCGCAAAGATCTGCCGAGAGGAAACAGTCATTTTAGTGCGCCGCAGGAGGCTGGTCAACCGGTCAGTACCGAGGACGCTTCGACGCCAAAGATACCGTCACGAGACGTATATGTCATATTGCGCGACCACGCAGAGTCGGACGAGCTTCTCCAGCGATTTTGGCGCGAAGTGAATACAGTCCCGTCTTGGGTGGACTGGGAACAGATTGAGCGAGGACAGGATGTCTTTTATCGTTACGGAACGGCGGTTCTGACCGGCTTGACATATCAGAGCCTGCTTGGTGGCATGGGAGCCGCAAGAGTGGTAGAGACTCTTGCGCGGACTGGAGGGTTTTCGACCAAAGTCGCGAGAGGCAGGCTGTTTGAGACTACTCAACATCTTCTGCAGTGCACAAAATCAGTCGAAAGTATAAAGCCTGGTGGCGATGGCTGGGCATCAACAATCCGAGTGCGTCTATTGCATGCTGCGGTCCGGAACCGTATATTGAAGCTTGCATCGACGAGATCAGGCTACTACGATGTCCAGGCTTGGGGCATACCGATTAACGATCTCGACTCCATGGGCACCATCGTCACTTTCTCCGCAACACTCATATGGCTAAGCCTGCCACGACAAGGCGTCTTCCTGAGTCGGCAAGAGAAAGCGGATTATGTTGCATTGTGGCGATACATTGCATACGTCATTGGATGTCCGACTGATCACCTCGAAAGTCCAGACCAAGCTCGCCGACTAATGGAAGCACTGCTCCTTTACGAGATCCATCCCACTGAGACGTCGAAGATTATGGCAAATAACGTCATAAAGTGTCTCGAAGGTCAGCCACCAGGGTACGCTTCGGCCGACTTCTTGAGCGCATCTGCACGGTGGCTGAACGGCAGCGCTCTTTCTGATGCGCTTGGTCTTATGCGACCAAGCCTGTATTATTGGGCGCTTATGGCCGGCCAGTGTATCTTTGTCTGCGCTTTTTCGTATACCAACCGCGCAGTGCCGTCCTGGGATCGCAAGAAGATCGATCTGCTGAAGAGGGTATTCTGGCAGGTAATTGTGGATGCGAAGTACGGTCTTAAAGGGAAGGAGAGTACGTTTGAGTTCAAGTACGTGCCCGAATACACGACTATAACGGAGCTTGGAGAGTGCGTGGAAGAGAAGGGAACAAACTCATATGTTGAGAGGCGGAATCTGAAGGCTTTCCTCATTGCGGTCGGCGCCATGGGAGTCGGAACGTTTGTGGCATTCAAGGTGGTCAGCGGCATTGTGCGATCTATTTTCTAGCCTTGTCCAACCGTTAGGAGCTATGATACCCTTTTGCGAGTCAGCATAGACCAGATAGGAAGGTAGCTCCAGTATCGCACCTACATGAGTACGGTGAAGTAGGTGGCGTCTTCTGCCGCAAACGTAAATGGCACGGCCTGGGGATTGGCTTCTTCTCCCGCATAACCTTCATCAACCATGTGCCACATAGTGCTTCTGCTATCAGCTTCTACGAAAGCCAATCTACATTCGGCTAATGCGCCGTGCTGCTCGCCAATCGCAGATCTCATCAACGCACGCGAGCGCGAAGGGATGTCACCAATTGAACCAGGTTGTAGCTCTCGCGGAGCCATCGGCAGACATCCGAGCCGACATTCGCTTCCCGCCGCCCAAAGCTCAGGAAGATGCAGGTAAGTTCCGGCCTTGCAGACTGCACTGCAGCAGCGCAGCTTGATTTTCCCAGCTCAGAGGATCCCAATGGCCATTTAGCTGCTGTCAATCATACAACACTTCTGACAATCTAAGTAAAGTATAAGGTGGCTTTGGAACGGGATTAGCTTGCAGGTCTCACAAATGATGGTTATGATTCCGCAATAATGGAGTGAATGTTGGTTTCTAGGCACGACAGGCTAGCTGGGCGGTTACTGGGTATGGCGCACGACAGCTTTATGCAGAAGCAGAAGCAGCAGCAGTGCGTGGCAGGGGCGCCACGAGGACTGCGTTCCACAGCAGTGCTTTGATCAAGTGTTGCATAGACGGCAAAAGCGAAACGTGGGCGTATTCAGGAGCGGCGAGTAAGGCGCACGCAATGCCGAACCCCAGTTCAGGCGGCCGTGACTCTCGACGCTCATCTAAGTCTGGTCCTTCCAGCCAAGAGGCGTACCGCAACTCGGAAAGGAGAGAAAAGGCCAAGAGCACTCAGAGTTATACTGGCACAGCGTACGGAGCGGCTGCTGCGCGACGTGGAAGCGTGCAGCCCAATGCTGACGGCAGTGCGTCTCTGAGCAGTGTTCCTGAGCGGCCGCGCTTGAAGGCGCGAACACATTCTGCTCCTTTGGTCGAGACGCACCCTGCTGTTCGAGATGGAGGTGACTCTCCACAGCAAGCAACCGAAGCGGAGGACAGAGACTATGCGGTGGCTCAGGCCACCCTTAATGCTCTAATAGATGGACAGGACGAGGACGAAGTCGCCGGTGCTGTCGGTACTGTGAGACAGTACCAGCCTTTTCAGAGTCCTGAGGTAATTCTACACTCGCGCAACCCGGGTCTGGCATATGCACGAACAAGGTGCTAACTTGGTACGTGTGATACTTGCAGGTATCAGAACCATTGACTGAAATCAATATTGCTGTGATCGGCGCGGGCGGTGTTGGCAAGTCTACCTTCCTACAAAGAGCGCTGGACCTCCCTGCTCTACCGCCCTCTAATGCTGTCGAGCGAAAGATCCCACTTGACGGGAGCGAGTATCTTGTGCGATTACTGGAGCTGCCTATCGATGAAGTCGAGGTTGACAACGACGACGATACAGTTGGATGGCCAGAGACCATCGAAGACAGAAGGATGCCGAGGATTCATGGTGCCATTGCCATGTACGACGTCCAAGACCGGGACAGCTTTCGAGACATCCCCGATATCCTGAGTAAGTGTCCTGCATGGTCCAACCACAGATACCCTACGTAGATGTATTCGCGCGAGCAAGCGACTAACGTTGTTTGCCGGTAGACGCAATCAACAGAGCTGAGCTGCCATCCGTTCTCGTATCGTCAAAGTGCGACACACCAGCAGGCAAGCGGGAACTCGATCCAGCGTTTATTGAACGGAAAGCTCGTGCATCGATAAGCGGCATCAGCACCTTGCAAACGTCGGAGGAGAGTCAAGAAAGTAACAAGCGCGCGATCTCAATGATACTGAAAGCGATTGTCCTCGGAATCCCAGGTAGTAGCAGCATCGTAAGCTTCAAGTAAGTCGCATCACTGACCCCAGGAACAGATGACCATGAACGCAGCTCTTCTGCGAACCGCCGACGAGCGCAGTCGAATGCTGTTCGGCCGGTGTCGCCACGGCCACCCACCAGTCGCGGCCATGCACGCGCTAGCTCAGAGTATAGCGGCAGCCTCTACAGGGATGCCAAGCACTCACGGCACGATTCGAGTTTAGCTGGCTACGGCTCGAACAGCCACCTGCAGGTACCTTCTGGCATCACGGAAGAGGATTCACCGCGCTCATTCTACGTTGAGGAATCGGCAAGCGAAGGCTCGCCCGAGTCAGCACGGTCATCAGTCTCGGCAGAAGTCGCGCAGCAGACACTTGGTGGCGCACCGTCTGTCGCCACGATCTCCGAGAATGGCGCAACTTTCGATGAGCTGGTTGACAGACTCCTTGCGCAACCTACGTCAAAGGTAGACAGCAGATTCGCTTCCATCTTTCTCGCTCTGTATAGAAAGTTTGCAGCTCCAGGTAGGCTACTGGAGGCGATCGCAGATCGGTTTGACGCTCTGGAGCGGAATGGCAACGCTCTCATGATCAAGACAGTCATACAATTGCGCTACCTTGAACGGATGGAACAATGGATCGGCCAATATCCAGGTGACTTCGCACACCCGCGCACAAAGCGCAGGATGCAAACGTTCATAGCCAAAGTCTCGGGCTCACGAATCTCCGCTGTTGCCACGAATGAGTTGACGAACCACATGGCGATGGTGACGGAAGATGATGACACCAACTGGGCATACTCGGATAAGGATCGTGAAACGGACTATACGGTGTCGAACGGCTCGACGTCGAGCACGCTCATAGATGATCCGGCTATGATACCGGATGGCGCTTTCAGCGGTACAACTCTGGCCGACGATAACAGCACGACAGCTACCACGGGAGGTGACACAGTTCGATCCGGTTCAGGCTCGTCGATAACTTCGTCGCAGATCATGGCCAGCGTCGAAGCTGCACAGAAGGCCGCAAAGCTACTACAGCCGCTCCCGCGTAAGGCTGTAACGAAGGAAGAGTGGCACGCATTGATGGAGCTACCAGACGGCGCCATAGCTAAGGAATTGACGCGCATGGACTGGGTCATGTTCTCAGCCATCCGACCACGGGACCTTGTCCGACATGTATCGGCGGCAGAGAAGGCGCGATGTAAGAATCTCGTCAACGTCAACCGCATGATCGGGCACTTCAACCAGATCGCGTCATGGGTTGCGAACTACATCCTCCTAAGAGACAAGCCAAAGCACCGAGCGTTGATGCTGGAGAAGTTCATGCGCATTGCACGGAAGTTGCGCGAGCTCAACAATTACAACTCGCTCGGCGCCATCATTGCAGGCATCAAATCGTCTGCCATCGGACGCTTGAATGCTACCCGGGAATTATTACCGCAGGACGTCGGCAAGGACTGGCTAAAGCTTGAGATCTTGATGAGTTCGTCGCGCTCACATGCAGCATACCGGCTCGCCTGGGAGAACAGCAACAGCGAGCGGATCCCGTACATACCGCTGCATTTGCGGGATCTGGCGTCCGCAGAGCAAGGTAACAGCAACTTCATCGGCGATGACCAGAATGGTAAGATCAACTGGAAGAAGTTCGAGATTATGGGTGATGTCGTTGTGAGTATGCAGCGAGCGCAAGGTATGCCTTACAGGGGTCTAGGTGGCGCCAAGGGCGAGGCGTTGATTAAGGAGCTCGTGCTGGATGTCAAACTCGAGAAGGACGAAGACGTGAGTAGCTTCTCTGGCGCTCTGCTGCAATGACAATGATGCTGACCAGTGTTCCAGGCCCTCTTCGCACGCAGCCACCAGGTCGAGCCTACTGCTGGTACTGGTGGAACTTCAGAAAAGCTCAAGCAGTTCTTTAAGCGATAGCGTTCGTGGCGTTTGCGTGGTGACGACAGGTACGATGACACGACGTATAGAGTTTGGAATACGGCCGACCAGGGTCATGTGCGGCGTTCATGGGTTCAGTCTGCGGCTGAGAGCAGCTGAGCGAAAAGTCAACGATGGGAATAAAGGTGTCGAGTGGACAGCGATGCCTCACGGCGCAAAATAATCGATGTAGATGATGCATGATCGCAAGATATTGGCAGTCTTACATCTCACTACCTGCAGTGCCCACGCCTGCCCGAATACCTCTTTGCCAACTGGCCGCCATGGACTGTTGCCACATGTCTTGGCTTGAGTGCTTCGCCTTCCAGACTCTACGCCTTGCGGAAAGAGCGTCATGTGGCAAGCTTTCTCCCTAGCCACATGCTCGTGATAAGCACGACTCCCGTTTCACCGAATGAATGGTGGCTTATCTTTGCGAGTGTCTCCTATCTCAATCAGGTGCGCAGCAAGATCGCGGTAGAAGTCATCCCAAGCTCCCAGGGCAGCAGTCCCAGCATCTTGTGCCCTCCACTTCCATGCCGCAATGTTGACTGTTCGCTGCCTCAGAGGGCTTCGGAGCGGTGCATGAACGTGCGAGTGAAAGTGCTCATACATTGAGCCATCTCCTAAGGAAAGAGCGTATTGTCCCTTCTCTGTGTTTGTCATCGCTGACATCCCACGGAAACGGTGAGATCCTCGCTGTGTCCGAGTACGAATCACTAGAAGGTACTCGATGTGCATGTCGAAGTGGAAGGGCGGCTAAGTGCGCATGATTTCGCGGCACAGCAGCAAACGGCAGAAGATCCCTGCGCGCTCTTCACGGCTCACCCAGCGCTCGCACCATCCACACCACCCGTGCCTTCCCTATCCGGCCCAAACCTCATCAAGCACAACTCGATGAACTCCTTCAATCCCTCTGACATAGCCTCGTCCTCACCACCGCTCCTCATCTTCTTAATGGCAAGCAAGGCCTCGGAATCGCCCTTCGCCTGTGTCCACTGTCCGTGCTGTCTCTCCTCGGACGACTCACTGAACCCACCCCTTCCTCTCCCTCTCCCTCTGCCTCTACCTCTCCCTCGTCCGCCGCGCCCACCACCACGCCCTCGACAACTAGACTGCTGGGTGGCATGCAGTGGACCCAATAGAGGCTGCTTGTTCCAGGAAAACCTATCGTCCGGACCCGGCTCGAGGGTCAGACCGTAGGCTACCTGGAGTTGCCTCTGGAGCAGTGGGTAGCGCTTCAGCAAGCGCTTGAATTCCGCATCGTTCTCAAAGCCAGTGAAGTCGACCTTGGGAATGCGTTGTGTGGTACCGGGTCGGTCTTTCTTGGCTTGCTCGCGCTGTTGCTGAATTATAGACGCTTCTTGCTCCGAATGTGATAGTTTGTGAGGCTTGTAGCAAGTGATGGAGCAGCTATCAAAGGTTAGTGCGGTAACGGAGACATGTATTTATTGATGATCGTACTATCTCAGCTCGCAGATTGGGCACTTATACTTCGACTCCTGCTCATGGCAGACGCCGCACTTTGCCACCGACATCGTTGCTTTCGCATGTTGCCGAGACGAGCTTCTTGGCGAACGGCGAGTCGCAGCGTTGAAGTTGAAGTGTTCAGTTATCACGAGGCTGGAAGTGCTTTGCACGAGGATCGATTAGTGGATGATGATGCCAAGCCAGACATGTGATTTGCGGCGACCTGCAAACCATCTCCGCGTCTTACATGTGATCGCCTTCGCTCTCCATTCCATCACAAACGCAGAATGCCGCCTCCTCGATACCGCAGTTTGCATGAGCTGGCGTCAAGACAATGGACATGTTCAGCGTGTGCGCATCCGCGATCAAATGGTGCACCGAGATGGCCAGCAAGACGAAGCCTGCAAACAACGCAGAGACCACGACAAGATGCCTTGCCTAGCATGGACCAAATGCGAAAGCCGTACGAGAAGCGGAATGCCAATACACTGTACGCTATGACATATACTCTCGATGTTGTTCAAAGGTAGGTCTACGGTACTGAGATTTCGAAGCTATTATACCGTCTCCATCATCCTCGGTACCGTTGCGCTCTCGTATGGCTCTGTCCCCTTGTATAAGACTATCTGTCAGCAAACGGGATGGGGCGGCCAACCGATCAAGTCCGCTGCTCACGGTGGCACACTGGACCCCAACGACACCGACTCCATTGCCGCCAAGCTGACTCCAGTTACCACCTCCCGCCGATTGCGCATCACCTTTGCCGGCAGCACTTCAGACATCCTGCCCTGGAAATTTACTCCACAGCAGCGTGAAGTGCGTGTCTTGCCTGGAGAGACGGCTTTGGCCTTCTATACCGCGACGAACATGAGTAAGGAGGAGGACATAATCGGTGTCGCAACGTATAGCGTCACACCTGCGCAAGTGGCGCCGTACTTCAGCAAGATCCAGTGCTTCTGCTTTGAGGAGCAGAGATTGAACAAGGGGGAGACGGTGGACATGCCGGTGTTCTTTTACATCGATCCGGAGTTTCTGAAGGATCCGAATATGAAGGGCATCGATACGATCACCCTGAATTATACGTTCTTTAGTAAGTGCTTCCTACTAAGGATTAGCTACAACCTCATTGGAAGAAGTGGCTGGCAATGGTTATTTTCGGTGACTGACAGTCCGTGATGCAGAGGCGAAGTACGACAAGCATGGTCATCTCACGCCAATACCAGCGCCGTACTGAGCTGTCAGCCCGCTTACTTTAGAACATTCAGCGACAACATACAGTTTCTCTTTGAGATCGATCTCACTGCTGAGAAGGCCTATCAGCGACCAACGTGATGACTGCGAGTTCCTCTACCTGGAGTCTTCGAAACCTTGCATCAGTGAGAATGAGGCCTAGAGGTGTTCAAACGCTCGATTACAGAGAGTTAATCAGCTTGAGCTGTGCGAGACTGGATCACAAGCCTTCGAGCAGGGGTGGTGTCTTGGGTACCTGCAGCAAGCGTACCCTGCAGCTACCCCTCCCTCGGACTCCGACCAGCACCCACCGCCGATCAAATGCAAATGTGCATGTGGATTAATCTCTTCCCACAGGAGCACAAGAGTCGTGTTTTCCACTCGCTACAATCGGCTGTACACCATTAAAAAGTCACTACCGCCTCGCATCACCACGCCAGTACCAACCAACACGTGTTCAATCATGGTTGCCGCAGAGAACCGCAAACCGACGCCCAACCAACTCTCTCTAGATCTTCCAGGCCCCACCGCCTATTTGACTGGCCACAATGACCAGACAGGCAAAGCCATCATTCACGACCGCCGCCCAATCCAGTGGCACCGTTACGACGAAGACAAGATGGCCATGGCCGTAGCCCACACCACGGAGTTCCCATCCGACCTCAACAAAGACGCCGACGTCAAGGCCCACGACTCCAAGATGGAGGCTTCAGGCGGCAAGCTCGGCCTTGTCTCCGGCGGCGGTACGGTCCTGCGTTACGTGGACTTCGCTCCAGGCTACGAGTGTATGATGCACCGCACGCAGTCGGTAGATTACGGCATTGTGTTGGAGGGCAGGATTGTGAGCATCCTGGATAGTGGAGAGGAGCAGGAGATGGGAAGGGGTGATGTGATGGTGCAGCGGGCGACGATGCATGCGTGGAAGAATCCCAGTCAGACGGAGTGGGCGCGAATGATCTTCTGCCTGCAAGATTGCAAGCCATTGTTTGTCAATGGCAAGCGATTTGGTGAAGATCTTGGGAGAGGTACAGAAGGCATTCCGTCGAGTGGGAACGATCAGTAGATGCCAGCGGGCAAGAGAGCTGTATGACCTTGTGTCGTCTGGTCAGGGCGTGCTGATGTGCAAGTTGGACGACCAGACGATGGCAGTTAGACCGTCATACATACAGATGTACATTGACTACCTTACCTGTTCCACATTAAGCGTGGCTGCTATCACTGTCTGGGTCAAAGTCCAGTCAGTCTAACCGACAGTGACCTCTGTACACATGAAGATCGGACCATTTCTCAAAACCCCAACCTCGTACTTCCGATCCGCCTCTGCATACTCCAGATCATCAAGCAACTTTGCAAAATGCCGAATACTCGGATACCACACAAGACCCAAGATCTTCCACCCAGGAGCTTTGCTCACCCTCTCCGCCTCTGGCCCAGTTAACTCTCCTTCCTCTTCCCTACTGCTCCATTAATCACCCTACGGCCGACGACCTGCGCTTCCGGCCCTGTAACGAACGCCGACCAAGAAGCCGAAGACTTCCATGTACTTGAAGTAGCGTGGCATCCGGCTGGGAAGACAGGCATCGACGTTCAGCATCTGCACCTGTCTGTTGCCGGAAGGGGAGGTGGTGGCGAAGTTGCGGATGAAGTCTTCCAACACGATGGGTGCTTCCTTGGTGCGGCACGTGCCTAGAGTGTAGGACTCCAACACCAGGGAGGATTCTAAGTCGGGGAGGCGGGACAGATGCGTCGAGGCCGGAGTAATCGGTGCTGCTCCAGCCTTTCGGTAATGCCGGGGCCGGTTGTGCGAGGCGCTTCTGGTGTATAGCTGTATAGTTGGACACCGCGGCGTCGTCAACGTTGGCTGTGACACACCATTTGCATGCGATGTACCTGATTCAATGCGAATGGTAAAGCTAGAGGCTTATCCAGAGTGCGGCGGATGACCAGATATTCCCATTTCGCTACTTTCTCTTCTCCGACGCTGAGTAGAGCCTTGAGGGGAAATGGTTCCCGGTGCGTGCATCCAGTGATGGGATTTGCCTACGTAGAGCGGTCTTGCAGCGATGGATGAAGAGCGTATGGAGTAGGAAAATGCATTGAAGGACGTAGAAACATGTAAGGCTAAGAGATGAAAGGTGACCGGCGCCATCTCTTGGGTAAGAGAATCGAGATGCTTCTTTAATTGAGGGTCTAGAGGTATGCTATCGAGCCGTCTGTTTGCGAGAGAATGGAAGACGCCGACTGGGCAGCGTACTTATACCTGTTGTCCGAACATATCAGTGCAATGCTCGCGAGAAGGTAGCACGAGACGACGCAATGGCAACAACAACGTACTACTCACGCCCTACGGACGATCATACTGCCACTTGACTGCAGAAAACGTGGTTCAGTGACGAGCTTCGACCAGCACTCGAGCCCCGGTTGAACGCCTTATGCGAAGTTCCCGCGATCATCCAATGGCAAAGACTCAGACCTACCATCCAGCGCCATATAGGGTATTCTGCCGTGCGAAGGATCACACTGGCATGCATATCAACGCCGGCCGGGTCTGTCACCCGCGGCTGAGGAGAGTTCAGAAAGACTCAGCCACGTAGGAGCCTCGTGCCGAGATACACCACCACATTATGATATGGAGTCGGTCCATACCGCGACAAAAGTCTCCGGTGGCGGACGTAAGAGCATCACCTACCGGCCGAGCTCATGATGATGAATGCTTGCGACGACCGTTGCCAGGAGTCAAGCCTTGTGAATGCGCAATGCACCAGCGCGCTGGGCGTCTTGGCCTACATGCTCTAGAAGGTTGGTAAGCGGTTAGACCAAATGGCAAGACATCCGCCACACGCGTGTCGTCCTGATGCCGTCGTTGGTACCCATTCTGTGTTGCTCGGCAAGGCACTCGAAAAGTTTTGTAGGCGGATGTACAATGCAAGATATTGATGAATCGGACTCTTAACGGCAAGCGCTCAAGGCCGCGGTCTGTCAGCGGATACGGAGAGCCAAGGTACCTCAGCCTCCTCCGCGTCGTCTCCAAGCGCCTTAGCCTTCTCAATGTGTGACCCATGCTGACATCCACACCCTCCTTCGCAGCCATTCTGCAATCCGCTCACTATGCTTGCTTCGTGACAATCGTTTGATCTACTTACCTCATCCTCACACCTCGCCTGCGAAGCCGTTGGATACTTCGCATGGTCGCGCCATCTCCACGCCCGTTCGCTTCTCTGTATTCGCGATGCGCGGTTTACCATTCTCGCTCCTGTCGCTTGCGGCTGCCGTACTGTTACCACTTGTAAACGCAAGCTCAAGCATACGGAACCCAGTGAGGACGGTTTTGACGGTACAAAATGCTACTATCCATACATACAACCACCGGGTAACGGCCCTGTCGGAGTTCGATCTTACTTTCAATCTTCGGGACGATCTGTATATCAAGCTGCGACTGGAGCCAAATCATGACATACTGGCGGATGATGCGACGATAACATATCTGAGCCCGGATGGGACAGTGGCACGAACAGAAGGCGTGAATCGATTGGAGCATAAGGTATTTAAAGGGACAGCATGGATTCAGCGACCAAGGACAGGACAGGTACGGTATGAGCAAGTGGGATGGGGACGGGTATCTGTCGTTAGAGATGGGGAGGAACCACACTTTGAGGGTGCATTTTCGGTGAACCACGACCACCACCATATACAGAGCTCAGACAACTACTTGCGGACAAGGCACCCTCTCGATCCGGAGATCGACAAGGTTGGCTATGAATATATGGTCTCATGGCGAGACTCGGATATCGTCCCGTCAAGTGCAGAACTACAGCATCAGGAGCTACGAAGGAGTGGTACGGAGGATGTACCGCAGTGTCAGGCCGATACGCTGAGCTTTAACTTGCAGCCGGACCACCCTGTTTTTCTTGGAATGACGAAGCGAGATGCATTCTTTGACGACTATGCATCTCTGTTCTCCAAACGCCAAATTGATGGTACCACTGGAGGCAACTCTGCTGGCGTAAATCTCATCAGCACAATTGGAAACACCGCTGGCTGCCCAACGACGCGGAAGGTCGCTCTCGTAGGCGTGGCAACGGATTGCACCTACACCGCCTCTTTCAACTCCACGGAAAGTGTTCGTCAAAACATCATCTCACAGATCAGCACAGCCTCCGCTTTATATGAGAACACCTTCAACATCTCTCTTGGACTGCAAAATCTTACCATTTCCGATGCTTCTTGTCCGGGCACCCCTGCCCAAGCGACCTTATGGAACCAGGCATGTAGCGACAGCGTCGACATTCAAGACCGTCTGAACGACTTCTCCAGCTGGCGTGGTACTCAGCGTGACAACAACAGCCATTGGACACTACTGAGTACCTGCAACACCGGCTCCGCAGTCGGTCTCGCTTGGCTGGGTCAGGCTTGTGTTAATCAGGCTACGACGGCAAACGCTAGCACAACCGGCAACGGCCAGTCGACAGGCAGCGGATCGGAGACAGTATCTGGCGCAAACGTTGTGGTCCGCACTCAGGGTGCCAGCGAGTGGCAAATCATCGCACATGAGACCGGCCACACCTTCGGCGCTGTCCATGACTGCACGTCACAGACTTGCGCGAACGCCAATACCGTCAATTCCCAACAGTGCTGCCCGTTGAGCTCGAGCAACTGCGATGCCGGCCAGCAGTACATCATGAACCCTTCTACCTCGCAAGGTATCACTCACTTCAGCCCTTGCTCGATCGGAAACATTTGCAGCGCTATGGGTCGCAATTCCGTGAAGAGCTCCTGCTTGACGGACAACAAGCAGGTCACCACGATCAGCGGTCAGCAGTGCGGAAACGGCATTGTCGAGCCCGGCGAGCAATGCGACTGTGGTGGGCCTGCAGGGTGTGGCAACAACAATTGCTGCGACCCAACAACCTGCAAGTTTAAAACAGGGGCCACTTGCGACGACTCGAACGAAGACTGCTGCCGCAACTGCCAGCTTGCCACCAACGGCACGGTCTGCCGTGCAAGTACCGGCGCATGTGATCCACAGGAAGTTTGCTCAGGCACCTCTCCAATGTGTCCAGCGAACGTCAACGCCCCAGATGGACAAAGCTGTGGGCATAACCTGCAATGCGCGAGTGGCCAATGCACAAGCCGTGACCAGCAGTGCAAGACGGTCATGGGTACTTACACGCAGGGCAACGACACGTACGCTTGCGATAGCTCGGGCTGCGTCATCAGCTGTGCGAGTCCCGAATTCGGCATGGGTGTCTGCTATGGCCTGCAGCAGAATTTCCTCGATGGTACGGTTTGTGGTGGCGGCGGACATTGTTCCAACGTACGTAATCTATCAAGCTCAAGGCATTAAGCAGCCCGCTAACGCTTCATCTAGGGCCAATGCAAAGGTTCATCAGTTGGCGGCCAAGTCAAGTCATGGATCGATGACCACAAGGCAATTGTCATCGGTGTTTGCGCTGGTATTGGTGCGCTCCTTCTCTTCTCGGTACTTGGTTGTCTAGTCCGCTGCTGTCGCCGCGCTGGTCGGCGATCGAGAAAGCCTACGCCGTCGCCGCAAATGCCTCCGCAAGGAGGCTGGCCGGGCTGGCAACAGCCGCAGACGGCGCAGAACTATTACCACCCGCAGCAAGCGAGCCCACAGCAAGGATATTGGGGTGGCGCACCGCCTCCGCCTCCTCCGCCTACATATGGGCCGAGGGGCGGGAGTGTAAGGTACGCTTAGGTGGCTCACGGCGGCGTTTGGGGGTTTGATACTTTCCAGCGTTCATGACGTTAATGTGTGACGAGAGCATTGGGTCGGCGTCTGGGCCATATCGGCTGTGCTAGATATCTGGTGATTGTCCAGCGTCCTAGCATTCGGGGTCGATGGCGTGAATACACGGCGTTGCACTCGTGCAACGGGGGTCAGGATAGCGATGCCCAACTATATTTCAGCGTTTGTCTGCATCCCAACCTTTCCTCCGCATGGTTATTGGAAACTCGTTCCCACGAACAATCTGCATGCCCAACTCTCGCTCGTACAACTTCGCCAGGTCAGGACTGTTTGTAAGTAGTAGTGCTGTCCGCAACACAGGATGAGCCTGCATGGTCTGCTTAATGCAGCCAAGTAACCACTTGAAGAGTCCATGGCCGCGGTACTCAGGCAGAATGTAGACATCCGTCAGATAACAGACTGTGACATGATCACTAACCAGGCGCGCGAGACCGATCTGTCTCAAGCGGTCTTGAGATCCGTCGGCCAGCGTGGGAGACTCATCTCGTGGAGAAGATGGCTCGTCAGTGGTTGCGGCTGGAGGCGCAGCCGGGCAGACCTCATACAGTCCTAACGTGATCGACTGTGATAGGATCATTTCCAGTTGCTCCTCGCTCATTGCCTTCGCCCAGGGCATGTCTTCGCCGGCAAAGGCGGTGTTCAGGAAGTTTCTGTCATGGGACGATGGCCTGGTAGAGATGCGGAAATCTCCTTGACTGTTCTGAAGATTCCACTCGAGGCTGTTTAGGTTCATGGCTGGTATGCTTCAGCGTGTTCACGGCCGGGACGGATGTATCGTGCTAACGGAAATGTTATACGTTATCAACCAGCTTGCGACAGCTTCCGTCAAGGAGTGTGTGTCAAGAACCGCAACCTGCGGTGGTGCAACGGTCTACAATTGAGAAAATCCAGCGCCGGCTTCAATGTCTCGTCTCGAGGGCTCCCTTTCAATCACGCCGATTACACGCAATACCTGGTATCTAATGCACTTACTCTCTCACTCTACTACGAGCATCCATCAGATATTGCAGCTGAAGTTGACATCAACCACCAAAGCAGCTGGGCCACATAAGGTTGGATGTAAACTGTGACAATGGTTGACGCGTTTCCGCGGCGTCAACTCAACCCCAAAAGTGATCTGCGCTAAGGCTGCTGTTATGCCTCTTGGCAGACGCAGGTGCTTGTCTGTTTCAAGCAACCCAACCGTTGTCCCGCTCGACTTTGCAGTTAGCGCTCGAACGTAGCGCAGACGGGATGTCAACTTTAGAGAGTAAAAACGAGGTGTTTCCGTCTTGGCTCCAGCCACTGGAGGACCAGATCCACGTGCCGCTCGACCTTCAGTCAGGCCAAGACGATGGTGCAGGCAGACCGAGGAACGACCTCGCAGGCTGTGTCTACAATGGTAGGTATATTTGAACTCCGACTACTCCTCCATTTCTCTTTCTTCCAATCACTCGGACACGAACGTGCCAAACGTTCGTGCTCTCCCTAGAAGCTTGCTAAGTGATGCGTGGAAGCGACGAGAAGGTCGCCTTGCGCATTGGTGAATCTTTTAGTCCGGTCTTACCACGTGAGCATGTCCGGAGAGTCCAGCGAACAGCCTTGTATATCTCTGTCGCGCTGAATGTCCTCCTGACAGTGGCCCTGTGCGGGTATCATTACCGTACGAACCCTACGGAGTTGACACCCTATGCGCGACTAGGGTTTCGAAGAACAGCATGGACCTTCTCAACACCGTACGGCATTCTCGACCAGAATAACGAGACGGAGCGCTTATGGAACTCGTACTCTTCCAACAGCGCGGTGACCATTGACTCGGCAACGGCAAAGTTGTGGAAGCTGCCCGTCGCAAAGTCGCTTTCTAATGATGCGAATGTAGGCCTTTACCATGTTAGCGGACTGTATTCCATGAACTGCTTGAAGCGACTACGAGAGGCTATGGTGCAGTCTCAGCGTGGCGGCACGCCTATCGAGACATCTTCGGAGCTGGGCCATTGCTTGGATGTTCTTAGGCAAGACCTGGACTGCTTGTCAGATGACACCCCGATGTATACACCGATGCACGCCGGCACGTATCCAGGGGAGGGGCAGTTGCGCAAGTGTAGAGATCGGAGACGGTTGGAAAAGTGGTATTCTGCATTGGGACAACCTTGAACGCGTGTCACAAGGTCGATCAGCTAAGATGCAACAAGTCTCCTGAGCTTTCCGAGTGTAGGCGAAGTCAGTCGCAAGAGATTTAGATCTTGCATTTCGGACCTTTGGTGTCCTCGGGAAGCACACTTAAGCGTTGCGCATTCTGGCCGCAAGAAGCCTAGGGTTGACGCCTCAAAAGAAAAAGGCAGTCCAGATCAGGCCGCCATATGCTCAAGACTGTCTGTGCAATGGCAAAGGACGGGAAAGGACGGCAAAGGACAGGGCATCGTGTTTGGGTGCCAGTTGTGAGCACTTGTAAAACGGGTTCATCTCATTTCCACGACCAAGTTACCAGCGCGGTCGGAAACGGCCTGCGCGAGCGAGGGACTCCCCTAGCCTTTGGATGCCTCAGTCGAGCGGACCATATACGAGCATGAGTCTCGAGCTTAACCAGCTGATGGAATGATAGGGGCTGGCTGTCAACGAAGGACGGGTCAGGCATCCCATCCACGGATATCGAGGTAGGCTAGCTTCATGAGAGCTGTCGAGGTTGGAGAGATATAGCGAAACGTGAGTAGGATATAGTACAGTACGGCCGTAATACTGGCCCTTTGACAAGCAGTAGCTCGCGTTCGTGTTCGGGATCCAGCTGAGATATCATGCGCAAGCCTTACTCCATCAGTATCAACTACATGAAAGGAGCCAAACATACTTCCGCCGAACTCGGACAAGCTTGGCTGCATCTCGTATGACCAATATCCGCACCTTTCTACCGTCTTAGAGGGCGGACACGCAAGTGACAGTGCACGCAGTCGGGAGAAAGCGCGGAACCGTCGGATCGCGGCGCGTCGGCACCGTGGCTTTGCGCATAAGTGATGGCGTCAAACGCATCGCACCATTTGTTTAGGGACACCATTGCGAAGTAAGAAGGATGTTGGCTTTGCAATGACGCCGACTCCGCTGCATCATCGGAGCCAGTACCCGTAAGTCCTTGCATGCGGCTGCAGCGGGAGGTATTTGACCCCAGGTGGTCCTATATCACTTACCATGGGTCTGCCAGCTGTGCTACGCCGACGCTGGAGCAGTAGATACATCTTGTGTTCGGCCGCTGGCCTTTACATTGTTATTTGCTTCCTATTCGACATGCCGCTATTGAGTAGCAAGCTCCCAAACTACACTGGCAAATACGATGTAGGCACCATTGACATTGAGGCGCCATGTGCGAGACGAAACGTTAGCGACCTGGTCTTCACGAATACGGGCAAGCCAGCGTTCGAGCTGGAAACGGTGCTCTTTTCACTCTACTACCCGGCAGTAGACAAGGTGCGCTCGCAGAAGTCGCACCTATGGGTACCAAAGCCTCTCTCATTGACGGCAGAGGGCTACGCTCGTTTCGCCAAGATCAACAATTTCCTAACAAACAGCGTATTCACCGTTGCACTCTGGACGTTGGTTGGCAGCACAAAGATACCGGCGCAAGTCGATGTACCTCTACACGGCACGGTCAAAACTTATCAGGATTACCAAAAAGAGCATCCCTCTGACGACGACGATGGTCTGCCTCGCTTCCCCGTCATTGTCTTCTCGCACGGGATGGCGTCCAGTCGTACTTCTTACACTCAATACTGTGGTGAGCTAGCATCACGGGGCTTCATCGTTGCTGCGATCGAACATAGAGACGGCAGCGGACCCGGCTCGGTCATAATGAGTACCGACGGTTCTACGACCAACCGCTTTCTGGCAAGACCGAGCGAGCTCCAGCCTGAGCCGGCCATGGAAGACTACAAGGCTACGGGTCTTGCATTTCGACAAGCCGAGATTGAGGAGACTGTCCGTGTGCTTCGGGAGATCAATGAAGGCTCAGGCAAGGCCGTCTACACCGCGAACTCACGTAAAGAAGGAGTAGACCTTGCTGAGTGGCGCGGCAGACTGATGATGGACCGCATGGTTCTAGCCGGCCATTCCTACGGTGCCACTGGCGCACTGAGAGCACTCAAGGGCGCCCCAAGCGCCGAACGGCCTTTCGTCGGCGGCATCATTCTCGATCCGGGTAAATCTTCTGGACCGCTCAACGATGACATCAATGTCCCAACAATGATCATCCACTCGAGCTCTTGGTCGAAGAAGCTGACCATCTTCCATGGGCAGCCTCACTTTGCCGTTGTGAAAGCAGTTGCTGAGAAGATCCTCAACGAGAGGCACAAATTTGCCTGGTTTATGACCGCGAAAGGCACGACGCATCCTTCCGTTACCGACGCTCCGCTCATCGAGCCAATGCTATTATCGTGGACAACAGGCGCGACCATTAACGTACGAGAGGGCGTCTTGCAGTACGTGAAAGCGACGCAGGACTTTATGCGTTTCCTCGCGGACGGACAACGGCAGGGCGTGCTGAAGGAAGAAGTGACGCACCCGGAGTACGACCACGATATTCGAGACGATGCTAGAAGGGCGGCCATGAACAAGGAGATTGAGAAGTACTGGCAGATCCACGTGGCGCCAAGCACGGCGTGTCCGTACCCGGGACTATGCGGTATTGTCCCTGACTGAAAGCACGAAGCCAGCGATATCTACAGAAAGTGATGGCCCGGCGGACGCCGCTTCGAGGACATGTACACCGGTTTATCGGTTGACAGTCATTGCGCACAGCCAAGACGACGAATCACTTGTCGCCGCCCGGAGACACTCCACAGCCTCCGACAGTAATGTTGTAAAATCCAGAGAACCGGCCAGCGACCGAGGACAGCCTACCCAGGCGCCAACCCTTGTCTTGCGACTGATTCGGCCAGCGTTGACCTTCAGCTTATTGGAATGAAGCCCTAGCCGCTGCGCTCTCCGTCCTGGACTCTGTTGCTACCGAGCCACGACGACGTTCGGGACCTCCAGCTTTTGCCGATACTAGGCGACGGTGATCGACCCACACCGGCGTGGAATTTGTGCTCTTTGGCCGCGCGTTTGGGTGTGAGACATTCTGCCTTGATGACAGCGAAGAACAATGAGCAGACCCAGCCGTCGTCCTGATTCGGTCCATTGTTCGAATGTCTCTTGGACTGCTCTGCAGTGGCGACTTGTGACTTCGATACGTTGCCTACAAGTGGACTCTTGTTGCATTGCAGAGGTAATGAAGCCTCCATCCATCATGCAACTGATTCAGATTATGTGCATGTGCGAAGGCCAACGTCTCCGTTGGTCAAATGGCGTTCGGCAGATGTTAAGCCAACGCACGAATCAACAGGAAAGTTATACACAAGCAGTTCACAGAGCTAGTCACTCAACTGCGCAACGCGAAGCCATTTGAAGGACTGTTTCGCTCGCCAGCCTGCGGTGCACTTGTGCCACGAACCTCAGCCGCATCCATCCACTCTAGCACCGCAACTGTCGTTCATTCCCAATCAGCCACGCAGCCGCCTCGTCTGCCTCACGCACGCACTCACTCAGCCTTCACACTATCGCGGCTCCGAACAGTCTTCGCCGCAAAAACGCCCCAACTCCTCCAGCGTGCCTTCCCCTTTGTAAACCCGCCGATCCAAGTCTCTCCTCGCATCCCGCTGTCTTTGCCTTACATCCCACTCCCACCGCGCCCACTCCCATGCCCCCATCTCCGGAAACTCCTGCCGCTCCGCTCGTCCAAAACCCAGATACTCCGTCAGCCGGCCAGGTAGGATCACATAATCCGCCCGCACGTACGGCTCAGTGGGGAGAGGCAGGTAATCCCTATGCGCGTACCTACACTCGGGCATCGGACAGTCTGCTTTGCTGTTGGGGGACAACTCGCAAAGCCGATGGATGCATGCCGTTTGCGTGATCTGGCACTGGTCGCAGATGGGAGCTTCGTTACATGGCAGGCCGTGGGCACGGCAGTGGTCGCAGACGAGAAACTTTCCGTAGAACCTGGTGCCGTTTGAGGTTGGGGGAAGGTTGTCGTGGTCGTCGTCTTCTTCTTCTTCATCGTCGTCGTAATAATCATCTCCAGCCCCGGCGTAGTAGTATTCTGCGATGGGCAGAGGGTGGGTACGCTACGTCTTCATCAGTCTTGCCGTGTGCACTGCAGAGGGTGAGGCATGTGGCTATTTGGTGGGTCTGCTTACTGCATGTCTGTGGTCGTCATCAAGTCTAGTACGGACGCCGTGATCAACCTGGTGACTGCGCGTATGGGGGACCAGGGGCGTGCGAGGGAGCAGAGGCGTACAAGGAACCGGGGGCGCGCGAGGGATCAGGCGCGTGCGAGATTGGTGTACATGGCCAAGACTCACGATCAGTTCGATCAGAGCATCTTCAGCGGCTTTGGCGCGGCCCCACGCCTCTCTGCTTTCCGCCTCATGGCTCAGGGAGTCTTTCATACGAGCGATGTCGCGCCATTTCTGTCGGAGATCTGCGCACACTGCACAGAGGCAGGCTGCGGGTGCAGACATGACGGCTAAGCTGTTGTGTGCCGATGCTGCACAGAAAGCTTTGGTTGGACAGCGTGTCACTTGTTCGACGGCGCCGATGACCGTGCGAGGAAGGCACGCTAAGTAGCGGCAACTGCCAAGCTTTCTCAGCCAAATGTCTAGCCGTCGACGTATCACCGGTTGGACGCTACTTACAAGCCTTCCAATTCCACCCTCACTTCACCACCACCTCCTACCTTCACATCACTACCACCGCCAACTTACTTCCCCCTCACTCTCCCACCTTTCCCTCCCCTGCCCGCCCATGCTACGCCTGCACCCTAAACGCCCGACCACTAGCCGTCTTCCTCTCCCTCGCCCCCGCCTCCTCCGTCTCCGGCCTCGCTCGTCTCAGTACTTGCAAGAAATCCGCCGTCCGTCTCCGCATGCGCGAATGAATATACGCCTTGGAAGCCTTGATGTGGTAGTGGAAGTAATCGCGAAAGGTCTGGATGTGGGAGATGACTTCGTCGCGGCGTTGGGGGGTTAGGTGGCGGGGGAAGAGGACTACACCAAAGGCGTCAGTGATGGGGTAATTGGGGAGGTGGACTGGAAGGGTGGGAATGCAAGTACCGAACGTAACGTATGTGACCTCCCCCTTCGCCCCCTTCAGCCCAGGCATGCCCTGTAATTCCAACGGCGGCTCGTCGCGAGAGAGGACTTGCGGAGCATTCTGTACGCCGCGTTTCCGCGCATCGACGAATTCCTGCAAAAACACCTTGGCGAACACCCGATCCGTCTCCTCGCGGAAAATGGTCGAGAATATGACCGTCACTCGATCATGACTAGCCTTGATATAAATCGCCTCTTCTTCTCTATACTGAATCGCCCGCACCTCCCCTCCCTCCCTAACACCCTGAGGGGCAGATTCAGAAGTATATCCCTTCGCCTGCTCGCTCAGACTCGCAAACTCATCAAACGCCTGCTCAAAAGGCGCAGCCATTGCGTTGCGCTTGAGCAGACTTATCCGTCGGACCAAGTCGTCTCGTTCTTCGGGACTTGAGGGTAAGTTTTCCAGGTCGAGTTGTACGCTGAAATCGTAGCCGGATTCGGGTGGAGTGACAATGTAGGGGCCGTATTCGCGTTCGAGCACGGATTGGGCGCCGTATTGCAGGAGTTGGGGGAAGCATTTTATGGAGAGGGAGATTAAGAGGCGGGATTTTGATTCGGGGGTGGAGAGATGGAAGGTGGTGTTGTCGAAGTCGGAGACAATTTGGTCGAGGGTTGTGGGGGTTGCGCTGGGAGAGGCTTTAGTACGAGCTGAACAGCATGGCGGAGTACAGGGTGTTTTACTCGGGCTTTAAGCGTTCTCGCAGCTGGCTCTCTATGAGCAGGTTCTGGTAGTCGAGGAGGAGCATGGCGGCCTCTTCTGCCTGTGGATTCACTTGAGGATGAGTCGGTCACTGCGGGATTTGTCTCAAGCTTCTCGGGTGGTAAGAAGGGAGGCGTAGTATATGAGTCTAAGCGTGAATGCGCCGGCAATGGAACAAATCCGTGCCTGCCTCACATGGGAGTGGGGGACACGCATTGCGGCTCTGCGGTCGGCTGCAACGATCGTCATGCCAAGAGTGCGGGGAGCGTCGTGCTTTCCTCAAAGTTTCAGTTGCGAAACGCCTCGCAACTGTCGCAAAGATGGTGCGCTCCTACCGCCGCTACGAGGCCGGTGCTTCTTTCGGGACCGTGTGCACCGCCTCGTCCAACACCGTTTGGACTGCGGATGCATCTTCACGCTCCACAGGTGCCGGGCGGGCATACGTTGGCGCAAACGAAGATGTGCTATGCTGGGACGTGAAGAAGAGCGAACTTCTCTCACGCTGGTCGGACAAGGACAATAAGGCCGAAGTCACTGCTCTTGCGCCATGTGCTGCGCAGCCTGACCTGTTCGCTGCCGGCTACGCGGATGGCTCGATACGGATATGGGACGCTCTTTCGGCGCAGATTGTGGTGAGCTTTAACGGCCACCGCAGTGCCGTCACGCATTTACAGTTCGATCGCGAGGGTGCGAGGCTGGCGAGTGGGAGTAGGGATACGGATGTGATTGTGTGGAATCTGCTGAGTGAGACGGCCGAGTTCAGGTTGAGGGGCCATAAGGACCAGATTACTGGTTTGGCATTTTTGCAGACGAGAGTAAGTGGCAGGCAGAGTCCGCATACCGATGAGGCGGTCGATGTTGCGGACGAGGATGGAGAGGTGGAAGAGAAGTATCTCATATCGACCTCTAAAGACGCGCTCATCAAGCTGTGGGACTTGACCAGTCCGCACTGCGTGGAGACGCACGTTGCGCAAACCAATGGCGAGTGCTGGGCTTTGGGCATTAGTCCCGACGGTCAAGGCTGCATCACTGCTGGCAATGATGGAGAGTTGAAAGTCTGGCGCATCGATGTGGATGCGCTGTCCGAGTTGGACTCTCGGCTGGGCGAGAGCAAGAAGCAGGACATCCTAATCAGCCAAGGGATCATTCGGCGTCAGGGCAAAGACAGAACCATTGGCGTCTCATTTCACCCCAGACAAGATTACATCGCCGTGCATGGCTCGGAGAAGGCTGTCGAGATCTGGCGCATACGCCCGGCAGACGAAGTACATCGACACATGCTCCGCAAGCGGAGACGAAGGAGGGAAAAGGCGGCTGCAGCAGGAGAGACGTTACCTGCAGAAAACGAAGACAAAATCGGCACACCCACCGTCGACGACATCTTCACTCCCTACGTGATCATCCGTACAACCGGCAAAGTCCGCTCCACCTTCTGGGCCCAACCCGCCCGGTCGACCAAATCCCTCCAACTCCTCGTCGCGACCACCAACAATCAACTCGAACTCTACACCATCACGCACCACCGCGCTCAACAACAACAACCACCCACGAACAAAGACTCTCCGGAATACACCCGCGCCCTCGCCGTCGACCTCCCAGGCCACCGCACCGACATCCGCACCCTCGCCCTCTCCTCCGACGACCGCATGCTCGCCTCCGCCTCAAACGGCCAACTCAAACTCTGGAATCTCAAAACGCAATCATGCCTGCGCACATTAGACTGCGGTCAAGCGCTGTGCTCCGCCTTCCTGCCCGGCGACCGCATCGTCCTACTGGGCACGAAAAGCGGCGACCTGGAGATGTACGATATCGCCACCGCCACGCTCATCCAAAGCCTCCCTGCGCATGAAGGTCACGCCATCTGGACGCTTGCCGTGGCACCGGATGGTCGCAGTGTAGTAACAGGATCCGCAGATAAGACCGCGAAATTCTGGCGTTTCGATGTGGTCGACGAGGAAATCCCCGGGACGCGAAGGACGACACAACGACTAACTCTCACGCAGACGCGGGAACTCAAACTATCCGACGACATCCTCGCTCTGACCTTTAGCCCTGACCACCGTCTCCTAGCCGTCGCAACACTGGATCTAACCGTCAAAATCTTCTTCGTGGACAGTCTGAAACTGTTTCTCACGTTGTACGGCCACAAACTCCCCGTCCTCGACCTGACCATCTCGTCGGATAGCAAAGTGATAGCGACTTGCTCCGCGGACAAACACGTGCGTCTCTGGGGACTGGAGTTTGGCGATTGCCATAAATCTTTCTACGCCCACGAGGACTCCGTCATGGCTGTTCGCTTCGTCCCGCACCCCATCGAGCGGGAGGAGGGACGGTTACTTTTCAGTGCGGGCAAAGACGGGGTGATACGGAGTTGGGACGGGGAGAAATTCGTTCCGATCCAGCGTTTGTTGGGTCACAAGGGAGAAGTGTGGGCTATGGCTGTCAGTCGCACGGGTGAGACGGTTGTGACGGCGGGGCATGATAAGAGTCTGCGCGTTTGGGGAGTGGGGGATGACCTTATCTTTCTCGAGGAGGAGAGGGAGAGGGAGGTGGAGGAGTTGCACGAACGCAGTCTTGCGGAGAATCTGGACCGGGATTTTCGGGACGAGGATGGGGATGGGAATGAGGAGGTGGCGGCGGCGGGGAAGCAGACGATTGGGACGCTCACGCATGGGGAGAAGGTGTTGGAGGCGTTGGAGTTGTGTGTGGCGGATCTGGAAGCCATGAACAACCACGAACGGGAGAAGCAGCGGAACCCGAACGCAGCACCGCCGCAGCGGAATCCGGTCTTCCTCGCCCGTGGGAACGTGACAGCGTCGCAATACATGCTGCAGACCCTCTCCGCCATCCCGACACCGGCGCTCAATGACGCGTTACTCGTCATCCCTTTTTCCTCCTTACCGAACCTCTTCACCTTCCTCTCCATCTTCCTACGAGAGCGGATGCGGCCGGAGTTAGCCTGGAGGGTTGTGTACTTTCTGCTGCAGGTGCACATGCAGCAAATCGTCGCTAGTGGCCATCTCAAGGGGGTGCTTGAGGAGGTGTTGGAGGCGTGTGAGCGCTGGCAGGAGGGGGAGAGGCGGGTGGTTGGGTGTAATTTGGCGGGGCTGGGGGTGCTGGGGAGGGAGGTTAGGGAGGTGGAGGTGGGTGGCGGGGGATGGTTGGGGGATGTGGAGGTGGAAGAGGAGGCGGTGGAGAAGGGGGCGCGGGGGAGGAAGAGGGGGTTCGTTGGAGTAGGGTAGGGTTATGCGAGATGGGGTGGGCTGTAAAGCTGAGGCCTTGTGGCTGGCACGGATGCTTTGGTGTGGTGCTAAGCGAGCCGGCATTTCGGTGGGAAATGATACCAACGATTACTTTTCTGGAGAATCCTCACCCGAAGTGGAACGTGACTGCATCGATGTCGCTACTCTACCAACCACAGAAACACACCAACATGGGAGGCTTTATATTACAGATCCGTTGTGAACCAGCTCGGGTCCGGGTTGATCGTGTAACCGCCAGGATGGACATGACAACCTCGTCACGATGGTTGTATCTACGCCAAGAATCTGCTCGCTGTTGAACATGGGGCACCAAGCACGAAAGTGCTACCGCACCCTGTCCCGTGATTTGCGAGGCGAAAGCTGCAGTACGGGGCGGAGGGAAGGCTGGCGTAGGCGTTGCACAGCCCAATTGTCCTTCTTTCGTACGCATGCATGCATGCATGTATCGTATGCACATGCAAGCGTTTGACCCATAATTTCGTTCCCCAATTCCATACAGCTGTAGTGTCGGCAGAGTGGGATGCGGATGTGATGGGTATAAAAGGCACATCAACGCCGTGGCAGTGCAGGGGAGAGCATCGAGGACTGGTCAAATGGTGAGGTGTCGTTGCAGTTTGCCACCGAAGTGGGCCACCCGTTGCTCATGCGGGCGGAGGGAGTGATGTCTTACCAGCGCCGCTGTTCGGTGGTTTCCAGCGTGACGCAGACGTTGCCGAGCCTGCCTTCCTGACCCTGATTCAGACCTTTACATCTAGAATTGTACTACTACTCGCACGTTGCACACGACGGTTACTGTAATGTGAGACCACTTTACGCGTTTGCGTTGGGGGACACGCGTATTGTTTGCGGGTGATCCCTGCTGTCGCGTTTCTGTCTCTGTGTCTCTCTTTACCAGATTCGGGGCACGAAACATTGATGTTGACGTTGTGTTGCCGCTGTGAACAGCATCTGTAGTCGCTAACGGACAACAACGTGTACTAGATGTTAGTACGACGCGACACCGCTCAGCTGACATGATATAAATGATTGATGCCGATGATGGAATGGTTGGCAGGAGGGGAGTGGGAAGGTTTGATGAAGCTGGTGCAAGCGTCCGTTGCAGCGACGTCTACCGCGCCATCGCCTCCTCATTGGCTGCGCGGCGGAGAGAGAGAGAGAAGAGTGGAATTGACTTCCCGGCATTGGTCGCTGCACGGGCCATTTCTTCTCTTTCTCCCTTGGAAACGGACGGGAAGTGTCGCATTCTTTGCCAAACGCGCGCAAACACCTCCACCTCTCCCATCATCTATTGCAGCAACACCACCACTCGCCATACTAATACCATCGTCACTCGCTCACATCTCGGACATTGTTTCGCCGACCAGGATTATTATTGTTGTATGCCGTAGATCTGAAACACGACCTTCTCCACGCGACCAACGCACGTCGGGGATCGGGGTTGAGGGGAGTCGATCGAGCTTAAGGCGTGGGTGCTATTGGTGCTATTGGTGCTATTGCATCGCAACCCGCCGGCAGCCAAAGTCGAAAACACACGCACAGTCACGTCATGGATTGCTGAGTCTACACTTAACACCTCCCGTTATTGCAACAAATTGCAACACTCCGCACACGACCTGAAACTGTCAATCCCCATATCCACACACCACTCACTACATGCGACAAGTCTATCCCGGGGTATTGTTTCCAGTCGCGCGATAGTGGTCGTCAACAACACATGCGGAGCATCCTCTCCCAGCTGCTGGCCATCGGCCCGGAGCTCGCAGCTTTCATCCTCACATCCCCCATCCTGCACATCCGCACCGCACACGCCGTCACCCAATCGTCAATCCCGTCACCGAACCTCGACCTCACCTCCCTCGGCCGCGTGGCGATCGCCGGCGACTTCGACAGCATCTCCCTCTACACCTTCGCCGGTCAGAACGAGAACATCTTCAACACCAATGGCAGTCAGTCGCTGCTCACCCGCTACCCCAATGGCGCATTTCAATCCCTCGGACTGGCCGACGCCTACATTCGCACCATGTGTCCGTTCATACAAAAAGACGGCTCCCTAGCAGGCGTGGTCGTGGGCGGCAACTTCACCAGCTTGGGCGGGGTGGAAGCGCAGAGTATCGCGCTATGGAATCCGAACACGACGCAGATCACCGCCTTGCCCGGTCTTAGTGGGAGCGTGAGCGCCGTGTACTGCGACGACAGTTCGGGCACGGTATACGTGGGCGGGATGTTCATGGGTGGAAACTCGACGAATGCGATTGCGTGGACGACCGGGTGGACGAATCTACCGTTCGCCGGGTTTAATGGACCCGTGACTTCGATTACGAAGAACGCGGCGGGGAATATCGTGTTTGGGGGGGATTTCGATGGGTTGGGGAATGCGACGACGCCGCAGCAGCCGGATGGGCAGGTGGTTAATCTTGGTTCCGCGAGGATTACGACGGAAGGTACGACGGCCGTTGCCGCCTATTCGAACCCGAGCAGTATTATCTGCAATACGGGGCAGAGTAGTAGTTGGCTATTAGCGGATGATACGACGGGGTACTGGCAGGGCAACTTCTCGTTCGGCTTCAACCCGACGAAGCTACGGCTCTACAACACGCAACAAGATGGTCGCGGGACCCGGCAGTTCTACTTCCAAATCCTCAGTACCGGCGGCATACTCAACTTGGACTACTACGACGCAAACGGACAACCTCAGTCCTGTTCTGCACCATGTCCGCTCGCCAACAACGCCAGCGCTCAGGACTTCCACTTTGTCCCGCCTGTCGGCATGAACGCCTTTCGCATCGTCATTACCGGGTGGTATGGTGCCGGAGGTGGCTTGAGCGGTATCGAGATGTTCCAGGACGATATCTACTCGTTCGCCGTCAATGACTTCAACGAACCGCAATGCGACAGCGTCAGTACGGGCTCCAGTGCGACTGCCTACCCAGCATCCGGTGTTTGGACTCGCCGGGCGAATAACGGCAACACCAGCTCCGACTATCTCTCCGCCTCGCTCAATGCAACATCGCAGATCGGCCCAAGCACGTCGGTAGTGTTTAGCCCGGACATCAGGCAATCGGGCAATTACTCCATCATGCTCTACACCCCCGGCTGCATCCAGGATGATAGCTGTAGCTCGCGTGGACTGGTCAACATCACGACTGCCGTAGTCTCGAATCAGCAGCCTTCCTCCACCACGCTGTACCAGACGAACAACTACGACAAATACGACCAAGTCTACTACGGCTATGTGGACGTTGACACGGATTCGTTCAAGCCTACTGTCACCCTGACACCTCTAGCATCGCAAGGGGCTCCATTGACAGTAGTAGCCCAGCGTGTCCGCTTCGAGCTCATCACCACCACCGGCGGCCTGAACGGCTTATTCGAATACAACCCCAACATCGCAACCGTCAGCACCGATTTCTCCAGCTCCGCCATCAACGCCGCCGGCGCCTCCCTAAACGCCGGCGCCCAAGTAAACATCGTCCAACCCATCGGCTCCGCCCTTTACATCGCCGGCAGCTTCACCGACCCCAACGCCAACATCTCCAATATCATGTCCATCAACCAAAACGCCACCACCGCCTTACCGAACGGTGGTCTAAACGGCGCCGTGCAGACGCTCTACCGTAATGGCACAGTCATGTACATGGGCGGAAACTTCACCAACGTTGCTCAATCTTCCATCCCGGGTCTCGCCAACCTCGCTGCTTTCGACACTGCCAACAACAGATGGACTCCCCTTGGCGCCGGCGTAAACGGGCCAGTCACCGCCCTTGTTGAACTGGCCCTCAACGTCACCGAGGGGAATCTAGAAGACTGTCTCAGCGTCAACGGCATCTTCACCTCCGTCAATGGCTTCGCCAGCAACGCCGCTTCCGCCTCGAACGGTTTCGCGATCTGGGTCCCGGGACGCAACAACTGGTTACACAATATCCCTCAAAGCGATATCTCGATTCAGGGACAATTGACGACGATGACGCAAGTCCCCGGTTTCACGCCTTTGTACGCGGGTCAGATTAGTAGTCAGGCTGTTGGACTCAGTGGGGCGGTGGAGTTGGTGGGGAGTGGGCAGCCGGCGCTGCAGAGTCTGGGTTTGAGGGTTGTACCTGGTGGTGGCTCGAGTGGGAGCAATTCGTCGGCGATGAGGAAGAGGGCAATCAGTTCGAGTTCGAATTACACGGGTGTGTATCAGGGCTTGTTTCACGGGGAGAGTGGGCTGAACATCACCATCCTTGCCGGACGCTTTGAGGCGACGACTAGTAATGGCTCTACGGTCAGCAACCTGGTGTTCCTCAACAACACGGCCGGCGCGTCGCAGACGGTCACGGGCGTGAGCGGGCTGGATGCGGACTCGACTTTTGTCTCTCTGGCGACATATCAGATCGAACTTTTTGCCGGCGGGCAAGTCACTGGATCTGTACACGGGAATTCGGTCAATGGGCTTGTGGTGTATGATCTTGCCACGGGGGCTTACACACCTACGCAACCCCCTGCTCTGCAGAATTCGGCCGGAGGTGTGATCGTGAATGCGATTATGGTTCAGCCCAATACCGCGGCCGTGTACGTGGGTGGGCAGTTCTCCTCTGCCGGCTCTCTGCCTTGTAGCACGTTATGCTACTATGATGCCAGTGCGCGGCAGTGGAATACGCCCGGTTCCGGACTCGCGGGGACGGTGAATGCGATGATCTGGTCCACTACCACCGAGCTGGTCGTGGCGGGGAATCTGTCCGTGGCCGGGATGTCGACGCAGCTGGTGAGGTATGACAGCAAAGCGCAGACGTATGCGCCGTACAGCACCACTGGTGCGGCGCTGCCGGGCCCGATAAGCGTGCTCACGAATGCGAATACGCAGAACACCGCCTTCTGGGCGGCGGGCGTGGCGACGGGGAATAATTCCGCTTACCTTGCCAAATACGCCGGCAACACCTGGACTGGCGTCGCGGGATTGGGGGTGGGGACGACGATTCGTGGATTACAGCTTATCGATCTGACCGGCCCGCACGGCAATACGGAGTTAGTTCCTGCGACCGAGGTGTTGATGGTGATGGGGAACATCAATCTCCCCTCTTTCGGCAACGTCAGCGCCGCGTTGTTCAACGGCACGACTTTCCAGCCGTTCGTACTCACTAACACCCAATCGGGGAGTCAAGGGAGCGTCGGCTCCGTCTTCGTCAGGTACGTCCCCTTCTCCCTCCTCTTCCCCATCAATTTCCCCGACACAAATACAAGCAGCACCGTACTAACATGACTCACCACAGCAACCCCACCGCCCTAATGTCGCATAACAAACCGCACCTCCACCTCGGCCTCGTCGTGCTGATCGGTCTGGCGATATCACTGGGTCTGATCTTCTTTATCGTTGTGGCCGGGTTACTGCTTGAGCGGCAGAGGAGGCGGAGGGAGGGGTATGTGCCCATGCGGCAGAGGGATAAGCGGGGTGGGAATGGAAATGGGAATTTGCAGCGCATTCCGCCGGAGTCGTTGTTGAGGGATTTGGGGGGTGGAGGGGAGAAGAGTGGGGTTGAGGAGAAGGGGGAGGTGCCTAAGCTCTGAATACTAGGAGCAGGAGGGTTGAGGGGGCGACGGGGGTGAGGGTGGTACGCTTATCTACGGCCGTGAGGATTATGATGGGAGTTGGCGCTGGTTTCTGTACGACATTTGGGTGGCGAGGGTGTTTTTCTGGCGTATATCTTGTTGAGCGGGATGGATTTGTGGTTAAGATGGTGAGGGCTGCATTTGTTGCGGGGAAAGCATTATATACCCCCCGTGCTGGGACTTTCTGTGTTGATATGTACGGTGCGTGCATCTGCAGGTGGACCGGCAAGAGATCTCGGTTCGGGTACTGAGACGATTGGACGTCGAGGCTGTGGCGGTGCCTGCAAAGTTGCGCTGGATGGCCGATGATGCTCGGCGGAACTGGATATGTATGTCTATAGGCGACAGCGTGGTAATGTGTACCTTTAGACCGTGGTCAATAATGCCTTCCTCCGCTTGATCGACGGCGTCCGGTCTTCATTTCTTCCCGTGTGAGCCATGATCTGCTTTTGCATCTTTCTGCTGAGCCGAATTAGAGAACGGCTGGCTGGCTGGGTAGCAATGAGGCCAGCGTCTTCGTGTTCAACACCATGTGCGCCGTTGCCGGGCGTTCGCGGACATTCGTGCTGACCCATGTGGCCTTTGGGTCTTCGACGTGCGAGTCACTATGTAGACGCTTGTTCATACAAGTTGTGGACCCTTCCGGCACCGTCTTGAAGGCGCACTGGCGCGGCCGGGTATTTGTGGCTTCATGCTTTACGCTGAATTTTGTGTAGCGATGCACACAGTATCCGGTTGATGTTTGCGATGGCCAGTCAGGTGAGCATAGCGATGTATTGGCCCGTCCGGACTAGCTGAGACTTGGCCGAGCTTCGTACCCACCGATGTGTAGGTGGCGGTTACTGACATCCTAGCTGTCAAACCGTAGGGCATCGCAGATTCGTCCGGACTCAAGTGATCTTTCTGCCGACGTTGCTGATACCCTTGCCGACGATACTCAACACCACCTCATTCTCTTCGTCCTCATCTTCCCGCAAACCCCAACCACTCAACCCAAAAGTGCGCAGATCTCGTGCCAACTGGACCACTTGCTCTAAGCCCAGTACAGCCTTTCCGAGAGTGATACGTCCCACGTCCTCGCTGCCCATTGCCATTAGCGTCAGCACGGTAGGTGCTGCTACGCTTGAAACGTAGCCACCTTCCTCAATAGCCTCCAGGAGCTGATAGGCGCACTTCCGCCCTATGTCTTCCGGTGGCTCGCCACCTGCGGGCGGGCTTGCAACATCTGCAGAGTACAGTGCACCGGTGTTTGTTTCCGCGACGAGGCTCAAGCCGAATCCAAGTCCAATCTTGCGCTTTGCGGCCGGATTCTCCTTGGTGGGCGCAGGAACGAACGGAGCAGGTGAAATATCAGAGAAAATATACGTGTCTGGCATGAACTCGTTCAGCACGCCTCTTGCTGCCTCGATCAAGCGCGCATTGTTGGCGCCGGCAACGCCTGTGGAGTATGCGACACCTCTGATTCTCTTCACACGGCCAGCGTCCATCAAGTGTACAGTCTTTGGTAGACGAACTTGATGCCCGAACACCAACTGTACCTCACCGCCACCGCCCTTGCCGTCCCTACCGATGTTAGAACGACGGAGAATCCTCAGCTCAAGGTTGTTCTCGATCCCGAAGCTCCTGAACAGTGGTAAGATGGCCGTACGCACAGTGTCTGCGCTTACGTCGCCAGCCTCCGTGCTGGACGTGACTACTCCAGGTCCCGTGAACAGCACATTGATTGGAGCTTTCGAAAATGGAGCAAGCAGACAGAGTGGGATGAGAAAGTAGCTCACGCCCCTTCTACAGTCGGCGGGTAGTTCATGTCTAATGACGCCACCCTGTGCGCCATAGCCTGCCGCACTACCAGTAATAAGTCCCGGCTTGTAAAGAACAGTGGTGCCGGTGTATGAGAACTCGATATGCGAGCCGTTGGTGACCGCTTCGAGTAGGCGGAGAAGAGAGACTTCATGAGGCGCAAGGCCGGGGGATGTATGAGATGAAGATCGAATCTGCGAAATCCTAACAGTCTTGCCGGTCAAAGTTGCAAGCACTAGGCGTTGGGAAAGATGCTTCGATCCCGTGAACTTGAGCGCTGGTGGCGCGGTTGGTACGGCCATGCCGGCAAGGGAATACCAGGCACGCAATTCTGTTGTATCCAGCAGACTCAAGTAACGTTATTCATGCCGTCTCGGGTTCGTTTTGATCGAGAAGGGATCGTCTAAACTTTTGTGCATGGAATATTATAGTGTGGCGCTCAGAGAATTGTGGCTTCTCGAGCCGCGAAGCCGTCCGTGCCGAAGCACGTGGCGATGGAGCCGCACAAAAGGGACGGGCAAGCATGGATCACCATACCGACGTGTCACCGTGCGACGGTGTGCTCATGGGAAGACGGGCCGAGAGCTGAAATGCAAGGGTTAATAGACCTCACTTCTCCCTCATCACTGCTTCGACCCTACTCCGTCCACGCATCAGACTCTTCACCCTTGCCAGGGCCTACCCCATTTCGCGTGGTTCACGCCAGGCCAACGTACGATGTCGGAACGCTAACGGTATGACCTCGTTCGAGCAGAGAAGCATGTTATGATGCAAGCTATGGGGTATCATGGAGGATACAGCAGTCTCACCCCTTTAACCGAGCCCGACTACCATTCACTCAGCGGAAGGCCATTATCATGCCGAAACCACATATGAAATAACTAGTCGTCCCTCCCGGATCCCTTCGCAGCTGCCTGTTGCCAGGACATCAGAGGTAATACCGTGCCATATCCGGCAAGTCCATGCTTTTACTGATGAAACACTACGATCGTAGAGAGACCGGTTCGCACACGGTCTACCACTGCTGGCCGCCCTGCGGTGGGCCGCCGTAGCCTCCGCCGTTGGGCTGCTGTTGGTAGCCGCCTGCCATCTTCGTCAGCGAAAGCAGTTCAAGGAAGGCTGGAAGTGTTGCGCACAGTCTGCCGAGGTCTCACTCACCTCCACCGTAGCCGCCTTGCTGCTGGTAGCCACCGCCACCTCCACCTCCACGCCAGTTGTTGCCGCCACCAGAGAAGCCTTGAGAGTCAGCAGTATACCATGACGGAAGACCCGACGCAGACTTACCACCCTGACCACCGTAACCTCCACCGCCTCCACCATAGCCACCACCTTGACCGCCGCCTTGACCTCCGTAGCCTCCACCGCCACGACCGCCTCCGTAGCCGCCGCCACCGCTGTAGCCACCACCTACTCATGTTAGTTGGTGATATATGCGCTAAGCTTTCAGAACGTACCTCTACCACCGCCGCCGAATCCACCACCTGAGCCACCTCCGCCGCCGCCTTGCGCACGCTCGGAAGCTTTGTCGACGCGGATGGTGCGACCGTCAAATCTGTGCGAGAGTCAGCAGTTGCGTGAATTTGCTGAGTTTGATTGCACCTTACTCCACGTTGTTCATAGCGGCGATCGCTGAATCAGCCGCGGCATCTTCTGCGAAACGCACGAATCCGAAGCCACGGCTACGGCCGGTGTCGCGATCTTTAATAACGATCTGGTGAAGAGATAAGCTGGAGTGCTTCATATCATGATCGCATAACTGACTGCTTCCTCGACCTGGCCAAACTCCTCGAACTTTGCGCGCAGTGTTTGGTCGTCGGTATGCCATGCTAGGCCACTGAGCTGAAGTCAGTATGCATAGCACTATCATGGTGAAGGCGGTCGCGGTTGACCATCAGCGTACATACCCGATAAACAGTTTCGACCCCATGATAAGTCTCACTCAGAAGTCTCACCGCAGGTAAGGACTGGAAGAAACGCTCTGCCCTCGTTCCCAACTCGTGTGCTGATGTAGAAGTCGCCGACGTCTGTCTTGGATGATGTTGGTTGTTGCGTGGAAGGTGGTACGTTCGAAGAAGGTTGTGATTGCTTCAGATCCGGCGTCACACCCTTCCAGATGACGGAATGACCAGGGTAGCACACGTGGCTATCCGCTAATGTCGCCCAGTGAGTCTTGCAAGTGAACCCAAAAACAGATTGTTACATGCACAGAACATCAACAGTGACGGAGTGAAAAGCAAGCGCCCAACCGGCGCGCGAACCTCAAAGACGGCCGAAACTCTCGTGCGGGCAGGCTTCAGGAAAGACTGAGGGGGAGGGGAAGAGCAGATAGGTAGTAGTTCTTAGCCCCTCAGGTAGCACGATCAAGCTGCGATCTTGCCCACCTCAACTACGCCGGGGATGCACGTCAACCGTTGCCGATGTGCGGTAGCCCGCGCAAGGCAGACGGCATCCAGCCGGCTTTCTGGCTCTGCATACACTATACCGGCCGGTGCGATCAACTTGCGCCAGCTATGTGGAGAAAGCAGGATATTGATTTGTATGCTTGCTCGTGAATGGTCGAAGGAGCTATGGCAAGCTCTCAGCTGGCAGCGAATGGGGTGGCGCGATCCTGCTCCCTTTTGGGAGCCTCTAAAGCATGATGAGATGCGGGCTTTGAGCGTTAGCGGTTCCCGTGCCAGCTTCACCATGCGGTCTACAACTCGCTAGTCCCGTATTGATGCAGTGTATGGGGCTGGAGGTCCTTAGCTAGGAAGTATAGACGAGCTCCCAACGCTGGCTATGCCTCAGTAGCAATGGCGTCCGCTGCGCGGAGTACGTTTAACGGCCTCAGTGACCGTCGCCGATTTGCAAGACCCGATGTCAGACATAATGCGTCATGGTCTGGTAGCAAAGCCGTCATGCGGTTGCCGCATATATTTCAAATAGATAAGCTACACATGTCCGAGTAGATAGAATTCTCTCTCATCGATCAAACGGTTAGTGTGAGCTTCGGCAACGCTCGCCTTTTTCGATGGCCTCAGGTTTGGGCAGGGATGCAAGCTGCTAGGTCGATGACAGAAATCGCCGACTCCTTCAATGGGCTGTCTTACCTACAACTGCATCTTCGTGCACTAGCGCTCATGTCTCGCTGGAGGATGTTGATCGCGTCACTAACTTGACAATGACTGCTGGAATCAACAAACTTGCGCCGTAGCCCTCAAAGAACGTGCAGCCGTGATGACAGGATACCCTGCGCTTCCTGCAATAGCAGACCGCCAACCTGGCATTGAGCGGTAACGAGTGAGCCTCGCCGGCCAGAACAATACAGGTCGCAATCCTGGTGCTGTTGAGCGCACAACATATTTGGCTTGCTCCAGGGCGCAGCCATGCAAGCCTCTTACTACTGCCGTATCGCGACTTGAGCTCAGTGGCTCGTCTACTGCTCCTCAACCAGCGTTTCTTACCGCGCACTCAGCTCTGTAAACGCACAAGTTATGTAACGTGGACCATCGCACACTTTCACCAAGCTCAACCTGTAGAGTCTTTCTGCAAACCAGCGATGCTTCGGGGCGCAAGTCGTAGCCTTGTTGCGACGATGCAACCACTGTATCTGCCCATCGCTACCCACTAAGACAAGAGCAAAGCTTAGGATGATGGATCTGCGAGTGTTCATATCATAGTGTATTAATGTCGTTCAGAACTATGGTGACGTTCATCGAGGAATAAACCCATACGGGTCGCACCTTCCTTCTTCCCTGGTCTTGCGACTCGTCGCAAACTGTGCCTGCCACTCACACCTGCGGCACGTTTGTTGCCCAACTCGCAGCGCATCGGCGATCCAGTACAGACGAGCTACCTGATGTGATGGCCACAGGGTAGTTCCGCGCTCTGCTCAGCAATCGAGCGCACCACCATTGGCGAAGTGTTCAGAGCTCATGGATATCCAGCATTGGCTGGAGCACACTGCCGACAGAGAGCCCCCACCGGCCTCGGACGAGGCAGGGTTGCCTGACTTTATCCAACCACGTAGCGAGCCAGGCGTACCAGCCCGTAAGTACCGTCGGAAAAGAAGGAGGGAATCCAGCGACAGCTCACTATTGGATTTGCAACGCGCATACCGTCCCCTCGCCACCAATCATGCACCACCGTCTCATGCTGCGCATGACCCCGACAACGCATCTGGAAGCTCCCGCAGTAGGTATAGGTCTGGAAGCTCGAGACATGATCCAGTCCGAACAAAACCCAAAACTTACGAGAGGCGAGCGCGACATAAAAGCAAGCCTGACCGCTATGAGCCGAACTCGAAGCACAAGCGCAAAGAACGAAACGCCGGCAACGTGAAGCCGAAGCGTCGCAAGTCGCGGCGCAGCGGTGATGGCGGGCGGACTGCAGGACTCGTGTCAGCATTTCAGCTCAAAACTGGACCGAAGAGGAGTCGCCTCACTGTGAGTGATTGCTGCCCATCCCTTCGTGCACTATAGTATCCCATTCTGACCGCCTCTAGCTCAGTGCTGAGGCCCACGGTGGCCTGTTTAGACACGGGCGTGCCTCTGCGCAGATCGCAGGACGCGGCTCAGGGTGTACGTCTCCGCCTAGTCGGTGTTACACAGCATACTAACACGGCTGCAGTGCCGGACCTAGTGTTCAATGAGTTGCGCTTCCTGCAGCGACCGAAAGATCACCAAGACGAGTCGATCGACATGCACGAACCGCATCCGTCCAGAAAAGGCCGTGAACGGCGGCGGGACGGGACTATCTCAGCGTACTTCGCAGCCAAGCGACTCGACCTTGCCACAGCAGCACAGAACAAGCTGGAGGAACACGCATGCGCCGAGCTGCGTGACCGAACAACGAGAGGATCAACTGTAATCAGGGCGCCTGTTGAGCTGCCAGATAAGCCGTTCCTGGGTTTCGGCAGTAAAGGCCGCCCCACTGACAGTACCCATACCGCACCACAAAGCAACAGCTGCTATACCTGGTCGGCTTCCGTTGTGCCTCTCACAGAGCAGGCCGAGCCTGGACTAGAAGCGCAACAGACAATAGCGACGGTAGCACGATCCAAACATGGTGACGAATATACGAGTGTTAAAGCTGTGCCACCACGCTTGATGGTACAGCGCAAACTTGTCAGCCCAGTGCCGCGGAAGGAGCAACGTCGCCGATCAATGGACCGCTCTCCAGGTTCACCGGAAGGCCATTGCAGACAGACAAGGCGCGTGCGACGGCCCGCGGTGGTCGAGGTCCACAAGCCACCGGGTGCGCCTAGTGAGCAGTTCGTTGATCGTGCTGTACCTGGGGACAAAACAGTTTCTCAGTCGCTAACTCATTATCCGTCTTCCGGGCCAGGTCGGGTGAAGCCTAATCATGCTAAAGGCAAGCATTGGGGACCAGAACCTGCGGGCTACCACACCTCAGACATTCTCAGCGTTCAGCCTTGGGTGACAGGCGGTCCTGATGCTGCACAGCAAGATCAGCCGCCTCATTCAATGGCTGTGCCGTTGTTGGAGAAAGAGAACATTGACCCGCGCTCATTTACACCGACGAGCAAGCTTCTCAAGCGAGCGTGGGATGCCGTGCAACCCTCGTTGCGCGACGACCCTCATGAAGACGCAGAGACAACCCGGCGCCCTGGTGTTGTGATGCGACCAAATCAGAAGCACGGCGCAGCGGCTGAACGACTGACGCCGATTCCTGCTCGATCTGCGATACGGAACGAGCTGCAGACAAACCGTGAGCGAATATCAGCACTACCCGAAAGGCGCTTAGGAATTGTAAATGCTCTAAGGCCGCGATCACGGCGACAAGTGATACTGCCTTCTACGACCTACAAAGACCGGCCCAGCATCTACCACCATGCCTACGTACATCGTCATGGCGCATCCGCAACGTACGATGAGGAGATGCTTGACAATCTCAATGACGAACCAACCTTGAGCGGCCTTGCGAATGTGTTTGGAAGACGGCCCCGTACTGAGCACCTCGTGCGCGACACGACATCACATCTGCCTGCTGGCTTCTTCCAAGCGCAGGCGGAACATACGATCTCAGCAGATTTGGAGCCTTTAGCCTCCGGAGAACCATTAGCGGCAAGAAGGACGCCGTCAGTCCACGGCCTGTCGATTCTGAACGAGTTCAGGAGTGATCGATCTGCTTTTCTTCTGACCGACGATGCAGATGAATCCAATCAAGATTTTGCAGGGTTTTGGAGGCCGCACAGGTTGTACTGATAAGGCATTGCTGGCAGATTGAAGCGTTCGCTTTCAAACACGATGCTTAACATGACTTCGTACTCATTAAAGCTCCATACTCCACTGCCACCGCCTAAACCCCGCATTCGTCCTCACCGTCACAATGCCCTTCTGTACTTCCCCGCCATGCGAGAACGTAACTTGCTGGCACTGCCTCCGTGCACTTGCCAGGCTCCAGAAGTCGGTGAGGTCCACGAACAGACTGCGCTCGAGTATCACTCGCTTCGCAGTCGTGTCGCGCACCTCGCACCAGGAGTCTGATGCGTTATAGTAGACATCTATGGTGATGAGTGGCGTTGCATAGAAGACGGGTGAATGTTCGTTGCGGAGCTGATGGTTGACCGATAGCAGAGCGGGGAGTTGAGCAGTCTCGGCGAAATGGTCGATGTCGTGGATGAGCACGAACTCGAGGATCGCAATGCGGAGCTCTGGTGGTAAATGCAGAAGCGGGACTGTAGCGGATGAGTCGTCGTCGTCCTTCATTAGGAGTGGATGAGGCTATTCCAGGCACAACCCTTTCGAACCGGTGTTGTTGGAAGATCCACGGAGTAACATCACCCGCTTCGATAACTTAAGACGGACAGCCAACACCTCAGGTCTTCCGGGGCAGAAACGAGCATAAGGAATGGGAGTAGGGTCGTATGTCTGAGTGACGGAGCGTGCCTCCCTCGAAAGTGGGGCTCTTGAAAACACGTCCACAGAGCCCACTACTCATACACTATACTATGCTACAAATACCCCAAACCCCTACCCAATATAATCTCAAGATCACTCCGCAACCCCCAAGCATCCGCCCCGGCTCTTCCCAGCACCTCCGCCCTCCTCGCCGCCCCCAGCTCACCAATCCGCTGCACCAACATGCCATCCACTACCCCTCGGCCGCCCAAACTCTCGGACTCTACCGCCCGGTAGGCTCGCGGGTTGAGGCCGGCCGCGTGCTCGAGGACGGAGGTGAGTTGTGTTTGTAACGCGCCGAGGCGGCGATACGTCGCTTCGTCCACGGGGGTGATGAGGCCTACTGCGCCGGATTGGAAGGTGGTGAGGACGTGGAAGAGCGAGGGCGCGGGCGCGGGCGCGTTCGCGGCAGAGCTTTCCGTGCCGTTGGTGTGACCGTTGCTGTCGCCGTTCGTGAGCGGTGCCTGCTGAGCGAACGGTGCCAAATCCGAAGGTAGCAACAGCATATCCACGGGCCAGTGTCCGAGATGGAAAGTACTCTTGTGCAAAAGTCGCTGCCCGGACACCGTCTTCGGGTTCTCCGGATCATACTGCAGCACGTGCAAATCCATCTTCCCGTCCACAACAAGAAGGTACAACTGTCCGTCGAACGGCAGAAACTCCGCGCTCACCACCTCCATCTTCGTCCGACTCTTGCCAAGCAACGTCAACCGATACGGCTCCTCGGTCCACCCACCGAACCACAGCCCTTTCCACGCATCGCCCGCCAACGACAGTCCTGACCGTCCCATGGTCTTGAGACTGACCATATATGTCTGCGCGTCCAGAAAGGCAACAGGCAAGCACGTCCCGTCCTCTTTCAGACCACGCACCATGATCTTCTGCCCTTGCGCCGTGCCCACAAGGCCGCCTGAAAAGGACTCCAACGCGGTAATGGCACCTTTCGTCTCCTCTCGCGCAGCAATGTGCAGCCTGATGCCGCTTTCGGGATCGTCCGGCTCAGGTACGACGTCGATGATGTCGAAGACGGTGAGGAGGCCCTTGGCGGGGGCGTCTTCGCCGCGTTGCGCAGCGGCGCCGACGACGAGCATGAGTTTCTGCTCGTGGGTGTGTTCTGAGACCTCCAGTGGCATTATCTTAAGGGAGGTTACGATTTCTGCATACGGCATCTCTAACGATTGGATCACTTTATGAGACGTAGCGGAGAGGAGGTGGAGAGTGTACTGTGGCACTTGCGGTTTGAGGTTCGGTTCTGCTGGTCACGTCAGCATGGTCTCGATAAAGATGTAAACGATGCTCGAGTGTCAAGAGCAGAGATGTCCCCTCTCAAATAAAGCTCGCTCCCACACAGAAACTGTAAGCAGGAAAGCTGAATAAGAAGGATGTAAACGCTCACTCTCGCATCAACTATAGACGTCGCTCCACGGAGAAGGAAAGAAGTTGACGTATATGCTCGTGATGCCATCTCACGGGTGCCCAGCTGTGCCGAAAATGTGACAAACTTACCGTCATCGCGTTGCCGCTCGTCGAGATCATGGAGCGTGAAATCCACATCTCTGCAGGTCGCAACAACATAGATACCTCTCTGCTCATGGTAGGCCACCTGTCGTACTTCCTGCGGCGGTTCACCAAGTGTTAGCGTGCGCACGCTCCAGCCCGTTGCGAAGGAGACATGGCCAGGGAGCTGGTACTCCTTGAGCTTGCCATCTCCATCTACGAGCGCGAAGCCCTGCTGGCAACCCGCTCGGTGGAGCGGCGAGAAAGATCTCACTCCTCTTGCCCTTAGGCCAAGGACTTTCGGCAGACTGGTCGCTTCTTTCACGAGGAAGCTGGGTGTACCGCCCGGGAGATACAGCGCGTTCCTGCCACCGATCACAGCCGGTTGTAATTGCGCTGGTCGGCCATCGGCAGTGTCCAGACCCTCGTCGTACTTCGGCAGGTATGTAAATGGTACCTTCCGAAAGCGCAGATCCGTGAAGCCAGTGGCTCGCGCGTCCAACGTCGTAGCGCTGTAGTGGAAAGGTTCGTAGAGGATCAGATCATCCATCGCAGTGCGGACGATCAGATATGGTCGCGTCACACCCTCCGCTCCGAGGTCGACGACCAATACTTCCGTCAGTGTGACCTTACCGCCTCGCCGCTGCGGAGCGTCTGCTGACAGCACCGGCGGCAAGAACGGTAGCGTTGGCGCCGAATATACAAGCTTTGTCTCTGGTAAGCTGAAGACCTGCAGTCCGCCCTCCTGTCCGAGTAAGAACGCTGCCGACTGTCCGTCGCTGAGCTCGCCAGCGTAAAGGCTTCCAGTGAGCCACTTCCCTTCCCGCAGATCACTTTCAGCTGCGTCCAAGGGCTCGACATCACCCTGCTTGTCTACCTGCAGTATCTGCACGCTGCTGTCATCCTGGATTACAAGCAAGTACGGATCACAGAAGGAAGTGGCGACGATCTTGAGCTCGGCATCCGTCTCATCATCGCTCATAGGAATGATCTGGCTGAGTCCGAGCTGGTGATCATACGTTCGGATCTCCGTGCGACGACATTGCACGATGCAGCTGCCATTGGCAAGCGTGCCGACACAGACTGTTTCGCCATCGCCTTCGAAGTCCGTCTCATCGAGCTCAATAATCGAGCCCTCGGCCGAGTCGGCGTACTTGTACGTTTTCGTGCTTTCACCGTCGAACACAAAAAGTAGGTTGTCGTAAGTATCCGCAGAAGACACTTTGTCGCCCTCGCGTGACCTGGCACAGACGCTCCAAATGTCCTTCGCACCAGCTACATCACGCGAGCGAATTTCATTCGGGATGATCTCTCTGTTCATGAAGGCCAGGCTGCTGGCTTTGCCTCTGCCTATGCCGGCTACCAGCTCAAGCTTCTCCTTGCCCGTACGAGGAGACCTGCCAAGACAGACGTTGTTCATCGGAGCTAAAGAGTTCAGTGAATCCTCGAGCTCGAATGTATACGTCGTCGAAGCATCTACAGCCGCGGCGTTAGCGACAGATGCCGCACGTTTCACCGCCACAGCCGAAGGCGCGTAGAGATCGTCTTCGTCTAGCTCTTCAGCGTCATCAGCATCGTCCATTGGTGCGTCTTGACCGAGCATTTGCGCATGCGACCGCTTCCTGCTCAGTGTCGGCGTGTCCTTGGCCCATCTCACAAGCGACGAGCTTCCGTCTTCACTGCCCACGAACAGTTTCTGCTGCTGCATACTGGCCACGCAAGAAGGCGCACTAGCATTCACGTTGCCACCGTTCGTATCTGCAACCCGGGAGACGGTGAGGCCGCCCACAGTGCGACCGAGCATCTTAAAGCTGAGCGTGGCGAATGACCCATCATTAAGCACAATAAGCGCATTCCCAGTGCTTGAGTCGAGCATCTCAATCTCACAGCCTTCCAGCTTCATGTTGAGGTCGGAATGGTCAGCCATGCTGAAATTGCTCGCAACTTTTGCGAATTCGTTGACGGCCACTGCAGTCGTCTTACCACTTTGATCGATGTGGATAAGCTCATTTGTGCCGACGAGTAATGCACCGCCAACAGGAGGCGGCAAAGCTATGACTTTCCACAGATCAGAAGGCAGCTTCGAGACGGACATTAGATTGGTTGAGGCGCGCTGTTCGAGGTCGAGAGTGAAGACCGTGTAGCTCAGACAATCCTTCCGCTCGTCAAGGAGAGCGAGAGACGGTTGTTGGGGGGCGGAGAGGATGCCAAATGTCGGTTCGCGGTACTCGTGCAAGAAAGCCAAGTGGACCGGATGCGTCAACGACGGATCGAGTGTGATCAGCGGCAAGACGAAAGAAGACTTGTAAGGCGTGATATCGTCCTTGGAGTCCAGCGCCTGTGTTGTAGAGGTCCGCTTCAAGGTCACATTCCCCGGTTGCTCCTCTGACTCTGCCTCCGCCATATCCGCATCTTCTGCGGCTTCGTCGGCCAGTTCATCACCCTGCTGTCTGAAGGGCAGAATAGCAAGCTGTCGCTCCCCAAACTTCAATGCGGCGCATCTGGAGCCTGGATCGACTGTCAGGATGCTCTCGCACTCCGACAAAGCCGCGCCAAACGGCGGGAGAAGCACATTGTCTCCCTCATAGTAGTGGATGCTAATGGTACTAATCCGGTAGTGCTCCGGATCCCATTCTATCAGACTCAGCTTGGCATCTTTGAAGGCGCAAACGAGGGCGGCGCCGCCGGTACGGGAAGATGGAAGGGTGATTGGCGAGAGTGCTGTTACCGTACCGGAGAGGGTGTACTCTCCAATGAGGGAGAGTCTGGACTGAGCGTCTGCATGGTCGTGGTGTCCGTTGTCCTTCGCTTGGCTTATCCGCTTGACCTCGAAGACCTGCAGTAGCGAAGTCTTTGCGACAACCAGATTGTCCGCTTGAGGTCCGATGAAGGATAAAGCGACAGCATGCGTTACCGCAGTCGGTGCGATCACTTCGGTATAGCACTGCATCTCCACTGTTCAGGTCCTCCTCACCGAACCACCTCCCCTATGCCCTTCATCGTTACCGCCAAGCTCCCGTCGTCCCAGGCATGAGCTGTCGAGTAGCACCGGCTCGAAACGGCAAGCGCGTTTTCCACGCGAAGATCCGCGCCGACTTCATGCGGGGTGACGTTTGGTGTGATTGGCGATTGGCGGCAGGAGCTGGCAGGCACAAGCCACAGCTAGAGCTCCAGTCGAGCCTGCCGCCTGCTTCTCCAACTTTACACCCTCAGACTATTGGGGAAGACCACTGGATATACAACATCAGACATGGCACTCATCGAGACCGGCCTGATATGGGTGGCGTACGCGGTATGCTTGGGCATCTTGGCCCTCATTGCAGGCGTCTTCGTCTTCATCTACCAGAAGCCAGCGGAACGCACCATCTCCGTCACCATCGTCTCCTTCATCACCGTCTTCGCCCTGCTCGCCACCGTCCTGCTCATGCCCGTCGACATTGCCTTGACCTCGAGCACGACCAGCCGCAAGATGGGCGCTAAGAAGGACTGGGCCACGCCGGACGCCGTGGATAACATCATCTACCAGTTGAAGATTGTTTACTACACATTGTACTCCTTAGACGCGGTGCTGTGTCTGCTAGTCATTCCTTTCACGTACTTCTGGGTGGAGGAGTACGACGAGGTGGCGACCGAGGAAGGCACGCAGACGATCGGGGCGAGGATCTGGGGTGCTTTCAAGTACACCATTGCCTTTCTTTTCCTGGTTATTGCTCTCTTCCTCGTTGGCTTCTTCGTACCGGTTGCCAAGAAGGCAAGGGATGAGCATAGAGATCTGGACTACTTCAAGGATCTTCTCACCGAGAACCGTACGTCTTGTGTAGCACACAGCACTCATCGAACCATGCTAACAAACTCCAGACGGCGAACGCGCTCTGACCTTCTCCATTGGCATCCTGATCACGATCGGCACAGTCCTCTACTGCCTTTACACAGCCCCTGGTCTCGCACTCCTCCCATTGACCCTCATCAAGTCAGCCCCTAGGATCTCGGCCCCGCAGCTCGCAGCCAGCACTTCCAGCCAACTCGCGCAAAATCGCGAACGTCAACGCCAACTCGAAGGCCGCAATGCCGGCCGACAAGGCGGTCTTGAGGCTCGTGATCGCCGCGAACTGGAAGCACTCGTCCGCGAAGAGCGCACGCTCGTACGCCGCGAACGTCTTGCCGCAGAAAGACAAGGCGAAGGCCACAACATCCTCGTCCGCATCTGGATGAAACTCGGCGCCATCTTCCGTCCCGTCGAGCTCCTCGCCGGCCTCCTCCTCGCCCTCATCGCCCTCTTCGTCTTCGCCAGCATGCTAATAACCTGCATCGACAAAATCAAAAACTCCGTCTGCAAAGCCTCCTGCGGCTACCTCCTCGGCGCCACGCAAATCTTCCAACCCATCAACTGGCTCATGACGCTCACCAGCAAGATCTTCCCGATCGACTACGTCCTCTTCCTCCTCCTCACCCTCCTCTTCTTCGCCAGCACCGTCGTCGGGCTGGCGACAATCGGCATCCGCTTCCTCTGGCTCATCCTCTTCCGCCTGCGCCTCTACAAATCCACCCCGCAAGCCATGCTCATGGCCAGCGCCCTCCTAACCCTCATGGTGCTCGCGCTGAACTACAGTCTCGCCATGATCGTGGCACCGCAATACGCGACCTTCGGCCCGCAAACTTTCTGTGACCGACCCTCGCATCATCCTGACGAGCAACCAGATTGCTCCCACCACCGCAACGCGGTCAAGCCCTGCAGCGAACGCGCGGACAATCCGGTCAGCCACCTCGTCTGCACCCCAAGTGTCGTTTCGACCTTCCTCAACCGAATCACGGTCAATTTCCCCTTCCTGGGTGTGGTAGACTTCTGGGCCCAATTCGCCTTCCTCGGGATTTTCATCATCGTCTTCATCGTCATGCTATTCAGGGTGCCGAAGCTGGATGAACGGGAGATGGATGACGATTTGAGGGAGGAAGAGGAAGAGGGTCTGCTAGGTGCGACGGGCAGACGGTTCGGAGCGACGTGGCAGGATATTACGGGACGTGTGAAGGGGGTTAAGCGGGCGGATTATGGGGCTGTGAATGGAAGTGGAGATGCTGCGGCGGACCGAGGGACGATGGATCATGGAGAGGAGGCGCCTGTAAGGGCGTGAGGCTTTCTTACTGAAGCGGTGAAGAATGTATATACATCGTTATGTGCTGAGATTGCGATACCCGAACTTTGCGAGTGAGATACGAGGAATAGATGGGCTGATACATAATGAAGGGCTAAAAGGCGCTTGAGGTTTGAGTAAGCTGTCTTTAGCTACGCTTTGCGCAGCATCGATGTAGCCATGCTTGTCCATCACCTAGCGGAAACAGTACACATGTGCCTTCGCGTAATAACGCCACGCTCCCCGGACTCAAGTGCCGGGTCATACGCCTTGCGCATCTCACACCCACTGCGCTTCTCTGAACCATGTACACTCCCTGCCAAATGCCCACGCTTACGCCACAAGCGTACTAGCCGTAGCACTCTCATACCTCCACGTCGGCGGCAGCGCGCCCACGGTCTTGTAGTACCGACTCAGACGGTGGATGCGCGACTCGATCAGGATGAGGCGGAATTTGCTGTCTTTGTCCTTGCGGTTGCGCTCGAGGTGTTTGCGGACCGCGACGGCCTAGCAAATACGTATGTCAGTATTCGGTTGTAAGGTGGGTTTATTGGGGGAATGGTGCGAGGGGGGGTTGCGGTACCTTTTTGATAAGCATGTAGAGGTCTTCGGGGATCTCTGGTGCGAGGCCTGTGGGTTGGGAAGTCACTCTGTCAGTCTTTGATCCATTGAGAGGAGACCGAAGCAGAGGCAAGTGTCATGCGCGCAGCGCACGATGTGTATCCATCCTTTACATAGCCGCTTCTGCTCATGCCTCGTCTCTTCGTCTTATTCACACAGGGTATACCATACCATTGCTCTTCAAGATCCTCAAAATCTTATTGCCCGTCACGACCTTGACTTGCGCCACGCCATGGCTATCCCTCAACACGACACCGATTTGCGAGGGTGTTGCGCCCTTTCGTGCGAGTTTGCAGATCTGGTCGACGACCTGATCGGGGGTGGTTTTGAGCCAGGCGGGCGGGGTGCGCGAGTAGGGGATGGCGGAGGAGGCGATACCCTTGCCTTTGCTGTGAAGACGACCCATGGTGGCGGTGGTATGGAGGTTGCGAGTGGTTCGGGTGTGGAGGAGGAGGACGTGTGCTGGTTCGTGATAGATCGGTAGGGTGGGCTTGGCAGAGACTTCGAATTGGCCGAAAAGTGCGTGGCTTGGCGCTGTAGTGCAGTGCGGAAATTGGGCCGCCTGTCACGTGAACGTTGCGGTAGGCTGGAGGTGGTGCTGTCGCGACATAGACTATCATGCAACACTACGGTACATGCTCGAACAATAATGGTTTAGAGTTGTCAGAATAATCTCGCAAAATCGAGATCGACCTCAGTTTCCTTCGACGAAGCGCGCCGCCTTTTGCCTTCGCTACATAGCTCTGGCCTGTCCCACCGCCTCGACAGGACCCGCATGTCCTACCTCTGTGCCGAAGCATTCGCCCAACAGGATACCCAACATATCCCATACATCCAACCGTCCGCATCATACTCCTTCAGCCTCATCACCGTCTCGTCTCGAGCCGCCCCCCCCGTGTCCCGCTATGCCCTTCGATACCTGTAATGATACCATCCGCTGTCCACCACCGCAAGCCGACTCGGAAGCTGGCTGCTCTCTCGTTCTTGACGAGCTCCATGGATGGATCTCTGCCATTGTAGCGGTACGGGGCTCATCGGGGGCTTGTTCCATGACAGACTGCTGCGGTCGTATAACTGCATATTGTGTTGTCCATGATGTTAATCGTTATCATCTCTGCCGTATAATCTCTAGTACAGCCCGGTATCAGTGGTCGCCGAAATGGAGTTGAACAGGAAAAGGTTCTGCGCACCGGTCAAAAACTCCTCACTACGAGCACTGTCAGCAAGACAACCATAGTCAGTGCACACTCTTTCACAACTTACAAGCTTAAAGTGATATACCCATCCCGATCCGAATCGTACTTCTTAAACACGTCCGTCATGCGCTTCAGACTGATGCAAGCTTGCACGAAAAGGTCAAACGATAGCACTCCCTGCCTCTCCCGTTCATCGCCTCTTCCTCTGCTATGCGACTTGGCGTACGTGCTGAACAACAGCCCGACAAACTGCGGACTCAATCTGTACCCGAATGCTACTAACGCATCCTCGAACTCTCGTAGACTGATATTACCGCTCCGGTCCACATCGAAGCGATCGAACAGCGCCCTCCAGGCAGCGAGGAAGCCCCAGAGTCCGCAAAACTCGTCGAAGTTGATGGTCCCCGATCGATCGGTGTCGAACATGCGGATCATCATTTTAATTGTATGAGGGTCAAAGGCGGTGTAATCGCCGTTCACCAGCGCCCGGCGCAGTTCTTCTTCGGATAGCTGGCCGGAGCGATCTTTGTCTACCTGTAGGAAAATCGGCCAAAGTGCATCTCGGTCGTTGCCGTCTCGTGGAGGAGGTGGGGCGGTTGTAGGTGGACGTTGGTGGTCAGGTATTGGTGGGCGGTTGTGATGGCCTTGGGGCGGTGGGCCGTAGCCGTAGTTGGCGGGTGGAGGCGGCGAGGTTAGTCCGTAGGTGTTCCGGGGTGGTGGCGCGGCTTGGTTATTGCCGTAGCGTGGACCCTGACTGTTCTCATATCGAGGCGACTGAGGCTGATTGTAGGCATCGTTGTAGCGTGGTCCGTGTTGTTGCTGGCGGCCGTAGTCGTTGTAGCCCTGACCCTGTGGTGGTGGCGGTGGCGGGCCGTGGGAGTATGCACCCGGTACTGGTCCTCCTTGCGACCCATATCCTTGTCCTTGCGATGGTGGTGGTGGCCGCCCGCCGCCATATCGATCATCTTGCGGTCTCAGGTTCTGCATCTGCTGTGGCGGCGGAGGGGTGGGTTTGTTGTAGTTCGACGTGACTGATCCACTATGCTGTCGTGGTGGCATGGGCCCAGCACCCGTACTCGGAGTCGAAGGCTGACTGTTCAACAACTGCGCCGCTTGCTCCGGCTCTGCATGTCTGTAGCCGTAGCGGGTCAGCCGGTTGGGTCCGTAGGAATAAGCCGTCATTCACAACGTCGCTCAGCACGCAAAGACGAGGAAGTGAGAGGTAGCCGACTCACGCAGGCAGCGCATCCGGGTTGTATCCGCCACGATTGTACGCCATGACAGCGCCGGGATCAGTCGATCCTGCGCTTACGCTTAATGCCGGCTTTCTAGAATATACGAGGATGCGCAATCCGCGCGCGTGCGGAGAGTTTTGCCGATTACGAAAGGCCTCTCGATCGTCCCAAAGTCTATGCGATCACAAGATGGTCGTGCCTCGAGGGGTACTGTCTACGTAATGGGCAAGTACCGTGGTGAGGGGGTTTTGGTTCGAACGGTCTAATACTGAAGTCTCGTGGCGGAGTCGGAGTGAGTGTAGGGTATAACAATCCTTTGTGCAGGATGGGCGTGACTGTAGGGTCGAAGTGTATCACCGCTGCTTTCCTGAGTGTACCTAGTGAGTGAGGGGCTAACGAGTGGTTGCAGACCGGTGAGGTATGTCTTGGCTGGGCGGGCGCAGCAGCGAGGGCAGCAAACAAGCATGTCATGGGAGCCCATGACTCGAGCCTTAACCGCTTCTGTAGATCTACATAGTATCTGCCCTTCGCCCGCCGCATCACACGCCGTTCGGGCAGCTTGAACAGAAGAGGGTAAGATATGATGAGCGTCACCCTTTTGCGAGCACACTCGGATGCCCATCAAGACCCCACAACGCCACGCTACGCCACTCCAATCATGATGCCGCCAACGTGAACCTTGCCAAACATATGCGCCACCTGTAACAAGCATTGCTTGACGACAGTACGACAAGCAGAGAAGACCCCTTCTCACGGCAAACCCTGCGACTTCTTCCTCCCCAGACTAAACCGATTCTTCATCTTCTTCTCTTCCGTCGTCGCATCGTCCGCCCTCTCCCGCACCGTCCCACTAACCGTCGCCTGCCTCTGCAATGACGCAGAAGGAGTCTTCTCCCCTCCATTCGTCTCCTTGTCCTTACCAAACAACTTCGGCTTGCCTCTCAGACTCACACTCCCATGCCTAAACCTCGCCAGCCCGCCCGCAGCAGCAGCTCCACTCTTCTCGCCCGCGCTTGCAGGCGCAGGCTCCTCCCCTCGCTTCTTCATCTCCTCCACCGCCGTCTGCTTGCTTTCTTCCAGTACGCGCTTATAGTCCTCATCTTGCTTCTTCCACGCCGCGATGCGCTTCTCGCTCGCTTCCTTCCTTCGCGCCTGTTCCGCCTTTTCTTTCTCCTTCTCCTCCACTTTCCGCTGTTTCGCCTCCGCCTTAAGCTCCTTCTTGCTCTTCGAGGGCATGATGGGAGATAGGGCCGGGGTTGTGGGCATATGCTCGAAGTGCGGACGCACGGGTGGCGCGGGAGAGTGGCCCATGTCAGGGGCGGTGAGAGCATGAGCGACCGGCTCCAGGTCTTCCATCTCCTCGTGTAAGGGTGTTGCGACTGTCTGCGTCTGCCGCAGGAGCTCGGCCTTGGTGGGCGACATGCTGTCCTTGGCCGTCTCGGCATCGGAAACCCGGGTATTGACTTGGTCGAGGTGGCCGTCCGCTTCCTGCTCCTTGAGCACGGCCTCTAAAGTCGTTTCTTGGTAGAAGAGCACATACGCGCAGGCAAGCTGTCTCGCATCCTGCACACCCGGCACCGGGTCTCCACCGAAGAAGCTGAGCACATAGTCTCTGCTTACCGGCTCGACCAGCTCATCATCAAACAACAGCCACCCTCGATCCTGCGTCTTGATGATGCTCACGTAATGCCCATGGTAAGGTCCACCGCCTATATGCACGACCACGGCATACAGCTCATATAACCGGTCCGGATCCTCGGCGTCCTCGGTTGTGTTGAACAGTCGCAAATGGAACGGATACACCACCCGGTGAAACAGCTTTTGCAACCGCTGCAAATCCTCGGTATACTTGAAACGCTTCAAATGCAAGGCCAGAATGCGCGGCAATCGTTTAATCTTCATCCTCTTCTCCGCTTCTTGCAGGCCACCGCAGTTGTCGCAGTGGAATTTGTTGCGCTCACAAAGCATTTCTTCTTCCGAGAACTTTCGCAAGCATGAAGTCACGGACGTATGCGGGCTCAAGTCGACCGAAAGGTCAAGGAACGCCTCATCTCGCTGTGATGTGTTCTCGCACGTCAGACATCGCGTCTCGGATGTTAGGGTCCCTTCGAAGAGGTCGTGCACCCAATGCGCATCCTGATCTTGCTGTATCCCGCGCCGGTGTGCATTGGCGACAGCAGCAGACATAGCAGCTGCTAAGCCTTTCTCTGGAGCAGCGCCATTGGCATGCGGTTGCTGCGTGAGTGCAGGATGCTGCCTTGAAAATGATTCCACGTTGTCCACGACTTGGTTGAGTAGGAGATTCAGGAACTCATGCGCATCCTGGTGCATTGCAGATCGGAACATCTCGTTCTCTCGCCGCAGAATCTCCAGAAATTTGTGCGGACTCACAACACCTATGCGCGACGGATTGTTCAGGATGGCCTCGAAGATGTCCTTGAGTGAAGTGAACAGCGACTCGTCCATGCCATACTTCTGCGAGTTGTCGCGTGTCATCTCCAGCACTGGCCCGGCTGCGAGTGCCATCTTCTTCCTGTACTCCGGCGAATCTTTGCTCTCTTCAGGCTTTGCGCCGCCGGGGGATGTGGGCGGTGCTTGCTTCCGAGCAGGCGAGGCGAGGTTAGGGTATGGTGTTGTGGAAGAGGACTGTGGTCGCACTGGGCCGCCATTGGTATGTTGGTCATTGGCCGCGACTCGGTCGGCCAAGCTGTCAAGGAAAGGTTTGGATGGGAAGTTGAGCACGTGTTCTCGGAAAGGCGCCGAATAGTAAAGACACTGTATTATCGAATTACAATAACTGTCACATACCTGTTATCAGCTCCTCGCCGAAGAACGATCTCAAAGCGGGCAAGGCATAGTCGAGCGTACCATGTAGAGCCGTAGTTCTCAAAACCGAAGAACTTGTCACTGCCGTCTAATCGGGTCGGCCCCGTCACATCTGCCAGGTGCTTCTCTAGAGACGTTGGTTGCGGCGCATTCGGATCTTTCTTCGCCGCTGTTGCGTGTGCGGCGTTCGATGCCTGCGCGGACCCGGGCTTGAACTTCCCAAAGAATGACATATTGCTGTGCGCTCACGCCTGTGCCTCCAGATGTAGTGTATGCGCCGCAACACCACCGTCAATCCATACGATGATCATCGAATGGATTGCTATTATAGGCCGAGTCTTCTAAGGTGACTGTGCGTGTATTGCGGGGAGACTGATCGATAAAAGGGTGCAATACCGGTATATGGAGTGAAAGCTTCAGGTATGGATGTCGTCTGAGGGCGAGATGAATAGGTAATTAGAACCTACCTGAGAGTGACCAGGGTAGCATTTGACATGCTAAGCGGGGATCGCAGCGATGCTTGCGGCGCAGAAGAAGGTCAAGCACCCGATCTGCAGGAGGCGGAGGCGCCGTGTGCGGAGACTGGAGCTTACAGACGCCGCCTTGTCGGCTAAAGGATTAGAGCGGCGTTCACGCGAGCAATGCGCTGACTCGCGGACAAGTAGACCGAGGCGGACATGATGCGGTGGCTGCAGGAGGATGCCATCTCGATCCGCGAGGAAAGTCCGAAGGCTTCCTGACCACATAATAACGCCTTGTTCAATGTTCACCAGGACACGGCCAAACTTGACATCTTCAACAGACACCTGAGGAGTAGGGAAAATCTGCAGGCACAACGTGGACTGCACGTGTTCTTGTCAGCAATGGCGGGGTAGGTAGAGACACATTTCGGCCGAACCCTAAAAGACAGACTTCTGCAGGTCATCGGCTTCTGGAGAGCCCAGAGCGGCGGCGGCACGGAGTTGCAGTAGACAGGTGACGCAAGGCACGATGGTCTGGACCTGAACCCCGACGTGGACCTGAACCTAGAGCCTGCAGCCAGCAAAGGCTTGATGACTATATGTACAACGAGTTCGAAGTGCAGCGCTCGAAGACTCACCGGTGGCTGACCGCAGATTCGCAATATCTCTACCCATCCGTAATAGCAAGTAAGCTGGGTCCCAAGTCGAGCGCTCTCGCGTCTCCGTCCATGTGTTCTATTATATGGATGATTCACGATACCAACACGCAATTGATCGAGCCCCGGTTGAACATGATGGTCATAGTAGACACGAACTATTGGTCGCAAGCAAGTTTTCGAAGTGATTTTCTTTGCTACATTGTACCTTGCCGGCAGTGGTGGCCGTACCGCACCCGCAAAGGACATACTACCAAAAGTCCCCATTTCAATATCCTTATTGCCTTCAGCGTGCCCATGATACAGCTCAGTTCCTACGACTGTGTCGATCAGTGCTGCAGCGACCACTCCCGGCCACAGTGGGACCACATCGACATAGTCAAAGCATTTGTCTCGCTATGACTGGAAATCTGGAGGTTGCTTGGTCAATAGAAGCACACACGCAAATGTCGTTGCGGATACGGATCCGTCGTGTACCAAAGCTGCATCAGGTGCGCTCCAGCAATCCTTTGCACTGGAGAGGCTGCTGACGGCATGTTGCAAGCATAACGGCGTCAATTTGCGCCCGTATCGAGGCTCCAGCCTGGTGTGACCCAGCCATTGACCTTGGTCCACGTTCATCGAAGCCTCTCGTTTCTGACCTTAACCACCGAGCTTTCATTTCTCCGAAATTTTGTGCCTCAAGCTTGCGCGTTCAGAGCTTTCGTGCTTGGGGCTTTCGCCTTCGGAACTTTCATCCCTCGAGATTTCGCCTTCGGAGCTTGCGCCTTCGAACCACACTTCACGCAGTTTCATACTGGTTGGTGTGCCTTGCTCTACGCGAAGCACAACGTTCAACCGCTTGAGGTGCGGCAACGCCATGCGGACTTCACCAAACAGGTCGGTGAGCGCATCGGCATCGTCTGCGCCCGTTCGCCGTTCGTGGGGTCCAACGTGAAGAGATACAACAGCGGTCTGCACAATCATTGGCATACAGCCAGTCACCTGCAGTCGTTCCACGCGGAGAATCCCGTTGTTTTGGACAACCAGCCGTGCATGCTTGCAGGCAAGCTTCTGATACTCGCGGCTGAATTGACGATTGACGTGCAGCAGCTTCACCAACAGAGCCTGCATGATGGTGGCGCGAAGGTAGACCTGGTCAATCTGATAGTTGGGAGAGCCTCGGTCACAGTCACATTTTTCAGGAGTTCGGCTCAGACAAGGTCCCGTGCGAAAGCCCGAAGAAGTTCAAATAGCCGTTTGCGCTCGAACGCTCTGATGCTGGATGCTAAGATCCGCCTTGACCGACATGACCGCCTCCCGCGATCGGTATCCGTGCGGACAGACGATGATGCTCAAGCTTATCTTCAGTTTGCAGAGTCGGAAGGTGCGGCGGGAGTGCTTAAGAAGTGAAGTATTTGGGGTCTGTGACATATGAGGTTACAATGTGTCGGAAGCTCCCGAGACAAGCTTCTAGGCCGCATGGGCCATTCCACTCCGAGAAAGGAAAGCACGCTTAGGTAGATTGTACAACTCAATCTATGACGCCGCAAGTCCGGGTGCGAACACTTCTGAAGACCCACGACACGCCCTAACTCCATATCCAGAGTACCGTCTCCCCAATTCTACGTGTAGGCAGAAAGCTGTCTTCATGCATGGACATCCGCTACAACGTGATGAATGTAAAAGCATGAGCTGCAGATCGCCTGTAGGAAGCGTTACTCCGCCACACAACATCTGTCTCGGTTTGGTGTGACTTCTGCCGCCAGCCGCTTGCCGCCGTTCTTAGCTGCATTCTGTAGTGTCTTTGCTGCAGCTTTGATGGAATATGCGTTTGAAGATAGCTTAGCGTCTATGCTGATTATCTGGGGTGGCAGGCTCCCTTCCATTCCCCGAGCGTGGAGTGCCAGACAGCGATTTCGAGGAATGCACGCCTTCAGATTCAGAGCGCCTTGCATCATCTAAATTCTGATCGAAGAAGTTCGACCGGTTGGATGGCACATTCCCGTATCCGAATTCCTTTGAATTACCTGAGAGGAAGTCGGCAAACGGATGGGCAGTGAAGTTGGTGGGTCCAGACGGAAAGACAAGCCCGGGGGCGGAAGATGGCTGGCGACTTGTGTGTCCATTAGCGTTAAGTTGGGTGGCTGACTGTTGTGAGCTAGTCGTAGCTGGCAGTCGTGATGCTGAAAACTCCTGAACCGCTGCAGCAGGTACGAAGTTGACTCTGGACTTGTCTTCGGCACCTACGAATGGACGGTCATCTACGGTATCGGCATCTAAAGGAGACACAGACGGCGCCTGCGTAAAAGACAGCGCGGGTCTTACGGCTACGGAGACCACAATCAGCAGTTGGCATACCAATCTCGTGACTAAGGCGCACCGTCACATACCTGAATACGGGGCGGCCTTCTTAAAGACCAGCCGTACTTCCCTGAGCGTGTCGAGCAGCGTAGAGTTGTGTTCGCGTAGCTGCACAACATGTGCTGGCTCCGCTGTGACAGCATGCAGAGTTTTCTCATCGATGCCCAACACGTCGTTTGTTGTGAGCCAGCTTTGCAAACTCCGGACAAGACAATTCTCCACAGCAAGCACTAATACATTATCCACGAAAGTACTCAACACGACCTTAGCGAAGTTAGTCTTGCGAGCATGTTCCGGACAGTAGTCATGTGCTTACATCGTACAACGCCTGCACCTGGGCCCGAAGCTGCACGACTCCCGTTTGTGCACTGTCGTTGCTGTTGACACCCCACTCGTGAGTCTTGCCGAGTATAGCTCTCTCCCGCGCGAGGTACATAGGATTCTTCGTTATCGGAGTGTTTGTGCGGGAGGGTGCTAAAAGCTCTTGCACCTTGTAGTCGAGCTGGACACGAGCCGTCTCCATCTTGTCTTTGGTGAGATTATCCTGGATCGCCGATGCTGTGTGCTTACTAGTGCAGTCGTCGAGAACGAGGAGGAAAAAGTCTTCGACTGCGAGCCAGCAGTCATGAATATAGCGCTCAGTGATCGTCTCCCAAGGCGATGTCTGAACAAGCAGTAACTTGCCGACAAGCGATGGCGAGTAATGACCGTCCAGCTCAAGGCCTTTGTTGTCCTGTATGAACGCTTCGAGGGCCATGATATAAGATGCCTCATCCAAAGGTATAGTCTTGTCTCCACGTTCCAGCTTAGTGATGGCGGATGAGCCAGGGAGCTTATTGGAAGCGTGGGCTTGGCGCCCTGGGTCTTCCGCAACGTTCACTGGATAGCGCATGCCATGTTGCTGCATATCTTCGGCGAATATGTCCGTCAAGTATCGAAGCCTCTTGCGCAAAGGCTTGCACTGGCCCGAAAGCGCTCCCATGTCTGAGAAGAATACATCGTCGTACTCCGCTTTCAGGCCTTCGTTGACAAGCTTGGAGACGCGCTGTTGTATCGCGCCTAGGAATGTAAGCTGTTGGCGATAGTCTGGTCGCGGACTGCCGAGCTTCTGCGCAATCTGATCGCTCTTCTTTATGTGGCCTTCTACGTCTTCAATAAGCTTGGGCAAGCTTCTTGCAACACTCTGATGAAGTGTGCGGGCAAGCTTCGTTCGAAGAGTCGTCACACCGCACAAGTCCGGAGGGAGAGACATCCACGGTGCCGAGCTGAAAAAGTCCTGCTCTAGCGCATCGCGCTTTTCAGGCGAAACGTCACGCTTAGCATGCTCGCGGTTTTTGACAACATGCCAGCCAAGAGCAAGTGGAATGTCTTCATTGCGGATTAGACGTAAGATGCGTCCTTCTTTGCCGAGCTCAAGGCGATCTGGCTTTGTCAAGATACCAAGGGTACGCTCACCTTTGGGGTCGACACGGCGGGCGAGTTGGAAAATTGGTTGGGTTTCAGCGTCTACCGGCGCCTCCATTACTGCAAGAATGATCGACTTCGGGCTCTGCATATAGCGCTCACTGATAGATTGTACGAGCGCAATATCGCCGTCGCCTTGCTCGCTAGACGTAGCCTGGATGAGTCCAGGAAGGTCCACAAGCGTGACATTGATTTGCTTCGGTCCGGAGATTTCAACCCGCAGCTTGTGCTTGGAATAACCACTTGGTTCATCCACTGCACGGGAAGCGAGCAGGTGTTCGGATGCTTTGGCAACAACATCTGCGAAATCCTCAAGCTTTGGCAGTTCGGCGTCGAAAGCACTGACGTAGTCTTTGTCCTTATCATTAGCAGCTACAAGGCTCACTCTCATGCTCTCCGCTGGTGCTCGACGAAGCACAATTTCTAGGGCAAATCGAGTCACACATTTGTCGCCAGCAGGGAAGCGTACACGCGAAATAGCCTCCAAGACAGAGCTCTTGCCAGCAGACTGGTTGCCACAGACAATGAGCTGCGGTAGGTCGAGCTCGCGTTGCAAACCATGGTCTCGCAACCGATCAATGGCATTGAGTAGGTCGGCCTGGTCCGAGGACAACAACTGGTTCAGTGCGTTTGCGTCGTTTGGCATTGTCATGACCTGTAGTTGGGAATGGACAGAAGTGCTGCCACGTGTTCTGCTGGAAGCACTGGGACCTTGCGTGGGAGGAGGGAAGCTGTACTGCTGGTACTGCAAGGATTTTCGGCTGTGCGTGGTAGCAACCAAGGACAGCAGAGTATGCAATGGCGAACAAAGGATTGAACCGACGGTCTCGGACTCTTATAGCTACCAGAGTCCAACCTTGCTGGGACTCAGGAGGCGGATGATGCAGACCGTTGACCAAGTAGCGACCTCAACCAGTCAACCAGCAAGGTAGCAATTAGCGCTCTACTCAGGACGACACCAAAACCTACATATACAGCGATCTTGAAACGACGGAACTGCGGCAAGCTGGCACCTCTGTGCCATTGCCTCCTGCAAGCAGGTCTGAAAAGCTTCAAAATAGATTCACGTTGCCTTAGCGGCACCTTGTGGCTGCACCTGCGGGAAAGAAGTGATCATTGAGGCGTATGCGTAAGAGACCGCTGCCTTTGGGAGCATTGTGTACTGACGCGCTACAAATCCTTCAGCGTCGTCTGGCGCGAAAAGAGGCAAACATGGCTTACCCAGTGTTTCAGCATCAGCTGTGCCGCACAGCTGCGCTGCCATAGCACCGCCGGCTCCATGCAAGGCGAACTTCAGGACAACGTCTTGCGGAGCAGTTGTTGATGGCGATAATGTACAGTAAGCTGCATCGCCCGATGGACGCTTCGAAATGACGGATGGCTCCTGTTGGGAGCAGTCGGTAGTTTGGAAACGTGTTACTAGATTGCTTGGCGCTTAAATGTCCGCTGTACTGCAAGCAGCTTGAAGTGACAACGCCCGATTACCAGGTCCATCGAGGCTTGAAGATCTGGTAGTGTGGCCGGCACCGCCTGGGTCAACAAGGACCGTCAGTGTTGTAATGCTCGTGGCGATTTCTAGGCTGACGCAGGATCAATCGTGAGATGCGCCAGATACTCTTGTAGTCCATTTGAGGAAGCCTGAGGCCACTCAATGCTCCTCTCCTTCGTCACCAAATCAAGTCAATGTCTTGTACCTTCAGACATCGCACCACGATCTACGTCTTAACATGACGACGCCAGAGTCAGAGGGGCTGTGGCTTTTTGGTTATGGGTCAGTTTTGATAGGCAATAAGATCGCTAGTACCAGGCTAACGTCCAAGTGACAAAGCTCGCTGATCTGGAAGCCTCCTCCGCATTACGGTAACTCACATATTTTGCAACTTTGTGTTGTCCATGGCCATTGTTGAGTAGCTCCTCAGATCTCCGTGTTCCCGGCTACATTGAAGGCTACGTTCGCCGCTTTTGGCAGGTACGGCATGCACGGGCCACCATCGCGAGAGACATAAGCTGAAGTGGCGATTTGCAATAGGCTAGGTAAGCAGTGTCTCCTCAAATCCCGTTTTTGCCAAGAGCCTAACGTTCTCTACAGCGAAGACCACCGCGGTACACCCGCAGCGCCCGGCCGCGTTGTAACCCTGATCGACCGGAAACACTGGGAAACTCTAACCGACCACCACGCCCTCGCCCCGCCCAGAGTTTGGGGAGCAGCATACCGGATACCGCCCCAGCATGTCGCCGAGGTGAAGAACTATCTCGACATTCGCGAAATAAACGGGTATAGTATCCAATATACGCCCTTCACCAAGGCCAGCTCCGCGCAGTCCAACGGTGTCAGCCGGAAGCAGATCGACTGTCTAGTCTACATTGGACTTCCAGACAACCCGCAATTCCTCGGTTCGCAGGATCCGCAGGCGCTGGCTGAACATATCATTCGCTCTCGAGGCCCCAGTGGCGAAAACAAGGACTATCTTTACCAGCTGGAAACTGCGTTGAACGAGCTCAGTCCGGAGAGCGGCGATAAACACATTACTGATCTTGCCAGGCGGTGTCGCGAGATAGAGGCGAGAATGCAGGCGGAAGGGGTTAACGTTGAGGAGGTGAAGCTACAAAGTCCGGAAGTGAAAGCCGAAGGCGTCAGAGAGGGAGCCGGGAGGCAGGAGGAGACGGAGAAGTAGATGATGCCCGCTACTAGCACAAACGATAGATGGTAGCCGCTCGAAAGCAATGCCGCTAAAGCGCCATGCGACGCTCAGAACGCTTAGACTCGCTCAAAGGACAATACGTAGCAAAAGACAGCCGTATCATGGTCCTCCTTTCGGAGCCTGATTCCACCTCTTGTAATTCCTTACCGCAGCATTAACCGCCACGTACTTGCCCGCCTTAGGATCATAACAGCTCTGCACGTCGAACAACATCCTGCCTTTCTTCCCTCTCACCTCCACCAAACCTTGCACGACGAACGTGCCTCGAGGCGGCTCCATCTTCTTCGGGTTCCACTGTTTCGAGAGTGTATGGGAGAACACGTGCATGGCGATAGGTATGTCCGTGCCGGGCGAGCCACTGTTCGAAGGCATCGGCACATTGACCATCCAAGGCAGCCTTTTGTCATTCGCATTCCCAACCTTACTCGGCGAGGAAGAGGGCAGTAAAGGCGCCTCACCTCCACTCGTCACCACCGGCGTGCCATCGGGCGCACTCTGCGTCCCACCCACCTCCTTCCTCTCCCCTCCCACTGCGCGCTGCTTCTGCATCATCTCCATCGCCTGTCTGTACCTCTCTTCCGGACTTAAGGGATCCTTGCCCTCCCATCCTAAAGCCTGCTTCGCCCTCCTATACTGTATCCCCACCAACACCTTCCCCGTCATCCACAGACTCTCGAATGCCGCTCGAGGCCACAGAGCCCGCATCATCCGCCACTGGTTCTCAGCACTGACTTTCTGCCGACTCCATGCCACGAATCCTTCGCCAAGCTCCAACCCACTGCGCTCGTATTCCTGCGGAGGGCCGTCTGGAAAGGAAATGTCGAGCCAATACTTGCCTATCTTCGCTTCTGGACCGACTTGGCGTGCTATGAGAGGATGCTGCGTGGAACCCGTGAACACAACCTGGACAAGTTCATCCTGTATACGCTTTTGCCGCGGTTTGTCCTTTGCGACTTTCACAAACTCTTGCCACTCCGCATCGCTACCCTTGTAGAATGTTCGCGGCATCTGAGTAGCCCACGTCAAGGGTATGAAGGTACTGCCTTCTTCCGCGTAGAATGGCCCTTCCTCTTCTTCCGCCGCAACCTCGTGTCCTTCTCTCGGCGCATCATCTTGCTCGGCTTCGTCATCATCGAGGTATTCGATCTCGACATCGAGGTAGCGGAAGATGAGGTTGAGGTAGGCGTAGGCTATGCCGCTATACACGCCGATGGTGGCTGCGCGGCGCCATGTGAAGAAAGGTCCGGGTTGAAAGCGGACGGCTTGGTAGCGGACGGGTTCGCCGGAGGGCTTGTAGAGGAGTTGGGGTTGCCGCCGTCGTGTCGTTTTGCTGAAGTTACGATGGCGGAGGGTGTTGTGAAGGAGGGTGGGCTGTTGCCGGAGTCGGAGGGCACGGGGGAGTTGGTGCATATTCGAGGTGGATATGGAAGAGTTACGAATGCATGTATGCGAGTGGCACAGTGCTTTGCAGAAGAGGTGTGTGGATGGAAGTTGATGAGTAGCTGGTAGGAAATGCACAAACACCCCACCGTCTGCAGCCCTGAACTCTCCGCCACGTGAGGTCACGTTTCAACCGCAACGCCACCTCTCTACATACTCTCGGTGACAGCCTCTTGGCACCCTGACATTACTAACATAAATACAACCATAAGCTGCGCTTAGTCGACTCAGCAGCAGTCCCAAAGTCCACTTACCGGCGTTGGGAAGCAACACAATCACTGCCTTTAAGGCCTGTTTGAAGATATAAATGAGATCTAACACATGCACCTCGCTCAACATGCATTCCTGCCAACGTAGTATCCTCGGGCACACCAACAGCCTGGCTGATATCATCCTTTGCTGCTATAGATGCCTGTACACGAGCACCGTTGTCGTTCAGCGCAATCAGATGCAAGTTCCAATAGATGAGCACGGACAACCCATCAGCCTTCCGTGTCACATACCCACGCATGCTCCCTAGATATCCCCATGATGAACCAGTCGATTAAGTGACGTACAAGTGGGACATGCTGCGTCCATCCATTGCCGGCAGTGACTCGAGATGTAATATAACGGCTCTGGCCTCGCTGGCGTCCAGTCGCGGACAGATCGATTATGGGCTACGATTTCGGCCCTGAAACATAGGACTCAGTGGATGGAATGGTTGAATGCGGATGAATGGAATCGAGTCGCAAAGCGTTGATTTCTTGTACGGATCCAACGCTATATGAAGTATAGACACTCCACTTACCTTCCTTTATCAGTCTGCAGGACACTTCGTCACAACAGACTGCTGCACGCGCGCAGCTATGAACCAGTATTATCCTGCACTGGAAGCAGCTTGATTGTTGTGGGTTTGTCGACATTGTCGGTATAACAGGTAGGGGGTCCGCAATTTCAAAGCAAAAACATAAGCCGCCGGCGCGGTGGAGCTTGGACATCTCAGCGGCGACGTTTGCTAAGAGGACCAACATTGATCGAAGAAAGTGTCATCGCACTGTGCCAATAAGGGTGCTTGGGCCCGTCGTGTTGAACACAGGGACTGCAAGTAGATGCGCTACTTCAAATGACAATCGGTTTCGATGATTGCGCGTGCCGGCAGCTCTCCGCCAAGCCTTGCTGGGTCTCCAGTTCGCAAGCGTCTCTCCGAAGCATCATCATATCGCCCAGATGTGGAGCGAGTCGGGTCGAGCCAAGTACGAAGGCATCGGCAAGCCCTATAGTCGGAAAGGATCCGACAAGCAGCTCAGCCACTGTCAAGCGCTGACCAACGTTCCCTGGCAACCCAGCATCTCACACGAGCTTCTGGATACCAGACGAGACCCGAAGGTAAGCCTCACCGTCTGCGATGCTCTAGAGCAATGCCGAGGCCGAAAGACGGTTATGCCGGATGGGCATGGCCGTTGCTACTCGCAGCGGCCGCACACCTGGTCGAGTCGGCTATGGCAGCGCTTTCTGCCTCACAAGACGATGCTCAACGAGCATGATGAGTCGAAGGCGAACATTTGCGAGATGTATCGATAGCTCATACGATATGAACAATGCAGGAAATCGGCAAGCGCTCGATTGGTATGATGCACTCGATGCGGAAAGCCATCGGACGGTACCGGAAGACAGGCTGCTTCTCTACAGCGTTAAGCAAGGCTTGGAACCGCTTTGTGAAGTCCTGACTTACGAGAGACCACTTTGGGAGTTCCCGCTAGTCAACACCAGAGGATAATGGCGGGCTAACGTAGAAAATGCGCGCCGTCTGTTGAGCATGATCATTCATCAATGTCGCCAATGTGCTGGAGCTGTTGATAGTGGGGATGGCTGCCGTTGGTGCATATTCGACGTATGGGCGCATGAAGCAGCTATCCGCGGAGACATCACCAACCGACCATGTACCTCCCGCTGCTTGTGCGCAGTGCAACGATGCTGTCCAGGTCCTTAGGCCCTGTCCTCCAGCGTTGTCTAGAAATGTCTGTAAGCATGTCCGGTCTTGCGCTGTCCGTTCTTGAGAAGTGGCTGAAAGCACGCTAAAATGGTGCCATTGCCGTGATGGGTCGAGGCCTGGCCGGAAAGAGCACTGACCAGACCATAGCAAGCACTCCGAGTTACGTGCCCCATCATAATCGGATTTCCGTTGCGCGTTTGCCGCGCGATCTGCCTACTCATTTCGCATGCGCTAACATCTGCGTGTAGATGTCATCCGGGATCTTACGAGCAAAATTGACGGTATAGTCGATCACTTTACGGGCTCGCAAAGGCTTGAAGTCGGGCTTCGGGCTGTCCAGGATCGTCAGCGTTGCTCGTTGTGCAATTCTCGTGCAAGTCACGACATACCTCGGGCTGTTTAGTAGGGTGTCCCGTACAAGGACTAGTTGCGCCACAATGCATAACAGGTTTAGATGCGGTCCGTAGGCGAACAGAAAGTCCCACAGAAGAAGCACTTCCGGTAATGGCGGCGTGCAAGCGCATAATGTGAGGACGCTCGGAAAGGCGTAGATTTCAGCCTTCATGCCCTTACTGAGCAGATGCGCAGACAGCTTTGGATCGACGATAGCGAGGATATGGTCCACCAAGGCAAGACCCTTGTGCACACCGTCCATACTACCGCGGACATAGCCAGGGCACTCATGAGTGATGCAACGGTCGAAAGCAGCAAAGGCCTCGGCCTCGCTCTTGGCTGCATACAGAAATGGGGCGGCGAGAACATTCATACCTTGCACGTAGCCCACAGACCCGGTCGACTCGCCGCCAGCCTCAGAGCCTTCGGTTCCCGTTACAGAACCTCGCGTGTGTCTTGTGCTGATCGACGCAGGGGATTGGAACATGTTGTCAGAGCCGTCCAGACTTTTGGGAACGCCAAGAGTGGGAGGGGACAGCCAGCCATTCACTCGTGCCTCGTTAGCGTCGTGCAGCTTCCATGCTATGGCGTTCAGCACGCGGGTGAGACTGTTCTCCGTAACCCGCCGCCTGAAGAGGGGGTCAGTCGTCAGCGTTCGAAAGGTGTCATTTCGGATCTTCGCATAGGCAGGCGACGCTCCCTGGCGGACCAGATCCAAGTAGGTGTCAGTTTGTAGTGGTGGGGCGTTCAGCAAGATCATCCAGATGTACATGCGCAATTCAGACTAGCAATCTCATCAGCATTAGGCAGTAAGTTGCTAACTGGCAACGGACCATTCCATCACTATTTGAGGGGATGCCATCGAGAAGGACGACACGTCGTAGCTCCTCTAAGCCAGCGACTAGGTCGCCATTGGCGGGCCCTTTCTGGAGGAAGATGTCGAGATGTGTCATGGTTCGGGAGAGTTGTTAAACACAGCGCCGTGCTTCACGTTCACCGATCGAGTCGTCGTACTCAGGTCTTCCGCCGGCTTGTTGTTGTACACAAACAGTCTGCTCGTGCAGTACGTATTTGTAGTACTTAGCTATTGACAGTTGGATGTATTCGAACATAGAACGTTACGAGACGCGAACTGTGGCTGGAAAGCGGAGCCAAGATGTTCGTGCAGCACTTACTGCGCCACACTCAGGGCCCCATGCAAATGCAGACCTCCGAAACTCGCCAACCTGTCATGCTCCCAACGCAGCACTTTGGTTACACATACGAGCCTTGCACGGGTCAATCTACTTCCGTAAACGGCTTGCAGTGCCCACAGCATATCTGCATCCATGGGTCTAGAAGCGCCATGTCCAGTATAGCCCCAAAGCGCCAATTTCTGCACGTTTTGTGTATGGACAGACCCAAGGCATCGGGGAAGACCTGACCAAACAAATTGGGCGGCCAATGCACCCTGGAGAGGGCAACCTCAGTAGTAACGACATGCCCTCGACACCAACGTGTAGGGACTTCACAAGCACGTTATTACGAGGCGCAAATTCTTCGAAAACGGCCAAGTCTGAGGGAGCGCACAATAATAATGCCTGGAACGCACGAAGAACGTCTCCCGAAGCTTAATGCACAATGAAAGCCACTTCAATGGGCGCAAAGCACGCCTTCTATGTCCCAGCTGATTGGGTTATAGCGCTGGAATGGAGGTGAGGTTGATCTGGAGACGAGCGCTAATCCCGGTCGCTTGTGCTTAGGAACCTTTCCGCTTGCGTTCCTAGACTGATCACGACATCGCAAGCCTACGTCGAGCAATCCGCGACACCCTGGGCTAAGATCCACTACTGCGTAATTCTAACGCACCCGCTCGAGCTGTCTACGTTGAGTGCCAATATTCACCATGTCTGATTCGCCTTCAATACCGTCACAACCTTTCTGCGTCTATCACGTCAAGAATCTGCCGTTGACAGAATCTCCTCCCTTACGCTGTTGACCTCATTCCCAAGGACATTGACACAGTTTTCAACCGACCGTACGGGATTCGTCTTGGACCTCCAAACTTGCAGCATTTCCATAACACCCCACGATCTTGTCCCGTGAGGGTTATACTTTTGGTGGCTTGACTGCTTGCTTTTGCGTATCGCGTGCTCGCCAACGACCAAGTGTGGCCCAGCCTGGAAAGGGTCCTGCAGCTTGGCCCGTAGATCGAAGGCCTTGTCCGCATCAACCTCGATCATTGAGACTGTCGTAATTTTTGTGGCGCGTCCGCTCACAGTACTTCTACCTCTCAGTCACCGGGCTTGGGTGGAGCTTGTCATTCCTGTACAACTCTTGTCCAGCCAACGCATTCCCCTCTGGCCCAATCTGCTCCTGCCGCCAGGATGTCGAGCATGGACAAGGTCGGACGAGGCTTGGCCCACGTTCTTGGGATCAAGCTCGACTATCGCGACGAGACCGGCGTCAACAAAGTGACACGAGGTGAATCTGTATACTCGGTGGAGAGTGCAGATAGCTACATCGAACATGAGCCCACAGCAGCCGAATGGCTTCGTTCTCTCGTCCCGACCGGCTCGCAAATGATGCACTACGGCATAAATTTGTTCCCCTTCGTCAAATGGATTGGCAAGTATAACCTGCAGTGGTTGACTGGCGATCTGGTTGCTGGTATGTTGTGACAATCGAAATCGTCAACGAAACCAGCTGACCGCAACAAGGTATCACCATTGGTGCCATTGTCGTACCACAAGGTATGGCGTATGCTCAGCTTGCATTGCTACCGGTGCAATACGGCCTCTACTCATCGTTCATGGGCGTCTTGATCTACTGGTTCTTCGCGACATCGAAAGATATCACCATCGGTGTATGTATTCATATTGCCCTAACGAAGTTTTTCAGAGGCTGATGATCGCTACTAGCCCGTCGCAGTCTTGTCCACCGTTACCGGCAACGTTGTTGCCAAAACCCAACACGCTCACCCCAACATTCCAGCTCCTGTCATAGCGTCGGCACTCGCCATCATATCTGGCGCGATTGTCTGCTTTCTAGGTCTCGTACGGCTGGGATGGATCGTGGACTTGATCTCACTCGCGTCAATTTCTGCATTCATAACAGGATCCGCCATCAACATTTGCGTGGGTCAGGTCCCAAACCTGATGGGTATCACCGGATTTTCAGCGCGCGCATCAACCTACAAGGTTGTTATTAACAGTCTGAAGGGTCTGCCACGGACGAAGATGGACGCCGCTCTAGGATTGACGTCACTGTTCCTGTTGTACGCCATTCGCTTCGTCTTCCAATTCCTGGCGAAGAGGCAGCCCAACCGACGCAAGATGTGGTTCTTCTTGAACACGCTACGATCAGTCTTCGTCATCCTGCTCTACACAATGATCAGCTGGCTTGTCAACCGCCATTACGGAAAGACGGGCAGGAATCCTGCATCCAAAAGGTCTCACTTCAAGATTCTTGGTCACGTGCCTCGTGGCTTCCAAGCTGCCGGCGTACCAAAGATTGACATTCCGATCATTCGATCATTCGTCAGCGAGCTCCCTGCCACAGTTATTGTCCTCCTGATCGAACATATTTCCATCGCAAAGTCCTTTGGCAGAGTCAACAATTATCAGATCGATCCGTCTCAGGAGTTGGTTGCCATTGGTGTTACGAATTTGTTGGCTCCCTTCCTCGGCGCCTATCCTGCGACTGGCTCTTTCTCAAGAACCGCCATCAAATCCAAGGCTGGTGTGCGAACGCCGCTTGCTGGTATGATTACTGCAGTCGTCGTGCTTTTGGCCATTTACGCATTGCCGGCAGTCTTTTACTGGATTCCTCAGGCCGCACTGGCAGGTGTCATCATCCACGCCGTGGGCGATTTGATCACCCCACCGAATGTTGTGTACCAGTTCTGGAAAATCTCGCCTCTCGAAGTCGTGGTATTCTTCGCCGGTGTTATCGTCACGGTCTTTACCACAATTGAAACTGGCGTTTACGTCACCATCGTCCTTTCGTTCGTGATCCTGATTTTCCGCATGTTCAAGGCAAAGGGTCGCTTCATGGGCAGGGTCAAAGTCCACTCCGTGATTGGCGATCACCTCGTTGAGACGAAAGAAGGGATCACTGCGGTTGCGCAAAAGTCACCTGAAAACGATCCCGATAAGTCTGTCAGGAACATTTTCCTGCCGATTGACCACGAGGATGGTTCGAACCCTAACATCCATGCCGAACATCCCTACCCAGGAGTCTTCATCTACCGCTTCTCCGAGGGCTACAATTATCCCAACGCCAATCACTACCTCGATTACATGGTCGAGACGGTCATGAAGACGTGCAAACGCACCGACCCTCATCTGTATGCTCGCCCGGGAGACAGGCCGTGGAACGATCCTGGCCCTAGCCGGTGGCACAAGCAGACCGATGTTGTAGATAACAGGCCGACACTGAAGGCGATTATCTTGGACTTCTCTTCCGTCAACAACGTGGATCTTACATCAACCCAGCATCTCATCGATGTCCGAAACCAGTTGGACCGCTATGCGGCGCCAGACCGTGTGCAGTGGCACTTCGCTTGCATCAACAACAGGTGGACCAAGCGTGCCCTTGTATCTGCGGGTTTCGGCTACCCATCACCTACAGATGACTCGGACTTTGGACGATGGAAGCCTATCTTCAGCGTTGCTGAGATTGGTGGTCCTGACAGTGCTGCGGCTGCTGCAGAAGACGCTGAGCGGCGGGAACTGAGGCGTCAACGCAATGATGTCGAGGCCGCACGCTCTTTCAGCGCTGTACAGGAGGTTAACAGCACACCTGGAAGCGACCCCAGTTTGGATAGCCTTGAGAAGGAGATTAATGCGAGTGGAGCATATGCCCGCGAGGCGTCCGACCACAGGATTGCGGTGGTGCAGGGCATGAACAGGCCGTTCTTCCACATCGACTTAACGAGTGCGCTGCAAAGCGCTATCCAGAATGCTAAGCTGCACGATGACAGATACACTGCCGAGTCGAAGGCAGCTGGTTTGGAGGACAAGGAGTCTGATGCATAGAAGCAGCGACATCTGCTGCGAGCCTCGAGATTTGTCTCATATGTAGAGGCGTTGGCTATGGAATCAATGTACATCTATGAACATGCCAGTTTGCCAAATGGCTATGTCGAGGTTATTGACTCGCTTGGTTGCAACGAAATTTGTAACCATATGTTCAGATGCTTTCCTGCCTTCCCAGCCGTGCACCAAATCCGCAAGCTTGCCCCGCTTGGCATCTCACCCCCTGCCCACATGCATTCGGGTTGCTTCATCGCATCCCTAAGATTCTTGTCTCCCTCTGCTCATGTGCCAGCTTCTTTGACATCGTGACGAGTCGCATAAGTTCATTTTCCGTGATAGTGTACCAAGCCAGCATCCAGTCTACAACGTCCCCGGCAAGTTCTTTGCATTAGCAAAACTGCCCCGTCTTGCTACAGAGCTTGTCACAGTTATGGCCAGCGTTTCGGCCGAGCCTGTGTCGCCAGTCCGCCTGGTAAAACCTGAGCTGACTTTGTCCGCCGCTCCGATCAACAATGAGCCTGTCGAGCTCGATAGCACGCCAACTTCCTCACTAGAGCACAGACGGAACTCAAGGGCGGATACGCTTGAAGACATGACTTCTGAAGACCGAGAGGCAAGGCCGGTAGTCCTCGTCGACAGCATACTTGTACTGACTTCCTCACAGAAACGCGCACAACTCATACATGAGCGACAAAGTGACCCTGCGGTCCTAGTAGATATCCCACAAACTCCAGGGCCGCAGGAGCTCGAGAAGTCTGGCGCGACAATTCCGGATGCAACAACGTAGAAGAACTCGAGCTCGGGGTGACCCATTTGCGCGATGTCAGCAGGTGCTTTTTTGAAGCTGCCGTGTACCACAGCGCTCCCAAGTGTTCGCAGCTACGTGAGCTGCCCAATGTCAGCACCGGATACGGACGTGACGTCCAGGTTGTCTTTGTCTGAGATGCCACCCATTGTCTCAGCGCGGCGAGAATGGGTCTCTGCGCGATGGGTTCCTTTGTCTTAGTGTAGCGATTGGCCGCATCATGTCTGCCGGTGACCCTATCCCAGATCCTACACTTTGCTCGTCATCGCACCAACCATACGGCGTACGCTGCATCGCACAATGCCGAGTCCGCAACCTTCGGGAACGCTCAAACGACCCACTCTAGCCACAGCGAGCTCTTCCTCGTCCTCCTCTTTGAGTGGCATGGAGATGGCAATACCGTCTTTCCAGAGCTTCCTGAGGCGCACGCCGACTCCTGACCCGCTAAAACCCCTGCCACCAACACCACTACGACCCCGACGACCCTCATCACTCGACAGCGGGTCCTCACCGGCCGCGTCGCAGTCTACCAGGAGGTCCTCAAGCGTGTACAGCCGGACCGCTAGCCAATATGACCCGACTCCGAACCGTCCAGGCTTACCATCCTGGCGCACCGCAGACTTTGCGGAGCAGAATCTCCTACTGAGGCCGGTTGCTTACAGCGCAAGCACCTCGCAGCTCTTGCAGAAGACGCCCGCTCAGCCAGCAGGCCTGGAACCACGGACGTACAACCCTGTTACCATCACGCCGCCCACGACAGGTAGCCGAGTACCCACACCGTCTCCGCCGCCACTGCTGAGACCATCTGTCTTGCTGCCTCCCCCAGTGAGCATCGCGCAGATATCTCAGAAACACCTACGGGCCGTCTCACTTGAGAAAGCAAAAGCGATCATGCAGGCTCCCGGCGCCGTGCACTTACTACCGGAAGAACTCCGTGCACAAACACTGAGCAAGTCTCGATCGCAGGAGCCTCTTCGCCTGTCCTCCGTAGACGTGGTGGCAGGAGGGTCGGGATCTCCACGGTTGCCCCAGGCTCCCACGCTGGTAGACAGTCAAGGTCGAGAGCGACTCGTAAAGTCTCCCACATTGCCGCCTCCTCCTACATCATGTGCAGACTATCCGTATCCAGCGGTCGTAAGCCCGCTGGGTGAGTCTACGGACGTCGCCGGTACCTTCCATGTGGGCAATCAGCCGGTGAAACCGATGGCTCCACTTGCGCAGTACCGGATAGAATCTCGAGCCAAGGCGGCGCAAGCTCTTGGCCTTGCAGATGCTGATGAGCGTAGGGGACGTACCAAGACGCGCGGTCCACGTAATCTGTCATACGAGCATTACCTTCCGAAGCAGAGGCGACCATCGGACATGAGTGACAAGTCCGATGACATTGTATCAGATGCTCAAAAGATAGCACAGGAGTACCACGCCGTGCTCAGCGAGCAATACCGCCAGTCTTCTCCAGCATCACAAGGCAGCGGCTCTAGCGTCGATATTCGGACGCACATGAAGCTTGTACCCAAGCCGTTGTTCCATCCGCGGCCAGCTGCAAGACTTCCAGATGCTGACGAATCCGGCGCTCCTTTCATGTTGAGGGATGACGGTGAAGACCACGATGCTGACGACTATCACTCGAACGGCAGTCGTGGCTCGCTCCCACTACGTCTTGGCACGCCGGAGTCGCAACACATGCGTTGCAGTACTAGCGGTTCAATCCCAATTTCTCCGCCAGACAGTATAATGTCCGCTGTATCTCCGCCTGTCACCGAATCTCGAACAGTGAGCAAGCGCCCGAAGCCAAAGGCTATCCGACAGCTTGACGATAACCGCGCCTCAGCATACTACCCGCATGTGATGTCACGGAAGCCGAAGAGGAGCGCGGTATCGAACAGATCTTCCCCACTGGCAGATTCAAAGGTGCTAAATAAGCCTATGCTTGCAGCCGACATCATTGCAGAACGCGAGCGGCTTGGGTCAAGCGAAGGCACACCTGATATATTGTCTCTACGAAGCTCACGGTCCATGAGCTCCTTGCAGTCAGGGTCCATGGCATCAACCAAGTCAAGCATGCGCCTTCGCGAAAGAATGCTCAGTCGCGCCGTCCTGTACGCTGACAAGCTTAAGAAGCCAGCAGGTACAAGTAGGTGGCGAGCGCACGACAAGCGCAGGGCGAGCAATGAGCCTTCGTCACCCGACTCATCGCATCTGCTCCCGAGCCCATCGTCTCCTAAGCCAGCACTAGATTTCCACTTGGGATGGTCTGACCAAGCTAAAGATGCCTTCGACTCATCGCGATCGTCTGTCAACTTACCTAAGCGGCCTGCCAATACTTTAGTCACGCATTTACAGACACCAGCTCAACCTCTTAATGAGAGTAAGGCTGGGCTTGAAGAGCCAGAGAGCCCAGGCAGAAAGGGCAGCATCTTCTCTGGGCTCATGGATGGCTGGCGGGAGACCAAGGCGGAGAAGCGCAGGGAAGACCTGAAGAAGATGATCAAGCATGTCGGCACTGATGTAATACCAGGAGTTGAAGTCACCACGGATAGGAGGCCAAGTCTTATTGTGCGGAGGCTGAGCGCTTACGGGTGGATGTAGGTGAAGTATGATGCATACTGTTTTACACCTGCGCGTGACTATAGTTCTGGCTCCATTGACCGGGCCATGGTGCATCATGGTCTCGGCGTCGATCCCAGACTCTCAGTCAATAATCAGCCTTCAGCGCAATACCCTGTCTTCGTGCCGCCAAACGCTCAGAACACTTCTGGATAATCAATCTCACCAGCCCTTTAACTAATTTGCAAGATTGCCCAGTCGACAACTTGGAAGCATTAGCGGAGTTAGCTCCAGTGGCCGCGCTGGTGGCTGACGCATTGAAGAGGCGAGTTGGGAACCCATGATGATGCAGTTGGCCTGCGCTACGAGGGCTGACTCTGCATAGTATCCGCAGGAGTGAAAACAGGCCGCGTCCATCTAGTCGAAGATGCACCGCAAGAGGTCGAGGCTGAGGCTCTCATTCACTATATGTACCACCTCATATACCCACAGCCGTGGCCCCGTATTCCATGTCAAAAGTTTTACCAACTTGCAAAGAAATACGAAGTCACCTGTTTCCAGACACTCCGCACTCAGAAATTCCAGAATCTTGCTAAGATCACGGTCGCTCAGCTTGGGCTAAAGCGGACCCACTCGCTTGCGGCAGTGCTTGAGGCAATCGAGGTGGCACACCATCGGGCACACGTAAAGCAGTTACGGGAGGCCATGGCCGGGATGCTTCTGGCACACCGCATTCTTCTGACCAGTGAAGGTTTGGAAGACGGCATCGGCGCTGTCTCTGCTGAGCGATCATCCCAACCTGGCGAAGGCTTTCGCGCGTCAGACTCAGCAGGCGGGATTTGTGAAGGCGAAGGCTGTGGGAGCACAGGACAGAGAGGCAATATTCGCACATTGCAACGGGTAGAGGTTCAGAACGCCAATTCCGGACCGCATTTCGGCCAGCTACAAGTGCCCAAATTGCTGGATGTCACTCAATGGAAGGCAGTGGCAGGCTTATAGGGTTAAGGATCGAGACACGCCCCGGCTCGTGGTGACCCAAGCTTGTAGGGTGGAGGTTCGGGATCCGCAACAGCGCGCGTTGACTATGGCGCTACCGGCTGGGGTGGATCGCGATGTTGTACGTGGTGCTTTGTGCGGCACGGTTAGCATTATGGTGAGTTGAGGCTTTTCCGCGTCGGAGCTCATGGCGTGAGTGTGGTGACTGCTTTGCGGTCTTGCAGCGATACACTACTGATGCAATGTGGTTTTCTGAAGAAGTGCGCCTTCTAGCGATTGTAACTTCCTCAACATTTAAGCCTTGGTGGTGCTGCCTGTGCCTTTTCGCACGCATATCAAGGAGCTTCTCATCAACAAAAATGCTACATTGGCATAGATCCTTGCCATAGCAAACACAGGGCAGTCGCATGCAGACTCCGGCAATGGTGCACCTTCAAAGTGCAGCTCCATAGCATGAGGATGACACAGCAGGCGGGAAGAGGAGGATGATGAGCATGAGCTGCTGAACAGTCCATGGAGGACACTCCAATTGCTCCGACTATGGAAGCATCGTACTCGTGGACCGTCAGAACCTTTTCACCTACTGCATGCCTCATTCATTGAGCGCCAGAAACACAGTTACAGCCACCACCCTGCGTTCCCTTCTCCGGCCTTGCCTCATCATGCATTCACATCTTCCACTACTTCTTGTTGTGGCCCAGGTGAAGTGAGTGACTGAGCTTGTCGGCCAACCCCTCCTTCTCGTGATGCTCGGAGTGAGTACCGGTCGGTGGAGCGGCGCCACCAGTGTTCTTAGCCGTGTTGTCGCGGACTTGGTCTATTCAACCGTTAGCGCATCGACTCACCCTCAATTGCAGACATTAGCTAGACATACCGGTAGGCTGACCCGCGCTGCTGCTCACGGCCCCCTCACTCTGCTGCGGCTTCGGGTTGTCCGGTACAATTTGGCTCTCACCCCAATGCTTCTGGCCCAACTTCACTCCACCCGCAGTCGGAATGGCATCCTCGTTGTACCGGTTGCCTTCCTTCCTCTTGTCCTTCTCGCCGCCGTGCGCCTCATTATTCGCTTCGGTCTTCTGCTCCTTGTCTGTCAATGCCGTGTCCTTGGTTGTCGGGTCGGCGGAATCGGTCGGCTCGTTGCCAGTAGTGACATCGCTGTCCGCTGGCTTTGGCGCCTGTGCCGAGCTACGCTGAATAGGATCTGATCCCGTTGTGTTTGAAGTGGAGTCGCTGGCGGGTCCAGCAGTGCCGGTGCTGGGAGCAATACCTGTACCTGTTGTAGGTGCAGTATCGGTCTCGCGGCTGGTGCCAGTACCAGAACCAGTGCCCGTGCCCGTGCTGCCGCCGGATGTAGCATGAGACGCGAGCTCACGGAGGTCGTCCGCACCCGCATTCCTGGTTTCGACATCGGGATCCGTGGTTCCTTTGTTGCCGCCTAGACCGAGATAGCCCATGACGGTGCCCACCACAGTCTGTGATCCACCTGTGGTCTCAGTAGTGTTCTCATTGGGTACGGGAGTATGAACATGAGCGGAGCCACTAACACCGCCGCTACCCTGCGAGATTCCGCCAGTAGTGTCATCGTAGCCCGGGTTGCTCGCTGGCATAACACTACCGGAGCCACTGCTCAGACCGCTGCCCAATACCGAACCGGAGCTGCGCGGCTCGACGTCTGTCTGCTGTGAGCCGAAGGAGAGCGGCTGCGTTTGGCCGCCCGTCGGTGAGTCGACGTGGGATCTGATGTGCTCGAGACCCTCTTGCCTGATTGCCTGCTCGTCGGTGCCACCAACACCGGTGCCGGTGCTGCCCAGCTTGCCATCGGCCTTGACGCCAGGGTCAAACATGTTGCCGGCAAGGGTGGGGTGAGGGCCGGAGCCCTGGGGCTTCCACTCGCTGGCGGGACCGTCGGTTGGGAGGTTCGACATGTTGGTGCTTCACTTGGTTGTTTGATGGATTGGGGAGAAAAGTTAAGTGTGAGAGATAACGGTGCTGGGTGACAGAGGTACTTGGCGTAGCTTACAATGCTTGATGCGGGTTGTTTTACTTAACACGGCTGGCTCATGACGAAAGCTTGAGCGTGAGCGTGGAGTCAACCCTGCTTTCGTGTGCCGATGATCATCACGCGCAAAGTGCATCATCCATGAGCTGCCACGCGGAGCAATCGCGTCAGAACGCCTACGTCATACCGCACAGTGTGGAAAGCATGTTCAAGATCCAGATGCCTTGGCAGTGAATGTGGCACAGGAAGCAAGTGAAGGAGCATGTATAGGATGGGCGTGAATGGTCATGGCTATGGTACATTGAACGAAGATGCGAATGCCTGCGGATGGTATGGCGCTTGACCGTTGGCTGTCATTTGCAACGGCGTCTGTGCAGCTGTAGGGACATACCCATCGGGCAACCCATTGCCTCCGAGGTAGCCCCGCCACTCCTGTGACAGGTGCATAATGGGCTCTTCGAGCTGTTGGGAGCTGTACAGCTGCTGAATGTCATCGAAGCAGTGTAAAAATTCATTGTCGACTTGCAGAGGCGACGGGTCGAGAGGTCCGTGGTCGTGGGATGGTTGGTGTTGCACAGTGTTCCAGTAGCTCAGTTGATTAGGTGACGGCATTTGAGGGATGTGGCTTGGATGCTGTGAGCTTGCAGGGCTGCCTCGAGTCATGGCAGACAAGTTGCCACCGGCAGGACTAGCCACGGAAGGCGACAGCTGTTGAGCAAAGGCCGCGGTAGTTTGCAGCTTGATGACATCCGCGAGGATTGCGTCGCTAAGGCGATCGAATACTTCATGACAGTGCCGCTGTGTATCCCAGCGTTCCGCAACTGCGACTAGCACGTTGGAGCAGGCGCGTGTAATGTTCACAACGTCGATGGCGCTGGGGTCTCTATCGAGCAGGCAGGCATCCGCAGCTGCGTTGTGCCTGTCCCTCACGTGGCGCGACACAGCGTAGATGTACGACAGGCCGGCCATGAAGACCGATTGTAGGGTGATCCAGCTGTAGTTGATCGAGCGGTTCTTATGAAGAGTAGCGTAAGTGTTGATAGCGTGCATTGCGGAAGCGTAGATGCGCTGCAGTGTATGTCTGTCGTGTGGAGCATCGGCGAGAAGCGGACAAGGCCGCCATATCATCAGTGTGGCATTAGCGTACAGTACTTCGTACCAAGTTGGTGAAAGGTAGCAAGATTGCTCCCGTGTGTTGGTTGGTATTGTGTCTGGCAATTGCAGGTCCTGCAGAGCAGTATACCTGCAGAGCATCATATGGATGATCAGTATTGTTGAATCTGAAACGGAGTTTCTAGGCATGGGCCTGACTTACCACATATCAAGCTCGCGCATAAGATCGTCCCTCAAACGAAGAGCCTCCTCGATGGAGCACTTAGCAGACCGCTTACGGTGAAGGTTGACTATCAGCTTGCCGCAAAAGAGGCGATATTTGACGATCCTGTTGAAGACTGCGATGCGCTGTACGCCGGAAATAGTGGAGGCAAGTGGGCGACTCAGCAAAGCATCGCTTGCTTCCGATGGCAACGCGGCGTCGATGTCCTCGTCCGCTATGCCAAGTGGTCGGCCCAGAATGTTAGACGTAATCCTGTCCATGCTGACTACACACCAAAAGCACCGCCGTGACAGCTCTTGTTGGCGATACGCTTGCAATTTGGTCACGTCTAGCTCGCTTGTTTCCCTGATTGCGTATGCCGACTCCCGGTGAAGACCCAGTTCCAGAACCATACGGACTGCGATCCCAACGGTATGCCACATGCTAGCAGAGTTGTCCTTCACCGAGCTCCCTGTACGCCAGATCAAGATTAAGAGAAGACATTGCAAACTTTCGACACTTCCGTGGGACAGAACATGATCCATCCTGGCGAAGGCTCTACTCTGGTACAGTTCAGCACCCGAAAGCCTGCACCGAGAGTCAGCAGCCGCTGTAGGCAAGTACATAACCGTTGAGCTCACATCTGCCAGTCAAACTTCGATACGTGGGCGCTTGCGATTGCCAAGACCATGTTGAAGACGAAGACCTCGTACGGCGAGGCTTTGGACGCGTAGTAGCCATCTTCAGTATATATTCGTTCCGCAGTCTCAATGATGGACAAAGGCGAGATGAACGGATACGCAAGGTTATCATGCTCGAGGAATGCTGTCAGTAGCCTTTGGGCAATATGTTGTGGTGGCAGGTCCTCAAGTTTCTGGGCAGGTTCTGGCCTTGAAGCAGTAGAGTGATTGGCTTTGTGCTCTACGCCGCCGCTGGATGAGCTATGATTCCCGCGGCTTGGCCGTGTGAATGTGTCGTCCACGCTCGAACGGATCAGATCAGCGAACAGGACTCCGCTGGTGGAGCCCAGGTAAGGTAAGCGTTCGCCGGCTGCACTGGTAGATAGAAATGAAACCTCAGTCACGACGTCGATATCTTTAGACAGGGTTTCGACTGCTCTCTGTTCCAGCCCGGGTGATGCAGTTGACCCTTGCGTATCAGAGCCCGCTCTCGCTCTGCTGAGCTCATCTGACAGGGTCTTGTTACGCGCTTCTCTGCGTTCGACGGGAGACCATGTCAGTGTCGGTTGTAGAGCATGCAGAGTCTACAGCTTGCTTACGCCTGTAGTATTCGCCGCTCAAGACGTTCCACATGATCAGCGCTGTAGCGTTTCTCCTTTGTACGATCTAGGTAGATACATGGAACACCTGCTCTGCTGCAGTTTCCGCATGGTTTCAGTTTGTCGCACTTTGCCTTGCGACGATAGCAACGATCACAATTAGACATGGCATATTTTACGTTTCGTAGCCACACCGGCGCAGTGCTGCTGTCAGCCTCCGCTGTGGCCTTGTAGCTGATCTAATTGGCCAGAAATGGCCAATGGGCTGGCGACATGACAGACGACAAGAGTGAGGTTGGGCCAAGCACGGCTGAGATTCGAGATCCAAAGCGATCGATACCCTCCACGTGTCGGCAGAATGAACGGTTCGCCCAGCCGACCGTTCGCCCGCAGCGGAATGAGCTCAGCTAGCATTGTCTTGCATGCATGCCCGCAGTAATAATGCACCGCCAGGACAACTGCCGAGAACAATTTTTGATGTGACTGTCCGGGTGGGTAGCCAAATGACCAAATGACCCAACATCGACTCGTGTCACGAAACATCAGGCATTGTTGTGGAGAAGAATGAATAGGTTCCGCGCTTCGCGTTGCTCGAGGGGTGAATGCACCATGTAAGCCTCCGTGAACATTACGGCTGCTCGGCTGGCTAGCGTTGCCGTCTTATTAATTCTCCCACTAACGAGAGGGAGGGAAGTGGCCGAATGTCCGTTTCGGGCTTTGCTGAACCCGATCTCTTGCATGCGATGACCCTCTGGAAGCTCATCCAGATCGGAGGCGTTCACCAAGTATCACACTGCTACACTCCCTAGCCATTCTCCCGCCTACATCAAAGTACTGTAGGCGACTAAACGTTCCCCATATATACCCGCGTCCCCTTGTTTGGCGCACTCGGCGGATTTTCGTGAAGATCGTCGCGTGTTTTAGGTTACGCCATCTGTCGAACACTCCGGTCAGGGTCCCAAACGCAGACATGTCGACCACACCGAGCGAGCATGGCGAGGGCTTGCAGAAGGGCGCCATCGACCACGATCTCTTCACAGACGGTGTTGTCGATGCCGACGAGCCAGCTGCTGCAGCCGGCCCTGGCGCGACCACCACTACAGCAATGCCTGAGAATGTTACCACCACCGAAGGTTTGACACAGCATCAGTATCAGCATCAGCATGAATATCCGCAAGAGCCTGCTTTACAGCACAACCAGTCGCAATCAAGTGATGTAAGCTTAGACACTGCGGTGGAAAAAGATGAGCCTCTTGTACAGGACGAGGAGGGCCAAGTGCACGATGAAGAGAAGGGCGCACCGCCGCACGCAGGCGGTCCACCAGGCGAGCCTACAGTGCAGAGATCCAAGGGCAAGATTGCCGTTATCATGCTGGCGTTGATGCTGGCTGTCTTCCTCGCGGCTCTAGACGTCACCATTGTCACTACCGCTCTACCAACCATCAGCGAGCATTTCCACTCCACGGCAGGCTACACCTGGATCGGTTCTGCTTTCCTGCTCGCCAACGCCGCCTCCATCCCGTCGTGGGGCAAGATCTCCGACATCTTCGGCCGCAAACCCATGCTTATAGTGGCCAATGTTATCTTCTTGATTGGATCTCTCATCGCTGCATTGTCCATCAATATTGGAATGCTCATTACTGCACGTGCGATACAGGGTATCGGTGGCGGTGGGCTGATCATTCTGGTCAACATCACCATTGGCGACCTCTTCTCCCTGCGCAGTCGTGGTGCTTTCTACGGCCTCATTGGTGCCGTTTGGGCTATCGCCTCTGCTATCGGACCAGTGATTGGCGGCGCGTTCACAGAAAAGGTCAGCTGGAGATGGTGCTTCTACATCAACCTGCCGCTTGATGGCCTTGCGTTGATCATTTTGTTCTTCTTCTTGGATCTCAAGACACCTCGGACACCAATTATGGAAGGACTGAAGGCTATCGATTGGATTGGCTCGCTCACGATCGTCGGCGGTACTTTGATGTTCCTGTTTGGCTTACAGTATGGTGGTGTGGTGGCTCCCTGGGATTCAGCAAAGGTCCTCTGTCTCATCATCTTCGGCATCGTCACTTTCGTCATCTTCGCATTCTGGGAGACCAAGTACGCAAAGTATCCTGTCATGCCAATGAGACTGTTCAACAAGCTCACCAACGTTGCAACGCTGCTGGTCGTCTTTTTCCACGGCTACGTCTTCATTGCCGGATCTTACTACCTTCCACTTTACTTTCAAGCCATCCGCGGCGCGACGCCCATTCTCTCTGGTGTCTACCTTCTACCGACTGCGCTCTCCCTCGCCTTCACCAGTATCGGAACGGGTGTCTTCATCAAGAAGACTGGCTATTTCCTGCCGCCAATGTACTTCGGCATGTTCATGATGGCGATCGGTTACGGCCTCCTCATCAACCTGTCGGCAACGAGCGGCTGGGCAAAGATCATCATTTTCCAGATTATTGCCGGTCTTGGTATCGGACCGCTCTTCCAGTCACCCATCATTGCATTGCAAGCTCACATCAACCCGAAAGACATTGGTACTGCAACCGCCACTCTCGGCTTCGTCCGCCAGCTGGCGACCAGTAGTAGTGTCGTCATTGGTGAAGTTGTCTTCCAGAATCAGATGAGGAAGAAGTCCGGTCAACTTACTCAGCTTCTGGGCCCGCAGCTCGCGCAGGCACTTGGAGGCGGTAACGCGGGCGCAAACGTCGGGATTATCAACACCCTTCCGCAGAACGAGAAGAGCGTGGTACGCCAGTACTTTGCGCAGTCACTGTCCACCATGTGGATCATGTACTGCGTCTTTGCTGCCGTTGGACTCGCCTGCACCTTCTTCATCCGCCGGAAAGTTCTGACCGCGCAACACGTGGAGACGAAGACCGGTATCGAAGCGGAGAAGGAGCACGCGGCGGAAGTCAAGGCGGAGGCGGAGGCTAAGCGCGAGAGCAAGCGCATGTCGAGGGCTTCCAAGGCCACAGGAAGCCGACCAAGCAGCCGAGCACACAGTGCGGCGCCTAGTACGCGCCCGACGACAGGGACGGGCATGAGCGAGGCCGCGACAGAGGTGCCGCCTATGCCGACCATGTCGACGGAGCACTTCCAACAATATGCTTCGAAAGAGCATGCGAGGAATCATGCGTTATCGAAATTGGAGTCGGCAGATGCTGCATGATTTATCTGATCTTTGCTGTCGAGCATTTTCTGTTGGTGGAGTTGATGAGATGTACAGTTTACAGGAGCGGCAAAAGCAAGCTAGAATAATGTTCGAGTCTGAGTGCAAAAGTGCTCAGGCTTATGGGGAACTGGGCGCCCGGCGGTTGCGAATTTGGCATTGACGCGCGATGATACCATTTGAGTTCAGTCTGCTATAGAATCGGAGAGCGTGGATCTCCTTGTAACGACTTGTTTGGCTCCCGTTGATACCAAGTCGGGCGAGGAATGGATGCGCAAGTATCGTGAACTGTGGTTGTTGGGCATAGCGTCATCTATGTGGTAACATTTCGCTCTGCTGCGAAACGGACGCTTCCTCCCACCCTTTGACTTTGGGAAGATGCACAGAGTGGTGATTGTGCGGCTACAGCACGGAGAGCATATACTGCTCGGGTTGTTGCTGGAAGGCCCATCTCGGCTTGCCCTGAGGCTGTCCGGCTTGCTCACTGTGATTCGGTGCCGTGCGATTGAGTTGGCCTGTATTATCGCAATTGCGTCTGCATATGCATGGCCCTAGTGCACTTGCTTGGTCGGTTGCAGCTCGTTATGGCCATGGTATCTTATTCGCCAGTGAACGGCCGCCTCAGCCGAATGCGATAGCCCAGATGATGATCAGGATGTTTAGGAAGATGAGCGGGACTAGGTCCGTCAGTGCACTTGTTGCAGGATGTTGGCACATTATTGTGATAGCCCATACTTCTCATGAGTGTTCTAACCGAGTTGATCAGGTTGATCAGCTTGGCTTTGACGCTGGTATTGTCCTGTACACCGCCGAATGCCGGCTCGTTCTGTGTTGATCCCCATCCGACTGTGCAACACGTCAACGCTTCCTACATTCTTGCCCTTATGTGAATTCATGCATACTTCGAGCAAGGAAGCGATCTTCAGACAAGACAGCGATCGCGTTCACAAGGAGCACGGCGACTGTACCCTACAGTCAGCATGCAGAAGGGTGTAGGGTCGAGGGAAGGTAAGGCTACCTTGGAACAAGCCGCCGAAGCTAAAGAAGAGCGTCGCCATCTTTGTCCGCGCTGGATATGTCCTCAGGATATACGCCTTTCAGCGTTATGAGTTGGACTTGATTTAGCAGCAGCGGGCCTGCCTTGAGGGAAAGTGAGCGCTGCACTTGAAAGCTGTCCCGGAGTTTGTTCGCTTGTCCGACTTCAGCCAATCACCATGTCGCTTTCACAACACCACACATGGCGAGCACTGGAGATAGGCGCTAATTGGCGACGCAACAGGCAACCGTCCAGGATGGCAAACAGGCTTGTAGGTAAGTACGTCGTCTCCCGAATACCCGACGTGCGCTGAGACAGTCACAGATGCAGGCCTCGGAGCCGTGCTCCTTGTCACGATGCTCCTCCACCTCTTCGTTTCGCCATATACGAAGGTGGAGGAATCGTTCAATATGCAAGCGACCCACGACATCATGACATATGGTGTACCGTGGCGCGACGTGTCAGCCTTCTTCGAGGCGAAGTATGACCATATGACCTTCCCAGGATCTGTTCCACGAACCTTCGTCGGCCCTTTGGTCTTGGCCGGCTCATCGATGCCCTTCCGCTTCCTTAAGTCGTTCTCCAAACCGGACTTGCAGCTACTGGTTCGAACTATCTTGGGAGCCTGCAACGTCGCGGCGATCTATAACGTCAAGTACGCGGTCGATACGGCTTACGGTAGGATAGCCGGGATTTGGTACGTATTGCTACAAGCAAGCCAGTTCCACGTCATGTACTATGCCTCGCGCACGCTGCCGAACATGTTCGCCTTCTCGATGACGACCTTCGCCCTGAGTGCTCTGATACTCGTCAAATCGATGGCCGCCAAGTCCAAGCGCAGCGTGAGACGGAGACGATTAGCTCTGCATCTTCTCACAATAGCTGGTATTGTCTTCAGGTCCGAGATCGCGATATTGCTGGCTATGGAGACCATATACCTCCTCGTCCGTCAACGAGTGTCACTCACGAACGAGATTATACCGGCAGGTCTTGCGGGTGCGGCAATCGGACTCGCAACAACAGTGTCCGTAGACTCCTTCTTCTGGCAGCAATTCCCAATCTGGCCTGAATGGACTGGGTTCTATTACAACACCATCCTCGGCAAGTCTTCCGATTGGGGTACCAGCCCTTTCCATCATTACTTCCTCAACGCTCTTCCAAGGCTACTATTAAACCCAATGACTTACCTGGTCTGCATTCCTCTGGCTACAGTCGTACAAACCAGCCAAGACATTCTGCTCCCGCAACTGGCATTCATCGTGCTCTATAGCTTTCTTCCGCATAAGGAATGGCGGTTCATTATCTACAGCATCCCAGCATTCACGGCGGTGGCAGCAGGAGGTGCGGGTTGGATCTGGACGAGACGGACAAAGTCAGTACTCTACCAAGTGATGAGCCTGGCGCTCGTTGCGTCCGTTCTTGGATCCTTCATCATTTCAATGGGCATTCTATACATCTCGAGCCTCAACTACCCCGGAGGCCAGGCTATACACTCTTTGCACCAGCTGGTACCTACGAATGAAACCCTTGTCCGAGTATACATGGACAATCTCGCTTGCCAAACAGGTGTCACTCGCTTCCATGAGGTACGATCGTCCTGGATCTACGATAAGACTGTAGACGACAAGAAGCTGCTTGACCCGGTCTTTTGGCAGCGATTTGACTTTGTGCTTGCAGAGAGCCCAGCAGGGGTCATTGGCAGCTGGGAGTCCGTAGCTATCATCGAGGGGTACGATGGAGTGAGTCAGCGTGGCTCCAGCGGAGCCTGGCCGAGCATACGAATGGCGCCTAAAATCCACATCTTGCGAAAGCAAGCACTGCCGCTGTCAATGGATCATACATAGTTTGACACCCTATACGATCGGTCAGCCGCTTCAATCCGTGGTCGAGGACAAATTTACGCACTCTATCAGGTTGTCATCTGGGTCACGGCAGTAGACACTCCTCAGCTTGCCCTGAGCACCAGTACGCTCGACAATGTTACCACCTTCTACGAGCTAGAATGCCGTCAGCGCCGGCGTAAGTCACGAGCAGGCTTTCCAAGCGGCTCAGCATCATACCTCAATGCCTGCTGATTTCCAACTAGACTGTACCTGCTCGATGGGATGCTCCGTTATGAAGCACAGATCTTCGCTCCCAGGTTGAACGTGCCCGGCCTTCGGTTCGAACTCTTTGCCGGAGAGGTGAAGGTTGAGCTTCTGGTTACCGAAGGCTAGCGCGTGCCTAAAGATGGTCAGCTCAAGGATGCCAGTAGATTCGGAGATGGTGGTGGTGGAGACCTCTCCACACCTCCAGAGGTGAATGTTTGATGTTGCATGCCGAGTCGGCTGGTGTAGAAGTCTACCGTTTTAGGAATGCTCTTAACGGTAAGGACAACATGGTCAATAGCTTTTACCGCGAAGCTGGCCATGTCTGACAATATTCGGTCGTACTTTGGGAACCGAGTGTAGTTGCAGAGACATTGTCCCCGCCGCAGTCGGAGGCGTCGTGAGGGTGATCTGTGGTGGGGTTAAAGTGAAACTCAACTGGCCTTTCGTCTGAGTTTCTTCACTACGCATGCAATATTGGTGTAGATCTGCAAAATTGAATCGCATTCGCGATTTGCGAGGGTATTCACATAACTTGCTCTGGCCTTAGGTCTTCGTGGAACTTGAACCCTGCCATAACACTTCGCACTTTTGGCTATCTCTACTTGCCTGCCTTCCTCAGGGTAGCGTGCTCCTCTGGCCCCTACGACTTCTTCCTCAGACAAAACCACGTTTGTCGTACATCGGTCTTTACCTACCAGGACCGCAGTATGGCGGAGTCGCCGAATCCGGTTACTTTCTTCGATGTCACCCTCGGCGGTGAACCGCTCGGCCGCATCAAGATGGAAGTCTTTGCAGACATTGTCCCAAGGACGGCCGAGAACTTCCGGCAGTATTGCACAGGTGAAACCAAGAATCACCTCGGCGTACCGCAAGGCTACAAGGGGGCCAAGTTTCACCGAGTGATTAAGGACTTCATGATCCAAGGTGGCGACTTTCTGAATGGCAACGGCACGGGTTCAGCGAGCATCTACGGAACGAAGAGCTTCGCGGACGAGAACTTCAAGCTTAAACACGATAGTCCTGGGCTGCTGTCAATGGCGGTAAGGTGGCGTTGTCTATACCTGCTTCCGTTTTCGAGGCTAACGAACAATAGAACTCTGGACCTGACACAAACGGCTGTCAATTCTTCATCACTACTGTGCCCGTAAGCATGCATACGGCACTCACTATCCCACTCCAACAACTAATCTCACCGCAGGTTCCCTTCCTAAACAATAAACACGTCGTCTTCGGCAAGGTTATTGATGGCCTTGATGTAGTGAAGAAGATAGAAAACGTACGGACGCGCGACGATAAGCCGGTTCAAGACGTCGTTATTGCGCAATGTGGCGAGATGTGAACATCTCCCGCTCGCTCAGGCCCGCCGTATACATTTCCCACAAGTAGCCGAGCAATTGTGTGGATGAGCTGGTTGGCTTGGACGAAGCCGTCAGTGTCCTAGCCAAGATGCCGTCGCAGATGCAGCGGTAGGCTAAGTAACGGCTTCTGAAAGGCAACTTCTTGAAAGGTGGTTGGAAAAAGCAGATTTGAAAATGAGAAGCGAAGTTTGCACGGGTATCAAACCACAGAGAAGTAAGTACATCCCAAATTGCCTTAGGTGCGCCGGATCCAAACATGCTTATGCTCAGCCGTAGACATTAAGACCAAACATTAAGCATCAAACCGATCTTTAGTTGTTGCGGAATAACTGCGCGCAACCCCAGTATTGCTCCACATCGAGGTTACCAGGCGCCTTCCACATATCGTTGGAGTAAGAAAACATTACAGAGTTCGGGCCAGCGGCAGACAGAATGCTTGAGATAGCTGTCTTCTGGTTGTCTGAAGACGGGACCGCCGCGCCGTTGGCATTACCCTGGCTCGGCCAGCCGGTCTCGAGGTTGTACGCTGGCATCGTGTTGCCGCAGTACCCAGCCAGGTTGGAAAGTTGCTGCGTAACGAAGTCTCCTGCGCTAGATGCTGAGACTTCAGCGAAGAAGGGATGGATGTTGGCGGTCACCACGTCCATCACGGGACACAAGGTCTTAGAATTGTAGTTGATCGAGTCCACCGTATCGCAGGTAGTCACGGGACCGTTGTAGCCAGCTGCACGGAACTTGCTGCGGGTGCTGGAGAGAGCAGAGGCGAGAGCGGAAGCGGTAGTCCAGCCGTTGAAGAGGGCTTCGTTGCCGAACACTACCATCTCGACCATGCCCCAGTTCCCTGAGCCCCACGAAAGCAGGGCACTGACTTGAGCGTCAGTGTTGCTGCCGATGCCAGTATTGTCGATGTAAACGCCGAGAATCAGGTTCATGTTGTGTGCTTTGGCGGCTGAGCCGATATTCTGGGGACCGGAGCAGTCGGTGGCGTATAGGCGCAGGGTTGTGAAGCCCTTTGCTGCAATGCCTGCAACGTCTGATGATACTTGATCGGCTGTCTTGCACGAGCTATCATTGTTGTAAGGCGTGTATGTCATAGCCTGGAACCATTGGGTGGAAAGTCAGTGATGTCCAAGATCGTTGCGAGGGTTATACACTTACCCATTGGTTGCCGTTGGGCGAGATTGAGCCGCTGTTGCCAACAGTCGCAGAGGACGAGGCGGCTTGGGAAGATGAGGAAGTCGATGCCGGCGCTTTCGAGCTTGAGCTCGGAACTGTGGAGCTAGGAGCCGGAGACGAAAACGGTACGGCTGACGAGCTAGTGCTGGGAGAGGAGCTCGACGAGGGTAACGACGAAGATGACAGTGATGGGACGCTCGACGAGCTAGGCGTGGCAGCAAAGCTTGGTGCGGCGGAGGAGCTTGGTGCTGCTGATGAACTTGGCGTTGTCGACGAAGAAGGCGGGGCGGACGAGGAGCTAACTGGGGAGAACACCGGAGCGGAAGACGAAGGGGCAGCGGATGAGCTAGGCGCAGCAGAAGATGACGAGGGGCCTGCCGAGGAGCTCGGTGCGGAGGAGGATAACGGGTCGCGTGACGAGCTCGGAGCGACTGATGATGACAGAGGTGCTGAGGAGCTCGCTCGTGATGACGAAGAAAGCGGTGCTGAGGAGATTGGAGAGGTCGATGATGACGGCGGTGCCGAAGCGCTCACTGGTAGTGACGAAGACAGCGGTATCGAGGAGCTTGGAGCGCCTGGTGATGACAGAGGTGCCGAAGAGCTGGCCGGTCGGGATGACGATACAGGAGCTGACGAGCTGGGTACGGCTGACGATGACGGAGTGGCCGAAGAGCTGGCTGGTTGTGACGAGAAAATTGGTGCCGACGAGCTAGGCGCGGCAGACGAAGAGCGAAGTCCCGAAGAACTCGGTGCAGAAGAGTTCGCTGCAGAAGAGCTCAACACGGCGGAGAACACAGGTCCGGTCGATAGATTGGGCAAGGATGAGGACGCAGAAGCGGATCCGGTGGTGATGGTTGTGACGTAGACTGTGCTGTTTACATGGACTGTCGTAGGCGCCGCAGAGCTGGAGCTGGAGCTTGTGACCGGGTCCGTCCTAAGCAGCACTGAGCTGCTGCTGAAGTTTAATGAGCTGCTTGACACGGGCGAGTAGCTGAAGATCAAGGAGCTGCTTGACGCGGGCGAGTAGCTGAAGATCAAGGAGCTGCTTGACGCGGGCGAGTAGCTGAAGAAGCCAACCGAAGGCGACGACGAGGGCGCTGGAGCCGTCCCCAAGCTTGAGCTTGTTGTCGCGTTCGCACTGACGCTGACCCTGCCATTGCTAGCGATACTGCTACCGCTGCTGCTGCTGCTCACTGGCCCAGTCGCGGCAACTGGAGAGACCTTGATGGTCACTGTGGTGTTGACGGTAGCCGTAGCCATCTGCACCAGCGTCGGCTCACCATACCAGGTCGTTGTGTACGTCGTGCACCCGCACGTCGCGTTGATGTCGCCGGTAGCGAACTGACGCGCCATAAGCTCGTGTTCATGGCCATGTCTCTTTTCGTGTAGGTTGTGGTTGTGGCCGTGGTTGCTGCCAGCGCTGACGGATGAAGCAAATAGACCCGCGGCCAGTGTTGTGATAGTAAAGAACGACTGCATTTTGAATGAACGTGGGTTGACGACCTGCAACCGCTGAAAGAGTGAAGCGGTAACGCGTCAATGTCAAAAGAGCGACTGTAGTCGACGTGCAAGCACTAGCGAGCAAGGAAGACTGTAAGAAGAACAAGATGAGGAGAAAGGCTTGTTGAAAGAGGCGTACGCGCGCGATGCTCCTACCTTGGGCCCTACACAACGCCATCCCGTAATCATAGCCACGTTACCGGCTGATGCTCATCTGGACTTTGCCCAAAATGTACTGGCAAGAGATGTTGTTAGGCTTCGCTAACGGTCTCTCCCGTGATGAGGAAATTGGCATGCGCTCGGGCTTTGAGGTGAGCTTTGCGCTCTCCTATTCGACCGGCTCCGCCGGCACAGACGCTCCGATATGATTACTGTCGACGGCTCTGTATTGCAGTGTAAGAAGCATCTATTACAACTGACTTTCCAGAGGTGTAATAGATGTACAGTCTTCGTAAAGGGCAAATACTGCGTCGAAGTCATTCCCTTTAATGGCGTTCTACGCTACGCGTGAGTTCCGCAATCTCGAGCCGACCTGAACAAATTCTTCAACGACCATTTCTGAAGACCCGAGTCCACTATCACGACTTGCCTGAATCGTTGAACGTGAAATCTGCAGATACTGAAGAAACTGCCGTCTCTGCTGTCGAACAGCAGAAGCATCGCTGTGACCTTTGGATTACTGGTCGAGCTGCATGCCAGGAGCCTGTACGACAGTTCGGAGCGTCATACTTCTTGGTCCTGCATTTTCCTTCATCAAGATTGTCGGCCAGCTCCATCCGCATGCTGGCGAAGTGACTCTTGGAGTTCGAGTGTCATGTCGTGGTTGCCATAGGTAGACCGCATTTGGAGGTTAGGCTTTAGCTACGCTTTGGCTGCACGTTCGCCCACAGCCTGTTACCTTTAAGCAGGAAATCAATCACACTGTGGTGATATGAGGTTTAGACACACGCAAATCGCCTGCCCGGCTGCGAGACAGCGGTATGAATGTCGAACCGTGGCTGCCATAAGGCTGGTCAAGACGTTTGAGCGAAGCGGCTCGCTGTCGAAAACATGCCCGAGAAAGTATTTCCGGAGCTACGGGAGCGGGCCCTTGCGGCTTGCTGCGATTGGCCCTGGCATGATGCCATACCGCGCTGGCGGAAATGTTCTGGACACACGAGATCAGGTTAGAAATCACTTGTCGCCATTCTCTTCTCAGCATTTGCGACACGGCCTTTGGAAGGTTCGGAACACTGTCGGTCTGATCGGCGCAGCGCTGACACGAGGTGCTGAGCGATCTCTATTCTATTCATTGCTGGAAGAACAGATATTGGTGGCGCCGTGAGAAATATCACTATTCCACGGTTCCTCCTCATAAAACTTCCACCGAGGCCCACGCATATCACCCATCGCCAAGCTGTTTTCACGAGCCTTCCGTGCCGCGAGGCCACTGAGATCAAGCGTATCGATTCCTTTCGTAGCCGCCTCATCCCTCTACCGCCCAAGTCCTGCGAACCCAGCCAGCAGCGCGACCATCACCGCCACGCCGGCCACTGCGGCCCAGCAAACGCGTAGCATGCACCGCAAACTTGTCATCATCGGCTCCGGCCCAGCAGGCCACACTGCCGCCATCTACGCCTCCCGCGCCGACCTCCAACCCATCCTATACGAAGGTTTCCTCGCGCTAGGCATAGCCGCCGGTGGACAGTTGACCACCACCGACGAAGTCGAAAACTACCCCGGGTATAAATACATCAAGGGCTCGGAGCTCATGGACAACATGCGCGCCCAGAGTGAGGCCTGCGGCACCGAGATCGTAAGCCAAACGGTCGGCAAGGTGGACCTGAGCAAGCGGCCCTTCAAGTACTGGCTGCATCCTATGGGTGACGAGGAGACTTTGGAGGAGGAGACGCACACCGCTGATGCGATCGTAATCGCCACGGGAGCGAAGGCAAGAAGACTGGACCTGGCAGGTGAAGAAAAGTATTGGGGCAATGGTGTGTCAGCTTGCGCGGTATGCGATGGCTCATTGCCGATCTTCCGAGAGAAGCCGCTAGTGGTGATCGGTGGCGGCGATAGCGCGGTGGAGGAGGCGTCATATCTTGCAAAGAAGGCGAGCAAGGTGACCGTGCTGGTGCGGCGAGATGTGCTGCGCGCGAGCAAGGCGAATGCGCGGCGCTTGTCGTCGAACCCGAAGATAGAAGTTCAGTACAACACACAAGGTGTGGAGGTTAAGGGCGATGAGGGTCCAAGAGGTCTGATGAGGAGTCTCGTCATCAAGAACAGTAGGACCGGCAAAACTGAGGAGATTCCGGCGAACGGTTTGTTCTACGCTGTTGGGCACGAGCCTGCAACTCACCTCTTCAACAACCAGCTGAAGATGGACGAGGATGGGTATCTTATCACCACACCCGGAACGACAGAGACGAGTGTGCCCGGTGTCTTCGCGGCGGGCGATGTGCAAGACAAGAAGTATCGGCAGGCTATTACCTCAGCAGGTGTGTTACTCACCGACTGCCAGTCGTTTTCGGGTGGGTACTGACGAAGATGATAGGCTCTGGCTGCATGGCAGCGCTCGAAGCTGAGAAGTTCCTTGCTGAGCAGGACGATGTTGATGTGCCCAACGGCATCGACGGCGAGACGCAGGTGAAGAAGGGCAAGCCGGAGGCGAATGGCGATGTACCGGAGTATAAAGAGAATCCGTTATTGTAAGAGCGAAGATACCCAACCCTTGCCTACTTTGGATCCTTGGGCGCTGATTAATGGCTTCAGAGTCGATAGAACAAGGTCATAGAAGGGCCGTGGAAGTATCTGATATGTGGAATATTTATACATACCTGACCAATGTCATGCGGACGGCTTAGAATCCGGATCTGCTGGGCTTGGGTTGTGAGGGATTCTGTCCTGCCCGTAGCGGAGCAATGATTGCAGGGTATCTTGCATACATAGAATCAACGCTTGAACGCTTTCAAACCCGTACAATGTGTCTCTGACGGGTTTGCTTCAGTCATTGCATCGTACAGCGTGCGCTGTGGAAGTCGTAAGCTTCATATGAAGTTTCGGCTGCTTTGCACACGTGTGACTGTCTATCAGTGGGTCGTGGCTGAGACTGCTTGACAGCACCCTCGAGGCGCCGAGTCGGATGTTGAGACTGATCGTCGTTGTTCCGAGCTGCAGCGGTAGCTTTGCAGGTGTGAGACTCGTACAATAGCTTAGTCACAGCTGAGAGAACGGTCACTGATGGACCACTCTAAGCTCCTAACAGTTGAAGCGCACTCTTGAAAGCCTCGACTACTTTGATGTCTGTATGAGGATTAGTGAAGCATTTCGCCGGTCGAAACTCCCGTTGGATACATACAATGCTCCCGCTTCTGTTCAAGCTCAAGTTCTTCGTGCTGAACGAACGTTACCTGGGTCTTCAGGCGCTTAAAACTACGGTCGACTTCATGTATCTGCGATGTTGCGGCCCAACACGCGAAGAACTGATCGGTCAGCTTAGCGAAGACTTGGATAAGACAGAAACATACTTCGCAAAGCTGATTGAACTCTGTGAAGATAGCAGCTTCTCTGGCAGTAAGCTCTTTCATTTTGTTATGGTAGCGCTCTTGTAGGTCTTCCCAGTGGTATTCAGCAATCTTGTCCTCCGGCTCATCAGTAAGAGCCGCGTAGTTATCGTCCAGGTCATCCGTGTCTGGGATGGTGTCTCCGCTTTCAGGATTGGTTTGGACATCCACATCAGGCTCGCGGTCCGTATCCGGCGGAGCTGGCTGCGGGTTTGGTACTTTCTGACTTCCCTGGCCTGAACGAGGAAGGATTTGAGTCTGTGCCGGCTTCTCAGGTGGAGCCATCTTTTCCAGTGTAGTCAACGACGGCGGCATTGAGATAGTATGAGCAGGTGAGCTTGGCGGCAGGGCTGTATGGTAATTCGACGGCGGGGCTGGAGAAGCATGCACTTCTTCAACGTCAACTACGGTCTGGGAGCTATTCATTCTGACGCGATCCTCTAATGCTATATCCTCGCGTGACCGCTTCTTCGCAGCCGCCATATCAATTGCGTCAGGCGCGGTGTTGAACGCGACTGTGGCCGAACTTGGAGGAGACTGAGTGGGCAGGGAAGATGTCTGTATGTCGTCCTCACCTACGCAAAACTCGTCGACAAGGTGTTCCGCCCGCTCACTCGACATTGTCTGAAGATGCACCGCGAGACAAGATGAAGGTAACCTCTAGCTGAGTACAGGTGGTGCTTGCCGCCTGCCCACAGCGCACGGACTTCGTCGCGGTTCTTGCACCCGATCACGTGGACTCTCAGAACAAGCGACAGGACACAAAAGGCGGGTGACGGGATACGAAGCTGATAACGTGATTTGAGCGAAAGTAAGTAAGATGCACGGATGCAAGTAAGTTATCGTGTGAATACACCCGTGCGTCGGTCAACGATCATGAATGTATAGCGCTCCGCATGCGCCCTCACTGTGCAGCGATCAATCAGCAGTGCCATCGTGCTCGCTTCAAGCACGATCCAGCACCACGCAACTGCTCGTATTGGTCCTTCGCTTGCTCAAACCCAACAAAGCTACGCTGGCGATAGCACCACTATGCTCAGCAGCTCCACTCAGCGGCAGACGACTCGTCGCATATTCTTTTCGTATACGCCTCGCCTCGAGATCCCATTCTTGTACCTTGGTATCCCATTCCCGGCGTATCTTATCCGCCACCTCTTGTGCCACCCGACTCTCCGCCATGTACGGCTCCTTCTCCACCTCAGATGCAGCGCGCCACCACTGTCCAAGGGTGGCGCGTATGGCGTCGCGGCCCGCCGAGGGATTGTTCGAACTACACGAGTTCTTACACTTCTCCCAGTTGGCCTTGGTCCACAGCAGGAAAGGGTTCACACCTGGTCGCTTCGGCTTGACGGGCCGTTCGCCAATCTGGCTTAGGATCACGTTCGTGATTTCTGAATCGTTACCGAAGTCAGGGGCGCTGTGTGCGGCTGGTTGCACCCAAAATGAGTTATCACTGGGGCACACGCTCTGCTGAGGCGGACCAGCTGGCTTCTTGTGCGACGTATATATCGGCGCGAGAGGGACGCTAGCGAGCACGATAGTGTCGTCCTCTTGCTTGATGATGGGCTCAGCATGAATCACGGCTGCCGGTGCATTGACTGTAATGCTGCCTGGGTAAACAGCAGCGTGCGGTATGCCAATGGTGTCAAAGCTCCTGTAAGCCGTGAGCTGATGCTGTCTTGGCACTTCAGTCTTAACAGGAGAAGATCCAACAAGCGGAGTTGGTAGGGTGACTGGACCAGCGAGCGAAGTCATAACATCAGCAGCGACTCGCAGGCCGGATAGGAAGGCGCCATGCACGGTCGCAGGATGTGTGCCGCAGGTCGCCTCGCCAGCAAAGTGAAGATTGCCAACCGGCTCCGCCATAAGGTCATAGTCACCTGGCCTCGTTTCTGGGGCGACGTAGGAGTACGTGCCTCTTGTGAAAGGGTCGCGCTTCCACCTCGTGACGATTACTTCGATCGGTGCCGGAACCTTGTCTTCGCCGAAAGCGTCTCTTAAACGGCGATTGATATCGGCCAGCAGCGTATTGGTATCTGTTTGCTCTGCCTCGTGCGCTGAGTGTCCTGACATAAGCGCCACTAACATTGGTCTGCCGCTGGTCATGGTAGCATTCCATATCAGGTAGAAGCGTCCTCTGCTCTTAGCATAGTCGTCCGGGTCGAGGCTGCCTCTGCGCTCAGCTTCATTGAGCAGACCAAACATATCACGGCCGTTATCCCAGAAAGCTTTGTCGTAGAGCAGGACGAGCTGTGGCACGACGTTAGCACTGTTACGACGTTTGGTTTGCAGGTAGCAAACCTTATTGAGCAGGCCAAAGCCTAGCCGGTCAATCGCGCCGTATTTCCAGTCCGGAAGAGGTGGGTCGAAGTCGACCATGTCAGACTTGAGTACGCCTAATGGGGTGGTTATGATGACCTCATCTGCCTCGTACACCTCGCCGTTGGTGCAAACCACTTTCGTTGCAACCTTGTCATCGCTATCAGCTTTGTAGTGTATGCTGTCCACCACTCGCTCGAAGCGTACATCGAGCTGTGTTGGCAAGGTCATCAGCCCTATTGGTAACTGGCTGTATCCGCCAATGATCTCGGAATGAGCGCCCTCAAACTCGTTGCCTGTATCCTGATCATGACCGGACAAGCTCAACGAGGATACCGGGGCCGCGTTGGCGTATTCGAGATTCGCGTGGTGCCAATTCAGTAGTCGCATGTCCTGCGCTGTTAGGTCGATGAGGTCCCGATACTGCTCGATCGCTTCGTCCATTACAGCGCCAAGTGTAGGATATGCACTTGACCGAGCCACCTTATGCAGCGAAATCGACTGATTCTTCGCGATACCCTCTTTGAGCTGCCAGCCCATTGTCTTCGCCGCCCGCGCTGCGCTCAATGTTGCATCGCTTTCTTCGATCACCCGACTTCTACCCGTAAGCTTCTCGGTGCCCGACGGCGCATTGCGTCGTCTCCCTCTTCTCAACACAGGCTTCCGGGGCTTCGCATTTTCTAGCGGAATAAGCGGTTCGAGCTGAAAGTTCTCGTAGCCGCCTGCTATGGGGTCTCTTGCACGATCGATGAGCTCTTCATCACCCTTCAATGTGTTGAAATTCTGCGCCATCGCACGATACTCACCCGCTCTGTCGGATATGTCGGTGTAGAGCTCCGTGTTGATCATGTCCTTCTTCTGATCAATAGCCTTGCCGTCACAGTCGTAGATCGTGAGCTCGTCCGTCATAAGATGGTACGCAAGACCGAGCTGTCCGCGGATGACGGTGTCCAATGGGTTGCCGTGCTCGAAGCCTGTGACAATCATGGCACCCATCTCTACGGTGTTGCGCAGACCTTGAGGTAAGGTTTCGGCGGACTGGCTCCGGAGAGGCTTTGAATACACCCGTCCGCCGATGCGCTTCCGTCCTTCCAATACTACCACATGCGGGGGCCTCTCGCCTATGTCAGTCCACCGTTCTGACTGCTGCGCAAAGAGGCCTTCCAGCTGACGTGCCGTTGTCAGGCCGGCGACACCGGCGCCGATAACCACGACCGTTTTCTGGCTGGCAGTCTTCTTTGGAGGCGTTGGGTCTCGTGGCACCTCAGTGCAGCCAAAGTTGATATAGCCATGTCGTACGAGCCACTTGTACGCAACTTCAGCCAAACCGAAGAATCGACCGTCTTTCGCGCAGCCTGCGGCTTCTTCAACGGTCACAGAACAGAGCGGGTTCTGCAGCCACAGTCGCAGTAGCGCATTGCGAATATTGAGGTATACCGTGACCTCGGTATTCATTAGAACGTTTACCAGCAGCCGGTGCTCGCTAGGATGTAACGCATAAGGATCCAGTCTAGAAGCGTATGCGGCTTCAACGCATTCACTGGCGAAGACGTCTTTGGGCAGGCTTGTCGGGAGTGATGAGCGTGGCCGTACCTTCTCGTGCAGACGTGAGATCTCGGAAGCTCTGCGTGGCCTGCCAGTAGAGACGGCAATTGCTGATTTGTCTTTCGGCGGCCTCCCCCTACGCTTCGGTTCTGTAATCAACTGTGCTTTTGGTGGCTGAGTCTCTGCATTCGTTCTACTGCTTGACACTGACGCCGATGGAGGGTCCAGCTCGTCGTTACTCGTCACAGCATCTGCTTTGAATGTACCGTCTGACATACGCTTCCTGCATATGATGGAGTCCGCTTGAGGTGTCGACAATGTATCGTCGGCGGCAACAGACGAGCAGATGGACGATATGCCGGTGCTGGTGGCGGACTCCGAAGTGCCATATCTCCGCCATATGCCGTTCGTATCGAAGCCCCAACGGCCTTTGTCCTCTGACGAGTTACGATCGAACAGATCAGTACTGGAAGATGACAAGCTTGAGTCATCATCCTCGGGAATGATCGTGGGCTGAATGTTCGCTTTGAGCCTTGATATCGTGACCAAGCGTGCGGCGTCGAGACTGATATCGCCACGCTGAGCCATTGAGACAGCCATTGATGTCCCGATCTTGTTGTATTCAGTCACATAGCTCGCAAGCCTATTGTTCTTAGGTGCTTGCCGCCGTCCTTAATGCCAATTGGCGTACAATGTTGTCGATCGGATTGGCTGACCGAGTGTCGGGAAGTGCCGGATACACCGAGGGACGAAGGCCAGATGAAACGAAAGACTGAGGCAGCTTAACGACAGTCAAATTCTTGAATAACCGCACTCCGTGCAGATATTGCCAGATATTGCACGTCGCTCAACCGTTGTCGCCCTGGGCATGGAAAGCAACGCATGACCTGGCGGGAATGGGCCTTGCTTCTCGTTCCCCACTCCGTTTTGCGCTCCTTTCGGCAAGCGTCTGCACTCGACTTCACTTCTTCAGCAGAGTCTTCATGAGATCGGTTTCGCCACGCCAGCGGCATCTTACCATCAAGGTCGAATGACAACGGTTTTCAATGAGATCCTTGTGCGCTTAGTCCTCCATATCGGCGAATTTAAGAGGCGGCGATACAGATGGGCGGTGCCATCGCTAGCAGAACACTTGTGATATTGGAGCCTTATCGCATAGCATCCTCGCAAGAAACGCAAGCCTTCCAGTCGTGCAATGTGCTCATGCACCCGTTGTTATGCGGTAGCATTCCGTCGATGGCCTTGTGAAAAGGCTGCATGTTGTCCGCTCTGTGGCGGAAGAGCGAAGGTTTAGCAGGAATATCTCCCACGTCAACTGTCCTTTTCCTGTTCGCTTAATGCCATTAGCTGGAATTTGAGCCGAGCATTGTGTTGATAACATATAGTTTCTCCCGATCAGCCTCCACGTGCTCTGGTGAGCTTACCTTCTCCGCCCTTCTGAACAAGCTTCACTGACAAGTGGCAGGTTATGTCTGTGGCCTTTTACCGCCGCCTCAAGATCTGCAGGCGACCGCTACTTAGCATGCCTTACTCGTAGCAGCGCCTGAATATCACACCATTGGCCACAAGGTGGATACCGGGAAAGGGCGCATTACACTTCGGCGGCTTATTTCGATGCTGCATAAGGACGTTTGGAATATCACAATGAAATCACTTGCTGCAAAACATGGCGTGGTTCAACCACAACTGGTCGTCGATCTGCTCATGGAGTCAGATGATTGACATCTCGGCGACGGCGGCGGAGTAGGTTAAGAATCCATCTGCGGTACTAGATGACATTGTCCACCACAGCCTACTTTTTTCCAAGAGCGAAGCTGACGAGCATGTCAACACACTTCCGCATGAGCTGCTTTACATTCCTGCCAGACCTCACCATCACCTGGGTGCGCGGTCGCACTTGCCTTTCCTCTTTTCGACCAAATACCTTTTCTCGCCAAGTATTATCTCTGATGTGTCTCAACGTTCTGGAAAGGGATAGGCCATGAAGTCGTGAGCAGGATCCGTCCTAGTGCAAATACGTTGACATTGATAATTGTAGTACCATTCCTGCCACCGGTCGTTCACGAGGTCAATCTCCTCAGTGAGGAAGGCACTACGTCACTGCACAAACTCGGTTCAACAGAGCGATCAGCCGACTCGAATTCACCAACTGCGAGCTGATCTTAGCAGGCGACAACGACATTCGTCGTACGACACTGCACCATCATTATCACAGCACCAGCCAGTGAGGAAACGGTGTTACTAGTCGCAGCACAACATCAGCTATTAGCCAGCATCACGATGGCCAACGACAAAGCAGCAGCTGCACGCGCTGCAAAGGCAGCGAAGGCTGTGAAAGCCAGGGCCGCAAGAGCACACCCTCCAATCAAGAAGGCCGGCTTGCAGCTGAGGATGATCAAGGATGACCTAAAGGACGAGGCGGTCAAGTGCGAGTGCACGAGAGGTCGGCGGACCAAGGGTCAGTCCGTTGTCTGGTGCAAAGTGTGCGAAATGTGGCTGCACATGAACTGCATGGTTGGAGAGGACAAGACCTTCAATGCATCCGAGAGTGTCCACGGATTTACGTGCCGACCGTGCAAGGCAGCACTTCGCAGTGCGTCGGCTAAGGTGGGGTACCAGACGATGCTGGCAAGGAGGCGCCGTGAAGGCACGACAGCAGGAGAGGGTTCGACTTGGCGTGCCGCGCGGACTCAGAAGAATTCATATCAAGCCGAAAGCAAAGTTCAGGTCACCGCGCCGACCCCGCCAACCCCACCGCCCAAGCTACATGTACGTAAAAGCAGCGATTTCAAAGTGGCTTCCACCAAAGCGCGGGGTGCAGCTTCGAACAATGTAATCGCAAACAGCAAGCCCGACAACGTGGAAGAAGATCCAAGCTACGGCCAAGCAGTAGTGAGTTGCGAGGCCGAAGACGCCGACGACATCATACCCGACGACTCCGCATCGCAACAAGGCACGTCGCTCATCGCGAACCCCTACCAAAAAGTTATCGACGAGTGGGCTACCTCCACAGAACTCCCGCAAATATTCTGCGCGTGCGCCGACGGGCCTGCAGGCAAGCTTGAGGAGTACTACCTGTGCGTCCACTGCAAGCGACTTCAACATAAAGTGTGTGCGCCCGAGCCTGAGGAGGACATGGTCGGCTACGGCAGTCTGTGTGAAGAGTGCCGCGCCGTCCGTCTGGAGAAGATGGTGCGCCTGTACAAAGACATACAAGACCAAGCTTACAACGATCTTCGCGAACTTGAGGAGGAGAAGGCAAAAGCCGTCCGGATCCGCGAACAGAAACTGCGGACCATCATTGTGACGAAGATGTGGAAGGACTACTGCATGCAGCCCGACGGCATGGCGAGCTCAGCCATCAGGGAGCTAACCAGCACTTTCCTGGATACCGAGACTGGCACCAACTTACCGATTCATCCTGCTCCGAATGAGTGGGCTGATGAAATGCTCTCGTGCATTCACAAGATGCTGGCGGTCTGCAGCAACAAGACTTTGCTCAGCGTGACTGGCGCGCATAAAGAGGGTCTCAGCCTTGGGCATCCGGAGCAGCTGAAGAAAGGTTTGAGTGACTTGGCAGTCTTGACAAAGTACGGTGCGTACAAGGGCAAAGATGAAGAGCTCGGGGTGTTTGCCGAGGCGGTGGGCCTTGTCCCGAAAGGTACCTTTTGGAAGGGTTGAATCACGACGAAACGTCAGCAGCACAGGACGTGGAGGAAGCAAGTTGGGGTCACGGCATGTCAGGGGCAAGGCTATGCCATCAGCGTAGCGGAAGACCAGAAGAAAGGCTTCGCGTCATGCGAACAACAGTTGTAGGCTAGCGAGCATTGTAAGTTATCAGCTTGATGTACGCTATTGCCGCTCCATTGACTGTCGAACGCTTTCATCTCTCCTCACAAACCCGCCGAAACTGCCGACATCGCGGCGAAAGAACTTCCCGATGCTCTTTAGGTTCTCGTTCAAGCTAGCAGGTTGCACCTTCTCGCCGTCGCCATTCATGCCCTTTCCGCCTGGCGGGCTGGTAGTCCGACTAGCAGTCTGCGAAGTCACCCCGCCAATACTGCCACTGACACCTAGATGCGGGCTCCCGAACCTATCACCGGCATCCCTCGCGGCATTGACGATGGCGGTCCCAAAGCTCGCTGGGTCGAAGCGGACGGGTAGAGAGGGTGTTGAGTGCGCCACAGCGCTGTCCTTGAGTGCCACTAGACTACCAGCCGCAGCTAAAGGCGGTATTGCTAGCTGCAAAGATGCGATGAGCGGGTTGCTCGCCTGCAACCCTTCGTTTGCGGGGCTTGCTTTATGGGCGTTGAAAAGCTCGACTAAGTGGCTTTGGTCTTGCTTGCGGCTGATGCCCTTAAGTTCGAGGATTTTGCGGAAGTTATTCTCGGATGCGTCTCGGATGTGGATCAGGTAGGCTTGTACCAGTCCTTCTGCGGGTGACGAGCGCACCTGCAGCGTCTTGAGCAAAGTGTCCAGTTTTGCGGTGCTTTGGTTGACGCGCTTGATAAAGGCTTGGTTGGGAGGTGCTCCCGGTTCGGCGTTGCCGGAGCCGAGACCTTGGAAGCCTTTCTTGAGGACGTAGGAATCGAGCAGCAACTGCTCAGCGCCAGTTTCCGAGATCGGTTTAATCGCGGCGATGTTCGTGATATATGTGCTGATGATGCTGTCCACAAGATGGTCACAGTAAGCTCGCGCGTACTGTGGCTTGTGCAGATACCGAAGGATCTCTCTACTTCGATCTTGAAGGCGCTGGAGGAGCACAGAAACGTAGCTGCTCTGGTCACCGACGGTCTCCATCTTACTCCATGCTACTGCTCGCATCTCGCGCCAGGCTGGTTCGCAGTCAAGCTCCGTCTTATGCACTAGTGCTCTCACAGCTGCTGAAGCCACGCCCATGAAAGCATCCGCCTGGGACTGCATGTCCACCTTGTCACGCAAATCCTCGTCGATACGCTGTCTAATCTTGTCTTCCAGCTGGTTGGTCGTTTGATAGCAGTAGTCAGCTGTGTTCAGTATGATGACAGCGCCCTCCACTGACGGTCCGCCGGTCTTCTCCGCAAGATGATAGAAGAGTACCTGCTGCGAGTAGGCATCCAGATATTTCCCGAAGGTTTGCGACAACTCGAGCAATCTCCCACCCGTGGAAAGTTTTGCACACTGCGCGAGCGTGACTCTGTACTGGTGGAAAAGCTCGGTCGAGGAAGGTATGACCAATTGCGGGTGGAACTCTTCGTCCGGCTGCTTGATGGGTTGTTGTCGGTATTTGGGAATGAGCGTGGCCAGCTGCCTGTCCTGCGACTCCACCCAGACGCTGAGGTACGGCTCGAATGCCTCGGAGATGGCTTGACTGAAGCTTTGCCGCTTCTCATCGCCGGAAGTGACGGTGTCCATAGAGGAGCGCGACTCGCCGGCCGCAAAACGGCGTTCCAGGGTGTGCTCGAAGTCAAGCGTTTCTTGTAGGCACGATAGTAACAGGTTGACGTCCGGTGGCTGGCCGTCTGTCCTCCGCATAGAGCGCTGCAGGATGCCTTTGTAATCCTCTCTGGTTGTCTCACAGAACGCATTTGCCAACATCTCATTCACGCGCCAATGCGGAGGAAACAGTATCGCATGTTCGGCGTCGTAGCTCTTCAGCATCCGATTGAACCAGCTGTAGCGCCGGGAGATGTTGTCCAGAGACCCGGCTTCATCGTTGCCTCTGAAAACCTGTCGATACTCTCGAAGCTGTGTGTTGCAGTACCATGTGATCAAGCGAGATTTGGCATGCTCACCCAGCGCATCCATAACCTCACACGCCTCCTTCAGCATACCACGCTTCTGCTGCACTTCTCCCTTTGCGAACGTGACCTCGAAGTCTTCACACACCTGTTCGAGCAGCTCCCGCTGTACATCGGCGACATTCTTGCTAAGCTCAGCAATTTGGTCTATGCTTCTGTAACTCTTAAAGTGAGCCATGAGCTGTATCACGGCCTGCAGCAAGTGCGCGCATTCACGGTACTGCTTCGTCTGGCTTAGGCCTCGAAGCTGCTCGTATGCGGTCGTGAGCATCTGAAGTCTTTTCAATGCAGTCATGGAAAGTGTAAGATTTCTCTTAGTACTATCCAGCCGCTTGATGTCCGCTGTCATCTCGGTGATGGCGCGCTCGGTTTCCAGCGCTCGCTGTCGTACACCCTCAATCTTCGAAAAGAGCTGCTCCAACTCCGCCTTGGCATCCTGCATGCGCCGGACACTGTCTCCGTCTGAGGTAGTTTGCGCAGTAACCAGCGCTGATATGTCGCGGTCGAGGCCATCTTGGTGTTGTTGGAGCGAGGCCAACACTGTAGGTACTGTCGAGAGCGCAGAGTGGTGTGAAAAGACAGCGTTAAGGTGGTCGATAGGGTCGTAGTCCACTTTGCGGTGTCAGCACGGTGTATATCAAGGTTGGGGATTGTCACGCTACCAGCATCTAACGCATCAGGCTGTATTGTCCCATTCGCTTGCGGCATGGAGAAAAAGTCAGGACACGGTTAGGATGTTGTCGGTTGATCATACTGCAGTGCAGCTTATGATGCTGCACGGTATGTGCATACTCAAATGCATAGCATTGCCCGAAAGCCTTCATGTGAACAGGGAACACATCCGCCAAAACATATCAGCCAATCGGAACGAAGTATGCGCTTCCGTCCAAACCTTTAACGGCACACAGGCGACAACAACAGCGATGCCACCGTTCCATTCGAACGAGGCTGAACGGTGAAAGCACAAACTTTGGTGCGACAGTCTCCTCAGCCTACGATGCAACATCCATACCACTGCCTTGTTCCCATCACAGCCCAAGGCGACGGGGCGAAGTCTCTTCTGCTGCTGGCATGTGGTTCCAATCTGATATTGGCATCCACAATGAATGGCTCAATCATTTCAATGTGGACGTCCGATCCAGGGGTATGTCCAGCTGCCTTGAGGTCTCCTCAGGTCTGCTGACTAGGTCTCCAGGCAGAGTATACCAGTATTGAAAGTGGCTGAGACGCATCTAGGTCCTGTTGGCTACCGAACCGGGCAGTGGCGGAGGGGACGAAGATGGTCGTCGTAAGAAACGTCAGAGGATTGGTACCAAATCAGGTGCATCGCCTAGGATTGTCAAACTCGCCGTCTCGCCTCACGGTCAACATGCTGTCGCAGTAACAGACGACAAATGCCTACGAGTTTTCGACATCAAGAACGACGTCCTTACCGAGGTCAGCCAACGCACAATGCCAAAGCGTCCTTGTGCGGTCAAGATCCTCCCCGACAACGCGACTATCCTCTCTGCCGATAAGTTCGGCGATGTGTATTCCCTGCCCCTTCTGCCGTCAGAACCAGATTCAAGCCATGCGGCTTCCGGAGAAGACCCGTTCCCGGAGACGCAGAAAGCAGCCTTCAAACCTTCTGCGACAAACCTCACAGTACACACCAAGCGCAACCGTAAAGCGCTTGAAGCGCAATTGAAACAGAAAAGCTTCACTGCCAAGAAGGAAGCTCTAAAGTTCGAGCACAAGCTTCTGCTCGGACACGTGTCTATGCTTACTGACATGAGGTATGCGACTAGAGAAGTTGATGGCAGAGAACGAAGCTATATCATTACTGCAGACAGAGACGAGCACATCCGTGTTTCGAGAGGCTTACCACATACTCACGTCATCGAAGGCTATTGTCTCGGTCACAGCGAGTATGTAAGCAAGCTGTGTCTCGTTCCTGGCACAGACCTCTTAGTGTCAGGTGGCGGCGACGACTGGTTGGGGGTGTGGAATTGGACGACTTTCGCGCTGCGGCATAAACTGCAGCTTCCAAGAGGAGCCATAGCCTCCTATGCAGCAAGCACCAGCGCAGTAGCCAGTGAACGAACGGTAGATGACGCTAAGGATACCCTGGCCATCAATGTCTCCGGTCTCTGGACAGTCCCCTACATGGACTCAAGCGGCAACCATGAGATCGCTGTAGCAGTAGGCTGTGAGCGGACTCCGTTGCTGTTTTTGGTGCGTTCGTCCAGCTTGCAATCATCTGAAGCAGACTCGCTACTGTTCACGAAGCTCGAGCTACCGGCTCCTCCGCTAGACGTAGTCTGCTCTGAAAACTCTGTGATAATCTCCATCGACAATCGTCAGAGCGAAAGTGAACGCTTGAAGGCTTATAAGATCAGCGAGGACGACGTTGGCTTGGGATATCAGTTGCGCATTGAACCGGACGCAGCATGGAACACGAGACTAAAGTGCTTGAATGACGCGGAGCAGGAGCAGCATTGTGACGACGAATCGGTGGACGAACTCTTGTACTCTGTGGCAACGTTGCGGAAGAGGAGAGCATGGTCATCCAAGCAGGGTGAGTATGGGGACGAAGATCCCACAAACGACCTTACGGAGGCTGGAGATGACATTGCGGAGTAAGGTAAAGCACTCATGCAACTAATCAACAGCAATGACTACGCTCCGGGGCTCGTAGCACCCTCGCGCATCTGCATCCCTTCCTTCATCCGCATGAAACAATTGCTGTATGCCTCGTGGATACGCGGCACATTCACATCGTACCCTTGACCCTGGAACCCCTTCACCAACCCCATCAACTTCGAACAATCCAGCTCGCAGTTGCTCCTGTCCGCTTTTATCACCCTGGCTTGCTCGTCCAATGTAAAGTTCTTCCACATATAGGACGGATCTACAATCTCCTTGTACAGCGTCAAAACCTCGTTGTGGCTGATTGCGCCTGGATTCGTGAAGTTCAGTACGCCCGTCACGCGGCTTTCTGCCAACGGCACGATCAGGGGCAACAAGTCGTGTAGAATGCTGTTGCTATTTGGCACGTTCACTACATGAGCATAGCGCATGATCTTGGTGACAAAGTTGCGTGGGTGGAGGTCATCAGAGACTGGCATACGAAGGCGCAGGACTAGGATGTTGGGGTAGACCTTGAGGATGTCCTCAACGCGAGACTTTGCGTAAGAGTAAAAGCTGCCCTCGAAGTTGGCACGGTCGGTCTCGATGAATGGCTGGCTGGTGAGACGAGTTTTGTCCAGAGTATAATCCGAGGCGTATATGCCTGCGACCCGATCAGTACGAACCTCCAACTCGACATTGAGCGGGTTGTGAAGGAAGGGAAGCTTACAGCCCGTCGCCATGACAATATTATGGATGTCACGTTTGAAGCACTCGTTCGCCAAGGTGAGTGTACCTAGCACGTTTGCTTGGATCGTCTCGATCTTGTTGTCTTCGCACCAGTCAACATTCGGACGACCGTTTTTGCCCGCACAGTTGATGACATGAGTAGGCTTCACATTATCGAGGACTTTGCAAACTTCGCTTTGGTCCTCCATGCGCGTGCCGGTAACATGGACGTCTTTGCTCTGGCGGCGGAGGAGCGACTCGAGATGACCAGCAACCCATCCTCCCTTGCCCCAGATCAGGTAACGACAGGGGCGATGGCCGTTGAATCCGTCCATAGCAGTGGCCGTCAGAGGTAGCCAGGACATTATCTGGGTATTGCAGAGTGTGGAAAGCTCGGAACACCTAGAGAACGCGGAGGACTGCGCGGCTGTCAAGAAAGGGCACTGTGCAGAAGCAAGGCACCGTGGCAATAAAGCAAGGGGCTGCACATAGCCACATCGCATACCAATGCTGCATAAGTTCACCGCTTCTTCATGGTTACAACCGTATAGCTGCCATATCGTCAGATATCCGAGCGTGCCGTGTGTGTTCTAGTACTCACGCGATGATGCCGCCGACAGCGAGCACAATCCCAATCAAGCTGCCGTCTCGTAACGGTTTCTTGCTACACATCCAGCCAATTGCGATGATGAGGCAAGTCTTAGCATGCCCAACCACACTGCTTGCTACAGGTCCAGCACCGTCTATGATGAGGAATTGCGAGATATGCAAAAGGCAGGCAAACGCGCCACTCTAGCCTAAAGTCAGCGAAGGCATGTGCGATCTACAACTTTGCAACTCATACCATCAATATGACTGCCCACGTGGATGCCGATACATTCCGCCAAACGGTCAAATCGTCTATCAAAGGCATCACATAAAGCATGACCAGCACGCTGGCTGGTGCCTGATTGAGCAGCAGCTGTGCACTTTGACAGCCGGTAAGCTCGTGGTACTTCTTGATCAGCACCGTGTATGTTGCTGTTGCGCAGATGCTGATAAGTGCGAAGAAGACACCAAGAGGTCCAGTACCTCGCGTGGTGTCCTTGGCTTTGGAGGCAGTGTCGAAGTATGAAGTAATCGCTACACCCGCGCAGACCGGGACAAGCGTTAGTGCTGCAGCCGCCGGCATGCGTTTCTTCAGCAGCCAGAGGTCGAGTAGCGCGGTGCAAGGCGTGACCAGTACTCTAGCAACCTGGTAGAATTGGATGCTCGAAAACGCCAGAGAGGCATTTGTGAGAACGACACTCAAGTTCATAGAGAGTGCTAGCGGCAGTATCTGCCAGAAACTGACCGCCTTGCGCTGGAACATATTGACGGGTGGTGCAGACACTGCGTATAGTGTTGCTGCCGTGATTGTGAAGTGCAGGTTCGCAAATGTAACTTGAGCACGTCGCAGGGCGTCGTCTTCGAATATACGCTTGTTAACGAATACCTGAGCATGATTAACAGTGCTCGAACATGAGCATTTGGACACTTACCAGTCCGACGGCTGCTGCTGTGTTGATGCTGACACTGAAGACATACTTACGACTAATGCCGGATGAGACAGCTCTCAGCTTTGTCGTCGACGGGTCTTCTTGTGAAAGGAAGGCTTGCATTTCTCCTGCCTCCTCCTCATTCTCCGCCATGATCTCTGCCTTCTCGGAGTCCATGGTTGCGTGCAATCGCGTAGAGTCTCCGACCTCTGGAGAAGAACTGGAAGAATCTTGCCAAGACAGTCCGCTGCTGCATTCCATCGGTGGGAATGACTCCCTTGCTCGGACGTAGTTCAAGCCCTTCGCTTTGCGACCACAGGAGGAACCCTCTCGCCAGAGCCATCATGGTCGTAGAATCTGCAGATTGGAGCGCAACAGGTGGGCTTCGATGAATCCAAAGTTGCTAGGACACCACTAAGCTGACTTCAACTTTAAGTGCAATCCAGCTTAGAGTCGCGCTTCTTCGTCGACGACGGCATATGGCGCGAAGCGCCGCTGTTGACGGGGAAGGGAGGCTTCGAGCCGCTGCCAGATGTGAGGAACATTCTCGTCACAGGCGGCGAAGGCTTCATGTGCGTGGTTCTCGTTCGGCTGGTCGTTTGTCGCTGACCCGGCGAAAGAGCGTCATGGGTTGTTCGACATCTCGTGTGCAAGTACCCGGATGCATACAATGTCGTCTCGTTTGATAAGCTTGACTATTGCAGCTCTCTGAACAATGCCCGGATGCTAGAAAGTCGGCCAAACTTCTCATTCTTCCATGGCGACCTCACTCAACCAGATAGCGTCCTGAAGTGCTTGGAGAAGTACCACATCGACACCGTCTTCCACCTGGCCGCCCAAAGCCATGTCGACCTTAGCTTCGGTAACTCGTACAGTTTCACCAAGAACAATGTCCTCGGTACGCATGTACTGCTGGAAAGTACAATTGCTGTGAAGACGGTGAAACGCTTCTTCCACATTTCAACGGATGAGGTACGAGTAGAGAGGAAATAGTCGAGGAGAGCATACTCACCCGGCTTTGGCAGGTATACGGTGAAGTGGACAAAGACGCAGCAGATCTGACAGAGCGTAGCCTTTTGGCTCCGACAAACCCATACGCTGCCACTAAGGCTGCCGCTGAGATGATGGTGACAGCGTACGTCCGAAGTTTCAAGCTGCCAGCAGTGATCGTGCGCCTCAACAACGTCTACGGGCCGCACCAGGTAAGTAAGCTCGCAGCGAAACTTAGAACGTGGACACTGAAGAACTGTAGTACCCGGAGAAGATCATTCCAAAGTTCATCAATCTGCTCCTGCGCAAGCGACCGTTATGCATTCATGGAGATGGTCAGCACACCCGCAGATACCTCTACGCAGGTGATGCCGCAGACGCCTTCGACACCATCCTGCACAAGGGCCAGATCGGTCAGATTTACAACGTCGACTCTAGAGACGAGATCGGAAACCTGGACCTTGCTGCCAAATTGCTGAGCATCTTCGGCATCACGCAGACCGCCGGCTGGATAGAGCACACAAGAGATCGCCCTTTCAATGACCGCCGGTACGCAGTCGACGGGAGCAAACTGCGGAAGTTGGGCTGGCGCCAGGGCGTTTCATTCGAAGAAGGTCTCGCGAATACGGTGGACTGGTACCGCAAGTTCTCCAGGTGGTGGGGTCAAGTAGACGCGATCCTCGCGCCTTTCCCTGTTGTGGCTGGCGACCATGTCGTTGAGACGGCGCAGAAGGAAGTGAATGGAATGGGTGGCATTCCTCACGAGCCAGCGTTAAACGGTAGCGACAAAGCAGAAGGTGGGGTAGTGTGCAAGCCAGCAGTGAAGGACTTGCTTCGTTCACCCTTTCAGGATGGGGAGGCTGAGACCAGCGTTGGAGCCTCGTTGGAGGGCGAGCAAGAACGCATCCACATCAACGGACATGGTCAGCAGATTGATGCTTGCGGCAAAGCGAAGAAGCGGAAGGCGGATGCTATGGCCTAAGGTTGGGTAGTATGGCGGTACATCAGGGTTTCTTCGTGAATTTGGACCGTATCCTTCCAAAAGCCGGTCAAATCATAGCACTTCCACTACCATGGTGATGGTATCGCACCGAGCTCATCATCCTCACGAGTCGGCATGTTCTTGGGTTGCCACGAGCACGACATCGTATTATGTAGTACAACCCTCCACCTCATCTCCAGCCAATAGAATATATGTTTGGTCGCGTCATTCGTGTAGGCGGAGGCAGGTTACATTCGCTTGTGAATGCAACCTCACCTCCCTGTTTCTGCCCGCAATAGCTGATTGGCGGATATGAGGAGGACCTAAGTGCGCAGGGTCCAGCGACAAGTCTCAGAGACCACATCAGCCGCTGACGCGCACGAATTGCCAGAGCCGGAAGGTGTCTGATCGGGCGTAGTCGGGCGTAGTTTGGCGGTGACGGGATGCGATGGCCTCGGGTGGCTTGCATGCCATCCGTAAGAGCTGTTGCCAGAAACTTCAGTCGTTGACGAGTCTCGAGTGCGACGCGAGAAGGTTCACGAATCACTTCGGTCGGATCGTAAGCGCATGAGGTCTGGAAAGAGACTGCACACAAGTCAAAGCCATGATTGATGAGGTTTTCATAGCTGCATAGCGCAATAGTATACAGAGCAAATGGCCGTCTCAGCTCTTCTACCCTGGTGACACCGTCAAGGGGGAGTTCGTCCAACTTTTGACGGTGCTGCGCACTTGGTCATAGGCGTTATCGTACATGTCCCCACCAGCTACCAGTTGCGCCGTCAGTGGACAGTGACCCTCTGTCTGCGCCGTAACACCGTGCAAACCATCCCAATCCTAGTCCGTCCAAGAGTCCTGCTAATTCTGGGGTATCAATTGAAGTAGCGACTGAGTGTCGAAGAGAAAAACCATAAAGCGCCATGAACGTGTCCGTAATAGACCCGCTTAATGATCAGATGCATGTTGGAAATCAAGTGATTGCAGATCATAGGCGATCTGTTTACTCGTCATCGTCCGGAGAAGGATGATCGTGGCCTTCACCTCGGTGCACCTTGCGATGCCTCCTGAGGTTGGATACAACGGAGAAGTGACGTCCACAACCCTCAACCTCGCACGCGAATGCTACAAGCTTGTCAGTGGGTGTTGTTGTCAAGTGGAAGATCGGGTTACTTACGCTTCTCGCCAGTATGGCTGTACATGTGCGTCTGTAGTGAGCTCGGGCGTGTGAATCGCTTGTCGCAGATCTTGCACTTGTGCTTCTTCTGCGAGCTCGAGGAGACCTTTGAGCTGAACTGGCCCATCATCGACTGTGGCGCAGGTGGCAAGGTGCCATTAATAAGAGCATTCGGCCGAGGAAGTGTTCTCGAGCTGGGCATATCGACCGACTCATTTGCAGAGCTGTAGTCGCCAACGGATGCCTCGCTGACCGAGCTTGGGTAGTACGAGCCGTATGTGCTGGCAGACGAGATCGACGAGTGCGCTGAGTGAGACGAAGGGAAGCCATACGAATCAATCGAGCTGCGGCTGGAGCCAGCATTGCCGAAGATGTTGCGCGGTGTTTCATCCGACTGGCTCATAGCAACCATACCACGGCTCGCGTCAAGAGCATCGCTGAAACTTTGACGCTCGGCCTCTGACGCGTGGTTGAGTCTGTCATTGAAGTCAATAAGGGAACTGGTACGGTGCCTTTGCGCCTCGACTGGGCCGCCCATGAAGATGGTGGAGGCTACTGACGGATGCGAGGAGCGTCGGTCGGCAGCATAGCCGTATGAGGTCGCATACTGAGGTGCTGAGGTTGGTGCATACGTGCTGCCACTGACTGGAGCATTGGTATAAGAAATACCATATGGCCGGAGATCTTGCGCCATGTGTAAGCCCGACTGATCCATGAGGTCCGGATCCAAAGGTAGCATACCTGTTGCCAGAGACGGCGCGGGCATGGCGCTCGCAGTGTACGCAGTTGATACGTTTGGTGCGTGCGCCGGGTAGTGCTTGACATCATGCCCAACTGATGTAGCAGGCAGCGCAGTCGCGTACATCGGGCCGTGGTTCGAAGCCGGCGACGACACCCACGGATTGGTGAACTGCGGCTGCGAGTACCTCATCGCGTCGTAGCCCATGGTACTGAACGGAGCTTGTTGCTGACGGGAGTCAATGGTCATTGCCATTGCCATTGAAGTGATATCAAATGAAGCCTTTGGCCACGCGTGTGAATACAGTGATCAACGACACTGAGGCTCGAAAAACGTGGAGAGGCGATCAATCTTGGAGGATGTGCGGGATCAGCGAGCTTAAGTGTCCGCCTCCTTCGACGCGGGGGGTGTTCCAGGGCTGAATCGTGTCGGTAGGCAGTGAGACCTCGTTCAATGCCGATCCTATGGAGTTCGCCGAGTCCTGGAGGGAGGGCAGATGCTGTCAATGGATGACAATTGGACGCCTATGCACCTAAGCCAGTGGTTTGGGCACTGCTCGCGAAGGGAGCAAGTGACGGCGGCGTTTCAGGGTTCGCCGGTGCACGCGGTGGACTTGCCGACGCAGGTCGAGGCGGCAGTGCTGGGTCCGCGTGAGATCGGGTCGACGGTGATGTGCGCTGCTAAAGACGAAGAGGGCAGCGATATGCGTGGAACTTGTGTTTGATTGCAGGGAGCAGCAAAAGTAGAGGACTATCACTTTTGGAACCCGAAGCTGGTCTTCACTTTGAGAGGAAAGACAAGTGAAAATCTTTTGTGGATCAGTCGCTGATCTTTCGCAAGGTGGGAGGGTCGAACATTTGTATATCAGAAGTCCCGGAGCCCCAATGCAGGGCAGAGGATGATGCTGGACGTGCATTCGCTCCTCCACCTCAATTGAATGACGTCGCTGGTGCTGCCGGTGGCTTTCTGTGGGCTGGATGCAGGGACCGCCATCCCGACGCCATTCCGGTCTTTGAAACAGGCAGCGTGTGGGGAGAAAGCAACTTAGGCAAGAATGATCCCTGCCCACCGTCTGTGGGAAATGGGTGTCTCACTGACTCACCGGCGCTCTCTTCCTGCGGACCGGCCTTCGGGTTATTCCTCTCCAGCGACTGAGAAGCCAGCATCAACGCACCCGGGGCGGTCAGGCTTCCCAAGCGCATCCACCTTTCTCCTCAAGCCATCGCTTTGCGTACTCAGTGCTAGGCCTACGGACTGACTTGCTCTCGTAAACCTTGCTGCTTATTCCCATCGGACTCTCATGATACCGAACCACAACGGCGACAGTCCTGGTATAATCTACCGTTGATATTTTCCAACGTTGTGCGATACCTCCTAGCAACGGCTAGCACGATATGAACATCACAAACATGTTTGAGTCGTTCATTTCTTGCCACAGGAATAGCACTGGGGTGCGGGAGATCTCCCTGCCGCACGCAGAAGCAACCGTATGGTCCGAGCACTCAAGCACGCCAAACCGCTTCAACACAGCCTCCGCCATCAGCAACGGCGCGCAGACTACTCTCACCTTGAAAATTAAGCGCTGTTTTTCGTAGGACTTCCCCGCACTCTCTGTTGAGCTGCTAGGGTACGTACTTTCGAGGGGCATGCGCACTCACTGATCCTATGTTGGCTTTTCTTTTGGCACGCCAGATATGTGTAACCGGGTGACGCACATTTCTAGCTTGCGTACGCTCTGCTCCAGCCGTTTCTCTTCTTCGCTGAAGCGTCGCAATTTCCATCTCCATGGTTGAATGTACGTTATGTACTGTCCTCCGTTGAAAAGCTCCCAAATTTACCTTAAGCATCTTTGTCTAGCGCGCCACATTCTTCTCGCTGTTGGCGCTGGTAGTGGACAGCCCCCAAGGCGCTCAAGGAGGCGTGCGCTACTGCTGCACTTCCGGCACATCACATCCGATCTTCAAAGCCAATTTGGTAGGTGGCTTGCCAAATTCTTCGGTTCATCTCTTGTACTACGCCGCGGCTTTTGTATGCTTAAACGATAGCATCGAGCTTCCTTTCTCACTGTCAACGACCTATGATCAGCGTTACATCCGCCTAAAGAAGCTTTAGGCAGTCGGCACCCCTACTGCTCTCCACTTCGACGGGTTCGCTCTTACGCGGCCATTTCCCTAGTGCAGCATTACTCTGGCGGTGCTTTCTGGATCGGACCCTCTCTGCAGATGCCACCATAAGCATAAACAGAGACAAGCTGCCAATCATCTTGAAGTTGATAGATTCATCAAACCAACTTGACAGTCCCGGAAATTTTCCGCTCGAGCGCTCAGCTCGTTCCTGCGATTTGCAGCTTCTTGTCCGTAGGAGCCCTGAAAAGGTCCCAGCGCCTGTCAAACCCTTGGCTCAAGCCTCTGAAAGCCCCCCGTCACCTCCCTCCTCGCCTTATCGCTCGGGCGGAGATGGCGCCTGCAGTCTTGAAGCCCTGCAGATTGCACTTATGCACGACTAAGGCATCTGTGGAGACGCCTCGAAATGGGACAATTTGGGTCTGCAATAACTCTCTACATAGCGACGATCTAAGCCTAGACGTATTATCGCGAGTACTCTTCTATTGTAGGAGCACTTCGAAGCTCTGTGGCAGGCGACTGCCATAGAACTCGTCATACTAGTTCAATGTCGCACAGGACCTTGCTGTAAGATGTTATTTCTGAATATGGCTTGGCAACCTTTAATCTGAATATAGATGACTCGGATGTCGCAAACGGCTCGGTAAGTTCGAACGCGTCTCACACTACCCCATGGTAGATCGGTCGATCTTTTTTGACCCGGTGTGACCACTCCTTGTTATTGGCGTTTGATCACAAGACTTCGTCGCTGCCAAGCAGTGACTTAGCTCCGAGCTCCGTGAGAACACTATCGCCAGATCACTCATGGGATACTCGAAAAGGCAAGCAGACGCCGGCGAGCTATTTGAAGCTAAATCGTGATTGGTTGGGCTGGGACAAACATTTAGTCCAAACAGTGCTTGTGCGGTAGCTTGGTGAACGCGGTCCGTGTGCTCGAGGACCGTTGGTGTCGCTGTTTCAACCTGAACACACCCCACTGTCCAGCAGGGCAGGCACCGGCATGGGCGCTGCATTCTTGCTGTCCCCTGAATCGCGGGTACTCGACTTCACTTCATCGCTGCGCGCCACCGTCTCCTTCCACGCCAACGCGTCGTTGTGACGGCCCACTTCGGTAAGTTGGTATGCGGCCAAAATAGCGAAAAAAGCGTTGAACAGCAAACGAATCGAACGTTGTCATGTCACATTACCAGGTCGGAGGGATCGGTCCTTTCGAACTGTCAACATGCGGTAGCACACTCCCGAAATTGGATGTGATGGGAGTGGGTGTACTGTCCGTGTTGGTTGCGTTGTGCGGTGCCCTGTTGGGGTAGATGCGAGATGTTGACCGCACCTCACGGGAGCTCTTGTGCTTGCGGCAGTGTTGCTTCATCCACTCAGCCAGGCCGCAACTCACCACAATTGTACTGTGCACACTGCGCCTTCGACGATGCCAACCAAGTTGGAAGGCTGCGAGCCTTGGCGCAATCCTGGCTTCGTTGTCACTTTACTCCGTCAAGAATCTCTTCGAGATCCAGTTCCTCTTCTGCTGCTTCTATGTTTCCAGCTTCTTTCCAGAATTTGCTAAGATGGCGCGTTCCTGAATCGCACAACACCGTCACAATCGTCTTCCCTTTCCCCAACTTTTTCGCCAGATAGGCTGCTGCAACGCAGTTCACAGCACTGCTCGCTCCAACAAACAGACCCTCCTTCTCAACTAGCCACCGCGCCATCTGCATGGCCTGCTTATCGCCTACCTTCACCGCATCATCTATGAGATGCATTCCAGCGCTGAAGTTAGCAGTCAGACGATTGATCCCTACGCCTTCTACAATACTATCCACCTGATGTCGACGGCGCGTCCCCTCTGTCTCAGTGGCAGAGAATAGCACACCATACTTGATCTTGTTGTATAACCCGGAACCCTGCGGGTCTGCAAGCACAACCTGCATATCCGGCAGTAGTGGCTTGAGCGCGAGCGCCACGCCAGAGATGGTGCCGCCCGTGCCTGCACCAGCTACAAAGGCGTCGATGTGGCCTTGGGTTTGCGCGTAGATTTCAGGACCTGTTGTGTTCTGGTGGGCAAGATAATTGGCGGTATTTTCGAATTGGTCGGCGAAGAACCCTCGACCGGGCTTATCCGAATCGTCGGTATGCTCTTCGGCGCGACGACGAGCGAGGTTGACGAATTGGTCTTGATCTACGATTGAAGCCGGGCGTACGCGTTCCACTATTGCGCCAAGCTTAAGCAGTAAGTCGGACTTTTCGGTAGCCTGGTCGTCAGGCATGCATCTGCGTGAGAACACCCAATGAGACATTGAAATATGAAACGTGATAATTCATCTACGTACATGTAAGCCTTGTATCCTCTCGCCCTACATACCGCGGCCAGGGAAATGCCTGTTGAGCCTACGGTACCCTCATAGATTGTGTCGCCTCTGCCTGGTACGAGAAGACCTTCTTCCTCGGCAAGGTTAATCATTGATAGCGCCACACGGTCCTTGGGTGAGTTGCCAGCGCCGTTCAAATACTCGGCTTTCGCCAGGATCTCGCAGTCGGTCGCCTCGCTTAGGTACTTGAGCTTGACAAGCGGCGTGTGACCAACAAGGCCTTCAACACCGACTGCGATATTGGCGCCAATGGAGTCAAGCGTCCGTCTGGCATCGTTAGAGTCAACTACAAGCCCCGACGACTTCCGTTCGGTGTGGTCTTCTAAGCGGACTTGATCGTGCTGACCAGGCGCAAGATGCGGAATCTCAGGTCCACGGAGTCTTCGCATGCGCCGTCGGAAGGAATGTTCGAGGTCGGGATAGAAGTCTTTGAATGCCAATGCGCATAAGATCCCAAACAAGAAGCCGCCGAACGAGGTGACTTTGCCTTTGTGATCAAGTAGACGGGCCCATATCGCATTGGCGACGTTGGCGAAGATGCCCATCTTCACCTCACTAGCCTAGCGCACTCAGGACCCACGCATTGAAACTGCGCAGATACAGGATTGACGACTGGCTTCTGACGTCCATGAGCGGAACGTCGTTGTATGGTACCAATGTCATATACTCACTGGCCCGTGCTCATCCCACGGGGGAGAAGCTCCGCAAACCGATGTTGCAGCTTCCACTGCTCGATTTTCATGCGTCCGTGTATATATGGACTTTCCAGCTGTCGCTAGACTCTTTAGACAGCTCGCGACCCATCAATTCTGCCAGCCCTTTCAGCATGGTCGCCCTCTTCTCGTGGCGAATCAACGCCGCACAATCCGCTATGGCGCCTCACGTCCGCAGCCCCAACCGAGGACCAAGACGGTCTCGGTAAGCCATTGGCAACAGCGCACCGATCATTTCCCTCTGGACAAAGCAGAAGACTACAAACGGTACCCTACCGTAACCGCGGATACGCTTCGAACTCGCAAAGAGCGGCCCAAGAGAGTCAAGATGCTTATGCGGGACTTCATTGAAGACAGCTTGTACAATCCGACTTATGGATACTTCAGCAAGAATGTGACCATATTCTCCCCAGGAGCTCCATTTGATTTCAATCGGCTCAAGGACGAAGTGGAGTTCAATCGCTTACTGGGCGAGCGATATACGCAATTCGAAGATGAGTTAGATGAGAAGGAAGGATATAGAGAGGATAGGCAGCTATGGCATACGCCCACGGAGCTGTTCCGTCCGTTCTACGGCGAGGCGATTGCAAGGTACATGGTTGCGAACTACAAGTTGACGGTCTATCCTTACCATGACTTGGTGATATATGAGTTGGGAGCGGGCAACGGGACCTTGATGCTTAACATTCTGGACTATATCCGCCGCACGGATCCCGAGGTCTACGCCAGGACCAAATTCAAGATCATTGAGGTGTCGTCAGCGTTAGCGAACCTGCAGCATGCGCACCTGAACGCCACGCTTGCTAGTCGTGGGCATGTCGAAAAGGTCGAGATCATTAATAAGTCAATCTTTGATTGGGATCAATATGTGTCGACACCCTGCTTCTTCCTTGCGATGGAAGTCATTGATAATTTCGCTCACGATGTTCTGCGATACGACCCCTCTACGGAAGAGTGTATGCAAGGATCCGTCCTTATAGATGCCGAAGGAGACTTTTACGAATTCTACAGTCGGACGCTAGATCCCGTGGCCGCACGCTATTTGCGAGTCCGCGACGTTGCATGCCAGGATCGACAATACAGTCACCCGCTTCATTCATCACGGTTGTGGCGCAGTTTTCGACACCAGCTCCCATTAGCACCCAACCTCACCATGCCCGAGTACATCCCAACACGACTGATGCAGTTCTTCTCAATCCTCGGCACGCACTTTCCCGCTCACCGCCTCGTTACCTCGGACTTCCATAGCCTGCCCCAAGCTACACCTGGCTACAACGCACCCGTCGTGCAGACGCGGTACCAGCGCCGAACGGTCCTCGTGCGTACGCCGTTAGTGCATCAAGGTTACTTCGACATCCTCTTCCCCACTGATTTCGGCGTTATGGAGGATATCTACCGTGCCATCACGGGACGACTGACGAGAGTTATGACGCACGAGGACTTCTTCCGCCGATGGGCTTATGTGGAGGAGACGCAGATGCGGAGTGGAGAGAACGCTATGCTGGGGTGGTACAAGAATGCTAGTGTAATGGTGACTGTTTAGTAGTATATTCCGTACAACGACTTCTGCAGTATACAGCGGCGTGATGATCATCTCACATTCATTGTCCGTGTATAGACGTTGTCGGCCCAATCGTCACTTACTACAGTAGGTAGGCTCTTTCTGCTCGGCAAACCTCGCCTTTTCAACCTCGGCTTCAGTGCCTCCACATTCGCGCTCCACGGCCGGACGTCTTCCAACTGCAGTCAGGCACCATGTAGATTATTCATCTTCGGCTCTCCTTGTGAGGGTTTAGGCCTTTGACTGGACAATGGCAGGACCGATTCGTCAACCGATCGATCTCCAAAGCCTCGAACGGTACATCGAGCAACATGTTCCCGAGATCAAGACGCCGCTAGACGTCAAGCAGGTAAGCCTGTAACCACTACCGTCCCAGCTTTCCATACAGCCGCTGACCATCGCGATGGTGATCTGTAGTTCGGCTATGGTCAGTCCAATCCAACTTACCTCCTCACTTCTCGCGACAATGGAAACAAATATGTCATGCGCAAGAAGCCTCCAGGACAGCTGCTCTCGAAGACGGCTCACCAAGTCGACCGAGAGTACCGCATCATCCACGCCCTCGAGAACACGCCGGTCCCAGTGCCGCGAGCGTTCTGCCTCTGCGAAGACGATGCCGTAATCGGCACGGCCTTCTACATCATGAGTTTCCTCAACGGCCGCATCTTCGCCGACCCCGCTTTACCAGACGTAAGCGCAGAGCACAGGAGGGAGATGTGGAAGAGCGCCGTCAAGACCTTGGCGACCTTCCACAGTGTGAAACCTGCCAGTGTAGGCTTGGAGAACTTTGGGAGGATGAACAACTTCTACAACCGACAGCTGAAGACTTTCGCCACCATCTCCGAGGCTCAGGCGAAGGCTGTGGATGTCGATACCAAGGTGCCTGTGGGTAAGATCCCGCATTACGACGAAATGGTGGCATTCTTCGGACGGGCGGAAACGCAGCCCAAGGATCGGAGCACCTTCGTGCACGGAGACTATAAGATTGACAATATGGTCTTTCACCCCACAGAGCCGCACGTCATTGGGATACTGGACTGGGAGATGGCCACGATTGGCCACCCACTGTCAGACTTGACGAACCTGCTGATGCCTTTCACGACTGCCAGCTCGCCGCTTGCAGCTTCGGCGGGAAGGGCAAACGAGGCTTTCGTGCCAGGCCATACACCTGGCATGCCGACTAAGGAAGAATGTCTGGCATGGTACGAGAGTGAGACAGGCTGGAAGATAATCCCGAGTGAGATGGCTTGGGCGGATGCGTTTGGCACCTATAGAGGTAGTATTATCATGCAGGGCATTGCGGCACGATACGCGCGGCGGCAGGCGAGCAGTGAGAAGGCGGGTGATTATGCGGCGCAGATGAAGCCGTTTGGAGAGATGGGATGGAGGTTCGTCCAGGAGTGTATGAAGAAGCTGGAAGGCGAGGGAAAGAAAGCGCGATTATAGCAGTTTATATTCTTGCTTCAGCACTTGCAATTCCTCATCGCATCGAAATACTGGCTCCTTTCGCAATCTCGTGGATCGTTGTCGATGTGGTATCCTAATACTAGTGGATGTAAACGCTGAACCTGTGCGCCAAGAACGTGGGAAGCCTTACAATCTTCGCTGCTTTCCGCAGAGTTCCGCACGCCTATCACGCGCCATCTTACGCCGCAAGCACACTACCGTGCCATAGGTCTCCGCGCAACCGGGTCGACATTGTAGCCTTCCGTCATGTCCTGCAAATGACCAATAGCCTTGCTGCGGATCCTGGAAATCCTCTCATCGCATTTTGCGTTCCAAGAAGTCCTGCCTACATTCAGGCTCATCGCGGTCCTCGGTCCTCCCCGCCAATTCTGTCCAATGCCTCCATCATCACGACCGAGTTCCCACGAATGACGCACATGCCGAGGCGGACTTTCTCGTTGTTCGGTTTCGACTCTGTTGCCTCATCCAGGACGATATTTAGAAATACCTACCGCAGACAATGTTAGTTACGCACTGCGACGTTGACGGGAGAATGCGCGTGCGACTTGCATCGTAGCCGCGCAGTGTGCCCATCACTTTGCGGGAGCCATTCAACTGTACTTCGACGCGCTTGTCAAGATACTGCGGTTGGTCGGTCGGTCAGTCTCGGCGACACAGAGAAAGCGAAGCCTGCTTGCATACCTTCTTGAGCTCAGGCTGCGCTTGGGGCATATTGGCGACAATGGAACACGGTGGTGGAGCGGAGTGGACTGTGGCTTGCGGCGCAAACACTTCGAAGTGCTCGCAGGAAAGTATGCACGCGAGTCATGCATCAAGCGGAGTTTCACCGAAGTGAACAATGGCTTGGCATATTTACTCCATCGTCTCCACCTCCATGTGACCCACCTGTCAGCCGAAATACAGTACCATGAGATGCAAGGCCAGCCGGCACAGCAGTCCAACCGTTTGAAGAGAAGCATATGAAAGCATTGGCTTCATTGGAGTTGGCGACCGGCGGCTCGACAGTATGAGACCGTCCTTCATTACATCCTTTCCCTTTCCCTCCCTGCCTTATTCCTTCCCCTGCATATATCTGCCCGTATAGGAAAGTGTGGATGCTCGTTTCATAACGAAGTCCTCCTAGCCACCTGCCTTAATTGACGATTTCGCATAGTCAACCGTACAGGTCCGGCAGCGAGTTCAAATATCCCTCCCAAAAAGGCAAAACATACAGCAGCGGGTATTCCCACGTCGTCACCGACCGCAGTACTAATCCACCGGTTCGCAGCTTAAGTACAGGAGAGCGGACGGGATCCTCTGTTCTCTGCGACCTATGGCCGTATGTATCAGCAAGAGCAGATCAAGTCTCTTATATTCCGTCAAAACGGTTATCATCCAGCAAGATCAGGACCGTGTAAGCTTTCTATCCATACGCGCTGGTTGGAGCCGCGGCCTGACGGACATGAGAGTCAGTCCAATCTTATCTGGTGTTTGTACCGCGGGGTTTGGAGCTTGCCCCTCACGCAGCGGCACGCGAGCTACACGCGTGCTCCGAGCCTACGATGTCTTCCTCAACTCCTTCACCCATCTGTCTTTCAAGTTACCACCCCATCGTCGTCTTCGCAATGCCCGTCCAGAAAACAGCCTATATAACCGGCGGCGCATCTGGAATCGGTCTTGCCCTTGCCCGCACCCTCGCCCACCGCGGCATCCGCTTGGCCATAGCCGACCTCAACATCTCTACCGCCAACTCTGTAGCCTCTGATCTGTGCGCAGAACAAAACGCTCCAGACCTAGTGACCGCCTTTGAGCTCAATGCTGCCGACTGGGACTCTCAGCTCTCCGTCTTCCAGAAGGTCGTAGAGCATTTCGAGGGCAGGGTAGACTATGTGTACCCCATTGCAGGCATCGGTGAGAAGGTAAGTATCCCTAATGATGGCGGGAAGGGGAAAGGGTTCGTGAAGCCGAACTTGAGCGTGCTGGATGTGGATCTATATGGGGTTCTGTTTACGGTAAGCTTGGCCGTGCAGCAGATGCGGCGGCAGGAGAGGGATGAGAGTGGTTTCAGAGGAAAGAGTATGTATCTGCGTAGAAATCTTCCATGTTACCCTTGCTGAGATTGTGTGTTTTCCAGTCGCTACGGTAGCATCCGTCTGCGGCTTCTATTGCGTGCCGAGTAAGCTGTTCGGTCCCGGGTTCTGTCCCAAGGAGTGCAAGCTGACTTTCTGGAACCTCAGCGCTGCCTATTTACACTGCAGCCAAACAGTCTGTCCTCTCCAGCGCTTCCTTTCCTTTAACACCCGCTGACTCCACCCCTTTCTGTCCAGCGGCGTCATAGGCTTCATTCGCTCCTTCGGCAAATACCTGCCTGAGGAGCATATTACATTGAATGCCGTCTGCCCCAACGTCGTACGAACTGGCATCTCCACCTCAGCCTTCTACGACAAGCTCGAGTCTCAGGGCCTACTGACACCCATGAAACCAGTCATCGACGCCTTTGAGAAGTTTCTTGACAGTGACATAAGCGGCGAGTGCTGGGAGGCTGGGCCAAAGGGCGACTTGGTGAAGAGGGAGGCGGCGGAGTATCTGGATCGGGAGAGCGGGTTGCTGATGGACATGTTGTATGAGAGGGGCCATGGCTTACATCAGCCTCAGTCGTGAAAGACGCGACGCCGCAGACTCTGAGGTACAGAATTGCGGAGTATGTTTTCAGGCATGGCGTGGTGCAGCTCAACCCGCGACACGGCTCGCATGGGCCAGCAGAAACTTGCAACAGGTGAGCATGAATTTGCAGGCCTTGGTCCACTGATCCTCCCTTCCTACCCCACTCAACGAGATCTTGACACCCTGTATTCTGCCCATATCTTTGCCTGTCTGGATCTCATACGGCATTTTCCGGGCTTGATGCTGCCCTTCCGGTAATTTGGCAGTGCTATGTTCCACATACTCGCCAACCTGCCTTACGCACTCCAGGAAAGCCACCATTGCGTTGTCAAAACCGCCATGAAACGCACTTAAACCGAAAGGTAGGCTGCCACTGCTGTAAAGTTCATGAACAGTACCTTTCTGTTTACCAGCACCTGTAGCCACTGCGTCGGGGTCAATGAGGATCAGTCTGGAAGTCGAGCCGCAAGGAAGGAGCCTGTAGCCTTTGATATTGAAGCCAAGCTTCGAGGACACCACCTCGAGAAGAAGTATCGCCTGACCTAGAGCGGCATTTATCTCCGTCCACTCAACGGGATGGTCGGCGAGACGACCCAGACGAAGGCCGTTGATCGTGCCAAAGACGCCGTCGTGCCCAATGCAAAAAGTGTCGTTGTAAACATTCGTCCGCTGTAGTGATTCTAGGAGCTTAGTGTCTTGGGCTAGTTGGTTTTGCAAGCTGTCGCGCTCCTCCTGAAAGCTGCGGAGTTCGGCCGTAAAAGCATTACGCTCGCGCCAGAAGCGCTCTTCTTCCTCGTCAAGCTCCTCAGCTTCCGCGTCGAGGGCGGCAATCTCGTCTTCCATGCGAGCCTTTTCGGCTTCCAGTGCTTCGAGGTCTTCTAAAGCCTGCTGCTCGCGTCGTTGAGTGTCTTCGAGGGCCTGCTTGGTCTGCACTTTCTCTTCGTTTGTCGGTATGTCCTGTTGTGCTTGCTTCAGGAACTCGACGTAAGCATCTCGCTCGCGAAGCACGCTTGCTTGCCGCTTCTGTAGCCCGTCAAGCAAGAGGTCAGTGCATTCCGAACAGACAGGATGATCGATGTCAGAACGAGCAGATAGGATCTCGAAAAGCCGCGTCACCGTATACATTTGTTGAGACAACGCTTCAGTGCCGTCCTCACCATTCGCAACCTCGGACTTGGCCGTGCCGCGCTTCTTCGTTGGCGTCTGGATCAGCTCTGATGGGCCTTCAGGCGCCATGAGTGAGTCCGTAACGTCGATGTACGACATATCCGGATTGGATTTGCCGCTACGGGAGGTGTTAGAAACATCACGCTTGTGTAAGGGTGGTCCATCATATTGCGACGCTTGTCCATATCGTTGTTGGCGTTCCTTAGCGGCCGCCGAACGTGGAGCATCCGGTGCCTTGGGTTCCAGAGTGGGAGCGGCGTCTGCCAAGATCTTGAAGGACGCTAGGTTGAGGCCTTGAAGCGAAGAATCGATCTTGAGTGGCGTACGACACTTCTGACAATGCAGCGACGCCATAATTGCAACGGAAGTTTTCCTAAGCTTCCATCACCGATGCGACCATGCGTGTTAGCGCCAACTCATCGTTACGGCTGTCATCAAGCGAGTCCCCTTGCATCGACTGGGATGTTGCAAACTTGGCTTACTGGCACTCACATCTGCTAGATGCGTCAAAGAGTACGAAAAAGGCAAACCCCTTAAAACCATTAGCACTCTCCATTATGCAGGCACGCTGACGGATGCGAGAGTGAAGTCTGGGGTTACAATATGAATCGCCGGATGCTAGCGGCCGACCCGTAAGGCTTAGCGCGCCTTTCTCGCGTTTCTAGAATTGCAAGCGCGATCTCCTGAGCCTCGCTTTCCTGTGCATGGACTAGACGGCGATGGACAACATCGACTTTTAGGTCGGTTGATGGTTTATTCGGGCGATATGGCTTACGAAACGTCGCCAGCGGATCCAGCACGCTCGCACGATCCACACGATGTTACAACGACGCAAAAAGCAGCGTTTGGAGAGCAGAATCGCGAGGCGGAAGACAACAATGATGCAATGGACGAGCAGGACAATGAGCAGGACGATGAGCTCGAGCGCGATCGCTACGCTAACGATCAGAGACTAAAGTCTCGTTTCGAGAACATCTTCGCAAAGTATGCGCGCGACTTCTCTGGCATCGGTGATGAAATCGATATGGAGACCGGTGAAATTGTGGTGGACAACGGACATTTAGCGAACATGCAGCATGAAGCGGACCCTGGCGATGGCGAATCAACGCAGCTATTGAACGACTTCCGACTAACGCTTGAGCATGAGGACGAAGCGGATGGTACCGATACCAGCGAATTGACCGAATTGGAGGATTCCGGAAGTGAAGATGAAGCAGCCTCAAGCAATACATCCATCAGCGGCGGCGACTCGACCGGTAACCCGCCGAAAGCGTCACAACATTCGCACAACGTTCCAATCGATCCGGCACTCTTGCAGACGTCAGTCCTGACATCTGCTTCCGATCTAACTACGGCCGCAACAAGGCAAGATGCCGCCGAGGGCGAGCTCGTCCGTGACGATGCTGGTCACTCTGTTACACAGCCACAAGTGATGACAAGTGCTGTGTTCAATCAACATACTACAGCCGTAGATGTTGTAAGCATGCCAGGCGTCAAGGAGTCACTGCTATTGTTGCGTCGCACGAGTGCAGCAGAGGTTGACCCGGACAGGATCCACGCGCTGGGTATGAGTATCGCGAATCAGATCGCAAGGTTCATTGGCGGAGGTAGTGAGTCCAAGTCCGAACCGACATCCAAAAGCAAGCGCAGCGAGCCGGCTTGGGATTATCCAGAGCTGCCTGCGTTCAAGCGTAGAAATACGGAGAGGGCGCGGCCTTCATTGCCTCAGTTGACGAACTTGATCTCGTCACCAGTCAACACTAAGAAAGGTGAACCAAAGGAATCCGTCTGGGCACCCTTGCGCCACCCAAGACACTCTAAGCGCAAGCCTGGTATCAGGGAGAAAGGGTTCGCTGATGCTGTGGCAAACGATGTGAGCCGTCTTCCAGCCCTGGCAAGTTTAGAGGTGACAACTGGTCCGGCACACAACGACGAGGTCGGCAATCTGAAGAAGTGCACCAACTGCAGCATTGCAGCGACGGTGGCTTGGCGGCGAGGTCCAGACGGTCCTGGTTCGCTGTGTAACTGCTGCGGCATGTACTACTACCGGTACGGTCTGATGAAGCCGCTGAGACCGCCTACGCCGGAACCTGACTCCGCTGATGAAGACGGGGACGTCGCGGACGGACGATCTGGCCGGCGACGTAAGGCAGGGACGCGCCATGTCCGATTCAGCGCGCAAGAGGACGCGCTCATCATTAAGCTCAAGGAGGTCGACAAACTGTCGTGGGAGATGCTTGGGCGCTACTTCATCGGACGCTCAATTTACGGCGTACAGTGCAGATACAGCAAGAAGCTCTTGGGTGAATGCGACGGCAGAGACGCCCTGATTGAGCAAGGATTCGTCTTGGATGGATTCGATGCAACGGGGCCCGAAGCGGCCTTCACCGAAGAGCAAGACGAGCTTCTCATGCGGCTTCGTGAGAACGACAAAGCTGAGTGGGACGTGATTGCTGCTAGCGTGCCCGGCAAGACCGCGAGGAACATCGAAGCGCGCTACAAGATCCTCATGGGCATACAACCAGACCCGGCCGAGCTAAGAAGGCGCAAGCGGGCCAATCCGGTATATGCCAAGGACAAGGCGCCGAAAAATCACGGTCGACCTTTCACTGCGGAAGAGGACGAGCTGCTGATCAGGCTCCGCGAGATCGACAAGCTGCCGTGGGAGATTCTTGCGCAGGAGTTTAACGGGCGGACGTGGCTGTCTTTGCAAAAGCGCTACGTTCGCACCCTCGCGCAGAGGCAGAAGGTTATGAAGGCGGGTGGGGACGATCCGTATATGCATCTCTTTCTGGAGGCGGACAACGACTCGGACGACATCTTGATGGGCCACGCAGGTCGCAAACGCATCGATGAGATGCTAAAGCAGCGCCGGGAGGAGGATGATATCTTATTGCATCTGAAAGATGAGGAGGGTTTAACGTTCGAGCAGATTGCCGAGGAGATGCCGGGGCGGACGGTCGTAAGTCTTGAGAATCGGTACAAGGCGCTGAAGGACACGGATGATTCCATGGATGTGCCGCAGCCGACGTCGCCGGGGGTGCGAGACGCGCTGGCGGCGCAGAGTCAAGACGAGGATCCTGTCACCGCAGAGTGCAATTCGCCAATCCAAGAGGCCGAGCACCGCCCTGGGGATGTAGCTAACATCGCTCATGACGATCAAGGCAGGCTGGACTCTGGCACCCTCACCCCTGGAATCATGGAAGACGAACGCGTGGAACTCGATCCGCCGGTTAATGACAAAGCTGACGGCGGCGTGTCGCCAGCTATCGATCCCATGCTACAGCAAGAAGGGCCGTTGTTGCAGCAGGGTGAGGTCCCGTACCTATATAAGTGTGGCACAGTGCTGGACGTTGAAGCGTCGCAAGGGCAACAAAACGCAGCCGTGACAACTGAACAGGAGTCGTCCACCGCTCCAGCTGGGCCCGAGCCTCAGAAGCCACAGAACAAGGGGAGTACGTCTCGGGTTACGACACAGCGAGCCGTCTCGCCAGCCGATGCGGAGCTCCAACAGCCGCGAAAGAGGCGCACTCCCAATCGAGACGTGTCAGACAGCCGCCTCCCCGTAGCCAAGTTCCGCTCCCAGTACTCATCTGCAGAGCACGGCATTGTCTTTGAGCTTCGTGATAAAGGCTTGACTTGGAATGAGATTGCCGAACACTTGCCTGGACGCACCCCGCGGTCGGTCGCTTACTACCATGCTGCCAATGTACCTGTCGATCTTCAGAGTCTTGCCACTGTCAGGCCAACTGTAGATACTGAGAAGCCTGCTCGTAAGTCCAAGAAGTCTGAGTTCAAAGCCACAAGCAAAACGCAGGAAAATCTGTTGCGGCAGGTGCTGGAGAAGGCTGCGGCGATGGTGGAGCGACCAGACGCTTCTTTCAACCAAGACGGACCAATCAACCAGCTTAGAGCTCTGCTGGACGTTGGCGAAGGGCAGAGCGTCATAGACGGAAACACGATGGAGGCGCAGATCGACGTTGCCGCTCTTGCTCGCTTGCTGGCCCGAGCGTCGCAGCAGGATGCGCAGTCGGCCGACCTTGGAGTCCACATCAAGCAAGAGGGCGATGATGACGAAGTGGTCTTTGTGTCTTCGCACCCTGTTCAGGTCGCACCACGGTTCTCGCCACTAGCGGATCCGGAAGAATCCAATGCGCTGCAGAGTGAATCGGGCGAGCCTCCACCGCCAGTGCAGACAGCTCTAGACCAAACACCCGCGCGACGGGAGTATCAACCCTGGCAGCAACCAGCCACGCCGTCCAAGGTAGCAGACCTGGACGCTCCAATACCGACATCTGCGCTTGCAATGGCCAAACCCGCCGCAGCTGTCTCGACCTTCCCTTCGCTCGTGTTAGCGACTCTGAGCCATTCTGGAGGGGAGGATGCGGGCCGGAGCAGCCATACTGTCCATGTCCCTCAACCAGATCGCACGCGTTGTGCTCGCAAGCGTCGTGCATCGGCACCAAGAGCGTCTCCGCGACCTCGCAAGAGAGCATCACGTGGAGATTTTGAGCGGTGCGACTCCGCCGTGGAGACTGATGACCCACAGGACAAGTCGAGCGCCGCGGACTCTGCCGTTCAGGCTGTGATTGCAGGGAACACGTCTGTGCCGCTGCTGGAAGATGGAGACTGTCTAGCCCCGCTCGCTCCTGAAGATGCTCCCAGTTCTGGACGACATGCTACTATTTCCGGCACGCAAAATATCGAGGAGGCCGTGGCACCGCAGACTCAACCCCTCGACATCTCTCCTACGAATGCTGCAATAAAGCAGAGTAATATCATATCACCTGCCTGCTCGCCAACCGCAGATTCAGAAGATGCGCTTACTTTACATTCCGCGGCGACAGCGGTAAAGGAAGTGTACTCGGCCGCCCTGACGCCATACTCCATGTCGTCTTCAATGATGTACTTCCCGCCCACGGCGAGTTCGGACCCGGTCGCGGCGCCCTCGGTCGAAAGTCACATGTTGTTTGTTGGCATGGATGTGAAAGCTGACAGTGTGCGAGCGGAGAGGCGCGCGAAGGGATCTGTCTAGGAGACACTTCATATGCGGCATGGGAGCGAGTATCGTCCGACGATGCGGAGGCGCAGAGGGCATGCCTTTGGCAGGAGTAAATCGTCATCCTTACCGTTGGTCGCGAGTAGGGTGTCTGCGCGCTCGAGAGGTACGCCAGGTATGGGAAGGATGCTGTCCGGTTCTACGATACGCTGGTTGGACAGTTCGGAGGATGAGTTGGCGTCTTGATGCGAACATTCCAGGCTTGTACCATTCCCGTGTCGCGAGGGACTACATGATATGCATGCTAGCATGCTACCAATACTCCGTGAGCTCGATTTGCAGCAATTACGGAGACATGAAAACCTTTTCCGACCAGCATCTCGGTGTACCTTGCTGTTAAGATGCTGCGGTGCAAAAGCATTTATATGCAACGGACATTACTATTTTCCACAGACAGGTGGAAATCTAAGCGCAAAATGGCGCCGGGAAAAGTCGGCGGCCGCTTGTGGGCAGGCCCGAGCCACTCCCAAACAAGAAGGACTTCACGTACAGCCTGATTTTAGCAGCAAGATCAAAACATCCTACGGCTGCAATTCTGCGTTCTCCTTCGCACCAACCATCAATATGTCGACGATGTCAAGGCTCCACCGGCGTTTATGTCACTTCCAAGACGAAGCGGCATCGCCTTTGTGAACTCGGGTATCCTCCCGGACAGCATGCCATCTTCTCCTATCCTGCACAGAGCAGCTACGCTTGTCACTTGAGAAACCATGACGCTCTACACGAGCCTCGTATCAACGATTCGTATGACTGGAGAGCTTCAGCACAGCGAAGGAGCTTCATATGTGGATCAGCAGATGTAAGTTGTGTGTTGTCAGTATCACCCGACACGTTTCCGGCTGCACTACGGTCGACATACAATAAAGCAACGCCTCCTTCCCAAACCCGCTGTCCCGTAGATCCGAGTGCTGCATCAACAAATCAAACAGTACGCACACACCCTATTGAATTACACAACAACGACTCGAATCATTGCTCGAACGCTTACAGCAAAGCAACGTTGAGTCGTTAAGCATCCTTCGAGCGGTCGTCGTCCGGCACAGCCCTACCGCGATCCGTCTCTGCTCCGCCTTCCATCGCCTTATGTTCAACAGCGCCGGTGAGTGATCGACCGTGCTTCAAGCTCACGTCCGTTCGATTGACTTGGTGGACGGCGTGATGACTCTGACTCCTACCCAGAAGTCAGCGCGAGCAGGCAAAGCGACGCTGTGACTTGACGCACTCAACATCCGGCAAGCCGTGACTCTCCGAGCCCAACCGGTTGCGGAACGACTTGACCTGTTGACGTCCGTAATAGATGGCAGTGCCGATGCCGACGGCAGCGAGAATGATTTGGAAGACGTCGATGACAACGTTCAAGCTGTTGTCCCCAGAGTTCGTTGCGTGCGAAGTCTCTGTACTGCTTGTTGTACTGAGCCCGGACGTTGATAGTACATGTGCCGAAGCGCTAGGCTGTCTCAACGTTGTGAGTACGGACTGCAGAGTGTTAGTGAAGCGCCCCATAGTTATTGTTCTTGAACTAAAGAAGAGAAGACGGGCGTAATTGAAGATTGATAAAGATCGAAGCTGGTGACCTGCAGCCAACGATTCCTGTCTGCTCTGGTCTTTATAGATGACCGTTCCATGAATTGGTTACGTAGCGTGGCCGAACTCGAACTGGTAGTCGCATGGGCATCTGTCCCAGGAGGCAGTGCCAGCGGCGCTCCAGCATACCCGTCGCTCGTCTATTGGTGCGCGTGATTCCGTACCCGGTGAAGGACTGGACAGACATCTTCAAAAGATGCAGGTTACTCGGCCCGTCGCATTGGCGCTGCAGCCAAAGGACGTACAAGGAGGTGATGCGCCAGAACTGAGGTGAATTCAGTTGAAGTTGCCCCACTGGGTCATGGTGACCCAGTGGGCCATGGGCCCAGTTCCTACAGTACAATTGCAAGTACTGTGGCCTGTGCGCTACACTTGGTGAACCTCGAATACATGTACCTATACCGTCACTACTATGCTACATACTAACGCATCAACGCCCATGCGTAACGGAGTGCAGCACATCGTGCATAGCGGCAAGGTAGACGGAAGTCGTCACTGTACTTCGTCGCCCGTACAAGAGGCGTGTTCGCGTACAGTACTGTACCAAACATTCAATGGATTTTAGCCTAGCTCCGGCCCAAGCTGCGAGAGCCTCGACGGTGACTGCACAGAGTGTGGTGAGCCGCGATGATCGGATCTCAAACCACTCGCGAGAGGCCAATATCACCATGCGTGGCGAACGAGTTGGTGGCCGGCAGGTGCGACTTCGGGTCAATACGCAAACCTGCCCTGATTGACAGCACTGAAGGCCAAGTGCTGGGTGCATGTTCTTCGCTAGCAATTCCAGCCACCCTCCGAACGTCTGCTCTGTGCGGCCTGTTGCACGTGCTGCGTCGCAATGAACCACGCGATTCACATTCTGCCGGAGTCAGGAGCGTAAGGCAGGCATACACGAATCACTCGATCCTAAAACCGGCGCAATCAGACATGCGACATGAGCAGAGTAGCAAGAAAATGATATGAATCGCTTTCATTTACTCCACCGGCTACCTACCCCTCATCTCCCTCCCCATCTTCCTCCTCACCACCCACCTTAGCAACCGCCTTCCGCGGGTCCTCCTTGACCACCGCCACCTTCCCCAAACCCCCCTCACCCCTCCCAACCTCAATCCCGCTATCTCCACCGTCCATCCTCCTCGCAACATCCCTATCATAACTACTGGGAGCAATCCCCAAAATCCCCCCGACGTTATTCCTGTCCCCAGGGACAGAAAACTCCTTAAACGCATACCGCCAGTCATTGAGGAACTGTCGTACGGCCTTCCCAACTTTATCCTTCCCATTCTTACTATGATGCCCCGTCCCGCAGATCGCGTACACGGTCCGCCCACTCCTCTGCTGCTCCTTCAAGCAATCGGAGAGATACTGCACCGCTTCCTCCGGATGCAGACCATGCAGATCGACGTACAATTCCCTCTTCTCCATGCCCCCAACCATGTGCTTATTTCGCTCATCATAGAGGATACGGGCAGCCTCCTTATGCCGCTCCCGCATAAGATTGTTCTCATTCTGGCCCCGCAAACTCAACGCCTTGGCTCCACGCGCGTCATTGCGGTTCCAGGCCTGCGCGGCCGATTGCAGGAATTTGTTTCGTAAAGCGCCGTGTTTGAAGGCTTCGCGGCGCGCTTCCATATAGGCGGAGTTGACGCCTGAGCCCGTGTCGAGCCAGGGGATGTCTACGGGTGGGGGAATGCTGGCACTGTTTTCTTTGGTTGTGGATGTGGTGGCGGAGGTGGCGGAGGTGAAGGAGCGATTGTTTCGAAGGCCTCTCCGCATGGCTTCGCGGCTGTTGGGGCTGGTGGCGGGAGATGGAGACATGCGCACGACGTCGGCAAGGGTGCTGGGTTGTTGTTGTTGCTGCTGTTGGGTGTGAGCGTGGCCGTGCCCGCCTCGTTTGCCGTGGTGGCGCTTCCCTGGCTTGACGGCGGCGGCCGCCGATCCTAAGGTCGGGAAGGCTTCGTCGTCTTGGAAGTTGGGACCTTGGTTTGGGGTGCCAGTGCGGGAGTTCTGGCGGCTTCCGGGACGAGAGCTGGGACGGCTGTTGTAGGCGCGCGGACCGGTGGGGATGAAAGTTGGGAAGAGGCCGGGTGGAGGTTGGACGGGGGCTTGTTGCTGCTGCAGCATTGCGTTCAGGACGCTTGGGTCAACGCTGGCGCTCTCGTCGTACGGATTGCTAGTCGTAGGTTGCAGCGCAGGAAAGCTGTCAAAGTCTTGAAGTTGGAAGTTGGGCGGGAATTGCTGCGGGGTGCTGGCGCCGCTGTTGGCGATGCTGAGTTGCTGCATCAGCGCTGCGGGGTCGTGGGAGAACATGCAGTTCGGTCCGGCGAGGCAGTTGCCTTGCAACCAGAATTTGCAGACGTGATTTTGGGTTTCGTGGGCGAAGCGGCAGTCTGCTCGCGCGCAATGGCCGCTTGCTAGCCAGTAACGGCAGACGATGGGAGATCGTTGTTGGCCTGCCGGTGTGACAGGACGAGAAGAGGGCGACATGCTTTTACCCACGAGGAAAGTGCGGGCTTGTTGCTCTTGGACTGCGGCTGCCATGGCGTTAGCGGTCACGCCCTGGGCTTCCATGAGGGTGGTGATGGTTTGGCTGAGGTCGTGGCCGTTCGCTTCGAGGACTTGCTCGAGTTCTTCGTCGCTCTTGTGTTCTTGGAGGATGGAACGCAGCATATCGTACGGGCTCATCTCAGTCGTATAAGGCGACATAAACTCGGATGCGCTGTTGAAGCCTGAGTCGCCGTAACTGGTATTACTGCTAGCATCATCATTGACGAGCCAGTCTACTGTGTCGCTGCCGTAGTCGCCGTAGTTCTCGGTGGTTGGTGAGGACTCGCTAAATCGATATGCGCTTAACTGGGGGCTATGGGGTATCGCTGGGGTTGCGACAGGCAAACGCGGAGACGGGCGTGGTGACGTGAACGGGGAAGCGGTGGAGGACATGGCGCGTGCAAACGCGGGTCGTTGCGGGCCGAGTCCAGGTGGGTATGAGGGAGTCGCGGTCGAGGGGCGCGGAGAGCTGGTGCCTGAAGTGGTGGGCGTGCCTACCCGTTGCATCCATGGCGCAGGGGAGCGCGAACGGATGACGGTCGCGCCACGAGCTGGAGGCGGCGACTTGTTGTTGTCGGATGAAGCTCTCCACTGCCACAGCGCTCCCAAGACCGCATCTTCCAGCGCCTTGCCCTTGAGTGAGGTCGGCTCGCTACTCAGCAGCTCTTCCAGCTTGTCCGTCTTCTCTTCGTCGCCGTACTCCTCGCTCTCCAGTATCGGCTGACACAGTTCGTATATCCGATCGGACACCATCGTGGCGACAGAGTGATGTAGTATGTCGACGCGATGCTACCGTATGCGACAAGGTGAAGTTGAGGGTGAAGCAGGTACGCGCTTGCCGCCCAGCTTCATGTTATGCGCGCGGTGTTGCAGGTATCACCCCCTGACTTCCACTCGAAGGGGCTTCTTTGAGTCCCCTGCCGCCGCTACTTAGCTACAGATGGTCATTTTCTGCAGCGCGTTGTTTCTCAAGTGCTCTTTGTAATCACCTTGTCAATCGTGGCGCAGGTGAGGTCGAAGTGAGGCTTGAACGCGGGGACTAGTGCGGTCTCTTCCGTCAAAGTTCCATGTCGTACTGCAGCAACCATCACGTGGACTCCATCAAGAGGCCAAGATACATACCGGGAAAGTGGAGGGCGGGAGCATTCGGCTAAGCGAAGCTGACACAGGAAAAAACAGTCCTTACGACAATGCATTAGTCACGTGGTGGCGCCATCTCGTGCCTTCCATATCAGTCGCCTAGCGTTCGTACCTGCAGCGGCTCTCCCCGCATGTCAGAGCTCCAGCTTTAACCCTCTCCATATCCATCCTACACACGACTTCTCGCTCAAAACCATACAGCACAGGCTAACACATAAGAATGGCCGCCGACACGCAACAACCACCCTCCCTGGCCACCCAAATCCTCAACCCAACCCTCCTCCCCACCCCGACCTTCGCCTTCACCCCCTCCCTCCACCGCCACCTCCCCACCCTCGGCGCCCCCAGCAAAACCGCCCGCCCCATCTGCCCGGACTACAAAACCGGCACCTGCCCGCGCGGGCCCCTCTGTCCGAACCGTCACTACATCCCCCCCTCCGAGCGCTCCGGCATCTCCAACCTCATCTGCAAACACTACCAACGCGGCCTCTGCAAGAAGGGCGACGCGTGCGAGTTCGCGCATACCTTCAACCTACGCGACGAACGGGAATGCAAAGAGTTCAGTCGATATGGAATTTGTCCGCAGGGGGAGGATTGCACCTACCTTCATATCCCGCCCACGAGTCGATTGCGAGACGCCGCGTGTCCCCATTATACCCGCGGTTTCTGCCCGCTGGGACCGTACTGTCGACTCCGTCACATCAAACACCGCGTCCCCTGTCCCTATTACCTGGCGGGATTCTGTCCGAACGGCCGCGCACACCCGCCCGGCCCGGATAAAGTGGTGAGTTGTGAGTTCGGGGCGCATGCGAAGTGGATTAAGGACGAGGATTTGCATCCGCGGAAGCCGGAGGCGAAGAGGCCGCGGGATGTGGAGGCCGAGAGGCGGGAGCAGGAGGAGAGGGAGGAGGAGTATTATGCGGAGATGGAGCGGCAGAGGGAGAGGGAGGCGAGGGGCGAGGGCGGGATGGGGAGGTGGGGGAAGGGGATGAGGAGGGGTGGGGGGAGGAGGGGTGGGAAGAGGTTCTAATCTCATGTTATCTCGTGCGGGGTTTGGGTATGTGGCGTTGTCTCTTAGCGAGGTGTTTCGGCGTCACGCTGTGGTTGGATCAGCCTGGCCTGTACAGTACTGGACCGGGCCGGATGGTCACCATTTTGCAGGCTTTCGATGTATTGACGGACTGGCACAAGTGCGTCATGCATACCGCCAAGACTTCGTAGCGTGTATTTACAGACCTTGCTGCCTAGAAGATAGACCAGAGGACGTACTCTAATACTGCTCCTCCGGGCAGTCAAAAGCCAAATGCCCATCCTTCTCACACAACGCGCACCACTTGTCCTCCTCCTTGACCGTGGGGACAGACTTCACATGTCCATTCGTCGTGGCGGCAGCTGGAGCAGCTTCAGCAGCTTCATCTCTCTCCGCAGCTGCGCCATTAGCATGACCGTGTCCATTCGCCTTCCCATTCCCATTCAACTTCCCACAATCAACGGTATCGTGCTCCCCACTGCTCTGACATATATCACAGTACACGCCATCAGCCTCGGCCTCGGCCTCTGCCTCCGCATCGCCCCCCTGCGCATTCCCATGCAAATCCTTGTCGGGATCGTCTTCTGCATCCGGGGTACTCAACGGCTGCTCAAAGCCGGACCGCCGCGCATGTTCCGCAAAAGACATGGTAGGCTTAGGCTTGAGCGTGCCACTTCTCTGCCTCACCTCCCCATCTGTCCCCTTAGCTACAGCAGTCATTTCGCTTTCGTTCCTCGCGTGACCGGCATGTTTGCTGGCGTGACCGTTCGTCATTGCCGAGTCCCGCCGCAACCCCTCCAACTCCCTCTCCAGCTCCTCCTTCTCACTTTGACTCTGCTCTAATTTGGCTTGTAGCCGCATGACCTCATCCTCATCCCTCCCACTTCCCCCATTCGCACTCGCGGCATGCGGTTGCGCAGGGTTTGTGCTCAAACTATGAATAATAGCCTTCAACCCCCTTATCTCATCCTCCATTGCCTTCACCTCCGCCGCCTTAGCAACCTCCTCATCTTTTCCGCCTTTGTCCCTCTCCCTCCTAAGCTCACTCCGCCCTCTCTCAACCTCCCCCCGTAAAAATTCCACCTCGCCCCGCGCCTCCGCCTCCCCCCGTCTACTCTCTTCCAAGCCGTCCTCTAACTCCGCAACCAACTCCTCCAACCCTTTCAACTGCTGCGCCACACTCTCAAACTCATCTTTACTGCCTCCACTGCCTCCACCCGCCGCCAACTCCTCGTTGAGCGCATGATTCTGCGCTTGTAGTTCTTCTAGTTGAGATAGTAGATCGCGCTTCTGTTCTTCGTACACACGTTCGGTTTCTGTACTCGCCATCTCGAGTGAATCCAACGTACTCCGGAAGTCCGCACGATGCGCGTCGAAATCTGCCGTCATGAGGGTGATCTTCTCGTTCTTCTCCCGCAGCATCTGTCGTAGCTGGGCGACGGTATGTTCGTCGTCGGCACCACTTCGACTGCTGCCACCCGGCGTCAAGCCGTCCGTGGGTAAGAGGGTGGAGAGTTCCTTGACATTCGCCTCCATCTCCGCGAGCGAGGCGGCTTGTTCTTCCAGGCGCCTGTCGCGGTCCGCAAGTTGTTGGCGGAGACGCGACAGTTCGGTGTCGTTCGCGCCGCTGGCACGGGACGGGGAGCGCAGGGGCTGGGAGAAAGAAGGAGCGGAGGTGGAGCTCGTGGTGCGCTTGTTGGGCGTGCGGGTCTCTTCCTCTGCGACGGCGTCATGATGTGGTTGTCGCTGGCCCAGTCGTGAGCCCGTTCTTGAGTAAGGTCTGCTCGGTGTTGGTCGGGTGGTAGTCGAGGCTCGGAGGTTCGTTTTGCTGGGCGTGGATGTGCTGGCTAAGGGTGGTCGGCCGCCTCGTTGGCTCTGCGATAATGCGCGTGCGGGTGTGGGTGCGAGTGTGGGCTGGTGCCTCCTAAGCGGTGACTCAGGGCGGGGAAGAGAAGGTCGCTTGGGCTTGAAATTGGGGCTTGTGGGTCTTTGAGCGCCTGGACCGACGGATTGCGCGAAGCGATGCGGCACAGCGGGTGTTGGAGGTGTGTGCGCGGCAGCATCTCCTCTCAAACGAGTTCCATGTAGCGTGCTATACGATGGGGTAGCGGGTGTAGCGGGAAACGAATCGATCGAGACGGCGGGTGAGAAGCGCCTCTCCGCTCGATGAACGGGCAAGAAGATACCCGCTCCCGGCACGGCAGTGTTGAAGTAATACGTCCCATCCACGTCGCCGTCGTTCTTCCCTCGCGCCGCAAACTCCCGGTCCAATTCGACCCCCACAAACTGGCCGTTCTTCCCCTTCACGTTGCCAATGAAGCGCACCGTCCCGTACATCTCCCCAGGCACATTCACCGCATCCCCGAGAGCCAAATCTTCCGCGTGCATGTTGCCCGCCGGCGTTCGTGGGGTGTGCGCGCCGGTAAGAGCATTCAAGCTGGCCTTACGATTGACGGCGGTGCTCGCGCTGAGACTCGTCTTTTCGGCGGAGATGGACGTGCCGAAGGAGGGTCGTTGGAGACGTTGTCGGGGTGTTTGGTGAGCCATTGTTCCTGGCTGTCTATCCACTCACGGGAGTGTATGCGTTGCAGGAGCCATGGACACAGACATAACTGAAAAGATTGTCGTGACTTACCGGAATGGGCGGCGGTCATACATACGCGCTCTCTACCTTCTGATTGGCTGTCGACCTATTGAGCTAGAAGCACAAAAACGCGTGTCACGTGCTCACACTGAGGCGATCCTGTCATTCAACAACCTCGCCATTCCCGCTGACAGACGGTCCATCCATGCCAGTCGACATTGGCAACCATCTTCCGTGTCCACCTGTTGGATCGAGCAACGGCTAGAGCTGCAAGGACGCACCCACAAAAACGTACTTGTACTATCATTACATTGCCGCCCTAGAGACTGCAATCCTGCAGCTTTATGGAGGATCGCGAGGTTGAATATTCTTCGTAGCCATGATGCCCCTGCCGCCTTTCTCCCATCTAGGTACGCTTTCTGAAATAAATCGTCCCTGTCTCTCACAGTCCCAGTACTCCAGGTCGCGTGGTGCCTTTGTAACCATCTCCCCGGACGCGACGGCTTGGAACGTGCTGATTCGGGTGAGTGCTGGATGCCTACTCTCACCGAGCCCTGAGCAGCCTCACCCGAGGCTCCGCTACCAGCGCCTAGCGTAACGGTGCCTTATCTCGAACAGCAGCCGACTCGCAGATGGAGGACTGTGCGCACAAGCTCGCAACAAGATGGTACGAGATGGGACGAATGTGGCCAGGGAGTATCAAGCCATTGTTATTGGGTATCCAGAGCAGAATGATCGCCTCCTTGCATTGCCGCGAATTAGCCACGCACGCCGTTCAGTTGAATGTGTCGATTCCATGGAACGACACTTGGCTAGGCGGTAGCAGAAAGCCCGCCCACCCCCTGAGTTGTTCTGTCAAGCTCGAACACATCGTCCGCTCCCACTCTCGGGCCTCCGAGCGCAAGGGTGGGAACAAGGGCTTGCATGCGCTGAAGCGTATCATTCAGCTGTTGAAGCACACCAGCGCACTCAGGTTCCTGCCTGAAGGGTTCCAAAGCAACAATGCCACTGGCTCCCACGGCCAGCAGAGCTAGGAGGATGTCATCAGCATTCTTCCCTTCATCGTACCGATCCGTGGGACTGAAACAAGCATTCATCAACGCTAGCGTCAGTGGTGTGTCGCCACCATCGTTCTCCAGTCAAGTTTTACGGTCTTGGGTGCGAGAATGCCAACGAGGCGGTTCATACCGAAGCGGACGGCGACGTGCAACGGACTGTCGCCACGCCATTGACGCCTGACGTCCGTCTTCGCACCTGCTTCGACCAGCAGTATGCCGCATGTCTCGAGACTTTGTGTCGACACTTGCACCAACCTCATGGAACCACAGTGCTCATTGACGGCGTCCATCCAGTACTGAATCGGCTGCTTTCCATGCAAGTCTACACTGTTCACGTTGGCGCCACTCTGAATCAGCAGCGAGACCAGCGAATGCGACGAAGACCATTTCGGCGCCGACCTCAGCGCCAACATCAGCGGAGTCATGCCGTGACCGTTCCGTGCGTCTACTGCGACACCATGGTTGATCAACTTTCTTGCGATATAGACGGCTTTCTCTTCGTCGTGATAATAACAAAAGTAGTATCGCGTACAAACTCTCCACAATGCTGCTTCAGCCTTGGGCTTGGAGGCGAATGCTTTAGAAGCGAGCAAGTGTTCTAGAACCTCCACCGCCTCAAATATAGCCGCCTGTACGAGTATCCAACTGCCCGTGACTGCTCTGAACACACGTTCGATTGTCTCCGGTGTAATCTCAAGTTCGGCAAGCTGAAGGAGTTGTTCGCTTACACTCGCTACATCGTCGTCTGCGATGGCGCGGGCTAGGCGATCAATCCTGTTCATTATCACCAGAGTACTGTCGCGGAGCGCAAGATCGAGTGACTCATATGCGTTTCTAAAGCGGACCGGTCGAGTGTAACGTGCTGGAAGTTGAGAGTGATGCATAACCTCGGCCTGGCCAGGAACGTGGTCATGCCGATTCCATTGGAACGCCCGAGGTATACCGTCTGGGAGGCGTACGTTTACAGCACGCTTGGGCAATTCTCTGCTTCGTTCGCACAGCGAGTCGCGATATCGACTGTAACAAGTAGCGACATGCCTGGGGAGGTAGCTTTCGCCAGAAACCAATTGCTTGCCACACAATGGACAGACGACTTGACGATTGCTTTGATGAACCCGTTGCTCATGCGCTTGAAGGCTGTCTAAGTTCTTGAACTTCGCTTTACCGCACGTGCTACAATCGAATAGACGGGCTGGCTTGCTTGTAGGGTGGAATCGCTCAATATGTCGCTTGACAGACGAAGGACGACTGAAAGTCCTTTCACACTGATTGCAGCGATGTGTCTCCGGCATGGCGAGATGGACGTAACGGCTCAGGGGCCTTGATGTGAAAGCTGTGGGAAGTATTCAAAGCGCCCGAAGGATGGCTTCGTCAAGGCTCGTACATAGGTGCATGTTGCCATCGGCCGGCGTCACAGTCTACCAGTCATGCAGAACGCCACACAGATGACACCGACAAATTGTGCCTGATTGCGGACGCCGTGGGTGCGGAAGGATTGAGGTTGACAAGTGATCGCGCATCGCAATGCAGCTTCAAGCTCGGCAAGCCTTGAAACAGTCTGCGGCTTACAGTATGCACAGCCCACTGACACCGACAAAATATTGCCCAGCCTGCTCTTTGCACCGATAAAACAATACCCGAAGCAGATGGCGCCATGCAACTCGCAGCCTTGATACTGTCGTGTGTCGCCCAAAGGCTTGGACCCCTTTTGCACCGATAACTTAGTACTCAAAGCAGCTCGCTCCGTGCAACCCGCAGCGTGGAGGAGCCGTGTGTCCTCCATCCGCCTTGACGGACCCTGTTGCACCGACAACTCTTCGCCTGAAGTGGCAGCTACCCACGTCAACGTCTTGCGCCCACAATACTTCACACGTATCAGTAGATGGCAATTGCCTCGAACGGACAGCTTGGACGTCACTCATGCATAGCACCGACAAAACATGGCCAGTATAGGTGCTCTGCTGTAGACGCACCGACAATTGCTGTCTTGTTCCGCGATGCGAATCACGACTAGGTCTGCCATCTGGCACAGTCTCGACACATAAGTACGGATGTCCGTCCCGTCGAACTCCAACGGCTTCGACATCGGATGGTCAATACTCCACCAGCCCATGTTCTTGCTTGCCTTACCACTTTACTTCCTTCCGAATCTTAAAGCAAAATGGCCTCACCCGATAGCACTACCTATAGCACGTTCACCAGTCTCATCGCAACAAGCCCGGCTGTAACAGCCACCGCCTCCGCTGCTCCAACGTACACATTGAGCACAGCAAACCCGTCGCTGCAAGCTCCTGGTATCGCTTTCACCTTCAGTTTCCTCGGTATCGTTCTGGCTGCTGTCGGTGTCGTAACGGCAGTCTTCTACGGCCGTCAACAGATCATGTCGCTTCGAAGCTCCCAGGGATTCGACCATCGAGTCGATGTAGAGTAGGTTCGATTGGAGAATCAATGCCCGTCTGACCGTAGCGCTTACCGTTAGACAGAATGCAAAATCTCACCCTTGCGAGGGGTGCGGACAGCGACGAAGGGAACCCGCCAAGCAATGTTGCAACAGTCAATGTTCGTAACGGCCCTGCCAACGACAATAGATCGACCGACAACGCCTCCGTCAACTAGACACAAGCCTCGTCGACTTTATACCCAGTGGAGCATGTCAACCAAGCGTGGCGTGTGGCGCGAGGAGAGTGCGCCGAAGACGGTGCCCTAACGTCAGCGTGTAGGATCATGAGTAGATGAGTGAGAGGGACATGGTATGAACAACGGTGTTGAACATTGAAGCGTTATTGCTTTTAACGTAGAGACTTGCGTCTCAGCGACTCCATCAGGCAGCCTTCCCTCTCGCACTCGCGAACTCCATCCCAAACGTATACAGGCCGAATGCGGCTAGCGCACTTAGTCCCATAGGCAATGGCTTCTGCGTCTTGATCGCTCTCGGGATGCTTGAGCCGGCGAGAATGATGCTGGCGAGAAGGACAAGCTCCACACCGTAGGTCTGTCGGTTCTGCATGCGGTATCCGCCAACGGCATAGAGAGCGCCGACGCTGCAACCGGCGACCATGGACGGGACGGAGCCGGCGCGAATCTGGACAACAAAACTGGTTAGAGCCAGACAAGCATGTCGTTGAGAAGAGTGCAACATACGTAGCCAGTGATCCCACCTCCGGCCGTGAGGCCAGCGAGAATGTATGCGATCGAGTGGAGGGCCTGGTGCGCATATGGATCAGCTTTGAGCAGCAACATGTCGTATTGACAGAGCATACCATGACACGAGGCTGTGTCACACTCGCGTTGCTTGACATTTCGATTTCTTCGCCGAACTCTGAGCGAGAAGCCGCTTTCAAGGAGTGCGATCTAAAGGTACATGTAGTGATTGCTCGACTGAAGCTCACAGCTGGAGACGGAACGTTCCGCAAGAAGCTTCGCTGGCGTGGCACGCAATGGCACATGCATGCCAACTGGCAACGTCTCAACTACAGTACTCCATTGCGCAATCGAACCCGCTCAAGCAACCCATTCCACCTCTACACTCCAACCAACCCTCCACGATGCCGCCCAAGAAAGGCCAGCCCTCCCCAGCAGCCGTCCCTCCCTCCGCCGTCAAAAGCACCCACACCTCCGCCAGCGCCGCACCCATCAAACCCTCCCCCACGCACAGCAAAGTGAACAACAGCGCACCCCAATCCACCTCCTCCACCTCCACCTCCAGCAATGCTTCCGCCTCGCTAGGCAACATCCGCAACGCCCAAGATGCCCAACAAATAGCCATAAGCTTGTGGAACAACTATGTGGAGAAAACGCCGCAGCGGACGAAGTTGATCGATGCGTTCATGGCTTTCTTGATGGTGGTGGGAGGGTTGCAGTTTGTTTATTGCGTTATTGCGGGCAATTACGTGAGTTTAGTGAGAGGGCAGTGGGAGAGAGTACGCTGCTGACGGTATGTGGTGTAGCCGTTCAATGCCTTCCTTGCCGGCTTTTCGGCGACAGTGGGCCAGTTTGTTCTCACGGCGAGCTTGCGGATACAAACAAACGCGGACAATGAGAACGACTTCAAGAATCTATCGCAAGAAAGGTAGGCAGTCATGTTGCTCAGGATACGACAGAACATGCTAACAGTGATTTACAGGGCATTCGCAGACTTCGTGTTCGGAAGCATGATATTACACTTCTTCTGCGTGAATTTCATCAATTAGCGATGTCTTCTTTCACGGAAAAGCATTGTACGAATAGAGAATAGCTGGGTAGGTGCCCTTTAGCCGAGCAGTTCTTACAGCTTGCAGCTTGCAGCTTTAGCATATCCTGCCTGGCAGAAGCCAAAGCAACAAGAGCTTTCATCTACCTCTGATGTGTATATATGTCGGACATTTTTGACGTCCAATCCCGAACAGGTTGCGCCGTCTTTCGAAGCTCCCGCAGATGTCGTCTCAACATACGATTTGCCACGCCCTGCGACGATTCGGTAAAGAGTACTGCACTGCAAAGCGCAAGCTTACGCAGAAGCACCAGAGATGTAGAACCACTTGTCAATGCTTGGGTCAATCGGCGCCGGCGCCTTGTCCTCGCCCTTGGGAATGTTGAGCTTGCTGGGGTCGGTACGGTCAGGGCTGTGCGGAACGGTGGTGTTGGTGCTACCGGATGTCAGCTTCAACGAACAAAACGAATGAGAAGTTCACGACACTCACAGGCTGATTTCACCCTTCTGCGTCTTGCCCGTGATCAATCTCTCCCACGCCTCCGCGCACTCCCTCACGACGTCCATCGCATACTTCCTGTTCTTGCATTCACCGCTGAACGCGAACTGGTTCTCCGGCTTGCCGTCCGGAATCTTGTAGATGCGGAACCACTCGTTCGTCGCCCGCAACAAACCCGGCAAATGCCTCTCGACATCCTCAATGTCATTGAGCTTCGGCGCCAACGGGTCGTTGACATCAATGCACATGATCTTCCAGTCCGTCTCGCCCTCATCCAGCAGAGCCATCACGCCAAGAACCTTGACCTGCTTGATCTCGCCAGGCTTGGCGACCAGCTCGCCGATCTCGCACACGTCGAGAGGGTCGTTGTCGCCCTTTTGCTTGGTCTCCGGGTGGGTGACGTTGGGGTCTTCCCAGGTTTGGGGGAAAGCGCCATAGTTCCAGAGGTAACCCTTGTGGGGGAAGCAGTTGCGGACGAAGCGGAGCTTGCCCTTCTTCGTGTCTTGTTTGATGGGGTTGAGAGCCTCGTCTTTGGAGATCTAAGACGAGTAGATGTCAGCCAAGCGTATGCTTGACACTCAATGGCTGGATGAGCGGAAGTGGCGGTGACGCCATTGGAAGGAAATCTTTCATTTGCGTACCTCCTGCTTGGCGTTTGTCCACCTTGGGATCTCAACGACCATGTTCAGCACCGTCTGCTGCTCATTGGCATACAGTGGCACATCGTGGAAAGGGCTGACGGGGACGCCATCCTTCTCAATGTAGATGCGGTGCTCAAGCGTGTGCGGTGCGCCGATCTTGCGAGCCGTAAAGACGGACGGAGCCTTGCTGTCGTAGCCGCCGCGAGTGGGCAGAGTGGAGGTGGCCATGGTTGTGTTTTCAGTAGTTTGCGAGTGTGTTGACGGTGAGGTGGAAAAGTGAGAGGACAATTGTTTGCTCCTAGCCTGAGCTAGAGCTTGTGAGGACCGAATTTTGTTGACGCTGGTGGGGCCCCGGCCGAAGACGTCAGGGTCCACTGGAGGGGTTGAAGAGAAAGCGCGGCGAGCCAGCGTAATTGCGGCAGCGGAGTGCGTGAGCCGGCGCAATGGGTTGAGCGTGGATGGGGCGTTGAGCGGGATTGATGGTGGCATGCGAGTATTGATTAAGAATGACGAGCTGCGTGCGCGAAGGTCTGGGTCTGACAGGATGAGGAAGATGAGCTCGGCATCACACTTCGCTTGAAGCACTTCCCCTTCTGTCCGTGCGTTCCTCGGCGAGATTCGGTTACGCCAGAGTGTCGAGCGTACTTTACAACGTACAACGGCTAAGGTTCTGGCGTGTCCAGACAATGGGCGGAAGAATGCCATACCAAGCCGACGATTACCGACCTTGTATCCAAGCCGACCATGCAGGGATGCAACATCCAATGTACAGTCCTACCTCCTGCCTTTGCGCTAGTGACTTCTCTCATCTTCCTGACTTTGTATCATGTTCCGCCACTTTACAACGGCTGTCACCGTGCTCAGGGCACCTTCTACGAAATACTGTCTTAGTGGATGAGAGCAGCGCCGTTAGGGAATCGGGCTTGGAGCTTCTCGGGGGTTGCAAGAAACGGTCAGGGTGACAGCGACCAACGAGGTTCAAGTCGGACAATTATTCTGCGCAGCACCCTATCGTTTCCACGCTGAACGCAAGCAGCAGGGGTGCGCTCATGTCCATTGTTTGATTAGGTCTGGGGTTTCATCAACGACATCGCACTGTTCGGAAGTAGATGATCTTCTTGAGCAATTTGTTCGTGGTCGACCGGCGACAGTGCGGCAGAAAGAGGCCTTTAAGCTCGGTCGACGTTTTCGAATCACTCCGGAGTACCGCCCTGGAAGTGATTGTCCGCTTCTCAGCACATTAGCTTCCAAGTTGCTTCGAAGTCCACCTAAGTGGACAGATCTGTCGAGATGTTTTCATTGTGAAAGGTCCTGTATCCTACTAGGCTGTCCACGTACATTTGCGAGCTGTCAGATCGATCTCCACGTCTCGCGAGCCGAATGGGTTCCTGCACGACTCTGCATCGAACACACCTCGGCGCTGGTCGCCAGCTGCAGGTACGAATACTTTTTCCCATCGGTATCAACCAATCACATGCCGTATGTCAGCGGACGTGCAGCCAGAAGTGTTTTAGCCTTAAGTCTCAGGTGTCGATCACATCATCCAATTGGCCTGCACTCTGCGGCCCGCGGGTCTGGTTCGTCAGACCGTCGCTCCGGACGGCACACGCTTCAACGTGCGGCCACCCCACCGAATCTGGCGCACTGGCCGCATTTTCCCTCGCTCTCTCGCTCGCACTGGCCTTCTTCGCCGTTTCGGCTTGAGGCGCCTGATCTGTCTCTTCTCTTCCCTTCAGTCTCAGCATACAAGCGCCGTCTGCACACTCTCTCCGTGCGGCGTCTCGTCTTCGACATCCATTGTCAGCCCCTCCTTGTCACTCATTTTCAGCGCCTGTGGTGCTAACACAACACTCACACTCACTCATTGTTCAACGACAGACACACTCACTCAGCTGCGCAGCCTAGGTCTTGCTGCAGCGAACCATCCTACATTCCTTGTCCATACTTTCTGCCAAACTCACCCAACATTTGCGCAGGACAGTGTCCCGCAGATAGCCATTTTCGACCGCCGTCACCCAGTCACTAAGCTTGGAGGTTCATTCGCGATAAGCACGTGAACAGTGTCGTCCGACTTTTAAGCAATCTACAAGCGATCACCTTACTCGAACGCTTACTACACCGTATACACCTTGGACAAAATGCTCGCACGCGCCTTCACCGTACGGCACAAGAAGTCCGAAATGCAGATCAAGGTGCCCGGCTGGCTCGGCCGTGCTGCGAGCCAACGCGGAAGCAAGCCTGTTCCTCGCGCACAGATCTCTTCGCCGCTGGCTCTCCTATCAACCAGCAACCCGCTGTTCAACAATGCTCAGCATATCCCGGGCGCTTACCCGATCGAGGATCGCAGCATTTCGTCGAGCTCGTCCACACACTCGGCCGATGACAGCGATGCGAGCAGCAGCCACCGGACCGCCGGAAGCATGACAGATGCTTCTTCAGTCGACGAGCTTTCTACACCCTCGACGCCGGTGGATGTGGAGCCAAACCACCTTAGTTGCTACTTCAAGCCTGCGGTCGACACCAAGGCGGTCTCGCCAGATCAGACGCCAACCATGTCTCAGACATCCTTCGATGCACCACTGATCCCCAGGCGTGTGCCCTCGCATTCGAAGAAGGCTCACGAGAAGCTCCACCGTAAGAACTCCATCAAGCGTCTGATGTCGCCTCCTCCGCGCGAGCTGCGTAACTCCACAGACATGTTCGCTGTCGCGACCCTGTCCGCCTTCGTAGAGGCACCGCGGGAGGCACCCTTCGGCAAGGAACTCGAGCAGGTTGACGAAGTCGCCGAGGAGTTTGGGCAAGTTAGCCGTGACGCTGAGACTGAGGCGGATCTCAATGCGGTGCAAGACCTTGGTCTCGGCCAGTTCGCAGCCTGCGACTACATGTCCGAGATCCAAAGCCTAGTCTTCAGCACCTTCTACGAAGAGGAGCAAGCCTTCACCGACTGGATCTAAGCCGTGCTCCTGACTCCATGGAGCAATCGAACCCTTTCTCGTCTGGCACAGCAGAAGGGGTTGCAGATGCAGTGCCTTGTTACACTGAAGCATGCCATGGTGCTATCCTCATCTATCACGCCCAACCATCTCTGGCAGATCTAGTAACGACCGTCACGACATAGATCTTGCCGTCCACTCATTCAAGTGACTGCGAAGCCCCAAAAAGCTTATGTGAACACGTTTACGGTCAGGAAATGGCTTACGGGGGGTTGGCGTTGCATGCTTCCTACAGTCTCGGGCTGCTTGGGTCGAGCAGAGCATCTTTGTTTTCTGTATCTAGGAGGAGACTCTTCTTGTATTTTCCTTTTAGATCGTCTTGAATTGACACTCATTTCAAAACCGCTGTGCGACAGTAGGTGCCGATGAAACGTGCCGTTCGTGTCGCGGTCGTGTCAGATTGACAGCGCTTGCAGGTGAAACGTCATGCAAGCAGGCGCTTGGGTTATCGGAGTTCGGAGCAGCGGTCCGATGCCTCGGCACGGTAGCCGCACGCGGATTCGGTTGCCCCTCGCCGTTTTCTGTTCGATTTGGGTAAACAAAGTCACGTCACTATTTGAAGCGCGATCAGCTAGCACACAGCTATCTCCTACCAATCCATTCCAGAGTCTGCTTTGCGCTCCAATCTCGAGACGAGTTTCGCCAAAGCCTCTGCACTGCCGTTCACCGCTAGCTCCACTGCAAAGTCAACGCGTCGCTAACCGCGTGCCTGGCATTAGCCTCGCAGCGCTACCCCTCCAAAAGCCCACCTGCAGCGGGAAAGAACGATTCTGCATCAAGTGGTCACGCTACACTTTCGAGCCACATCGCCAACCTCTATACTAATTCTCTCGCTTCCACAGCATATCTGTTCAGCGTGCGGGACCGTGGCCGCAACCATAGGTATTCCAATTCCCGGCGGTGGTGGAGAGAAGGGGAAGACGACGCCCGCCAACATGACTTCTCCGGAGGTGGACTTCACACGGCGGAACCCGACAGCCAGACCATTGACCGATAAGGAGAGGGATGCGTTGGACGAGTTTGTGGACTCAATACATTACTCCTCGAGGTGTGAAGAAACCTGGTTCGGAGGAAGAAAGACAAAGCTGACGGCGAGCTCGAAATGTAGATACAATGACGACCACTACGAGTACCGGCACGTACAATTACCAAAGCAAATGCTGAAGAAGATCCCGAAGGAGTACTTTGAGCCATCGCGGGGGACGTTGAAGCTGCTGTGGGAGGAGGAGTGGAGAGGGTTGGGCATTACGCAGGTTGGTGTTAGATAATGCGTGAGCAAAGACTAAGAGGCTAATGACATGCGCTAGAGTCTAGGATGGGAACACTACGAAGTCCATGAACCCGAGCCGCATATCCTCCTGTTCAAGTAAGTACCAAATCACTTCACTGACCCGGATCTGACTGACGAGCGTTTGCCAGGAGACCGATGAACTACCAGCCGCCAGCGCAGCACTGAGCGGTTACCGAGAGCGCATCTGTCCGCTTGAACTGCTTCTTTGATACTTGCTTCGGTCAACCATTCGGCAAGCGGGCGTTTTTCAATGAATAAGCGGAGTCCTCGAGCTCGGGTGGAGCAACACGATATGGCGCGGAGTTGCTGCATGGTGGATGCCAAGAGAATGATGTGGCACATGAATGGATGTACGGCGTACTAGCGGAAGGGCCAATGCCGCTTGATTTGTGAATAGCTTCCCTCAATCAGCGTAATATCTATCTCTCAACTCAACTCAGCCTCGAGGTCGAGCAGGCCGCGTCTGGGTGCCTTGGCCGAGTTCGAAGGAGCTTCGGAGTCCGGCAAGTGTGCCACTACAGGGATCACTCATAGGAAAGCAGCATACCGCACAAGCAGATCAAAAGTCAACTGGTGCGGTATTCGACGCTTTACAGAAGTCTGCGGCTCATATTTCGATTTCCAACCAGAGACGTACAAGTATTTCCCCCAAGGTCGTTCGTAGAATATGGTGCGTCCGGTAAAACATCAAACAAGACTCCGTCGCCTCACCAGATAATCTACAGCTGTGATCGATCATCGGAGCCCAAAAAGATTGTTGCTTGTCGAGCGGAAAAGTTCAAAAAAGGTAATTTGGGCTATGTATGTTCTCCCTCGGGTGGGCTCTTTCGCGGATGTCAGCAATGTCCATATACTAGGAAATTTGTATGAACGTACCGAACCACCAACCTTCCGGTTCGCTTTCCTAATGCTGGATAACAGCCGAACGCGCTAGCCAATTGCGCCACGAGGGACGTCTGATTGATGAGCCTCAGTCCCAAAGGTTAATACATAAAACGCAAAACAACAGCCGAGGTCTCGCCGATCTTATCATCTACGCAGCTGCACAAGGCTCAGAGGGTGCCATTGTTAAAGCGCTTGTTAGCTCTCGAAAGATAGAGACAGCGTACAAATGTTAGGCTTGCCGAAAAGGCAGTCCAGGTCACGTGTGGACGCGGAACCGGCGTGAAAGTTAAAGCAGGCATATGCAGCTTCGAGTGCCACCTCACCTCACGTTACCACCTGCAGTAGGTCCACAACGATGCCACAGCTCCCACGCAGATCAGCACCGCTCCTACGAAAGGTCAAGGGCAAGTCGCACGCCAGTGACGATGATCATGAAGTCGATGCTACATTTGGCGCAAACCAGCTTCCTACACCATCTTCAACGAACAGTGCGCGCAGCGCGACAGACAGTAGCAGGCTGAAGGTCGTTGACGATATCGATATCTACGCCGACCCCATATCTAGCGATGACGAGCATCAGACAGGCTTCCAAAACGCGCCGAGTCTTCCGTCATCCACTGCACCTGGAGCTGGCTCGCCTACGTGCAAGCGAATCGGTCCGCTTGTTGGGCCCATATCGGAGAGATCAGACCTCCGTTCCCAACGGTTATCTACGCGCAGCCCACCACAGAGCTCAGGAAACAAGCGCAGTATCACGGCGGCTTCCGAACACCCCAGCAGCGAGAGCGACGAGATGGCGGTCGATTGGATGATGGGCTCGCAGTCTAAGAAGCCTAAAATGTCCGCTTACACCGCCAATGTACACGCCCAGCCCAGGGTGAAGACTGTGCAGTATGGTGGAAAGGCGCAGAAACAGCGGTCGCGGGATGCGGTGCAGAAGAAGAAGGCTGGGTTTAAGCACATACCGCCAGTGGAGGAGACGACGAATGCCGCGAAGCCAGCCTTTAAGCGGCCAACTGTGACGTCTGATATGTTCATGTTTGGTGCAGATGCTGCGTTCAAGCAGCCTGGTCAGCATGACTCGGTTTCTGGCCATCATGAAGACGACTCGTCGTCTCTTAGCGACTATCCGGACTCGCCGCAACTGGTAAATGTCGAAGTGCGCTGCGCCGCACCGCGGTCTCCCGAGTGTGCCATCTGCGGCGACGCTGTTATGCCTTCTCTGCGAGAGGACTTTGAAGACCAGCATGGTCTCCGAGGAGTGGCTTTCACCTACAAGTGGCAACAGCGCTTTTGCAGATATCACAAGTTACATCATGCCCGAGACGTGTGGGAGCAGCGCGGCTTTCCTGACATCGACTGGGATGGCCTACCTACGCGACTGAAGCAGCGCAAGCACACGACACACATCAAGCGAGTCATCAGCGGCGAGATAGAGAGCTCCTTCCGCAGAGAATGGGAAGCAAAGGTAAAGAAGGGCGCTCGGTCTCTACAACAAGCGGCCGACGACGATGACGGTGCTCGGCGCGCTTCTGCGGGTTATTATGGGCCGCGAGGTGAAAAGTTGATGTAAGTCTTGATCAGCCTTTCCCTTAAGCGAATGCTAATTTCCACAGGTCCGACCACATCCTCGCTTCCTTCGGCGACCTCTTGCGCAATCATGCGGCCAAAGACAAGCTTATCGCTTCCGCTGGGGTTTCGGGTGGCGTGTCGGGCTTCGTGCAGAGTGTGCTTGTTCCCGAAATTGCTGTCTCCCTCATACGTGAGGATCTTGGAGCGAAGAAGGTACGGGATGGCGAGCAGATATTGCTCCTGAGCGCCGAGCTGGGTGAGATGCTGCATCCGGAGCTGGATGATCTGGCTGTTACACGACCGAATGTTAGTGATGATGAGGCAATGCGGTAGATGGTCGAGTCCTCCAGCATCTGACGAAGCCACATATATATTTGAACGTGCGCCGTGCAGCCAGCCAGACCTTGTCACTTCATCACACCTTTCGCCCGCCAAGCCGCAAACGGTGTCTCTGGCGCCATCTCCGCATTGTGGTCCCCAGACGTCGCCGCAAGGATGCGGTCTGCAGGCAGTAGTCCTCCTGTCTCGTCTCCCAATGCGCAACCGTGCGAACGCGATACAGCCGGTCGAGACTTCATCATTGGGCACAGTTGGCTACTCGCCGCTGCTTGTCATGCCTCCATCGGTCATCACAGGTCATTCTAACTCCGGCTATCATCCAGCGAGTTCCTCTTGCCGCTTCAGCAGTCTCGAATGCCGATCCACTTCCACCTGTATGTCCTTAAGCTTAAGCTTCTCCAGGTCAAGCTTCATCTCTTTGCCGTCTTCTGCGTGACACTTGTTAGCCATCCAACCCATCACCCGTGGTAGTAACGCTGCGAAGGTACATACTGAACTTCAGACTGAGACTAGCTGGCTTGTCAACATCTGCCCTAGCGAACATCTTCACGTCTATAGCCATGCGGGAGCGCGCATTGGGCGGGAGCAGAGCCAAGAAGTTGCGCGCCGTCTTCCCTGAGCGAGCATTGAAGGGCGAGAATGCCGTGCTGACGGCAGTGAGGTACTTCGTCAACATCCTAACCAATTAAACCCCCTGGACGGCGGTGAAGGTGGAAAGCTGTCAATGCAGATCAGAGGCTGATAATGCGGAGGTGGAGGTGGAGATGCCGGTGATGCCAAGGATGCAGGCCGGACTTGGAAATTGCAGGATGGTTTCAGTGTCCTCTTTCGGACGAATACGAACAGGAACAAGGATGAATCAGTCTCAATCTGCGACAGTGTTACTGCTTTGTCCACGTCGCACCGTGAATCCTTCCAATGTTGTGCTAAGCCTTCAAATAGCGCGGTAAGCTCAAGCAGCCCGTTTATTTACCTCCGCTCTCTCTTGCACTCTCCCTTGCATTTCGTACGAACTCTAAGACGACTGTAATCATTCGAGGATCGGCCTCACCTTTGCGCTTCAGCATGGCTACTTCTACGGCTTTCCTGCTTTTTGCTGCTTTCACCACCGCAGTCGTGGCCCGCACCGACCTCACCGGCTGCACATCTACCGACGTCTCCTCTCCGGCCGGCGCCAGCATCGCTTGGGTCGTTCCTGGCACCGGCGAGATCTGTGCTCCCTTGGACTGCGGCGGAGGGAGAGCGCCACCCAAGACCACTGTGCCAGGATGCCCTCTCTACACCGGCACGGCAGCATACTCTCCGTCTTACCTGGCCGGCTATGCGACTGCCACGGCCACTGCAGCCAGTACAACACGCGGCTGGAGTTCGAGCCCTGGTTGGAATACCTGGGGGGTAGATAGTGCTAGTACGAGCGCAAGCTGGACGGCTTGGCAGACCAGCCGTGCCAGTCCGAGCGCTAGCTGGAGCGCCTGGGAGACCGATAGCGCATCTTCAAGCTGGGATCTATACGTTGCCTCATCAAGCTGGACGTCAACCTCGGCATGGGCTTCGAGCCATGCAGGAAGCGCGACGAGAACACCTCTCATCTGCGCTATTGGCACCAGCTGCTCCACAACGTCCACGAGCACGGATGTGTGGTCAAGCAGCACTTCGACAGCCACGCCTTCGTCCGCCAGCTCTTCGTGGGCTGCAAGCAGCGAAGCATCATCAGCCAGCACATCAACAAGTACGGGGCTTACAAGCGCATCTTCATTCGCAACTGCACCCTCGGTGACGACAGCGGCAGCTCAGGTACCCGCCACTTCCGAAAGCCGCACTACAACAAGGGCAACAACGACGCCAAGCTCGGCGCCAAGCACCGGCGCGGCATCGGTTGTCGCGCAGACTTGGGTGGGTTGGGTCATGATTGCCGCTCTAGCTGGGTTTGCAGCGCTGTCGTAATTTACGGAACTTACTGCACAACGTAATTTATGCCGCCAGATGTTAATGAAGCTGATCACGGCGATCACGTCGGGACTTTTGCGATCGATTGCTGGCAGCGTGGTGATAGCGTCGTGCCTGCGACGCAGTCCGAGCACTGTATGGTGGAAGCACTGCACAGTTGAATGAGCCCAATGTCCGCAAACATCGGCGCTAGATATAACATGTATGTATCTGCATTGATACCGTCAAGGAACCGATTGTCTTCGTGCTCTGCGTTGCTCGAATGATGCTGACATGTCACGTGAAGCCTTCTGCGGGCAAACGGACTAACTTCTGTGATGATCATATCCACATACGACAGCAACCTGAAGACCTTGGTCCATGGTAGGGACCTTGATCCAAGACACATGGACCGTGGTAATGGTACGACAAAGCTTTGTCGTTATCCACATGGTAAAGTGTGTTGCTCTACATACACTTCGTAGTCGGCCTCATTATCCGCCATCGTGATACGCCAGTACGTGCAGCCTGACTCCCAATACGCCCTCAATCCAACCAACACCTCAACTCCACATTCGTGCACATGTTTCGTGGCAAGGTAGTGAGTCCGTCGGAGCGTCTCGTTGTCGAAGTGATGAGATGCAAGCAGCATTATGATAGGTGTGTGTTTCCATCATGGTATCGGGGTGTTTTGAGTTCGTCAATAGGTGTGAGCTGACGCGGGAGATGGTGCTGGCGCTGATGTAGGATTTTATCGCTGTAGGAGGCTCATACACTGCAGCTTCTTCGTGTACCACGGGCACCAATCGCTCCTGGTGTTGAAGTAACAGTATCCTAGGTTGATCATGACACCGTCGTTGATGTTCGCGATCTCTTCACGGCGAGGGTCGCGATTATGGACGACTCTCCAGTGATCGACGTACTTATCCATCCTCGGATAGTTGAAGCGACATTCTGGCACAGTGCAATGGTAATGTTGTGCAGCCATCGCATGGTGTACCTCGTGGTGGCGCTTGCGTTCGAAGCTTCCGGAGAGTGTACTATCGCAATAGCCGCACGGCACATTACCTCTAGATCGTCGTCGTCGTCGAAGATGCTGCGCTGCGAAGAGTACGGCAGGAGTCGGCGCGATAGCCTGTCGCGCTCCAGGTTTGAAGACAGGGGCGGAGTGAGTGGAAGATATCGTGGAGTTATCCAAATACATCAAAGGCGGCAGGGAAGGATCGCGGAGGGGCGCGGATAAGGTTGCTTGTCCGTACTGATTAACGATATCCGCTGTCTGGAAAGGAGTGTTCCAAGAGGTCGGCGCTGCCACACCCGGCCGGTAATGCGTAGCTACGTGCCGGGATCCTGCAGTATCTTTATGAGTATTACAACATTGGTAAAAGCTCATCTACTCACTCGAGGCTGCGGGACTCGAACTGGTTGAGATGGGGGGTGTGTATGGCGCTTGTGGCTGACCGAGAGGGTCTGCGAAAAGTTGGCCGACATTGTTGGTCAACACGCCCAACGTCTGCCCGAATAGTACTGTGTCAGGGTAGGCCCGCGGGTGCGAGTCAGCAATTGACGGGTGGAAACTATAATAATCCCCGGGTGGATGATGGAGATCCAGATAGGTATCGTCACCGTCAGGAAACTCAAAGTGCCGAAGTATTGGCTGTGTCCGGGACCACCAGTCAGACATGCCCGGATGACTCTTCAGCTTACATGGAAAAATCAGAGCTCGAACAGTAGCAATCGGGAGGCTAGAAGTTGCAAGACGGTCCGCTAAGTATAACACCGGATTGTGGTAATAGTGCCTCGCTCAGGGCGCTGAGGCGACAAGGTCGACAAAGGGCAGCCAACGAGCACTGCAGGATGCAATGATGTGAGGCGTTTCGCAGAACACACTCCCCACCAAGCTCTCCGGGTTGGGCAGGTTGGCCTCAATAGAAGTCTCATCACGTGACGGGCGTGCCGAGTGGATCTTTCCAGCCAATCAGCTCCCGTGCTTGGCATCCCAAGTGTGAGGCCGCCGTTCTGTTGAGGGTTGCCTTTTTCGATTGTGCCCCAGGCCATCCGATCCTGAAGGCAACGCAGCGCCCACTGGTCGAGATAAAGCGCCCAAGTTAGCCTGAGGTATCCAAGAAGAATTATGTCCTGACGCACTGGCCAGAGCGAGCTGCAAGAAGAAATTTGATGCGGGCGGTCTGAAAGCTGGTGCCAAACGGCGGCGTGGTTATCCAAGCGTGAAGTCTCCTTCAGCTCCTGCGCAGGGGTTGACAGGATTCATGCTTAACGTCTGACGGCTCGGTTGGAGCCACGCCCCGCGCCAGTATTCATGGAGAGTCCACGAAAGTCGCCATTTGCGCCATTGTGACCCTCAAGCACTACTCACATGTTAGCATGTCTGGTTCCAAGTGCTGGGTTCGATCACACGTTGTTCGGTCATTATGGGCGCAGCTTGCGCAACGCGGTTGGGTGGGTAGGCGAAAGTGCATTGGCGACTGGAACGAGTCTGTAGCTGTGGAACGCACTAGGATCGGTCAGACAAACTTTGCCCACGCGTGTTTCTCGCTATCGCTTACCTGGGTCGTGAGGCGTGCGGTGTCCACTCTTCTCCCGTCAACAATGATGGCAGGAAGCTGCGCGGTCTTGAGTAGTCATCATTGAGCGGATGAAGAGCGCCCGCCTAGATTTATGAACACATCAAGTTCGGACTGATATCAAGGCGGGTGAAGGTGGGGGTAGGGTCAGGGTGATGGTGAAGAAAAAGAAACAGAGACATCATTCGAGCAGGAAGTCGCCGCTGGGTTGTGTGGTTGAGCTCCGAAAGCTGCGCTTTCGTATCGTGGCCGCAACGATGGCGATTGAGCCAACATATTCACTCTCTTTGGTAGTCGGTGCCCGTATATATATCTCTTGGGGTCCAAACGCCAGGCATAGCCTGATGTCAGCCTTGTGTGCGGGCCTTTCAGACCGGTCAGTAGCTTGCAGCCAACGAACCAAGGGCCGAAAGCCGAGCGCAGCCGCGAAGCCTCGTGCTTCCGTCTGAAATGACTTGGGCGGCCTCACTTTTGACAGACCGGTGAAGCTGGCAATCCAGAGTAAGGACGCCGCGTTTGCAGGCATTCCTTGCGTAATTACACCTTCCAGCCTTCCGCTTCTCCATCCCATGTTGCCTAAACGATTGTTCACCGGTCACAGGGCGACGTTTCAAGCCTGATGTGCATCGCATGATCAGCGTTTGAGTCATCGGTGTCGACACGACTTCTTGACCTGTCATCATGGGGCGCCATGGTGTTACAAGTGTTCCTTCTCTTAGGAACTCTCTTGATACTACGGGAGTTATCAATGCTGACGACTGGTTACAGCTGAACCGGTGAAGCTCTCATGGCGCGGCAGTTGCCGTGGAAGAACCCGTGCGAGCTGTCCGGCTGCGTAAATATTGTTCGATCGTTGCAGATCACAACATGCGCCTACCAGAATACAGCGACTGCGTGCACAATCTATTGCACCTCAAGCTAAGCGTCAAGTTTCTGGGTGCGCAGCGAGTCGCGGCGCGCACATTGGATGCATGGACAACCGCTTTTGTACCCTACGTATATTGAAACGCTCGATCATCAAGCCTGCCTTTTGCTCCTTTCAGCGCAAACGCCTCAACGATGCGGTTCCTGCCGGTTTTCGTACGCCCGGTTAACCCTATATTGACTTTGAGCTGAGGAGAGAGCTTGCTGTGATTCCCATGGGTTTCCAGCAAACCCTGCTTGAGAACTTTCGAATAGACTCTGTGCAGCAACCGGTGAGGGAGCAGTCCTATACCCTTGACCAGCATGACTCGCATAACCAATAGCAGGCTGGTTCTGAGCCAGCATCATCTGCTGCATCTGCATCTGCATCCACTGCGTCTGTTGTGACATTTGCTGCTGCATTTGCCATTGATACTGCATTTGGGCCTGAGCTTCCGCTTCCATCTGCTGCTGCTGTCGAGCGGCAATGGCTTGCTGTACCACCGAACTGCTCATGGTATGCCGCTTCGACTCTTCCTTCTCACGCTCACGTGCTGCAAGGGCGCCAAACAGGCCAGGCTGATACTCCTCTTGCTTCTTCTGGTCCGCTTTCGAAGTGTAGCTGAGCAAGGGCATACCAGTAGCGCGTGCCACGTGCATCTGCTCCTTTGCTGTCAGGTTTGTGGGCTGAGCGCTATAGTTGGCTGGGCCAGGACATCCAGATCCTAGGATCGCCCCGGCTCCGCGTGAATGTGGCCGGCTAGGTGGTGTGCGCTGATCGGCTGGCTGTCCAAGATGGGACCAGTCGCCCGACTGCATCCTTGAAAGTGGGGGCGGCGTTTTGGTCAAGGATTGACGTAGCTTATGTACGCTGTGGCCGGAAGAGGTTCGCTGATGAGCAAAGTTCGGCGTAGCTCTTCGCGGAGGTGCTTGCTGTGGTTGTGCGGCCATGGCCGCCCTGTACTGCACCCATTGCTCTGGTGTCAGACTCTGCTTGTTGCTTAGCGCTTCTCCCTGCGAAGTCACAGCCGGCTGCCAGGCAATGCTATTCCTATCCGGTGTGCGTGAGGGCGAGGCAACAATGCCCGTCGGTGTGATGGGTCTTGAGCCTGGCGTCGTGCGTCCGCCGAAATAGGATTGCCGGGCGGACTCCGCCAGAGCGTCACCGGAAGCGCCCATCAGGCGGTCGCCCGACCGTGACCGGCTTCGATCGCCACTCGCACCAGGCGTCATGGTTCCGCTTGTGGTCGGTCTGCCAGTCGGTGTGTACGTAAGCGTCGGTCCGAAGTCTATTGCAGGCATCATTGCCTGCTGTTCTGCCTGCTCCTTGTTCCAGGTATCAAGCTTCCCCACGCTCCCAGAGCGTTCGTGCAGAGCAGGGTAATTCGGGTCGCCAACAGTTTTCAGCCGGCCAGCTCTTGGCTTCTCTACAGGCTTGCGCTGCTCCGGCTTCGAACTCACGGTGCTAGCGTAATCCGGGACGGAAGATTGCATGGTATCAGTACGGCTGGCTGTGTCTCCATTCAGCACACGTTCTAGGACGGCCTGATCGATCACATCGCCCGCCCAGCTTTCACTGTTGACTGGGGAGTCAGGCGAGAGAGGCTCGGTGCGATCATGATGCGGAGGCGTTGGCTGCTCTGACGGTATGCTCAGTGACAGTGGTTGTTCAGCAGTTGTTTTCGGCACGGGCTTTCTTGCAACGCTACGACTGGTGGCAAGTGGAGAGTCCGGAGTTCCGCGTCCACCTCTCGTCGCTTCGTCTCTCTGATGTACCCCTGTTGCCGTGTCGTGTGGCATGTAGGCTTGCTCGCGCAGGCGGGAAGCTTTCGACTCCGCATCGGAAGGTGGACTGCCAATAATGGTACTCAAGCGCTGACGAGGATCACGTCCCTTATTCAGTATGCCTTGCAATTGATCAGCAGGCATATCGAGATTGCGTTCCGCAGGGTGGTCATTGAACCCTACCGATCTTTGCTGTTGTTGGCTGCGATGCTGCAACTCGCCGTTCCAGTAGTCATCGTCCGGCTCATCTTCCGTGCGGACTGCATTCTGCATCTGATAGAGTGTAGCGGCATCCACATTCGAGTGCGCGCGCCTTAACTCAGGGGCTTGATAAGGCTGATGAGCTGGTCTACTGGAAGGGTTGTGCGTGAAGGCGGGCGGACTAGTAACCGGTGCAGGCGGCAATGTGTGTGGTGTTGCTACCTGCGTCTGCACGTCACCCGCAACAGAGCTCAAGGTAGGCACCTCCGCCTCGGACTGAATGCGTTCCAGCGAGCCCAGTCCATGGGGCCGGCCAGTCGCGGCACTCAGTGCGCCTGTGTGTCTTGGCGGTGGTGGCGGCTCGTCATAAGCGCGACCGGCTTCGTAGGAGAGACGTGATGATGTTTGTGTTTCATATCGACGGTACCCTTGCGCATCGGAAACCGATCGCTTATGCGGACTTGAATGTGCTGATGGCGGTGCGGAGTCAATGCGCCGGGGTGGAAAAAAGCGACCTTCAGCACCACTAATCGGCGTCGGCGACTCGGAGCGCGAGCCGGGTGCAGAGACCGGTGCGCCATCCTCGAAACGAACACCACCTCTGGTGGGTGGCAACGACATTCTGCTGGTCATGGTGTTGCGGCGGTATGCCATCTGCTGGCTGGCTCGGGGCGAGTTCTCCATCTGCGTCACCATGCGAGTGGACGTCAGCTTCTTCATCTCACGCCTCCACTGCCTCTCGGTCCAGCCTTGGCTGCCTTCGGTATGAATCAATGCTGAGACATCCAGGATGTCCAAGTAGCCATAGCGCCGGTCTCGTGGCATTGCGAACATAAGACCCTTCTGGTCAAGAGTATCCGCGATCAAGCGGTTGGGCCTGCCGTAGAGACTGAAGGCGTCGAACACAGGGAAGAGGAACCGTAGCATCATCTCGAATCCTGTGACTGCAGGATGCACTTCTGGCATGATGAAGACAAAGCCTTCTGTGATGGATTCTGGCGTGCCGTGAACTGTCACCAACCCTTCCAGCTTGACCAATGTGGACTGTTCAATCAGCGGCTTCGACTGCGGGTAAATGGCGTAAGCCGCGTATGCATCAGTGATCGTCGCAATTGGCCTGGTCTTCTTTGTGACCTTTCTGGTGTCGTAAAACTTGATGTGACCCTTGGGCACCCTCACTCGCTCAGACGTGGCTTTCTTGAGCGCTTTCTGCGCCCGCTGAACCTCCTTTTCCTCTGGCTGCGAAACGACGCACCAACACCGCTTCCATGCTGTACCTGCTCCAAACCGTACACGCGCCCAGTCTTCGTGAGGAAACTTTGGACTCGCACGCTCCATGATCGTCTTTATATTGTTCAAGAACTTGCCCTTGCCGGCAATCAGTGAGCCGGTATACGCTTCCATGAGCGTTGAGTGCTCAAACATGGCAAGACGTATTCCGGCAGTCCACTGTGTCAGCGAATTCAGCGAGTTAAAGTGTAGTAGATAGCGATTATTAGCGGCAGTTGAGATGCTGAGAACATTCTGCAGGTTGCCACCTTGTGCACCGTTCATGGGTAGTGACTCAATCTAAGCATACCGAGTTAACATGGAGCGTCCAGAGCAGTCGTGAAATTCTTACCATTTTGATAGAGGCGTCGCTCAGATTGATGAAGTTGGGCACAACTTCTCCGTCCTCGCCTGCTGCGTCCAGCGCACCAGCATCCCATAACGACAGCACCGTACCAACGAGTTGAGCAAAGCATTCTACCCACACCCTGTCCGGACTTGGACGGCCTCTCGAATCTAGATCGTGCAGCTTCAGGAAGTAGCCTTCTTGATATAGTTTATTGCTATGGCTGTTGAGGTAGCTGAACACAGGCTGTAACTCCGGAGGCGTGTCGTTCGCGACATCCACCTGCGGAGGCTGGTAGGCTTGCATCATGCTATTCGGCCTTGTCGCAGCTCTTGAGTCACCTCGCGCCCTTGAAGGTGTCGCCGGCGAGTGCGCTGAGTCCTTGACGTACGGATCCATCTTGTGGACTTGCATGTCTGGAGTATGCGTGTCGAGGTTGAGCTGCATCCGGGGTGACGGCGTGTTCTCGGAATCTGTTGCGTTCGGTTTGGTGGGCGAAGGGGGTAGATCAGTGGTTGGCGAGCGAGGAGAGGCGCCGAACTGGCTCATGAACGACAAAACTGGGTAGGGTATTGTCAGCAATTCTTCCCGTTGGAATAGGAAGGTCCGGCGGTAACACAAGTGCTTTCCCCGGAACATGGACTTGGAACCTACCACGTGAGCGAGGCATGTTGTACGACGGTCCCTGTTGTTTATAACGCTTATTATCTTTATTTTACTGCGAATCTACGGTCGGCGACGATTCAAGGAGCTGGCGAGCGCACTGCAAGAAACGACCTCAGTGGCTCGTGGATGGCTTAATCTTGATGATGATGATGATGATGATGATGATGGAGGCGATTTCAAGATTCAGGAATCGCTAAGCAGCAGCAGTCCTGGAACGAATGGATAGCCAGAGTGTCTCTGACCAGCAAATGAGCACGATTAATGCGAAGCCGGTAGGGAGTATGGACAAACGCAAACGCAAACGTACCGCTTGGCCTACGGGAGTTTTATTGGATCGACATCACCGACGAACTAAAGATCTGGGGTAGAACCGGCACGGATGACGCGCGTCGAATTGGCGATTCTCTCAGTATAACTTACCCCGGTCCGTCCGGGAGCGTGAATGGTACGGTAAATGCTACGCCATGAATGCTAGAATGCCATGCACAACTCTCATGCATGAAGAACATAGGGTACATTTCCGGGTGTCGAGTAGCACATCCGTGGGACCGTGGACGACCGCAACGTCCTGCTGACTGATGGTGACATGGCGACGGCGCGCCGCGCGCCGCAACATCAAGCCACTCGATCGAGCACGGCCTGGCTCGGCGGGCGTGGCGCTTCCATTGTCTGAAGCCTTCTGATAGGTATGAGTACATACTGCATTGTGCTCCACGGTTACAGGCTGAGAAACGACGTCATTCGACTCATCACAAGAGCAATGTCGAGGCCACTTGGCGGTGAGCCTCTAAGGCTTCGAAAGCGACTCATGAGCAATGACTTGACCTAGAATCTAGCCTTCATTGACAGTATCCATGCATGTTCGTGGGCCCTTCCGATGTCACATCACTTACACATGAGTCAGAAGTGCTTCACGTCGTCATGCTGCCATTGATCTGCAACACGTTGGAACCCTACAATCTGGTGATCGGAATGCATGTATGACTGCGCGCAGTGAATGCAGATACACTCTGAGCACGGTCCACGCGGGAAGCCTGCGCGGATCCGCCGCCGTTGAGCCGAGCAAACGCGTGCTACGCGCGAAACCGAACTTTCATGATACTCCGACGACACGGAGATCCAGCAGTCGCAGATTGAAGCGAACATTGTTAAGACAGACCGCCTTGGCGACTATTACCGGGCGAGTGCTTAGTCAAAAGGACTAGGATTGCAAACTGTTGCATGGATTGTCGAGTCCACACAGCCACCTCGCGAACCCTCCTCCAGCATCGCAGCCCGGCTGTCGCACACTATCGCCGCATGCCGCGTAGCACATGCGCATCGCCGTCGACATGAAAACGAAGACAACGAGCCATAGGCATAGGGGTGCTGAGATCAGTGGTGATGCCGTCAACGGTCCGCCATCCCAGCGCATGGCATCGGCGGAGATGAGGTCGCCGCTTCAACCACACGACCTCTCGAAGGAGGATCGCGAACGACTGAAGGACTATCTTGACACGAGCGATAAGCCGTTCTCTGTAGAGACACAACCACTTAATCGGAAACGCAAGCGAGCAGGTACACCACTCCCTATCCAAGAGGGCCTCTTCGAAGAGCGGTTAAACGTTCGGTACAAGGTGAAGCCAATGAACAATTGGGAAAGTCTGAGGAAGTACAAGAAGTTCACTGTAGGCAACGAGAGCATCGGGACAGGTGAATGCATCCTTGTTAAGCACGATGCCGCCGAATCGCAGAGCATCGACGTCGCTGCGCAGTGGAAGGCAAAAGTACTCGACATCAAAGCTTTTGATCAGGAGCATGTCTACCTAAGAGTCGCATGGCTCAACCGGCCCGAAGACCTTGATACAGGTCGTAAAGCGTACCACGGCAAGAACGAGTTGATTCCGACGAATCAACTGGACGTTATCGACGCTATGACTGTTAACGGTAGACTTGATGTGTATCACTGGGAGGAAGCAGACGATGATAGTCAGATGCCGGATCCAGACGAGCACTTCTGGCGTCAGACCTACGATTTCGTTACTACAAAAACTTTCTCTGTAAGTCATGTTCTAGAGTCTGTTGGACTCGTGCTTGGAAAGACGGCTACTAACAGCAATAGGCATTGCGTCTGATCTGTACCGATCGTGCGCCACAGAATCCAGACGAAATGATCGTCCAGTGCTCTAATACGGACTGTCGCAAATGGATGCATCTGCGGTGCATTGCTGAAGATGCAGTAAGTCGAGCTGCAGACGGCTCGCCGCCAAAGAAGAAGAAAAACGGAAAGCGCAAAAGCAAGGCCGACAATGTTGTCTTAACGGCCGAATCACCTGCTCTTGCCGCTGCTTGGAAAGGCTCGTTCACAGCGCTTGTTTATGTCAAAGGCGAGCCGAAAGATGCAGGGGAGAAGCGAGCAGCTTCGACGAAGATCGTGATCCGCGATGTCGACGAAGACCAGGAGGAAGAATTGGACGTGAGGTGTCTGTTTTGCCACAGTATCGTGAACGATTGAAACTGCCCGTACAGCGCACCCGCCGGACTCGTGTGAGCCTCCACCGTCTCATGGGTCGATGCGTCGATTGTACGAAATCTACGCTAACGCAGGAGTGCAGCGCCGGCTTGCCGTAGCGCTGCTTGATTGTCTATACAAAGCGTAGAGCGGCTGCGCAATCTTCCAAGAATGGGATGATCATGCCATGCGGTAGATATTGACAGTACAAAGCCATGGGCCTATACTGGATGGCTATCTCGGCAAATGATCCGGACAGGTCGACCATGCTTGAACCGCGGTTGGAACCAAACGGAGCTCGGTAATATCAAGAAGTTCACTGCAAGTTGCTAGTTTATGGATCACGGCTACTACGCGCTAACTGCGCGATAGCAGCTGGAGGAGGACGCAAAACGTCTGGGAACCTCCCCAACCAACCCGCCGTACAAGGCGAAGCGCGCCGTACCCACAATAATGCAATCGACGTTCGTAGCAGATGCGAAGGAAGTCTGCATCATGCAGGAGAAGGTTCGAAACAGTCTTCCAAAGCGCTTCACAGGCGCCTGGCAAACGCGCCGTTCCGACGCTATCGTGCAAAGACGTTCGGCAATTGGTGCATGGTACGACCCTGCAGCTCGCCGGACGTTCTACGTCTAACCTCAATTCCCGCCCATCCTTCGCTGCCGGCATACAAAGTACATCAGTAGTCAGTCACGTTTGCAGGGAGCCTAAGTCTTGGTTTCCAATATCTTCCATCTTTCACGTCAGTCTTTACCGTCCGACATTTTCCCAGTGCTCGTTGAACATAGAGTCCGCGATAGCAACTTCACGCTGCATGCTGCAATGGGCGATTCTGGTCACCCCGCACCAAACCCCGCTGCTTCCGCGAAGCCCGCTGTCTTGATCATTGGTGGTTTAGGTGAGGTTTCGATTTCGGTTGCGCATGCGTCGCTGACACCCGGCGCTCGGGGCAATGACTCCGGACAGCATCTACCAGGACGTGCTAACAAGAACACAATGCAGGCTACATCGGTCGCTTTCTGGCGCAATACATCCATAACAACCAACTCGCATCAACGCTTCGTCTCGTCGACAAACAATTACCGCAGCTGGCGTCGCTTGCGGCAGAGCACCAAGAGGCGTGTTCCGCACAGAACTTTTTGCAGGCGGACGCTTCGCGCGAACAGTCACAAGCACGTATCTTCGACCTACCGCCGGGGCCAGACGGAAGCAAGCGGGAGTTTGACTATGTGTTCAATTGCGGTGGTGAGACGCGCTTCTCGCAAGACGATGAGGTATACAAACTGCGCAGCTATCAGTTGAGTTTGACGGTCGGTAGGGAAGCGGCCAGAAGAGGTGTCAAGGCGTTTATTGAGGTCAGTACGGGGCAAGTGTACAACCCAAGTCGCACGCCGCAGAAGGAGAGTGACAAGACGAGCAAACCGCACACAAAGCAGGCAAAATGGAAATTTGCAGCCGAGGAGGAGTTAGCGAAAATACCCGGACTGAAGCTTTGCGTACTTCGGATGCCGCATGTGTACGGTCCCTACACGGGACGGTGGCTGGGCACGCAATTGGCCCTAGCGAGAGTATACCAGAGCCGAGACCCGAAGGAGACCATGAAATGGTTGTGGGGGAGTGATCTGAGGACCAACACCCTTCATGTTGAAGACGCGGCTAGAGCGATGTGGTTGGCAGCAGAGTGGCGAGCGAACAATGACCGGATACCGAATGTGTCGAGCGACAAAGTGGTGTTCAATGTTGTTGACAAGGGCGCGACAACGCAGGGCACGATGGCGAACATCATCAAGCAGCTCTTCGGCATCGAGACTGGCTTTCAGAATGCGCTAGTGAACACTTTCGCTAGGCTCAATCTGGAGCATGTTGTTGACGACGTGAACGACGATACCCTGGACGACTGGGCCGATCTGCAAGAGAGCGCGGGGATCAAAGGGAATGGCGGGCCTTTGAGCCCGTTCATGGAGAAAGAGTTGCTGCGAGATGCCGATCTCAGTCTAGATGGGACCCGCTTCGAGAGCGTTGTCGGCTTTAGGTGAGTTGTCAAGCACCACAGATGTACTTTGTCGGTGTCTCGCTGACGCATTCATTCTGCAGGCCGAGGCATGAGCGAATTACTCGCGAAGAGGTGGAAGCTGTAATCGAAAGCTACAAGCGTATGCATTGGTGGCCGTAAGCGCATACTCTCTCCAGAGGGCTGGAACTTTCTTGACTTCCGCGGCAAGCTTTGCATGTACACATAGTCATGATGGGCAGTCAGGCTGAGCCACAGTAAGCCATGTACGCCCACACGTGCCCACGCAAGACTCGCGCGCACTCTGTGCGGTGTGGCCAACTTACTCTTAAGCATGCCGTCAAGCCGAGCTATTACTTGTTGCTTTTGATCAACGGAAACCTAACATCGTGGAAGAATTTTGCGCCAAGGTCGCGCGCCATTCGTTCGCTGCACCAGGCTAGAGCTGTTCGCTGCAGCTCTGGCGCAAGCGCTGTGAGCCGAGAGACGGCAACTTTGAGCCTAATCGGCAGAATGAAGCGGGTATGCGAGCGCTGTCAGATGGCTGCTCAACAAGCAAGTTCCGCTTCGAAGCTCTTGCGGAGACCAGCCAATCGACCCTTGCTGGGTTCTGTCATGCATGCATGATAGATGAATCATGAGGGGCTGGCTCGTTCCGGTCGACTAGGTGTGGCCGTTGGTACTCATGGTGATGGTCCGCCATGGCAAATGGCGAACGATTGTCACCCCTACAACACGAGCTACATTCGGGGTGTTTGAATGCTCTAGAGATCTTGGGAGATGGCTCGTGTTAAGCGACGACAGTTGCCGTAAATGCTAGACATGAGCCTGTTTGATTGGCTACCGTCAGATTGGAGGGAGGGCTAAGCTTCGTGGCCCCTGCAGCTTCGACTTCACTCTAGCCAGCCTAACTACCAATCCGCCATGGCAACCTTCCCACCACGCCCTCTCAGCTATGGTGAAACACCTATTTGTCCACTCCCAAGAGTCCAAGAAACGACTTTGCTTCTGCTTACAGACTGTGGCCCCCCTGCAGATAGCATTTGGCGGACATGTGCCCCTGGGCCTCTCGCGACACTGTCCTAAAATCTCAAACGCACAAGTACTCCTTGTAAGGTGCTTCATTATCACGGCCAGATGGGTTGCGCAAGCTGAGTGGCCACTACGGCGCCTCTGGACGGTTGCTGTCCAGGCCTTCCTTTGCGGCTCAACGGCTTACGCCTTTCCCCGACCGTTGGCTGATCTCACCTAGTCGTTATGGCGACTGCACCAAGCCACGCAGCCCAGCACGCCTCGGCTGAGTGGGACGATCCTTGTGCATGCAGCATGCAGTATGCAGCAGTTGGCAGTCCAGTGTGATACTCTAGCCATGTCTCACAGTAGTCCACCCTACATCGGCTTGTCTGGCATTGGCGCCATCTTGCTCCACTCTGGACGAGTGTACGGTCTCCGGTATAGTATATCATCACCTCATGCCTCCCACCTCTACTATGCTCTTCCATTCATCTCCGTCAAGGTAGCAGGCTGCTTTTCGAGATACTCATCCCCAACTCACTACTTTCATTCATTTACGGCTAGCCCGTATCGTCATTCATTCTTCGTTCAAGATGGGTATCAAAACATTCCTTCTGGCCGCCCTCGTCGGCCTCAGCAGTGCTGCTTACACGCTCGAAGACGACTACGTCTCAGGCGGAAACTTCTTCAGTCTGTTCTCATTCTTTACCGCCGCCGACCCAACGCACGGATTCGTCCAGTATGTCGACCAGGGCACAGCGCAGAGCGCTGGCTACATCAACGAGACCTCGAGCTCCGTCTACATTGGAACGGATTACCACAACGTCGCCTCTTCCAGCGGTCGCCAGAGCGTCCGCATCACCAGCAACAAGGCTTACAACGCCGGCACACTCATTGTCCTTGATCTAGCTCACATGCCTGGTGGAGAGTGCGGTACTTGGTGAGCTTTGATTCAACCGTGCATAGCCTGTCTTGAACGCTTCGCTAACGGCTTCAATAGGCCCGCTTTCTGGACGGTTGGTCCCAACTGGCCAAACTCTGGTGAGATCGATATCATTGAGGGCGTCAACTCGCAAACTACCGATTCCATGACGCTCCATTCCAGCAGCGGTTGCTCGATCACCAACAACGGTGCTTTCTCCGGCACCATCGCTACCAGCAACTGTGACATCAACGCCGCTGGCCAAGCTACCAATGCAGGCTGCGGCATCTCGAACACCAACACTCAGACTTACGGTGCGGGCTTCAATGCTGTTGGAGGTGGTGTCTACGCTATGGACTTCGAAGCCTCCGCCATCACCATCTACTTCTTTCCCCGCGGCGCGATTCCATCCGACATCAACAGCGGGTTGCCGAACCCATCGGGCTGGGGCACGCCGGTCGCGCAGTTTCAGGGCGCATGCGATATCCCATCACACTTCAACAGCCAGCAGATCGTCTTCGACCTGACCTACTGCGGTGACTGGGCCGGTGCGGTGTGGTCTACCGATGCCGTTTGCGCACCTCTGGCAAGCACCTGCAACGCCTACGTGCAGAACAACCCGTCTGCCTTCCAGAGCGCATACTGGCAGATCAACTCGTTGAAGACGTACCAATACTCTGCCAACAGCGTCAGCTCAAGCTCCACCAGCACCTCATCAACAAGGTCGACCACATCCACCTCCACGACCTCGACGACTGCTCCTACCACCACGAGCACCACAACTTCAACACGAACCACCAGCTCTTCGAGCACCACAAGCACCACCACTACGAGCTCTACAAGCACCACAAGGCCCACAAGCACTACAAGCAGCTCAAGCACAACGAGCACCTCCACGGCAGCGCCGACGACAACCTCCCGCAGCTCAACCACAACCTCTACATCTGCGGCCCCCACTACGACCGCCAGCCCGAGCACCAACCCAGCTCCGGTCAGCTCCTCCACAGGCCCCATCACCGTCTCGGTGCCGTCGACCTTCTCCACCAGGCCTATTGCGACAGGCAACTCTGCCTTCAACGCAAACTCCACGGCGACCCGAAACTCCACGGTCTCTGCCAGTTTCAGGTTCTCCGCGTCCGCGAACTCCACTGGTCCGGCGATAGTTACTGCTGCATCTGTCAGCTCTCTCGACCCTTCGTCGACCAGCACCTCAACGACGACTCGCTTCCGTCACCATCGTTTCTTCCCGGATGACAGACGCGCCGTATAGAGCGGGAACGTCAGCATGGGCTATGCATTGCATAAGCTGCCTGTCGCTACCGCTTTCAGTGGAATGGCATGAGCAATGTTGATTTTGAGCGTTCAATGAACATACTTCTGTGCATAGCTATATAGCAGGGTACATGGCAAAAGCCGAGCATACCACCCAAACCTTCACTGTTCCCTCGCTCGAACCTTCGCCGCGACTTGTGCTGTTCCAACCTTACGCACCCTGTGGCTTTCTGCGTCCCTTCTGTCAGCATCATTTCTGGAAAACGGTACGGCACCAGGCGCTTACAGTATGCAACAGGCGGGCTTGCAGCGCACTATATAAACACCGGAAGGGCAGTGAATGTAGGCTGCGACTCCGTCTCAGACAATCGACATGTGGGTTTAAGCGCAACGCCTTTTCCGGCACGCCGTGTATTAAGTCGGCTTTCAGTACGTAGGTTGGACCTCAGCCAATGTCCATAGCATCAGGATCGACCTCATCTTGCGCATAGCCAGCTGAGTAGCCATGCGCTGTCTCTGTTGCGCTGAATTGCTCATTGTGACCATACTTGCGATTCATGTCTTCCTGTCGTGCCTCTTCCACAGCGCGTTCGCGCGCTCGCTGACGTGTCTCAATAATGGCTTTTCTTACGGAGTCATGGCTTTCGTCCACCGTAAGTGACTTCGGCACGCTGTACAGCACGAGCTCCTGGTGCTCCTGATCGTCTTTCCTTCCGTTCAGGACTTGCTGAGGTATACGACTAAGGCGCTTCTCAATGTCCGGCAAGAATATGAGCTTCTCCTCCTCCGACTCGATGTCGGCAAGTTCGGCATCCAGATCGTGGATGTATACTCTGTTTCGAGTGTCGTCGACTTGCATCAAATCATCCTCGCGCTCACGGTCAAAGTGCGAGACCGTGGGCCTCGCAGAGATCATCCCATTTTGGGTAGGCACGGCATCCCGTGAGATGGGGATGTATAGGTTGCTGTTGGCTTTGGCTTCGGAGCTTGCTGTCACCCAGTCAGCTAGTCAGTCTTATTCAATTGAAGTCGACTAACGACTTCCCACGTACCTATGCTCAGGAGATTGAAGCGCTTCGCGAACCTTTGATCGTCGTTCAGACTTGACTCATCCGCATGCCGCTTGGTCCCCGCGAGCTTCTGCACTCCACCGTCTGCTGAAAGACCGCCGCTTCTTGTCCGCATCTCCCATGACATAGACCGCACTTCACCAAGTCAGGTTGCGCGACAGCCTCCGACGCTTCATCGAAGGCTTGATATTCATATTGTGTCTTGCTACATTTGTAGTGGAAGAACTGAAGCCGAGTCTCGAAGCTTCTCTCGGTCGTTGCATGCGAGGCGTGTGGAGAATCCCGCGAGGCCATTTGATAGACGCACCAAAACCAAAACACATAGCGTTTCGGTACTGCGCCAGAGTCTGTGCACAGCGTCGTTACTTCAAGATGGGCTCCACGACGGGCCAAGAGCCCGAGTGGACGGTTCGTATACACTTCTGCTTAGATACCCAAAGCTGTGGTTGACCACCTTACAGGCCCCCAAAGTACGGTCCGCCTTCATTGAGTACGTTCCTTCCGGCTGGATGCCAGCTACGAGTAACCGCATTCGAGTGCCATCATGTTGAGCTGGCCTCATGTCTTACTGCGTCTCTGACAGGACTCTCCGCTGGAACACTAAAGCTAACCACGACGATAGCTACTTCAAAGATAGAGGCCATACTTTCGTTCCATCGTCTTCCGTGGTCCCTCTTTCGGACCCGACACTGCTATTTACAAATGCTGGCATGAATCAGTACAAGTCCATTTTCCTTGGGACGGTAGATCCGGACTCGGACTTTGCCAAGCTCAAGCGCGCCGTCAACTCGCAGAAATGTATACGTGCAGGTGGCAAGCACAACGATCTGGACGATGTGGGCAAGGACAGCTATCACCATACCTTCTTCGAGATGCTGGGTAATTGGTCGTTCGGAGACTACTTCAAGAAGGAGGCCATCGAGATGTCTTGGGAGCTACTAACCAAGGTCTTTGGACTGGATCCGGATCGACTGTACGTAACGTACTTCGAGGGAAAGTCGGACGCTGGACTCGAGCCGGATGAGGAGGCCAGAAAGTATTGGAAAGCCGTTGGTGTTGCTGATGACCATATCCTGACCGGCAACATGAAAGACAACTTCTGGGAGATGGGCGACCAAGGGCCTTGCGGTCCTTGCTCTGAGATACACTATGACCGCATTGGTGGCAGGAATGCTGCACACCTTGTCAACCAAGACGATCCCAACGTGCTGGAGATTTGGAACAATGTGTTCATTCAATACAACCGAGAACCGGATCGGTCATTAAGGCCTCTCCCGAACAAGCATGTCGACACCGGCCTCGGTTTCGAGCGATTAGTGTCAGTGCTGCAGAACAAGATGTCCAATTATGACACGGACGTCTTCACGCCACTTTTCAAGACGATACAGGAGGTCACAGGCGCTCGGGAGTACCGTGGCAAGTTCGGCGATGAGGATGTTGACGGCATCGACACCGCCTATCGTGTGATCGCTGACCACGTGCGCACACTTACTTTCGCCATCTCCGACGGCGGTGTGCCGAACAATGTCGGTCGAGGTTACGTTGTCCGGCGAGTGCTGCGGCGAGGAGCGCGGTATGCGCGCAAATACTTCGACGTCACGATTGGAGACTTCTTCGCCAAAATTGTGCCGACGCTTGTTGCACAGATGGGCGAAATGTTTCCGGAAATCAAAGCGAAGCAGTCTGACGTCGTACAAATATTGGACGAAGAGGAGGTCAGCTTCGCCAAGACGCTCGATCGCGGCGAAAGCATGTTCGAACGGTTTGCCCAACAGTGCAAGAAGACTGACGCAAAGGAACTGTCAGGCGCTGATGTGTGGCGCTTGTATGACACGTATGGCTTTCCAGTCGATCTTACCAAGCTCATGGCGGAGGAGAGAGGGCTTGACATTGACGACAAGGCAGTTGCAGAAGCGCAGGAGAAAGCGAGAGAAGCGAGTAAGGGCGAGAAGAAAGCTGCGGCAGATTTGCTGAAGCTGAATGTGCATGATATCAATGCGCTGGAGCAGATGCCGGACGTGCCAAAGACGGACGACTCGCCCAAGTTCCAGCGAGAGAATGTTCACGGCGTTATCCGTGCCATCTACGTGGGTGGCAAATTTGTGGACTCCACCAAGGAGATATCGGAGAGCGACCAGATAGGCCTCATACTGGACCGGACGAGTTTCTATGCGGAGCAAGGTGGTCAAGAAAACGACACTGGCCGAATACTAATTGATGGCGAGGCAGAGATCGATGTTCAGAACGTGCAGGTGTATGCAGGCTATGTTATGCACACGGGCTTCATGAATTACGGCAGCTTCAAGGTTGGCGATGAGGTACTTTGCGACTACGATGAGCTACGAAGACAGCCCATACGAAACAACCACACCGGCACACATATCCTCAACTTCGCCCTGAGAGAGGTACTCGGCGATGAGGTCAACCAGCGCGGCTCATTGGTTGCACCCGAGAAGCTGCGATTCGACTTCAGTCACAAGGCAGGCTGTTCTGACGAAGAGCTGGTGAAGATCGAGGACCTGAGTACCAGCTATATCCGGCAAAACAGCGAGGTGTATGCGTCAGAAGTGCCGCTGGCGACTGCACGCAACATCGAAGGTGTACGTGCGGTATTCGGCGAGACATACCCAGATCCTGTGCGCGTCGTGAGTATAGGGGTGCCGGTTGAGGAGCTTCTGGAGGACGTCAAGCGGAAGGAATGGCGCAGCGTATCCATAGAGTTCTGTGGTGGCACGCATGTCAAGAACACGACTGAGATCAAAGAGCTGGTCATCCTGGAAGAAAGCGGCATTGCGAAGGGCATCCGACGCATAGTCGCTGTGACTGGCGCTGCGGCGCACGATGTGCAGCGCGAGGCCTCGGAGTGGGACAAGAAGATCTCGAAGCTTGAGACCATGGAGTACGGGGTGGAGAAGGAGGCCAGAACAAAAGAGTGGCAGCACGAGCTTGGCAAAGTCGAAATCGCTGCAGTGGCGAAATCCAAGCTTCGAGAACGCGTCGCGAAGGTCGTGAAGGAGAACCTCGATCACCAGAAGACCGCGCAGAAGGCCGAGAACAAGCGCGTGCTGGACGTGGTGAACGATCACTTCGAGCAGAACAAGGACGCCAAAACCCTTGTGCTCAGCTTGCCGGTCTCTGCTGGTTCGAAAGCGGTGCAAGAGACGATCAAGGTCATCAGCTCGAAGCATAAGGATAAGACGGTGTATCTGTTAGGCAAGGCTGACGACAAGGTCCTGCACGGCTGCTTTGTGAGCGAGGAAGCCCAGGGGAAGGGCGCCGATGCCAGCAAATGGGCGAACGAAGTCGCTGGAGTCGTCGGCGGTAAAGCTGGTGGCAAGGGAGCAACCAGTCTCGGTCAAGGGACGAACCTGGATAAGATAGACGAAGGCGTTGAGGCTGCTCGCAAGTATCTCCAAGGCTTGAAGCTGTGAGGGTCTTGATGAGCGGACAGTGTAGGAGGGGAGTGGCTACAGCCCAACAATTGCAATGCTTCAAGCTGCAGCGCTGCCTGTATGTATCAACAGATCATTGATTCGCTGCCGTACCAGCGAAGGACATGGCATACCGAAGCTCAGCCTGGACCCACTCTGCCATTGTGCACAGGGCCAGCTCGCAACGGTCATCCTCAACTACGTTGCCATACCCAAACCACTTTCCCATGCAGTATAGTCGTATAACTCACTGGATAGGCTAATAAATCTTCCGTCGAATTCTATTGCCCCTTTATCTGTATGATGTCCTTTCGTGTCGCTGCCCGCTCGGCATACTCTTTGCCGCGAACACATGCCACTCCCTTCTCCGCCGGCATCGCTCAAGCTCGAGGTCTTGTCTCGCATCCCACCACCAACAATGGCTTCAGGAAGGCATTCGTCCAGGACAGCCATAACGCGTTGCGACAATTTAGCAGCTCACCAACAATGGCGACTTCCGCATTAGCATCCATCAAAAGCAATTGCCGCAAGGTAAGTGATACACGCAATACTTGGACGGAGGACGCGGGCAGTAGACTGATTCAACATTGTTGCAGGTTATGTGCATTGGCCGCAACTACGCAGACCATGTCAAGGAGCTCAACAACCAAAGGCCCAAACAGCCCTTCTTCTTCCTCAAGCCACCCTCCTCCATCCTCCTCCCCAATGAAGGACCCGTCCTGCGACCTGCCGGCGTGAACATGCACTTCGAGGTCGAGCTTGGACTAGTAATTGGCAAGACGATCAAGGACCTCAACACCGAAGACGACAATGAGATCCTACAGTACATCGACAGCTACCTCCTCGCCATTGACATGACTGGTCGCAATGTGCAGGAAGAAGCGAAGAAGCGGGGGCTACCGTGGTCCATTGCCAAAGGCTACGATACCTTCCTGCCAATTGCTGGACCGATCGCGAAAAGCAAATTGACGGATCCGCATAACATCGAGCTGTATCTTAAGGTTAATGGCGAGACGAAGCAGGAGGACAATACCGAGTTGATGCTTTTCCGTCTTCCGAGGCAGCTGAGCGATATCAGCAAGGTCATGACGCTGGAAGCTGGCGATATTGTGTTGACGGGTACGCCAAAGGGTGTTGGGCCCGTCGTCACGGGCGATGTTATGGAGGCTGGAATGAGGATCAACGGCAAGGAGGTGGAGGAGGCGCGGTTGAAGGTCGAGGTGAAGGATAAGGGCGGACCTTACCAATTCACTGAGACGTACTAGTGCGATGTGTTTCTGTGTAGCTGGGACTCGTGTAGAAAGCCTTGGCTACGGTACATCAGCATCTTCGTCGTCGCTACCGAAGCCGAAGGCAAACCCAGCTCCTTCGGCTGCTTCATCTTCTGCGCCGTTCCTGAGCTCCTCCCATCGTCCTTTGCCGCCTTTGCCAAGTTTGTCCAGTTCTTGCATACCTTCCTGCAGCAGTTCGGGATCGGATACTCTCAGGCGCTCCACAAAGAGAGCATATGGATCCGGCACGTCGTCTCGGAAGCCACTAATGCTCTGCTTCTGATCCCTCAGAAACTGCAGCACTGCACCTACTCTTCGTCTTGGGACGAAGTTTTGCGTGATAGCTATGCTCGGCTCGAGATTTAAGACGAGGTGATACCAGCCGCTAGGCACATGAAGTACCTCACCCTCCTCACATATCCCTTCTATACATCCTGCTGTTTGCCGAGCGTCAGCGTGGAAACCGAGTAGCCACTCAGCGATGCTGAGCGGAGAGGTCACTTCACTCTGATCCTCTGAAACGTACACGCCAGGCGGAGGCGGAAGTGAAGCTGAAGACGGGAACATGATCCAATACTTGCGACCTTTGAGCACAGCATTCCATGCGCTAGTAGCGTTGGGGTCCTTGTGAAAGGTGCTTCCACTTCGCTCCGGGCCAACAATGAGCCAGCGATGATCGGGACGTTGTTCTCCGAGGACATTGAAAAGGTCACTGCCGAAGCATGCTGGTGGCCAGTAGTCTGCGTCAGTTTGAGGTCTGACCGACGCTTTCAGGCCCATCTTTTCTGCGAAGGCGCGGTCGAAGAGGTAGAGCGGACTCTCATCGTGAGTGTTGCTCATATAATCGACGTATGTCTTCAGCGGCCAGTCCACCGACTCTGCCCGAAAGCAAACATCGCCGTACTTCTCCAGTAAATCCTCGGTAGACCACGCGGAGTAGACAGGCCACTGCTTGACAGGTTCGGTAAGAATGAACGGCTTATTCACCCACAAGGCGTTAAAGGCCCCAGGAGATAGATCCGCGAGCCGGGCGATCTCGTTCTGACGTGGTATGCCTGCCGCAAAAGGAGATAAGGGAACATGCGCGCAAAAGAAAGGGCGATGCAGTACATCGGCAAACAAGTTGAAGCAATCAACGCGCGGCTCTAGATTAGAAGCTTGCTTCAGGTACGTAGAGCGCCATGTGCCCTGCCAAGCAAACTGGGAAGGAGGAGACCTACCATACTGCTCAGCATGCTGCTGAGCTTGAGCCACATTGATGCTAGAGAGCACCTCACTTACTCCACGAATAAAGCTCGCCATAACTCCTCGTTTCTGGTGAAGGCGTGCAGAGCGCGACATGTGCCACCCAGAAATAGGAGATCAAGCGCTTGCAGATACTCCAGCATGGCGGACAGGAGCTCGTCCTGCAAGAGGGCGAAATAACCGCAAGCCGTCTTCAGATGGACGGACGCGGTGAGCGCATTCCCGGATGGGCGAACGCCTAACGGATGTCTTCGAACTAGCTTGCCTTCTCCAGCTTGCTCGAACTGCGCCTGGGCCTGAGGCTTTCCGTTGAGCTTGAGGCGCTTGACTGGCCGTTCGCTGTCGCTGGACCGTTTCCTGGTGGCATCCACTTGTTGAAGGCCCATGGGTAGAGTCATCGTGGGTGTGTCGACGTGGCCGTTTGCCACTCACTGTCGACGTAACGCTTTGGGTAATAGGGTGGGTGACTCAGAGGAAGGGAAACAGAGGCGTTGGTGAAGAGAATCACAATGGTCATAACGGGAAGAGAGCCGCGTGCACGAGCCAACCGCATCTCAAAAGCTGCTGAAAGTCGATCTCAAAATTTCTTGCGAGGCGACATTTTCCACACACCAACCACACACAACCCTTACTGCAACAAACTCACCAACTAGAACCGCAAGACTCTCATATACGAGAGTCAGGTATCTAGTTTCCAGCAACAGACCAGCACTTCAAGCGCGGCGGCTCCAGAAAGGATCCACCGCCTACCCACGCACAGCAACTCCCTCTACGCTCACGGCGCAGCGCCAGTGAGCCTCGGACATCAACCGCAATCATGGCTGAAAAGGGACTTGAGGACATCGAAGCCAGTGAGTAGAGTCATTTCGCCGGAGTCTCTGTTTTGCAGAAGCGGCATGGAGCGTGTATACCAGTGAGTCTAACATATTGCGCCACCAGCCCAGATCGAGTCCAACTACGATGAAACCACCGACTCCTTCGATGCGATGAACCTCAAGAGCGAGCTCCTGCGCGGCGTTTATGCCTACGGTTTCGAGCGGCCGTCTGCCATCCAGCAGCGCGCCATTATGCCGGTCATCAAGGGTGAGTCCACTAAATCAACGAATTAATGGAGGAGCCGATATTGACAGCGACAAGGCAACGATGTCATCGCTCAAGCACAGTCTGGTACCGGCAAGACCGCAACCTTCTCCATCTCCGTCCTTCAGAAGATCGATCCGAACATCAAGGCTTGCCAGGCCCTCATCCTCGCGCCGACCCGTGAGTTGGCGCAGCAGATCCAGAAGGTCGTTGTGGCTATCGGCGACTTCATGAGCATCGAGTGCCACGCCTGTATCGGTGGTACGAGTGTGCGGGATGACATGAAGGCTCTGCAAGAGGGACCGCAAGTGGTGGTCGGCACGCCAGGTCGCGTGCACGACATGATCCAGAGAAGGATGCTCAAGACGGACAGCATGAAGATGTTCGTCCTCGACGAGGCCGATGAGATGCTGTCGCGTGGTTTCACCGAGCAGATCTACGACATATTCCAGTTCCTCCCGCAGTCGACCCAGGTCGTCCTACTCTCCGCCACTATGCCACAAGATGTGCTTGAAGTCACCACGAAGTTCATGCGCGATCCCGTGCGTATTCTCGTGAAGAAGGACGAGCTTACGCTTGAAGGTATCAAGCAGTTCTACATCGCCGTCGAAAAGGAGGACTGGAAGCTGGACACTCTTTCCGATCTCTACGAAACCGTTACCATCACCCAAGCCGTCATCTTCTGCAACACCCGCAGAAAGGTCGACTGGCTCACCGACAAGCTCACGGCGCGCGACTTCACCGTTTCCGCGATGCACGGCGACATGGAAATGGCCCAGCGTGATATCATCATGAAGGAGTTCCGCTCCGGCTCCTCGCGTGTCCTCATCGCCACCGACCTGCTCGCACGTGGTATCGATGTGCAACAGGTATCGTTGGTCATCAACTACGATCTTCCCGCGAACAGAGAGAACTACATCCACAGAATCGGTCGTGGCGGTCGATTCGGTCGCAAGGGTGTCGCTATCAACTTCGTCACGGCGGATGATGTGCGCATGATGCGTGAAATTGAGCAATTCTACAGCACTCAGATTGAGGAGATGCCCATGAACGTGGCCGGTACGTTTCAGAAGAACGCAGTCTCCCGCCCAAGTACTTCGCTAACTTCGTTGCAGACCTCATCTAAACCCGCCGTATCACGACTACTTACTGTCTTCCAAGCTGACCGTCTGGTCTGGCAAGTGGAAGGCACACCGTCATCAATTGCTGAAAGGCAGCGCCTGCGCGGACTGCTCGAAGGAGCATAAGCGAACACTCTTCGCCATCGTCGTCGTTTGCGCAATTGGCGGCGAACATGCATCGGGTCGAGGAATGGGACTGTTTCAACAAAATGCGACTGTTTGCCGTGCTTACTAGATGGGATTGCGGGTTAAGGGGTGTACTACATGCGATCAAAATGTTCATGCTAAGGTTGCATTGTGATTTCGTCCGTAGATGCTTGTAATCTGTTCGGTAACAGTCTCAAGTCTGTTTCAATCACACTGCAAGACTGTCCTATGTTGTGGGCCTAAGGATGCTGAGGTGGCGTACGCGTTACGAGCGCGCGACCTCGAGTTTGACTTCACTCGAACTTTGAGACATGGTTCACAACCTCGCACAACTTAAATACGTATAGTCTGCCCATCTGGAAAGGACGTTACGGTAGCAGACGGTCACGTGAAGAGTTGATGTGGCAATGATGGCGGCCCCAACGCAACCTTCGCCCACATCGCTCTTATGGGAGCATCAGCTGAAGCGGGAGAACGCTCACCTGCTCAGTCGCATCAGAGAGCTCGAGGAAGCCTACAGGGAGAGCGAGACTCGTCGAAAGGAGTTCGAGCAGGATGCTCAAATGCGATCATCCGAGGCTGTCGCCAAGCTAGCTCAGCAGGTAGATGCATTAACTGAGGACGATGTCAAGGGGCAGGTGGCAAAAATTCAAAGCGAGGTTAATCGCAAGCTTGACGAAGTCCAGGGCGAGACTGAAGCGGTGACGCTCAAACTCGCCAGTCTAGAGAAGGCTGACAGTGCGGCGGAGGAGGAACGAAGCAAGGCACTCGCTAAGGAGAAGGCGTGGCTTAAACGCATCGCCGACGTGGAGCAAAGCCTCAAGCAGTATCACGATAGTCTCAATGCGCTAGGGCGAAGGGTTGACCAAGCTTCCGTCGACGGCATCAAAGCTCAGCTTGCCGTTCTGGTGGAGCAGGTCGACCAGAAGCGACACGACATCACGACGGTAGAGGAAGGCCTTTCCATGCTTGACGCCGCGCATGGAGAGCTTAGGACCGCTAACGAGAAGCTGGCCGAAGAGATTGGGGCACTGGCAAAAAAGTCCGCTGTCATGCAACCAATCACTGACGAGGTTGAGCCGCATACTGGACGTGGCCACAGACGGAAGCGTCCGGTACCTCGAGAGTCTGTAGACTACGATGAGGAGCCAGGTCAACCACCTAAGAAGATGAAGAAGTCCCACAAATGGGCCGGCGGTGGGGCTGACAGAGATATCATCGCCCAAGGGCTGGCAACTGACTCGCCGGAGCGTACGAAGGCTACACAGCACACTGCGCCGCGGAAGCAAGCTCCACCGCCGGCGGCAAAGAAACCGCGTATGGAGAAGCAGCCTCCACCAAAAGCTGCAGCAAAACCGCAACCTCAGAGACCACGAACGCCAGCGCCAGCGCCTGCACCAAAGAAAGCTGCACCTAAGAAAGCCATACCGCCCTCGAAACCTCCGGCGCAGAAGCACGTCGCACAGCCCATCAAGAAGGAATCAGCGGACATGCAACGCTACTTCGACGGCCAAACCAACAAGCCCATCATTCGTTCCGGGAAAGGCTGGGTTGAGTACGCAGAGACGACTAGTAGTCAAGGCGAGCTCGACAGCCCACCCAAGCAAGACAACGACAGCAGCAACATCAAGCGCAAGCCCGGCCGACCGCGCAAATCGTACCCTTCGCGCGAGGAGCTGGATTTGGTGGAAGCGGCGGAGCGCATGACACGGGGCGGGAGAATGCAGCAGGCTCCAGCTGGCGGAGCAGGTGAGGGTACGAGTGGAGCCCGAGGCCGTGCCAGCGGTGGAGCAGGTAATTTCGACTCTCTTTTGTCGTCTCCGGAGCCGTTCGTTCGAGGGACGCCGCAGCGCAAGAGTACGAAAGACGCACTGCTTGGCGCTTTCGTGACGTCGCAAAACAGTGCGAACGAGCGACAACCTCTGCCACGGTCAGGGCCACAGCAGCCGCAGCGGCGGGTTATTAAGCAAGACGATTCCGACTAAGTGTCCGATCTTCATAGCGGCAGAAGGAGCATATTTTGAGACATCCTGTCGAGGTAAGTTTCGGCGGTCATGATGGATGCTACTACATGCGAAATAAGGAAACAACATGCTTACGTACTAAAGGAACTCGTTGTGAGCTGCCACTCAATGGAGAAGAGAGAATCGGTGCTGCAATGGGGCAGGAGCGATGATGGGATATTGTATCATTAGACGCAAGGCACAGTGGCATTCTTGCGTTGCGTTTCGCCTGCGGATATACAAACGCAGCGGCTCTTTCGAGCCTTTTGCCTGTCTACTCAACGAGCAGCAGTATCCCGCCGCTGTCATTACCGCATCATGCTCTCCTCGCGCTACATCGTCATACCCTCCGAACTTATCAAGTCGCACTTTGCGCCGCACTCTCTCCTCCCGTCCCAGGCTGCGGCCCGTCCTTCTCCATCTCCCGTATAAACCTTTCCCAAATCTCAACATTCCCACTAAAAAAGGCAATGTTCGCATCCGCCAAACCTCCCAACGTATCTCGAAACTCCTCCGCCTTTATCCGCTCGAAATCCTGCACTTCCTTCACAACCTCCTGATCAAACGCCTCCGTCGTCCGCTTCGCCGTCTCCACCTCAGTCGTCAACCGCGAAATCTGCACCTCCAGTTTCCGCTGGCGCTCTCGTCGACTCTGCTCGTGGTCCACTCCCCTTACATCCTCGATTTTCTGCCGTAAGAAGCCCGAGGCGCCGAGATTGGCGTTAGACGCGAGCGAATCGCGTTCCGAGGCTGCTTTGTTGAGGTAGTCCGTCAGGCCTTCGAAGTCGAGTTGCTTTTGCTCGCGGATCTTGAGCAGGCCTTTGATGCTGGTAATGTAGGATTCCATGTCTTTGAGCGAGCCGAGGTAGTCTTGGTCGGTGTGCTCTTTGAGTGCTTTCCAACCTTCACTGGTTGCATTGACGGAGGCGGCGAAGGAGGTGAGGGGTTCGGCGACTTCGGTTTCGAGCGCGGCGAGCTTGTGGAACTGCGTGGCGAGATCGGCGTAGTCGGTCTCAAGGTCGCCTTCACGCTTGGCAACGCGGGCGACGGTTTTGCTGACGGTGCCGAGGTCGTCGTCGAGTTTGCTCGCGCGGTTGGAGACTTCTTGGAATCGTTGGTCGGTTTTGTGGGGCTTGGTGAAGGCGTTGAGGAAGCTGTCTGTCCAGGTTTCGAGGACGGATGTGGGGCCAGCTTCGCTGCCGGACATGGCACGAGTGGGCCTGCTCTTCATGGTTGCATTCCAGTCACTCGACTCGAGAAAGAGAGCGAGGATGACAGCACGTCGTAGAACAGGATGTAGCGTTAGGCGCTTGAGGAAGCGTTGCAGCGAGTGCGCTCTCCGCGACGTGAAGTCTGGTCCGAAGCGGTCGCCGCGCACGTACGCCATGGCATTCTTGTCCGGTAGTGGCGGGACGGCACATTGCACGTACTCTCGCGCCAAAGTCTTGTAGAGGAAGACGAAGTCGGTGAAACGCCGCCGCACTTCGGAATGTGGAGACTGGAAGCTCTTGAAATCGGTGTCGGTAACGACGAGGTAGGAGACGTAGGGCTGTTGCGTGCCCTCGCCTTCCTTCTGTGCCTTCACCACTTTGCACTCCAACCGGCCGTGTGCGCCCGGGCCAGCGACGTCCTGAGGTTCTGCATCGTGACCGGCCTGCTCCCATTCGGCGCCATGGCCTCCGCTGCCACCGCCCTCCATCGGCCTAGGAGCGCGCCTTGCGACGCTGGACTGTACTCGTGCGCTCTTGATCCGCTTCAGTAAGTCGACGGAGCTGTGTTTCGGGTTGCCGGGTTTGTATTCCGCTTCAAAGGCGCCGTCTGCTTGGGGAAGCTCCTCCTGGCCAAAGTCGTCGCAGTCCCAATCGGCGTCGTCGGACTGATCCGCTTGCGAAGGATATGATATATACCTCAATGGCTTTTTGTCATTGACAATTACCTTATTACTCGGCTCGAGGGAGTATAAGTCGGCGGTAGGGTGGGTGCCTGGATGTAAGTGGTGATTGCTGCCGCCCCAAACATTCTGGCTCTCAAGCAGCTCATCGTCATTTCTGCCCTCAGGCACCAAATCTGTCGCAGAAGCATTTCCGAGATCCGAGCCGCCTGCGCCTGTTGCCCGCCGACGCATGCCAAGAGAGAAGCCACTTGCAGTCTGCTTACCTGTATCAGCCATGAACTCGGTCTTCGCTTCCTGTACGCCGCCTGCTCAAGTTGCGATGTCCGTGTCAGTTGTTGTTTTGGAAGCGCCTCCGTCACAGTTTGACAAGCCAGACTCCGTTGCGAAAACGGCAAGCACGTGGCAGTACACCTTCGTTCCTTCCTCGCGGGCATGTTGGCGACGTTGGCAGCAAACAACGATGAACAATCAGACTCATCTCAGCGAGACACGGCAAAACGTTCGAGCCACGACATCATTCCGACATGAAATGCATTGTGTACCCATGGATTCATGCTATATCGTTGCGACCAGTTCAATGCGTTGACCGCTCGACGGCCTACTCCGAGTGCTGCGCAAGCACCTCGCGCTTATACTGTCCCACAATACTGTCATCCACACTCTCCTCGAACACATCCACCCTTGTTTCTGCAAACTTCCGCGCATTAACCTTGCGCTCAAACAACAGGTCCAGCTCCGCGAAAGACCTACCCCGTGGCTCCGGTACTCGGAAGTAAGTGTATACGATACAGCAAAAGGCTAGTCCGGCCCAGAAGAATCCGGTGTAGTTCCCCCAATTCCAGGCTGTTGGATTCAGCATGTACGGCGTCAAGACCGACGTGATGATGCCAACGATATTGTAGAGATTTCGGCCGAGAACGACCGTTTTGATCTGCAGTCTCCGCGTCGAGAGTTCGGCGACGAGCGAGTAGCACACCGTGCCGACCGTGAGCTGATAGCAAAGCGCCCAAACTATCATCAGACTGCCCGTCGCAAGTCCTGCTTGTGCTTTATGCGAGGCAGGAACTAGACCGAGGAACCCAATGACGAAGAGGAGCGTGGACAAGGCGCAAAGCCCGTAGAGGTAGAGACTCCGGCGACCTATGCCGGCAGACATCAGCGCCCAGGCGCCGAAGACGCCGACCATGTTGATCGCGTACTGGCCCATGGCGAAGCTATAGCTGTTGGACGAGCTGACGCCGGCCTGTTCGAGGAAGTAGGTGCTGTAGTTGGAGAAGGCGTTGCCGCTGAGGTTCTGAATGGCCCAGACCATGCACACGATTTCGGTTCGGCGTCTGTCGATTCCACGGAAACAGTCAAGGTATGATGCGCCTTTGGTGAGCTTGTCTTCGAGTGCGGTGGTATGCACCATCATTGCGATGGTCTCGTCGTCGTCGAAGTCGGTTTCCCGGTCCAAGCTTGTAAGGCGAAGGAGGGCTTTCTTGGCGTCTTCCAGTCGGCCTTTGCGGACGAGCCACCTGTCATAGTGTCAGCATGGACGTCTCTAAACATATTACGAGAGACATACCACGGCGACTCTGGGGCTAGCGCAATGCCAACGAGCAGGAATGGCGGCCACATCCACTGCAGCGCGTAGGGGATCCGATACGCCCACTCATCTGTCCGCCTGAACATTGCCTTGATAACACCAATGCCGATGAGCTGACCGAGACCCCAGCAGAAGTTGACATACGTCGTCAGATAGCCGCGGAGAGCCACTGGGCAGACTTCGGACGCATACGTAATGGTAAGCGTCTGAAAGACGCCCCATGGGACACCGCAGAGTATCTCGGCGGCCAGCAAGGCCTGCACGTTCTGGGCTGTAAAGAAGATGGCCGTGAATGCAGTAATGCAAAGTAAGCATGCAATGACTGTGTAACGGTAGCCGAACCGCTCGGAGACCCAGCCGTTAATGAGCAAGCCAATGATCTCCCCTACATTGGCGCCATTGCTAAGGCCTGCTTGCCACCGAGCAGGGACCTGGTAAGACTGAGTTGCTTCGCTCCAGACGCCATACTTGCGGTTGAAGGGTGGGAAGGCGTAGAACTAGAGACTGAATCAGCTTTACGTCTGCATAAGTCGGGACATCGTTCCCTCACATTGTTGATCAGGCAAACGTCGTAACCTTCCATCGCAATACAGGTAGATATCAACAGCGACCATGCGATAGCTTTTGGGTACAGCTTGATGCCTTGCCACAGCGTCATTTTCTGTTCCTTGTCCGTCGCGGCTTTGGCGTGCAGCTTCACTGTCTCCATAGCGTTGGTCTCTAGAACCCCGTCACCGGCCGAAAAACGGTGCGCATCTTGCTCCACGCTGTCCTTTTGCTCATCGTCCATTCTGGGTGGTAAAGCCACGTCTTCCTCAGCTTGCTCCTGCGTTGACGGATCCGCTGGGTAAGATGGCAGGAGATGGTAGTGGCACTGTGAGGTAGGAAATGACATGAGGGAACGATAAGAAAGACGCGCAAACCTTTCGCTGCATGGTTTGTACACTTTGCGCGCTCCGAAGTTGCCGTAGCTTCTGCGGAGGCAGAGTATGATCGGGCCGTTGTATAGGCTTTGTCGGACGCTTCTGACGCCGCTACAACTCTGACGGGAGGTCCGCGCAACGCAGTGGATACGGACGTGTTGATATACGGGTCTCACGTCGAGTCTGCGTTTCCGGTACTGGCCGGATCGTCAAATATTGTAGCATCGATGGTGAGCGAAACTGGAAGACCAAGCCAACGAGAAGTCACCACGCGGAGACATGTTTCTCCGTGGCCGGCCGCCATCCGCCATGGATGAGGTATGATATGGCAAAGACATCGAGTACCATACATCTGAAACTCAGACACTCCACCCTTCGAAACACAATGCTCGCCGCCTCAGCTCTGGTAGCGGTGCTGTGCTGGAGTGTGCGTCTTGCGGGAGCGGCGACCGGCCATGTCTACGTATATGATGGCGCAGAGGCAGAGAGGCAACAGGCGACAGCATCGCGAAGCTTATCGCCGGTACAGGCTCGTCTGGTTCTGGCGCAACGAGCGGGCGTAGAAGACTACCACAGCGCCGACTTGAGAGAAGATGGCGTCCTGCGGGCGATCAACGACTTTGGGCGGAGAAGGTCACTGTTCGCGGAGCAGGAGTTGAGCCGGAAAGCATTGCTTTTGGTGGAAGGCGTCAGAGATGCTGAGGGTATGTTGTATCGCATCCAAGCCACTGAGCATGTTCACTAACGTCAGACGTGCAGCTGAGCTACCACAACTATCGCATTATCGCTCCTTCGCCATCGATGACGCTCCCGGCGCCTCAGCAACCCGCGGTCTCTGGACCGATCTTGGCCGCCAGTCTCTACCCTCTGTTTACCCTTCAGATCTTTCCGATGGCGAGATCATTGAGAGCATGCAAGACATTCAAAGTGTCAGCCACCACGACTTCCTCTATATTGCCAAGAACATGCCCGAGTTTCAGCGCGTACTCGATTACGTCCTCAAGGTCGACAAACATGCTTTGACCGTATACGTATCTCCTCCCGGACAATACAACAAGGAGGGCGAATGGGACGTCACGTCGCCGTGGGGGACATACGAGATGCCGGGCACACAATCACCGCTCAAGAAACGGGAGGCTCGCGCTCCAGTCGAAGAGCCTCTAGAGCTTGAGCCTGAAGAAAACTACTTCAACTCCACCTCCACCGTGCCAAACTCCGCAAGCGCACCTCTCGCCGTCCTCGCCTCCAACGAATCCGGCTCACCACTCACGGGCATCCTCCCGGCCTGCTTCCCCTCCCTTTCCTCCTGCCAATCCAGCACCCGCAACTGCACCGGCCACGGCAGCTGCCGCCTCGCTTACGTCGATCAATCGGCCGCTGCACAGTCACCCTTCAAGAACTGCTACTCATGCCAATGCACCGCCACCAAACGGACCACCGGCTCCGGTGGTACGAAGACGACGTACTGGGGCGGCCCGGCGTGCCAGAAGAAGGATGTCAGCGTGGAGTTCTGGATGATCGCGCTGTTCAGCGTCGGCATGGTTGCCTTGTTGAGCTTTGCGGTGGGCAGTATCTGGGGTATGGGCGACGATGAGCTGCCGAGTGTGATCGGGGCGGGTGTTAGTGGGCCGGTGAAGAGGTCATAGGCGAGACGCAGGTGGGTCTGGACGCATGAGTGATGCATTTGCGATGGCGTCTCTGGAGTCGATAAGGCGAGGCTACGGCTTGACCTGTACAGATGGCAGATATGGTTGTACGAGCTGGATTGACATGTTGAACTCCCTAAGCGACTCGCCATATCCTACGTCGGAATTGTGTTAATGGCACGCTTGAACAACTGACAATTCGGCTCAACAGATGACAGACGTCTCCGCAAACATCTCGCTTCGATGTACGCCTCCGCATCACAAGCTAACGGCTTTTTGGTAAGCCTCGTGGACGTCCTCATGCCTCATCATCGGCGAAGCACCGCTCTGATGGACTTGGTCCGTTGCAGTGACCGCTACACTGACCATTACAGTAGGGCTGATGGACGTACCCAGAGGCGTCGCGCCAGGTATCTTGGTGTTGGATGATGGCGGGTTGATGTGATTGCGGCTGCTGCTGTTGCTCGGCATTGGTGTCGTTGCTATGGATGGTTTTGATTACTTGGTTGGCGATTGCGAAAAGTGCGCCGTATTTGATTACTTTGCCGATCATGGCTAGCTATGCTTGGGTGCTGTTTGGCTTGAGTTGTTGGGCGGAGTTGGAGTAGTGGTTCCGATGGTTTCTGGTGTCGTATAAGTAGTTATGTGTTAAGCGTGTCGATATCGTTGACAAGGACTGACCGGAGACATTGCGGTGAATGGTGGCCATTTATATACCGTACATTCGAGCATAGTTGCCTGTATACATGCCTGTTTTCACTGCCTCTGGATTAGGCATCTCAATATATGGTGGCTGTGAATGCATCTTGGTCCATCAATTCCCGCTCTCGGTTTCGGGCGTCCCTCGAGATCAGAACCTCAAGTCGCGCTTTCGACGCGTTGCGCTATAATATTTCATGACCAACTGTCCAAAATCGAATGAGCTCGTGCCGCCGTCAGGATGGAATATGGAAAGGCGTACGTCTTCCAGCCGAGCGACATACGACCTGCGAAACGACGCCGCGTTGATACGCAAGGCTTGCAGGCTTCTTGGCGGCGAAGACGCGAGGCGTACACGAAAGCGTGGCAGGCGCAGCAACGAGCCATTGACGAACGCTTGAGCAGCATCAATGCTGCGACAGTCTCTGAGGTCTCTGCCTTCTTGGACGAAGCGATCAGCAGCCCGCAGTCCGAGCGCATACCTACCGGCGTCATTCTAGCTGGCTACGGCGTCAATTCGCACAGCAGTATCGTATCGCAGCTGGCCCGCAGAAAGAGTGCCGACGAGGATGGACGACAGATCTACGTGACTCTGACTTCGGCCTATGGAGCTAACCTCAAGGCATTACTTAAGTCACTCATACAACGAGCGCTCCGACGCCAGACAGGACTGGACGACGATGAAGAGGATCCGCCGACTGCTACTGCTCGGAGGGGACCACGATTGCTCAACTACGACCTCCAATTACTGCATGACTACGTACGCGAGCACAAGCTCCAACAAATCGTAGTGGCTTTCGAAGACACGGAAGCGTTTGACAGTGATCTGCTGTCCGAGCTGATCGAGATGCTGGGCTGCTGGCACGGTCGCATACCTTTCGCCTTCCTTTTCAACATCGCTACGTCGATCGACTTCCTGCAACAACGACTCGCCAGAGCCGCGATCAAATGCCTAGATGGCCGACTCTTCGACCTTGCACCTGCGGGCGAAGCAGTTGAGGCAGTCTTTGATGCGCTGATGAGCTCTGGCGCGCCCTTGTGGCTGGGGCCAAGTGTGATGAGCATCTTGCTTGAACGTCAGGGCGACTACATACAGAGCATTGACGGCTTCGTAGATGCTGTACGATACGCTTACATGTCTGCCTACTACGCTAATGCTTCGACCCAGTGCCTGGAGTCGTCCGAGAATCTACCGGACGACCATTGCGAGGCGCTGCGCAACCTTGAGTCTTTCCGCGCCTATGCGCAACAGATGCTAGAAAACAAGGAGCTGCTGCGGCTGAAAGACTGCCTGGAGTCGAACCAGAGCCTTGCGGCAGTCACCTCGTTGCGGATTACGGAAGGTCAGCGCAAGCTCAATGACATGATGTCTGCTCTATCAACTCTCCGCAAGATTCAGGAAGTCCTGCCGAACATGTCCGTCTCGCCGCGGTCGTCTTTGTACGTGCAGGCTATGTCCGGAAAGCTACACGGTTCGACTCTTCTACGGATGCTTCTATTAACCATCAGGAAGATGCCGTCGCATGTCACTGTGCGCCTGCTGGAAGCTATCTTGGCGGCAGACTCACTTGACACTTATGCCCAGGGCGTGTGCAGGCAGCTTTTAGGGGAGTTGAATGAGATTCTAGGGTCACGGAACGACCCAACACAGCCTCTACGTAGCGAAGATGATGTGCAGAACTCGACCCTACGAACGACTGTAGTGGCACAGAAAGTAGAGTTGAGCAAACACAAGGCCGCGCTGTCCGATCAAGACAAAGCGTACACCCAGGTGCTGGGCCGTCTAAGTGAGGTCCTGGAGAGTTACTTCGAAGAGACTCTCGTCAATCCGAAGGATCTCCCCTTTCACGAAGTCTTCGTCTACGACCTCAAATCACCTCATCGCGAAGTCTTCATGCCGAGGCCGCGGCATGCCATCGAGCGAGCGCTTGCTTCGCCGCACGACTACCTTGACTGCGAGTGCTGCGAACCCGATCGCGGCGAGCGCGATGAGGCTACGTTATCAGCGACGCAGCCTGCAACTGCTGTGCTGTACCAACTCTATCTGGAGTCCGGCAGCTTGATCAACGCTAGTGATCTTTGGCAGGCTTTCCAGGCGGTGATTGGAGATGAAAGGGATGAATCACAGACAATGGCGCACTTCCAGCGGGCCTTGGCAGAGCTCAAATACCTTGGTTTTGTCAAGCAGACGCGCAAACGGGTGGATCACATTGCGAAGGTCATGTGGCGAGGCTTGTAGCTCGCATACATAGCGCTAAATTGTTGGGAGCATGCGCCGTAGCTTCAGTGACATGCAGCCTCCTTGGCTATCGAAGAATTGCCGAACAAAAGATAGCCAAGGAACGCACCGAACCCCACTGCGAGCATTATCCAGCCATTATACGTCATGAACAGCAGCCTAGCGTTCTTAGTACTCGATGTTCGTATGAATGATGTTCTGTACTCACATAATGAAGAAGGAATAGAACACTTGTACGCCATACAGGGCCGCCTTGACAAGCCTCCCTTTCTGCTCCTCAGCTTGCGCCGTACTCCCTGCGAGGCCGAGTAGTGAGCTACGTTCTCCGACCACCACATTGCCGTTCGCGTCACCTCGAGCACCATAAGCCGCCACGCTTGCTAGCTTCCACCAAGGGATTATGGTGGACAGGGACAGGATCGTGGACTTACTCGGCATCTCGCTTAGCTTGTTCGCAACTCGCAGCTCGTACCGCCTCGACGCTTCGCGCACAGCTTCGTAGCCTGCTGTTAATGCCATGACCGCGAGAAGTGAGAGCACGAGGGTCCAGGTTGATGTGACGCGCCAGCTGCGGAAGACGATGCATAGGTTGTTAGTATCCCAAGTGAAGAGCATCTGAGCAATATTAGATCCGAGAGTTGAGTCAAGGTTGGAGATGATCAGACATTCATGCTACACATAAGCGAGTCGCCCATTCCGCCGTGATCCATCCCACCGTGATCCATGCCGCCATGGTCCATACCACCATGACCTCCATGACCCATATCCATGGCGTTGGAAATGCGTAATCTGGATGCACTTGGCCCCAAGAAGTGGGCTAGGGTAACAGGAGGCGTTTGCGGACAACATGAGTACATGGAGCCGGATATGGGTGGGGAAGTGTAGTGGGAGAGGGTTAGGGTTGGCTGGGTAGAGAAGCAGCGGGGTGAGTGGCAACGGGAGCGCGTGATGTTGGGACAGAACTGCACTCGGGTGGTATACCAAATTCGAGGTTCGATCCACACGCAGTAGCAAATGTCTCTACATAATCTGGTAGGGCTTGAACAGTCATGTCCTACCATTCCATCACAACTCCGGGAGCGATTGTGCTGCATCTGAGAGTATCGCAACCTCAACCTTCATACCTCCGCTCGACTAGCACAAGGTCTTCTAATCATCCTGTGCTTCACCATCTTACGGCGGTCAATCGTCCTATGTGTCATGCTCTGCTCCCTCGCCCACCAGGGTCACCCAATTGGATAGCGTACCAATCTCTTCGGGCAGAGAGGTAGTCCTAACGCAGGGTCTGGCAAGTAGCCGGATATGCGACTGCCTTGTGTCTTCTGTACTAGGTGACTGTCCTCGGCGTTGATGTGTGCAGCGGCAAGACGGAAGCGGTGTTGCGGCGTTGCAGGACTCGGTTTACGCTGCGTTGGCGGTCTGTCATTGCGGCAGAGACTCCTCTTTCATCCTTTTCTTCTTCTGCACAGCGCAGCTACCACAGAGATATCATCAAGCTTGCCACCTTCGATAGCGAGACCCTCCTCGACCGCACGCTCCATAAACGGACTGGAGGCGAACGGGTCTTCGGCAATCTTCCTCGCTGCCAGCACGACCTCTTGCGCGACATATCGCATACCTTCAGCAAGGCTACCGCCTTCGCCTACGTCTGAGCCAAGGTCTCCCTTCTTAAGCTTCTCATGCCAGCCTTCAAGCGACGCGACCGCCGTATCCGTGATCTCATGCTCCCACAGATTGTCCGTCACGCCATCAGACATGGCTAAAACGATATCGTCTTCTTCCACTTCTACCTTGGTCATCACCGCGTTCTGCTCCGGTGTGTCAGGTGAGTTGGTTCCCAGTTGCCGCGGACAGTCAAAGTAATGCCATTGCTCCTCCGTCTCAAAAAGTACCCGCTTATCTCTCGGTCGCACAATCATGACCTTGCTGTCGCCAAGCTGCGTCACATAGACAACAGGCCTCGGCGTGCTTTTGTCCTCGCCGTAATGCAGTAAAGCAGCGCTTGCCGTCGTAGTTCCAAACCACTCCGTGGGTGGACTCAATGCCTCCTTGGTATGCTCGTAGGCCTCGCTCAAGTACTTCACCAGGTCCGGCTCGCCGCTTTCCCCTCCATACCCGTCTTTCTCCGCCGCCAGTGCCCAGAAGTGCAGAATAAGCCGACTCCATAGCGGCGCATGGCCCCTCTCCCTCTGCGCCCAGGCACCAACCCCGTCGTTCGTCCCAATGAGGTTGTCACTAACCAGTAACGCATCGTCGCCAACGGTGACGCCTCGTATCATTTGCCCATTGACCTTTGGCCGGCGATCGACACTCCGGTTGTGCGTACTAAGAGGGTCGGAGAATGAGCCACTCGGTGGACTGAAGAAGGGTGGAGGGAAGGGTTTGGACGGCCTCTTAGCCCAGCCAGCATAACCTGCTTCGAAGTAGAAGGGGCTTGAACTATTCGTCTTGGGCGCGTCTTTCGGCACCGGTGTCGTAAGACCTATCTGCGGGTCTCGTGAGCGTGATCGATCATGCTGCGATCGTCGCTGTAGCACGATGTGGAGCACGCGAGCGGGTCGCACTTCATGTTTCAAGTGGAGAGTGAGCATACCGCCGACCCAGCGATGAGCGTATAAAGCCCTGCGCTAGGTGCGACTGATGCATACCCAACCTTCCTGAGCAAAAGGACATGCACTGGAGCTGGTAGGTGATGATGGGTAAGGGAACTCTGGTCGGTGAGACGCGGGTTCAGGGTCCGAAACAACCGAGGCGAAACTCTGTTGCTTGAAGGCTATGCCAGATTGAAGAAGCACTATCCTACACAGCTCGTGGCAACTACGGGATTGTTTGACGACGCTGCAATCATGCTTGCATCCCACCGGGTATCTTCCCCGAACTGCCCGTCACAACGCCGGACGCTATGCGATCATTGCGTGAACACTTGCTTACCTACTCTTCTTGACCTTCTTCTTGCCAACACTTTCCGCCTCCCTTTGCGCCTCGGCCAACGCTTCGCCAGCCTTCCGCTTGTTCTTGTCCTCCGCCCTTGATGACTTGACGCTGAACGTACTCCGCTTCTTACCGTCCTTTACAGCCTTCTCAGCGTCCTCCCAACCTGCATCGCCGTTCACAACAGCGTAGTTCTCCAGTGGAAGTGCATCAATCATCTGCTTGTGCCGTTCTCGCTCCATTTTGTCGAACTCCGCGCCGCCAGCTGCAAGCTCCGCTTCAAGCTCTCTGCCGACCGTCTCGGGGTCGATTGTGACGCCGTTCGTAGGTGCTTCCCCTTCTGCTCGTGGTAGATCGGCAACGATAGCACCTTCTTGCAGCTGTCGAAAATACATGCTGACCTTCCTGATCACCTTGTTGAACATGGCCAGCAATTGGCTCATGGCCAGACCAAGCTCCTTTTCCACATCTTCAAGCACCTTTCGCTGCAAGCCCACGGCGCAGAGCAGCGCTTGCTGTACGCCGGACAATCTGATTCCATTGTCGTTGCGCATACGGCCGGTGAAGTACAGCTCGGCTATGCTAGGTAGTAGATCCAGAATGGCATGATAGTCAATCATGCTATTTGCATACGAATCTAACCTCTTCAGGTCAAATGGCGTGAATGTGTCGTCCAGATGTGCTTTGTCAAGTGGCTTGACCTTTTCGCCCTCGGTTAAAAGCTTGATACCCAAGTTCGCTGACTCGTCAATAGCCAGCGCTTGCACGCTTCCGAAGGTGCGAAACTGATAGCTTAGTAATGACAAGAAGCGCTTATGGAAGTCTTGAGCATAAGCGCCTAGCCAGCTCGGATCGCTCGAAGCGGTCTCTAGCGTCCGAAGCATGACTGCAGTATGTTCGCCAGTAAGGTCATTAGGTGTCTGCCGCAGATACACTGGTACAAAGCCAGCACGCTTCCAGAACTTGTGCAACGGCTGTGTCAGACCATATGACACGCCGATGTACTCAAGGCCTGCCGGTTTGCGCTCTGACAGCCGCGCAAAAAGGGGCGGCATAGCTTTGATGTCACGAACTTTGACATTATCCGCGAGCAGTGTACTATTCTCGAGCTCAGTGTCGGTGACTCGGACCATCTCTTGCTCGTGCATGGCGGCCAAATCCTCGTTTTCGGACAAGTTGACATGCTTGCCTTCGTAAAACTCCGTCAGCAGCTGCAGTGCTCGAGAACCGTAGCCCATATTAGCATAGTCCGGATTCGTGGCAATGCGCACAATGCGCGCGCCGCTAAGACCTGCAAACTCCGAGTCCTGGAATTGCTGGCTTACAAGCCACGGTATAAGATCGCCACCTGCTCTCTGACCCCGTGAGAGGGCGCTAAGCACGCTCTCCTTGCTGATCTGGCCTTCGAGCGCAACTTGCAGCACACACAGTATCTCCGGCAGCCGATTTGCGTCCTCTTGCACTGGTGCCACAAGCACGAACAGCTGATGCGCCGGTGCGTCAGACATGAGCTGCAGGTCATTGGGAGTGTTCTTATAGTGCGACGCCACATACAGCGCCATCATATTCTGCAAGAACTTCTCGCTAACGGGGTGAAATGAGAAGAGAGTGTCGCGATTGACCTGCAATAGCTGACATTGTGATGGATGCGGTGTGCCATGAAGATTCGACCGTCGTGGCAATGTTGCGTCGAGGCAGAGCAGTCGGTTCAACCACCGCTCAACACTGTCGCCTTGCGCGTACCTAATGGGTTCCGATAGCGTAATCTCCCGCAACGAGCGTGAGGAAGCCGGTGTGTATGCACCATCCGCATGCTTACTATCCGTGCGACTGGCAACTTGCTGATCGCCATTGAGCTTCTTCTGGCCTCTCGATTGTTCGCGAAGCTGCTGAATGAGCTTCAGAGAAAGCGACCGACCGGTACCTTCGTAGCCGTTAATGGTGGAAGCCATGAAGACAAGATACGGACCCAGCAGTTTCCGCACGTGCGGCAACGGTATCGCGGCGGCTTCATCGATGACGACCAATTCAGCTTGCCCGAGCGTGTATGCATCCTGTGGTTGGATGTATTGTATTGTTTGTCGATGTTGCCTGTGAACATTGACCCTCACGATAGCCTTATTGAAGTCGGGGTTCGTCGACTGGATGATGGTATAGTCCTGATGGTCGAGGTAGCCAAGCGCATCAAAGCCCTTGAAAACAAATTCGAAGAGGGTCTTGAGGTTCTCTGGTGATGGCGATGTGATGAAGATGTTACTATAGCCGTGAGCGACCGCCGCGGCTATTGCCACTCCTAGCGCTGCGGACTTGCCTCGACCACGAGCTGCCGTGAGTGTGACGGTGCTGGCAAGCGTCTTCTCCGAAATGGCCTCCACGAAGGTAAGCAGAGCTTTCGCCTGATCGACAGTCTTCGCAAGTTGTACTAGTGGGCCAACAGGTTGCGTATCTGCGAGGCTGGCCTTAATTTCTGCTAACTCCATCGCCGACGCAGACTTGCCTTCGTTGTCTTCCAACGGCTTCTTCTCCACGACTGACTTGCCTCCAGAGATGGGCAGTACATTCATCTCATCATCGATCACAAGGCATGACTCACAACTGCCAAGAGACAAGATGAATCGCTCGTTGAAACGTGCGACAACGTCGCCATGTGCTTCGGTTCGATATCTCGAGTGAATATCCATGGACAAGGTATACAATTGCTTCAGACTGTTCATGCCCCTGAGCAATAGCAATACAAGGCCGCCGCCTTCCACCGTCTCAATCGTCCGGGCGAGCAAATTCGGCGTAATTGCCTCGAAGTCCTGTAGTATGCACATGCCATAGGTGTTACCGAGTATTCGGTCGGTCTCCTTGTAGTAGACATATCGAATGTTCTGCGTGCTGACGAACAATTCGAATGGATCCTCCACATCTGCTTCTCGGATACCTCGCTTGATCTCTTTCTTGACCTTCTTCTCCCGCTTTTTGCGATGGCTGGTGAAGCCAAGCAGTTTGTTCTTGTACGCCCATAGCACACTCTTGTTCAACTTGATGTCAAGATTGAGGAGGATGTGGTAAAGATTGACGATGACATCCTTCTGCCTGTCTCCTACAATAACGAAGAAGCTGCGCTTCTTCTCGAGCACGCCATTGCGGATGAGCGCCGGTATGCGCGCATCGATCGCTTTCTTCACCATCTCCACAGTACCTTGAACTCACAATTGCACCGCATTCTCTGCCGCATTGGCTCGACAAGGCGGGTAGTGACCTATGGGTAGACTATGGATGGGAAGTCCGAGAGCAGCCAGAATATGCAAAAGCCTTTATGTGCGCAGCCAAAAAGTTCGCCTACAGGCTTCCCCGGCATTGATCGACGCCGCTCGCATCGGACCGTCATGACCGCGGGAGTCCGTGCGACTTTTGCGGGCTGGTAAGCTAACCTCACTTCACGAGCAATGATTCGACCTGAGCATATAGGAAGAATAGAGTGTTCGCCAACAACGCCGAGCATGCGTGAAGCGGAATGGTTGTTGGAGTGCTTCGGTGTTGTTTCAGAATGTCGGCCAGCAACGCGCTTTCACAAGCATCAGAGATGGCATCACAAGTCGGTCCTTTCTGCAGGTCGCTCTTCATGTGGTCGGTAGAAGCGACTAGTGTCTAGGGTTCAGGACACTCCTAAGGCTGAGTTCAACTTGTGCCGTGCATCCACTATGGTCGTGCCTTCCGAATGCGTGCGCGGCCATGCACGTGATGTCGCCTTCATTTGCGCATTGTAAGGCTAAAGCTACGAGATCGCTCACACCTTTTCACCAATTGTCACTTCTCTTGTCTCGCACTGAGCTTGTCCAGCAAATCAGCTGACCACTATATCGCTCCTTCCTTCCATCTCATCGGACAGATTCCGCGGTGCCGACGCCGATACCCCGGCGTGGGTCTGCCTTAGCTTGCTCACAATCTTTACAGGCAGCCGAACCTGCAGCGATCATCGGCATGAAATTGTCAGAACCCACGCCCGAGCAGCTGTTCGACTGGTCATCTGCGCAGTAACATTTCTTTCAGTAGCACGACACGTGTACCCAGACTCACAGCAGCTAGCGTTCGATATACCAACCGCTTCATTCACTCCAAGCGCAATGCTCTACCTTCTTGCGAAGGCTGTCGGCTTCGCAAGCGATATATTCAGCTTGTTTGTTGCGAAGTGCACAATCTTCCGGCAGCTGTGCCACATCCACAACCGCACAGACAAGTCGAAGGCACCGTGGCCACATCAACTGTCCAGCGAGATACTCCAACCGGGACCTAACGAGATCATCGTCAGGGATCCGACGTACTTTGAGCGGTGCGCACGCCTTCCGAAGGTGGGTCTATTGTCTTGCACCGCAGGTGTGCTTCTGGAAGTCCGCTAACACCGTGCACCTGGAAAGGTTTACGTATCGCCATCAATAGCTCAAATCCTTGTCGGTACAGGGATCGCAGAGAAGTTCGCCCGCGGCCTAGACATGAACAACATTCTCAAATATGAGCGGCTCATCGAAGATTGCAACATGCAGTTACTAATGACATTGACCGAAGCTGCCACTGTAAGCACAGATGTCAATCTGTCGGACACCATTGCAAGCTATGCTTACGACGTGCTCTTTGCGACCACAGTTGGGAAGCCTGCGGGTTTCCTTAAGCGTCCAATAGACGTTTCTGAGTTACAGATCGCAATGCATGAGTGGAAGTCGTCCACGGTGTCGAGTGGATCATATTTCCGCTTTCACCCACTCATCAATCGCGTCGCCAGCTACTCAAGGCGGAAGCGAGATGTAGTTGATCATCTTCTTGACCATCTCCCTGCAAACATCAGCAAGGCAACCGGCGGCCTTGCGCGGCACATCGTTAGAAAGGGGCAGCATGTGGACGTGGTGCGCGACGCTACCAGGAAGCCGAAATTCTTTGCTGCTATCATTGCATTGTTTGTGGCTGGTAGCGATCCGCTGATCCTGCACATACTGGCCTCACTGTTCCACATCTACAACAACCCGGAGCTCATTGAAAGGATACGTGACGAGATGCACAACGCCTGCGTCGGCTCACCGTCCAGCTTGCGATATCTACTCCGTCACCAATGGGAGATGCCGGTACTGCACGCCGCCTTGAATGAGTCACTCCGATTGTACCAAGACCACTCGACCAGCACGAAGTACGTTTCACCTAAAGGTGGCGTCACAATTGGCGACACGCATGTGCCAGAAGGGGTGAGTTAGTTTGATACAGCTATTTTTATCGTTATTTGCTTGCTATTATAACAATACCTATTAGCTCCTGTGCGACCTTGGTCATCCGCAGCTGAATGCGGTATCGCATTTGCAGCTTCTGAACTCAAAGGGAAGCTTGGACCATGATATATCTTCATACACGCATCAACGAGCAATTCCTGGGGCTCTACACTGAGCAAAGCACTTGTGAAGACTCGATACTGACAAGACATGCATGTGCAGTGTACGATTTGCCTGGAGCCTTCGGCGGCACATGTCAATCCAGATATCTTCGGTGCGGACGCGGACACGTGGAGACCAGATCGCTGGCTGCAAGACCCTGCCACATCTGAAACGAGGCGGGTGCATATCACCACTGTAAGTCTCCCCTACTCACCCATCCTATTGTCAACAATAGCCTTCTGCACTGCTATTGTCACGGTAGTGTCTTGCCACGCCTACAAATAGGCCTTCGTCTCCCTCCAAGCCCTCTTATCGTTCTCTCAGACAACCACTTCCGACACACATCTCTCCAGCAACATCACACCTCAGCACACATACTCAAGCATCTTTTGCGCATCATCAATACAGCATACTCAATCTGACTTGTCCAAGTTCGGTGCATCATCCAACCATTGTCCAGGCAAAGACTTGCACTACGCACTGCTCATTAAGCTCCTCGTATCTATCCTGCCCAACGTCGATCTCGAAATGGCTACCACGAGGTTCAACAATGGCCCGATCATGGCCACTCCCCACATTACCGGCGGTGTTAACGGTGCCAACACTGCTAGAAATGTCTATAAGGGGCGCAATAATAACGGCCGCAACGGCGCTCGCAATAATCTTCGCAACGATCGTCGCAATGGCGGCCGCAACCAGTCCAACAGCTACAACAACAGTGTTCCCCGCAACTACGGCTTCGACAACCGCAACGACTTCACAACCCCAAACGGCACAAGCGCTACCGTGCCACCTAATGCGCATGCCGGTTGGGGTACGTTCTCCGATGCCTCTCACTCACAGTGGGCTGCGAAGAAAGCCGAGGATGCCGCCATAGCTACGGATCCCGAGAAATTCGCGGCGTACAAAGCCGAGCAGGAGCAGAAACTCCAAGCGCGCATCGAAGCCCGTGCAGAGTTGCCAGAGAGAGAGCACAAGTGCACCTTCCGCCGCACGACCGGCAAGACGAAGAACGGCAAGCTTGGCGGTGCTCCGGTATTCGCTGAAACCATGGTCGTTACCGGTAATGGCAAGTCTGAGACGGTCATCCACGAGAAGGTTGACAGCACCCCGGGTTCTACCAACACCGCCACCGTCGCCGCCACCGCCATCACTCCTACTCCTTCTCCTTCCGGTAGCAAGCCTAAGTTCATCCCGCCGCATCTGCGCGCTAAGGTCGCTGTCGAGAACGCCGTCGCAGACCATGCCGCTGCCGCCGCCGAGAAGGCCACTGCTGCCGAGTGGGTCGCTGCCAAGCTTCCGCATGCGAGGGTCTAAGTACACGATGTATTGAGGCGGTAGGCGGTGTTTGTTGGCTAGGTGATTGAGAACTTGACGCGATGGTACCCGGTTTCGTTGACCTGGGTGCCTCGCTACGGCTTACTTACTTGCGTGCTTTGGCAAGATGACTGGCGAACCTGGCATGATGTAGCCTAGTGTACCTTGAGACACTGACGCCAGCATGTATACTGTTTATGTAATTCACCTCAATCCATCTGCTCCATGGCTTCCTGACTGTTCGGTGTCCAGTTGTCGTTGCGCCAGACGCACTCTTGCGGTGCTCTTCTGCCAGTGCTTCCTCGCTGACGCCGCTGCTAGTGCGCGTGACGATGCCTGTTGCGTGCAATACGCGGAAGTGTCTGCATCATGAGAGGTGAAGGCTGATCCTAACCCGTGGCATCGGAAGCTCTCGGACGCTCACTTCGACCACCCGCCACTTGTCCATGGCTTGTCTTGCTCACGGCCCATCTGACCAATGCAAGCTTCTTGTTACTAAGACTCTACCACCTTTCATCCCTTCTGCGACTCGGTACCACCTTTACTTTCCCTCGCCAGCCGAGCCCTTGGATCTTCCAACGCCTTGATCTGCTCTCTACCCCAATGCCGAATCTCATCCATCACCGTCCTACCCTTCCCCGTCTCCAAATACCCAAAGCCGTAGACGGCGACGAATAAGATGCTGGCCCACTGTACCAAAGTCACAGCTTTTTTCCAGTTCGGGCGAGCCCACTTGAGCTTCGTACGCCGGCGGTAGCGACGCTCAAGTCGGAATTGATGTCTTGTTGATAGCTGGGTGAAGTCGGGAGGCCATATGCGCTTGCAGTGATATGGGTTGGTTTCGAGGGTATATGGGAAGTTGATAAGGGTGGGGGGCGTTACAGGACCACGGCGGAAGAGAGACGTGAAAAGAGAAGTTGCCATGTCCAGCAGCTCCAGCAATGAGGTGGACGAAGCAACAATAATTGTATGCCAGTAGACGACCAGGTCTTATGTTGTTGATGTGGGAGCTCAACACCCACGGCTCCATCAATAATCAATCAATACGACTACAGTGAAATGAAACCTCGGCAATAAGACGTGAACAATTTCTACAACAGAGCTCCGTTTCCTCATCAAAGCTGCAAAAATACACATATGAGCTCCTCGTGACTCACCACGCTGCTCTCACTTCGCCTCGCCGTCTCACGGCTGCCATCCGGCCTTCGCTCCCTACCAACGAAATCATACGCGACCATGGCAGCCGTCCAAGCAACGCAGCAGGCTCTTCAGCCCAACAACCAACCCAAAGGCACCCTCAAGATTGAAAACACCGACAAACGTGACACCCTGATCTCTTCAGAGAAACAGTACCAGCGCGCTTGGGCCGATGCGAAGATCTTCGAGCAGAATGCGCCGAGTCTGCAGGATGTCCCCTTCCACTCTATCGCACCGAGAGAGCTTCACGAGAAGTATCCGAAATACATGGCTACTATGGCGTATCCCTACATGAACGGCACCCTCCACGCTGGTCACTCGTTCACCGTGTCGAAGGTTGAGTTCGCGATTGGGTGGGCGAGGATGCGAGGGAAGAGGGCGCTGTATCCGCAAGGCTACCACTGTACCGGCATGCCTATCAAAGCTTGCGCGGACAAGCTGGTGCGAGAGATTGAGATGTTCGGTCAGAACTTCGAGCGGTGTGAGCTCAATCGGGTTACAGATCAGGCAGACGATGATAGTCACGACAAGGAGAACGGTGTACCCAATGGCGCGCCTCCTGCTCCTGTACCAGCGCCTACTCAGGAGACGACAAAGGAGGACGTGACAAAGTTCACTGCAAAGAAGAGCAAAGCTGCTGCGAAGACTAATGTGGCGCTCAAGTATCAGTTCCAGATCATGCTCGCAATAGGCATACCTATCGAAGAGATTCACAAGTTCGCGGATCCGCAGCATTGGCTCAAATTCTTCCCGCCGCTCTGCCAACGAGATCTGACAAATCTCGGCTGCAGGATAGACTGGAGGCGAAGCATGGTGACTACAGATGCCAATCCCTACTACGATGCTTTCGTGCGCTGGCAGATGGTGCGCCTAAAGGAAATGGGCAAGATCCGGTTTGGAAAGCGGTACACTGTCTACTCACCAAAAGACGGCCAAGCGTGTATGGACCACGATCGGAGTACAGGCGAAGGTGTTGGCGTGCAGGAGTACACGGCGCTGAAACTGCGGGTAAAGGAGTGGGCGGAGGCAGCTCGGAGTAAGGTGCATGGCAAGGTTCCAGAAGGCGGCAACGTCTACTTCGTGCCTGCGACGTTGAGACCGGAAACGATGTACGGGCAGACGCATTGTTTCGTTGGACCTGGCATTACTTACGGCATCTACGAGATGGAGAAGGGCAAGGAGTACTACTTCATTTCTGAGCGAGCGGCGAGGAACATGGCTTTCCAAAACATCTTTCCGAAATGGGGCGAGTTTCCGAAGGTTGCGGAGTTGCAAGGCGCAGATGTTATCGGCACGCTCGTGCAAGCACCCCTATCCGTCCACAAGGATGGCATCCGTATCTTGCCCATGGAGTCCGTCAAGGCGTCGAAAGGTACCGGCGTGGTCACCTCGGTCCCCTCGGACTCGCCGGACGATTACGCAACAATGATGGACCTGATCAAGAAGGCTGATTATTACAAGATCAAGAAGGAGTGGGCGGATCTTGAGATTCTACCGATCATCGAAACGCCTTCGTACGGCAACCTGACGGCGAAGTACCTGGTCGAGACGATGAAGATAAACTCGCCCAAGGACGCTAAACAGCTTGCCGAGGCGAAGGATCTGGCATACAAAGAAGGCTTCTACCAGGGCAAGATGATTTTTGGCGAATTTGCGGGCAAGTCAGTCGAGGAAGCCAAGCCGCTCGTTCGGCAGCAGCTGATCGACAATGGCGAGGCCTTTGCATACGCGGAGCCCGAAGGTCTGGTCGTCTCAAGATCCGGAGACGAGTGCGTTGCCGGTCATCTCGATCAGTGGTTCATGAACTACGGCACGCCTGAGCGCAGTGGCGACTCGAGCTGGCAGCCCGCCGTCCTCGAGCACGTTAAAAACGAAGACGGCGAGCACCTCAACACTTTCTCCACAGAAGTCAAGAACAACTTCATGAACGTGCTGGACTGGCTAGCACAATGGGCATGCGCACGGTCCTATGGTCTAGGGACTAAGTTGCCTTGGGATAAGTCGCAGCTTGTTGAATCGCTTTCTGACTCCACGATCTACATGGCATACTACACAATCGCGCACCTTCTGCACAAAGACATCTTTGGCAAGGAGCGCGGCGATGCCAACATTGGTGCTGAAGAGATGACGGATGAGGTTTGGGACTACCTCTTCTGCCGCACCGACAGCATACCTTCAAGTACGAGCATCAAGAAAGACACCCTGGAGCGCATGAGGCGGGAGTTCGAGTACTGGTACCCGCTCGATGTGCGAATATCGGGGAAAGACTTGATCCAAAACCATCTCACCTTCTTTTTGTACGTACATGTTGCTCTGTTTAAGCCGGAATATTGGCCACGCGCCATTCGGTGTAACGGACACCTTATGCTCAACGGCGAGAAGATGTCGAAATCTACTGGCAACTTCCTCACCCTATCGGATGCGACAAACAAGTTTGGCGCGGATGCGACGAGGATAGCGATGGCGGACGCCGGCGATGGTATCGAGGATGCAAACTTCGAGGAGACCGTCGCCAACGCCACGATTCTACGCATGTTCGAGCTGAGGCAATGGTGCGAGTCCGTCATCCAAGACGCACGCTTGCTCAAGGGCGACGAATCTTATACTCACGTCAAGGAGAATGAAAGGCACAAGAACAATGATGCCATCCAACGCACAGGCGCCAAGGTGTTCTGGGACGACGTCTTCGAAAACGAGCTTAACGGGCTCGTGAGAACAACGGAGGACGAGTATGAGGCGACAAACTATAAGGCGGCCATCAAGAGCGGACTCTACGACTTCATTGGCGCCAGGGATTTCTATCGAGAGGCTACGAAGGCCGCCGGTGTCGGCATGCACCATGACTGCGTGAAGCGATACGTAGAACTCCAAGCTCTAATGGTCACCGTCGTGGCGCCACACTGGGCAGAGTACATCTGGCTAGAGGTGCTGAAGCAGCCGGAAACCGTCCAGAATGCGCAGTGGCCATCAGTTCCGGAAACCAAAGCGAGCCTCAACACTGCGCGGGAGTACGTTCGCAACACGTCCTCGAACATCACGTCGGCGGAAGGTGCGCAGCTCAAGAAGATCGCCAAAGGCAAGCAAGCTAGCTACGACCCGAAGCAAGGCAAGAAGTTGAGCATCTACGCGGCGCTGAAGTACCCAGCATGGCAAGACTCCATCATTGACACTGTCCGTCAACATTTCGAAGACATGAAGCTCGACATCGGCGCTGTTAGCAAAGCGATACCCAAAGCGGAGTCTAAGCGCGCCATGCCTTTCGTGCAACAGCTCAAGAAGTCCCTCGAGAGCGGCGTGAAACCTGAGACGGTGTTTGAGCGTAAGCTCGGGTTTGACGAGATCGAGGTGTTGAAGGAGATGGTGCCGGGGTTGAAGCAGACGGTGCAAAAGTGCGAGACGGTCGAGGTGGTGGTTGTGGAGGACGGTGGGAAGAGCGGGAAGGTAGTGGCGGGGAGTGAGAGTGTCAGGACCGGAGAGGAGAGAAAGGACTTGCCGCCAGTGGCGGAGAATGCCGTACCAGGGCAGCCCACTTTCTTCTTCGAGAATGTGTGAGTACATACCCGTCCAAAGCAAGAGTATGGTCATCACAAGCGTCAGCTCAGGACCGCCACGCTTATCGGGAGACATGACCGGTTTGTAGGCATCCGTCAGTCTGAACGAGCAAAAGTAGGACAAAGCCTGTAGCAGTCTGAAAGGCGTCACTGAATGATGTACAGTATGGAGACCTAGCCTCAATGAGCTGCTGATTGCCAGTGCTTGCCCATATATATCCCTTCACCCCCACTCACTTCCACAACTTCCATCCACCCTTCCTCCGCCCGCCCTCGTCGTAGCTCGCAGTCCGCCCCTGCACACTCGGCCTGCGTCCCACGCCGCCATCGCCACCCCAGGGTCCGCCATCATCACCTATCCCAAAGAACCTCTCCGCTTTGCTCGGTCGGCGAACCTGCATGCTAAGTCTCCCTGCTGGCTCCGGAGGCGGTCGGTCATCGTATTCGTCGTCAAGTGCCGTCTCACTTTCATCATATTCGGCTGGGTCGTTTTGGCGCCAGTTTGTATGAGGTGCGTTCGTTCGGTCCGTTGCTGCTTGATTGCCCGTCGGTGCACTGGAGTATCGTTGACCCAATTGCGGCGGGTAAGGGTCGTGGTGATTAGCGTTAATGGATGACGGCTGCGGCTGTGGCTGCCCGATTGGCGGCGCAGAGAGATGGTACCCTTTATCATACGCGCTCCGCTCTGGTGGGTGTTGCTGCTGCCTCCCATCATCATGCCCGTTCCCGCCATCTGCGGCACCATCGGCGCCGTACGGATGCTGTTGCACTCCAGCTAAAGCATCGTCAGCACGGCCGTTGAAACGACCCTGATGTCCCCTCCCCGTGGTCAAGGGCGGCGTCGGCGTGGCGTCTCTGCTGTAACCATCATCCCCAATCTCATGCTTCGCCGTCGCAGCGCCACCAAAACCTCGGAGTCTATCCATCAAGCTCCCTCTCCTCTTCTCCTGGAAGCGTAGTGGCTGCTCCACATCCTGCTGGTGTTGTGCCTGTTGCGCATTCGGATGGTGGAGGTGGTGTTGGGCCTGTTCGTAATGCTCATGCTCATGCTCATGCTGGTGAGGGTGCTGATGCTGCTGGTGGTGCGTCGCGTCATCCTCATACCAAAGTGCCGGCACCAGCAGCCGGTACGACGCCGTTTCGCCGAGCGGATCCCGCTGGTCGACCTCAACATGCAACGTAATATCCAAGCCATGCTGCAAGTCGACGTGGCCCGGTTCCCTACCGTCGCCCGTCTTCGCAGCCGCCTTCCTCGCTTCCTTCACGGACAAATTCGTAGGCCGCCGATGGAACGCATTAGTAGGTCTTGTCTGCGGTCCATCTCCGTCACCTTGCTGAAAATACCCATCTCTGGCCAGTCCGCCCACGCTGCTAGCACGCTGCAGCCCGCCTTGCGGAGGTCTGGCTGCTCCCTGTTCATGCGAGCTATACGGTCTCATGTCCTCCGGCGGACCCCGTATCGACTGCTGATTCTTACTGCGCCCCGACCCCGATAACCGCCTGATCAGCCCACCCGGACCTCTGCCTAGCGACATAGTCCTCCCCATGGAACCAGGCGGGTATCGCCTATCGCCATCAGATCTACCTCTCTCATCAGGCGTGTCCATCCCACCTTGAGCAGCAGGCATCTCGTTCGGTGTGCCCGGCGGCGTCTCTCCCGGCACAAACTCCCTTATACCACACCAATTCCGCCGTGGCATGAGAAATTTGTTAGCCCTCCGTCCTCCATCAACTTCCGTATCAAAAAGCGGGATCATATGCTCCTCCGTCTCCTCATCCAATCTATGCACCTTGTTCCGTCTCTGCAGCGCATCCGCCAACATGTTCGGCGGCGGAGTATTCACGATCGCCGAGCTGATCACATTTGGCATATACCGATGATCGCGATCCTTCGACACCGGGCCGAAGCGCTTGGTCGTGTAGAACTGTCCCACAGCCGCGAGGTGGACGTCGCCGCTTAGGATCGTGATGCGCACGCTCTTCTCCGCCGCAAGGTCCTGCAGTTCCTGAATGAACCAGTTCCGCTCGTCCTTGTGATGTTTGGCCGTCCAGTGGTCGTCGAGATCATCCAGCACCTCCACGCCACCATCGAACTTATTCACAAAACCGCCTAGCTTCCCTATCCGGCCGAGCGCTTTGACGGGTTCGATAACCCTGCTGCTGAGCACGTTTTCCAGAAAGTTTAACCGCGGGTACGCAATCGGCACGCCCAATAGCACAATCAAGTGCCTCGTCTCACCCTTGACAATCTCCTCATGCAGCCGCTCAAAGACGAGATCATACGTCTTCTCGCTGACGATCGACTCCCGCAGCCGTTCAGTCCTGCAGTCCAAAGCCAACAACGCCACCTTCCGCCCCCCGCCCAACCACAGGAAGACACTCCGGCTGAGCTGGTTGATGTACGGTCCGGGACTTGCACCCAACAGCCAGCTCGGCTCCGCCTTCTCCGTCTCAGCCACGACGCTCTGATGCTGGAACAGCATGTAGTACTTGAACGCCACGGCACCCAACCCTGCAAAAACGTAATTGCTCATGAATGAATGCGGATACGAGCCAAACCCATCCATAATATCGTGGTCATCCCACATATTCACCATCGGGATCTGGCTCGCCGCCATCGCGAACAGGCCCTGGGAGAACCACATCGCGTACCGGTTCAGCCAGAAGAACTCGAGCTCCTCCTGCATCTCCGACGTGAAAGGCGCGGTGGCTTTGTGTTCCGCATTCTTCATTTGCGTCCAGCGCGCGAACAGCGTGCACTCGTGCATGGCGGCATCCATGTATATCTGGTCGCCGCCTCCCAACATGACGTGAAAGGGTCGCATTTGGTGCTTGTTGAGGACATCCCGCCACAGTGGGTCAGGGCCGGAGAAGTCGTCTGGGTGGACGGAGGCGGAGAAGCCGTTGCAGGAGTGGAACATGATGTTCATTGCCTCGCCGCGGGCTGGGATCCAGAAGCCGATGGCTGGGCCTTTGTTGATGCGGTACGCGATGCGCTGTTGCGTGGCGCCGAGTTCGATCTCGAGGTTGAAGCGCCAGAAGGTGCAGCCGCGCTCGGCATGTAGGCGGAAAGCATGGACTTCGCGGTAGCGGCCTGACTTCTCGAGGACGTTGCGCTTGACGCGTGATTTGTCCTGGAAAGTGATGTGTGGGCTTTGCCGATCACCAGGTTGGCCTAGAGTCTGTGGGCCTAAAATGGGCGTTCGGGTGGCGGCGTAGAGTCCTTGTGGGTTTTCGCGGCGGCTCAGATCGACGCCAGCTTCAATGTCGTGGACTGGACGTACGTACAACGGTCGGCCAGTGCGTGACAGCTTCACTTGTCCCGCGATTGGATCTTCATACTCTGGTGGCATCTCCTGTCCGCTTTCGAGCAAGTGCTGGGGCGGCGGCTGCTGCAAATCCATGTGTTGGCCGAAAATGCGCAAGATGGGCGCTGGGGAGTAATCAGACTGAGCATCATCCGTGACTATCATGACACTGCCACGCCAGTACTCCCGAGCTCCCGCGGTCGAGGAGCGGCCGCTGCTTTCTTCGCTACGGACGCCAGTATATCGCAGCAGTGGCCCGCACTTCAGATACAGCGGCGGGCGGAAATGCTTCGCTTCTTCCTCGTACGGCCCATCGTACTGTGGAGGTGCCTGCCTAGAGGAGCCGCTTGAGCTTGACTGCTTGTTCCTCTTCTCCCACCACGCCGCGCTCCCCTTGTCTACAGCACCATCCTGCACTGTAGGCCGTTCGCCAGCTTGAAGGTCAGCAACCGCGAGCCTCGCAACGCCAGCATTGCGCCACTCATCCAGAGCGTTCCGGTCCACTTGACGCTCAGGCTCCTCATGCCCGTTACGCTGAAAGAGGCCGCCAAAGCGATGATGCTTCTCCCGTTGCTGCGCATGCACTGGGGTCACTTCAGCGCCGAAGCCGACGTGTTGGCGCGCTTCTTGTCCTGCCGCTGTCTGAGGTGGGATTTCGTAAGGTATTGGATCGTGTGGGCCCGTCGCCACTTGTTCACGGGGCACAGGGTCTGGCTTGAGATGATTCGCCGCTACCTGCTCACGGTCACTGCGGACACCGGCTACGTCACCGGCACGATCAGTATGCGGCAGGCCCTGGTGCCTCTCCACGTCCGGCGCGGCGGTCTCATGGTCATGCGGCCCTCTGAATGTGGGCCCGCTCTTCCCATACCATTCGGTAGGAGGCGGACCGCGCTTCTGCAGCTTCTTGCTGCCACTTCTGCCCAAACTGTTAGTTCTGCTGAAGCCTCCGTCAGCGCTCGTAGGACTGATAGGTGACTGCTGCGGCGACTGCTGCTGAGGCCCCTTCCGTCGCTCGTGGGCGGCTTTGCCTCGTTCCGCAGCCGACATGCTGCCCGCCGCCATCGCAGCAGCTGCACCGGCAAAGCCTGCGTCTCTAGCGCGGTGCCGGTAGTTGCTGCCTGAGCGGTTAAGGTCACTAGATCCACGTGTACTGCCAGAGCGGTTGAGGTCAGTAGATTCACGTGTGTTGGCCGAGCGATTGAGATCGTTAGTTTGACGAATACTGCCTGAGCGATTGAGATCAGTAGCTTGGCGCGTACTGCCCGTGTGGTGGAAATCATGAGGTTGGCGTGTGTTGCCTGCGCGGTTAACATCGGTAGATTGACGTGCACTGCCTGCGCGGTTGAAGTCGTTAGATTGACGTATACTGCCTGAGTGGTCGAAGTCGGTAGGCTGACGTGCTATATCGGCCTGCTGAGGTCTCGCGTTCGCATATGGAATGGCGCCCTGATCGCGCGGGGCTGCAGGCGGTCGATCATACCGGACAGGTTCCGGCATAACACGAGCATGCCGTTCTCCGTTGCCTCGCGGATACTCTTCCTCGTCCGCGCTCGTCTCCGCCTTCAAAGCTTCCGACGCCCTTCTAAATCTTGCACTCCCACTTTCCGCCTTATGCGCGACAGCTGGTGGCACCTCCGCTAACGGCTGTCTCGGGCGCTCTTCCCTTCTCACACCATCCTCCACCAGCCTCCTGTGCTCATCGCTCACCACCCTCCCCTTCTCGCTCCGCAGCGTGCCACGCCTCAGCACCTCGCCTTCGGCAGGTAGATCAGCAGCATCGCCACTCTTCCGCACGCCATCGCGCTGCCGTATGCGCTCCTCCGCTTGCTCCAAGCGTGCACGTTTCTCCTCCTTGCTCGCGAACTCCGCTTCCAGCTTCTGCAAGGGTGAACGGTCGGGCACGGACTGCCGTCGCTGTAGGTCTGATGTGTTGCTTGTGGTGCTGAGATGGCGTTGCTTGGGTTGCGAGCCGGGTGAGGTGAGTTCGGGAGACCATGGCTTGCTGCGCAGGTTGTCGGGGACGGCGTTTGGATTGATGCGCAAGGGTGGTTGATGCGAGGAGCCGGGCGGATGTGTGCTGTTGACATGCTGCGTGCGTGCTAGTTGCTCCGACGTGGTCGCTTCGGGGGGTGCGCGGTAGTGTAGCTTCTGCGTCGCTTCTTCTGCCAGCTCGCGGATTTTGTTTGAGTGGGAGCGTTCTACGCCGTTTTGTGAGGGTTTGTAGGCGTTTGCTTCCACGCGTTCGGAGAAGGGTCGCTTGGTCTCCTCTGCCGTCTTCGTCGGAGCTTGGTAGTATTGGTATGGGCCGGAGGGCGCTTGTTGCTCGTAGAAGCCGGTGTTATGGTTCTGGCTCCACAGACCGGAATGACGGCGGTTCTCCATGATGATGGTATGCGCATCTGGGCCGATGACCTCTGCGATGCCAGACGGGTCAAACAGCAGTGACGCTGAGGGGATAGCAGCGGTGCAACACGGCCAGCCAGCTACTGCATTGACGACTCTATACAGTCACTGACATTTATTATAGCTCAGGGATGCTTATGCGCAGCATTGTCGAGCAATACAGGTGACATATATAGACATACACTCGCAAGAACGCAGCAGCAAGGTATGATAGATGGAAAGCGAAGGAGAGGGTTACACATATCAAGTTTCTGCACGTTTGCGATATGGAGAGGCTGGGTCGAGAGGATATCCTTGCACCATCATGCATGCAGCTGCAAGCTCAAGCGGAACCTCACCGCCGACAGCTCCAACACCAAGACCGGCCTACGCAACGGAACTTGTAGTGTTACTCCGAGCGATGAACTACGTGACATGTGTTGAAGGCGAGCGGGACCCCGTATGCTTCTCAGATGCTCTCATATACTATCTCACTACCCTCCTCTCCTCTTCTGTGCATCGTGACCCGACCCTTTGATGGCACGCTCCTCGCTGCGACGTGATTGGAAGCGCAACTTGAGTTTGCGGGGACGAAGCGATCCGGCTGCGTGGCTTCGCGTCCCGGGAGTAGCCGCTGCACGATGGGCTTATTCAGGGTCAAAAGCCGCAGTCGACGATGCCGCTGGCTTTAGATGTAGGCGAGGACAAAGAAGCGCCCAATGTTCGATACACCTGCCTGCTTCTTCACATAGCTGACGCACGCTACGTAGGGATATAGTCCATGCGTGCCTGGAGAATGACTGCGCTTGCTCGAGTGATATCTCCCAACAGCGACGGCTCGTCAAGAGCGAGGAGACGATGAGGGTAATAGGGAGCGTACCGGCGTTACTGCTGCTCGTGCTACAGTATACGCCAGTGACTCTTGCAGCTCGGGTACGCGACTACGATGCGCACGACTACTACGCTGTACACCTCCGGCAAGGTGTGCAACCGGAGGAAGTGTCTTCACATCTAGGCTTGCAGTACGATGGCCCGCTCGGCGAGCTGGAGGACCACCACTTTTTCCGGGCAGACATACGACAACACGATCACGACCACATACAGAGCGCTCTCGACGATTTACGACGAAGGAGACGGAAACGAGAAGTCGGTGCAGGCGAACCACACACCCTGGACCACATCCTTCTCTCCCAAAAGCAGCAACTCCACACCCGCTTTCCCCTCGTCAAGCGTGCAGTCCTACCCCTACGAGCTATCGACATGCCCGTAGACTGGGCTGTGGCGAAGAACAAGGAGATTGCAGAAAGTCTCGGCATCAGTGACCCTATCTTCCAAGAACAATGGCATCTGTATAATCATGTACAAATCGGGCACGACATCAACGTCACCGGCGTGTGGCAGCAAGGCGTTACCGGCAAGAACAGTACGGTGTGTATAGTAGATGATGGGTTAGATATGGACAGTGAAGATCTAAAGGACAATTACTTTGCGGAGGGGAGTTATGATTTTAATGATCAGGTGGAGGATCCGAGGCCGAGGTTGAGCGACGATCATCATGGCACGAGGTGTGCGGGTGAGATTGCGGCGGTGCGAAATGATGTTTGCGGTGTTGGGATTGCGTATGATGGCAAAGTGTCTGGAGTCCGGATTCTGTCAAAGGTGATCAGCGACGCGGACGAGGCCATTGCGATGAACTACGCCTACCAAGACAACCAGATCTACTCATGCTCGTGGGGACCTCCGGATGATGGCCAGAGTATGGAAGCACCCGGCATCATCATCCGTCGCGCCATGGTGAACGGCGTGCAGAATGGCAGAGGTGGGCTGGGCTCAATCTACGTCTTCGCCATCGGTAACGGCGCTTCCAATGACGACAACTGCAACTTCGACGGGTATACGAACAGCATCTACTCCGTTAGCGTAGGTGGGATCGACCGCAAAGGACTGCATCCGTACTACAGCGAGAAATGCTCCGCGCAGTTGGTGGTAACATACTCTTCCGGCTCCGGCGACGCAATCCATACGACGGACGTAGGAGAGAGGAGCTGCTACACCAATCACGGCGGCACATCCGCTGCTGGTCCGCTTGTCGCTGGCATCTACGCGCTGATGCTCGAAGTCAACCCGGCATTGACGTGGCGAGATATCCAATGGCTGACCGTGCTTACGGCTGTGAAGCTGGACCAAGACAGCGACTGGGCGATGAACAAAGCTGTCGGCAAGGAGTTCTCGCATCAATTCGGCTACGGTAAAGCAGATGCTTGGGCACTGGTCGAGAGGGCGCGGACTTGGGAGAACGTGAAGCCGCAGGCTTGGTTCTTCAGCCCGTGGATGCACGTGAAGCATCCCATCCCGCAAGGCGATCAAGGGCTTACGAGTACTTTCACCGTGACGACGGATATGCTCAAGGAGGCGAATCTGGACCGTTTGGAGCATGTGACCGTGACGATGAATGTCGACCACACGCGCCGAGGCGACCTTAGTGTGGAGCTGCGAAGTCCGAGTGGCATGACAAGCCATATCGCGACGGCGAGACGCAATGATGGATCGAATGCGGGATATGTGGACTGGACGTTCATGTCTGTCGCTCACTGGGCCGAGAACGGGGTCGGAGAGTGGACAGTCGTGGTCAAGGACACGAATGAAAACGAACATACTGGGAACTGGACCGATTGGAGACTGAAGTTGTACGGCGAGTGCAAGGACGCCAGCAAGCAGGACCTCCTCCCACTACCAACGGACCATGACGACGACGATCATAATGACGAAGAAGTGCATGTACCACCAGTAGGCACGACGAGCGTGGCTGTCCCGACCGAGACGGAACCGCCGGTCGTCCCATCCGATCTACCCAGCAGGCCAGTCAACAGCAAGACCTCCACCACGCCAACCATCACCGCCACCGCCACCGAGCCCACGCCAACAGGTGACGATAAAGTCGAAGAACCAACCGAAACCGCCACTCCCTCCGCAACCGCCTCATCCGACCACCTCCTCCCCCACATCTTCCCCACCTTCGGCGTGACCAAAACCACGCAAGCCTGGATCTACGGCTCGCTAGCTTTAATCCTCATCTTCCTGTCCGGGCTCGGCATCTACTGGTACCGCATGCGGCGCCGCAAGGCGTGGATGTCCGGTGGAGGGGACGATTATGGATTTGAGATGGTGCCTAAGGATGAGGACGATGACCACGATGGCGGAAGGACTGGGATGAATGGGCATGCGAAGAAGGGAAATGGCAATGGGAAGGCGAGAGCGGGGCAATTGTACGATGCGTTCGCGCCGGATGATAGTGAGCCCGAGGATGAGGAGTTTGAGGAGGTTGGGCGGGAGAGATTTGGCATTGGGGAGGATGAGGATGAGGATGAGGCGTTGGAGAGGTATAGGGATCGGGAGCCGTTGAGGGAGGGGACGGATGTGAGATAGTGATGTTGCATGGATCTGGAGTGCATGGCGTGGTGTTGGCGGTGTTCTTGGAGTATGTCGTTGTCAATTGACGCTGTATACAAAATTCGTTTGCTCTCAATATGGACGTCATTTCCCAGCTCGGAAGCGCGACAAAACGGCGTTCTTGCTGTTGTATTGGTACAAGCGTTAAAGAAGGAGGTGCTGTAGTGAATGAGAATAACTATAGGTAGGTAGGTGAGATGGTGCCGGCGCCGGCATACTCACCACGCCGCATTGGGCGGTTTCCGCTCCCCGCTCCCGGAAGTCGTTGATGACGGAATATTACATGACGCACTGCAATGATATAAGAACCTGCTGGACGGCCTCTCATCGCCTTAGACGCAGTAGCAGCTACTTATACATCTTTTGAGCGGTTCACACGGGTATAGTGACTTGAGGTACAAAGGTGAATGGCTCGTCAAATGGACGCTGGTTGTCCACTATCACGCGGCAGCGAACACCCAAGGAGGATTCACTGGTGAGCCACCATGACACTCCTAGGGAGCCACAGTAAAACGGCGCAGCAGGAAGAGCTACGGCAGGCGCGCCGTTTGCTCAAGGAGCGCGTGCGGGCTGATTGGGACTATCCACCACTACCCGCCTACCAACGCACCCAACGTAGGACGGATGTGACTTCTGCTGGCGATGAGGATGCACGAGTTGCCGGCTTTCGCTTTCATGTCGGTGGAGCGGCCGTGGATGGCGTTGGTGCGGGGCCGGAGGATGACGGAGAAGAGGTTGAATGGCGAGAGCGAGAATGCTCTTCAGACTCCGATTCCAACGGCGACGACAGCGCCGTAACTACGAGCAGCAAGAGCAGCAAGAAGAGCAAGACGAGCATCTTCAAGTTCGAGGGCCCGGATAGCGTCGGCGAGCAGATACGCGAGCAACGACAAGCCCGCAAGCGAAAACGGCAAAGGGCGCTCGAGCAGGAGTTAGGCTGGAATGAAGGCTTGCAGCATTGGACAACCAGACGGAATGCCTGGTCCGGTGCGCGCACTGCAGCAGAAGTTCGCGTGCTGCAGAGTACCCAAAAACACCACTACAATGCGTCTCCAGCGCCGCGACCGAGCTCGTCAAGCTCTGTTGCCACAGACTCCGCTGTAAGCACACCGCGAACTTCTGTCTCGTCGATGCCCGCGGCAGAAGCAGGCTCGAGCAGTACAGCATCATCCCAACAAGCATCACCAAACAACAATGGCAAGCAGTCTACGCTGCCTACCGTACCAAGTTCAGCATCCCATACGCAGTCGGCTGTGATGGTTCCCGTCTGTCCCGCCATTCTCCCAAACCATCCGATCCGACGTCGCATCAACCCAGCCATGCATCACGAGATCTACAATAAAATCATCCTGCAGTCACGAACGCCATCCGTGCCCATCAACTTACTCACGCTTGTCTCGGCGCTGGTGCAAGGCTGGAAGGAAGACGGCGACTGGCCTCCGAAGGATACGGCGCCCGAACCAAGCATTGGGAGGCGTAAGACGACCAAAGACGCCGGAGAGATTGCCGGCGGGCTGAAGAATGGTGTAAAGGCAGTTGGGAGGGTGTTGAGGTTGACCGCTCCCGTTGAGATGGCCACACGGAACAGGAAGGAACAGTGGAATGTTGATTCCATGAATGCTCCGTCTTCCGGATAGATCATTGAGAAATGCTCCACGAGTTAAAAATGACGACAGAACACCCTATCATACACATTTGGATCAGTATCTGAACTATACCATCTCACAACGCTCATGCAGGGGCACGCGCGACAGCGGACTCTAATAGGCGGACCTCTGGCTCGCTCTTTGTCGCTCAGCGTGCTCAATGCTGTTGTCTTCACTTCCGCTGTCGACAGAGCCACAGACCAGGCTATACCATCGCCAAGCCCGCCTACACTCATTCGACCGAGGGCGGCTTCGGTAGTGGCACATTTGGTGCCGGAAAAGGCAGTGGCAAAGTGACATGATGATGGCGGCCACCTCCCGCACCAGACGCGTCCTCTAAGCCAAGAATCTTCGCCGCTTTCGCGCCCTTGATGCGAGGCCTTCGTGGGTGCTCCTCCTCAGAGTCTGTGGACGGAGAAGGGTGAGTCTGGATCAGTCGGCTGGTAGAGAAAACTCTTTTGTCTTGGATTGAAGCGTGCTTCTCTGCCGCGCCACAGCCTGTCTGGTCCCCACGGACCTGATCATCCCTGCTCTCAGGGTACTCGCACACGGATAGCGTGGAGTCTTTCCTCACCTTAGCGACCAGTGACGATCCACGAGCGGTAGCGACGGCGACATCCATTGTTGAGCATCCCGGATTATTGGGATACGGCCTCGCGGTGGCGGCGGGTGATGCCCTTCCGCCGTTCGAGTGCCCGCGAGGGGATGCTGCTGCGAGTGCATTCATTGCTGCCTCTTTACGACATTCCAACGACATCAACTTCGCAAAGCAGATGTCAATTGAGCTGTTGATGGCTGCTAGAAACAAGTGCTGTTCAAGCAGAGCATTCGCGTTGTTTCTCTCACAATGCTCCTTTAGATTCGCGACCATAGCCGCAGACATCCTTTGGCGCTCGAAACGGAGGACTGCATAACGTCGGTGTAGAGCTTCCGTTTGAGAAGACAAACTAGTCAGTGTCTCGAGTGAATCGTCCTGCGTTCGAGACTTGCAATCTGACGGGCGGGACGGCAGATCCGGTATCGGTTTATCCCTGTCAGCATGAGTCGCAGGCTGCGGCATAGTGCGGTGACCAGCCGGTGATGGGTCGTCTGTGGTCTTCTTCGCTTGCGCCGAGTACAAATCCCTATTCCGTTTCCCGGGTTGAGCATCGCCCTTGACAATGACTGCATTTGCCGGCTGCTGACGGAGGTTGATGTCTGCAGGCAGCAATGGTGTCCCTCCGGAGACTTCTTCTCGAGACACCGGATGCTGTGTGGCGAGCACGCTGAATCTACTGGACGGCGGCGAAAAGCTGGACGCAGCCTTTCTAAGTTCTTCGACTCCATGTCGTCGCCTTTCCCCAAACAAGTTGCACTTCTGCACAGATACAGACCCCTTTACCACGTATGGCGTGGCTCGGGGAAGCACAGTGGCCATGTTTGCCCGCATCGAACTCCCACCGGAGCTTGATGACTCCTCGCGTAAGCTCTGAGAAAGGTCCGAAGCATCTCGCAGGCGCAATCGAGGCGACTTCGGCGGCGGTGGCGGACCTTGCTTTGGTATAGCTGCACTCTCAACGACCGATTTCAAACCCGAGTCCTGCAGTCCTGCACGCGAAAATGCTGAAGTGGGTGGTCGCTGCGCCTTGTCGGAGGATGGTTCGGTGACCCGAGGACCATGCAATTCTGGAGCAGAAGCGGCAGGCCCCTCATTCGGCCACGGAGGTGAGACCCTTTCGCATGTCTGAAGATTTGACGGAGTTAGTGGGCAGGAGACTATGTAGACCTCCTGGTCCGAATTGGTGCCCACTTTGGCTTGTTCGAACTCTTCATTGGGAGAGCTTATCGCGGCAGGGTGCGGTATAGACGCGGACGGCGTATTTGGTGTGTCGACCGGCATTTCCTTCAACATAAACATCAGCTCCGGGTCGGTCTGACTGCGTTTCCGCTGGATGAATCTGACTGTGGCAGCAGGCGTCTGCCGTGAGGCGCGGTAGGGTCCGCTCAGAGCGTGCTTTCGATCCCTACTTGAGAATGAAAAGCTTCGTTTGGTCGATGGCGTTGACCCGATCAAGTGGTCACGGGACAATTTCCTGGTAACACTCGGAGTAGGTGGCGGAGTCGGTTCGGCGGCAGGGAACAAGCTGTACCCTAGCCTTTGCGCCAGCGAAGGTCTTCGTGCAAGTCTAGGGGTGTTGGTTCTGGAGTAGGCAACACTGAATGACTGCTCCATCGTCAAGATTCAACGAGCTTGTAGTCCTGTGTAAGCTTGCTGGGTTGTGCAAGAATGAATATCTGGGCAGTCGCAAGTGATATGTTCTTTCTTGGGTGCTTCGAACGCAGTGTAGATGCTGATTCGTGCAAGATCTACTGCATCTAATAAGCGACGCATCGGCAACCAGGGTGTTACGGGGATATGTCCCGAGAGCTCGACTAGATCTACCAGGTAAGCGGCCCCAAACCCTTGTCATTGTTGCCTACAGATCTGCGCGACTACCTGAGGAACCATGATAGCGATACAACGTGTTCTAGCTTGCTATGACAATAATTCCTCCTCTGCTGCATCGCAAGAAATAATCAACAGGGCTCACGCATTCAAGGTGTGTCCGTGATGCCTTTGCAATGGGCCTCTGGTATGGGCGCTAGTCATGGCATCATGGCGATGGTGCTTGGACCCTCGTCCATCATCGTGGAACACTATGCTTGTCGTCCCTGAGTCGTCCGTTGCCGTAAATCGTTCGTTTCAAGATGCGCCACATGTAAGATTCGTGTGGCGGCGCAATGCTCGTTCAGGGGTTTGCCACGACGAAGCGCAAATACGGCGATACGGTCATCATCGTCTCAAGTACTAGCGTCGCCAGTGCTTAGGACGTCGACGACATCATATTCGATACTCTGACTTGTTGTGAACCTTCGTCATCGCCTTGTACACATACACAACCGGGAGACAGAACGAATGTGAAGCTCGACTTCGTATGAAGTGAACTGGTTAATTTGAGTTTAGGTCCATCGCCCCGCAATCGTTCGCATGACTAGCCGACTCCATTGCGTTGCATCGCCGGCGTACGGAAGACGCACTAAGCTTCATATCAGATCGTTTGTAAGACTGCATATGCATGAGAGCGGCTCGCTTGCGCGCATCTGGATCATGACCCGTTTGCAGTGTAGCATATTGCATCATGGGGGCGAGGTTTCCGATCCACCTTCATGCACAGTAAAGGGAACCACCCTACCTCGCTGCGCGCTGGAACGAAAGATACCGCACGAGCGTATACCGTACAGAATGGCGGTGCTGCAGCATGGCGGGTAAGTAATGCATTGCGAGATCACCTCATGCCTCGACAGTGTCCAGGCTCCCCTTCCCTGTGGTTCCTGCCGGCACTGCTCCTTTCTGCATTTTCAGCTTCTCTTCAAACTTGGCGAATTCCTTCATGGCAATCTCCTCCTCCTGATCCATCACCTGCTGTACACCCTTTACCTCCTCGATGTAATGCATGAGCATACTCTCGATCCCGTTCTTCAATGTCACCGTACTGCTATCGCACGTACGACATGCGCCTCGAAGCTTCAGCAGAACTTGTCCGTCATGGAAGCCTCGGAACTCAATATCGCCCCCGTCCTCCTGAATTGCGGGTCGAATGCGAGTCTCGAGCAACTCCTGGATCATGCCAACCACTTCTTCGTCTTCCGGCGCGTACGACGCTTGAGCCTCGCTGCTGGAGCTGCCTTGCCCTTCCTCGCCCGTCTTGTTCTCGACGATGTTGACAATCGCTTGACCGCTAGTTACCGCTTCAGTGATAAGACTAAAAACCTCCGGCTTAACGTGCGCCCATGGTGTTGCGCTGTCTTTGGTGACCGTAATATAGTCCTTGCCGTAGAATACGCTCGTGACACCATCCACGTTCAATAGCTGTGCGGCTAGTGGCGACGGATGCGGTGGCGCCAGTGTAGACCGCGGAGAGAGATACTCAAGGAACGAAGAAGGAAAGTTGTCGGGCAGGATATTGTGGTTTGGTCGGAACTTCAGCGCATCTGCATTCGGAGTGTCTTCCGTCTGGATGAAAATCGTTCTCACCGCGGAGGGCGTTCGCGGCACAGATGGTTGTGTGTAGCGGAGGATGGTTGGTCTAAATCGCTTATTCGATGAAGACAACGGTGTCGCTCGCGATAGCTCTGAGAAATGTCTGCTCGCAGTAGTGGCGGTTCTGTGACACCTGCAGGTCGCGGTTGCGGATGGTCTGGTGAAAGCCCTGGTAAGGCTACTGACTGCTGGTTTGCTGGCCATGACGCTTGTTGGCAGTCGAATATTGTATGGTCCAAGAAGTCCAGTCTTGTTGGAGGGATTGTCCTAGGTCGGTAGGAGATAGCAGTAATTGCGTCACAGCAGGGCTGACAAAGGCGAGTTCACGTGACCGTACCTTCGGCGTTTGGCGAAGCTCCTCCGACGTATATTTGGAGATAGATGAGATTCGCGAGGGGAACAACCCTCTAACAACCAGCCAGCCAACGTATTTGTGGACAGTGCCTGATGCGCCCAATTGCCCGCCAGAGCACTCGCTTGGCCTCCCACACGAGATCCGCAAGTGGCACACTGAGACAGCAGACACCTCACATCCCGTACACGTCTTCGCGATGCTTCATTGACAGCGTGAAGAGACGTTCAGACGCTCGACCGCCCAATGGCGCATCTGATGGCCGCTGGGCTGGACAGCAACGAGAGGAGCAGAAGCAAGATGAGGAGACCAAGACACAGTCTGATCAGCGTCACGACGCAGAGGCAGCAGTGAATGGCGAAGGGCGGAAGTCTGGGTTGAGAAGGACGCTCCGGCAACGGCGAGTTAACGATGTCCCGAAACCGCCGCCGATACCTGAGTGGTTCTTGAGGCACAATGTCTTTTTGGCACGCGAAGTCACGCAGGCGGCTATTGCCGATCAAACTCCCCGGAAGTTCCTGAAGTGTGTCGATGCTGAGACCGGCCACACACTCTTCACCGTACCAGTTTACGATGGCGACGAGGCTGAACCCAAGACTCAGCCCAAGCTTTCGATTCGGGGCAACGATATAGATATTGCAGCGCTTCGCCTGCGCCCATCCTGGCTACGTCGGATGAAAGCTATGCCTAGCAAGATCCGCGAGGAAACGCTGATGCAGCAAGTTATGGTACAGCGAGCTTTGAAGCCAGAGGAGATCGACACTGAAGGCCTCAGTGAGCTGTTACTGGAGCTTCCACCAGACATGCAGGAAGCCATATTGCGTCTCGAAGCCACCAATAAGCCCGTCAAGCAGCAGGTTGGGGCACTCAAAGATGGGCATAACGGTAGTGATATAAACACGGAGGATGTTGGTAAGCCTCCCGACGGCAAATCACTTCCGCAGGACTTCTTCGGACAGAAGTACTCGGCGGAGCATTCTTCACCTGTCACAAAAGCCAAGCCAGCGTCACCGCCGCCTAGCTTGAATGTCGATGTTCCGCCACCGTCATCTTGGCCGATGGCCGAAGTGCGGCTGGCAGCGCGAGCAGCGCTTGCCATGTCCGCGAACACTCAGCATACGTCTTCTTTCGCATCTTCTCGGGTTGACCTGTCTTTGCACTGTTCAGACTCTGATGCTCACGCCGACATGGACTTCATCATACGTGGCTTGGCGCTGGGCCTTGACGCCGACGTCATAAGTCTTGATGCCAACGACTTCGAGGACCTTGCGTCTGAATACGTTGGCGGGGGTAACGACGCACCAGGCTCCTTTTCAACCATAGGCTACGACGCCTTTGACGGCTTCACAGCGAACGGCTCCGGTGGGACGATCAGAGTTAGCGAAGACTCCATGGAGGACGAGGAGGAATACGACGAGGATGAAGAGGATGAGAGTAGTAGGGACGATCGTCAAGGTCCCAATCAGACCTGGAGGATCGATGACCTTCGTAAGGCACTGCACGAGAAGCGCCATGAGCTCGGTAAAGCTTTGTCATCCGTTGGTATCCCAGGCTTGAATCTTGGTGCACCAAAGATTCTCTACGCTGGACCTGCGCCGCCCTCGTTTATGTCTGCTCGGCACCGGTCACCTATCTCTTCCTCATCGGAGAGCTATAACGACGCTCGTTTAGGGGCTCTCCTAGACAGCCTGCTTGACGCTGCCAAAGAAAAACGGACACAGAATCCGAAAGCAGACATCGAGGCGCACGACCTTGAGCGAAGTAGGATGGCGCTTGTCAACCGAGCTCGTCTAGTCGCAAGCGCTATCGTACCAAGCCAAAATGAGGAGCAGAAAGGGCGCACCGTACCAGTGGTACTTGAAGCACAGCCAGCTACGCAGCAGATTGGTAGTGTACGAAGCGTCTCTTTAGATGCACCACGAACGATCATCCACGTGCGTGATATGGCAGACATCGACCGTACCACATTGGGAGCTAATATCATTCGCCGCCTTGTCCGTGCCGTTCAGAAGCGCCGTAGAGCTGGCGTAAGCATTGTGATTATCGGCACTACGGCGGAAGATCAACCCACCAATACGTTTTTGGGCATACGCAGTGCCGAAGACTACCCCTTCCGCAGCGTGTCGATTCCGTCGTTTTCTTCCGAGTCTGCACAGGCCGCTCACCGGGTCCTTGATATAGCAAGGACACCGCCGCCCACCAAGACATTGCTGGATGGCGGGTACGGGCGCATTCTCGACATCAACCTTCGACACCTTCAAAGCATGCTACGACGTATACGACCGGATCAGGATGTGGATCTGATATCAGCTGCTTCCAGAAAGCAGATGAGCATATCTGGCACCCATCTGCTGTGCGAGAAGGTGCTATCGCTCGACCACGTGCAGCGACTGGTCCTCGTCGCCATCGGCTTGGCAGAATCGCCTGCAGTGTCAGACACCGTTAAACCCATCCATGTAGCACTTGCAGCGCACATAGCGACGAGAGCTGATGACTACATGGGCGCTTGGCTCCGCAAACAGAACGCGGATAAGATGCAAGATTTCGTCCGGGCCGGCAACGGAGGCAAAAATGCTAGTGACCAAGGCGGTGATGAGCCTACACGCAGCCGCGTTGACGATATTCGAGGGTCTTGCAATCCGCATGAGACGAAGTTGTTGACCGGTGTTGTTGATGCCAAGAACATCAGGACTGGCTTTGCAGACGTTCATGCGCCAACCGAAACAATCGAAGCGCTCAAGACGCTGACCAGTCTTTCGCTGCTTCGACCTGAAGCGTTCAGCTACGGCGTGCTGGCAAGCGACAAGCTGCCTGGTCTGCTACTTTACGGCCCACCGGGCACTGGTAAAACTCTGCTCGCTAAAGCTGTGGCGAAAGAGTCCCAAGCTACAGTGCTCGAAATTAGCGGGGCGCAGATCTACGAAAAGTATGTCGGTGAAGGCGAGAAGATGGTACGTGCCGTCTTCAGTCTTGCGAAGAAGCTCTCGCCGTGTATTGTCTTCATCGACGAGGCAGACGCAATATTTGGAAGCCGGAGCAGCGCCGGCAACCGGAATACGCACCGCGAGATCATCAATCAGTTCTTGCGGGAGTGGGACGGTATGGACGACCACAGTGTGTTCATGATGGTGGCTAGCAATCGCCCTTTCGATCTCGATGACGCCGTGCTTCGACGACTACCGCGCCGCTTACTCGTCGATCTGCCGGTTCAGAAGGACCGCGAGTCCATCCTGAATATCCACCTGAAGAACGAGCTTCTCGATTCAACTGTCTCTCTTTCGAAATTGGCAGAACAGACGCCCCTATACTCTGGCTCTGATCTGAAGAACCTCTGCGTCGCTGCCGCTCTTGCCTGTGTAAGAGAAGAGAACGAGCTCGCTGCGTCTCACAAGGAAGACAAGGATTTCAAGCTGCCTGAGAAGCGGACCTTGACGTCTAAGCACTTCGAGAAAGCGATTGCAGAAATCAGCGCAAGTATCAGTGAGGATATGAGTAGCTTAACAGCGATTAGGAAGTTCGACGAGCAGTTTGGTGATCGGAGAGGCAGGAAGAAGAAGGCAGGATATGGGTTTGGTACGACGGATGGTGTGATCAACGAAGTCGCAGTACGGGCACGACAGACTGATGAGCGAGCGCCGCCGGCGCCCTAGAAACATCTTGCATGCTACACACTGTTCAAATTTCGAATACTAGTCTCATTGAGACGTCGCATCAAATGCTATACCTCCTGGCAGATGCTCCTGTTGCATTAATCGAAACCTGACCCGCGCACATTGCACCTCGTCCTGCTCCTTGCCCGCAAACTCATTCTGTGGTGAATGTGCAAGCGCCGCAATCAGCAAAGCCGTGAGACTCCTCGTTTCCTTTCGCCACACAAAGGCCATTGCGGATTGTGCGAGTACAACAACTATGCCGATAACTGCAACTGTGCCGCCGAGGTATGACGTGCGGGAACCCATGCCGTAGGACCACACGTAGATGCGCGCATTCCGATACATTGGAGCAGTCTTTGCAGTTTGTCCGGCAGGCGCAGTGTACGTGACCTCGTAGTCGATCATGGAGAGCTGCTGGAGAATGGGCATCCATGACATTGCGGCGTAGGCGCCGTTGTAATTGAACGCCGTCAGGTCTCCTGTGTTGCCATTCCACCAGCTGTCGAAAAGGTTGAGCAGTGTCAGCGTGGTGGTACGGTTTGCGGGTAAGTGCCCTTTTTCATCGACGGACCAAGTCGCCAGTGTCCAAGCAGGATCAACCGGGATTGGGGAGGGAGATGTGAAGCCTCTCTGCCCCGGCAGGCCGAGTGCAGGCGTGTTGACCAGACGGAGGGGGTTGGTTGACGGAGCAGGATCAAAGGTGTACAACGTGAATGCCATGTACATAACGAAGTCTGTGGCCCGAGTCATCACTGACCCACCGACGTTCTGCTCCCATAGCACGGTATTTACGAGCTGAGTAGCGTTGGTTGTAGACCACTGGTTGTAAGCATCGGAAAAGAAGTATGTCCAGTTACAGGCGGCCTCGGAGGTTATAAGAGAGGTCTTGTTTGAGAACAGACAATCGCTCGAAAGAGCTGGTCTTGATCCCGTCGTGGCCATCGAGCCGTTCCCAAGCAATGTCGCTCTGTCGGAGGCGATCACGCTCACCTTGATGGGTGCCCGAAGTGCCGGGTTCGATGATCCTGCGACGCCATCGATCGTGAACGTACTGATTTTATTAGTAGCCGAACCCCAGCCGCTACCGTAGCGTATGCACTTGGTGAAGTTGTTTGCACCAGGATTGTCCCCAAATATGAACTGAAAGTCAGAGTTAATGTAGGAAGAGAAGCACTTAATGGTCTTTTCCGACGAGATGCTTATTGTCCAGCTCCGAGTGTTACCATTAGTAATCCACCAATACTTGGGAGCAGCGCCGAAAATGGGGCCTATCCGCTGCACCGAAGCCTGAAGGCTCTTGTTCAGAGGCACGTAGCTATTCACTAGAGCCTGGGTTGCGGTGTAGCCATAGGAAGCGTCAATACCCTTGAGCGTGCTGTAATTGTAGTTGTCGGCTACTTGCATAAGGTTCAGTTGATCGCCACTGAATTGATACAGTACCTGACGATTCGGGGCCCAGATAAGCTCCGAGTAACGGTCGCCTTGTGAGCCATTGGTTGCTAGAGTCATCCCACTCTGTAGGGTAGGCGCACACCTACGGAAGCGTTAGGAACAATCAATCCTCACTCAGCGAGCCTGCTTACCAGTCCATGTAACCGGGCGTCTCATCGACCGATGTCATAGTGGTTGAGATCCAGCCGTCAAGCGTGACACCCCACTTAGCCGCAGCGCAACTATACTTTTTCGCACTGAAATCGGCTGCAGTACAGCCACTGTCCGTGAATGCGAAGCCAGAGGCGGGTGGAGGGTTGCTACTGTGGTTGCTCACCACCCATGCCTGTTCAGATGCTGCTGTCTCCCGCCATCCCAAAGTAGGCAGAACAAGCACTGCTGTTGCCGGACCCATGAGGTTGCAAAGTATACAAAGGAAAATCGCCAGTAACACATACAGCCGCACACGTGCGCGTGGATCTCGAAAGCTACCAGATGACACTCCTGGGAACCAGGCCACTGAGGACCAAAACGACCAGTCTAGTAGCACCGTCACGTCGGAGAACTCGCTCGGTAAGGTAAGGTAACGTAGTGGAAGTCCAGTGGGTTGCTCGGCCAGATGGACGGTCAGGACGTACATGAGTAAGCAAGCAATGAAGTTGAACCAGACTTCTAGGGCCTTAGCTACCAGTTGCAAGAAGCCCAGAAGGTTATGGTCAGCTTTATTGAAGCGAGCCATATTCTCTTGCGGGACGATCTGCTGCGGGTTGTACGTATCGACCCAGCATGGGTCCCAAGGCGGGCACCAAGCACTCGCGCCGATAATGTGTCCTCTAATATTGAGAATCAAAAGTGCCAGTATAGGAGCAAGCCACAAGAGACAAAGCGCCTGTATAAGCAACGTTGAAGTCCAAGATCCACCTTCAGTATTGTCGGATTCAACGCGGTGCTGCTTGATAAGCTTCGATGTACTGCCCGTCGACAGCAGGCTATCCATCTCAACATTGTCTCGATGTGAGGGTATCCGCAAGCTCGCTGGTCTTTCCTCGGCCATGGTCAGGGTATAGCGAGTCTTACAGTGATAACAAATCTACACACGGAAAGAAAGCAGAGTAGTAAAATTGCAGCTTTGAACCGTGCGAAGGACGGACTACTTATCTGGCAGCGAGAGTATAGCGACGTGATGTACATATCGACAGCCTGTGATCCTTCGAGCTACTCGCGGGGCTGAACAGCATTAGTTCAGCCACGATAGCGTAATTAGACATACCGCAAGCCGTTCCATGGTGAAGCCTTTGGCGAACAGCCGCCATCTAGCGGCATCTTAACGTATCCTTACCTGGCCGGGCGCTTCTTTGCCTTGTTGAATTGTACCGTCAATCCGCAGGCAATGGTCAGAAAGGTTTACCACCTTAAAGAGGCTTGGGTGCGGTATGTGTGTTCAATAGCGAAGGGGCTGAGCGTGGAGTTAGCGGGTCCGTACCGAATCAGAGGGCTAGCGCACTCGTTAGTGCGAGGGGACGGGACCGGATCGAGGTTGAGGCTTGATGCTTGGGAGCCTCGTAGAGACGGAGCCTGCGGTAGTGAGTTCGACATCGTCTGGGTGAGAGTCTTCTGCTTCCTATAAAGGAAGAACGTAGACGCTTCCGTGTGACAACGGCCCGTTTCCGGGTAGCCCCGATTGTTCTGAGGAAGTCACGCAACAAGTACGCATGACTCGTCTTCAAATCACCTAATCCACTCGGCGATACACACTCAGATACTACGAGTGAGATATAGCCTGGTACATACCCCGATATGCTGAGAGGGTTATGCCAGCAAACACCTTCCGGTAGCTGAACTATGGTCCGATGCAGGATCGCCCTTCCATCTGGATGATAACCTCCACATACAGTATATGATGAGTATCGCCGACCTAGTCATACGGGAGCGATGAGATCTTAAACATGGCATGCGCAATATGCCTGCGCAACTTCAACTCTAAGCATGAACCCGTCTGTGCAGGTTGCGCGCAGGCTACCCTCTATGGATCACGGATACAGCAGGCTTCGACCTTACTGGACCGAGAGAGGCATCATACCCAGGCTGAAGCAATCGTGCGGCCGGGCAATGATGGTGTCCTTGCGGCGCTCCCAACAGACGTTGATTTGGACGTTGTCAGTGCACGTGTAAAGAAGCACTCCGTGGAGAGGCAGAGGGAAGAGCAGTTGGCTGTCGAAGGCCGTATCCAGCGCATCACTGAGAAGGCAGGCGAGCTCAGACGCCAGATCGAAGAGTATAAGCAGTATATTACGCATCGGAGGGAGCAACTTGAGCACAGACGGTCCGATGTCTTAGAGGAGCGCCATGAGCTCGAAAGGCAGAGACCGCGGGCTTTCGCGCCCATCGAAGCCGCGGTTGCGAAGTCAAGACAGAAGGTCCACAAGGTCTACCAACGTACGATAGATGCTCGTGTACTCCTTTGCCGTGAGGCGGCTCTGCTGAGTGGCCTCGATCGTCGGAGAGGGAAAGACGGCAAGCACCGATACTGGCTCGGTGACCTGCCAATGCTCGATCTCAGAGATATGCAAGGCAAAGACCTGACGAATGCAACACCGCCAGGCAACGACAATGACTCTCATCTGCAACCTCACGAAGTCATTTCGGCCAATATGGACGACATCTGTCGTTTGCTTGGCATCTGCTGTCACTACCTCTCCGTCCGCCTTCCGGCCCAGATCATTCTGCCCCACGACGACTTTCCCCACGCCGTTATCGTGCCTTGGCAATCCGCCTACAAACTGAAGGATCCCAAGTATCCCAAGTCTTCCGCCACTCCGTCCTCGTCCGCCATGCTGGTTCCTGGGCAGGTCAGACCGAAACGCGACCCACCGCGGCCACGGCCACTCTACCTCGACAGGCCTCTTGCACAGCTGTTCAAACAAGATCATAAAACGTTCTTGTTGTTCCTCGAAGGTGTCGCGCTTCTAGCTTACAACGTAGCTTGGCTCTGCCGATCGCAAGGTGTGGAAAGCATCAATAGCTTCGACGACGCCTGCGCTGTTGGACGCAATCTTTACCGTCTCGTCCTGCACGAGCAACGGCCGCCTAACAGTCGCAAAGTCTCGACGTTATCGAAGGACGAGAGGCCCGGCTCCGCAAGTGCAGAGGTGAGACTAGGCGCCTACTCCCACGCCTCCGCCGATCTCTCCTTGACCGGGCATGAAGGTCTCGCGCTATTTAAGGATTGGCGCATGCCTCTTCCCAACCGGCTCGCGGACATTTTGAGGTCTCACCTCGTTAGTGAGATCAGAGGGGCCGAATGGGATGTGTTGTCCGATAAGGAGTGGGACGACGAGCGCGAAGACGAAGTTCCTGTGCTCGTAGGTGGCGCAAGACGGTCGCTCGACCACGCTGGCGTAGCCATGAGTGTCATGAGTGTTGCTCCGCATGAGGCGCAGGCAGATGGAAAGCAGGGAGTGAAAGGCCAGAGCGGGTGGACGAAAGTCAGAGGACGCAGCGGAGACGGGTAGTTTGGTAGCACTCAATTTTGTGCGGCTGCATCGCTGCTTAGCCTGCCTTGCTACACCAAGGGCATCACTATCTACACCACAACATGCTCTAGCATCTCCACCTCGTGCAATTGTACTCCTTGTCCTCGTGGGGGAAGCCAATTATCGTGCACTCTCTCACTAAAAGTTCCCTTGTTGCCACCCTTCGCCGCTCGGCGGAATGTCAACAGCCCACCAACTGTCTTGTCGGCGTTACCAACAACTAGCTCGGCACCTCCGTCAAGCAGTGCCACACCCGCGATGGAGCCAAAGAAGCGAATATCTTGCCGTCTTTCGAAGCTCGCACCCTCCAGAATCGTGACTACGTCCTCACTCTCCGCCACTACCAAAGCACCTTCATCTGTAAAGTGCAAAGAGCGAGGGCAAGACATGACGCTCGCAGAGGAATGCACCGGCTGCGACCACTTGCGTGCGTCCCAGATCAAGGTCTTCCCGTCCTGAGCGCCCGTAGCGACATGGATGCCATTGGGCGCCCAGGCACAAGCAAAACCGTGCTCCGTGTGCTCAGAGAGTTTGACGAGGCTATGCCCGCGCTCAGCGTCGGTAATATGAGCGTCTCGACTGTCGCCGACTATCACGCGGAGGCGACCGTCTGGCGAGGTCGCGGAGCAGTTGACGGCATGCTGGTAGGCGAACGTTGAGGTGAAGGTTAAGGTACCGAGATCCATTAGACGTATTTTGTGGTCATTGGAGCAAAAAGCGGCGACTGGCAAACCACCATGGCGGTGATCGTAGGTGTGGATGTGCGTAACGAGACCGTTTGATGCATGGGTCACGAAGCCGAGATTGGGAGTGGCTGCAGAGGACGATGCAAGTTCCGCTATGGCGTACTCTCCATCGAAGCCGCCAGCAAGTAAGTAGGAACTCCCACCCGCTGTCGATGCGGACGCAGTTAGGCAAGTTGTGCGAAAGGGCGGCGCACCGGTCGTTGGGAGTGAGAGGTCGACGGCAGTCTGCTGCGTGGTCGGGCATGCGAGGGATGTGTGCATCACCCTGTCTCGGTTCGCGTAGAAGATGCTGGACCTGCCGGGTGCCGCGATAACGTTGCGAAGTTGGTAGTGACAGGATTGAGCACGGTGAATTGGCGCGAAGCTCTTAAAGCGGTACGCTGTCTCATCGAGCACATGGCATGAGCTGGCAGCGGTACAGCCAACGCTAGCAGCTGCATCGACTTGACTCTGTCCTGCCTGCAGTTTAGACGGATGCAGGAGGCATCGAGCAGCTAAAGCGTGGCTTCTGCTTGGGCCGACCATCTGCCACCGTATACCCTGCATGTCAAGAGACTTGGAGCCTAGGTCGTCCCGCGACAGGTGATCCGGTGGACGCCACAGACGCATGGAAGGCTGTACACCCGGCTCGAATGATGGCACGTTTCGTTTCATGAGAGATCGCAGGCGCCAGGTGTCCATGAAGTCTGCAAGGTCATAGCTTCGCCGCGGGTCATCAACCGGTAGCGCATCCTCATCTGGTGTCGCAATAAGAATGTGCTCGTCGGTAGGTCGGCGGGATAAAGAAGGCGCTTGTGACGAACGAGACCCGGCGTCGTTGCGGGCTGTCTCTGTAGTATGATCTGCGATATGTCCCCGAGAGGACAGGGGCGCAATATCCGAGACACTGGGCGAGGTTGAAGGGTTGTGAGGTGGGGCTGGCACCGTGCTCCAATCGTCCAGATGATCCTCGTCCGGTACAAGGAAGCGAGGTACATCAGCAGTGTCGAAGCCGTCCAGGGCGAAGCGTAACCGTCGGCTGTCTTCCTCATCCCAGAGTTCCTCACTTACGGGCCGCGGATGATGCCGCCGAACCACATTCGACTGATTAGGTGGTATAGACCGGGCCTGGGAATCGAAATTCACGTGGAGTGTTGACACTGTACGGCGGCGCGGACTCACAGCAGGGTGAATGCTCCGTGGTGGAGGTCTTCCAATGTAGTCGTTTGGCACTGGAGGTGGCAACGATACGTCCTCCTGATACGCGTCTGCCTCGGCCGTGAGAGTGGGTGCATCTGGAAGCTCAAGGTCCTCGTCCTCAATGGGAAGAGGTACACCGCCAGGCCTGTCGTCTTCGCTGTCCATATCATCCGTCAGCTCCGGTAGCAGCAAATCTGCATCGGCACCTGCACTGCTCTGAGGTGAGGTATAACGAGTCAACAAAGCCGATATGCTACTAGAACAAAACGTCGGCTCATCGAAGCGCGCCATGCAAGCGTGCTGATATTCGTCATTCATCTTGCCAGTACGTCGCCTCCTAGAGGCCTTCCCCGCGCGATGCTGAGGAGGAGGCAATCGAAGCAATGGTGGGTGCGCCTTGCTGGAACTGTTGAAGTAGAAGACATCCGCCATTGCCACCCCTGCGGTGTGAGGTCCAAGAATGCGGTACAATATTGACGCGCAGGTCTGCGCAGTAGATCACCAGGCCTTCCGTGCAGCTGTCAAAGCAGCTGTCTGGAGCCGCTCTGTCGTTCCAGTACCAAGGTTGCGGATGGGGAGTGTCAGGGAGAAGTGAGGAACTGCAAAGACTTGCTCGGCATAGGCCCAAAGCACAAGCGAGCAATCCTTGGTTTCAAAGTCTCTGGGCCCGATCGGATAGCTGCAGGCAGGGTACCGAGGCCTTTAGCGACGCGTGGTATGTACAACTGACGGGTGCGACGAGTCGATCAGAATGTCGACAGGCACTCCATTGGTTGGGAACCTTCTTCTATTCTCTGACCTCGCACGAAGAGCACAAAGCTACGGTGTAGTAAGAGGGGTTCGAAGCACGCAAGGGTGGCAACGTGCGCGGATAGATATGCAAGCTCTGCGGTGCCAACCAGAGTGGAGACTGCTGCTCGCGTGCGGCGGCCGAGTCCCTGTCCGGATAGGACTACTGGTAATGATGGGGACAGCCGGGTATACAACAAATAGGAAGTTCTGGCGCTCGCCGGCGGTACGGTAATCAACTTCCCGCACTTCGACGGGTGGCGTATGGAGCGGCGCGGCGTAAAGAATCCGGCCTGATTGCGCGGAAGGCTTGACCCCTCAACGTTCGGATCGCATACCGCGGCGACAAGGTTTAGACTCCTCGAATGAAGCGGGTGACGCGCTTTGTGCAACAATGCGGGAGGAAACAGCAAGGGTGGCCAGGTACGATGTCCGCGGCCATGATTGCGTTAGGTAAGCGGAAAAAGCGGATATTCGAAGGAGATGGAAGGGCAAACCTCGCTTGTATCTGTGACAGCTTGCCAACGCACGCGAGCACAGAGTGGCACGTCAAGTTGAGTTCAAGGCAAAGCATCGTGAGGACGACTACCACCAACCACATGCGTGTCGCCCGAAATGGTGCAGAGCTGCAGCTGTCAATTGCGCACGGTGTCTCGCAAGCAGGCCACCCACGCGCATGCCCAAGCTGAGCCGAGTCTGATAGGCCTGCCATGCAGAATTGTGGCCATTCAGGAAGGGAAAGGCAAGGCTGATGCATGAAGCTTGCTGCTCTGTGGTTGTCGGCAGCAGGCGGTAACACCAAACGTAACGGTCGGCTGCAGCAGCAGCGCCAATGACAAGGAAGGAAAACCTCGGCAGCCATGTGCTGTGCATGTTCTCAGGCTTCACGCTTCGCAAAATGCAGCCGAAATACGAACACGGAAGGCACGGGTGCAGTCAATAAAGTGGCCAGTTTTGGCTTCGGTAAGGCGGGCCGCTTCTCGTTTTTTAGGAATATGTCTCGGCATCCCAGCTTTATAGAAGCTTGAGATACCAAAGGTGAATGCGGCCGGGCTAACGAAGTACCTTCTCTACCGTTCAGTCTCGCCGCGCTGAATAATGCATGAATAGCCTCCAGCACACTCCCTGTTTCTTTTCGACTTCCTATGCCACGCCAACGCTGATGCAATTGCGGAATCCGAGGCCGTTGCCTTGCAAATGCTGATCTCCCTGAAATGCAGAATGAGCCAACCAAACGCCCCATGTATCCTCACGTTATGCGTCTTGGAAGTCATCGCCCAGTCGTAAATCAAGCCGTTAGATGACCTAGAATATCCCCATAATCCTCTTTTTCCCACCACTCTTACTATTAAGCTCATCCGCTCTGGCCTCCGCCTTGGTCATGGGTATACCCGCAGACGCATCAAGCCCAGCAGCAGCTGCCCGGATGATGGCAAGCCGTTGCTTAGCAGTCTCATTGCCCTTATCCGCCGCGCTCACGTACCACACGTTCGCTTCCAAAGGATCACGACGGCAGCCGATGCCCATTTCGGTGAAGTAGCCCACGGCATATTCGGCTTTGGCGAAGCCTGAAACAATGTCAGCGTTACGAATCAAGCTTATCAAAGCAGTTCAGCGGATTACGATACCTGTGTCCGCAGCCTGCTTCGCCCAAGCATACGCCTCCGCCTCGTCCTTCTCTAGTACCGGCTCCGCGCCGACCATATACCACGCGCACAGCGCCATCATCGCCTCCGCATGCCCCTTGCTCGCAGCGCCGTTGTAAAAATGCACACTCAGCGCCGCATCACGCGGACAACCATATAGTCCATTCTCATAGGCTTGACCCATCAGGAAATTCGACTGTACGTGGCCGAGCTCAGCTGACTGTGTAAGGAGCTGCGCAGCGTAGGCCTCGTCCTTGAACACGTCGTCTCCGAACCCTGTCAGATGCAGCACACCGAGCTCGAAGGGGGCAGAGTTGTACTGCAAGTCCGCACATTCTTGCGCCCGCTTCAGCCACCGGAGCCCTTCACGCCGTTGTTGAGGCGTGTTCGGTAGCCCCATGTCGCCCCTTAGGCCCGCCATACCGAGCCGTGTCGCAGCGCCAGGATGGTTCTTCGACGCGGCATTGCTGTAGAAGTGAACTGCTTTCGGATATGACTTCGTCGTGCCCCAGCCGAACTCGTAGCATAGGGCTGCCCGGTAGCCTGCTTCTGCATGTCCGTGCTTGGAAGCTGCAACAAATAGATGGAAGGCCTTGTCGAAGTCTGGCTTGTCTTTGTTGAAGAGTCCAGAAAAGTAGCCGTCACCGAGATAGTATTGAGCGAAGGGATACGCGCGATCCGCAAGCCTGGAGAGTATGTGTTTCGCTTCACGGATGAGTTCGGTGGGCTCCAGCCCGTCGCCAGGCGTGCAATCCTTGGCGGCATTCACCATGAAGACTGCGAACTCATACTGTACTGAGGCATCGTTCGTCTTCTTAACGTTTGCACGGTACATATCCAATGTCTTCTTGGTGTCTAGCAGGCTGGCAGCGTTCCCCACGGCACTTTGCAGGTTCGCATTGTTCATGAGCCCTCCAGGTGCTATCTGCTGGTTGTACGGCACGTTGTTGAGCAGGTCGATGTAGCTCATTGGCCTGCTGCTCGGTGAGCGGCGAGATGATGACAAGTCTCTTCCATATCCCCGCGGCGAGCCACTGTGATCGGAGGCGGCTGCGCTCAATGGTGACAGCGTACGACCGCGCGGTTCAGAGCCTAACGTGTAGGATGACGCTGGTCTTTGTAGACCAGGGTTTCTCGGGGCAAGCAGTTGCGAGTCTCGCGATCCTGATGAGCCGGATCCAGCTGACTGAACGGTCATCCGTGATACTCTATTTTGCGTCTTCTTTTTCGGTGCATCGTCGAACACGCCGTAATGCAGACCCTCTGATTGGGGCACCTCCTCCTCGGCAGGGTGCAGTTCGGGTCCAAACTCGTCTATTCGCGGATGCAATGGACTGTCGGCTGACACTGCTCTGTTATAAGCGACGTCTGTGTCATAGTCTACAACTCGTACAAAGGCACTTGAGGATCGTTGCTTGACGGGCAATGAAGCGCCAAAGTCTCTGATGCGGGCAGAGTCCGGAGTTGGTAGATTCCGGGAAGACCGTCGCGACTCGTCGTCCCCTCCCCGAATCGAAGCTGACTCCGGCTCTCTAACATGTCTGGGCGGACTGATGTTGATCGGACTAGCCGGTGCTTGCTGTAGTCTGGCCTCGGGGTACTCAAACGTTGGCACCTTCTTGCTTTGTACCCTCTGGTCTTGCGGTGGGGACTGTGGTGGGCTGCTTCGTGACACCCGCCGTATGCTTTTCCGTTGCGAAAGACCGGCATCCCTTCGCGGAGACACCGGTGTATATAGCTGCCTCCCGCCCTCCGCCTGCGCCATACCGGAGTTAAACGAGAGCGATGTCCCTCACTCAATGAAGGTGAGGTGCTTCCGATCGAATCAGCGTCGTAGTAATACGTCCAATGTCAATGACTGTAGCGACTGTAATGGAATAGGCAGGAACGATGGTAGAAGCACGCCTGTGTGGTTGCTAGAATGTCCAGGCCGTAGCGGAACTGCTCTACCTCGCAGTCAGCTTCCGGTCAGGCCGACACTCGCGCTTTTCACGGCGTGTTCACGTATCTAGGCGCAGTAGCCAGGAGTAGAGTGTTGTAATTAGGCAAACCTTACAGGAAAGGAAGGTTCGGCGGCCACGCAAGCACCGAAAAGAATGTATTAATACCGAGGGTATCCGGCTAGAATATGCAAATGTTTTGGCTAATGAGAAGTGATGTAAGTAATGAAATGCACCCCCTGCGAACATAGGGAAGGAGAACAGCACGTTGCCTCAAGTTTTCTGTTATAGCGGTCGTTCATGCGGCCTTCACATCGATCGTCCGCAGGGACGATCAGACACATGCTTGTGCCTGGCGTCCCCGCGCCACTGGGGATGTCTCAGATGTCAACTTGGCGCTGCCTGGCCAACAGCTTCCTTTCCTCTCGTTCTCCCTTCCGCAAGCTTCAGCGGCAAACAAAACAAGGATCACTCTCCCATCCGTTCCCATGCATGCCGAGCACGAGCTGCTGCGACTCTCGTACCGGGATGGTTCTGCAAGCATTCCCGATTAGGGAGTTGAGTTTCTTCGTGGCGAATGACGTGCGCAATCCGAGCCACGGCTCCCTGCGGAACATGCATAAAGGGAGTACCCGCACCGTTTTAGCGATGGAATGCCGTCAAACTGGGACGCGAGGCGTTCTTGATAATCGTAATGCTGTCCTTCGAGCACATGGGCGACAGATGCCAGTTCATCCTCTCATGCAGGCTGTAGCCTTGATGAGCATGTAGAGTAGACGGGGTGATGGCGAACGTCTGTCAACCTCAACAAGACCCCGAATGGAATAAATAGATTTTCGCCGCTTCCGTAGTAGCTGCATACGCATCGCTGCCGCAAACGCGGAGACGAAAGTTCCAGGGATGTTGCGTCGTCTTGGCTCGATCTGGGACGGTGCTTTTGCCTTCGTCTCACCATTGCCCAAGCAACCACCCGTCTCGCCCCTGCAAGAGTCTGACTGCCACTCGTTCAATATTGTATGACTTTCATTGCGACGCTCGCTACAATACAGTACACTGAGGAGAAAGGCGACGTATTGGAAGATCCAGGCTGGCATTGTACAGGCGAGACGCCACGCGTATATTGAAATATATGATTGGCTGAAATCTGTTGCTGGAGCAAACCACATCGACTATCCGCTACGACAGTCCACCCGAGTCACATACCGCTCCACTCTCGCTTCGCTCGTGGAATGCAGTTTTAACTGTACCTTTTCAGACCTCACCCAACATGTCTTCCGCCCGACCAGGACCAGAGTCGACACCACCCCGAACTCGCGAACGAAGGCACTCACATCGCCGACGACCTTCAGGCAGCGGTGTCGACGAACCAAGAACACCGCACGATGAGCAGCATCGTCATCAACATCGCCACCGACGCAGTAGCCATTCTCGACAGCTAAGCGGGGAGTACCGCGAGATGCATGGTCATGGGAGACGGCGAAGCTCTGTCGGGCACTACAATGCAGCACATGGCACTCTAGAGAAACCACGTATTGTTGAACCTGGCGTTTCTATCCGCCCGGTACCTTCGCCAGGCATGCCGTCACCTGGGAATATGGTCCGCGACAGCGACCCGATGCTTGAGTTTGGAAGCCCGACGCATAGATTGCCTGGTGGAGAGATACCGCGCAAGAAGAGTCTCATCCGTCCAGAGCGTAGACGTGTCGATCCGGAAGCACCAGACTACTATTACCGCCAGAAAGCTCAGAACATGAACGTCATGCCATCTGCGACTGGCAGAGATCCACAGTTAGAGGCAGACGAGGCGACGTTGAACTCGGAATCTACGGGACTAAAGAAAGATGTCTCTCCGCCGCAGAGGGAGAAGCGCACGAGAGGTGATACTGAAGCGACGAGAACTACAAATAAAAGACGGCCAAACAAGCTCACGAGGAACCCTACGATGGAAGATCGGGAGCATGAGGCAAAGGAGAGACAGCGGCAGAAGATCAAGGAAGCATCCGGCACGCCTAGTCTCTGGGGTGCCTACTGCTACCTTGTGACCTTCTGGTGCCCCAATATATTCCTGAGCTGGGCTGGCAAGAAGCAGAAGCAGCAACAACGAGCATGGCGTGAGAAGATGGGCTTGATCAGCATCATCCTCCTCATCATGCTGTTCGTCGGCTTCTTAACATTCGGCTTTACAGAAACGGTATGTCCAGCTGGTGGACCAACGCGGTTACACGTCAACCAAGTCGGGGACGGTTACATGATCTTCCATGGACAAGCGTACGACCTTACACAATCGAAGCATCCGCTGGCGAGAGGCATCTCTGAGAACGGTAACGTCCTCTGGGATATGGATGAGCCGCATGGTGGGCAGGATGGCAGTTTCTTGTTCCAGAATGTCAACGGCGCCTGCAAAGGATTGATCACGCTCGCCGAAGGCTCGGATGTACCTACAGACGGCGACGGCAATTTGGCCTGGTATTTCCCATGCAACACATTCAACCAGGATGGCTCGACCAAGCCAAACTTGACGAGCCCGTACTATTTCGGCTACGCCTGTCACACGTCAACCCCGGCTCGAAATGACTTCTACAGCAAGAGGTTCCAATCCTACTCCGACGTCTACTTCACCTGGAACGACGTAAAGAATGCCAGCCGAAGTCTTATAGTCTATTCTGGCGATGTACTGGACCTGGACCTTTTGGAATGGTTCAACAAGACTCAAGTGGCGTACCCGAGCGCCTTCGACGATATCCGCACTAACTCTGCCGTGAGAGGGATGGATGTTACATTAGCGTTCGCCAATGCCCAGAACAAGCAGATTGCTCAGTGTTTCCAGGAGATCATCAAAGTCGGCTCCATCGACACCCTGAGCGTTGGCTGCATTGCCTCCAAGGTCGTGCTTTACGTGTCGCTCATCTTCATTCTATCCATCGTCGTCATCAAGTTCCTGCTCGCTATTGTGTTCCAGTGGTTCTTGTCTCGGAAGTTTGCCGCGGCCACGACTAGCATGACCGGTAGCAAGAAGGCTCGGCAGGAAATGATCGAAGACTGGACGGACGACATCTACCGACCGCCGCCAAAGATGACCGATCCGGCTTCGAACAGCGGAAGCGACAGGCCGAGCAAGCGAAGCAGCTTCCTTCCGCAGACCTCGCGGTTTACCAGCCCGTATGCGATTGAGCGGAGCATGGCGAAGAACCGACCGCCGCCGACAACCATGGCGAGTCAGCAGTCTACTGCGAGGTTGTTGCCAGGCTCCGGCTTGATGCATTCCGATCGATCTGACACTACGCTGCCGGCGTACAGCGACAGCAGTCCTGTGCGGTCCAGGTCTCAACAAGTAAGCTCTACGCAACGCTACAACAGTGTCATCGATACGGATATGAGCGGACCGCAAGGCTTCATTCATGAGTCTGTGATACCACAACCGCCGGCCGAATGGCAGCCATTCGGCTATCCCCTCGCTCACGCCATCTGCTTGGTTACCGCTTATTCCGAAGGTGCAGAAGGCATCCGCACAACGCTCGACTCTATCGCTATGACGGATTATCCCAACAGCCACAAGACCATCCTCGTGGTTTGCGACGGTCTCATCAAGGGCAAAGGCGAGAGCATGTCCACCCCGGATATTTGCCTGAGCATGATGCGAGACCACGCGGTCGTGCCCGAGGATGTCCAGCCCTTCTCTTATGTCGCGGTTGCGTCGGGTAGTAAGCGCCACAATATGGCCAAGGTGTATTCGGGCTTCTACGACTATGGCCGCGACAGTATCATCCCCCGCGCGAAGCAACAGCGCGTTCCCATGCTGCTGGTCGTCAAGTGTGGCACGCCTGCCGAAGCCGGTACAGCCAAGCCAGGCAACCGCGGCAAGCGCGACTCTCAGATCATCCTCATGTCCTTCCTGCAAAAGGTCATGTTCGATGAGCGTATGACGGAGCTCGAGTATGAGATGTTCAACGGTATCTGGAAGATCACAGGCATCAGTCCGGACTTCTACGAGATCGTGCTCATGGTTGATGCTGATACCAAAGTCTTCCCGGACTCGTTGACACACATGATCAGTGCCATGGTCAAGGACCCGGAGATCATGGGTCTGTGCGGTGAAACGAAGATTGCGAACAAGACTGCCTCCTGGGTGAGTATGATCCAGGTATTCGAGTACTTCATCTCGCATCACCAAAGCAAGAGTTTCGAGTCTGTCTTCGGTGGTGTGACGTGCTTACCAGGATGCTTCTGCATGTATCGCATCAAGACGCCAAAGGGAGGACAGAACTACTGGGTGCCTATCCTCGCCAATCCGGATATCGTGGAGCACTACTCTGAGAACGTGGTTGATACGTTGCACAAGAAGAACCTGTTGTTGCTGGGCGAGGATCGATATCTGAGTACGCTGATGCTTAAGACGTTCCCGAAGCGCAAGCAGGTGTTTGTGCCTCAAGCAGTATGCAAGACGACGGTGCCGGAGAGCTTCAAGGTTTTGCTCTCGCAGCGCAGACGGTGGATCAACTCGACAGTGCACAACCTGATGGAGCTTGTGTTGGTGCGTGATCTGTGCGGGACGTTCTGCTTCTCTATGCAGTTCGTGGTATTCATTGAGTTGGTGGGAACGTTGGTGCTGCCGGCGGCCATTGCGTTTACGATCTACCTAAGTAAGTTGGCCTCGCATTGTACAAGCTACACGCACGGATCAAGTACTGACATGATGTTTTACAGTCATCAAAGCCATCATCGCCGGCGTAACGCACACAGTCCCACCAACCATTCCACTCATCCTCCTGGCCCTCATCCTGGGTCTGCCTGGTGTCCTCATCGTCATCACCGCCCACCGCTTATCCTACGTCCTCTGGATGGCCATCTACCTCCTGTCCCTGCCCATCTGGAACTTCGTCCTCCCGACGTATGCCTACTGGCACTTCGACGACTTCAGCTGGGGTGACACACGACAGACCGCCGGCGAGAAGAAGGGTGCCGGCAAAAGCGGCCACGAAGGGGATGGGGAGTTCGACAGCAGCAAGATTACCATGAAGCGATGGGGTGACTTTGAGCAAGACAGGAGGCTGAGGGGTTCGGCGACTGGGTATGGGAGTGTTGGGACGCCGACTACGGTGCCGAGTCAGTATGGGCACCATGAGAGGAAGGCGAGTAATTTGGGGTATTCGGTTATGGAGTACGATGATTATCCATGAGCGTAGTACTTTTGAATGGGGCGTTGTCCATTGGGCTGGTGGTGTGGGCTGAAACGCAATGCGACGAGATCACGTGCTTGCGTTCGGCGATGGAGTTGGGGGACGCAAAATCACTGGTGCATTTGATGGGTATCAACTCGTAGCACGTAGATTATGGTAATGCTTTAATGATGTACCAAGTACCCCATATCCTCTAGAGGCTGTTATATGCTTAAGACTGTCGACAGGCTCACCGTCTATGGAGGCGTGCTCGCTTGGCGCGCTATGGGCTTGGTAGAGAGCAAGCACGGCACGAAGCTGCGATGGCGCAGATGTGGTAACATGCGAGGGCATAACGGTGCCAAGGCAGAGTCCGAATGCTGAAAAGTGTCCGCTTAGCGATACAGCACCCACCGGTACACCACCCGCTAAAAGTACACGCTGATTCCCAGGCGCTGGCGGATCATGAGATGAAGTCACCCGCCTTCTCTCTCAGCTGACTCGCGCTTCTCCCAGCATCCCAGAACAGACTTGTCGCCTCCTGGACGTCGCCACCACTAATCACATTCCCCTCGCTGCCTCTCGCCCGCGCTAGTATGCCGGCGGGCGCAAGCAACTGCAAGGCATACCGCAACGACACCGTCTCACCCTGCCGCGTCAGCTCATCCAAAGCCTCCGGGCTCAGCGTCGCCGAGACCTTCAGCGCTTGCGGGTTGTCCGCCAGACTCGGCGCTGTAGCCGTGGCGAACTCTAACCGTGCCCGCGTTTGAATAATGGTCCGGATCTCTGGGGCGGTATACGGATGTGTTGGGATGATGAGGAGACGTGGTAATAAGTCCGGTGGAATGCCGTGTGCGGAGATGAGGCCAGGGTCGGAAGGCGCTAGGGGTGAGGTTGTGCCGCGGATGGTGGTGAGCCCGCGGTTAGAGGCGAGGATGACGATGGGTGAGATGCTGCTTTCGAGCGCGCGGTTGAGGTAGGTGAAGCATTCTATGTCGAGCATGTGAACCTGCCAAGACCGTGTCAGTGTAGCTTAACGGAAGATAGAACGGTCGATCATACTTCGTCGATAAACAGCACGCCCGGCACAAGTTCGGCTACTCCTTGGTCGATGTACTTGTTGACGACCTTGTTGATCTCGCCTCGCAGTTTCTCGGTAATTTCGGTCTTCCGCGGCTTCATCAGCTGACCCATCATGCTCATCACGTCTTGGCCACCCTGCGGTCGCGCGTTCGCAACGTCCAAATCGTGCAGCGTCACATCTTGCACAATGTCCTTCTTCTTGTGCACCTCACCCTTGGGGACGGGCACATACTCCTCCGCCTCCAGGTCGAACTCCGTGCTGAATGCGTCCGACCTGCCCACCCTCTTCACTGCGCCGGTGTTGGCTTCGATGTATATTACATCGCCTACCCTCACCCGCTCCTTTTGTATTGCTTCGTATATGCTCGGATCTAACCGCAGCTTCTTCGTGCCCTTCGAACTTCGCAGCGTGATAACGAGGTGTGAGATCGTCCTGCCGTACGCGCCCAGCGGGTTTTCGCTCTCCTCTGGCGTAAGCTCTGCCACCTCGCCCTCGTACACTTCTTTCCGCTCCTGCACTCGCAATCCGATCGCTCGCCGAAAGTTCTCCATCAGCGCCTCTGTCTTCTTCACCTCCGCACTGTACACCTCACTCCCGGTCATCAAGCAGAACGGCACCTTCGTCCCCAGCTCTTGACTGACCGCCAACGCCAACGCTGTCTTGCCCGTGCCCGGCCCACCTGCTAAGAGCACCGCCTTGCCTGCCATCTTCTTCGCTCGTATGAGATCCACCACGACGCCGCACGCTTCTCGTGCCGCTGTTTGCCCGACGAAGCCATGGCTGGCGGTGTCTGCGTAGCCGTCAGGTCGGAGACCGAGGCCTTTGATGTGGGAGTGCGCTGCTGTTCGGTTCTCGCGCGTGTTTGTTTGTCGCACTTCTGATATCTGTACGGGTTTGCTGTCGCTGGGGTGAGAGGGTGGTTGGATGGTGCCGTTTGCGGCCATTGGAGGAGGGTTATGGCTGGCCAGCCGGGTTGAGGATAGAAGCGGAGATATACAGCAGATGCTGGATCGAATGTAAGATCAAGCAGGGTGGTATGCGCTCACCGGTTGTAATAACAGAGATGATGGGGCGGGCAGTCTCAGTTTTTCTTAAGGGTTTCACTACGGTGTATGCGTTCGAGTCGCGCGAAGCTTTACGCGCAGAAACCAACGGAGCCTCCCTCTCTCGGCCCGACACCGACACCCGCATTAGCTGACAATGGCCGCTTTTGTTTCGAGCTGCGTCACTTTGCTTACACACCTGCTATACCGCGTGGTATTACTATCACAGGTGATATTGGCCTCTGACATTTCAACTATACCCATTGAAACCCAGGACCATCTGTCTTCTCCCCAGATTCATGATGGCCTCCATACGAGCCGGAGCAGCGCCTATAGCAACCATTTTCCGCTTCGCCTCTCAACCCGCGGCAACCCGAAGATGCGCACACTGCCTGAAAGTACAACGATGCCCCTTCTCCTCCTACCAACCAGCCCGCCAGTCCTCGAAGAGACCTCTCATGACCGACTCTGCCTACCGACCGCAAACGTTAGAGCCGGAAATGCCGCCGCCACGAAACGCTGGGACGCCAGATACGAGCATATCGAGCAGCGAAGAGCAGTCGTGGCCACCTACAGCGCCTTGGCAGAGAAAAGATGGCGGTTCTGCTGTGGGGGAGGCTGAAGGTGAAGCGCAGAGAAGTAAACCTACGGCAGCAGCACAGCCGTTAACCACGCAGACAATTGCACCGCCCGAACCAGCTCCAGCGAAACCCAGGAAGAGCAAGCTACGACCACGGAAAGCTGCCATGAACCTCACACCCAAGGCCGTGGAGCAGCTCAAGGAGCTCTTCGAACAACCCGAGTCCAAGCTCATCCGAGTCGGCGTGAAGAACCGCGGCTGCTCCGGTCTGGCATACCACTTGGAGTATGTTGACAAACCTGGATCTTTCGATGAGTCCGTGGAGCAAGACGGTGTAAAGGTGCTCATCGACAGTAAGGCATTGTTCAGCATTATCGGAAGCGAGATGGATTGGCAGGAGGACAAGTTGAGTGCACGGTTTGTGTTTCGCAACCCTAATATCACGGAACAGTGTGGGTGTGGAGAGTCGTTCAGCATTTCGTAAGGCATTTGTGGCGGGTAGCGTAAAGCGGACTATACAGCATGCATAGCATTTGCAGGTGTTTAAGCCATCTGTGATGTATACACAATCAATTTGTCGAGGTTACTCAGAACTTCCCGGGCTCAAAGTCGACGACTCTAACGTTCTGCACGAGGCCGTCAAGACTCTTCACGAACGCTAGGTGTGCCGGATCCTTCTCGAGGTAGTACTTCCGGTCTTCTTCGTTCTGAAACTCGCTTACGAAGCCATGGCTGAAGCCGCCCTAAGTTCACGGTCAGCATTGCTGCGATTCAATCAGTTGTGCAGGTGCCGCAACTACTTGAAGTCCTTCGGGACTGTTGTCTCGCCCACCACCATGGCCTGTAACGTATCGTTGATTAGTCGTCGGGTGTATGCACTTCTCCGAAAGTGCTAGCATTCGTTTGCAGGCCTGCCACGCCATCAGTCACGAGAAAGTCATTGCTTGTAATGAAAATAGAACACCGACATCCTCGACTTGCGCATGTGACACCGTAGGCTTGAATTCGAACAGGACGATGTGAATGATCGGCATCCTCAATATAGCTTTCGTACTTTCTGTGGTATCCGTTTCGTCCCGGTCAAACAGCCAGCCTCCAGAAAGCCTGTAGTCACCGACTAACCGAGAATGTCGTCTGAAATGGTTCAATGGTTCTTGTTGTCGAGATCGTTGACCGATGACGTTGGCTTGGCGGAGAAGGAGAGGGTTGCAGCGGCGCGTTGTCAGCGCCACCTGTGATGAGCAAGCACCGAAGCAACCAGCAGTGAGTGCACGAAAGGGTGGGCGACGTGATGAGAGCAACATCGATGCCATTGCGGCATCTGAGCGGACTTCGTTAAGGGTGGACCGATCATGTAACCGGCCTACAGTAAAGCTCTGAAGCTCTCACGCCTACGTACAGCTCCGGCAGAGCACAGGAATGGCAGCCTCTCCGACAAGTCCAGTAGACGTGGTAGTGCGCTTCTCAACCTCCAATCCAGATGTGGTCATTACATTCGCCAACCCGGAAAACGCGACTGGATTGTCACTGAAACAGCAAATACGGCAGCAGTTAGATGAGCCAACGGCAGCGAGTCGTCTCCGCCTGATTCATGCTGGCAAAGTACTGTCGGACACCGCGCCACTATCAACGAGTCTACACATCACAGCTCCACCTCCATCCCGCAACGATGAGAGTCGGAGCGAGAAAGCGAAGGGCAAGCAGCCCGTACGTGACATCAAAGCTCCGCCAGCCGCTCGAGTCTACATCCACTGCTCCGTCGGCGATACTTTGACGCCTGCGGAACTGGCCAAAGAAATACAAGACGCCACGGAAGCAGAGAATGCCTTGCAGTCGAAGTTAGCACCCTCTGCATCCGACCCCGACGCTGTTGACATTCCAACCACGACTTCAACAACACCCGCACCCCGCGGCTTCGACCGTCTCCTCTCCGCCGGGTTTACCCAAGCCGAAGTAGCATCCCTCCGGACCCAGTTCCTAGCTATCCAGGCGCATACTCACACGCCGGACACGATGCCCTCGGGGCCGGAGCTACTCGCTCTCGAGGAGAGATGGCTGGATTCCGGCTCCAATGCGGCTACCGCCGGATCGGAGGACGCGGGCGGTTTCGGCAGCGAAGACGCTGGCGGACTTGAGGATATGCTCTATGGCAATCTCATTGGCTTTTTTTGGCCGGTTGGTGCTATGTGTTGGCTGATGAGGGAGGAAGGGGTGTGGAGCCGGAGGCGGCAGATTGCTGTGCTATCTGGCTTTCTTGTAAATATTACGTTTGGGTTTTTGAGAATCATGAACTGAAGCTGCAAATTCATGAGTTCCATCCACTTCGCAGAATATACAGCTTATGGAGAGCTATCAGTTTCGGCACCTGAATGGCCCTTGTGAACTCATGTACCATGGCACATGTTAAAACTTCTTGGCCGTACATCTCAGAGTCTCCGACGTCGGTTTGTCCATCCCTAGACGACGGATATACTCTACGTGTTCGCAGCTATTTTTCTGCTACTTTCGGGAAAACGAGTGGACCGACAAGTGCATGCAATGAGTCGGCTTGTCAATGCTGACTTGTTTCTCTATCCCGCAGCTTTCGAAACCACCATTCTGCCGTCCCGAACTCTCACCATTATCATCATGGCACTGCCCATTAGTACCACCGTCCTCGCGGCTAACCCAAATCTAGAGGCTCTGTACAGCGACCTATGCAAAAACAAGCTCGAAGAGGACGGATCGTCCAAGCCGGACGCAAAAGCCCAGCGAGACCGCGAAGCATTCGAAAAGGTATAAGCAGACGCTATCCACGCCCACAACAAACCAGAAATTTAACGCTCTGGACTTTGGCTAATCATTCAATAGCAACTTCATGATGCTCGAGTCGTGGCGTCCAAATCCGAGCTTGTGAAGGCTGGCTTGGAAGACATTCTACTACACGATAACGAGCTACCTGAGGAGGCAATCAGGACCGATGACTGACACATTGCACCCTCACTGACGCTGGTATAGTTACACGTACTCGTATCTGTCATGATCACAATACTGGAAGACAAGGTCGAAGAGCGCGACAAAGAGCTTCTTCATGCCGAGCTTGAGCGGCTAGATGTACTGCAGCACTACTCTACCTCTGTTCAAGAGCTAACACGAGCCAAGCAACACGCCGCCCCCGTTGGGAGACTCTTGTCTAACAGACTTCTCCAGGACGCCGCTGCACTCACGAAGATGATTGATCCAGGAGGCTCACTGCCGGTTACCGAACTTCCCAAGGCCATACAGCGCCTACAGGTCCGCACGCAGGCAGCTCGATCGCAGCTGGCAAGAACTCGCTTCGCTCTTGCCAATCAGATTCAACTGCTCCATGAGATCTACCGCCAGATCGTGTCTACCAGCATTCAGACCCTCGAGCAAACAATCCATGGCTCGGTGGCACGCAGCTCGAAAGCGAAAGCGGACTATCTCGCCACTGTTGCGGAGGGCATGAGTAAGAAGCTTAGAGTGCAGCATGCGCAGCTTCTGCAGCAGGTCTACTCTCCCAAGGTGCAGGAGGCGCTGAAGGTCAGAAAGGCAGTCATGGTTGCCGAGATGGCCACGGTGAGACGCCAGCTGCGCGAGGCGGAGGAGAAGATTGCCAAGTACCGCCAGGCGAAAGGCCTGGAGGGCATCGCCAGCGAGTACGCGGAGGTGCTCAAGGAGACCAGGCGGGTCAAGGAGGAGATCGAACGACTAGAGAAGCGTGACGTACATCCTGGCTGAATTAGAAGTCTGTCACCCTTCCATTGTAACTCCAGTCTCCCGTAGCACCCCATCTCTGCGGTTCGTTCTTTGGCCCGCCAACCTCACCCGTCTTCGGATTGATGTCGCCTTCGAACTCCGGCAGCGCACCTCTCCTGACATCCGGATGAAGCTCTTCACCCTCCCCAGTAGCATTGACTCTCGCCCTGCGCCGCAGCTCCTCGAGCATGTTGCTCGCTTCTGATGATCGAGGCTGTGTCTGTGAGCCTAGTAATGCATCTTCTGCCTCCGCCTTCGCATCGCCCTGTGGCGGATCTTGGGATCTTGGCGTGCTGAACGCGCCAGTGGACTGTGACTGTAGCCTCTCAAAGATCGCTTGTTCCTCTTTCGGTAGCCTTGGTGGCGATGGCCCAGCAGTCCATGATGATCGGACTGCGGTGGTAGTGGTGAAGGGGCGCCTGAAGAAGCCAGCGCGAATGATGCGCGGTGTGGTGTAGCTTTGCATTTTCGTGGTCGTGCTGAGTGGCAATATAGAAGCGTGTGAGAGTGGAAGAGAAGTTGGAATGAAGAGGTAAGCGAGATGTCACAGGCTTCATACATGGACATCCAGGCAGAACGGCTTATGCTGAGCCGAGGCGAGGTCGGCGCCGACAAACTTCCGTCTTCGGAGGAGATTCGATTTAACAGTCACATGAAGATACTTGGCAGATGTCGAAGGACATAGTGGAAGAAGCATGCGCTTCAAGGACTATGAGATGCGAGAGGCATAAAGCGATCATTGCAGGTTACGGAGCCATGCTATCTTGAACAGATCCATCACCGGACGCTGGCTGAGCGAATCCAACTTCCGCCCTAACGCCGTTCTAGCATGCTTGCATCGACTCGTAAACGCGTCAACTCTATTCCGCAAATTGCTGCCAGTCAGGAGGCCGGCAGTTGATATGATGGCAGCTGATGCATCATGTCAGACGGACCGAAGAGGGCATCTGCTCTGTCAATGCCGTCAAAAATTCTGGCGACGCCACCGACCACACTTCGCTTCAGCCATCGTCGCTTCCTCTTCCGTCTTTGCAAAACACGCTCCCACGTCGTATGCTCCGTCGGGTCCGCAAACTCATTCTACTGACTCGCGCACTGTACCCGCTCACCGCCGGGGTGCATCTCATCATCATCGTCTTCGCCTAGAGCGCCTCTTGCTCTGTTGCCTTCTTGCATTGGGTCGACCTTCTCTAGGCTGTAGTCTTCGGTCATGGCGTCCGGAGGTGGGATGTTCTGCGGCGAACGAGGTGGCAGAACTGACTCAAGGGCTTTAACTTGCTGTTGCGTCATGCTCGTTGGGAAGCCCTCGGCGTCGGGTGGTCCGGAGATGCGGTCTGGGAACTGGACCTCGAATTGAATGTAGAGGTTACCGAAGTCGTGATGACGGAAGGAGGGCATGCCTTGGCCGCGGATGACTTTCACTTCACCTATAATGAAGTCAGCACTGATGTTTCAAAGCGACGGATGTGGGTGCTTACCTGGTGCGATCACCTCGCCTGGCATAATCTCGACAGTCAACCACCGGTCGTCGAGATGCTCCACGTAAATTGCGCCGCCCGCAAGTGCCGTCAGAAGATCGATTTTAGCCTGGTAGAAGAGGTCATCACCCTTACGCTGGAAGCGCGGGTGCGGCTTCTGCTCGATCTCGAATTGCACATCACCTGGCTCCACACCTGGCATCTGGTCGCCTTCTCCTCTAAAGTCGAGCTTAGTCCCGCTCTGCACACCCTTGTCGACATGCACATGCAGCACCTTCCGCTCGATGGTAGTTTTCTTGCCGTTGCACTGCTTGCACTTGTCCTTTTCTCTTATAGTCTCACCCTCGCCGTTGCAGTCTGGACATACGGTCTGGAAGCGCTGGATCATAGGTCCCATCTGCCGCATCATCGTCTTCATACCAGCGCCATTGCAGCCTGCGCACGTTTTGACCGCACCTTCCTTGCCACCACGGCCCTCGCACTTCGGGCAAATGACGCTCTTCTGCAATGCAAGCTTGCTCACCTTGCCGCGGTAGATGTCTTCGAGGCTAACCTTGTGCACGTGGTGGATCGTTCTTGCCTTCTTTGGTCCGGTATCGCGCATGCCGCCACCGAACATGCCGCCGAAGCCACCCCCGCCGCCGCCGCCCCCAAAGAACTGTGAGAAGAGATCCTCGGCCGACATGCCGCCACCCGGACCACCAGCGCCCCCCTGCTCGAGACCTTCTTTGCCATACTGGTCGTATATCTGGCGCTTTTGAGGGTCATTCAGCACTTCGTAAGCGGCGCCGATCTCTTTGAATTTGTCTTCGGCTTCTTTGCTGTGGCCGTTCTTGTCTGGGTGCCACTTCATGGCGAGCTTGCGGTATGCGCGCTTCATGGCGTCATCGTCGGCGTCGGGTGAGACGCCAAGGGCGTCGTAGAGACTCGTGTCGCGGACCATGCTGGTCGTAGTCTTCGGAGTAATTGCGGGTCAACGCTGATCTTTCAATCACTGCCAAGCGAGTGCGGATGTATATATGGGGAGATCTTATACAGAACGTCAGCAGGCTCTTCCCGGTGAGTGAGTGAGGCCAGGCTGGTGGGAAGTTGAAGATCTGAGGCCGATGTAACTTCCACCTGCCGCTCTGCAGGATGCGCTTACTCGTATTTGTTCCGCCAAGCAGGGATATGGTCGCTGGGGAAAGCAGTTAGCTATACAAGATGAAGTGAAGCCTCGTTAAATTCGAGATCGGACAACAACAGCAGCAGCAGGCGTTGTGTTGAGTTAAGTTTGTGATTTGCAAACTGCGCCGTTGGTCAGCCTTGTTCGGAGGCAAGTGTGCCAAGCCCCGCGATCTGCTCGAAGATTCTGGTCCATCATCCCGCTCTACGTCGCCCTGCAGCCGCACCCGCACCTTCGACTTCACTTCACATTCTTGTGTGCACTAAGCCTGAAGCCGTCACTCAATTGCGCAATCGTCCTCCGTATATTAGCTGCCGAACGAATGGTACACATCAGCATCGTCGCGTCCGCACTGACATAGATCAAGTTTTATGTTCCAATGTCTTACAGCGCTGGCGATTCCAGAGCCATTCCGGCAAAAGCCACGACCAGCCTTATATTGACCTTCTCCTCCGATTGCTTTCCGTGAGCCTATCTGGCAACAAAAGGATCGTACCTTTCCTCAGCAAGTTCGCGTGGAGGACAATGGAGCGTGGTATGTTGCTCCCTCGGCATGTTGGCATTGAACACTCCAATTCCTCCAGGAAGTATATCCGCGACACAGGGTCCAGGGTGATGTCTGACGGTGCCCGCGAGTTGATGTTGCAGATGAAAGAACATGCTGAACATGTGCAGACGGTCTACAATGGACGTGCAACATTAGTCTGCCGACACATCCGGCTGAAGTTTACGTGCCTGGTCTGACCCTACATGGCATGCATACCGTGACTCGCACGTAGCAACTTCAACTTCCCTCTCCTGCTATGCGCACTCCTCTCTACTTGCTCAGTATTTGAGGGTATATACCTCATTTCCGTCGAGCCCTAGGCAACAATCCACACTAAACAGCTCACTCCGCGCTCATCGCGAGCTTATATGATAGAAGGCACTCCGAGCGGCCTGGTAGGGCCATGACGATGCGACTACTGCAACCCTGTGGTATCCTGGCACCGCACTCTGCTGTGGCAACTTCGTCGGCTTGGACAACGACAGCCATAAACCACGTAGTATCATGGATAAATGGTCGAGAGGATGCTCTTACGATTTTGTCGGAAGCCCATCAGCCCATCTGCATATCTATTCCAGTGAGATCAACGCAGCTTGAATCGACCCGAAGTCGAACTCGGCATTGTCACAAACTCGTGGACCTGTTCGATTGCTCTGTAGGGCAGGTTCATGCATCTGGTCCAACACACGGGAGTGGACTTCCAGTACTGTAGAGGAAATAAGCAAAGTTGCGCAGGCGTTCGTAACGGTCTCCGGCACCACGATTACAACAATGCGCCCATAATTTGGCGCCAATGAATCATGTACTCATCGTATCGCAGCAGTTTTTGGCGTGTTAAACACGTATAGCTGTGAGAGAATTTCTATGTAGAGAACATACACCGTCTTCCATTCAACCTCCCGTCTGCAGCACGCGATCACTCTCAAACCTTAATTTTAGCGCGACGCTAACGCTGTGAGCACGGCCCTCACACGCAGTCATTTTGCAAAACAGTCTCGCAGGATCTACCAATTCCAATCCCTACACTCGCTTCGTAACCTTGACATACTATCGCTCTCCCTCCATGCAGACTGGTGCTGCTCTGTCATGGTGTCTCTCGCGCTGCCGCCCGGCAGGATGTTACCGCCACCAACTGCGCTGTCCAAGCGGCCTACCGTAGGCTTGAAACGCGACAGCTCGTATCTGGATACTGACGACGAAGCGAACTTGTCATTATCGACCAAAAAGCTTAAGGTAGCGTTCGATCCGAATGTCGACGTCCGACTTGTGGATGATTGGAGCGAGAAGAGCTTCGAGCTGGTGAAGGAAGAAGTAAGGCTAGGCATTGAACGCCATCTCGCACCCGGAGACCGGAGGGATGACACGCAGTATATCAAGCTGCTTACTCTTTTTGATCACGATGAGGACGCGGAGGAGGCGCCGAGTGGCAAGCTGCTCAAGAAGTATATGTTGGCTATCGATGCAAGAGTCAGCTCGCTCGGCGAGTGCGGCAAGCTTGTATCTGCTGTGTTGAACATGTCGTGGCTGGGCCGAGACGACGTCTTTGCCGGCCTGTTCATTCGGTTCCTGACTACCTTGGCGACTGCGCATGCGAAGTTCATTCCGTCTATCATGGAAAAGCTGGTTGCGCATTTCGCCCGTCTGCCAGCATCACATGGCCGGTTACCGGGTGAGACTCCAGTTCCGCGATCGACCATGTTTACTCGCGTGCACGCGGCGATTCGGACATTGCTGCGTCAGGTACCGTCAGCGATGGCTGCGTTCACGCGGGTACTGCGATCAGAGTTCCCGAACGACCTTGCAACGAAGCACTCTTACATTCAGTATCAGACTCATTTACTTCGAGTGGGAGGATACATGCCGCAACTGGAATCCGAAGTCCTCGCGATTCTTACGCAGCGCCTTGTCAGCATCGACGTGCAGATCCAGATAGACATCGACGAGTTCGAGGAGGAAGCTGAAGACAAGCTTCTGCAACCTAGTTTCGAGTCACGGTCGACCCGAACTGCAGCCGACGACTCTGAAGACAGCGACGATGATTCCGTCTCGGAGTCCGAGGAGACAATGGCCGAGGATGAGCAGAGATTGAAGGAGATCAAACTCAAGATCGACAAGATGGACTTCACTATGGATCTACTCTTCGAGCACTACGCATCATTAATGAAGAACGGTCTGAGAGTGGAGTTCAACGAAGCTTATCAACAGCTCCTTTCGCACTTTACCACCTTCATTTTTCCGAATCGCACAAGACACGCACAGTTTCTTGTCTTCCACTTTTCGCAAGCACTGCCAGAGTACGCAAGCTTCTTCGCGAGACAGTGTCTGCATGCACTAGGAGAAATCAACAGATCAATCTCGCAGCGCCTGCACGCTTGCGCGTATCTTGCTAGCTTCGTTGCGAGAGGCGTACATATACCCGCTAGCATGGTGCAAGAGATATTCGGTCAGCTTTGCCGTGAGCTTGACCTGATGCGCAAGCGACACGAACCTGGCTGCCGTGGACCCGACAGACGAGCGTACAGTGTTTATTACGCTGTCGCACAAGCTATCCTCTACGTCTTTTGTTTCCGGTGGCAAGACCTGGCACTACGCGTAGAAACTCCGGAGCCGGGTGATGAAGATGCAAGTATCGAAGACCTACTGGCAGAAGGCCGTGAGCTGGCATGGCTTCCTGGTATCAAAGAGACGATGGAGAAGAACATCCACTCGCCCCTCAACCCTCTAAAGGTCTGCTCGCCAGTCATTGTAGGCGAGTTCGCCAAGCTTGCGCACCATGTCCGCTTCATGTACGTCTTCACCAAACTGGAGAGCAACAAGCGTGTCAGACTCGGCAACACGTCCCGTGGCTACGCTGTGGACAACAGCAGACGTGAGACGGCCATAGACCGGAAAGCTGGCGAAGCACATTTGCAGCTGGAGGCGTACTTTCCGTTCGATCCGTACCGATTACCGCTGAGCCAGAAGTGGATCAAGGAGGACTACAGAGAGTGGAGTCTGCCTGCTGGCATGCGGCAGGATGCGAATGAGAGCGAGGCGGAGGATGAGAGTGATGAGGAGTCACTACTTGACGAGTTGGAGGCTGACGAGCTACCTGCTGCCGATGTGGTGTCTGTCAGCAGCTGAGAAAGCTGCTTTTAGGCGAGGACTCGTTGATTGATTTGTTTGTCGAGCGTTTTAGCGCGGCGCTCAGGGAGGAAAGGACGTCGCATCGCATCGCGTAGCACCTGGCGTCTTGACTTGAGCATCAGCGAATGGCCACCATGTCTCACATGAGAGGATAATGACAGTTCACGAATCGCTAGGCAGTCACGCCAATCACGAAGCATTATATCGGTACAAACACTGTCAATCCTCCTTCATCATTCCTCCATCACAGTCCCAATGGGTTCCCCGCCGTTCCCTTCGCAGCATTCGTCGTCCCCGCCTGAGCCGGCTTCCCACCAGGCAACGCACCCTTCGAACTCCCCATCCCGGCCATCCCCAACGGATTCCCCGCCGTGGGGATCCTCGGCCCACCGACAGCCACACTATCCTTGATATCGTTGCCGTACCCCGCCACACCCTGACCCCAGTAGCGCGTGGTATTCGTGATCGAAGCTCCGATCCCATCGCCCACGGCGTTAACGCTGTCGCCAATGGAGTGGATGAAGCCGCCCGCGTAGTTCCCCACGTTAGCAACGGAGGATTGCACGGTGCGGTTTATCCAGTTCGGGGCGGGGTTGGCGGGGATGGAGGGCATTGACGCGGAGGAGGCGATGGAGGAGGATGGGTGTTTTTGGGGGATGACCGTTTTGGCTGCCGGTGGTGGAGGCTTCGAGACGGTCGTGGGTGGTATCGGCTTCTTTGCTACTGTGGTGGGTGCTTTGGGAGGCGCTTTGGCGGGGACTTTGGCTGCTGGGGCTGGTGCTCGTGGTGCTGGCGCTTTGATGGGGGTTCTGGTGGGCGGTGCGGTCTTGGGCGCTGGTTTTGACATTGTCGCTGTTGCGATATTGCCAATTTTCGGTTTCCAGGAAATTGTTTGCAGTGCGGTTCGAACTCAGAATGCTACCAAGTTGTGGCTGAAAGGACAGGAACGTGAATGCTTCAACAATACGCACGCATTCCCAGTTCTCGACCGCAGATGGCTGTGCTGATCGGCGGACGAGGCGCACATGACATCATACCACGGTCGGTGTCAATGAGCGCCGCACCCTTCGAGTCGTTGAAGACGAAATACAAGCCCTTTTCAATATGGCCAAAGGAATGTTCGATGATGTGTTGTTCAGGGAGCAGCATTGGTCTAATATAATATGTCGCTACCTCCTCCATCTGCCATTCTCTTCTCTAATACAGAGATTCATGAGGGTGCCGTTCAAAAACACTAGAAAGTCACCGACTCTGCTTATCTGATCAGTGGCTGCCCCTTTGCTGCAGGGAGATCTTAGCTTGATCAGTGTACAGGAAGCGCTGGGCTAGCGCCGCGCCGGGCGACGCAGCAGTAAAGTCGACCACCTCTGAGCATGTCTTGAAACGATTATAGAGCGGCAAGTCCTCTATATAACCCCCTATCCCACGATTGCAAGCACCGAGTACATTCGGTGTTGAGATATACCTGACCAAGTTCGCTGCGTTGACCCCTGGCCGACATCTCGGGACGTGGGCAAGCGCAAGAGGTCAGATGGACGCCTCTCACCGCGAGTCTTCTCATGTCGCAGCAACCCGGGATGCCACGTTAGACTTTGCGACACGTCAACCGCGGTAACGTGAAGGTTCACAGGTGAGCACGCGACCTTCGCTTCTCTACCACAACTTCATCGACACAAATCTTCGTCCTGTCGACCACAGCTCGCTTTCATTCACACCCAACCATCAACGTCAACCGGCAAGATGAGTCGAAGCTTTGCTAAGAAAAAACATGAGCTAGCCTCGAGATCGAACTCTTTCAGCGACGAGGCGACTTCACCCACGACCAGCTTCTTCCAATCACAACGAACAAGTCCATTGACAGCGAATACGCCAAGCCAGCCTGGCAGTCCGACTCACTCATTCAGTCCGCATTACAGCTCTTACAGCGAGGGAGGCGACGGCGGTGACCTCTATCCGACTGTCAGCGCACTCAACAGTCCCCCTCCGTTAAGCAGCCCGCCGCCTTCCCGCCCATTAAGTAGACGCAACAGCTCTAGAGGCTCCTTCTCTGCTGCTTTCTCCGAGGCTGTGCACAGTAGGTTTCTCAGAGCAGGCTCCATAGAAATTGAGATCATTGACATCGTTTCAGAACTGCGTGAGCGCCTACTTGACCCTTCGGTTGGTGGCGAACCACGGAAGAAGGAGAGGCCTAAGCGCGGTAAGGCGTGCATTATGCTTCGCAGACTTGCCTTGGCGAATGATCTGACAGGAGTACGACAGCCAATCAGCTCGAGAAAGAGACGACCAAAAAGCTCAGCAATTTCTGGAGCCTCGTCGACTCCTCCGACAACAGCAACAGCACACTTCCAAGCATTGCTGAAGACCCCACACCGCAGCACAAACGGGACCAAGCTCCGGTACTTCGGTCGTCCGGGCACACTCCGGTGCATCAATATTTCTTAAGAGACCAGCAAACGCCAGGTGGAGGCGCTCAGCGTGCTTCAGCTCCTCGCAATCGCAATCTTTCCCCGAAGATGGATGCCTCAAGGTTGGCTCCGGGGCCTTTCGATAGCCCGAACAAGCAGATGCAGATTCAAGATGCCCGTGACATGTACCGCAATGTCGTGCGCAATGCAGAGCGGTCCGGCTCGGAAGTGCCACCGTACGACTTCATCGAACTTATCGGTAAAGGCGGCTATGGCCGGGTTTACAAGTGTCGGAAGCGTGCCACGGGCGAACTCGTTGCTGTCAAAATTCTTAATATCGATGACGCTGACTTCAAGGAGCATGTGCTCGACAAGGACAACACTATCAGTAGCTTTCAGAAGGAGGTTGCCACCCTGCAGCAGCTGAAAGACAGCAAAGCGAAGAACATCAACATGATCCACGAAGCTTTTGATATGCACAACCAGCTGTGGATCGTCAGCGACTACTGTACTGGTGGCAGTTTGCGTACGCTGATGCGAGCCAACACACGAAGAGGATTCGAGGAACACTTCATCATACCGATTGCGAGGGAACTTATTATTGCCGTGAAAAGTGTGCACGACATGGGTATCATACATCGGGACATAAAGTGCGCCAACGTCTACGTGAACGAAGAAGGCCACATCCAGCTGGGCGACTTTGGTATTGTTGGCATGCTGGACGATGGCTCTGCGAAGCGCCGGACAATTGTGGGAACACCGCATTATCTCCCGTTTGAGATGCATACAGCGACCGGACTTTTTACCGACGAAGCGTACGGCACCGATCTGGATATCTGGTCGTACGGCATCACCGTATATGAGATGGCGACAGGTCAGCCTCCATATACAAATGTCCCTCAGCAGCGGCTGGCAGAAGTCACGCATGAGCCGCCTAGACTCGAAGGCGATCAATACTCTGCGGGTCTGAAAGATTTCGTGGCCTTCTGCTTGAACCGTGACGCGAAAGCACGACCTTCGGCCGAGCAAGTGCTTCAACACCCTTATATTGCCAACACTGAGGCGCAATACCCTAGCAAGAGCCTCAGACACCTAATCGAGCGATATGCCATGTGGGAGCATGGTGGAGGCCAAAGGCAGTCGCTGTTTTTCGCTGGCGGTGCAGCTCCTCCCGTCATTCACGATGAATCGACCAACGGTGATGCGAACGACACTCAAGAATGGAACTTCAGCACATCGGACAGCTTCAACGCGGACTTCAGTAAGCGACTAAGCCTAGCCGTAGCTGCCGAAGACGGTGCAGAACCGCAGTATGACGGTCCGCACGGCTCAGGTCTACCTCCACTAATCACGAAAGACCTTTCGCGCTTCGAGCAGGTAGAACAGCACTTCAAGGAGCTGAGTGCGAATCGCGGAGAGCGGTCGCTGGACCGGCTTTTCAACCCAGATACGACGCCCTACGAACTACACACTCCAGTCGACGACCCAGAACCGCTTTCGGACTTGCCATTGCGCAACCTCGCGAGCGCGGCACCTATGCGGGAGAGTTTGATCGACCTGGACAGTGCGGGAGGACTCGACGTTACCGTACCCACCTTTAACTTCGAGTTCGGCGACGTCCCCACGCTCAGGGCTCGCAAAGCTCCACGCGAAGACGAAGATGATGAAAGTTATCAGTTTGCTGCTCAAGGACGTGACGATAAGCGAGCTACGATGGACTGGACGTTTCCAGGTCAGGATCCAAAGCGTGCAACTATGGATTGGACGTTTCCCAAGGCTGAACCTAGCGAGCCAAACATCGTGGAGACAGCAATGAATTTGCCACCGGTAGGGCCTGAGGGTTTGGTGCCTGGCTTCCGACCAACGCTAAAGCATACCGCAACCACACCGCTTGGACAGATTGGGGACTTCATCCACGTCACGCCGCAAGCCACGCTACGCACATCCTCACCTATCAGAGAATCTATCATAGACCTTGACGCGGGCTTGGCGGACCCGGCTGATATCGATCGCCCACACACCGCCAGCTCCGCCACTGGCTCTACTCTGACTGACATGACCTCCGGCAACCCCTTTGATCTCGAGTCAGACGATGAGCAAAACGAGCGGGACCGCAATCGCTTCTCATACCACAAGCAGTGGCAGTCCGATGGAGGACCCATGAAGCGCCTCAGTCACAAGACCATGCCAATGCACTCGCGCGGTAGCAGTCTCACAAGCACGGACTCAGAGTTTGACCGCGTGGCTCCTTCACGCCCAGAAGGTGCAGAGAATGTCCTCGACTACAACTATAGTCGCAAAGTCGCAGACACGATGCGCTCACAGATGGGAATCGGATTTCCCGAACAGGATCTAAACCACTGGCCGAACTTCGCCTCGGACTCCGGACTAGACGAGAGCCCGCAGTACCCTGCCACCTATGTGCCGCAGCTGGGCGACCGCGACTACCCTCTCGCGCAAGGCCTACGCACGAACGGACTATCTGTACATCCTCTGTCACAAGCCCAAGGTCCCGGCTCGAGACCTAGAGAGCACAGACGGGAGCTCGAGTACCCTGACCCTGTCGCTCCGCATCCGGACGCTCTGCTCGAGGATGCGGACCCCCGGGTCATGATGGCTGAGCTGGATCGTTTACTCGACGATTTCGGACAGAGCTTGAAGGCCACCAGTCGAGCGTTGAGGCAGCATGCGGGTGGGGCGGAGGAAGGGGAGGGAACGTCGGAGGAGACTGATGGTGGGTTTGAGAATGGTGGTGTGCCTACAGCGGATGAGGAGGAGTCGTGAACTGCCGGATGGATATGGTGGTTGTTGTATGATGATGCTACGTCGAAGTCAGCGCTGGCGCACGGAATTGGAATTAAGTGCTGGCCGGATTGCTGCATAGTCAGTGCCTATGGGGAGTCGGAGGGCAGCCGATGTTAAGTCGAGCTAGTGTATCCTATACGACCGCACAGATGCGTAAACGGTAGCAGTGAGTCTGGCTTCTGCCTTGCTGTCAAGGGGCGGATCTCCTACCTACGTATCTCATTACCTTCCTATTCACCTCTCCACCCCCGTCATCGTCCGCATATAAATTCCGCTTTGACGCGTTCTCACATGTTGACACGAGGGCGATGCAATCCTTTGAGGAAGGAGCACCGTGCAGTAATCGTCGCCTCTGAACACGCCACATCACGTGCACGAATAGCAAGTGAATTGGGACTCAGCAGCAGTGAGGTGACGGAAAAAGCATCATCTTTTCCCAACTATCACGCATGCGACATACCGTCCACATGTCAGTCGTTATATTCAACATTACCATTAACTGCATTCGTAGATGGCAAGATTAAATCGCATGCCCTGCGTCGTGGTTACGCCCGCTCCTTCTTCCGACTCCATATCGAGCGTCCGCGCGCTCGACCTGTCTTCTCCTTCTCCTTCTCCTTCGTCGTCGGCGGTGTCGGTGTAAAGTCCCCCGTTTCCGGCATCCGTGGCGAGGAGGAAGCGGAAGCATCATCCAAGTACTTGGCCTTGTATATCCTGCACTCGCACGTTAGCAACGCGTATACAACCACCGCCCGCAAAGTGAAGAACGAGAAGTGGATTAACCTACCAACTGTTCCCCGCCATCGACATCCCCCCTTCCGCAGCCCTCCGGTACAACCCCGCCGCCTTCCTCAGATCCTTCTTACACCCCACCCCCTGCGTATAACAATACCCCGCTTCAGCCAGGGCGTCGCAATCCCCCCAAGCCCCGGCGACTTCGTAACACCTCAACGCCAACGCCTTGTCCTTCGCACAGCCCCAGCCATTCATATAACTGATCCCCAGTTCATAAATCGCCAGCGCGAACTGAGCCTTCCGCTTCCTCCGCTCCGCCAGTTCAGTCCCGGGATCCGGGTTAGGCGAGCGCGAGGCATGACTTATAGCGGCCTCGACGTCGACGAGACCCAGCCCGGCGCTGTCGATGGCTTTACGCAACCACATCACGCCGTCTTCTGCGTTGGGTTTCATGCCCCAGCCGTGTCGGCAAGCGAGGGCGTAGAGGAGCATGGCGGTTGGTAGGCCTTCCTTCGCCGCGAGGCGGAGGTGGTAGGTTGATTTTTGAAGCTGGCCGGCGCTGTGTTCCTGGATGCCGATCTCGAGGTTTTCTTCCGCGGTGAGGTCGGCAGAGGGTGATTTCTCGTGTAAGGGCGTTGCGCGGATGGTCTTTTCGGTGCTTTCGGTTTGGACGGAGGGGGTGTTGCGGTGTAAGGGCGACCGTGCGCGGGTCTCGGGAGCCGCTGAGCGACTTCTGCCGGCGCTGGCGGGGACGGATAGGTCGCGTCTATCTAGATGTCTGCTGAGGCGGGCACCTGAGATCTTTTCTGATCGTGCGGGTGAAGGCGGGCAGACGGGAGAGAGATGCGGTGCTGGTGTGGAGAAGGTTGAGCTTTGGCTGTCCTCGCGTGGCCGCATGACGTGCTCGTGTGGTGCGGGATGGTGGTCTGTTGGTGTTGGCGCTGGCTTCGAGCTGTCTTCCCATGAGAACTGATGCAGACTCCACGATTCCGTAAGGCCAATGGAGTTGCGATCTACGACGCGACCACGAGGTAGGGTATCGATCCGCTGGAGGAGTGGTGGTGAAGAGTCCTTGTCCTCGTTCCGACCACTTTCGAAAGACTGCACATGATCAAGCGTGTTTTGCGTTCTTGCCTCGGTTTGTGACGACTGTCGGGACGGAATACTAGAGTAGACAGTGGATGGCTGTGTGCTGCTACTCGCAGCGGACGCGTTACGGTGGGGTAGCTCAGACGACGTTTTGGGAGACTTCCGAAGTTCGAAAGATGGCCTAGCGCCCTCTGAAGGTGTGCTCCGCCCACTACCACTTCGCGGCCGTGAGAAGTTATACGGTCGGCGAACGTAAGCCTGCGAAGCCGCTACCTTCGAGCCATTGACCGAGCTATCGGAAGCCATCGATGAGGATCGATGGACGGGTGGCATGAGAGGGGTGAAGGGCGAGTGAGGCCTGGACGGGTTGCTGCTGCCTGAGAACTTACGCGAGGAGGAGGCAGCGTAAGCGCCGTTGTAGGACGAGCCATCCTCGTCACCGCTGTCCGGTGGTACGGAGCGGATGCTCTGCGTACTCCTCTGTGACTTCGGGTGGGCGGGTGACTTTGGCGGTAAAAGGCCATGCTCAGATAGCTGTGAGCGTTGTGAATGTGTCGAGCCGTTGGCAAGTGTTCGCGGCTGCGATGATTGAACGGAGTCATAGCTGTTGGTCAGGCTAGGTACAGTGGGCGATGGTCGTTCAACGTTCAATCTCGGGTCGACTGGCTCCGGAGACAATTGCCGTGGTAAGTCGAAGTAGCTTCGCTGCTGAGCGTATAACGCTTGCTCTTCCGGTTCGTAGTGCGGTGTTTGAAACGGACTGTCTCTATTCGGCCCTCTGACCGCATCACCAATCATCGGATAGTGACTAACAGGGCGTTGCTTGCCGTCCACCCCAGCCAATGCCAAGCCATGCGGCTTCGCACTCAGTGGGCTCGACTCCTCCTTTATCTCTTCCAGGTCTTGATAGGAGCCTTCAGTACTTGCGCTGATACTGCGAAAATAGTCCGGTCTGCTCGACAGCTGCTTTTGCACAGCCAGCGGCGGCAGGCGACTAATCCTTCGCCCGTCCCGCTCCTGCTCGAATTGCTTAGCCAGAATGCGCGAGTGCATTGCGAACGCATCCAACGGCGACAGTGCTGGTGGGATCTCGCCAGCCCGCGGTGAGGGCATATCCATGTGGTACGCCATCCGAGGTGGTTTGAGGGGTTGCGAATCGTCGCTATCGCTGTTGAGGTGGAGATGCGTGGGTCGCGGGCCCATCTTGAAGATGTGCGCTCGTTGCTTGTACGTAGATCATGCAGCTGTATCGATCAAAGATTCCCTCGTATGCTGACTGCGCCGTGCGCTGAGTAGTGGCGAGCGGTATGACCCTCCCCGTACGAGCGACTGTGCAACTGTGAGATGGAGGCAGTGTTGTTGTCGTTTGGCGTTCCGAGCTCGAACGTTGTTGATCGTTGTGCTCCGATACTGATACCAACGGACGGATCGACCACTACCACTGAACAGAATGAAACCTGCAATATCAAAAGCGGCACTGGCGTTTGGCGGGCCTGAGAATGAGTAGCGCCGCGCACGAGCAACAGGGGAGATGAAGCGCTCGTGTCCGTGATCTAAATCCAGCTAATAGCGGGTCGCGGCCCCGACGCCACCACTTCCCACCCCTGACCTGACCCTGACCACAGCCCGGGCGATCTTCCTTCTACGAAAGTCTTGATTCCAATGCTTGGCCTACCCTCGCGCCAATTCCGCTAAGTCTCGTGTGTAGTACAGTAGTGCACACCGGACGAGCATATTAGCAAAGAACTGTCAACGAGACATCCAATACACGGGTGGTGGCTAACACGGGAGAGGGGCGGAAATAGAGTAGAGATGCAGCAGCCTTGTGGAGACAATGGGCGGATTGGCCGGCCCACAGTTGCAGCCCTTGAATGCAGGTACAACCGCGATGCGGAGAATGTACATGTAATCAGCGCGACCACCGACAGCACGCCATGTGGGATCGTCAAAGGTGTGAGCGAAATGGCGACAACGCTTTCATGGGGCATGTACGTTAGGTGAGACATCTCCGTCTGGTAGTTGTCCCAGACTGTACCTTCGCTTGCACTTGCCTTGCCTCGCCTCGGTGACTTGCTGCTCGTGACTCGTCTCGCGTGAGTGCCGCCGCAGGTGTACTACCCCGTCAGATCTACCGTCCTCACCCGCTTCGCCAACCCATCCACCCCATTCGGACTGCGTCTCTTCGGTATTCGACCCTTGAGATGGTCGATAATCGTAATCAATGACATCCAGCCTACAGACAAGACAATCAGGTTAGCGATCCCAAGCGAAAACATGTGCGGCGTACAGGGTCTATTGCAACAGTGTGCTACGGTGGCAATGCTTCATGTTACATCTGAAGGATAGTCTGGAGAGTGGCCCAACCTGGTGTATGCATGAGCTGTGCGCCGAGCGCGGCGTCGTGGGTCGTGGCGACGCGGCAGAGGAGCTGTTCTTCCTCCTGTGTACACCAATTGTCAGTACTGCTGGATCTTATCACCGACGCGGGACGGTTAGAGAGACATACCTTGCTTAACACGTCGAGTTGATGAACAAAACATAACAAATGAAAGTCAGACACCGCAAGCACCCCCTGCGGCGTATCCAGCGCAACCTTATTCGAGCCAGCCTTTAGCTGTGTCTGCAAATCCCTCGGTTCCTGCGCCTCGCCAATAGCCTCCCGATTCTCAATCGCAAACTTGTTCTGCACAAACACCGGTGCAGCCTCGTTCGGGAACCCGTGCGTCAGCGTCACCAGTAGATACTCGACCGGAAAGCTGGGCTTCGCGTTCTCCTGCACGCTCCTGCCATACTCATTGATGCGACGGTAGAAGACTTCGGGGATATATCGTACGCGTCCGAGCTCGTTGTCTTCGTCCTCGTCCTGCACGAGCATCACGCTGGGCTCGGCAGAGGGCTCAATGATGTCCGCTCGCACCATCTCGACTGCCGAGTTGGACGCTTGGTACGCGGAGATGGCGATCTGGCCTTCTTCGTCGCCGGAGACGACACAGGTCACGAAGTTGCTGCCGAACTTGCCTGTTTCGCTCCATTTGCTGGGTCGGGGGTATTTGGCCTGGTAGCGGGAGGCAAAGAGGATCTCGAGGGATGAGAGGAAGAAGGAGTCGATGTGCCGTTTGCAGATTGCGTTTCCTTGTGCTGGATCGTCGGGTCGTACTAGGTCGGTGAAGATGACGCCTACCCGCTGTAGACCGCACTTTGACGCTAGCTCGTCGATCGAGTCTTCGTTGTCCCATTCGCCGAGCGTAACTCCGTCGATTTCGTCAGCCTGTGGCGGCTCATAGATGGCTTCCACGACTGCCTTCGTACCCAATGGAACAACTTCGTACTCCTCGTAGTGTCCGTATAGATACCCTACCCGTTGCGCGCCACCTGAGTTCCGCCAGTAGTTGAGGTAGGAGTTGACAATCTCCGGGCTAGCAAACTCAACGTGGTCGACCATGCGGAACTCCTGCGGTTGAAGCGTGATCGCTGACGGCTGGCACTTTGTGCAAATACCTTTTGGGAACGGTGGATGTCCTGATGGGCAATTCGGATTCACGCGATAGTAAGGCTCGGTCAGAGGTGGCATGTACGAGCTTCCAGACTCGTACTTATTCTTGCCTTGGTTCACCTTCCGCAGGTAGGAGTGGTATGACAGGTGCTTGATCTTCTTCTCGTCCAGGTACTCTTTGTTGTACGGCTCGAGCGGCATGCAATAGTCGCACATACCCTTCGGACCGTGCCTACACATCTTCTCGTCCCGTTTGCGCGTGATCTTGCCATCCTTTTGATCTAACCGGTCGTCTAGTGGTGATTGCTTGACAGTCTCCCAGGGGTTCTTGATCAGGGTTGGTGCGACAGTAGTGGGTATAGTGATGCTTGAGATGTCCTCCTCCGGCTTCACTTCGCGACCGCTGAGCTTGTTCGCAGACACCGAGTGGCCGTTCGTCATCGGCTGGTCCACTTGAAACTCAAGAAAGACCTGCGTGCCATGAGTGAGGCCTAGCCGTCCGAAGGTCACGCCTCTTAGCGCTTCCATAGGTCTGGAATCTGCGCCATGCGGTTTCGGGCTGATGGTGATGGATGAGGGGGTGACGTTCTTTGGTAGCTTTTCTATCACTTGTGGTAGTACGCTGGCAATGTCTGTAGTCGGCTCAACGTTCAGACGGAACTGGCCCTCACGGGAGGCGAATCGAAGTATCATGGTAATGTCTCGTATGGGCACGTGAGTGGCCGCTGTCGAGCTATGAGATTTCTCTGGAGTTGTTCGCGGGTAATAGTTCTAGTTATCGGCACGACATGTTTGCTCCGGTAACGGTGTATTACTTCCTGACTGTCAGCTCTGTCTGCTGGTGATGGCGCCGGTGTAGGCGGTGGTGTGATTACGAATGATGGTCGGCAAACGGACAGCAGCAACCGATGCATCTCGAAAGTGACGTGTGGCGTTACCGGCGATCGGTGGCTGCACGCGCTAGTGCTTGACCCTGCGCCGGCCCATCCCACCACAGCCGCCGCACGCATGTGGCTTCTCTCCGTATGGTAAAGCCAAGTGTTCGATTAATCAAATCGCAGTGTCGACACATCATCTACCAATCAACCTGCATCGACTATAACGAATGGCGCGGACGACGATGGACCGATGAGAAGAGACGTTGCGACACCCTTACCGCCTCAACAACTGCTCAATGAGCGCACCGCATCAACATGGACAACGCAACAAATTCGACCAACGGCACGTACGCGAATGGCACATACTCCGACTCGATTCCTCCACCAGTCCGCAAGAACTTCTGGACTAACCTTCCACTGCTACTCGTCTACCTAGCGGTCATAGTGGGTAGCCTATGGGCCTTCCTCTCCCTTTACAAACAGCGTCAGATCACCAAAGCCGCGAAGCTAGAACCCTGGTTCCCTCCCCATCGGCAACGAGACGTCTATTTAAGTCTGTTGCATCTGGACCCATCAGAGGCCAGCGAAGGCGGCGATGGTGAAAAGAAGCTGAGTAAGGTGCCGGACTCGGTGCTCAAAGCGGCACTATTGCAGCGCGCACTCGAGGACATTAAGCGGATAGTACAGCTGAGGTCGTCGAAGCCGGCGCTGCAGACGCTGTTGCAGAGGGGTTCCGTGGGAGATGAGCTATGGCAGCGCTTTTTGCGAGCGGAGAAGGAGATTGAGGAGGAGGTCAAGGATGTGGTGAATGAGGTAAGCATCGCAACTACGCGGTGACGCTGTTTCTATTGCTGACCATTCGAGCAGGCCAACGCTTTCGCACCAAACTGGGGCCAAGTCATCTTCCAATCCGCCAACGAAATGAATCAGAATCTTCTTATCAAGCAACGGACCGCGGAGATCCAGGCGCAGCTAGAGCAGGAGAAGGCGTGGTGGGAGAAGAAGCGGGCCGGTATCCAGTCCGATTTCATGAAGGAGATTGGAGCTGAAGAGGCGGAGGACGGCAAGGCGCAACCACCTGAAGCTCCTTTGCAGCAGAAGAAGAACGGAAGTAGCGATGAAGATGCTGTGCTGGTGGAAGCCGGCGGCCCGGCGCAGGCGCAAGGAGGCGCTGGTGCTGGGAGTGGGGGTGGAGGTGGAAGTGGGAGTAAGAAGAAGAAAGGCAAGAAATGATAACATTTTCCTTCGCCTCACTCCGTCGCCACTGCCATAGCCGCTGTAGGGAGGTTGGTTGCTGTGACTGATGCATGCGTGGCGTTTGGGAGCAACATGCTGCATATTGCCGCGACTGCAATCAAAGCGACGAAGGGCATCTAGCGGCTGCTACAAACGTTTACAGTGCACATTGTCGAAAACCCGAGACTCGAACGCGTAAACACGTACGGTCTGCATGCGGGCATCCTACAAAAGCGCACACATCAAACTTGTGGATCTATCAGTCTATCACAAACGGTACGCCGAGTGCTTCATATCATGCACACGATGCAGGAATCGTCTCGCCAATGCGACCTCGCTTCAGGAAGGCAATCGGCACGTCTACGTGCCTCGAACGCAGGTACTCGCCAACTCCCTTTCCCAACCCGTCGATCCTGGCCGAGCTCGCAATGCCTCCGTCCAAAAAGTCCAATATGCGACTAGACAACGTCAGCTTGCCATCCACAGGCACTTCAAAGCAGCACTCACAAATGTACAGCATGAATAAGTGGGAACTCGACCCTTTCAATGCGCTGCCCAGCATAATCCTTGCCTAAAAGCTCTACCAACTTCTTCACGGTCAACAACGACTGCAGCCAAGGGAATTCGTCTTCATGCCGCACGAAGAAGCCAACATTCGAGTTATTGGCCTTGTCTCCGGACCGGGCATGCACAATACCGCCCAGCGGTTCTCGCTCAGTCGGTCCGAACGTCGCCAGATCCATGGGATGCGCCGTCTCGTACGAAGGTCGTACGTATGGGTACTCCTTCGTCTCCTTCGGCGGCGCAATCGACACCTCCTTACCCAGTCTCGGTATCAACATCTTGTGGTCAACCGCGGTAAGCGGAAGCACGGCGGGGAAAAGCTCCATGAACGGTTTCGGGTCCATTGTCCGGAAATCCAGGTTCATATGGTATCCAGGATAGCTCTGCATGCGTAGCGAGTATATGGGAATGCGGAACTTATCCGCACTGATGTCTTCTCTGCGCCTTGCTTGAGCGAAGACCCGAAGCATGACCGTGCCTTCTTGCTGCGACGCTGGCTCTACGGCTTGCGTGCCGTAAACTTCGGCGGAAAACTTGGAGAAGTTGTTGCCTTTGAAGATGTGCGCCAGCTGGTTCTGCATCATCTGAGCTTTGGCGGCGATATCAAGGCCATTGAGGTAGTAGGTGGTTTCGGCTTGGTAGCCGCCAGGTGCTGCGACCATGACTTTGGTGGTTGGTGGTGGAGGTAAGCCGGTCGCTCCGGACACGTAGACTCTGTTTGGGGCACCAGACTCGGTGATCTGTACGTTGGAAAGCTCGGCCACGACGTCAGGGTTCAGGTACAGCTCGCCTTGCAGCTCGTAAAGCAACTGGGCTGTTATGTTGAAACGGTTTACAATCCCGTTCATAACATCCGGCTTGGTGATGAAGCAGGAACCGTCCGATTGAACTTCGGCGATCGGAAATGCGAGGTCAACAAGTTCTGGCAAAAACTCCTTGAAACCGCTGAAGTTGGCCCCACAAGCGTACGGTCCTGTTCACGCGGCAACGATTATCAGTCGTATATCTGGCGAAGTCTTCGAGCTATGCTTACCGCACTCGATGAGATGGCCTGCAATCAATGCTCCAGCCAGCTCGTCATATGACCTTGGAGACCATCCGTGCCACCATGCTGCCGCGCCAATTACCGGCGAAGCGTCCGTCACTCGGCCGCAGATGACAATATCTGCACCGTTCTCGAGCGCAGCAACTATGCCCCTATCCCAGCGTCAATCCAATAACGATACATCAGGGGCTTTGGGGTTTCGAACCAGGCACCGATATATGCAGCGGCGCTCGTTGGCTCAGCGTCCAAATCCCAGTTGTCCAGCAGTTGGTCTTCGTGGTCCAGATGGTGAAGGTGAGGTCTTGACCCCTTTCCGGTTTGCTTCACAAGATGACTTACATCATCGCCAACGATTGTGGCGACAACGACATCACTATGACCCCTCGCTTCACAAAGCTGCTCGACTCTCCGACTTAGTGCAGGTGCATTTAATGCTCCCGCATTAGTGATGATCTTGACCTTCTTCGCAACGACTTCATCGATACATGTCTCCAGCTGGTTATAGAAGCCAACTTCGTAACCAAGCTCGGGATTCTCCGCTTTGGTAATGGCGTTCCAGCTTGACCACGCCGGTCACGGTCAGATGTTGCATGCACAAAGGGATCAGAGGTGGCTATGTCACTCACGCGATGTTCATCTCGCTCAGCCAGTCTCCAGTGATGACATCGCAATCGCCATGCTGCACCATACGAGCCATGGCATTTGCCGCATCTCCCGTGGCGCCGCTTACGTTTCCGATTCGTATGTAAGGTCTGCTGCGTCCATTCTCGCGGTTGGTATGCCCATTGGGCCGCATAACCGCACCAGGCATGATCTAGGTGTTTCGGTCAATAAAGTATTCGTGGGTCCCAGCAGGTCAACGAAGTGTCGAGAAGGCAAATGAACTCGATCCGTTCATGCAGATTGTCAGAGAGACACAGAGACAACATAGTGATCCACTTAACACGGACTATGTCTGACCACGCTCTAGACGGCTTCGCAGCACGCAGTACAAAGCGGCTCCTGCATCTACCGAAGTCTTCTGGGCAATTGATCAACCTTTTCTTAGGTTGCGGTAGGCAAGAAGACCGGTCTGACCTACGACAGGCCAGCCATGCAAAGCTAGGCGGCTGGAATGGTGCACCCCAAGTCTTCGGGCCCGGAAGCCGCTGTCGGCTCGGAAAGCCGATGGAGAAACGGCACCTCGCGGTTGAGATCAATCACCGACGTCGCACACAACGACCTGTTTGGATATCGGCAATCATGTGTAACGGATCCCAAGACCGGGGCCCCTCTTTTGATCGTGCGGAGAAGCGAGGGCCAGCTGCAGGACAAGGAGACTACGTTGCTCGCTTGACGTGGCCCATGTGGACGAGCCTTCCACAAGAAGTACGCCTAAAGTACGTAACCCACTTTGACCTTCATCAGCCCATGGAGCTGGTGCTGGACACCCCAACAGATGATCAGCTAGCAGATCTGCAAGCATGTGGACTAGCATACCTTCATCGTGCCTGATTGCCGGCAGAATCGTTGCAACTATGAGCGTCACATATAAGCCTTTCCTGCGGCGCCAGTCCTCCACACGAGCCTTCTCTTTCCATCGTACGCGAGCACGGCTACCATGAAACCCTACACTTCCGTGGCGTGCCTCCTTGCCAGCTCAGTGACCGCACTCGTTCTGCCATATAGCACGCCAAATTGCAGCACATTCGGGTCATCTGCCTCGCTCAGGCAATACAACGCTACATTCCTGAATGCTACCCACTACGGCCCGCGCGGTGTCAATGCTAGCGGTTTGCTAAACACCGTCTCTTTCTGCGAGGTGTATGCGTCAGTCGCCTATGGCCCGTATGGTAACGACAGCCTGGTCTTTGCGGTCTGGCTCCCAGAGTACGTTCAGTATGAGAACCGCTTTATGGCCGTCGGCAATGGCGGCATGGCTGGCACAATCGACTACTTGAACATGATTACTCAGCTCAACTCAGGCCTTGGCTTTGCCGTAGCTGGAGGCAATGGTGGGCATCTGGCTTCTGCGAATAACGGAGGCGGTGGCGCCCCAGGTGTCTATATACCCTACCTCCACGACCAGGCTCAGGTTACTGCATGGATCCATGATGCCATCAGCTTGTTTACACCGGCAGCGAAAGCCTTAGTCAACTCGTACTACGGCCAGAATGCACGGTATGCGTATTACGATGGTTGCTCGACTGGTGGAGCCCAAGGCTTTGCTCTGGCGCAGTATCATCCCGACTTGTTCGATGGTATCGTTGCTAGTTCGCCAGGTAATTGGTACAGCCATCTTGCGCTGAGCTTTCTCTGGAATGCTCAGCAGACGAACGTATGTACTCTGCTGGAAATGTGTAGCCTTGGAGCTGACAAGGACTAGACTTCTGCCACCAACTTGACGCAACCCATCTTAAACTTCACTAAGCAGGCCGTGCTCAATGCCTGTGACACCCTGGATGGAGTGCAAGACCAATTGCTCGAGGACCCATTGAGCTGCAAATTCGACATCAACAGTCTGGCCTGCAATGGATCTGTGCCGGCAGCCAGCTCCAGCGGCGTCATCAACTGCCTCACTTCCACGCAGCTGAGCGCTGTGAAGGCGATCTACGCTGGTCCAGTGCGCTCGGATAATGGTAGTCAGCTTTATCCGGGTTTTTCATTCGGCAGTGAAAATGAGTGGCTGTACCAAGAAGGGTTGCTCTCGAACGCTTTCAGTGTTCCAATTCTGCAGAACCTGGTGTTTAACAACCTACAGTACAACAGCAATACGTTCAATTGGGTAAGCACAACGATCTACTAACGCCTTAAAGACGATCTGAGACATAGCTGACTCTTATACCCTTCAATCTTCAGGCGTCGGATGTCGGACTCCTTGACGCACGAGCAGGCACGCTGATCGATGAGATTTCTCTCAACCTTACAGCCTTCCGCAGTCATGGCAAGATGCTCACCACACAAGGCTGGGCTGACCAATACAACGCTGCTACGTGGCCCATCGAGCACCTGGAGCAGCTGGAAACCTTCTTTGGTGGTGATGTAAGCGACTTCTACGAGCTCTTCATGGTGCCTGGTGGCGGACATTGCGGCGGTGCGGCAGACTACGCAAGCGTTCCGGCGACATATCACACAGTCCCGGCTTTGGTCGCGTGGGTTGAGCGAGGCTTTAAGCCGTTCAGTCTGCTGAGTACCAACCCACCGGATGGTAGCAACAGGACGAGGAAACTGTGTGCCTGGCCGTCGACGGCAAGATATGTGCAAGGAAATGTGTCGGACTGGACTAGCTACGTCTGCGAATAGTGAAGCATTGCGCCCCATTGCCTAGAGTGAGCCGTAGAAGTATGTGCACTCCAATGATCAGAAAAAGTTTGCTCTCTCAGTAAAACTCAACACATCCAACTCGGTCGAACGTTGCCCCATACGCCAGCTCAGCAAACATATCCACGTCCATACGACGTCTGTCTTCTCGGGTTCGCCTTTTCTGCTTTATGACCGCTTGACTGGTGAGACTGTGCGGTTGCAGCATCTTGTTGTTCTGGACTCTTACATCACTAGACATGGAGACACACTGTACTAAGTGGTGGCGGCTAGGCGAGCGTGCTGTATGATGCTATCATTCGCCAATGGTTCCGCGCAATGCTCCAGGCCAGAAACTACACTAAGTAAGCCAAAGTAAGCTTCACGCAACTCTTCCGCGTGTATGCTGTGTGCGCCAGCGAAGGTGTTGCGGTGAGCATCTGCCGTGTCTCCTCTCGTGTCGAGGAGGTGAAGCGGCCACTCGGCGCCGTCGACCGACACCAACCCGACAATCTCACCATGTGCTGCAGGCCGAGAGCCGCCCTCTCCACGCTTCTCTCCACAGTTGGAGCAGCTAACGGTGCATGGGGGCATATAATGGGGCAATGGTTCCCGTGAAGAACATATCTAGCTTTTTGGACACCGCTGTTTCCTTCCTCCTCTACTCGCGCTTCATATTGTTCATTCACCCTCTTGAAAATCATGAGCGCGAAGATGGGCGGTCTTAATTACCATGAGGATGTCGAAAGCAACGCCGAGAAACTGCCCGAAGGCTTCGATCGACCTGCTGTTCCGTATACAGGACAAAACAGCGCAGCCGACAAGGCGCTCATCTGGAAACAGGACCTCCGTATCGGTATGCAACCATTTCTGAAGCATGTCCAGCGCACCTGAGGCTAACGTATGGTGAAAGTTCCCTTGTCCGCCTTCATCTACCTGCTCTGCTACCTGGACCGAAGCAGTGAGTCTGACCAATGCTAAACGAGAGTAAGGAGGTACACTAACGACGCAACAGACATCGGCAACGCGAAAACGCTGAATTCTAACAAGAAGAATGACCTCCTCGACGAAACCCACATGACTAACCTCCAATACACCATCGCCTTGATGGTCTTCCTCATCGCGTACGCTGTATTCGAAGTGCCAAGCAACTACATGCTCAAGAAGATGAAGCCAAGCGTCTGGATCTCCTTCCTCATGTTCTCTTGGGGCGCCTTGACCATGGGACTAGGCGGCACGCGGTCCTTTGCCTCGGTCACTGCGGTTCGCTTCCTACTTGGCGCATTTGAAGCCGGTCTGTTTCCGGGCCTCGTATACTACCTCACATTCTGGTACCGCACCGAGGAACGCTCCATCCGCGTGGCCTTGATCCTGGCTTCTGCAACGCTCGCTGGTGCTTTTGGCGGAGCAATTGCATATGGGGTCGGTCACATGAACGGAACCTCCGGCCTCTCTGCCTGGCGATGGCTCTTCATCCTGGAGGGCCTTCCGTCAATACTCTCTTCGTTCCTAGTGTTCTTTCTGCTGCCGGACTTCCCAGAGACAGCTAAGTGGCTGTCTACCAGTGAGAAAGAGCTGGCCATCGACCGTCTCCGTATTGAAGGCTCGCACGGACATAGCGACTTCACTTGGGCCGATGCAAAGGGAACACTGACTGACTGGAGACTGTACGCTCATTATGCTGTAAGTTAGAGGGCAGAAACCGTTACTGCGCTACAGTTGCATATGCAGAGACACTGACTTCGGGAAGGTTTATTTTGGCATTTCGTGCCCTTTCTCGTCGCTCAGCTTGTTCACGCCTACGATTACAGCTGGCCTCGGCTTCCAAAACCTTCAGGCTCAGCTAATGACTGTGCCACCGTACGCCGTCGCATACGTCGTTACTATCCTGGTGTCTTGGTCTGCCGACCACTTCAATGCCAGAGCACTGCATTCAGCTATTTTCGCAACCATAGGCGCTCTCGGCTTCCTCGTCTCCGCAGTCCTGCCGCCGCATGCATATGCGCATCGATATGGCTGCTTGATTGTCGCAGCATCTGGAGCATTCAGTTGCATCCCACCTCTGCTTGGCTGGCTTTCCTCAAACCTCTTCAGCACAGCCGCCGTAGGTCTCGCCATCGCTATGAATATAAGTTTTGGTGCCCCAGGGCAAATCGCTGGTGTCTGGATCTATAAAGCGGACGAGAAGGCTAAGGGGTACCCGACTGGTCATTGGGTAAACGCTGGACTGCTTCTCTTTGTGGCAGCTGGCTGCTTGAGCTTGCTTCTCTATTACCGCATGCTCAACAAGAAGATCAGGAGTCAGGGCGGCGATCGGTTCTACAAGTACTAGTTGCACAAAGCGGCGTAAGCACACCGCTCAACAAACAATGCATGTAGCATTCATCCGCTTGCCGTGCTCTCACTCTCCAAACGCTCTGCCTTGTTCAATATTATGGCGTATAGAACGACTGACCGCAAGACGCAGCTAGCACCCACCAATTCCGATATAATCGCCGCAATAACAACGCTGACAGCGCCTTCAAGGTACTTTACTCACCTTTAACGCCCGAGAGAGTCGGTTATTAGGCGCTCATCCTTGATGTGCTCTGCCAATCATTCACACTGCCCTCAGACGGGCAAACATCACCGAAGGTGAAAGGAGGGTTCGTAAGTCCGTGTGAAAGTGACCGTTCCTTTCTTACCTCTCCCTCAGCGATCAATCGAGATGGTCCGGCCGGGTCTAGCTCGACGGCATGTTCCGTGTCAATAGTGTCGCAGGAGGAAGGCACGCAAGCTTGGGCAAGAACGAAGCTCGCACTGTAAACACAACTCCGCTTTGCCGTCCAAACAAGCGTTTCTACCGGACACCCAATATCGACATCACAGCACAAAGCAAGGCAGCTCACTCGACCAGACTCGACTCACGGTGATGTGCTTCCAAGGCTTCGTCTACTTCGCCTGCGGGCACTCACGGATCGTATATAATGACTGTGCGGTCGCGACAACAACCGGCCTCCCGTACTTCAACCGCACCCTCTGCCCTAATTACACTATCGATCACCAGCAGGCTCCCAACCCGTGCGGTCTCGGCGGCTTCTACTGTAGTCATGACCAAGCCGGCACGCTGTTCGACCAGTACTATGCCCAGTTCAGGGCCGCGGAGAACTCCCTACGCAACGCAGACATGGTGCTGGCTAACATCAGGTCCAAAGTTCCGCGGCTGCGGCAGGAGGTGCAACGAAGCGGCATGACTCCTAAGCAGCTCAGGGCTCATCATAGCGTGATCACCTTTACAAACCAGCTGAACCGCAGTACCCAGCAGCAAGCTGCAGCACTTAGGGCGATCGCTGCAGCTCAGAAGATCCTGCTGCAGGGTATAGCCTACTACCAGCTCCGCGCTCAATGGGTGCAGAACGGCGGCAACCCAGCCAATTTCCTACCGTTCGTCCCAAGCGTCGAGTACGGTCAGGTACCCACCCAACCGCGCGATAGGATGTACCTACCTGGTACTCAAGCTCCGGCGGCGCCCAATCTGATCGCGTCTGAGAACACTTCAAGTCAGCCGACTCAGCAGGCGCTGATCCCCATAACCCGCTATCCACTCAGCCCAGACCGTTCAGATGAGCTTGCGGCACCAACATATAATACTCCCATTCTTCCCAATCCCTACCCAGTCCCGGCTTCCTTCCCACCCTCTTCAGGCGATCCACCACCCATGCAGCCGCCAGTCCTGCCGGCCAACAGAGACGGACGCCGCCGCAAAGCCCGGACGCCTGCACCACTAAGAAAGGACAGCGTCATCGAGCTAGAAGACAGTGTGAGACGCAGCACGCGTGTCAGAGGCAAGAGAGTCAGCTATGCTGAGAGCTCCGACTCTGCATCGCGCGAGGCTTCACCCATCAAGTCTGACATCACAGGCTTCACGCCCGAGAGATCTGAAGCATCCAGCTCACCGCCGAAGAAGGGTCGCCCGCGTAAAAAGGCGAAGATGGAGGAGGTCATGGACCCGTTCACATTGTCGACCTCGCTGGGTCAGAAGATGGCCGACTGGAGCAAGCGTGGCGGCGGTCCAACCAAAACACCTTCGCCACTCGCTCACGGTCCTCTGTTCGGTCTCGGAGAGCTCAGCCAGGTCACTTCTCTGCGTACACAGGGTCCATCGCTGGGTGAAGTAGCAGTCTCGCTGCGTGCAAGAAGGTCTGCTGACTTCAAGGCATAGGATTGGACACGACGCCTTTCTCAGACATGCCGACATTGCAGCCGACTCAGGGAAACCAGGATGAGCTTGGCAGGGCGATGAGAATGGCAGCGATACCTTATAGTAAGTCAGATTGACGTAGCAGGCATGCGGCAGGCGGGCAGACGGGCAGGCAAAGCGTGAATGTTCTCTATACCAACGATGGACTCAGGCTGCTGTGTGAGGATGTTGAGTGCGTCTGTGTTACAAAATTCTATTGGGATTGTTGGTGGGTGGGCAGGCAGAGCGTGGTTGTGCGCCATCGCAAATAGCCCCCAATATTGCTCTATGGGAAAGCATCAAAAGCTTATTGTGCAATTACGTTACTGGGAATGATGGTCCCTCGACCCTTTTCCGTGTGTGTAATGTATTCCTCCACTATTATAGCCAGAGGTCCGGACGCTTGTGAACGAGTGAAAGCTATATCGCGTGTATGATGACACTGGGAAGAAGGCACGGTGGCCGACGATACACAATTGACCTTCACCGGGAGCTTCCGCAATCCAGCTTGTCCAGTGGCGCTACATACAGTACATCTTGCATGATTGCGAGTGGATCATGAGCATTTGAAAACGAGTATAAGAGCATGAGTGATGCCTGATGGAGACTCAGATTTGCTCGCACGGCTCAATGCGCTGAAGCCCTCCTCGGTGAGGCTTGATAGCGCGCCGCATGCTCCTTCGATCGACGTAGAGCTTGCTCGCCCGCAGACAGTAGAGGACCGACTTGCGGAGCGACTTAAGAGCCTGCGGTCTGGCGGGATCACAAGTACTCCTACAACGGATACCAGGGATGCTGCTCATCAAGGTCCAGCTAAAGCACTTACTGCACAGGTAAACGATGAGGTAAAAGCGGAAGCTGATCCAATCCGTGACTGGCAGCAGGATCCGGACAACGAGCAGTCGTTAGAGGACTTGATAGCAGATTTGGGTCCAGATGAGCAGTGGCAGCTTGACCCGGAGGATCCAGAGCACATTGCTGGACTTTTGAAAGAAGCGAAGGCTTCGCTTCCGCAACAAGACGGGGCAGGAGCCGGTACATCAAACGTAGATTATGAGTGGCAGCACGTCAATGCAGAGGAAGCGGGCGACGCTGCGGTTAGCACGAAAGCAGAGGATCAACAGGACGAAGAAGCCGCAGACGAGTACGTAAGGAAGGTGCTGGCTGAGCTCGATGCAGAGGAGAAGTACGGCAGCCCTCAGCCACACACGGGAGATGAAGACGGTACGGTGGGATCCCCATCAGACCATCAACTTCCTTCAATACCATCTGCCCTGCCAAAGCCTTCCAACGCCTCGGAGCCGCCGACATACGAAGACAGCGAGCTCGAAGCACGCTTCTCAAAGCTCGGCCTCGACCTCCCTTCCACACCGAGCGCACCGCCTTCAGCAAAACCAAAGGTAATTGCTAGCTTAGGTAGGTCGAAGTCCAAGTCAGGACTTCCGAAGTACACGGACGAAGATATCAACTCCTGGTGCTGCATTTGCAACGAAGACGGCGAAGTGAGATGCCTTGGCTGTGACAGCGACGTCTATTGTCAGAACTGCTGGCGCGAAGGCCATGGCAGCGGACCTGGGCAGGAACGGGGCCATCGTGCTGTGCTGTTTGTACGGAAGGGTGGCGGAGGGTTGGCTGCGGCCTGAGTCTCGAACTCCCTGCGCGTAGACTCGCTTCACAGCGATTAATTCTGGAGGCGTTGACCTCGCTTTCAAGTCAACAGCCGTTTTGCGAATACCACCTGGTATGGGTACAGTGCGGCGTAAATCATGTCTCTGCGGCGTTCTCAGCATGCACGCATGAGACTACCACACTATGCGGTACAAATCATGCCAACGCCACCCGCTAGATGCACATCAGCCCACTTCAATCGCCAGAGTCATCCACGTAGATGCGTCAAGAGAACTTCCACCGATTTCCGCAATTAGTGCCTAAGAGCAACAGGTATCAACATCAGCATGCTCTCAGAAAGCAGTTGGGGTTACGCTCGGGAGCCTGCTTACATTCACAAAACGTTGTCATCGGTTCATCAGCACTGCGTGTCTGCGCTTGGGTGTATGCGACTCGCGACTGCTTGCACTTGTTGCATGTCATGCTAGATCGCTGTCAGTAAACGTACGATGTCAATGCGGAATTTACTGAACGCAAAGAAGACCCCATATCCCACCATCTCCGCCATACAAGAGGGAGAGTGATGGCATATGAGGTCTTTGCAGATGTGCGCCGAGTCTGGCTGTGGTTTATGCGTGCGTGAGTAAGCAAGGGAGGGCAAGTCAATACGTACGTCGTGCTGATCGCCTTCTCCTCCTGCGCCGTCATGGAGGCCTTCATGTTCTCCTTCTCCAGCGCCGCATCCTGCGCCCTCTTCTCCGCGTTCTTGAGCTCGTCGCTCGTCATCGTCACGAAACGCTTCGGCTCGATCTTCCCATTGAACACATCCCGCCTCAACGTCGCATTGCCCTTCATCTTCAGATTCTGGAACAAACTCCGCATCTTCATCTTATACGCTGATGACGTTTCGTTGTTGTGCACAGAGAAGGCGGCAGCTTCTACTGACCGCGCCGCCACTAGGACTTCGTCGGGTGATTCCTCAGACATGTACGCTAGGCCGTTGTAGATCAGACCTATGCAGCCGTTGCGCGTGGTGTCGCCAGTAAGGTCTGTGTTCACCTCATCCGCTGTGAATGTGCGCTTCTCAGGCGGCACTTTACTCTTCCGCGCTGGATTTGACGTCGCAGAAGGCTCCTTCTTAACTCCGTCCGTCTTCGGCGCTGGACTGCTCGTTGCATCCCTGCCGTTCGCTACGCCGTTTATCCCCTTTGCTGCCGGTGCGGGAGAGCCTGTTTTGGACTTCGTCTTAACGTCCGCTTTCCACTTGTTGATCAGTTGGCTGGAGAGTTGCGCGACTTTGGGATCCTTGTTCTGTCGTAAACGGTTGACGGCTATGCCAATTTTACTGTGTCGCAGGAGATCCTCGGTCGCTGTAAAGGTTCGGAGGGGTTGGAGTAGTTGAAGAAGTGTTGAGGGGGGGTCGCCGCTGTCGACTGCCTTGCCTATTTGTCGGCCGGCATCTGAGAGCGCCTTGGCGTCCATAACGATAAGGGTGCGGAAAGAGGATGCGCGTCAGGTGGAGGCCAGCGGATTTGAACGGTCGACGGATGGTGTTCCAAGCGGCACAGGTGAATGTCAATTGGTGGTGGACAAAGGTTTGGCGCATAGAACCTTGGAAGACATGCTGCGGGTAGCTGTAGGTTTGAGGCCACATTCGTCGCCTAAGGCAGACACTGTCGCGTGACTCTCAGACTCAGAGCTCCGCTAGTAGAGCACAAGATGATGAGATGAGATGAGCCGGACAGTGTGGTCTTTGCCACGCATCAGCCTCCAGACAGGTGCAAGACGATCCGCTCCGACCTGTCTGAAACAACAAATAGGGTGTGTTCAGCGTCAAGGGGTAACGCTCATTGATAGTCCAATGAATATACTAAGTGTTCGTCTAGCATAGATGTGAGAAGGACAGTCTCTACCGTCTCACGCCCACTATGCCTGGCTGAACGGCAATCACGCGAACAGGTAGCGTGTGCGCGTCGTGCTTTTACCAGTACAACATGCCTATACAAGAAGGGTGGCAAGGCCGCGCGAGATGAGAAGCAAGCCTCAAGTAGGGATGTCGCAGGCAGCGACGACCCGTTCAACTTCAGCATGCTAGAAGCAGATGTCGCCGCCACCATTGAGCGGCTGAAGAACGACCTTTCCAAGCTTCGCGCCGGTGGTCGCTTCAACCCAGAAGTCCTGGAGAATCTGCGCGTCCAGCCGGACAAAAGCAGCCAGCAGACGGTGAAGCTAAGCGATCTGTCGCAAGTCATTCCAAAAGGCCGCACGGTGCAGATCGTCGTGGGCGAGAAAGACCATGTCAAGCCCACCATGACCGCCATCCAGTCGAGTAACTTGTCTCTCGCGCCTCAACCTGACCCCACCGGAGTCAATCCGCTGCTGCTGGTGATCAATATCCCGCCGCCAACGGCAGAGTCTAGGAAGAAGGTTGTGGATGAGGCCACGAAGGCCGGCGAGAGAGCGAGTACGAGCCTGCGGGATGCGCGAGGGAAGCAGCAGAAGAAGTTGAGGGCGCTGCAGCTGAATAAAAGTGTGCGGCCGGATGATCTGAAGAAGGCGGGTACGATGATGGAGAAGGTTGTAGAGAAGGGCGTGGCAGATGTGAAGAGGGTGGTGGATGGAGCCAAGAAGGTGCTCGAGGGCACTTAATATACTAATGTAAACGAAGTCCTTAGCATGAAATGTCCTTTGTGGTTCCTAGTCCATTGTATGCACCGGCCGGTGTTTGATACTGTCTATCATCCCGAGCTGAGCGTCAGCGGTAGAAGCTGCTCAAAGAGCAATTGTATTGGGTGGGGGTTCCATCACTTCCGGAGTGGGGACAAGGTGCAAAGTCATAAGCTCTTGAAGCCTACAATGGACTACCGTCTCCGCCCAATAACCGGCTTAACAACCGCACTACTCCTGCTCACCGTGGCTTTCTTCGCCATAGGCTTGACCGCAACAGTACCAAGCATCCCATTTTCCTTCTCCCTCTCCCTCCGCCTCACTTCCGCGCGGTCTCTCTCAATCTCCAGCTCCAACTCAGCCTTTTTGCTATACTCAATTTCCCTCACGCCCCTACCATTATAGCCCTTCTCCTTGACGGAGTAGAACACCCCACCGAGATCGGCAAGCCAGTGCGCGTCCACCGCCGTGACGCAGGACATGTACTCCTTGCTCGTTAGAATAAGCTCGTGGTAGACTACATAGTCCGGCGGGTCGCCTGAGTTGAAAAGAGCAGACGTCGGGTGTAACTGCACGGCCACCGATGTCCGAAGGTTGGTGTACTCGCCTAAACCGCGCCGACGGGCGGCTTGGTGGTAGTAGCCGCTGCAGATGCACTCGCGGACAATGTCGAGATCGTAGCCACAACTTACGATCGACATGTCGAGGCTTTTCATAATGTCCGAGATCTGCTCTCGGATCTCACGCGCGCGATGCAGAGCTTTTGGGTGCAAGAAGTGCTTCACGCACCATCCATCCCTACATCCGTTGGCGACCCATTGTTGGTACACCGTCAACAGCGTCAAATGGTCAGAGTCATGAACAAAGAACTTCTCCCGCGCGGCGTCGCTCTCTTCAAGCCGCTCTTTCGGTCGGTAGAAGACGGAGGGTACAGAGAGCATGGAGACGATCGTCAGCATTTCCTCGCTACAATGGTAGATCGTGGCGCTTTTGATGACGAGCTTTGCAAGCGAAGGATCCATAGGAAAGGACGTCATCTTTCGGCCCAAGTCGGTCAGGTCACCTAGATTGGTGAGAGCCCCGAGGGACCAAAGATCGAAGAGGGAGGTGGTGATGGTGTCTTGGGGTGGTGGGTCCATGAAGTCAAAGTCGAGCAGATCCCTGACGCCGAGCGACTTGAGCAGCAGAACAGTGTTGGCGAGGTTCGTGCGCTGGATCTCTGGTATCTGAGCGATATACAGCTCGTCGCGGAAAGCTCGCTCGGTGTACAAGTGAAACGCTTTACCTGGCCCTGTCCGGCCAGCACGTCCAGCACGCTGAGACGCATTTGCTTGTGATATAGGTGTGATCTGGAGCGTGTCCATACCCATGCGTGGATTGTAGACCTTGAGCTTGCTGAAGCCGCAATCCACCACGTACATAATCCCGTCTACTGTCAGACTAGTCTCCGCAATGTTGGTGGCAACAATCACCTTACGCACGCCGGGTGCAGCTCTGTCGAAAATCTTCGCCTGCAGATCCGCTGGCATCTGGGAGTAGATGGGAAGGATGGACAGCTTGGGAGGGTCGTTCAGCTGCGTCAGCCTCTCAGCCACAAGCTCACAGGTCACCTCGATGTCCTCCTGGCCGGTCATGAAAACTAGTATATCGCCTACTGGCTGACTGATGTGGATTGCAAGGACTTGCCTCACGGCGCTGTCGACGTAGTCTTCGCACGGAGAGCGCGAGTACTGAATATCCACCGGAAAGGTACGGCCTGGAATGAAGAATTCCGGTGCTCCACCGTAGAAGCGAGAGAAGCGTTCAGCGTTCATAGTCGCTGAAGTCACAATGAGTTTCAGATCTCTCCGACGCGCGAGCACTTTCTTGATAAGGCCCATAAGCACGTCGGTGTTGAGGGCTCGCTCGTGGGCTTCGTCCATGATAATGCAGCTATACTGGTCCAGGTCCGGATTTGTCAAGCTCTCACGTAACAGTACACCGTCCGTCATGTACTTGATCATCGTCTCTCTGGATGTGCAGTCTTCGAAGCGGATAGCGTAGCCCACAGTGCCGCCTAGTGGAACTTCCATCTCTTCGGACACACGCTTGGCTACGCTCATTGCCGCCACACGGCGCGGCTGTGTGCAGCCGATCACGCCATCCTTGGCGTAGCCATCCTCGTACAGAAACTGAGTGAGCTGGGTTGTCTTGCCAGAGCCAGTCTGTCCTACAACTATCGTGACCTGGTTGTCGCGTATGACCCGTAGTAGCTCCTCCCTAACAGCGAATGCTGGCAAATACTCCCGTTGCTCGCGTAAAGACTTAGTTCGGGAGAAGTCAGATTGACCGGCGTCCTTCTCCTTGAGCGCATCTGCGAACTTCGAGCCCTTATTCTTGCCTTCTCCATTAGCGGCTGGCACCGCAGAATCCGTGTCCTCCTCCTTCACGCCTAGAACGTTGCCGAGAGCCGTACCAGCCACGCCGGTAGCTTCTTGAGCCTGCTTCTGCCTTTCTTTTTGCTGCCGTTTCTCCTTTACCACCTTGCTGCCTTTCCGCGCGAACACGGCCATGTCACTCTGCGGATCTCGGACAGCACTGATCGGTTCCAGCTGCTTCGTGAAAACAGTTTTGCCGTCCAAGAATGGTGGTTTGAGGTCATGAACCAGTAAATGTATTCTCGTGTCATCATTATCGTCCTCGAAGCCTCCGTAGCCCTGGTCCCGAGTCTGCGCAACATTGCTGGCAAGCATACGGTTCGTCTCCCATGCGTCGTTGTCCTTCTGGCGCTGCAAATGCTTCGGGTTTACTCTGCTCCGGACAGCCATTTTCTTCGCCAGCAAGGCCTCCTCGCGCTCGCGATCAGCAGCCGAGTCGCCATAACTTGCGAACGGGTCGTGGTAGTCATCGCCCAAGGCCGCTCCATCTTCTGCGGTATTGTACCAGTCTCGATCTAATGCTTCGACGTTGGTCTCATCGAATCCACCATCAGGCATCGTATCGAACTCCTCCCTCGGCCGTCTGTCGCGCATAGGCATCGAGTCCCGTGAGCTGCCATTTTGGCGGACCGGGGTGCGGTCGTCCCTTCGCAGTCGCGGCTTGATCGTGAGATGTCGACCTTCATCATCTCCGTCGTTCAAGCGCCGACGCTTCGGACTGTGGGGGTTGTAGGCCATTTTTAAGTTCGACGTGATTTGTTGGTCGTTGGAAGAGTTTCCATGACCGCACGTGTCATGCAGTGCATCCGAATGATGGGCCGACATGTGCCTGCCAAGAGTTCGATCTCGCCTGCAGAAATTCTTCGAATAAGACTACAGGAAATGGTCGCCAACACAACCTACATGTCATTGACTTGTACAGAGTGTTATAAGTTGACAGGATGTCGATGATCACAGCGACCGCGTGGGTGCCTCGCGGCGCCGCCGCTGCTCACCCGCAAAAGTACCAGTTCGATGAGGAGGAATATGATCGCATTGCCCAAATTGCTCGACATGAATTAGCTGATGCGAAAGACGACCTCCGAAAGGCCAAACAGTCTATCAACACCTCAAATGAGTTGATCGACGACACGGACGGTGGCGTGCCGTTACCAACCTCAAATGGCGCAACCGCCGACGGAACGTCTAGCGATGACCCCGAGCTGGCCGAATACGACATGGATCGATATGACGAAGACATGGATGGCGCTGTCGACTCCAACGCTGAGTCAAAGGCTAACAACAGCATTTTCGGCAATATTCAAGGGCTTGCGTACTACGAAGACGCTTCCGAAGATCCTTACCTAATGTTACCAGAGCAAGGCGATGCTTCAGATGACGACGAGCGGGAGGAGCTTCAAATCCTTCCTACTGACAATCTCATCTTGACAGCAAAAGTGGAAGACGAAGTGGCCTGCCTCGAGCTTCTCGTGATGGAAGGCGAGCAGGATCATCTTTACGTGCACCATGATGTGATGCTTCCTGCAGTGCCGTTGTGTGTTGAATGGTTCGACTTTAGACCGAACAAAGCCTCGGAGACTGGCAATTTTGCTGCAGTCGGAACCATGGAAGCGGACATTGAACTTTGGGATCTAGACGTTGTAGACTCAATGTTCCCTGCAGCGATCCTTGGACAGAACTCGCAAGCCATGCCGGAAGCGCCGTCAGAGCCCGCGACGAAGAAGAAGCGGAAGAAGAGCCAAAAGGTCAACGATGCATACCATGTTGACTCTGTCCTCTCGCTCGCGGCGAACAGACATCATCGAAATCTTCTCGCTTCGGCCTCTGCCGACAAGACCATCAAGCTGTGGGATCTAAACACATGTACCGCGGCTCACTCCTACAGCCACCATACGGACAAAGTCTGCGCTCTCTCTTGGCACCCATCACAGTCGTCAGTGCTGCTGTCTGGGTCGTACGATCGGACAATAGTGGCAGCAGACATGCGCGCCCCAAACGCCACCGTCCCGCGTTGGGGTGTCGAAAGTGATGTCGAGCAAGTCCGGTGGGATCCCCATGATGAGCACATCTTCTACGTGAGTACCGAAAGTGGAATGCTGCATTGCTTCGACACGCGCCAACTACCTTCGAGCCCGGAACGAAGCAAGGCGAAATGGCGCCTGCAAGCACACCAAAAGAGTCTATCTTGTTTCTCCATCAATCCGGTCGTGCCAGGCTTCATCGCAACAGCATCTACAGATCGGACCGTCAAGCTTTGGGATGTGTCAGCCGTCACAGCAGCACCATCGATGGTGGTCAGTCGAGATTTGGGCGTGGGAAAGGTGTTCTCTGCCAACTTCGCGCCGGACGAGGCGGTGGCGTTTCGGTTAGCTGTGGCTGGCAGCAAAGGCGCTGTGCAAGTGTGGGATACGAGCACCAACCGCGCTGTGAGGGAAGCTTTTGCGACCAAAGTCAGGATGGCTGGAAGCGATGTCCCCGAAGAGCGACTGATTGGCCTTGAGCGGGATGATGAAATGGAGGAAGAGGAGGAGGAAGCGGCTGAAGACGGCGGTGAAGGCGGCTGGGAAAGCATGAATGAAGACTGAATGCACCCAAATTTGCACACTGAAACAATGATGCAGTCTCGCCGTGAATCTTAAAGCGACTGTATAAAGCGAATACGGTCCCGAGCCTTCAAACTCTGAAACTCGCAGTATGCGTCGCCAAGAATTGCGCTGCGGCATTTCGAAAGGTATCCGGCGTCAGCGAAAGAGCAGCAGCAGCAAAGTTGACCAATTGCGGCGAAGCAGTTGTCCACTGCGGCCAAGTAATTAGCGGCGCTGGTGTCCCGAGCGCATTTGGATCCAAGCTGTTAATGAAAGAGATGTAGTATTGCTGGACCGCCTGGGTTGGGATCGGCACGTCCGTGGCATCGCCGTAGGCAATGAGAATGTCGCTGGCGTGGAATGTTCCCAGCACGGGTGTTCCGTACAGGTACGTACTGAGGTAGCTCCAAGCCTTGACTTGAGTCGACACCACCGAGAGATATGTGCGGCGAGTCAAAGTGAAGGTGATATCGCCAAGAATAGCTGCCAGGCGCTTGTACTCTGGGTAGATGTTGTTCAGGCTGCCGGTGTTGAACGGGCTACCGTCCGGTTGGCCTAGCAAGGGCTTGTCGGGATAGTAGCTCACGAGCTGCGTAACGTCTGACACAGCGTTGGGATTGCTGGGGAAGTAAGATGCGAGATACGTGATAAGCTCGGCGTTGTTAGTAATGTTGGCCTGGGTAAGCGAGAAGAGAGTACCCTCATCTTGTTGGTCGCCGTTGATGATTGGGACTTTGGCGTAGGCACCGTTGTTGAGAGCGATGTCCGGCGACAGACTCAAGAAGCTATTGCCTGGGTCTGGACGAGGAAGGTAGGCCAGATCGACAGCGCGATAGCCGAAGATCGCAGGGACGGAGTTGGCAGCGGCTAAATACTGCTCATATGGCAATGCTCGGAGGCAAGCCAACCTTTCGGAGCTGCCACTGCACCCTGCTGCCTGTACGACGCTGTTGTAGACGGCTTGCGCTTGAGGAGCGGTGACTGGATCCGCCGGCGTTACGGAGCCCGAGTCCATGATGGCGCCTCGAAACAAGGCCTTGCCTTTGTAAGTGTTATCGCCGCCGTTGATAATCGTCTGATCGAAGACGGAGATTGCGCCGGCAGACTCGCCCCAGATCGTCCTGCCGTCTTTGTCAGTAACTGGTCCTGAACCGACTAGCAATGCGGACGGGCGTACACTTTCGTGGGATCTCCGCCGAACGCAGCTATGTTCTCCGCAACCCACTCCAGGCCCAGACGCTGATCACGAAGACCGAGATTGGTGGAGCCCTCGGAAGCCAAGTCGCTGCCTGCGAGGAAACCGAATCCGCCAAGTCTGGCTTGACAAGTCAGCGCTCAGCCATCGGTTGAAGTTGTTCGGTTCCGATGTACTTACCTGTAGTTGACAGCTACATAGACAATGGGCTTGCCAAGAGACACACTCCTTTGAATTAAATTCGTTGCATCGTAGCTCTGAGTGGACCCGAACTCGAAACCTCCGCCTTGAGCAATTACTCAGCAAGGCCTTCATAGATTGTCAACGTCGCTTCAATCGACTTACCATAGATCCAGAAGACCACTGGGAGCCCAGCATTCGCAGCTGTGCCAGAAGGTCGTTGGACGTTGAGGGTCAAGCAGTCCTCGCCGGAAACTGTGGCCGCCTGAACGCCCGGCGAGTCAAGTAGGGTGCCAACGACGCCATCTGGGATGTCTGTCGTGTTAGCCTGGAAGTAGAACTGCGGACACGCTGTTGGAGTCCCAGTTGCGGTGATTGTTTCATAAGGTACAGCTATGGTCTGCGGCGGTTTAAGTCGCAACGTTCCGGTTGGTGGCTGAGCAAACGGGACGCCCTTAAAGTTGTCGATGCCGGAAGATGTCGACCCAACAACAGTGCCATTCTGAATCGTAACGCTTGGCGCTGCGGCGCGCTCGGCTACTGGCGCCGTGAGAGCGACAGTGAAGAACGAAAAAATGCAGAACGGCAGCATGATGTGAGCGTTATCCCAGGCGGTCGACAGCGAGGCGTAGGTGGTGTTGCGCCGGATCCACCTCTTGTATAGCCATATTTGTGACTCTCACCAGCCTCGGCTCTGTGCGTGATGGTCGGCAACAAGGGATTTGTGCGGCATCAGAACGTCACGAAGGTTCGCTAGCGATCATTTCCGACTGGAGGGAGCTCGGTGTCCTGTTTCGCACTTGACTAAGACCGGCATTTGAGCGACAGACGGCGTACGGTACCCCAGAATAAGTCGTGTATCTTGCGGGGTTGGCGCCGCGGTGCAGCTGTCATCGCAGGGCAATGCAGATCTTCTGTGGCTCTATGGTTCGGGCATAGATCAAGTGCCCCTAACGGACCAATCAAGTGTAATCGACCTTTTCCACGGCCTCGGCACCGTAGTCAAGACACAGACAGAGTTTCGGAAATGCTTGGTTAGATGACCCTTATTAGCACTATCTCACCGAGGCGACACGCATCGCGCCGTCTAGGTGGGATATTTTGTGACAGCTGGCTCAAATAGATATACCGAGGCAAGGACAACCTACGTAAGACAGTTGTCAGTGAGCACTGGGACGGCACGAGACGCAATGGCAACAGTGCCATAGACTTTGCCAAACCTCCTCTCTACATTTTCGGTACAGTGAAGACACTCCGTTGCGTTTCAGTGGTACCTTTGGCTTCGGCTCCAACCCTTGCGGTTGAATCCTTCCCTCTCTGTCAACGTGCAATCAACACTCCACTGAGTGCCGGTCCTCTCGCCTACGGGATGCCAAAGATGTCGGAACGACTCTGGACTTTGCTTGAACATGCTGCCCGCTCTGCCACCTCTGACGTAAACTTCGCGAGCCGGATTTGATCCGACCTGCCTCCCAACACTTAGCGATGAGGACCTGAGTTTCAGAATGCTAACCAGGTTGCACGCAGCCTAAATCTGAACATCCTGGCTCCAGAGATGCAGGACTTCCGAGCAGAGAACAATGTCGAAGTGTCCTTCCAGCTCGGATAGGGCACCCGAGGCCTTGGTGTCCGTTGACAGTTTGAAGATGTCGCAATGGTAAGACTTGCTCTGGAATGTGCCGCCGTCTTTGAACATTTCATAGCACATGTCCATCAGCACGGGTTTCAAATCCGACCCAACAACATTCTTTGCTGGTGCTGCATCGTATGCCGCACGGCGTAGATTCTGGCCAAGACAGCACCCGGAGTCGATCATGGTCTCACCATCCTGCAGCTCTTTCATTATGTCGCCAGATGCTGGATGCAATGCAGAATCAATTCAAAGCGAAGCGTCCAAAGCACGGGGACGGCACGATCGGAAAGGCATAGTGCGCACAGCGACGACGTGACCTTCAACTTTGTCTCGAGGCAGACCGACGTACTGCTGGAAGAAATCGTAGACTTCAGGCTTGATAGATCTTGGAGCGTCTTGGAACCACGGCTGTGGTGGGCTCGGGCCGCTCATGCTGTAGTTTAACGGTCAAGGTCGTCTCCTGTATTTTCGTAATCAAGAGATACACCTGGAGACGACCGAGGGATGCCATAGTCATCAATCAAACCAGATGCGGGCGATCTTACAGTGGTAATGTCCGTGGGTTGGGGCCACGACGTTGTGCTGGGCTGCAGCGGCCCCTACACCTCATTGCAAGTTCTATGCTTTAACAATCCTTGCCCGTGCCTACCTTACCTGGGTATATGAATGCTTAGTGTAGAGTGCATGGATGAGCGGTAGCAGTATGCACGAGAACATAAGCACGGCAGAGATGCACGAGGTACTGCAGCGGACGGGAAATGCCCCACGGAAGATGGTGAAGTTGCGTAGCACAAAGAAACACGGGCGGCATGACATCACCTCTCATCATGCGCTTTCGTGCTCTCTGAAATAGTGAACAGTGGTTGCGACTGTACTGCCACATAAATCACATTGATCAGCTTAACGCTTCTAGCTCAACTTCGAAACTCACTTCTAGCACACGATCACGTGAAAAGCTACTGCCAAGATGTCCGGCAACTACCAAGCATATCAGGCAAGTCCCACTGCCCGGGTTGCTCTTTGCGCAAGGCTGACGACTCTGAACAGGGCCTGAGCCCGGAGGATCAACGCATTCTCCAAGAGGCACACGCCAAACTAGGTCCGAACGAGAAGCAGGTCGTCCAAGATCATTATCAGCAGCAAAACAACCCAGATCACCCAGCAAACCCGCAGCACAAAGACCACCGTAGGTGATGCTCTGTACTCACGCTATGCCCAGTGGCCTGGCAGACTGCTAACACAGTATGCGTGTGTTGTAGACAAGTTCAAGGAGGCCATGGGCGGCATCGCCGGCAAGTTAGGCAATGCCGCGGTCTTCGGTTTCGGGGCGACTGCTGGTGCGGATCTGTTCAATAAGCTCTTCTAAGCTGTCCAAGACGCGTAGGGTGGTGTGCATGTTTACGACCTTCTACGACTCCATGGCTGCTGTGTAATTGGACTGATAGAGCGGAGATTAAGCATTCGGCTTCTTCTGCAAGAATTCACCTTACACACTCTTGTTCTGGTATTGACAGAAAGCGCGTCTGTATTGACACTCTTTCACTAGAACAGTTGCCCACCTGTTGCCGCGCCATTGTTATTACGGTAAAGCTCAGTAGCACAGGCGCGCAACGTTTCGTGGCATCAGGCGGTCCTTTTGACTGTTCATGTTCACTAAGACTCCTACCATGTAGGTCGGGAATCAGTCATCCAGTAAACCTGTGTTGCGTAGTTCTTGACGGTAGTCGATTCAGGTTGTGATATTTGGTCGTCTCTCGGCCTAAGATATGTAACTCAGTCTAGGCCGCTATGGTCGTAATGGAATGCTCATATCGGGTTGTACGACTTTCTCCAGATGGACCTGTCTATTCAGTGCCTGCGCTTGCGCAACAGCTGACGTTGACCCGTTATCAATCACCAACGGAACGGTGAGACTACAACGAGTTAATCTGATATAGTCCTGGCGCGGCTTGTGGCTGAACTAAGCGGAGATGTCCGTGGTCGGAAAGGTTGCACGTTGTGCACGTGGGGACAAGATGACTGCGTGGGCTAAGCGCTGCGAGGCGGGCAAGCGGAGCACGTGTGAAGACGTACCGAGGAACCCTCTCTGCAAGAACACGAACACGAGGGTTTCGCCGTATCTACGATAAAAGTGTGGTTCCTTGGAAATGCCCGGTTGGCGGAGTCCGAAAGAAAGCGTTTGTTGCTTCTTCCGCTGGCGGCGGCTGGCTGGGTCCCTCCGTCTCTCAACGAATCGAACGCGTGGCGGCGAGACGCTACCCAGGGGGCCTGACTGCTCTGGATGAAGCTTCACTTTTTTTTGGGTTCCAAGTCCGGCGCCGGGTTGCATTCTGCGGCGCATGCCATGAGCTAGTCTTTTAATGATACAGTAGTAATGGACTCTGTCCTGCCCATAGTACAACATCGGTCATCCTGCCGCATGCCCGCCAGCATCCATCCGCTCTGTGACAGCCGTATTGTTTGCTGTTGTGACCAATGCCACAGGAGGAAGCGGTACCGTTCCTGGGCATTAGCCGACAAGGGCATGCGCGATTAGTCCAGAATGCGCGTGCATGGTTGTCTCGAGGTTAGTCGCTGGCGCAACACTGCTCTATTGGCGGGACATCATCTTACAAGACAGCAGTCACGCGCAAACAAGCATTTGTCGCTGTTGGAACACTGACTACCCTCCTAATACTCGTCTCTCTTGCCCATCCATCTAGTCCAGCAAGATCAGTCATCGCATCCAGCACTGGCATCCTGCCCACGGTTACCACATCAACCTCATCGCAATGCGGCCTTGACTGGCCGAACTCCAAAGGTATCAGGACACCAATCAATGTCGACGTCAAGGCCTTGACTTCGTTCTGGCCCGAGTTGAGTCGATCGCTGGAACAACATGGCTTCGACCTTCCAACTCTGGAGCAGCCGCCATGGATGGCCGCCCCTGCCTCTCCAGAGGACATTAGAGACCGATCAAGCTTGTTAACCGAAGACCAATACACATTGATCCGTGACCGTCAAGCGGAATTTCTGAATGACATCCCACCGTATCCAAAAGCCTTCAAAGGTAGAGGCATCATTATGCTGGCCGGTGGGTCCTACTCCGAGTACGCAGTAACCTCGCTCGGCGTACTACGTGGCACGGGTTGTAAGCTACCAGTTGAAGTGTGGAGACGAGACGAGCGCGAAGAGAAGAAGGATTGGTGCAAAGAGATTGAGTCGCAAGGCATGGTGTGTCGGCGATTGTCCGATTATCTTGACACGGACCTCTTGAAGATCGCAGACGGAAAGGAGTTGAAGATTTTTACCATGTTGTTTTCAAGTTTCGAGGAGATACTGTTCATGGATGCGGACAATCTTGCGATACAGGCGCCGGAAATCCTCTTCGAGTCGAATGCATACAAGGAGACTGGAGTTATGTTATGGCCGGACTTTTGGGATTACGACAACATAGATTGGCTCGACTACGCGATAGGTATCGCTGATAATCAGTCAGAGGCGCTTTGGGGAACGAGGACGTACGAAAGTGGGCAAGTGTTGTGGAACAAGAAGAAGCACTGGAAGTCGCTACTGCTTGCGACGTACTATAACTGGCATGGACCCCAGCTCTATTACACGCTGATGAACATCGGATGGGCCGGCTGGGGAGACAAGGACACTTTTCCAATGGCGCTGCGAGCCCTCAAGGAACCATTCCACACCGTGCAATATCCACCTACCGATACTTGGGTCATTGGACGCATTGCCGACAGGCGTATTGGCATGATCCAGATGGAGCCAGTGATACCGCAAGGTCGCGAGGAGGCGAAGGCATTCTTCATGCACAGCACGTCCATGAAATGGTCCCACCGCGATATGTTCTGCGTCAGGTGTCTGCCCATCTGGCATACCGACTCGTCCACGGATGGCTACAATAGCCGATACGAAGATGAGTTCGCCGAGTTCTACAACGAACTCCACAACTCCGTAAAGTTAATGGACGAAGATGCCCGTCAATACTGTCCAGACAATCTGGATCCAGAAATCAAGATCTGGCGAGCCATGGAGCATGCGGCATGCCGGTCAAAAGCATGGCGTCACGGCAGAACTTGCGAGGCTATGCGGAGATACATGATGGACACGTTCGGCTTCGAATTCGAGTACGAGAACGGGAAGCGCCACAATTTCACGGATGTGCCCTCGATGCAAGATGCCGTCTGCTTAGTCGACCCTATTTGATGCATTATCGTGACCGCGCATCATATGTTGGCTTACCATATATAAGGAACAGACATAACGCCGAGCTCGTCGCCTAGTGCCCGAGCAGGCCACCTTCGACGCTTGCTCGGTAATGCTACCCCTCAAGCTGACGGCGGCCTCGAACCGGACTTTCAGTCGTCCGATTGTGCGCGGGTTTAGGCACTTGTGCAGCACACATATTTTCACAAGATGTGCTTACGCGAATGCGAACGGTAACCCTGCAGCCTAGGAAACCGGCGTACCATCCGCAGGCGTCCAATCTGCGGACGGCCAAGGGAAGCGGCCGACGCCGGGCTTTACGGCATTCGGGTGTCTTGACGACCTTTTCATCCGGCTTTTGCGGATAGCGGACAATTTTTGATTGTTCACATGCAACCTCATGCATGAACCACCGCTGACTCAACGACTCTGCATGGACAAGTTTTGTGCCGGTTGCCCGTCAGACAAATACCTGTATTACGCACCGTATGTATAGAGCATAGATACCCTCCTGTTAACTTACTTCCCGTATCTCCCTCCACTTCCACGTTTTGCTGAAGTGCTTGCCAACTGCGACACAGTCCACTGTCCGACTAGGCTATCATGGAAGAACATCCGTCTACTCTACCTTCGAGTGACTTCTCCTGCGGAACGTACCGACGGCAGCTCGCAGAATATCATCGACAGCAACGCGCGAGCATTCTGTCACCCCAGCAAGCTGTCACTTCCAGCTTCAAATGGCGACCGGGAGTCGAACAGATCACCGGCGAGGCGATTGTCACGCTTGTTTCCACTCGACCAGGTCTCGAGACAGTATCAAGTCGGCGCACCGTCAGTAATGGAAGCAGCACTACAGCCGCCAGCCTCTCAAGTCAGTCACCGGAGAGTGTCCCAAATCAGAGGTCTACTCCTTCCCGCTCCCCCAGGCCTGTCACCGTACTTGGAGTTAGTGGGTCGACACAGGCCGAGTCCTACGCCGCAGGAACGCCGCCACCCTTGACTGCGTCAAGTATGCTAGACCGGAAGGCTAAACGGAGCAGTCGGAGCTTCTTCAGCCTGTTTCGACATTGAAAGGCAAAGTCTACATCGCTTTGAGTCGTCAGATCAAGTCTCATGATTGGTGGGAAAGTCCTGGACTCGGTTTATGATCTAATGGTTGGTTCCAGCGATGGTGTTCAAGGCAAGGGCTCTGGCGACGAGTGTTTCGGGTATGATAGCGCATTTCTCGCTGCTGTGGCCTTGGTTCGTGTTCATCGCGCTTATGGCAGGGTGCTACTGTAGAGCGAGGCGTCTGGTGGCCAGGATATTGTCAGCCCTAGGAGCAATCTAATGAGCTTACGACATCAATCACACATAATTAGTGAATAGACATTGAGGGAGGGGTTTTAAAGATTCTTCGTCCTGTCTTCAGCCATCTTCACGGCGAGCTTCGTGCAGACAACTACAGCTTCTTTCGGCACTGAGTCCATGTTTGCCGCTAAATGTGAGGATCAGAAGCAACATCACCTATGTCCGGTTGATTCGGACTAACCTATACATTCGACATATCAAGCTCGATCGGGAAAGTGACTATTCGCTGGCAGTACGTGGCGGCAATGTTAGTTGGCCGAAGCTGCGATGCGCCCGTGGAGAGAGTGCTTTAGAGTTCGTTTCGAACGTGATGATAAAGTTAAGGGCGAGATAGTCAGCGACAACGTATCCTTGTGAAAGTTCGCCCATGGCAAAGCAGTTGCTGAGCTATGCTAACGCGGCAGCTGTAGCCATGCCTGTGGACCTGGAACTCCGGCCATGCGAAGGGGCAGAATCAACCGCTCAATGGTGGAGGACGAATCTTGAACATACGCGTGGGGCAAACCATTTCATCTTGACTTCCTGATCTGCTGACGAACTCGATAATCCACGCATTGTGTGTTGCTTTCGAGTGCTCTTCTGTACTCTATTGCAGGTAGTGAGACTCCTTCTATAGATTGGAGCTCGCTGCGCTTGAGGCGAGTTTGGAACTCTCAAATACGGCTAGCGCAAGTCGATGAATTGAAGGCCTCGGAAGATCTCATCGACCTAATATGCAGTAAGAACAGTGCGGAGGTGCGGGAGTAGCAAGGCAATCGGTCGATATTCCTTTGTTCATTCCGTCTCAATTGTGTTTCCGCCTGACCAGCAGCGCTGATACTCTACCCTCTCCATTCAACTTGGCGCTGCCATCAAGGTCATGCAGCTCATCCGCGCTTCTCACAAGCCCGAGGCGGCATCACGGCAGCCTACTGAAACATTTACGGGAACAGTACACATGGTGAAGCTGCCTCTTCCTGCCCCTCTCCCCTCTCTTACACCGTAGCAGGACCCGATCTTCACCGCAGATGACTGCATGGGCAATAATGTTTGCTTCACGCCGGGAGCCCGCACATTCTGGCACTATCACGAACGAGGCCAGATCCTGACCGTTACATTGGGCTACGGTTTGGTCTGCTCAGAAGGTCAGGCACCTCGGCGGTTGCAAGTTGGCGACATGGTTCATGTACCTGCGGGCGAAAAGCACTGGCATGGTGGCACAAACACAACCTGCATGGCACATACTGCCATCTCACTCGGCAGTCCGTGCGCCACTCATTGAAATGAACTCTCCTGCTAACACAATAGGTAGAGACAACATGGCTCGGCGAGGTAGACCAGGGAGAATACGAGAAAGCGCACGAGTCTGCACATTAGATGGAACGTACGATCTAAACGCGCTGTGTCCTTGGCGCAAGCGAAGCAGTTCAATATGCGTGATATTGTAAAGCATGGCCTTTGCAATCCGTCGGCAGCATCGCATTATTCAGCCCCGTATTGAATGGAGCGCTCTTGGCGCTGGTGACGCGGTGGCGTTCAACACGTCTCTCTGTCAAGCGTACATACCACCCACATACGACTAACCTGACCACTGTGCAGCATCTAGCTCGCCTGCAAGCGATAGGTATGGAAGGGCGCTGCCAATGCGGTCAAATCACCTTTGTGACACCGACAGACAAGCCTCAGGCGATCTTCATCTGCCATTGCTTGGAGTGTAGGCATCAGTCTTCTTCAGCCTATGGCATCAGTGCGATATTTCCAGCCTTCAACATCGAGGCGCCGAATCCGAGCGCTATTGCAGTCTACAGTCGACCAAGCAGTACCGGAGAAACGAGAGGAACTTTTTGCACCACCTGCGGAAGTCGTTTGATGCATCAGCATATCTCCTTCGAAGGGACACTTAGTCCGAGGGTAGCAGTCAAAGCCGGTTGTCTCGATGGCCTTACCAAGGATATGCTGCGAACGGCTATGCATATCTGGACGAAGCGAGCTATCACCAGCATCCCCGAATGCTCAGAAGCTTACGACGAGGATCCGCCGCGCTCCTAAGTCAGCAACTGAGTTATCACACGACTCATGGAAAGCCACAAGTGCAACCGAGCAGCAGCTCGGGCTTTGAGGTTCTTAGAGCGCACAAGCATGGAATCTGTCCGGTTTCAAGGGGTGGCGACAGGCACGGTCTTACTTAGGGGGCGAGGTCAACTGGCGACCCAATGCGCTCCCTGTGGCAAACCTTTCAAAACTCCTGTCAACCTGCTCAAAACGCTTCTCGTCCGACAGATCATATTGCTATACTCGCGAAGCTTGAGCTCGGTCATGCCCGAGTTCCAGCCGAATGGGCCCCTCATCGGCCAACTTCGCCGCAGCACATCATCTCACGCAAGCATTCGTTGCCAATCTACCTGAGCACGCAATCGCTTGCAGGTGCTGTGACCATGCCAATATTAGAGTAAGTGATGTTCCGTGTTTCTTTTTTCCTGTTACTCGAACTTCCTGCTTCGAATGAGCTATGGCACCAGCTCTGGTAGAAACACCCTCGTTCAATGGTCCCTCAGGCCTTGATAAGAAGCTCTTCCCGGACGGTCTGAAGACGTCCGGACAGCATCCGCCAGATTATTCGCTTGTCCGACCTTACGATGCTTTCCCAAAGCAGATTACTGGTCAAACAGTTTGGCAGGCTGAAGACTACCAACAGCATCCCGAGCGCTGGACGCACATCTTTAGCGATGAGGAAGTTGCTGAGCTCGGCGAAGCCGCAGACAACTTTATTGCCTCAGGTGTACCACTGACAGGCATGACGAAAGAGCGATTTCCCTTGCCAACATTGGAACCATTCTTTGAGAGCGTTCGGAATGAAGTTATCAACGGCAAAGGTTTCATTCTGTTCAAGGGCATACCAGTCCAGGAATGGAGCCTTCAGAAGTCCGCAACTGCTTATCTTGGCTTTGGTGCCTATTTCGGCTACTTCACCTCGCAGAACGGACAAGGACACATCCTCGGCCACGTTAAGGATTTGGGCGAAGACCCTACGCAGAAGGATAGAGTGCGAATTTACCGGACGAACGCGAAGCAGCCGTACCATACCGATGCAGCGGATTTGGTTGGTCTGTTGTGCATCGCCAAAGCTCTGGAAGGTGGTGAATCCGACATTTTGTCAACGCACCATCTCTTCAATCATCTTCAGAGGGAGCATCCAGATGTGGTTGAGACACTGACGACACCTAACTGGTATTTCGATCGCAAAGGAGAAGTGAGCGAGGGTGAAGATCCATACTACAGATCGGCTCCTATGCTTCTAGAGAACGACCCCAACGGCGGGGCGCGCGTATGGACCCGTCTGGACCCAAACTACGTGATTTCTCTTGCACGCTACAACTCCGGACCAAACGCCAGGATCCCTCCGTTGTCCGCCAAGCAAAAGCATGCGCTCGATGTCTGGGACAAGACTTGCTCGGAGCTATCCCTTCACATGATACTCGACCCAGGCGACATTCAGCTCCTAAGTAATTCGCATGTACTTCACGCGCGGACGGCGTATAAGGACTATCCCCCGGGCTCTGTTAACGAAGATGGGAGGCCAAGAGTTCGGCGGCACCTGATGAGGTTGTGGCTTGCTGTGCCGGAAACTGAAGGCGGGTGGAAGATCCCTTTTGCTGACAGCAAGGAGCGCAAGAGGGGCGGCATCCAGGTCAACGATGTGCCGCCTGTTTGCCCACTGGACGCTGAGTAGTCCTTGGCTTGATTTTTGCATTTGACAACGTTTCAGCTGGCAAGAGTTCGCACTATAGATGGACAGTTGGTAGGACTCTACGCAAAGCCACGTACCGCTCTCCACGTTATGTCAGTAGGATGGCCACGATTCAACGCTGACTCACGCCTGGCTATTCTCGATTACAAGATTCCAAGGCTGGTCTAGAGTCAGGAACCGCCTACGGTATCTAAGCGCGTCGCTGACCGTATGCGGACCCAGGTTCACCGGAGCAACCTGCGAGTACTGATAGCTTGTGGAAGCATTATCAGGCGACATCGTGCAGCTGGTTGGGGCCTGTACAAGGGCGCCTTTTCCGAGCTTCAGCCGAAGATCTAGTTATACTCGGACGTAAAGCCGTCTATTTCCATTACCTCCCCAATGCCTACATCTATATCCACCATCTGCTCCATTTCAGCCATGACAGCTTTCTCAGTCGGTATTGCCGCCCACGGCTTCTCTGGCAGCGCCTTCAGCATGTCACCATTCGCTTCCAGCATGTCCAGCGCGCCCTGTATCCAGTGCGCCTTCTTCGCACTCATGCTGAGCGTCCACTGATACTCGTGCAGTCTGCTAGCGTAAAAAGCCGCCTCCTCTCTTCCCGGGCTCGTAGCTTGCAATAATGCCCCAAATGTGCCTATCAGTGCAAAATTGTTTGTAGAGGGGAAGTACCAAAAGGCGTGGAGATGCTCGGGCTTGAGCCGGTTGACGAAGTCCATGGCGCTTATGAGACGTGTCTTGGCCGCGGATCTGCAAATGTAAAGCAAATACGGCTCAGCATGCTTGGTGTCCAGTGATTGTACAATACGCCGATGGATGCTGATCTCGGCGGCGAAGTAGCCAAGGTGCAGATAGCCAGTGGACGATAGCTCTCCTGCTGTATAATTGTCCATCTTGCACTCAGTCGGTAGCTTAGCAAACCACTCCTTCAGCTTGATCTGCACCGGTTTGGCACGGTTCAGCACGAGTTGCGTGGCGAACCGTCCAGCGCGAGCGTAATCAGCTTTAGCTGTCTCCGAGTAGAAAGTCTCGTAGACTTCTGCCATGATGCCGGTGAGTTTGATCATCTGCATGAAAACCGTTCGACCATGGGCTAACTGAGGTTCTGTTACCTCCTGGACTCGCGTTAGTGTGGGATCGATGCTTTCGTCAAAGTCCTGCTCAGTCGGTTGCTGTACAACCCAGTCTGCCGGGTTGATATGTGAGGGTCGGCCATGCATCACAGCACTCCACTTGTCCTGCATGTAAAGTGCCCAAGCAAGGCGTTTGCGCAAGCGCCGCTCCCAAACTGGTATCGACCAACTCGAGCAGTCAAGGTGCAAGCCTATGTCCTGCCCTAGGGCGACAAGCTGCACGGTCAAAGTCCATGTGCTAGATTTAGCTCGCTGCAGCAATAACAAGCCCGCTTGTACTGCTGAGATCTTTGGCCGCTGCATTGCTACCGTCAAGGCGGTTACGGCAATATACTCCAGCCTTGCTACATCCGGCTTTGTGTGTTTGGCCAGCTCAGGATCCTGCTCCCACCATGATAGTGCAAGTAAATACATCGCTGCCAGCAACGGCGGGTTGAACTGCTTGTCACCATGTCTGTGCCGGTCTAGAAAAGCTTGCTCCTGGATGATGGGATAGCTAGGCTGCACGTTGCGGAAGTAGATGTCAATCAAGGCTGGCTCATGCGGTCCTACGATGCGTTCAATCTCCGCAAGCGCTCGTGCCTCGTCGTCCGGGATTTGAACGTCGGCATCTGCGTGTATGCTAAAGTACTCGTTGCAATTGACTTGCCGGAGAATGCCATGCCGCGACTGCGTTTCATTCTTCTCGTTGAAAGAGCCGAGTCTAATCAGCGAAGAGTCTAGAGCTGTCGTTTGTCCCAGGAGTTTGCAATGGCGATGTCTTTGCAGGCTCAGGCTTTCATCGACAGCGAAGGGTCTCCTCAACGGTACAGATGCCTGGTTTGATGGGAGACGCTCTATCGAGTTTGTATGGTGCTGTGGCTCTGCGCGAGCGGAGCCAACTGTTGGAGTGGCCACTGGCCTTGTCGGAGTAAGTTCAGCGTCCGTGCCATCATCGACCTTGCGCTTGCGTGGCTGTGCTTTCTCGACGAAGGTGCACTCTTGCTTGTGGAACTCACATAGCACACATCGGCCGGAGTCTTGGAGCACACATTTGCTCTTTCGCCTCCGGCAGCCATCGCAAGGTCGCTCCTTCCGTGATCGAGAAGGAGGTGCAGACTGTTGAAGCTGCTTCAGAGCAGGCCGGGTCTCTTTGCTGTCCATGAAGGAGAGCGGCGAAGACCAAGCAACGATAGGTTTAGGCGCCAGTGGCGGAGCAGCCAGTACTGTAGCCATTGCTGCAGCCGAAGCAAGCAGTGTGAAGTGGTTTGACGTAGTGGCTGCTATCGCGATAGGCAGTAAGTGACGGCCTCAGAAGCTCCACCTTCCGTCTCCCGGGTGTGGAGAGCCTTTGATATGGCAGCGCTACTGTTCGCAGCGCGGTGCTCGTATCTATGTTGCGTAAGCAGCTTATCAATAGTCGCTGTTATGGTTGAAACATCAAGAGCAGAGCCGGAGATGAAACGATCAAGTCTACAGGTATAGGACAGCGTGACTGTGTCCGGTGTGCTTTCAGTCTCGGAATTTGCAAGACGGAAAGGGACGTGAGGTGCGCTCTTACTTAGCAGCATGGCATAAGAAACAGAAATGCTCAACAAACCTTCCACACCCTCTCCCAATGCCAGACGGTATCCTCATCCAAGCGTGTCACAGTTCGTGAGCATTAGCAAACGGATACATAAGAGAAACATGAAAGCAGTAAGGACAACCATGGCAGATAGATAAGACGACGAACAGCCAATAAGATCGTCATCGAGTCGGATGCGCTTCGGAGCGGGTGAATCCGTCTATTACAAGGGTCCTGTCCCCGCGTGGGTGGTTTGTCGTCGAAGTAGCCACAGTGATCGCGCTGCTTCTACGTGCCTTCCTAGTTTGCAAGAGAGTAGCATCGCTTGATACTATATGATTGCTCTTGAAGACTAACATACTTTAGGCAGGGAGTGCATCTTTCGGCGTCACGGCCGCACCCTTTACTGCATTCGAGCTTGGCGCGTCCACAGCCACTTCGGGCTGTACCATCCCACCAGTGCCTCCAGCGCTTAATCGAGCCTGTCTCGCCCTCCGCTTCGCTTCACGCTTGCTGATCGGCTTGTCCACCAATTCAGCTCCACCCTCAGTATCGTCTTCCGCCTTTCGTTTCTGACCGCTAACAGCAGACGCTTGGCCCTTGGCCTTCAAGCTGCCAACACCGCTCGCCTGCTGGGTTGGGTTAGTAGATGCCGGCTTTTCGCCACCATACACGACGTCAATGACGCCTCTGTAACTCGTTCGCTTCAGCTGCGCGGTCACCACAACACTACGCGGCTCTTTGCTCATCGCTTCAAAGCCGCGTTCTTGACCAAGACCCCAGACTGTTGCCAGATTGATTGCGTCCCATGGTCCGCGACATCCGACCGCTGCCTTTGCCTCGGAGCTAATGATGAGGCCTCTGCCTCTGCTGGCTCGTATGAGCTGGGTAGCGTTACTGATTAGATTGCGCCTCGCCGAGCTGTCGCCCAAGACGCCCTGGCTGTAGCAGATTTCGAAGCGCTTCCCGCTCTTTATGGCTTCTGAGAGCATCTTGTACTTGAAGTAGTATGGCAGGCGCTGAGTCATGTCAAGGCTAATGACATCACAGTCCAGACTGCTGCACGCGAGCTGCAGTGTGCGCTCGTCGATGGGACGGACGGCCAGGACATCGTAAGCGCGTGCCAACTCTGCAAGGCGCGCGTTTTGGTATGACTCGGTCAGTGTCAGGGTTACTCGCCGTCGTATATCGATCTTTTTCGGCAGGTCTTTGAAGGGTAGCGGATCAGGTATTGCGCAACTCTGCTAGGCGGTTAGCGACGCCACAGATGGGCTCAATACTGAGGTCGAACATACAATCTGCGCTGGCAGTTTCCCGGTTACGATGTGGTTGAGTGCGATGACATTGTAACCGAGCTCATGCAGAAAAGCTACGGTTCTTGGCAATTGCTGGTCGTTTGCGGAAAATGGTACATTAAGGTCGTAGAAGCTCATGTTTGCGGTGGCCTTGCCGCCATTTACGCATTGCGTATCCGTAAGACTGACTTGGGCGCAAGGAAGTGCTCATCGTTCACACGTTTGCGGGTGGGAGAGTCCGGCATACTGGAACAAGCATCGAAAGACACGTCGAGAAGCTCGCTCTCAAGATTGACGGAGTTTCGGCGATTTTGCGCTAAGCCTATAGCAATCGTGCAGTCACGTGCTTGTGCGGATGAACTCCAGTCCATGTGAATGGCGTCCCCATTTTGCAATTCGCCACGACAGAGTCTGTGTGATGCCAATTGTGTCTATGGTAGTGGTGCAGACCATGCTGTTATAGGTTGGAAGCTGTGTGGAGCAGGTCTCGAATGTCGTGCAACCTGTCAGCTTACTGTCCCGGGTCCGCGTACTACGTATATGCTATACGGAACTAGCAGGCCACCCAGCTATGCTCGTGTCTGACCAGTGTCAGCGGCAGCCACACCGCGACGCGCAATGCCAGCTGGCCATCTGCGAGTCTATAAAGGGTTACGCGCCTTCACCGTGTCCAGCCTATCCAGTCTTGTTCGTTGCAGCTTATGCGGGTACAGATGGCAACCATTTCCGATCCCCACCCCTTGAGCCTTGACTATGGTGACGACTGGCCGGACGCTCCACTGCCTATCTGGCGCCAGCTGTCGCTGACAGCTGCCAGATTCCCAGATAAGCTAGCTCTTGTTTGTCGGCATCAGCCTCCGGGGCTGCATGGCATACAGTCGCTACCAGCGAAAGACCTGCGATGGACTTATGGACAGCTCTTGACAGCGGTCGATCTCCTCTGCATAGCCCTTCAGCGCCATGGCATCTCGGAAGGCATGTCACTGGTCACCTTTCTCAGCAACGGCGCAGAGTTCCCGCTTGCCTTCTGGGCTGCCCACAAGCTGCGATGTCCTTTCATCCCACTTGATCCCAAGAATCTGATCAACCCTGATGAGGCAGAACACCTAGTCTCCATTGCTCAAGTGGCATTGGTTGTGATGGACGATCCGCAAGCAGCTGCATGGTTTGACAGCCTGCATGTTCCATCTGATTGCCCCATCCTCAAGGTCATTGCCGGGAAAACTTGCCCCATCGGGTGGATAAGCTTTGCTGAGCTCCTTGCAGCATCCGAGGAAGTGACAAAGACGGCGATGCCTAGTAGACCACAGGCAGTGTTCAAAGCCAATACCGGAGTTACAGTCAACCCTGTCACGGTGCTTTTTACAAGCGGAACAACCTCGTTCCCGAAAGGTTGTCCACACACTGACCTAACACTAAATGCATTTATGAAGAACCTTGCCCTTGGCGGAGCGTCAACAGAAGACGTCTTTTGCAGTGTTTTGCCGAACAATCATGCGATGGGGTACTTCTACGTCCTCCACTTCTTCTGCAATGGAGGTACAGTAATATATCCGTCTGCGTGGTTTGACGCGGCGGAGATGGCCCATGCGCTGCTTGTTGATTCCGTTTCGCATACGTGCCTTGTCCCTACAGCTCTTCACAGCCTACTCGAACACTGTCGTCAGGACAGCGCAGCGCTGTTCCCACAGCTGATTGATGTGTGCTTGGCCGGGGCCTCTGTCACGCCCGACCATATGCGGCAAGTCATATATACCCTAGGATCTAAAGGCGTTTCAACCGGATTTGGAATGACAGAAGGTAGTCCAGTCTGGGCCGCGCCGGTTACAGACCCGGAGAAGCTGGTCGTAGGCGGTACAACGGTATGCGGCCAAGCTTCACCCGGCGCCCGGATACGCATCTGCGACCCCGAGTCTGGCGAGGTCGTTCTTCGCGGCCTACCTGGGGAGATTCAGCAGTCTGGCCCTGGGTTGATCGATGGCTACATTGGCGGGGATGGTGGAGACAGCTTCTTCACAGATGTGCATGGTCGAAGATGGTTTCGAAGCGGCGACCAAGCCGTAATGCATCTCAATGGTACAGTCTCTATCGTTGGAAGGTACTGCAATTGCTGTCTTTTACAATCTGTCGCCCGTAATCTGACCAATTGCACGCATAGGTACAAAGACATGATCATCCGCGGCGGTGAGAACATCGCGCCAGCAGCGATAGAGCGGGTGCTGAATCAAACAGAGGGCATAGAGGTAAGACAATTGCACAATCGGTCCGTTAGAAGCGTTCATGCTGATCAATCGTGTGAATACAGGCGCAAGTTGTGGCCATCGATGATGAAATCGCCGGCGAACTGCCCGTCGCAATCGTGCGGAGCTTGCCAGGCCCTGATGCGAAGCAATCACTACAAGACGCAGTCAGGACCACAATGGGACCACTTTATGTCCCGGATATGGTCTTGACGCTGCAGGACCTGGGGCTTCACGAGCTCCCACGAACAATGTCCGGGAAAGTACAGAAATCAATGCTCAGGTCCGCCGTCGCAGCGTACAAGGCGTACCGAGGCGTGCCGCTTGACCGCATTCATTCAATCATGTTGAAAGACGCGCCCAGTGGACCACATTTGGTCCAGGAGAGCGTGCTGAAGATCTGGCGAACAACCGGCATCGCACCAGCTGCATTAAACGTGCAACTGCCCTTAACCAATTTTGCGGATTCCATTACGATTATGCGAGTCCGAGATATGTACCGTAAGCGCTTCGGTCAGACTTTGTCTGTCCAGGAGATGATGCAGCACACAACCCTGCAAGCGCAGATCCAGGCTTTGTCTGCAAAGCTGTCCGGTGCCGCACTGACGGAGGAGGCCACACCCATGATCTGGGAAGGGCCACCAAGCCTAGAAGAAATGCAGATCATTGTAGGACCTGAGAACTCCGCCGCGCGTATGAAAGACGTTGCGACTGCAGAACTTGCTTCGACGGGCCTTGACTGGAACCGCGATGTAAGAACAATCATTCAGACTAGCGACTTTACCAACGTTATGCTCGGAAGTGGGCTGATGGATACCTGGAACTTCGCGATTGCCATTACCACTGAAGGCTGCAGTGTTGAGGTCTGTAAGGCAACTGCATGGAAGGCAGGTGTCGGAGATGCTGACGCAGTCTCTACAGGCGCTAAAACGGGCGTTGACCACCGTTCTCAAGAACAATCCGTTATGGTTGTCATGCTACACTTTGGGCGATGCGGACAAAGCTCCCTTCTATGTTGCGCTCAAGCCAACCACACAGCTCTTTGACCAGTCTCTCATCAACAAGGGAAAGCTGTCAAACCTGCTGGAGCTGCAGCAGACTGCAATCACGTACCCACATCGGGAGCATTCGACCGCTCCTGGGCCCTTGTTCCACGCTTTGCTCTACTACATTGAGGAGTCACAGTCTGCCGCTTTCGTCATGTATTGTATGTGAGAGATTGTCTCTGAGATAGGTATGGTCGCTAACTCTACATTAGTACACCATATCCTTCACGATGCTTCAAACATGCGGCTAGTACTCGAGGACCTCAATCAAGCGCTCCGGAACCCCAATCAGCCCTTACGTCCTCACGTATCGTTCGAAGTCTGGGCGGACATGTACACTGCACTTCGCTGCTCGCCCCGAGCGTCTCTTGACGTTGACTGGCACGTCAAGCGCTTGTCACAAATCCACCTGCACCGAAAAGCGCTGTATCCTGCAGCTCGCATTGCTCGTCAATATATCACAGAGAGTCCTGACGGTCTCGAGTACGGGTTCGATGCACCTGCTCTACTTCAGCTGAAGCAGCGACACCCTCACATCACAGCGTCGGTGGTTCTGAAAGCCGCAATGGCGCTGGTTAACATTACCCGCACGAACCATACGCACGCTCTCTTCAGCAACTTTGAGGCCGCTCGTTCTTCCTTTCCTTTCTGGCCTGGCACACTTCGTAACCTGGCCGGAGGGCACAGCGGTAGCGCCCCCATTGGCGAACTAGACGCCTCGGACGTTGCAGGTCCAACAATGAGCGCAGTCACCAATCTAATTGAGATCCGTCGTGAAGAGCATACCATTAACTTTCTGAACCGGCTTCAGGCTGAACAGGCTGAGTTGACTAAGCGAGCACATGCCCCTTGGCTTCGTATCATCGAGAAGCTCAACGCTCTGCACCCAGGCAAGGCCGCTGGAGAGATGTTGCATCAAACGCACGGTACGCAATTCCTTTCGTGGGTGCCGGGGTTCCTCGGTGACTATGACAATGTCAAGGTAGCACAGCTTGCGATCCGATGCGCGATTGGTGTCTTACTTGTCGCTGGTCTTGGAGGACCACAGGCCACAACGTATATGATCGTACTCCGATGGGACGTTGCAAACTACTCACGAGCGCAGACACAGGCTTTCGTAGAAGATGTCGAGAAGGCTGTTCATTGGTTGTTGAACAAGACCAACTGGGACATGCCGGTGAACGAGTTCTTGTCTTTGTACCAAGCCTGTAAGTAGTACAAGTGACAGTTTATGGAAAGCGAGACTGCGTTCTCGAACATAGGCTACTCGTGCAGACTCGATCAGAAGCTGAAAACCACCCTTCTTGACTGGGAGCCAATAGAGGTCTGACATAGTCTGGCAATTGCAAGCGTTTGGTGCCGATGCCTTGGGATCATCAGGAGCAACAAAACGTTGAGCAGAGGTAAGCCTGGGAGTTTGGTACCGATTAGTCATCGTCTGAGGCCGCAGTACATGCAGCGGCTCCTACCACACGACATGGCGCCTCCGTTCAACTGTTCACCAATGTTCCCTCGAATCACAAACTATGGCGCCATATTCTTGTTCGCTTGAGAAGGGAAAATACAGGCCATGTGCATCTGTTGTGTCAACGTCCAAGCTTGCAGCACGTGGTCGATCCTGCCACAACACCACTTTTGCTTGCTTAAGATGTGCCGTGGGACTGCTCGCAGTCGGCAATCACTTACACCATCGAAAAAGACCACTGTATTTTTGACTTTGACGAGCAGGCTAGTAATGTGTTGTCTCCGCCGCATCGACGATAAGGCAGCGGAGCGCACATCTACTTTCACGAGGCTCAGGTGACGCCTTACATACCTATTTGCTCTTGACTTCCCAGCTTTCGCGAATCGCCACCAAAGGGCAGCACGGCTCTTCGCACTGTCCGCAGTCCATGTCACGGGCTTACAAGATTGCGAAGCGAATGGAATGCGGGCATTTTACGCTTCTCACTGGATGGCATGGTGCTCCAGCATCATACTGCATACCAATTCCTGACCTAGTTGCTTCCGACCGCTGATCAGTCTGCAGGCTCCGAGCTGTTGCCCGTGTGTCACTATCTACTCGTACAACATCACCCGCCGAAACAATCTGTTGCCGTAGCGCCCCGCTAAAAGTACGGCACAACAAGCGCGTTCGATGCACTGGCGCACTTTTCACCGCATCCACTAGACGCCAACGCGCACCTCTCGTCCACCATCGCAGGCGGCGCATCACCACTGCATAGCCAACCATGAGTATGCACGAGAAATCTCCAGTGTCGAAGTTCTACTCCTCCTCCGACTCCTCGCTCTCATCGTCACCTGAACTCTCAGCCTTGGCTTGGAAGCTAGACCCACCAGTTGGACTCTCACTCCCACTCGTGCCGACCTGCTTAAACTGCTGTAGCTTCGAGTTCAGCTGCTGAATCGTCTCCTGCTGCTCGCGCTTGCCCATTGGCTTGTGCTTCTTGCGCTTACCTGCACCGGAACCGCGACCGACACGCTCACTCGGCTCGAAATCATCGTCCTCGATCTCACCATCATCCGGCGGACTAAGCGGTAAAGCACCCCTCGCCTTGCCGAACTGCCTGCGCACATATGTCAACAGCATGTGCTGTACTTCATTCGGCAGCTCGTCAATCTCGAGCTCCATGTCTTCCATGTTGCGGTGCTTTTCGGAATGAGTCGTGATGATCTGAGTGACGGTGTTAAGCTGATCCTCGGACATCATGGTGCTGACGGCCTCAGAAATTTCCTGCTTTTCCTCATACGTCACGAGTCGCTTTGGCTTGCTGTCAGCCTTCTTCGATTTCGGCGCAGATGCTTTGGTCTTGGCTGGCTTAGAAGAAATGCTGCCGATGTTGCTGCCTCGTTTGGAGCTAGGCTTGTCCTTGGACTTCTTGACCTTCCCCGGCTTTGCGCCACCTGCGGCCATGCCAGAGATCAAGTTCTGCATATCCGCCAGCTGCTTCTGGAGAGCCGCGATGGTCTGCTCCTTGTCGTCCTCCGGCTCATCGTCATCATCTTCGTCCTCACCATTGCTCTCCTCGTCCCCGGACGCTGATGTGGCACGCGCAGACTCTTGCTTGTGCGCCCGCTCCCACTTCTCCTTACCTTGCCAAAGCTGCTCAAATTGCCGCTTGAAAGCGATTCCAATGTCGCGCACTGCGTTACCGGGCGGGTTGAACAGCAAGCAGTTATCGATCATGAGCTCGAAGTCCTTTCTAAATTCGCCGGCCTTCTCATACTGGCCTTGTTTCAGCTTCTGCGCCATGCTTGAGAGATCCATAGGATTCTTCACTACTTGACGGTAGTGGGGAATGTTGAGTGCTACTGGATCCACAGGATACAAGAAGACGTGATTCATAGTGGAATACTTTGGGCTTCGAAGCTCATCAAGCACATGCTCGCAGAACTTCAGCTCGAGTTGGTGCGCCTTTCGCCTTGGCTTCGCATACGGGATCTCACGATTCGCAGGGGGCTTAATGGCACGCGCTGGACGATCTGTCCCGCTGCGACGAATCTGTGGCTGGCCGTCCGCCAACGCGAACGTCTCGATTGCAGCTGCTGGCGGAGCTACAGAAGGAGCATGGCGGGATTCTCTCCGCGAAGGTGCCTTGACTGCTGGTGATGCTCGTTTCGGTGCCTTTGGTGCTGCGACCTCATCCGGATGCGGCAGCAATTCGATGAATTTGTCGAAGTAAGCCTTCATTGTCATGCCTTGCTGTGTAATGAAATGCTGGTCGCCATTAAAGGTACGGGTATTGGAGATGATGAGGTTGAAGTCATCTACAAGCTCCTGCGCAGAGCCGTACTGATTGCTCTTCAATTTAGCATCAATCGTACCAACATCCATGGGCTGCTTGACAATTTCAGGGTAAGATGGGATGTTCAAGGCGACGGGATCCACAGGTTGCAAGAATGGTGTGGCGTGCTTCGTCTTGCGCAGATTCTTCATCTTCTCGATAAGGTAATCTTTTTGCAGCTTGCTGAGCGGAGCAGTCCGATCCGCCAGATTCGCGGCGAAGACGCCTGCTGTCGGTCCGGCATCACCTTCAATTGATGGTTTCGGCTCGCTGTCCACAGGCTGCTCAGCGCTCATTGCAGGTGCTGACGGAGGTGCCTGCTGATCAATTACCGCATCAGAGGCGGCTGGTGCACTGTCGGAAGCAAGCTTTTCTGCAGGTACAGCATGCGGTACTGACGGTAAGCGTGCCGTGGTGGCGTCTGTAGCCTCCTCGCCACCCATTTGCACATCCTCCGCACTCCGGGGAAGATCTTGCCGCATCTCCTCGTCGACTCGACTCCGCTTCACCACCCGCTCCGCCTCAGCATCGTCGTCATCCTCGCGGCGCCGGACCAGGCTGGGCTCAGACGATTGCAGAGGTTCCCCCGCAAGCTCCGGTTGCGACGCTATTGCTGCCTCAATTGTTGGCTGAGTTGCAACATCAACGTCGGACATCGCCGCGTCCGCAGCAGCTTCGCCTGTGACAAGTGGTTGATCTGGAGGCGGAGTCGGCTCGTGATGAGTTGGCGCATCCTTGGGTATGAAATCCGCAACTGGCTGAATGCTTCCGGCAACGTCCTCTATCGGAGTAGGTCCGGCCGGATTCGGATCTGGTGCTGCCATTTTGACGTTGATCGTGGTCGTGTGCCTGGTGTTATCCATGGATGAGTCCTGTTTGGTCGCATTGGGTGCGTCTTGCGATTGATCTTGCGCAACATGGCCATTAGTTAGATAATGCGAAGCTTGATTGCTGGTGATCTGATCGTGGCCATGGGTCGTTGGCGCTGATGGGATCTCTGTTGCCATATCTGCCATGCGATCGAGGAATCGAAATTAGCGGCCCACGTGATCCCTGAATGCGCGACAATACTTGATCGAACCAATCTATCGCAACGGGACGCGCTGATATTATGGATAGCGCGCCGTGAACGCGATGGTTGGGGTGAGGTGAATCAGAGAGGTAATGACACGTGATATGAGTGGCGGTTAATTGGTTGGATGATCTGAGGCTGACCAGAAGCGGACCTCGGCGGAAGAGAGAGCTTTGGAAGATTGCAAGTAAATTTCTAGTAGTCAGCTGCGCTGCCGCGCTAAGGGTCGGTCCGCACAAGACGCTTTTTGGTGAATGGTTGCGACACACAAGGTAAGCTGCTGCCTGTGAAATGGTGTGAGTCTGCTTCGATGATGGAGTGAGTCGCCGTGGCTGTGCACTGTTTTGTCAAAGTGTCGTGTCGCGTGAGTCTCATGCAAGGCTAGCCAGTGACAACGCGGCCAAGAGCGGTCCACTAGTGAAGCAACCGGGCGGGAGAAAGTCCTGCTTGCCAGATAGACACCAACTGCCGAGACGTTTACGCCGTGAGAGCTGTGGTAAATGGTAAGATATTTTTCTAACTCGTATTGGCACGCGAGACAGGCGCGCGGCGAGGTAGCAATCCGTTGGCGCGGGATGGTGATGGCGGGGCAGCAGCAGCAGCGGCTTCGCGAAGAAACGGGGAGAGCTGGGACGCGAGCCTCTTATTATGAGAGTTGCGCTGCGCTGGGAGACGGCCAACAACACACTGATTGGCTCGGATGCGCTGCAGCTGCAGGGGGGCATAAAGTCCTAACCCCCTTTCCGCGACGACGACACCCACACCGCAAACACTCGACAGCTGCAACGCAGCGTTGGTGACAACGACCCTCAGCGCTATAGCTGGCGTTTGTAATTTACAGCAATGTGTGATGACACGTCGCACGATATGTGTTCTATGAAGGGGAAGAGGCGAAGATATGTGGAAAGTACTTTCTGCCAAGACACGCGCACAGACTCAGTGACGCTAATCTCAAAGCTACCTAGAGGTACTGTAGGTCTCTTGGGTGGGCCTGCAAAATTTCAGACAGTCCCATCATAGCGATGTTGACGTCGGTGTAGTAACCAGCGTGAGTACCAATACCTGTCTACTGCATTGGAAGATGCAGTCGCAATGAGTACCGCCAAGCGGTCTCGACAGCGGCCATCAGACGCCAGAGCTGTTTCACCACAACCTGCCGCGAAAAGGCAAAAGACGAATACAGCAGCTCACGTGCCGGCAAAGAACGGGCTCAGGTTCTTGGTGGATGAGGATGCGAGGACTGGTAGAAAGTTGGAAGCAAGGCTCACCAATGGCGTTTCCAGCTCAAAGTCGAACCGTGTGGACGAGTCACGTGCGCTCGTGGCGGCGGATACGAAGGATGCGGAGTGGGACGGCCATCTGAATGGCAAACGGGTTGAGGTCATTGACATCTCAAGTGGCGAGGAGGAGAGCAGCGAACTAGAAGAGTCAGACGACGATGGAGCTCAGCATGCCGAGCAGTCACGAAGGGCCAACGGTCACCTACAAAACTTTGGTAATGATGATGGTAAGGAGGATGATGAGCCTGCAAATATATCAGACGCTGCCCTCGGCGCAGAGGATGACTGCATGCAGGACGTGAAGCTTCAAAAAGACTCTGCTGGTGCAGGTGATGGCACAGCTGGTGTCTCTTCCGACGTACAACCAGCGCCAGAGCCTTCGTTCGGCGAGTTGTTGCAAGCGCAACAAGTCCAGACCGTTGATGTCCACGACTCATCAGCTCAAGCTCGCGCTGGGGATGACGCCACAAACTCTGTCTTCGCTAGGCGCAGAGTCAGCGCTCCCACTGGCACTTCACTCGGAACAGTACTCACTCAGGCACTGAAGACCAGCGACAAAGATCTTCTGGAGAGCTGCTTTCGCGTCACTGACGTATCCAGCATACGATCTACCGTTGAGCGATTGCAGCCGCAATATGCAGCCACTTTGTTGCAACGCCTCGCAGAGCGTATCTTTCGCGCTCCTGGCCGGACTGGCCCCCTGATGGTGTGGATACAATGGGCACTCGTGACTCACGGCGGCTACCTGGCCACACAACCGGACACAATGTTGCAGCTTAGAGCACTTGGACGGGTCGTTCGGGAGCGCGCCAGCGGTCTGCAGCCGCTTCTGCACCTCAAGGGCAAGCTCGACCTACTCAGCGCGCAGCTGGATTACCGGCGGCAAATGCAAGCTACAGCCCGAGCTGTACACGCCGAGGACGAAGACGACGAGGCCGCGGTGGAGTACGTGGAAGGGCGCGATGATGACGATGGCGACTTCTCTGAGGACGCAGAGGCCGACGTCGAGATGCAGGTCAGAGTAGGTGGAATGCCGGCGCAACCCTCCTCATCTAGACCTCAGCTACAAGCACCTACGTCAAGGCCTCCAGCTATAGAAGACGGCGAAGACGATGATGAAGACGAAGAAGTGGATGACGATGACGACGAAGACAGCATGCCCAACGGCGTCGTGCAAGAAGCAGAGGACGACGAGGATGATGGCGAGAACGAAGCGGAGGACCGCCTGCTTGACGTTGAAGCGGAAGAGGCTTCTGACGAGGATGACGAGGAAGTCGATTCAGACGAGGAAGTAGACAGTCCGGGCGAGTCCGAAGACGACACTGAACCGTCAGTTGATGAAAGCGAGCCAGACGTAAAGCAGCCGCATCCCAAAATACTCGCTCGGAAACGGTGAACGGAACAGCTGCGAAATCGAGCTGTGCTCCATCGTTAAGTGGTGATCTTTGGGCGTTCAAGCGTTGGCACGCAACAAGGTTGGGTACTCGGCGAGGCGTGAAGGTGGACTGCATTCTCTACTTTGCTCAGCGTTCAAGCGGCAGAGGACTGTACATGAGGACATGAGTGTGCATGATGTCGGAGTTTTGCTTTCCCTAACACGCCGTATGGTCGTGCTACACGAATAGCCATAGCTTGTTTTGTATGCATAGTACATGAGATCGAACTTTTGATATTTGGCGATGTGACCGTGTCCTCAATTTGAACTATGACTAGACGCGGCTCAATCCCCACGATTCAAGGAGCTAGTGGACTACTATCCGCGCCTCTGCTTGCTTCATGTTCTTGTTGGCACCGAGCTTAGCGGATCATTAAATCCAGTGCCAGATAGGGTGTTGCGCAGCTAGTATGCGAGCTTAGAAGCTGCTCCGGCTCTGAGGCCTTCTCACTGGGCTTGCCGGTCTGCTCACAGGCCTTCTCGCTGGGCTTGCAGGTCTGCTTAAAGGTCTGCTTGCTGGACTTGCAGACCGAGGACGCATCTGCATTGCTGGGCTTCCTGTCCGGCTCAAAGCTCTGCTCCAGGGTCCCGACGTCGCTGGACTTGCTGGCCGAGTTCCGGTTCGAGACACAGGTCGACCTCTTATTGGCGATGCGGGACGACTTCCGGCTATTGGCGACAGCGGCTGTCGTGCGTAATTAACTGGACTGGCCGTAGCGTGCGGTCGTCTCTGGTTTGCGCTAGCTCGAGAAGACTGCCTTGTGCGAGCATCTCTAGGCTCACGGTAGGGCTCATTCAAGATTGAGTCTCCGCCGAATTCTGGTGCGAACGGATTCGGACTCGGTTTCTGTGCTTGGAGTCGCCAACTGTTATGCTTCGCGATGTAGGCTTGAGCTGCTGCGTAACCAGGAATGTTCATGTCGTGCGGACCGTACGGACAGCCTCTCTGCCCGCTTTGCGTTCGAGGCACCGGTGCGGGCTGGGAGATGATAGACATGGGTACCATTGCTGGCATAACTTGAGCCGTGGGCGGAGGTGCTGCGTACGGGTTCGGCATGAAGTCCATTGATTGAAGATCTTGAGGAGAGCCGGCCTGCATGCCATAAGGCGCGGGGCCCATCGGCTGGGAAGGGTAAGGCATGAATTGATGCGGTGGTGGCGGCGCATACCCGGGCGGAGGGGCACCATGTGGAACCGGTTCTATTCCAGGCCGACCGTAAGGCATGTCGTAGCCCATTGCTCGGCCTGGCGGTTGACCGGCGAAGCCTTGCCCATAAGGGCTGGCCTGTCCTTGTCCATACGGATTGGTCTGTCCCTGTCCCTGGTATTGCGGTCGCTTGCCTTTTCCTGAGTACGAACCTGCGCAATGATTAACGGTCAGCTTCATCACTCCCCACGGTGCGTGCAACCATTCTAACCTTGACTGCTCATTGTCGCTTGGGATGTCTTCTTGTGAAACGTACACTTGAGTTGTGAGAATTACCACAGTCCGCAATATGGAAGCCGTCGGGACGGTGCTGATTGCGGTCCTTACTTGCCAATTACGTTTGTTGCGGATATGGGGTGTCTTGTGGATCTTAGTTGATAAACGGAAGCAGGAAGTATAGAGACCAACAGCAGGCATTCGCTCGAAGATTTGGTCACAGCGCTCCATGGACTACAGCACTGGAGCTGCACGTAATGACAACGGAGCGCTTAGCGGAAATGACCGTTTGACGTGCAACTACGTGCTTTCAGTATCGTAGCAATCGTAGTGATTTGTATTTGCTAGCCTCTCGTGGATGAATGAAGGCTCCAGGTTCCAGATCTCGATGAGTAGAATATAGGGTTGATAATATGGCACTGGTGTGTCAGACACGTATTGAGCGTTGAGTCTTCCCTCCACCAACGTAACCTAATCCCTGTTCAAGAGTGCTATAGAACTGTAATTCTGGTCGTGTAAAGGGGTTACTTTGCAGGCAATTCACGCATGCGTGCCTGCCTCTTTCGGCCAAGTACGCCGGCAGGGGCAATAGAAGAGCACTGTCAACATGTCGCATCCGCAAACCGAGTTGGCAATCGGAGCGTAAGCTGTTCATAGTCGTACGGGTGATAGCATCATGCACGGAAGCCTGGCAGTTGAATGCTGTGTGACTTTCCACGCGGCCGTCACCGAGCATTCTGAAGCGCTGATTAAGGGCGCATCAAGTATTTGCTTAAGCGTTCGGCATCTGGACACAATGGGAGCTGTCCTATGACCCAGACTCATATGCATCTTTCACGTGGATGTGACGTCGACGTGAAGCGTTTATGTGTGCGGTAGCTACAGCCATGGGGAAGCAGAAGGGTTACCAATTCGCGTACGGGTACCGAAGGGTTTAGAACTAGCGTGCTTTGAGTGGAGCCTTAAGGTGCGGTCAAAGCTCCCTTCTGACCATTTGCGAACCTCGCGGATCTGCCTTGCTACAGCCTTGTTCCAAGAGTGCGAAACGTCCACGACCACAGCCGTAAACCATGCCAACAAGTGACTGCAGCCATCGTTTTCATCGTTGACCACATTATCGCACCCTTCCCATCTCCACCATTGATAAAGGTCATGTCGAAGCCTGATCTTCAATATCTGGACAACGGCTCGTTTGACGGCGGCGAAGGCTTCGCTCAGCCAATTCCCGAGGATCGAGGTCAACTCAAGTCGAGAAGTGGTATCACACGTACTGTCCGCAGGCTACAAGACTTCTGCGCTTCCAAGCCAGCTACGCCTCCTAACGACTACACAACCAGTCCGCTGCTCAGCTTGCCTGCTGAGCTACGCGAACAGGTATGGAGACATGTCCTCGAATCACCTACAGGGTCCGAACCCGCGCACTTCCACATCTATGATCGCGTTGTTGACTCTTGCACCTACTCTTCTTACGAGAAGCTGAACAATGACTGGCTTCGGCGTCAGCGGACTCCGGTTACATCAATTCTGCGCACGTGTCGGGTAATCTACAGCGAAGCTATCCAGATCCTGTACGATAGCACCGACTTCGAGCTGGTTCTTCTCGCCGGCCTTCCGCGTCCGAAGCACGTAAGCGACGGCAAGCGTGACCGCGACAACCTTTACCATCGAAACGGACTCGGCAGACCAGAGCAATGTAAGCATATGCTGCAGCGTATTCGTCGCGCAACCATCGTGCTGCAGCCAGGTGAGAGCCCAAGCGCAGTACGGTATCAGCGGCGACTACAAGACTTCTTCAGCGCCATTGATTACGGCAGACACATGGAGCAGCTCACCGTCCGCATCAATGTTGGTTGGCGCCGAGGGCGGAAACCGCGCTATAGTGAGCAAGGTTCCGATGCTCTCAACATCATCAGCAAGTCTCTATACCCAGTCATCAGCCCTGAACCTTTATCAACCACCATGAGGAAGAGGAGGGTAACCCTCAGTCTGCCCACTGATGAGCATGGAAGAAAGCAGGAAGCCCTCGGCGTCTGGTTGAGGCTGCTGAGGTTCAACGTCAACAACCCTGAACTCAACATCATCGACTGGCAGCCTCAGAGAGAGCACAAAGGAGGGAGTAGCTGCCTCGCTCGCGGCGCCTTTGGCGATCAGACATGGGCCACCGACACCTCTGTGAGGCCGGCAACGACTGTCCGCTTACGCGATCTCATACCTGACGTGCCGATGTATCTTCTTGTACTGGCGCTTACTCCGGCCATTCTCATCTGGGAAGCCCATCGTAAGGTCGAAAAGGGTGAGAGCTGGAAGGTGATTCCCACGAACTTACTGCGCTGATGTCCTGACATGGATATCGGTAAAGAATCAACGGAGCGCCGCGGGAAGAAATACGCACTGTGTTGCACATGCATGGCTTGTCCTCGTACTCACGATGACACATACCTGCAAAGTGAGCAATGTCACCCATTGTCCTTAGGGACCGAGCAGACACATACATTTATCGGAGCTTAATCTTGAGGACGTGAAAGCTTTAGTATTGACAATACCATATACTGTAAACACAGAATAGTTCCTGGTATCGAAGGCTTTCTGACCTGCCCTGATCGCCTCAGGACGAGAGTAGTGTACATTGTATCGAGACAACGGTGGAGCCGAATATGGTAGGCGTTATAAGTTCCTGTCGTCTCATACTAAGTTGCACCTCTTCAACGTGCAAATTGGCGTTCTCAGCGCTTCGCTGTCCACCAAAGCTCCTGCAAACACACCCCTACAGACTTCCAATCGTCTTCGACTCGTCACCTGCGGACTCGACCACTTATATCTCCGCCCCACAGCCAGTCATGCTCTAGTTTGAGGCGGCCCCGACGTAGGAGTACAGCACTCACTCTCCACAGGCATCCCAGCGGCATTGCCTGCACCAACACAAGTCTATCACATAACCTAGCAGCTTATGCAGCTAGATACAAGCTTGGGGAACATGCCAAGGCAGGTACGCTTCCCGGAAACACAGCTAAAGGTGATATGCAGCTATCGGGCGTCTTAGCGGCTTATATGATCGCTATAGCATTGGCACTGTGCCGCAAGTTTGTACGCTTCCCAAAACAATGTCTACGGCTACATAGCTTAATCGGTTTGCCCGGCAGCTTGTACACTTGCCACGGCTTTGAGAAACTACACGCTCTGCAGACTTCCGGGAAACATAAATCGCAATCACAACTGTCCATCAGACGTGTCAGCAGCTTATACGTTTGCTAAGAACAAGGGAAGATCTCGAGCGTTTCGGGCAGGAGGAAGTGACGGCTGAAGTCGGCCTTATCGAGCCGTCTAACAAATGGTATCCCAAGATTGTTGCTGTCGAGCCATCCGTCGTCCTCGGCTGGGGCACTCTAGAAGATCTTCTTAGCCAGGCAACATGGGATGCACAGATTGGGGGCACGACAGTCAAGCCCATCCACTTTCATGATGCATAACGAAGGCCATGAAGCTGTTCCTGCTGTTCGAACGCTAAGCTATGCTCTGTGCTATGTAGACAAGACTTATAGACCGCGGCTGACAGAAAGTCCTTCAAGGCGCTCGATGATGATTCTGACTGCGCGTAGAGCGACTACGTAGACGCGGCTGAGACCAACGTCTTGCGCCTCACCAAAATCATCGCTATGAATGACTCTATCACACCCGGCGTCACGCTGAAGCGCTTGACCATCAACTGAATGTGGTGCCTGACTATGGGAGCTTTCACAGTCTGGTGTTGACCATGGACTCTGCAATGTCGCCGTTTCCCGCAAGCCTGCGGTCGTTTTGTCGTGAGTAGTACTACGTGGACTGACCTCGAGTGGGTATATTCAGAGCGGCGATGTCGTTCACCGAGAGCGAGTACATCAATTTGCTGGATCAAGTGAACATACAGCGGCAAGAGATCTTCCGGCATATCCGCAGAATACATGGCCACAGCGCAGCGACGAGCATCCACCGGCGCATCCACCAGCGCTGGCCACAGCTCGTCGTCCGCATCGCATGGACTCTTCGACCGCAATTTCGGTTGCGTCCGAACGTCTGCTTGCCGGCGCCTCAATAAGGCCACGCATGTCACTTGGAGGTCATATCATCGCCGAGAATGATATGTGGTTCAGCCCCTAGTGAACGCTCGGGAGATGGTGGGTCGTTCCCACGGCGTAATTGCCAGCCCAACCATTGCCTGACTTTTGGAATAGCACATCGAGGAACACGCCGCAAGGGGAGGTGGGATGGAGGACATCTGGCGAACCAGGTTTTAGACTTTCGTGGGAATGAACATGGCGATGTCTGTTGGAATACATGCAACAGAACGGGGAGAGGTTCGGTACGTTGAGATATCCCAAGCCTAGGAGGGAAGGTCGAAGCTAATGTGAGGTCGCCACTGCTTGCTCGGCTGCCGCCGCGTTTGCAGTGGGGCGCAGCACAACGGTCCCTTTGGTCGAGACGTCAGGCTTAGCAGTTGTACTTGATATAAAACATATGCAACTTCCTGCCTTCTGAACAGACACCGAACACTTCGTGTTGGGTGCTATTTCCAGAATGGCTACGGACGCAATGGACATCTCCACGCCGCCATCAACCACCTATTCGCAAAGCCCATCTTCTCCTGCGCGGAAGCGTCACTCTGCCAATATGTCCATCGATCTGTCGGATCTGCCACCACTTTCACAGCCCACGCCACCAAGCAATACGCTCCTTATAACCAATCTGGAAGCGCCGGAAATATTCACGGCAGCGAACCTTGACAGTATACAACGAGCCATCAACGAACATGCTCCGTTGCATACATTCTCACCTCTCAAGAGCATGCGGCGAATCATTTGCACCTTCTTCACCGTCGAAGATGCGACGGAAATCAGAAAGGTATTGGACGGTGAGAATGTCCTCGGCCACAGAGTGAGGGTGTACTTTGGTCACGCGACAAAGATCGACGTTGCAGACGAGGAACGGTATCTCCAGGCGCCAAAGAGTCAGAAGCTGTTCTTCATCTCGCCACCACCTAGTCCGCCAATGGGCTGGGAGATGCGGAACGAGGAGCCACCGAACAAAGACGTGCATGCGGAGGATCTTGCGGCGGCTTTGCGGAAACTGCACGCTAGACCGGCGGCAGACGAAGCGCTCAAGCAAGACGAGGTCGGCAATTTCCAGGCTTTGCCCAAGCTGCAAACACGACACCGTTCGGGCACTGGGACGATTGTGTATGATCCTGAGGATCACGGTCATAGTCCGGCTTTACCGGCGATTGCGGTGGAGGATCTCAGCGACAGTCCTGGAGATACGAGCCCAATGGATGGCGAAGGCGTAAAGTTCACCCGAACTTCCCGTCCACCGGTTGAGCTGATGGAGCATTGAGTGGAATCTTTAGCGACGTAGCTCGGCAGCTTTCACCATGTTGCGTCGGAAGCGGCAAATAACCTTGAACGCATTGCATCCCGGAGGACCCCCAGTACCTTCCTCACTCTCTCACTTATTTCCAACTGTGCGCAAGATCCGTATTCGACGTCAGTGCCGCTCTATTCAAGATGAGGCACAGCATGCAGCGGTTGGCAGAGCACGAGCCACGGCTGCAGCAGAATTTTCAAATGCATCCAAACGTTCAGAGCCCACGGTGCGCTTGCTCACAGAGGCAGTGACTGCGATGAATTCCACGAGCACATCCGTCATGCAGGTTATCGTCACCAGCTACCTTGTCGGCACAGTGCATACATGTGCTTGTGGGTAACTGAGATGTCCCACGGCTGGCATCAAACACGCGTTGCATCGCCATGATGACTCTGATGCTTGCCGCAACGCGAATTGGACCAACCACTTTAGTAACTGCCGTTGGCTGGACAAGTCCGTCATCAAAGTCCAACCACTGTGCACTGTTGCAAACCGAAAATTTTTACGCACATCGAAGCACTGTTGTCAAACGTACCTTACAAGCTTGTACGTTCGCAGTAATAAGCAGTCTTCATAACCCATGTCGAGCAATCTCCAAACATGAAAACACCAGTGTACGAGACCTCTCAAGACGATGCAGACCGTGGAGTACGATAGTAATGTCGGCAACTCACCCACAGTGTCACAAAGGTCACTGCCGTATCACGTTTTGCAAGAGCAAGCAAAGCGACCAATGCTCCAGCGTGCTAAAACCGACGAAGGTTCGCCATACGAGCGCAAACCAGTCGAGCAGGAGAAGTTCGACCCATCGGCACAACACTTCAGACTCATGTTCTGGGGTCCAGGACCGTCTAACCGATACATGAGTGGTTCAGGTCACCTCGGTGGCGTCACCCACAACGGGTCGTCTCAGCAGCAATCTCAGGAGAGTTCACCGCAGACAGATGGTTCTGCGCCTGTGGGTCCTCCAGCAGCCAGCTCTCCGTCAGTCTGGAGGAGTAATGAAGCAGAGGACGTGGCGGCGACACAAAGCGATGATGCTCGAGAGAAACGTACCGTACAACGACCTAACCACAGGCACTTTACCCAGTGCATATCAAGACATCGGCCAGCCAATGAGAGGGAGCTTCAAATCATCAGCAACAGGCGAAATAGTGAGCTCTCGCCTGACGTCTGCGAAAGCCTTGTCGACTACGTCCGCCGGATGTGCAAGCTTACATCTTTCCAAAGCCTTGGCCCCATGACGGTAGACGATATGCGCTCTCGGTGGTACAGACTTGAGGGCTGTCTCCGGCCCTGCCACGGTGAATCTCCTGACGACTACATCTCGAGGATGAAGACATATAGTGAAGCGATCGCGGCAGCCGAAATCGCAGTAAACATCCCCCTGCAGTCTATTCAGGACTCTCATCAGCGGTACAAGCTCTACGAAGGAAACCTCCGACCTTTTGCCGGGGAGAGTCTGAAGGAGTACGTTCGTCGAAAGCTTGAACCTTTGAAAAGACAAGATGAGTTGGATGTCGGAACGGTCGATGCCACACTCGCGGATGCTCAAGAGCGATGGTGGGCCTATGAGCAGCGTGGCGGGATGCCGCCGGCGGAGAAGCCTTGCAAGTATTAGATGTAACCTGCAAATCGATACATTGGTGCAAGTTAGAGTCACTCCATCATCCCCAGGCGCTCCGAATGCGGCCGGCCGTCACTGCTTCTTGGGCATCGTGGAAGATTGCCCAGTGAACAGCAGGGCAGTCGTCATATACATACGCCTTCAGCATGCTCATTGGAATCACATTCACCATTCCGACACAGCGTATGATACCTGATGCAGCTCGCTCTCAGTCTTTGCCAAGTTGGATCCTGCACACAACGATGACATTGCCCAAAGATCGATCCGTACCTTCCACCATCTCGACATTAATCCAATTATCATGTGTATATATCACGTATGTCAGCTATCTTGTGGCCACGTTGACCCGTCAAGAGATATCTTCGAACACTGTGGGGCAGTGGTATTGCGAGGGCCATGTAGGCCGGGCAATCCCCAATACAGGGTGGTTAGACGCCGACGAAACCTACCATGCCGTATGTGTAAGTCTCAACAGCCGCAGCCCGGACCGCTGTCGATCACCGGACCACTCCCGACCGCCGAACAGTTGCGCGCAGAGGAACGATTGTCAGAGCTTGGCCGATTCCGAGATGCAACAATGTTCCAGCCGCAGCATGCCCGCAGTCCATCTCCTGCACGTATTCCGTCGCCTGCTCGCAACCCTTCTCCGGCTAGCATTGCCGCGGCCGGCCAACGTGCATTCGGTGGGTTCAGATGCACGGTCGGATACCCCCATGATGCAATGTGCGGACATACGTTTTTCTCCAACGATCAGCTGCGGAACCACCAACGCACAGATCATTGTTCTGTCCCGTCCAGAGAGGCATCACCAGCACGACGTCCTCCACCTCCGCCATTGCCGGCTGGTTCACCAATGTCCGCAATCCAGGCGGTGCTACAATCTGCACCGCCACTAAGAACTAGACGAGATCCTATTTATTTCACCCCCGAGGAGGACGCGGCAATTCTACGTATGGAAGCCGAAGGGTTGGAATGGAGAGAAATGGCTAGGAATATGTCAAATCGAGGCGAAGACAGCGTTCGGTTGCGGTTCCAGAGGATTACCTAGGATGGGCGAGCACAACCGGTCAAAGTCAGATGGACCCCTCATGAGGATGCAGTGATCAGTCGGATGGTGAACGAGGGCGATCGCTGGCCAGACATTGCTGCGCAAATGACTGGTCGCACACTTGAAGCATGCCGATTTAGGTACAACTACTATATTTGGCCGCGAGATCATTCGCGCACTCATCGAAGCCTGCTTCAACCTGCAATTGCCAGTGCTGGGGCTCAAAATGCAGGCCACCATGCTGGTCGCAGCTACTCACCTCTTCTGGAACAGTCGCCTACTCGCCCGCGATCTCTTGCTCTGAGTGACGTTCCTGCCAGGCCCGGTTCTCGAGTTGAGATCCGCTCGCCCTCTGAAGCCAGCCGCGTTCCAGCAGCTGGCCTCGGCCGGCCGTCGTCACGGCAAATGCAGATACCAAGACCAGAGCGACCACGCAGCCGGAGTGGGTCTCGTGGTCGTGCGATGTTGTAGTACCAAGCTGGAAGAGGCGTAAGACCAATAACGCCAAGCGGACTACAATATAGGACCGACGTGGTCGCAGCAGGGCACCGTCGCCAGCATATTAGTGGAGAATACGATCAGAGATATGCTGCAAACAGTCATTCAACCGAGGTGGACATGCAACTCAGCATCGAGCTTTTCCTTGCTCAACAACTTACAATGCAGTGACGTGCTCCAGTAGTGATCGCTCATGCCGATGAGAAGCGATATACACTTCTCCGTCATCAGATTATCGTCATGAACTTTTTCATTTACGGGCAAGCTGACGTTGCTCGACGTTCCAGTCACTGGATACTAAGGTGGTGTACAAAAGGCAATGCTTAGCGCTCTACCCTTTGCAGACTTCTACACCTATACATCAGCCTCGAATCATATGGACTTGCCCAGTTGCGACTGCAATCGTTTACCATGTGCAGATACAATATCTTTCAGCACGCTTGTGGGCATACTAATCCAGAGCATTTCCCCACCGATCACATGTCCTATCACCGAGACTACTGCGACCTCGCGGGCAACCAAGTGGAGGTCATACTGTGCGAGGCTGCCGTATAACGTCTCCACGCTTCAGTACATTCACGGTGAATGTGCCCACACGGTGCAGGAACTGCGAAGCTGCATATCAGAGTCAACGAACTGTAGAAAATGCTCAACGAGTAGCTTTCGCAATACATGAAGCAAGAGCAGGCCCAAATTACCGGCCTGCTCGAACCAGCACTCAACCACCACCTCATCTGCCGGAAAATGAAGGTCCAAGTAGGTCACGCTCACCAGGGCTCCATCTGCGACGCCCACTCCGAGATCGATCCTTGCGCGAGAATCCTCCTCAAGGCGGCCAGCGACTTCCATCATCCCAAATTAACCCACAGTACCTCTCGTCCGGAAGAGAGGTTTGGGATCTACCACCACCCCCACCATATCAAGTTCCTTTGTCGCCAATGATCAATTCCGGGCATCCACTCTCTCCGCAACCTATGCAAGCGTCTCCATACGGGAATGACATAAGACGTTTACCAACGCCGTCAATACTTCGACAGCTAGGACCACTACCACCGAACCGAGCCTCCGCATCGCCGCCCGGAGTTCCGCCTTACGAACCGTCGCCGGGTGGACCACGAATGGCTACGCCACGAATTTTGAGGAAACGGTCGTGGTCTCCCGAAGAGGACGGTAAGCTTATCAACATGAGACTGCACGGTCATACGCTTCAAGTTATCGCGCAGCAACTTCCAGGCCGCACTCGGGAGGATTGTACTTCACGGTGGGAAGAGTTGCGGCGCCAGGGGGGGATACACCCATACTATTGGCCAGCTGGCAGTGGTGCTCAGAGCGCGGGCTCAGCCTCCCAGCACGCTGCCCGAGAACCATCAGTCACCGTGGGGCCCTCGGACGCCGGGACTGTGCCAAGACCATTGTCACGAGCGAGATCGCACTCCAGAACTAGAGCACTAGCCGAAGACGTCAGAAACTACCACCAGGCCGGGCCGAGGGGCGAGTCTAGGGGTCGTTCACGAGAAAGATCGCCAGGGTTCCAAGCCAGCACTCTTCGCCGGATGGGCAGTCACTCTCGGAGTCGGAGCTCGAGTCAGAGCGGATACCCGCCTCCGCTCACAGCGGCGCAAGGGATGATTAGATCTCGGAGTCACAGTGTTGCCGCAGCGTCACGCAGCCCGGCGCGTCGACCCCAACCTGTACGGAGAGTCACCGCCAGTCCATTCATGCAGCAAGCTGGCATGTCACCATCGCAGCAATTAGTTTCCAGGCCCGGTATTCCTATTGCAGGTCAACCTAGGCAGCAACGCTCTCGATCATCTTCGCTGGCTGGGGTCCAGTTGTCGCCAAGGCCGCTTTCTGCCTCAGAGTTCCACCCAGCGATACAAAGCCGTCCATCTTCGCGAACGGGGAGACCGTCCGTGGGCAGAACAGGAAGCACCAATCCCGCTCGGGGTTGAAGTTGGAGCCGCTCTGTCGCTGGCCAGAGCGCGCCTGAGATGAGCGGCCTGCCAGGTACAAGAGGCGATATTAGCTTCGGAGAGATGACAAATCACCTCGGTCAACAATCACCCCACATGTAAACTGTGACCATCAGACAAAGCGGGCACAGCATGCGCCGCTGGTTGTGTACATCAGAGGACAGAGGTATCCGATTAAAAAAATAATAGCCTCAAATGTGTACAGGAGGAGTACACAATACGTCACATCCTAGGCTACCGTTCGGCACGGAGATAACACTCTCCCTATCAACAACCGTAGAATTGTGCTCTGCCATTTGCATGAGACGGAGGGACCATAAGGATGAGGAACTTGCTAGATGACATAGCAGTCATAGGCGCAGGCCTTGGTGTAGGTCGCTCATCCGATGTCTTGCTGCTTCCTACTGTTTTGCTGCTTACATATCGACGACAAAGGGCTGCGCGCTTGCCCTTGCCCTCTCTGCCCATAACATTCCCATTACAATCTACGAATTACGAGATGAAGATGCTCCCATCTTGAACTCTGGCGTGATATTAACTCCGAACGGGTTACGAGTCCTCGACTTCCTTGGTGTCTTCGACAGGGTCAAGGACCGCTGCTACAAGGCTACGTATCGCAATTTCAAAAACGCCAAAGATGAGACGGTTCGTAGTGTCTACATTGCAAATGAGCAATCGTATGGTTATTGCAACCACCGCATCTGGCGACGTATACTGCTGAAGGAGATGAGAGGTATGCTCGTTGAGCGGCAAGTCACTATCTTGTACAATACGAAATTCGAAGGTATTGTCTATGAGAGCAAGAACGAGGGCGTTGACTTCACGGTGAACGGGCAAATTCGCCACGCTAGCCTGCTGATTGGCTCAGATGGGATATACAGCAGAGTCCGTAGTCATCTTTCTCCAGATATCATTCCAGAGTACACCGGCATCATCGGTCTTCTGAGCCATATCCCGCGAGCTTCTGTCGCATGGCCATACGAGGACTACGTGCTCAACTTCACTCTCCAGGACAAACCCGGTGCCTTGGTCATCATGCCGGAGGATCCTGAAGCAGTGGACATCATGGTGGCGATGCAAGTGCATCATCCGGAGCAATCGCGCAAGGATCTCGACGACCTCCAGGCGGATAAAGAACGACTCGTCAGTTTCTACACCAAGGCGTACGACCAGTGGGGTCCAACGGCACGCAAGATCATTGATCAAGTAGTAGCACATAAAGAAAACTGCTTCATCTGGCCGTATATGCGCATGCCGAAGATACCACGGTGGTATAGCGAGAACAGTGGCAGAGTGATCCTGCTCGGAGACGGAGCCCATGGTAAGCGAAACGACATTCAGGTCCTTTTATTGTAAAATGCTTGGACACGGCTGACTCTACCGTCGACAAATAGCCTTGCCGCCAAGCAGCGGACAGGGCGTCAATCAAGCGTTGGAAGACGTTTACTCATTAGTTACGCTTCTCACATCACTATGTGGAAGTGGTGCGAACAATTCAATATCGGACGGAAATGGTCTCGCCACCGCAGCTACTACAGAAACCCTACTCGAGGGCCTGGCGTTTTGGCAAGACCTTCGCCAGAAACGGATCGATGCTGTCTTCGACTGGACGATGAACGCATCAAACTTGCAGAGATTGCCCGAAGCTGAGCGTCAAAGATTGCTCGACGCGGGCAAGCACAAAGGTCCGGGCGACGACATGAGCTGGCTGTACGGTTATGAGGTCGACGAAGAGATACGTGCATGGGTTCAGCAAGTGAGAATCTGACGGTCTTTCGATTGGCTTCGTTACCGCCTGTGTCTGCAAGCCACCGCACGGCAGACCACACCGAACAGCTGCAAGCAGCTTCCGCCCATTTCTAGTATGGTAGCGGAGTCGACGCCGTATGTTGTATGATAGATTTATCTTACTGTACATATGTTCGTTGACGTGCATGTTGCGGACCTGTACCGAGCCGGATCAGTGTGGCCACTTCACCTTCTAGGCTAGCATGTAGATGTGTGCTGCAGTACGTGACAAGCTAGTTTGATCTCTAAGGCCGTGCAGGTGGAAGCTCCGACTGTGCGCTCAGTGCATGTTACCACATCGCCTTCACGCCGCTTCCACACATGCCTCGCCTGGATGTAGCCAGATATGAAACGCCATGACCTTCCCAAGGACATCCAATGACCGCGACAAGCCCCTAACCACCAGCGCCTTGCGATGCGAGAACGCTCAATATGCTCCTATCCGAATTAAACAAACCAAACACCTGTAAGCATGCTCAATTCATTCGAAAGACATCTCCACCTCCTTCTCCGCCCCAAAATCATCCTCGTCCGAAGCCCACGGATTCCGATGCTCGGGACTAGCCACTGCAGAAGAGGGGGAGGGTTTGCTACCCGACGGCGTCCGCACACTTCCACCCGTCATTACTTCGTCCGCTCTCTGCCGTAACTCGGGAGTATGCCAGGCGGGCGGATCATCGGAGGAATGTGGGCTCCGGGTACTGCTCGGTGTGTGCCCGTTGGCGAACGGAGGAGCGTGGGTGGACGATCGCGGCGTCTCCGGCGAGTCGTCGAAGGACATCGTAATGTTTGAGTCACCGTTATGCTGGCCGTCGTTTTCCCATTCGCGGGACTCACGGTCTTCCCGAGACGGCTGAACATGCCCGTTCACCAATCCATGCGTGGCAGCCGGTTGTTGCTCACTCTTGGCCTGCTCCGCCTGACTCCCTTTGCCGTGGCCCTCCCCATTAACAACACTCTTACCCACCGCAGGTCCGGGCGAACTAACCTTCAACGCCGGCAACGTCCCCTGCAACTCCCTCACACTGATATGTCGTTTGATCTCCTGCAAATCCTCCCCCGCCATCGCCAACTTCAGCGCCTCGCGCTGGATCGCCTCAACATCAAACATAACATCCGCATGTTCCTGCGCCATCCTCTCCGTCTCCTCCCTATCCTCCTCCCCCTTCAGAACCTTCACAGATCGCTCGTCGTACGTCTCCCACTCCTTCCTCTGCCCCGCCTTCTTCCGAGAAAAGAAAGCAAGGAGCTTATTCTTCTCCACCGGCTTCTCTTCCAATTCTCGCCGTGCCTCCTCAATCTCATGCAGCAGCTGCCGCTGCCGCTTCTCATGGTCCTCCGGATCCGGATCCTCAATCTCCGTAAACTCCACACTCTCCACCACCCACCCCACCTCATGCAATAGCATGGGCATCATGCCCCGATATGCCATATGCCCCGGCACGATTTCCGTGACGTTGCGGTTCTCGATCCCAGGCAGATCCACCGTAGTCAGTCCGGCCACTCGCATGATGCCACCACTCGTCGCGCGGAAGAGATACGCGAGGATCCAGTCATTGGTTGCATACCCGTTGACGAAGCGCCCCGACACGACGGTGCGCGCGCGGATCCATTCATCCTTCTTCACCACCACGGGCGAGCCAAAGATGTAGACGTTCTGTACCAAACCCAACGCTCCCCGCCTCGCAAGTTCCTTGAGTGCGGAGAAAATGACACGAGAGCCGAGCGAGAAGCCAACAAGCGTGATAGGCCTGACCCCCAGATTGCGGTCGATCATGGAATCCGCCAAGATCAACCCCGTAGCATCCGCTCTCGCCAGTGACACAGTCCACGGGTTGTCAATTAGGTACGCCAGCTTAGTCAGCACAATCGGTAGCGACAGCCCAGCCATCAGTGTAGCCAAGAAAGTCGCGCCCAGAATCTGCTGGATGGTCTGCGTCAGGGCCTCCGTGCCCAGAATCTGGATCGTCTGGCCGGTACTCTGCAGCATATCCGGCTCCCAGTTGACGGAGTAGATGTCGCCCATGATGGGGTCGACGGTGCTGTACGGCAAGCGCACGTCGTCGACCTTGCCGGTCATCCAACCCGAGACGGTCACGATGAGGTTGACCCGCTTGTTGTTAAACAGGGGCTTGTACTCGAACGTCTTCACGGCGCCTGTGCGGCGATTGGCGCCTTTCAATCCAATATGACTGCCAATCAACGTGCCCGTCGTACCAATCAACGCAGCTGCCCCAGTACCACCAAGAAAACTCCCCGTGCCAGCCACGCCGATTGTGGTGAAACCCGCAGCAAGGCCGGCGCCGATGACGGGAGCGAGCATACCGGCACTCAGACCGATGACCAGACCGCCACCGACGGTACATAAACCCATGACCATGAGACGCTTGTTCCTCGCCCGCTTCTCCCGCTCTTTCATATGTTCTTCCTCGTTCCAGTTCTCCTTATCAGCCTGTTCTTGCATCTCAAGCGCGTCCGTGACACGCTTTTCAAAGCGGCACAGATCTTGCCACTCTACATCCAACGCTTGACCGACGCGCTCGAAAAGCGTGCGCGAGCGGGCGTCGTAGGTGCTGTCTGCGATGAGAAGCAGGAAGAGGTCGCAAAGCACGGTCCAGCGCAGGTCGAGGTCAATATTCTTGCTGTTGAGCTCGTCCGGATCCTGAATGCGTAGATCATCCGCTGCTTGTTGCTCATACGCAGGCGGTGCATCGCTCTCAGCAGGGGCCGGTGTTCCAGGAGCAGATAGCGTGGCGCTCGACGGACGTCTCTCCAGCTTACTGGACGGCCTCGATGCGCCCGACGGAGGTCGCACAGACGCAACAGATGCGGTCTCCGAGTCCATCTTCGGGTTCTTCACCCTCGCATTCTGCATCAACGTGGACGTCAGATCCGCGGGCGAAATGCCATGATCAGCCAGCTGCTCCACCATAATCTGCTCCCGCGCATCGATCTCCATATGCTTATACAACCGCATCATGATCTTCTGGCCCCACATCTTCAGCGCCTCCGCAGCCAGATCAATCAACTTCTTCGCCCCCCGCGTCTTCTCCAGCGCGTCCAACTCCAGCGCCAGCGTGTTGATGGCCAACCTCACCACGCCCACATACGCTATCCGCTGGCCTTCCGTAAGTAACTCCTTAGTCGTCTGCATCTGCGATATGATGTCCCGTCCTTCCTCGTCGTCCGCGTCGAGGGCGTGTCGGGCATGCTGTTCCTTAAACAGATACGCCGTGTTGTCGTCCATGCTGGTAGCGGATTGAGCGTCTTCGTCCATTTGCACGCGGGTGTAGCCTTTGCCTGCACCACCGAGATCGCCGTACGCGTAGGCGTCGGTGTCGACTTCGTCGTAGCTCTTGGCGATGACCTTGCCCCAGTCGTCGTAGATGCGGTGCTCGGCGAGGGCAGGCATGTCTTGCCAGACTTCTTCGACATGTTCTTCTTCTTCATCCTGGGTGGGAGCCAGCTGTTGGTGGGAAGACTCCGATACTGCTCCAGCGGGTGCGGGCTGCTTTTGAGGCGTGTTTCCCACGCTAGGACTACCTGCAAGGGCCCCTTTGCTGCCTTCATCGTAGTCTTTGGGCGGTGACTTAGACAGTTCTACAGCTTCTGACGACTCCGCCACCGCATCCTCGAACTTCTCCTCTTCCTCAACCTCCTCCACATTGGCAGATGCAGCACCATGGCCTGCGGTTTGCTGGTCTGATGGCTTGACGCTCTCGGGACTCTCCAGCTCATCCAAATCATACGCTCTCCTCCTCGGCGGACGAACAGGCAAACCAAACTCATCGGCCTCCGGCGGCTCGGGCTTGGGGTCATTATGTTTCTCCTCGCGCGTCACGGCCGGTCTCAGTTCGGGCAACGCTGCGTCGGTGGCTTCCTCCACCTTCCTCGACTCCTCTGCCCGCCTTTCTCCAGTCGTAGCGGCCATGCTGGGCCCGGCATTCGTAGAGTCTCCCTTACACCATACCCGTCTTGATCCTTCAATCAATATCCATGTCTCTCCTCGATGCCTGAATCAATCAAATGTATGTATGTATGTACGTGAGCAATAAAGAGCGCAATCCAAGTCATTGGAAGAACCTTGGCAGACCCTCGCTATGTACTTCCCCCACACCAAAACCCAAACACACAGACCACGAGCTTATCACTGTACCCTGACCTGCATCTCGAATTTCTTTACAACAATTCCAGTCAATCGCAACAACCCACTTCCCAATCCACCTCCACCACTTCCCGCCCCCGCCAAAATGAAAGCCAAACGCGCCAAAAAATCCCGCAAGCTCATGCAACAATACGCCCTGACCTTCGGCCTGCGCGAACCCTACCAAGTCCTCCTCGATGCGGCCATCATCCGCGAAGCCGCGCGCTGCAAAATGCACCTCGGCAACATGCTCGCCTCCACGCTCCAAGGCGCCATCAAACCCATGATCACGCAATGCTGTATCCGCCACCTCTACTCCCTGCCCACCACCACGGAGGCGGAGCGGAGGGAGAAGGAAATCTGCATCGAAGTCGCGAAGGCGGCGGAGAGGCGGCGGTGCGGACATCACGAGTTGGAGACGCCGTTGGGGACGGGGGAGTGTCTGCGGGAAGTGGTGGATCCGAAGGGGGCGGGCGTGAATCGGCACCGGTATGTGGTTGCGTGTCAGGATGGGGAGGTGCGGAGGGCGATGAGGAGGGACGTGGTCGGGGTGCCGTTGGTGTATGTGCATCGGAGCGTGATGATTTTGGAGCCGATGGCGGGGAGGAGTGAGGAGGTGAGGGAGGCGGGGGAGAAGGGGAAGATGAGGGCTGGGTTGGTGGGGAGGCGGGAGAAGCGGAAGAGGGAGGAAGATGGCGATGGAGGGGATGATGTGCCGGAGCGTGCGAAGGCTATCGTGGCTGCTGAGCAGCAACAGGGTGGTGCTGCGGGGGATGGGGCGGTGGCGAAGAAGCGTAAGGTCAAGGGTCCGAAGGGTCCGAATCCGCTGAGTGTGAAGAAGGCGAAGAAAGACGCGCCGCCGAATAGCGTCGGGAGGCAAGTGGAGGATGAGCGGTCAGTTGTGCGAAAAGCGACGAGGCGTGATCCGCAGGCGGCGGAGAAGGCGGCTGAGGTCGAGGGTGTGGTAGATGGAGAAGGTGATGGTGGGATTGTGGAGGGGTCGAGGAAGCGCAAACGGCGGAGGAAGGGGAAGGAAGGTGTCACAGGCGACGATGTTATGGCTGATGGAGGTCTATCCGTCAATGTGTAGAAATGCTGCATGATTTGCAACGTGTAATTGAGATACCCACACCGCATGATCTATCAATCCCACCATACAAAGTTCACGCTTCCATCACACCTTCTCCCCTCTAGCCAACAACTCCGACACCTTCGGCGGCAGCACGAGCGCACTCCGATCATTCCGCTTGAAAAACTCCACCAACAGCCCCGCCACCCTCTCCGGCACATCCTCCTGCACGAAATGCCCGGCCTCGGGGATCACCACCAGCTGAAACTTCCCCTGCATCTGCCCAATCATCAACTCCCGATCCAAGCGATCCGTCCCCGCGAGGATCAACTCCTTCGCCCCGCGGCCGGCGAGGAACTTGGCACTCATGCCGTGGAACCACTCCTCCCACCACGGACTCGTGGCGGCGAGGTCGGTGCGCCAGGTGAACTTCCCCCCGCTTGGCGACGACGACGATGACGACGACGACGACGACGTTGGCTGTTGGATGAGTAAGCTGGGAACGCTGACGTGAGCGCTTTCCGCGTGGCGGATCGTGCGGGTGCGGGTGTGCCAGGTTATCGCTTCGTCGACGGTGTTGAAGGTGGTGGGACGGGAGGAGAGGTAGGTTTTCATGTGTGCCAGGGCTTCGAGGGCGGACCCCTCGACCACGTCGATGACGGTGTAGCCGAGTAGAGCGTGGCCGAGGGCGTAATCGACGGCGAGTTGGGTTGCGATGGCGCCGCCGAGGCTGTGGCCGATGAGGATGGAGGGAGGAAGAGTGGGCCAGGAGAGGTGGTGTTGGGTGAGAGTGATCATGGCCAATGCATCTGAGGTCAGGGTGGCGAGACTGAAGTCTGTGATTTGATTGCCAGTTTCGATGTCGGTGACGGTTGAACCGTGGGCTCGTGCTTCCAGGCTGAGAATGCCGGCGCCGGGGAGACGTTGGCAGATGTGTTTGGCGAAGACGGCGAAGGATAGGCCTGAGGCTCCGGCCCCATGGTGGCAGATGAACAAGGGACCTTTCTGGACATCCGTTGGTGGGGTGAGGTAGACATGGTAGCGTGCTTTCTGTCGCTCGTCTTCCTGGTCCAGGTAGAGTTCTTGTGAGAAATAGTTCGTCCAGTGACCAGGCGGGGCACTCTGCTCTCTCGAGCTCGGGCGAAGTGTGTTGACAGACGCGGAAGAATCGACAGAACTCGTGGAGGAGTCGGAAGAGCTGTGTTCGTCCAAGTCTGATAGGGCGGAGGAGGAGAGAGGGAGGGGTCTGGGCCGAGGTGGAGGCGGTGCGCCATTCAGGCTCTGGCGGAGAAGGTTCGACATGTCGTGCAGCTGCTACTGCTGCTGCTGCTACGACGTGGGGAAGCTACGGGTGTCGGGGGCATTTGACAGGCGGGGAGGGGGTGCATGTGGCATGTACATGCGGTGTTGCGCAAGCATGGCAGCCACGCACCCTAAGCGGAGGAAGAGTGGCAATGGCCCGGCTTCATTCGCACGTCCATGCTATACTAACCCTTCGTCGCCGTGCATCCCCTGAACGCTACACGGGATTTGGTGCATGATAGAGTAGTACCTAAGGTATGCAGCATTGACGTCTGTAATCTTAGTCATCGGTGGAGATGCCATGAATGTGCCGGTGGTGCCCTCCCGCCCACGCGGCTCGCTTGACAAGATCTAGGAGTGGGTCTCGCTGCACGGGCGCTGTCTCACGCGGGAGAGCTTTTCACATGGGCTCTGCTGCAGATGATTGAGTGTGAGCAAGGCAGTCAGCGCTGTTGCTATACCGATTGGCTGAGCATACAAGCACGACACACTGAGCGTAAGTCATTCTTCAGACACTACGATACCACAGCTTAAGCGGCTGTATTGCCGTTAGAGAGACGCCGCCACCACTTGGCGCGCCACACATGCGCATCGTTGAAAGGTTCTGCCGCGAGCTCGTGCCACCCCATGACGTTGAGGAGGCGGGACGTCAGCGTTGGTGGATCGGCGAGAGCGGCAGCATCGCGTCCCAGGCAGCCAAGCTCCAGTCATGTTGCAGCACGGCAGCACTCCGCCTTCACTCAATCCATCACGTAGGGAGAGAGAGAGAGAAAGAGAGAGAGAGTAGCGGCCTGTACATCCCACTAAACCATTCTCTATCGCTCTTGCCGCTCGTTTCTCTTACACCCACACCCGCGTTCAGCATCTTCACGTGCCTGCCCTGCGATTGAGTCTCGTCATTGAGATTGAAAGGCACTGCCACAACATGTCCCTGTGGGGCTCGAAGAAGAACAAAGATCAGCCGGAGCAGAACCACGACGGCGGCCACGAAGGCGAAGACGGTGAGGCGGGCGACAACAACAACAACAACAACAGCAATAACAACAACATGGCTCCACCACCCCAGCGCAGACAAGCCAACGAGCGCGACCCTCTCCTCCCCGCCTCCCAGCAACCTCGTCCACCCCACGGCGATGGCTACCTAGACCCCGACGACCCAGCTGTGAGTATACATCTTCCCTCCAACGCATCACCTTGACCTCCTTGCTGATTGTTGGCGGATAGGTCTCCCCCTACAACCTCTGGACCGTCCGCGCCCTCCGCTTCTTCAGCGTCTTCTTCCTCATCATCACCTTCCTCTGGTGGGTGCTGCTGCTCGTCAGCATCTTCGTCTCCCCGCCCGGCCTCCACACCCGCGGCTCCGGCTTCTTCGACTTCTCCTACACCACCCTCGCCGCCGGCATCCTGCTATGCTCCCTCCTCTTCTTCACCGCCCCCAGCCTCGCCATGCGCGTCTGCCAGGGCATCATCGCCGTCATCCTCCTCATCGACGTCATCCTCATCGTCAGCGTCTCCCGCCTGCGCAACGAAGAAGGCCCGCCGGGCATCGCCAGCGTCGTGTGGGCCATGCTGATGGCCGCCTGGTGCGTCATGACCGACCGGGTGGTGGCATGGGGGAAGAAGGAAGAGGAAGAGCGCCTGACCGGCCGCCCGGAAACGCGCCGCACCCTCCGCGAGTGGCTCGCCATCCTCGTCGCGACCATCATCCTCGCCGTCTACATCGTCATCACCATCCTCTTCACCGCCACCCTCATCCTGCGCGCCCGCGACGCCACCCTCGAAATGGACGGCCAACGCTACTACGTCGACGGCAACAAGTACCAGGTCCACCTCGCGTGCATCGGCGAGAAGCGCAACGCCGACACCCCTACCGTCCTCATCGAGGCCGGCGAGAACCCGTCCGAGTACGACTTCGAGCACTGGGCCTACTCCACCTACCAAAACGGCACCATCGACCGCTACTGCTACTGGGACCGGCCCGGGTACGCCTGGTCCGACAACGCGCCCTCCCCGCACAGCGCGGGCATGTCCGCCGACAACCTCGCCGAAGCCCTGGCCATCGCCGGCGAAGAGGGGCCGTGGATCCTCGTCTCCGCCGGCTACGGCAGCATCGTCTCGCGCATCTTCTCCGCGCGCCACTTCCGAGACGTGGTGGGGATCATGCTGATCGACCCGCTGCACGAGGACCTACTCCACCGCATCGCCAACCCCGCCCGCGGCTTCATCCTCTGGGGCTACGGCATCATCTCCCCCCTCGGCATCCAACGCATCGGCGGCGCCCTCTTCGGCGGCGTCACGCGCGAGGATCGCGTGTACGGCAAATCCGCCTACCAGGGTGGGAAGTTCATCAAGGCGCAGCTGCAGGAGAACCTGGTCGCGGACAGTCTGACGCGGAGTGAAGTCGTCTCCGCCAAGGTGATCCAGGCGGTGAATACCCCGTTTGTCTTGATCTCGAGCGGGATTAGTGTGCGCCGGGACACGGAGTGGGAGAATAAGCAGCGCGATTTGACGCATCTGACGGACAATTTGGTGAGTTGGGATGTCGTTAATAAGGCGCCGCATTATGTGTGGAAGACGTTGGAGGGGCGGTTGTTGATGGAGAAGAGGTTGGGGGAGTTGGTTGCCAAGGCGGGAAATGCTAGTGTTGTTGCGGTATAGAAGAGAAGGGAGTGGTGGGTGGAGGAGTTGAGGGGTGGAGGGTGGAGGGGTGAGAGTGGTGGTGGAGATGGAGATGGAGATGGAGATGCGGTTATGAGATATGAAAATCCGGACGAATGTCTCTGTGCTATGGGCCTTTAATCTGCTTCTTGACGTGGAGCTTGCATTCGCATGCGTTTTGTTGTAGGGGCATAGCTTGCGTTCTCGTCGCTGAAGATATAGCTGCTGACGGCTTGACGAAACTTGTGATCAGCGTTGGCGAATGTTAGGGAGAGAAGTCTGGTATATGACAATATTCTCTCGCACGATACCATCTGCTCTCCCTCCCTCCCCCTCTCTCTATCTCTCTCGTCCGGACTTCCAATGTCCTTCCGTCTAATCGCAATCAAGTAAACCCTCGGAGCTGACATTATTATTACATGTATTTATTCTTTGCTCGAGCACCCGCCCAACTTCCTTCCCAGGTCTAGCGTCATCTATCCGCCAGGGACTGAAACTGGAACGCGGAGTGACGGGAGGCATTGGGGCATTTGAGGCTGAAAGGTGGACTTGGAGCTTCTTACTTTACACCTGGCCATATCCCACCTGACTTGACTCGGGCTCTACCATTTAGTTCGTTTGTCGTTAATACTTCTGTCAGGACTGAGAGGCAATTTGTATTGATTGGACACTTGGCGCCCTTTGCGACGATGCGACGCTAAGCTTTTCGACACCCAATAATCACATACTTCGTAAACGGAGGCTCAAACGTCTGGGTTGCTATACATACAAACCCCAGTACATCTCTCCTGCTGTCACTAGATCGACCGTCGTATCCTTACCGCCATGCCCTCCAAATCCCGCTTCACGCGCCTCGACGCCTTCACCAAAACGGTGGAAGACGCGCGCATCCGCACCACATCAGGCGGCATCGTCACCCTCGCCTCCCTCCTCCTCATCCTCTACCTCGTGTGGGGCGAATGGGCCGACTACCGCCGCGTCACCGTCGCGCCCGAACTCATCGTCGACAAGGGGCGGGGGGAGAAGATGGAGATCCACATGAACATCTCCTTCCCCCGCGTGCCGTGCGAGCTGTTGACGTTGGACGTCATGGATGTGTCGGGCGAGGTGCAGACGGGGGTGATGCACGGGGTGAACAAGGTGCGGTTGGGGGAGGATGGGCGGGAGGTGGGGCGGGAGGCGTTGGAGTTGGGGAAGGAGGTGGAGGAGAGTATGAAACATATGGACCCGGAGTATTGTGGCGAGTGCTATGGCGCTCCCGCGCCGGGGAATGCGATTAGAGCGGGTTGCTGCAATACTTGTGCGGAAGTGCGCGAGGCGTATGCGAGTGTGAGTTGGTCGTTTGGGCGGGGGGAGAATGTGGAGCAGTGTGAGCGCGAGCATTACTCCGAGCATTTGGATGAGCAGAGGCGGGAGGGGTGTCGGATTGAGGGCGGGATCCGCGTGAATAAGGTGGTGGGGAATTTCCATTTCGCCCCGGGCAAGAGTTTCAGTAATGGGAATATGCACGTGCATGATCTGGAGAATTATTTCGCGGGCGGGGAGGGGATCGATCATACCTTCTCGCATACCATCCATCATCTCCGCTTTGGACCGCAGTTGCCGGAGGATGTGGTGAGGAGGATTGGGAGGAGGGGGATGGCGTGGAGTAATCACCACCTCAACCCGTTGGACGAAACGGAGCAGAAGACGGACGAGAAGGCGTATAATTATATGTACTTTGTGAAAGTGGTGTCGACGGCGTATTTGCCGTTGGGCTGGGAGCGGACGGGGAGTATCCTGGATATCCCGCATGAGTTGGTGGAGTTGGGAGGGTATGGGAAGGGGGAGGCCGGGAGTGTCGAGACGCATCAGTATTCGGTTACGAGCCATAAGCGGAGCTTGGCGGGTGGGGACGGAGGGGAGGAGGGGCATAAGGAGAGGTTGCATGCTAGGGGTGGGATCCCGGGGGTTTTCTTTTCTTATGTGAGTTCTCCTACCAATATTATGGATGTTCTGAGGGAATGCTGACGGTGTGTCTTGCAGGACATTTCGCCCATGAAGGTGATCAATCGCGAGGCGCGGTCAAAGTCATTCTCCGGCTTCCTTGTCGGAGTCTGTGCGGTCATTGGCGGCACTTTGACTGTTGCGGCGGCCATAGACCGCGCGCTGTATGAAGGCGGGCAGAGGGTGAAGAAGTTTCACTCAAGTTAGATCGCCCTTCGTATCCGAATGCACATTCCAAGACCATCAAGATCATCAACACGTCCTAACAATACATCATCGTGATCGTACGTACTCCACTTGGCTATGTCCGAAGGCAGGCCTTTCACCGCGCTTGCAAGGCTCTACGCCGGTCAAGAGAAGAGACCGTCCAGGTCCTCCATATCGCCTTCCTCGGCTCCGACGGGTGTGTCCTCTCGAGCTACGCAGTTGGTCAGTACACATATCGCAGAAGGATTAAAGCGAGAGATCGTACCATGAACCTCCTCACTCGCAGCCTTCAATGCCTCCTTTCCACCCGGCTTACCCTTCCGACCCTTCTTCGCAGCGCCGCTCTCGCCATCATCCTCACCGACATCCGCACCGCCAGCGTCCGCCTTACGCTTCCTGCCAGCACCGCCTTTCCCTTTAGCCGGACTGCCCTCGCCATTTCCGCCAGCCAGCTTCTTAGTAATGACCCAGATTGCTCGATTGAAGCTGGCGGGCTTGATGCTGGTGTTGCCGACGGTACAGAATTCTTTGGCAGCTAATACGAATTAGCCGACAGTAAGCGAGACTCTTCAGAGAGTGGAAGTTGGACGGGGAGTAGCTACCTTCTGCGTATTTGGCGGGATTGACATCGTTGGCGTTGAGGCAGGCGATACCGATGCAGGCGAGTTTGTCGATGTCGGCGGGTGAGCATTTGGATTTTACTGCCGTCCAGGTGAGTTTGGGACCGGTGATGTCGCCTGGTGCCATGGTGGGTGGGATGTGGTTGAAGTTGGATACGGAGAGGGTGTTGCTTCAGCTCGCGGTGCAAATGAGGCGGCTTGAGATTGTGTGGGATGCCAGAGAATCTTTGCCGTAAGAAAGTATTCAGTGAAGAGGAGGCGTGAAGTGAGAGGTTGGGTCAGGTGTCGAGTTGCAAGTGAAATTGAATGCTCGCAGTGTTAAGGAACCAGCATGTGACTAGCTCAGAGGTTACACAAGGTCCCGCCGCAGCCAATAATGAAGCGATCATATTGCTATGCTGTTGCCTTGACCGCCCTCCAGATACCAAGTGCTCGAGCATCTCTCGGCGCCCTACGCATGTCGTAACATCGTAACACCGTAGTATCGTGACGGGCTTGTGCTAGACGCCCGCGATATTCCATGCCCCAGATCATCAGGATCCAGTACAACGCCCGAACGCCTCCGAAGACAGATTGAGTGCCGCTCAAGTTGCGTAGTTGAGCACGCCTTTCAACAGCCAGACCTCACCGTTTGCAACCCGGCTGACCACCCTCTCCACCTCAACGCCTCCAGGCTGCACAACGGCCATCCCACCTTTATTCTCCCACCACACCTCACTGCCCAACATATTCCTCGCCTTCTCGCCCTCCTTCCACGGCGACGCAAGAACCACATGCGCCTCCGTGAAGCGCCTCAGATTCTTCCCAGCACGATCCTCGCCCGCCTGGCCTTCATACGCTGCAGCGCCCAAGCTGTCGTAGTCGTTAGGGTTCTCCCATGGTTTCCGCGGTAGACTACTCAACGCGCTGTTTGAAGGCGCTAATACTGTCGTGTTCAAGCCTGTGGTTTCTAGTCGCGTGGAGACGGACGAAACGTCCCGTGTGAAGCCGGCGAAGATATTGATCTGTCTTTGGTTGCCAATAACATCCGATAATATCACATCGCCTTGCGCAGACGCAGCGTTTGGAAACGGCGGTAGTTGATTCCCAGGCGCATCGGCCTCTAAAGGTCGCTGTTGTTGGTCCATGTGTGGATGTGACGGTGTCTTCAAGAAGGGTACCAGCTGTGCTTGCGCGGCGGCAAGAATTACTGTGGATGCGAGTATCCCCGCCCTCATGTTACCTTTAGTTACTCCGCGAGAAAATGTGATAGTTGGATAAGCAGTGCGTTTCAGTGCAGAGGTGACCTTTCAACCCACTGGACGTCATTTCTCCACAGTCCACGTGAGCACGCGTTGGAATGGCGTCTCCGCACCTTCAATTCCCACTTCACGTTCAAAGTCGATCCCCTACCATCCCTTCGCATGTTCAAGGGTGATGACATTGCAGAACAGCTCTCCGTCGAAGCACAATGTCATGCTTGGTGGAAGAGCTGTACCGCATCCGAAGTCTACCAACTTCGAAGAATCGAATGAGGACGAGTTCCAAACACCATCGGCAAAGCGTGTGAAGCGCAGTCACCAACACGCGAACACCGCCCGGACTTCTCCGCGAACGAAGGCAGCGCGTAGAGATGTTGTTTCCGATTCCGACGCGGACAGCGACAGCGAACCTCTCGACGAGCCGGCTCCGGATCGCAGGACGGACTTGGAGACTGCGTTGCCACCCATACAGACCGACAAAGAGGCTATCGATGCATACGAAGCCACTCGTGTAGCCGAACAGGCTGAGCTCGGACTCCAGGATCGACTTGATGGGAAGAAGTGGGTCAAAGGCCGGAGCTCTATTTATGTAGACGGTACGCGAACCCTTGACTTTAAGGCTCGTATCATATCTGGAAGACCGCTGACGGTCGCGATCAATGCATTTAGCATTCAATCTAGCGCTAGAAACGGTGCTTGAAGACGAAGGCCACCTTTTCGACGAAGCAGAACACGCCGTGTTTGAACACTGGCGCGAGCTGGAATATGAATCGCAGTACCTGTACGTGCGACTTTTCCTTCGAAAGACCGCGAGCTGGCATCGCACCCGTAGGCTGGGCTACCACAGTGATGTAGCCGATCTACAGCAGGCCATTGTAGACTTGCAAACAGTGAGAAACCTTCCTGAAGCGTCTTCGCAAGACAATGAGCATCCAGGAGAGCTGGAGGCGCCAGAAGGCACGACCTTAGACTCAGCCTTTGCTTTCGCCGACCGGTCGGAGGATTGTATTCGCGATCTCGAAGAAGCCTCATCGCTACTGCTTCTAGACGAGCTAAAAGCGATGGCGAAGGACGCCAAAGTCCAGGGCAAGAACAAGAAGGAGCTTCTTCGCGCTTTCCGACGGACGAGTGGCAAGCAGACAGGCCTTGCTTTCTCGCTCAAGCGATCTGAGACTGAAGAGACCACGGCGTCTGCCACGACAGCCGGTGCGGAAGACGAGGATCGTGAAAGCACACCAATGCGGCAAGGCAATCGGGATGCGCATTGGGTTGGCAAGATCCTGGCAGAAACCGGACCATGCATCCGTCTGTCTCTGCCAACACTGAAGCTCTTCGAAAGGGTGCACTTGGTCTTCTACCGCTCCACCGAATGGACCGAAAAGTCGTTGACCACCATCATACTGGCACGCATTGCACGCTGGAACTTCCCGGAGTACATCGTATCACGCTCAGCCAATGTATTCGCCTCACGTTCGTTACTGCTGGAGTATGAGGCTTCCCTGCGGACGCAGTTCCGGGTGGACAACATACTAGAATTCAACGGTACACCCACCAAGGAAGGCTTGGAGGTCATCTTGCACGTCTTCGAGGAGGTCTACCCGCGCTGGAAGACGCTCCTGGCAGACGAACAACGGAAGGAGGACAGCATTTACAGTACGGGCGAAGGCGCGTATCTGCGCCGGTTATCGCCCGCCTGGATTTACACGAGAATCGTGCACAAGGGTGCTTTCGTATTCGGCAAGGTCAAGAAGCACGAGCGCGAGCACGCCATCCTCTGCGAGCTGCTCCAGCAACGGCTTTTCCATACAAGCCGTCGCGGTGACTGGTACCAGCGGAAAGCGCTTCTTGAGGAGCACTACATGCACCTGCACTTGCCTTCACCAGCCGACTGTAAAGGCGTGGAAAGTAGAAAGAAGCATTGGAAGCGTGTAGCATTGCAGACTTGCGAGGAAGGCCTGCAAGACCAGCTCACCCATCTCATCTTCCACCATGACCTGCAGAAGCGGACGATCAAGCTCGAGAAGCAGCTGAAAGTACCAAAGCGTCAGCAACACGATTTCCAACACGTCATCCTCACCAAGCCAGCCGAGCGCGCCTTCGAAGGCATACGGGTTGAGCGGTCGAACTCCAATCATGGCAGCCGCCGTAACAGCGAACAGGGCTCTACTGGCGCCAAAGCCATCATCACTGGTAATCGCGGCGCAAAGACGATCTGGATCGACCCGACTCCGAACGTCACCTTAGATCCGGACACCGGCGAGGAGACCTCCACTCGAAGCGAATGTAGTGTAGAAGAGATGTGCTTGTCCTGCTATCGAGGGCTTAGCTATAAAGGGTACCACAGCGAAGGTGGCATCATCCGCACGCTCTTCGCCTACCTCTTCTGCGACGTCTTGTTCGTCTACATCCCGAACGTCTTCCAGACAGAGTTTCAGACGTGTCCGCTGGACCTACATACGGATGCCTTCTACCCGAGTCGCATAAGCGAGGTCAATGCTCGTTTGAACGGAATATCTAATGGGGACGCGGCATCACTGATTGAGAACGTGTGGAACGATCATCACGAGCGAAAGACGTGTGTCGTAGGTCTGGACTGGTCGTTTGCGCTCGAGGACTTGCTCGAGATAGCTGGGGCATTCCCGCCCGCTGCACTTAGCACTGTTATGAAGGTCATGGCGCAGGAGTATGGGCAGCGCGGTGGAGGCGTTCCTGACCTGTTTCTGTGGAAGCCTAAGGATGACATGACAGGCTTCAGGGGGGAAGTAATGTTCGCTGAGGTCAAGTCGGAGAATGACCGCTTGAGCGACACGCAGCGGATGTGGATCGATGTATTGAGTGGTGCAGGGATTCGCGTTGAACTATGCCATGCCGTAGCGACGGAAGTGAGGGTGCAGTGACATCCGTCACGGATATGGAAAGCTAGTTCGCTGGCGGTGAACCGACGTTATGTGTGTAGAGACCAGACTGCACGCTGCTCCTGGTCATGCTGGCGTAACCGGAGTGATCAGCTCTGCAACGCGCGTGTCACGGTTTGATGTCACTGTTGGGTAGCAGTGGCAACCCTATCCCGCCGCCACCACGATCACTCTGGTGGGAAGAATAGCAGACGATGGACGGCAATCAACCTAGGTAGCGTTGCGATTGACACCGTGTACGTAGCGTCTATTCGGCACCTTCCGGAGATGGCCCGAGTTGCAGCCTTACAGCATCAAGTGCCTCGGAGCTTGTCCATTGCTTTGATGCTTGCATTCGCTCCCCGCTGATGAGGCTTGCATTCGCTTTCCGTTTACGCTTGCATTCGCTCCCCGAGCGCCAGGGTGTCGCTCGGCTGCGCAAGTTGTGGCTGACGTAAACGTTCGCAATCGATCAGAGACGCGAAGCTCACACCAAAGACGCTATCACTAGGTCTGATCCTCATCTTTTCCTGCGCCAGGTAGGTTTAAGGTACATCGTACGTAGAGTCAGTAATTAGTACAGAAGCACTTCTGAGCGCCACCCACCATGGCGGTCCCAAGTACGGTGACGATGAAGGACATGTCCGGCACCTACGTTCTTAATAAGACAATTTCCGACTCCGCCACAGAGATGCTGAAAATGCAGGGCATTGGCTTCATCATCCGGCAAGCGGTGGCTTTCAGTACCGTCACGAACACAACCAGCCAATATACCGACAAGGATGGCAAATTGCATCTTGACCAGAAGCAAGTCTCCACGGGCGGCATTACCAACGAGGAAGAACGAACCATCGATGGAGAATGGCATGAATCAGCCAACAAGATTTGGGGCAAGGTCAAGGGGCGTAGTAGGTATGGCTCGTTCGAATCTTTTGTGCTTCTTGAAAAGGTAGCTTAGGTTGCTGATCGTCGTCTCAGGATGGTCAAGGTGTCCGAGCTCGATGACGACTTTCTGAAGGAAGGTTGGGCTCAGGATTGCCTGGAAGGCGAAGTCCTGGAGTCAGTCAACGAGAGCTTGTCAGACACCTGGAAGGCCACAGTCATCTTCGGCTTCGCGGATGTCAATGGTGAGAGGAAACACGTGCGACGCATCACGTGCGTCAAGGGTAATCACCGCGAGAAGATGAGGCAGGTGTGGGACTGGAAGGCACAATAAGCATGTTTTGATAGCCCATCTTGACAGAGGGGTAGGTTGGAGGGAAGAGCGATGTGCTGCGGGACTTTCAATGCAAGCGTATATAGCATGCCTTTTCTGCGAGCCTCAAATAGCTCGCGTACACCGATAAAGTGCAATGGTACCCACGCGGATACCGATGCTGGGCGAAGCTTTTGTGCTGCACGTTGCCTACGATGCTCCTACAGTCTGTAAACTGTTAGTGACTCGTCTTCGATCGACAGCTGAGCGTCACCGCGGTATGCGTAGAAGTATGGGCGATCAGAGAGAAGATTGAAGTCGACATCACCCAATTACGGGAGGATGTGTGGTCAAGTGTCTCGCGACCGAAACCAAGCACTGCCCAACCCGCTGTGGCTTTACGTCTAAGGATGACAATGAGAAGTTTCTCATCACTATGCAAAACTGTGTGAAATATGTCTTCGTACTTACGAATGCTTCCCTCCATGTCAACATTTCAGATAAGGTGTTATCGACTTTCCTAGATGTTACAGGGGTCTTCATAAATTGCCCGCTCGGCCACAAGCGACTTAGCCGTAGTCCATGTCGACCAATTTCTCATGCTGCTCGTCCAGCTCCCGTACCAGTCGGCGGTGAGTCATCGAGCCATGGATCGGATCGTGCGCATCAATGAAGTTCTCCCAATTGCGCTTGTGTCGCTCATCGTACGGCACCTCTTGTCTTAGTCGGGTTTGCGAACGACTGTTTGATCGTGACTCCTCGCTTCTGCTGCTGTGTGACAGCTGTTTCTTGACTGATCGTTGCTCTGGAGGCTTCGTTGATAGGTTTGTCTTCGGCGCCAGCGGTCGACAAGTCAAGCCAAGAAGATCGCCCTCTATGCTTGACACCTCAGAGGTCGGAGAGCCGCCGTCATCCGAACCGCCTCCGTCTTGCTGAGAGTCCTCGTCACGCCGAATCTCTCGCTCGCGTAGCATTTGCTGAAGCTCGCTATGTCTAAACATCGCGATCTGCGCATCGGTGAGAGTACGTTTGGTCCCGTCTTCATACCAGCCGAGGTTGTCATCCTCACACTGAAGCTCCGACGGAAAGCTCAGTGCGGTCTCCGCATCAACAAACCAGTTCTCTGGTTTAGTGTCGTCGCCAAAATGAAAAACTTGAAATGCAAGGAGATCATCCTTAGTAAGTGGAATAGTCAGTACTTACCTTCACCTATCGCGATATCACAGAGTTGAACGACCATACCTCTGTGACTGTGGGTATTTGCAATTGCTTGGTGTATGCTTCTTGACCTGGAGCAGCTTTCTTCAAGGCGCGTTGGGCCATCTGCGCAGCCATCTTCTCCTGGTGCCGCTTTCTCGACTTCGCACTTCTGAAGTCATGCCGTCGTGGCTTGTCTGTCATACGGTCGACTATGCGACCCTGAAAGCGCTGTGACCGAGGCAGCGCATTATGCGGGTTTGATCATATGCCCGATTGTGTTTGCGAGGTGCAGGAAGTAAGAAGCTCGAGACGCGCGACTTTCGATGCCAAGCCGTCCGCGACTCGCGTGGATCTCGCCAACCATACCGCAAATGGACCATGTGCATGACGTCGGACTACCAATTGCTCGCAGACGGCGAGAGGTGGCCGGACGCGTAGGTACACCGTCTCCGGCCGGACATGGCAGATGTACAAGTAGGACACGCGTGTAGGTGCTTACACAGAGTATTTCCTTGATTCCCGTTCCTGCGTAGGCTACACCTACACCCATTTCCGAAGTATATCTGACCAGCAACCAACCCCATTTGCTCTTCTAGTCAGGATCACGATCGAGGCAGCGATGATGGCGACGCACCCGCCTTTACAGGTTTTGGACGACTACTACCTTGCGATCAGTCTGCTTGTAACCATTGCCTACCAACTGCTCGGCTTCAGCGTCGCCTTCACCTTCAAGTTCGACAAGTTGACCGACTTCATGGGTGGCTCCAACTTCATCTGGCTAGCGATTCTCACGCTGTCCATGTCCGGAACCACCAATGCTCGCCAGATCGTCGTCAGTATCTTCCTCATGCTCTGGGCTGCGCGTCTTTCGGGCTTTCTACTCTTTCGAATATTGAAAACTGGCAAAGATGACCGTTTCGACGAAATGCGGGACAAGTTCCTTCCGTTGCTGGGGTTCTGGGTGTTTCAGATGGTTTGGGTCTGGACTGTGTCCTTGCCAGTCACAATTCTCAACAGTCCGAATGTTCTGCACTACCCGCAGCCGAGCTTTGGCAAGGCAACCGATATTATAGGCATTATCATCTTTGCTATGGCACTTACAATTGAAGCCGCCAGCGATGTTCAAAAATACAACTTCAAGCAGTCTAAGCAGGGTAAACAGCCTGGCGCGGTGTGTAAAGTTGGCTTCTTCCAGTATTCGCGGCATCCAAATTACTTTGGTGAGATCATGATCCAAGTCTGTAAGTACTGTGTGGAGAAGTCTTGACTGTGCTTGCGCTCGGGCTAAACAATGACAGCCATCTTCATCATCGCCGTAACACCGGCCAGCTACGGGACCGTTCCAATTGGTTCAGGCGCATACGCTGCACTTTACAGCAGCATGCTCGGCTGGATATTCTTAACAGCGCTGCTGATGTTCGTCTCCGGTCTTCCTCTCCAAGAACGGCCCGGAGCCAAGAAGCGGTACGAGGAAGGCACCAGCTGGCCACAGTATGAGAAGTGGCTGCACGATACAAGCATTCTGATCCCGCTGCCACCAGCAATTTGGCGAAGTTTGCCCGTCGTCGTCAAGAGGACAATCGGGCTGGAGTTTCCGATGTACGTCTTCGATCCAGCAAAGCACGCAGATCAGTCGAAGGTGCGGTTACGGGAAGCCGAGGCAGGCGTCCATGGTGAAGAAGGCGGGAATAGAGGAAGCACCGAGCCTTTGCGCTAACTCAGAAACCCGGGATAGGCTTATTGTTGACTTGTTCGGTCTCGTTTTCAATTGGCAGCATTGCACCAGGCCATACTTCCGCATTTCAACTCGACCTAGAGAAGCTGCTATACCAGGCGCAGTGTCAACAAACGCTCTTTTGTGACGCTGGAACATGATTCTTCGATGCTCTCATCATGAACGTACGCATCTCCAGCCAACATGTAGAGCCCCTCATCAGCAGGATGTAGTACAAACGGATACGGCGCGCCTACAAACGAGCAAATCCAATCTCCAGGTCGCGACCTGTCGGGTACCCAAGCAAGCGTACCGCTGTCCGTTGCAGCAAGGACTCGACATCGGTCCATAGCGATATCTCCACCTTTTGGCTGCAGATGTAGACGCAGGTCTCGGCGCATCAGGTCAAAACTTAAAGGCGGCCCGAGTACGCCCGTTCGGGCGCACAGGTCCGGCAGTAGACACTTGAACGCCTCATCCCAACTCTCATTAAGGGGTGGGTAACGTTGAGGGTCAAGCAGCCGACCGTGGCTCAGAAGCCGCTCGAGCCGCTCTAGTTGTGTTTGCTCGTCCAGTGCCTGCCCGTGCTCAAAAGCAAAATTCCGGCAGCGGAGGTACCAGGGTAGTACAACACAATAGGCATGCTTCACAAGCTGCGTTGAGTCCATGTGAGCGTAGTCGAAGGTATCCTTGTGAGGGCGAGACCTTGGGCAAATCACCCCAAGCCGCTCGAAGAGTATGCCTTGCACCTGTAGCACATGCGGCTCGTTGGGATTGTACGACGCCTGAAAGCGTGGTTCATCGCTCAATGCCCGTTCCACTGGAGAGCCGTGGAGGTAAAACATGTACTTATGGAACCATTCGGCACTAGACTCCAGGTCTGGAACCCAGTTTGGCAGCTGTTGCATATTCGGATCCGTTCGTGGACGGTTTTCGGCACCTGCCATGGCCAGAAAGACGGCAGCGCTGACATGCTCTGTATCGGCCCGGGTCGTGACAGACACGGCGACGCGAGTCCACAGCTCAGCTACAGAGACGTCGTAGTCTGGCACCAACGTGTCATCTCCAGCCACGAAGGGAAGTGCTCGTAGCGCAAAAATGCGGTCTCGTGGATCAGTGATGCGCAGGCACAGCGAGCCAAATACGACAGCCTCGATGAACTGGTGCTTGCTGGACAGGTATTTATCTTCTCGCCAGCCACGAATAAGATGGGCCAAAAACCTGTATGCTACAAAGAAAGAATCCAAATCGAGACGCTTGGTGACAGACCATTCGTACGGGAAGCAGTTGAAAGCGTAAACCAAACGGACAGCAACCTCTAACGCAGCGAGAGTTGTCGAATGTGAGCCGACAAGAACTAAGCACGAGCGCGCCCGAGCAGCTTCCTGCACGACCCACGTCCGCGTAAACCAGCCACTGCTCCAGAGACAGTTGAGAGATGTAAGGGCGTCCTCCACAGTCGGCTGCGGCCAGTCAAACGTCTGCTTACAGCACGGACAGTGCTGTTCGTTCACGTTTAGGTTCGATGCAAAGTGATCTTCCAGCTTCTCCAGTATAGTCCTCGGCGAATCTGCAAAGGCGGCAGACTTGTTCAGCAGGTTCGCTGCATCCAGTCGTAGGTAGAAATCAGCAAGCAACTCAACGGTCCAGAATGCCAGGTGATCACCAGGCTCTGCAGCACCTAGCCACACAATGACGTCCTTAGCGCCATGGTATATGTCCGCCATCCTAGCCACCTGCTCACCACGCTCGACCGTGTCATCCTGGTTGATGCAGACTGCGTCAAGCCAAAGCACGATGCTGTGGTTCGGCCTGCGAAGATGCTGAAGCACAACCTCAGCCGAAGCAGTAATTGCCAGCGTGCCTTGTCGAAGATGGAGCAAAGCCGAGCGTTCTGACGAGCCCCATACGTAGGAGATAGCATTGTAACTCGGGGGTTTGTGGATCGAGACTGGACGTAGTAGGGCATGGAGAGGTTCGCCTGCATTGCCAGGCTGCAACTCCAGCACTCGGATTTGGTTTGACTGAAGATCAGAGTAGACGGACACTTTTGACTCTAATGCAGATTGCTCAGCTGATGCTCGGGATTGGTGTTGGGCTTGTTGCTGGGCTTGTTGCTGAACTTGTTGCTGGGTTTGTGCTCGTCCTGGGATTTGTTGCAATTCTCGCGATGATTCTTGCGATTGCCATGGCACCTTGCGCCGCCCCTTACCGCGTACGCTACTCAGAATTGTGCGAAAAAGCAGAACAATACGAAAGTCGTGCAACAACATAGCAGTAATTCTGCATGGAGGACGAGAAAGGAACACGAGGAGAGACATTACCTGAGGGATGGCCAGACTGTGCCGCAAGCCTTGTGCATCGCGAAGCGCCGATGCTGCAGACCACGGCAGTGCCGCCTGTACCTGCATCATGTCAGGCGTACAAGGGCCAGACGTTCTACAATGAATCTGTAAGCCTGCCCCCCATTAGGGTTCTCAATCAAACTGTTGTCGCCGCTAGGTCCACAACAATGAACAGTAGTCAATAGCTGGACACTCCTTTAGTGCTGTTGCTGAAAGCTAGGTCAAGTCATGCTCGTTCTCACGCGCGAGTGGCGCAGACCATGGGCGGCAAACCACAGGCTTGCAGAGAGCGAGGCTCTGCAGCCCTGCCTTAGGGGACACCGAGCGCTCTGTTCGCTGTGACACATAGTGCAACGTTGTATGCCTTCAAGGCCACGAGACGTGGATATAACAGCGCATGGTGTAGGTGCCAAATTTCTGCTTCCAGTGCCGAGCCCGTGTACAACAATGGTACTCGAAGTACTGGCCACAGATAGCCAGGTGCCAAGCAATAGCGGCAGTGACGACGTGGGGCTGCAGACGTCCGACGTTGAATAGAGAAATGAACGAAGAGGTCTCGGGGTCCTCACAAGCGCTTCGGCCTGATATCTTCTGCAGCCTCAAGCGTAGGAAATTGCATGCGAACATCTTTCGTTCCAGAATTGGTGCAGTAGGTTACAAATCTCCGGAGACGGGACGGCAGCCGCCAGGCTATCCGTAGCGTGAGCGATGGCCACGAACATGGACCCTTCACAGCCACAGCCGGAGCGCAGCATGTGCGCTTCCAGCTCATCAGGCACGCTCTTTCACTTACATTTAGTATTGCGAATCACGATATACAAGATGCCTTTCGGTTTCAAGAAGGGCGATAAAGGCGAGGAGACGAGTAGCTTAAGCACACAAAAGGCATCGCTGTTCGGCAAGAGCAAGTTGTCGAAGTCGCCAGCGCCCTCATCCGCCAACCCGTATGCTGTCCCGCCTCCATCGAGCGACCCATACTCTCAGCAGAGCGCAAACCCATACGCTTCACAGAACCCTGCGAACGATGTATACGCTCCAAGATCGCAAACATCTCTCTCACAACCACCAGCGTCCTCGTTCGGCAGCCTGACGCTCAATAGTGAGCAGTCAGGGCCGCCGCCGTACGGCCGCAACTCCCCGGTTCCTAATAGGAGTGAGAAGTCGCCCGTGCCGACAGGTGGTTACGGTGGTGGTGCTCCACGTTTCCCAAGCCGTAACAGTTACGGACAAGCGAACGGATACGGAGACAGCAATCCGTATGGCGGACAGAATGGAAGCGCCCAATCACGATACGGTGCTGGTGGGTATGGCGGCCTTGGTAGACGGATGAGCCAAGAGACAATGACCACAGATGCGGGTCGCGAGGCGCTCTTTGGTGATGCTGCCCAAAGAGCACAGAGTGCCGAGCAGGAGGAGTCTTTTGCGGCGAATGAGCAGTCCAGCGATGCGAGCTATGCGAATGCGGATAGTCAAGGCGCTGGTGGCATGCCAGGGAACTACGGATACGGCGAAGAGCGCGAATTGACCGCCGAGGAGCGTGAGAATGCGGATATTGATTCGGCAAGGCTGTTGATCAAGGAAACTAAGCAGAAAACCGTCGCTTCGTCGAGCAATGCTGCCAGAATTGCTGCACAAACGGAAGAGACGGCTCGTAACGCTCTTATACGCCTTGGACAACAAGGCGACCACCTGCACAAAACAGAGGAGTACCTTGATGCGGCCGAATACCAGAACCGACAGGCCACTAGCAAAGCGAAAGAACTGAAGACGCTCAATCGTAGCTTCCTCCTCGTGCACATGGACAACCCTTTCCGTGGTAAAGCGCTCGACAACGAAGCTGCCAAGCGAGCCGGCGAAGCTCGAGCACATGAGCGCGAAACTGCCGTAGCAACATCCGCGGCCGCATACAACTCGACGATGCGTCATCGCGGTCAAGCTACTGAACTACGTCCAGAGCCTGGCTCGAGTAGTCAACAGACACAGCGTAATTACACGGATCGAGCCAAGTATCAATTCGAAGCGGACAGTGACGACGACCAGATGGAAAACGACATTGAGGACAACATGTATGTACAGTCAGGGCTTGCCCGCTTATCCAGCGAACCCAAAAGTTGTGCTGACAATATGGCAGGAATATTATCCATCAAGGTGTCAAGAACATGAAGAAGATCGGCATCGCAATGAGCCAGGAACTGGAGAGTCAGAACAAGCTGATTGATCGTATCAGTGGTAAGTCTGACAAGGTTGACGACCAAATAGCAATGAACCGGGCGAGACTGGACAGGATTAAGAAGTAGCTGCGACGGTTCAGTTTGTGGATGGTAATTTGTTCGGCGTATGCGCGCTCGGCACTGCAGTTATTAGGGCGTCTGGGAATGTTCGCTACTAGAGCGTATGGCAAAGACGTCAGTAGCACGTGGAAGAAAGTAGCACCGCGTTGTGGAGTCCCCAGGGTACGGGTCGCAAGCACTCTGCTCCCGCAGTGCTTCGTCTAATCAGTATTGCGAAAGCATCGTACATACCCCGTAACTGCTGCGATTGGTTCAACTTAGCCTCACAGTTATGAGCGTGTCTCGGAATTGGTAGGGTCGACCGACGCGCTACGGGCCGAGCTTCGGTGCCGAATCACAGCGTCGCCAGCCTGACTTCTGGAGTCACATGGTTGCGATACATGCGTAAGAAACCAACTGCATGAGCTTGATCCACTCACAAAAAGTCGTGCACTGTTCCTGATTGCCAGAACTTGCGCTTTAGCATGACATTTGCCATGATCTTCCATGCAATGACCTGATCTTACCCTTTGCACATCGGAGAAAATGCCCCCCAGATACTTCAAGAATGATGCACCCCTTGCTAGGAGAGGTGATGGTCGATCTGATACCTTTCGATACAACTAATACTGACGAGCTTCAGACCCGCGCAGACAGCTCGAAGCGTCTCTCACACGGTTGGTTACTGAGCACCCGCCCGCCAAAGTACGACCAGGCGGCGGCCTGTTTAAGGGGCCTGTTTCCGTGGCCTACACATTCCTCGTGCTACAGCAGCTCTACCCTGACCTTGTAATCTCAGAACATCAGCTCGGCGTCTGGTCTGCCCTCTACCTGAAGCATGCCCAAGACAATATCCAGAGCTATCCCGGGCCGTCTGTCGGAAAGTGCGGCATTATGGACGACATAATGTCATTACTTGCGATAGGCGCGGCGAGCAGCAAAGATGCTGAGATGGCCACCAGTCTTTGCGATTACTCTGCAGAAGTGCTTGATCCAGAGAGCGAGAATGAGTTCCTCTACGGCAGGGCGGGCTACCTCTACCTTCTACGGCTCGTGAAAGCCTCCTTCATCGATGACCCCAAGACGACGCAGCTGATTACAGACACCCAGGAAGACGTCGTTGACGCCATCCTGGACTCACCAAGACCATGGAAGTGGCATGGCAAAGTGTACATCGGCGCCGTGCATGGCGCAGTTGGCATCATTACGCAGATTGTCCTTACAAACCCGAAGAAGTATGCTGCGAAGCTAGAAGCCGAGCTTGCAGTTCTCCTCACCTACCAATACGACAGCGGCAACTTTCCGAGCAGTGTGCCGCCGGAAAGGGACCGCTTGGTGCAGGTCTGCCATGGCGCGCCCGGCGTGGTCGTGAGTCTGAACAGTATCAAGGAGTATTTTCCGTCGTTAAGGGAAAAGATCGCGAAGGCCATTACGAAAGGGCGAGAGTGCATTCTCGAGCGCGGCCTGTTGACAAAGGAGCCTTGTCTCTGCCACGGTATGTAGCCTACTCTGACCTTTGCGTTGGCTCACTGACACGTCTCAGGCATCTCCGGCAATGCACTAGCTCTCGAGGACAAGGAGTTTGAGCACTTCCTGACCTATACGACAGGCCACGAGATGAAGTCCATGGAGCAGGACGGTTTGCTGGAGCCTTCCTCAGCGCCGGAGTCACTGTTTGGTGGCGAAGCTGGCAGAGCGTGGACATGGGCGGTGGCAGACAAAGGGTTGGACAAGCGGATACTGGGTTACAATGATCTTTGAGCGGCATGATGCACGATACCCATTATGTTTATGACCGCATGGTTAGCGGAAGATTGACGAAGCAATGAGACTACATTGGCCAGAGAGAGATCGACCATCTTTCGAACATGGCAAGCGCTGAACAATGCCGCAGTTCCCCTGTGCTCTAACGACAATTGGGGAGCCCACGCATGAACTGTCCACAGCGTTCCAAACGATCTGCCAGCGATGAGTTACACCATCGTGCTCGAGCTTGATTAATGCAGGAGTGAATAAGGTAATCAAAAAGCTTGCTGCGGGATCACAAGGCGCTCAGTGACTGTGTTAGAAATCCAGCACACATCGAAAGACTACACAAGGCTGAGCGCCAGTCACCGATGTCACATCTCGCGGACACCTGCGTCCTATCTCCGACGGTGCAGTAAAGCAGAGCAGTACGCTAAGCCCATGGCCGCGCCCTCTCCACGATGGTGCTTGGGTGCTGGATGACCGCTACGGCGAGCTTCCACTTCAAGCGCATCATCTCCTGCACATCATGCGCATCCAAGCCATTACATCACTGTCGCGGCAGTCTCAGCACGAAGCATGTCCTGGAGATTGTCGCTCACAGCATAGGACGTTCCTTCTGTCAAAACACGCGTGCCTGCCAGATACGGAAGACAAACAACAATGATCGACAGCGTGATACAACGGCGCAATCTCAACGGAGCGCAGAAGTGATCAGAAACTCACGTGTACTACAAACAATTCTTACTGGCTTTCTCTTGGAGAGCATATAATAACACTTCCACACACATCACCTCGCAGCAACCGACAAGCACTACAGTCTCAAGTCAATATACACCCCAGAAGGTAAGTTATATACTGTAGAAGTATATCATGCAGCGAGCATGGCGGAAAACATGTCCAGTCGCGGTCGGCCGAAGCGGCCAGTCCTCGAGCGGAGCAAAACGTCCTTCAGTAGCATGAAGGCTATCCTCAGTGGCCGTCATGGCAGCACCACCAGCCTCTCGGGGATGGCGAACAACTCACCCGCTCGCACCGCACCGACAACCCCTCGGAAGCTTTTCTTGCGCAGTGGGACGGCGTCCTCTGCCGCCACCCCAACCACGGGCGTGTCCTTACCAGTAGGTCTCAACGCCGTCACCCGCCGTCTCGAGGAGCTGAGCATCCTACCGGATGGTGAGAGCAAGGCGAGTGAGATCCGGAAGCTCGAACACCTGGCCGCGGAGTGCGATGCAGACCGCAAGGAGTGCAAGAAGATCCTAAAGGAGGCTATGGATCTTCGTGTGGAGGGGAAGTTCGATACCTGCCGTGCCGATTGCATGCGCATCGTGCACCACAAGCATGCTAAGGTCGGGACAAGGTCCATGCCTGTAAGCTACCCTTCTACGAGGGTGCATTCGACCCTGACTGCGTTCACTGACGCTCTCAGACACGATTCTGGCGGAGCTCAAGGCCTCGGACGGGCAGAAGGAGTTGGCGCTCCAGTATCTCAAGGACGCGAAGGAGGCTGTCAACGCCGTGAAGCCAACAACGCCGCATATGGTAAGTCCTTTGACTATGGGATGATACGCTCACTTGTACTGACTTGCTTGGCAGGCGAACCTCTATGGCATCGTCAGTATGAGCAAGGAGCGCGTTCTGAGAAAGGCGAAGGTGGAGGACACGAGCAAAGGGTTGGAGAAGCCGACGCGCGGGCCGTATGTTGATGGGCAGTACTGAGAGGGGGTGGCTGATACAATACTCCGTGAGCGTAGCGTCTGCTTGAGCTGCTAAGGTAGCCTACAGCGCGATATGCAGTGGCTCAAAGTAATGGAGAGCATGTTGCGCAGTCAGCTGCAATTGTGCGCTTTCCTAAACCTGTAGGAGGCGAACAAGCTGCTGAAGTGACCGATAGAGCCATGTAGTCAAGGAGTATGAAAGTTGGGAAGCCTGTAAGCTCGTTGCACAATCCGAGATCCATAACGGTTCAATAAGCTGCTGAAATGACTGATGTATGCACATAGCTGCCATCAATACTGTAAGAAGCGCGCTGTTCCTGTGTCCTCTCAAAGCTGTCTTCAGATATGTTAGCTGCTGAAAGGCCGATAGACTCAGATGCATGCAGATGAGATTTCCGAGACCCTTGTACAAGAGCGTATATTCCTCAGAGATTGGCACGCTTACAAGCATCACAACAGCCACTGGGCTTTTTGGACGATGGGAAACTAATCTGGAAAGCAAGTTCTCACACCCTCAATGAAGCTAAGTTAGACGCAATCGCAGTCAGGTGAAAGTGTCTTTCACCCGCTGGAAGACCCATAGTCTCATGCTGGCTCTATGTTATCGTGTTGGGAAGCGTGCAAAACCCGCACATCGTTATATCGTTGACGTGGTGTTCACACTTTAGGGGGCAGTTTCATTCTTCAACCCACTACCCTGCGTAGGCTCCCCCTTGTCAAAGCCTAGCGCATGCTTCGCCTTGCCTAGAATGTCCTCGTGATGTCCCTGCTGTCCTGGCTGCGGAGTGCTATGCCCCCCATACTTGTCCTTGTGCACATTGCCTTGCCCGCCCCTGCCCGTGTGAAAGTTCTCATGTCCCTCTGCTGTCCGCGTGGCGGTCTCCGGGATGAAGTCCTTCGAGGGCGGGACTGACGGGTTGATACCCGCAGCAGGCGTACCTGTGCGAGGCGAGTGGAGGACGTTGCCTGCGCCTCCGCGGCCGACCGGCTCGCTAGAGCGGCTGGTCTCGCCCTCGACGCCCTCGCGGACGATGTCGCCGTCGACATAGACGGTGTTGGGGTCTTGGCCGATGTTGCCGGCGCCTGCCAGGGCGTTAGTGTTTTGCCTTACGAGACATACGATATGAGGTTCATGTGACATACCACCACGGCCAGTAGAGTGGATGCGGTCGTCGCTCATGTTGCTCGCTTAAGCGTACGGAGTCACCTCCGTCGTACCTTCTCTATGCGACTAAACCAAATATGCTCGTTCGTTTAGAGCACTTTTTGCTTCTTGACAACGGATGAAGGCTGGAAACACGGTAGGGTATCAAGTACGAGCAGTAGGAACTTTTACACCGATAACGTATCACAGTTTTGCACGGCGTCGAATGGGTTGAGAAGAATGCAGTTCAAACAAGCGTGCGGTATATGACGCAAGCCAGCCCACCTAGTCACAAAAGAACCAAGGCACGGGAAACGACCAATGTAGCTCTGCGCATGCCCTATGGTGCAATACCAACGGCGGCCTTTCTGTGCTGCACTTGCGCGACTGCAGACGATGAGGTGATGTCGGCCAAGGCGTTTCGGAAAAGCTTCCAAGCGTTTTTGCCCGATTGCAACGTCGACGCTCATTGGCCGGCGCTACACCATGTGTAAGGCCAACAGATATGTTGACAACCCATTAACGGTTGCTGTGCAGGGCTGCCTTGATGTAACGTAACATGTGAGCATTGAGAATGCCTGGAAGTATCCGAGTCACCTCTAAATACAACCCACAAGGACAGCTATCTGCATCTCTTTTGATTCATCACAAAGCGTACAAAGATCGTTACAACTTCTCTACCACGTCCCCTGTGAAGCATAGCTCTAGCCAGAAGTCCTCATCTCGCGTAGTTCTCACCCTTGCCTCCACATCGCCTCCTCTCGCTCACTCTCGCCCTATCTACTTCACCAACGACTCCGGTCCAGCCTTAATGGCACCCTGCTGCGGCGGCGCCGCGCCACCAGTCGTAGGCAGACCCATGAAGATCTTAAACGAATCATAGATCATCCATTGCAGACCCGTCAGCGTACCGATCATGACGATTCTCACTGGTAGACCAGCCCAGAGACCACCGAACCCAATGTCCTTGTAGATGCGTCCCACGGCGCCGCCGAAGCTCTCACCGGGAAGACGGTTGGCGTTAAGCTTGCTGACCATGACGTCGGCCGGGTGAGAGACGATGGCGCAGAGGATACCGGCGAGGTAACCACCGCTGAAGGCAACCCCGGTTTGTGCAGCTTTCGAGTAGTCGGCTTTGGTGCCTGGGAGGCGGTGGTAGATCATTTCGACGATGGTTTCGAAGGAGGCGAACTTCATCATGGTGTAAGGGATCTGACGACCCCAGAGCGGGTACAGACCCTTGTAGAGACTGTCATAGACTTAGTAATCTGTGCGAAGAGGTCGGTGGTAATTCAGGCTTACCCTCCGAAGCCTTCGGCAGCGACAATCTTGTTGTATCCATCGATGGGACCCTTGGCGAATGGCGGAATAGTAGTTTGCGTGCGGACCTTGATCGCTTCAAACGGACACAGGCCAATGTCGGCGAAGAATTCGGCGCTGGCGGAACCGGCAAGGTAGATCCAGGTCTTGTACTTCTTGGCGTTCTCCTCGCCCGCCATGTCGGAGTAGAACTTCTTGAAGAACTCGTAGCCGCCATACTTGAGAGCACCTTGCACGGAGTAGCCGTAGAAGGTGGCCCAACCGCCGGTCAAGAGGCCGCGGGCGCCGTCGGAGCGGATGATCTTGGACCAGCCGTCGAAGTTGCCCTTGTAGAGTTTGGAGTCGACTTGGCGACGGCATTTGACGAGATCGAGGGGTGTGACCGCCCAATGGGTCAGACCGCAGGCGAGCATACCACCGAAGGTGCAGCTGTACCTGCATTAGTATCACGAATGTTGAAGGCTGGTGGATGGACGTACGTAGCGTAATACTGAGCACTGTAAAGCTCGATCTTGCCAACTCTGGCTTGAGCCATGTTGCTTGCCTTGCTCAACTCCTTGGCAGCGGCATCACTGAGCTGCGTGGCCTTCTTCTGCGCATCCTCGGCGACATTCCAACTCTGATACAGGTTCTGGCGCGCGGCATATGGCAAGCGCTGGGCTGGCGCGGACTGCTTGAGTTGGTACGGCGTGGCGGTACCGAAGGTTGCGCTCAAGGCGCTGGCAGTGGGGAAGAGTGAAGGCATTGCTGCTGCTGCTCTTCCTTGTCGCTGTCGCTTCACTCAACAAAGGTGCTGGTTACGGCTGTTAGCTTATCTCCGAAGTCAATGGACCCTTGGAAGCAGCTCTTCGACCAGTGGACGGCCGATGGACATAACGAATGGTGAAGCTGAGGATGCGGCAGCAGTACGTACCAGACTTGCAATGAACGGTTGTTGTGGCGTGTTGCTGTCGCTGTCGCAGTTCTGCAAGAGAGACACACAGGAAAGTTGAGGGAGCTGCTGCTTGCCGACACGCAGCTTGGTCCACTGACGCAACGCTCAGGCAACGCCGCCAATCACATGCCAGATAATCCGAGCCGTGTTGACAGCGCCGGTCCTTCGTATATTCGTTGCGTGCCTCGAGTCATGTAGCCAACGAACCTGCATGGCCACTAGCAGCAATGGACGACACAAGTGTAGCCAGTAATGCCCCGTCAAATCACTCGACCAAAGCTGGAACATCACCCTGGGCCAACAAATACAGAGGAGCAACAGTAGAAGACCTCGACCCACCGCCCGCCCTCTCCACCACACCCCTCGCCTCCATCTCCTCCGCTCTCATGTCCGCCTTCGAACGCGACTACACTCACCTCACCGTCCTCGACTCCAACACCAAAGCACTGCTAGGTTACATCAGCACCCCACGACTCCGACAGCTACTAGAAACCGGACAGGTGAAGGAGAGTGATCCAGTGGAGAAGGCGATGGTGAAGTTCAAGCGGAAAGGGAAGAAGTACAGGCTCATCACGCTAGAGACGAGGCTGGAGGAATTGGAGGCGTTCTTTGAGGGAAACCTGGATGGCGGTGATGGGAAGGTGGGAGAGAAGCAGGACTTTGCGGTTGTAACAGATGTGGGGAGGAGGTTTGTAATGGGTGTGGTGACCAAGGAGGATTTGGCGGAATTTGTGCGCAGGAGGCCGGCATGAAAGCTGATCGTGTTGGTTGCATAATATCAAATCAGTGAGGCGTTGGAGCTGCGAGCGTCACGATCGTTGACGTATGATGGCTGGCTTGCTTTAGGTGGAGGATAGACCAGCATGGCTAATGCGTGGCTGGCATTGCTTACTACGCAACTGTTCACACGCGTCAGCACACCACTCTCGGTTCTGATATGTGCAGGCGTTCTGGACATACAAGCACCCACGAAGGCCATCAGCATACTGCCACACACCACCGCGCCACAAGCCTCTAATCTTCGCCTACCATGCAACTCCGTATAGCTACCTTCACTCAAGAAGTCCTCGGCCAGCAGCTGCACCAAACCTGCGTATAACAACAATCCCGCACTAACCGCGTTCACACTCCCGACCGTCAACAGCCCAAATTGACTAGCCGGATCGTAAAGCGTATGCACCGCCAAACCGATCGCTTGGCCGATGGGAGTAGTGACGCCGTACATGGCGCTCATGAGCCAAGGTTTGAGCGAAGTGGTGGAGAAGGACGGTATGGCGGCGATGCGGGAGCCGAGGGCGAGGCCTTCAAATGTCTGATGGAAGCAGATGGCGATGAGGAGGACGAGGAATGCCGGGCCAGTAGAGACGGAGAGGGCCATGCCGATGAAGACGGAGTGGAAGAGGATGCCGGCTTCGAGGAGGAGGCATTGCAGGATGGCGCGTTGGTCCGTGGCTACTGTGTTGGTGGTGGTATTAGGGTTGGCAAAGGAGGTGCTCCGACTCTGGCCGTCCGGTCGGGCAAGGTGGCCATTCGCTGATGGAGGTTCTTTCCGTCGTCCCGTGGCGGTTAGAGGCTGTTGGTCTTCGGCTACGGGATCTAGCTCGTCCAAATCAAGGTCCTCGGGTTCGTCATCGAACTGCGGTTGCGGCGGGAGCGGCTTGTTCAGAACCGAGCTGTCCGAAAACGGACTGCGCGGCTCCTGCAATGCAAGGTCGTCCTCGACAGCACCATCGTCTTGACCTACTTCCAGCCCGATCGGTCCCTGCTTAAACCGCTTGACACTGTCTCCCCTCCTATGCTCCGCCTTCCTCCCCTCTCCCTTCAACCCTTCCAAGTCCAAACCTCCATGACTGTGCCTCGCCCCTTTCAACGCAAAGACCATCTCCACCCCCACTACCGCAAAGACACTGCACATGGCGATGAATCCGCTCATAGCAGGGTATACCTCGTTCCAGAAGCGCGGCAGACATGGGTCGGTCAGACTAACGTAGGCTGTGGGAAGCAAGTGTACGAAAGCGGTAGCGATGAGGACGCCAGTGCCAAAGTGACGGGACAGGAAGAGGGCGTAGTTAGGGACTGGTAGCTTGGGAAAACGGCGGACGATGACGGGGAACGAGCATGCCAGCGTTGAGATGAGGAGGATCAAGAAGAGCGCGAAGACGTGGAATGGTGTGTTGTAGCCATGGGTGTTGGTCCCGGAGCCGCATGCTGGGCGCTCGCCTTCGGTTTGGCGACGGGTTAGCTCGCTTTGTAGGATGTGGAGTGGCAGGCTTGCGATGTGGCTTCCTGGTGCCATCGTCAGTTGTGGAGGATTCTGATGGCGTGGGCCGTGGCACATACCTGCGATAGAAACATCGCTCATGGTCTTTAGCAACGTAGCCGGTTATGTCTCCACATGTTTCGCATGAGCCTCCTCGTACGCGACGCCTGATGTCGCTTCCAAGACAAAGAGCCGTGGCATCGAAGGGGTCTGGAACTTCCGAATTCGGCCGGGCTTTTGACACGTGATTGTGCCAAGACCTGCACAAAGACAAGGTCGTGAACTGTACACTTCTCGTACTAAGCACTTCGTAAATTCTCAACACCGAGACCGCCAGCAATGCAGCGGCGCGTGTAGGTATTGAGTGTTCTGTAGTGCTACAATATAATTGGCATCCTCGAGTCTCCGATCCTCAGGCAATACGACTCTGACTTGATTTAGTATATTTAATGAGAGCCGTCGACGATCCGAGGCCGATGACGGCGATGCATCACTTGCATTGATTCGGTAGTCTACATGCAGGTCTGGGCTCAAGAGCTATGTGCCCATGCTACCCGCCATCCTTGGAGCTCAAACGCACCGCGAAGCTCGAGACCCTTCCACCACCCGACCATATTAAGTCTGCTTCTAGTCATCGTCGAGTCCTCCAAAGGTGCTGTTCTCAGGACTCCCGCCATCAGCCCTTAGCTCCGCAGTCTGGTTCATCGCTCGGGCTCCTCAGCCGCATACGGCGCGCTCAACTCTGTGCGCTACATGAGTTCCACCAATTGAGCGCCGGTCATATTGAGTCCTCTCAGGTTCGGCAGTTTTTCCGCAGCAGACAGCGTCCTCTCGGCAGTACTTCTGCACGATCCACACGTTCATACCGGCCACGCGGTTCATTTGGTGCGGTTCATCTGGTGCGGTCCATCTGCAAAACTCAAATGCTTGGTCAATGTGCAGCGCTCCGTTCGATATAAGCCGCACTAGCTCGTGCCGGTTTATATCCGTCTTCAGTCCCAGCTCCACCCACTTGGTTTCACGACACACAATAACACCGGAACGCCTCGCTAAGTGATCGATCGTAATCTACACATCTACAATCAGCCCATCTCCGCAGGCCGACCAACAGTAGCGCCGTTACGCCACCTTATCAGCTGCCCAATGACATTCGCTCGCATGTCGCTGAATGATGGCGAGGGATCCTGCGGTGTACTCTGATATGCTAAAAGCTGCTCTTTGATGGTCTTGACGATATCGAGGTCCGCCAAAACAATCTGGCCGGAATTGAATGCATCAAAAATGTGGGCATCGGTGCGTGGAGCTGTTATGGCGAGCAGATTGTCTCGCTCTGACGGGGACGCTTCATCAGATGCCGCAATAGCAGTGCCCGTGGGGTTCAGGGTCTGCATCTCGATGTCGTGCTGCTCGGTCGATCGTCGGACGCCGCGCTCTTCTGCGTCCAGATCCTGCACGCTCGTCGGAGGGACTCCGGGTGTTCCACGAGGAGTTGCTGTGCGGACAGGCGCTGAGTCGTCTTTTAGCCGCTGTCTCGTAACACGTGCCGAAAGTTGTACAATCTGTATGGCGACAAGTAGCACATCTAGCAGCAGTAGATTAAGCTTGCTACTCGGACCTTTCTGGCCGATGAAGTCCAGTGCGAGGCCGCCATGGAGATAGCCCCTCGTAGCCTCGCCTGCCGATGGTGGAGCGAATACGACATGCAGAAGTATGCACAGGAGATTCGTGCCTAGTATGCCGCCGATGTACGGTCTGTTTGCCGGAGGCTCTGGGAAAATGGCCGGCTTGGGTGTTAGGCAGACAAATTGTACAATAGCTCTGATGAAAAAGCGGAGGAATGAGCAGCTGGTAGTCTGTCAGCAAGGGTGGATAGGTAGATATTGTGCGCTGGGCTCGTACTCCTTGTAGTAGATAATGCTCAGCTCGGCGTAGGCAAGAATATCCAAACTCTTGAGTAGGTCATCCAGCAGCTCACCACGCTTCTTGTTGAACATCTCTCTGTTCTTCTTCCGCCGCTTCGCGATCTCCTGCGCTGTCGGGACGGCATTGTGTCTGCCATTCTCGCCTGCATGGTCGGAAGATGTTGCTGCGGACGAGGAGGTGTCATCGCTCATAGCTTGTTTCGGCAAGGTCTTGGTATGTACATTGTTTGGATGATCATCGATAGACGCCCCAGAGACCGTTTCGTTTGCTCAGAAAAGGCAAGTGAAGCATACCGTGTGGTCGGGAATGGACAAGTAGTAAGCGTCGTCGTAAGCGCATTGAGAGCAGCTCGCTCGGCGGATCTTCGGAAGTGAATCGCGTCTTCCATCTACGCGTCGGTGTCAATGACCTAACTCCTAGCACCTGGAGGTCAACTCATCGCGTTGTTGTTCTTTGCCTTTTGTAATAATGGCGAGCTTCTTTGACAACCGAGCCAGACAAGCTGCGGCGGCGGCGGCGGCGTCAGCGAGCTCGTCCAAGCAACAAGCGCCCACACAGGACAACAGGCTTCAGCCATGGGTGGAGAAATAGTGCGTCGTCAGTCATTGTACGCACGCACTATATGCTAATGGAGTCTCACAAAGCCGACCCCGGTCTCTGGACGACGTTACTGCGCAAGATCATACCGTCACCGTGCTCCGGCGCATGCTTCAATCCTCCAACCTCCCGCACATGCTCTTCTACGGGCCACCCGGTACTGGCAAGACGTCGACAGTGCTGGCGCTTGCCAAGCAGCTGTACGGGCCTGAGCTGATAAAGTCGAGAGTGCTTGAGCTCAATGCCTCTGACGAGCGCGGCATCAGCATTGTCCGCGAGAAAGTCAAAGATTTCGCCCGCATGCAACTTTCCAACCCTCCTGCCGGTCCAGCAGGAGAGGAGTACCGCAAGAAGTACCCATGCCCGCCCTACAAGATTGTCGTCCTAGACGAGGCAGACAGCATGACTCAAGACGCGCAGTCTGCGCTGAGAAGGACGATGGAGACATACAGTAAGATTACGCGCTTCTGCTTGATCTGTAACTATGTGACGAGGATCATTGATCCGCTGGCAAGTCGATGTAGCAAGTTTCGCTTCAAGAGTCTCGATGAGGCAAATGCTGGGAAGCGTTTGGAGGACATTGCTAAGCTAGAGAACGTAAGGTTGCAGGATGGCGTGATAGAGACGCTGTTGCGGTGCAGTGAGGGTGACCTGAGGAAGGCAATAACCTTCTTGCAGAGCGCTGCGAAGTTGGTGGGCGCTGTACAAGCGCCGGCTGGCACATTGCCGGACAAGAAGCGGAAGCGTGCCAAGATAGAAGACGATGAGGACGAGGATGCTATGGATGTCGACCAGCAGACCACGGGTGCCGAATCCCCAGCAGTGACCGTCCGCAGCATTGAAGACATCGCCGGCGTCATCCCAGATGGTACCATTGATAGCCTCTTCACAGCAATGCAGCCGAGCTCGAAGGGCACCATCTACGGCCGGGTGGCGAAGGTGGTTGAAGACCTCATCGCAGAAGGCTGGTCAGCGTCGCAGATCGTGAACCAGCTCTATGACCGGGTGGTTGTTCATGACGAAGCGACTGGAGACAGGCAGAAAGCCAGGATTGTTTGCATCTTCTCTGCTGTGGACAAGAGGCTGGTCGATGGCAGCGACGAGCATCTTACCATACTCGATCTTTGTCTGCAGATTGCGGGCATCTTAGGCGAGCGGTGAAGCTTCGTGGAATGTACATATGCTTACAGCGTAGGCGTCTGGCGTAGCTTAGTGACTGACAACTCTTGCACCTGCGAGTCTCTTTCAGGCAATGATGCATTGCAGGCTACTTCGTCGCCTCAGCTTCGCTTTATTTGGGCGGCTGCTAGCGTGGCATCTTTCTGATCCACTTCGGCATCACAAGCTGAAGCACTACACTGAAGATGCCGCAACGAGGTACCGTTCGTCAGCAGTAGAGTGGTCTATGTGAATACCTACCCACTGGATGGAAAGTATAGTCAGACCAGAGTCAGTCTGATAACCAAGACAAACAAAGCTCATATAGATTCTTCGAGGAGTCAATCTCTAAGGAGCCGCCAGTGAATGTCCTTGACATTCCCGCATGATGAGGGATGAATCTCTTTTGCTTGATCGGTATCTTTGCTGTCGTTCTACCACGATCCTGCGTGAGTGCAGTCAGCCGGCTACTTCGTGGTTGGCAGCGACATGATTCGGCTGGCGAGAGCTTACAACGTCTCAGCGGCCGGTGATGAGTTGTCCGCGACGGACAGGGCTCAACGATCATACGGTCTGGCTCTTGATGTTCACCGTAGCGCTAGTGCGGCAAAGCTGCGCCCAGGTCAAATGCATCGTTATCACACGACCAGCCTTGCCGTATTGTCAAACAGATGCGATGGTTTTGAATAACCGGATATTGCACGGCTCCATGCTATCGGCCCATCTTGTTGATCACCTCACGATGTGCATCCCGCTCCCTTCCCACTTCGCTCAATGGCTGTATACTCCGCAGATCGCCAACAACATCCTTCGCCTTCCCAAAGTAGACCTCCTGCAGCAGATTGCGCATCCGCGTCTCCATGTCTTCTACCATGCGGCCAATGTTAACAACATGTGACTGCTCGATCTCTGAGTCTCTTAGGCCGCTCAGCGGGTTGTCCGATTGTGTCTGACGTGTAAGGTTGCCGGCCAGATCTAGACTGTCCACTGCCGCAGATGACAGTCCCAAGTCAAGGATGACGGTCGAGGTAAGCTTGTAATGCGCAGAACGCTTGGAAGTAGCCTCCGTAACCTCGAGCACGTGTATGCTATCCCAACTCCCCTTCCCACCACCAGCGCTGGAGGTCTTCTTGAACAGAACCACGCCCGCAAAGCCTTCCTCCAGTGCCCAAAGGTACGCCGAGCTAGTGCCTCCCTCGTAGTAGAGCTCCCGGTACACGTCGACCGCACTGTTGAGCGCTACCTCCATCCTCCGCACTCGACCGCCCGGTATGAGGTCTGCGGCATCTTCTGGATCTATGGGTGGTTCAAATTGATTACTCCACGGCGATCGGTAGGAGCTGCCATCGCGGTTATAGTCGCAACATAGGAAGTCTCTACCAGACTTCGGGCAGCGCTTGGAGGTTAGCGCGACGTCGACGGAGGATAGGAGGTCTTCTTCGAGGTCTGGTCGTAGTGATATGATGCCATTGAGGTTCTGTTGGGTTGAGGAGGGTGGAAGACGGCGGAGAAGATCGCTGTTTGAAGCGAATCAGTGAGATGGTTTTACGTGGACATGGGACTTGGCTTACAGTGCTGCGTCAAATGGATCTGCCATTTGGGGAGGGATATGAAAGACGATTTGTGTGGAAATTAGGGACTTCCAAATGTAAGTTAAGGTACGTTGGAAGTGTACCTAGCCAGCAAGTCTGTGCGGAAGAGGATGCGAGTGGGGAACAGCATCAACAAGTTCCCCTTCACAATCCAGCATTCACTCGTTACACCAACCGTCTCAGCAGCTTCCACCGGTTCTCGGGCAAGTATTGCATATGCGAATGGACGTGAAGAGGATCAAGTAACAGGAAAAGGAAGGTCGTCGCAATGCCAGCCTTGAGATCAATGCCCTAGAAGTAGAAGTTTGAGATCAGCAGCAATTCACGATTTGACCAAAGAGTTCTTCAGCTTGTGGATCATGTGGCATGGCACTTCAATCTGTTACATGATTGATACCCGGATGCTGCAATGAGGAGAGCCAGAAGCGTGAGGAGTGGCGCAAATGGATGGCATGGTCGGATAGCATTGGCAGGCGCTTGTAGGACATCGGTGGCATGAGCCAGCCATAGCCGGGAAGTGGCTTCCGCTTCTACGACATTGCAACAACCGACACCAGTCACACTGAGATGCGCTCGTCGCAATCGCTCTGAAGTTTGCGGTCGAGCGGATAGGCTTCATGATAGAGTTCATGTATTGCCTCCTTAGCTAATCAGGTTTGTATCCTAGCTTACTGAACACTTGAACGGCAGGCCGCAAGGTCCCTGGCTCTCATTCTCTTCCCGTTGCTGAGGCGCGGTAGATGTTTGCTGTTGCTGCTGTGCTGCGCTCGGCACACCAGCCGGCTTCGCAGCTTGCGAGTCGCCGCCTGATGTTGTCGCCGCAGCACCACCGCTCTGCGCAGGCTGCTGCCTCCCGGCGGCACCACCATCTAGTCACGCGAAGTTGACCTTCGACACGGCGCCGTAGAAGGCCTTGCCCTGCTCGGTGGCGAGCTTGAGCTCGTTCGAAGTTGGTTGACGCGAGCCGTCAGGGCCCTGTTACACAATCGTCAGTACGGCACTCCGGGATCATACTTGGTGAACACTTACAGCGAAAGTACCGGCACCCCACGGGCTACCGCCACGGACTTCGGTCATATCAGCCAGGAGGCCGAAGGTGGTCTTGTAACCCAACGGCACGTAGATCATGCCATGGTGGGCGAAAGTGCTCATGGCCGCGATGGCAGTACTCTCCTGACCACCTTCCAAAATGTCAGCTCCAAACGTCCTAGCTTTCTTTCATGTCGGTATGATACTCACCACCTGGGGTAGCAGTGCTGATGAACACGCCGACATACTTGCCCCAATAGGCACCAGTCTGCCATTGGTGACCAGTCGAATCGAGGAATGCCTTCCACTGAGCTGGGTAGTTTCCGTAACGGGTCGGGATGCCGAACAGCATGGCGTCGTACTGCTCAAGCGTCCTTGGGTCGTGCAGGGTTGGAATGCTGCTGTCCTTTGGCGGGGCATGCATCTTGGTTAAGATCTCGTCATTGAGAGTCTCGGGGATCTGGTAGAGGTCGCATGAACCGCCGGCCTCCTTGATGCCTTTGGCTTCGGCCTCAGCCAGAGCCTTGATGTGGCCCCAGGTGGAGTACTGCGATCAACTATGAGCGTACTGTATCTTCAAACACGACGTTCACACGTAGCAACCAGTCACGGGTGGCTGCAGGGCATAACTCACGAAAACGATTGCAATCTTTGGTGCCATGGTGGGCTGTGTGTGGTAGTTTAAAAATACAGGGAGTGATGCGAAGTGTCGAATGCAGGATCGTTGACGGTGCGGCACAGCAGGAGGAGAGTGCTTATATAGCTATCATCATACTCCATCATGGAGCATTTTCGATGCTCTTCCAATGCCCGTAGCTCCACCCAACTACCGGCACTTGCCCGTTCGGGGAGGATTAGCTGCGTTTTACGAAACGCAGGGACTTCGATGCTTCGCAATGCGTGACAAAGCCTGAGAAATGCTGCCAAGGCACAATTCCGCACTGTCAAGCGGCTCACGCTCGTCGACCCCCGCCACGCCACGCACCCAACCCGATCATTAAGCTCACTGTGCTGAGAGAACGCTCGAAATTAGATTGGACTCAAACGATGCTCACTTCTGTCATTCTTGCGTGATTGGCAAGAGCGTCATCTACTGCATGCTACGCCGACGTGTAGATATCGCTGCATTGTACCTGCAGCTGACACGAGGTCATTGGTGAAGCTGCATCGATCGGCTCTCAGCTCCTCCAGCGGTGGTGCATCGAAGTATAGACACTTTCAGCAGTCTAGGTAGGTGCAATTGTGACGCTCTTCGTTCACCAACGGGGTCTTCCTTTGGTAACAGTCTGTATAAGGGGGTTGGGAAGATGGGTGGAGACGGCGAGGATGAAGATGATTACTTATCCATGTCCTTCACCGAACAGCCTGCTACTCCCAAGGAGACATCTCTACAGCGGACCACACGCTTGAAGAAGGAAGCTGCAGAGCGCGGTCGTGTACTCTCGAAGAAGGAGTTAGCCGAGAAGGAACGAACCCAGCGAGAGGCTGCGCTCGCGACGCAGCTCGATGCGTCTAACAAGGGAGCCAAGATGATGGCCATGATGGGCTTCAAAGGCGGCGCATTAGGCAAGTCTGGAGATGCGCGAACGCAGCCAATTGAGCTGCTAATTAAAAACGACCGTGGCGGCATCGGCATGGACAGCGAGAAGAAGCGCAAGGTCAGAGAGACCGCAGAGGCTATGCAGGGGCTAGAGAAGAAGAGAAAAGTGGACGAGGCCGGATTTCGGGAGCGGTCGAGGAACGAGCGCGAGGAGCGACGCGCGGAAGGTATGATGTGGAGTGCGATGAGAACGCTGGAAGCTTTCGAAACTGCTGCGCCTGGCGACGAGGAAGCTGGAGAAGCATCTCGAGACACACACGACGAGAAGCTGCCACCGGTGAAAAGTATCAACGTATTATGGCGGCCAGTCGTCAAGCAACGGCAAGACAGAGACCGCGAGCGAAGAATGCGATATGATCTCGACCAAAGCCTATCACGCAAGCCGGACTACGATGACCTTAACGCGGAGACAGAGGACCGGCTTGGATTTAGTGATGAAGTGCAAGAAACGGTTGAAGATGATCCGGAATTGGAGGCCTTCGAATCTCTCACTTTCGCTGAAAGGCTCGCAAGGGTGGTTGAGTTCTTGCGCGAGAAGTACCACTACTGCTTCTGGTGCAAGTATCGCTATCCAGACGCGGATATGGAAGGGTGTCCAGGCTTGACGGAGGATGAGCATGGCTAACGCTTCGCGCAAACGGCACCGCGATCTGCAGGAGAACATGTCTCACGCCGTTCCCACACACGCGATATTGACCGATGTGTTTTAATGTGCTGCCTGGAGGTCAGGAGACCCTTCCCCACGAGACTCGCTTCGTTTTCAACGGTATAGATAGCAGTCCTGCTCTCATGTCGAGAGACTGCGGAGCTCATGCCCGAAAAGGCCGCCTCATATATTTGACAAGCAAATTTTTCCTCAGTCTGGCGTGTTTCAACTCACCATAAGCGGTCAGCGCGTTGTAGGGAGAGTTCAGCCGCCATTTATGAGCCGTTACAGGGGTGCAGAAAGTATAAGACAGCAAAGCTAATTTTGGCGTTCTTAGGCGTTCCAGACAAAAGGAAAGTCATACCGCTCATCCTTTCGGTGAATACACACTTTGTCCGAAGGAACATGCGGGGGATCTGCTACCCTCGTAACGCCTCCTCCGTCAACGACAGGGACGCGGTACGGTCGCGAAGCGATACGAGACCGATTGCGTGAACCTCTGCCGGCTCAGGACACTGTCGGCGCTCGCGGCTAGCCCATTCAAATGATGTAGCGGAAACTGTGGGAACGTTTTCACCAAGTCGGTCGCAAGCCCGAAGTTTCTCCTCGCCCTGACACTGCGGGATCTCAGAGACATGAAAGGCACGTTCCTCGTGGCGCTGCTAGATTGCGTCTATCGTGATCTTAGCTCGCTTAAGGTTGTGGTCGGCATGACGCCACACGCGGTGAAGCCCTGCGCGATAGCCAGGCACGGGGCCGTGGTGCGTGCAGCCATAAATGTACGGTTATAACGATGCGACCGCCTGAGTGAATGCCTTCATACGTTTTCCGACCATTGTACGTGCTGTTGCGTCTCGACGATCGTTGAAGTGTCGCATTGTGTTCACCACCAGTCCAACAAGTCAACAGCGATTCGTCGGAATGGCTGTCGCGACCATGATGCCCGCAACGGTACGTTGATTAGGTACCGGATAGCCCTCCTGTTACTTACAATGAAGCAGCATGCGCCAATGGAAAGTCGGAAGCATTACAATCAGCCTTTCAACGCAATGCTCTTATGCGAAAAGCTTGAAGCCTTGCAATGGCAAGAGTCCGATCGATTAAACCAACGACTGCCGTACTTCCCGCATAGTGCAGCACAACAGTTTGTTGCGACTACGACCCCCCAGACTTCCGCCAAAGCACCGAATGAGCCACGCACTCGTCGGCCCCTCGCTATCAGACAACGTTCGAAGCCCATTTTTACGGCGGATGGTAAACCCTGTGTTGACCCCGGCCGCCTGCAAGCAGCGCTTGATCAAGGTACGCTTTCTTGGCTCCTTGGTATTCAGGTCGTCACCGCCGCTAACTGTGCGATGTAGCGTCCCACACACAGTCTCGCAGAGTATCACGCTCTGAACATGGTCACGATCCCAGCAGTACTCAGGTTCAGGCGCAAGGCAATGACACCGTTGAACGCAGCGAGAGTCGGCGATTGTCCTACCAACCTGGCGATGCAGCAGACCGCCGCCTTATTGTCAAGCTTGACGAGGTTCAACCCCATTCTCAGCCAAACGTAAAGCTACATGCTGTCGAGCATGGCTCTTTGGCGCAGTACGAACGCGAGCCTGACACAGCCGACCAAGACGACGTCCCGGCTTTTGGCACGATCAGCATATATACCGAGTGACGAACAGCAATCCCTGAGCCGAAGTGCAAGCATGCGTCCGAAAATTAGATTCCATGATCGGCCGGACTGGGCTCAACAATCCGAATGTGGCGACAGTATGCGGCAGCTTCTACACAGCAAGCAGCGGCCGCAAAGCAAGCTAACGGAACGAACACGCACGATCTTGACCGAAGACCGTGATGCGGGAATTGAGCGCCAGAGACAAAGCAGCCTGCCGGAGAACCTTATCAGCGACGCCGTGCAACGCATCAAGGATCAGAAGAAGTTGAAGCGGAGACAGAGCATCATGGGATTGTTTGGGTTGTCGTAGAAGATATGTTCCATTCGTTGTCGCTTATCAAACGCCTCGCATTACAGGCCAAAAGCCACCCATCATCGCGCCCGCTTCAGTATCTCACAAGTCCTAGTAACTCCACGGTCGAATGCGATACTGCTCATTCTCTTCTGGTTTCCCGGGCAGCGGCACACCGATGTCCCTCTCCTGAAACATCGGCATGAGGTAGAAGCCGAGATCCACCGTCCGCACATTGTCACCTAGCTGTGTGAGGCCCCAGCCATTGCCGAGCCACGACATCTGGTTGATCTCCGCGCCGTTTGGTTCTGGAACGTACTCATACTCGTAGTCTTCCCATCGCGGACTACGAAGCGCTTCGATGCAGTGGAGTGTGCTGCCCGGCCATAACCCGGTGACTTTGTCGCTGCTGCGACCTTGGCCGTCTTTGCGGTACCTGCTCGTGTAGTCAGTAAGCTGTCGTGGTGTGTGACGAGCTGTGCTGGAGACTCACCATGACTGACAATCGTCCATGAAGACTGTAGTGTTGAAGTACGCATCGCAGTACCTGGTGAAGTCCCTCACTCTAGCAGGCTTAATAACCATGCTTTTGATGTTTTCTTTCTGGATCTTTCGGATAGCCTTGAGGATATAGTCGCCGGTACTTTCAATCATCATCGTTAAGCTGCCCTCTCCGATCGCGCCGTTCGGGCCCAGCATGAAAAAGTGATTCGGGAATTGATCCGTCGTGAGCGACAGGTAATTGGTCGCCCGTGTGTACCAGTGCTTCTGCAGCGTATGTCCGTTCAATCCTGCGGTGCGGAACGGTGGTGCGGCCGAAGCGTAGAAGCCCGTCGCGCAGATTAGTACGTCAATCTCGTGCAGCTTGCCGTCCTCCGTTACAACGCCCTTTGGCTCAATCTTGGCGATTCTGTCGCGGGTGTATGTGACATTGTCTTCAGCCAAAGCCTCTAAGAAACCTGGGCCAGGCGTCAGACGCCGACAGCCAGGCGCGAAAGACGGCTTCAACCGCTCGAAGTACTCCGGCCTCTTCTTCAGCCGCGCCTTCATGCCGTCCTCGAATGCCTTCTGCGCGTTCATCTGCATCTCTGTTCCCTTTAACGTCACGGCGTGGATATTGTTCGCATCCGCTTCAACCATCATACGGAAATCGAGCCAGGCCTCTGGATCCTTCTTGAACTTTTCAATGAGCTCCTCGGAGAAGTTGAACTTGTCACCCATGCCTAGCTTGTCCTGCACACCCTGAGCGAGCGGCGGTGAGATCCAAGTCCGGCCACGGATGAAGCAATTAAGTTGCGCCCCGGCAATCTTCTGCAACTTTGGAATGATCTGAATCGCGCTGCTGCCCAGGCCAATGATGCCAACGCGCTTGTTAGTGAAGTCGTAGCTGTCGTTCCAACCCGCGGAGTGCATGATCTCGCCTTGGAAGCTCCGCAGGCCCTCAATGTCAGGCCATTGCTTGTTGTTCAGTAGACCACGTGCGCTGACAAGTATTTCGCAAGTGTCTTCGAAGATCTCGCCGTTAGGTTTCTTCACTTTCACGTGCCATTTGCCTTCATCTTCCCGCCATTCGCAATCGGTGACCTCGTGTCGCAGCTTGATGAAGCGGTCTGCGCCATACTTCTTCGCCGAGCTCTCGATGTAGTCGCGAATCTCCCACGAAGGGGCGTAGAGTGATGACCAGTCTGGTTTCGGATTGAAAGAGAATTGGTAGCTATGCGATGGGACGTCGCAGGCCGCGCCCGGGTAGCGGTTCTCGTACCTTTCGCTGTGATTAGCCCAGTCATACTACTCCGTGAAATGCTCAGACATACCATGTGCCGCCAATACCGTCATTCTTCTCATAGATGGTCAAGTCGCAGTTTCGTATCCGCTCCGGTATCCTGATGCCACAGTAGACACCCGAGTAGCCGGCACCAATGACAATCACTCTAATGGGTCTTTGGTTTTCGACAGGTACGTCATGTAGTAGCCACTCCGGCTCAGCCTTTACGCCATTGGTATGTGCAACTCCGTTTGTGTGAGGGACGCCATTCGATTTAGGCTCCTGGACCAGCGGAGCCTGCTCGACATGCGAGATACCGTTCTTAGTATTGTACGGGTTGGCATGGACTGGGTCGACGCGAACAATGCTCTCTGGCAGATTAGGAACAGCAGACATCTTGTGCTGTGTGCCTTCTAAACACTCCAACCAGAGGGTGTAAGAAGTAGTGCGTAAGAATAAGACGAAGTGGAGAGCCAAACAACCTACCACGTTCCTATGCACAGCTGGAGAAGGTCTACACTATATGTATCCACTCGGCGGAAGGGTGACATGGAGGAGCAGTCACGTTCAGATGGAGATTGCTCCACAAGAAGTTGATCCGCGACTCATTGCCTTCTCCACGCCACCGCGTAGATGGATCGATGTGGGGCTGCGGGACTCGACGTCGGCGGGCTCTAGATCCCTGCACACAATGGAGATTCTCCACTGGCGGGCCTTATGAAGGCGACTGCCGATGCTGTAGAAAGTTTGGTGAAATGCTGCCGTTACCTCGGAAGCCACTCCAGCGACTTGGCGGCTCAGCTACAGTATCGGCAAAGAGAGATAGTCAATCTGCCGGCTAGAGCCTTCCGTCCGATATCGATCGAACTAGGTCTTGCCTGCCTGGCAGAGTTGGCTGGCTATCGGGAGAGTGAACGTTTTGCTGGTCGAGTGAATGTGTGTAAATGTATGTGACTCCGCCGCCGAGACGCCGGCATCTTCGTCGAGGCGAGAACGCCGCTTTGTCCGCAGTTCCATGATTAAGGTACGAAGCCACCCCACGCGGTTATGCTCCGCACTTTTATGGGGCGGTTGTGGATCCTGGAAAAGCTGGAGACTTCCGGGTCGATGAGTGAAGTGGAGACGGCTGCCATTTGCGGCAGTAACAGAAGGTAAGGCAACTGTGACATGGACGTCCGGGCGTTCCGGTGACACTGCCCACACAACATATGGCTAGCTGGCCAAGCACGTTTATTGTAACGAGTTTCCAGACAATGAAACTGCTAGACTCTCTTACGAGGCTACACTTTCAGCACTCGCCTCAACCACTTGCATTGTGTGACCTGCGGCGCTGTGCAGGGGCGGCCTAAACCGTATCACAGCCAGCTGAAAGAGGATCGTCAGCATCACAGCATATAAGGTGGAAACGTTCCTGTCCTTACCTGTCGTTCATGCGCAAATCCCAAACTCTCTCCGTCTGCACTCCAACTCAGACTCGGCTCAATGCTCGCTTCATCCTCATCTTCTACGGCACCACTCGTTGCTGGCTCTGTCGCCTCACTATTCCTCGTAGCAGCTTGGTCTGGTCGCCACGTCACAAGCGGCTCATGCTGTCCAAGCCTGTTCGTCTTCTTTGAGAACAGGGCTTCAGCAGTGTAGACCTGCACTAATTCCGGCCCGCCAATTGCAAGATGCGTGCCCTGGTGTGACCACGCAAGCGCGAATGCAGGGCCGTCCGCGAGTTGGACTTGACGGTATACTTGGCACAGGATGTTGCGCCGGGCATCAAATGAGCTCGTGATGCGGTACAGTACAGCAAAGCCTTCTTCGAAGGCGGCGCCGAGTATAGCGCTCTTTCCGTCGCTGGCATCGCTGGGCCCCTGTCCTGGCCCGCCTCGATCGACTTGTTGTGGTGGCTGAAATGCCAGTGCTGTTAAGGTTCCAGGTAACTCTACGGAGGCAGCGCCGGACGTGGAAGAACCGGCCGCACCCTCTCCAGAGTTTGACTCGGGGAAGATCGCTCTCATGATCATCAGCTTCGCCTCGGTCGAGGCATAGATAGCAACGCCAACTTCGGCATCGAAGCGTAGCTTGTCGCACTCCTCCTCCGTCTCCACCACGCGGGAGCTCAGTTCTGATAGGCCACGGATGGCAACATTGTCTGCATCTATATCCTCCGCACATACTTCTCGTGCTTCTGAGAGGCGATAGGACCTCGCCAAGCCCGCCGAGCCACTGACCATGAAAGTATCTTCTCCGATCCAGCAGGCATCGAGCAGCTGGCGATCGAACATGCACCATGCAATCGGCTGCTTCGCCACGTTGTGATCTTCCAGACCCTCACTGGCAGACTGCTGCACATCGGCTGGTACCTTCCATATCTGTACCAGCCCTCTTTCAGTGTTAGTACGCGCAACGAGCAGATAACTGCCCTGAGGGCTGTATCGGACACACAGCACGACGCTTGACGCTTGCAGCAAAGTCTCATCAACATCCCATGCAGAGCTGCCGTGATCGCGACCGTGGTTGAGTATAAGCTGCATTGGGTGTTGTTGATCTTGCTTATCGTCACTGCCGCTGTCAGAGAGTTGCAGGATCGCTTGCATTGCACAAGCAGCCGTGTGGCCCTTTGGATGCCATGCGCTTGCCATGATTAGACCCTGTGGTGGCAGGTGGGGGTCATCCTGGTGTTCAATTGCGGAGGTTCCGTCCAGAGTTTGCGGGACGTCGTACAAGCGGCACAAAGATTGTCCTACCGTTAGCATCAAGCTCGCGTTCTTCGGATCAGAAGCGTCAGGATTGAAGGCGCTCTGAAAAACTCTGGCGCCGGGCTTGTCTAGCTTCCAGTACATTGTACTAGTCAGAGGGCCAATCTTTGTCTCAGTCTGGGTCATAAGGTCCATGCTGTCATAGCGCGCAGGCTGCGCTTCAGCCTCAACGTCTAATTCGCCTGAAGCGGTGGTGGCTGCTTCTGCATCATTGTCCTGTCCAGCTCCGACATCCGGTGAGCCGTTAGTCACAACGTCGATCTCCATAGTCTCGTCCATGACGCCGTTGACCATACTTCCTCCATCAGTGACTGACGTCCTCCGTTGCCGCTTGGGCGCAGGCACCGGAAACTCATCAGGCGCCCGCATGATCTGCTTCGCTGCATTGGCATTGGCATTGGCAGTTGAAGGCCGATCTTTCCTCTTCCCGCTACTCGTAGTAGGCCTGCTGTCAGAGCTGGCCACACCGTTCTCAAGTAGCGTAGTTTCTTCCTCGCCCATAGGCTCGCGGGGGTTTACGTCCGCCCATGGGTACCTCCGTGGCTGATCTCTCCTTCGCGCGGTCGCTGCATCAAGAAAGAGGCCTTCATTGACCAACATATACAGGTCGTTCCGCTTCACGGCACGAGCGAAGGGGAAGCTCTCCGGGTTCCGGAAATCCCGTGGTCGATGCCATTCCTTGTGGAAAGCGATGGCAGAGCTCTCCAGACCGTTCTCTTGAAAGTAGCGAAGGATGAGGTAGTTTAGGTGATCGGAGTGGAGCGGCATGGTGACTGTTCGCTGGATTCGTGTCGTCTCCGAGTTTCGCCTGAGTGTAGGCGCATTGGCGGCGCGTCGCGTGACAGCTTATGACTGACCAATGCGACTTGATCAAGTCTCGTCAACAGTGCAAGCTTAATTATCGGTGCGACATACGGAACAGCAATGGTTGATCGCGCAAAAGAGATTGCATATGTATGCTCTGAGTGAAGGTAGTCTTGCCAAACCCACGCATCTGGCGTTGCAGATCTGATCCAAGGGACCGGAGCGGTCCGCTCATCGAGGCATCCTTCAACTCAAGGCTGTTCTAGAGCCTTACCTGGGTGAGCTTCAAGCCACAACGGCAGACTTCTCGAAACAGAATGGAGCATCGATAGCTACAGAGGACAGACGCCAGGATGCCAACACGCTTCAACATCAATCTGCCGCCCTTGACCCGTATACTGTTTCTAGCCAACCTCGCCTTCTCCGTCTTGAACGCTATCCTACGCTTCCGCTCTTGGACAGCATCTTTGCCATCAGTGCCTGCAAGCCAGCTCGCACAACAGCCAGCCAACTACTTGTCAGATCCAAGATGGGCGGTTCCATTCCTTGCTCTTGTGCCGATCAGATCGATTCGCTACCCCTGGACTTTCGCTACAGCAGCCGTTATCGAGAACAATGTTGTCAGCCTTGCCATCAGCGCGAGCGTCATCTGGTTCGGCGGACGGTATCTAGAACGAGCATGGGGCGGCACTGAGTTTGCGAAGTTCTTGCTGGTAGCTTGCACGATACCCAATCTGCTCACTTTCTGCGTCTATGCTATATGGCATGCCTCTGTTCGTACGCCTGATTTGTACGTTCAGTTCTATCATGAAGCAAAGAGTGTTCACCCTGACATATTTGTGTGCAGCCCAACACCGATACAAGGCCTGTTAGCACTTGAAGCGGGCTTTCTTGTTTCGCTCAAACAGCTAGTGCCCGAGCATACCGTCTCCCTGTTCCGCAATACTGTTCGTGTTCGGATAAAGCACTTCCCAGCAATCTTCACACTGGCCAACATCGTTTCCGGACCTCTCCTCGGGACTTGGACGGCACTATGGCTTAGCTTATTTGGCTTCCTAACCAGCTGGATTTACCTTCGCTTTTACCGCATCACGGAGCTCACGAGCACCGCAACAGGTGAAAGCGCGAAGATGCGTGGCGATGCGAGCGACACCTTCTCGTTCGTCGCGTTCTTTCCAGATGGGATGCATCCGTTCTTAGCGCCTCTGTGCGACAGCATCTACGCTCTCCTGGTGCAGCTGAATGTATGCACGCCGTTCTCTGAGGACGCCATTGATGCCGGGAACGAAAACGTGGCAGCACGGTCTGAGGGAGGTCTACCAAGTATCATGAACCATAGTAGCGCAGGCAGTGGCGGCAGACGAGCGGAAGCGGAACGCAGACGAGCCTTGGCGCTGAAAGCGCTTGATCAAAGGCTCAACGCCGCGGCTGCGAATCGAGCAGGCAGTGCACCAGTCGCCAGCGCTGCACTGGTGACGGCAAGCGACACTGTGCCGGATGCTGCCGTTGGCGCTTCTGCGGAGCCGTCGCAATCGCCCGTTGCAGTGAAAGAAGCGCAGGCATAATCTTCGTCTTCTGCATGACTTTAGCGTGGCGTTCAAAATGTGGCACGTCTGACACGGTCTTGACTTTGACTTCGTGGCACCATTGTGCCTTACCATACGTTGATTTGCATACGCTCATTGCATCTACATACACAGCGCGGCATTATCGTTCGCCGTTGCGCTGTCTTCGTAGACATCTCGCTTGGTCTAGGTCTGCCGATCGTACCTAACGCCCGTCGACCACTCTGTCATTTTTATTGTATTCATCGTCGTTGTCATGTCTGGAATCATCGTTGTCATGTCTGTCATCATTGACATTTCTGTCGTCGCTATCGTCGCTATCGCTGCTGTCGTCGCTGCCATCGCCATCGTCGCTATAGTCGGCGTCATTATCCTTATCCGCACGTTATTGTCGATTGCGTCATCTGCCAGAGCATCGTCCACCGCACCAGCATCGTTACCATCGTCGCCATGGTTGCCGGTATAGTCGCCGTCATCCACGATCGGAGCGCCGTGAGCCCGTACGCTATTTTGCTCGCTTGATTGCGACGGCGGAGCCGTCCTACACATGCTATCGTCCATACAGATATAGCTCGGCCGTGGTCTCACAGGCGAAGTAAGGGACGCGGTGCTCATGTTGGGTGGCAAGGCTGGCGTGTACACTGGAGACTGTTGTATAGGCAGGCTGGCGTGCTCGTTGTGCAGCGGGTATGCACGTGACGGCACTTGCAGCGCGTAAGGTAGCGGTTACGGCGGACACATACCAGCATAAGGGTCGCTTGTAACAAAGGGCGCCGGCGGCGGGGGTTCGGTGCTCGGTGAATAGCCGTGTCGTAGACACTCGCGTCATATACGTCGCCAGGGTACGAGTGCGGTGCCGGCACAGAAGCCGGAAGTTGTTCCATCGTCGGGTCTGCGTAATGCTCGCTACCCCGTGCAAGAGGTGGTGGGGCATGTGAAGGCTTTTGCGGTGCGTATCCTCAGTGCCTATGCGCCGCTTCGTCCGCCGCGGAGCTGGAGCAGTCGAGATGAACACACTAATGTCCCAGACGGTGCCAGTTATATGTTGTTCGCTCCCATACTGAGGTTCTTCGTGACCGGAGTAATGACGTTGGGCGATAACTGGCTCGAGTCATTGAAAGCTGGGGCAGTGCGAGGTCAGTATCTTGGCGCAGAATCGTGCATTGATAATATGCTCTGAGGCATATGTTGATGACTGTCGCTGAAGTCAGGCTGAAAACTTAACGAGTCGGTGCATTGTGGCGCATATTGGACTTGCGGACCGATGTTAATGGTAGGCGAATTTGTTTCCTGGTAGTAAAACACCGGCTGCTGCGGTGTTGCTGTCGCTTGTGCTCGATTATGGTGGGCTAGCGGAGCCTGGTGATGGGCGGACTGGTCCGGATCGAAACTGGGTCGACCGATTCCGTGTCCTCCACCACCGCCAAAGTTTTGGTCGGGCCCATGCAAGCCATGGCTGTTGTCGTTCCCCGTCACCATACCCTCCAGTATCGTACCCTCCATCACCGCCGTATCCGCCAATACCACCGAGTCCTGCACCGCTGCCACATCTCCCGTCCACCCCATGCCAGCCGTGACCACTCCCTTCCCCGCCATGCTTTCCAGCATCGCATGCTCCACCCTTCCCGGACCAACTAATGTCGCCAGGTCCTTCACCAACGCGCCTTCCGCTATCACGACGTCCTCCGCAACCACTATACCTTGCACCACCGGCGTTGTCGGCGACGTTTGGGTTCCTTCTCATGTCCCGAAGCCTGCCTGCCGTTTCCGGAGAATAGCCGGACGGCCGGGGTTCCCGCACCGGCCGTCCAGGGTTTCGATCAAGCGCGGGCTGCCTTGAAAACGAGTTGCGAGGGTAGCTCTTGCTAGGACTTTGGCCACCATCTCTACCTTCGGTACGTCAGATTCTGCCAGATATCGACGGCTAAGCGAGTCGCGCCGCTTTGCGTCCCGTTCATCACGAGGGAAGGCATTACCAAACCTCGCAGTCGAAGCCTGCAGGCGAAGCGTATGGCGAGTTGCTTCTGGATGTGTGGCTTCCTAGAGGGTTTGGCATCCCTGAGTAAGTGCCTGATTGCGGCTGCAGCCAACCGGTGGCGCTCGTTGGGGTTCTCCGATCTCGATTGCTTCGACTCAGGGCTGGTTCCCCCCGCATACTGAATTACTTCTAGATGTGTGGCTTCTTGAAGGGCTGGCGTCCGTGAGTTTCTGCCCAATTGTGCAAACTGCCAACCTGATTCGCTCGCTGGTGTACTGGGAAGTCGACCATTTCCTGAGGCTAGTTGACAATGCTGGCTGGGGAACTTCTCGTGCTTCGGCATCGGAACCTGCTGTGTATAGAATCGAGACCCGTTCCTCCTGTTGGCGGAAGGAGGCATGCTGGCGTGGTCTCAGCTTGCACTACTGCGAGCTGTAGGAATAGGAATAATAAAGGCAGTATTGAGCCGGGCAGAGGCGTCTTTGGCAGGCTGGAGAGACGCTTTAGCCCCTAGGCCGAACGATACACCTCCTACTGTAGCTGGCTAGCTCCCTGTCTGAGGACGTAATGATGGTAGAGATCTCTGAGTCTCTTGTGGTCCAAGCTTGTGTGAACCGAGATGTACCGAGATCCGGACTGCTTACAGATGTGGTGCGATGTGATGATGCAGACGCTCCACTTGCCGAACAGGAGAATGCAAGCGTCCAGCGCTGCCAAGATGCTGCGGTCGGAGATGGTCACCGCCGGGCGATTTCCCTTGGCCGAACAACGCCGGCACCTCCTCCGGTCTCAAGCGCGATGGACTGGCCGACGGAAATCGTCGATGAAGACGTTGTTATTCGGGCCAGCGAGGGAGTGTTATTCCGCGCATGCTATCTATAGATCACCTTCGGAGACGAGTGACGCTGCGTGTCTGACCAAGAAGACGTGGATCTGAGCGGTATCGACAACCTCTTCGGTGACGGAAATCTCAACGATCGTGAAGTAGCCGCAGGCTGCGCGAGTTTGGCAGTGTTTGGACTCCGCACAGCCTTTGAAGCTTTAGGCAGGTGACTATGCCCAACAATGGGCCTGCTACGCTGCGGCCTGTTCGTTCTGGTATGATGGCGGTTGGTCAATCTCAACCATTCAACGTCACGCATTCGCACGGGAGATTGACGATCGAGGAGACTGCCGGACCGTGGCAAACGAGAGCTAGTATTGCGAACATCGCCGCGTGGGACCCCTCTTCCCGTTGGACTTGGAAGGCGCGAGGAGCGGCCACCAGCCGGACTCATACTCGTGACGCAAAGTAACCAGGACCCCGAGTACCCCAGCCACTGCCAAGGTAAGGTGACCCGCCTGGCAGGCTTGCCGAACGGCTGGGTCTTGAACCTGTGCCGCGCGCTGAAAGAGATCGGATACCGCCATGAGGTGACCCTGCTCTGCTTGACGAATTCGGTGATCTCCCAAAACTGGGACTTCCGGCGCCTGGTGGGTACAACCTCGGGTTGCTTAGGCTGCGGCCTCTCAGGCCGGTACTCTCTTATGCTGATCCGAAATTACGTGGTGGACCGCTTGAGCAACGCCGCTGGACTTCCGTCCTGGGCCATACGCCCGTGCGTCGTGGTGAGATGATCGTTGGTTGTCCACCCATCGGCCATCCACGCAAGCGTGATGGTCCGCGACGGATATTCGAAGTCATACTACGAGGAGAGCTGCGCACCAGGCCCGTGCGCATTTGTAATGGTCTCCGACCGATGCTTGGACCCATACTACGAGGAGGACCGCTCAGCGGACTCCCACGAAAGGGTCATTGTCCCCGACTAGCACCCGGACTCGTGCCGCGAGGAGAACCGCGCGGTGGAGTTCCGCAGTATGGCGATAATGCTCGAGGGGTACTGAAACCGCCGCCGCGAGGACTTCCATCCATCAGTCGACCACCCATCGCACCCCCACCGTGTGTTGACGACCTCATGCCAGAACCCGGACTCATGCCGCGTGGGCTACCATCAGAACATTCGCGGCCCATGCCACCCCACAGCGAGCGACACCCGAACCTCTACCGCGTTGCATGTGTGCTTCGGATCTTTGAACGTTTAATGAAATCTGGCTTGTATTAATGCGTGCTTAGAAAATAAGTGTTATGGTACAAGGACGCACGTAAGGGAAAGAAAAGCAGAAAGCGACGGAGGTAAGAGAGGCATCTAATTTGCCAGTTGGTCCATCAGTAACCGAATCGTCGCAATGTGGGAGCAGCGACGGTATATGAAGGCAGTGCCTAGGCGTCGTAGCATAATGCGCATCATACAGGTAGGTATGGAGTGTCAGAGCACGAGGAGTGCTTGCAGTTCCGCCGAACAAGCCTGCCATAGTCACACCGGTCGAGGACTTACTATGTCGGCCCGTCAGCAGTAATTGTTTGCGTGAGCTTGCCACAAGCACGCACCAACCGAGACGGCAGAGGAGCACTTAAGATGGTGTCGAACACCCGAAATTGAAGTCTTATGGCATCGGAAGATGCTGACGAGGAGTTCGCGCGGACAGCGGTTCATGCAGATGGTATGCAACAGAGGACGTCTCTCTGTGACAGCTTTGGCGGTAAAAGTTCGGCGAATGGCTGGTTTCCGCAGGTACGACCACTTTGCGGGAGTTGCCGACCCTACTTCAGAGGTGAGCGGACCTTTTAGCGCGATTGAGGGCTGCAGGATTCTGGGATCCTACACTAACACATCCCGTCGTAAGGATCCGGCATGACGAGCCGCGGGAGCGGAGCAATGTGGGGCTGCGCTGCCGAAGGGGGCCGACGGTTCCGTTCTTCGGCATTGTAAGCGTCGCGTGCATTCCGAATACCCCCATGTTCCGCAGTCTAGACGGTGGCCTCTAAGTCATTGTTCAACTCAAAGCCGAGACAGAATGGACTATGTCAAATGCTCTTCCCCATGTTCGACCTGCAGCAGTTCAAGCCACCATGTCAGTACTGTCAGAGCAAACGCGGCGAGATTGGACGTTTGGGTCAACCATCCCATACGCAGAGGCACCGTGGGCGAGGGGTCAACCAAGCCCATTCTACCATGACAGTCACCGCCGGCTACGGAAGGCTATGCGAGAGTGGGTCGAGCAGGTGTGTTGTGAAGCCTCGCACTCGGCCCGGACGACTAGCTGACAGGCGCAGAAACTTATTCCCCATGTCAGTGAGTGGGAACAGACTGCCAGTATTCCAGATGGCGTTTATAAAGAGGCAGCTACGGCAGGGGTGCTGATGCCTGTGGCTTCCGGCGCCAGTATCATTCCAGAGTGGCGAGGCAAATATCCTGTGATTGGCAATGTGAACCCCGCGGAATGGGATGGTTTCCACGATCTAATCCTCCATGATGAGTTCGGACGAGTAGGTGGGGTCGGAGTAGAGAACGGCTTGTTAGGCGGCACGACACTTTGCACGCCTGCCCTTCAAGCTCACGGTACCGACAAGATCAAGAATGTTGTCATTGACGAAATCCTGTCAGGAAGGGCCCGTGTCGCTCTTGCCGTCACGGAGCCCAACGCTGGATCCGACGTGCAAGGCTTGGAAACCGAAGCGCAAATGTCCTCGGACGGTCAATTCTTCATTGTTAACGGGCAGAAGAAGTGGATCACCGGCGGTATGTACGCCACATATTTCATGACACTAGTCCGGGATCCTAGCGGTGGCTTCACCCTCCTGATCATCAAGCGCTCCGAAGGCCTGACTACCCGACATATAGTCATGTCGGGGTCCAACGCAGCTGGCACAGCCTTCGTAGACCTCGACGACGTCCAAGTCCCACTAGACATGGTTGTTGGAGAACGTGGAAAAGGCCTCCAGTACGTCATGGCCAACTTCAATCATGAGCGCCTCTTCATCGGCATGCAATCACTCCGGTGCGCACGAGTGTGCCTAGAAGACTCCATTGATTACGCCATAAACCGAGAGGTATTCGGCAGGAAGCTGGTCGAACAGCCCGTCATACGATTCAAGATCGCCAACATGAGTCGACAAACCGAAGCTCTTCAAGCCTGGTTGGAGACCCTGATCTTCCAGCTCGAGCACCTGCAGCCTCAAGAACGTATCTTCCTCCTTGCTGGCACGACTGCGCAGCTTAAAGCGCATTCAGGCATTGTGCTTGAGAATGTGGTGCGCGAAGCTGTGCAAATTTTGGGCGGCATCGGCCTGACACGAGGTGGACGCGGAGAACGCGTCGAGCGTATATGGCGAGATGTAAAGGCCATCACAGTGCCGGGCGGAAGCGAGGAGGTGATGCTCGATCTAAGCGCGAGGCGGGCCTTGAAGGTGCACGAAGGGATGAAAGCGATGAAATCGCACCTGTAAACTAGCTTGTAACCACCATTCGTCATTACCAAGTGTGACGCTCTTGCTCGGCGCTTAATCATCCTGTCCGGGGCGAAACGCTAGAACGACCCCAGTCCATGTTGGATCAGTAGTGAATTTAGGCCAAAAGGTGCGGTCGGCCGAGCGAACGCTGATGGTCTGGAGCTCGGCAATCCGACCTATCCATCGAAGCGTGCGTGTCTACTCGCGAGGCTCCCGCTTGCTATCGGAGAAGGCAAAGCCTATCTACCATCAAACGAGGTCGACGTGAAATGTCAACTGGTGACACAATCTGTTGGCTACACGGCTGCGGTATGTCAAGCCCCATTCTCGACGGCCGCTCTATCGTCATTGCTGAGATGCGCGGCATCAGGCTCTTGATCGAAGAAATGAGGCTTCAGCGGCTCCCAACTGTGCGTGGTGTAGTCGTGCTGCACCTTTGCACACTTGGTGAGTCCCCATTCCGTGACTCCGACCATCAGACACGACTCGAACATGAATGCCATGCTGCCTTGACCCACCTTAGTTGGTCTGAGCTCAGCATTACTAGCAGCCTCGAAGGTCCCAGCGTCGGGCCCATGTGCTGACATCACGTTGTGCAGGGAGGCTCCCGCTGGTTGAAAGCCGCCGCCTTTGCTGCTGTCCGTCTTTGCATCGTACTGCCCGGAGATCAAGCCCATGAACTCAGACATGGTGTTGCGGTGGTACCATGGCGGCCTGAACGTATCTTCAGTCACAAGCCAACGTGGTGGGAATATCACGAAGTCGGCTACGGCGGTTCCCGGGCGGTCAGATTGGGCGGTCAGGACTGTGTAAATGGACGGGTCCACGTGGTCGAACGAGATGCTTCCTATCGTGTTGAACCGCCCGAGATCGTACTTGTACGGATAGTAGTTACCATGCCTATTGGTAGAAAGGAACGAGGAGTCAGCGTGAAGCTCAAGCAACTTCACCGCACGCGGCAGACGAACCATGCTACAACGTCAAAGGGTGTATGGTTCTGCTTCGCGGCGAAGATCTGACCGTCAAACTTTGCCAGAATTGTATAGCTGTGAGACACGTCCCTGTCGAAGGCAGCGGCGGGAGCTTGAAAGTCGCGATTATTCGCCAGACAGTTCGAGCCAATTGGGCCTAATTCTGGAAGCTGGAAGTGGTTCTGGTAAAGCTCCAGGATGTATCCCTGCAAGCCTCTGTCAGCGCTTCGAGGTTCGAGCTAACCTTCAACGGGCAACAGCTCAAAAGTGTAGAGCGCGCCAACAGCGAAGAACTGAGAGTCGGCCCTGTCAAACACGCCGAACGACTTACTCTTGCTGGACCGTCCGGTAGGCTCACGCGGTACCTGATACCTCTGGGAAGCACGCAAATCTCATTCGGCCGTACCAAAAGCCTTCCGAGCTCGGTTTGTATATCAAGGGTGCCGTGTTGGCCGACAATCAAGAAATCACCATCCGCACTATAAAAAGCTTCATAGGAATCCATGTCTTTGCCAATAGCAAAGATGAAGATTCCAATGCCGCTCTTCATTGTTGCATCGCCAGCACCAGCAACCAGATGGAGTCCTTGCACCCAAGAGACAGTCGGGTCAAGGTCAAAGGGGTCCCACCGCAACTGATTAGGGATCTGGTGCCATTTCTCACCGCCAGCATTGGTAACAACTCCAGGCGAGGGGTGGAATGGGGCATGGGATGACGAGGGGAGGACGCGGTACAGCCAGGACTGCTGATTCTCCCACCGTGGAGAGGTGAACGCTGTGCCCGAGAGTTTCTCTGTATATAAACCGTAAGGAGGCTTTTGAGGGCTGTTGGCACCGATGGGCAGTGCTCCGTTGACAGCTTCAGTCTCGTGCTGTGACCCAAACCCGTTCAGGTAAACGTACTTTTCCCGGGTGCTGAAGTTGGTGACAGGCATGTCTTTAGATCCGTGGTTTTCTGGTGAGGTCTTCAGCGCAGCAGTCATAGTGTGGAGTGTTTGGGCTGATATGGCCGGCTGCACTGCCGCCATGGCGCGTTCGTCGGGAGCGTGGAGGATGCGGAAGTGCTGCTCATGGGAGTAGACGCGGTTCCGTCCGCGGGCGGAATGATATCTTTGAGGGGTCGATGCTGAGCTACGGAGGAATCACTAAAACTGTCGTTCGGCCGGTGTTTCCTCATTGGAATTAGGGAACATCTAGTGGGACGGCGGAGGTCGTAAAAAGTCATTCAGCTTGGCGGAATGCTTGTAGGGATCTAGAGTACTGCAACCTTGTCCGTCAGCGGTGTAGAGAACTTGGTGTCCGAGTGACGGATGCGGCGATGTGAATGCAGTTCGAGTTCAAATTCCCGAACTTTAACCGTAGCGTGTCACGAGCTGCGTCACGCGTCAACAACCATACACCTGCGCGCAGGCACCTTCACTTCATTCATATGGAGCCACTCCTTTTGGGATACACGCAGCTCATGAAGGATCTAGCGCACTTTATACAGCCATCGTGAAAAGGTGGCAGTGTAGCGAGCGAGTAATAAGGGTCTAAATGACTGAACAGCCTTCCAAGCGAATACCAATGCCGCTGGCCACACCCACTAACAGCAACATTTGACCCGCGACAATGTTACTTGCTTCTGATAGGTCCAAAGTGTGCCCGCAGACGATGACCGTAAATGTGCGCGGTAGCCACAAATATGCCGCTGAATGCCACAATGGCGGCCTGTGTGCCAAAGCTAGCATCGAAGCCGACCCTCTGCCCCCAAGGTTGCTGGAAATATCCCACGCTGAAGCCACCGATGACACGCATGAAGTTGATCCAACCAGCCACCTCGGCGGGCGCCATTGGGTATGAGTCTAACGCGTATGAGGTGACGGAGACGCTGTTAAGCATGACCCCGAAGACATTCATGCCCCATCCGAAGATGATGCCTACAACGGAGAGATGGTGCTGTAGCGTCTGCCCCACAAGTATCAGACCGGCTACCATGAACGCAATGCCAATGTAAATCGTCCATAGGCGAGACTCGGCTTCAAACACGCCATGATGGCGATGGATATAATGTCGCGCTGTCCAGTCGTTCCACGGGTGCCCGAACGCTTCACCAAGGAAAACCGCTATTATCGGCGTGAAGTACAGATAACCCAGCTGGGTGTTGGAATAGCCATAGCCGCCGAATTCAGCAGGGGTGGCGAACAGGATCGAAGTCGTGATGTTAATCCCAATCGCCCACGCGAAGATTAATAGACTGATAGGGAAGGTCAGCAAGGTCAGGCTGTGTTCGGTGCCCACATGGATACTCACTAGTTGCACAGGATTAGAACTAATGCCGGCTTGGTGAGTACGGCCGCAAAGCATCGATATGATGACCAGACAGTATCGAAATACTCCGAATGATGCTTGATCTGCCACATTCCCAGAAGCCTCGGTATTCTGTACATCACCCCCTGCGCTCTCGGTGGATGCTCGCTACTAGGAACGTCCCGATCGAACCAAGTCTCATCGATGAAGCACAAGATGAAGCACATCTGTAGCGCCACAATGCCCGTGTTAAGCCAGAAGACAGCGCGCCAGTTTCCGGTTTGGCCAACTATGAAATTGGCGAAGCAAGGGCCGATATATGGGCTGGCAATGTACAGCGTTGACCATAGGCCAATCTTCCGCGCTCTCTCGTGGAAGAAGAACATGTCTTTCAAGAAGGCGATGCTGATTGTTTGCGGAGCGGTCAGGAACCATCCCATCAAAGCACGCATGGCGTAGAATGTAGGCCATGTTGGAGCTAGGGCGGACCCAAGCGAAAAGAAGAGGCCTATTAACGTTGCCCAGAACAAAGTCGGTCCTCGTCCCCAGTACCGGGTCATTGGTACCCAAAGAAGACCGCCGAGGCCCCTACGCACAGTCTTAGTCGATCAGTCTCAGAAGTGGAAGACTGCGGCACGCTCACATCATTAGGACATTGAAGTTGCCGGAGTAGTTGACGACATTCGGACTCATGTTCCATTCCTCGCCCTGCAGGAAGATCGTTGCGGTGCCGGCGGCTGACGTAAAGTCTGCGCACAGAGCACCGAATGCGACGGTAAAGAGGATCAAGTGCTTTCGCCGCGAACTCCAGTTCAGCGGATCGCTGTCGAGCTCGGTAGGCTGTGGAAGCAGGACCGTCTACAAGCATCTATCAGTACCGGAGTCTACTCCGTGTCTAAGTACAGAACTCCACACTTACGTGCCCATCTTCAGCAAGCTTGAGATCGTGAAGATTGGAACCCTCAACGTCGAGCAGGACGCCCGCTTCAGTCAACGCACCTGGTGGTACGGCAACAACCGTGGGCTCACGGTGAAGTTCCTCGAGGTCAACCTGTTCTTCTTTCATCGTGGCCTTTGGGTCTTGCAACTCCTGGAACGCTGTGCAGGAATCGCAAAATTCTTGCAGATAACCGTAAAAGCGTTGCTAAGGGATTCCGATAAATCACAGATTGTTGGATTTCAACTCACGATAAGGATAAGTAATATGTGGGTGGATCCGCCGCACTGTCGGTTGAGTTCGCCCTTCCTCTGGTCGTTCTGACCAAGGCCGTCCGCGCGCTGAGTGATTCCGGCCCCGCGGAAAGCAGCGCGCCTTGCACCGGAACTATTTCTTCTCTCCCCAACAGGCAATGCTGGTCGGAAGAAGCTTTCCTGCAATTGCGGGGCCCCGTGGGTATGGAGCTGATCCTGGTATGCTCGCTTCGTGTCATATTCCGACCATTAAGTCGACCGTTGAAGATGCCACCATAAGGCTAAATCTATCACCGAGAAGGGATCCCAAGCCGGAGTCTCACTTCAAAGAACCGTTGTTGGACAGCTACGTCTACAAGTAGCATGCAAACAGCACGGAAACGAGCTGATTCGAGCTACATGTATTGCGTCACAAAAACGTGAAGTTGAAGAGATATTAGCAAAAATTAATGACTGTGCATGTGGCTATCTATAGTATCTCTGCGATATAGGACATCATTCTGGGCACGGCTGCGACTACTAAGATGTGAGAGTGATTCACAACGCACCGTCCCCATCAGCATCATGTTCGATCATAAGCGAGACGGCACCCTCATGCTGCAGGCTATGGTCAGTGTTCGCTGTCTCTATGCGATGGACTAGGTTCTGCTTACTTGACATGGATCGTCTTCGGCTCCAGGTAAGCCAGCAATCCATGCTTGCCCAGCTCTCTCCCGTTCCCTGATTGCTTTTTACCGCCAAATGGCGTGCTCTTGTTGGGTAAATGCGGCGCGTTGATAGACACTGCGCCGCTCTCTAACCTCCGGGCGACACTAAGAAGGTTGGGCATGCCCGTTAGCAAGTATGCCAGACGCCAAGAGCGTCACTTACCGCATCGCTCGTGTTATATCGGTGGTATAGAGTGTAGCTGGTAACGCTAGGTCAGCAGTGCTACAGACCCCGAGACGGTAGCGTTCTCGCTTGTGGGCCAACCCACCCGACAACCCGTACGTGGTGTCATTTGCCATCGCAACAACCTCGTCCTCAGTCTTGAACGTCTTGACAACGAGCACAGGCCCGAATATCTCTTCGCGTAGGACAGGGCTGTTTTCCAAAGGGTTTGAGAAGATTGTTGGTTCAACGAAGCACCCGTGGCTACCCTTTCGTTGCCCACCAGTAATCAACGTAGCTGTCTCTTTGCCGATTGATATGTAGCGCATCACAGTGGCAAACTGTTGATGGTCGACGACGGGACCATGTTCCGTAGTGAGTTCCAATGGGCTCGCTCCGAGGTCTTCCGAGGCTTTTTCGAATATTGCTTTCAATCCCGCAACGAATGTGTCCGCAATGTCCTCGTGTACAAATACACGGGAACCAGCTGCATGACCCTATGTTAGTATGTCCGAAGCACGCCTGCTTTTGATTGTGGCTTACCAACGCAGATCTGACCAGAGTTGGCTAGAAAGCCATTGCCGACGCTAGAAGGTTGCATCAGCACAGCCCATGACTCCGCAAAGGGTTAAACCTGGGTGATAGCGATGAAGGTATCCATCTGCGTGGTGATGCATGCAAGTTTCAGCGGAAGTTGGAGACGAACCTTCGAAGTGCTATGTCAATTGGAGCGTCCGGAAAGACAATAGCGGGAGACTTGCCGCCCAGCTCGAGTGTCACACGCTTCATGTTACTTCGGGTGGCTGCGTCTTGAATCTTCCTACCCACAGACGTAGAGCCTGTGAAGCTGATCTTCGCAATCTGTGGATGAGATGCCAGAGCATTCCCGCACTCCGCAGCACCGCTTACGAACTGCACCACGCCAGAAGGAAAACCGGCTTCCGCGAATAAGGGACCTAGTGCAAGGGCGCCCAGTGGTGACTTCTCGGACGATTTGAATATGAACTGGTGTGATATGTCAGTAAAATTTCCCTTGCAGCATAGCTTGTGTGACCTACCGTATTGCCGGCTGCCAGGGCTGGTGCGATCTTCCAAGCTACGTAGAGGAATGTGGCGTTCCAGGAAGCTATTCCAGCGCATACGCCTTCATCACATTGAGTAGTTGGGTTAGCAAGTGCCTCTGACGCTACGTTCAACAAGGCGCTCACCCAGTGGCTCGTACTGCACGATCTTGTATGTGCCATCGTCATCGGAGTACGACTCGCCAGCAATCTTGTCCGCCCATCCTGCATAGTCTTCACAGATGTTAGCTTGTAGTCTATGCGTACCGTCCGAAGCATGTAATATAGCTTCCGCTGTTCTCCTGGTCCCATATGTTCACGACCTTATAGTCTTCATGCTACAGTATGCCCGTCCCCGTTGCGAAGACGTACCGGTAGCTCGCAACGATGTCTTTCCCGCGGAGAGAAAGAGAGGGGTCGAGAAAGGAAGTAGGTATCAACCCAGCGGTACCTACATCGATACACCTCCACCATGTGTGCAATGTCAAAGAACTGATTTGCGCCAACCGGCTTGCCCGTGGGTAGAGAGTCGGCTTTTGCCAGGTTTGCCGCGTGCTGTTCTGCAAGATCTGCGAATCGGAGCATGCATCTGGCCCGCTGGCCACCGGTATAGGTGCTCCATGGACCATCGCGAAATGCATGTACGGCTATCTCTACGGCTCGGTCAATATCTTCCCGACTCGCGTACTGAACCTTGTCCGTGACAATGGAGTCATCGACCGGACTCTTCAAGGTGTAGCGTTCCGTGCTCTGAGAATCGACGAACTGTGGCAGGAAGCAGTTAGCTGCTAGGCAGCTGCTATCTGAATGCTGGTATAGTGAACCTTGTTCCCAATGAAGAGCTGGGTTTGTAAATTCAGGCTGGCTGGTTTTGCGCAGTAGACGTCAGGCTGTCCTTTGGGGCCTGCAGGATCGGAGTCGGATTGAGATGTCTTTTGCATCACGGTCAGTTCTTGCTTGTGAGTCAGGGGACGCGAACCAGGTAGCCCGAGGTTCAGCATACGGTCATGCCACAGACGCGAAGATTAGTGGGACACGTAATCCTGCACTTGGGCAGCGTCTGTGTTCGCTGAAGGTGCCTACAATAGCAGTAGCCGTCTATAGTGCCTACGGTACGGAGAGGCGTGCGGAGTCCGTGTCTTTCATTCGTGGATGCTGATGGCAGGCCACAGGTCTCCAGTAGGCGTTCCGAGCGTTCCGCAGAGTGCGGGCGTTCCGCTTCGTTTGCTTGATCCGATGAAACGCTGCGCTTCTTTACGACTACATCGCATAGCCGTTTCTCCTGCTACAGAGCACTCTAGCCTCGAGCAGCATCTCGCTCCGAGCGAGAAGGTACCGACATGAGTCAAAATTACGTCCATAGAGTGACTCTCTTCAAGATACCGAAAGTCGAGGACCAGGAAGCGCTACTGGCGAAGTATAAAGTCGCACAGAAAGAGGCCTTGAAAGTCAGCAAAATCACGACCCAGTTACCGTGGCATCTCCGGTCACTAACCATGGGATTTGTAGAATGGGAAACCATACATCGTGGCGGTCGATGCCGGGCAGACAAAAGAGGATGCCCGCAATCAGGGTTATACCGTGTGCGCCAAGTCCACTTTCGCGAGCATGGAGGACTTCGAGTATTACGACAAAACTTGCGAAGCACACAAGAAGATCCGGGCCTTTGCAGCTTCGGTTAACCAGGGATCCATGATGGTGTTCTTCCGGTCTGTGGTACTTCCCGAGGCGGCATAGGAGCGCGTGTGTTGTTTGCGATCATGTGTCAGGCGCAATCTATAGAGTAAGCTAGAGTTGAGGTGAATGTCGGTGAACGTGAGCGAAGCATGCACTTATTTTGTCTACGCTGTCAGTCATGATCTGAGATATATCTTTTGTGAGATCATAGTGTGAGGCGGGCTTTCTCGTGTAATGTAGAGAAGGGTATGGCGCAGTTCCAACAAATCCCATTCCGTCAGGCTTGAGAGCTATACTCGGACATGTGGTAACAGTGTTCATTGCGAGACACTCTGAAAGCAGCAAATGATTCTCATCGCTGTCGCCTGCACCAAGCAAACACCACAGTACGAGCGGAACCTACCCAAGAACAGTACATCTCCCAGCACCACTGCTCGTCACTGTTTCAAGCATCATTGGCATGTCCATTCGTCTGTGCCGGCCTAAAGTTCTCCAAATGTCGTCGCGGGTGTGGCGGAAGAATGCCCGCATTTTCAAATGTCCGAAAGGTTTCAATGAAGACTTCGTACGTGTCGTCTGCACGAGTATAACCGTAGGCGCGTGCTTTCGACATGGATGATACTGTTGGCCAGTTCTTGCCGGTAGCCCAGTCAAAGAAACCCCACGTGCCCGCATCGAAAGCGGCCTTATCGCCTCCATATTTGGACACGATGCGATCCCACACCTCGCGCTTGTCATCCGCCCACTGTCCCATTTTAAAGCAGTGTTTGAGAGACGAGCCTCGACTCTCATCGCTCAGCTTTAGATCCTCGGGCTCGATCGCCTGCGCGTTGTCTAGTGATTAGCGCACAGCAACAGGAGGGGGCGTCCGAAGAACACTCATTCGACGAACTCACTTTAGCTCCGAAGTAATCAGCGATCCGAGGCCAGAAGTACCTCCAAACATAAGTATCACCATTGACGGAATTGAAGGCCTCGTCCTTGGTGTGCTCATTTGACATGGCCCATACAGAGATGTCTGCCAAGCCTGTTGCCGAGCTGCAGTCGTCAACGCAGTTGTAGAAGAACTGGTTGCCTGGAAAAGGCGCGTTTGTGCCCAGCTCTCGGTTAATGAGGAAATACAGGGCCATCGTGATAGCCTCTGACATGCCATTCTTCGCAGGCGTAAAGCCGATGATTCCATTGGGCCTTTGGAGATGTGAGCAGATGATCCCAGCTGAACCTATGCATGCCTTACCTGATAATACTGTAGTGCCATTGATGGCCTCGAGCCGCTGCGTTCTTCTGCCGCGCAAACATGAAGTCTTCTTGCTTGTAGTAGAAGTTCTCACCCTTATCGTCGTAGCGTGGCATGTCCTCCCGGTAGGGGCATGGACTTGGGCCCAAATGCGCGCCGTAATGCTGCGATGACGTTAGTTCCCCGAGCAAGCCGAGAAGCGTCGGCTTGTAATGTACCTTCCCGCCAGTCTGCAGGCAAACACGCTGCAGAGATGCTCCCGATACCGTTTCCAGCGCGACAAGAAAGTTCTCCCACAACGGGACATTGTAGGTCGGTAGCTGTGTGAAGTCGTCCGTATGGACGTAAGAGGTGAAGAAGGCATGCGTGACATCAAAACACGAAGGAGCCATCGCCGCGACGATTTCGGCGTGTGGTTTTAGGAAGTCGATGGCAACAAACTCGACGCGGGGATCCTGCCAGTAATTCTTCAGTGGGCTGCGTGAAGTGATGATGATCTTGGCCCACTCGCTCCTCGGCTGCCGGATGAGGTGCTCAATAATGGCATTGCCAGAGATACCATTTGCGCCGGTCACGAAGGCGATCTTCCGAAAGAGAGGCGCCATGTTGTTGAGACTTGCGGTGCTGGCTGCCCTTGTAAAGGTTAGTCTTCGCGATTTGATAAGTTGACGGAGCGGTAGATGTCAGATGGGAAGTCGGAGACTCAATCAGCTGTGCTTCATCGTCGCGATAAGACGCACCGCCATACTTTGTATACCACGAAGGATTCGCCCATGGTGCTACATGTGCTCTCAACGTCGGCAGAGTCAAATGGTATGCTTCCCCGCACCCCGCTTGCATCAAGCCCAGCCTTGTACTAAGACGGACTCTGCTTCCGTGACTTCCGCTCCACCTTCCACGCCATCGGATCGTTCCGCTTTCGCAAGAGTTGCGCATGTGTCGTGCCAAGCAAGACTTCCCTGCGATCACCGGAGGGAGTCGTCGCCAATAGCACGTACCGGCGTCGCGCACTTTATGCGCTGCCTGACTCGCATCCGAGGCTGTCATTAACGAGCCGTCCGTCATAGCGCAGGGTGAAGCTCTTTATTCCCTGTGTATCGCAATTCCTTGTAACAGTGCACCCAAACCATTGTTCAGCATGCTGTACCAATCTCCATACAATGAAGGCTTCTGGTTCCCAGAGATCGATATTCCCAGCCTAGTACTAGACGAGAATATCAAAAAAGCAAGCCCGGCAAAGCCTGCCATCATCGACGGCTACACGGGAGAAGTCGTCTTCACCTACCAAAGTCTTCGACATGACATCGTCGTGTTTGCCGGGTTCTTGCAGCGGCAACTGCGCATTGGTCATGGGGATGTAGTCGCATATCTGTCCTTCAACACGGTAAGCCCGTTGCCGACCGTCTGGTAGACGCATCCTACCCACTCACCCTGATCTAGACCTACTACCCCGTCGTCATTCATGGCATCCTTGCGGCGGGCGCAACGGCCTCGGCGTTAAACCCGGCATACAAGTCCGAGGTACGGTGGCCGATCCCTCAGACCGCAGTAGATCGCCGCTGATTGCGACTTAGGAGATTGCGCATGCGCTCAAGCTAGCGAGACCGAAATACGCTATCATCCAGTCAGCCTTGGTAAACGACATGAATGCTGCAATACGGCTTCTCCCAGACGATCAGCTAAAGCCTAAGCTCTTCGTCCTCGACGGCGCATCCACTGAATACCCGCACCGTGACATGCACGACATCCTGGTGCATGGGTCGACCAACCTCCTGCAACGACCCAGGCGTAGCCCAGAGCAGGTCGCACAAGACCTGGCATTCATATGCTTCAGCTCCGGCACCTCCGGTCTGGTCAAGGGCGTTAGGCTGACGCATCGCAACGTAGTCGCTAATGTCTTCCAACAAGGCTACTGTTTGCGGGATATGTACACGCCCGAGACGATCTTCACACTCGCCGTGCCGTTCTTCCACGTGCTGGGGCTTGCTGCGTTTTGCTGTCAGTATGTGTCGCACGGCGCACCCATCGTCGTCTTCAAGAAATTCGAGCTGCCTCAGTTTCTCACGTCTCTCAGCAGAGACAAAGGTAGGCTACCAGGGTGGTAATCATACGGTGACAGTCGCTAACGTCTCCGCTTACCAAGTGACTCACGTCAACGTCGTTCCGCCTATTGCGCTGGCACTTTTGCAGAGCCCGTTGGCAGCCGAAGCTGACTTCTCTTCCGTCAAATGCCTGATGAACGCAGCAGCTCCGCTCAAGCAAGCCTTGGCAGACAAACTGTGTAAGCGTATGGACTGCGTCCTGACACAGTGGTACGGCATGACAGAGGCGAGTCCCAGTGTCATCAGCCAGCGAGAAGGCGAAGCGAATGTTCCTCACACCATCGGCCGTCTGTTACCTGGCATGCAAATGCGTCTTATTGACGAGACTGGTAGAGGCAAGAGTGATGTTGTTCCCGGTTCCAGCGAATGCCATCCACTGACTCCAAGGCTTAGACGTTCCTCAGGGACAGCCCGGCGAACTGCTCCTCCGTGGGCCTAACATGATGGCGGGATACGTTGGGCCGCCAGAAATAACCGATTCCGCGGTTCTAGACGGCTTCTTGAGAACGGGAGATGTCGGTTATGTCAACGAAGAAGGCTTTGTATTCCTAGTCGACCGGGTCAAGGAGCTGATCAAAGTCAAAGGGTGAGCACTCGTTATCACTGTCCCTGAATGTCCCTCCCGCTCTGTCCTAGGGGGTCACTGCTGACAACGCCATCAAGCAATCAAGTGGCGCCTGCGGAGTTAGAAGCGGTACTCCTCAGCCACCCTGCCGTGACAGATGCCGCCGTTTGCGGTGTTTATCTGGATGACGAGGCCACCGAATACCCGATAGCGTATGTCTCCATTTCGAAGCCCGCAACAGGTAACACGATGGTAGCACTTGAAATACAAGCGTTCGTGGATGGACAGGTAGCTCACTACAAGCACTTGCAAGGAGGGGTGCACGTCCTTGAAATGATATCAAGGAAGTAAGTCGACCATCTGGTATGCCATAGGGTAGTAACCAAAGGAGAGGAGCAAGGGATCCTGCAGAAGTGGTGAAAGCTGCTAACCTGGCTCCAGCCCTTCCGGTAAAGTTCTGCGACGGTCACTGCCAGCGAACATGGACAAGCCTGCCGCTGCAAGACTGGTTCGAATGATGAGACTTGGTAGGCGATCCAAGCTGTAACGATCTTCTACATGAACACAGCTGCTTTGCCAAGCAGATGCTGGTGGAAGTGGCCAAATGGTAACGCTAAGGTCTATCTCGAGTAGCCATCCATCGAGCTCCGAGACGTTGACCCAGCCCAATTGGCGAAGTTGCTCGGTCCTTGCGGGTTTGCGAGGATAGTTGGATCGAGATACGTAGATTGCTGAACAGGCATGTCCGGCGTTACGTCCAGAAGACGGTCCAGCCAGCTCCCGGTCCCACTTCCCCACGGCAGTAGCATCTCATGGTCTGCCTTTGAGTTCATCAGTTGACCGCCACTGATCGCTTGCTCGAAATCGAAATCTCCGACATCAATGTCAGCCCAGTTGAGGTCGGAAGCCGAGGGAGCTGCTCGCACAGCTTGTGGTTTAGTGTTGGGCTCACAGTCTTGATGGACACCTGCCTGCGTTGACACCCGGGAGTCGCTGTTTCTGTTCGGTGTCTTGATTTTGAGAGTCAGACTGCCGTCCTGTTGCATCGAAATGGGAGATATTTGACCGCCTGATTGTCCTGGAGCAGCCGACGAGGACGGTCGCAACTCTTGGCTGGCCTCCACTTGCTCACGCGGCTGAGAGGGGCGTGACATGGGTCCTCGCACGAGACTCTCGGCGGAGGCCGTCGGTCCACGGCTTGTCAACAGAATGGAGTTAACTATTGCGTGTAGTCGCGCAATGGTAAGTGCTGTCCTCCTGGAAACCCAGCTTGCGTAGCATGATTGCTTGAGCAGCTTCGCCGCCTGCAGAGTAGGCTCTGCGTAACTTGATCGTAATGTAGGCTCAGTAACCAGAACGCTTAGCGATGCCATGGTAGCTCCCAAGAAGTACGGTAGGAATGGGAACTTGAGGACACCCCACGTGGGTGGAGCGTGTGTGAAGGCGTCAATAATCGTGTGAGCGAGCTGCATGCATGTAAAGCTGTTCTCGAGATCGTTTATGGCAGGCTGCAGCACCGGCTTACGCATCATCAGCTTCATATAGTGGTATCTCTGTCGAGTTCGTTGTTAGCTTGTTAGCCGACGGTCACACCTTTGAACTCGAATACAAACATACGAGGTACAGTAGAAAGCTCTGTAGTACAATGGCTTTCGGACCAGCAGAGCCCGCATTATTCCCAGGCGTACCCTGATACACGAGCGCTGAAGGCAGCGTTTCCTTCCAACGATCGAGCAGTAGCTCCATATACTCCCGCTGTAAGGCATTGAGCGGTTGTCCAGCAACAGGAATGGCGTAAACAGCTTCCCAAACTTTGCCAGTGACTCTGGAGTAGCCGATCATTGCTCGTAGATAAGAGACCGACGAAATACTGCACCGGCGCAGTTCTTCTGCTATCATGTCGTTGAGCTCAGATGTCGTGTCCTTGGCGAAGCGTTGAGTAGATAGCCACGAGTCGGAAAGGTCGGAAGGTGTCTCTGTGTCCGTGTTCAGGTCCAATATAAGGAACGGCCGGCCGGTTTCGAGACACAATCTTCGGTCTAGAACGTAGATACACCACCAGATTCTTCTCAATAGCTCCTCTTGGAAATGCGGCATCTTTGACAGGATAGCGTTGCGGTTGATGCCAAGGGAGTGGGCATGGGATACCGCCAAGGCAAGGACGTTTTGCGCACGCTCGTTCGCATCCAACCGGAAGAGATACACTATCTTCAGATAGTCAGGGATAACGGTGGAGCAAGCAGCATATGCACGAGATCAAGCGAACGTACCATCAAGCAGAGCGTCTGCAGCTGCAACAAAGGTGACGCACGGTTGCCGCACAGATTTAGCACATCACCGACCAAATCCAGCGCCACGGAGTAGAAGCTCCACCCAGCGGAATGTCGACCATCGTTCATCGACCGTGTCGCGGTACAGCGGCCAATAGCGAGGGCCAGAAAGATCTGAGCAAGCTTGAGATCCATATCCTCCTCATCATTGAGCACTGCATAGCTGCGGGTGGCCAGATATATTTCCCACATTTTGTTGTATTCCTCCCACACGGATGGCGGATGCAAGAAGGGATACAGCGGATGAACTTCAGCAAAAAACGACGTTAGCCAGCTTTGCCAAGCCTCGCCATCGATTGAGATGCCGTACGTGTGGAGCAGTCGGCGAACGTCCCCATTCCGTCGCCAGTCAGTTCTTGACCCCGCTGCGCCTCGCTCGGGCGTCACCGGCCTGGTCAGCGGCTGTGTCGGTGGGCTCGAGGCACGCGCCGGTCTGGCTACGCCCAGCCTATCAAGTCGATCTTCCATCTGATCCAGGTTGTAGTGGGCGGAAGTCTCACCCACAAATGCAGATCCGTCGGCCCAGATTGTCCCTTGACCCTGCAGCGCACTTCTTGTCTGGATGGCAGCAGTACCAGCGTGTGCCGAAGTCTGACGTGCCTCACCGTTCGAGCCATCTCGAGATTGACGGCCTGCCATTCCTGCAGGAGGACCGTTCGTAGCCTTAACCGACTCAAGCTGTTCTTCGACCTGGGCCAGACGGCGTACCAGCATGTTGAAAACGGAGCTGCTCCGACTTGACCTTTAACTTCCCGCAGTCACAGGGGCGTAGGGGAAGATGAATACGTACTCTGATGCACCACGGTCTTGATCGGCCTTTGCGCCAGCAGTGCTTGAGCGTGAACCGTTCCCGTGATACGCAGACTCCGCGAATGCGTAGTCTGTATCTACGCGGTGGCAGTCCCGTCCTCTGTCGGTACAGTTTCGGCAAGGCTCCTCGCCATCACACTAGGATATCGTCAGCAACGCGAGACAGGTGGCGAAGTAATCTGACTAACTTTGATCTTGCGCTTCTGACAGTACTGGCTAAGGTTGGCAATGGATGTCAGTGATGAAAACTGTGTATGGAAGCACTCGCACCAAAAGACCATGCCTACCACGCTCGCGCAGCATACTTCCCCCGCTTGCGCTTCCCAATGGCTTCAACACTCCAAGCCGACGTACCCGCACCGCCCGCCGGGACATCTGCACCGGAATTCATTGAAACGATCGTGATAGGACTAAGTTACGAACGGAAGTGGTTCCAGCGGAGTGGGATGAGAGAGAACGAGCAGATGGAAAGCATAACCGTAGTGTGCGGGAAGCCGCCCACGCTGCGGGACGTCGTAGCCCCGCTTTCTCCGCAAAGACCTCCCACGGCTAATTCCGAATTTCACCTCTTGTATTGACGCCTGAAGTACACACCATTGTCACTACCGGTTGACGCAATGATACACCAAACACTCATTGGAAGTAGCTAGCGTTACAATGCTTGACTTCCAACCTTTATACAAGCCCTGCGCATCGCTCTGCCACGCGGATTTACATGACTAAAGACTACCCCGAGCTGGTGACAACCATCACAACTTGGACACTGGCGCATCGAAGCGCAATAGTTGCTCTCGCAGATGTCGTGCTTTTACGTGCATGTTAGTCTCCAGCCCATCGGACATTCAAGCTGCTTGAACCGTGTAACTTACCAAGCTCGAGAGGATGCGTCATAGGTATCTGTTCACCCGGTTGGCTTTATTGTCTTGACCTCGTCTGCTAGCATGATACAAGAACTTACCAAGTGCCCGGCGTCTGGCATGTTGATCATGATGGTTGATCTTGGCATAAGACCGCCGATGTGCTGCCTCTGGTCGGGACTCCTACACTACGTGTGAGCGGCCAGTCTTTACCATCGTCCCGTCTGAGCAGCACTTACATTACCTTGCTGCTGCCTCCGAGGATGAAGGTATGCTGGCCGCACGAGTTGTGCAGCATCTCAAGGATACCAGGGTACGGTGCCGCACTTGCTGTCCGGTCAGCATTCTCCACCGAGGCATTTCCAGCTCAACTAACATATATGTAGCCGCTTCCTGAGCTTTGGGCGTCTTTAGAATTCGTTTGTTCTGACCATCCGGCCCTGTTGCTTCCGATGTTCCTTTCTCCTGTGGTACAGTGATCAGAAGGCCCGAATATGTTCTCCTGCTCTGGATGCACAATGCAGTTCACACTTACAGCGTACACCTTCCGTTGCTCCGGGTGCCAGTCAGCGAGTCCCTGGCTCTTCTCGAATCTAGCACACACATCGTCTCTGCAATAGGAGGATACTTGGTCAGAAGCTGCCACGATCTCAGCGCATAGCGAGTGGGGACGTACAGGCTCCGCCACTGATCCTTCCGCCGTAGCGCAACACTTGCTGTAACGCCGTCCTGTTCCGGCATAATGAACAGAATGGGCTCAACGAAGATGGTGGCGCTAAAGGTACCTGGTGAGATGACAGCTGCGTGGGCGCTGAGACACATTAGCTAACCAAAAACCAAGATGACTGGCTAGGATCATTACAGAGTGCCGCCACCAAACGAGTGACCGATACCTACTAAGGGCAAGGAGAGGCCAAGTGTCTGCGTGACGGTAAGTATGTCATATGCGTTGTCCGGCCAGAAGGCTACACCAAACGTCAGCAAGGGTTACTACGCACTGGATAGCTGTATTGGCGAGTCTGCCGGAGAAACACGTGCAAATTAGCTTACCGTTTGTCCCGAGTTTACCAGCATTGAGCACAGCGCTATCGCCATGGTTGGAGGCATCAATAGCGACGATCCTCTTTATTCGCCCAGCAAGCTGCTGATCGGACAGGAGGTAACGGATGATCAGGTCCCATAGATCTTTGCTGAAGGACGTCCCGTGCGCGAAAAGGAGGGTTATGGGTTCATGCTGCCGGTGTTGGTGGACTCGATAATCGTGCAGTGCAATCTTCAGCTCATCTCTTTCGTGAGCAACGGTACCTGCACGACGAGGGTAAGTCGCGGGAATGGCAAGCGTTCGTCTGGAGTGGGTGGTTGTTGTCGTGAACACATCCATATCGCTCTTCGGGGCAATGCTTCAGATAGAGGACTCTCCTCGCATGAACAGTAGGTTCAAGCCCCTCCTTCTCAATAGACCTGACCGACGTTAGTCGATGGCGCAGATTCTACTTCGGGGAAGGGAGGAACCAAGCTCGTACCAGTGCTCTCTCCATAACCAAGAGCGGAACTAACGGGCTCAATTCCGCGCACCCGGAAGCTGATCTCATGTACGCACCCTGATCAATGTCCATTTGCACACATCAAAAGCTGCTCGGCTTCGGACTGTCTTGAGTGGCTACTCAAGATCAGTAGAATGGCTGGTTCGTGGGTTGAATCTGGCAAGAAGAGCGACTTCTCCATCAGTAACATCCCGTTCGGCATCATCAGCAACGATAAGAACCACCTACATCGTCCTGCAATAGCCATTGGGGATCATGTACTCGACTTGCAAGGCTTTGCCGCGGCTGGTGGCTTCGCAGAACTCAAACCATCAGATGCGCTGCTGAGTAGCCTGAATCAGGTGACACTGAACGACTTTGCCACGCTTGGGCGACCTGTACACCGTACGGTCCGCAAATACATCCAAGAGGTGCTTGCGGAAGATACAAATATGCCCAACGTGCTTAGAGACAGCTCGGTATTGCGTGAGAAAGTCCTGTTCCCGCTGTCGTCTGTCAAAAATCATTTGCCAATGGCTATTGGAGACTACACAGACTTCTTTGCAGGTCGCCACCACGCCTTCACGGTCGGCTCGCTCTTTCGCGGTCCTGACAATGCCCTGCAACCAAATTACCATCATTTACCTGTTGGATATCATGGGCGGGCCTCTTCGGTTGTCGTGTCAGGAACAGCACTCCATCGTCCACGAGGGCAGATCCTGGCAGACCCCACTGCCAAACCGCAAAGGCCTACATTTGAGGCTTCCAAGCGTCTAGACATCGAGCTTGAACTGGCATGCTTCGTTGGAAAGGGCAACGCCATGGGTAAACCTGTGTCCGTTAAAGAAGCCAGCGAGCATATCTTTGGCTACGTTCTCATGAACGACTGGTCCGCTCGGGATATACAAACGTGGGAATACGTTCCACTAGGCCCGTTCAATGCTAAAAACTTTGGCACAACCATCAGCCCTTGGATTGTGCTCGCTGATGCGCTCAATCCGTACATGACTACTGGCATCGCAAACGAAACTCCGTTACTGGAGTATCTACAGGAGGATCCAGGGAGGACAGGCTTCGAGCTATCACTCGAGGTTGACCTTGCTCGTAGGTCCCCAATGGTTGCCACGACTTTATGTATGCTGATGGCTTTCTGCAGCATTGTCTGGACCCACAACCACTATCAGCCGTACGAGCGGCCGCAATCTCATGTGGTCTTTCGCACAGATGATTGCGCACCACACGGTTGGAGGATGTCCTTTGCGAGCCGGTGATCTTCTCGGCTCCGGCACGATCAGTGGGCTGAATGACGATGATAGAGGTTCCCTGCTTGAGATGAGCAAGGGCGGCAAAACTCCGTTCAAGCTTTCCGATGGCAGCGAGCGCGTGTTTCTGAAGGACAATGACAGCATCAATATTAGAGGGTGGGCAGGGGGCGAGGGGGCTTCGCGAGTCGGCTTTGGCCATTGTAGCGGTACCATTCTTCCAGCAATCTCGTGATGTTACTTGCCGGGGCCGGAGGAATACACTGGGCCCTGCATCGACGCATCAGTCTGGATGTGGGCATGCCGCATCCGCCTTCGTGCATGAGCTGTTCGCACGGCTTACCCGGGCAAATTCCGCTCGTGGCGGAAAGCTGCCCTGCGATATCAGAAAGACCATGACAAAGCTCCAGACTGCGAATGATACTCTGCCAAATGCGAGACCAATCTCACACAACTTTAAGAACCATGGCTGGTACCGGCCTAGTGACCGAGCTTGTCGAGATGCAACTGCTGGGCTTGTGGCAAGACTTCTTCCCAACCTTCGAGGCGACCTTTTTGCCGGTGCTGTTGGCGGCACCTGGCATACTGAGCGTTCGCACTGGTAGGTGCCCGTCTATGCTAAGCCTGGTCATCCTCTGAAAGTTCCTGTCTAGGACCGAAATACGCCAGTCACAGCTGTCATGAGGACGTACATGCCGCCATCTCAATTACGCAATGGACGAGCCTGCAAGCCCACGAAGATTTTCTGAACGGTCCATCTGCCAAGAGCTTCTTTGACGGCCTCGGAAGATGGATGGCTGGACCGCCGAAGGTTGGGCACTTCGAGCTCGGCAGTCTGCGCGGCCATGGAAACTCAAGCTGGCTTGCACTGTCCAGATCCGGCTTGAGTAACAAGAGCAGCAAGCCGAGTGACACTGCAGGTGTTGAAGCCACATTCTCGGCCCGTTGCGTTGAGAACGATGGCATAATGCTGCAGCTGTTCGTGTGCTCGACGGAGAATGCCATGAGGAACGTAGTGCAGTCGGCTTACGGCAGTGGCGAAGTGTTCGGAATGCAGGTGCGGAGTCTCGGGTTCCCGTCGACTCCACGTTCGCGCGGAAAGCTGTGATCAGTGCGCTCAGCCGTTCCGGAGATTCCGTCCTGCAACAGGTCAAGTTCCGCCTTTCCGTCTTGCGCTTCCCCTGCCATGCCGCGACATTGATCGCGGCCCGCATAGTGCAGGCGGCTGGGTTGTAATGCCAGTTGCACAGCGTTAGTGATGTAGCCTGTGAAGCTCCGAGTAACAACCAGATGCTTCCATGAAAAGCTGCAGGCACTTCACTGGGATTACCTTCTATCACATTGCCTGCATTCCCTGTGGAACAATCCTTAGCTCGCCAGAGCACCTCTGTTATCAAAGTTACCTGGATCATCTGCCACTGACATGGAGCGTCTACACGTAGTAATTGTGGGCGCCGGTATGGCAGGCTTGGGTGCTGGTCTAGCAATCCGTGGTGTCGGACATGAAGTCACCATATTGGAGCAAGCGCCTGCATTTGGCGAAGTACGCCGACACTCGATTGATATGGACAGAACTGTGCTAACCAAAACACTGCCAGCCAGATCGGCGCAGGTGTGCAAGTTCCTCCCAATGCGGCACGCGAGCTCATCCGATGGGGTCTTTGTGATAAAATGGCCGCCATCGCTTCTACACCCGACCGCATCAACTATCGCAGCTGGAAGACTGGTAAGGCGACGGGTTTCAGTAGGCTGAGCAACCATGAACAAAGATACGGCGCGCCGTATTGGCAGGTCTTCCGTCCAGACTACCATACCATTTTGCTCGAGGCCGCGATAGCGGCAGGTGTCAAGCTGAGACCGGGTTGCGTGGTGAGCTCTTATGATCCACCAAACGGCGCGGTAGTGCTAGAGTCCGGAGAGATGGTGAAAGGAGACCTAATTGTGGCCGCCGATGGCGTGAAGAGTATCGCGCGTCACGCTGTTGGTCAGGAGGTTGAACCACACGAGACTGGCGACACTTGTTTCCGGGCAGTCATACCCGGCGAGATGTTGCTTGCAGACCCGGATCTCGCGTCTCTGGTCTCGACGCCTTCATTTGAGCAATGGCTCGGTCCTGATCATCACATCATTGGGTGAGGGTGAGAGGGCACAGCCGCTGATTGCTGTTACAGGCTGACTTTTGCGACAGGTACAACATGCAAAAGGACAAGAACTTCAATCTCCTCATGGTAATTCCGGACGACGAAAAGATGAAGGGTTATAAAGCTCCTGCAACCGGCGAGGAAGTGCGGCAGGCGTTTGCAGGGTGGAGCCAAATGTGAGTAGTTGGCCATACCAGTGGGTACGCTGCCAGGATTGCTAAAAAGTCCGCCGCCAGGACGCGTAAGCTCCTTGCCATGATTCCAGAAGATGTCGAGCGGTGGCGGCTCATCGACCTTCCGCCTGTGCAGAACTGGGTGCATCCATCGAATCGCATGGTCGTGATTGGCGATGCCGCGCACGCAACGCTCCCCTACCTCGCCCAGGGCGCCGCTATGGCCATCGAGGACGCATCTGCGCTAGGATTCGCCTTGTCGAAGATCAGCAAGAGAAACAAGGTTGATCTACCGGCAGCCTTGGCTTTCTTCTGCGCGCTTCGCCGCGAACGAGCACACACCGTCCAGCGCGGCTCTTGGACTAACCGCTTCTTCATCCATATGCGTGACGGTCCGCAGTATGAGATGCGAGAGGATGTTTTTCAGGCAGGGGACTATCCTGGAAGCCCGAATCTGATGGGCAACTCGCTGTTCCAGGACTGGCTGTACGGTTATGATGTGCTACAGGATGCCGAGAAGCAATGGCAGCGGGCACATGGAACGGTGTTGGCTAAACTCTGAGCTAGTCATGGTCGGGTTGTAGGGAACACATGGGTTGGCGTTTGTGTCTGTTTGGTCTGGTCACTCTTCATAGCAGCGAGCAAAGTCTGCGTCGAGTGTGCAGTCGAGCCGTATTGTACACCTGCGCTCTGTGCTTCCAGGGCGACGGACTCTGAGACACAGCGACAAGCGCTCTCCCTACGTCCAATTCATCCACATCCTGTACAAGGCCGTTGACATGTATTGTTGACAAACGCAAGACCCACTGACGTCTTTCCCATTCGCAAACGGCAAGTCCGACGCGGAACTCGAAGTGGTGCAGATCATCCGTCTCGCTTCGCCGGCCCCGAGTCGCCTCGATCTGACAGAGATACAGTACGTAGAAATGGGTCACGCGATCCTCTCCTCGAGTATTGGCGGATTCTGCATAGTCATAGCAAGAGCCTACCATTTCTGCGTGCACAGAGAGTCATGCGGTCCACTACCGCCCGCAACCGGAGGCAGCACGATACAACAAGATGGACCTACGGAGTCGCCATGCTGATGGCGCTGGTACCTTTCGTGATCAGTAGCTGACAAGGAAATCTGAATTGGTATCTCGACAGTCCTGCGCTCACGAAGGAACCTTGGGCGTACTGATGTCTCATCACGGCATTGCCTCCACCCAAGATCCCCACCAGCATTAACTCGCGTGATGGGGACGAAGGGAAAGCTTGAGGCGTCTTGAGAAGAACGAGGTCATACCATAGGCTTTCGTTATCTGAACTATGACCCTTTCCAACCATGCTGGCGGTAGACTGTACATTGCCAATCCCAAATAAGCCAAACAACCAAGCTGGAAGTCATACTACGACTGCGTCGGCATATTCACCTTCGCGCGTGTGCTCAACGCATCATCCGCGCGCCAAAAGCTCGTCACAGTCTTCTGCTGCGTGTAGAACATCATGCCCGGCTTGCCGTAAAACGTATTCGCACCACCACCCGCCACGCTCTTCTTGTTCCCCGTGAAGCTGAACATGGGCAATGGTACCGGAATAGGAACATTGATCCCAACTTGTCCGGCCTCGATTTCCTTCTGGAAGCGTTGTGCCGTGCTGCCGGACCGCGTGAAGATGGCGACGCCGTTGCCGTACTCGTTGCTGTTGATCAGTTGGACCGCGTCTTCGAACGTGGGCACGTTGACGCAGACGAGGACGGGGCCGAAGATTTCTTCCCTGTAGCACGTCATTTCAGGGGTGACATTTGCGATGATTGTTGGACCGATCTGGACGGAAGAACATTAGCATCGTTCACTGCCAAGTTGGATACATTGGTGCTGCTCACCCAGTTGCCGTTAGGATACTTCTCCGGCTTCTTGCCTCGGCCGTCCAATACAATTGTCGCGCCTTCCTTTTCCGCGCTCGCAATCAAGCCCTCGATCCTTTCCTTCGCCTGCGGGCTAATGACCGGGCCCAGGTCAGTACCCTCTTCAAACCCACCGTTCATGCTGAGTTGCTGCGCTCTCTCCGCAATCTCCGGCGCCCAGTCTTTAGTCTCACCGACAAAAACGAGAGTACTAAGCGCCATACACCTTTGTCCTGCGGCACCAAACGCCGCGCCTGCGATCGCATTAAGTGCGTGGTTCTTGTTGCAGTCAGGCATGACCGCACAGTGATTCTTCGCGCCCAGGTTGGCTTGCACACGCTTGCCGTTCGCGCTGGCGCGTTGGTAAATGTATTCGCCTGCCCTGTTGCTGCCGACGAACGAGATGGCTTTGATGCGAGGCTCGTCGAGGATGAAGTCGACAGTCTTGGCTGCGCCGTGAATAATGTTGATCACGCCTGGAGGGAACCCAGCCTTCTCCGCGAGCTCGGCGAGGATCATACATGCGCCCGGGTCACGCTCGGACGGCTTGATGATGCAAGTGTTGCCAGTGATCGTCGCAATTGGTATGGTCCATAATGGAATCATAGCCGGGAAGTTGAACGGGCAGATGGCGGCCACAATACCGAGAGGCTCACGGTAACTCCGCGTCTCCATATCTTTGGCGACTTCGAGCACCTCGCCTTGAATCTGAGTGGTGATGCCGCATGCCGTCTCCGCTACTTGCAGACCCCGAAGAACGTCACCCTTTGCATCCGCGAACGTCTTGCCCTGCTCGAGAGTGATGCTCGCAGCAAGACGGTCCCAGTGTTCTCTGATCAAGGCCACATACTTGAACATAATTCCTTGCCGGGCCAGTATGCTTGTCGCCTTCCATGCCGGGAACGCCTTCTCTGCACTGTCGACGGCCGCCTTCATTTCGGCGTCGGTATTTTGGGGTACGCGAGTGACGAGGTTGTTGGTCGCTGGGTCGTAGAGATCGATCCATTGGGTAGCTTGAGATGACACGAATTTGTTGTCCACAAACATCTGCGTGTCCATGGGTTGCTGGAGCTGGTCATGGCTAGTTGGGTATGAAGTTGGTGTGCTTGCGGTGGTAGTTGTTGCTGCTGCTTGTTGCAGGTGCGAAGTCGTCGCTTGCAGTCTTCGCACCGCCGTGGTAGATATATCTCGTGGTTGCGACATTCTGCTGACCCTCGATGCTTTCGTGGCGGCTGGCCGGAGTGTGATGCTTTGCAATGCTCGATTCGAGATTGCTCGCCTGGTGGCCATTGTAGGAGCTGTACTATCTGCTTAGGACCGTGACTGTCTCCTGCTGTCCAAACTATGTCTGCCTTATGCACGGTCAGAAAACGACCCAAACTCAACGGTTGTCTCAATATTGGCCTGCTGCGCGGCTCAGAGCAGTATGGAATCGCCCCGCAGCACTATTACCGGCTGCAGTAGATGCCAGTTGCCGAGGTTGGAGAGCACAAGCATCGGCATGTTCCGAGAGCCGCAATCGAGCCGTGTGGGCTGCATTACATCTACATCATTTGAGCAAGAGTAGGAAGAACGTATTGTAGCCGCAATCTAGGAAGTGTTGCGTACACGTTCAGACATGGCACGATGCTAAGCAAAAGCTGATCTCTATGCCTGACTCGGCTTATATACCCGCCAATTGCTCGCTGATGCGGTCTGATTATAGTACATCACGTACAAAAAGTGCTGTTACTCACACCCTTCCGGGCTTTCGGCAAGTCTCAAGTAGTGGGCTACTCATCATGGTCCTTCCTATGCCTCAAGCTCCCAATCCTCTTCTTGAGACTCGCGCCAGCCGCTCTCAAACTGCCACTCCGCTGCACATTCTCTTCGTTTTCACGATCGTTCTTGTATGCAGCATACTCCATATCGACGTACTTGCCATCATCGCCCGCAATTTCCACGGGATCGCGGGTATCCAGAGTGCCTTTGCGCTCGGCGGTACGGTAGTCCCTCATGCGATCCGCACGGTCCTCCATCTCAATACCGTTGTCGTTGATCGTGTGAGCTTGGAGAGCACGGTCAAGAGAGTATGTTGGCTCAGATTGGCCTTTGAGGTCAGTTGGATCATAGTCCTGCGAATTGTAATCAGCACAACGGCGGTATTTCACATGCAGAATCCGCATATGCTCACCTTGCCAGCCCACTGCTTGTAGCCTGGACCGTCCATTGGACCCTCCCGCATCATGTCCGTGCCTTCCTCATAGTCATATGTCCTGCCGAAGCGATCCGGCATACCCGGCGGCACAATAGCAACACCATCCAAAGGCTGATGCCGCTCCACCGCATCCTTAATGTTCTCGGCTGGCGTTGCCTTCAACGCCTCTTCATTGGTAGTCTGCAATGCAGCGATCGGGCTGGTCTTGCTATCCATGTTTCTCGCCAACGTGGCAGCATCGTACGGACCCTCATGATGGTACGCGCGACCTCCGAGAGCTGGGTCCAGGCGGTCAATCACGTCAGGGCCGGGGAGGTGACGTTTGTTCAGGTGCGGCGAACGGTGGGCCTTCTTGGAGTCTTTCCTAATTATGTCCAAGGGCCTGGTGCTGTCGTCGCCTGGGAAACGCTCCTTCAGCGAGCTTGTCCGGCGGCGACCGGAGGAGGGTCCGCTGCTTGCGCCTGCCTTGCCATCTTCGTACGGCGGAGGAGCATGGCGGCGAGTGGTGTTGTGGTCGCCAAATGCTTCGGTACGGTAGCTGGGGAAGGCTTCTGACGTGGTTGCTGTGGCCTGCTTCTGGGTGGTCGAAGTAGCAGTATCACGGAAAGGGTTGTTGGTGCTGAGAGACGTGCGTGGGGATGTTGTGCTCGTCGTAGTGGTGGTTGGCTGCTTCGAATCGAACGTTGAGCGGAAGTGCGATCCTGGACCCGTTTCTGCCGAAGGCTCAGGGGCGTTCAAAGGGTCGATTAGGTAGGCTGCAGAATTACTATGAGCATCCCGCACACGCTCAACTTGCTTTCGGACTTGGAGGTTTGTTTACCTTGCGCCTCTTTCGATGATCCTGTGGCCATATCGTAGGGTTGGTGAGTGTTCAAGCGTGCGGACTGAGTGTCAATAACGAGGAGATGCAGGAAAGAGAGCGACGCGAATTGGTCTGACGCGGCTTCCTACGGTACGCTTGCTCCTGCTCCATGTCTTTTCACGCCAGCTTCGCAACCCACTCGACACGTCATTGGCCAATGCACGGCCTCATCCGTCATCCGGGCAGCGAACCCCTGCAGACTATCAAACATATCGGCGCCTCAATATCACCGACGTGTACCCAGCCATCATCATCGCTCAAGGCTATAGCGGACAGTGCGCTGCTGATACAAGGAATGGCGCTGGTGACGTATTCCGATTCGGAAGAGGACGTACCAAAGTCATCTGCGCAGCGCCCTGCGAAGAAGCTGAAGGTGACGGCAGAGCACGGCGACGATGCATTGCCCGCTCTGCCGCATACATTTCGAGACTTGTACTCCTCGACAGTACGGACAACTACGCAAGATGACCCGTCACTTCACGGCGGTCGTAAGCGTGTTATACCGCACGTAGAAGGCAATTGGCCTGCCCATGTCTATCTGGAGTGTAAGGCCCACCCAGCATCACCTCCGAACACACAAAGGTAAGTCACTAACATATGCGGAGGGCATCCGGAAACAGAGCAGTGTACCACACTCGCTCAACTGGTCCATGCCCAGCAGAAAGACGGAAGCAGTGGTGGGCGCGGCGAGGTCCATAGTCTGATCTTCAATGAGCTAGGGGTCCGTCTACCTCTACACATCTCCCTTTCCCGTCCCTTGACCTTGCGGGCGGAGCACAAGGACGACTTCGAGGCTGCCCTCCGAAGAGCTATCTCTACTAGCACAGTGCAAGCGTTCCACTGCCAGCTGGATGCAATACTCTGGCATCCTAACGAGAGCGGCACGCGCTGGTTCTTGGTCCTCCGAACGAAGCCTCGGGAGAAGGACGAGCTCGGCAAGCTACTCGCGGCTTGCAATGGCGTGGCTGAAGCATTCGGGCAGCCGTTACTGTATGCCGAGTTCAATTCGCGTGAGTCAGGCGATGAGGCTAGTAGAGAAGGCAATTTTCATATCAGTATTGCATGGGCTCTCAACCCGCCGTCATCGCGTGAAGGGCGGAAGGAATCAGTCACTGGCTCTCCTCCATCATCGGTACAGCTCACCGCTGAGGCGAAAGCGTTACGGATCCCGTTTACGGAGATCAAGTTGCGGATAGGTCAGACCGTGATGGTGATGCCGCTACCAGCAGCAAGGAGTAGGGGAACATTGTTTGCCTGAAGCTTTATGTAGACGTTAATGCTGCAGATTGTCAGCGAAGAACCTTGACGTCCACTGGTTGATTGATTGGCGTTGAAGCAATTGTTCGCAGGTGCATCTTGCTCTAACTCTGACTTCTTCTCGACATGCTTCGCAATCAAGCTTCCACAGCTTCAACGAAATTGGGTCATAGTACAAAGGTGAAAGAGTACTATTCTTGGCGCCGGACTTTCATATCTCAATGACGTGACTCGATGCAGGTACCAGCCCAACCTTAACTTCATCGAGCTTGTCCCACGCTTACTCTAACGGTGAAGGCACATATTCACCGCGTAGTGTTATTCTTCCATCGCCGAAACGGTAAGTCTGCATTTCAGTATCTGACCAACCTTTAGTAGTTAAAGTAGTACCTGTTTTGTTGTTTTCGTACCCTAGCAATGGCGGAAAATGCAAAGAAGATCAATATAGCCATCTGCGGCGGCGGTATCGCAGGCCTAGCACTCGCCGCCGGCTTGAAGAAGAAAGATAACATCGACTTCCATGTCTACGAGTCTGTGCCAGAGTACAAAGATGTCGGCGCCGGGTTGGCGCTGCACATGAACGCCATTAAAGCCATGACGCTCATCGGGCCCGAAGTGCGGCAGGTCTACTTCGACAAGGCGCTGGACTTGGGTGAGGAAGACCAAGTGATGTCGACCGAAGTCATCCTCGCACAGGGACCTAACCAAGGCGAGCTGGTGGCCGAGCTGGGCAAGGCGAAGGGACGGAAGACCGTGAGCCGCGCAGACCTGCTGGATGGGTTAATGGAGCTTGTGCCGAAGGAGAAGGTTACCTTTGGGAAGAGGCTAGACAGCATCGAGGAAAACGATGAAGGTGTGCGGATACGCTTCAAAGACGGCAGTGACGCGAGAGCGGACTGCCTCATAGGCGCAGACGGCATCCACTCTGTAACGAGAAGCTACATTCTAGGCCCCGACCACCCAGCAACCGAACCAAAGAACCACGACGGCTGGCAAATCTACCGCACAATGGTATCATCCGAGTACGCGCGACAGCACATCAATCCAAAATGGACGCAAACCGTACCCATCCTACTGGGTCCACGGGGGCATATCAACTGCATACCCCTCAACAAAGGCACACGTTTATCCGCGGGCGTAGCAGTACGGGGCGCCAAATTCGAAACCTCCGGCAAAGCGCCCGATCTCGATCCAGCGCTGTACAGCGATTACAGCGACGACGCACAACGCATTGTCAAGATGGTCGCGCGGGACACCAGCGCGTCCTGGACCGCCGCAGACCACGACCACGCGCCTACATACTTCAAAGGCAAGGTCGCCATGATGGGCGATGCGGCACACGCGAGTATGCCGTTCGCCGGCAACGGTGCCGCACAGGCGCTCGAAGACGCGGCGGTCTTGGATTACCTTTTCTCGAAAGTCACAGACACGGCTCAGATTGAAGCGGCATTTTCGGCGTACGATACGACGCGAAGACCACGGTCGCAGGAAGTGGTGGATTTGGCGCGGAAGTTTGGGAGGGTGTATGCGTATGCGGAGGATGGGATGCACAATGATCCCACGAAGATGAAGCAGTTTTTTGCGGGTGCGGCGGCGTTCACGAATAATGCCGATTTGCAGAAGCAGAATGATGATGCCATGGGGCTGTTCGAAAGTGCGGTTAAGGGGGGCGCAGATGGGGTGGAGGTGAAGGAGGCTGATCCTATTGAGGTCGTTGCATGACCAAGGTATGTCGTGTGGCTCAACGGCAGACGAGACAATCGATAAACTTCAAGCATCACTTATCGCCGTACAGTGCTACATCCGAGCGATCAGAGATCTACCTAGAGATGTTCTAACTTGCCTGAGCATGACACATCTGAATTCAGCATTCCGCCACCACAACCACCAAACACCCTGTCTATCGCCCATTCCACCCCTACTGTGCCGAGCTCCTCGTCGACCGCTTGTTAACCTCCTCCTTCGCACTATCCGTCGCCGACGTAACAGCATCAGCAACCTGATCCTTAATCTTCTCCGCCTGCTCGCGCGCCTGCTGCGTCTTCTCCTTCACCTGCTCCTTACTTGGCGCCGCCTTCGCTCCACCCGTCACCGCACCCGCCAGCACTAACAGAACCAACACAACACCAACAGCCAGCGTACCAGCGACTTCAGGCACAAAGCGCACCGCCTCGAGCGGGTCGCGCTTGGCAATCTCGTAGAAGAGCTGCGCCTTCTCGCGCACGTAGGTGAGCGGATCATCCATGAAGTTGAGGTCCATGGGGCTCTTGATGTCCGGCTTCTCGCTCGGCTTGGGCTTGTCCGCCTCCTCTTCCGCCTTCTCGACCGCCAGCTTGACGTCAAAGGTCTCGGCGGCCAGGGCGGCGGCGTCGGCTTCGGAGTGGCCGATGTAGATGTTGTCGAAGAGGATGTCGTTTTGCATGGTCCAGAGCTCGAAGCCAATCTACGTTCCAACTCGTTAGTATACAGATGCTTGTGCAGGCTGGTTTGGAATGTGTCACTTACAGCTCCCATGGGCTCAAAGTTCGCCGGCGTCTTGTCCTCGAAGTAATCCGGATTGGCAATCTTCTTCGGCGCCCACACACCCTTGTACGCCGGGTTGTCAATCATGGGCGCGGTCCACTTGCCCTGGTAAGCCGGGTTCTTGATCATAGGCTTCTCCCACGGCCCACAGCCAGACGCTTCGGCGCACTTGGGGTTGGGCACCATCGGCGGCATCCAGTCACCATCCTCCTCATCGTCCCAGTCCTCTGGCTTCTCTGCCTCCGGGTCTGGAATCATAGTCGGCTCGTTCTCCAGCCAGTCGGCGGGCTTCTCGGCCTCCTCGTCGACAATCTCGAACGGCGCGTCCTCGTCCCAGTCTGCTGGCTTCGTAGCCTCCGGGTCGGCGATGCGAGCTTCCTCGACCCAGTCGGAGGGCTTCTCGTCGCTGGGGTCGTCGATCTCCTTCTCCGGGTTCACAGCCGGGCTGAAGTCCTCAAGCAGCGTGCCGTTCTTCGCGCTGACGCCATCAATCTTGATCTCGACACTCTGATCCGGTCGGACAATGAGCGTGTAAAGCGTGGTAGTCTTCGTGATGCGAGCCGGAGGGGGCGTCTTGAGGTGTTTCTCCTCATACTCGCCGGTCTTGGGGTTCTTGTGACGGAAGATGAAGTGGACCTTGTTCGTCGTCCCGCACTTGTCGGGGCCGAACATGATGATGTAAGGGGAGGCGTTGGAGAACTCTTCGGCGTGGAGGGCGGTGTTGTCTTGGAGGAGCTTCATGTAAGCACCGCCGCACTCCAGGCCAGCCTGGAGCTTGACTTCGTACTGAACCACAAGCGTCTCGCCCTCGTTGGTGATGGCCTTGGGGAACTTGGCGGAGATGGCATGATGAGCGGCCTTGTCTTTGAGGACGAGACCCTTGTCGCCGTCGATGCCGCGGAGGACGGTGGGCTCTTCGACGTTCCACGTCCCGACGTACGCCCACTCCTCCTCGGTATTCTCCTTCTTGGCGTGCGATGCTTGCCATCGACTCTCCCAGTCGTCTGTGAACTGCTCGAGGAAGGGAGCCTTTAGGGTGGTAGGCTGGAGGCTGATTAGCATGCGATTGTGCCATTGGGGTTCGTTCACGGGCAGATGCTCACAGTGAAGGTAGGCTTGGAGACAGCAGAAGACGTCACGCTCTCTACAACAGATGCCACAGAGCTGGACACCTCAGTGGCCGCAGACGACACCGAACTGCCAGCATCCTCCAGGTCTTCCTGGGCTCGTGCAATGGCCGCATAGCAGCCCAGAGCAACGAGAGCGGTGACACGCATGTTTGCGGTGTTGCACCGTTGTATAAAGAAAAACAAAGGTTAGTCAAGCTAAGAGGAGCGTTGTCTCAATAGTGAGTTAAAAGTCAGGGACGGGGTGAAGTCAGAGGACGTGTGATAATTTTATGGCTGGCGAGTCGGGCAACGTGTCAATAATGCTGGCCCGACTGCTGAAGCTCCTCGCTGCGGGGATGCAGGCCGCATCGACCTGCATGGTGGTGCTTGGCTATGCACGTGACTGTAAACTCGGTTCTGTGCGTGTAAAGGTGGTTTGGCTACAAGTGATGCCCTGCTTCGAGGATTTTGCAGGAAAGAGATAATCTTCGTTGGTTATGACACTACACTACGGCATTCAGGTCGTAGAAAGAAGGCCACATCCGAGTGTCGCCGCTGTGGGCAGAACCATCCCAGGCCAGCGTGGTGAAGTCTACAACACCATACCTTCCTGACTTGGCATCCCACTCTGCCCGTTCATGGCATACGGCAACATCGGATACTGATAAGGCATACCCTGCGTGTGCGACATCTGAGCCGTCGGTTGCTGTTGTTGCGGCTGCTGAAGGTGGTGATGACTGTTCACCATCGGCGCGTACGGAGACGGCTGTTCCGCAATCACCTGCTGCTGCTGGCCTGGCTGTTGCGCCCCGCCTTGCTGCTGAAGTTGGCTGTCAATGGGGATCTCGGTGTCGTCGCCTTCGGCATCACCAGCAGCTTCGCCAGTATAGTTCTCGGCGCGCTGCCAACCTCCGTAAGCATCGCCGCGTCCCACAATCTCGCCCGTCTTGGCCATTTTGCTCCGCAGCTGGGCGACTTTGCGCTTCATGCGCTCACGCAGAAGCTCGTCGTGGTGTGGCTGGCTCCAGTCGCCCTTTTCGTGGTCGACGAGGGTGTAAAGATCACTGTACATCTGCTCGAATGTCTGCACGTTGCTGTGCGAGAAAGAGTAGCAGCCGTACTGATGCATCAGATTGGCGAGCACAGACTGAGCGCGCAAAGGCCAGATGTCTTTGCTCTCGACCCACTCCGCGGTGAGGTGGTCTCTACGACGGCTGCGGCGCTCCAAATCACGGAGCATACGCTCTTGGCGCTCTGCGGTCCGCCTCCTGGCCTCCTCGATTTTCTTCTTACTGCGCGAGTCGCGCTTTGGCGTATCGGCGGAGGCCGAGGCTGAAGGGTTGTAGAGGACACTCGTCGATGGAGAGCCCTTCTTGCCACCCTTCTTGCCTTTCTGTAGCCGCTTCATCTGCAGCTTAAGCTCAACCTCGCGTCTCTGCAAGGCAATCTGCTGTAGTTGCAACTGTATGGTCTCCTCGTCTTCCGGCAGTTCGGTCTCGAAGTTGACGGGGCCGTCGTAGGTCTGCTCAGCATGCTGCTGCAATGCTTGCGCAAGCTGTTGCTCCGCATTGTTCGCTATCGGAGCGTACGGTGACTGGTAGGATGCAAGCGGGGCTTCTACATCTTGCTGATCTGGAGGCTCATCCTCATTGCCATCGTTGCCGTCATTATCGTCGTTGTCGGGAGCCGTGAGGTTTGCACCCCTAGGAGTCCCGAGTTTAATCTTGTCGCCTTTCCGTTCGAAGACTCGACGAATGGTACGGGTGCCGACGACGATCTTGTATGTATCGTATAGCCACCATAGCATGTCATCTACCGACATGTCCTTGCCCTGAACATAATCGAAAAGCGCCTAGCACCAGTCAGTCATCCAATCACACCTTGACGTTGTCGCATCGCAATGCTATGTCTGGTCGCGACTTACAGCTTCCACATCTGCATTCAGCACTCGATGCCGGCCCGTCCGACTCTCTGGCGGCTTGCCAATCCTACCCGTCCGCTCTAGCTCCAGCTTCCATCGTCTGACCGTCCGGTCTGACACGCCGGTGTCTTTCTCGATAGCTTCCTCATCCCTGCCAGCCTCGAGCAAGGAGCGGACTTGCAGCTTCTGCTCTTCACTATATGCCTTGCCCAATGGCTGTAAACCCGGTTCAGCGTTAGCAGTAATCTACGGCGCCAAAGAGCGGGTCACATACCATTCTGACACGCGTCGGTGGTGATGAGATATGGCACGAAGAGTCTGCGCTTCAGCCGGGGTACGATCGCACGGGAAGCTGCTTCGAGTCTACAATATCGACGATGCCTCTAACTGTTCCGGTGAGAATTGCAACTAGACTTGCAGCAACAGCTTATCGAGCGACAAGTGAATGCCCAACGTGAACGTGAATGCGTCGCTGCTCGCGGCTGGTCACAAGTGTTTGCCCGGTATCCGTACTGAGGTTGTGCCAAGCCCGGTCCGAGCTTCCAGCTGGCAAGCTCCGCAACAACGAACTTTTAGAGCAGCACACGAGTCGCGAGACACAACGCCAACAGTCGTCTCCTGTCGTTTCTTTCACCTCACTTTGACTGTAACCAGGTCTTCGCCTCCGTGACAGGCGTCGCTCAGCGAAGAAGGCGGCTAACCGCAGCACCTTACCCGTGTACCAACAGGCTTTGAGCCACCCCCATTAACCAAGCCAACAGTTACACCCACTTCTCCGCCGGGAACAGCACGTAAGAGCGCGAGCAGAACACGAACTCGGTCAGAGATGTCTGACGGGAGGCTGCAGTCCCGTGATGACCGCCGCCGAGACCGCGATGGCGACGCGGTTATCGTCCGCCGCCTGGACAGTAAGCGTCGCTCACGCTCGCCACCACCTCGCGAGCGCCGCAGGGAGCATGAGGTAGACAGCTACAGCAGCTCTCGTGGGTACCGCGAGAGAGAGCGCGAAGACCGCTACGGAGGTCGTGACAGAGGCGAGCGGCCGGACAGGCCGGACAGACCTGACAGGGGGGACAGGGGTGACAGGGGTGACAGAGACTACGACCGCCGTGCGCCCAGACGCGGGGATGACGAGAGGCGACGCGATAACAGGAGGGACCGCGACCTGTTCGATGACCGGAGGCGGCCACGCGAAGATAGGAGAGACAGAGATCGCGATGGCGACCGTAACCGCCCAGACCGTGATCGTGATGGCGATCGTGACCGTGACCGTGACCGTGGACAGGATAGGGACGATATGCGGCAGCTTGAACGCCAGCAGAGGCAGCGCAGCGCATCGCCACCACGCAAGCCCAAAGAGCCCACGCCCGACCTGACCGACGTGATACCTGTCCTCGAGCGCAAGCGCAGACTGACCCAATGGGACATCAAGCCGCCCGGCTACGAGAACGTTACCGCGGAGCAAGCTAAGCTGTCCGGCATGTTCCCGCTGCCCGGCGCGCCGAGACAGCAACCCATGGATCCATCTAGGCTGCAGGCCTTCATGAACCAGCCTGGCAACCAAGCCAACACCAGTGCGCTGAAGCCATCCACAGCCCGTCAATCCAAGCGTCTCTTCGCCTACAACATCCCGCCAAATGTCAACGAGAGCATGATCAGCGACTTCTTCAACCTGCAGCTCAATGGTCTGAATGTTACACGCGGTGTCGACCCTTGCATCTCCGCTCAGCTCAGTCAGGATCTGACGTACGCTCTTCTCGACTTCAAGACATCCGAGGACGCCACGAATGCGATGGCTCTGGATGGCATCACTATGCCAGAGCACATGGAGGTCATGAACGGCTCCGCGAACGGTAACAGCCAAGGCCTGATCATTCAGCGTCCAAAAGATTACATCGTTCCGGCTGTGGTCGACGACACCGAGCACGAGGCAGGCGTCTTGTCGAGCACCGTCCCCGACACCCAGTTCAAGATCTCAATAACCCACATCCCTTCTTACCTCACCGAAGAACAAGTCCAGGAGCTACTCGTTTCGTTCGGAGAGCTCAAGAACTTCGTCCTGGTCAAGGACGCCGGCACCGATCAGAGCCGCGGCATCGCTTTCTGCGAGTACAAGGACGCGAAGAACACGACTGACATTGCGGTTGAGAGTCTCAACGGTATGGAATTGGGTGATAGTCATCTGAAGGTCCAACGCGCCAGTATCGGCACCCAGCAGGTCGGCGGTGAAATGACGGTCAACGCCATGAGCATGATGGCAAGTGCGGCCGGGGGCGCCGATCGCGACGCAAGCAGGGTCTTGTGCTTGATGAACATGATCACGCCCGAGGAGCTGATGGATGCTGATGAAGCTGATGGTACGTACACACCTTACACAGATCTCCCTTTTTCGCACTACGTTGCTCACTGACTGTGCTGCGCAGAAATCCTAGAGGACGTCAAAGAAGAATGCGCGAAATACGGCGCCATCATCGATGTCAAGATGCCACGTCCTTCCAGCGGCAGCCGTCAGAGCAACGGTATTGGCAAGATCTACGTCAAGTATGAGAAGCCGGAGGCGGCGCAGAAGGCTCTCGCGGCGCTTGCGGGGAGGAAGTTCGCGGATCGTACCGTTGTGGTTACGTTCTTCGGGGAGGAGTACTTTGATGTTGGGGCTTGGTAAGTGAGGCGCGCTAGGCTCTTCAAGTATGCGAGTCGTGATCGAGAGCACGCAGCAATGGCAGGCAGGCAGGAAGGCGGTGCGGTAGTGACAAAGTTGTGGTGCGAGTCGGAGGTGGAGGGCTTCTGATGAACCGGGTGTCTAGCAATGCAAGCAGTAAAGCATGGTCTGCCGTTAGCGATGCTGCTCAGAAAGGAGGGCGAGCGTCACCAGCTTGTCGCATACGCCCGGGCGCTGCGAGCGAAAACCTATTAGGTCTTCAGCGGACGTTCAGCGGTAGGTTCGTTGTCTTGTTCGGGAGCTATGCGGCTGATGGCGTGCTTTTAGTGTACCTGTAACATAAGTCGATTCGAAAAGCATTCAAACTTCAGAGCTAGGAACATGGGTGGTACCTGCATCTACTGCCTTGATACTAATTTATATACGCTCACGTGATTTATGGGCTGCATGTGATTGACAGCATCTCGACTCCTACCTTAATGATCATTCGGGGGGACCTCCTCGGTGCGACCTCCGAGCTAAGAGGCAAGAAGGCAATCTTTTCGTAACGCGCAGAAATTCCCAGCGATCTCCGCCTGCATGTGATAAGCACTCTGTCAATGACGGTCAAGGTGGCTATTGGGAATAACTCGGTACCATACCGAATACAGTCTCACTTTGACTCACTTCACAGAAGCTTGGCTCATACGCTCGCTCCGCTAACAAAGCAAGAATTGCGCACGCTCACAAACTCGCTCCTGAGAGTAGGCTCAACCCATTCATACCATCTTCCTCCTCCTTAACATGACCTCCTCATTGCGCCTCAACTCCTCTCGACTCCTCTCCACCGCCCTTGCAAGACTCGCCTGTATCCTTCCCGCAATCTCCTCAGCCGGCGTCTCCATTCCCACCAGCCCAATAAACTTCCCCACCTTCCTCCTCTTGATCCGTATTCGGTCCTGATCCGACAAACCCGCATACGCATTCCTGCCCTCCACCTCACCAGCCCTCTCATCCGCGGACTGAGACGGCAGAGTCTGCGGTGGCTGCCGCTGCAGATCCTCCACCGTCTTCATGAGGTCGGAAATGAAATCTGCTTCTTGCTGGCTGAGGCGTCTACTGCGTCGCACGGCGACTGTTGTGGTGGAGGTGGAAGACATGGGTCGTGCGAGGAAGTCTTTGTCCCAGTTCATGCAGGCTGGGTAGTGGTTTGACCACGGACCCGGCGTGCTCTGGTGGTAGTAGTGGGCTATGCTGTCCAACTCCTCCTCGGTCAGGAGGTGGAAGGCCATGAGCGTTTTTGGGAAGGCTGGATGCGGTGGGCCGGATGGAAGCGGAACCAGCGGTGCGAGTTTGAGTTGAAGAGTGGCGATCTTCCTGAGTAAGGTGCTGTTGCGGCGGGTGGATGGCGCCATTCCGGACAGTCCCAGAGGCGTAGTTGGGAGCTCCTAGACGACGATGCCGAGGACAGCTGGTTGATGGTTTGTGCCTGATGTGGTAGAGGTGTGCTACGTCGGTTTGGTCGCCTGTGATACGGCCTTGCTTGTGCTTTCTTGATGGGAGCGCAGTCTGGCAGTATGGCTCACTCAACATCAATGTCTGTAATCTGGATGTCCTTTGTCTCACTAAATAAGGACGTTATCCCGGCCATGCTGTCCGAAGTCCCGCGTGCACGAAACAAAGGAAACGCTATAGCGAGGAATGGTCTTTGTCTCGAACATCCTTTGTTATGGTCAATGCGAGTCTGTACTCAAAGGGCCTCATCTAAAATCTGGGAAACGAGCCCGCATGGCCTGCGGCTTCAAGACGGACCGATGGAAGTGGAATCATTTCTCATGTGCCTATGGAGTAGGGTATCTTAGCCGTCCAGCACCATGCGTACGCACTGCTGTGACTCAGCGGTCAGTCGCTTGTCCACTCGATGTCGAGACTTCCTGCTCCACCTTCTCCCAGGTCAGGCTGCCTTGACTACCATGCATGTCTTCGTCTTTCACCTCTGTTGCAACTTCCTTCCGCCGGCCTGCACCCATCATCCAGGCAGTGATGGTGGGAGGGGCCCAGCTACCGATGACGTCGTAGACCAAGCTGCCGCGGCCAACATGCCACGTCCTACGCGGCCGCTTGGCCATCAAAGCGTCAAATACAGAGTCTTGAAGCGTACGGAGTGGTGTAGCGCCAAGTCTTGATTGCAACGCACCCTCGCGCCTTTGCTTCGAGGTCACAGCCGGGATGTCGATGTTGCCGAGCTTGAAATGAGAGAGCTTCACACCTTCCTGTTTCAGCTCTGCTGCTAGACTGGAAGTGAACCCTTCGAGAGCACCGTAGACCGTGCTTTCGATTGCATGCATGGGCGGTCTGAGAGCTGGTGTGACAGAGGGCGTGAGAAGCATCACTTTTGCCTTATGCTGTACGACAGTTGGTAGGAAAAGCTGTGTAGTTGCGATCGTGTTAAGGACCTTCGCGTTCAGTGCATCACTCCACTCCTCCGAGCTGATGTCCCCGACCTCGGCCGGCGTGGCCTTAGTATCTGGTACAAGGATAAGTCCGGCGAAGCTCAGACGATGCGCCTCAGCACTTTCAAATGCTTGATGCTCCCTGTCAAGAAGGTCCTGGAACCGCACCATCTGGTCGCGCGCCGAGAACGGATCCACAAGGTCGATATGGAGGGGTACAAGGTCGACGCGTGACAGTGATTTGATATGCTGCTCGTCCTGGTGCGTGCTGGTAACCACGTACACCACGAAGCCGCGTCGCTCAAGGTCCAGATAGAGTGAGCTTGCTAACGGATTCGCCACCGCACCTGCCACCACCACGACGTCTGTTCTCGCTCCGCTCGCGCTGCGGGTTACTCTACGCTTTCGCTTCTGCCTGTTGCTCCTAATGTAGACGAAGCTGCCGACGGAGCCTGCGACCAGAAAGGCCACGATAGCTGCAGTCAGTCGGCGGTGCTTGCTGATCCATCTCTGCGCGAGCTGCATTGTCGAAGGTGGTGGAAGACGTTTGGGGGGTGACGGGCGGATGCCGAAAGGCGTGTCTGCTGGCATCCATTCGCGCAACTGGCCTGCGACCATGTCGAAGTGTCGCTCCACATCGTCCGCAATTTCATTGAACTGCCTTCGGGCGTAGTCGAACAGCTGTTGCGCGTCTGTCATGTTGGCTGGCTACGTTACTAGACGGATCTGACAAGAATAGTCGGAGTCACAGAGCGCGTGAAGCTGATGTTTATGCACGGAGCGTGACGATGGAGGGGCGAGGAGCTCAGCTCGCTCTGTGGTTATGGCGCGGGAAGTCATGTGACTGAACCCTTTGCGATACCTTCCGTCCTTGCTTCCGTGCCTTCCTATCTACATACTCGGCCACACGGTTGTCGCCATTGCCGTATATGTATAAGGCTGAGCGTTTGCTTGATTGGGTCGCCCAGAGCGTTGAATAGTACAGGCTCGAGCTCATCGGTAGCGAGAGGTGACTCATTCCTACTCATCTCTGATTTATTATCCTAAGCGAGCTTTATATTTCTTGCTTTTCCTTCCGTTGCTGCGAAGTATCGAGCTTTGATCGCCTCCATCCATCAGACACCGGGTTCTGCACGAGACATTGCGACTAATAAGCCAGCATGTCGGATCTATTTACGGAAAGCAACAGTCTTTTCCCTGGTCCAGACTTTCAGATCAAACTTCCAACCTTCGATGCTCTACACATTATACACTACATTCGCCGGTTACACATCTTCCGCTGTACTTCGACAGACCAGCGCCATGCGCAAATCGCCGCATTGCGGAACGGGCTCCAAGGCCTTGTCAAGCGTGCACCAATACTGGGCGGAACAGCCGTGCCGGACGGCATCCGCCACGGCAGACCTGCAGTCACGTTTATACCCGGACAGGGCATCGAACTCGTAATCAAGGACTTGCGGAAGAAGCTACCCAGTTACGAGCAGCTGGAGGCAAATGGCTTTCAACCGAGCAGCCTTCCATATGACCTGTTAATGCCAGTGGTTAAAGATGTCAGTAACGATCAACCGCACCCAGCCTGCAAGGTGCAATACACAGCAGTTCAGAACGGCACAGTCATTACATTCAGCATGTCACACAGCGTTGGCGATGGTTCAGCGAGTGATTATCTAGTTGGTATACTCAGGCAGGAGACGAGGCTCGCTCAGGCAGGTTCCTCCCACCCTTTGAATCCTTCAACAGAAATTGTGGGCTTGGATCGCTCCGGTATGCGGGATGTGAAGAGTGATAAGCCGTTTCGAATAGAAGATCACCCTGGCTATGCCGAGCAAGCGTCTGCATCTGACACTGCAGGCCAGCAAAATGCAGCGGCTAAACATCCGTTCGAAGCAGAATCCTCCGAGCAGCCCATTGTGCTTCGTCTCTCCGCAGCCAAACTGACCGAGCTGAAAGCGGAAGTCTCACCCTCCCACGGTAGCCGGATATCAACTCACGACGCAATAATTGCTCTGATGTGGCGAAGTATTATATTCGTCCGAAGTCGTAGAGCAAAGTCGGTAGCAGAAGATTTACCGTCGACGACAACCAGCATCTTCTTTCCCACGGATGTCCGTAAATACCTCGGCCTACCTCCGTCTTACATTGGCAATGTCACCTACCAGCTCAAGATCTCCGAGACTCTGGACACCTTACTTTCACCTACAGGACTTCAGCGAGCAGCCGTTGCTGTTCGCCGCGCCGTTAACGCTCGAACTCCGGAGCTCGTCAAGAGCTGCATGGCCCGCGTGCAGCAGAATTGGGTCACACCGGCGTTTGAGGCGGAGTGGACCAGGTTCGGCAGCACTGCAGTTGCGACGGGCACTAATTGGACCAGCGGAGCTATGTACGACGAAGATTGGGGCGACGCATTCGGGCAGCTTGTACGCTTCCGAAACCCAGGCGAGCCTGGTCTCAATACTGTCATGCCTAAACTGCCAGATGGGAGCGCGGAAATTATCGTGTCGGTGTTGCCGGAAGAGTTTGAGCTCATCAAAGGACTGGACTGCTTCGGAAAATACATTTGATGGTGTCGGCAATGCTACTATCTATCCGCGAATCGGGTGTTGAGTATCTCATCTGACAGCGCAAGAAAACAAAAGCAGCGTGACCACAGCGACTAGACCTTCACAGTAGTCACGAAGTTGGAAAACCCATGCATCTCTGCTTGGTCAGCTCACTCCGCGGTCCTACTTCGCTCGAGGGCATCGCTGACAAGCTCGTGAACGTCTTGCACCATCTCCATGCCGGAGAACCGGGCCTCAAGTAGCCCTCGCAACGTGGCCGACAGGACATCGAGCCCTTCTGTGGCAGGTGCCTCTGCAAAGGGGTCACGCGTGTGGAGCGCAGGTTGATTCCATTGCAACAGCGAGCATTCCTCGTCGATCCGGCGAGCCCAACGCGATATTTCCTGGACGTTCAAGGTCATGGAGTAGCGTAGATCATGCACCCCTTGGCCTCTTGGCACCCTTTCGAGCGGCAAGCGAGAAGACTTCGTGCGACGGAGCTTACTCGTGCTGCCATCTGTCGTGCGGCGACCGGTGGACCCAACACCACGTCCAGAGTCTTGACCACAGTCGCCAACATTGAGATCGCCCGCTACGCTACGTGCATTACCGCTTACTTCGCGTAGCACTCTCGACTCGCTTGTCCGGCGACGCTTTGATGGACGCGCTTGTCGATTCTCCGACGCACCGAGACGGACCTGGAGTGCAATGAGCTCACTAGCCGGTATGAAGCCACGCCCGCCAGATCCTTCGTCAGCTAGGTCAATATTCTCGACCCCGGAGGTGCATGCCGTAGCGGTTACAGACCGGCTGCGTCTTTCACCGGCGAAGTTCCGATGTTCGATGAAGGCGGAAGTTATCTCTTCGTCAGTACAGTCGACCGCACTGACAAAGTCACGTATGTCACGATTGCGACGTGGAGGACTGAGTGGTCGAGGTGGTTCGGACATGACATCAAGCTCGCCACGATAAACTAGGCCATGAGAGTGCTGAGAGGCAGCAGCAGGCCGCTTCGACTTTTTCTGCCGGTTGGGCCCCGTCTCGAGATGATCGAACCACACTTTCTCGCGCGGAAGCTGTTGGAGTACCAGCGACTTGAACGGACGATTTGCCGATCCTTGCATTCCTCGCTTCGGCGGGCTTCTTCTTGGTCCTTGACTGCTGTCGGGTATGGCATGCAGCGGCGTACCATCGACGACTTGCATTTCGATCGTTGGCGTACAACTGTAAGCCGGTGAACCATGGTCGTAGCCAGCCGGCTGAGGTTCATTTTCGAAAGCGTCTCCACACCCTATCGCTGAACCGTGCGCATAAATCTGAGAGGTCGGAAGGTCATGCGCTGCAGCAAGTCGAACGCCTCTGACAAGCGAGGCGTTCAACGCCCCGTGTCGAGTTTGGTTGTTCTCAAGCGGTGGAGAGGGTGACGACGGACGCGGTGTCGGAAGTCCTGTCGAATTGCTACCGAACCTAGCCGGAAAAAGCGAGGTCTGCTCCATTCCGGGCTGAGAGTAGGTTGGTGTGGTTTGCTGTATTGAGGCCGGGTGACGCACGGTGGCATTCATCTTCGCAAGGACCCAGGGGTTGGAGACACTCGAGTCTTTCTGTGCCCGTCGAAGCTCCTCAAAGTCGGCCTCGGGAGGACCGGTGGATGGTCGGGCGTCTATCAGCTCCAGGTCCTCCTCATCACATCCGTACATATTCGAGCGAAACGCACGTTGGGGCATATGCTCTTTGGCCGCTAGCTGTTTTTCAACATCAGAGAACATACTCAGAGGCGTACTTGCGGCATCAGGCACTTGCCAAGCGGCTGCGGGCGCCATTCCATGCTGAGGCTCAAGTGATGTTATGAAGCCATCTATATCGACCTGTTGTACGCTTGGAAGACTTTCTGTGACCGCAACCGCTTGTACAGGAGTCGCTGAGTTCGGCGTAGCTACGGTCGGTGGATACGTAGAAGCAAAAAGCTGCTTTGCCAAAGCCAGCACTTTTTCCGGGTCCTCAAAAAGCACATCGTCTTTAGCAGGCTCAACGTTTGGATCGTAACTCGCAAGCGGACAAGTTAGATCGAGCCAGATGAATGGCTCGTTGATGCCCTCCAAGGCGTCATCTGCGGATTTCAGACTCTGGCGAAAGATCTTTAGAATCTGCTTGAAGGTACCTCTCAGCGCTGAAACGGGCCTGCCATCGACCGCTACGAAGGCGCCGATGTTGCCAATCTTGCTTGGTTTACCGTCTGGACGTGGCAAGAAGGCACGCATGGTGAAGCCGGAGTCTTCCACAATTGACCACGTACACTGGGTGACACACGCTGAGCCGACGATTTTCAGTGCAGCTTCTTCCACGTTGCCGTTAGGCTTGGGCGCGTACAGCCAAGCACCCTTGTCGTTCTTAGCCTTGAGCACGCGTAGAGACAGCCTGACGTGTGGTCTCGCAAAAGCATAAGCCTGCAGAGATCGCTTGATCGTCCGGAGACATTTGTCCACGTTCTTAAGGATATGCTGTCGACGAACAGGATTTGACTTGACAAAGTCCGTAATCTTCACTGTGGTACCGACAGGGAGCGAAGCACACGCTTCTTCGACGATTTGGCCTAAGTGGTTCATCTTCATGGCCGTGGCAACCTGCTCGCCTTCGACCCTTGTCGTGATTGTAAGAGTACCAGTCATCTCCGCCGCGCTGGCGAGTGCTTGGCCTCTGAAGCCCAGAGAGACACCACCGATGCTTCGCAAGTCGTCAAGAATCTCTAGCTTGCTGGTGCAGTTCGGCAATGCTACCAGTGGACGGTCCTCACCCGCAATACCATGGCCGTTGTCGCGGACTTGGATGACATCAAGCGTGTTCGCACTCATCTCGATGGCCACTGATGTGGCCTTGGCATCGAGAGCATTGTCGAGGAGCTCCTTCACAAGTGCGGCCGGGTCTGTGAGCACCTGGGTGGCGCCTATGGCCCGAATGGCGTTGTCTTCGAGCTTGTGAATGGCCATTGCCACCTCATGCTGGTCTCACAAACCAAACTGACTTTTGACACGATCACGATGGCCGATGCGTTGTCCAACATTGCGCCCATCGTAACACGTTGGCATCAATGGAGTGTGGTCCACGCCGAGAGGTGAGGTCGGCTTTGGTGACACGCGTGGAAGGCGCGTCCCCGCATTGGGAAAGGAGCTTGACGAGCTGACTGATGTGATGTGATGCACTGTCAACATTGCGCATGTAATACGACGGAGTGCAACAGTAGATCAAGTATTCTTGTGTTCTCACCTCACAGTACCCGTTACGACTGCACTCCTACAATGGCGCTCAATCCCAAGTTCGCTGGTCAGAAGCTGGCGGCTCATGTGTCTCCGTACGCTCTCCACACCATCGAGATGTATCTGGACTATGTGTGTCCTTTCTCAAAGAAAATGTTCGACACAGTGTACGACTCGGTATTCCCAGTCATCAAAGAGAAGTACGCGGATAAGGTACAGCTCATATTCCGTCAGCAAATCCAGCCATGGCATCCCTCCTCAACGCTAGTGCATGAAGCTGGTGCTGCCGTGTTAAAGATCGATTCGAACAAGTTCTGGCCTTTCAGTAAAGCGCTGTTCGCGGAGCAGGCGGAGTACTTTGATGTCAAAGTTGTCAATGAGCCCAGGAACAAGACATATGAAAGACTGGCCAAGCTAGCAGGAAGTGTAGGTCTGGACGAGAAGAAAGTGTACAATCTGCTAGAAGTGCCGGACAAGCCGGATAGTGAAGGCGGACTAAACATTGGTAATGGCGTGACGAACGACATCAAGCTGATGGTGAAAGTGAGTTGCAGCTGCCGACATTCTCCATCGCGCGGTCGCTGACTATGGGTAGGCCAACCGTCTGACAGGCGTACATGTTACACCTACTGTACTCTTTAACGTAGGTGACCCGGTATCAGCAAGCGTGCCACACTGACACTTATGCCAGGGTGTTGTCGAGAACAGCATTTCAAGCAGCTTCAGCAAGGATGACTGGGAGCAGTGGCTGCAGAAGAACGTGGTTTGACTCGGTAGCTCGCCAAAGCTCTAGGCCTGGCAGACGCACACCACCTGCATATGGCGAGCATGAAGATATGATGAAGGATCGATGATAGCTAGCCCAGAAACAACGTAAGTACACTAGTTTCACAGCATTTCTGCGCTTAATGGAGGTCAAAACGATAGGGAATTGTGGTCGGAGGAACCTCGGCAGTGTATAACACTGTACAATATCCAGCTAAGATTCCATCGCTAATTCAAGGCTTCCTGCCGGGGTAGCTCAATCGGTAGAGCGTGTGGCTCTTATTGAAGAGACAACCTCAAGGTCGCGGGTAAGCTTTAACCATCAAGCTCGGACGCCTTGCCGCAGTTCTAATTGTTGCAACAGGTTCGAGCCCCGCCTTCGGCTATTCCTATCCAAACCACTTAGTGGTAAATCAAAGGCACACAGTCAAGGCTCACTGCAGACCATCTTTTTAATTTTTTTGCCCAGTCATCCCCTTAACGCTATCGAATTTCTTCATCCCCTCGATCATAGATTCTATACATCGTGCTTGCTGAAATGACCTTCAAAGGATGTTGCATTGTCTGATGGCCATTGAAATCGCTTTGTGGTACCTTGGAAGTGTTGACGTACACCGACGCTATGCAAACCGCCTCCAACGCCAGAAATGAGCCTTAACGAACTACCGCACAACATTGTCGCCTCCGAATCTTCCTACGGTACTATCATCGTTTTTTTTCGCGGCGTCGACAACCATTGGCCCTTCCCATCTCAACCCGCAACTAGAACGGCCGGACTGATCGTCATCAAGTCTCCCCAAACCCCCGTTGCTAATCCACTGCTCGGCCACGCGCAAGACGTAAGCAAGCTTGTCACTCAAAAGGTTCACTTTCACGACTCTGCCACGAATACGTCCGCCTGAGTGTAGCAGTCCCTGCACACTGTCCGTGTAAAGTTCACGGCTACTGACGTGGTGCGGTCGCAGGTCCGAATTCGAGGCCAGATACGTAGCAGCTTCGACGGAGATGCACGTCGCCGAGATCTGTGTGCCAGTGGCCGAAAGGACGAACTTGGTGTGATCGGGGAAGTGCACCTGCTGGATGTTAGCCTCTATGTGAGCATGCAACAATACCGTAGACTGACCTGCAGACATCCATCCGCAAAAGCCCAGATCCCAACACCTCCAATCCGTTGGTAGAAGCGAACGAAGTTGCCGTCCTCCCTCCCGCGGTCCGCCTCTTCACCGTCCAAGCCACACATGTACCTCCCAAATTTGACCCACAGCACACTCACAGTGCGTCTTCGTTCGGCCTCCATTGCCAGAGGACCCTCCTTCACACTACCGAGACCTTTGTACACCTTCTTCGCGATGCCTTCCGCGCCCCGGTCCTCTAGTATTTCAAGCGGAACCTGCTCGATATCCTCGAAGTCTTTGCCAACCCGAGCGAGCCACCGCTTGCCGTTGCGGACAAAGGCATGCGTCACTGGGTGGTTGGTCTTCGCGGAGGCATTAATGATGCACCCGACTGTACCGTCGGACATGACGTAGCCCATTCCGTGTTTACGGCTATAGTCCACCCAACGAGAAACAAAGGGCAGGGTTTCTGGCTCAGCTAGCGGTGCGGATGACGGTAAGCCGCGGTTGTGCAAAGCAGAGGCCAGATTGTCACGGAATATGCTGAGGCGCTCAAGAACCGTCTCCGGGTCGCTGCCCGGCACGCAGTCAGCATTGGTGCTCAACTTGCGCGGGACTGGCAGCCGCCCACTCATCGTTGGCGGCGGTGCTAGTGACAGAACAGGTTCAGCTGGTCTGTCTTCGGGCTCCGGATCAGAGAGGATCTCAACGACTTCTGCCTCAGCCTGCTTCTTCCTCGACCGCTTGATTGGCGACACCTGTTTCAGCTCATCAAGCGTTGCTAGTGGTCCCGGCACGTCTGGCGAGATTGGACGCTCCTTCCTGGTTGCTCTGCTCGGCGCTCGTGGTCGTCTCGCTAAGCTGGCATCTGCACCTCGCTTTACCGTACCCGAACGCACAAGATTCTCTGTCGCAATCTCCAACGCTTGTGTCCGTCTTCCAGGTTGGGAGGCAGAGCTTTGCGACGGTTTCCCCTCTGTTAGCGCGGCGGTCGCTGCCACCGGAGCTTGTCTTGTCTTTTGCACCCGCAGAGTCGCTCGCAGCTCATCAGCTGCTACCGTGATAGGCTTAGCCGAGTTCGCCGCCTCCTCGCTAATTGTACGTCCAGCTTTTCGGACTGTGCCTGTCCTGCTATGTTGAGACGCAGGCCTTGGCGGAGGCGGCATCAAGTCAGTGTCCCTGTCTGCCTGTCGCGCGACAGTCTCAGGCCTGGTGAGAGCGACCTCGTTGTGAGAGATCTCTTTCAGCCCTTGGCTTCTGCTAGGAAGTCTTCGCTGCTCTTCTGCTGCTGGCTCCTTCAACTCGACTGGGCTGTCCCAGCTACTAACTTTCGAAATGTAGACCTTGTCCTTCGGTATCGGCATAGTAGGCTGTGTCCCCAACTGCGCCTCCCGTGCCATCTCATGCACGATACTTTTCACTCTTTGGCCGCCATTATGAGCGAAGCTTCTACCTTCCGCATACTCTCCGACTCCAGATTCCTTGCAAATAGCAAACCAAGTCTCACTGTACCCTCTGCGAATTGTGTCTGCAGAAGGTATTGATACCTCGGGCCATGTTGGCGCTTTCTCTCGCGCGGAACAAGGTATGCTCGCCGGCACATAAGCGATCTTGAAGAAGTTCTGGCTCACGATCTGGTCGGGCACCGGCCGTAGATCCTCAGGAACTAGCAGACTCGCAACAAGATTCCGCAGGTCCGCGCTCTGGTTAGTTGTGGCGCTCAACTCAGGCCAGGTGTAAGTGCCTGACTTCAGCTTCTTGTAGATTTCTTCTTTCGTGCTTGCGTGAAACGGCGCCTTGCCAACCGCGAGGGTATATGCAATAACGCCAATTGCCCAAAGATCGACTTTCTCATCATGCCCCTTTCCCTTCTCCAGAATCTCCGGTGCCAAATAGTTCGGTGTGCCGCACATTGTTGTTCGCCGCTTGACCTCCATCTCCCGCTCCGTTACCAGCAGCGCCGCAAGACCAAAATCGCCAACCTTGACATTCATGTTGTCATCCAGAAAGAGATTGCCAGTTTTCAGATCTCGATGGACGATGTGGCGATAATGCAAGTATTTGACAGCACCACATATCTGGATGATGAAGCGCCGGATCTCCGGCAGAGTCAAGTATTTCCGCTTTTTGAGCATGTCTGCCAGAGAACCATTCGAGCATAGTTCCAGCACCACGTAGGTACTCGTTTGAAAGGAGAAGGCGCGGTAAAAGGCGACGATGTTCGGATGCGACAGCTTCGAGTGGATTTGCAGCTCGGTCACAAACTAATCGCATGTAAGCTTTAAGAGCCTGGCTCGCTATCAGCACCTTATTGTCCGTACCTTCTGCGCCAACTTGGCTGGCTCCATCTTTGTCCTCACAATCTTGAGTGCGACCATGTGTCCCGTCGGCTTGCTGCCATTGTACCGCTCAGCTCGATGGCAGATGGCGAAGCCGCCTTTACCCAGTGCAGATCCGGTCGCATAGTTATTCCCACCGGGTTCTGTTACAACTGGCGGTGGAGGCTCCGCATGGACAGAAGACATTATTACAAGATTAGTGTGTGCTGGTCGTTTATGGAGGTATGTCGCCGTCGTGGACTTCAAGATCTACGGCAGCCAAGTAAACGAATCAACACTGGGCGATCGCCCAAGCAACACTCGAGCGGACGTAGCCGCCACTAGCGAATTGAGCTCATGTTCCGCCATACATGTAGCCATCCCTAAGGTATGCATCCATTTGCATACACCTTAAACATGCCAACTGTCGAACGGCCTTCGCCTCGTGGAGGTCAATAATCGGTTGGTAATGCGCTAACGTCGGCTTGCTGTGGTGAGACTTGCAGTGGAGACGTCGTTACAAATACAAATGCCGAAGGCCAAACGACAGTAACGTCATAAGCAGGCTCAGAAGACAACTGATTGCTAACAATTTCCTCTCTCCATCCTCTTTCCGTTCTTGTAGCTTTAACACATCTCTCAATCTGACGAAATGACTCTCACTATCGTAGGCGCATCCGGCAAGCTGGGCTTCGCCACGCTTAATGCTCTGCTTGACCACAACCTTCTCCCAGCTCACGATATAACGTGCACAACTTCATCGGACACAGGCGCCCAGAAGTTAGGTAGTGCCCGTCTGAAAGGCGTACAAATCAAAAGTGTCAACTGGGATGACAGTGCCGAAGTCTGGGAGTCCATCCTCAGCGGCTGCACCAATCTCTTCCTCATATCGAGCGCCCGAATCGACAAAGACTTCAACAATGCGCCGCCCGGCCACGGACGGGAGAGCGACCACTACAAAGCGCTGGAAGCTGCGAGGAAAGCCGGGGTGAAGCACGTCTATTACACTAGCTTAGCTTTTGCGAATCCGAGCAAAAGCCGGGTTATGAAAGCGCACGAGCGGTCCGAGGAGTGGTTGCACAACCACGCCGGAAGTATGCAGTACACCATCATCCGCGAAGGCCTCTACAACGAGAGCTGGCCACTATATCTTGGCCATTATAACCTGCCCAACGACGATCGAACAGAGGTTCCTGTCGCTGGTGATAGTAAGATCAGCTGGACCAGTATAGCTGACCTCGGCCTTGCGAATGCCATCATCTTAGCCGCGCCGTCAGAAGAATGGGCCGGAAAGACGTTCTACCTTTCGCAGCAGAAAGCTCATTCGCTACAGGACGTTGCGGCTATGGTCTCTACAGCGAAGGGTAAGGAGGTGAAGTTAAAGGTTGTGACGAAGGACGAACATGTGGAGTACTATGTCCAGCAACGTCAGATGCCAAGGCCGATGGTGGAATGGTGGGCTGACTCGTATCTGGCATTGCAAGACAACGAGTGTCTGATAGAGGACCCGACGCTCGAGCAATTGCTGGCTGAGAGAGGTGCGAAGCCGCAGCAAATGGAGGACACGGTAAAGCAAATGCTTGGGAGTTAAGTTTCCGTAGCATAATTTTACGAGGATGATATCTCGGCTCGCTTGCGGTTCAGTCGAACATCGTGCCGTTATGCCTCAGCACTCATCAGCTCACCCACTTCAGCCCCAGCTTATGCATTTCCACCGCCAGCTGGAACAGGTAATCCAGACTCTCACATTGCGTCTTCGCTTGCGCCACATCCTTCCCCCAGACATAGACTCCATGCCTTCTGACCAGCACGGCGGGGGTTTCCGGCCACTTCTCAATCGCCGCCTCTAGTGTGTCTCTCAGATCCTCCTCATGTGCAGTGTTTTCGATAATAGGTATTCTCATGGTATCGAAGTAGCCTAAGTTACCGAGTTTCCGGCCGCCTTCCGCAATCTCATCGCTGCCTGAACCGCCGCGTGATATGCCTTTGATCTGCTCGATCTCTTTAATACAGAAGACATCACGCTGGCTAGAGTCTTGCAGGCCAGCCTCGCATATCAGAGTAACAAGGACAGCCCACTGTGAGTGCGTGTGTATGCAGCAGCCGGCATTGCGGCGTGTATAGGCTGCTAGGAAAAGAGGAGTGCAAGCAGATGGTTTCAGTACCTACCTTGAGCCGTCAGCGACGGCTCATCCTTTCCATACCTACGGTCTATATAGAGACACTTTCCACGCACCGGAGGCTTGCGAATGTATTGCTTAGTATGATAGTCCATCACGAACATATCGGTGGGCTGCATCAGCTCTTTCTGTACTCCAGAAGGCGCGAGAAAGATGTGGTCGCCTTTACGTATGCTAACACCGCCCCCAGTGCCGGTTACCCAGCCGAGCGTGTAGAATTGGCGGCAGAGGTCGCTGATGCGGTGGGCGGGGGAGTCGGCGGCGACAACGAGTGCATCGGCTTCTTGGTCTTCGCCATTGCTCCTGTCGTTCTGCTTGGCTGCTGTTGCAGAGTCCGCCATTTTGGAGATTGTCTGCAATATGATGCGAATGCTGGGATTTCCTGAATCGGAAGGCACGAACTGTGCAAAGCAGTGAAGGAGGGAGAAGCTTTGACCGTTGCGGTGCTTGCGAGATCTTACATAAGCCGATCCATGCGTCTACGTGAGGATAATATAGCATGGCTTACCTTCGTGGCTTGGTTTGCCCAAGGTCTGAGCGAACAGTGACACGGCAGATACGCAGCTTAACACCCATAGGTTGTCTGCCTAACGTAAGTCGTCGGACAGGCATATTTGAGTGCAATCTCGCCAGTTGGCCCACTCTTTTAACTACGTAAGTGCTAATTCAGAACAGCACACACTTCGTCCTGATGCTAGCCTTTACACTTCGCACCGAAGCTGTTTTGACATCGATCACTTTTTGTAGCCGTGATGCCAACCCTGGGCTGGGTTGCCCCAACCCCCGCCATTCCACGAGTCACGGCCCCATGACTTTGGACCCAGCCAGCCTGGACGGTTGCCCGGGTTGCCGTAGCCGTAGCCTTGACCGGCATTGTTGGCGCCGACCTCCAGTATGGCAACGGTCCAGTCGGGAAGCGTGAAGGAGAAGGTGCCATTCCTACTTGCTGTGACCGTTTGTACTGTCTTCGTTACCACGTTGCCGCCAATAGGGTTGGTGGAGTTCATTGGCGCATTGAGGTAGGTAAGGTTGCCCGTGGCGTAGGGCCCGACACCGTCGAACGAAAGACTGATCGGGTAATTGCTGGTTCCGTTGGCAGTGGCATTGTAGACGGCAAACTTCGCAATATGCGAGCCTGTCTCGCTGTTGCGACCAGCGACAAAGTACGCAGGACCGAATTGGCCAGACGTAATGGTGATGGGCAGGTTCTCGGTGATGCGGGTGCCGGAAAGCAACTGAACGACATAGTAGCTTGTGCTCAATGTAGTGTGGCCGGGATACGCGTCGAATTGTATCATATCTGGGATCCACGCCCACGAGTTGAGGTTCTGGAAGGTTGGCGCGTAAGCGGCGCCAATCACCTTGTCAGAGTTGCGCTCCGCGCCCAGAAGATAGACAGCTTCGCCTACGGAGCTGTACCACACAGGTACGAATTCTCGCGGTGCACCGGCGTTCCATTGTACAGCTGTAACGCCGGGTGCGTCGTATGCGATAACGGCATATTCGCCGAGGAGTATGGGATGAGCAGACGTGTAATTGTCGAAGAGCGTGAACTGACGGGCGAACTGGCTTGCCAATTCGTAGTTATGAATATCGCCAGCAGCATTGTCAGGTGGTGTTACTCCGTTGACATCGTAATAAGAAGCGATAATGGTGATGTTGGGGTATGCAGCGCTAACTGCATCGTAGAACGCTTGGAAGCGATACGCACTGTAAGTGGCCGCACTACCGACAAGAAGGGAGTCTTCGTTGCCAATCTCCACAAAGTTGATCTGGAATGGCCCATAGCCGAGCGACTCGCGCAGCGCGCCCCAGGTGGTGGAGGCATCGCCCATCAAGAATTCGAGCTCGTCCAGTGCTGCTTGTACGTAGACCTGAATGCCGGACTGCGGAACGGAACTAGCATTGAGCCACAGGCCGGACCAGAGAGCAAGGATCGGTTCCATTCCAAGATCTTGCGCCCACAGCATATACTCGATGAGACCCAGACCGTTGGTCTGCTCGTAACCCCAGGTTCCCGGATAACCGTTCCGGTTTTGAAGGGGGCCCAACGATTGCGTCCTATAACGGTCAGCATTCTTCCAGATGAAGTCAAGGCCTTATGTCAGGATTCCACATACCAATTCCACCAGTAGGGCGGTTGAAGGCCTTCGACGTTGTTGCCACCTGGCGCACGGAAGAAGGACGGGTACAGGCCGGCCATAGCATCCATGAGATCGATGCGATTACCATTGGGTCGGTTCTTGTAGGTTGGCGGAAACAGGCTGAGCAGGTTGAAGTTAACCGCGCCGCTTAAAGAGGAAGAAGCGAAAGTGAAGTTGAGCGTGTTATTGCTGTTCGGTGCGCTGACGGTTGGCGTGAAGGTATAGTTGTACTGTGTCCAAGCGCTAGAGCTGTGGACGGCAACGGACGCCTCGGCGTAGTACGTGTTGCTGTTGGAGACAAGTGCAATCGTCACGTTGCCATTGAGAGCTCCCTCAACCCAAAAGCTACCGTTGTACTGCCAACCCGCGACAACCGGGAATCCCCAGAATCCAACGTTCGAGAACCCAATGGTACCGCCGGTGCTGTTGCCGGCCGTCACTTGCATGGACGTGGGCAGGGCAGACGAGAGGGGAGTCGAGAGATTTTGCAGGGACAAGGCCGCACCACCGAGTGGGTTCCAGTAGTTGAGGTTCTTAGGAAAGATCTTCAACCCACATCAGTAGACGTTCCTGAACGGCATGTCAACTCTAGAGTACTCACACTGTCACCCTGGAATGCGCGGTTCTGGATGAGCTCTGCATAGACGCCACCGTCGCCGGCATGATTGATATCCTTCGAATGTTAGCGTGATGTCTATCTTCGTCTCTACGAGCAGAGCGTACCTCGAAGATCAGACCATATTGGTACGGTGAGGTAGCATTGCCGTTGGCAGAGCCAACAGTGAAGCTCACTGCCCGAACAACAGCGGCGAACAAGGACGCCGATAGCAGCGTGGATAACATCTTGCAGTAGTGGTATAGCACCGACTGCCCTAGTTTACCGAGCAGAGACGGGAGAAGCAACACCAAGACCTACCAGGCCAAAGTGGCAGGGCTCGTATCTTATAGTGCTCGATCACTGCTTGTGCTCACATGGTTAAGGCAGTGGGCACCGAGCAGACTCCCTTAGCTCAGGAACAGTCCATATGCGCTGCATTAGACTTGCAGACTTGCTATAGCCGAGATCGTCAAAGGAAAGTTCGGTCGTGCTACGAAGAGGGGAGCGAATGGTATGCGTTCATGTTGTCGGGTAGGGCCTTTTCGCAGGATCAAGTGCTCTGCGATCGTCATGCTGCATTAGCTGGGGCAGCATCGTGCTCTCCGCCATCATCGAAATTCGCTAACCATGGCGTGGAGCCGGTTGTGGAGAGGTCGGCGACGCTGCAAGCTGTGGAAAAGGACAAGTTGTTGACAGCGTGCGGGGAATCTGGTGGAGTAGTCTCTGGGCAACCAGTTCAGCCGGAATGGCATCGTATGGTTCGTATATGCGTAGTGATCGTCTACGAAAGACGGAGAAATTGATGGAGACCGCAAACAAGAGACAGTCGATCCTAGCGGCGTATCTTGTGCTCTTCCGCCAATAGTCTTATTGGAACCTTACTACGCTGTTGCTCCCAAGGCTTGGTTTGGCATCTCACGATCGAAGTGTGGAACAAGTAGGTGAACGTGAGCAGAGAACCGCTGTATGAGTCAAGGCGGCTAAATTCGAATGTCCTGCATCAACCACCGGAATATTGGTGATGCTGATCTTGGAGCTGTGAAGTGCCAAGATCGTGCCCACCGGAACGCGATAAGGCACGAAAACATGACCAAAACCAAAGTGATAGATCGAGGGTGACGAAGTCGAGCGTCCCCTCCCAACATTTACAAGCACGCCATGTCAAAGAAAGCTGCGCGAACGAGGACTGCAGCGCTCATTCACAGACCTATTCAACCTCCATCTTCTCCTCGCCCATAACCTCCTCCGCCGCCCTCTCCCCAGCGTCCTGAACCAAGTCCCCAAAGCCCTTGTTCCTCGCCTCCACCTCCTCCTTCCTCAGATCCCTCATAGCCTCATTATTCATAATCCACCTCTCCCTCATAACCTCCTCCCTCTCCGTCTCGGCCTCCTCTTCCTGCCTCACCCCCTGACTACCTCCTTGCCTCTCTTCGAACGGCTGCATAAACCCTTCCTGAGTGTTCGGCTGAAATTGCGGAACGTAATCATTCACACGGATCCGGATGATGAGGTTCTCCTCGTTTCTAGCAGCCAGTAACCGGGTCATGGCTCTATCATGACCTAGCACGTCGTTGCCGGCAGACTCGGCCGAGTCGCCGTCAATGGTTCGGATGGGTGGCGAAGGCGGGTAAGAATTGCTGATTGGGTTCATGCCCATATTTCGTGCGTTGCGGAGCAAGAAGGGTGGATTGAGACGATCGCGCGGCACATTGTCGGTGTCGTCAACCGTCTGGTACGACGCCACGTAGGCACGCCAACGATTTTCGAGGTCTAGAGGAGACAGACCGTCATCGAAATATGCCGGATCGGTCTTCCTCACGAGGTAGTACATGATCTTCCGTTTGTCCTCGTCCTGCGGGCACACAGTCAGCAGATGTACGAACGGTCGCTGCAGCAGGTTGCAGGCGGCGACTCACCCAATCGATTCGATACAGCTCGCCGTCTTTGATTAGCCTCTCCACACTCTTCCTATAGTCCGTCTGCTGAGGCACAGTGGTCGTTTCCTTGCTCCGGTCCTTCTTAAAAGCCTGCCAGATCTCGAAGCCTTTCTCTTTGCCCTCACTGTTGAGCACGGACAGCGCGAAGCGCGCCGTCGCGCTCACCATCTTCTCAAACGCATACAGGTGGTAGCCGTTGTTGAGATAGAAACGACGCAACGTGTCCTCCACCTCAGCGAACTCGTACTCGCCTTTCAGCACGTCCTCGAACTTGCCGAGCATCTGACTGTAGTAGTTCGCAGTCGGCCCAATATCGCCGAAGAAGTCGCCAGGGAGCTTATCGACGATGCCGAGCTCGATAGCAGGCTTGGGCTTCTCCGCGTTGCGAACCGCTTTCGCCACATCAGCCTCAGACGACTTCAGCTTGTGCAGCCGATCGTACATCGTGTTGAACATCCTCACGAAGCAATACAGCGCGGTATTGGTCCACATCTTGTAGACTTCGCGCTTCTGCGGCTCGTTCGGGTCAACATCGTTCTTGTAGAAAGCGTCATTGCCAGCCCCTGGGTGCTCAAACCATCGCTGCGTAGGCTGCTGTGCGTTCCTGCTCTCAGTCTCCTCGGTCGTGTCAATCGCCATCTCCTCAGCGTCCCCTGCGTTTGATGCAACATCCGGTGTCGAAGCGCGGCTGATCGACGTATCGTCTCTCCGGCCCATCTTGCTCTGCCTGCCGCGGTCGAGTGCTGTACGCAGAAGTCCGCCAGGCTTGCCCATCTTGCGCCCACGGCCAAACGCTGCGTCCTCAGCGTAGGAGGCCTCTTCGACCACTTCAGCCTCCTGCGGTGTTCCGCCGGATCGTGCCTTGAGCTGCGCGTTGAAGCCTTCGGCATCTATCCCGAAGAACAGTGGCACGAACTCCCTCAGGAAGCCCGCCAGGCGCGGATGATCCACTTCCATGCTCATGTGCACATACTGTAGCAGAAGATGAGTGATGTCAACCACGACGTCCATATCCCGGACGACAGATTCCATCTGCGGCCTCTTCAGAGTGCCATGATTGATGTTCTCCTGCGCGCGCATCTCTTCGTGCTTCGTCTGAATCTCCGACTGCAAGAATTTGGCCTGAAACTGCTTCTTGTCGCCCTTGGCGTTGTTAACGGCCTGGTGGTCGAGGCTCTTCCAGAACATCTTCTGCGTCTGCTCGCGCCAAACTTTATCCCACTCGCGCTGGCCGTATTTCCACGTCTCCAGACGCTCCTTGAGACGGTTGAGCAGGACAGGGATGACCTGATACGGGTGAACGTGGAGCTGTTCGATGACATCGTGGCCCTTCTCACGACCGTAAATCTTCATAATGATGCGCTTGTAAATGGTCTCGCTCTGGCCGCCCAGACCAGGTGGCAACTTGAACGCGCGCTGGTCTGCATCTGATAGTCGTCGTAGTTGCTGTGCAATTGGCTCCAGTAGCTGAATGGTGCGACTGCACGCTTCGATGTTGTAGTCATAATCGTGACGCTCTTCTTCGATTCGGTGTAGACCTTCTTCGTGCACATTCTTTCGGTGAGCGATGAACCCGCTGTCCTCTGACGCCCACGTTGGATGAGAAGCCCATTCGTCGTTGAGCACGGAGTTGCAGAGCTCATCGCGACCAGAGCACGTCTTCTGGCGCTCGCGCTTCGGTAGCAGACGGTAACTGGGGCCTAGGCCGCGGCAATTGCTAAGGCTGACTCTGCCTGAGGGTATGCGCGGCTTGTTTTCGATGACGATGGCCTCATCTTCGATGCCTAAGAAATTCTCGAACCACTTCGTCAAGTCTGGATGGTTGCCTATAAAGGACTTTGCGCGGAAGGCGACGGTTGCCCTGTCAATGAGGTCTTGGTTGAATAGGTTGCAAAGTTTGAGGAACTCGCTAAAGGTGCCCTTATTCCCAATGGCCTTCTTGACACGCTCGAAGAAGGACATCTCCTCCGATGTCGCCGCCGCTGTCGTGGTAGGCGGTAGCGGTTCGGGCAAGCGAGGGACTAGACCTGGGGATGACGGCGGTTGATCACCAGGCTTCGCGACTGCGGTGTGAGTCTGCTTTTGCCTCTTGCTCGCCTGGCCAGCCAAGGGCGCCTTGACACCACTTATGCCTGCCATGCTGTCAACGGTTTCTTGTCGCTCCACCTTGCGCTTCTTGTTATCCTTGCCCATGGGAGTTGGCGCAAAGTTGCCGACTGGCGGGAGTTGTCTGCCTTGGTGTGGTGTGCCCATGTGCGTCTCTCGCGATATCACTGGGCTGCCATACAGCCCGCCATCTCTGGCATTCGACATCATCGCGTTCTCCTCCGCAGCTTGACGCGCCCGCTCCGCAGCTTTAGCCTGTGCAGCAGACTCCGGTAGGAACTGCTTGAAGTCTTCCAGCAGATCTGGTGCAGTCTTGAACAGATGCGTGACCTGGCCGTACACATCTTGTATGGGCTTTGACTCGCGCTGGTAGGTTTGTAGAATCTCGAGAAACTGTTTGTAGATGTCCGGGTGCGACGAGAAGCGGTTCTAGAAGGGAAGGTGCGAGTCAGTATAAGCGCACATCTGCGGAAAGCGCGAACACGTGAAAGTGCCAGCACGTGTCTCGGCGTACATACCTTGATCTTATTCACGTAGCTGATAGCGTGGTTGAACTCCACCGGGGGCCGCTTTTCCATGCCTGCCGTCCCGTCCAGCTGACCGTCTGTCACTTGGCCAGGTAAAGGCGTAGCCCGTGGTGACATGCCGGCTCGAAGGCCACCAGCACCGGTTGCCGCAGAGACTGCATTCTGAAGTGAACTGACACCGCGCTGCTCCTGCGCATGGATGGCTTCTTGTTGTCTTGCGGCTTCCAGCGGCGAGAGATGCCGCCCAGGCGCAGCAGGACCAACTGGACGGCCGCTTGGACTGAACATCATTTTGGCAGTCTGCGCTCCCGGCTGAGGGGTGTAAGTGCCGGTAGTAGGTCGGAGACCGTCGGTGCCGTCCTGCCTGCTAAGTGGGCGCGGCTGCGGCATCGATGATACGGTGGTACCCATTGGCGTCGTAACCCTGATGGCGTTCGGGTCATCACTGGTGCCGCATTCGATGCGGTAGCCTGGAGGCAGGAATGTATTGAAGCCTTGGATGAGCTCTGGATTTCCCGCAAACAGCGTGCTAACTCTACCAATCACGCCGGGAGTGTCGATCGCGCCGGACTTGAAGTCCTTCATAATGTCGAGGAAGCGATTGTAAACGTCTGGATGGTCTGCAAATTGGACCTTGACCTGGTCTAGGTAGCTCAATGCATCGTTCAGTATGGGCTGCTGACCCTGCCCTTGTCCCATCTGCTGTTGCTGAGATGGTTGTGGGTGCGGCACTGGCGCAAAGGGCATGAGGAGTCCCTGTTGCATGGGTTGCGGTGGTGGTTGTGCCGCCTGTCCTGGCGCACCAGCAAAGATATTGATCGGTCCGGACGGCGCACCGAGAGGCATTTGTGGTGGCGGTTGCGGCCCACTCAGCTGCGGATTGCCCAATATGCCGTTTGGACCGTGTACTCTGCCGTGGCCCACTGCCACGGGTTGGTGCAGCATAGGCGGACCCTGCTGCGGCTGGTGCGGTGGCGCTTGTTCCAGTCTCTGACGCTCTATCTCGCGGTGTCGCCGATCTTCCTCCTCCTTGATATGGATCTGTTCTACTCTTTCACGCTCCCGTTCCCGTTCGATAATGCCCGGCTGGCCGGTCGCTTGCGAGATGTTCGGCAATGGGAAGCCAGGTGCTTGTAATGGCGGACGGTCGGGTCCGTGTGATATGGGAATCTGTCTTGGTGAAGATTGGCTAATAGCTGGATGAGCTGCGAGCCCGTGACTTGCCTGGTGGAAGGGAGGGAATGGATTGCCCGGCGGTGGAGGAAGGCCAACAGGGCGCACAGACGGAGATGGAGCTGAGTGCTGCTGCGGAGTGCTGTCGAAGGTAATCAGCCAGAGCTTAAAGGTTTGATGTTGATATCGAGCGCAATGCGGAAGATTGCAAGTAGGACATCGACGCAATCGGTAGAGGTGCGATGAACGAAGACGAGACATACCCAAACGTGGCGCCAGCTCTGGGAGCTTGCTCTCCGTTTGAAGCATGCGTGCTGCCGCCCGACGGAGGCGGCCACCCGCGATGCGCTGGATCCATCTCTTCTTCCAGACCAAGTACAAAGGCTGATATCGCCTCACCCCTTCATTCACTTCTCTTCTCCACCACGGTGATGTATGATGAGTGTAGCTGGAGAGCTTGCGACGCCCTGCAGCTCGCCAGAAATCCTATCGCGTGCGCTGGCCGGACCGACACGCGCAGCTGTTCGTCTGATACTCGTTGACGCCAACGGTAGTAGTGCAAGTAGAAGGTGATATAGCACTCGAATCAGTATTGGCCCTCTTCCAAGCTTGAGGCAAGTCAGAACTGCACTCTTCAACCGTACGGCACTGATCGCGCGAATGTGAACAAGGAGGGCATCTCCAACCACTCGGCACACCTTCCACCGTGCTAAATCCGAAACCTGCGTCATCGCGTGCCGAAACTCTATGCTAGCGCATCAGGTACCGAGTCAGATAACACTAAAGATCTGAAATGGAAGGGCTTGTATTTCGATACTACCGAGATCGCGGCGTATAGGTTGGTTGTTTGTAGCATTGTCGGGACAAACAATGTCAGCACACGATGAAGGCTTCAAGATCGCACTGGAGGAAGCGAAGCAGGGCGCAAGTGAAGGCGGCATACCGATCGGTGCATGTCTCGTAGATAAAGCGGGCAATGTGCTCGGAAGAGGGCACAACATGCGCATACAGAAGAGCAGCGCTACATTACACGTACGTAGCCATCTGTATCTATTGTTGTTCTCTTTCATCTCTCGTTCATACCACAGTCCTGCCTGACCAGCTGACTCTCGGTATATAGGGCGAGATATCCGCCTTGGAGAACGCAGGCCGGCTCCCAGCCTCCGCATACAAAGGTGCAACCATGTATACCACTCTGTCCCCTTGCGACATGTGCACCGGCGCCTGCATCCTGTACAAGGTCGCTCGCGTCGTCATGGGCGAGAACAACACCTTCGTGGGTGGCGAAGAGCACCTCAAGCGGAACGGCATTGAGGTTGTCAACTTGCAGAATGCCGAGTGCGCGGCGCTGATGAAGAAGTTTATCGACGAGCATCCTGATAAGTGGTGCGTAAACGCGAGCTTCATGTTGCTGAGGCCGAGCTGACGGTCGTACAGGTATGAAGATATTGGGGAGCCGTCATAGTCCGGCACAGGATCTAATGGCTTTGTCGATGCTTCACCAGTCGCTCTGCATGATGTTGCGGTCGTGTATGCGCTGTTCAGTGGCTGAAATGTCGCCATTGGTGGGCATGACACTCTCTTGGTATAGGTCTGTGATGGAGTTGGCATGGCACGCTTAGAGCGCGGAGCGAAGTCAGCTACCTGATAGTCTGTGGACCTCCTCGAAGAAGAACTTCAAATCGTCTGGGTTGACACCGGGAGTGATGCCTGTAATGGATCAGTAGAGCACCAAAGCTCAAAAGTTCGCCGCAGGTCGACGTACCGTGGCCAAGATTGGCAATCCAGCCCTGCTTACCACCACCGAAGCCGTTCACCATCTCCTGCACAACCCTTGTGATAGCATCGTGACCACCATACAGCACGCCAGGGTCAGCGTTCCCTTGCACAACCTTGCCGTACCGCTGCGCCTTGTCGTACGCTTCTTTTGGATCATGCAACCAGTCCAACCCTATCACATCATAATTTGTTTGACATAGCACGTCAAGCGCATACCAAGCACCTTTCGCAAACACGACCATTGGCACCTTCTCCTGCTCCAGCTCCTGTAGCCTCTTCGGTAAGTGATCACAGATATACTTTAAGTATGGCAACGAAAAGTCGTTGAAACTGCTCGGCGACAGCTCCCCAGCCCAGGAATCGAACACTTGCACAATCTGCGCGCCAGCCACAACCTGTAGAGCCAAGTACTCCACGCACAACTCCGCGATCTTCTGCAAAAGCTTCTTTGTCTCTTCCGGATATCGAAACGTCCACGTCTTCGTTTGCTTGAAGATCTTACTCCCACCTCCTTCTACCATATAGCACATTAACGTGAACGGCGCTCCGCAAAATCCATACAGCGGCACCCGACCCGCGAGCTTCTGCCTCGTCAAAGTAATAGCCTTGTAAACATAGTCCAAGCTTTCCTTGACATCCACCTCCCTTTCCATCACCTCACTATACTGCTTGTCCTCCGGCGTGACGAGCGGATCGGGGAAATGCGGACCTTTGCCATCAACCATAATGACTTCCATACCCATCGCTTGCGGGATCACAAGAATATCGCTGAAGATGATCGCTGCATCTATAAGACCCTCGTAGCGTTCAATGGGTTGCAGCGTCAACGTAGAGGCGACCTCGGGGTCACGACAGCATTCGAAAAAGTCTCGTTTGCCTTTGGCTTGGTGGTATTCGGGTAGGTAGCGGCCTGCTTGCCGCATCACCCAGCATGGTGGGCGGGAGACCTTCTCGCCGCGGGCGGTGCGGAGGAGGAGGTCGTTCTTGAGGGGTTCGAATTGCTGATGTGTGGAAGAAGCCATGTCGGATGGTAGAGTCGAACTGCGAGCACCAGGGCGATTCACGTAGCTATGTTGGACGTTGTGTGCGGGGATCACGGGCACTATGTGAGCATTGCGGAGACCCCAGATGATTGTGCGAAAGAGAGCAAAGATAATTGCGTCGTAATTGTCCTTCCGCGGTCGCTTCGGTCCATCAATGTACTGTAAGAACCGAAGGTTCAATGTCTGTGCGCGATGTCCGTGCTCGCGTACCTTTCTAGCGAACGCGTTTCTTGCCTGCTCGAACCGTGCCTTGCATGCCATTGCTAACAGCATTCGCTGAAGAAGCAGAAGCGCGGGAGATGGGGCGTAGCTGAGCTCGGATCCGGGATCATGGTAAACAGACTATCAGTCACGGCAGGTTGACGGCGACATCTTGCCTCATGAGCCTGCAGAGCGCAAGATGTACGATACGGAGTTTACGAAGCTCATGGAGGGCATGCATCAAGACCAGAACCGCCTTACCATGTTTGACCCGAGGTGGCCTTCCAGCCTTTGGCAAGTTCTGGACCCGTGGAGTGAAGACGCGGACTGTGGTAAAAGCCAGCAGTCTACCTCAAGGCGTATTGCCAGCGTTGCCCCCGGATGAGGACGACGACACTACTGCAAGTTATCCTACTATGCTACAGCAGCATCTCAACAACATCCGTAAGCACCCGGACTGCGTTGTTCTCACACGTGTGGGTGACTTTTACGAAATGTACTTCGATCAGGTCGCACAATTTGCTCCCTTAGTCAACCTCAAGCAGGCCAAGAAGATGACCGCGTTGGGCCCTGTTCCCATGGCTGGATTTCAACACACCCAGCTTGAACGTTACTTGAAGATGTTCGTTATGGATCACGGCAAGCAGGTCGCTCTTATCGAGCAGGTACCGCTCTCGAATGCTGAACGATCGTTGAGACCCGGTGGCCCTCAGTACGATCGACAGCTGAAGAGAGTCTTTACGGCCGGTACACTGATTGACGAGAACTTTGTGGATCCTTACGAGAACAACTACTTGCTCGCCGTGCATATAGATGGTGAAGTACCTGTCGGGTCCAAACCTAGCGATAGGGGCCAAGTGTACGAAAGGTACAGGCGCTCAACTAGAGTAGGACTCAGCTGGGTCGACCTCTCCAGCGGCGACTTCTTCACTCAAGCCAGCGATCTTGCCACACTGCCATCTATCGTCAGTCGTGTGATGCCACGAGAAATCATACTTCCCGAGGGCCTGAGCGACGTTGGCCCGTCGAGGCTGCAAGGGCTGCTTGGCGAAGGCAACTATTCGCTGCATTTCTATCGGTCTGCACAGATACATTCCACGACAACTGTTGAAAGTTGGACGCCCATGCTTGAGCGAGCTACTCCAGAGAAGCAAGCCGAAGCGTTTGCGCCATGTGAAATTGCTGCTGGCAGCTTAGTGCTTGGCTATGTTCGTGAACGGCTCGTCGATTTGCAGATACAGCTGCAGCCTCCCGTGAGACGGTCAGACGATGACTACATGGCAATCGACAAGCAGAGCCTGCGCGGGCTAGAGATCCGCAGTACGCTCCGAGACGGCACGTTCCAGGGCAGCCTGCTTCACGCGGTGCGGCACACTGTCACCAAGAGTGGCTCCCGCTTGCTCAGCCAACGTTTAGTGTCGCCGTCAATGTCCTTGTCCGTGATCAACGACCGCCTAGATCTCGTTCAAGAAATGCTTGAGCAAGACGCGCTACGTGAGGATGTTGTGGTGCTCTTACGTCGCACGGCTGACGCCCTTCGCTTGCTACAGCGCTTTTCGATTGGCAAAGGCGATGCAGACGACCTCTTAAATCTCGCAAGGACCATAGGAGTGACAAGCGAGATGGCGCAACTTGTGCGCGATCATATTGTAAGCAGGGAAGACAGTATACCTACGGCTGGTCACAAGAAGCATCCACCGCCCAACGAGCTGGGCTTTCTGCGTGACATCCATCAACGCTTCGATCTAGACGGGCCGGCAAAGGTTGCGAAAGCAATTGAGGAGGCGATTGACGAGGAAGGCTTGAACCAGCAGCACGTCGCAGAAGCGGAAAGCCAAGCTAAGGTAGAGATCATGGCAGAAGAAGTCGAATCTGCTGATGCAGCGGGCGAGCCTGGCCCTAAGCTTGGACGTAGAGCGGCAAAGACCAGAGCTGTCGCAGACGCAGCAGATAGCATATCGAATGATATCTGGATCATGCGGAACGACGCTTCGCCAACGCTCGGACGAGCACACTCCGATTTGGAGAGCCTGCTTAAGAGGAAGAACCAACTGACACAGCGATTGCGGAAGCAGCTTAAAGCGGAAAGCCTCAACCTGCGCTGGACTTCGAATCTCGGTCACCATTGTCATGTGAAAGGCAAGGACACACGCACTGATCTCGCGGCGCTTGCTGGCGCTCGTGCCATCGGCTCGACCAAATCCACCCGTTCATTCTATCTTGCCGACTGGACGCACCTCGGAACGCTCCTTGAAGACAGCAAGATGCGGATCCGAATGGAGGAAGAGCGTGTCTTTAACAAGTTGCGTGCGCAAGTGCTTGAGAGCCTGATGAAACTGCGACGCAACGCGGCTGTGCTTGATGAGCTTGATGTCGCATGCTCATCTGCAACCATTGCGAAGGAGCGTGATCTTATTCGCCCTCTACTGAATACAGGTACCAGCCACAACGTCATTGGCGGCCGCCACCCTACTGTTGCTGTAGGCTTGAAGGACCGAGGCCGCCTCTTCACAGCGAACAACTGCGGCGTCGGCGATCGCGAGAAAATCTACCTCATTACCGGACCGAATATGGCTGGCAAGAGCACGTATCTTCGCCAGAACGCACTCGTCACGATCCTGGCTCAGACAGGCTGCTTTGTGCCAGCCGACTACGCTGAGATCGGCTTGGTTGACAGAATCTTCAGCAGAGTCGGTTCGGCGGACAACCTCTACCAAGATCAGTCTACATTTATGGTCGAGATGCTTGAAACGGCGGAGATACTGAAGCAAGCCACTCCGCGATCCTTTGTCATTATGGACGAAGTGGGACGGGGGACTACTCCCGAAGATGGCATCGCTGTAGGGTATGCTTGTCTGCACGCCCTGCATAACGTCAATAAATGTCGAACGCTCTTTGCTACCCACTTCCACGCCCTGGCGGATATGACTCGGGATTTCGATCATTTGGCCTGCTACTGCACAGATGTTGCTGAGGATGCTGACGGCAGCTGGACGTACTTGCACAAGTTGCGGAAGGGCGTGAACAGGGAATCGCATGCGCTGAAAGTGGCGAGGCTTGCTGGGCTACCCACCAGTGCGATCCACATTGCTGAACAGGTGCTTCGAGACCTGAGGAAAGAGCGCGAGCGAGCCGAGCAAGAACTGAACGGCGGCCAGCGTATCCTTCTTACGGCTGCGGGTTAAGTCCTGCTCTTGCTTTCGCCGCAGTCTGTATTCATGATACGGTGGAACTTTCCGGCGTATCGCCCCGAAACACCCGAACGTCGCGATCGAGCTCAGCTACCACAGCGTGGTAGACCGCATACGTTCTACCCTCTCTTCTTCCTCTTCCTCACCCCTCCAACCTCCACCACAACCTTCTCCTCTTCCTCCATCTCTCTCTTCACCGCAATGACTCTCTCACTGAACGCCTTCAAATCCGCCGTAAACAGCACACTATGCGCCCACCCGGCCTCCTTGCCCCACAAACTACGAAACTTGGCGCCGACCGCGTCATACGTCGCCTTGGTCAGACTCGCGTGCTTTCCTTTGCCGAACTTGTAGTCCCGCTGCGCTATCTGCCAGACGTGCGTATCGACCGGTACCGCTTCGCCCCAGCCAAGACCCATGAGGCAGACGCAGTCGGCGACCTTCGGGCCGACGCCTTGAAGGGTGAGAAGAGCTTCGTGAGCGGCGTGGTAGCCTGCGCGACCCTCGGGGGCCCAGTCATCGGTGCTTGGGCTAGGTTTGGTACCGAAGGCCGGAGACTCTGGGTTTCGTAGCGAATCCAGCCAGTCGGCAGGATGCGACGAGACAATGCAGGCAGTCTGGTACAGGTACTTGGCACGATAGCCGAAGCCGAGTGATCGTAGCTTCGCTTCCACGCCGTCTACGGCCAGTGCTTGCGGGGTTGGGAAGTCATGGTACGCTTCGCCGTCGAAGTGGCCCAGGAGTGGTCCATAGTTGACGCAGAGCTTGCTGATCATCTGGCTGATGCGGACGATGTTGTTGTTACTGCTGCAGATGAAGCCCACAAGCGCTTCCCAAGCGTCCTGTTTCAGGATCCGGACGCCGGTGAATTTGGGCGCTTTCTTGGCGAAATTGGCGTCTGAAGCCGACCATTGCGCGTATAGCTGAGTCAGATTGGGTGTGAGGTTCAAGTAATGCTTGAGTAGCTCCAGCGTATTGTCTGCATCAGACTCCGGCGCAACAGAGGGTGGGTTGGAACTTGGTGGCGTCGGCGGCGCTTGTAGCCTCATGGGCGGTATGGAGCGGTAATATACGTGATCCGTATCCTGATGCAGACATACAATCCGATTATGGAGAGCCATTGACCAGACTCCGGCATCGTTCTTGCGCCATCGGAACGACTGGCCGCAGCGAAGTGTGGTATTGATGCAGAGTTCGGTAAGGCTGACGGGCAGCTTCTGCCATTCGACTAGATTGAAGGCGCCCATACCGCTGGCTGAAGGCAAAGGTGTAAGACGTGTCCGAGCAGAGGATTATGGAGTCCCGGCTCTGATATTCCCTCGGTCCACGCCAGCAAGCGGTTGCAGGATAGAGACGCGCTACGCGTGTGAATCTAGATCGCGTGCAGCCGCATTGCTGCAGGGTCTTCGGGCAGCTCCGCTGAGCGCGCCTTTCCTCACCAACATTGAAGATAGTGCCGCAACCTCAGCCACATTTAGCCAGGGCTGTTTGCAAGTCGCAACTTTGGTAACGTCGAGACGATGCCGAGTATGCAAGGTGAAGACCTCCAAGCGAGCTCAGCCGGATTCACTACAGAGTCACTCGGAAACTTGGCTTTACTCCGAGGGGTCAGCCTTGCTCATCCTCACCAATATGGAGGCAAGATGTACGGCCGTGCCAGGAATTCGTGATAGACCACCGTATCAACTACAAGGTCAGATTGTCGCGGGAGCCAGGCCTTATGTCGCCGCGCAAGATCTCAGTCCCACCTCTGCGGACCCGATGTTGTCGGCCTCACTTCGCCGTATAAGTCTGCTGCGATTGTGTACTCACTTCACATGATGCTAAAGGAGCGCAGCTGTCTGGGTACACAGTCGCAGCCGAGGTGGGAGATCATGTTCCGCTGACCCTTGGTCAACAGAAACCGGCATGTGGGATGCTGCTACGGTAGGGAAGGTGGAGGAGCTCGCCTTACATTGTGATGCTGTTGCTTCGTGATGTTGCCATAAACGGTGAAGCCACGCGTGAGCATGAACTCAGTGAGCCCAGGTGAACAATCGCCGTGCGTTGACTGACCATGATTAGCGCGTCCACCGTGGCGCAGGAAGCGTGAAGATGTCTGTACTTTCGGCGTTACATCATATGTTTGCGAGCGTAACTACTCTCACTGGCTATGACCTATCGTCACCCAGGATGCCGTACCTACTGAATCGTAGGGACTGTGGCGGATATGAACATCCCACCAAGCCTGACAGACGCAAGAAGGCAAGAGACTGAGTCCAAGGGCTGGCGTGCCTTTTCGCACCCGGTCGCGAGTTCACTTCACTTACACGATCGAGCGGTCAGGTCTTATGAGCAGGAAAGCATCAAAATCCAATCAGTATCACTCTGACGCAACTTCCCACTTGCTCATTGATGTGCTTACACTCATGACCCAATCGTCAAAGATGCAACATCAAGCGAACGGTTTGCTGTCGGTGCAGCTTCCAAGACCTGCGCAATATTGGAAAGCAAGGACGACAGATTCAGGCAGCCTGGTCTGGGACGATCCGGCCGCAAGATATGCTCCTGGTGGTACCACTACGGTAATTGCCACAGATCTCCTGCGAACCCAAACCGGAAGTCCGAGAAAGCCTGCCGTTACGAACATTCGCTTGAGCAGTACAACCAGTCGGCGACATCATCCAGAGTAACAGCCTGGAAATATGCGTATGCATGCGGCTTCCCGCTGTGTCCATGGAAAGACCATGCACCGCAAAAGCGCAAACCGGCTATCCCAGAGCGCGACAGTGCACCCGCAGCAAAGAAGCGCAAAAGCAGCAAACAGTCACCTTCAATGGCGTCTGCGATCATAGTAAGCCACCGCAAGAGACGTCATAAAGCTCGCTGTCGCGACGATCCGGCAGAATTCTCATCTCCCGACGATATGGCAGACGACGATCCAGCTCCAGGGACCACGGAAACGAGAAGCAAGCCTTCACAAGAGACCTGCTTTATCTGGTACCACGGAAAATGCAAGCGCTCTCTGAACCCTAAGACAGCACCCTGTCCCTACCTTCACGCACTTACAGACGTGCCATCCATGGTACAGCCGCCCCCAGGCTATGTGCACCCCGAACCCTGCGGTTTGCCGTGGTGCCCGGGAGACGGCGTCCCCAAACCCAGTCCTGCCAAACCCGGAGGCGGCGACTTCAAGGGTTTCACAAACGCCTTAGGCAGGTCACGCGAAAAGTATGAAGGTGAGACGGGAGACTCAGAAGCGGAGACGAAGGACAACGAAACAACAAGCGAGGCGCCTAGCTGCGGAGAGCCGCGGGACGAAGGGAGACCGGACTGGTACCTGAGTGGCTTTGATGAGGAGTAGGCAGGCTAGGGCGGTAGACGTGGTGTGACCGCCGATCTGGCACACCAACAGCATGCGTGTTATTATCATATATCATAGTGACTTTGATCCACCGGCTTCATCTGCCCTTCAAAACCGCAAGTCCCATCCAATCATTGGCCCAATCTTCGGTAGCTCTTCAGCCACAGACTGTACATCCTTGTCACCTCGCCCTGACAGACAGATGACAAGATTCTCGTCTTCTCCCATGGTCTTGGCGAGCTCGACTGCACCGAAGATGGCATGACTTGTCTCCAGTGCTGGAATTATACCTTCGAGCTCGGACAATAGCCTAAAGCCTATGAACGCTTCCGCATCCGAGGCAGCAATGAAGGTTGCCCGTGCGGAGTCCTTCCAACTAGAGAGCTCAGGACCGACACCGGGATAATCCAGGCCAGCGGAGACCGAGTGTGTATCGGTAATCTGACCTTCTGCGTTTTGAAGAACGTAGGTCCGAACGCCATGCAATACGCCTGGCTTGCCACCTGTGAGGGTAGCGGAGTGCCTATCCGTGTCTACGCCGTCTCCTCCGGCCTCGACGCCGAGAAGCCTGACGCTCCTGTCCCCAGAAAATGGGTGAAACATTCCAACTGCGTTACTGCCACCCCCGACACATGCTACGACGGCGTCCGGTAAGCGGCCCGTGAGCTCATGCATCTGTTGTTTCGTCTCCGAACCGATCACAGATTGGAACGTCCGAACAATGGTTGGAAAAGGATGGGGACCTATAGCTGAACCAATGATGTAGTGCGTCGTGTCGAGTTTCTCCACCCACTTTCGTAGCGCTTCGTTCACAGCGTCGCGCAGTGTGCGTGACCCGGCTTCGACAGCTACAACGGACGCGCCAAGAAGCTTCATGCGGAACACATTGAGAGCCTGCCGTCGCACGTCCTCCGCACCCATGTAGACAGTGCATTTCAAGCCGAAGAGCGCGCAGACTGTTGCGGTTGCTACACCGTGCTGGCCCGCTCCAGTCTCGGCGATGATTTCGGTCTTGCCTAGTCTCTTCGCCAGTAATGCCTGGCCAATAGCATTGTTGATCTTATGAGAGCCAGTATGATTGAGGTCTTCACGCTTGAGGTAGACATTCGCGCCTTTACCCTTCTGCGCGGACTTTCGAACGTGTTGGGTTAGCCGTGCTGCTTTGTGGAGTGTCGACGGCCTCGACATGTAGGGGTAGTAGCTGCGATATTCTTCCCAGAACTTCGGATCATTGCGTGCCTCGTTGAAGCCTCGTTCAAGCTCCGCAAGACAGTCCATAAGCGACTCTGGAACATATTGTCCGCCAAACTCGCCAAATCGTGAAGGTATGAGCTCCGGTTCTTTCTGCTCGTCGGAGGTATTCAGAGCTTCTAATTGGTCTGCAAGACCAGGGCCGTCTGAATCGGTTACCACTCCGTCAACGTGAACAGTGCCATTTGCTGGGTGACTTTCACTTGCCGGCTGCTTCGTAGGGTCCTCTGTAGAGATCTTCTTCAGGTCGCTGTCGCCGTTGGAATGCGATATCCAGCCGCTGCCATCGCCCTGCGGGTTTGCTGCTGTGCTAATGCTGTGCGATGTGCCGTTCGTTTCACCATTTGACTGTGAAAGCTGAGGGTTGCGTCTCTGCGTGATGCTGTAGCAATACTCCTCTACCGCCTTCGCTCCCTGACCAGAAGGTGCGTTCTTCAAAGTATTGATAATTTGAGACCCAATAACTACACCCTCGGATACCTTGCCAACCTCGACAAAATGCTCTCTTGTACTGACACCGAAGCCTACCGCTGCTGGTACTCCGCCGGAATACTTGTGTACTCGCGTTAACAGTTCCGGCAAGCCTGAGCTGAGCGCGCCTGTCGCGCCAGTCACGCCCATTCGGCTCACCACGTAGATGAATGAGTCTGCAATCGAACAAAGGAGCTTCATCCTCTTCTCGCTTGTTGCTGGCGCTATCAGTGGCACGTACGACAGTGCGTAGTTCGTGCAGTGTTGTCGGAACCTTACAGCCTCCTCTGGCGGCAGATCAACCATGATGAAGCCATTCACACCGGCCGCCTTTGCATCCTGCAGCATTCGCTCCTCGCCGTACGCAAGTAAGGGGTTGTAGTAACCCATGAGCAGCACTGGCGCTCGTAGGCCGCGGCTCCGTGCCTGTCGTACGATATTGAGGCATGTCGTGGTGGTTGTGCCGTTCTTCAATGCTTGTGTGTTTGCGCCTTGTATCGTTGGACCGTCTGCAATGGGATCGGTGAAAGGCGTTCCGAGTTCGATGATGTCCGCACCGCCTGCTTCCATAGCCAGTAGGATGTCTGGCGTCTCTTCAATGGTAGGGTAGCCGGCGGTAGTGTATGTCACGAGAGCAGAACGCTTCTCTGCCTTCGCCCGAGCGAAGGCTTTGCGTATGCCGTCCATATTGGCTTGAACTGTAGTACGGGTTATGCGGGTGGACTGGTGATGGGGGTAGCGCTTCAACAGTATCAGTAGGAGTCAGAGTAGAAGCAACACCTCAGTCAGTGCCAATGGAGAATATTACGGCTATGACTGTATCTGCAGATCAGATGCAGGGTCTACTTCTAATGCACGGAATGTGGAGATGAGTAACCCGATACGGAGAACGAACGTCGATTCTGACTAGGTAGATCAATATCCTGAAGCGAATTTGTCTATGAGTCTAGGTTGAGATATTCACGTGCGTTCAATGCGCCATGAAGGCGATATGCGAAAGAATGTCGTTGTGCGAGGAGCAAATGCTTGTGTTACGGCAACATATACCGTACAGCGTCGTCTGAAACGGGCGCCGTGCACAGGACGAGTCACTGCTTGCTAAGCTGGTCTGTTAGAGGAGTTTCTCGATAAAGCCTTCATGGTGGCATTCTTCTCTCGCCTTTGCGCCCAAGGACTCATAACGGTAACGCGATGAAGACAGTCTGTATTGTTGGCGCTGGCCCAGCTGGTCTGGTGGCAGCGAAGACGTTTCTAGATTATGGGAGCTTCGCTGTCACCGTCTTTGACAAGGCTGACCGCGTAGGTGGAATTTGGGCGCTCGATGAAGACACGCAGAACGGCTACTTGAGCCCTCAGACGCCCACCAATCTTTCTCGATTCACTGTGGGCTTCAGCGATCTGGACTGGAATGATGTTGATTTACGGAGTAATAGCTGGTTAGGTTCCACGAGAGGCCCCAGTGAAAGACCGTTCGTCCCGTTGTTCCCAAAAGCATGGCAGGTGAACCGTTATCTCGAGGAATATCGTCGACGGTACGTGCCAGATTCTGTGCTCAAACTTGGCCATGAAGTTGTAAAGGCGACCAGAGACGAAGTCAACCTCCAAGCCAGCAGCCCTTCATGGCACATAACAAGCCGAAATGGAAGTGGCCAGTTGCAGACCATGACATACGACTATCTAATAGTGGCATCCGGCTTCTTCTCGACACCAAGCATACCGCAAACGAGACCGCCTGATACTACTGACGGAGATCGCATGTCTACCATCGTGTCGATGCACAGCTCCGAGTTCAGATCCCTGGATGACCTCTTCCCGGATTCTCGGTTAGCTGCCGGAAAGACTATCCTGCTTGTTGGTGGCGGTAACTCATCAGGTGAGACTGCTGCAGCCGTCGCCATGCAGTTATCCGACGCCTTGTGGTCTCCTGACAAGAGCCGCCGTAAACTCTACGAAGGCTGCAAAATTATCCATGTAACCCCAAGACCGCTGTATGCCGTGCCACCCTACGTAGAGTATGACACGGGCTCAAGGACATACGTACCACTGGACTTCAAGCTTTACGACTTCTCAAAGCGCCCGCAGGAGCTGGAGAGTTACGGTGGCGTACAGCCGCCTGCAGTACGTGCCATGGTCCATGGTGCTGTGCAGGCGATGGTGGGAGGCGATCAGGCCGAGTTAGGCAGTGAAGCACTTCTGATACCACCGGCGGACGAAAAGGAGCGTGCTGTATACGTTGCGCTTGCTGAAAGCTATTCCGAGTTTGCGCGTAGCGGTCTTATTGAAGGCTGCAGGGGGCGGGTGATTGACATCCAGCCGAATCAGGACGGTACCGCTTCAGCCCTCACCAGCACCTGCGAAGAGAGAGTGTACGTAATTGGAGCGGTGATTTACGCTACTGGCTATACGCCCGCAACTGCCCTTGACTTTCTTGCAGACGATATCAAACGTGCCCTGCAGTATGAGCCTACCAGCATGCGGCTGCCTATCATTCTGGACCAGTGGCAAACAGTCAATAGCAGTTTTCCAGATCTTGCATTCCTTGGCTTCTACGTTGGGCCATACTGGCCGATGGTGGAGATGCAAGCCAAGCTTACAGCTGATCGCTGGATGAAGGGAACACCACTCGCACCGCAGAAGGCTCACGAACATGTCGAAAGCCTACTCGGAGTTCGGACTGCGGAGAGGGAACAGTCGCGCGCAGTACCACAGTATTGGTTCAACGACTACTTAGGCTATCTGGAGGACATTGCGAAACATCTGGACATGCTGAAAAACGATGGTCGTTTCCAAAACCGAGAAGGCTGCCCTTCCCCGGCACGGTATGTCTCTGCCGGAACGAACCGAAAGCAAGCGAATGCAATAATCGATGATATGTACCGGACTTGGCATGATTGCGTCGGTAATGGTAGGTACGTTGCCCGCGCCGCCTTCCGTGCTCTACAAGGCACGTGGGACTTATCTCGGCGCATCACCAGCGCTCAAAACATCTTCTCCGGTACCTTCACTGGCACAGCAGCCTTCCATCCTCGCTTCCCGACGCCCGACAAGAGTAGAAAGAGCTTTGACCTGGAGTATCTCTATATCGAGTCCGGCACGTTCACGCCGGCCAACGACCATGAAATGACACTCCCAGCCACTCGGCGCTACGTCTACCGGTACTCCGAAGAGCGAGACGAGCTCAGCGTTTGGTTTCTCAAGCCAAGCAGTGACTTGGAGGTTGACTACCTCTTCCACAACCTCACCTTTGTGTCGCCAAAAAAGGCGCGAACAGCGGGAGCTTGCATTGCGAAAGCAGACCACTTGTGCATAGAAGACATGTACTGGACAGAGTATATCCTGCCACTCGAAGCGATTGTCTTGCGAACATTTGAGGTCAAGCACACAGTCAAAGGTCCGCAGAAGGATTACGTCGCTACGGCAACATACAAGCGACCCGGAAAAACGAGATGTGGACAGACGTGATGCAGTGATAGTGCTCGTTTGATCCCGCGAACAACGCGTTCATAAGCGCTGAACCAGCATTCTAACATCGCTCTCGAACCGTATACCGAAAACGGTACGTACGTCTACAAGAAAGCAACGTTGGTGACACTGTAAGCAACCCACGCTGGATCGCCACACACGTGATGCCGTGCTACGCTCCGTCTGTAGAAACGGCGGACTATCAGTCTGACGGAGGTTACATCTCGAGCAACGCACAGGAAAAGTTGGTGTTAATGCTACGACCAATCCCCAGCCCTAGTCGGTGACTTTCTTTCAGGAAGCAAGCGAAGTTGATGGAGTGTGTGATGCGTTATGCGCACAAGGGTACGATGCGACGAATCGATACATCGGGCAGGACGGCAAGTCTAGATCACAATCAACCAGCATCCGAGAATCAAGCAGCTCGGTCTGCAATCTAGTCGCTCATCATGCTCTTAACGCGCTCAATCAACAATCAACAATCAACAAGGCATGCGCTCCTGTTCCAGCACGATTTACCCTCTTCTAGGTGTGCGCACAAAGAGAATATTGGTCGAGAGGCAGATAAGGCTTTGGTACTGCGATGGCTGATGGTTTTGACAGACGACCTCTCGCGCGATAACGGTCGAGTCCCAAGTAACAAATATGAAGCGGTTGAAGTCGCAATGGCGTCGCGCGAGTCAGCAGCCACAGCAAGAGGCTGGACCGAGGCTCACGGACCTTTGTTTAAGGGCTGGGCGCTTGGTCTTGGAACCGTATTGCGCCAAATACCCGATGAGAATGATTGTTGTGCGCAAGGAGTACGCGAGCAACCACAGGAGGCGCATTCCACCAGGTATAATGTCCGGTGCCAACGGCATCTCCCCACAGCCGCCTACCGTCAGATTGACAGTTAGGGGCTGCGGCAGCGGAATTCCGCAAAGCACCCAAGCAGATAGACAACCAGAAAAGCCGTTCACACGCTGCCTTCAGCCGCGCCCTGCACGCTGGATCTTCCTTTGGTCCTATTCTTATGGTGGAGAAGCTCTTAGCTTGCATCGCTGACCTCAGGAGTAAGCACGGGCTTGTGAGACAGGGTAAAGCGTTAGCCTCAAGCGCTTTTCCTCCACTAATGCAAGGTTTAACGGCATCCCTTGACGAGCCGAACTGCATGAGTGAGCGGTGGGCTGGAGAAATGCATGATGAGAGGCTTCCTGCAGCGGCTGGTGCCGGACAAACGCATGATCCGCAATGTCTTCGTAAAGCATTCCAACGATGTCGGAAAACCCAAGTCTCTTGTATACAGATGATGGTAGACTTTATGCTTCGGTACCTAGGGTCTGGTTGTAAACTGCCTACCCACACTTCGCTAAGACATCGAAACGTCACCTTGTCGAATGTTCTGCCCCCACCTTCTCCTTGCCGTTTCTGGCACACGTGCTGTCGGTTGAGGTATCAGCACGTTGTATGTCTTGTACGCCAGGGTTAACGTCAAACCGTCACACGACAGCCCGTACCGAGCTGCTACAGCGGGAACCAGGACAGCATTCCAACGGGGAGATGTGCAGTAACACGAGCTGTTTTCGCAACACGCTACTGCGATGACCCAGTTGCAAACTGAAAGCCACTGCACCTTGACAGATGGCGTGGCTCCGACGGTCGGGATGCCAATACTGCATGGTTTAATTAGACTTCCCGGCCACCCAGGCTCGCTCATCTTGAGCTGCAGGACCTAGAGATCCGCGGGTCTACTGAAGCTTGCTCTTACATGACGTCGGGCAGAGGAACATGATGCCGCGCTTAAGAGGGTATACAGTTTGCTATACTCCTGATGATGCTAAGAAAGGCTGGCAATAGTGTCTGCCCGCAGGTCACCTTGAATGGTCGAGGCGTACCGGCTGTGGATAATAGGCTAGCCGGTCTTGGCTGTGTTCCGGTCCATCTGATCCATCCCGCGTTTAGTGTACCGATGCCCGCAGCCTCTGTGGAGAACGCTAGAGCTGCACGCGACGGCGAGGAGGGCGAATGCGCTTCCTGACGCCACGGGCGATCTGTGTCGGACCTGAGCAATCCTGCACACCTTACCCATCCCATCTTTGGCGCGAGAGTCGCTGTTTCCTCTCCTCCCTCGCTGATCCATTCTCTCCGCTTCACCGCACGCTCCAGTGAAGGTGATACTGTTCCGCGCACTTTAGTTGATACCTCAGACACCTAAACGGTGTATCCATAAGGAGTCACTACACGGTTACTGCATAAGCTTCGATTCTAGACTTCCCAGCGGTCGTGCTCATCGTCGCCCGGCTGGCCTGGTGTGTCGCGCAGCTTTCACGGCACTTCAGTTCATATCATATGCTAATACCAGCTAACTTGCACCAAAAGGGCTTGACAGGAGGATTAGCGTGATTTACCCACAATGGCGAGCCAACATTCACCGACCGGGCCATTGGGTCATCAACAGCATTACCCTCCACCAGCCGTGCGCCCTCCTCCACCTACTGGCGCAATGCCTATGCAACAGCCGCAAGCGTTCAAGCCTACCGCGCAGCATGTCGCTGCCGTAAATGAGCAGACATGGTTGCAACTTGGTCGTCTGTCAGAGCTCATGGAAGAGTATGATGGCGCAAGTGCGGCATATGAGCGCGCAATGACCTTCAATCAGTGGTCCGTACCGGCTATGCTTGCCATCTCCTGCATCCTGCGCTCTAAGGACCAATTCACTTCTGCCGTTGAGTACCTGCGCCAGATCATCAAGATTGATCCTGCCAACGGCGAGGTCTGGAGCAGCCTCGGTCACTGCTACCTTATGATGGATGACCTGCAGCAAGCATACTCGGCTTACCAACAAGCTCTGTACCATCTACCTGATCCGAAAGAGCCCAAGCTATGGTACGGCATCGGCATTCTCTATGATAGATATGGCTCCCTCGAGCACGCTGAGGAGGCTTTCTCGCAAGTCATGCGCATGGAGCCGAACTTTGAGAAGGCCAACGAGATCTACTTCCGGCTCGGCATCATCTACAAACAACAGCAAAAGTTCCAGCAAAGTCTTGAGGTTGGTGAACACCGTGTGACAAGTGCAAGCGCAAAGCTGATTTTCGCAGTGCTTCCGCTACATCGTCACTGACCCACCCCGACCGCTGAGTGAGGAGGATATCTGGTTCCAAATTGGGCATGTGCACGAACAGCAGAAAGACGTAGGTTACAAGCGCCACTCGTTCGTACGACCGCTGACCCTGTTACAGTACGACAATGCTAAAGCCGCATACACGCGCGTGCTAGAGCGTGACCCAAACCACGCCAAGGTGCTACAGCAGCTTGGGTGGCTGCACCATCAGCAGAGCACAAGTTTCAACAGTCAAGAGCAAGCCATTGAGTACCTCGAGAAATCGGTCGCTTCCGGTAAGTACCAGCCAATCCCGCTACCGCTACCGCCACACTGCGATGATTCTGACGTGGCGTTAGATCAAACCGATGCGCAAAGCTGGTATCTGCTGGGCAGGTGCTACATGTCACAGCAGAAGTATCCCAAGGCATACGAAGCGTACCAGCAAGCAGTGTATCGCGACGGTCGTAACCCAACGTTCTGGTGTTCGATCGGCGTTCTCTACTACCAGATCAACCAGTACCGCGATGCGCTCGATGCATACTCCCGTGCCATCCGTCTAAATCCTAACATCTCGGAGGTCTGGTATGACCTCGGCACTCTGGTGAGTCAAGTCGGCCATATACCGTTAGCATGCTACAGTCGCTGATGCACCCATAGTATGAATCCTGCAATAATCAAACCAGCGATGCGCTTGACGCTTACTCAAGGGCCGCTGAGCTCGACCCAACGAACGTGCACATCAAGGCGCGCCTGGCATTGCTCAAGGGACAGCCAACGAACGGCTTGCCAAACCAAGGCGGTGCGCCACTCCCGCAAGATGTTCACCCTCAAGCGTATCAGCCAGGTGCACTCGGCGGCGGACCGCCTGGTCCGCAATGGGGCGCTCATGCCCAGAATCCGCCGCCGCCAGGTCCGGCTCCTGGCCCGATGACCGTAGGCAATAACTGGGGCGCCAGTCGGCCTGTCGAGATGCAGAATCCGCCAATGCCACCACAAGCCATGAACCCGTACGATCAGCGCGATCGGATGCCGCCGCAGCAGCAACAACCTCCGCCGAGACAACCAAGTCCTCCACGGCAGGAGTTGGCGCGCTATCAGGAGCAGCCACAAAGGCCTCCTCCGCCTCCGCACAGAGGTCTCTCGCCGTCGCCGAAGGGTCAGCATAACCCTTCTGCGCAATATCAGCCGGGGCCAATTCACCAACTGCAGCAACCTCTTCCACCGCATGCCATCCCTCAGCCGTCACACCATTCGCACGAGCCGCCGCGTCCGCCATACGGCGCGCCTTCCAGTGTCCCTCCACCAGGCATGGGAATGCCATCCTCGGCCGGCCACCCTTCGATGCCGCCTTACGCTCGGCATCCAGAGCAGGCGCCTCAGCCCGAGATCCGACCACTACTGAACAACGCTCCGCCATCGTCAGGCGGGCCATACTCCAGGGGGCCGTACGAGCATCATCCGAACGCGGCACCCAGCATCGCGAGCGGCGCACCACCGCCATCTGCGGCTCAGACAGCCGCGGATGCTGCAGCTCGCGAGCGCGATGAGAGGCCGTCGAGCACCGCTCCTCCTAAGCGTCATCGGGAATGGGAGGACGAACCCAACAATAGCCTTCCGAAGAAGCCATCGACCGAAGAGACTCGCTCGCGGCTCGACGAGATCAAGATGCACCGCCCGTCGCCGCCAGAGAAGATGGCGACACCACCAAATCGAAGCCCATCTGAACTACGGCGCATGGACGATCCGAGGCCAATGTCCGCTTACCACCCCTCTGACGCTGCTCATCATGCACCATCCCTGCCTTCCATGCAGAACATAACGCAACCATCAGCGCGGGCCTCTGCGCCACCGCAAGAGGACCATCGTGCGCCACCGCCACCGTCACAGCCGGCTCCAGTATATGAAGCCGCCGCGCGAAAGATGGACGTTGATGAGAACTACGATGATAGCGGAGACGACAGGTCCGCAACCAAGCAGGAGAGTCAAAGGAGCAGTCCGAAGGCGATGAATGGAGGTACAGCTCCAGTCGCAGTTGAAAGTCAAGCATAGTTTGCCGAGCTGACTGAGGACGATTGGGAGTACGTCGTAACTCTAAAAATGGAGCGTTTCACGTGAAGGCCGCCTGGGCCCTTCGGCACTGACACTCGAGGCGATGGGAAAGCGAAGTTGTTGTTGTGCAGTGTAAGCGTGCGCACGACCTTGACGTGCATATGAGTTGAGTTCTACTTTGTAGATAGCTTGCAACATGCTGCTTCATTACTATTCTTACCTCTACTCAGCGCAATCAACCTCATCAAGCGTCTAGTTTGTGCTCAGCGATAATCTTCTCTGCAGCGCATTCGCCAATAAAATATGCGCAGGCCTGCGTATGGCAATTCGGCAGGAACGGCGTTGCCGACATATCTGCCACCCGTAAGTTCTGCAGCCCTCTGACACGGAAATCGGTGTCCAAGCATGCATCCGGGTCATCAGCTTTGCCCATCTTGACCGTGCAGCTGGGATGCCAAGTTGATATTCCGTACTGCTGCCAAAATGACAATATCTCCTCATCCGTACGACCAGGCACGAGGAAGGGTTGCTTGATGTTCTCACTCATCTTCGGCGTCCCGACGAAGTCCAGTACCCTCCTCGTGGCGGCGATGGCGCATCGTCGATCGAAGGGATGCGAGAAGAAATTTGGATCTACAAGCGGAGCGTCCTCCGGGTCCGCTGACGCAAGCTTGATTGTGCCTCGCGACTGCGGACAATGTAGGAAGAAAGCGACGGTTAGGTAGCTGAGCTTAGGATCCGCGAGCGGCGAGAACGGCGGGATCCAGCAGCTCATCTCCCACAGTGGGACTGTTGGTCGCTTGATGTGCTCTTGTGCTTGCTTTGGAAGGTCGGCGAATTCTTGGGAGTCGAGCACTTCATCCGCCTTAAAGAAACCGATTCTGCATTTGGTCAGTGTGGAAATCTCGGTAGCTGTGATGTTGTCACTTACGCCGTGGTCGCGAAGAAGATCGAAAGCGGGCCGGTGCCGTCCTTTGCGAATTGCTCGTAGCCAGCTTTGACCTTGGCAGAGTCGCCGTAAAACGTATTCCAACCCCTAAGGTTTTCTTTCTCCTCCCACATTGCTGATGTGAAATAGTGGTCCTCGAGACTGTTGCCGACGCCCGAAAGGTTGTGAACACAAGGAATGCCTAGCTCTGCCAAGTCGTTCTTGGGTCCAACGCCAGACAGTAACAGGATCTTGGGTGTGTCGACCGCGCCAGCAGACAAAATGACCTCCTTGGACGCCAGATCTGCCATTCATCAGCCTACGGTCGAACTCTGTCGGGAGCATGTTTAGGAAGCCAGGACACTTACACTCCCAGCCACCAGCTAAGACGCCAGTTGCGCGAGCGCCCTCGAAGATGACTTTCGTTACCTGTGCATTGGTGATGATGGTCAGGTTTGAGGGCACATTGGTCAAGAAAGCTTCAGCAGACGTGATGCGTCGCCCGGATCGGCTAGTCGCTGGGCAAGATGCGAGCCCTAGCGGATTGCCACTGTTAATGTCGAGATTGACTCCGAGACCAACATGTTTAGCGGCATCCAATTGAGCGGTCATCGGTGCCTCCAGGACCTTCGCATACTCAATTCTTACGGGTCCATCAGTCCCGTGGACAGACATGTCAGGACGGGCGTATTTGCGATGGCTTTCGCTGAGGTTTGAGTCGACAGATTCGTGCTTCTTCCTCAGGCGTACAGCGTTCCCCCAGCTAAAGCTACTGTCACCTACGAGATTCGCCCACTCATCGTAGTCGTCTTGCGGTCCCACCGTCCCTGGAAAACCCTTGCATCAGTATCGTGCTGGCCCGATGCTTACGCGTTCCGGCTTTAACTCACAAGCGCACATATTGATGGACGTTGAGCCTGAAGATCAGCAGAAGGTCAGACAAGCCTTTCCAAAGAATGAAAACCGTCCGCACCTCCCAAGCCCTTCCCACGGCTATAGTTGATTGTACGATTGTCGGCATGCTTCTGGGGTACGGTATCATCTACGCAGCTCACTTAGTGACCCGGTGCAGCCGTTGAATTTGATTCTACTCACACCCCCAATTGTTGTCTGGGTATTGCATGAAGCTGGTCCATCTCTCAGCCAGAATGTTCGCGTTTGTTCCGTCCACTGGAGGCCCGGCCTCTAGTAACAGAACCTTTGGCGTTCCTTTGCTGTCCGCCAGGCGACGGGCGAGGCAAGATCCCGCGGGACCGGCTTCGACACATTGATCAGCAAGCGAGCGGTTTGACGACGCAGTATTGAGCCAACGTACACCCGACGACGATGAAGTCGTGCATCTCGTATTATGTCTCGTGTTAAGGTAATGAGTAAAGTTGAGAAAGTACAACGGTGACGCTCTATGGGCCTGAGATCTACCTATATCGAACATCTACCTCGGAGTTTGCGGCTGAGTGTGGTTCGGCTCCCTACATGAATGCAGCGAGGTATATCCCGTGACAGTCCATAGGGCAGGCAAAGCTACGATTGGCTGCTTGAAGCTTTGCGAACCAATTGCAGTGCCACGCATGGGCGACCTACACCGACGGACGAGCTGCTTGCTTTCTTTAGCGCATCCTTTCGGGTTCGAGACACGGCGGGAAAGAGCATTGGAGATCCAGCGAGGTGGCATCGGTCTCGCTTGTGCCCAATCAGGGAGCAACTGTTCCCTCACCATTGTGAGAAAACGTGATGTTGCACCAGCAAGTTCGTGGTGACATGCAAGTAGTCGACATGAGTAGCCTGTCTAAAGGCACGTTTCGCATCTGTCATGCACGTAGTCAGCACAAGCGAGCCACCTTGCCCGAATGGGAGTCGACGTTGATGTCTACCTCAGAGCTTCGTAAACACCATCACGAGTCGGGCAACCAAGCTTCTCGACACTCGTTACGCATTTGCAAGCGACTGTCGCCGTTTCTGCGACTTGTGGGAGTAAGAAGTCGAACAAACGCCTAGGAAGCTTTTGGGACACAGAGTTGACGTAACAGATCGTCGGAGAACCCTTTGAGGTAGGCGTGCTCTTACAGGTAGGCTCTCGGACACGGAAGCCTTACTCCAGTTCTATTTCTCCACCATTTCATTTTCACCATCATGGCTCCCGTAGGTCTTGCGATATTGATTGGCGCAGGTCCGGCAACGGTAGGTGTGACGATCCTGGCGGCTCCAGCAGCCAACTGATTGCAGTCAGGGCGCTGGCATTGCTCGCATCTTAGCCCACCCGTCTCATGGCAACCTTGCGGTAGCACTGCTCGCCAGACGGCAAGAGGTGCTCAACGACCTTGCGAAAGACCTGAGGTCTCAGACGCCAAATGGCGTTTTCGAAACCTTTGCGACAGTACGAGAGGGCTTTCTCAACTGCATTGCGATGTCCGCTTACCAAACATGGAACAGGACACCTCTAAGGAGGGCCTTAACAAGGCCTTCGCCGACATCGAAGCTCACGAGTCGTTCAAGGACTTAAAGCTTCGCATGGCAATCTTCTCGATCAAGAATTCTTCCAAAAAGCCCTTCATGTCCGAGACGTTCGAGGATTTCATGGATCCGTTGCAAACCTATGTCGGTGGCGCCATGTTGTTTTCGCAGCTCTCACTCAAGCGTTTCTTCCACGACCACGGTGAGAAGACGCTCGCGGAGGGCGCCGAGAAAAAGGGCACGCTTATCTTCACTGGTACGCTCGGAGCACTACGGTACGTGGAAAGACGTCTTGGTAAAAGACTTTGGCTTTGCCGCTAATCTGCTACGTTTTATTTGTAGGTGCAATGCTGAGTTTGCGAGTTACGGCGCATCGAGAGCGTCGGTACGGCAATTAGCGCAAGCTCTTGCCAAGGAGATGAGCGCCAAAGGTGTCCACGTAGCCCATGCAATAGCGAATGGCAGAATCTCAGACGCAGACTCCGAAGAAACACGGAGTGGCAAGCACATCGCTGCAGAGGCGGTTGGTAAGACGTATTTGTGGCTTCACGAGCAGCATCCCACACTATGGACGGTAAGTGGCGCAGTGACACTGGTTCATGCCTCCGTGCAGCGAGTCTTTCGGAGTGGTACTGATCTAGGATGCAATGTCTAGCATGAGCTCGATCTACGCCCAGCACAGGAAAAGTTCTAGCCTATGTAATCGTACGGACGGAGTTCTGCCGACTGTTAAGCGAACACGGCGTTGAAGCGCAGACGAATGCCGTCCCGAGTGCCTGACATTAAGGTGATGCCGGTACCGCACAGGACTGGCACGATAGGAGCCGCGCCCTCCACCAATCTGGCCTGTATCAGCAGATGTGTCAATGAGCAGGTTCTCGGTTGTGGCGTGGCGACTGCTATAAGCGGTCATCAGAGCATGGCATTCTAGCTGACGAGCTCTAAGCGACGTGTGGCGCCGCATGTCCTTCGGCCGAAACATAGGAGTCCACGAACTACTATGTTCAACCCCGTGCGAGACCCATGTAACTCCTCGGGCAAAGAAGTCATGTCATGCGTGCCAGCCTCCTCCTGCTTCTCAACTGCAGCAATAAACCGCCTCATCGTCATCATTTTCTGCCACATTCCACCCTGGATGCTGTGCGGTATTCTTGCTGCTACGACATGAAACATGCACACTTGTCATATATACAATCTTCGGTTCGCAGACGACCCCAAATGCTTGCCTCGCTTGCCTAGTTGCTCCACGGTTCTTGCCTTCTGTTTAAATCAGGAGAGTCACAACAAACTTCTGGTCGTCTTAGTGATCCATCACACGCTACAACCCTCAGAGCGTCTGTCCTTCCTATTCGCGTACTAGCGACCAGAATTCCGGCCTTTCGCGTGCGTCGAACCCCCATCAGGCGACGACACTATGCTGCGAGTGGTTGGCACTTACGACACATTTGGTGCGCGCAGCTCCATTTTGATAGACCTGCCATAGATAAGATAAACGAATGCCTGAAAGTAACACAGCAACTGGAGCGAGTACCGTACTGGGGCATCCCAACAGTCGATATATGCAACTGAACTTGAAGTAGCCTTGTGGTTGGCCGAGCTTTGGGTCTTCAGCTGGCATGGCCTCCAGGTAGCTTTTCAGTGCCTGGTCAGCGTAGAACTCGGATGAAGACCGTGCTGCAGCGGGGATTCGACCCTTTACATATCCGGTATTCCATCAACAGCGGGGATTAGCAAGTGATGAAGTCCCTCCGATGACGGCGTCGGTAGGCGTAGAAGAACAGCAAAATCTCGAAGGGTTGCGTTGCGCTCTCCGTGCGCTGTACGGCGTGCAGGATTGCATCGGCTCATGCGGACACGCGTTTCGAACGGAGTCGCGGGAGCTCAGTATCAAGCGTGGACCGATAGCCCGGTCTTGCCAAGGTGGCGGGCTCTGCCACATCGAGAGCGTGCAAAGCCGCTGTAGAGCCTCGAGCATAAGAGGTTGGCCTTGGAGTGGTGGGCCCCGGGTTGGAAGCGCATTGTAGCGTGGTGGCTTTGCAGGCCCCTGGTAAACCATTCTTGCGTGGCACATGGACCCATGATCGCAAGCCGTTGCCTCGTACCTCCTCGGGCATCTATGGTAAGAGCCTATGTTAGGGGCACGGTTTTCCTATCTGTTTGAACACAGGTTGTGAATTATCCTCAATCACCCGAGTGGCATCTGCTAGCTTCTGCTTGACTCTGACATGAATTTGAGATGCGATCGTCGAGCCATCAGACACTGGTCATCGAAAGGTACCGTTGCTCTCAGGTCGTTGGTTGGTAGGACGGCCAGACCCGCATATATTTCCGCGCGGTATGCGGCAGTTGAAACTTCGGGGATGTTTGAGCCGTGCGCTCCCGCACTTGATGTAACTAGTTATGGTAGGCACGAGAGCCAATGATGAGAGAGCTCGCTTGGAAATGCATGTATACTACTGCGCCGGCCGGTACCTTGGGAAATGGTCTTGAGGAGACTCACCACGTCTGAACGACATTTCAACCCCGGGCTTGCCGCGTAAAGTTATAGTCGAATAAGCGAGCTGCCGACAGCTTTCCATGGCTGCTTCACTTCAGACATGATACGGCGACTGGGCCATGCGGTTCATGGTGATTCCCTCATAAGTCGAGTCTGGAATCGTTCGTGGTGTCCAGAGCAAAGGTAAACGGCCATGACGAAGGTGCTGAAGAGACCGGATGATTTTGCGAGCAAATGAGTACGGACCGGGCTACCCTGCTGAAATGTTTACCATCCACCGCCACTCCACTGCATTAGTGCTCAACAATGATGCCAAACACCGCTGCATACGATACATCCTACTTCCGCACTCCCACCTGCGACCAGCCTCCTGATCGACGTTCAATACCGCTGCACCCAGAGACTCCAATACGTCGGAGAGCTCATACCATGTTTTCGGTGCCAATATGTTCATTACCTTACTCACGTGCCTACCTTTTCGGGACTCTGTCGACTTAGGCTAATCACGTCAGTTTTGCCGAGACTCATACTGCAGTGCATCACCCGCGATCATGACTTCTGCATGAACATGATATCAAGTATTCGCTACAAGCCAGACAAGCACCCGTTCGTCCAATATCACGGAAGAATGAGTGGTTTACTTTGAAGAATAATAGTAAATCCGTGCTGCTGCTCTAAGGTTGACCCACATCACAACAACCTCCCGGTTTATTAAGGGTAGCAACGGTTGCGCGATATGAAGGGCAGCTTAAGTGTTACATTCGGCGGTGGAGCCGGTAGAGATGTTCTCGAAGCCGAGGCTGATAAGGTCGCAGCGGCCGGCCAATGGCAGGCTGTTTATTGGTGGGATCGGAATGACACTTGTGCGCGCTGAAAGGCTACTCCACTGGTTGCGGGCAGCCGGCGGCCGTACGTTACATCGAGCAAGGCCTAGGATACCCACGTCAATCGTCGCAGGCGGTTGGCTTCCATACTGCCCGCCATAGCTCTCGAGGGGTTGGCCGTTGCGCCTTGGCTCGCCATCCGCAGCTGTTACCTGTGTGCTGCGATCGGATGTCGGACCGCTCGCAATGCTGCGCGTGCCCGCCATTTGTTGGTACTCTGCAAGGATGGTGCGCAAGGATTCCCAGCATCTTGCGACATTACGGACGTGAAGGCCGTAAAGTAAACGGTCGTTGCAGCGCTGCCTCCGCTCGAGTATCTTGGCATCAGCACTGATAGTGGCCCTCGCTAGTCCGACCGGCCTTAATGTAGCGCAGTCAACTCAGACTCCACTAAGTACCGCAGGGTCTATTCGCGGTCTCGATAGCGGATGGTATGAAAGGCGGAGGTGCAGGTCGAGGCTATCGCCTGTGAGCTGTAACTCCCGATCCAATAAATACAGAACTATCCTGAGAACGTGCTGGAGTTTCAGCAAGTCTCACAGACAGCGGCAGTCAGGCTACATACTCTCAGCATGACGTCCAATACTGCTCTAACCCCGCCCATACCAGGCACGGAAGCGGACGATATCGCCCAACCACCACCGCGAAAAAGACGTCGAAGAACGACAGCAGGCGGAGCGACCGAGGACTGCTTCACCTGCAGGAAGCGGTCAGTCCAGTGCGACCGGAAGAGACCGTATTGCACTCAATGCCTGGATATCGGAAAGGACTGCTCGGGTTACAAAACTACCTTGACATGGGGCGTTGGCGTAGCAAGCAGAGGCAAACTCAGAGGCTTGCATTACCCAATTGCAAATAAGAATGTTGACGGAAACGATACGCTACCAGAGTCGGAAGGGGGTAGACGGCGAAAAAGCTCCGTCTCGACTATCAAGAAGGAAGACCCGAATGAGCCATTTCTTGCGAGCGACCAACAGCCTGTGCCTTTAGCAACACCTAGTCTGCCACTTACCATCCCTCAACCACCCAGTAATTGGCAAAGCTTGAGCCTCCACCAAAGTCTGCCGCCGCGGCGCAGTGAGTATGGCAGACAGAACTCGTTTGTGCTACCACCTCTACATCGTCTTCAAACTGCGCTAGGGCCGCCATATAGGAATCCTAGCGTGCCGAACTCGGGTGTATCAATAGAATCGTACGCAGAGACCGAGTTTCACTCGCCACTGGAGTACCCGCAGACACCTGGGTCTGTCGCCTTCGCAGACCAAACGCGGAACCCGTTCGCTGATCAGCCTTTGGGCCGTGTCACAAGCAACCCGTATACGCCAGCCACTCCGCCAACAGATGCATATACCGATTCTGCTGGCTTCCGTAGGTCTAGCAATGCGATGGATGTGTCGACTATGGATCCTAGTCAATCACAGCTTAGCCCCATGGATGCAATGTTCTACTCCAACGCCGATGTGGCGCTCAGCGATCTCGACTCGTTTACGGCTTCTGTCGAGGAGATGATGGAGGACGAAGAGCAGAACAGCTTGGCGCTTTTTGACTCTCGCTTCTCTAGCCCGTTCTTCCACCTCACGCCGCGCTTGCAGTCATTACTGGATCACTACGATCGCTGCATCTGTCCGTACCTTGTCGCCTTCGACGGCCCACAGAATCCCTACAGAAAGCACATCCTACAACTAGCCGTTGATAACGAAGGCCTACAAAATGCGATTGCAGCCTTAGCGACCAACAACATTCGTATGCGGCAGAAACAGCCGCAGCAACTTGGCTTCGTCGAGGAGCTTATGGACGCGCAAAGTCCGAAGGATGCTCAAGACTCCAAGCAAGCGATGATAGAGGAATCGATGTACAAGCAAATCTCGATTGACCACCTGAACGTTCAACTCACCGAGCGTGGTGCCGCACATGACGACTCCGTCCTCGCTACATTACTGATCTTATGCCTGTTCCATGTCTGCGATTCCGGTTTTAGCAAGTTCAAGACTCAGCTAGCTGGCGTGCAGAAGTTGCTCTCCTTACGCAACCCAACGATCCAGTCAAGCTTCACTGGATGGGTCCAAATGTTCTTCACCTGGTGCGATGTCATCACTTCCACGGTTAATGATCGCGAAGTGCAAATTAAGGGTGAAGCGCTGGATATGCTTGACTTCTCGGCCAATCTAGGCGGGCTGGAGCAGTTCTCTGGCTGCGATGGCAGGCTCTTCAAGCTCATTGCGAGGCTTGGGCGGCTGAACCTTCTGGCGCAGGGACGACCGGTCAAGGATAGTAATGGGATCGTGAGGACGCCGAGAACCTCAGCGAAACGAACGACGACCCGCTCAGGACGAAGGATGAGGCCTTCAACCAAGTTGTTGGCGAACAAGTCGCTGTCTCCGCTTGACTATGAGCATATAGATGGCAATGGCTGGGGCACACCTATCATCTCCTCTGATGAGGACGCAGATGGTACAGCAGACGAAGGACTTGCGGCTACTACTCAAGACGAACGTCGTGAGTTCTGGGAAGATTGGCACGACCTTCGCAATCGCCTTCAAGCGTGGCAGATGGATGCTTCCGTTGTGCCTGCAGCGCATGATCGGACACAGATTGACGCCGGTTACAGAGACCTTGACCACATCAACGAATCGTTCCGCTATTCCGCATTGCTTTACACCGAGCGGCTTGCCAGCCCAGTGCTTCCATCTTCACACCCGCAGTTCCAGACCTTGGTTTCTCAGGCGCTCTATCACATCACAGCTCTTAGTGTCACATCGTGCGTCAACAAGTTCCTGCTATGGCCTCTGTTCATCATTGGGACCGAGTGCGTTGACGAAGGCCATCGCAACATCATCCGAACCCGATGTGTTGAGATTCAACGCGAGAGTGGCTTCTTCAACAATCTCAGCGGATTGGAGGTACTGGAGCGTGTGTGGCGCGAAGTCGGGGAGAACACGCAGGGCAACGAGGTGGAGGAAGTGAGGGTGCGGAGGAGAGACTCTGAGGCGGGCAGAAGGGGTGCGAGGTATGGCCAAGCTTTCCGATGGCGGAAAGCGATGGATCGAGCGGATGGCGAATACATTGTTATCTGATCTACGCTTTGAGCGAGCATAAGCACATAGCAACCCCTAGCGCCAATCGCTCGAACGCGCACGAAACTACGATGAAACGGCCATAATGTGCCCACATTTACTGCTGCCTTGGACCAGCTTCAGCGAGGCCCTCCAGCCCTTGCATTGGGTCTTCCACCGTATCACCATTTGTCTCTGCCGGTTCGTCTATACTGTACTTTGCAGCATAACCCTCCTGTACCTACCGTTTAGCGAAAGGGCAAAACCGTGATCGCAAGTACCAGCTACGTACCTGCTCCCATACTGCTGTCCGACTGCCGAGTCCTTCGTTGGCGTCACGCTGTGGTTTCGCTTGGTTCACTTTGATCACACGACCATACAGCTCAGACTGGTCCATGTTGTCGATCGCTTCTCGAGCGTCTTCCGGCAGTGCAAACTCTACATAGCCGAACCCTCTGTGCGGCTCGGTTGATGAAGCTCTATTAACAATTAGCAGTTACTACTTGCTCCGGAGTTGACAGGTCCAAAGCATACAGCTCTGGTTTAGGTAAGGAGACATCAACGACTTCGCCAAACGGGATGAAGGCGTCGTGAAGCGTCTGCGTCGTCACTTGACCGTCAAGACCGCCAACATACACAGTCGCTCTTTGACGTGATTGATCGGACATTCCGGCCGATACAAAGATGTTCCTGTCAACCTGACTTGTCCATGTGAGTATTGTGGGAATAGGCTGTGTTTTCACCGGCGTCTTCGTTGCTCGTCCTTGTCGTTGTTGCCGTGGGCTGCCAAGACTCAACCTTGACGTCGTTGCGGAACAATTGGCCAGATAAACAACAAGACATTGCACTCTGCCTGCCTCAACTCGACTTCCGCACACCCTGCCCTTGATGTACGTTTGCCGCGATTGAGCGTTTCTTTCTGGCGTAGAGACACCAGGCCACCATTATGGTAGGCTTGAGGGAGCTTCAGCGAACAGCTGTCTTCGCTTGGTCGCCTGGCGCGGCCGCACCGTTCATTGTTACTGGCACCCGTAGCGGCGCACTCAACGATGACCTTTCTGACGAGACGAAGTTGGAGCTCTGGGACCTGGGGCTTGACAAGCTACAACCAGATGCTGAGCTCACACCGATAGTCAGCATCTCGACCGACTCCGGCTTTAACGACATCGCCTGGAGTGAGCCAAATGACGAGTACCCACATGGTCTCGTAGCCAGTGCGTTGGAGAATGGATCTGTAGATGTTTACGATGCGGCGAAGCTGCGTAACGGCGACTCAGACGCACGTGTGTCACGGAACACGAAGCATAGCGGAGCGGTCAAGGCATTGCAATGGAACCCTTTCAAGCATAGTATGCTTGCTTCTGTCGGCGCGAAAGGAGAGATCTATCTTTACGACATGAGCAACGCTGGCAATCCTACAAGCTTCAGACTCGGTGCTTCTGCGGCAAGGGCTGATGACATTGAGTGCTTGGATTGGAATAAGCTCGAGAAGACTCAGCACATCTTGGCCACGGGCAGTAGCGGTGGCTTTGTGACAGTATGGGACGTGAAGCAGAGGAAGGACATACTCACGCTCAATAATCAAGGTCGGAAGGCCGTCAGTGCGGTGGCCTGGGATCCAGAAGAGAGCACGAAGTTGGCTACGGCTACGCCCAGCGATCAGGAGCCACTCATCCTGCTTTGGAGCCTGCGTAACAGCAGCGCACCAGAGCGGACGTTGAAAGGTCACGAACTGGGCGTGCTGGGCTTGTCATGGTGCCTGCAGGACCCAGAGTTGCTTCTGTCTTGCGGCAAGGACAATCAGACAATCTGTTGGAACCCCAAGACCGGCGAGAAATACGGCAGCTTTGCGGCCGGGTCAAATTGGGCCTTCCAAACCAGATGGAATCCACATAACCCAAGCCTGATCGCCAGCGCATCTTTTGACGGCAAAATCTTAATAACATCTACGCAAGCCACGAATACTAAGCCGGAGGACCAAGCTAGCTCGAGTCAAGCACTAGATGGTGAGGATTTCTTTGCTAAGGCGCAAACTCAACCTCAAGGCATCTCCTTCACCATCTCGAAGACGCCCAAATGGCTAGCGCGACCCTCAAACGTCTCCTTCGGCTTTGGCGGCAAGCTGGTACGAGTGAGCACCGACGCTTCGCGGAAGAGCAAGGTTGTCGTCGAGACCTTCGCTATCGACACAACGATCGGCGACACTGCTGCAAAGTTTGAACAGCAACTGCAGGGCGGCGACCTAGCAAGTCTTTGTGCGAGTAAAGTCGAAGAAGCACCGACTGAGGAGGAGAAGGCCGATTGGCAGATCATTGCGACACTGAATGCCGGCAAGTCACGAAAGAAGCTGAGAGAGTACATAGGTTTCAATGATAACATAGATTGGCTCTCTACCGAGGCAGAGAAGCCTGGTACGAACGGCGATACGTCGAGGCCGAAGACAAACGGCGAGAAAGACGATTTCTTCAGCAGTGCTGGTGATGATGACGGCTTCCTTGCAAACCTGGCGTCTACGAAGGGCGCCAAGACCAACAATCCTTTTCACATGTACACGGGAAACGAATCGGAGGCGGACAAGAGCATAACGCGGGCGTTGATGCTCGGCCAATTCGAGCGGGCTCTTGAGATATGCTTACGAGAAGATCGCATGTCTGACGCTTTCATGATCGCCGTCTGCGGAGGCCAGGCGTGCATCGACAAGGCGCAGAACGCATACCTGAAGAAGAAAGCGAAGGGTCCGAATTACCTACGTCTCCTGGCTAGCATTGTCGGGAAGAATCTATGGGATGTCGTGCATAACGCTGATTTGCAGAACTGGAAGGATGTCATGGTTACGCTATGTACCTATGCCGACGAGACCGAGTTTGCGGACCTTTGCGAGGCGCTCGGTGACAGGCTGGAAGAAGCCTTCCAAGGTGGCGATCAGTCGAAGTCCTTGAGGAGAGACGCCTCGTTCTGTTATCTAGCAGGCTCGAAGCTGGAGAAAGTTGTCCTCAACTGGGTGGAAGAGTTACAGGAGCAAGAGAAGTCTGCGCTTCAATCGTCGGACAGCGAAAACACATTCTCGGTGCACGCACGATGTCTGCAAAGCTTTGTTGAGAAGGTCTCCGTTTTCCGCAAAGTCGCGAGCTTCAGAGATACACAGCTACAAGCCGCGAACGAGTGGAAGCTTGCACCTCTTTACAGCCTCTACGCTGAGTACGCCGACATTCTGGCTGCTCACGGTCAGCTCGGAATCGCAGAGCAATACTTGAGCTTGCTGCCAAACAAATTCACTGGCGCTGACGCGGCGCAGCAAAGGGTGCGTCAGGCCACGAAGAAAGCCGCGGCTGCGGCTACGGTGACTTCACGACAATCTGCTACGGCGCAACGTCCTGCTTCATCAGCTCAAACCGCACGGCAGCCTTACCAGCCCGCGCAGCCTCTCGTTAACCAAGCCCGTAACGCAACACCGGGGCCTTACGCGCCTGGTGCACCAGCAACAGCCCCGGTGGCAGCAGTCCAAAGTCCATATGCTCCAACTCAGAACAGCTATGCGCCGGCCGGCTACCAATTGTCACAGCCTGCACCATATGGCCAGCCAGCCGGATACGGTGGATATCAGCCGCCTCAACAACAGGCGAGCCTACCTCCACCACCTCGTGGTTCTACCGCTTCGCCCTCCATCCCTCCTCCATCTCAGGCAAAGAACGTTGGCGACTGGAATGACATGCCCGCCAACTTCTTCAAGGACCGGCAGCCGAACTCACGAAGAGGCACACCTGGCCCGCAACCGGTCATCTCACCGTTTCCAAACGCCCAGCCGCCACAACTCTCTCCTCCACCGCCTACCGGGCCGCCGCAGTACGGTGTACCAAGGCAACAGACACCGTTACCGCCGCCACCGAAGGCGGGTGAGACGCCTGCAAGAGTGACATCTCCGCTTGCAGGGCCTCCTCCAACGCAGCGGCCATCTGGCTCTGCTGCTAGTCCTTATACACCGGTGCAGTCTTCGTACCCGTCCACCGGCTCAACGTTACCGGCACCTGCGCCGCCTCCTGTAGCCAGAGGGGCTTCGCCGTACCAGCCGCCTCCGTCAACCTCTAACGCTGCCCCGTCAAGCAGATACGCCCCTGCTCCCGGCACGCCATCCTCTCAGATTCCTGGTCAGCCGCCACAGCAGAGGCAAGTAGCACCTAATCCTTATGCAGCACAACAACCACAAGGTCCCTATGCGCCGCAGTCGCAACCGCAGACTCCATACGGCCAACCTCCGCAAGCGCAAGCGCAAGCACCTCCACCCGCAGGCCCACCGCCGCGTGGGCCTCCCAAGATGACACAGACGCCGTCGGCTTCAGCCCAAGGCACTCCTATCCGTGGCGGACCAGCACCACCAGTCCAGCCTCTACCGCAGTCAGCATCTGATGCGAACCCCAACTCAACCGAAAACGCCCAACCTCCACCATCTTCCAAGCCGAAGTATCCACGCGGAGACCGCTCGCATATCCCACCAAATGCTCAACCCATCGTGGACCTGCTCTCGCCGGAAGTGGCGCGGATCAAGTCCGCCGCACCTCAAGCCTTCAAACCGCAGGTCGACGACATGGACAAACGGATCAACATCCTCTTTGATCATCTCAACAATGAGGATCTGCTAAAGGAGGATACAGTGCAGCAGATGGTGGAGATCAGTCGGTGCGTGCAAGGGAAGGATTGGGACCGAGCTTCTGCCATCTTCGCGGAAATGCAGGCGGCGAAGCTGGAGAGTGAGGGCACGCATTGGATGGTGAGTCAAACATCGTGTGGTGTAATGCATATCTACCAAGACTAACCGACGTCTCTCTAGGTCGGCATCAAGCGACTCATCAACATCGGCAAGGCCACAAGCAAGTAGCTGCGAGCTCTTCTGGCTTGCAAGCATCGAACAACTAGAGCATTGCATAAAAGTACCACGATGTCTATGATCACAACCATGAACATGTGTTTCGGTTACTCACTAATAGCGTACGTGGAGCCTGCGCATGTTTCGGCACACCTTGAGAGTTTTCATTTCTCTCACGTCCTGCCAAGGCTTGGTTCCCCGACCTCACCTTGCAGCAGCAGAAGCTTGCGTTGCTTGCACCTGCGCTGTCTCCTGCAGAAGCCTTAGTTTATCTCTGACAACGTGTGGTTCTTGACAGCCCGTAGAGTTCTGTTCCTGCGTGGCGCCTTCCCAGTTTCACAGTGAAACTGTGCTAGCGGGCTCGTGCCGCTGCGTACCGCTCGCTGAGGAAACTCTAAGGATGACTTGGCAACGCTGCCCGCCACCGCTCTTCTTCCCTTCCAGCGCGGTTTCCAGCTGCAATCACGGCGAAGACTGCTTGCAGCTTACATACATATACATGCATCCCGACCAAGTGGCATCGCTGGGCGCGCGTGCGCATGCGGGCGGTCGCTCTTGCGTTGGGTCTAACTTCGGTTGCTTGCCGAAACAAGGTTGAGACCTGGCACAAGGAAAGCGCGTCCTGCATCACTCCGTCGGCAAACCGGGCGAGCTGGGAACTGCAGGCCTTGATGAACCATGGCAATACGGCATACCGCCTGTAAATGCAAGACGCACTTCAAGCTTCGTATGTCGTGTTACTGCTGAAGCCAATGAACTGCGTCATGCGTGAATCGTAAGTGCAGTTGTGTGAACGCGCCCTTTCCCTGATTGTGGAGGCTGGCACGGCTGGGTTGCACAAACACAAAACCCACCGCTCCTGCCAAACGACACTCACTCCGTGTGCACAACAAAAGCTCCCGCACGAAAATCTCTTCCTCTTCCACACAACACACTACATTACAACATTGTCAGCACCGCCATTCGATATCGCCGCCGTCCCGTCCATTGCTCCTGCTGCATCATCATATCTCCATCAGCTGCTCAAGCAGACATTCATCGAAACTAACAAACTCCAAGCATATCAATCAAGATGCGCTCCTTCATCGCGGTCGGCCTCTTCGCGGTCGCGGCCCTTGCAGATGTGACTGGTGGTAAGTCATCAGTGCCATACCGGCCTCCATCACATAATCATCGCTTCCATTGACCGCCCTATATGAGCATACGCTAACCGCTTCTACAGAGCCTGTAGCATACGTGACCGACTACAGTGGGGTGGCACTAATAGGTTTGGCAGTGACGGTCACCGCCACAACGGCGACCACCATCTACAGCTGCGAGTCAAGTGAGTGTTCCTCTGCTGCCACGTCAAGCCCCAGCATGAACACTATCGTCGGCACATACCCTGTGCTTTCGATCCTCTCCTGCGCTCTGACATCCTGCACTGCCTCCCCTACCACCCTCCTCACTGTTACGTCATCACGAACATCCGCCGAGCAGGCGGCGACGACAAACGCTGTTAGCGTTCTGTCTTCTGCACTTTCCACCAGCATCCCCGTCATCCTTCCCTCCTCGTCTCCTACCACCGTACCGGGCTGGCATTGGAGTTCGGTCAACTCACAATCGACTTCTTCTTCAGGCACCAATGTTGCTCCTCTGCCAGTCGGCCCGGCCACCGCAAGCTCTTCGCCCTCGGCCTACCAGTCCAGCGTGCCGGCGAGCAGCGTCGCTCCCATCTCCTCTACTACGGTCACCACAACCATCACCCCATCAAGCACCCCGGCTGCCATCGCTTCGGTCTCCAGCGCTTCATCCTACACCACCACGACCATGAGCGTCCCGGCTAGCGTGTCCACCTCTCTGAGCAGCTCCGGCAACACCGTCGTCCCAGTTATCGTTCCGGCCACGAGCGGTCCCGCTTCCACTACGGCGCCCGCTCCATCCTCATCTGCGGCTCCTGCTCCATCATCCTCCGCCGCTGGTGCTGTCTCCGGCAGCGCCTCAAGCGCCACACCGATGGGCACTTCCAGCATGAGCATGACTCCTGCCTCGAGCTCCGCTCCATCCGCCTCCGGTAGCTCATCAGCAAGCGGGAGTGCCACAGCCAACCCGGTCAGTGGGTCAAGCGCTGCCGCCACCACCACGCCGGCCCCGCCAGCGTCTGCGGCTGCAACCAATGCTGCAAACATGAAGGAGTTCCCTGCTGCAATGGGTGGACTCGCGGCTGCTGCTGCGGCTCTGCTCTTCATCTAAGCGCAGACTCTTCGACAGGGTAGCGCCAAGCTGCCCTTCCTTGACACTGTTTCGAGACTCCTCGACACTCACCAACACGCATTGGAGAGCTGCAGAAAGCGAGTCATCCCATAGCGATCAGGCGTTCACTAGGGCGTCCCGGGCATGAAACGACGGATACCCAACATAGCATGTTTTATGATTGATTGAGGGAGGAGTACGATTGACGATGCATATGGCAAAGGCACATCAGAACGGTTGGCTCCGTCGAGTCTTCATGTACTTGTAACTGCTTTGCCCAGCGAGAAAGCAATAATGTAATGCTTGCACGGCCAGCCAACAACCCGATCACTGTTTCTCTGAAGTCTTTGTTGCATAAAGTCTAGGCATTGTTCAAGGTGTCTTCTTGATCTGTCCACCCAACACCGAGCACGCTGTGACGCCTGACCGGTTCGCCCCACAGTTGCGATGACATGTGAGCAATGAAGCTTCCATCACCAGCGCCGAAGCGTCTCACGGACACAGGCTAACTAAATCTACGCTGACACGTCTGCGTCGCGAAATCTCACTGAGCAGACCATGACAGCGCACCGATGACCTCGCGTACTCGGCGGTAGCTGAGAATCCATTATATCAAGATGCCAGGCTCAAGTCGACGGTCCATCTCTCTGCCCACTCTTCCACTCCGCCGTTCAGGCCTCAACCTAGACCTGCGCAACTCCGCAACCCGGCAGCAGCTCCTCGCCGGATCAATAGATCTCCTCCGGAATGCGCTACTCGTTCTGTTCATCCTGCGGTACACGCGCAAGACTTTAGCACACCTACGCGGATATGGCCTGCTCGGTTCCCTACAGCGCCTCTACAAAGACCTATACCGCAACTTCTATGCCCTCTTCCTCCGCCTCCCATTCGTCCAGGCCAAAGTGCGCAAGGATGTGGATAAAGCGATGAGCGAACTGGAAGGGAAGCTCGTGCCCACCGGACCGGGAGTCACTACGTATACGAGCTTACCGCTTGCGGGATGGACGGTCGAGCAGATCCGCAAGGAGCTGGAGAAGTTGTCGGAGATGAAGCATACGCGGTGGGAGGATGGGAGGGTCAGTGGAGCGGTGTATCACGGGGGCAATGAGCTTTCGGATTTGCAGAGTGAGGCGTTCCGGAAGTTTGGCGTCAGTAACCCCATACACCCTGATGTGTTTCCCGGGGTGAGGAAGATGGAGAGTGAGATTGTTGCGATGACGCTGGCGCTTTTTCATGGCCCGGCTAACGGAGCGGGTGTGACGACTAGTGGAGGCTCGGAGAGTATATTGATGGCTGTGCTCTCTGCGCGGCAGAAGGCGTGGAAGGAGAGAGGGGTGAGGGAGCCGGAGCTAGTGCTACCTGAGACCGCACATACGGCATTCAGGAAGGCGTGCGAGTACTTCAAGATCAAGGTCCATCTCGTGCCTTGTCCGGCCCCGAGCTACAGAGTTCATACACCCACGGTAAGCCGACTGATCAACAGCAACACCATCTTGCTGGTCGGCAGCGCGCCCAACTTCCCTCATGGCATCGTGGACGACATACCCGCCCTTTCGCGACTCGCACAGAAGCACAAACTGCCATTGCACGTCGACTGCTGTCTCGGCAGCTTCGTGATACCGTTCTTGGAGAAAGCAGGCTTCCCAGCACCCGAGTTTGACTTCAGAGTTCCTGGCGTGACGAGCATAAGCGTCGACACGCACAAGTATGGCTTCGCGCCGAAAGGGAACAGTGTGGTGCTGTATCGTTCCACGGAGCTCAGGCGGTATCAGTACTATGTCTGTCCTGACTGGTCTGGCGGCGTATATGCGAGCCCGAATATGGCCGGCTCGAGACCTGGCGCGTTGATTGCGGGCTGCTGGGCGAGTCTGATGCGGATGGGTGAGGATGGCTATCTAGATACGTGCTTGAAGATTGTGGGCGCGAGACAGCGGGTTGAAGATGCGGTTCGCGAGAACGAGAAGCTGAAGGCGAGCTTGAAGATCATTGGCAAGCCGATGGTGTCTGTCGTTGCTTTTAAGGCGGATGAGGCCGCTCCGTTCGCTGACAAAGTGGATGTCTACGACGTCGCTGACGGTATGAGTGGCAAGGGCTGGCATTTGAATGCGCTGCAGGACCCGCCGGCAATCCACGTTGCAGTGACAATCCCTATCGTTACGGTGGTGGACGAGCTGATTAGAGATTTGGAAGTGGTGGTGCAGGAGTGCAAGGGCAAAGCGGTAGAGAAGAAAGGCGATGCGGCGGCATTGTACGGTGTCGCCGGCGCTTTGCCGGATAAAAGCATCGTCAGGGAACTGGCAAGGGGGTTTTTGGACACCCTTTACAAGACCGCATGAGACTGCTGGCGTATCTGAGAGCGTGCAGAATGTAGCGTTGCATTTGAGCGAGTTCTGCATGATGAGAGCGTTCGGTAGCGCAGACTGCATGTACAGATTGATTGAGCTGCATTGGCTACGCGCAGTAACCCTTCAACACTCCGCCCGTGCCGACCGCCATTCCTTGCGCCGCAATTACGTGTCGAGTCTTGTAGGGAAGGTGCCCTTCTCTCTCTGGTCATCCCATCTCTCGCACCATGAGCTCGGGCATAGGGATCGGTAGGCGAGGAAGAACTGCCACAGATGATTAGCATTACTCAGCGAACAGGTCGTGAGGCTGGCTCGCTGTACCTGACGGCAAGGCTTGAAGTCTTCACCCTTGGCGAGGATGCACTTGTGGTAGTCGACGTAGTTCTGCCAGCAGTGCTTGGTTTGGTTCTGGTTCGGGAAGCGAGCATCGAAGCCTATAGGTACATCAATATCATTCCCCATCACTCCACAGACTTTTCCGGGGTGCTCGTCTCGTTCAGTGGACGTATGGGTGGTACGGCGGCTTACCGGCTGTGGTCACATTAGCATGGCTATCTTCTTCGCATTGGTGGAGGGAGGGAAGACAGACCTGTCACGAACTTAAAGGGCATGGTAACGCGATCCTCGTCGTCCGACATCTTGGCGGTGTTTACTGGTATAGACTGTGGTGTAAAGTGTGCGCTTCTTCGCCGTGCTAGCTTACTCTATGTCCAGTGGTATCAATGATTGAAGCAGGAGGAGGAACTCGGCTCATGCACGAGCCGGGTCAGCTGATTGGCCGGAGCTCAAGCACCTCCCTTCACTTCGTCAATGTGACCAGGCAGCCTCTCTTTTGACAGGCATAACAACCTCGCTCTCCACTCCACACACAGGGTGAAGGATAGTCCTCAAGATGCAGTCTACACGCTTCCTCGCAGCAAACATGCTGCGCCAGCAACCCACTATGTTCTTACTGCGGTCCCGCGCAGCACCCACGCTGCGAGCCCAGCCCATCCGGAGCTTCCAAACCAGCGCAAAGCGGATGATGCCACTCCCCGTACGTAGAGGTCCATGCATTGTATTACACGAACGTCGCTGACATGGTCCGTAGAAAGAAGAGCAGTCCGGTACATCAAGTGTCATAACCCTTCCTCCACGCCCACGAGCTGACTTACCGCACAGGCCACACCGTCTCCCAGCGCCTACGCTCACTCAAGCGGATCCCACCGGAATTGATCCCACTGGGTGTCGTGCTTGCTGCTGCCATTTTCGCCGCGGTCTGGAGTTTGAGCCGCAAGCTGTACACGGACACGACGCTCCGGCTGTACCGGCAAGGTCCTGAGGCGAAGAAGGCCTGAGTGTTCATTTAAACGGCATGCTTGAGGCACATACACAAGCTGCGAATGGGGCTGAGAGCGGCTTGACGACACGATTGCACAAGCATTTGAGGTGCAGAGACAGACTGTAAGCTCTGGCGTTCTGTAGCACGGACACATCGGAATGACATCGAAGTTGTATCACCTACACTGAGAACATGTCTGCCTTTCTGTGGAGAACACGATGAGAGTGCTTATCAAAGCCCATCATCCAGTCAGTGTCCAGCTCACACGTAAGTAGGCTTGCGGCTTTCATGGACTGTCAAAGGTAGTAAGCTGCACTCTCCAGCAGCAAGGAAGCTATCACGGTAGGCCATGGTTCTTGCCACCCACCTATGCAACATCTTCTGGTAAGTGCCCGAGTGCTCAACGTGGCAGATATCTGCTTCCTACCTGAGCTTGTAGGACTGCCTTTACTGCTGGCATCCAAGCAAATCAAGTCCACCCTCGCGCGTTAATCGAACCAGCAAACCTTTTCAGCATTCAGACATCCCTTCGAACCTCAAAAGCATGCATGGGGCATATCAGTTCTATCAGTCACACTCGCGGCTTGCTCGACCGGTTTTACACTCCACGCCGTCGCGGACACCAAAAGCAAACCGTGGAAGTCAATGGGCACGCTGTCATCCAACGACTGTTTATGCGCGACAAGCGTCTGGGGCCCGAACTTCAACGCATTCTCACCTGTGGACGTACCGGAGAGCGGCCGTCTGGTGCTATGGTTCAGCTCATATTGCACCAGAGAATCTTAAGTCATAGATGGTGGTTGATTAAAGTATGAATGCAACGATTTGGCGCCGTTCAGCAGAAGGAGCATGGGCTTCTTTGCTTAGGCTTAAGGTGAGCAAATCTAACACACCAGTAGGTCAGTATTGGCGATGCTGAATGGAAATCAAAGCGGTTGTATCGGCCAGTATATGTCGGGATACATGAGCTATTGTTCGGCAGTGCAGGACGGGGGACGAAAACGACTGCGTGTTATTTCATGACCAAGGCTCAATGCTATGCTGCCGATCATAACATCCAAGTGGTGACTCGTTGCGTGGTTGGCACATCAGCGTCCTCCCCACATCTAAAGTCCGAGCAAGCTAAGGCCCGATTAGGTCGTACCGCCCGTCTCACTTGACTAGACAATGCAGTGGAGACCTTTTAACTCCATCAATTACCATAACACACCACACTGATGTATCACAGTCCTGCCTGTAAGTCCGTAAGAATGAACGCCTCCCCAGTCTGCCAATGTTTCTTTCACGCGCCTGCGGTACAACTATGCTCCGCTTGGGGCTCAAAGGAGGTAGATGTATAAGGTCTTGTCCTCCGCTGTCAATACTACATCTCAATCTGCATCATACACTTTTGTCCACCAAATACCGAAGCACAAAACCTTATTCAACCACTGCAACCATGGCTGCGAGTACCAGTGAGACTCCGAGGAGCCTTCCTACTGTCTACGAGTCGTACCCTTACATCTCTCGCGAACGATTTGCTGGCAAGCTCAATGGCAAAGTAGTATGTCACACCTTCCCGCGTAGTAGTCTTGATCTAACGCACCATCCAGGCGATCGTGACAGGCACATCAGTCGGCATCGGAAGGGAGACTGCCAAGTCATTCGCGTCCGCAGGTGCAAAGACTGCCTGCGTTGCCCGTCGCGAGGCCGACCTGAACAGCCTCGTTGAGGAGATCAAGAAGGCCGGCGGCCATGCTATCGCTGTTGTTGCCGACGTCGCCGAGCCTGGAGCTGCTCAACGTATCGTTGGTAAGGTCGAAGAAGAACTCGGTCCCGTCGACATCTTGGTTAACAACGCCGCCATCTCTCGCATAGGCCCTGTAGAGGCGGAGGCGGAAGACATGGCCAAGTGGTGGCGCGTCCTTGAGGTCAACGTCAAAGCACCTGTAGCTTTGAGCCGTGCTGTCTTGCCGGGCATGCTCAAGCGCAACTCTGGCAGCATCATTACCGTTACGAGTGGCGTGCTTTCCATGAGCCTTCCTGTCATGTCAGCCTACTCTTCCTCGAAGGCCGCCATCACAAAATTCCACCAAGCGCTCGGCATTGAGCTCCAGGGCACTGGTGTGACCACGGTCTCTGTCAACCCCGGTTTTATCGCGACTGAGCTTGGAAAGCCCGAAGATGCTATCAATCGTGACGCTATGGACCACCCGCTTACGAAGGCTTTCATGTCCAGCATCAGCAACGGCTCCTTCAAGCATACCGACATTGATGTGCCTGCAAACTACATGGTTGCCCTGGCTGCGGACGAGAGGTGCAAGGTTTTGCAAGGTATGTACGTAAGTGCGACGGCACCACTGGAGGCTATTCTGGAAGAGGCGGAGAAAGAGGGCAAGGGCAGAATCGGCAAGGAGAAGATGTATGTGATCAACATGCCGGAGTTGTAACGGTGATAACAGCAGCGAGTGCACGTTATACTGGCAGTGGTGGGGGAGTCTAGCTCGTGCGCTATACGTCCGTTTATCAAGAAGTACGTCTTGCTTTATTCCATCTCCGGTGTGATAACGTTGCTCTGTAACGTGTCAATAAGCTGCATCGCGAAGTCAGCGTCGACCAGACATGCAATAGCAGCTCGTCAGGCTCACCACTTCTCGCATTGTCTGCGCAGACTTAGAGCGAATCTCTTCGATGGAGCTTGGCGAGAAGAATGCAGTGTGACAAGTCAAGACCATCCCTGTACGCTACGTTAGCGAATTAAACCTCTGCAGACGATCAGGAGATGCCAGCTTACTACCAGTAAGCCAAGGCTCCTTGTTGCGGTAAGCTTGGATGAGTGAATGAGCAGGCTCCTCAATCGGTTCGACGGGAAGCACATCCAGTCCAGCTCCGGCAAGGATGTTCTCTCGCAAGCACTGCTCAACTGCATCCAGGTTGACAATCTCTCCACGAGCTGTGTTGACAAGGACAGCGTTCTTCGGCAGAAGTGAGAGTAGTTCGTAGCCAACAAGATTCCTGGTCTCTCGTGTGCAGGGTGCGTGGATCGAGAGGATGCTAGATCTCCGGAAGAGCTCCTGGATGTTCTTCGTGCGTTCGCATCCAACAGCTTTGTCTGCGCCGTTCGGTAGATCTGTCGCAGTCTCAGTACGACGATACAGAAGATTGAACTGTCGAGTTGCTTACAGGGATCGTAGAACAGTACGTTCCTGCCGAGATCAGCATTGATCGATTGGATTGAGGATGTGGAGTTACCTACCAGCCAAATGCTTTCGCTCGCAATGCTGCGGCCGTGCCTATTCGACCCAAACCGAGGATGCCAAAGGTAGCGCCGCGGGATCTTGCTATCAAAGGATGGTCGACCGGACAGTAAGGCGCCGGCGGCGTAGCTCGCTGCAGGTCGTTGTGGAGGAGAATGCCTCTCCGAAGTGACAAGGCAAGGCCAATGGCATGGTCCGCAATGTCTTCGGTGCCGTAGTCTACGTGTTAAGCATCGAGCCGTCAACGCCGAATCCAGATGGGAAGGTGGTTCGGATGGAGATTTAAACGCACCAGGCACGTTGCAGACAGTGACACCACGTTTAGCCAACGCTGGACGATCAAGCCTATCGTACCCTACGCCCATGCGAACCACGCTGCAATAGTAGGCTGAGATCAGTGACCATTTGGATGTGCGAGGCCGGGCAACTCACACCTTCAGCTTCGGGAACAGCTCGATGTCTTTTTCGGTCAGATACAGCTTGAGTATCATCTGGTGGAGTTGTCAGCCAGGGATCTCTTGGAAGGCCCGTATTGCTACCATACAAGGCCATGAACTTCGTCTCGGATGTCCTTGGGAATCTCTGCCCATGGTCGAACGGTCGCAGTTCCACTGGGCGCCAGCGCAGCGCGCAAGAATCGGACCTTGTAAGAGTGAGTGGGATCAACATTGAAGATCTGATCTTCGAGCAAGCCTTCGGGATGTTGTCCATCTGCCTCTAGGATCGTATATGTCCGAATGTCTGCGGCCGCCATGATCATTGATGGACTGGAAGACGTGAAGCAAGTGAATGGGCTATACTTCTTACACCTGGGACACTTCGATGCGACTGCGAGATTCCGCAACGAAGCAATATAGCAAGATCACTAGATGATCCTGGTGAGGTTGGATTCATATACCGATGTCGCTCTTTGCTTGGTGGGGTTCGGATGGGGGTAGGTCACGACGTGCAACCAGATTGCCGAGTCGACAGTGCCGACGAGCCATTACTGGTTTTCCCACAAGATAGACGAACGCCCCAAGCACATACTATCTGTCGTCTACATTGGCAATCTCAACCATGTCAAAGTTGGAACTTACCTTACATTACCGTCGCAGGAGCTGTCCTTCGAGAAGCAGACCTTGAGGTTCAAACGGGCTCGGAGCGGAAGAACGTGCTTCTCCGAACGCTTTTGCTTGATTGCCTACATCACGTCGACGGCATGAGCTTCATATAGATCCAAGCATGTTTGATAGATAGCGGTTTGCAGACAGCTCGGCCGACACCCATCCTTGGGGCTATCAAGTTTTTCCACTTGACGGTACTAGCTTACGCAACCTTTGGACTGCATCATTGCACGCAATAGCATGCATCGTGAGCGAAACGCCTTCAGGCCGGTAAAGGCAACTGCGCACTCTGTAAATCTGCGATTAAGAATTGTTAGCGATGGCTCATAATACGTGAAATGATTGTAGTGAGACGGCGGAAAGTGCTTCGTCAGACAGCAGTTGGACAATAGTGACTCTACATGGAAAGTTCGGTACAGGTCTGTGAGTTATTGATGTATCATCATCTTAAGGATGTGGATTGATGCGCTGGAAGGAGTGCTTACAGATGATCCGGTGATACCTCGCTCGATGGTGGGATCCTCACATACAGACGACAGATCGCGGCCACCTCAGCCGGGCTTCTGGCGCTTAAAGAAAGCATCTAGCTTCTTCTGTCCGGCATCGTGTGCGAGCCGGCCAATGCCACCTCGCTGCCTTTTCAGGCCAACAAGGTGCTGCTTGTTGTCAACGGCGAGGATTGCGGTTGACCAGCCACGCAGAATGCGCACGGCCGTCATCGGTGATGCGTCGCTAGACTTGGGCTTGAGGATATTGAGGGGTACTACAGCGTCAGCGCCCTGTACCGGAGGTTCCGGTGTGGGCAAGGCCAAATCCTCTGCTAGGCCCTGCGGCAGTGGCGCTGCTTCTCCTGCAGAAGCTTTTCTAGAGGTCTCTTCCATATCATCCCTGGTGAGAGCGAGCTCCAGATAGCCGGTATTGCTCCAGCCTCCGAGGTGCTCAAGAATGAGATTGCCCCGTGCCGCAGTAACCTCCGGTGCCACGGTCAAGCTTTTCTTCGGTAGTCGTACCAGTAATCTTCGCCAGAGATGTGATAGGAATATGCCATGAGACACCACAACCACATGCAGTCCGCTAGCTGCAGCGTTTCGCTCGTGCCGGTTTATCAGCGGTACAAGATGCTGGTCCAGAAAGGCATCTGCACGCTTAGCCAGAGACTCCTTGCTCTCAGCGTCCACAAAGGCAGGATTACTATTATCAGACTGACGGCGGGATGAGACAGGCTTGCCTTCATAGAAGCCGAAGTCCTGCTCGACGAGCTCAGCAACCTGCACAATCTGCAATGTGGCGGTGCCGGCGTTGCTGTTGACGTCCGGAAGGGTATATTGCGCCTTCAAGACCGCCTCGGCTGTCTTTACGGCTCGTTGTAGCGGCGACGCGAACAGATGGGTGACCTTTATACCGCGCTTTGAGAAATGCTCCCCTAGACAGCGTGCTTGATCAACTCCATAGTTGGTAAGCGCCGAATCGCGCACACCCGCGAAAAGGCCGGCTACGTTGTCGACAGTCTCGCCATGGCGGATGAGATATAATTTCATTAGGTCATCATGCCAATGGTACGGATGGATGCTGATGAAGTGTTCGAAGCGAGCTATGCGAGATGTGGACGTCGAAAGGACGACGGTGCTCCGTGCACTCGCGCCACGAAATCCATCCAACGCATAAGAAACTATCATTCTCTGCCTAGCAACATCACAGTCGAGAAAGTGAACAACGTAGTCATAATATGAAAAGAAGCGTAAGAGTGACTTCCTCCGGCGGAGAGTAATAAAGAAGCTGGGTCCGTTGCCAAGTGCTCGGCGCACATGGAAGAGCATTCACGACGATGATCGCTAGGCGGATGCCCTGGTCGTGGTACTCATTAGCAGGAGCCGCACTCAAGGCCAAATGTAACCGCCTTTAGTGATGGCGGGACCCAGAATAGCCCTGCACCGCAACGCTCTTCAAGTATTTCTCATCTTCGCCCGCTGTAGAAACAGTGCAATGAGCGTTCCACAGTCCACACCATACTCGCATTCACGAGATGCTGTCAACTACGTGCACATTCTGAGTCTTCCTATCTCGGATTTCATAAATACCGCGGAGCAATAACATGGACTAGCTTAGAGGAAAAGGCACGCTTGATTCTTTCTGACTGCGGTCGACCAGAGTCGGCCCACCACCCTCGTTCTGCCCATAATAAAGACTCGAGCACTTGTACCATCCTTCGGTACCCACACCAATCTATGCTAACAGCACCTTTAGATGCACGCCATATACACAATCACCACCGTGAGAGGTTGCAGCATTCTTCTGCTATGCAGGAGCGGCACACAACGGACGGCACGGAGCTAGAGCAGCACAAATTGGGCAGTATCGAGCTTCTCACCACCAGCAACATGGCGACACCAGACGACAAAGGACTTGGTGATAGCAACAAATATACACTCCGACCCCAGGCTCGAAGCGCCGTCCAAGTCTTCAGCAGCACCTGGATCGACGAAGACGAGACAGGAGACTACGATCCAAGCCAGGAGAGACGACAACTGAAGTTTCAGCGGAGTAAAGTGAGATTCAGTAGCGCGGACGATGATCAGCAACTGAACGCTCCCTTTCTTAACAACGAAGTGAGCGAAGCCGTCGATACGATCTGCCTGCCCAAACTTGTCGTTCGGCTGAATTTCTTGAGTGTAAGTGGCAAAGCAACTCTGCAAAAGACCCTGAGCGAGCCGCCCGCTCACAGTGACCTGGGTCACGATGACTTCTGCGAAGGCTACAGACTTCGCAGGAGAAACGTACCTGGTTCGCCTCTTTACGATCCCTCTGCGCAGGTTGCGCCATCTTATGGTGGATCAGACCTGCCTCAAGACCTGACCGGGCATCCGGCCGCCCGAGGTTGCCGAGCGTGCTTTGACCTTAGCATTAGGTGTCCACTGCTCGACGACGAACGCGCGTGGCCTTGCTGGACATGTCAGGCTGACGACCATGACTGCGAGCTCATGATTCCGCCCACGGTCAAGCAGCCGTGCGAGCGCTGCAAAAGTCGCAGACGGAATTGCTCTTACAGGTGGGTGTCTGAGCACAGTGGACCGTGCCAGCACTGCGCCGACGAGGGCTACAACTGCCTTGCTGGACCGGCCGATGAGGGTATTCGCACTCGCATTCGGTATGACCGGGACTGGAAGACAGACCCCCCGCTGAACCGGAAGCGGGTGCTTCGAGCGAAGACGTACTGGACATGCATGCAGTGCAGGGAAGCCGGCCGTGTATGCTCGTTCGCGGCAGGTGTCAATAGTGATGACTGTACGTCATGCACAACGGAAGGGAGGACGTGCATTCCGGAGCAGACCACTGTCCCGCAGCAACCTCGCTCCGCTACGAAGCGTGTTGATTCCGTGTTGGCTTCACCAAGCAAGAGACGTCCCGACAACATGCCGAAGGACCCGTCCTCTAACAAGCGATCGAAGTCGGCAAGTCACTTAGCACAAGCTCAGCAGAGTGTACAAGATGCACCAGGCGAGACCCAAATAACTCTGACCAAGTTCTGCCATCCTATCGCCTTCAATTACGATGGAAACTGCAGCTTCTGCGGTGGTTCAGCCTTCCCATTGATCGGTCTCGAAATGCGTGAAGTGGAGGATATTGACTGGGCTGACCGTCGCAGCTACGCGGAGGTCAGCGGTGGACGCACGGCTGACGGCGCTACAAATACGAAGGTCTGCACAGCCTGCACTATGCGCCGTATCACCATCCTGCTGTGCCAGAAGCACTTACTTCGACCCATCAAAGGCGCTACCAGCCAATTGCTCGATGCTGATGGCGCGCTCATGTCACTGTTCTCCGGCAAGTGTCGTTCAAAGGACCGCTGGTGCTCAATCTGTCCGGCTCTGGCTCTGTACGAGTGTGAGGCTCCCGGCTGCATGGACATACTGGGCAATTCTTGCACTGGATGTAGCCTGGCCCTTTGCGAGACATGCATGCTTAGTTTGGTGGGTGAGTATGACGGTGGGCTACAGAAGATGCTGGCTGACATGGTTGATGTGTCAACCGACGAGAGACCGCTGGGTTTGAGGGCGGACTGGGAGCTCCTGAAAGAGGGTGGGCTCCTGATGAGGCATGTTCTCTCTACGTGCGAACACTAGAAGCAGGCCAGGTGTCTGAACTGCAGCAAAGATACGACTCATTGGAGATTTGGCCATTAATCATCTCCGTTACAGAGATCTCGGGCAGATAGGCCGAATTGTGCAATGACAAGCTCAAAACTTCTAGCATTCAAATCCTGCCAGCCGCTCAGACTGATACCCAACGCTTATGCTGCCACACGCGCCAACGCTATATTGAACGTCCAGTTGCTACCTACGTGCCGTTCTTCGCTCGGTCAAGATAGTCCTGCCCAGCATGCTCGTATTCATTCGACAGGTAGCGCTCCAGATGCTTTGACAGATACGATGTCATACGTGTCAGCTCCTCCCGCAATCTACTCACCGACTGCGCGTCCATGTTTGTATGCGCGAGCAGATCCGGCATGCTAACTAAAGCAGGGAATTAGCGGGCCAACAACCTAGAAGCAGATGCATTACGTACCAAATAGCCTCAGCAGATGCTCGCAGCCGTACATGTCAACTAACGACTTCCCCTCGTAATCTCCGTGGCCTGCTTCAAGCAACTTGTGCGTCTGGTAGAATTGCTGGCGCTCGAATCGATAGAGGAGAATGCGGCCTAATGACTTGTTGAAGTACTCTTTCACGCCCGCGATGACCTCCTCCAGAATGTCTGCATCTGCAGAGTTCGGCTTGATGTGCGGTTGATTCATAGCGTAGCGCTCGTACTCGTTCAGGAATTGCGTGATCGGCGTCGGTGATGGTACTGGTGCTAGCTTCTGCTCTTTGGTCACTTTCTCCCAGTCATCAACGAGTATTGACTTCAGTGTGTCTGGCATGAAGAGGCGGACAGCGGGTCGTCGGACAAAGTCTTCTTCCTGTTCAGACACTTGACTTAGCGCTGCTTCTTGCTCTACATTCTGCTTAATGGCTCTGGACCGAGTCAATCGTGCTTCGCCAGGATTTACCAATGGGACTGTTTCCACCTTTGCAGATCTTAGTCTGTACAGAGGGGCGGGCGGTCGGTGCTCGCTTGCCATGTTCAAATGCAAATGGAGACTCTATGATGCATGCGCAGGCAAATGAGAGTGGGCCGTGAGAACGAAGAAGACCTCAATAGCGCAGACAAAGTAACGCTTCGTAGTCGCAGATACAGCAGAAAGGTTAATAGACAGACGAGCAAACAGCGACGAAACGTACCTTGTCGATCCCTTCAATTTCCCTACCACGCTTAGTGCCTCTCGATGGTTGCGGCACCGCAGAGCTGCGGTCCTCGCTACCTCTCGCGGACGAGCCTGTCAGGTCTGAGCCGTACGGTCGCTTCTTGGTAGAGATAGAAGCTGGCTTGCCGGTTTGCGCTCTTCGCTGAGCTTCCATGTCCTTGCGTAGATTCGAGGCTAGATCCTTGTTTTCATCCGTGAACTTTCGAAGACGTTCTTGCGGGACCCAGTCATCCCATCTGTATCCGGGACGAGCGGTTAGCAGGGACACGGCCAGTATTCATGTGCTCGGCTTACGCCTGACCCCTCCAGACGTTCCACGTAGCAGTGAAAAGGGGCCAAAAGAGCCACATAAGGAACCGCAGCGTCGTGTGTAGAGCGGCGTGTTCGTGCCAGTCTCTCCACTGCTACATGCGGAGGAATGAAGGCCACGCAAAGGGCGAACGGGCTGACAGCTTGCCAGCCTATTGAGGGAAACCAAAGTCGAACACCAACTTACGTGTTCTTCCAGCCCTTGTAGTGCACACGGTACATAAAGCCATCCTTCTTGTCGCTTGGGTCCTTAACTTTCGACTCGAGTACCTTCGCTTCGTATAGCAAATCGTGGTGGAAGCACAGTACTTTCTCGTCCTTGTGATAAAGCGGTTGCGTACTTGAAGAAGGAGCCATGTTCTTGCGTCCCAATCCTAGTCCGGAGTAGTGGTGTTGATATAGCAAATATGTATGGCTGAAAAGAGGTGGCAAGCGTGGTGGTATTGGTAGGCTGATGTCTACGCAAGACACGAAAGCGGAAATCACACCTGCACGGACCTTCGCGTTGGTTTCGAGGCATGAGTGTTTCATTCACGCGACGCTACGAGTGTAAACGCGTTCTTCACAGTAAACGAGTACCGGTGCAACAGAACAACATGATAGTTGCGTACACAATAGAATCTCAAGCACCAAGACTGCATCGAGCTAAGGCGTACCCAAACCAAGGGTCACCCAGGGATATGTATCATTCCCCATCCCCCAAGTCAGTCTAACCCAGCATAGTCCTCTGCCGCATGATGTACTCCTTCCCCTCGCTAAGAGCCAGAAACTCAAGGCGTTCTGGCAGCGCCATCTCGTCGCCGACCGAGCGAGATCCTTCCGCTATGGACGGGATCTCAGCGTGCTCGAGTTGTAGCCCTGCAATGAGATGACGGATTCTGTCGGCGGAGACAGTATGGTACGTTTCATTCATGTAGAGCATTCTGCCTTGCGTAACCGGAAACGCGTCCACCTTGCCCGAGCTGCTTGAAGCATCTGAGCTCAGATGCAGCTCATGCAGCGAGACACGTTTTTCATCGCCGTGGACTTGCGTGGAGGCGAGCCTTTTGCTGCGACTGCGTACCGGAAGAATCATTTCGACCTGCTTCGCGGGCTTCATGGGTGTGTCGTTCCTTGAGTCAACTTTGTGGTAGAAAGGCTCCCCGTCTACCCCTTCATCGACCACGATGTCTTTGCGCACCGGTAAGGCCCTGACAGAAAGGTCGTCGTCCCCATCACCGCTCGTGATCGCTCTCAGCGCGCGGAGTACGAACTGCGTGCCTCCACACCTCGTCCCATAGTATCCCCGGCCTTCACACTCAACAGGAGCGTAGTCAGACTCGTGCTTCAGCATGTACACCGTGAAGCAGTCAAGACACTGCCAAGCAGATGTAACTCCTCTCGCCCTCTCAAGGCCCGGGCTTGACGGCTGCGACGGCGACGGGAAGTTGAAGTCGATGGAGTGGAGACTGAAGTCCTGCTGTTCAGCTTCCTCCGAGCTAACCTCTGCATGGCCTGTGTCTTCCAGCTTTGGCGAGTCTTGCCCTCGAGGTGCCTTCTCAGCAGACTGCTTAGCGAACCACTCGGCCGCGAAGCGGTGCAACTCCCCCATCCACATGACCTCGCCCGGAGTAGGCTCAACGGTGTCCTCCTGATCCTTGCTTGTCGAACATGTCTTCTGTGCCGGAGTAGCCAAAACTTGATGGATCGAACAGACAGTTGGCGTACTTTTGTGCGCTGCGCATGTCTTGTCGCTCGGCGTGGCAAATGGGGCGGAGAGCGGGCAAAGGCGGCACACATTTGGCGGGCTCGAGATGCGTTGGTTGGCTGGGCGAGAAGTAACAACGTGTGGCTCATTGTCCTCACTCCAGCGGTTGGCCGGACTGATGTTGTGTACGAAGTACGACGGGCTGAAACCATGGGCAGTATGGTTGGAGACCGAGCGCGACGGCGTTGTTGGTGCGGAAGCCATAATTGTGGCAAAAGTTGGTGCTCCAGATGATACCTCCAGCGGATGCTCGCTACGGATACGAGTGCAGGACTCTGCTAGCCATGTAACAGCGATCAATATGTGAGAGATGCGTAGTGTGGACGGAGAGGGACGGCAAAAAGTGAAAGCGCCAACGGATGAGCGAACCTCTTACCTGCGCCGTACGCCGACGCTTGCCGTAATGCAAATTCTCTTTCTCTGACAACTTCAGGCTTGCGCGCGACGACGACAAAGTCATGCTCCGTGGGCAGGAGGGCGTGCAACGAACGCCAAGGGGGCCGAACCTACCTTGGGGCGGGACTGGGCAGCAATAAGAGGAAAGCTCACCTTCTGCGCACTTACCTCGAGATATCCTTCGTTCCTGCCGTGATGGTGGCCTTAGGGTCTAGCACTCTGAATGTGAATATAGTACCACGACGACAAACGATAGTAGCAAATACTGACCTTTCAACAATCGTTGGCGTCGCACGTGTTGCTCCTTACTGCAGTCGCACTCCAGCCTGCCCTCTCCTCTTACCCTCTCTCCCCTGCACATTCATAAACCCGCCTTCCTCCCCAGCATGCAACACACCCTTAGCAATCTCTTTCTTCTCATCCTCAATCTTCTTCAGCCGCTTCTCAGTCTTCTGCTTCCCACTGCCCTTCCCGTGAAACATATGCGAGAGATGCTTAAAAGCCTCCTTGACGCCCATCTCTCGCCCATACTCGTCATGATACCGCAACTTCACATCCGGCCGATACTCTGCATTGAACATGTCTGCCAACAGCTTAGCAATGTAGGTTTCGCGGCGGTCGTTCTCTTTGCGGGCGTATTCGTCCCTTTCGCGGTTTGTCATACGGGTAAATCTGCCAGACTCGCGGTCTCGCTGGCGCTGAGCTTTGGCTTCCGCATCGTAGGCGTCGATAAGGTGTTGTTTAGTTGCGAGAAAGTGGGCGCGTTGACGCTCTTTCGCGCTCAAGTCGGACGAGGAGGCGTCAGAGAGGAGACCGCGTTTACGAAGTAAGGCAAGTGTGCCAGCTGTCCCAGCGCCGGAAAGGGTGTCTTCATCTTCCAGGCCTGTAGCGGTGATGCCGGGCGCTGGCGTGCCAGACTCTTCCCGTTTGGGACGATCTTCCGCGTCGGCGGCTTCAGCGTAGGACTGAGCCATCGTAGTGTCGCCATCCTCATCCTCGACGACATTGTCGGCCGTGGCAGGGTGTGGTGTCCGGCTTAGCCTGGCTCGCGCTTCAGGCGCCTCTAGCTTCTTTAAGTTGGCCACGAATTCGGACGTCTCATCCATAACCATGCCGCCTTCACCCGCCTCCTCCTCATCTACCGGCATCTCTTCCCGCATTTGGCGTGCAAGCTCTGCACCGTCCATCTTCTTGCGCTTCTTCAAAGCTTGTCGTCTTTGCTCAGTAAGTTTGGCTTGCAGGTCTTCGTCATCAAACTCGAAAGCGCGTTTCTTGCCGTTTGTTGTACCGTTCGTGTCTATTCGATCGATTTCCATTGTATCTGCGGCTACGTCCACTTTCGCGGGTTGCGCAGGAGGGAAGATGTCATCGTCATCCCCCGCCTTCTGCCGCGTCTTCTTCTCTTTCCTTTTCTTTGGCTTCTTCACTTTGATTGTAGAGGGATCGATGTAGTCGGAAACGGGCGCATCATCCTTCAGCATGTCGAGGCTGATCTTGACGCCCTTGCTCTTGACCTCCTCGGCCTCGTCAAGCTCCCTCTGCACCGCCTCAGCGGCATTGCCTTGATCATCCAACGTAAAGCGCTTCTGCCTCTTGCCATCGATTTCCTCGTCGTACTTGCTTAGCACGTTCTTCACGTCGTTCTGCTCTGTAGGGTCGTAGTCTGGCCGCTTTTTCTTCAGTCGCAGCCGTTCCTCCAGCTTCTCCTTCGCCCTCAGGTCTGCATTCTCGAGCTCGTCGTCTTCGCTCTCATCGCCGATGCCAGTATCCTTGAGCGTCAGAACCTGCTCGCCGGTGATCTCATCGAATTCGGCTGCTTCGTGTCCAACCTTGACACCGGCCAAGTCTTTGCTGGTATACTCTAACTGTGCCTCCCGCTCTCTCGCCGCAAGCTCTTCCTCCAATTTGCGAGCCTTCTCGATCTTCTTCTGCCGCTTTTTCTGTTGTAGTAGCCATGATCGAGTGTCCAGCTCCTCCTCATCCGCGTCCCCAAGACCCTTACCCTCCATCTTAGCATAGCGTGCTGCGACGTCACGAGCCTTCTTCGCCGCCGCTTTCCGCTTCTCGCGCTCGAGCTTCTCTTGCCGTTCCGCCTCGAGCCTCTCCCAGTTCGCTCCAGCGGCAGCCTGGCGTTTCTCGAGTGTGCTGAGGTCCTCTTCCTCGACAGATTCCTCTCGTTGTCCCTTGAACTGCGGCGCAGAGTCTTTGCCGGGTACAGGCAAAGGTGCCATGCCGAGTGACACGCGGACTTTGTTCATCTGTTCGATCGTGGCGGCGTCCATGGCGGCGGTGGACAGCCAAATAAGGCCAGTGCTGAGGCGCTGCTGGCAGAGACAAGTCGAGAGAATGCGGAAGGTATGAGTCCGATGCGATGAGTTTAGTGACAACGAACTTAGTGAAGATGCGGCGGATCTTCCAGCATGACTCGCGGAGTACCATCACCAGCTCCATTAAGACTAGCTTCGTAGAATCTTGGCATTTCAGTCTATCAAAATCCGCCGATTTCCTTCCATCCGTCTTCCTTCTACATCAACAAGATCTGTGTCCAGCGGTCCCGACGTGCGGTGCTTGCGCTGTCACTGCCGGTTGCATCCCTGCGACATTTCGACGAATCTATGCAAACCTTCCTCTCAATGGAGTAAGTGCGGTCGACAGATCTCAGAGCGAAATGCGCGCGGTGCTTCGCTTTGAGTTCCTCGCGAGCTCGGCGACACTGCGTTGCTGGGGCGCTATATTCCGAATCGTTCCCGAGGCCGTCGGCCGCTGAGGGTTGGGACAAACCATAGCTTGCCTACATACTCATTTGCAGACTGTCTGCTGTTTACGGCACACAGGTTGGCTGGAGCCCTTAAGATTTCCTGGAACAGCAAGCAGTAGTGCTAAACATCCTTGGCGTTTCGCAACGTAGGCAAACAAGACGCAGACCAGGTAAAAGGACGTAAGAAAGCGTCCAAACGGTAGTCATCTACGCTTGTCTCTACACCTCCTCGTACACAGCTGCCACTCATACCTCGGAGGACTTTTCAAGTACCAACCCAGTAGCAATCTACACTTTCAGCGACATCTCAACAGAAGAGCGCTATGCTCAAGGTCCAACTAAATGTTGAGAGAATGCCAACGGCAAGACATTTCAACGTGGCAGGCAGGGCACGTAAGAGGTACGCCTTTGAATGCTCCGCGCTGACTGAATGGCGCGGTCCTCTGTGTTGCGCATTTGGAACATAGGAGTACTAGTAGGAACTAAGAGGCTGCTGATTGCACGTCACCCACCTACACAACCATTAAGCACCCAACTCCGGTTGTGGAGCTTATGCATTACCTGCCTGATCAGTCCCAAACGCTTATGGAGCGGCAAACGAACGCATGCGAAGCGTTCACGTGTGTGTGTTCTATCTCTACTTCTTTAAAAAGCTGAATCTGTGGCCATGACCACCACGCTGCCATTGATGAGTTCCCTAAATGTCGTTGTCGTCCTCGTCGTCATCCTCTTGCACGAGCTTGCCTTCTTCCGGTCGTATCCGCACAATAAACAGCAACACCGCAAACGCCGCGCTAAGCATCCCAATAAAGAAGAAAGGCATCCCAATCCAGACTCCTCCCAACTGCATGCCTCGCTTGAACAGACCTGCCAACAGCGCACCGCCGAACATGCTGCCCAGGGTATCCACAATGCTGACGATGCTGAACACACGTGCAATGTGATGCGCAGGTACTAGCGAAGTCAAGAAGCTTCGTATCATAATATGAGCGCCAAGGCCAAGCGAAGTGATGGCCATGCTGATCGCTACAGTGGGAACGTTCGGGGCCAGCCCGATCATCGTCGTTCCGAGCGCTGTTAGGAGCAGGCTCGCACGAGCCAGATAGAGGTCCTTCTGTTGGCTGGAGAGGTGCAAGCACTGCATCACTGCCTTAGAGAGCCACGGTAGGATTGCCGAGAGTAGTAGGACTTTAACGCCGCTGAAGATGGTCATGAGTAGCGTGGCGTTGGCGAAGGTCAGGCTGTAACGCTTGCTCACGTATTGCATGATGAAGGCGGAGGCAGACATGATGATTAGATGGCTGATAAAGGTCAAAATAAGTGCTGGCACTCTCCAGTCCTGCGTAAGAAGGGAGGTGGCTTCTATGACTTTCGTGGTGATGGGTGCAGCGAAATCGGCGTTAATGGGTGGCGGATTGGTCGACAGATCCGGTGGTGCTGGAGCTGACTCCCCACAAGGTGTAGGCGGCTGCGTGTCGGGTGGAGAAAGCGCTGTATGTCGGAAGCCCAGCGTCTCCGGGATCAACGGATAGGCTATGATGGGCAGAGCCATTAGGATAGTTCCAATGATGGAGGGAATCCACGGGGTGTATCGCATCAGCCATGCCGCAAGAGGTGGCATGAGGAGAGTGGCCGAGACATTGACAGCGCCCGCTCGTAAGAACGCGGCAGCACGCAGCGCTTCTGGTGTGATGTCCGATATGATAACGAAGAACAGCGATGACACGAAGGCGACCCTCCGGCCAACAGGGCATGGAAAGTGGACAGCCACGACAGGCGGACGTCGAAAGCTTGCCAGAACCAAGTGACAAGCTGCATCCAGCCCATCTTGAACGCAAATGACAGCAAGCCAAGGAAGAACAATGGTTTCCTTCCATATCTGTCCGCAACCCAGCCGAATGGGACGGCGAGTGCGAGTGACGGAATGCCATCGAAGAACTGCTGGTATCCACGTAGCTCGGCCAATTGCTCTTGTACCGCATTCACCTTGCAATGCAGCTCCGCGACGCCCCCTATGGCACCCGGTCCAACAGCCTCTCTGCTTATCAGTATCTTGCTAGGATCCACACTCTCATAGTGCTTGTAACAGATCACACTCTCGAAGATACGGACTTGAGGGCTCTCCGATATCTGGTCGCCGAAAGAGATGCAGAGGAGCAGCAGCATGAGAATAAGGTTGACTGTCTCGTGCGACACCCATTGTCCCCCTCTACTGTTGCCAGGGGATAGGTCGATGACCTCCCCGCATCGTGGGCTGAGGAGAGGGGACGTCTCTGACGGTCCATGGCGCATTGAGTCCGCTTTGGAAGTGCTGCCAACGCTTCCCTTGGTCATCGAGCTGTCGTCGTCTCCAAAGTAGTCTGTCGATATCGTTCTTGGTGTTGCCATTGCTTTTACGACGTTACACACTCATCGAAGGCGAAGGAGTCGTTTTGGTTACTCTCCTCTGTAGGGCAGAGGAAGGATTCACGGTCTTATCATCGTTGCTTGCCAGGCAACACCATTCAAGGGGAGCATATTGCGATGACGGGAAGGGAACGGATTGAACACCGTACAGTAGATCAATCCTAAACAACAATGGTTGAGCGCAACAAGCTTGTAGTTAGTGTTCACCCCACGAACATGCCTTGACGGCAGGGAGATACGGAGTCCGGAGTTTGTTATTCGGGTGCCTGGGGCGATAGAAGCAGTGATCGGCGCGGACTGGCCGCTAATTGGGAGGCGAGCATGACGTTGGTTGCAGGACAAGATTGTACCATTGATTACCTTGAAGTGAATACGTCGGTGCCTGAAGATAGTGGTGTAGTCATTGGGCTAAAGAAGTACAACAGTGGAGGAAGGAGGGAACTCGGAACACTGTAGCTTCCAGGTCTATCTCGACATGGCGATTGCCGAGGTCTTCCCTAAAGATTGGAAAGCTGCAGCCTTCCGGATATCAACTTGTACTCGTGCAGCGACCTCCATTGTTGACGTTGGTCGATGTCGGACTCGACTATGTAGATAGGGTAGCATAGCCGAATAGACTCATTCCTCACCCCCCAAGCGCACGTGGTTGCGGTAAGCAGTATGCATTACCTAATGTGTACGAGAGAGAAAGCCATCAGTGTGTCAACGACACGCGACGTAGTCTCGTCGGTGGGTAGAAGTAGCGCAGAGTGTATACCTTATTTCAACATTGATCCCGAGTCTTCACTCGAGCTATTCTACATGTCTTCATACAGACTTGCCAGCTTTGGCCCTGGATACTTTCGCAAGCCATGCACAAACCACCAGAATGCTGTTAGAATTACACAGCCGACCAGGATCACAGAGTTCCCTATCAATGCGTTAGCGGCCGCGTTCAGAAGCTTGCGGTAGGTCGTTCGCTTACAGTTCATCAGGCTGATAGGGTCAACCGGGTATGCATAAGGGAAGCAGAAGAAAATGTTGAACATGACAATCAACAGGCAGGCAATGCCGTTGACTGCGAACCCGTATTTGCCCATCCAAAATGGCCCGGGTTGCACGTTCTTCCTCCCTGTGAGGAGATGTGGGAAGAACGCCATGAAATAGCTTATTGTCGTGAGGATGATGAAAGATCCAACAAGATCGGTGAACGCAGTTTTGGAGCCCAATTGAATGGCACCGAAGCCGGTGGTCAGTATGGCGCAGAAGACTGTCGACTGTACCGGGCATGAGAGCTTCAGATTGACCTGAGCGAAGAAGCTGGCAAATGGTGTTGCTTGATCACGAGCCAGAGCCCACCAGAGACGACCAACCATCAATAGCGTGCCGATAGTGCAGATGAGAACACTCAACAGAACGATGAGAAGCAAGCCAAACGCGCCGCCCGCACTGCCGGTATTTTGCTGATACACTGTCGCCAGTGGGAAAGAACCAGGGTTGCTCACAACAGCACCAAGGTCATTGATGCCATAAAAGATTGCGATGCCGTAACAGAATGTCGTTAAGAAGCCCAGCCCGACTTGCGCAAACACAGCCTTCGGCAGGTCACTCTTCGGGTTTGGCAGCTCTTCGGCCATATGCGTGACGGCGTCAGGTGTGCCAATAGTAAACGCGCCGTTGAGCACACCAGTCAAGAATGCTATTCCGCCGCTCCAGCCGGTAAGGTTGTTCTCCGCAAAGCTTCCCCAGACGAATGAATTCGGAGCATGTTGCTTGGGCATAGCAGCACACACGATAATCGTGACCACACCTCCAACAACGACCAGGAAGAGGCCAACATGCTGCAGATACGGTAAGAGTCTGTTGCAGAAGATGACGAAAGCCGCGCAAAGCCAAGTGATTAGTACGAACGCGACGTAGGAATGCCATGGCTGGATGATAAAGTCGGGATGGAAGAGAGCGTACATCTGTACGCAGATGTTTGCCGGAATTGATGCGATGGAGGCGACGTCGAAAATCCAGCCGAAGAAGTTCAGGCCGCCTGTGAAGAAGCCAAGGACTCTGCCATACTTCGGACCCGGCGTAATCGACGCCCAGTGATACACGCCGCCGGAGGAAGGAATCGCAGACGCGAGCTCTGCGATCGATGCTCCGATGAAGGCGTAATAGAAGCAAGCTACGATGAACTCGTAAAGTATGCCAGCCGGTCCACCGTTCAAAACGGCGACAGAGAGCGACCCTCCGAAAGCCACCCAGGCGTTGTCAATGGTCAAGGCGAGACCACATATTGAGAGCAGGCCATACTGTCGTTGGAGTTGATCTCTGTAACCAGTGCTGTGGTTAGCATACTCTGCCAGAAGTCGAGAGTTGTTTGGCAGAGACTGACTTGTGTCCCGAGGCATTGATCACCTCGCCAATCTTCGATACTATACTCGTTCTGCGGTCGACCTGGCCATGAGCGACATCTGGGTTCGTTACACTCCCCATCTCCGGCTCGGAACCCTTCTCCGTGGACGGATATTCTTCTTTGGCGTCCATGATGCGTTACGCGCTGCGCAACGGAGCGGTCTGCTTCAGAGCTCACGGAAGTCCTCGCAAGAAGAATGTCCCGAAACGACAGAGTTGCAAAGAGCGTTCAATGAAGCATGTCTACACGGAGGGAAGATTACCACTCAGCTGCGAATGATAAAGAGAATGTTTTTCATGATAGCGAAGATCGACAGTATCATGACAGGAATGAAATGACATAGCGTATATCAGTCGCGTGGAGTAACTCCCTGTCAGCCCTGCAATGCGATCTAAGACGCCAGATTAAGGACGGCGTAGATGGTTGGCGTAGATAAGATCGGGCCGCTTTCCTCTTCGGATCGCAACCAGTCTCTGATCGCTTGGTGGCTGCATTGCTACTGCTGCCAAGGCTGCTACGATGCTGCTTTGCTAGCGAAGACGTATAATGGCTACGTTGGCTTCGGTTTGGTCCGGTCTACGAAACCTAGCCCGAGAGCATCTGGATGCGCAAAAATTGGCTCGGAACCGAGCGTTGGAAGTCTGAGAAGGGGCGCGTTCAAAGGAGCCGCACACGTGACCATTCGGTACCGGCGCTTGCGCTTGGCCTCGGTTAACAAGTCACCACACTTCTGGCCGACCTTCGCATCAATCACCTTACCAGCTGCATCAAGCCTTTCTTGCCGTGACACATTATGGTGGTGAGCGAAGCCGCGCACCGCCGCGCAGAGTCGATCGATGTGCGGCTAGATTGACAAAGAGCTCGATCTAATGCATTCCCTGTTACCCATCTCATGACTAAAGGCCGAGCGAGCTTGCTGATAAGGGAACGGCCAGCACTCCTCTCGAGCTCCACCCAGTGATCGCACTCTGCTGCTCGACAGTTTGCACGCCAAATCAGCATTGCTGTTGGCCAGCTAGACCATGCCTTACACTGGCAATCTGTGACTAAACGTCACCTACTTGTCGCCTTCACACCCATGTCTTACGCACTTGCAACTGCACAATGCCGCTAAGTGCACTATCACATCCAACAACGCGTTGGTGGGTCCCCAAGTTAATTCATCAAGGTATTCCAGTTGTTATACATCTTCATACAAACTGCTGGCGAGGTATTCTGTTATATCGTTCTGTTTGATTCTACGTTCACAGTCGAAATGGAGAGCCGGCAAGACGGGATCACTAGTGCTCGCTCTTGGGTACCAAGCTTCATGAAGCGCGATGCCGGTCAAGGCGACCCGAAGACAGATGCCTTGGATGGACATCCAAACGAGCGCTCTCACCTTCTTCCCAAACCCGGCGACGCTGATGACGCCGGCGAAGGCGAGACCTACGAGCTTGAGCCAGAAAGCCAGTCGCGGACGCAACGCATTGCCACGGAGTTCTGGATACTGTTAAAGGGCTCAATACCAGTGATTCTGGCCTACACCTTACAAAATTCGCTACAGACCATTTCGGTTCTGATCGTTGGACGACTGAGTCCCGAAGCGCTATCTGTTGCTGCCTTCTCATATATGTTCGCTATGGCGAGCGCCTGGCTGATCGGCATGGGTGGCACGACGGCCATCGATACTCTTGCGAGTGCATCGTTTACTGGCTCGAAGAACAAGCATGATCTAGGCATCATTCTTCAGCGAGCCTTCTTCGTTCTAGGTATCTTCTATATTCCAGTGGCTATTTTGTGGATTTTCTCGGAGCCGGTTTTCAAGGCCCTGAAACAGGAAGACTACATTGCGCGAGACTCATCCAAATTCTTGAGCGTGCTGATTCCAGGTGGACTCGGATATGTTTACTTCGAATGTATGAAGAAGTACCTGCAGGCACAGGGCATCATGCGACCCGGTACCTACGTGTTGCTTATCACTTCTCCGGTTAATGCGGGCTTGAACTTCCTCTTCATCTACACCTTCAAGATCGGCTTACTTGGAGCCCCCATTGCGACTGGAATATCTTACTGGCTGTCATTCTTGCTGCTCGTCGCTTACTCTCGCTTCGTTGCTGGATGGGAATGCTGGGGTGGCTTTGATCGAAAGTGCTTCCATAATCTGGGCACGTTTGCACGCATTGCTGCGCTCGGAGTTGTGCATGTTGGAACGGAATGGTGGGCTTTCGAGATCGTCGCGATTGTGGCCGGCCAACTCGGGACGATACCGCTCGCCGCTCAATCCGTGATCATGACTGCAGATCAAGTCATGAATACAATACCCTTCGGCGTAGGAGTTGCCACTTCTGCCAGAGTTGGAAATCTACTCGGAGCTCGTGATGCTGTCGGAGCTGCACGAGCGGCAAACACTGCCGCTTGGCTCTCCATGCTCCTCGGAGGTGTGGTTCTTGCAATCTTGCTCGGCACCAAGGACAGCTTCGCCTACCTCTTCAACGACGACCTACAGGTGGTTCGCCTGACCGCAGAGGTGCTACCATATGTCGCCTTGTTCCAGATCGCGGACGGTCTGAACGGTTCCTGCGGCGGCGCGCTTCGCGGTATGGGACGCCAGCACGTTGGAGCCGCAGTCAACATTGTCAGCTACTATTGCGGAGCTTTGCCTCTTGGGATCTATCTCGCCTTCCATGGTTGGGGGCTGGCTGGGCTTTGGGTGGGACAATGTATTGCGTTGTACCTGGTGGGTGCGGCCGAGTGGGTGATTGTAGCGTTCAGTAACTGGGACAAGGAGGTAAGCAACGTCTTCAAGCGCATGGATCCTGCCGAGCGGGCGGAGCACGGCATCGAGGACGGTGGTTCGTAGAGTCAATAGGATACAAAGCGCGAGTCATGGCAGAGTGCGGCTGGCCAATGCATCCGCGTGCAACCTTGATGGACCTAGACTTCTTGACATGCTGAACGTCGTTGTTTTCTGCCGTAGTTCCTTGTGCGGTGAGTATATCTGATCTCTACCGGACCATAACAGCCTTCCATACAGCGCTATGCCAAGCCAACGATCTCTCCTACCTCTTTCGGCCAGCTCGGTTACAGTGTCAAGATCCTCCCTTCCACCCCACCTCTTATCTTGTCCAACCCACAGTCACACCCTTGACTAAACCAGCTTTCACCGACAGCCGCCGCGTCTGCGGCCAAACGTAAGACAACCCATGCGCGTCGATGCCGACCTCGGATCTAATCTACCTGCACTGCTATCTCGTCAGGAACAGGTCAAGCTCCATCAGCTGTGATGCCATTGCATGCCGTAGATCTGTCTGATCGCGCCCTCGCGCCGCAAAAGCTCCAGTCGAGCTGTCAGAAGCTGTACGTAAACAAACAGCAGCTTTTTGCGGTAGCTTTGCGAAGGAAGGGTAGCGGGTTTGTGACGACTATTTGTTCTTCTACTGATCATTGCTCCTGTGCTCCAACACCTTGGTGGTCTTCTGCTTTCATTCAGTTAAAGCTCGTTGTAGAACAGAAAGATGCTGAACGTACTTGCTGTTGGCGCCGCTTTGGCAGCTGCTGTCTGCGCCCATGGCGATCACGGCCACGACCAGGAGCCGATTGCTGGACCACACAAGTCGCTGTGGTACAACACCCTGCCTGGCGACGGTGAGACTCAGGTCAGTTGCAAGAAAACGCAACCACCACTGCTCCAGGTACTCACATCCAAAACAGGCCGACTCCGTCTTCTCCGGCATCTCAACCTTCGGCCGCATCACCTACCACCCATGCCTTGCTAACGAGGATGTCAAGTACGACATTGCCTTCATCGGTGCACCCTTCGACACCGGTACCTCGTACCGCCCGGGTGCCAGATTCGGGCCTTCGGGCATCAGACAAGGTAGCCGCAGGCTGAACCTCTAGTACGTCCTCAGCGCAACACGCTTACTGTGAAGAGGAGTGTAAGGCTCACGCAAAGTGCGATTCAGCGGAGGCTACAATGTGCCTCTCGATGCCAACCCCTTCAACGACTGGGCGACCGTGATTGACTGCGGTGACATTCCGGTGACTAGGTGAGATCGAAGAAACTTATACACCAAGCGAGCCAATGCTGACTGATGACCCAGCTACGACAACGCCTACGCCATCCAACAGATCGAAGAAGGCCACAACAGCATCCTCATGCGCGCCCCCGCCACAAACGCCAACAAACCCGGCCCCTCCCTCAAAGGCAAAACATTCCCTCGCGTCATCACACTAGGCGGCGACCACACCATCACCCTCCCGCTCCTGCGCAGCATGAACCGCGCCTACGGCCCCATCACCGTCATCCACTTCGACTCGCACCTCGACACCTGGCGGCCCAAAGTGTTCGGCGGCGCGCCGAGCAAACAAGCCAGCATCAACCACGGCACGTACTTCTTCCACGCCTCGCAGGAAGGCTTGTTGAAGAACGACACCAACATCCATGCCGGCATCCGCACGACGCTGAGCGGACTTTCTGACTACGAGAACGACGGGTACTGCGGTTTCCACATCGTCGAGGCACGGGAGATTGACACGATTGGAACTGACGGCATTATCAAGAAGATCCGTGACCGCGTCGGGACCGAAAACCCGGTTTACCTGAGTATCGACATCGATACGCTTGATCCTGCTTTTGCGCCTGCGACGGGAACGCCGGAGACGGGCGGGTGGTCGACGAGGGAGCTGCGCACGATTGTGCGCGGGTTGGATGGCATTAATCTTGTGGCTGCGGACATTGTCGAGGTGGCGCCGGCGTATGATACGAATGCTGAGTTGACGACGATGGCGGCGGCGGATACGCTGTATGAAGTTATGAGTATTATGGTGAAGAATGGGCCGTTGTCGAAGATGGTCAAGGAGATTGAGGCGAAGGAGGATGTGTAAAAGTGGTGTAGGATTGGTTAAAAGGTGAAGTGGTTGGAGAGTGGTGCGGTGCTGTCCGCGTCCTCAGTGGAGCAGTGTTCCGTGTGCAATTACAAGCGCTTATTAGAGCGATCTACTTCCACACTTGTGTCTATGCAGCAATGTCTAGCAACACACGTAGCGCCCACAGATCCTCGGCTACACAAATAGCAGTGGGACAGCAAATCTGTCGAGCAATGACTGTGGTCTTTGCGCTTTTACGCTCCGAAAGCGACTGTGGTATCTGGTGTGCTCACCTGCTCTCAACGAGTAACGTGAGCTGTGGCCAGGAGGTGCTCGTCGATTCTGTCCGACGGTCAGCTGAGTGACATGCTCCTCCATCCAAGCATTCATTGACGTACCGCTGCCTTGTCCAGTAGGACTGTTTAGCCTCGCAGACACAGCAGGCTGACGGTCTTGGCTGGGGTGCAGGTACGGCGTAAGACCGAGTGTCTTCAAGGCGCGTTGGAACCGCGCCCGCTCTTCCTGGCTCAGCGTTCCGGGCGGGTCGACTCGTAGGGCCTGAGCTGCGTAAACAGATCCGCCGCACTCAGCATACATCCTACTATCCAACTCGCCCGGCTCGAAGACAGTGTGCGGGCCGAGTGTCTTGGGCAGGGTCAAGTAGCACAGCGTGGTCTGTATCGTGTCGCTACCGTGCCAGCGATAGTTTCTGTCCTCTGGCCAGCCACCCTTGGGCTCTGGATACCACGCAGTATCCGCGAGGAACGCCTCAAGTCCAAAATGCTCGCGCAACACCTGGATGCACGTCAGAGGCGCTTATCGAAACGTTAGGGTCAAATAATACCTTCGCATGCTTTGCGAATGCTCTCGGGCTAACTCTCGTCGCCCACCCATCGCAGCATTCCGCATGATACTCATAAGTGGATTCGCTTCCGTGAGCCAGCCTTTCAATCACCTCGCCATACGCAGCCTCGCAAGTCTTCTCACAATCGTCGGACGCCATATTGATTTGGCAGGTTGGGCACGGCTCCACTGTACCCTTGGTACACTTTTTGAGACACCCATCCTCGGAGATGCCTTCTGCCTCGCAGAAATCGCAGAGCTCTACCTCGTCGTAGGCCCGCTCGTGCATTGGACTATTGTCCTCGTGATGACTACTCGGACAGCATTTGGATTCGAAACACCTAAACTCCTTCTCCAGCATGCACCACTCGAATTGAAGCTCTTCCCACGCACGCCGGGTAGCCACAACGTACGCCTCGATGATCTGCTCAACCTCTACGGGCAGCTTGATGATATGCACATCCGGTCCCTTACCGAAGCGATGGCACAAACGAAGAGCCTTGAGCGCCGGCAGAGTCTTGGCGTATGCGTCAAGGTGGAGGATCAGCTCGTCGGGCTTCACCGGCATCGCCCTTGTTGTAGTGCGTTAGCGTCATGACGCCAAGTAGCATGCCATTGCTCCATACCATGCCAGACCCGCTCTCAGTGTCTTACTCATTGTTCATCCACATGGAAGAGCATCGAGGTGCACCGGTTGCAGTGCCAGAAGGTGCTTTTGTGAGGTGAAAGGAGCGCGATGCGATGATGGGAAGTAGATGACGGCACGCCGAAGGCAGCCGCCCCAACGGAGGAGGAGGAGGAAGGCGCGGACGTGCGCGACGCGCTCGCGTCAGAAAGCACGTGATGCACCCTCCTCGTTCGATGCGTCCACTTTCACGACACCGCATGTTTGGCCGTCTCAGTCTTTTAGAGCATCCGCAACTCTTCTTACCCCCGTCTCCTCCGCCCTCACCCTCCCCAACCCCTCCTTCCCATAATAATCCATCGGGTACCTGCCCTGCCCCTCCCATCCCTCTCTCCCACCCAACACCACCAACGCCTCATGCGGCGTCAACAACGGCCTCTCAAAAGCATACCCCCAGTCAATACTCAACCGCGGACAAGCAACCTGCACCCAACACTCCACTCCATCCTCTCCACCGCTCATGCCCGCCAGTTTCTGCGGGAAAATCTCACTAAGTAGTAAGTTGACCCACGGGATCCCCTTCTCCCTGAGGTGATTCTCGATGAGAGTGAGAGTGTGCGGGTTCCCCTGCCGTCCCAGCGAGCCGAGTATGAGTCCCCACTTCCGCGCCTTCCGTGCTTGAGCCAAGGCGTTAGCCCGATCGGAGAGTAACGTGTCGTGGTCGTACGTCTCGTGCGTCAAACGGCGAGAGTAAGGATCATACCGATACGCCGGGAGGTGAGGGTTATGTATCATAGCGCTTTCGAGATGGAAACGGCCGTCGCCCACATACAAAATCGCGTCGATGTTAGCCTCCGCTTCCCCATCCGCGTCTTTCTGCTTGGCTAAATGAGGCGATGTACACCCCAATATCTCCCCCTTGGACAACGGCGCGATTTGCGGAACAATGATGTTGTACCCCGCCTCCCTTAACGGACGCGTAACAGCGTGAAGCGTGGCGTTGAATTGAATCGTCCCCACCATCGCTATCGTACTCTTCACTCGGAAATTCCGCTCCACGGTCGCGAGGAGATGCTCCACATCGATCTTGATATCCACAAAGACATACAACACCTTTATCCCCGTCACGTTGACGGGGATGAGACAGCTGTGTGCGTAGTGGACGAGTAAATCGCACCCTAGGGCGCGGGCAGTGTAGTCGTCGATGCAGCAGGCGCCGTAGGTGACATCGCCCATGATTAGGGTGCTTGTGCCCGGGCAGAAGGAGGTGAGGATGTCGGAGATGGTGGTTGCGTACATGAGAAGGCCTTCGGGCATTTGGAGAGCAACTTTCTTCGACTCAGACGTTCGGATTCGGTGGATCGTCTTATGGATCTCGAAGTTGTAGTTCGCGGGCAGTAGTGCGATGGCCTCGTTGATGGCGGTGTCGTTGAGGATGTCGTCGGGTACGCTGTTCAGGGCGCGAGGAGCTCGTTTGCGTGGTGCCACTACACTATACCATCAGCGACCGAGTCTTCCTCGTCTTTACATGGTTATGTGGTAGACTGCACCTTGCACCGCGCCACTGTCTTCAATACCCGCGCCGCCATTCTGCTCGGCTCTTGCTGCTGCCTTGGCTTCGGCGGCTTTGCGTCCTATGAACCTCCTCTTTGGCTTCTTCTCTACTGCTTCTGCATCGCCGTTCATGTCGGCGGAGACGGTGGGACCCAGGTCCGCTATTGCGCGATCCTCTTCCATCGCGCGGACAGCGTTTCTCGCAACTCTTTCCGTCCCTACGTGCTTCTTCAGTGGCGACAAGCCAACTTCTTTTCTGCTTGTTGGATACGCAGTAGTAAGCTGAGCGCACAGTTTCTTGCTACGCTCTGTACCCGGGTTCTGTGTAGTGTGCTTGCAATTGCAGATCTTTTTCGCCTCCCGGCTAATCCGTACTTATGCTGCTTGGATGAATGAAGCAGAACAAATGGATTCAGTCTTCCATGACCGAGGTGCAACAATACCTACTACGAAACGCTTACTGTACGCTACAACAATGCACCTACCTATGGTGCCGCTATGCAGCCTTTGCGACAGGTTCATCGGACAATTCTGATCGACCCTGCATGCAACGCAAGCGAGTGGGGCACTATTTACAGCGGAGACGGTCTCTATTTAACCCGCAATCAATGAAGCGTGGGAATAGTCGCCACTGCTGTGCACCTAGCAACCGAGAAGTAATACTGTAACACACAGCGTAGGCGAGAAAATCTTCCAAGCATTGGCATCGACAGGATATATGTGGTAGATGTGTGGAGGAGGAGCCGATGGCAATATAGCCTTGACGGACAACGTTGAGGTGGCTTGCAACGGCTTGGTTGCGTGGCAGTGGAAAGTGAGAGTCGAGCGAAGCCGCGCCTCTAAATTTGAAAATGGACTAGCATTAGAATGATGGGCCAAGGCTAAGCGTCGGTTCGGCGCCAGGGAAACCGGCGAGCCTTGCTGCTGCGGGCCCTTAGATCAGCCAAAAAGCCCCCCCGTGGCAATTGCGGCAGCGGGCAGCGCAAGTCTGTGTGTCTGTGTGTCTGTGTGTCTGTGTGGTGGCGGCGGCATACGCAAGCCGGGCTTGTGAGCGAACTTGGAGTTGACGTCGACATTATTTTGGCGTGTCTTGTGTCAACACGGCCGTTTACTGTCGCCGTCTTTGCGTGTTGCCACTCGATACTTCGACATTGATACTGTGTTGTATTGTGCTCTTGCTTGTACATTCAATCAACTATTGTTCCAACGGTTATTGTTGATTGATGACAGACAGGGTTTTGGGGGTGGAATCGAATCGCAATAGATTTCCCAGATCCACCGCGGGAGGGTCCGTGTTAAGGGGAGACGTAGAGCGACGAAACAACGGCCTTTGTACACCACAACACATCTACACACCACCACCACCACACACCACATACCACACACCACACACACTCACGGCCCCATTGTCCCTCGTTTCAATCAACGGCCGGTAGCGGTGAAGTGTGTATGTTTGGGATTTGATTGACAACCGAGGAGCATTTGCTTGGAGAGAGCGAGGGAAAGGGCGGCGAGCGATACACATCAGCGTGCATTGGCTGCGCCTGGACGCGCTGACCCTCAGCCTACCACCACCACCACCACTGCAGTCCCCCGTCTTATATTCACACCCACGCAAGAGTCTGACATCGCTGGCCTGATTGTACTGTAACCGCATCACCGGCCTGGTGCAAGTGGTGTAGCAACCAACCCACCTGCCCGCCCGCACAACTAACCAACTGGTCTTGAGCCGGCAAACTCCCGCCTCATTGTCACCACATCATCCATTGCTTCACGCCACACCCACATCGCCCGGCATGGACGACAACTCACCACCCGCCCGCCACGCACCACCGCACATCCGACTCAACTCCCAACAGGACGACCTACTCGGGATGTCCGAAGCGGGCCAACAACAGCCGGCCTCCTCCCGGCCACAAACAGCACGGCAACCGTCGTCACGATCACTAACCGCCTCGTCACGGCCCGGCACCGCGCCAGCCATACGAAATGCACAGAGTAATCCCGGCCCCTTGTACCAGAATCAGACACCGGCGGAGAGCGCAGAACTCCTTCTACCGCCGCGAAGAAGTCGCACGCGGAGATTTCGAGACGACCCCGACTCACCCAGCGTCCCGCACTCCCCCTCCGCCAGCGGCTTCAACTCCCGGCGCACGTCGTGGTCGAGCGAAAGCGCGGGAAGCAGAGACAGCAGATACGGTGCCAACCCGTTCGATGACTCGCGGGCGCCTTCACGGGCGGGCAGCGATGAAGAGGGTGTCAATACGCAGACGGTGAGCGAGAAGTACAACATCCTGCCCTCTGCAGGACTACTCCTGTTCCCCGAAGATGTGGAGAAGGATGATTACCTGCACAATCCCGACCCGAATGAGAGGGACAAGATGAACTGCGCGGATCTGTTCAGCAAACGAGGATTGATTAACGTGGGCGGGCTGGCGCTGATAACATTGGGCATCCTCGTCTTGTTCATTGGGTATCCGATATTGTGAGTAAATATCAAGCTTGTGCTGATTAAAGAAGAGAGCTAATCGTGCGTAGAACATTCGTCCAACGAGCCGTAGCACCCTCCGGCTCCAACGAGTGCTCCAAAGACCCCAACTGCCTCAGCGACAGCATGCCGCTCCTCAAGAACATCCGCACCAGCCTCGTCGACCCGGATACGCCTCACAATGTCCTATCTCGGACAGGCTTCAACGGCAAATCCCAAAAGCTCGTCTTCAGCGACGAATTCAACGACGACGGCCGCACCTTCTACAATGGCGACGACGCCTACTTCCAAGCCGTCGACCTCTGGTACGGCGTGACCGCCGACCTCGAATGGTACGACCCGGACGCCGTCACCACCGGCGACGGCACCCTCCAAATCCGCTTCGACGCTTTCCGCAACCACAATCTCAACTACCGCAGCGGCATGCTGCAAAGCTGGAACATGCTCTGCTTCAAGGGCGGATACATGGAAGCCTCCATCTCCCTCCCCGGCCGCGGCGACACCATCGGCTTCTGGCCCGGCTTCTGGGCCATGGGCAACCTCGGCCGCCCGGGCTACGCCGCCACCACCGACGGCATGTGGCCCTACTCCTACCACGACGCCTGCGACGTCGGCATCACCCCGAACCAATCCGACCCGGACGGCCACTCCTTCCTCCCCGGCATGCGCCTCCCCGCCTGCACCTGCACGGGCGAAGACCATCCCACCCCGGGCACCTCTCGCTCCGCCCCCGAAATCGACGCCCTCGAAGCCTCGGTCCGCTACCTCGACCCCCCAATCGGCGCCGCCGTAGGCACCGCCTCGCAATCCTTCCAAGTCGCCCCCTTCGACATCCTCTGGCGGCCCAACACCCAGTGGATTGAACTCTACGACCCCACCGTGTCGGAAATGAACGCCTACCAGGGAGGCCAATACCAACAAGCCCTCTCCACCGTCACGAACCTCAACAACGGCTGGTACGACAACAACGCCTACCAATCCTACGGCTTCGAGTACGAACCGGGAGACAGCGGGTACGTGGAGTGGAACGTCGGCGCCGTACGGACGTGGAAAGTTGAGGCCAACGCCGTCGGTCCCAATGGGAATATCGGTCAACGAGTTATTCCTGAGGAGCCGTTGGCGTTGATCGTGAATTTCGGCATGTCCAACGGTTTCGCGGCGCTGAATATGTCCGGCTTGGGACCGCTTATGCCGGCGACGATGAGACTGGATTATATCCGCATTTATCAGGATGAGGATGGCGAGATGACTTGTGATCCTGTTGGTTATCCGACGACGGATTATATTGCCAAACATCCGGCGCCTTACAATAATGCTAATTTGACGCTTTGGTGAGTAACACCCCCCTTTTCCACTATGGAAGGATGGAGATGGCGAGTGGATCTTGCTGACATTGGTGTGATTGATAGGGCCGATGCGAATTATACTTTCCCGCGGAATAGCCTGATGAATGGTTGTTCGGCTGCGAAGGGCAGTTCGAGCTCGAAGGCGCGGAAGGAGAGGTTGGCGAAGCGGGATGAGGAGCGGAAGAGGAACTTGGAGAGGAGGGGTTGGATGATGCCTTGGAGGAAATGAGTGGTTGAAGAAGGTGAATCCAGCACCGGAGGAGGAAGAGGATAGAAGAAAGGAAGGATGAAGAAGCAGAGTTGTACGTCCTGGAGGCGGGGCGTCCTTGCAAGATGCGCGATGCGGTGGGTGGATGTGGACAAAAGGAACGGATGATGATGGGGAGAGGGGAACATAAGCAGCATGGTTCTGCTTGCGATCAAATCACAACTTGTGCTGCGTTCGGAGCGCGAATGATGGCCGGTCGAGAAAGCATTTTTCGATTCAACAAGCATAGCATACAAATGCCCGGGCGGAAGACTTTCGCGGGTTGAGGCGTTGCAGGCGCTGTGTGTGGTACGGCGGCTTTTGGATACTGCTTCTGGGCGTCACAACGGGGGCATGATGTGGGATGGCTGGCCATAGTATACGGCTAACTGATAACTGCAAGCGGTAAAGGTAAAGTAAAACATGACCTGTGCATATAGAGAGAGAGAGAGAGAATAGCGAGACTTCTTCAGATCACGCAACGCAAACGGGCGGCGTTGCTGTGCCGTTTTTGCTGGCTGCTGGCTGGGTTCTCAAATGTGTAGAGATATGCTTCTGATAAAACGCTACCATAACAACTATATCCATAACGTCATCTTCGTGCGCCCTCGTGAAGCATTCAAATCCACCCTTCGTCATCCCATCTTGGAAGAGAAATGCGCCTAGATACTAATAAAGAAGCTCTTCTCCCCCTCCTCCGCCTTCACCTCCGCCCTCTTCACCAACGGATCCGCACAACTAATCCTAATCCTCTCCACCGTCGCCGGGCTCCGCAAATTCAACGTGCCCTCCTCCCCCCACTCCTTCCTCGCCGCTTTCAACGCATCCCGGATAGCGAAAAACACGCAACTCCCCAGGAATAACGGCGGCTCGCCCACACCCCTGCTCCGCTGAATCGTGCGGAGATTCTCCCAATTCACGTCCTTCAACAGACTCACGTTGAACTCCTGCGGTATGTCGCGGAAACCCGGGATCTTGTACGCGCCCGGCCCGCGCGTGAAGATCTGCCCGCTCGCGCGATGCCAGAGCGATTCTTCCAGCGTGAAGAGACCCATGCCTTGCACGAAGGCGCCTTCGATCTGGCCGTAATCGATGGCCGGGTTGATGGAGCGACCGACGTCCATTTTGATGTCTGCCCGTCGGCACGTCCAGTCCCCCGTGAGTGTGTCGATTTCCACCTCGGCGGCCGCGACGCCTTGGGTGAAGTAGAAGAACATTTGTCCCGTGTTCGGTCCCCAGACGTACCCAATCTGGGGGGTTTTGTAGAAGCCGTTGGCGGAGAGGTTGACGCGGTCGAAGTAGGCTGCGTGCGCGAGGTCTTTCATGGTTGCCTCGGGCCCGAGTTTTTCGCGGTAAGGGGCGAGGCGTTCGTTTAGTTGGGAGCAGGCGTTCCAGATTGCGTAGCCGTTTAGGTCGGAGGAGGCGGAGGCGGCGGTGGAGGAGGTGTTGGCTACCGTGTTCGTGGCGGTTTCGGAAATGTAGACGTTCTCTTGCGGGACTTGCAGCGCTTCGGCTGCGATCATCGTCATCTTCGTGTGCAAGCCTTGACCCATTTCCGTGCCGCCGTGGGCGACGAGCACACTGCCGTCGTGGTAGATATGCACGAGCGCGCCGGCTTGGTTGAGGAAGAGGGCGGTGAAGGAGATGCCGAATTTGGTCGGGATGATGGCGAGGCCGCGCTTCTTCCACTTGCTGCTCGCGTTGAAGGCTTCGATCTCGCGCTTGCGTTCTTCGTAGCGGGATTCGGAGCGGACTTGCTGCCACATCAGCGGGACGTACCAGTCTTTGAGCGATTGGCGGAAGTGGGTTTCTTCGTCCGCTTTGTACATGTTGATTTCACGCAGCTTCTCCACGGGCATGCCGAGCTGGTCGGCAACTTCTTCCATGTAGCTTTCGGCGATGTACATCCCTTGAGGGCCACCAAAGCCGCGGAAGGCGGTGTTGGAGACGGTGTTCGTCCTGCAGATGCGGCCTCTGACGTGGACAGCTGGGAAGCGGTAGACGCCATCGCAGTGACTTAGTGCTCGATCCACGACAGCACCGCTCAAATCTTGGCTCCAGCCGCCGTTGTTGAAGACATCTGCATCCAGTGCTTGGAGCATGCCGTCTTTGTTGACAGCGACCTTCCAACGTGCCAAGAAGGGATGCCTCTGCCCACTCGTTAAGATATCTTCATCGCGGTTGAGCATACACCGCACTGGCCGTTTGGCTTTCTTTGCGGCGGTCGCGCAGATGCCGGCGAGCTGAATACTTCTCGTCTCCTTGCCGCCAAACCCACCGCCGAGACGCTTGACCTTGGACACGACCTTATTCGCCGCTACGCCGGTCACCTGAGCAACGTACGCTTGCGTCTCGCTTGGGTTCTGCGTGGATGACCAGATTTCCATCTCACCGTCTTCGGGCTTGGGGATCGCCAGAGCGGCGTTAGTCTCCAGGTAGAAGTGCTCTTGCCCGCCCATCCTGGCTACGCCAGTGAACACATGATCGGCTTCTTTGAACGCCTTCTCTACGTCGCCGTTGTGTATATAGCGGTAGTGGTCGAAGTAGCTGCCTGCTGCAATAGCCTCCTCGATGGTGAAGATGGCTGGCAAATCTTCGTAATCGACCTTCACCGCCCTCGAGCCAGCCTCAGCAATCTTGGCCGACGTAGCGAGAACCATACCGATGGGCTGACCCGCTGTAAAGACTTCGTCGACTGCGAAGAACAACTCGTCACAGTTGGGAGCACCCCACCAGTTCGCTTCCGCGTTTGGTAGGTCCGTGTGATCTACCCAGTCAACCACGCCGGGTATGTCGAGCGCTCGAGTATGATCGACTGACAAGATCTTCGCGTGAGCCTTGGTGGAGAGCACAAGGCACCCGTAGAGCTCGTTCTTCTGCACAGGCATATCGTCCAGGTACTGTGCCTCTCCCGTGCATTGCTTGAGCGCCGCGACATGCGGTTGCTCTTTGCCAAGGATCTTCTGCTCGTAAGCCTCGCCAGCTTTGTGGTCTTTGCGGCCCTGGCTGATGTCACGCTCGACCTCCTCAAGCGCTTGCCGGTCGACCGCACTATCTTCTGGGTTGAGCTGGGACAGCACGTCGTGGTAAAAGCGGTAGAAGAAGCCGAGCGCCAGAGACTTGCGGTACGTTGCCATGCCGCCAGGCACGCCGAAGCGGAGATCGAAGTCCTGCTCGAGCGCATTCATTACGCCCTCCAGAGTCTTCGGATCGCTGAACTTCTTGCCGTGCAGGTACTCCGTCGCTTTCTTCGCTGCGATGGTAATCGGCGCCATACCGCCATACACCAGAGTGCAGTCTTCAACGATATGGTCTTCACCGAGCCGGACCCGCAACGCCGAGTTGACGATGGCAATGTCGTCGTCTTTCCGCTTGGCCTGCTTGTATGCGCGCATGTACTCTCCTTTCTCCCGGAAGACGGGGATGCGAATGCTGGCAATGATCGCATCCGGCGGGAGCGCTGTTAGACGATAGCCCTTGAAGAACTCGGACATTGGCAGCTCAGTCGTCTCGTCCAGACTCTTTGCCACAAGCACAGCGTTTGTCGCGACGAAGACGGGGTTCAGATCGGATATAGGTGATGCTGTCGCTAGATTGCCTGCGGGGGTGCCAACGTTGCGGATCTGTCGCCCTGCGAAGTACCTGATCTGCTTCAGGATGGCTGCGAATGGCTGCCCTCGATCTTTGCCATACTGGTCAACCGCCTTACGCATCAGGTCTTCTAAATCGGTGAGTGTGACGTTCCCGCCAATCTCAACGTGGTCATCTGCAAAGGTGTAGCCTCTCAGCTCTGCAATGTCTCCTACGTAGACGGAGACCGTATACTGCATAGCCTTGAACTTCACCTCGATCTGCGTCTCCGTGCTGCCTCCAATGATCTTCGCTGAAGGATAGACGCTCTTTATCTCGAGGAGCTGCTTCAGAGTGACAGGTCTGTACCATCGCTTTCGCTTGTTGCCGAAGGCGAGTGGCTTATACTCGTGCTTTCGTAAGGCCGGTGGAAAGATGAGCTGCGTGTCTGGGTTGTACTCGATGAAGCCAGGTGGAGTGAAACGTTTGATAGGCTGATCATCGCCATTCGCGCCGTTTTTGCCGCAACCCTTCGTACCATTGGCGCCGTTCTCCATGCAACATCCGCTGCCGCCATTCGCTTTCGACATACCACAACCCTTCGTAGCGCCAAAGGATTGAGCGGCATCCAGAATCGGACGATAGCCGGTGCATCTACAGAGATTGCCGTCGAATGCTTCTTCAATCTCATGCTCTGAAGGGTTCTCATTGTTCCGCAGGAGAGCGTACAGACTCATGACTATGCCAGGCGTGCAAAAACCACACTGGCTGCCATTGCCCTTCGCTATCCTCTCCTGAGCAGGGTGTGGGTTCTTGACATTGCCAATACCTTCAACAGTGATGACGTGCTTGCCATCCACGCTGACCAGCGGCGCTAAGCAAGCATTGACTGAGGCGTGGTAGATTTGCTTTGTGGTTGGGTTATACTGCGAAACGACGACCGTGCAAGCACCGCATCCTCCTTCTGCGCAGCCGAGCTTTGTGCCTGTCAAGCCTATGCCGCGCAAGTACTCCAGCAGAGTAACCTCAGGGTCTGCGGTATCCAGGACGACTTTGGTGCCATTTAGATAGAAGCGGATAGTATCGTCAAACGTTTCCGTGACCGAGGACAGATTCCTTTGGCTTGCTGGCTCGACTGCTGGTTGTGGTTCAATGAGACCAGGCGCCATATCGTTCCTAACGGCCGGTCTTCAATTCCGCGACCGCTGCCTCTTCCTCCCGGTGTGACTATCTTATCATTGATTGCTGCTTCCTGTCTGTTCCGCAAAAGCAAATGCGCCAGAGACACAAGGACAGCGACAGAACCAGGAGCAAATATGAAAGCAGCAAGGCCGAGATGTAGGAAGGAGAAAACGAAAGGGTGACAAACAGTCTTACAGACTTATCGCAGACCACGCAGCTCGCCGATAAGTGTAGTCAATCAGGTGGGACACGCCGACTCGTGAGCATTGTGGGGTGCAGAAAGGGTTCGTTTGTAACGGCGCAATGGGTTCACTCTGTTACGGCTCTATTCCTTCGTTTCCTGGGCATCTTACAGGAAAGGCAACAATCCGCGTGACACACTCGTGTAAGAGGTGGTAGACAGTAGACAGTGTTGACGAGCATTCAAAGAGGACAATAACAATTCCGCATGGCTTAAAGACGGAAGTGGCTTAACGGCGAACTCCGAGAGGATCAATGTGAATGTGGCACCGCGCATTGACCCGCTCATCCCCACCACACATGCAGCTTCTTCGAGTGAACTACACCTCTTCGCTTCTGAACTCGGAACGGCCAGGGCCCAACGGTTTGGAACATGGTCACAGTCGGGCTTCATGTCTCATCGCAACCGGCTTCGATAACACTCTGCTGACCCTTGCGATCGGTGACAGTGGCGGTTGACTGCTGTAGGACTACACGCCAGCCAGGCGGAGAGTGAGGCGACGATTCTCATCAATTCTAAGCTTTCTAACCTCCATGATCTTTCTCAATGTATCAGCATCTTCAACAAGGTAGGAGTCGTACTCTCCGGCTGATGCTCCAGCTGCAGGTACCGCTTTGACACGTCAGAGGTGCCACTGACCGGACGCCCGCAGCTCCGAGGCAGCCTAGGTCCAGCAAGATGCCCGCACCAATGCTATTCCAGCCATTAAGCGGCAGTAGTAACCCACCAACGGACGGCGGACCGTTGCTTTAGCGTTTCATGCTGCAGTGGGCGAGCCTTCGGTGGGCAAGGCAAGAGCTTACGCTCCACCATTTCGGACCTGGAGTTTCGTTCCATCTGGTTTCGGTGTTCTGCGCCCAGAAATCACGAAAGCGTACTAAATTCTCACCTTGGCCATCCAAGGCCTCGCTACAAGCAATGGCATCAACAGCCACATCCTCAACCACAGTCGATAGTGAAAGTTCTCGGGCTCAAACCGAAGCACGAGCTGCCGTACTAGCATCGCTGGAGTCAGCTGGCTCAGGGTACGACACGCAGTATCAAAGCCGAGCAGCGGATCTTCACTCGAACGCTGCGTCAATCACCAGGCAAGAGGCTGAAGTGCGTAGGCAGACTGCTGCGCTCGCTAAAGAAACCGCGAAGTGGCAGACAGAGGCTGTGAAGGCCACCAAGGGTCTGAATGAGTTCGGCGACCTGCAAACGTGGGCGGAGACGATGGAGCGCGACTTTTTAGTTTTGGAGGAGACCCTGCGGCTGGCTGAAGGAGGCGAGGAGTTTGAGAGTGCGAGCGGTGGGAGTAGGTGGCGTTGATGTAGCACCGTCTCCCTCTCCAGCAAGGTGACGGCGTGCGCGTTGTATTGACTAATGATCCTGCACCTAGAGAGCAATTTTGGTATCGACTCATGGTAGAAGCAAGCTATGTGTGCATGAGTAGATTCTGAGCCAGGATCACCTCTGCCCCGTCCTCGTGGGTTTGGACTCATACAACGGATACTCTTCCCATCCAGGTCAGCCACTGGCAGCCACTTTGCATGTTGTCTCACTGCAACACTTCTGAGTGTTCTCACATCGATTGCAGGGAGCTTGAGGTGGCTATCTCCCATTCTGGCGTCGTGGGGCTTCGTCTGACAAGCTCGCTCATTTTATCCTTGCAAACCGAGAAGATGTCATATTGTTACTCAGTGCCGATTCAAATGTGAATGCCAAAGGCATATTGTCGCATATAGAGCCGCGCACAGACCACCTTATCCGCAAAATTGCCGAAACCCCCTTGCGAGCAGCTTCACTTCCGCTAATTGTCAAAGTTCACTCACAACACTCGGCTTCCACCAGCATCCTTGACCCTCAAACCACTAAAGAGATCCCTGGTCGCGTAATCATTGTGTAAAGCTGCTTGAAATCATATACACAGTGGGCGGCGCAAGCATGGCGCAACAACCCGACATCTCCTCCATTCTCGCTGCTCTAGGTACGGGCCAAAACATTGACCACCTGTAGCCATCTACTGACCGTATGGTAGCCGCGCAGCAACCACAGCAGGGAGCCGCGCCGTCAGCGCAACCCACCCCTCAGCCACCCACCGGCTATCCGTCCGCCAGTTCATTACCGGCGCCTCCGCCAAGCGCACCCCCTCAGGGCGCTACGTACCTGCCGCAACCGTCAAGTACGGGCAGCGTCGACCTCAGCGCCATCAAGCCTGTGAACAGCGGTTCAGTAAGTATAGCAGATGCGATTGCCAAGGCGAAGAGTATTGCGGCGGACAGGGGTGTGTCCTCTTTCGATCCAAGATCAGGTAAGTGCCAGTACCCGTCGCTCGCGCGTCCCCGTGCCACATGCAACTTCGCAACTGACTTGTCTAGCCACCCCTCGCGAAGACCCACGTCTCGCAGGACGCGATTTCGGACGCTCGAGGTCGCGTTCTCCGCCGAGGCGTGATGACTATGGCTCGAACCCTTACCGCGATGAACGGCGCGAGGACCCCAGGCGAGGCAACTTCCGAAGATCGCCTTCACCTCAGCAGACCTTTCGTGGCGCAAGAGACCCACCGATGGGCTTCCGCGCCAATGATGGAGAGACGGAGACCATACGTGTCAAGTCTGCGCTTGTTGGTCTGATTATCGGCCGAAATGGCGAGAACTTGCGCAAAGTAGAGTCCGAAACGGGAGCACGTGTCCAGTTTATCCAGGCCAAGGATTCGCATGTGCCCGAACGGCAATGTACAATCTCCGGCTCTCTACGCGCAAGAGAAGGCGCAAAAGCTGCCATCTTCAGTATCATTGAGGAGAACGGCGGTCAGAATGTCGCGCAGGAGAAAGGCGCTTATACGCCAGGTATGCCTGGTCGCGCAAAAGTCAACCTTCCGGCATTGCGTGAAGGTGAGAACAGCACGCAGGTCATGGTTCCGGATAAGACTGTAGGATTGATAATCGGACGTGGAGGCGAGACCATCAAAGACCTACAGGAGCGCTCTGGGTGCCACGTCAACATTGTCGGCGAAAACAAGAGCGTCAACGGCCTACGACCGGTTAACCTTATTGGCAGCGAGTCAGCTACCGCCATGGCGAAGGAGCTTATTCTGGAGATTGTCGAAAGCGACAACCGCGCAGCGTCGGGCAGCGCACCACCGAGCAACCGCGACCGCGGTTTCGGCAACAATGACCGCAACGGCGGTGGTGGAGGAGGTGGCGGTGGCCGCGACTACATCGAAAAGACCATCCATGTGCCATCCGAAGCTGTTGGCATGATTATTGGCAAGGGCGGTGAAACGATCAAGGATATGCAACGTACCACCGGCTGCAAGATCAACGTTAACCAACCTGTCCGCCCGGACGTGACACGCAAAATCGACCTAGCCGGCACCTCACGCTCGATGGCCGAAGCCGAGCGCATCATCTGGGAGAAAGTGGAGACTGTCAGGGAGCGTGATGCCGCAGCCGGTCGTTCACATCGTGACCAGTCCGGAGGAGGACAGTCTTCTGGAGGAGGAGGAGGGTATAACGGGTACTCACAACCACAGCAGCAGCAGCAACAGCCGCCCATGTCTGGATACGGATCGTACATGCCGCCTGCCCAGCCGTCGGCTCCGCCGCAGATGCCGGCGTTCCAGATGCCGATGGCTACGCAGTCGACGCCACAGCCTGGAAGTGACGGTGCGAACGCCAGTGATCCGTACGCCGCGTATGGCGGCCAACAGGCATTCTATGCCATGTGGTATCAGCAGCAGATGGCCAACCTGCAGCAGAACGGCCAGCAATCTGGCGCGCCTGGTACGCAGTAGGCCGCCCTTCTCCTCTTCGACGTGACGACGTCCGACGTGCTACGTAAAAGCGTGCCGTGACTCTGAAGTCGGTGACGTTTTGGTCCTGGATTCTTTCGGAGGTGTGCTACCCGTCGTCGTGGTCTTCTGACACTGCTTTCTTCGACTTGCACTTGTCCCGAAATGCCGTGACTGCGAGCTTAGGCTACCGTCATCTTTACGACATGACCTGTCGCCCTTGGACATCATCGCTGTTGCTGCTCCTAAGCCTGGACATCAAGCGTTCGTCGTGCGGTTGACGCCGGTGCTGAAGTTCTACGTCTGCCACGTTAGGTACTTTCTTCGGTCATGCAGTAAACCCGCGGCTGGTTGACGTCTGCAAATTCGCAAAAGCATGCTAGAAATGTCGCTGCTGCGGCGGCGCATGGAGAAGCTCACGTGTTGTTCGACATTCTGCAGGCCGTCATGCTGATATGCGGATGGTGACTTGCAAAACATTCGTAACGTGCCCTCAACGAGCTCGTGGCACACTGTCGCTCTGATATTCTAGGATGGAAATTCTACGGCGTGATTTTTACCACGCCGGACGGCGGACGTCTGCTACAACAAAATAATTGCTTGCATAGTGAAATGGAGCGTGGGCGCTCCGTCAGCCTTGCGCTAGCTACAAGGATCACATGCAGGTTGCTTTCGCGGTCACAGCGAAGTCCGTCGGATTTCTTTACCTTGTGTAGGTCAAGTACAGTTCTGTTGAAGAAGAGTTACGAGGACTACTATGCATCGATCGCGGCTCAGCGCTGGTGTGAAGTGTGATAGCTGAGTCGATCCGTCAACTGTATCTCGTTATGGGACGCTTTCATGTCTACTTTGAGGAGCGTTCACTATACGAATTTGTCGAATTAGGCAGTGAGTTTCGCTTGTCCCAACGCGCTCATCGTCACGCATCAGCGCCATCGCACCTAAACCGGACACTTCATTCATGACAACCGGATTGACATGCTCTTGGTATGCTACCTAGATCAGAATGCTGCGAATAGCCGCTTGATATAACACCATTATTGTCCACACCAGAACAGAATACACGCTTGCAAAGTTCGTGCGATACGAATGGACTATATGAAGCTAGCTTCCGCGCGATATGGTCTAAAGTCTATGGCTTGTAACCTGGGAGTAGCCATGCGCGGAGTATGGGATGAAGCGTAGAGGCTCAATCGCTGTCACTGTCCAGGATTACCCGCTTCTTCCTTGGTGCAGTTACTACTGCTGATCTTCTGCCTTCCGCACCATGGTCGCTTGCATCTTCCGACGATAAGTCACCGATGGAGGTCTCATGATCCACAACTGCTTTCTTCTTGGGCCGTTGACCGTTGCCTTGCCTAGTACGAGACCTCGCTGCTTCTGGACTTGTCGGCAAAGAGCTCGTCGCCATTTCAATGACCTCGTCGGATTTAGCGACGAACCGGTCAAGCTCACTATCTGCTTCCTCATCGTCGTCTTCTCCGCTGGTGTCCTTCGAACCAAGATCAATGCCTTGCGTGCCAATCCGCATGTTGGCCGGAGTAGGCTCAGGTTCGGATTCATCACCCTCCATGGCTGCCGAGCCGTACGACGCGGTGCGCTGAACTGTCATGTGCTTCCGCTTTTGGGCGCCTGGCTTGTTCCGCGTTCGGGTGATGGGTGCGGGATGTCGAGGCAGTTCTTCAGAATCCGAAGAAGCTGCAGCTGGACTGACGAGCCTTGCGCGCCATGCATCTGGGTCTGGTAAGTCACGCATGCAGACAGCGAGTGCTTTCAGGCGTTCGATCTTCGCATCATCGAGCTGCCGTAAAGAGCGCATAGATCTTGCCACAATCTCCGCGGCCCTCCCGTGCCGGACATACTTCGTTGTGCCCAGTTCTCGTAGCGTTCCCGGATAACGTCCAGGTTCAGGTATACGTACAACCATGTCTTCATGCCCAGCGGTACGAGCGTACTTCATCTCAAGCTCATGCTGCTGAGCTTCGGTAAGTAACACATCTTCGAGGAAAGGCAGCTGCGCGATTTCCGGTGGCGAAGAAGGAGGGCGTAGCTTGCTCTTGGTTGCCACATTCGGCTTCGGATCAGTCCGCTTCTTCTTATTTGGAACGCTTTCTTCAGCTTCATCTTCGCCGTCAGAGCCCAGCTTGGAAGCCTTCACAAAGCCGGTGCGGACATTGTCCGGCATATGGAATTTCTTTGGTGGGCGCTTCGCTTTCGCCTTCCCTCTCGCCTTCCTGCCTCTTTCATTGAGGTCCACAGGCTGGCTGTTTTCGATCGGTATCTCAATCACCCGTTTGTCGACCACTGGATGCACGTCCTTGGGCAGGATACGCGGACTTTGATCGTCTCGGTAGTCATACTTACTTGTATCTGCGATTGACTTCTGAATGAATGCGTAATTGTCCTGAGCCTTAGCGTAGTCGTTTTCCTCTTTGCCACGCACGAGCAGAAGGACCACTTTGCCAATGCGCTTACGACCAGTACGCCCGATGCGCTGAAGCATACGAATGGGCGAGGATGAGGCATCATAGCAGACAATCAAGTCGACGTCGCCAATGTCAAGACCTTCCTCGCCAATGGAAGTGGCGACAAGTGTGTTGAATTTGCCTGCCTTGAAGTCTTGGACGACGGCGTTCTGCTTCTGCTGGGTCATGCCCTCACTGTTTGCGCTCCCAGCTTGCCCGACGAACACATGCGGTCTGATCAACGGGTCGTTCCGTTTCAGCACCCGGCAGATCTCTTCGCAGCTGTCACGGAATGACGCAAAGACCATAACGCGCGTCGCGGAGGGTGGTGCGTCGGTACCTAGCGCTCCTTCGCCAGCGTCAAGGAAGTGTCCAAGAACGACCTCGCGGAGATACTGCAGCTTTGGGTGACCGACGAAGTCGGGGTTGTGAGTCCAGCCACGGATGCGGCTCATCATCTGGATGAAGTCGCTGGATTGGACAATTTCTCGCGCATTCTTGCCCTTGGATTGGCCGCTATCAACGGCTTTCTGGAACTCAAGCATGCCGGTGTAGAACGGCACGATACCGTGATATTTCAGCAGCCCGATGCCGTGGGCAAGCTGAGAGAGGAGCGTGAAGATGATGTTGATCATACCTTTGAGCGGCATGGGCGCTCTTCTGCCAGCGTCTGATTGCATCCATTGTGTCCGGGCTTTCGTCAAGCCAAACGCGGTCAACTGCATCGGATCACGCGACCAAAAGGCGTTCTGCGAGTTCAGCTTCTGCAAGACAGGATTCAGCGCCTTTGTCATGTGCTCCATGATCAATTCTTGCTCATCGCTGTAATCAAATAGCTCAAAATCCGTGTGCTTCTCGTGCGTATAAGGCCGGATGTCCAGTGACTGCTCGGTGCGGAGCTCGGTACGAGCAATACCGAGATGGTCAATGACAGCCTGGACTGCCTCCACCTTCGAGCCCGGCGTTGCTGTCAACGCCAGCACGCGAAAGCTGCTGTTGAAGCGACGAAGAAATGCAATGACCTCGGTGTAGGCATAGCCGCCGGTGGCCTTGTGCGCTTCGTCAACCACAACCAGGACAATCTTCTTTGGGTCAGATATGCCCGATTTGAGGTCGTTGATCACGGTCTGAGGCGTCATGAAGAACACGCGTTTCTCGAGCCATTGTTCGGCACGCACCGCGGGTGTTGTCTCTCCTGTCATCAGCACAGTGTCACATCTTGGGATTCCGACGATTCTGTAACAAGCATCCAGTTGTTGCGCGATGAGCGGCTTCGTCGGCGCCATGAAGACAAGCTGCGACGTAGGTGTCCACCGGTAGTAGTTTAGCATGACGGTCGCAGCTATGAAGGTTTTGCCAAGGCCGGTGGGCAGTGCAACCAGAGTGTTGTGAAAAAGACTACGGTTGACGATGTTATACTGATAGTCGCGTATGGTGCCGAGGTTCGTAGGGTATACCCAAGTCTCCATGGCTTTAGCGTCAAGTTTATGATGGGTCGGCGCCTCTTCGCGATCCTTGAGAGGCCAAGCATGCTTCTTCTTGGCGGCTTGGGAAGCCGAGAGTCGTTGTGTTGCAGGCTGCCCGAATATGGTCATCTGTTTCAGTCCGTTCTGCGGTCCTCTCCAAGCTCTAGGTTGTTCACGGGAAAGCGTAGGTTGCGAAGAGCTGATCTCGATCAACTCATCCCGTGACGACTTCTCTGGCGAGGATGATAAGAAGGCGTCAGACGGGATGTCTGCAAGCTCCTCATGCATTGCGAGCTGAGACGGGTTCACATTGAGAGGCTTCAACGCTCGCGTTGATTGCTGGGCAGCAAAAGAAGCTTCCTCCTCGGCCTGCAGCCGAGCAGCCAAAGCAGCATCTTCTTCGACCTGACAGGCTCTGGCGCCATTGCCTGCACCATGCAGAGACATGTTCTGTACAGCAGCCGCATTACGTCCATTCACTGGCAGACCGAAACCATCATTCGCTCGTTTCTCGATGAGTGGTGGTGGAGGTGGCTTCGGTTTCTGCCACACCGCACCCCGTATCCTGCTTGGGCTGGAGTCGATGTTGCGCTGAGTCTGGGTAAAGAAGAGGCTCGGGAGCTGTCCGCCTTGCTTCGGCACGTGAATCTTATACTTGGATTTCTTGATGGCATTTTCGTCCCCTCCAAGCTCGCCAGGAAAGTAGTAAGATGCATCAACCTCCGGCTCGCCATCCTCGATATCTGACGCCTGCGGAGGAGCTGCGGTGGGCCCAGACTGAGAGATTACTGACAGCCAATTGACTCCCAGATAGTCGGACTCCGATATCTCAGGCGCTTGAGAGCTTGCTCCATCGAGCTGGGAAGGATCCCGCCTTATTCTTCGTTTCTTCGTCGGTCGAGGAGATTCCTCGAACGGGCCGTCACCTTGAGAAGCTTCAACCTGCGTCGCAACTGCGATGAATGCCGTATCATCATCACCTATACCAAAGTCGTCGCTATGAGTCATCGCATCATCATCGGCATCATCACCAGAACCATCGTCAAACCATCGTACTTCGACTTCGATCTTTCGATTGGAGTGATTGGAAGTGGAAGAAAGACGCGTGCTTTACGCGTTCGAGCTATTCCCAAATAAGCAGAGTGCGGGGTAGACCTAAGTTGAGTTCTTGCGTTCACTCGCTCATCGGCGTCAGCGAACGCATTGCCAACTGGCCACGAGGCAGCGACTGGGGAGGTCTTCGGGCTTGTTCATACAGTCCACCTACAGCGCTTAAAAACAGGCTGTTCGCCGACGTTTGTCTGCTCCGGATCGAGATAGCAGTAGAGTCGGCCCGCCACAGAGCGCACTCTCGATCCTCCTTATATCCGGCATGCCCGTACGCCTTGTGTGGCCTCGACCTCAGTTGATGGATGTCAGAGGGGAACGTTGTGCGGAGATGTGGTAGGCTTTCCATCTGCAGGTGTGTTCCATCCCCCCCGTATTCTGCACTTCCCTACCATCAAGGTCACTGTCTCGCGCTCTACCCTTCATCATGCCTAACCAACCCACCGGCGATCCCAAACAACACGACGTCTCGACGTTCACAGACAGCATCTCCGGGTCATGTCTCTGTGGCAGCATAACAGTAACCCTCAATGAGAAGGGTCTTTTTGACAAGCCGCGTGGGCACCTATGCCATTGCGCCAATTGTCGCAAGGTGGCAGGCTCATACGTCGCCAGCAACATGTTAATGGATGAGGATAAAGTCAAGATCGATGACCGTGATGGCACATTGAAGACATATGAGGATAAGCATACACTGAGCGGCAACCCAGTGTACCGGAGCTTCTGCGGTGTGGATGGAAAGTAGGTATTGACGGCCACGCGAGTCGCGTGCATTCGTGGCAAGGCCAGCCGCTAACATGGAGTCGCATCCAGCCCCGTCCAGTCCAAGACAGCCTTGTACCCGGGCAAAGTCGTGATCAAGATGGGCATGTTCCCTCGCATCCCACAACCCGAGGCCGAAGGCTTTGGTTCTCACAAACACCCGTGGCAAGGGCAGCACGATGGCGTACCATCGTACAAGATCAAGTGGGCAGGACCAGAGAAAGAATTGATGTCCGAAGGTACTCTGTAGCGGTTAATGACATTACCAATTCTAGCCAGGAAAGTCTTCCACGTACAAAGGGACTGACGTGAAAGGCTCTCGTTTCTCAGCTCGATGCTACTCAAAAGGAAGCAGACGCCGGGTATGCAATTACAAGTCAAACACCCACGCAATGCTGGCTACGATGACCAAACCGCCGAGGCTAAAGCCGAGGCACCGCACCAGGCTGAGGCCTTCTCTCGGCAGGACTGAGATGCACCTCGTTGTCGAAGATACTCCTCTTGTCCCTCCTTCGGATCTTGCCGTGCTGTCCGTTCAGGTAATTGGTTGCGTACGTCCGGCACGTGAAGCTACTGGTGGATGTCGGCGGGAACAGGTATACCGTCGTCGTCACCGTCGGCTCGGTAAAGGTCACGTACCCGCCAGAGCCGTTATTTGCGGTAACCGTGATATACTGCGGCGGCAGTGTAACCGTTACGCCGTAAGCCGTGCTGACCTTCACGGAGACTGATATGCTGACTGTCGTCACGGTGACGGTCGTTACCAGACGGTTGAGCGAAGGGTTGAAGTAAGTCTTTGTCAACGACATGGTTGACGGGCTCAAAGTGGCTACCGTGGTCGAGCAGCCGACCACCTCCGTGATAGTGGAGCCGCCTGACACGTACATAGCGCCTCCCTGGACAACCGTCGAACCGTCTCGGACGGTGGTGCTCGTTGTTCCGCCGACGCAGTACGTTGTCAACATAGGCGCGTGTGACATGCTACCGACATCGGGGCCGTTTCCGGGTAAAGAGTTGTTTCCCGGTCCGGTGTATGGTGTCGTAAGCGCAGCCGAGTCGACACCCACTTGGTAGATGCCGTTCGAACCTGCTTTGAGCTCGCAGTTGTTCACTGTGGTATTGGTGAAGAAGCTGATACCCTGGCAAGGGCTGGCTTCGTAGAACGACAAGAGGTTGTACATGTCGCACGCAGACACGCAGTCTGCCATGCTGGTCTGGTTTTGGACGTCAATGGTCTCGTCGGTGAAGTAAGTGTTGCATTCCACGTAATAGTTTCTGCCCATCGGAGATAGGTACAGTTCGCCTTCACTGCAGGGACACGTCGGTAGGGCAGTCTGGAAGGTCGCAACGGTAGTGGTTCCCGAGATCGTTATGGTCTGCGTGCCTCCACCGGAACCGCCGTTGCCTGAGCCTTCGCTGGGTTTAGGGTCACATATTCCATTACTGCTCGTTGGACTTGCTGGCCCGCCGCTTCGTGTTGGAAATCTGTAGCCCGAAGCCGGACACGTCAGGGGCACGCCGCAGCTCGTGACTGTCTGCGTAGTGACGACCGTCATGGTGCTTACTGCAGGCGCCCTACAAGTACTCAGGTAAGCATAGCCCGGGGGAGCTGCGATCGGGTAGCCCTGTCCGCCGTCTCCGCCAAGGGAGATCTGCCCGGCGCCGGATCCTCCTCCGCCGACCCCGCCCTCGCCGGAGAGACCGCCGGTCGGTGTTACGGACACTCCGCCAAATGGGGGCGTGGTGGTGGATTCGCTGCCATTGTTTATCACTACTGTAGGGGTAAGCGCACAGGTGAAGCACAGCGAAACCGAGGCGTTCATGGGTGGCAGGCTAGCGCTTGGTGAGGTTGGCAGAGCGTAAGTAATGCCGTTCGACCCACTGGTGTAGCGTCCATTGGGCGGCATGGTCGAAGTGACCGTGACTTTTGGTGGAATCTGCATTATTGTTGCCCCAGCCGGAAGCGCTAGGCAGTGTCAGTGGACGTCAAGCAGAAGGTTTGGTCACCACTTACAGGTTGTCATTGTTGGTGTGTGAGAGACAGATGATGTAGATGGATTACCAGGCGCTCCGTTGCTCGGTATGAGATATGGACCGATCGGGATTCCGCCGTTACTTGAGGAGTGGGCGTAGGTAGTGTTGATGGCCGACAGAATTACTAGGTTGGTGCTTTGGGAGCCGGCAAAGGATGACTTCAATTGGCAGTTGTTCATAGAAGTGTCGTATTCTATGCCAACGCAGCCGCTAATCGTGTCGCAGATGGCGATACAAGAAGGTATGTCTTCGCCTCCAAATGCGTCGCCTATGTTGCCACTGTAGTAATCAATATAACAGCCAATGGTGTAGGAGACTTCATTCATATCAACATATGTTGAGCCAGATGATCTGGGACAGCCCAAAGCGTTGGGTGATGGAAGACTTGTTGCCGGGTATACTTGGGTCGCGGCTATGCCGCCAGGTACTTGAGCCGTTCCATTTACAGCGCTGAACATAGTGCACGCCGTGCCGATGTAATTGAAAGCTACACAGCCGGTGGTCGTGTCGCATAGGTTCGAGCAGCCTTGGTAGTTGCTCTCTTGCGTTTGGCGCTTCTGGATAGTCGATGACGGTGACGGTTTGAGCACAGTTCCTTCGTTGACCACACCACATTGATACGCATACACTGCGCCATTTGGATTCGTACAGGTCGTTTGTTGATTCGCGGTCGCGCATATCGAGGTCTGACTAGCCGGGCAGGCTGGGTAAGTCGTCCTGGCAGCTGGCGGCGGCACAGTATTGACCATGGTCACAGAAGCTGGGCGTGTCGCAGCTGCAGCAACGACCGGTCCCCCTGTCGATGCAACAGTAACGGGCACAGTAGTGGTACCATTGACGGTACTCAGCAGCGAGCAGGAACCGTCCAGGAAGTTGACGGCAATGCATTCTTTTGTCGTGTCGCAAAGGACGAGGCAGGAATCAACGTCCGGCTCCGCAGCGCGGCCTACTATCCGTCCAGTGTACTGAACATCATTTCGCACACTGTACGTGTTGTCGTAGGTATCATGGCACGGAGTGGCAGAGCCAGAAGGTGCACCGCTGACTGCACATGCGGACAATGAAGAAGTAGCGGTACTGGTCGCCGTAACGGCCTGATTGCCATTACCACCACCCGAGCCAGCATTCACCGCGCCCCCACCCGGACCAGTGTAGTACTCCAGTATGATGGCACCGACAGTTTGCTCGCTATAGCTGGTCGTGAAGTCTTCGGTGCGGAAGTTCTTGAAGAAGCAGAATCCGCCCTGGTCGAGCACTGGTTCGTAGAATGTGAAGGCTGTACACTCATCCGATGGCCACGCATCACAAAGTTCGAAGCAGTCGTTGAAGGTTTCCTTCAAATCGTTCGTCTGGTTAAAGCTGCCGCCTGTCGTATCGTATCCACAGTGCAATACATAAGAGATACCGTTCGGGTCCGTCACCGTCTGCTGGTCATTCTGCGGACACATATAGGGAAATGCGGCAGGTGTCAACATCACGGAAGAGCTGTTAGCTGTCGGGGGCGCTAGGACGAGGCTCGAAGGAGGTGTCGAACCCAGTGCGGCTGGTTCACCTGCGGACGTGGTCGCAGCCAATACCACGTTATTCGTGGAAGTGCTAACTTGAGATGTCAGAGTCCCAGCCCCAATTACAGGTACGGATGTCGAAGGTGTCAGTGTGGACACTATTGCCACAGAAGACGCGACAGGCGCACTGCCAAATTTGATGGCAGCGTATACGCCAGGATCAGATACTAGACTTCCTAAGCCGCCTTTAAGGTAGCATTGCCCGGCTCCGTTTCCTCCAACGTAAGCAAGGCCTGTGCAATTAGTCCAGGTATCACAGGTCTCAATGCACTGCTCGAAGCTGTTCGTAGCGAAGCCGCCAGGCTGTAGAGTGGTCGCTCCGCCTTGATAATCGTTAGAGCAGCCAACTTGGTATTTGCCGGTAATCGAATCTGTGTAGGTCATGGCATGAAACGCTGGACAGATGGGTGCAGGTGTTGACACTGCAACTAGCCTGGTCGTGATTGACGAAAGCGGACCACTGTACGCAGATGATCCGAGGCTTGACGTTGAACCACCCATGGCGTTGTTGATGGTGCCTGGGGACGACTTGGGTGTCGCTGTGGGCGCACTTGTCGAATACGTTGACGTAGTGCGAATGGTAGGGTTCATCTGATAAACTCTTATCGAATTGATCTGCCAGTAAGCGTCCGTAAAGTTCTGGGGGTTGAGGCCGACAAAGTCAACACATGAGGCCCACACATTATCACCTCTGGTCGCGTTGAGTGGGCAGTTTGGCCACTGACCATAGGCCTCTCCAGCCCAAGTTCCGCAAAAATCAGTATTGATAATGATGCTCATGTTGTTGAAATGCGCATCGATGTTGCAGCTATATCCGCCACCACTGCCCATGTTCGCACTAGGCTTGCCGAATGCGGTCACGTCAGGTGCGCCGTTACTGATGCTTGCAGGTATACTTCCCCTTGGGAAGAACCATGTCTTTATATATGCAGATGTCCACTCTGTGGCATACACACCGCCACCGTTCTTGTTGAAAGGGTCACCGTAGTTGTTCGGTATCAGACTTCCATTGATAGTCGTACCACAGCCTCCTGTCGCGGAGCCTGTGCTGCAATCCCAACTTTCGTACGTTGCCGTTTGACCAGCGCCGTTGACTGTACAACCTGGGCTTGTATGCAGAGTAATGTCGTTGGAGATGCTTGTATGAATGCCTTCAATGATGTCAATTTCTCCGTTGTTAGGCCAGTTGGGGCCGAGTAACCAGTAAGCTGGCCATGTCCCGCATCCCCATGGCATGTGGGCAAGGTCGATGATGAAGAGGCCGTGGGTATAGGTGTTGTCGCTGATCAGACGGACAGCTGGTCTTCCGGGCCCTCCGTTTGGGTATACATTTGTACTATCAACACTTATCACAGCAGTGCCGTCCGGCGTCGTAATCAGGCCATTCTGTTCGGCGACATTCGCGTTGACGTATCTGCAGCTTATCAATATTTTGATCGAATGCCGCCCGGTCGTCAACACTTACTGTACGAAGCCTTGAGTGGGGTCGTCAGACTAGGTTCAATCAGCGCATCTTCTCCAAAGCGATGGTTCGGACCGCTTACACTGTAGAAGTTGAACTTTTGAAAGAAATTTCCCGGCTCGTAGTCGTCTACTAGCTGGTATTTCGCGGCGCCCGGTGCTCCACCACCAGCGAGGAACGAGGCTCCTGGTATACTTTGCGCATGGACAGATGACAAAAAGAGCAATGCAGCATATATGGCGTCTCTCGAAAGAAATGGCAACGACCACATCTTTACTGTGCAGCAAGGAACACACTGTCTCAGAAGTCTACCTCTTCAAAAAGTGATGGAGATCCGCATAGCGATGCAGGTAGAATAGACGCGTTGTTGATAGACCTACCTTACATTCCACGGTAAGGTCCGGCCACGCGGCCGCAATATCCAGGTCGATTCAGCGATATAATACACCATCTGGTGTCTGTCGCATGGAGGGCCATGCTGAGCAGCGCATGCATCCTTCAATCCGGACAGGACGGGAAGAGCCTTTTTGACACCTGCCAATGACCGAGTGGATCAGAAATGGGGGAGCCGGATCATCATACCTTCGCAGCTTCAAGTCAATCGGACACCTAGGCAAAACAGGGGAGCTTGCTTCCACAATCGCGTCCACAATGACATTTGCAATAGTGACTTGTTGCAACACAGTAAAGGCAGTTGACTTAGACCTTGAAGCGTGCTTCATCAGCTGTTGAGAGACGAGGTCTTGATCCGTGCAGAGACGTCACATCGCGTAAGTCGCAGCATTTTGTATCGAGTTGATGATGCCCGGTATTAGTCTACTGATGAGCAGCGCGTGTCATCGTCTACTTAGGTGCGTATGGACGTGCTGCAATGTGACAAGGAAGAGGAAGTGAGGTAAAAGGGTGTTTATATATTCGCGCCTTCGCGGCCGCCTGCTAGCAGCGGCCTTTTCCAGCCAATTAGCGAGGACCATTCATACCATGTGGCCAAACCACCGCCGTGCAACAATTTGGCCACATGGTATGGATAGGCTTCCGTCCCAATTAGCCTTTGGAGTCAGTGCGCGCCTTCAAGGTCCACTCTGCCGATCCAGCATCGTGGCTTCCCATATTCGTCGCTTTGGCAAACAGTCCAGTGCACACAATGGCTTCCCGAAATGTCGTGTTGACCTTCGCATCGGCCGAGGGTCAACTGCTTCGTCGGCAATGGCAGGGGAGCGGGCAATGCCTGCGGTGCTTCCATGCCTCGCTCCGCAAACGCGCCGACGATGGCGGCTCAGGGCAGCACAACAAGCGAGACAGTGATAGCAACGATCAAGGCACGCCGTACAATCGTAAGTCAACTACTCAGACTGAATCATAATCGATCATTAACGGTGCCTGCAGAACCACAACGAGGTCCAAGCCGCCATCAGCGTGCCGCCCAGATATCGCAAGAAGTCCGCATGCTGAATCGGGACACTACTTCGATCGGGCCATCAAAACCGCCAAATGACAGTGCAGACTTCGCCGTTGGACCACAAGGTACCGGCGAGCTTGCAACACCGGGCCCAATGGGACAGAACATGTCGCCTCAGCGAGAAGGCCCGCTCGCTCAAGGCGTGGGCCGTATACCCGGCGTTCGCAGGGATGAAGGTATGGGCGCGGAGACGGAGCAAATCAGAGGCATCAGGACGCCTGAAGCGGGCGTTGAAGACCCTGCTCAAGGTGGGGAGGCGGTCCTGCAGCATAAGTCTGCGCAGCCAACAACCCGCGCGGCTGCAAAGGAAGCAGACAATATTTCTGCTCAGCCAGCATATGAGACTCCATCAGAGACCCTGATGGCTGGATCGAACTCGCGACTCTCTCCACCGGGCCAGCGCTTCCAGCCTGATCCTCTTGACAGGACTCAACTACTGGAGAATGGCAGCAAAACATCGACCATAGCCTCGAACAACTTCTTGGGAGTTGTTGCTGACCACTTTCATCAAGCCACGGCGCTCGGTCTTGACTCTGCGCACGGCGAGATCAACAGCTTAGCTCTCAAGCTACTCGCTCGCCAGATGGTTCGCTTTTCCTCGAAGGAAGAGAAGGACGCCGCCCTCGCTGCTGCGCGCAAGCTTCGCGAAACTGACAATAACAGAGCGAACCTCATGTTTCGCTTAAACAAGGTCAAAAGCCGCAGCAATGACCGGGCCAACCAGCGTACACCCTTGAACTCTGCCGACCGGCTGAACAAGAACAACAACGTTCCAAATGAGCCTAAGAAGATCCTTAAAGTTGAGAATCTCAGCTTTGGCATCAATAAGGAAGTGATCACGGAGGCCTTCAGTAAACACGGCTTCGTACAAAGGGTTCAGATCAAAAACGGCCGTGAGAAGGAACACAGCTATGCCTTCCTCGAGATGTCGTCCGCCGACGATGCCAAATCAGCATTGGACCGGCTTCAAGGTGCCGAGATCAGTGGTCGCATCGCCAAGCTCGATTTCGCGGATACAAACTCACCACATTGGCCGTCGACGCACTTTGCACCTCTGCCTGTGAATGTGAGGTCTGCTCTTGTCGACAAGATGGTCAAGGGACGCTATGACGAAGACGGTCTGCTTCGAGGCAAATCGAAGCACAAGCAGGCGATCCTCAATGATATCGCAAAAATTGGACTGAAGAACGCAACATATTCAGGTGGAGACTTGGAACGAGTTCTGAAGAAAGTGAGAAGCTTGTTGCCAGTCACAGCGTCAAGCGGCGCACAGACGCGTGGTGCTGGTGTGCAGCAAAGGACGCAAAAGCGAACTGCAAATTAGGATCCGAGAGTTAGCCACGGTCTTCGATGATTCGATGCTCTTGCGAACAACGATCAGGCCGTCGCGTCGGATCAGCCGTGGCCTACTCGATCGATCATTTCACCCCACCAGAAGTCAACAATCTCCCTGCATTCCTGCTTACCGATCAGATCTCGCAACTGTGCCAGCCTGTCACCTGAGCGTGTATCCGAAAGCTGCGTTGCAGAGCTAACTTCGGCCGTCTGTGAAGACAGCTCTTGGCTAGGGGCGGCACGAGCAAACAGCGAGCTAGATTCTGGTGCGGGTGTGGCGCTTGTGCATGCCACAGCCAGATCGCGAAAGTCTCGGAAGAGGTCAGACAGCACGTAAGCAGTCTGTTGCGGCATAGGCGGGTTGGATGTGCACAGTTGCAGGAGGCCGAACGGCGTGGCTCGCTTGGTGACAGGCTTGAAACGCGTTCGGCTAAGCTGGGCGACGTAATTCTGCACAAGTCCTGATAGGTCGTCAAGCTTGGACAGTGGCAGGATTGGGATGTATGGGATGTCCATCCGGTTTGCGAGTACGGCTTGGAGTTTCGCGTATGCGATGATGCCGCTCGGCTGCCCATCAGCCGATCCGACTCTGCCATCCATGACTGCTTTGGCGGAGGTGAAAGTGGTCGCAGGAGGTGGCGACAGTAAGAAGACAATGGCAAGATCTTGACCGCCGGTCAGGGCAGCAAAGTGCTGGATGCGGTGTAGCGTCTCTCCGATGCTAGCTTCAGCTGTGGCTGTGCTGGAGAGAAGCAGTAGACGTAGCTGCCGTGCGACCATATTGTCCCCATTTCTGAGCTCCACCCCTGCTATCAGCGGTACCGCAATGTCGTGGGTTTCAAGGTCGCGCTCTATACAGCTGTTAGCATCCTCTCGTTGTCAGCAATAAAGTCGATAAGTACCACGAAGTGTCAAAGGCCTGGAGAGCAGCTGCGGTACTGCCGAGCTGAAAGAGCCTCGTCGTCGCAGACTCGTGCAGAACATCGTGACGGCACGAATGAGTTGCCGCGTGTGTCGGTGCGGGTGGGAAGGGTGAGGTTGTTAGTGAAGTTGCGCCTTCCGAGTCTACTGCACTAGCGTGCCTTCCCTCGGTTTGAACACGGCACTCATGCAGTGTTACCTTAGTTTATAAGCAATGTTGCATCCAGTTTCCTTGTCAGCAGTAGAAATGGTGTAGTTGCAGTCCTACCCACTGGGCGGAAAGTACACTACAGTCAGGGCCATAAGTAAGTCTGATAACCAAGGCAAACGAGGCGTAAATATATTCTTTAAGGAGTCAATCTCCATCGAATCGCCGATGAATCTCCTTGGCGTTCCCGATTGAAGCGAAATGGATTTTTTTGGCTTGTTGGTTGGTCTAGTTTCTTCTAAGCGGTCCAGCCCAGACAAGTTGATGAGTGGACCGCTTTTGTCGTTGACGGCTTGTCAATGGGTCTGTGAAAATGCTCTACAGTAATCATACATACCACCAGCGCCTTCGCTATGCCATTAAGCACGAGTGGGGTATATCGTACAGTCAACACAGAGAGGAGACTCTTGCTCACATCATCGCTCTTTTTTCGCCGCGCTTACCGAGTCAACACGCTCAACTGCGGCCTCCGGTGTGGAAGTCGCAGATCGTGCTCTCTCTGATGCACCTGACGCATTGTCGTGTTTCCATGAGCCAGCTGCCTTGGATCGTTGAGCTGCGGACTCAGGTGGCTTGACAGCCTTGTCTGGTTGCTGAACAGGCACATTGCCAGCGATTGCTACCGTGCCAGCTGTGCTGTCAGACACATCATCACTCTGTTTGGGGTCTGTCCGCGTCCACCAGCCCGCCGGATTCCACCAACTACTCGTCGTGTCGGGCTTTACCTTTTCTCTGATCTCAGCCAGCTCCGGCTCATATCTGCTCCGCAACCGCTCAACCTCCGACTCCAGTGCCGCAAGTCTCTCCGCTACGTCGTCACGCCTTTTACTCTCCTTCTTCCCACTCCGCCAGCTCTCTACCAGAATCAAGCCAGCTGCTACGCCAAACACGAACATCTCGGAGAAGAAGTTGGCCCCCAGCTCAATGGCTCGCGCATCGCTCAATGGCCGAATGGTGATTCTAGGCGTCTTGTCTTCCTTCTTCTTGCCGTCTTTCCGCTCCTTCTCCGACCGCGCTTGCTGCTCCTCATACTCCTTCTGCTCAGCTTCCGTCCTCACTGTCGGCGTCTCAGCCTTCCTCTTCCGCTCTTCCGCAGCCTTCTGCTCCCGCTCGTGCATGCGCTGTTGAGCTTCCGGATCGTGTAGTATGCCCAGTCGCATTCGCATGTCGAGCCAATGCACCCGCTGAGCCTGCTTGATCGCGAACTTTCGGAAGCCTTCATGTTCTTTTGCTTGGCGCTTTATGTAGTTCTACAAAACTGTCCTTCAGCGTACATCTTATCGACGACAAGGCACCCTTACATACTCCAATCGGCTTCGCTGCAGTCCTGACCGCGAGCGAGAGTAATTTGAACACCACTCCCGAAGACATGCTTCTTTGCGGTCACAGGCGGCAAGGGTACCCTGACCCGTAGAACGTGCTTTCAGGACATCTCAAGCAATGATCCTGACATCGACATACGCAGGAAGCAACCCTCCTACACCAGGCTGTTTCAATTCCTTCTCACGTCCGTGGGTCGTGGTGAGTTGTTGCAAGGAACCGAAGTTTGCCCGAAATATCGCCCGAAATAGGAAGTTGCGGGGAAAGCTTCGCAGTCGAAGCTCGAATGATGTTGTCTTGTTCCTGATTGCGTATCATTGAAGCTCTGACTAAGTTGAGCAAGTCTTGGTCCCCTCGCATCTCAACCCTACCGATCCTCCAAACAGATTCAGGGAGTCAACATGGCTGCAGCAAGCGCCCCTCGAATGCTTCGGCAGGCAGCTATCACCGCCTCGAAGAGTCTCACTCGACAGCTTCCCGCTCTACGATCGCCACTACAACGTCTTGCAGTGGCACCTGCAAGCGCGAGCGTTGTTCTTCCGCGATACTTTACGATCTCCGCACCCAGACGAGCGGGATTGATGCCGGATACACACGACCCGCAACCGCCCAGCACAACGGAGCCTCACCACGACGCGAAGCAACCCACTGAAGTCAGCGAGGAGGAGTACCATGAGCATGCGGACCGCTTCATGGACAGCCTGCACGACAGGGCGGAAGAGCTTCAAGAAGAACGGCAAGATGTCGAGGTGGAGTATGCGGTAGGTTCAAAATCATAAACTCTATCTCCATTGTGCCTCGTCTAATCACGCATCACGCAGGCCGGCGTCCTCTCATTGTCCTTCCCGCCGAGCGGCACCTATGTTGTCAACAAGCAACCAGCCAACAAGCAGATTTGGCTGTCGTCGCCAACGTCAGGGCCGAAGCGATTTGATTGGGTTGTCGCTGGTGAGAGCATGCACCAGAAAGAGGGCGCTGGGACCGGCGACTGGGTGTACCTCAGAGATGGCACCAGTCTGACGGATCTTTTGAGGCGAGAGGTTGGTATCAGTGTTGATGTTGCGGGTGAGGATCCAGGCAAGGCGAAGCCAAGTGTTGACCCGGCGGAATAAGCTGCTTTAATGAGACACGGACCTGAGGCGGGATTGCCGGTTGGCGCGCCATCGCAGGCCGTAGGATGGGAGTGCTCAAACATAGCGGATCACGCGAGCGAGCACATGTATGAAACAGCCACACAGTCATCCATTCTGTCTCGGTTGCGGCCGCATTGGACTCCACGGATCGCGGCTTTCGTGAAATGTGTGTGGGCAGCCCGGCAGGCTCTTATCCCTCCACTACTACATTAGCCATTTTCCAGAAGCCATAGCACCCCTCAAAGCGTCGTCATGCGGCAGATTGCGCCGCATATGTGCAGACATGCGCATTTGGTGTTCGCCTGCGCACATAGCCGGTTCACAACAAGCCTCGGAACGTTCGCTGTCGCTGACGGACCAGATCTCATGACCGATGCAGTTTCAATCGTTGCATGTAGCACCTAGCCTCTTCGCAGCCTCATCACAGAACGATCAACGTTCCACTTTCGGCCATATCCTTCACGCCGCTGCTGCCACAGCTTGCTGCTGCCCCTGCGGCATGCTGCTCGCCTGCCGTTGTTCCTGCTCCGGCTGCGGCAGATCCTTCAGCTCGTATATGACTCTGATTTGTAAGCTGCAGCTGGGACACACTGCGATGTCCGTCTCTTCGTCGCGCAAGTCGTCCAGCGAAATTTCGAAGCGGTCGCCACATGGACAGGGATAGTGGTAGACCTGCAGCGTAGAATCGTAGGTCATGTCCTCAATTTCGATCTCGTCGTAGATATTGTCATCCGCCATGGTGTTCTGCAACTCGTCGACCTGGGGAGTAAGATGCGAACAACTCAGTAAAATACTTCGAGGACGGTGCTATGTGGCGTGGGGTGTGTGCGCCACGGGTTGATGTCAGCACGACTGCGTACACTTTCATTCTCCGCGAACAGGTATTGAGATGATGATTTCCATGCTCGCAAAATGGCCGCTTCGATCCGTCAACTGACAGACAGTCTTCGCTTGTTAGCTAGTCCAAGCTAACAACGGAGGGAGTGTTTACTATAATTATGGGTTGCTTCCCTTAGAGGGACTGTTGGAGCACTTGACCATTGACGTGCCTGGCTCATTGCTGCTTGACCTTAATCGTCTCAGCACCGACCTTCTTTGCCTCCTCATTCAGCGCGTGCACCTCGGCGTCCACGTACGGGATACCCTCTGCTTTCCTCCTCTCCTCCGTGAGCTGCTCAATCTCGCCTGGGAAGAAGATGCGATCCACACCAGCCATCTTCTCACAGCCCACACACCGCTGATATAGGTAGTCCATCCGCTGCTTGAAATCGTCAAGGCTCATGAACAGATCCGGCTTGATTGCCACCAGAAAGTGACCGACATCCGCTGGTTTGCTCGGATCGTATGGATTCGTTACATGCCCCGCAAATGCCGAGCCTGACAGCACGCCGGAGAAAACATCCATCATGACGCTCAAAGCGCTGCCCTTCGGTCCGCCCATGGGCAACATTACGCCTTCCAGCGCAGCAGCAGGATCTTGCGTCTGCCTTCCTTCAGCGTCCAGCGCCCAGTCTTTGGGAATCTTCTCCCCTCTCCGCTTGGCCTTGTAGATCTTGCCTCGAGCGGCGACGGAAGGCGCCATGTCCAATATGAACGGTTTCTCCTTGCCGGCTGGTGCACCGCAAGCGATTGGCGAAACACCCATCAGTTTCTCTTTGCCGCCCCAGACCGGTAACGCTGGAGAGGAGTTTGTGAAGACCAGACTCATCATGCCTTCGTCAATGGCTTGCTGCACGACCCAGGCGGACATTCCGAAGTGATTGCTGTGCTTGACGGACACCATGCCGATGCCGTAAGTCTTTGCCATCTCGCACGCTTTGGCCATGCCCATGTGCGCGGCAATAAAGCCGAAAGCGTTATGAGCGTCTACCTGCGCTACTACTGGGGTGATCTCATGAAGTGTAGGCTGAGCTTTCGGATCAAGAACACCCTGCCTTATGCGTGCCATGTAAGATGGGATTCGGTTGACGCCATGGGTGTCGACACCGCGTAAGTCAGCCCCTACCAAGCATCTGGCCACGATCCTTGCATTCTCCGGTGGTACTCCGTTGCCCTTCAGTACGCCTTCAACGTAGGTCTGAGCATCCTCTGCGGATACGTAGAGCTTTTTTGATTCGGCTTCTTCTGCCATAGTAGACAAGGAAACGAAATGCACTGTAGTAAGTGAAAAAGGTTGGGAGAGATTGTGGACGAGTCGGAACAGTCTGAAGCACAAGTGACGCTGGTAAAGGGGGCAGATGCAATGCTGATACTTCGACTCAACTCAGGCCTTCTACGGCGCCGGAAATGACATTGACTCATCAAAGATGCTGTGACAGATGGTACTGTGCAGCTTGGAGTCTGTTGAATCAAGCGGTATTCTTGGCTTGCGAGGTCGGAGGCCGTTCCTCGAAGGATCCGGTGGCTTGAGAATCGCCGTGGTATAGTGGCAGAGTGACAGGCAATGTTGCTGAGTTAGATATCTTAGCGGTAGCTGGCCCCAGTATGTTGCGGAAACCATCCAGCTTGCCAAATGGCTATAGGTAGCAGGGCGTCCGTCCGATCATTTCAAACTCTCTTCGAACCCGACAGCGTGGACTCGGAGAGAGCCGGCGCGCTCCGCATTGCGAGGCATGTCGTGCATGGGGAAAACGGCCTCGGTACACCCAATCAGAACGCTTCCACCCTCTCCTTGCGAGGGTTGTTTCGCGAGACTGTGAGCAAGCTGAAGTTGTATGTGTGATGATGGTTCATTAGCCTTGACCGCCATTCACCCCATGCATTGCCCTCCAGGGCACCCCACAAGCAAATCTGGAGCGGATCGGAGGCGTACATGGGAGCGATCTGTCTAGGCATCCATTGAGCGAGAGGACTATCAACATCGAGCTTGGGATTCTTCCTCCTCCTGCACTCCCTCCGCCTGCATCACCACCCGTCGGCCATTTGCATGCAGCTTCCAAAGGTCATCTCAAACGTCGCCAGAAGCTTTGCCAACTGCTGGAGGACGAGATGAAGTTCTCCCACAGTATCCAGTTCAACGCGGTTCCCGATTGGTCGTCCCATTACATCTCCTACTCGAATCTGAAGAAGCTTATCTACCAACTCGAGAAGCAGATAAACCAACCTAATGGCACCACTGGGAAGCAGGACGACGGTGAGTCTTCGCCCTTACTCACCCAGTCCGGCGCATGGGACGATCCGGACAAGCTCTTCACGAAGAAGTTGGACGATGAACTAGAGAAGATATGCAGTTTCTATCAGCTGAAGGAGCTCGAAATCTTCGGGGAGGTGGAGGCGCTGCTCAAGGATGTCGAAGAATTCGAGGAGGAGCATGCGGCTGGTGAATTAGAGGGAGAGGGTCATGGTGTACGAAGGCAGAGCATGTGGGCTAGAGCCAGACAACAGAGCATCGTTAAGGGTCTTCAGAACGCGTCAAAGCGACGACGCACTAGCACAATGGGTACGCAGGGGACCAGTGATAGCAAAAGAGCTCCTGCTCCGGACGTGGAGAGCGAGGATGAAGACGACGCTGACGAAGGTACCGCGCTTACGAAGACCCAGACGCTGGACCGGCGACCAGGCACAAGAGGTGCCTCGGGTCCGGACCACGTCAGCGCATCAGACTGGCACTCGTCTAATGAAAGCAGACGGAGGGCTAGCGCAGCATTCAACGATTTCGGAGATGATGCATTACAAGCGCTGTATGACGAAGGTATCACATTGAAGAAGCGCGTCGTGAACTTGTACGTCAGCGTTTGCGAGCTGCGGTCTTTCGTACAGCTCAACGAGACGGGGTTTAGCAAAGTGCTGAAGAAATACGATAAGACCCTTGACCGAAATCTCAAAACGCAGTATATCGAAGCCAACGTCAAGCCGGCTCAGCCGTTTCTGCCGAGCACGATGGATCACCTTTCGGAGCAACTCTCACGCGTTGAGCATGCTTACGCGCGCATCGTCATGAACGGCGACATCGAGGCGGCACGCAGGGAGCTGCGCCTGCATCTCCGAGAGCACGTCGTATGGGAGCGCAATACCGTTTGGAGGGAGATGATTGGCATTGAGCGGAAAGCACAAGCCGCCAATATAGGTTTCAGGCATACTATGCTAGGGCAGGAGACAGATCCGAAGAAGGCGAGACGGCAAGGTGACGAGACCCATGGCGTCACGAAGGAGGTTCGCACGCCGGTTGGTAAGTATCAATGTCCGCGATTCCTGGTTGACAGCAGTTTTTGGATCCTCGTGATCTGCATAGCGGTCTTTGCGGTGCTGTTGGGCGTACGCTTTATGGAGAAGCCTGAGCAGCAGAACTGCCTGGCTATGGTGGTCTTCGTCAGCTTGCTGTGGGCTACAGAAGTGAGTCAAGCATCCAACGTGGCCAGATTCTGAGGGTTGACTGTTCGTAGGCTATTCCGCTTTTCGTGACGTCCCTGCTGGTACCGTTGCTCGCGGTGACGTTGAACGTCGTACGGCAAGATGATAAGCCACATGCCCGGCTCAACAGCAAGCAAGCAGCTGGCTACGTCTTCGCCGCAATGTGGACACCGGTCATCATGCTGTTACTGGGCGGTTTCACCATCGCCGCGGCGTTGAGCAAGTACAACATTGCCAAAATGATGGCAACTTTCGTGCTCAGCAAGGCCGGCACAAAGCCGCGGACGGTCCTACTCACAAGCATGGGTGTAGCGCTGTTCGCCAGCATGTGGATCAGTAATGTTGCGGCACCCGTCCTCTGCTACTCCATCATCCAACCGATACTACGTAACCTGCCTTCAGACAGCGATATGAGCAAGGCTTTACTTCTAGGCATCGCACTCAGCAGCAACATGGGCGGTGCAGCGTCACCCATTGCGTCTCCACAGAATCTCATCGCGCTCCAAAACATGACGCCTCAGCCTGGCTGGGGCGTCTGGTTCTTCATCGCGTTGCCTGTTTGCGTCATCAGCCTCCTTCTCATCTGGCTTCTCCTGCTGGTGACCTTCCGACCAGGCCGCAACACCACCATCGTACCGATTCGGCCTATGAAGGACCGCTTCACCGGCATACAGTGGTTCATTACCGTTGTCAGTATCGGCACGATTGTGCTATGGTGCTTCTCGAATACCCAAGCGTTTCAGGCGTTCTTTGGCGACATGGGCGTCATCGCCATCATACCGATTGTCATGTTCTTCGGCACCGGTATACTGACGAAAGAAGACTTCAATAACTTCCTCTGGACCATCATCATTCTTGCTGCGGGCGGACTGGCGCTAGGCAAGGCGGTCAACTCATCTGGCCTACTTACGACCATTGCCATTGCCATCACGGACCGCGTAGGCGGTATGAGCCTTTACGGCGTCGCATGCGTTTTCGCTGCGCTAATCGCTGTCGTGGCGACGTTCATCTCGCACACAGTGGCGGCGCTCATCATCCTACCTTTAGTCCGCGAAGTCGGTCTGGGCATGAACAACCCGCATCCCAACCTACTGGTAATGGTCTCTGTACTTATGGCATCGGCGGCCATGGGCTTGCCGACTAGCGGCTTCCCCAACATGACTGCCATTATGATGGAGGACCCACAGACCGGTCAGCGGTACCTGCAAGTCAAGCACTTCTTGACTAGAGGCGTGCCAAGCAGCGTTATGGCTTATGCGGTTATTGTTACGGTTGGGTATGGGCTCATGCTAGTTGCTGGTTTGTAGGATGTTCTATATGAGTCAAAGCTCTTCATCCTGCAGTGGACTCGCGGCCACTCTTGTTGAGCTGCTACATCGGCCAATGTTACTGCGACTCATATATTCACCCTTCCCACCTTAGGCAGCCCTGTATAGTTCTTCCGGCGACATTGCTGATACACGCTCTCTGACGCTGGTCTAGGCGTCTCAGATGACGATCCAACAACCTCCGGTACGTTCCCGCTAACAACCTCTCATACGGGCGTAACCAGGAGCAGAGACTGCAGCAACAGCTGCGCAGTACAAACCGAAACCCTCGGAGATCTGCGCGACTTTTTGCTGGTTCCAAATTCATGCCGCCGCCTATCTGCTCGCGTCTACGGGAACGAACGTTGGCCGAGACGCTCCACGCTCTAGTCCTCGACACGGTGCTTGAATCTTCTGCAGCCAAGGATCTTGGGGCGCGGCTCGGCGAACCACAAGCTTCATGCTTCGCATGCTTCAATCGCCGACGTCCGCCGATGGCCAACCTTCGCACCTCGAGACCCTCACAGCATCTGCACACCTGCAGGCCAGCTATCAACCGTAGCTCGCATGCAGCGCGTGGTCATGCTTGAGAACGAGGCGGTGCGTAGATCCCCGCCTCTTCCGTTCGCGACGAAAGCGACGAGAGTCATTACCCGCTCTTATCGAACAATGTATCAGTACTATCATACAGTATCCACCTCCAGCGGCGTACTAACGGCGACCACGCGGGACCCACGAACTCCTCGCATACTCCATCATGCGACGTGACCGAGCATTCATACCTCCCACGAAAACAGTCGGCCCTGTTGAAAGCCAATCGCAGCCACATCAAGTCAACCCCAGAGCTGCTCTCCGACCTGTTCTCGTGGAGAAGCAGAGCTATCCCACAACTTTGCAGCAGAGCACACGCCGACGGTACTGTTGTAGCATCCTACGCCCTTGGCATCTCCACTTCTCGGGTCCGGAGCCTCCGCAGACTGCACACGGACCGCGAGTCGGCGCTCTCCAGAACCGTATAAAGTATACCGCCATCGATAGTGCGTATGTTACTGGACGCCTAGGCCGCTCCATTCCGAAGTCAATTGTAAGCGTTCCCGCCGTGCTTTCAGTACTTCTTAGCATATGAGTACCTCCGGTCTATGCTCTTGAATATTCTGTACTCCTCTTGCTTGTCTCCGTCTCTTGAGGCTTGTGTAACTTGGCGCTTGAGCTTGTACAAACTCAGTTCTGGCAATATGGGGTTCTTTGGTAAGAGAGCCAACGATGCTCCGCCTGAGATCTTGAACTGGAGGCTATGGTTTGGTGTCTTTGGTGCGTGAGAATAACCGCTACTGCTTAGTGCGCGACGAACAGCCACTGACCACTCACAGTGTTCGGCCTCATGGGCGCCGCTCGTGGTCTTGACGAAGGTCTGATTGGCACAACCGCATCGCAGAAGAGTTTTAGCAAGCTGTTCGGCTTGAAGAGCACTCACCTTACGAAGATCGAGCAAGCCAACCTGCTTTCCAATATCACTTCCATGGTGCAGTTAGGATCTGTCCTTGGCGCAATCGTTGCATTCTACTTCACGGATAAGATTGGCCGCTTGTGGGCTACGAGGCAACTGTGTGTTATCTGGATTATTGGGATCGCCATTTTCGTGAGTGCGTCTACGAATGGAAGCATTGGTATGGTATACACTGGACGCTTCATCGCTGGCGTGGGTATCGGCCAGACAACCGTTGTTGCACCCACCTACTTGGCGGAGATCTCGCCACGCTTCACTCGGGGCCTGTGTGTCGGCATGTTCTCTGGAGCAGTGTATCTCGGCATCATGCTGGGCTACTTTGCATCCTGGGGCTGCTCGATCCACGTCAGTAATACCAACCAGCTGCAATGGGTGTTGCCGAACTTGATGTACGCAAACGCTCGGTTATAAGCCTCGCATTGTACCATGAACAACTCTGACAGTTCTGCTAGGCACATCTACTTCGCGACCATCATCTTTGGACTCTCCTTCCTTGCCATCGAGTCACCAAGGTGGCTTGTCAAGGTCGGACAGCACGAACGGGCAACGAAGAATCTGTCTAAGCTCCGTGGCCTTGCACCTGACCACTGGTACATCCAATCCGAGCTGATGGACATCCGCGATCAATTGGAGCGCGAGCGAGAAGCCACAATGGGCACCAGTTGGCTTGGACCTATCCGCGAGCTGGTCACGATTCCGCGCAACAGCTACTGCTTGTTCCTGTCGATCTTCGCTCAACTCTTGGGACAATGGTCCGGTGCGAACAGTATCACCATTTACGCTCCACAGTACTTTGAATTAATGGGGACAACGGGCCAGAACGAGAAGCTGTTCGCTACCGCAGTTTTCGGCGTGGTGAAATTCGTGTCGGCCATGATCTGCGCGCTGTTCCTGATAGACTTCATCGGACGCAAGCGCAGTCTCATGACTGGCATTTCGTTGCAGCTGATTGCCATGCTTTACATGGCACTCTTCCTCGTCATTGATCAGACTGTCGGCAACACGAACGTGGAACAGTCCGCAAGCCAGAGGAGCGCCGCTAAGGGTGCCATCGGCATGATCTACATTAGCGGCTTTGGATGGGCAATGGGCTGGAATAGGTGCGTCAACCTCCTCGTGACTAGCCACACAGCGCAGCTTGCTAACACGCCGATAGCATCCAATACCTCATCAACTCCGAGATCTATCCGCTCCGTCTCCGTGCCATTGGCGCCTCCATTGCCATGACATTCCACTTCGTTAACCAGTAAGTTGGACCACCAAGTGCAATTGTCGACGAGCTGCGCTAACACCATTACTCGTAGATACGGTAACAGCAAGGCTGTCCCAGAGATGTTCATTACTCTGACCACAGGCGGTACGATGTTTTTCTTCTCGGCTGTCACGCTGCTTGGTCTAGGCTGGGTCTGGTTCTTCCTCCCTGAGCTTGCCAACAAGAGTCTCGAGGCTGTTGATGCGGTCTTCGAACTCCCGTGGTACTTGATCGGCAGAAAGGGCAAGGAACTGACAGAGGGCCTTGGTGGCGCAGTCGAGAACTTTGGAGAAGCGAAGGCAGGCATTGACGCCGTGGAAGAGGTTGGAGAGGTGGAGCACAAGGCATGATCAGACCATCGCTTTAACCGAGTCAAGTGACGTTTGCTGCTTTACCCATCTGCTTCTCTTCCTCGCTACTTGCTCGCTCCGCCGTCTTACGCTCTTTCTTCAGGTTCGCTAGGCATGGCGCGTGGAACAGTGCTCCCGACCATGCGCCTCGTGCGGTACCCACAGCAATGACCATCCAGAGTGCGATGACTGCAGTGCCAAAGATAGTGCCCAGAATGCGGAAGAAGCGAGAAGGCAACTCTTCGCCAATAAGGATCGTGCTCACAGAGTACACCCCGAGTGGAAATGTAAACGCCCACCAACCCATGTTGAACGGAAACGGACGGGACTTGTACATCGAGGCAAGAGCGAAAGTGAACCACAGCAAACCATATCCCCAGAATACCAAGGCTACGAAGAAGCCCAGAATGTAGGCCACTCTCCCAGCCATCGGGTCAATGGTCTTTGTCTGTGGGAAGACCGCCGCAGCCATCTTACCAAGATACAGAATGGTGTAACCCCCGAATCCAAGAGGTCCGAGAGGAAGGAAGGCGCTAACGATGATCTCGCGGGGCGGCATCTTGTGCAATGCGAGTCGCTGATAGTACATGACGAGGACATTCAATGCCATTGGCATCGCCATGCCCCACATGATGTAGCTTGCGATTATGGTGCCCAATGCATGCTGCGGGTTTGGGAGCACGGAGGCGACCTCCGAGCCAGTACCTGCTGCTACAATTGTTGCAGCAATGGGCAGCAGCTGAGCTGCCGTTATGCTGTCAAGGGATCGCTGATGACTGTCAGACACGAGCAAGATACCCAAGCTCACCGTGACTGACACAGCGACGATCGAGTCAAGCATCCAGAGAGCCCAGCCGAGGTACGCAGCCCATGTGCCCCAGGCTGGGACGCAGACAAATACCCACATCTCGATGATTGTTGCGAAACCCATAGGAATGGTGCCTAAGAACAGGCTGTTCGTCGAGTCTTGTATCATCACGGTCCAGATTTCGGGCCATATAGTGTAGCGCAGGAAGCTCGCCGTGGCAGCCAAGCTGAAAAGGCACACATTCAGCACGAAGAAGACTATGCTGAGGTAGTACAGCCAGTTGGTCCTCCACGGGAATGTTATGAGAATGGTGGAGACTATGCCAGTGCCCATAGTAACCGAAAACCATGACGGTGAGAAATTGCGGACAATGTGTCGCCAGTCACGGTTATGCTTCGCTTGTGAGACCGTAGGTGGCCCAGTAGATTGAGTCTGAGCAATCAGTACTTCATCGCCAGCCGGATCTGATGCTGTTGTCGCTTGTTCCTTCTCGATTATAGACGAATTGGAATGCTCCAATTTGAGGTTGGCTGGTTCGGTTACGGCAGGGTTGTCCATCACAACAGGATGGTGAGCTTAGAATCACCACAGAACACTACAATAGCATTGCCACATGGATAGGCAGCGTTCAGAAGACAGACACCAGTTCTTAACGTCCGTTTGATGATATACGCCGCTCGGTACCTGGGCGATGAGCGGCTATGGCGGAGTTCAGATCGGTGGAGTATTGAGTGTTGCGGAAGAGGAGTGGAGACGGAAAGCTTGGACACAAAGTTGCCTTTTGAACGACTTCACCTTGTCTTCCACGATGTCGACACCTTTGAAACGAGCCTTCAGGGCTCGTAGCTCATTGCTCGTTCCTACAAGGACGCTTATCAGACCCTCGACATGCCCACGTCAGTCATGGAGGTGCTTTTCTTCGCGCCACAGACTTGCGTTGGCGGTTTCAGAGATGTCGCAGGATGATTTGGCTAGCTTGCGAGTTGACAAGGCCCGGTTGATGAGCGATCTGCACACGACCTGTGAATGGGGCAAAGGGGAATCATGGGGAGAGTATGTCGTCCCATCCATCTGTTGAAACAATGTTCTGCCCATTATATGATGAACAACTTACACCCACAAAATATGAGTCACTGTGATTTCACAACACATTACACTAAGAACAGCCAGCTGATCAGTCAATGCACATCCTTTTCTCCACTGCTGTCATTACTGTAGTGTCGAAGCTGACCACTTCCACAGCGGCGAGACCGAGACGGGAATGTCGAGACTTTCGCTCTCCGACACCGACCGGCAGGCTCGTGATTGGTTCCACCGTACTGCCACTGAACTTGGCTGCAAAGTCCACACCGATGCCATGGGTAACCAGTTCGCCGTTCGCCCAGGACTGAGCAACGATGCTGCTCCAACATATGCAGGCAGTCATCTGGACACCCAACCAACCGGCGGCAGATATGACGGTATTTTAGGCGTCACGGCTGCGATTGAGATGCTTCGGACACTCAACGACAACTGGATCGAGACGGCCTATCCTGTCGGAGTAGTCAACTGGACAAATGAGGAAGGCGCCCGTTTTCCCATGTCAATGGTCGCGTCAGGAGTATGGGCCGGCAGCATTTCGGTCGAGCGAGCTCATGATCTCAAGTCTGTCATACCGTCTAGTGATACGGCGACTATACAGACCGAGCTCGAACGCATCGGATACCTTGGGGAAGTACCCTGCAGCTGGGAAGCCACACCCATGGCAGCCCACTTCGAGCTTCACATTGAGCAGGGACCTATCTTGGAGGCAGAGAATCGACGTATTGGCGTTGTCCGGGGTGTTCAGAGCTACAAATGGTTCACCGTCACCGTACGTGGAAGAGACTCGCACACCGGTGCAACATCATTCCAGCACCGCGCAGACGCACTGCTTACTGCAAGTAAAATGATCCTCGCCAGCCACAAGGTCGCAAGTAAGCATGGCGCTCTCGCAAGCACCGGCATTTTGACCCTCAAGCCTGGATCGACCAACACCGTACCGGGCTTTGTCCAATTCTCGTTGGATGTTCGAGCCCCGCAGGATGACACCGTAGAGGCGGTAGAGTCGGAATGCAGGTCAGCATTCATCGCTCTTGCTGCTGGGGAGGATGCCTTGCAGATCAATACCGGCTGCACGCCTTCGTCGCGGCAGTGCAGCGTAGAGTGGCGGACCGACTTCGTAAGCCCAGCTACCCACTTCCACGGCGACTGCATAGCCTGCGTGCAGGCTGCAGGCTCGCACCTTTGTGGCGGCGGCGAAGTGAAAGATAAAGATATCGGTAGCTGGGGCAAATTGATGACGAGCGGCGCCGGTCATGACAGCGTCTACACAAACAAGCGATGTCCGACCTGCATGATCTTCGTCCCTTGCAGAGACGGTAAGGTGTCGAGATCGCTGATTCCTTCAGACGTTTTCTAACGCTTGTGTAGGTGTCTCACACAATCCCGCGGAGTACAGCAGCCCCGAGGCCTGCGAAGATGGGGCCAACGTCCTTCTGGGCGCTGTGGTCCGCTATGACAAGCTACGCTCCGAGCGTGGTCGTTGAGATGTGTGGACTTGCAAAGTACAGATGATGCAAAGACGTAATCCATGCTAAGCGAGCAAGATCGAGCTAAGTAGAACTTTTTGTTTCGTGACGGGCGAGGCAGTGCCAAATGATATCGAACGGAACGCTTTTTCATAAGCCGCTCATTGATTATCTTTCGCGAGCAGCGACAGCGACGTCAAGAATGTCTTTATCACGGGGTCCACAAAGGCCAGTTACCGATTTATACAACTTAGGCAAGAGTGTGCGATGCGGCATGTACTTTTCGATATAGATCTTACTGTTCCTACTGTCGCTGCTCGCTAGGATTGTCTAGCTTACACAGAGTCTGTAGCCTCACGCTCGAGCGACAACGAATCTCCCTGTAAACGCGCTCATCATTCGACGGTGAGGACGCACGTGAGTTCTGCCGGAAACCTACCAGTCTCCGGTCTTTCCCCCACCGCTGAAGCATTGGCCCAACCTCCAGCCTGCTCCGCTGCACCGGTGTCCTTAGCGCCCCAGCCGCCATCACCGCCAGCAACCTCCTAGGACGCTGGTGGAGGCGCGCCGCGTCCGCGTCCGAAGCCGCCGCGGAAGTCAGGGCGGAAACCCTCACCACCCATGCCTCCTTCCTTCTCGCCTGCATCACGACGACGGTAGCTGTATATCAAGTCAGTGAATGCAATGACACATAAGTATGTGAATGATAGTGACGTACCCTTCGCGATCACCACGGTCACCACGACCGAAGCCGCCCTCGCGGTCACCCCTCGGTCCACCACGACCACCACCACGTCTCTCACGGTCGTCACCGCCCATCATGCCACGCGGCGGAGCATGGCTGCGCTGCTGCTTGACGTGGGTCTGCGGCACGATCTCGGCAGGCAAGTGAAGCCATTCACGCAGGTAGTCAAGCCCTTCGGGGGTGAGGGTGTAGTAGTACCACTGCCAGCTGAACTGAGTCTTGAGGTAGCCGCGGGAGGTGAGCGACTGACAAGCCTTGACGACGTAGAGGTTCTTGGTGTCGATATCGCCGTGCTTGGGGAGGTTGAAGTCCTTCTTCGCAACGAGCACGCCTTCCTTGAAGAGGTACTCGTGGATCTTCTTGCGGTCTTCCTTCGGGATAAGCATCTTGCCGGTAAGACTTGGTGTGGTTGTCCTGGGCGGATGTTGATATGGTCGCAAACGGATCGTTCGTGTGCGGGAGTGTTTCGCAAGTTCGAGTGCGAGTTAATCAGGCTTAGTGGCTTGGCAGTATCGGGTAAAGTTCGCTTGTGTGCAGACATGCCAAGCCCGAAAAGCACGATCTGAGATTCCGCACCCACAGCCTGCAACACCACTATTTGCGTGTACGCCATAACCCATCCCTACTTTGCGCAGACGGTGAAACAAGGTCAACAGGTATGCTCTACCCGGCGTTGTTACTGCAAAGTGATCTAGGAGCAAGGACTAGCAGTGTCGAAACCAATCAAAGCTGACATTGAACGCACAGTAACCTTCACCAACCGCAATCATGGGGTATCTAATAACAACTCTCTGTCCTTACATACGGGTCTATCAGACTGACCAGTTCGCAGTATCTCTCGTGACTCGCGTCACAAGCGCTCCGCCACCGGTGGTAAGCGCGCATACTATCGCAAGAAGAGGTATGCATAAACCGATCGTCTCCCGCCATTCCCATCATTTCTGATGAGAGTCGCAGAGCGTTCGAGAAGGGCCGCCAGGCCGCCAACACCCGTATCGGCAACAAGCGTATCCATCTTGTCCGCACCCGTGGCGGCAACCGCAAGTTCCGCGCCCTTCGCCTCGACTCCGGCAACTTCTCGTGGGGTAGCGAAGGCATCTCCCGCAAAGTCCGTGTCATTGTGGTCGCCTACCACCCGTCCAACAACGAGCTCGTCCGTACGAACACCTTGACCAAGGCCGCCGTGGTGCAGATCGATGCGGCGCCGTTCAGGCAGTGGTACGAAGCACACTACGGCCAGAGCATTGGCAGGAGGAGACAGAAGAAGGAAGACCAGGAGAAGGAAGAGAAGAAGAGCAAGAGTGTCACTGAGAAGCAGGCGGAGAGGCACAAGGCCGGCGGCAAGGTCGAGCCGGCGATTGAGCGGCAATTCGAGGCGGGTCGTCTGTACGCCGTCATCGCTTCGCGGCCTGGCCAGAGCGGTCGCTGCGATGGCTATGTGCTGGAGGGCGATGAGCTGGCGTTCTACCAGCGTGCTATCAGGAGGTAAAGCGGTGGAAAGGGTCGGCGTTAAAACACTGCATTACATTACCGTGGCGCTTTAAAAGCGCTACGCCGGATGGGTCGCCGTGAATGTCGCTGTCGCCCAGGATGCGTAACTTACTGACGTCTCTCGCGGCGCCGGACATTAGTGTGGGTGCAAATGTAGTATGCAGCATAAGATGTCAGACGGGATCGAATCATTACCCTTACAAGCCATCGCTGTGCTTCCCCTGAGTAGGGCCAAAGCTGCGTCAAGGTTAGCCTCTATCCTGATCAATCTTGTTCTCGTTCATGCTCATGCTTGATCAATGAATGTCCGAGTACTATTCTGTAGCAGCTCGTGCACGCACCAAATGCTCTCCGTAGAGGAGTCATGTTGAGTCACATGGTACCTCCCCATCAATGGAAGGATAAGTCAGCAGAGAGATGCACGGCTTGGCGCTGCAGGCTGACGGCAGAGGGGAAGTCAAAGTCGATGCAGCTCATCATTCGTTTGCCTATCAGGACAGCTTGCTACGCTCGTAGCAGTGACAATTCTATCGATCACTTACCCTTCCTGGTGTCGCATCTGTTCGCACTACCTGAACCCCGTTTTGAACCTCGATTGCGATAAGCCACTCATCTTGACTGAATAGTAACAGTGCCATCACAGCACGCGACTAAAGATACTCAACATCTTTCGGAAGACATAAGCATGCGCGCCTCTTCGGCCATCCTGGCGTTGCCAGCGCTCGCGAGCGCACAACAAATCCCTTTCCTCGACCAAGTGAAAGGCTGGTTCGGCCAGGCTTCCGAGACCGTCTCCTCCGCTGTCACCTCCGCGAGCGCATCAGTGGCATCGATGTCGATACCCAACCCCGTTGCATCAGGTGCAGCCGCAGTTGCAGACCTTAAAGTCGAGCGACTGACACTGGACAACTACAGGAGGATCTTGAAGCACGGCGCTGGGGCGACTCCGGGTATCGAAGAATGGATGATCATGGTGACGGGCGGCAACACGACTTGCTTCGGCTTTTGCGAACGCGCAGAGATCGCGTGGAATCAGTCTGTGGCTCTCATAGCGGCTTCGCGCTCGCCTCCCCACCTTGCCATGCTAGACTGTGAGACGGATCCGATCCTGTGCAGCGCGTGGGCCATGAGCCCACCGACTGTAGTTCACATAGAGCTGCCGCAGCCTCTGCCTGATCAGTCCACCCCAGCAACGACAGTGCGCTCGTTTGCGCTGAACAGGACTACGGTTACGTCGCCGGAGATCGCGGCCATCCATTTGCAGGAGAAGTACAAAGAGGTGCAGCCGTACGAGGGTTTCTGGCACCCGTTCGACGGGCCGCTGGCGAAGAACAACCTGTCTGTTCCGGCTGGTTATGCGGTCCATTACTTCTCGAAGATCCCGTCGTGGGCATTCATGATTGCTGTGAGCTTCTTGAGCAGGAATATGATGTAAGTGGCCTGTTTCGCAGCATTTCGATCCCAGAGACTGACTCTTGTGCAGGAGCAATAGGATGGGCCGACAAGCAGGAAGGCCGGCGGGAGGTGCACCGGCTGCTCCTGCGCCCGCAACCTGATGGAATGAATGTAACACAGGATTGACTGATCAATTACGGCCAATGCAGGCCCGCGCGCTCATATGGTGGTCAACGGCTGGCACTCAAAACGGTTCCGTGATTGGGCTACTGATCTGGCTTCGTGGCGAAATTGAGCAAGATAACGTTGTGTGTGGCCACATTCGCAACGTAAAAAGCCAAGCGTTGCCAGCGAATCTTTACACTTATCATTATAAAATAGCGAAACTACAGACTCCAGAACCGATATCTTCAGTACCCATGGTAACTCAGTAATGCCTTCCTCCAATCCGTTGACCTCACAGCTGCCCTTCGTAATGGGAACTTATGACTGGCCTACCCACCAATATCAGAGGTGCAGGACGCTCTCAGCGAGATACAGAGGCTACAGCAAGGACAACGAGCGGCCCACCGACCGTTCACGGCGTAGGGAATACCACCAGGCCAAGGCATGTCCGGCACGCTTTCCGGCCTCAGTGCAGTGCAATATTGACGCCCACATGGTAGACCCTGGGGTAATGGACGGCATGTTCGACTAAAGCACGGTTCGGGCTGCCCTCATCAACTCGATCATCTGTGACAGCTGAGTCAATGGCCGCATGATTGACAATCCTAATGCCGATCCATCCCATAGCTCGGCTTCTGCACAATTCAGCCTAAGATGTGGCTCGCTGATCACTCAACTTCCTGTACCATGGCTCAGTATGGCAACGCCAGTGATGCTGCACTTGCTACTGATACAGCACCTCTTTCGCGGAGAATTGCTGTGCTTTTACCCGCCCCTCCTCCACATCCCAGCTCCGCTTCAACCCCGCCGAATGCGGAGACACGAGAAATAACCTCACCTCGTGCGCTGGACTTGTTACATCGCGTTAAAGATCACAATGCGCGCATCCTGCATGCTGTCATGGGAACAGTCACCATAGACCGAGCCTATACCGATGCTGTCAGGTAGGGTATAACATTCTGCTCTCCCCTCCAAGTCCACGCCCCTCTCCGTTGTTCCAACTGTACTGCCAGCAAGATGTTGCGTACAGCCCTGACCCAAGCGGTCCTTCTGGGCCTCGCATCCGCTCAACTGCAGAGCGGCATTTACACTCACTACCCAGACTGTGTCAACGGCCCAGCACTGCTCACCAGCAACCTTGTGTGTGACACCAATGCCACCCCCTACCAGAGGGCATCCGCCATCATCAATGCGATGAACATCACGGAAAAGCTTGCTAACCTACTGGATGTCTCGTATGGCTCCGCTCGTCTGGGTCTCCCGCCCTACGAGTGGTGGTCTGAAGCGCTCCACGGCGTAGCCGGCAGTCCCGGAGTCAATTTCACGAGTTCGGGCAACTATAGCTATGCGACAAGCTTTCCAATGCCTATTACGTTCTCTTCTGCTTTTGACGACCCATCGGTGCAGAACATCGCCAGTGTCATATCGACTGAGGCTAGGGCGTACTCGAACGCCGCTCGTGGCGGCTTGGACTACTTCACGCCTAACATCAACCCGTTCAAGGATCCGAGATGTGTGTCACCGCATGCAGGCGACGGTTTATCATGATGTACGCCGAAGCTGACACGAATGTTAGGGGGGCGTGGCTCCGAGACGCCCGGCGAGGATCCTTTGCGGATTCAAGGCTACGTCAAGAACTTACTTATTGGCCTCGAGGGAACCGATGACGGCTACTTCAACACGAGCCATAGCGGCTACAAGAAGATGATTGCTACCTGCAAACATTTCGCCGGCTACGACCTTGAAGACTGGGATGGCTATATCCGCTACGGTTACGACGCAGAGATCACGACTCAGGATTTGGCCGAGTACTATCTCCCGCCTTTCCAGACTTGTGCCAGAGATCAGAACGTCGCCAGTATCATGTGTAGCTACAACGTACGAGTGTCTCTTGACGTAGTGTTTTTGAAATGTTGCTAACAAAGATGCCTATCCAATAGTCCGTGAACAGTGTACCAGCATGCGCCAACAGCTACCTGCAAGAGACCATCCTCCGCGAACATTGGGGTTGGACGATTGACAACAACTACATCACTAGCGACTGCAATGCTATTAGTGACATCTACTACAATCACAATTATTCGGTCAACAACGCAGCTGCCGCAGGCCTCTCCCTCTCCAACGGTATGGACACTGCTTGCATTGTCGCCAATACTGGAGTCATGACCGACGTCAACGGCTCCTACTACGGTGGGTATGTCACCGAAGCGACCATCACCACGGCCTTGATCAGACAATACGAGGCACTGGTCATTGCTGGCTACTTCGACCCGGCTTCTTCGAACCCCTATCGTTCCATAGGTTGGAGCAGTGTCAACACCCCTGCCGCGCAAACTTTGGCCCGGCAAGCAGCGACCGAAGGTACGACGCTACTCAAGAACACGGGCCTCTTACCTTACAAGTTCACCAGTCAGACCAAGGTTGCCATGATCGGCATGTGGGCCAACGGAACCTCTCAAATGCAGGGTGGCTACTCTGGCCCAGCTCCCTACCTTCACAGCCCGCTGTATGCTGCGAGTCAGCTTGGGCTCTCCTACAATTACGCCAATGGGCCGATCAACCAAACGACGTTGACCAGCAACTACTCCCAGAATGCAACCGCTGCTGCGCAGAACGCAGATGTCATCCTTTTCTTTGGCGGTATTGACTGGTCGGTAGAAGCCGAGGCTATGGATCGCTACCAGATCGCATGGCCCGGAGCACAGCAGGCCTTGATCGCTCAGCTAGCCGCTCTTGGCAAGCCAATGATCGTCTTGCAAATGGGCTCTATGCTCGACGCCACACCAATACTGAGCAACAACAACATTTCCGCGTTGGTGTGGGTCGGTTATCCAGGCCAAGATGGTGGCGTCGCGGCGTTCGATATCTTGACCGGTGCGGTTGCACCTGCCGGCAGATTGCCAGTAACAATGTACCCAGCCGACTACGTCAACCAGGTTCCAATGACCAACATGAGCCTTCGACCAGGACCAGGCAATCCAGGAAGGACATACAAGTGGTACAACAATGCCGTCCTGCCGTTCGCATACGGACTCCACTACACCACATTCAAGGCAACCTTCAATGGAGGCCCGCCTGGTCCCGGTTCGCCATGGAGTCCACCATGGAATGCACCATGGAGCGCAAAGGTCAGGCGAGGATGGGGATGGGGCAACTGGGGCCCACCGAACTGGGGCTGGACGCAGCCCAGCCAGGTCGCTCCCGGCAACGGCGGCTTGTCCTCCAGTTACAACATCCAAAGCCTGCTCTCATCTTGCACAGCCGCCCATCCAGACCTTTGTGCCTTCCCCTCGGTTGCCATCTCCGTCCAGAACGCTGGCCAGACGACTTCGGACTTCGTCGCACTGGTCTTCTCAAACACTACCGCTGGTCCGGCACCGTACCCCTACAAGAGTCTCGCTAGCTACACGCGACTGCACTCCGTCGCCGCCGGTCAGACGGTGACTGCCAGCTTGAACATGACACTTGGTGTGCTCGCGCGCCGCGATGATCAAGGCAACCAAATCTTGTACCCAGGCACGTACAACCTGCTACTCGATGTGCCGACACAGGCTACGATGAGCTTCCAATTGACCGGTCAGGCCGCGGTACTGGATCAGTGGCCGCAGCCTCCAGCCAACCAGACGTACGATGCTACGATAAATTGTCCGTTGTACGGACAGTGCAAGAGTGCCGGACAGCCGGTCGCTTAGGTGGAGTTGCTGTTCAGCAAGGAAACTTAGCACAGGCGAGTTGTAGCCTGAGGGACAGTGAATTCGTAAAGAAGCATGTCTAAGGATGCGGATCTGATCCTTCGGAGGTGTGCTGCGTGCAGCTATCAAAGGCAACATTTGTACTTCGCCATGCCGTCGAAGCTTACGGTGCGGAGGTCCCAACCGGAGTGCCTATCCTCGTCATGCATACCTCCCGTCTAACTCCGCATCCGGTATTCTTTTCGTGGTCAAATCCCTTGTGCATCCTACTCTACTTGCGAGTAGCCTCGAGGTATAGCGCTCTCCGTCGAACGCAGCCGCGTATCAATGTCTAATGTGGCGAAGCATGCGGATTGGAATGAGCAATGGCCCACAGGAACACCGTTGCTGGCTTCAACCGTGGGCCGGGTATTCTTCAGAAAAAGAGCATGCCCGCGTACAACAGATATGGCATTCCGGCACACTCTCCGTGCGCTTCCAGCTCTCATCAGCCCACCAACGCCTCGCTAATAATCACAGACCGCTGCAATCCATGTACCCCATCTCAGTGGGTTGCCCTCATCTCCTGCTGCCCGTCTGTACCCTTAACAACTTCAGGCTGCTCGAAGACTGCGGCCATTGCATCCCCAAGGACTGCCATACCCTTATCAATCTCCTCGTCAGACACGATAAGCGGTGGCACAAAGCGCAGAGTATTCGTCCCACAGGTGATGATCAGCAGACCTCGCTCTCTGGCCGCAGTGATGACGGGCGTTGGATCACTTGTGAGCTGCATACCCAAAATGAGTCCTCTGCCGCGCACTTCCTGTATGATCTTTGGGAAGCGTTGATGCAGACGAGTCATGTGCTGCCGGAAGCGAGCCTCCTTCTGCACAACCGCTTTCTGCAGATCCGGCTCCGAGAGGCGGGTGAGGCAGTAATGCGCTACCCTGCATGCCAGCGGATTGCCGCCGAATGTGGTGCCATGGTCGCCTGTGACAATCTTGCTGCTTACGTCATCTGTCACAAGCGTGGCGCCAATGGGGATGCCATTGCCGAGCGCCTTTGCAGTGGTGAGGATGTCTGGATGTGCCTCTGCTGGGAGAGCGCAGTGTGCCCAGAGTTGGCCGGTACGCGAGAGGCCGCATTGAATCTCATCGTAGATCAGTACGGCATTGACTTCGTTGCAACGTTTGCGTAACGCCAAAAGGAACTCCTGCGTGGCAACATTGACACCACCTTCACCCTGAATGGGCTCAATGATGACACCGCATGTCGCCTCCGTCACCAAGTCATTGATGGCGGAGACGTCATTGTAAGTCCCGTACCTAAAGCCTGGAACCATTGGTGCGAACGGCTTCTGGTACTTCGGGTTTGGCGTCGCAGATAATGCGCCCATGGTCCGGCCATGGAACGAGTTATTGAAGCTCACAATCTCGTGCTTACTCCCGTTAGGCTGCACAGTCCGTCCATGCTTCCTGGCGAACTTGATCGCGGCCTCGTTGGCTTCTGAGCCGGAGTTGCAAACGAACACCTTTCCGACATCCTTCATGCCGTCGCTTTCTCTCGTCTTTTCTACGAGTAGCTGACTCAAAGCACCTATCCAAGGACTGTAGTACAGATTGCTACAATGCACTAGCGTCTGGCTCTGCTGGTACAGGATCTTGCTTATTTCCGGGTCACAGTGACCGAGCGAGTTAACAGCAATGCCAGCAGTGAAGTCAAGATAAGGCCGGTTCTCTACGTCCCAAATATAGCAGCCTTCACCTTGCTGAAACATGGGCGGCGGCCGAACGTAAGTTGGTACCATGTAAGGGTTCTGGGAAGAGACGAGACGGGCGGTCGAAGAGTCTGATGGTGGGTCAGGATTTGACAGAGATGCCTCTTTCTGGACCACGCGTAAGCAAGTACACATATGAGCCGCCTGCGATACTGGCATACATCAATCGAATTCTTCATCTCTTGCGGTAGACTTGACGCTGCTGTCGCCGTTGACGCATAGCTTCGCCTGCTCTGTCCGGCAACCCTTCGCTGCTGCGAGCGTATCGCTGCGCCGAAGCGCTGACTGCACGCTCGGAGAGACATGAGAGTATTACGAGGTGTTCATACGAGAGTGTAGGAGACAAGGAACTCTAATCTTTTTTCATGTGACGCCCGTCTGTGCACTCAACCGAGTGTGACTGTTCGACACATTCACCCGCCGAAAAAAGTTCAATGGCTCACGCATGGGTTTGACGTCTTACGCCGGAGGTCGGCGAAATGGTTGACCGAGTAACATGACTCGGAAAGCACGTGATTGCTTCACTCCTTGTCATCCCTGATCGTCTTCGGCGATATAATGTTCACTCGTTCTGCGATGCCGTCCCAGTTGGGCTGTCCTTGGGATTGCAGAAGCGAGAGCCTGAACCTACTCCGCATACGTCGGTGGCGTCCCAGGTTTTCAACACCTTGTTGCAGGGATGCTCTTCCCTTCATTGTCCATATTCTGCCACCATGTGAGATCTGTCACGTTCAAATTATGGTGTGACAAAGAGGAGTAACGCCGATCGCTTTGTTCACTTGCCATGTGTCGACCACGTGAGGGTGCTATATCCTGTGTCGTGGGCCCGCGTTCCGCTATGACCTTCCCTTACACATGCGATCATTGTGATGGCCCCTCAAGCCTCATTCCCAGATCACTGGTTCTTGGATGGCCTTCGAGATGGCACTTCGGCAAGCACGGCTTCAAGCTCTAGGCAGTCCAGCTTGCAAAACCTCGAAGGAGCCGCAGAGCAAACAAAGACGGAGGGAGAGGCTGAGTCGGATGCAGACATTAACCCCGAAACCATCCAGCACGACTCCTTTTCTGAGCTACTCGAGAAGATACGTGAGCAATGCAAGTCTATCATAGAACCAGGCTTCGCTTTCTCCATTTCGGTGAAGCGTCCGCCTTCGGCAGTCATTTGCCCGAGCCGGCAGCCTTCGGAGACGCAAGGCCTGAAGCGCCAACGCTGGAGTGCTGGAGACAGCCATGCTAGAGGACGTAACGCCAGCCAAATCCGGAGGTTGTCGAGGCTGTCGTTAGGTGCCACATTCGGCGTAATCGAGCTGGGTACACCGCCTACCTTCACACGGAGCGGCGAGCTCAACAGAGACAGGCTTAAGACACGACCAGAAGTCCACGTGTAGGACAATATTGACAAATGTACAGTTCTTATGACATGCATGACGAAGTCGGTGTGCAGTCACGCCTCTCCGCCGATAGTGCCTGGCGTGCGTACAAAATGCGACTTGCGACTTAGGTGAATGTGTTTTCAACAATGCGTTATCCATTGCTTTGCTAGCAGTCAGTCCCTATGCTGATGTTTGCTGAGGATCGTATATAGAATATGAGAACTTGGTCCAGTCTTCAATCCATGCGCACTCCACTTAGACCGGTCAATAGATTATGCTTGACCTCAACTATTCATGCCTACCCAATGTCGGTTCATTCGACATTGTGCAGCAACACGTCTCCATCCTATAGGAGCCGCCAGACAAGCGTCCCGCGTTTCGAGCCAGCCGCGCGTCCACTGCCCTATGCACAACAGAACAGACGAAGGTAGCACCCAAGGTCAGCTACGTAATACCTCGAAAGCCTCTGCCAGGTGCCAGCCAGAGGCTGAGCCCAAATGAACCGACAAGGGTTCAGTTCTGCGCATACCGAGGAAGCCGGTAGTATCGTCGGGATTACGGGCCCGAGATCTGTGCAAGATCATCTCGACGAAAGTCGAGGACCCCTATGTCGAAGAAAACCGAGCTCATCACGGGTTGGGTCTCTACCAGGCCCTTGTAAGCAACGAACATACTCCAGCTCGATCGTACAGCCTGTCACAGCGGCCTAAGGTGGCCTCGACGCTTCCTTTCTGCTAAACTACGATGAAGCAGACTCAGTATCAAAATGCATAGCAAGGGCGTATCACAACCGATGGCATTGTTGAGTCGCATCCTTTAAGTGTGGCGGCGCTGCTCCCCGCATAAAAGCTGTTTGCGAAGGCTGTCTTTATTGCGGCCGGATTCTTCACTTCTCGTTGAGCGACAAGGTCAAAGGGCGATACCGAGTTCCTGCCCTGATACCGCAGCTTGACGTTTGTATGACTTCCATGTGTAGTGGAGCAATGCAAGGATGTGAACCTCGTCTACCAATCCTAAGCCATGAAGCACGCCTAGAGGACAACATAAGTTTTGCAGCGATGCATGAGTAAGTGTTAGTATCCACAATCGACGCCTTGCCACTCTGCCAAACGAGTGTTTGCACCTGTCACAGTCAATGCGAACAACGCCTGAGTAAGCGAGTGCTCTAATTGGTAGCGAACACGTACCGACATTCACATGAGGCTTGGCATCCCCAGACGGGGAACCGAGGCACTCCGGTAATTCCGTGCATTCCGCGAGTCGTCGACAATGGAGGCCTCGTGATCCCAAGAAGAGTGGATGATCACAAGACTTCAGCATTGACCCCGTGCTGGGTCTCGATCACATGTGAAAGTCTTCCGTCTGTCAGCTTTAATCATTGTAGGATAGCCTTCCACCGCCTGCACGCTCACTCACTTTTAGTCTTCTGGACAACCCGCCACGCCCGCACTCCGCTGAGCCTCGGCCTCTCCACTCCGAAGGGTCCATTTCATAAACCGACCTTGTGCAGCTTCACGCGGCTTATTTCCAGGCTTGCTCTTCCTTTCGCCGTTGTTGACTCCTTTCATCCATCCAAGAGCTCCTGCACTCTACAGTCGACAGCCCCAATATGCCTCCAAGAGTCGTTGTCGTCGGCGCTGGCCGTAAGCAAATGCCGATCAACCTGGCCGAGTGCGCAATGGCTGACAGGGTCGTGTAGTCTCCGGCTTGAGCGCGGCCCATACCATCTACCTGGCTGGTGGTAATGTCGTGCTCCTCGACAAGAACAGTAGGCGCGAAGAGGCAGACAACCTCTGTAGCTAGACTGACGGTGCTGTAGACTTCATGGGTGGCAACTCCACCAAGGCAACCTCGGGCATCAACGGCGCTCTCACCAGAACACAGGTCGACGAGAAGATCGCCGACAGCGTCAAGCAGTTTTATGAGGACACACTTAAGTCTGCGCGTGACAAGGCACGACCGGACCTCATCAAGGTTCTTACATACAAGTCTGCTGCGGCCGTGGAGTGGCTGCAGGACGTCTTCAACCTAGATCTTACACTGGTCTCACGGTTAGGGTATGTAAACTTCAACGATGGACTACATGTCCTCCACGCTAACAATGATTCAGCGGCCACTCCTTCCCGCGTACCCACCGTGGCCATGATGCCAAATTCCCAGGTATGGCTATCACCTACGCTCTTATGCAGCGCTTCGAAGAGCTAGCAGCAAAGGAGCCAGAACGAGTGCAGCTCATCAAGAAGGCCAAGGTGACGAAAGTTAACAAGAACGGCAACAGCGTGACCGGCGTAACGTACCTTTTCAACGGCGAAGAGACTGTCGTAGAAGGCCCGGTTGTGCTGGCAACCGGTGGCTACGCCGCTGACTTCACGGAGACAAGCTTGCTCAAGAAGTGGCGACCAGACACCTTCGACTTGTCAACCACCAACGGCGCACACGCTACCGGCGACGGCCACAAGATGCTTATGAGCATAGGCGCGAACGGCATTGATATGGACAAGGTACAGGTGCACCCTACTGGTCTCGTTGATCCCAAGGACCCTACCGCCAAGACAAAGTTCCTCGCTGCCGAGGCTCTTCGTGGTGAAGGCGGTCTGCTGCTCAACAGCAAGGGCCAGCGTTTCACCGACGAGCTTGAGCACCGTGATTACGTCTCGAACAAGATGTGGGAGGAGAAGAAGAAGGACCTCTGGCCCATCCGTCTCGTGCTGAACAGCAAAGCTTCCAATGTCCTCGACTTTCACACTCGCCACTACTCCGGCAGAGGCCTGATGAAGAAGATGACCGGCAAGGAGTTGGCCAAGGATATTGGCTGCTCTGAGCAGGATCTGAGCAAGACTTTCCAAGACTACAACCGATACGCCAACGGTGAGGAGAAGGACCCATTCGGCAAGAAGTACTACCATAACGGCCCGGTGGAGATCAACGACACATTTTACGTCGCGCTCATGGAGCCAGTGCTCCACTTCACCATGGGTGGTATCGAAATCAACGACCAAGCGCAATGTCTCAACAGCGAAGGCAAGCCGTTTGACGGCCTCTTCGTCTGCGGTGAGCTGGCTGGTGGTGTGCACGGCGCAAACCGTCTCGGCGGCTCGTCGCTTCTCGGCTGCGTCGTTTACGGTCGCGTAGCTGGCGAAAGCTCAAGCAAGTATCTCTTCCAGAAGGTCCTCAACGGTGGTGCAAGCACCGCGGCACAGCGTCTCGGCCAGATTAGCCTACATATCGACCCATCACAACCCGGCAAGGTGTCTGTCGAGTGGTCCCAGGGCGCCGGTGCAAGCAGCACCGATGAGTCGCGTCAAAGAGAGCAAAGCCAGCAGTCTGCCGCACCAGTCATGTCGAAAGATGGCGACAGCAATGACCCGGGTAAGGTCTCCCAACCGAACGATATCAAGGACTTCAAGGTACCGGACGACGAGTACACGCTTGAGGAGGTTGCGAAGCACAACAAGAAGGAGGATTTGTGGATCGCGGTCAAGGGCGTGGTCATGAACGTCACGGACTGGGTGGAGGAGCACCCCGGCGGACCTCAGGCGCTCTTCAGCCATATGGGCAAGGATGCGAGCGAGGAGTTTGAGATGCTGCACGACGATGAGGTCATTCCCAAGTACGCAGCGGGTATTGTCATTGGCAGAGTGAAGGGTCAGGAGGTGAGGTTGGAGTACTAGGTAATCGGGCGTATTCTAGGTCCATTTGCTGAATAATGCTTTTGCTAAACTCTGAACCATGAAGTCGTGCATCACCTTTGAAGGTTTACTGCATCCTTGCCATTAGCACGGCCGTTCGTGCGCTCGAAGCGAGGTCACACCGATCTCGCAAGCCAGAGAGGGTCGGAAGTGTTTCGTTACAGCGGTGGCGGACCGATCCTCATCACCGGTCCTTCACGCGAGGTGTAGCTCCCATCTGCTCTGACGGGGTTGTAAAACTCAATCAGATAGACATCTAAACGCAGGTCTCCTTTCAGGTCAGTAAGATTAGCGATGCAGCTTGCAAACTGTGGAGTGTGGATTTCAGGACGAAAGCGGGATTCGACATGTAGATTGATTGTTACCGATGACTGCTGGGCTCTTAAACTGGCCCGGTATCAGCTCGTTCAGCAATTCTGCGTGGTGCACGACGTCACGCTCGACGTGGTTCCACTGTGCGGGCAAGGGACGACTTGAATTGGGCAGATATAGATTTGCCGTAACTCTCAGGCAGGCAGCAAAGCGAGTGGGTATAGTGTGTAAAATTGTAGGCTTGTCCGAGTAGAGTCCGTCGTCAATCAAAGTATCCCAGAGAACGAGTGTCTTCGCAAGGCGCTCTTGCTCCCGATATTCCACGCTAAACTGGTGATTCACGAGGAGAAGACTCGTGGCCGCCGCATCTGTGGCATACATCGTAAGAGTGACATCTTCACCATCCTGGTATAGCTTGGCCGCTGGGCTGTCGATAAGAAGCTCAACGTAGATCAGGTCGCGCAGTTCACGCGACAGGCTGAAGAAGTCGAACACAGCCTTCCGATTCGGGGCGGCCATCTGTAAGTTGCCGATTACTGCGGTTATGTAGTGATCTAGTTGTCTAGATGAATGCCTGTGTGCGTGTGAGGGTGCTGCTTTCGCGGCCTAACATGTACACAGGTACGGCGATGCTCTCCCAAGCTAGACGGGACCTGCCGTTAGTCACTGACACGCAAGGAACGCATACTGCGGCAGGTCTGCCATGCACCCTCAAAACAGCGGACCCTCCCTTGGTTCACTGGGACATCCCTGCTGTACGTGTCAGTGCGAGCGAACGACTCGTTTCGCGCTGGAGTGATGGAAGTGATGTTGGTCTGAGCGAAGGTGGGCCACACGCTAGGGCGCTTGCTAGCCAATCAACGCACAGAACGTCAGACGCGATGCGCGTCTTCCATACTCCGGGACAGAAAGTGCTTGGAGTAGCACATACAATCATGAACGCCGCGACACCGCAGACAGAAATAGTCCACGAGATTCCAAGCTTGCCGGCTTCTCCAGATCCCAAACGGACAAAGTTTACCGAACCCGCACCGAGCCTTTCCGTTGCTGGTACGTCCATATCACCAACAGCAGCCTGATGCAATACTAACCAAGAAGTAGCAATATTGAATGACGCTCAGTCGACGCCAACACCTGCAACAGCTCCCGCCACGGATCCATTCGCGAATATACCTGCCGAATCTTCAGCTGTACCGCAATCTTTACCATCAATGCCTGCAATGACACTCGAATCACCGCCACCGGCATTGCAGGTAAAGCTCCTCGCTGAGACCGCTAAAGCACCTACGCGGGGCTCAGCGTTCGCCGCAGGCTATGACGTTTACGCTTCAAAAGAAGCGGTCGTACCTGCACGCGGCAAAGTCCTCGTAGACACTGACATCAGTATCGCCGTTCCCGCTGGCACCTACGGCAGGATCGCACCTCGAAGCGGGTTGGCGAGCAAGCACAGCATCGACACTGGCGCAGGCGTCATCGATGCCGATTATAGGGGACCAGTGAAGGTGTTACTCTTCAACTTCAGTGACCACGACTTCAAGGTGGCCGTCGGTGAACGGGTTGCACAGCTGATACTGGAGAGGGTATGCTTTACGTAACTTCGCTGCTTTGGCGATGCTGACAAACGCCAGATATACACCCCCGAGGTTGTCGTGGTCGCGGAACTTGATGAGACTGTTCGAGGCGCGGGCGGCTTCGGCTCGACAGGCGGGTTTGGCGGTGTGCTGCCCAGTATCAACGGAGTGCCACCCGCATAGTGGTACGAACATTACGGAGTCAAGCTCTATCGAGCTATGTGTGGCGGTACGGAAACCTCGGATAATGGTTGATGGACATGAACACGACTCGAGTCTCCACGCAGGCCGAGACAGTATTCTTACGATCATGGCCAACTTTCCTGCAGAAGAGGATGCTCATCCCAACCCATGGCTTTGGTCTGAATCTTCATGCTCTCTAACACCCGCTTCTTGACGTGCTTGTCCCTAACCTCCTGCCCAACGAACGCGCCATGCGTGCTCTCGAAATCGAAAGGTTGCACGCGCTGCCACATCTCGTGCAAGACAGCTGGTGGCAAGGGGATCATATTTGGAACCGCCCACATAAACGCATATGATGTCGTGCCTGGTAACCGGTCGATATGATAGAGAGCAGACTAGGGCACGTCAGCACCCTCATACTTGCAATCACTGTGAAAGGTCAACATACAGGCGTGGTAACGAAGCTATCGGCGATCAGAAGCTTTTTCGACCAGTTCAGAACAAGGCTGCCCGGAAAGTGGCCACCAGTCTTCACAGCGTATACGCCGCCTAAGACCTCCTCGGAGTCGCCAGCAATAAACCTACGGCGGGTTTCTTTGTCGGCACGATGGAGCCACTCGTCATCGTCTTTCGCAATGTAGACCGGGCAATCGAACTCGGCTGCCCAGTCAAGGTGGGTAGTATAGTAGTGCGGATGACTGATGACGATCGCTTTCAACCCACCCTTCTCTCTGATGAAGTTCACGGTTTCGTCGTCTAGGTAAGTAATGCAGTCCCATAGTACATTGCCATGATCGGTTTGAAGAAGGATACACCTTTGGCCAATCCCGAACTTTGGCTCGGTCCAGATGGAGAACATACGGTCTTCATTATTATTGTCGCCTAATTGTTTGTAACTGTTGCGGTATTTACCCTGCATTTGGGCGAGGGTCGTCCATGTCTGGCCGCCAGGTGGGATGAACTGGCGTGGGTCCTGGAGCGGAAGCTTAGTATGTGTCTCACTGCACTATGCAACACCGGTCGTACATCACAGATGCGGCAGCCTTTGGGCGGCTCATTCGTGGGGAGGTCGAACTGCGTGCCGCATGCCGTACATATTAGCAAGTCTGGCGTGCCCGGCATTGTTATGACCACCCGAGACCTTCGTGTGGTGGACCTAACAGTTTTAACATCATCGTCGACATTGCCTTTGTCTATACTAGGATGCCGAGAGCATGCAGCATCGGGCCGGTATCTCTTTGCCGGAAGTGGAGCTTGGCCGAAGGGCAGTAAGAGACCAGGGACTCGCTAATACACTTGCCTTGTTGGTACCGTAACAATAGCCCCTCTACTGCCATTGGCTTACCTTCTGACACTCCCGAAGGGTGGACGTCTTGCAAATGTCCCGTGCCTTCACGTTACCCGGTTGTCGGAAGACCAAGCCGATCACATGACCGATAGGACATCTCGGCCCGTTCGGCCAGGCCAAACAACCGCTAGTCTCCGCATCTTAACAGCAAATAGCAATCAACACCGATCCACATCATCGTCCTCTATCAAAGTCACTAGCCGGTACAGTTGCCTACGATGGCAGAGAACGTACCACCCGGCAGCTCTGCCACAGCAGCGGCCACTTCCGATCAGCCAGGCCGACCATACTACGAGTCCCTCCGCGCCACGCTCCGCCAAACACTCGAGAAGAAGCGCAAGCTTGACGAGAGCTTGGCCGGCATCGAGGATCAGATCTTCAAAGCCGAAGGCGCGTATTTGGAGGAGACGGCAAACTCGGGTAACATTGTGCGCGGCTTTGATGGATGGGTCAAGGGTGTGCAAGTCGGCGGCGGTAGAGGCGCCGATGATAGGCGGAGAGGGAGGGTGAGGGAGGAGGATAGAGTATTTAGTCGTAGTTCTGTGAGCTGGATGAGGGTATGCTCATACACCTTGACTCATGAGAGGGGAAGATGGGGCACGCTGACAGTTGCGGCAGGCACAAGAAGGCCCCGATTCCGGCACGCCATCGCATGCGGCCACACCAACAGCGTCTCTTGCGCCGTCGCTGTCTACGCGTGCGAACGATGCCGCATCCTCAGCAAGCGCGACTGTGAAGGCGCCGAACAAGAAGAAGCGGCCCACGGAGAAGGACGAAGAAGATGAGACCAAGTCTGCGAAGCGTGGCAAGATCACGTATGCGCGCAATTAAGTGTGCCGCGTTTGGCTTTGTGACCGTTCGAGCGAGGCGTCTGGCGCGTAATCATGCTTGGGAGGGGTTGCTATTTTCGAAGGCCTCTGTGCGATAGCATGCGTTCTTCTGTGACCTTTACGGAAATGGGACGCCTTACTGGGTCTGTCCTTCACCGTGAGGCCATTCATTCAGCGTGAACACGCAAGTGTTTCACGAACTCGCCAATGCATTAGAGTTGTCAGCTAGGGCATCGATTACTGCTCCGCCCTGCTTTGCCAGTGGCACTGGGAACCAGTATATGCTTGACCATATACGTCGCATCTGCGGCCTGAGCGCAACTCACGATCTTACACTTGCTAACCTACAATTGTGGCATCATCGCCCGGAAAATTCACCCAAAAACGCCACGCTAGTAGCATTAAGGCACACAACTCAACCCTTTCCTATTCGCACACACTCACACTCGCTCAAACCTTCCTCCTCTTAGCCTTCCCACCTCCTCCTTCCTCATCCTCCACCACCCCAGCATCCCTCTCCGCGCCCCGCCACTCCCCAATCTTCCCCACAACATCCGCAAACATCTCCCTCGCCTCCCCCACTATCCCATCCTCCCCGGGGTTGAACATAACCGCATTAGCCAACATGCGATAAACCTCCTTCTCCAGCTGATCCGCGTTCACTATCGCCCTTGGCGGTACCAACTCCGGCGTCCGCTCCAGCTCGATCATGGTCGAAACCTCCGCTCCTGGGGGTGGAGATCCGAGCTGTGCGACCGCAGCAGCGACGGCACGCGTCCCTGCTGTAATGGCCGCGCGAATCGATTTGAGGTGTTGCGGTTGCTTAATGATTTCGCTGTAGCCCTCTGCGTCCTTTTCGCGGATCGGGTTGGCGAACCAGGCGGCGTGTTTGTGGGAGGTGATGTCATTCATGATAGTTGCGGCCATTTTGGCGAAGTTGCGGGTGGCGAGGATGGTAGTTGGGCGTGGGGGTGGGGTCGTATCGTCGACTTCTGCATTTGCAGTATCGGGGGCTGCGGAAGGCGAGTCTTGTCTTCTGCGTTTAGAGGCTGGTGGCTGATGAGGGAGGGATTGGATTGTGCCGCGGCGTTTGCGCGTCATGGGCCCGGAAGCCGGTGTGGCGGAGTGCTCGGGAATGTGATCTGGTGCGTCAACGACTTCTGCAGGCGTTGATGGTTCGGCCTTGACGGTCGTTCGCTTAATGGTCCGCTGAACGGGAGTGGGCTGACCTTCAGCCGCAGTACTGACTGACTGACTGCGCGTTCGAGTCCGTGCAAGGTCGTCAGCGGTAGATGTGACACTATGCGGACTCCGGTTGCGCGTCGCTCGGGTGCGTCGTCCGGCTGGTTGCGTGGTAGGCTGTGGCTTCTCAGACTCTCCGGACGGTGAAGCAGTACGCTCACGACGGACACCGGGCGGCTGCTTGACAGGTGAGCGCGCCCGTCGTTGGACAGGGCTTAGTGGCTCAACCAGAGGCGACTCGGCTGCGAATGGTACACCTACTGGAGGCGGCCGATGTTCACTCTTCCACAATGGCTTCTGCTGAGCTTGGGACGGCGTGCTACGCCTGCGCGGTGGCGTAGCGAGCGCGGCGATGATACTGGAAACGAGCCGTTGCTGGTCAGGTTGTTGCTTTGAACTCGTAAACAAGGACTGCGACGGCGGGTTTGGTGGCGGGTGATGTGGAGTGTAAGACTGCGGTTGAATGGGCCTCGAGTTCTGCGGTATTGATAACGGAGGCTGCTGCTTCGGTGGCATCTTGGCGTGCTGAGAGCCATCAACATGCCATCCGTATTGGTGGCCGCTCTGATGCGGAGCTTGCACTGGAAAGCGCTGGTGAGCCAGTGGAGGTTGCTGAGCTTGTTGAGGCGGGAAGGATGTCCTCCGATCCGCATAGACAGGTTGCTGCTGATAGTAAGGTACCGCTGGTGGATACTGAGCAGCATAGCCGTGCGATGGCCGGTCATTGGTAGGTGATGGTCCAAGCGACGACCTGTGTTGGGGCTGGTAGTACTGCTGAGCAGGCATACCTGGCCCGCGATGGGCCGGTGAGGAAGCATGCTGGATGGGCGATGGAGGAGGCAGCCTCATGCCCGCTGGAGGAGGAAGAATAGGTCGTGGAGACGATGAAGGCCTAGTCATTGCGTTTTGCAGCTGCGGACTAGGGACAGGATGGGCATGATGTGGCGCGTAAGACGAGGGATGATTAGCTGGTGGCGAATGTCCGTACGGTGGAGGCATGCCGGCTGCTACCGGACCAGGCATGGGTGGAATACCGAACCGAGGCGAGTGCGGCGCCATTTCTGAGAGCGGCGGGAGTGCTGAGTTGGACGGCGTTCTCGAGTGACTACTCGGGGCAGCCGGGGGTTCTGGCTCATGGTTGATCATAGCATCTATCGTAGACTTTCTCGGTGGTGGCTGCACGTTGGGTTCCGCAGCCTTTTCGGGTACAGTCGCTGATGCAGCAGCATCCTTGGTCGTAGTTGCCGTATCAGGCCGTTGCTCAATGAGCTGACTTCGAACTCTTGGCGAAGCCTTAGGACTCTGCGTCGCAGAAACAGTCCGCTGCCGCTGCAGTCGCTCGTCCCATTTGCCCGCCTCAATCTCGCTGATGTCGCGTGACAAGGCATCGTACTTGCGTTCATGGTCGCGAAGCTCCTTGACAAGCCTGTCCCGGTACGTCGCGTAAAGCCTATTAACAAGCTGTGGTATCAGGTAGGAATGCTGCGCCGCTTCTTGCACCGTAGGCACCGTAGGGCTGGGAGCCTTTCGCTTACGCGACGCTGGCGAAGCGTCTCCATTTGTAGTGGCATGGCTTTCCTTCTCGGCTTGGCGCTCAAGGTCCCGTTTGACTTCATCTTTGAGTAGCCACAGATAAAGCTCCCTTAATGCATCTGGGCTGAGACGGCCGCTGTCGTAGGTTGGATCGTTGTGAATAGTTGGGATGGCTTTCAATTGATCGGAGATGCGGTTGAAGCTGAAATTGATGGTCGCGGTGCTGTTGCTCCCTTCAACACGTAGCGCTTGGAAGAGCAGCAGTTGTTCGAGTGGCGTGTATGCGGTGGTGGTGGACAAGCTTGTCATGTGAGCGTCGCAGCCGGCGCGGTCGCAGTGAAGCGGGCGCGGTGACGGGGACGGAGAGAGGTAGGAGATCGCCAGCTTGTCCCACGCTCATGGTCCACCATCTCTATGAAATCAAGTGGAATAGTTTCATTGAGCCATCCTCCGAGTCACTTGTCTTCTCCGTTTGAACCCTGTTCTTTCAAGCTGATGCCTTTGGCAATGCTTTTCACAAATTGCGCCCGGCGAAAGAGTAGTGAATTTCGCGCCTAAGGCACGGCTCAAAGCTGCAAGCTGTCCGTGCAGTTTCCCTGCTTGCGGATACACTTCGGTTGGGTAGCTTCGAGCATCAATGAAGCTTACAATTCACTTGATTTAAACTGCTTACTGGCGGTACTTCTTCATGCTGCTTCCCGGCCAAAGGGTGAGTTACTCTCCGTGTTGAGGATGAGTGTGAGATGGTAGGGTCGATCATCAGCCTTTCTGGCTGCGCAGTCAGCCATCCCTTACTTCGGTCGTAGACCTTAAAAGTCCAAGCTTCACCGTGCGCCTCCTGGACGGTGGTGACGTTGGTCTTTAATTGACGTCGAGCACGAGACCCCCGATCGACTTCACGCCGCTGCTTTGTTGCGCTTGTGACTGCTTGGTGTTTGTGAAGTCGCTGTTCCGGACAGAGGATACCGTAGGGGGCCATGGAGGCAGGTCGTCAGCACGAGGGAGCTGGCATACAGCCTGAGTCGTATGCATCTCGCCCTTGTCTTCGTAGTCTGCGCTCATAGACGAGCAGTGCCATCGCTCAGAGCTTCTCCGCAGACCTGGACTCAATGTTCGGACTGAGCTCCACTTCCGCAGTAGGCCAGCTAGAGCAGACGGTCGAAGCGAAGTAGGTCTCTTCCATAACCAGAGGCAGGAGTCTCACACCTGACGGTATGGCAGGAAACAAACCGTCACATCGTCAACGCAACAACTACAAGAGCTCGAGGCGAGGCTGCGAGAGACCGAACAACGACTAGCGCAGGTGTATGGCGGCTCGTCACCACTGAAGCAACCTGGTGTTGCTAGCAGTGTTCCCGGCAGACTACAAGCACAGCAAGCAAGCAGTGGCGCAGCGGCAGCATCCTCAGCCGAGCCATCAGCTGCGAGGAGGCCGCAGAATGCGAGAGAGGACACGCAAACGATGATTGCGGGCATGCCTGGAGCATTGCCTCAGACGCCGAGGGGATACAGTAGTGGAAGCCAGGAGTATGTGATGGTTGATCGGAACGCGCCGAGGTGATTGAAGTTTGGAGTTGGAGAGCTTTCACTACGGCACTGATGCTGCCGAACATTATGCACGAGACGAGATCATTGACGGAAATGCAAAGCCACTGACACCGCCGGTCATTGCGCACCGTAGATTCGTCTTACAGCGGCTAAAGGGTGCACTGAGCATTCAATGCCGAAAGGGATAAAATAAAAAGCATGACGTTGACATGAGCTATACATATAGGACAACAGTACCTTAACAACCACCAAATGATGCAAATCTAGACCCTCTTCGTTGATTTGTCGAGCAGTACGCGACATTTCGTTGTTAGTATGTACTCCTATACATATTCACAATATGCGCGAAGATTAGTGGATCACATTCATCCCCAGTAAGATCGCCACATCTCCCAACGCCTTGTATGATATCTTTGGCATCGTTTCGAATCTCTCCTACTCGAAATGTCGAACTTCCCGAGAGTGGCCGTCTCTTCATCCACCACACCTTTGAAGCCACGCTCGATGCGGTGTGCCTTCAAAAATTCCGGAGCCTTCGTGAGGTCCTGGTATCCCTGGATGCCAGAGGTCTGCCGGGAGCATTGTAACGCCACGGCTGCGCACCGTAGCTAGCCGGAAGGTCAATAGCACGGTGCCGCGTGCAAGTCCGGTCAAGACCGGAACAAGGCGCCCAGCTCAAGAAGCAGCAGCACGCACCGAGCCAGATAACGTTACCATCCGCGAGCTCCTTGGGCCCGCGAAGCAAGGTAGAACAGCGAGTCCCGTACAACGGGATGAGCTAGCGCTAGTTTTTCGAATTGCTCACCAATGAATCCATCCTCGGCGTCGGCACTTGTCCATCTCGTACAACCACGTCTCGATCCTATCGGACATCCACGCCGACTCCATGCCTTCAGCCGCATGACCCAGGTTAGCCATGTTGGTAACCGAACAGCCGTCCGGTCCGGCACTGTACTGCACGCACTGATCATTGACTTCGCATACTCGGCGACAAGCATCCATGCTCAACTGGGGAATATGAGGCAGATTGTCGTCCGGCGGCATATTACTCCACGCCATGCGCTCGGTGGGTATGTCGGGTAGGATGAATTGCTTGAAAACATCGCTGTGGTACATCACTGACTCCTCGCGCCGCCAAGAAGAGGAAGAAGAAGGTGGCCTTGCTATCCTGGAAAGGAGGCCGCGGAGCCGGTGTTGCTCGAACGTCCACATGCGTTCGACCTCGTCGGCCAGGAAATGATGGTAAGAAAGCGCCGGGGTGCACCAAACTTGCTTCTCGGGCTTCGAGTCATTCCACTTCATATAAGTTGGATTGCCACCTTGGAACATAGGCCACGCCCATGTAAGCTTCACCCCTGCTTGTTTTAGCGCGGTCCCGAGGATGCAGTCGCCGGCCCAGTGCTGCGCGGTGCGGGAATGCCACTCGTCCGGGTGGGCGGTATAGATGTCCGCTGCTTTGTTCATGGCGGCATTGGACAGGACGAATGCCGAGCCGCCATGGGCGAAGATGTCGTTGCCGATCTGCACCTCGCTGCCATAGTAGGATGCTCGGCCCGGATTGAGCGTTTGTAGCCATTGTATGAGGTTCGTCCACACGAGATACGTGTCTGGCTCTACGAAGACGTACCATTTTTGGTTTGGTCGAAGCTCCAGCGTGCGGACGATCATGGGGAGGAACTTCCACTTGTCGAGCCGCCAGCCGGGATTGTCGTTCTTGCCGACCGGCCCACTCTCGATGCTTTCGGAGTGCAATTCGTGGTCCTCCAGACCTAGACGGCCGAGTTCCTGCAGACGATGGTAATGCTCGAAGTCTGGGTGAACCTCTCTAATGCGGTGGTCAACGTCAACAAGTACATCGTAGACCTGGTGGCCCTCGAAGACTTCGGCGTAGTCGGAGAAGATGAGAGTATCGGGGTAGCACTTGAAGGTCGTCCTCAGATGTACTGGGAGCTTGTTTTGGATCTCCGTGGCGCCGGTTCGCATCACTACAACGACATCCTCAGCACCGGCGAGATGGCGGCAGAGAGGCGCATTGGGGTCTGTCTCTTGAGCCTGTCCGGTCAGACGGAGGCTGGGCTGCCACAGAGAAGCAGTCCATGGCCGCACCGGTGAAACATGCGTAAGGCTGAGGAAAAAGAAGATGAATGCAGCAGCCGTTACGAGGACTAACGGTCGGAAGCTGAAGCCAAGACTTGAGATCATAGCATGTGCGTGCGGACCGTTGGCGACGCCCGTGGAATGTGCCTAGCCTGACCTGTTGGAGAAAGGTCCCATTCGCTTGTCGCCAGCAACAAGTGTGTTGGTCTGGTGAAGTGCAGTGTGCATTGTCTACGGATCACAACATCGATAACCGCACTCGAGAGAAAGTTGGTGCGCCTTACGGATTAAGAGGGCGATCGACAGTTAAGGTGAGGTGAAACTCGGCGGCAAAGCTCCGAGGGTCCAGTCAAGCATTCGAAGCTTCACGGGACTACCACCGTTTCGAATAACATTGTCGCATGCTTGGCGTCTCTGCTTCGCGGAGTCGCTCATAGTAATTCGGACACTTTCCATGCCTATGCACTGAATATCGTCGCTGCCGTCCTAATTCGGAAGTTGAAGCCATTGTTGCCACGTCTGGTTGCTATATAGCCGATTTTAAGGTGTAGTTCGTTGTGGCTATGTCGCAACGTGCGAGCGACCGTGTGCGCTCGAAGGTTTCCAAGCCGCAGTCAACGCTCGTGGCCGGCCTCTTCGAGCAATAGAGTAATAGGAGGTAGATACGCCTTACTGAAGAGGTCAAAACTCAGCCTCTAACGCTACACAGTACGTACAGAGATCTGCAACTCCTTGCTAATAGCCGTATACGACATCTGGCCGTCGTAGAGGAGGTTATATATACGAGTCGTTATATATAGAGGGTACCGCCTTACTATTGCGGCTACTACGCAACTATGCAACGCCTATATAGCTAACAACACCTCAAATCTGGCTATAATAGTAGCAATTATACTAATTATAGCTTTATTTACAAACGATAACGATGTAGCAATACATAGGCATAGAAAGTGTCCGAATTACTATGAGCGACCCCGCGAAGCAGAGACGCCAAGCATGCGACAATGTTATTCGAAACGGTTGTATACTTGGCCGCGGCCGGTATGAACCTGCGTGCCGCATGCAACTTACCTTACTATTACGCGATCACTATTTCGGTAATCTCGTGTCAACTTCTGTAAAGTGATCATGACAAGAAACCTACCCAACAGCGGCCATGGAAAGACAAGCAGTGCTGTTCTCACAGTATCTGTACACCTTCTGACGTGTTTAGACGCCACATTGGGCCCGGCAGCTGCACGCTTGGGGCTGGCCTTTTCAGCCTTGCCTTGAGGCAGTGTCACGCCTACAGCCTGCCTGAATTTCCATGTGATCATCCCGTTGTAAATGTGGGATGGAGTTACATTTCGCATATTATTGTCGTCCGCGGCCTAATCCATTGATCTTGTACAACCCGAGGGTAGGCAGCGTCCAAACGCAACAGGTCCAATATGGAAGCTCTAGGTGCAGCAACAAACATCGTTTCCCTTGTTCAAACGGTTGTTACAATCATTAGCTACATTAAAAGCGTCAAGGATGCGCCTCGCGAGCGCAAAGAGCTCCTCATGGAGCTGCGCAATCTTGTCGGTCTTCTCGAAAGCCTCCAAGATCTCCTGGAAGTCGATGAACCAGATCATTCGGATCCGTGGAAGGGTGCCGTGAAGCAGCTTGAAGCACATGGCGGCGCCCTTAGCCAATTCAAACATGCTCTGGAGAAGCTTGCTGACAAGCTCTACCCTACGCATGGTTTTCGCAAGATAAAGCAAGGTATGTCTCAGTATGAACATCGAGCCGCTTCCGATCATATCCATAACGTGCTCGCGTAGCTCTACTATGGAAGCTTACGAAGCCGGACCTCCTGGAGATTTTTAGCCGCATTGAGCGCGTCAAGGGTCTCGTTCAGATTGCTCTGCAAGAGGACGCCACGTACGCGTAACGACTGGCGAGGAGATTGCGCTAGCTGACTTGCTTGCAGAAGACTCGCCGCAGCGATGAACATGAGGATGGACCACATCGTGAAGACCAACGAGGCGATTTTGGCGAACACTAGCGACATCAGGCAACAGATTGACCTGCAAGCCGACGACAGGATGAGAATGGAGTTTGACAGCCTCCTTGACTGGATATGCTCTAAAGCTGATGTGGCCGAGCACCACTACCAATACCAGGCGCACTTTGAGAAGCACCACAGCGACAGCGGACGCTGGTTCTTCGACGAGCCGAAATACCACGACTGGGTATCTTCGGACCCCAACCCATGGCTCTTCTGCCCTGGGATACCCGGCGCAGGCAAGAGTGTCCTTTCCTCCACGGTTGTTCGCGAGCTACAGAAACGTGCCCTACCCGTCGCATACTTGTATTGCACGTACAGTGGTAGATCGAAGCAATCGGCAAGACACTTTCTCACTAGCATGCTCCGACAATTAGTTCATATTTCGGGAGCTCCTCCTCAGAACATAGAGGATCTCAGGAAACGTTGTGAGAAGAACGACAAAGCACCGTCTCTGGACGAGATTGAAAATGCGTTGCGGACTATTGTCACTCCCAGGTGTAAGGGCTGGCTTGTCGTTGATGCGCTGGACGAGTGCGATTGTAACAGCCGCAAAGACTTATTGAACTCGTTGCACAATCTGGTATCATCATCATCCTTGAAGATCTTGGCGACATCGCGGTTCATCCCAGAGATCGAAAGCTGGTTCAGTGAACGAAACGCGAACGTTGTCGAAATACGAGCGTCTGGCGCTGACATTGAGGCTTACGTACGCAGCCGGCAAGCTGACTTTCGGTCTTCAATTCGGATAGATGCGCAGCAGATGGACTCTGTGGTTGCGGGGGTCGTTGCTGCTGCAAGCGGACTGTAAGCCACCTACCTTCAGCTGAGTGCAGGCCTTAACTACTGACCATGCTAGTTTCTTGCTTGCCAAGTTGCACATGGACTCGCTGACGACTACACTGACCCGAAAGACGTTGAAGTCCGCGCTGCAAAAGCTACGCGACGCACAAGAACCTTCGGAAAGCCGTGCAGACGACGTGACCAAAGTGCGCACCACACAAGCCTACGACGCTGCCTACGCGACAACGTTGCAAAGAATAGAAGAGCAGCCTGAGAATATTGTCAGGATGGCCAAGCAAACACGTGCTTGGGTCACTTACGCTCCCTTGGGAGTTGAAGAGCTGCAGCATGCGCTCGCCATTGAGGATGACACAGAAGACATCGACTTGGACAACGTCCTTGCCTTGGAAGATATTTTTTCTGCCTGTGCTGGACTCCTGACCACACTCGAAAGCGACTTAAGCAGTTGTGGGATGCCCTCCAGGCGGTCAGTCCATCTCGTTCATTTCACAGCTCAAGAATATTTGCATCGAACGCTTGACGAATGGTTCCCTGGTGCATATCTGAAGATGACGCGCGACTGTTTCACCTACCTCTCTTATACGACATTTTCGTCACGGCTGTGCGTCAAGTGGCGGGTAGAGAAATATCGTGCCTACCCTTTCCATGGATACGCCGCCAGCATTTGGGGTCACCTCGCTCACGAGATTGAAGACAAGCATAACGCGAAAACACTCCAAGATCTTTCCGCACTCTTTGCACGTTTCTCCAGGTTGCCGCAGAATATGGACGCAGCTTCGCATCGCTTAGGCATCTTTTATTCTTGGCCCATAGAGGTGAACCAGTCCGACCCGCCTTTCAGATGTCTCGGGATTCACCTATTGGCCTATTTTGATCTCTCTGGAATATATCAGTCTCTTGAAGGTGCCCTTGGCGATCTGTACGCGGAAGATATCCTGGGTAGACTGCCGCACCATTACGCCGCAGATGGAGGGTGCGATCAGATCATGCGGGCGTTCATTGCGTCCGAGAGTAAACGATCTGACCGGCTCCCGCCGATCATCAACAAAGCCGACAAGTCTGGCTATACCACATTACACCTTGTGCTGAAACAGCATCATCAGTACGTCAAGCCTTCCGGCTATCAGCTAAAGGCTCGTGAAAACAATTTGAGACTGCTGCTCAACGATCACGGTGTAGATCCTAACATCGCCTATCCGAATCGAAACCTCTCACCGCTCATGATAGCCGCGGAAGAGGGCGATCTGAAAATTGTACGCATGCTGCTGGACGTGGAGCGGACGGACCCGAATATCATAAGCGAATGTGGACGGACTGCATTAGGCTCCGCCATTGAGTACGGACATGATGCCATTGTTCAGGAGCTCGTAAATCATCCGAAGACCGATCTTGTTCACGAAGGACGTGCGTGTTCACCACTCGGAATCGCCGTGAAGCACTTGAAGATACTCAGGATTCTACTTGATTCGGGCAGGGTCATGGTTGACGCGCGAGACAGTGCTGGCTTCACTGCCTTATCGCGTGCGGCGGAGCGATTGGACTCTCGGGACGTTTTCCAGACACTTTTGGACCATGGCGCGTCTCCTAACTGCTGGTCAACACAAGATTATCCGTCACCACTGTTATGTTCTGTATGTGTGGGCAACCTCGACGCCTGCAAGCTACTACTCCCTCGTGTGAAGGTGAATATCGCTGGAAGCCATGCTATTGCACTCGTAGTCGCCACATGCAGGAACGAACAGGATTTGATGGACCTTATCATTGACCATGTCAAGAATGTTGGCTTCGACACAAGGGAACTTTTAAACGCAAGCTATACTCTGATGCTCCGCATGTGGACCCGTGGGCCAGAGGAGAAGCATAGAAGTCGGACAAAGTACGAGCATCCACGCTGGCCCTTTCAACCACGCATTTCGCTTGAGACGAATTGCAAGATATTCGAGTCGTGCTTAGAGCGACTTGAGACACGCGACGCCGAGCTTAGGAGGCATCGAAGTACATCTGAGTGGGAGCGGTGCTCGGTCGGAATTCGTGAATGGACTTCCGACTACGAACAGTTGCAACGACTACAGACTTGGAGCGCGCGAATACTGACTGACACTGTCACCATAGATGACCTCTTCGGCCGCGCTGAAGAATGGATCGGAATTATGGTCGATCATCCCGAAGAAGGAGGAGAAGGAGATGAAGGAGATGATCACGATACGTGTAGGACAGAAGAGATTACTTGACCATATAGCCTTACGAGTGACCATCCAAGAGAAAGAGATGGAAAGGACGGACAACAAGCGGACGTGATCAATGAAGCATATCAAAGACGTAGCCTGTAAGGGTAGGGAGCTAATGCTCCTTCCAGTGTGACCGGTATCATGCCTTAGCGGCGCAGACAAGTAATGCATCGTATGGTACAGCCAAATTTGTCCCCGTAGACGCCTCGCTAAGCTCACTCTTCCACACCGTCCTGACGCCCACCTCGAACATCAACAGGTGCCGACAGTGGCCAAAACTTGCCACCAAGCTAAATCTCAATTCACCTGCCCCGGCACATCCCTCCTAGCCTGCTCTAACAGATCCTGCTCTCTCTTCACCTTCGCACGGTACTCCGCACTCTTCTCCCTCGCCGCCGCACTCCTGACACTCTGCTCCTCCAACATCCTCAACTCCTCCCTATCCGCCTCCGTCGGCTCAATAGGATGGGCCTTCGTGATCCGCACGAGCTCGTCAAGGATCTCGGAGTTGGTGCGGTGTTTCATGTCGATTGTCTGGACCCTTTCTGTGGGCGGAGCGGAGCCAGAGGGAGGTGTATCACCGCTGGTAGAGGCTGGAGGGTTGGGGGCTGAGGTTGCGGAGGAGGAGGTTTGGGGGACGGGTTGTGAGGTAGTAGAGTTGTGGCGAGCGTAGTGGATGGATAGTGTGGCGTCGTCTTCGGGGCGGGCGGTGCGGTCGACGGTCATGGAGACGGCGGGGTTGTGGTATTTGAGGCGGACTAGTTCATGGCGCCAGAATTTTCTATATCTATCATTCAATATGTAGCGCAAGTGTCGACTGGAGTGGATGTGTTACCTGGGTCCCATATGTCCTCCCTCTAGCTTCGCTGCGAAGCGCATGTGTATCCTCTTGACGTCCTTCGGCAGGACAAATGCGCCGGAACCGAGGCGGATGGCAAGGAGACGAGCCTGCATCTTGCGCATCCGCTGCGCCATTGACGAACTCATGTTGAACAATTCGGTGGTGAAGTGTTCGATCGTTATCGGAGTAGCATCGCTCGAACAGTGGTTAGGTGTATTGCGGAGGCACACGACACTACTGGATATATTTAATGAATGGGTGGTGGCTCGGGAGTGGTGCGGAGTTCCAAGCTTCACTCCCGACAGACCACAGCAGTAATCCATCATTCCTCCAACCACTTATACCACCACCACTCTTTGGCCCACCCTTACAACAGCAATGGCACTCCCTCTCCGCCCCCGCCTCCCCGCTATTACCACCACGACCTGTCCCCGCCACTTCTCCACCACGCGCCCCCTCCCCGTCTCCCTCCAACTCGACCGCAACAACCCCGACACCGTTGCCGCAACCGTCCCACCCTACCCCTACGGCCCCGCCCGGTGGTACAAGCAATCACGCCTAGGTCTCTACGGCGGCCAACGCATCCAATTCGGCAATAACGTTGGCACGACTTTCGCCGTGAAAACCCGTCGCACCTGGCATCCGAATGTACTTACGAAGAAGCTTTTCTCGAAAGCGCTGAATCGATATGTGCAGGTCAGGGTAACGGTGAAGACGTTGAGGACGATTGACAAATTGGGGGGACTGGATGAGTATTTATTGGGGGAGAAGGAGGCAAGGATTAGAGAGTTGGGTGAGAGTGGGTGGTGGTTGAGGTGGGCTATCATGCAGACGCCTGTCATTAGGCGGAAGTTTCGGGAGGAGAGGGTGAGATTGGGTGTACCCGAGGAGGTAGTGGAGGAGGAACAGGGCGAGGTCGCCGAGGCGAGGGCTGGGATTGAAGAAGCGGTCGAAGTCAACGATGCAGAGGTCGACTTAGAGGCTTCAGGTGCGGACATGGACGCTGTCGAATCTACCGCGCTTGTGCCGACAGACGACGATGCCTTCGTGCCGGACCAGTCACCAAGTCTACCACCGCTAAAGTTCCGCGTCGGACCCGGCCAGCACATCATGCTCACCCCCACCGGCTGGGTGCGCACGCGTCCCGACCCCAGCCGTCGAATCAACATAGCCAAATCCCGTATCCTCGAGAACCTCAAAGCATACCTTCTTCCGCAACGGGAGAAGGACTTTCTGGAAGATCTGCAGGAAGAGCAGAAAGCTTTACCATCGCGAGAGCGGTTGAGCGAGGAGGAGCGGGAGATGTTGTTGAAGGATGTGCGGAAGTATTGGCAGAAAGATCTGGAGCGGAAGGCGGAGGAGCAGTTGGAGAGGCATGTGGAGGAGCGGGAACGGAAGAAGAGGGAGCGGAGGTTGGCGAAGAGGGAGGCGGAGAGGATGGTTGCTGGGCGCCGTCTGCTTGCGTGAGGTCTAAGACTGTTATATGCAGCATGCTGTACGCAAACACCGGATGTACAGGAATGCCAGGCTACCATGCGACTGCACCAGACCCATTCCACCAAGCCATTACGCCCAAGACGAAGATGATCACCATCGCATCCGCGAAGATGGTCTGCGCAATGGCGATGTACCGTCCCGCCGTCCGCACCCATTGCGCGTACGGCTCTGGTACCATGCCGGAATTCGCTATCGTCGCCAGCCATCCGCTGCCACTTAGCTGGCCTCTTTCGAGAAAGAAGCGGGTAGATTGCAGCACCAATTCCGCAGATGTGAACAGGATGAATAGCCTCGGTCCTAGCACAGAGCTGCTCTCCGTAGCCATGAACTTCGACTGTGTCCTCGCGAGCTGGCTCCCGGTGAATGTACTGGTTGTGGTGACGTACATCGCAAGTATAAGGGCGAAGATAGCATGTGTAATCCGCCACACGTACGCGCTACTCGTCTCCGGCGACTTCTGCGCGTCCTTCTGCGCGGCTCCGGCACCTAGCAGCGCTTTGAGAGCGGGAGGGACGTCGGGAGGTGGTGCGTTGGGATCATTGGGGTTTCCGCCCATGAGACCGGCGAGTGACTGCATCATCTTCATCATCGGATCCTCCTCCTCCGCTCCACCTCCACCACCACCTGCTTGCTGGCGTTGCCCACCCTGCCCTTGTCCGCTCATCATCGCCGCCATGAGAGGGTTATCTAACGAGCTGGTCCTAGGTGGTCTCTGTATGCTGTCTATATCCACCTCGTCCGGGTCGTCCACGCTTGCTTGGTTCGCTCGCACTCCTGGCTGTGGTTGTGTAGGGGCAGCAGGGCCCCCTAGCACTTCTGCGGGCGGTGCGACGCCGCCGTTGAGGGCTTTGATGCGGGCTAGTCGCTCCTCGCCTTGCTCTGCCATCTTCTTTTGCATTTTCTCACGGCGCAGACGGGCGGTACGTTGGTTGGGCGTTTCGCCTTCTGGCGCTGCTGTGTCCGCCATGCTGTGGAGGTTATTCGGTGTGGGTTGCTTGTCCGTGGAGTATTAGGGTTTGTGTGTTTGTAGTAGTAGAAGCGCAAGTGGGGTGCTGATATGACGTCGGAGCCAGTCGGGCCGAGTCAATGCCGTGTATCACTTCAAATGGCGCACGCATGGGGAGGGATTTCATGACGGTTGCTGTGGACGTGCCACAATTACTCCAAGCAGTTTGAAGGCAGCAACGTCGCAGATATCGCTTGTATGCCTGCTGTCTCCCATCCCTTGAGCGCGACCACAATGTTGAAGCCACTGTCCCTCCGCGTGACTCATCAGCTAGTAGGCGCTGTAGGATGAATGTGCCTCGTTGATAGGACTCGACAGTCTATCAGATATCTACATACCTTCACAAGACCTAGATTGACGAGGATGGCAAGGTACAAGGGCAGCAGAAAGCCACCAGGTCAGAAGAAGCCGCCCTTGACGCACTTTCTATGTTTGCCACTCGTCACCCCGGACTCGAGACCTCACCTTGAGGAATCCCTACGCTACTTTCGCGACGCTGTAGAGATCAGAGATCGACCTTCTACCGCCAATCTGCAGCATGCTGCCGGACGAGATGATTCGCCGGAACTTGTCGTCCCTGGTATGCACCCAAAGGCCATCCGTGCCGTTGGTGCCTTGCATTGTACGCTTGGGGTGATGAGCCTCGACAAGCAAAAGCTCGAGCAAGCAATCGAGACTCTGCAAGGTCTGGATGTCCCGACTATCCTTGCAGCTGCCTTGTCTGATTCGCGGGCCAAAGGCAAGGGCAACAGCGAGCAACCTCGAATTGAGCGAGCCGAGCGTGCGGTATCCTCGCTTGAACGTCCAGTCTCCCCTCCACTCCTCAATCGCTCATCCGAGCCCCTAAAGATCAACTTAACAGGTCTCGTGTCGATGCACAACCCGCGTAATACTTCTATCCTCTACAGCGCGCCTGCAGACCTGTCGGAGCGCTTGTATCCGTTCTGTCTCGAAGTCCAAAGGCAGTTCGCCGATAGGGGCTTCCTCGTACCGGATGACAGGCAACTGAAGCTTCACGCTACCATCGTCAACACCATCTACGCCAAGGGAAGGACAAAGCGGCCGCCGCCAAAGTGGAAGCAGAAGCTTAGGGAGGAGACTCCCGAGCCGGAAGCTGCCCCAACAACCTCTACGTCTGGTCCCACAAACGATAATGATGACGCTGGTGACGGCGCCGACGAGACTGCCGACACTTCCGCCCCTGGCGGCGAAGGCCGCTCCCAAGGCCACGGACCGTTCGCAAATGCTCCGCTCAAGATAGACGCTACTACCATTCTGGAGCGGTTCAAGGAGTTTGTCTGGGCGGAGGGCGTGGTGCTCGACAGGATTGCGATATGCGAGATGGGCGCGAAGAAGATTACGGATGCGGCGGGTAAATTGATTGGGGAGGAGTATTCTGAGGTTGCGAGCGTGAAATTACCGACTTGAATCAGTTACGCATCTAAGGCCATACGCTGGATTTCGTCCCGCATTGCTCAACCTCGCTGCCGACACTTTCTCTTCTCGATGCGCCCATGCGATGCGGCCCAGCCCGAGGTCCGCGTCTTACTATCCTTGCGTACAGCTTCCTTCAACTCTATTGCTTTCCTTCGCCGCCGTTTCTTACATGGTTCCAGTAGTAATTTCTGAAGAATGCAGAAACCTCAGCAGCTCTTCGGATTGCCCTATGTCGTCGAAGAAGTCCGCCTCCTCCTTAGACTTTGCAGCCCTCTCCTCGCGTTTCGCCTTCACGGTGCGGAGGAACCTCGTCTCCATCGGCCACCCTTTCGCGAGCACCCGCTCCATGGAGCTCACAGCCCCTGGTGTGCAGGCATTGTCTGCTTTCGCACAGCTTCGCTGGCGGCACTCAACAACAAAGGAGTCAGAGTACAGCCGCTGTATCGCAGCTAAAACTTGACTCAGCATGTCTTGATGTGGAAGCGTTGATACATGCGTCAATCAGCATTATGTGGGTAGCCAAACAACCGCTACGACCGTCGTTGGGTCCATTAAAAGTCGCAGATTCGGGGGACAGTGTGATCCTCTCCGCGAAAAGGAGCAGCATCTCAACCTGACTCTGTCCGTGGAAGCTCGATATCAACCAGCCATGGCGCATTGACAGGCTGATAAGTGACGTCCATTATGGCAGCATTGATAAGCGCAGTCTGGCGGCCTTTCCGCAGTTTCGTACCATCGAGGTAAGCAGCACGTTGCTCTCTCACTTGGTTAGGGTCCACCCTCACATCTTCAGTGCCAGATGAGGCGACACCGTCTTTCCATCGCCCACGCTTCCACTCTTCAGTCAGACAGTCCTTGCTAATCACCTCATCAGCATCTTCCGCCCAGCTCACCACCTTCGCGCCCCAGCCTTCGTGGATGTGGCCAAAGCAATGCACGAGTGGCCTGGCTCGCATGACGGCCCGCAGTAGATGCGGACATCCTGCGAGGTCGCCACTAACAGTACGATCTAGCATGTCCCACGAAGGACCGTGAGTGATTAGAACATCTATTGGCGACTGCGCCGCTGCAGCCCCAGGTACTGGATATGGGGCGATATTCTTCGCATCCGATAGCGACGCAAGGGGAGTGTTCCAGCGATCTTCGTCACGCTCGGTTGGGAACGCCCAGTCCCAGAACTCTGGTGTATAAGGGCTGGCAAATGCTACCAGATGAGCTCCATTGGGAAGGTCTATATTGTGGACACCTTCGTCGAGGAAGGTGATGCCTTCCGTCTTTGCTCGTCCATTAGATGCAGTCCACAGGTCGCGTGCCTGCTTGACTTTGAAGGCAGCATGCTCTTCGATCAATCCCTCTTTGGCAAGATGGTTGAAGATATAGTCACGGTCCAGAGAAAGGTCGTGGTTGCCCGCGATCACCAGCTTCACAGGCGCGTCTATCTCCCGAATCATGTCTAGAGTCTGATGGTACTCATCCATCTCTCCAGTCATAGTCATATCGCCACAGTGGATGAGTACGTCCGCGGATGGTAATGGGGCCTCGAAGGGCGGTCGCGGATGCTTCTCGGAACCATCGTCTGCGCGAAGTGCTGCACAATGGGTGTCCGAGATGATGAGAAGTCGGGTCTTGACAGTGGCTGTCATTGCATCAATTGTACCTAGCTTTACAGACAATGCGACCGAAGCATTAGCCCCGTCACGCTCTCGCGGTACGAAGCCCAACGCGGCATTGATGTCGGCGAGATTCAGCCGCGCGTTGATGGAAGGCGGCGGCAACAACCTCACCTTCCTACTACACCTTCACACACAGCACATTGCTAGCATTGCGAGCGTTTCGTGGAGACAGAAATGCTTTGGCAGCTAGCTTGAATGTATGACCACTCTACGTGACACTCTAAACGAAAGCTTGCTGCCGCGGCGTCCAGCCTTATCGCGTGCCCACCTCGGGCTCCAATCACATTCAGTCCTATCCGCCATACAGTTCGCCCAGGCCTGCTATCTTTCTGTATACCGTAGGTCTAAGCGAGCGTGCTCAGACGTCCTCTACTACTGCGTGTCAGCTACAGAAGGTAAGTACTGCTTGGGACTGCATTCTCTCTCCTCCCCTTACGCAGCGTTTCACCTGGTTGGGAGACATTGCTCGCTCAGGATGAAGCTCTTCGGCAACTCGAAGGCTGCAGACGAGGCAAATACCAGAGATGAAGGAGAGTTAGCGGAGCTTGGCTACAAGCAAGAGCTGCAGAGGGTTCGTATGCGTCCCAGTAAGAGACTCCCTACCGTCGTCAAATTCGCTAACAGTGTTGCCCTTCGCTTGTTAGGACTGGAGTCTAATACACAATTTCGGCGTCTCGTTCTCTATTATCTCGGTGGTCACAGGTATTACAACTCTTTTCGAGTATGGTCTTACCACTGGAGGTCCCGGTACCATGACGGTGGGGTGGATAGTAGTGTCCTCCCTCACAACGTTCGTAGGTTTAGGCATGGCCGAAATAACCTCCGCGCATCCGACTTCTGGAGGCCCTTACTACTGGGCGGCTATGCTGGCCCCTAATGATCGGCAGGCTGCGTTCTTCTCTTGGATCACAGGCTGGTTCAACTTCGTCGGTCAGTTCGCGGTGACCACGGGCATCACGTTCGGCTGTGCCAACCTCATTGCGACTCTTGCTACGGTCAAGGGAGGGTTCGTGCCAACGCCGGGGAAGATCATCGGAATTTACGCCGCGCTTCTGATCAGCCACGGCCTCGTCAATACGTTTGGGGTCCGTATCCTACGCTATCTGAACAACTCGTCGATCATTTTGCACAGCCTCGGAGTTGGCGCCTTTGCTATTGCAGTCGTAGCTGCTGCACCTACACATCAACCGGCGCGGTTCGTGTTCGCCAAGTTCTACGACGGTGAGTTTCGGAAACGCCATCGGAATCGATCGCAGCTGTCAGCGACAGCCTTCGCTAATAGCATTGCAGGTACTGGGGATCCTGGTTGGGCAACACGAGCCTCTCCAGCATACGTTGCCTGTATCGGCGTCTTAATGAGTCAGTACACTATCACAGGCTTCGACGCCTCTGCACATCTCTCCGAAGAAACTCGGAGAGCCTCCTGGAGTGCGCCAATCGGCGTTCTGACCTCGATCATATGCTCTGCCTTCTTCGGCTTCTTCCTCCTGCTCTGCCTGCTGTTCTCGATACAGGACTTTGACAGCACTGTGGACAGTGAAGTGGGCCAGCCAGTTCTTCAGATCCTACTCGACATCTTCGGCGAAGACGGAGCGATAGTACTCTTTACACTCGTCATTATCTGCGTTTGGCATTGTGGCCTTTTCAGCTTGACGAGTAACAGCCGCATGATGTTCGCGTTCTCACGTGATCATGGCATCCCGCGGTTCTTTCACAAAGTGGACGAACGGTTTCAGAGCCCGATTCGGACGGTCTGGCTTGCTGCGACGTTGGCCTTTATCCTCGGTTTACCTTCACTTGGATCGTCTGTCGCCTTTGCAGCAGCCACCAGCATTGCAACGATCGGGCTTTACATCTCTTATGGCTTGCCAATACTGATCGGACTTCTCTATCCCCGAAACTTCAAGAAAGGACCTTTCAACCTGGGAGCATTCTCTCGTCCGGTGGCTCTTGTCGCGTGTCTTTGGATTGGCTTCATTACGATCATTTTCTGTCTACCCAACGTACGTGAAGAGTAAGAGCGAGCCATTTGCAGAGTTACTGAGCTGACACACTCTTAGGTCAACCCTGTCACATCGCAGGTACGTACTGCGTCTGTAGTGTGTATGCGCAAACAAAGAGGCGCTGACAACCTCAACAGACGCTCAACTACACCCCAGTTGCCGTCGGCATTGTGGCACTTTGGGCGTTCGGCACATGGTTCCTTAGCGCCCGCAAGTGGTTCACAGGACCGTAAGTGCCCCAACCAATCTTCTAGATCGCACATTGTGGCGCTACTGACTGATGATTCAGTATCCGGCAGATCATGGCAGAAGAAGCTGGAGTCGATATTGACGAACCTGGTGCATTCGAACGAGCGGAAGCGGAAGGAAAGATCCCACCTACCAATAGCGATATGAAGAATGTCTAGACAAGATCATACGACCTCTCAATGTAGCGCTGGGTCATCCAATCACCACATTTTGCTATTCCTTACAAAGGCAGAGTCTGATTCCAGAGACTTTGAACTGTGACGCCATTAATCCAACCGCCGTTCGTCGTATCGCTTTTGAGAGTATAAGACACCTGCCGTGTCTCGTTTGGCAGCAGCCAGAAAGCGTTACTGTCAAAGTTGAGAACAGCACCAGCGGGATAATCGAGCCTAAGAGGAGCACGTTCGCTCGTCAGCAACGCGCAAGCTTCTTTGCGAACGACTTTCTCGCACTTACCATACCCAGGCGGCTACTCCTGATGTCGCTGATACGGTGAAGTTCTGAGTAGTTGGCGAATAGGTCAAGTTTAAGCCAGGATTAACAAGCTGGGCGACTTGCAAAGCAGTTGGGTCTAACCGAAGGCTGGAGTTAGTGCTGCGCCAAGTTACAATTCGGTGCTGTGTCACTCACGGAAGAAGTTTTCATGCCGGAAGGTACGGAATGCGTTATCGTTTGGTAAGCTGCTAACGGCTTCAACAGCCATATACAGGACCGCGTTAGTCAGGTTGTAGCCTTGCAGGATGGTTGTAATAAAAGTCTGGAGCACTTGTGTCGAGTTGATGGCTCCGATAGTGAAGTTGACCGATGCGGCGTGGAGACGTTGATTAGATGCTTGCCAGACCAATCGTACCAAGCAAAAGTCACAGTCCCTGTCGCCGGCTGCCACAAATCTGAGGTAACCCAAACGCTGAGATTGCCTGCGAGGCTGCGATTAGCGCTACCATCGAAGTAGGAACTGGACCGCAATGCTCACCAGTAGTCACATTGTAGTATGGCGCGATGATAACGTGCTCGTAGATGTCTTTGGCGGCGTAGTGTAACACCTCCCACCTCCCATCATACTCGATCCCTGCCCACGCTGGAGCTACCCAGATATCCTCGAGCTGCCAATACAATGAGCCGAGCTGACGGTTTGGTAAGCCAGAACCGCGTCGGTAGAATTCGATCTCACTGACATAGAGATCGGCCTGGAAGATCTGCGTCGCATGACATCAAGCGGAGAAGTTCGCGACAGGATCGGTCTTGTTGGGTACTGGATACCATAGCTGTACTGCCTCTGTCATCTGCGCTTGTCCTATCGATGCGTTGGCGGTGTTGCTCGTGTTCAGTAAACCCGCGGGAGGATGGTGGTCGCGAAGCATAACCGTAGTGCTGTTGAAAGACAAATCTTTGGCGGAGATCTGGGACTGCCAGCTCTGCAGACTTGGCATGGAGTGGTAGCCGAATTCGTTCGAGAACCGCCCAATAGGATAGGCACTGTCGTTGTACAGCACACTTGGTTCGTAATTGTAGAAGTCCGTTTCGCCATAGACACTGCCAGGCGTCAAATTGTAGTAGCGCTCGACCATTGGTTTGGCATTGCTGAAATTGAGTGAGAGCCAGCCATTGCTGGTCGAGCTGGGCGCATAGCTGATGCTCTTGCTGTTGCCGAATACGACAGGAAGCAACGTGTTTAAAAACAGCGTTTCGTACTCCGCCATGTATCGTGGGAGCTGATCAGGGGCAGATTGATTCACAAGAATCAGCTCCAAATTCTCGAGCTCATTACCGCCGGCCCACAATGCTAAAGATGGGTGATGGTTCACACGACGGACGTTGTACTCCGCTTCCTCTCTGACGTTGTCCAAAAAAGCAGGGTCAATCGGATACAGGGCGTCGCCAAACTCGAATTCCGACCAGAGTAGGATACCCTTCTCGTCCGCCAGATCATAAATGAAGTCGGGAGAGTAAGCACCGCTGGCCCAGACACGTAACATGTTCTGGTTGCCGTCCACTACGGAGTCGAAGAGTTGGTTCATCCTCTCAACCGCCACGCGTGGCCAGAAAGCGTCGGGTGGGATGAAGTTACTGCCCTTGGCGTAGAACTCATGGCCGTTGATCTCGAAATGGCAGTTGTTGCCTGGTGCTATGCCTTGCGCTAGCTGATCTTGCGCGATGGGGCTTTCGTTGAGCACGATAGTACGGAAACCAATACGCTTGGTCACACATGTCAAAGACGTATTCGACGCCGAGACCAGATCAATCGTGATATAGTACAGCGTTTGGTTGCCCAGCTGATTCGGCCACCACAAGTCAACGAGCCGCGCAGCTATCGTGGTTTGTCCAGTCACTGTGGCGTTCGTCTGATTGACACGACTCATAGCACCGCTCGCGACTGTGATATTCTGCATGTCCTTCAGGGTATACTGCAAGATAGAGCCAGCAGGAAGCTGGCCAAAGTAGTCCAGGCTCGCGTTGCCCACCCATGGTACGTCCTGTGCAGGTGGAAGATTGTTGAGCTGGCCTTGTCGGTAAATGTCTACAATGCTGTTGCGCACATAGACTTCGTTCGCACCAAGCTGGACAATCCAGGCGGGCTACCATGGGCCGGCAGGAGCAAACGCAGGTCCCCCTGAAGGCAGTGATCATCACCATTAGCGTTGTGTCACAACATCAGTAATAGTCGGTCGGTACTTACAGTCCCAGCCGAAGTCGGATTGTTCCTTACGGATGAAGCAGCGGTTGGGAAACTCAAACACTTGTTGCACCCCAGATGGCCAGGTTTCCTGACCCGGCTCGCTAGCAATTGCATTCGCAATATTGGGAGCACTGCCGAAATTGATCGACAGGATGCGCTCTGTCTCGTCGCAACTGGTCGTGATCGTGGAGACGTCGAACCAATATTGCCGGAACTGATTGTTCGTGCTTGCGACATGGTGACCGCAGAAGCTTATGGATGTGAACGTATCCAGCCCGTTGAATAAAAGCCAAGTACTGCTGACATTGCTGGACAATCCCGCAATGGGCAGTGAGGTATACGTCCAGTTCGACCAAGCAACCCAACGGAGGTTGAAATCGTTTAGGCCATAGTATGGGTCTCCTATCACCTGGTTGGCGAATAAATCCAGATGGACTTGTGATGGCTAGGTCTGTCAACATAATACATCTCGCCAATCAAGGTATCCTTAGCAGCATACCAGAGAGGCTGGTACGGAGACATTGAGGGCATTATTAGAAACAGTCCAGCCGTCCCCGACAAGGCTCACAACGTTTCGTTCGGGGATGAAAGGAAGCAGGCCGGCTGCCACAAGAGCAAATGGGGGGAAAAAAAGCCGCATTGGTACTGCCTTACCGCCAAGTGGACAGGATTAAACATACGAACTAGCACGCTACCTGCTTTGTTATTCTATCTCTTCGGGCACACTCTCTGAGGGATGATGTAACCTTGGAAGTCAGTTTTGCATTGTTCCTACAGTCTGTAAGCGGGGAGTGAGCGGGACCACATGGGGTATGCAGGAAGATCGGCGGCCTACTCGTGCCTGGTGGATCGGAGCTTCGCTACATCTCTTACCCTATCGTGCTTCTGTCGAGGCGCGTCGAGACGAGGACAATCGACCCTTCACAACGGCCGGGAAAAGTGGTCCTTGTGGAGTCGGTTGTAGGACGTCTGACACAGCGAGGGAACAGCCACCGAAGCTGTCAGCCCGAGCGAAAGAGTTCGATCTGTGTAGGTGGTTTGTGTGAAGGTATCCACTACCGTATGTCGACACAGTTGAAAAAGCCCCTGCACACACCGCCTGGGGCGTCGGGATGGCGAAACAGATGTGGCTTGGTTGGCGGCCCGTTGGCGACGGAAATCCAGTAAGGCTCTCGATCTAGAGCTTCGGTCATTGGTCGCGGGCTTCACTCTGCCATGCCCTGTGCTTCACCCTGCTTCAAGTGCATGAAACACGAGAGCACACACCCTGCCACACCTAATGTACAACCTCCATTCGCTATTGCCTTTATGTTCCTACGTTCATCTAATAATCCTTCCAAACCCAGTGAGACTGACTTCGCGCACGCCGTAACTTGGACATACTTCGATCACCTTCGTCATACACAGCCTGCTTGATACCGCCAACGACGGGTACGAAGTCGCACCAGATCGCTGAGAAGATATTGCATAGCCAGAGGCGTACCTACGGTAGGACATATTAGTCAATGCTGTCACGATGCCGTGGAAGCCGCTCACTTCTGTCCTCTTCGCCGTTGCCGTCTACCCCTTCAAAGCCACCCAACCCGACGATCTGCCGCTGCAGGTTGGAGACTGCCTGTACATTATTGAACAGGGTGGTAGCGATGGTGAATGGTACCGAGGGTACTTGGTTGGCTTCCCGTCATTGCTCGCTGGCTTGACCAGCGCGAAGGGAAGACAGCTGGATGCGAGAGTCTTTACAGGCGTCTTCCCACGAAACTGCGTGGAGGAGCGCGAGGTAATGGATGACGGCAAGCAGAATGGCACATCCGATGCGGCGCATGAGGATGTGGGTGGGAACGGCATGGAAATGCGAGAGCGCAGAAAGAGTCAGGCGGAGTATGCGCGCAGACTGAGCAGGGCACTGAGTCGAAAACGAAGCATACACGATATCACGAAGAAGGCGCCTACTAGGTTGATACCAGACGAGCCAGTTCCTCGCCTACCAAATGCGCCGAAGCCTCCCGCTCCTGTGCCGACTTTGCGAGTGGGCGATGAGACTGGGTTGTCGGCTCAAGAGCCGCTCGTGGATGAGATAGCGTCCTGCTTGCGCGAGTGGCATGATGCGCGGCTGCATGAGCTCATCCTTGCACGAGGTTACAGCCAGCTGGCGCGCGTCGCAGACCTCATCAAGCGCGTAGACATCAGCAGGAAGCAGCTGATGCACGATGTGATGACTCTAAAGGAGCTCAACAAGCTGCGTGAGGATACCGTGTGGGACCTGGTCGCCGGCAACAAGATGCTCAGCGACGAGGTCATTGTGCGTAGCCCGACCGAGAAGGGGCGCATACTTACAGCAGAGGATTCGGTGATTGAAATGACAAAGCTGCAGGCTAATATGAGCATTCTCGACCGGCCGCCGAAAGCCTCAGTCGACAAACATATGCTGTACCATGTGCTGGTAGACGTGCGTAATCTAGTTTGTGAGTCAACGGAGGCGGCGACGGTGCAGATGTACCTGTGCACCAAGGAGTTTGGTGAGAAGCCTAGGCCTTTGAGTGAGAACTACGCTATCTCTATACCGCTGCCTCAAGGACCTGCGCAGACACCAGAAGAAGATACTAAGACTCTATTCGTCAATCTTAGCCCCGCCGACATCGGTCTAGGCTCCGACACAAGCTCACTATATGTGGTCTTCAAGTTGCTCAAAGAGGAGCCTGTACGGCAGCAGTTAAGCGGTCAGACATACTTGGCTAATCAAGCCAACACATCCACCTCCACAACCTCGAATGCGCAGAAGCATGGTAGTATGCGAGGTCGGCGAAGCGTCTTTGGAAGCCAGAGGAAGAAGGACGGCCACCAGCGAAACACCTCCGAGTCCACTAGCAGACCTGACACGGCCGCCTCTGAGTTGTCTGAGGCACAGCGTTCGAGCGAGTCGACTTCAGAGCCGCCTGCGTCGGCTGAGATTAAGACCGTCAAACGCACTGTAGGCGTGGGAGCTATCGATATCGGTTCGCTAGCCCGCAATCAGTCCGAACTGGAGCGTCACGTCACCATGTGGTCGCCCTCGCAGCCACAGGACGACAGGGGCGACGAGAATGAGGACTGGCTTGAGGTCGTCCGCGAACTAATTCGTAGCCCCACGGGCAGCTTTTCGCGGGTAGATCTGGTTAAGCGCTTCGACATCTTCGTGACAGCTTTCGCTTCGGCTGATTTGGATGGCCTCGTCCGCAACACGCCAACCTTGCTGCACAATGTGCACATGACGGAGAAGCTGGGCTTCAGTGGTGTGCCGTCCCACAAGCGCAGCGATATCTACCTCACCCTTACGGAACCTTTAGTCCCACGCAACGCACATCTTGCACATTCGAAGTTCGGGAATGTTCCACTCACGCAACGATGTCAGTCCATCCTCGCGAATCTGCAGCTCACCCTGGAGGTACGTAGGGCGGATGGCGAGCGCATCGATGATTGCATCTTCACGGCGTCCAACCACCAAGGCCATACCGCGTGGCGTACGACAGGCGTCGAACGCGGCGAGGGCTGGAATCAGACCATCAAGTTGGCCGTGCCGCCGGAAGATGTACCAGGAAGTCACATCGTAATGAGCATTGCCGACTCACCAAACTTCCCTTTCGCGCTTGCCTGGGTGCCTCTGTGGGAGGGCGATGCTTTCGTCCGAGACGGTGACCACTCGGTGGCTCTCTACGTCTACGATGAGTACTCCTCGAGCATAGTGGGCGGCAGAGGTGCGTACCTTGCCCTCCCACCATGGCAGGACAAGCGTGATACCGCAAGTGCAAATGCCGCCACTGTCTCCTTGCGGACTTATCTTTGCAGCACGGAGTACTCGCAGGATCCGACACTGCTTGGTCTGCTCGAGTGGCGCAATCTATACGGCTCAAAGCTTATCGAACTCCTTGAGCGCTTCGCTTTCGTGCCCGAGATTGAAATTGTCAAGCTTCTAAGCGAAGTGTTCGCTGCGCTCTTTGAAGTTCTACATGAGTATGCCCAGAACGAAGACTACGAAGATATTATTTTCTACAACTTGGTCGTTGTGCTTAGCATCGCCCGAGACCGTCGCTTCAACTTGCATAACGTCATCGAAGACTACGCACAGACGAGGCATGACTGGCCATACGCAAGCAAGTGCCTCATGTCTGCCTACCATCGACTGGTGACGAATCCTTTGGATCCGGAAGCGTCACGCAAGTTGCGTGCCACCCTTAAGGTGGGTGACTACATGCTTAAACTCATCATCGAGACAAGCAAAAGGCCTCCCCCAAGTCACGACGAAGACGGTATGGTGAATGGTGATGCTAAGGAACGCCATCCGGAGCTCGTGCACGACCTGCAGAAACTCTTCGTTGCGCTTATGGCACTCATGCGCAACCGCATGCCTGTATTGCTCGGCACACAGACGCTCGTCATCCAGCACTTCCATACTTGGCTGCCAGAACTCGGTTCGCTTATGGGGCCTACCGACATCATGGAGATTGCGACCAACCTGCTTGACGCATGCGCTAATGCACAAGGCAAGATGATCCTATACCGACTGATTCTGATTATCAACTACAGCCATCTAGACATCTTCAAGCCAGCCGAGATCCGTACGACGCTCATTGCGAACACATTCCGCTGGCTCGCGCCGTACTGGGGCGATGCGCCCGAAGTGACTGAGCAGTGGCATAACCAAGTCCGGCTCTGTTGCAGCGTCGTTGCAGCGCAGATGGAAGAGTTGGGCGAGGAAAGCTGCCAGTATGTGCCCAAGCTCGTCGAGTCTTACACTGTACTGCAGAAGGAAACGCGACCGCCAAAGCGAACATTTAGCATGCTGTTTCCTACGACCTACCCATTCCCATTCAAGTCAACTCCGGTCGAGACGCTCGTCGACGAAGCGATGCTTGAGATATCCGCTTTGCTGGCTGCGGCCCTGAGTAGCCAGAATCGGCTATACTTTGATGCCAACCAAATCGACATTCCGGGCGTGCTTCTGCAAGCCTTGAAGGTCGGTCAGAGCGTCCTCGGTTGCGAAGCCTTTCCGCGCAGCTGGTTGAGCTTGCATGTTAGCCACCATCGCTTCGCAATGACCGCGCTCGAAAGAATATCCGAGGTGCTTGTTGACACCCTACCGGACGTCTTCGCGCCCGACGAGGCCGAAGCCATCGATTTCGACACGGGCATCTGGCGCACATTCTTCGACACGCTGTTTGCCGCTGTCAGCAGCTCAGCTCTCGCGATGGAGACGTTCCCGGAGCAGAAGCGCAGGGCAATCTGGAAGATCGCGGGCGATGTTCGGGAGCTTGGCGCGAACTTGCTTCGAAAGACCTGGACTGCCATTGGCTGGGAGGTGGACGAGGATAGCCACAAGCTGCACGGCTTCGAACGTATGGGTGGTTACCAAGTCCAATTCGTGCCGGAGCTTATTGCGCCGATTGTCGAGCTGTGCCTTAGCGTACATGCCAGTTTACGAAGTGTGGCAGTTGAGGTTCTGCGAACGATGATCATCAGTACGTGGGAGATTGATCAAGAACTCGCAGTGATCCAAACGGCGATGATTGATTGCCTTGACAAGCTCTGCAGAACTAAGGCAGTCACCGAGTCCTATCTTCAGAAGGCATTCGTCGAAGAGATGCTTGAGCAATTTCGGCCGCTGCAGCACACTGTCGAGGACAGCCTGTACAACGCGGTCGTGGAGATGTTCGGTAAAATCGGAGATCTACTCGGCATGTTGGCTAGCGTCCATCAAGGCGACGGTATCAATGAGTCCACGAAGATCATGGATACGCTTCGGTTGATGGAATTCCTGAAGGATCTGCAAAGCGAGGAGGCTTACATCCGCTACGTGCACCAGCTCACAGAACTACAAGCTGCGGCCGGCAACCATACCGAGGCCGGGCTGGCACTACGTCTGCACGCCGACCGGTATCCATGGGATCCATTGACAGATGTTGAGGAGATGTCGGAGCCGAAGCTGCCCGCTCAGACGGCATTTGAGCGGAAAGAGGCTTTATACTTCGAGGTTTGCCAACACTTTGAGAAGGGTCAGTCATGGCAACGAGCGCTCGGTGCGTACAAGGAGCTCGCTTTGCAATATGAGCTCAACACCTTCGACTTCTCGAAACTTGCGAGAGCACAGCGCGCGATGGCCAGCATCCATGAGCGCATTGCGAGAGGCGACCGCGTCAGTCCACGCTACTTCCGCGTAGTGTACAGAGGCCTTGGCTTTCCTATCAGCTTGCGCGAGAAAGAGTATATCTTCGAGGGCAAGGCTTCTGACCGCCTCCAGACGTTCGAGGACCGCCTGCACCAATTCTATCCGGAGGCGCAGATCGTTCGCGGTGCCGTGGACATGGATGGCGAGGGCCAGTATTTGCAAGTCTTCGCCGTCAGTCCACACAAAGATTTGGGTCACATGGTCTACCAGCGCACCAAGGTATCGCAAGCGGCGCGGGAACATGCAATGTTGTCGAATCCGCAAAAGTTCACCGTGACGACGCGGCAACCTGCGGTAGATGTGCCGCTTACAGAGCAGCAGGTGGAGAAGACTATCTACACTACAGCCGAGCCGTTCCCGACCATCCTGCGACGAAGTGAGATCGTAACAACAAAGAACATGACACTTTCACCGATTGAGGCTGCCATCGAGCGTACGACACGGAAGACGCAGGAGCTACTTGCGCTTGCGAAGCGAATCTCTAGCGGCGAGAGTGAGAATGCGGTGATGTCACAGCTCTCTGAGGCGTTACTTCTGTCCGTCGACCCAGACTCCGACACCAGCGTGGCGCGGTACAGGGTCCTTTTGCCTGCTTCTGAAGTGCCCGAGACTAGTTCGGTAGAGGTCGACCCGAAGGTGCCGGAGAAGACAGCCGATCCACCTTTGAACCAAATGCAAAGTGCGCTCAAGGTAGCGCTGCTGGATCATGCGCTCGCGATCAGACGTTGCTTGGGCTTGTATAGCAGGTCAGCCTTCTTGGCAACCAAGCAGCAACTCATCCCACGCTTCGAAGCATCCTTTGAGCACGAGCTCGCACAGCTCTTCCCTGGAAGTGCAGGCTTAATGCTAGAACCCAGTCCGCGTAGCACAATGATTGATCCGGATCTTCTGGTTGAGCAGCAAGCCCAAGCTGGCGCGCAGGCAGACGGAGCAGCTAACCAGCCAACCTCAGTGGAAGAGCAAGCTCAGCCCGGCCGCCGCCGATCGTCTTTGCCCTGGCTGCTGAAGCGGAACTCGTCTTCGCGCCTCAACAAGCACCAAGCCAACGGCACAAGCGACGGCAGCGATAAGGCTGACGAGCGCTCACACTCTCGGCAACGCAGCCGCAGTCGCCTGCGTGATAACAGTCTTACGCGCAGACTTAGTTTCTTCCGCAATACCGAGGACAAGCTGCAGGATAAGGAGGGCGGTGATGGTAGGCACGTGCGCCCAAGCCAGAGCGGCGAGGTGTTGAGGCCTTCTACCCAGCTCTCACAGAGGACAGATTATGGCAGCATGACTACTGCGCAGCTGAAGAAGAGGCTGAGCTTCTTGAAAGGGTCCGGCGGCGCTCAGACGACTGCGACTACAGTGACGAATGGGGAGCAATAGAACATGCGTCGTGCGGGCGATACATTGATATACCCTGCCTCGCTGCGGGCGTTGATTTACGGCGCATCGCGTTTGCCTTGAGGATATTGATACCCAGGATAGCATGGTTTTGTAAGACCCAATGTACGGTATATGGAAAGGTTGACACATGTATGTATAGCGGTTGTATACTGGTACTTCATCCAACAGGTTCGGCTTACGCCTCCATCTCAGCCTCCTCGTGTTCGGCGTAGCTCACGTTCTTGGCCTTCGCCTTTCTCCCACTAGTCTTCCGACCGCCTGTTGCGTTTCGCTTGAGCGCTGGAGTCAGAGGCATATCATCGTCGTCATCATCATGCAGCTCCGGCTCCTCGACCACGCTCTCGTCACTCGCACTCGGCGTCGGCACGGCAGTCTCCTCCTTTTTCACCTTAGCTTTCTTGCCTTTCACCTGCGCCTTCTGGTCGTTGGCAGCCTCTTTGGCCAATTTCTTCGCCTCGTCTGCCTCCGCTTTGGCAAACGCCTTTGCCTTGTCCGCTCGCTCTTTCTTCCGCATCGCCGCCTTCGCCTTTTTCGTTGCAGGCGTGGCGTCAACGTCGCTCTCAGCATCATCCGCAGCCTCTTCAGCCTTGATCGCCTCGCGCTGACGGTACGCTTCTTCCGCTTCCTTCTTGATCTGCTCTTTGCTCTTCTTCTCAAGGGGTTCCTTCTTCTTCACTTCGCGCTTCTTCGGCCGCAGCCACTCTTCCATGGTCGGAGGCCAGTAGACGCGGCCTTCGGGTCCTCCCATGCCTACTTCGTCATCAGCTATTAGCTCCGGTTCAAGGTCATCCGCCTTCTTTTTCTTCTTGTTCATCCCAGCCAGCGCGGCCTTGTTGTCGTCGCTACGGGTGTAAGGCAGAACGTCATTAAAGGTATCGAAACCGGGGAGCTTGAAGATGCGCATTAGCTCGAAGACAGCTTGTTCCTTGTCCTTGGCTTCGATCATGAGGTCCATGTCCGGTGCACACGGCGGTAAAGTAGCGACGCGCGGACTGTGCTTCCGCCTTTGGCGTGGCGTTATGGCGGGAGGTGTGGGCTCGGAGTAATGCATCTTTTGCTTAATGCCTTTGCGTGTCCACGTGGCTGCGATCCGCGGATATAGATCCATGACGTCTTTCGTACCTTCTCTGATCTCGTCGCTGTTGAACACAATGTTGTGGTGATGGAAGTCCAGTACCATTGGAATGTTAAGCTCTTCGCATATTGGAAGTAAATCATGGACGCTCCACCCCATGTCATCGTTCTCAAGTACGAGACGGTTTTTGATCGACTGTGGCAGTTTCACATAGTTCTCTCGGAAGCGTGCCAGAGTCTGCGCTTTGCCGTCGAAGATGCCACCCATGTGCAAGATCATGACTGCATCCTTGTTCATCTGCTCGGGAAGCTTAAGCAGCGTCAGCAGCTCATCATGATACTCCAAGTCACGGATAGCATTGTCAATGACGGGCTTGCGCGGGCTGCCAAGCTGCGTGAACTGGCCTGGATGGGTCGTGACCCTGTGACCGAGCTCTGCAATGACCTTGCCGGCCTCCGCTAGAGCTTCAGATGCGAAAGGAGCCAGCTTGTAGCCGTATTCAGGATGCGACGCAAACGGGAACATCTCGCTACTTAGCCGAAAGAACTTGATGTTGTATCGGTCATTCCACCGACACATCTTCGCGACATCCTTGACGTTGGCGATACAAAGTGCCTCGACATAGCGCATGCCAAGCTCTACATCCGCAGGCTTACTTCGGTCAGGCTTGTTCTTGCTAGGATGTTCTGGCTGACTTGGGTCTTGCAGAGGGTGGCGATGCTCAAGGATCGATTGTATGCGACATGTACGAGAGCTGAACACAGGCGGATTGGAGTTCCGAAGGTACGTGTTTAGACATGCGTATCCGAGCCGGCCTTTCCAAGGTAACGGTAAATAGTCGCTGTTGACGGGTGGCGGCCGACTCAAGGCCTCTTTGACCTCTTCCTCATCCGGTGCCTCTTCGTCGCCTTCGGCTTCCGGATCACGCTCAGCGAGGTCTTGCTCTTCGCTTTTCTTTGCCTTCTTCGTTGCCGCAGGTTTTGCTGGTATGTCGGCCAGTTCCACATCATCATCCTCCTGCTTGACCTTCTTGCCGCGTCCTTGCTTGGGTAGAGCAGTCTTGGACTCTGCAGCATCCACGACAGCGCTTACGACAGCCTCGGCTTCGTGGACGTCTTTCGCCGCGTTGGCAATCTTCTTCGACCGTCCCTTCTTCTTAGGCGGCTCGTCAATCGCTGGTGCATCACTCAACGGGCTTTCTGATCCTGCACGGTGGGTCTCAGCCTGAGGGACAAGGTCTGGGTTGATCTCCCCATCAGGCGATGCTCGTGTTGCGTTGGGCGCGTCGAGTACATCGCTATTGAGGTTGGGATTGACTGTGAACGCCTGAGTAGACTCCAGGCGAGACGCTGCCCGCCGCTTTGCCGCATGTCCGTCGCCATTTGTCTGGTTTACGTTGACGGCCGCGAGCTTGCGCTTCGTTGCAGCCATGATTGCAAACCTTCGAGGTCGAATGCCGCCCAACCGCACGATACAGGCTAGTCGCTGATGGAATGACGGGAGAGATTTACAGCGTTTATTCAACAGCGTAGAGATGGGGTACATGTACGCTGCATAGGGAGAGTACGAGATGATGTAGAAGACGAAGCCGTTTCTCCTACCGCTGAGAGTAGATCTTAGGTCACGACAGTCCAAGCGCAAATTGACCAACGCGCGAGTGTGGCTGCAGTAGAGATCGCGTGCTGCCAGATCGATTGTGGCTGCGGATTGCTTGATCGATGAGATCAGATGGAGGCGCACGAACCATGTTTGGGTTGTCGCTTAGGCTAGGCTGTCTTCCTCACGTGACGTCTGAGAGGCAGTATCGCGAGTTATATTTTCTTCGGCAGAATGCGCCTAATAAAGCAAAGCATCAGAGCAGATTGGCTTGTACGGCACATATTGAGGCAGGAACATGGATCATGTTGCTACAACTTCACACGGGATTGAAACGAGCAGTTCACCCAAGTGGGCAGACGGAAACGGCATGGACGGACAACAACACAATTTCTGTCATATCAACTTGCCTATGTCTCTCCGGCTACGGAGCAGGAAGTAGAGATTGATGAGCAGAAAACCTCCCAGCATCATCACCAGCCCGCTGAACAACTGCAGGCCAATATAGTTCTCTCCTCGACCTGTGTTCAGCAGCGAACCCGCGATAGGTGCCCCGATCAAGCTCGCAATCGAGCCGATCCCTTGGGCCATTCCCAGACGCGCTCCTAGCACCTTCGGATCCGGGCACACGATCGGAAATACGCTCGGCGGTAGCGGTATCAGCGGTCCGCTGAAGAAGCCGTACAATATAGCGTACGCGATGAAAGCACCTTCGCTTTTTATGCCGACCCATGCAATGCAGAAAACGCCACTAGCGAGCCCAGCGGTCACCCAGGGGATCATGACACCTATCTTCGATGCCGCGTAGCCGGCTATCAGACGTCCACCAACGGACGCTGCCTGTGCGGCGATGATTATGTTGAGGGACGCGCTCTGGCTCATGCCAAGCTGCGTTTGTCCGTAAACGGCCACGTACGTGAATGGAATCATGTAACCCAAGAAGAGGAAGAAGTTGCTCATGCTGTAGCTCCAGAACGGCAAATCTCGAAGTGCGGTTGCATCGAACAGTTTGCGGCGACCGCCACTGGAGAGGTCGCCGAGGTTGCTTGCACCCCAGAGCAGTAGTGGAAATGAGATCAGATAGCTCCCCAACATGAAGAAAGCCATTGCTCGGATAGTCCAGGCAAAGCCGAGACGGTCGATGAGTTGCCCGAACATGAGCGTGTAGATGATGCCACCAATGGGCGCGCCGCATGTAGTGAGTGCCATAGCGATGGAGCGATGTTTCTTGAATGAACGGCCGACGAGCGCCAGACCCGGAAGATACAGCAAACCTGATTTTAGTCAGCGTCAGTTGTTGCTCACCTCATGTCTATTAATGCAACGTACCATTCGTCAATCCAGTCAAGATACCCTGCGTCAGCATGATCTGCCAATACTTCGAACATAGGCTGAGCATGAACATTGCCAAAGTCTCTCCCAATCCTCCAATAAGCAGCATAGACCTGAAGTAACCCATATCGAACAGGGGTCCGGATGCGACACCAACAGCAATAAGGAGGCCAGTCGAGACCGTCCCGATCCATGATATGTCTGATGGGCTTTCATTAGTCAAGTAGGTAAGCTGATAGTATGACTGGAACGAGCCGAAGCTGAACACGAAGCCCCAGAGGTTCGAAAAGACAAGGAAAGAGCCTAAGACTTGAAGCCATGCTCGCGCCCCGCCGTCTCGCAAAGGCGGAGGCGGTGTCAGAGGCGTCACGGGTATCTTCTCATCCGTAGAGACCGTCGGGCTGACGGCTTTGTCGCTTAATGATTCTTTAGTAACATGCTTGCCAGATTCGACATCTTCGTTCGTCATGCCTAGCGGGCCTCCAGCCAGTATAAGCGATCGTGGTGCGTACTACCGTGTTATTGCTCCATCCACGGGGATGTGATAATCTGAGCTGCACCCAGGTTGAGCGAAAGCACTGATGAGAAAGGAAGGTACGACGGGGTTGAAGAGATGTCAAATGGCGGTACTCGGGCCTCGAATCAGCATCCTCGGTATATACACACCATTTCCGCCAATGCACGCTTGGCCGCTTTAGCCGGCCGGTGCGGAGTTGGTGGCGCATCTACCCTAAGTAGGCACACGTATATTCCGCGATACAACGCCATCGATCGTGAAGTCGCAGTGTCTCGAACCGCACGAGGGTGATTTTCGAGTCAAGCAGAAGACTTGCAATAGAAAGGATGCCTGGCTTGTGTTGGCACCTAAGTTCTTTCGCGGGGGCTTGATGCAGAATGCTGAGGACCGGAGGCTGAAGCGGAACGGAGCCGCTCTGTACCTGGTGCGGTGAGTGAGGGCTCTGCAGGCAAGGAGGTTTGGAATGTCGTCCGGACTTTCATCCAACGATCGTCGCTCATATCTGTCGACTCTGAAGTCCCCCGAATCGTGTCCTATGCTCCACAGAAGTAGATTGTCATTCACGCTCAGGCGGCAGCTCTCGCCCCCTAGACCTTAGCTAAGCTTGTCCACCTGGCCTTCTGTCTTGTACAGTAGGTGCATCTGGCAAGCCCGAAGAGGATCGAGTATGTGTGTGCCCAGCGTGACCTCTACGAGACAAGATGGTATGGTCACTGCTATAGACGATCTGGTGAAGTGCTCCCCTTGGGCGTGGCCGGTGCGGCCTACCATCACTAGAGCCTCCAGTGTTATCCAGCAGCAAAATTGTAGATATTGCGATAGACAGGCGCTCAACGAGTCCCATGTTTCGTACCGTGTAGAAATCGTCGCAGCACGCTCGGGTTGTCGGAGATTGCTTCGAGTATGACCCACCGTCCGAAATGACAGAGCAAGGCCAGCAAGTATCAAAGCTTCGAAGACGCATAGCTGCATTCACCTACCACCCATCACGCACACCTTTTCCAGCTCCTTCCTTACCGCCTCCGCTCCGTCCTGTTTCGCAATCTGCGGAAGGCTAAGATCAGGTCCATCCGCTGCAGCACTTCCACCCCTGATCTGCTGCAAGACTTTCGTCCTCGCATCATCGTAGGTTGTTGCCTCGCCGCTCCGGTACATCCGTGTCACGTACTCGCGTACGCTTTGTGACCAGCCTGCTTCGTCCAGTCTCTGCCGGATCGTGTCCTGTATCCGCTTTACGCCGCCGTTCTGGAGCATGGCCGCGGTAATCTGCGACTGAATGTTGGGTTCGTAGCCGGAAGTGGTGCCGTTGACTTGGACTTTGCCCGCCATGGTCGCGGATTCCTTGTGCTGAAGGTCTCCAAAAGACGAGCAATGCGCTTCTACTGACTCTATGACTGACGGATAGCTATTCCACGCAGTCGCCGCCACACCATCGTGCACATTGATCAAGACAAGGAAAGCAAAGTGGAGTTCTGATCGAATCTGGAACGGAAGGGAAAGGTAAGCACGGCTGACATGTGAAGCTTCCATAAGCGGAATAGGCGAGACCGATGGGGTTAGGCTGCTTTCGAGGCAGAAGTGAAGGCTTGAGGCTTCGAAGAATTAACTGACCCAATCAATTACACGCCGTGCTACATGCCATAGACGATCATAGCGGTCATGAACCGAGGGCATTACAGTACGCAGCCTTTGCGATGACGCTATCTCATCCTATCGAGGCTGGTATCCAAACGGTGCAAGTCAATCCTCAGCTCCGAAACCTCGCCGTCACACAAGCCTGCTACAAGCTCACTTCTTACCCTTAGACTCATGAACAGTCTCAATGATCTTGTCCACCACACTCGGGTCAGACAGCGTGCTGGTATCGCCGAGCTGGTCCTCCTCACCCGCCAAAATCTTCCGCAGGATGCGCCGCATGATCTTACCAGACCGCGTCTTTGGGAGATCAGGCACGGTGAAAATCGCCTTGGGAGCCGCAAACGGACCGATCGACTTGCGCACTTGCATGACCAATTCTTTCCGAAGAGCGTCGTTGATTTCATTGCCGTCCTTGATGCTCACGAAGGCGTTAACAGCCTGGCCAGTCAGCTCATCGTTGATGCCAACGACAGCCGCCTCGCCGACAGCGTGGTGCTCGATAAGCGCAGCCTCAATCTCAGCAGTTGACAGTCTGTGGCCGGACACGTTTACGACATCGTCCACACGGCCGCGGATCCAGTAGTATCCTTCGTGGTCTCTCGCGGCACCATCGCCGGTGAAGTAGTAACCCTTGTAGACATTCAGGTATGTGTCCATGTATCTCTTGTGTGCACCCCAGACTGTGCGTGCCATGGAAGGCCAGGGCTGCTTAAAGGCGAGGACACCCTCCACATCGTTACCGTGAAGCTCTTCGCCACTGACTGGGTCGATGATCGCTGGCTCAATGCCGAAGAAAGGAAGAGAGGCGGACCCAGGCTTGGTGGGCGTTACGCCGCCCAGGGGCGTGATAACGTGCGAGCCAGTCTCGGTTTGCCAGTATGTCTGTATAGGTTGTCAGAATGGCAACCGTTGTCGGTAAACGAATATCAGACTTACGTCTACAACGTGCGCTTCGCTCTTACCGACAATCTCGAAATACCACTTCCACACTTCGGCAGCGATTGGCTCACCGACAGAGCCGAGCACACGCAGATTCTTCATACTGTGCTTGATGTGGTGGTCGCCTGCCCGCTTCAGTAATCTGAGCGCAGTCGGCGCAACGTAAAACTGCGTCACATTGTGCTTCTCGCAAACATCCCAGTAGCGGCTAAAGTCAGGGTATGCGGGTGTGCCCTCGAAGACCACTGTAGCGACACCGAGCATGAGAGGCGCGTACACAACGTATGTGTGTCCAGTAATCCAGCCAACATCACCACCGCAGAAGAAGATGTCGGTGTCATGGATGTCGAAGACGTATTTGCCAGTCATTGCAGCTCCGAGCAGGTAGCCAGCGGTTGTGTGCATAACACCCTTCGGCTTGCCAGTCGAGCCGGAGGTGTACAGCAAGAAGAGTGGATCCTCAGAGCTCATGCTCTCCGGTGGGATGTAGGCCGGCCACTTCTCGCACTCCTCTGTCCACCAGTAGTCACGGCCTTGCGTCCAGGGTACTTCGGCGCCAGTCCGCTTCGTAACGATACAGTGCGTGACATCGGGGCACTTCTTAAGCGCCTCGTCAACGATCTTCTTGGTGCCAATGAGTTTGCCGCCACGCTTGCCCTCATCTGAGGTGATGACGATCTTGCAGTTGGCGTCAATTATTCGGTCACGGAGCGAGTCAGCGGAGAAGCCGGCGAAGACCACGGAGTGCACCGCACCAATACGTGTGCAGGCTAGGAAGGCGATGACAGCTTCTGGAATCATGGGCAGGTAAAGGGCTACTGTGTCACCCTTCTTCACACCCATCTGCTTCATCACCCATGCGAGCTTCGAGACCTCCCGCAGGAGTTCGCCGTAAGTGATTGTTCGGCCCTCGTTCATCTCATCAGCCTCGTAGATGAGGGCCGGCTTGTCAGGGTTCTTCGCCGCGTGCCGGTCCACACAGTTGTATGAAGCATTGAGCCGTCCTTCAAGGAACCATGCACTGTCACCGCCAGCCAACGAGCCAACGTGTGTCGTTTGGAAGTCGCGCTCCCATGATATGAGCTCTCGTCCCATCTTCCCCCAGAATTTGTGCGGTTCAGTGATGGACTCCTTGTACATCTCCTTGTAGTGATCTAGGCCATCGCAGTGCGGCTTCTTCGGGTGCTTGCTACGCCTTGGTCAACCACCGTCTCCCACTCGACGGCGACATGACTTACTCGAAAAGCGCCTGCGGTACGTGGAAGGTGTCCACCTCATGAGCCTCTGGGACCGCCGCACCCTTGGGCGGTGCAACATCGCCCTCAGACATGTTGATTGCTTCGTGTGCCCTGGCCCTTCTGCAGTACTGTTTCCCAAGGCGAGCGAAGTTACTGCGCAGTCAATGTAGAGGGAACGGGAGTGGGATAGTGGGGTGCAGTGTGTGTAACAGCAAAGGGACAATAACGGCGGTCACTGTGCAGGTACGCGGAGCTCCGCGAGCTAATAAGTTCGGGCACAAGGCTAGCTGGACTGATGGTCACGCTCTCTTCCCGAGGTGGTTTATTAGTAGACAAGGGCCGGTTAAAGGGCTCCAGCGGTCCAGACAACCACTGAGTTGCTGTTCCTGTCTGTGCCGCTCCCCTTTGAGGTCACAATGGGTGTACGGACACGCGCACAACGCAGCCGCAGCTTGAAAGACTACCGTGTCCGGCCGAGGGTAGCCTTTGCATCTACTTGGCGCGGTGTCATTGTGCTCTTCTTGATTACCTCAAGGCGTCGCGGGGCTCACTGCTGTGGAGTTCTAGTGGGGCTTGGCAATCTTCGTCCCCTTCGTCCGTGGTTACCCAAGCGAGCGTTGCGAGCGAGCGCTGCATAGCTCACCCTTCCGTGCTGCTGGTAGTATGGCGTGGAATGACCAGGTGAGAGCAATGCTCACCGCACCGCGCCATCTCGCATGCTTTTCTTTCTTGAAAGCATGCAGGTCAGTACCGACGAGCTGGTATTCGGCATGGTCGCGAACCGCTCGCCTGTGGATCGCGTGAGAGTGGGTCCTTGGAGGTCGTAAATAGCACACCTTCTCCATCGTGACCGTTGTCGAAAGATTGCACACATACGCTCCCTGAGACGTTACGCCGTGTAACAGCTCCGAATCCATTGAGGGCAGATTACGAGGAACACGCTCTCAGCGCCTTCTTCCAATGTCTCAGAAAACCACGGTGGTCAGTGCGGCATCGGTCTGACCATTTCGCGCCGTCTGCAGGTCTTTTCGTATTGTACAGGTAGATCCGATCGTTTTGTTGGGCGTGTTGGATGCATAACTCCCAATAGTGAAGTACCAGTCCGGGGCGACACCGTGAGGCTGTTGGTGCGGCTTTGATGGTTGCCACAATTGCCGTACGTCAGCAGGTGATTGCAACATTCCAGCTGGAGCGGCAACCACATTCATCGCGACCGACATGAAAGTCTGGCAATGAGTTACACCAAGCGGCACGGATTGACTTCACTTTGGCATCCCGCACGGCGCGCGCTCGTATATGATCCAGGATGAACCAACACCCAGCACTTAGACTGACCCCCTCGAATTCACCATTCAGAGATTCGGCGCTCAGATCGCCATTGAAACCACGTCGGCATGAAGAACCCGGGCTGCGCCTAAGCAGAGTCATTGGTACGACCACTATCTCAGCCACCGCTTTTGCCACTCTTCCACCAACATGCCAGTTCGCGTACGCTGCCGGTGCAGTCGTGGTTCTGGCGGCAGTCGATGAGAACGCACAGATCAAGCAACGCTTCTTCAGAGCCAGGTCGCCTCTAACAGCCTCCGGCCGAGAAGGGGGCGTGCAGGCGACGCAGGCGTCTACAGGCCTAGATTCACGTAGCCGCGTCTCAGAAGTTGTCCGCGATCAAAAACCGACCGTGTCACCGCTAAGCGCTGCCCGGGATTGGTCGGACTCACCTACAGGCCGATCAAGTACTGCAAGAGATCGCGTCAAAGCCATCACATCCGTCGCACTTAGCCCTAACGGCAGATGGCTGGCGGCGGGCGAGACGGGGTACAGACCGCGAGTGCTAATTTTTCCACTCGCAACTGACACGTCGGAACTACCGATAACGACTCTGTCAGAGCACACTTTTGGCATTCACGGATTGAGTTTCAGCCAAGATTCGCAGCATCTCGCTTCACTGGGCACAATAAATGACGGCTTTCTGTACGTCTGGCGTATTGATGAGCGCAGTGGCAGCGCAACATTGGCCGCCACCAACAAATGCACTGCTCTGGTCAATTGCATTGCTTGGGTTGGACAATCTATTGTTACAGTCGGGCTGCGCTATGTCAAAGTTTGGCAGCTGGATGAGATTTCAAAACCCATTTCGCAGCCTGCCGGCTCAGGTCTTAGCCCGATCACGCCACGACATACACGCGAGCACAGAAGCTCGGACTTCGGCAATAGTATCCTTGGTCCCAAGCATAAAGTGCTGTCAGGCAAGAACAGTCTGCTCGGAGACCTCTTGGACTGCAACTTCACCATCCTATTGCCTTACGGCGACAATGAAGCTATCGTCTGCGCCAGCACGGGCGAGATCTGCCTTCTAGCCGATGTAGCACAGGCTCAGGACCTTATGTTTGCTGTAGTGGTTGACTACGACATTGCTGCTGCAAGACTCGGTGACTCGGACACGCTTGTCGTCTACGGAAACGATGACTGCAGGCGTACACTCACAATCAGCGAGCTGAAAGCGGCAAAGCCACCATCCAGCAGATCCGACCGTCGAAAGACGGTCGGTTCTGCAAGACAGCCAGATCAAGCCTCAGGAGGACCAATTGCTGGGGCTGTGCTCGGTAACATTGAGGTTAAGCTGCTCGTAGACGGAACGGTTAGCATTAACGGTGACGCCAATGATACACCCGCTGCAGCTGCACAGCTGACCGGACACTCTTCAGCCATTGCTGGCGTCCAAAGTATACGCAGCCCGGCGTATCCCAGTGCCGCTTTCCTGACATTTGACATGAATGGCATCGTTCGATTGTGGAATGCACAAGCCGGCCCTGTGACAGCGTTCAACGTTCCCCTCGATCGATCCCAGGATGCTTACGGTTCGAGCAATCAGGTCGTCGCAGCGACTGTTCGAACGGATGGCTTGCAACTCGCTGCTGGTGACAGATACGGCACGTTGACAGTGCTTCACCTCGCTACCGATGCGCGGGCTATGCATGTTCATGTTCGCGCTCACTCCACCGAGATTACAGATTTATGCGCATTCGACCATGCCGATCTGCGACTGCTCGTGTCAGCAAGTCGTGATCGGACGGTTCAGCTTTTTGCGTGGTTCGACGATAAGCTAGAACTTCTTCAGACCTTACAAGAGCACGCAGGTGCCGTCAACGGATTGCTAGCTACGCAGGCTGGTAGGAAGTTGCTCTCTTGCTCCGCTGACAGATCAATTGTAATCCGTGAGGCATGGCAACGGGACGAGGACGAACCTGGTTCAGTCGCCTATGTGACGCTCCGAACGATTGCCTTGAAGTCCGCGCCCACTTCTATCTGCATGTGTACAGATGATTCTCTATTAGTCGCCGCCACCGATCGCACAGTCACGAAGTATGATATCAACTCAGGTCAGAGTATCATGAGCTTTAAGTGTACGGACAATGAGTATGGGGAAGCTGCGATACTGTCGCGAATACTCTACTCGCCATCGCTGAACGGGTGTTCTAAGATCATTGGCGTGTCAAGCAGTGACAAGTCTATCCGGCTCTACAGCGACTCAGGCTCGCTCATTGCAAGGGACTGGGGTCATACCGAAGGCATCACGGACTGTGCGCTGGTGTCCATGTCTCCGTCCGATCATGCTGCAGGTGGTAGTGCTGTTCAGGTTGTCACTGTTGCTGCTGATTCGACCATGTTCGTGTGGGATACCAGCCTGACCGCCAAAGCTACGGACAAGCACTTCGGCGAGGCGGCTGGCATGAGCGACACTCGCATTAATACGAAATCCAGCGCCATGGGCGCACCCCTACGTAAAGTGATCTCGCACTCTGATCTTGCGCGCTTTCGGCGAGGCAGCTCAACGGAGGATGGTGAGTTTGCATCTCCGACGACGGCGCAAGCATCCGCTCAAGCGTCTTCGCCGCAGCGCCTGCGCAAGAAAGCATCGCGATTGTCGATAGCACAAACGCCAAGACTTGAGCCTGCATTCAGATCGAGCTTTGCTGAGCCTTCTCGGCGACAGAGTCTGCGGCAAAGGTCGCCGTCACCACCTAGTCCACGGAACGTGACCAGGAAAGGCCATGCGCACCGTACGTCTCTCGGAATGTCACTGACGTCTAAGAGCAGCGAAAATGTCTTGAACACTATTAGCTCGCCTGCTACGTCTTCCGGCTTCGGGAGCTTGAGCGGATCCACAGAGTCTGTCAGCCGGACTTTGCGCGCCTACCGTAAGAAGCTCGCTGGTGCGCAAGCGAGCGACTCCATCACCCCTGAGGCTCTCCGTGAGCTCGAACGAGAGCTCAAGCTTACCGCGCGTGTGCTAAGCGAGAAGTCACAAGGCAAGACGGTTGATGAAGCGATGATCGCACGTTTGCTAGACCAGGCCAGCGAGAAGATTGTGGGTATGCTGGATGACCGCATCAAGGAGCGCGTCGAGAGTGAGGTGCGGAGGAGCACTGAGGTGTCCCCATCGGGCACATCAAAGGAACGACAGACGTCGAATGATGCGCTGGAAGGTGCCGTATAGACCATGATTATTGAGTGACACACCAGTAACCCACCTTGGCCGACCATGAAAATATCCTGCAATCAATACCATTCCAAGGACACTTGACAAGCATAGCAACCATACGCCGTCCGTTCGATGCTCGCATGTCCAACAAGAGCCGCGCAAACCAATTGTCTAGGCTTATGGACTCCAGCCAGACCGGATCCTCGGTCATGGAGCCTCCAAACATGGCACCAAACACATGAATAAACCGCCAGCTGCGCAAGTGCACAGGATTCTCAGATCATTGACGGCACGACAGGCACCAATAGGCTGCCGCATACTAAGCAGCGACTGCAAGGTTCCTCGGGCGTTAGCACCAAAGTCTGACTACGTGTGCTGAAGTACCTTGATCGTCTCAACTCAGAAGCCGACGCTCAGCTTATAATGTCGTGGCAAAAGGTGGAAGGACTCATTACTTCTGTACCAGAGTAGCTCAAACACCTGTCAATACTGCTACATATGCAAGCTGACCGGGCTGATAGGGTGAACAATGGCACCAAAGGATGGCTTATTTCTGCAGCTGATCACGTTGGCAAGAGCCGTGGCACTCGGTTACATCATTGGCTAGGGTTAGAGGTTATGTTGACGGGCAGTGCATCAAAGATGCGACTTTGTCGGTTCTGGTGTGGTGCTTGCTCCAATTTGTGGCTGTGGGTTTTGCAGCCATGTGGCAGGTATGTGTGCTGGACAAGTGTTATCGCGCTACAACTACAACATAGACTTACCCTTAAAAAAGGTGACGGAGATCTTACGCAACGCAAACAATGCGATCAGCGCTTGTAGACAAGCGGTCCCTCATCAGGGCAGCTGAGCAGATGGGGGCAAACATTTATAGCAATTAACGATGTCTTAGGCAGCCGTAAATACAGCACTTTGTGGGACAAGAAGCGCATGGCTCACGTTGGTGGCCAACCCCCATAGGTAAGCAGTACAGACGGAGTGGTGGATGACATACGCATTACACACCTCCAGGTACTCACCAGTCACATCGACAACATGACTGAGGGGAATAGCGCAGCTGGTTACCAGCAAGCGTTTGAGGCGTTTTAGAGCCCGCTGGCCACATGCCCGAGGTATGGCTGAACGTGTGAACGTGCTGTCCTATGTGGAAACACTGGTCGGAGTTGTCGATGTCGAACTTTTGGCATTGAGTGACAAGATGGACGGCTTTATGGAATTGAGCCAGGATAGCAATGGACTCAAGAACACGATGAGATGGAATCGGTAGTAAGTACACTGGACTGTTACGAGTCAACGCCTGGTTTGAGGCTCGAGCTATCGGTACAGGTAACCGTGTAATAAGAAGGATCTCGCAACGGTTCTGGAATTTTTAATCTCTTATCATCCTTCTTCGGCGAAGGTCATCGAAGAGTTGATCAATTTACTGGGCATTAATCGTCAAAGGCGGCATCTACGGGATCGCAACCAGACAACGTTGGATCTGTGGCTGACGGCTCGCCAGAATGTGACGGCGCCAGTTCAGCGTTGATCGGACGGATGCTGGTCATTGTACGATAATGAATAAGACGACACCACAGGTGGAAAGCTCGAGATTCGCTGCCATGGTCAGAGCCTGTCAGCATCACTGCTTAGCCCAGACCTTCTTCCCACCAACCCAAGTCTGCAGCACATTTGCACTCTCATCCAACACCACGAAGTCAGCTCTTTTCCCAGGGTCAAGGCTACCTCTACTCTCATCACCCATGAAGTCCGCCACATTCTCCGTAACACACCTCACCGCTTCAGCAATTCCACAGCCACTCCACTTCATTACATTCCTGACGCACTCATCAAGACCTGCACAGCCGCCGATAAGCGTATCAGTCCCCTCAATGACCACTCTACTCCCCTTCTTCGTCTGATTGAACGGAATCTGCGCGTGCCCCGGATACGTGCCGTCAGGCAAACCAGCAAGCTCAATCGAGTCTGTTATGACGATGCATTTGCTCGGGTTGGAGCGGAATAGCATCGTCGCCACACCGGGGTGAAGGTGATTCCCATCTGGTATGATGCTGAAGTACGGCGACTGGAAGGCGGCAAGGTCTGCAGCGTCAGCGTTGACAAGCCCGGCGAGGCCTGGATCGCGGTGATGGAGAGGCGCCATTGCGTTTAGTGTGTGCGTGAGGCATGTAGCGCCGGCTCTGATGGCAGCAAGGCCTTGGCTGTAGGATGCTGAGGAGTGGCCAAGCGAGACCTTAGTGCCGTTGCTGGTGAGTGTTCGTACGAGGTCGGCCGTCCCGTCAAGCTCCGGAGCCAGCGTCACCAGCTTGAGAGTGTTGTTTGAGTTGGCAACATCACCGTAGACAGCTGGTGGGGGAGTTGATGGCTGATGGAAGAGGGACGCATTGTGAGCTCCCTTCTTACTGGAGTGTAGGTACGGTCCTTCAGCGTGTGCGCCCAACAGCGATGCGCCGCCGTCAATCAACCGTGGCATCAGGGATGGCAAGATCTACTGCGCAACTGTGAGTCAGACAGAACGGGTTCCTACTGGGTGAGAATGCGTACCTTCTTGAACTCATCTCCATGTACAGTTGGAATGGTGGCGTAGAACCCGGTAACACCAGTTGAAGGGAGATACTGCGCGACTTCATCGATCTTACTCTTGTACTCTGCTTCATCATGCAAATGCGTGAAATGGAAGCCTCGGAGACCGTTCGTCTGTAGCTCGAGGAAGCCTGCGGCGACGATGCCGCCATGGAGATTGATGGTATTGTCGCTACTGGCGACGTTGTGAACTATGACTGTACCGTTCTCGTCGTCGATGAATAGCTGCGGGCAGTCGATAAGTTGGCCGTGGTGGCAAAGCCGCGCGTTCTGGATTGTGATGATAGTCATTACGGGAGAAGCCTGATGGACGTAGCGGACGCTGTCAACTCGTTCCAGAGTCTGATATATGGCTGTTCCGACTGCAGTCCCAGCATCTACATGTTCAACTCGGGGCACGGGCGATGCCTCCGTTGATCAGCCCTTGGCTAGCGTGGCCTGATGTGATCCTAGTGCAAACCTCGTGTCTTCCACTTTGGGCACTTGTTGCAACTTGAAGTGAATGGAGCTTCACTCTTCATCCTTTGCCTCTCCACATCTTGACCATTGGTGGAAGCTATTATTCGCCGTTGCCATCGTCGTCAGCAAATACCAATGGCGTAATTAGCAGCGTGGCCAGTGGGCCCGCGGGGCCTTCCTTGCTCCGATCAACACCAGCGCGCAATGACGTACCCAGCTTTGGCCGGCTTTGGCCAGCTTTCACACCACATCCGCTCGCACCTGCACACGCGGCACACAAGCGAGTGTTTACTGCCAAGTTTTGGCGAGTGGCAGGCCTCCCCTCTCCCTTCGCTACTGGCGTCTCGTTGTGTGGTGATTGTTGACTTCCTGGGTGAGGAACGCTGCTGGCTTTGGGGGCAGCCTCATTCATATTCTCTAGCAGACAATATTCCGACGCAGCCTGATCGTCAGGACAAGGAGCGTCTCCGCTTGACGGCCTGCAGGTCAACGGAACAGCCACTATGGCGGACCAACAGCAACATGCGCCTGGCGGCTTCTACTCTGGCAAGAACAAGATCCCCACGGTCAACCAGTTGCTGGAACGCCTGGATGTGGACAAGAAGGAGCGCGATCGCAAGATCGAAGAGGAGCAAAGAGCTCGCAAGGCCGGTACTGCGGGCGTGGGCGTTGCGCAGCCTCACCACAATGAACAGCGATCCAAGGCCGGCCAGAAGGTCGTCACCGATCCCACCACGGGGAAGCAGGTCGCAATTGAAGACGTCAGCGAGAAGATGATGGATAATGTGACGAACCCCACGCTAAGTGTACCTAACGCCAACTTGGGCAAGGACACGACGGTGAAGACGGACGCCAGTCAGAAGAACCCCGAGTACGCGCACAACCAGGACATCACTGCACCACCCGATCCCGTTGCCGAAGGTAGTACCAGCGACGTACCGATCCATGGCGAGAAGACGAACATCCTCTTCCATCCCACACCCTCCGTCAGCTATGAGCCGACGTTTCAGCGCCTGGAGGAGCGTGGTTTCTACCTTTGCGGAGGCGTCTTCCTGGCGATCATTATCTTGGGCAAGACATTTGGCGGCAAGTATATTGGTATTATCCCACTGGCTATGTGTGTGAGCAGTGGTATCTTCCTATGGGTTAAGGAGGTCGTCCGCTCCGGCCGAGAGGTGGAGTGGGAGTCCGAGAAGGAGCGTGGCAAGACAGCGACCGCCAATTTGCTACCAGAAAGTGTTGAGTGGTTGAACACGCTCCTGGCCTGTGTCTGGGGCCTGGTCAACCCCGACATGTTCACGCCGGTCGCCGACACGCTCGAGGACGTCATGCAGGCTTCGGTTCCTGCCATCATTGAGAACGTGCGTGTTGCCGAGATCAATCAAGGCTCCAACCCCATTCGCATATTGAGCTTGCGAGCCCTACCGGACGATCATGTCAAGGAGCTCAAGCAGTCTATCCACGAGGAGAACAAGAAGACTAAAGACCCACAAGAAGCGGCCGCGGACGAAGAGGGAGGCGAATATTACAACATCGAGATCTCGTTCGCATACCACGCTGAGCCGTCCGGCAAGCGTGCGTCGGAGAAAGCGAGAAACATGCATATGCAGCTGGTCTTCTACCTTGGCATCAAAGGCTTGTTCGGCGTGCCGTTGCCCATCTTCGTCGAACTGCAAGGCTTGGTGGGCACCGTTCGTCTTCGTCTTGCGATGACGCCTGAGCCACCCTTCCTGAAGACGTTGACCTTCACACTCATGGGTCTTCCGCACGTCTCAGCGGGCTGCATTCCCATGCTTGAGCATGGTGTCAACATTCTCAATCTGCCTTTGATCAGTCAATTCGTCAACTACGCAATTGGTGCAGCTGCCTCACTGTATGTTGCGCCGAAGAGCATGTCCATCGATATGCGTGCGATTCTACAAGGCGATGACATCACGAAGGACACACAGGCAATGGGCATCATGTGGATTCGCATTCACAAGGCCGTGGGCTTGAGCAAGCAGGACAAGCGTGGTTCCAGACATGGAGGCAGTGACCCGTACATTAATCTATCCTTCAGCAAATATGGAAAGCCGATGTACTGCACTCGTGTCATTACTGATGACCTCAACCCGATCTGGGAGGAGACAACTGCGTTACTCGTCACGCCAGAGCTGATCAAAGCCGATGAGAATCTGAGCGTTGAACTGTGGGACAGCGATCGCCATTCGGCAGACGACATCGTCGGCAAGGTTGAGCTGAGCATGCAAAAGATGATCCAGCACCCCGGCAAGATGTACCCGCAAGTGTCGAAGCTCGCAGGCATGAACGAAGGCAGTGAAATGCCCGGTGAGCTACATTGGGAGGTCGGCTACTTTGGGAAGCCAAAGTTCAGGCCCGAGCTCAGAACCGACGGCAAGAATACTGCGTTACCAGAGAACCTAAGAGACAAGCCGGAGTTGCAGGACGAGAAGGGCACGACTAACACCGCAACTGACGATGCCGTCCAGCACACGCCCCCGGATCCGCTGTGGCCCAGCGGTGTATGTTCAGTCGTGGTCCATCAGATTGTGAACTTGGAGTTGGAGAACATTCAGGGTAGCAATCCGAAGAAGAAGCCGGGGAGGGAGTACGAGCCAGCCAAGCCATATGGCGAAGTCACCGCCGAAGAAGGCAACCAACTGCCGACGAGCTACTGTACGATCTTGTTCAACGACGAGCTGGTCTACCGTACGAGAAGCAAGGCCGTGAGCAGTCAGCCCATCTTCAACGCCGGTACTGAACGATTTATACGTGACTGGCGGTCTGCGATCATTACTGTCACGGTACGCGACTCGAGGAACCGCGAGCATGACCCTGTCCTTGGTGTAGTGCCATTGAAGCTTAGTGATATTCTCGACACGAGCAGTCAAGTGACAAGGTGGTATCCGCTTGACGGCGGCATAGGGTTCGGCCGTATCCGCATATCACTCCTCTTCCGCTCCGTCGAAACCAGGCTGCCTCCGCAGCAACTCGGCTGGGATGTTGGCACATTCTTGTTCATCAGCGACCGTATTGTGGCGAAGGGCTACAACCATCATGCGAAGATCAAGCTTCGGACGGGTGGCTCTGTTGGTAAGATCAGCAGGACCGCTTGCCACGCGCTAGGAAAGTCAGATGGAGAGAACGATAGCCATGGCTATTATTGGGACATGTCGCACAAGGGCGAGGATGGGAAGGAGGTCAAGCTGCCGGTCAAGTACCGCTACCGCTCACCTGTGGTCTTTGAGTTCCATACTGCTGGCAAGCGTAAAGCGGATGCTCATGCGGTGCTGTGGCTGAACACGTTGAATGACAACGATGACCAAAATATCGACCTCCCCATTTATCAGACTTCGGCGCCGGCACGATTGACCCAGAATTACATCACGCCCGAAATTGTCGCCGCTGGCGCCTTGCCAGGTTTGGAGGACCTCAAGGAGATCGGGCGCTTACAATTCGTTGGCCGATTCAAGGCTGGTATGGACGAAAGCCATGCCGCGTTCGTCATGGACAATGACTCGAGGGAGACGTATGAGACGTGGGAAGCATGCTTGGCGGAAGGAGTGCGGACACGGCAGGTTGAGAAGGAGCTACCGGAGCGCGTGAGTGAGCTCCATGAGCAGAGTCTCCTTAAGGGTCGCGATGTCCTCAAAAGTGCAAGCGATGAAGAGAAGCAGAGGTGGCTTACGAAGCAAGGTACGGATTGGTCGGGCGCTTTCGGTGACGATCCGGCGAAGTATATGGACAGGGAAGGTCGCAAGAGGCGAGAGCCGGGCGCTGAGGCACCCCTTCATGGCCCCTACCGCGAAGGCGAGGATGCACACTACGCTGATGAGACTGCGGATGATGATGATGACGACGATGATGACGATGACGACCTCGGCGTTCACGATGCGACTACTGCGAACGGACACAGTGGCTCGCCGATGTCGACTCGCAAATCAATGCAGTCCATGCGAACGGGTGCCACTATGGAATCAGGCTGGACGCAGGGTACGACTGAGTCGGAGCGCATGGACCGTAGCGATCTAGCCCATATGGATCAGAAGCAAATCAACAAGCAGAACAAGCGGACGGAGGAGCGGAAGCAGAGGGGCTTGATGCAGTGGAAGCCAGCGCGGAACCTGAAGTTTGCGAAGGATGAGGGCATCATCGGTCTCAGGAAGATCAAGAATAAGTTGACGGGCGGCTTGGAGGGCAGACAGCCGGGTGTGGAGACGGAGACTGGGCAGTAAATAGGTGTGTGATGGCGGGCTTTTGTTTTTGGTGTGCGTCGTTCTCGCGGCATGTGCAGGATCAGCTTCGGCGTCAGGTATACTCCCTGAGTTAGCATGATAAAATTCTCCCTTAGCACCTTTGCCGCTCGTATGACCACATGCTTTGATGGCTTGCAGTCAATTACAAAGCCCTCATCTTTCTCAGTAAGTCCTTCATGTCTTCGGCATATAAATCAAACTCCCCAAATACTTCCGTTACTGGCATATGCTCCTCGTGAGCCAGCCACGCCGTTTTGAAGCCAGCCTTACGGGCAGCGATCAGGTCCCATGCATGAGCTGCAACGAACCACCTATCACCTTCGCTTCCCACACCTCTAGACGTGAGGTATTTGTTGGCAGTCTCGTAAACCTTAACATCCGGCTTTGCCACTTTGATGTCGTCGCAGCTCAGCAAATGGTCCGGATCAAGCCCGATGTTAGCAAGTTCGTAGTACTTCAGGCTGGTCTGTTTGCCACCATTCGTGACCGCGTAGACATCCCAGCCTGCACTCCGTAACCCATCGAAGCACTCCTTCAACCCCTCTCTCGGCGGCAGCTTGGTGATCTGTTCCATAACCGCTGCCACATCGTCATCACTCACTTGTTCTGCGGGAAGGTCAACGATGAGACAAGCCCGTTTGAATGTGTGCTTCAGTATTTGTGCGATCGGCGTGTAGGAGCTGCAGATGGATGTGTAGGTGAAGTCTCTCTGAGCGGCGTAGAACCAGCTAAAGAAGAGCGTCTTTGGATCGACATTAATCGCTTTCAATTTCGGACCTAACCGTTCGGTGATCGTATCAATGGCTTTGTCGAACCCGAAGCATGTGCCCAACACATCGAAACAAGCAGATTGGCCCATGCTGCTTGCAGTGGTAAAGAGTGAAAGGCTCGAAGACAAGCAGTGTCGATCTGGATGAACAACTGGCCATTTCAACGGCGGTAGCTATACAGCTACTTATACGTGTGGTTTGAGGGTCGACAGTTTCAATTTAGCTTTCAAGCTCCGCCCGAGGAGTTACGGTTCGATGGAATCACCACAATCAGGACGTGTCAAGACTACGCGAGCTTCATCAGGCACCGTTGGCTCAGTCCGATGTGGCAGAATCGAATAAGAGTGAAATCAAAGATAGTCCAGAAAGAAAGGCTTTGCCATCATCCGCTTAATATAACCAAAATGCCCCAAAGCCATCCAAGTCATTACGCCAATGCCGAATGCACCCCCCGGAAGTCCAGGTGTATGTACATGCCCAAGTTGACATGCGCCATCAGGTACTGCAATTATATCATCGAGCCGCGCCACTCGAAGTCATAGTCCTCCTCCGATCTCTTAACGGTCGTGTTGGTTGTGTTCGCAACGTTGATGTAGTCGACCTTGCCGGCGGGCTTGAACACACCAAGGTTGACAAGCCATGCGGCCGTGTTGAACTCTGAGTAAAGAGTCCTGACGCGCCATCCGAGGCTGTTGTCGTCGGCGGGTATCAAGTCGAGGATACCGTTACCGACGAGAGGCTGTAAGTGAATACCGTTAGCTGAGGACAGTAGAGCGGAGATAGAAGTACAATCAACTTACGATCATAGCAGCCTCGGTCTTCTGGCCGGCACCGGAGCGGGTAGTCTTCCACCTGGCAGCAACGTGCCTGCAGCCGTGGAACACATTGAGGATCTCGAACGGAATGAGTGGCTGAGAGCCTTGACCTGCCATGAACTTCGCGCGGCTGTCGAAAGTCGCGCTAAGAGTATCCTTCGGGTATTGTGCACCCTTGTTCATCAGGGAGTTGACGGACGAACTGTAATCGATGAAGTCCTCGGTGAGCGTGTCAAGGGCGAATTGGTTGGTGTAGTTCTGGATGAGCAATTGGAAGATCTGGGCAAGCTTGGGTGCTTCCGCCTCCGTGACACACTTGTTCGGATCGGAGACGGCCGTGCTGGTGGGCCCGGGGGTAGCGCTTGTGCCGTTCGCACTGACGGTCGGGGTTGTGCTCGGGTCTAGCGGTACGTTGCCGGCAAGGGAGGAAGTAGTCACGGTTGTGTTTGCCGTGGTCGAAGGACCCGCGCTAACAGCAGATGTCGTAACAGGGTCGACTGTGCTGTTGCCGGAGACCGCTGGATCCGTGACGACAGGTCCATTGATGCCAGTGCCGGTAAGCGTGCTGGAAGTGACGGTCGCATTCGTACCGGACGACGAAGTTGTGGCAGGGTCACTTGTCACACTACCTGGGAGGGAATCTGAGGTGGTATTCGTGTTTAACGGAGGCGACGAGGTTGTGGTGGTCTGACTGGTCACACTGCCGGTGAGGAGGCCTGAGGCGGTGGTAGTGTTGGTGGAGGAAGAAGCCGTCACAGGATCGACGGCCACGCGGGTAGAGGTTGCCGATGTAGCGGTGGTGCTGCTCGTCAAAGAGGACGATGAGACATTACTCGGATCGACGACGGTGCTCGAGCTGGTGATGTCGGTTGCACTGGTTACAGATGTGGTTGTGGAGCTCACGCTGTTCGCCGAAGAAGATGTGGTAGTAGGGTCGACAGACGCCGAAGTAGAGGTGGTGCTGGAAGAAGTAACGGTAGAGCTAGACGAGGTACTCGTCGCACGGGTGACGCTCGCAGAGGTGCTCGTTGGTTTGGGCATCTGCAATCGATCAGCCGATGCGTGTGGGCGAGCTTGCTGCCGATCTACCTACACTTGGGAAGAAACCCGCATATTGATGCCACCAGTGGTTGGGGAGGAAGAACGGGTTCGGCGCAGGTGCAGCAAAGGCGGTAGAAGCCAGGAAGGCGGTACTCAGGACTGTCGTGAGCTGCATGGTTGATTACGCTATTAGATTATGGCGTTGAATATGTAGCGACCGTCTAGAAAATAGGGCAACGAGCAATAGAACGAAAGAAGGCGAACGAAAATGGGGGCCGGTGAACAGTACGCGTTTTCGAAGGGTAGAACGAGTGATGGAGGGCAGATATCGGAGCAAGAGACCAGAAGGTCCAGCAATATACTCATCCTCAGCAGCTTCCAGAGCACTGTATCCGCACAACCCAAGCATACCCAAGCACATTGCGCGTCCTGCAATTTGCAGGTTTTGGTAGAGGAACTTACAACTTCCGTAAGGAGTAGCTTAGCTTTCACGCGGCACTGAGGCTGTAATGCCATTCATAGCCATACCAAGCACTGGAGTCATCCCAAAGTAGTAGCAGGGAGCCAACTTTGCATCGAGTCAAGCGGTCAGAATTTGCAGTGGCCGGTCCGAGCACGTGCTCGACGTTTGAGCGGTCTCCCGTAAGAGCCTGATACAAAGGGCTGAGCGGCCTTGGAGAGTCTTGAGTCTTCCATATATGTCAATGGTAATCAATGAAAGTCTAGGCTGTCGATCTTGGGAGTTGGCGGAAGTGGATCGGGGTCGTGACAGTTCCCTTGGCGGCATGGCGGAGGGCTTGGAACCATGGCGTCGCTGACGCAAAGTCCGCATTGAAGGCAGGTTAGCACACATGGAGCAGCATCCTGACGTCCTGGGCATCTGTCCAACAAACGGTAAGTGTTCTCATGGTAAGATATAGGCGGTAGTGGTCAAGTGCGGCGCGGCGGAAGCAGAAGCAGAAGCGAAGTTGAGCAGAGCATTGACCTTTGGCCAAGCCGACCAAAATAGATTAATACATCGGGAGGGAACACAAACGGGGGTACCATCTCACACCACTCCAACACTTATTGAAGGGTCATGTGGTCTTAAGAAGCCAAGGACACGCAGTACACCATCTCATCTGCCGTAGCGGAGGCGTGACAGTGCCGTCTCTGCGACGGAGAAAAACTGCGACGAGTATCTGGTCCGGAGGAGACACTCGGAAGCTGACGGAAAGCCCACGACACAGGAAGAGGCGCCATGTCTTTTGTGTCGAAGGTGTAGGTTTCGTTCACAGACGGCGGTATAGTATCACATTGCCACTATAGTAGCTTCGCGGCGTGGGCATCAATACTGGGAACAGCAGCCATTATCGCGTGCCTCGCATTTAGTCAGCCCCGTCGCAAGGGCGCCCAATGTGTCGTCACAGACGGTACTAGTCCTCTGCTGCTCGTTGACGCGCTTAGAGTGCTGGTAGCATATGCTTGGTTAGACATTGTGCCTGTAATATATTCCAGTTGAACGATGATATTGAAAAATCCACGAACCTCGGCGCGCACGGACCGTGAACGCGTTCACTTCCGCGTCTCCCAGCGGATTGGCTTTACATTGTGCGATCTGCCATGTTGATACAGCAGCAAGACGGATAAGCCATGGCACTGCTCGTCGACAAGCATCGCCCGCGCACCCTCGACACCCTAACCTACCACACTGATCTGTCGGACCGTCTTCGTTCTCTCGCTGCCTCTGGCGACTTTCCGCATCTGCTCATCTACGGACCTTCTGGCGCGGGGAAGAAGACTCGTGTCTCCGCCACATTACGAGCATTATACGGGCCCGGCGCAGAGAAGATCAAGATCGATAGCCGAGTCTTCCAAACGACAAGTAACCGCAAGCTCGAATTCAACATTGTCAGCTCAAACTACCATCTTGAGATTACACCGAGCGATGTTGGCAACTATGACCGAGTAGTTGTCCAGGATCTACTCAAAGAGGTTGCTCAGACACAGCAAGTCGATCTCTCCGCTAAGCAGCGCTTCAAAGTGGTCGTCATCAATGAAGCCGATCATCTAACTCGCGACGCGCAAGCAGCGCTAAGACGGACGATGGAGAAGTACAGCCCGAATCTACGGCTAATACTACTGGCGAACAGCACAAGCAACATAATAGCACCAATCAGATCGAGGTGTTTGCTTGTCAGAGTGGCTGCGCCGACCGAAGAGGAGATTGCTGGCGTATTAGCAAGGGTCGGTAAGAAGGAAGGGTACAAGAGCTGTGAGCCGCTTGAAAGGCGGATAGCGAAGGATAGCGGAAGAAACCTGAGAAGAGCGCTGTTAATGTTCGAAGCAGTGCATGCTCAGAAGTGAGGGGTTCACAATCCGCAATTCATGTGCTATGTGCTGACACCGCCGCAGCGATAACGTGACCGAAAAGACGCCAATACCGCCGCCAGACTGGGAAGCCTTAATTGAGGTCATCGCTAAGGAAATGATCGAGGAACGGTCACCGGCACGGATCTTGCAGGTGAGAGCAAAGTTGTATGATTTGCTCTCACACTGCATACCCGCCACGACTGTGCTCAAGGTATGCTCTACCAGTGTCTGGGCCGGGCTTTGATCGAACTGACGCTCGTGCAGACCCTCACCTTCAAGCTGATGCCGAAGATCGATGACAGTTTGAAGGCCGACATTGTGAAATGGAGTGCCTTCTACGAACACCGCATACGTACTGGAAGCAAGGTCATCTTCCATCTGGAGGCGTTTGTGGCCAAGTTTATGCGGATATACGAAGGGTGAGCGCCGCCAGCTTTTGTTCTCCTTGTGGTGCTGCATTCTGACACATTCCTCAGACACCTGATGGGCATGGACCTTGACTTTGACGACTAGTAACGAAACGAAGTGTTGACTGTTTACGTGGGACGAGTGGTGTGGTTGTTTTCGTCGACCATTAGCGCGGCGTTAGGTGATGCAGGGACAGGGCCATGTCGTGCCTTCCCCGCTTACATCACGGTCTCTCGAACGTGAAGTTGCTTCCCAATGCGGCTGCACAACAATCCAAACGACCAGACTACAGGCTCCAATTGAGTCTTGACCACGTTCCACAATTCTTTGCACCACACAATGTCGTCGAGTCTAATGCAGACCGAGCCTGGCGGGGAGGCTAGACAGTATGCTATGGCGCAGCGTTACCTATAGTTACTCCACATAGTGCTGACCACTTCCGCAGATATGAAGGCGATCTGGGCCTGCAAGATCCTCACAAGAAATCCGGCGGACAGCTTGGAAACCCTGAAACCACCACCGACCCATCAAAGACTGTTGCAGGCCAACAACAAGCTGCTGATCGTAGCGCGAAAACCACGGAAAACATTCGATACGGTCAGACGATCAGCGAGACGGGTGGCATGGGCGGCATGACGCAAGGCCAGGACGGTACGGCCGAGAAGGAAGGATATGGTGGTCAAGTAGGTGACCGGACGGGCGATGCCGGCAACGTGGACGAGGTGTCGGAGAGAAAGATTGGCGGGTATGGTGGGGATAGGGATATGAATCGTGAGGTTGGTGCTTAAGGCACAGGCCTCACAGGCTTGAAAGACCGGAGCACTTCCAGACTCTATCGGTTTTCTCCTCAGACCGCCGCGTACCCTTCACTCAAATCAGGGCTTAATAAGCACGAACCTGCCCATCGTGTTTTGCTCCGCCGCCATGTCGAATGCCGCGTTCCACTCCTCCAGCGGAAAGGTCCCGACTACCTCGACACCGCCGTCCTTACCCAGCTTCAGAATCCCACTCTCGATCAACCTGACCAGATCCGTGACGTCGCTCCGCTCATACATCCATTTCCCAAAGATTCGGATGTTCCAGTGCATGATCTTATTATGCGGGAGTGGTATATCGTCCTTGTACCCGCCCATCAAGCTGACTCTACCCCCGTGGCGTAGAGCGAGAATGGCGGACTTAAGATGGGTACTCTTACTAGCTTCCGGCGGGCCAATGTCGAAGAAGGCGTCAATAGGTCCTGCAGCAGCCTTTTTCAGCTCGGCCAAATCGTGCATCATGTCGCCAGTGATAGGCACGGTCGCCACTCGGTCTGGGTACGGCACACGCTGCTTGACAGCCTCGAGTGCTGCCGTGTTACGGCCGAATGCTATGACGCGAGCACCCATTGCGAGACACATGAGCACTGCCGCACCACCAAACGGACCTGTCGCTGGAGCTACGATGATCTGTACCAATATTGTCAGCTTACAGTAGGGCAAATACGGTTTACCATGCGCTTACGGTCTCGCCAACTTTCAGGTCAATATCGCGCAGCCCGCCGTAAGGCACACCGAGAGCAGAGATGTAAGCAAGCTGATCGATAGCATAGCCTAGCCCGCCCTCAGCTGGACTGCCGGTAAGCCTCTTCTCATTAAACGCCGTGAGAACCTCAAGCGGTACACGTGCGTACTCCGCATACGTCTAATGGTCAATTAGTAGGAGGGTCAGCTACGTTCTGAAAGCCCGGAAGAAACTACACATTGCTGCGCTTACCCAGTCACGGTACACATCTGCCGCCAGCTTCGCGCTGCCCTTGCTCATACCTTGGTGCAAGCCGGCCAGATAAGCCTCCTCAGGCGCATCTCGCGAGCGTACAAGCGGGTCCAGAAAAGCGAGGTCGCCGACATTGAGCTTCGTGGCGTCCGGGCCGAGAGCGGTGATACGTACGACTGCTGATACTCCGGGAGTGAAGGGAGTCGGGTACGGGTACTGACGCTTGCCGGAGTAGACGTCGCCGCTGTAGCTCAAAACGTTGGCCGAGATAATGCGGACGATTGCTGAGCCAATGGTGGGCTCAGGGGTCGGTACTGTCTTGATCTCTGGGGGCTGGGAGAAGGAGTCTAGGACGAGTGCTTTCATCGTCTTTGGAAGACTGTGTTCAGACGCCATGATGGACGCAGAACGGTATGCGTCTGACTTAACTGTCGAGTTACAACAGCTTCGACGAATCTTTCGCTAAGTCCATAGCGTTTTTTTTCTTAAGAAGCGGCATATGAGTAGCAGATTGAAGAGAGGCAGGTGCGATGAATATGACGCTTACTTATACCTTTACTAGCCATACCTGCATGTTCATAAGCTCTCGGCCGTGGGACTTGTTCACGTGAATGCGGCTATTGTCGTGTCTCGAAGTCGTTGCACAGAGGAGGCATTGACGGAGCAACTTTCCATACATGTTCGGTGTTACGCGGGGTTATCGGCATGGGGACGATGAAACTATTGCCGCAGCCTTGATAGTGAAGACCGCTTGAAGCTGTAGTCGGATGGCTTCGGTTAGCATAGGCTACAAAACCGCATGCCAATCGCTAGGGATGAGAGACAAAGTCCAGACGGTCGAGGAGCGCGGCGTGAAGAGCGCCCAGGATCAGCTTCTAATTCGCTCAAGCCTGCCGGCAGCGAGCGGGTGTTAGCCGATATGGTTATATGGAGGGTCACGCTGGATTGCCGTCATTCCTCTTCTTCATGCTCAAGGTTGTCTTATGCTCTTACGGCCAGCACCAATGGCGGTCCAGGCGCTCACGGCATCGTACCTGTCGACGTCGACGTCCAAAAAGTTCGCGCACGACTTGCCAAATCTGCCACACGAATCAAAAGCACAGGACGCAGAAGGAAAGACAGCTTATCTGTCTGCGCTGCGATCCAATAGTGCGAAGATGCAGGCGGACATCAACACCTTCCTGACTGCGTGTATGGATCATGACAAAGCGGCGGAAAACAGCAAGTCAGTCCGTGATGCGCGACGGGACGAGGAAAAAGAGGAAGAAATGTACGGTGAGGAAGACCCGGAAGCTGACGGTTAAGGGGAACTGTACAAGGAGGCGTCCCTTCTCCAATTAACTCACTGCCTGTAACGCTGTTGTGCTCTTTTGCGGCTCCTACGTCAGCCCTCTGATACCCAAGATCAAGGACTTCCAGATTGCAGTCAATTGAGCCAGCAGTTTGCTCAAATGGTCCTTCGCACACGTTTCGGCAATCGCAGCATCGAGGGCTGTCCTTGACAAAACAATGTAGCCAGTGCAATCTACGATGCTCAATGCATGAAGTTACTACCTCAAGAGCACACCTCTGTCTCTCGCATCTAAGGACGCGGTACAGCCAAGTCCAGCGTGTCTCTTGGGAATGCAGCGGCAACGTGGCCAGACGTTGACGCCATCGTCGCACAGCAACTCCGATAGAAGGAACGGGATGATGATGAGTGCGCGGATCGATGAGAGGCATATCCGGCGTGGACTCTGAACTCTACATCAGCTTGCAAACCTTGGTCCTGGACCGCGAAAGGGAGAGTCATCGCCTAACAAGGCTTCACCGCCATCGATTCAACGGTGTTGGAAAGATCAATCTGCGTCAATCCGAAACTCTTAAAGGAGAACCCGAAACCTTCCTTTTCATCAACGCGTGAGGAATCTCAGAACTCCGAAACTACTTCGTCTCCGTATCCAGTGTGGTGTGATTTGTACATAAGCAAGCATGCAAAATAATGACATCGATCCTGTATTCAATTCGAGCGTACGTCAGGTGTAAAAGCACTCATTATTCACCGTAATTGCGCCATTGTTGTACAGAGGTACAACGGATCTCCTCACCATAGCAGTCACCCCGCTTATGCTGAGCGACGCGGCAGCGCACACGGCGCTACTGTACTTCGGTGGAGAGCTTTGACAGATGCAGGTTGTGCAGAATAAGATCTTGCCGCGCCAACTGAAACAGCGCACAGCAGGCTATGCGCAGGGATGCAATTGTTGCAGCTTCTGGACGGGACCTCCTGACATGTCTGGAAGATGTTCGGTCGGACAAGATTAAGACCGTTGTGGTTGAAACGACAGAAAGACGGGCAAGGCGCTTGTCCTGGGAGGTGACGAGACCTTCCCTTTTAGGCGTTAATCATGAAACGCCGGAGAAGCACAGAAACTGATGCGATCGCCGTGAACCAAGGATCACCGATTTTATGCTCCTGCTAGCTTTTGATATTGCCTGGCTATAGATGCTATTGAACAAGGACAGTTGACTGTCCAAAGACATTCCATGCTATGCAATGATCTGGGGCTTCAGCAACAGCAGACCACTCCCATTACCTCCCCATCCCTGTCATTCTTTTTTGTCGTTTGGTAAAGAGAATACCAATCATAACAAACATTAAAAACGCCATGCTGTGCCTTGCCCATGCCGACCCACCCTCACACCATTTTCCAGAAGCCTGTAGTGAAAGTTCGTACGCACGTGAAAGTCATGCAAATGCATTACCACCGTCGGGGTGATACGACCATAGATTCCCATCGCCGTATTCGCTCACAAGCGACGTAATTGTGGTTACACTTAAAGCATGGCAACGGCGAGAGCACCGGCAGCAAGGCCAAAGAGCTCACCGCTGAACACAACTGGGGCAGCAGCACCAGTGTAGCGAGCAGCGGTGGCACTCGCCGAGGCGATGGTGCCGTTGGTGCGGGTAGCCTGGATCTGACCGTCGGAGATCTGGCTCACAGGCCTGACAGACGAGGTAGAGGCGTTGCTGCGGACGCTGGCAGTGGCCTGGATCTGACCATCAGATATCTGAGAGACCGGGCGGGCAGTGCCGGTGGTAGCCTGAATCTGACCGTCGCTGATCTGGGAAACCGGGCGGGCGGTGCCGGTGGTAGCTTGGATCTGGCCGTCGCTGATCTGAGAGACCGGGCGGGCAGTGCCAGTGGTAGCCTGGATTTGACCATCACTGATCTGCGAGACCGGGCGGGCAGAAGAAGCAGCAGTAGAGGCCTGGATCTGACCGTCGCTGATCTGAGAGACGGGGCGGGCAGAGGAAGCAGCAGTGGAAGCCTGGATCTGGCCGTCGGTAATCTGCGACACGGGACGAGCGGAGGAAGCAGCAGTAGAGGCCTGCACCTGTCCATCGGTGATCTGCGACACTGGGCGGCTGCTGACTGGCGAGGCGGTGACCTGGCCATCAGAAGAAACGCGGGCAGCGCCGGATGAGGCGGCAGCGGTGCTGGATGGCGCCGGGGTGGAAGCGGCGGCGCTGCCAGAGACCGGGAGGATGTCAATGTAGATCGGGGTGCACTGACCGCCGGCCTGGCTGGCAGATGGGTACCAGTAAAGATTGTAGAAGGTACCGCTCAAACACTGGTAAAAGATGGCGCTGCTGCCAATGGCGAGGGAGCCGTTGGAGCAAGTCGACCAACCTGCAGTGTAGATGGCACCCGTCTGGGGCGGGGCGTCGAACTGGAACTGGTAGTTGTCGGCGATGTAACCAGTGCGTGACTGGGCGTCCTTAAGGATGCCGTTGCTGAGAGTCAAAGTAAGGGTGTTTGTTTGTCTCTGTGACCATTGTCAGCGTTTTCGACTTTCACTTGGCGAAATACCAATCGGTGTCTTGCATACCTTCGAGTGGGAGGTCGAAACGTTGACGGTCTGGATATTGAAGGTGCCGCTGTAGCTGCTCGAGCAGCCAGCCGGTGCCGAGCCAGATGGGGCAATGGCGGAGGTGACACCCTGGGGCATCGGGTTGGCCGCAGCGAGCGCCACGAAGGCGAGAGTTGCAGCAGAGAAACGCATCTTGACGAAGAAGTCGAGCGTGAGCGAGTGTTTCGATGGATTAGATATGTGCAGCGAAGCGAACGCTCTCCTGATTAGCGACAGTGACGGATAGGCAGCTGGTGAGTTGATGCCACGTAGGATAGGTGGAGAGGTTGGGAAAAGAGATGTTGTGAGAGATGGAAACAGAGGAATGTGCAGCAATTTGAATGGCGGCGAAGATGGCTGGCTCGTTCGAGCACGGTCGTTCACTGCAACGGGCCTACTCCACATTCACCGTTTAGCGCAGAATGGCTGGTGCCAGTGCTGAAACTCTACGTAAGTGGCCTAAGTTGCCTAACACGGATGTCCGTGGTCCACGACGGCTTAGGTCCAGTCGTAGGGAGCAGGTGGTGTCTGTTGACATGGGAAGCTAATGCACCCTTCTCCTTCTCGCCTATTGGTCCCCAGATCTCCCCAACGACGGCCAATCGCGGCTGAGGATCGACGCAGCCGCCTCCCTTTGATGCGGAGAGCACACCACCTTCACCTGCAAGCACAGCATGATTTACGAGGCAAGTGAGGGGCCTGCAAGCAGCGATGGTCACGCCGACAACAGGGCTATTGTTATACACCCATGACATCAAATGCAGCGTGGCCAGCCGCCAGTGAATATTCCGCGGTTGGACAAGCCTGCAGCCAGCCATTCCATGACACTTCGTCGCGCGGAATTTCGCTGGGTGGCGAAAACTATTCAACAGATTGTGCCACCGTTAGCAGAGGCCAAGAACTTGAGCTCATCGAGGTGGACTTCAATCTCGCTATAAGTAGAAAACCTTCGCTAGCGCAGAGTTAGAGCTCTTGAAGATCTCCATGACCACGTAATCGACTCCGAGGAAATTATTCACATCTCCAACATCGCACTCCGGATACCGCAGTACATGCGGAACATGCCAGACGCAGATGAGGCCGTTATGCCACTAAAACCGATGACATGCCGTCCCCAAGGCCGTGGGCAGATGTCGTCCCATGCATCACCATCCGGCTACCTACGGTGAGCCGAAAGCGAGGGCGAGATCTGGGAGGCAGGAAACTTCCACCAAGAGCACCGAAAGCGGCTGGTAGCTGACTTCGAGCGTCGCATGATCTACCGCGGGTTGCGCAAGAGCTCGATGTCTGCTGCTTGCAGTGCGTGCTAGCTTGAGGGCTCGCCCTCACCCTGCGTCGCGCTCGTTGCCTGGGTAAAAGCACACAACAAGGGGAGCTGTCCCGTGGGTGACCTCGTTACCATGCGAGACCGGTTGATTGACGGGACACGACAGGCCGCGTAGGCGCACCCTATAAGCCGCCTATAGTAGTCTTGGCATCTGTGATCGGGATCCGTAATAACCCAAACGTTCATGAGGTCAGGTGGCGTTGTGGCACGCTGGGGAGACAGATTCCGGTAAGTGCGAACAAATCCTGGGGCAAGCCCAGCCCGCTTCGGAATACGATGTTGGTCATGCTACCCCATATTGCGAAGAGTAAAGATCCTCGGCCCAGTCCAAGAACAATCGCTACGCACAAGCTTCGATTGTTGCTTGTCCGCCACCTAACGCATAGATCCTCGGTCCAGAAAGTCAGCCGTAGTGCCGGGAGAGCTGCAGCACCTCCTCCTCGATGCACTTTCAGCCGGAAGCGATGTGCGGAGGAATATGCAGGAAGCGAAACTACTGTACCAACGCAGCGATCATGCAGTACAGACATAACGTGCATACGGTATGAGGAGTGCTGATTCTCGTATCTCTCATTCGCCACATCTGGACTTCACTTTGCTACCATCCCTTGCGCCAGTTAGCGCCTCGGCGAGCACCCCTCCGTCCCCAAATGGACTGAACCTTGAAATCCATGTGCAGTGTCCCAACGGCCAGGTCTGATGCAAACGCACCCGCCCCTATGTCAAAAGGGAGGCTTTAATCACCTATGTACATGTAGCTGAGCTGTGTGATCGGACCGTGTCCGAAGGCTGGTATAAAGCTAGAACAAGCCCTCGACTCCGAAGCGCCATCGCTCCGCAACGTTTTGTAAAAAGAAAAAATAGCAACGCTCGAAAATGATTCCGTGCAGCAAGCAAGTCCAAATGACTTGAGCGGCCCTTGTGCGACTCCAGCAGCCCGCTTGGACGATGAGCTGAAACGCTATGTCTCAAATTACCGTAGGACCTTGCGGACACCCTACTCGCGCTGCTGTACGGGGTGCTACTCCACACAACACTTGGCTGCCAACATTCGACCGGCGTCTCATTGACCAAGCGCTCCAGCTTGATGTGGCACAGCGAAGGTAGGCGCCATACTGTCTTTACTCGGCAAGGCAGAAGCTGGTACAGTGTTGCCGTGCGCGTCGACGATAGGGAAGCGAGCCCGACGCTCCAGATCGTCGAGTTCCATATGGCTGCGGATGTACTTGTCCTGGCTATTGTCCGGCACCTGGTAATCCCAGGGTGTCCACAGACCTTGTTTCAGTGCCGAATGGCAGAAGCGTCGTTGGCGCTGACGCTTGAGGACCTCTTGGGTAATAGCTGGCATATCCCACTTGGCCTTCGCTTCCGCGACGAAGTTCTGATAGATCTGTTTCGTTCGCGTATCGTCGCTGGTGGCCAGATTGTGAAGCTCCTGTGGGTCGGTGGCCAGGTTGAAGAGCATGTCTGGATCGGCTGGACAAGTAGTGTACTTCCAGTTACCGCGCCGAATCATCATCATTGGTGCGATGGTGCCTTCACCCATATACTCCGCGAAGACAGTATCGTGGACGTCCTTTCCTTTCAGATGCGGAACGATCGAGACACCGTCCATCGGCAGTCCAGGCATGAGCCTGCCGCCAACGATGTCCACCAGCGTCGGGAGGATATCCAACGTGCTCACATTCTGTGGCACATGGTGAGGATGCCATAGCTTTGGATAGCTGAAGAGCATGGGCACACGAACGGAAGACTCGAAGTAGGACATCTTGTACCAGAGACCACGTTCGCCTAGCATATCGCCGTGATCGCCGGAAAAGATGACGATGGTGTTGTCGTCAAGCCCGCACTGGCGTAACGTCTCCAGAAGCTTCCCAATGCAATCGTCGACATAGCTTACAGCACCATAGTAGGCCCGCTTAGCCTTCTTCACCTGGTCTGGCGTGAAGTCATAGTCTTCCAAGTCGCAGACATTCAAAAGACGCTTGCTGTGTGGATCTTGCTGGTCCTTGGGGATGTTGACCTTCGGCAGGTCGATGTCAACATCTTCATACATGTCCCAGTACTTCTGCTCGATGGTGTACGGATCATGCGGATGGGTCAGGGACACGGTCAAGCAGAAAGGTCGGCTTCCAGCTGGCTTGCGAACATGATCGTACATGAACTGCTTGGCTTTGTACATGACCTCTTCGTCATAGTCCAGCTGGTTGCTCCTGATGCATGGCCCGGCCTGCAATATAGAGGCACTGTTGTGGTACCACTCTAACCGCGTCTCCGGCTCATCCCAATTCACCGACCACCCAAGATCTGCCGGATAGATGTCCGGAGTAAGCCGGTATTCGTATCCGTGCAGCTGTTCGCCGATGAAGTGCATCTTGCCGCCCAGCACACACTCGTACCCTTGCTTCCGCAGGTAGTGAGCGTACGTCGGCGTATCCTCTGGTATGGGAGACGCGTTGTCGTAAGCTCCTATCTTCGAAGGCAGCTGCCCTGTTATCATGGCCATACGGCTAGGGGCGCACAGTGGCGAGTTGCAGTATGCCGAATCGAAGACGACTGACCGCTCGGCCTAGAGATCGATGGGTAACAGAGTCAGCTTCGTCTTTAGAAAAGTTCTAAGGTATGTACACATGGCAATTCTTACCAGCTTGTCGAGGTTCGGCGTCTTGATCTGAGAGTTTTTGTTGTACATCTTGAGTTGGGGGGCAGCCAGCTGATCCGCCATGATGTACAGGATGTTCGGTTTGGATGGAAACAGTGGCGTGCTGAACCCATTCTGACCAGCGAAACCGACCGGCGGTGACACTGGTGGCGTGTCGGGCAGCTGCTTTCGCAGGCGTTGTGGTTGACCCTCCATCACGGGGTACTAGACGTATTTTCTTGATATTGTCAAGGCAATAACAGAGAATGAAAGTGCTTAGCAAACAAGAGATCGAGAGTGGGAAGAGCGGAGAGCGATCTATTTGTATCTACGCAATCTTTCTGAGTAATGACAGACGGTGCGAGATCAGATGAGGACAGAGAACAAGGCATGACAGAAGGAAATGGCGGTGGATTGTGACGCCTGTTAAGGTGAAGCGTGTAGAATCACCTCATCGCGAAGAATGCGCACGCAATCCGGCCGTGCAATAGTCAGCCTCGGAACCTGGAGCTTTATTCACTCCTGCCGGCCTTAACCGCTTTCGGATATCACGACTTGACGTCGTTCGTTCTTGCAGGCGGAGACTGTGCAGAGCGCGATCAGTATTTGCTGCCTACAATCGAGTTCTCTCTCGACTTGATCTTTAACCATGAATACTCGTGCAACCATGGCACTCAGGTCCCCAACTTTCAACGGTATTACTGCCTCGACGCGGTCCGGTACGCTCAATAAGGGGGTAGAGGTTCGAATACCGAACAAAAAGTACAAAGCACGCGACCATCGCCAAGCACTGCAATTGGCTCAGAATCAAGCCTAGATAATCCGGGGTCATGCACACTCCTGCAGCTAGTGACACCCCTCTTGTCACGATCGCCTTGAGCCTCATCCATTTGGGCTGCCTTCCTCTTCGCATATTGTCGCAAATCTTGAACTCAGTACTATCGATGCTTTAGGCGGGCGTGAGTTCGATTTTTGTGCGGTTCGATGGAGCAGGTATGGAGTATCGTGAAGCAGGCTGGCTGATGGCGCTTCAGCTGACGCAGCAGAATTTTCGATAAGACCTGCTGAACAGATTCTTCATGCGGGGCCAAGCAAACCTCCACATACCTGGACACGATAGGTCGAGGCCACGAGACTGCCTTCCAAGAAACGCAATCAAGGCCGAAAGGGATCTACGTCAGTAAGCTGGCCTCACACCACCAGCACCCGACCGTCATCGCGGCAGCTGCGTAGCTACTGGTGCTGTGAACATGGCCAACGTTCAAGACCGTGGCCCTCCTTCGGCAGCAGCCGTCGCTATCGGCACTGCTATCGTTTCCGGGCTTATCGGATACTGGCTGGGACAGGCGCAGTCTATCGGTATCTTTGGGTCACCAAGTCCAAAAGTGCCAACTGGTCAAGACGAAAAGCCAGTGGACGAGTCCGACATTAGCGATGCGAATTCGGCAAGTGGAGACGATGAGCATCTGGAAGACCTAGGCGAGTTGGATGACTTCCGTGGCAATCACGAGGAATGCAAGCTCGTGCTCGTAGTAAGAACGGATCTTGGCATGCAGAAGGGTAAGTGGGCGTGTGGCGATGCAGTGTGCCTTTACTTGTTCAGGAACAAAAGTCCATTCATGCAAAACTCTCTATACCGTCACGAATGCTTGCCAATTTTGCTTTCTTCTTTCAAGTTGCTGGACCCTCAGCTGATGTTGAGTAGGCAAAATCGCCGCACAGTGTTGCCATGCAACCTTAGCCTGCTACAAGGCCATGGTGACAGCGAACCCCTCCCATCCTCTCCTTCGCCAATGGGAGCGATTGGGGCAGGCAAAGGTGGCATTGAAAGTTGACAGCGAGGATGAGATGCTCGTTCTGCAAGCGCAGGCGGTTAGCCTGGGGTTATGTGCCAAAGTCATCCACGACGCCGGTCGCACTCAGATTCAGGCTGGCTCGGCGACCGTTCTCGGCATCGGTCCTGCACCTAAAAGCAAGATTGATGAAGTAACTGGGCACTTGAAGCTACTTTAACCTGTGCAGAGAGCAGCAGATGCTGTTGCCACAGACTCCAGGCACTACGCACCGATTTGGCCGTTATCGGACTTGGGCCTCAGATTTAGGGACATACGCTCCTTATAGCACCAGCTTTCGCCTTTGCTGTCAACGAGCGCAAAGTTCAGTCTTGCGAGAAGGATCATGGCGGCGGCGCACTCGCTGTCAATCTTCCCAGCAATGCTTTGCGGACGGCTGTTACGAAGTCGCTTCGTAGGCGCAATCGTGCGTCATAACACTTGGGTGAGCGGCATTGCGGTGTGGCAAGGGCGCCGCTTTTGCCGTCACCGTCTCCCTCTCTCAACGTTACGAGAACAGATGTGACACAGCCGGACTGTTAACGTTCTGGTAAACGAACCACCTTGGTCGACCTTGGCTTACCGGTCACGGAGTCCAACGTGGCTCCAACGACACATTAACGCCATCGTATCCCGAAGGCGATTAGGAAGATGCTAACGCTTTGGGGAGACGTTTCAAATGGTTGTTCGAACTTAAATGCCGTCGTTGTGCATAATGCTATTCTCTGCGCTCGAACTCATGATGCCAGACGCTGTGAGGAACACGCGAGCCTCTTTGAGGCGCTTCGGCAATGGCGCTGCTCCTTTCGCATATTGATTTCAAGGTTCGTTACTGAGTATGGCGCCCTGGCCAACGCACGTGATCGCTGGAAACCAGTTCTTCCCCAACGCAGCACGACTTAGCAACATGGCCGCGAATGCAGTCGCTACGGCTAAGACTCCAAGGATATCACTTTGCCATAGACTAGCCACAGCGTCGAAGAGGTGTACACGTACGCATTGTGATATGTTTGGCTGGTGACTTTGTCAGAGCAGGAGGAGCGTACAGTGGCGAGTACAATGGCTCTGCGGAGTCAGTCAACATAGGGCAGGAGCAAACTCCGGTCATGGTTTACTGCAGGTACGATCCACTTAAGACACTTAGAATTGAATGTATGAACAGTTTTGCGAGAGGACCGGCCAGCCGGCCAGTGGTCCATATGCTCTCGCCGTGTAAACAGCGATCGAGCCCTTCAACGCAGCCGTTTGGTTGGCAGTCTTGTAAGTTAGCCGAAGTTATGCGTCTGATCGTCAATGCTCTCGGAACCGGTAGGTCAGTTTAGTATGATTTAGTCTGTACGAGGGGCACAACGGTCAATGGCACGGTTGAAGGATTTTGCCGCCTAGAGCAATCTCGCCGTTGATTCGGGCCGTTCAAAGTACTGCACGACTGATTGCGATATGCCTCTTGCGCCGACTTTCCTAACCAGTGTCTGGTAGCTGGTTGGGGGTTGGTGGATCATTAACACAGGGGATGGTACATTTGGGTCAGATCGCTGAATAGTGGAAGTCTCATGAAGTGAATTATGCAGCTTCGGCAGAGAGTGGGAAGGGCGCTTTCACCACGAAAGAACATGTCGTGCCAACAGCCGCGATGGACTGCTACTTCGAAAGACCGGTTCCTACAGCAGCATAAATGCCAGAAAGGCGCTGCCTTGCTACTAAGCTGTTGTAGAGGAGGTGGTCAGGAGGCGTAAGCAGAGAGCTCGAGAACTACTCAGCAGCATTGTGGTCACAGTCCGATGCATAGATGTCATTGAAGCTGCCTTTGCAGCCTTGTATCCTGCTTGGGAGGGCGCATAAATGCAGCAGCCATCTTGTATAGTCAGCCATCATAGCGCGGCGTTGCGGCACAGCAGCTATCTCTAACCGCCTGAAGTGCTTGAGGAGGCGACGTAATGTACGCGCCAATGTGATACTAAGCCTGCAGATGCGCGACATTTCCTCACATCTCGGTGGAAGCGCAACGTCTCCCAGATTGATGAGTCCGTCTGGTCAGATACCGGGTCAGGCGATAAGGATCGATGTGCTGTAGCAATCTAGCCGCACCACGCCTCAATAACATCCCGCAGTTGGTGCATCCGGAGTTTCTGTAGGTTCCCAGGGCTCACAACGCGAAATCCTTGTTTGCCCATAGGTCAACATAATTGGAGCTACCACCCAGCAACCCGCTGTACCGTCGTTGCGGGCGTGAGATTTTCGCGAAAAGTGCGGTAAGAGATTCGGTTTCGATCGGAAACTCGATGTCAGACCTCCCAGGCCCACGTGGTAATTTCATCACGATCAATGAAAAGCTGAATAGAGGCATACTCAGAATTGTTGATTGTTTGTACGTTTCATTGCAAAGCTACCAATTGAGGTTTTGGGTATGTGTAAGAAGCCCAACCAACACCAAGAAGCCATGTCGGCGTGCACCATGAGATCCTATCCCTAGCGCACCATCTATACATGCTTGTCATATATCATCGCCCGTCGTCACCTGGCGGCAGCAGCTCAGCGCGCCCAACCGTTGTCAACAAGAACGACTGTCGCAATGCAGTCAAAGACACCAAGCACACCAATCTAACCTACGGACAAGAAGGCAAAGCAAAGTGAGCGTACGTATACGCAAGAATTGTAAGCTGCGCACGCTTAGTTGACGTGACCATGGCGAGCATGGTGTTGGTGACGAAGAGCAGCCTCGTTACGCTTGACACGCGAGTTGACGTAAGCGGTCGCGTACACGATGTCGGTGACAACGGCGGTCTCGACCTCGGTGACGGTGACGCCACCGGTGGTAGTGGTGGTGATGGTGCTTGAGGAGACAGCAGTAGTCGAGGTTGCGAAGGTCGTCGCGGACGATGAATCATCAGCATTGACTGCGTTGTACCCGTGGTAGTGGTTCCTGGTGGTGGTTGACTTGGTCGACGTCGAGCTTGTCGAGGTGGTCGCCGCTGCAGTTGTCTTCGTGGTGGATGGAGTGACACTTGAGAAAACGCTGCCGGTAACGGAGGTAGCGAAAGCGCTCGTGGCCGGGGTGGTGCTCGGGGTGCTGACCGTTGAGACAGTGGTGGCAGAAGCAATGCTTGTGCTCAGTGCGGCAACGGACGAAGATGCAGCAGAGGTATCACCATCATTCTGGGACTCGCCAGAGCAGAGGAGAACGGTGATGACGGCATCCTGAGCGCATGCTTGCATGCCATAGGCATCATCGGTGGAGTAACGGTAAGCCTGTTGCTTGGGTGCGCAGACGGAAGAAGCGCATTCAGCAGTGATTTCCCAATTGCTGTCCCACGGGTTACCGTCCACGTCGCTCAGGTCGTACCAGATGATGCCGTCGTTCTGAAAGGTGTACTCGTACTGCATGATGTTCTTGAAGGTTGTGTCCTTGGACAGCTTGATCGACCAGCCAGCAAGGTTGCTCAGCTCGGTCCATTGCTGAGTGAAGGTGGCGCCCGGCGCAAGTGTCTTGTCGATCTCGGTGCCGTTGCTGGGCTGAGATGGGACGTCGGCAAGGTAGACGTTGTACTCGCAGCCATTGACAACAACGGCGCTACCAACGGAGAGCGCACGCGCAGTGGTGGCCAAAAGAGCCGCAGTTGCGATGAATCCGTACATACTTGCGGTTCGAAGGTCTTCGGTGAAAAGTTTCGAGTGGCTGTTGATATCGTTAGATATTGCGATGGGTCGTTAGTGCGCAAAGAAGTCCGAAAGAGTGAAGACCTGAGTTGCGTTGTCGAAAGAGTGTATTTGCAGAGAGCAGCAAAAATGAGTGATACTGCACAGCAGCAAGTAGGCAGCTTCCCAGAGCGCGATAGAGACGATAGAGAGCGTGTAGCAGGAGAAAGGAAGGAGGCTTTGCGCGCGACAGGATGGGGGTTTTAATTGTGACCCGTACGCGACACCTCACAGCGCAATGTCCGGCGAACGGCCCCCTAGCAACACTAGCAGGCTCCATAAAACGTGGGAGCCAGAGACCATACCCCTGGCAGTCCTAGTCCGCAGCCATCCCGTCAATCACATCGTGCAGCCTTACCGGATGGCTCCACAAGTCGTTGTCGGGACCTGACAGTGGAACAGGGGAAAAACTCTGCTATCAACAAGGGCGCCTGAACAAGCGGCAGTTCGGCTACCTGTTACTGGCTCGATTGGTAGCCAGGCACCGAGGGGAGGCCGCGCGATTGGCTGAGAGAGCGGCAGGTGAACCCACGCTTCTGCAGGTCCAAAGTCGCTGGCAGATACGCTAGCACCACTTCGCTTCCGAGCCTGTCCTTTCTGCCGTGCTGGCGCAGCGCGAGATTGGGTAGACGCCCCGAAATCTCCACTGCCTGCTTCTCGCAGTTCCCATTGTCTCGAGCGCAAAATGTTGCAAAAAGTCGACTGCACGACAACGTTGTCTTCCTTTGAATCTTTCGGCAATGCTCTCCATTTGACGCTCTCGGTTCTTTAACGCAGGCCAGACAATGTTCCGCTTACCTTTCTCCAACCAGAGTGAGCATTTAGCCGGTGGAGCTTAGAGTGCTTTCTGAATCAACAGCGACCTCACGTTCTCCACTGCCAAAAGGCCGCGCAAACATTTCTCTGCACTGCGACGATCCCTCGAATCACCGCCGTCAATGCTTGCAATTTCGAACCTTGCAAGCTCACGCCGCGGCCGAGATGGAAGAAAGAGGAGCGGCTCGTTTCACGAGAATCTGCGGGCGATCCAGTGCATCCCTGTTCCCGCTAATGCTGTTTCAGTTGTCTGACGGTTCCGCGCTTAGTTGGCCTAGAATGGCGCAGTGATTGCGATGCGCTGGCGCTGACGGTGACACTGTTATTAACATGAGTAACGTACTGTAGGCAGCGCATTCACGACATCGATTGACATCGCTGTCCAAACCACGGCGCGCCGCGCGACAATAGGGGTGCCAGGCAGGAGGCCCCGGAGCGGTGACCGCAGAGGCTGCATTGGGTGCCAGAGAAAACAAAATTTTCCGGATGCGTGCAGCGACTTCATCATGCAGAAACTGACCGGGTTGCATGTCGCTGTCGCTGTCGCTGTCGCTGCAGATCGACAAACGGTACGAGGTCAGTGTAACGGCGATCACGAAAACATTGTTGATCCGCATGTTTTCTCCACCGCAGCATCGCGGAATGTCGGAGTCCGATGTTTCCTCTTGCACCTACATGTAGCTTCGTACGCTCGAAGTCTCACGATGTTGGGACGTAATTTGTTGGCATGGAGAGAGATTGTTCTACGATCGCTTTCCGACGGCAATTGTTGCTCGCTTACTGGCGGAGTTGGAGTGGATTCTTTTCACAACCCACCGCCCACATGTCGCTGCAACTACTACTGCGAACCAAGGGTTGGCTCTCAACGAGCCCTGCGTCTCGGCATGTTGGCTGCAGCATCCAGACGTCACGTTAGATGATTCGTTTCTTGATTTCCTTGTCGCTGTGGAGACCGTGACCCGCAATGCCTCCCACGGCGCTTGGTGTTCCTTGCAGTTATGATCGCGAAAAGACTGGGTACTCGGAGTCGACGACCGTCGAGGCTACGAGGAACTGTGTCGCACCAACTATGAACTCGCGCATGGGAGAAGCATTAGGCTGAGCGGAACTCTCCAACGTCATGCTGTAGCGTTCGCGCTTGCAGTAGTTGCCGACTTCTTCTCCCAGCCACCCGCAACGGTCATCTCACATCTCTGGAGCACATGGCCGATACGATGCCTTCTTGCGCCGAAAAACCCGCCGCTGCTCAGCCTTCGACAGCCGGCTTGCTGGGCGAGGTCAGTATTTTTCGGTTGCCGGCAAAAGGATATGCCATTCTTTGCTCGGGCCACTGTCAGACTTGCAGCGCAGAAGCACCCGATGACCTTCCTTCTGCGGGTAGCAGTCGTTCGAGATCGTACGGTGACAGGCGGGTTCGTCATGTTTCAAGTTTTCCGTGAGCATGTCGTTATCGTAGGCAAAAGAAGCGCTGCAACAGCGAATGGCGAATGGTGACCGGAGTCGACTCCACGACCTCATGCACCCATCACATTGCGCAAGTTAGCTTCTGCGTGCTTTTTGTTCGGATATCCTTCCCATCGATCGCCATCTATCGCGTTGTGTACGACGTGACCCTCTACCATGAAGGCCGGCGTGTCGGTGCCGTAGGCCTCGACAATATTATCAAGTCTGTTCGGAAGCGTTACGGAGCATACATGTCGAATTCGCCACCACTCCGTAGTATTTACTTTATACCGGAGTAGCAGGATGGTAGGCGCAGTAGCGGCACGATATGGGCATGTGAGACCGGGTTTCGCGACGAACATTGTGCATCCACCGTAACACGTAGATCTTCACCATGTCAACCAAGCGATACCAAAGAAGTCGTTGCCAAGTGTGAATAGGAGCTAGCTCACCGCGTTGTTATTAGGTACAGGCTGGCCTCGCTGATCTCGATACGAAAGGCTCACCTCACAGCTCACACTCGTTCGAAGAACGTAAAGCCTAATTTTTGTTACAGACATAGCAGAAGCAACGAATGGGTTGTTCAAACGCATCAAGGATAATAGCCATGCTCGTCTCAGGCATAGCTGGCTAGCTGTACAAACATGTATCATGCAATTCCCGTGATGCGGTCGCAACACACGGTCAACAGTGGCCCTGCCTCGTCGCTACATTAGTCGCCACCTTAGTCGCCACCCTCAGCGCAAGATATGAAACAACGCTATGTGGTGTAACGCTGCTATGCTTCGCACCAAGTGTACGCCCACCTCATCACTTCAAGTAGAACCAAGGCGCAAGGTTCGCGCGTTGGCTGGTGAGCTGGCCCGCTCAACCACTCATCACTTCTTCGCCTTCGCCTTCCCTTTTCCTTTTGCCTTCTTCGGACTACTCTCTTCCTCCTCCTCGCCCTCATCATCGTCCACCTTCCGTTTCTTACTCCCACCGCCCTTAGCACCCTTCGCAGCAGCAGCACCCGCCTTCCGCTTCTTCGGCTGCTTAACATACTTGTCCTTACTCAGATCCACATCCTCCTCATCATCCGCCACGGCTTCCGCAGCCTCCAGAGCTTCCTCCTCGCTCTCCTCGAGCGCTTCTTCCAAGTCGGGGCGCTCCTTCGCCGGCGCGCGCTTGGGCGCCATAACCTGGCTCGCTTTGAGGTAGGGCAGGGGGTGGGATTGTTGGTTGTACCTGCATGCCCACAATCATCAGTAAGCACACCCATCACCGAGCATAACTGTGGCGGTGTTAGTAACGTACAGTCTGGTAAACGTGGCCTTCGTCTGCGTCTCAATCTTATTCCCTTCCCTCTCCCAATCCGCCTCCCCAACCCCCAACTCCCACACCCCCTCCCAATCCTCCCGCGTCAGATAGTACCAATCCATCATCTCAATCACCTCCGGCACACACTCCTTTCCCTCCGTCCTCAACCGCCCAATCAACCGCTCATACAGCATGGGAACATACGTCTGCCGGATCTCATGCCGGTCCGCAGTGACACGCAAACGCATATGTCCCTGAATCTCCTTCACCATGCGCGTGAGTTTGCCTTGGGTGCTGTTCTTGCCCAACCACTGCGTGAACCGCGTCTGGCCGTGGCCCGCCAGCGAGCCGTAGATGAACGATGCCGGGCGCACGAAGGAGAAGAAGGCGTGGGTGGGCATCAGGGCCCATTGTTGCTGCGAGCCGTGGATCATGCGGTCCACGAGGTCGCCGTCGGAGATGGAGTCTGCGGCTTTCGACACGAGGTCGAGGACGGCGAGGGATCTTATTTTCGGATTGTCGTTGTATTGGTTCGCACGTTGAGGGGAGGTGCCGAGGTAGTTCTCTTGCAGCATTAGTGGTGCGAATTCGTGGTCGTTGAAGTAGAGTTCCTGCTTGTCGTTGAGGGTGGATTTGGCCGCTGGGTTGAAGAGACCGCCGCCGAGGATTTTGGCGACCATGTCCCAGGGCCGGAGGACGATGTGTTTCTCCCACGCTTTGGACATGTCTTTGCCTTCTTCGTATGTCAGGGTCTGGCTGTCGAGTTTGGCGGTGGAGATCATGTTGACGACTTGGCGAATATCTGCTCCACTGCCTTCGATGAGAGCGTTGATGACGTTCGCCGGCATTTTCAGGCCTTCGCGGAAAGCAATCGTGCTAATTCTGCTCCGGATTTGGTCTGTAGTCGGCCGACGAAAGGCGAGGTCGTAGGTGACGAAGTCGAAAGGTTTCATTTTGGGCAGTTTGCGGTCGTTGCAGATGAGGATCATGGGGATTTGGGTCTTCTTGCAGACGGCAGCAAGGGCGCCGACACCGCCCCGGTCGCCCGCGGACATGCCGTCGACTTCGTCCATGATGAGAACAAGCTTCTTCTTGCTGGCCTCCACCGAGTCGGTACCAGAAGCGAAGTAGCCCATGAGGGAGGTGGTGGAGAGGACACCCTTGAGACCAGTGTCGACGAGCTTCTTGCTGCGGGTGTCAGAGGCGTTGGATTCGACGATATCGTAGCCTTCGAGCTTCGCGACAAGATGTGCTGCGGTCGTTTTGCCGATACCGGGTGGGCCATGGATCATAACTGCACGATGTGTGCCCGAGCCATCGGGTCCGGGCATTTTGAAGCCGACCCGCTGGCTCTTTGGGAAGTTGCGCAGCCAGCGCTGCAGCTTATCCACTTGCGCTTTGTTGCCGCATATCTGACTGAGCTGTTGGGGTGCGTATCGGACCGTCCAGAGGCGTGTGTCTGGGCCGTCAACGGGCGTCTTGCCTTTGCCCTTCGGGGTGCCACCTTTGTCGGCAGAAGCAGCAGCGGCAGCTGCCTGGATCTTCAGCTTCACAGCAGCCTCCTGCTTGTCCATCTCTTCGACAGCCTTCCGCATCTGCTCCTCCTCCTTCGCTCGCTTCTCCGCCATCTTCCCCGCTGCAGCGGAGTCACCTCCATTCGCTGGCAAACGCTTGATGAGCTCGAATAGTCCCTCTTCGTTGATGACCTTGAGATTGTTCTTTTTGATCGTCTCAAGCTTCTTCGGACCTGCATCCTCGCCCAGCACCACGTAGCTCGTTTTCGAAGACGGAGCACCAGTCACCTTACCACCATACTGCTTGACAAGCTCTTGACCCTGCTCACGGCCTAGACGCTCAAGCTGGCCTGTGAAGACGAATGTGAGACCCGCAAGACAGTTGTCTGCGCCTTGTGGCAGCTCACTACTACTGATGGCAGCAGCTGGCACAGCGGAGTTGGCATGTTGGCCAAACTGAAACTTAGGCTTCTCACCTTCGGCCCCGGACTTCGGTGGTGGTGAAGGAGCCTTTATTGTAGGGATGCTGTTGAGAATGGCCGCAACCTCTGCACTGTCCTGCGGTGCGTCTTGCTTAGCAGCCTTCTTCGCGGGTGTTGCTCGTTTCTTCGCAGGCTTGGCTTCCTCCATGTCAAGGTCGTCCTCATCCTCCTCCTCCAATACGGCAGACTTTCGCTTCCTACTTGCTTTCGAGGGCGTCTTCTTGGCCGGCTTGTCCTTGACAATCTTCTCATCCTCGTCCGGCACCACAAAGTCATCGTCGTTGTTAGTGTCCTTCATGTCGACGTCACCGGCCGGGTCAAGGTCATCCTGCTCGTGATCCTTGAGCTTTTTTTGCTTGCCCGCCCTCTCCACGCGCTTCGGCACTAAAGGCTTGTCGTCCTCGCCACCCGTGCCTTCCTTGTAGGTATCACCCATGCGCCTACCAACCGCTGCCTCAGCCTTGGCACCATCTTTGACACTGAGCTCGTCATCATCGTCATCATCCATTACGAAGTTGTCCGGATCAACGTCAATGTAGCTGACATCCTTCTTCTTGCGATCTGAGCTCCTGCCGTTCGTCGTTGCTTTCGAGCCATTGACCTGCTTCTTGGGCGTTTCGTCCACGCCGGGTCTTTCCTTGCCTCTCGTCTTCGGTCTGCCAGTATCGCTGCGTTTGGGCTTGCTGCCTTTGCCGAAGTAATCGTCGGCCGTCGTTTCCTGGTGAACTGCTTCGGGTGCGGGCTGCTTCTTCTTTGGTGTTGTCTTCTTCGACTTTACCTCCGTAGCTATATCATCATCATCATCATCCTCGTCGTCCTCCACCACCTTACGTGGTCTGCCTCGGCCTTTGCTCTTCGTCTCCTTTGGAGCGGGCTTCTCTGCTGGAGGTCCCGCGGGCTTGCCACCGAAGAATGAGCGGATGTCGGAAGGCATTTCGCTCTGCGCGGCTTGAGGAGAATACACAACAACCCACGGGAGCGACAAGCCTCAATCAAGCCAATGCGATAACGAGGGGTCGATTGCCTGTGCCTGAGTGACGCGCTTGAGGCGCGATGTCATGCGCGAAGATCAACCGGAGATAAGCCGAGACATGGCAGAAAGCTACCTACGAACTAGATGTGAACGGGATACACACACTCTGCGGGCCTACCATCATTGAGAACTAAGAGTCAGTGAGGAGATCGAAAACTGCAGCAGAAAGTAGCGGGAGCCTTCAGCACTGTGACGACCATGGCGGCGAAGCGACTCCAGCCAATATCAACCTCCCTTCTCACCTCTTTCACCACCAGGCCTTGCTGTAAGACCTAACCTCTGACGGGTTCAGTTCCTTCTACCTACTAACAACCATCCATAGGCCTATACTCCGCCCTCCGCGCCCTCGTGTCATCCGCGCCCTCTCAAGGCTCTTCTAACCGCACCTTCTCCACCACCCCCAGCAGGCAAGACTGGCTCTCCCCCAAAGCCGGCGAATCCGACAAAGCGCGCAAAGGCCGCCCGCGTGTCCCAACAGGTGGCAGCACACGCGGCACCACTCTCGTCTGGGGCGACTACGGCCTGCGCCTCCTCTCCCACGACCGCCGCATCTCCGCCTCCCAACTCAAAACCGCCGATGCCACCATTCGCCAACGTCTGCGCGGGATGAAATACCGCCTCTATCACCGCGTCTCCGCCACCATCGGCGTTTACACGAGCGGAAACGACCAGCGAATGGGGAAGGGAAAGGGCAGTTTCGATCATTGGTCTGCGCGGGTTGCGGTGAGTAAAGTCGTGTTTGAGTTGAAGGGGGAGGTGCATGAGGCTGTTGTGCGGGACGCGATGAGGTTGGCTGGGAACAAGTTGCCGGGCCAGTGGGAGTTTGTGCGGAAGGGCGATCCGCCGGTGATGGGGATTACGAAGGTTAGGGATCAGGAGATGGAGGCGTTTCTGAGGAGGCCGAGGTTGGAGAAGAGTGTGCCTATGCCGAATATGGAGGGGACGGCGAGGAGGATGCCGGCGACCAGTCCGCCTTGATCTCGATATTCACACATTGAACGTCAATTGTGTTACTGACGCTTCCAACCGAGACCGCGAGCATGGCCATCTCCCCTTGCACAAAACGCACTTCCTCGGCAGGCTCGCCTAGTCATGCGTCTCCTCCTGATCGTTGCAGCCGAGGCGACTGCGCCTTCGCCGTATCAATAGGTGCTGGGCAAGAGCTTTTTAGCTTCATCTTCGATACCTTGGCTGGCTTTTCCCCACCCTCCCGAATGCCTTCGGCCTTACCATTGACCAGCTTACCCGGGCTGGAGACGGCTGCCTCGCCCTCGCGCTTAACGTCCGTAGCCTCTTCCTCGCTCTGCTCGTTAACCTCAGGGAGATCTTCACCCTGCATCACACCGGCGCGCCCAGCCCTCGCTTTCGACGCCGGTCTACTGACGTCAACCTTCACCCCCCAAAACTCACCCCCCGACTCAACACCAGAAGGACGGGACAGAACAAACCGATACATCATCACCTCCACCCCCGCATAATCCAGCCTCCCACCATCCGTGTGTACTTCAAATACGTGCTTGCGCAGATTATGTGCCAGCTTGTGGTCGAATGTGCGTTCTTCGGCGCCGGTGCAGTATCTGCATGTGCGCTCGCCGGGGCAGATGACGACGGGGCCGGTGGAGGGCCAGGGGGTGCGGGTGTGTTTGTGGGTGCAGGAGGGCATCATGCCTGTTGACGTAGGGTTGGGTTGAATGAGAGCAGGGGGGTGAGGGGGAAGAGGTGTTATCGGAAGGCAGTATTTTAGGGGTGAAAGGGGATGTGAATGCTTTCGCCTTTGCGGCTGCCGCCGGCTGATGGGAGGGACTATTCGATCAACAGGTCGTACAAGCATGCTGGACAGGTGGAACTTGGTGGCGAAGTGAATACTACGCCGGCCAGCTGCTCAGTCTCCACATGACTCGAGGTCATCGTCCGACCAATGCGATGCAAACTGGCGACAAAGCAGCCGTTCAGGCCACAATCTCAGCAAGCAGTCTTTAGCACACGTAAGGCTGGCGCCTCATTCAACTACTCCGTCTTCGTGCCACGCTGGCTTGGCATCACGAATCCATGCCTGCATGATCATATCCACTGGGAACGTCAGTACAGCTGCTGCTGCCGGTAAGCGGGAACAAGCACTTGGACATCTCAAAAATGCAGATTGACTACCGGTCGCCTTGTCAACGAATGGGGCTTCTTAGTCAACTTGAACATCGCTGGTGCCTCAACTGTTAGCGAAGCATCGCCGATGCGGGTTAGTACGTCCGCGTTTGCTACATACCGAAGGGAAGACTGCTTGGCCCTAGGTCCGCGCGTTCAACCTCTAGCCTGGCCAGCCAATACGACGGGCACTGCTCACTGCCGGAAGGTGCAACCTGCGGACGATATACTCGAGGGGCCCGTGCTTGTAAGGAGCTGGATTCGGAAGGTGCGACCTTCGCTGCTGTTGATAGCCGTCAAGGTACGGTGGACGGCTCGCAGACCACAGTGCCTACATAGGATCCTCCATTCCTATCTCCACTCCGACCTGACGCTCTTCTTACCGACTCTAACTCCATTCTGCAGGCCAATGAACATCTTGTTAGAACGTCAATGCCTTTGCGACTAGCGCTTGCGCTCCTTCCCTCTTCGTCGGTTGGGCAACTTTAGCGCGATTCGCCACCGCACACGCTCATATCGGTCAGCAGACTCTGCAAACCATACCTTCACCTTCACCCCGTTACCTTTCACTCGAATTCTCAGCACGATCTCTCTCATCAATACCACTTTCCTCATCATCTTCGTATAGCCTTCAAACTCCGCCCCTCACCACATCTCGCCGACGCCATGTCTTCACGCCCACGCTTGCGTGAGATGTTCCTCGCGGCGGGCGGCAGAGTGGATAGGCGCGGCGACGTGGTCTACAACAGCCCCAACAGAGAAGCCACCCAGGCTCAGGCAAGTTTTGCATGCCACTGGTCTTGCTCGCTAGCAGAGGTAATGCTAACCTCACTTCTCAGGACAACATCGAGGCCAACGATGCAGCGTTGGCCGCTCAGGAGAAAGAGCTCGAAGGCCTTGACTCCTTGAACCCGCAGCATATGCTAAGGCGTTCGGCAAGCATTGACAGCGCGCCCGACACCTTCACAGATTACGGTCTTCACCGTGTTTTACGTAAGTACTGGGAATATGCCCATCTCCCCACGGAGCAGGTGAACATTACGTTCGCCGATGAGAAGGAGAAGATGTATCTGCAGTACCTTCGTGAGACCCGCGATGATCTCGCGAAGAAGTCTGCGGAGGCAGAGGCAGCGTTCAGGCAGGCGGAGAGCGAGGCTTTTTCGGCAGATGAAAATGGTCCGGACTTTGCTCGTCTTGACAAAGCTTTCTACGACACGGCCATGACTTTCAAGCGCGCGAAGCGTGATGAGACCAACCATCACATGTGGGTCCAGCAGCTCTGCTCTATGCCGCTGATGACCCGTAATGAGACCGAGAAGGTCACCGCGAAGCGCAAGCAGATATTTGACGCCCTCCCTGAGCAGGACGCCATCGAGGACGGACTGCGTTCGGGTGATGTGCAGGAGATCCGCATCGCCCATCTTCGTCGCGAACTGCTTGAGCTCAAGTCTTACGGCAGTGACCGCAAGGATGTCATCTCCAAGCTGTCGGATCAGAGTCGGCAGCTGCTCAAGGAGCGCGACGGCTATAACGACCAGGTCATCAAAATGGGCCGCAAGTTCGAGATCGAGCAGGCGTTGGCTTTGCACAAACTCGAGAAGATGAACAGTAAGAACAAGGAGCTTCGTGAGGAGGCCATCCGCAATCTGCGTTCGAACGCTTCACTGCAAGAGCGTGTGATGAAGCTTGAGCAAGAGCTCGCCACGCTCCAGGCTCAAGTTTTGCGTGACAGCTACGAAGCCGTGGAGTACGTTGCGTCGAAGCTGCATGTGAAGGTGGCAGAGTACGAGAATCGTGAGGAAGGCCACCGTGCTTGGGACTCGTATGTCGTCTTCTACGACCCAGAGAAGAGTACAGCCCTGAAGCGCGAGATCCGCGCCGATGAAGATTGGTATCGCGAGCATGGCAATCCAGACGGCACAGAGCCTAGTCCTGGCAGAGAGCGTCAGCGTACGCCTACACCGGATGCGAAGGAGGCCGAGGCCATCGGGCAGCACTTGAACCGCCCGGAGACTCCACTGGCCATCATGGTTGGCAGGTTGGGTCCTTTCCGCTCTCCGTCACCATCTTCGAGGAATCTCAGCGGCAATGGTGGCGACATGCCGTCGTTTACGACTTTGTCTGCGAAGGGCAGCCTCGACTCGATGTCCGCAATCATCAACGATCGCGTGTTTCCTCCTCGCGTTGAGCGTAGTCCTACCAGAACCGCTTCGACGGCTGGCAACCGCATGCAGTCACCGGTCATGAACATCACCAGCACAGGCGGCTATCGCGCTCCGGCCATCGTCGTCACTAGCAACGAGGGTGCCGCCACCGACCGCGCCAGCTCGCCAGGTATCGTGGTTCACGCTAGCGTTGAGGACGATGATGCCCGCAGCGACCGCACAGTGTCCCCAGTCAACGTCGAGGAGTCTTCGGTCATCTTCACGCCGCAGGACAACAACGGCCACGTCAACAGCTACGCAACTATCGCTTCCACCGACCACGCTAACGACCATGTCGCCATCACTTCGAACGGCGCCGACGATGACAGTGACCGCACGCCGACGCAGGCGTCCATCAACATCGCCGACAACAGCAGCATTCGCTCTCGTACGTCTGCAATCGGCAGCGATGAGTGCAAGTGGCATGGCGGACTCTGCACTGTCCTGTCTCCACAAGAGCGTGAGCAGACTGGCAAGCACTGCACGTTTGCTAAGGAGATGTTGATGCGTAAGGTGCGCGAGACCAGCGTCTTCACCATCTGAGAAGAACTACGAAAGTTCAACGCTCAGTCACATCTTATGATGTGCCGCAGGTGAGTCCGCGACGAACAGACCCAGCCCCGTACGAAGTACTGATATATATGGTGGCAGCGTCAGTGTCTACACGAATTGCCTTCCTTAGCGCTTGGTGCCCTGCGCTTTGCCCTGCGCTGCGATTTGTATAGCATCGAAGCTTGTTTACGAGTACTACGATTACGACTCACGTTCATTGGGAAGTCCAAGACAACCGTGGCCACTTGGTCTATCGGCGACTTGGGCATAGTCTCTTGATGCAATTGCGGATGGTAGTGGAGATGGGTAGTGCTTCTTGCGGGTGTTAGGGCGTTCATATGGTCGGAGTATGGAAGCGGCGGTGCGCGATCATGGCAAAGCCAGGCAGACGAGCACCGCATTCTCTGCATAGCTCCAACGAATCATGCTCATCATCACCATCGTCCCACTCACTCGTCATTTCATCAGAGCCTTCCACCGCGTCGACCATTAGGGGCTCGTCGTTGACAATCCTGAAGTCTTTGAGCACATCATCCTGCCGCTTGAACATATTGCCAATGTCCCTTCCATTGGCCGTCTTGCTGTCCCCCGCCGTCTCTGCCATATTTGTGACAGCCAGGTTGACCAGGCTCAGGTTCCAGCCTGACTTCTCCGGGTGCAACCTGCGGAACATGCCAAGAAGAGCTTCTTTAACCAGCCGGTCCGCCAGCGACTCGATGCTTTCTGACAGACCGAATATGAAGGTGGGCAGTGGGGCAGAGTGCGAGATACGCTTGAAAGACCGCGCACGTGTGCCATCTTGCTGGAGCGGCTGACGAGGTCGGGTCGTCAAGCGAAGGGTCTTGGGGTGAGCGAGCCACTTCTTGTTGGCAAGTGGCATCGACACTCGGTCGGTACTGCCAAGACCATCGTCTCCGACATCATCATAATCGTCTTCACCAAGCAAGTCGATCCGCATGCGGGTAATGAGGCTCCTCCCCAACGCAGTCAGCTCCCTCAGCAGCTCTGGCATGGTATCAAGCCGGATATAGCTGTCTTCAATGCTGATCTGGCTGGGCACGACTTTGGCTTGGTTGACTTCCATATCATCGACGCCGTGCAGGAGACACCAGATTTTGAAGCCGATGCCGTGCGGTGAGCCTGGCCCACCGAGCAATTTCTCCAGCGTCTCCGGGTTGATGGCAGGGTGGTTGCGGACAGCGGCAACGGTCACGTTCTCTTTCGTGCCGCCGTACACCAAGCCGGAGTCGAAGTCTGCTGGACGTTGAAGTACAAACTCGCGGAGTTTCTGGGCAAGTTTGAAGCCTATACCGGGCACCTTGCCGATGTCGTGGCCGTCCATGAACGTCTGAGCAGTCGTCTCCAGTGGCGGCATCAGTGTTGTTTGGCCCTTTGGCTTGTTCAGGTTGCCGACGAGCTTCGACAGGAGCTTGGATGTTGCAATGCCGACAGTGGAAGTGTAGCCTTTCTGCTGCTCCAGCTGGTGGCGCATGTGGAGCGCCAGATGGCTCCCTAGTCGCAGTCGAAGTGTCAGATCGTCAAGAGATGCGTCCTGGTTGTGGGCGTAGTTGGCTGGGTATGCGTGACTGGCGAGATTAGAAGCATCAAAAGAGAACCCATCCATTGGATCATCGTGGGAGGTTTGGAAGAACGACTGGCCGAGATGGTTGCGATTCAAGGTTTGCATATTGTAGTCAACCATGTCCGTGACATCAAGCCACACCTGTAAGCTGTTAGGTTGCGCTGAAGATTTGAACAAAGGGAGTACCGACCTCATCGAACCCTAACCGCTCCACCTTGCCGTTCCAAGAGTATGCCTTCAAAAAGGTATAGAGCTCCTTGCTCGCATCTCGAAACTTGCTGATATCCTCACCAAGTTCGATGATAACGTCTGGACACATTCTCCGTGCATCTCGAATGAGCTGTAACTTGTACAGCCCCCGTCGTCTGGCTTCGTAGTTGCAGGTCACAATGATGTGCTTCTGCTGGACAGCAAAGGGTAGACTCTTCAGACTTGGGTTCTTTGCTTCAAATACGGCTGCGTAGAAGCAGTCGTAGTCCTGTACCGAATGTGAGCTGAGATGCGACGCTATTCCAAAGCTCATGCACATACGAAATGAATGATCACCCTCCCGTCTCTACGCGACGGAATCTTCCTGGTTTCCATCGTCGCGGCATGGTTGCGCTCCGTGATGTTACGCTAAGGCTGGCGGACAACAAGTCGTATTCGACCGTGTGCACTGGATCGTGTCAATGGCAGAGTTGGTGAGCATCGTCGTCTCTTTGGAACACTTCTTGGCTCGCGTATGTGAAGCAAGCAGAGAAGCTCGGACCACTGACACTTCTACATGCAAATGGAACCTCGGTTCTAGACCTTCACTCACTACACCATATCGCATTGTTATCCTTAGACGACGTAGCACAGCTGACGTTGCTCATCTCAGGCGTTGTGGGAGGTGCATACACGCTGTTCATTGAGCAATGTTGTCACGGCCTCCGACCAAGCTTAGCCTTACGGCAGAAGACATCGCTGCCTACGAGCAGCGCAAGATGATACGAGACGCGCAGCGCGAGCAGCAGATGGACAGTTCGCAAGATACAAGTAACAGCACTGTCGAAGATGCCAGCATTGAGCAGGACCTAACACCTGCGCAAAGTCGAGCGGCCAAGGCCAAGGCGGCACGTGAGGCTCGCATTGGGCTGGGTGGCGGGACTTCAGGAAGGTGATCATGCCGCTATGGCACGACAAGACATGATACTGTCTATCGTCGTCTGTCCTCGCCTGGCCTTATAGCTCCCTGTACTGAGTAACTTTTGGATCTATCGCAGTATCATACCCAAGGGGTTGGTCATGGAAGGGGTGTCCGCATTCCATAGCCATATCGGGCGCCACACTCGCGACGCGTCTCTCCGAAATCCCACAGCTCCCAGCCTACACTACCTCTCTTCTTACGATATGGTTGTTGGTGTACAGGCTTTGTGTGCATTAACACCATCCTCAGAGCTCCCACCCATGCCAGTGATCGAGATACAGTGTTAACATGGCGCCCAATCTAACGCATACCGCGTGTTTGGCGGTCTTGACACTTGCTTTGTCCAGTCTTCTACCAAGCGCCACCGCTCAGGTGCAGAATCCAGTCGCAATATCGCCTCTGGAGCTCAACCTGGAGCTTGAGACCTTCGGAGGTCAAGCCGCTGGGCCGGAATTGCAAGGAAGCTACTACGATATGGGTGTTGACCAAGCACCGCCTAACACTCACAAGCATCAGAAAAGGTATGGTTCCGGTGGTACGTACTGGTATTCCCAAATCAAGCGGCAGGGAAAGGTCGCATACGGCAACTCGTCGTTTGTCATATGGCGGAATGTGATGGACTATGGTGCAAAAGGAGATGGAGTCACAGACGACACGTCTGCGCTCAACAACGCCACGACAGACGGCAATCGCTGCGGCCTTGGCTGCGACAGCTCGACGATTACGCCAGCGATTGTATACTTCCCGCCAGGCACATACCTGATCAGCAAATCCATCATACAGTACTACTACACCCAATTTGTTGGCGATGCAAACAATTTGCCGGTCATACTGGCCGCTCCGAATTTTTACGGCCTTGGCTTGTTTGATAGCGATGTGTACCTCCCGTACGGCTTTAGTTGGTGGACCAACCAGAATAATTTCTTCCGGCACATTCGCAACTTCGTACTTGACATCACGCAAACGGATCCCAGCAAAGGCGTCCACTGCCTGCATTGGCAAGTTGCGCAAGCGACCAGCCTCCAGAACATCGTCTTCAACATGGTTGAAGGCTACCTAGGAGACAACAACCAACAGGTCGGCATCTTCATGGACAATGGTTCGGCTAATTTCTTCGAGGACCTTATCTTTAATGGCGGCTGGGTCGGCTTCTTCAGCGGCAACCAGCAATTTACAGTGCGAAACTTGACCTTCAACCGTTGCGAGACCGGCATCTTCCAGAACTGGGACTGGGTGTTCTTGTACAAGAGTATAACTTTCAATGACTGCGGTGTTGCATTGGACATGACACAAGGAGGCGAGATTCCAGCGACTGGCTCTGTGATTCTTCAGGACTCGCAGGTCATCAACTGCCAGTATGGCGTTCTCTCAACCTTCAGCTCCACCAGCATCCCAGCCTCTGCCGGCACGCTTGTGTTGGACAACGTCAACTTCGTCAACACGGACCCTGCCGTACAGTATCCGAATGGAACAATCATCCTTCCTGGCAACACGATAGTTCAAAGCTTCGTGCAAGGTTCGGCGTACACGGCCTACGAGCAAGGTGAGCAGATCCAGAATTTGACATGCTGGGAGCCAACAGCAAACTACAGCCGCATTCAGCAGCTCATCACACCACCACCAAAAAGCGCAAGCTTAATGGATCCGACGGGAGTGATCTACGAAAGAAGCCGACCTCAGTACGAAGGCGTCCCTGTGGAAAGCTTCAAGTCTATTATCACAGATGGCAAATGCCACGGTGATGGTCTGACGGACGACACTGCGTGCGTGCAGAAGTTCTTCAACAGCATCCTGGACGGTCAGATCGCGTACATTGACCACGGAGCCTACCTTATCCGTAACACCATTAACGTACCGATCAATATCAAGATGATTGGCGAGATATGGCCCTTGTTCATGATTGATGGCACGGCGAAGATCTTCAAGAACCAGAGCAATCCCCAGCCTGCTTTCCGCGTCGGTAACCCGGGCGACGTGGGGACAGTAGAGATGACAGAGATCATCTTCGAGACTCGTGGGCCAGCTCCCGGCGCTGTCCTGATGGAATGGAATCTCGCCGGCACCGAACCCATGGCGACTGGCATGTGGGACGTGCACTGGCGTATTGGTGGAACAGCGGGCACTCTGCTGCAGTCGGATCGGTGCACGAAGAACCCTTTGCACGCTCACGGAGCTAACGCCACATGCTGGGGTGCATTCTTGCTGGTTCACCTGACGAGCACGGCTTCGTTGGTGATGTCGAACAATTGGGGCTGGGTTGCCGATCACGAGCTTGACCGCCCTGACCACAACCAAGTCGACATCTATAACGGGAGAGGCATTCTCGTCGAAAGTCAAGGTCCTGTGTGGATCTACGGAAGCTCGTTCGAACATAGCATGCTTTACAACTATCAGATTGCGAACGCACAGCAGGTCTACATGGGTGCGATTCAAAGCGAGACAATGTGAGTACTTCCGCAACCTCCACCGCTGGCTGTGGCTCTAATGTACTGTACCAGGTACTCCCAAGACAACCCCAACGCCCTAAGCTCGTTCCACGTGAACGATACATGGTCCGACCCCACCTTCTCCGAATGCTTCATCGCCACCTGCTACAAGACTTACGGCTTGCGTATCTTCAATAGCACCTATATCTTCGTATACGGCACCGGTCTCTACTCCTTCTTCAACGACTATGACCAGGGCTGCCTTCTCACGGAGAATTGTCAGCAGTATATGATCAGTCTGGAGCAGAGCGAGGGTGTGTATTTGTATGCGGCGAGCACGAAGGCGGCAGACAGCATGATTGAGGTTGATCAGGTGGCGTTGGTGCCTGCGCAGGGGAATTTGAATGGGTTCTGTCAGACGGTGGGGGTGTTTGAGTATCCTTAGTTATGTCAGGTTGGCTATGTATGCTACCATTGGGATGGTATAGTAGTGGAAAGTCATGATCCAGTTGTTTTCGTAGCCTATGTTCTGCCTCACAGGTCAAAGAGCAGCAACTCTTCGCTAGATAGCGTGTTACAAGTCAAATCTGCCATTTTCCAACCCAGGAACCTCATCATCGCCTCACCGTCATCATCATCAATATCTCGCAGCCTTCCGACAACCCCCTCACACCATCGCGGCGAGTCTGTCGTATCTCATGGTCACAATGCCCAGCTCCTCCTTGAGGACCATGGACGCCGCCTCCTCAACCGTCCCAGCTCTCGCCAAGCCCCTCTCTCTCACCTTCCTAAGCACATCTCTGATACCATCCATGACCGTCTGCGATTCGAACCACTGCGTCGGAGACACGATCGGCGCCTCAACCGGCACGATGTTGTCGATAACGAGCGGGGCTGGGATGCGCAAGTCGCTAAGAGAGACATGCGTCGGCAGCTGAACCGGCTGAGCCAGAGGTGGGATGAGGTCGAAGGCGTTGCCAGCGGCCAAGTCGACCATGCCATCCAAATCGACGAAGGACTCCTAGCCCAACATCGGATCGGTGGTAAGGTGCTCAGTGGTGAAGTCTTCGCTGTTGTAAGAGTCCGGGGTGGCGTTGCGCTTCTTGGCGGCACGCTGCTTGGCGGAGGACTTGATTGCTGGCTTCTTCTCGTCGGCCGGCGAACGGGTCCACTGCTTCTTGAGCTGGACGAAGAGATGGTCGGCGCCTGGCTTGGCGATATGGACGTCGTGGACGTGACGACGGAGGAACCTAGAATGAGCTCGCTGTTAGCGGAGTGAAATGTAGTGAGTAGAGGCTGGGGTGAGGATTACCAGGCGAACTTGAACTTGTGCTTGCCTTCGGCGCCGGGGCAGTACTGGCAGAAGGTCTCACAGCGCTCGATGGTCAACGGTCCGCTCTCGGGCCAGATGTGGGTGTGGTCCACTGCAGAATAAGGAGTGTCAGCGTGCTAGAAGTAGTGGCGGGTTGACACGTAAAGTGACAGAGACATACTCTGAGTGCAAGGCATCGTGTGATGACTTCGGAGTTCTGGCTGGTTTGGTTGGTGAGACCTGACTTCGGTAGGCGTAGGCCTGCCGCTGAAAAGCACCGTGATGATAGGAGCTTGTACTTTGGCCCCGGCCGAGATGGCTGCCAGCAGCTGTCCACGGAAGGTGATGAAGATGCTTGAAATGGTTGCTGTGAAGATGCTTAGATGGCGAAGTATGTTGCTGATGCTATGTGAATGCTTGCGAAATGATGCTTGTGCGAATGAAGATGGTGGTTGTGAAAGTGGAAGAAGCTTGGAAGAGCAGCAGGATGAAGTGCAAGAACTTTTGTGCGTTGCGCGTCGGTCAGTGCGCTCATCTATTGTCGCTTATCCGGACAATAGCAGGACGGCTGGTCTGCGCGTGACCGAGGAATCAGTTTGGGGTGGGGCTGAGTAGTGTGCACCTCACTCACTGTCACTCAAATGGCTGTCTTTGCTCGCCAGGCTTGAAGACCGCTAAAACGCGAATGCTCGGCCGTTTTGGGCTGAAGAAACTGTGTTGCAAGCAGCGCACAATCTACGAAGCTGTTCGAACTATCTGCATGTCATTTCAGGCGTTCGTGCCTAAGATGTTCGTTGCCGACGCTGCTGGTAAGAGACGTTGGCTCTATACCGGACCCTGAATTTCGCAAGCAAGCTTTGGCGCTAGACTTACTTCCGCCTTGACGCAGCAGACATTGATCTGAGAATGGTAGCTCGTGTTTCAAAACGATGAGTGCATTGGTCCATCCGGTGCAAGGTTGGCATAGATGTTGCGATCGCTCCTTGATGGATCCATAGAAGTGCAAAGGCAGGCAGGGCAATGCGGTAATGCTCAATGCTACGAGTGTACTGGACAGACAACGATCGGGCGAAGGGAGATCAAAGTATATTTAGAAGTTGAGTCAGCCGTAGAGCTATGCTATGAAATCTAGAAACTTACACAGAGCTTCTACAAAAGTGGCGGACGAGTCGTAAGCCTTTCCCTCTGACAAGCGTGAGTTGGGGTGTTGACCTGCTACCTCGTGCGCGCCACACTGTCTGGAGAGCATGTCCCTAATTAGAGCACTACATTGCAGAAACAAGAACACAGTCGCATTGGTCTTGCTGTCGCAGCACGCTTCCCGGGCGCCAGTTACAGCAACGAGTCAGCTCATGTTGGGTAGCAAAGTCAAAGACAGGCCAGAGTTCAGCCATCGCCTGTGTTGCTTGTATTTTCGAGCAACATTTGTGCCGAGCACACATTCATGCAACCCCCGTCCGTCAGCGATGCCGAAGATCAAGGGACGAGAGAGCGCGTGAAGTGAGGTCAAGCGGAGAATAGAGCCAATGGTTCGCACGTGACGCGCTAGTCGGCCCGTCTCTGTCCGACGCCCAGTCTGCACCAAGCTTCGATCGCATCAACTGAGCAGAGGCAGAGCCAGCGCCAGCAACACCATCTCACACCCGCCGACACTATGCTCGCCAGCCGTGTTGCAGCCCGCGCTGCCCGAGTGGCAGCTCCACGCTTCTCCATCGCCGCCACCAGAGGCTACGCCGAGCCCGCAAAGAGCCCGGCGCAGCAGCAGAACTCCAAGCCTCCTGTCCCACTCTTCGGCCTTGACGGCACTTACGCGAGTGCATTGGTGAGGCATACCCGGCTCACTTCCATGCAGACGACCTCTCGAAACTAATAGGGAAATGGTAGTACACCGCCGCCGTCAAGCAAGGCACCCTTGACACCGTCTCCAAAGCCCTCGACAACCTCCTCAACACCTTCAAGCGCGACACCGCCCTTCAAACCATCCTCGGCGCGCCCACCCTCTCGGGCTCCGACAAATCCCAAATCATTGCCGAGATCCAGAAGAGCACCAATGTGCAGGACAAGGGCGACACGCTCCGGCACTTCCTCGAAACGCTGGCGGAGAACAACCGCTTGAACCAGCTGGAAGGCGTGTGCGAGAAGTTCGGGACGCTGATGAGCGCTGCGAGAGGCGAGGTCGAGATGATTATTACCAGTGCCGCGCCGTTGGACCAGAAGGTGGTGAGGCAGTTGGAGAATGCGGTTAGCAAGAGCCAGTATGTGGGGCAGGGCAAGAAGTTGAAGGTTGTGCCGAAGGTATGCCTATCTACACACAAACTACTCGTGTACCATGGAACCCACTAACGCTCCAGATAGGTCAACCCGGACATTCGTGGTGGCCTCGTTGTCGAGATCGGCGACCGCACCATCGACCTCAGCGTCTCCGCCAAGATGGCGCGCATGAACAAGCTGCTTTCGGATACTTTGTAGATATGGTTGTTGTAGCACTAGCAGTATAAGCTGTAGCTTCTTTTCAGCATCTTGTTCTCATCACGTTATCGAGCCACACGCGAAAATGCACCCGAACGTCCACCGCCTACACATGTACTAGGATGTAAGCCTAGAGTCATGGTGGACCATGTCATTGGAAGATATTGCATTGTCAGAGCTATGTAGCGGCTCAGAGCCCATCTGATCCTCCAACTGGTGGTGAGCGGCCCTCGTCCCTGGACCTCTCCCCCTTTCTCAGCCCATCAGATCCCCAACCCAAGCCATCAATCCAAGGAGGAGAGACAACCCAAGCCAGGAGTGAACCAACCCACACTCCAAAAGCGGAGAGGGACTACCCAATAAACAACCGCAACAACAGCACATCTCTCTCTTCTTCTTCTTCTTCTTCTTCTTCCAAGAATGAAACGCTCGTTATCAGTCAGCACTATACCCGCTACTCCACCAACACAAACGAAAAGCCGGACACAGCACCGCGCAAAGCAGCTATGTGCGGTCCAGCAAACCGTCTCAGTAGGAGTTTTTAGCGCAGGTTAAGGCGAATGAGCGACTATACCCAAGCTTTTGCCTTTCCCTTCCAACGAGGAAGAGAAAAGGCAGAAGCTCATGTCATGCGCCCAAGTATGCATGACAACACATGTCCGGCTCTTGCCGCTCTACTGTCGCTACTCGTGCAGTGCGTCTCCGCAGACGGCCCTCTCCCAGCTAACAAGTCAGAAATGCATCTCACAGTAAGTCGTCCAGGGCAAGCCACACGTGACGTTCTTTGCGAGTACCATTTCTGGGTCTTGCCAGAGGAGGGTAGTAAGCGGAGGTATCGACACGAGCAGCAACAAATGTTGAGCGGCAGCGGAGCGGGATGGGATGGGGTCCGTCGAGTACCGTGACGTTACCAAGGAAATACAACGCTCTTCCCATTTCCTTCTCAAGCGGTTGGATCCCAAGTATTGATGCATCGCAAGTTCGTCCATGATTCCCGAAAGCGGGAGTCGTGGGTATCTTGCACTATCGTTCTTGCCTTCCAAACCGAGGAAGGAATTCGAAAGAGGGTTTCGCAAACGCATTGCAAGCAGGTGCAGAAGCACGACGCAAGAACGCTGCACAAAAGAACACAGTTTTGTTTCCCGCAAATACCAGCGCGGAGGCTGCTTGGTGCGTTTCTACCGTCAAACTCCCACTCCTCCGCGCAGTAAGTTGCAGCAGGAAGGGTGCGTTGGAGGAGGCAGAAAAGTTGGACCTGACACCATCAGGTCTGAGCATGATTAAAGAACTCAATTTCGCAGTCGCTGACGCAAAACCACCCGGCATATCCTGCGGTATGACAGCAGCGCGTAGCCCAGTGCACGATGGGTAACGCAAAGGTCAAGGTGCGGGACTGACGGCCCAGCTCATGACTTCTGGGTTGTCAGCGGGTAGGGTCAGCGAATGGATTGCGACGTTTCTCGTCGATGGACGTGGGATCGAGGAAAGGATTGAAGGGCGCGGGTGAGGTGGGTGAGAGGAGGCGGACGTCGCCGTGGCTGGAGACTCGAGCGTGGGTTGGTCGGCGAATGGCGGAGTCGACATTCTGGCCATTAACGTTGCCGAGTTTTTCCGGCCGGGGGCTGAAGCCTGTGTTGAGGATTGGCGAGGTTGCGGCGTTGAACTCGAAGGTTGGCATAGGGGTGGGTGCGATTGTGTACTGCTGGCCGTTGTACCTGTTGCCGCTGTTGTCGCCTGCTTGAGCATCACGCGTTGCTTGCTCGTAAGTCGGCACTCGTGGTGTGTCGGAGAGCTCATCAGCTTGGTGACTGTCTCTGCGCGGCTTGGGATCCTTTGGTGGTAGGCGAAAGCCGACGTACAGGCCCTCATCGCCACCCCTCAGCATCATGAAGCTTGCTCTACCAACACCAATCAATGCGATGAAGACCCAAATGAGCAACACGCATGAAGAGATGATGGCCTCTTGTCGCACAGTTTTGTACAAGGCGTTCATGAGCTTGTCAACAGCGCCTGTAATTGCGTCCGTGGCGCCACCGTCAGGGCCAGTGTTCAGCAAGTCCGCTTGTGAGCCTGACACTTTCTGCACGGTACCGAGACTGAAAGTGTCGTTCGCAAGCATTGGGAAGTCCACGTATGCATTGTCGGTCACCCACGTAAGGCCCTTCTCAATGCCCTGAATCTTGAGCAGTACCAAGCAGTTCAGCACTCCGACAATAGGGTCGTATAGTACTGTCCCGCCGAATGTCTCGTTCAGAACGTGCATCGTCTCGTTGACGAACACATTCAGCGTGTTGTTGACCGCGTGAGTGGTAATGTTGACCCAGCCGAACACATCTTTGTTGATCATCGTATTCGTATCGTTGATGATGTGGTTTGTGCCGATGGCCCACTGCTGGCTTGCGTTGTTCAGCTCGTTGATGATGTGGTTGGTGAAATTGATGACCTCATTCTCCATGCTGGGAACTTCCTTCTGCACCGTCTTCAGCAGAACGTATTGGCACAGACAGCTGAACAAGCCGGCAAGAGCGAGTGACAACACGAAAAGCGCGGGCACTGTTGTCGCATACGCAACGCTCCAGCGTACCAGCGCTTTACGGCGGCTTGACGTGAAATGCTCTGCCAGCTTGAGCCCTGCAGAAGAGGTGTACGGTCGCGAGGCGATATAGACCGAGTCCATTGGGTCAAAGGCATCGCTCTTGATTAGGCGCGCTCGGTCTTTCATGAACTTCCACCGCGTGAACTCTCGGTAAGCCATCGGTACCATTGCCAAAATCGCCAGGATGATGATGACAACAAGGAAAACCTTCCGCGCAAGATGTTCGATGTCCACCAACCCATCAAAGAAGGCATTGACGCTGTTATTGTCCGAGCAAAAGGTAAGTTGCTGCTTGGCGGGTATTGGAAACAACGAGCGGTCCATGGTATACCTGGGCAGACTCTCATTAAGCAGCTTCTTCACCTCTTCGAATGGCAGCTTGATGGCATTGTTCGTGAAGTTGTTGACCTGCGCGAAAGTCGGGATCGAAGCGTTGAGCTTGTCAAGGCCCTGATCGTACCCCGTGGGAAGCTGTAGGCTGTCGAGCTTGTTGATCTCGCCTGTGAGGTCAATGGTCGGCGGCGTAAGCTGTTTGCCGGTCAAGGCGCTTGCAACCTTGTCAAGATCTGCCAGGAAGCCATTCATAGCGCTCTGGAAGTCAGTAGCCGCGCCACCGAGGTCTTTCCCGACATCTTGAATGGTGGCGTTAAGGAAGTTGCCGACGTCTTCGGCGACCTGAACGGCTACATGCAAGCTGCCGCTGACTGCCAAAGTGATGAGACAGACGTAGGTCGATGTCAGCAAGTTGATAACAAAGACAACAATCTCCTCGACACCGGTGATGCTAAGTATCAGCATCTGCATCAGCCCGTTGATAGCTTTCTCAATGCCAGAAGCCGAAAGTTCGTTGATGCCATCGCTCATGTAATGTGGCATACTTGCCATCGCGGAGCCTACGTTCTCCACCGAGGTGCACATGCTCAGTGCCTCTTGCCTCGCCGAGCCGGTGTTGTCCTCGAGACTTGCTATCGCGAGCAGAGTGCGAATGAGCACAAGTAGTAGTAATATCGTCCATCGATTCTATCATGCTAGTTAGCGATTATCAGAATGGCGAAAATGTGCGCTGGACTTACAATCCATGTCTGCGAGAGTCTCGCTCGAAGACCAAGATAGGGTGTCAGGTATGGTTCTTGTTGTGAGGGAGGTCGTGATGCGTCCTGCGCAGCGTAGTAGTCACGCATCTCATAGTCGCCAGCGGAGAGAGATGGAGGCGCAGGATTAGGATTATGCTGTTGATTCTCTGAGGAAGCCATGATGGCTGACGGCAATGAAAGTCGGATGCGCCTGATTATACACACTCAGTATGATGACTCGTTTGATCGCTCGCCAGCCCGTGGCGTTCTAGCAATAAAGCAATGATTCAGAAGTGTCGTGGTTCGCGGAAGCGGTAGGCTCGAGGTGCAGATGGTGGCCACGAGAAAGCTCGCGTAAGCGTGATGGACAGGGATGCCAGTGAATGCTGTTGCCAGTATCAAGAAACGCCGTGCATATGCAATCAAAGAAACTCGTGACGTCGTGAAAGGTTGAAGGGCAGCGATCGAGGTAGGGAATGCGGACAATGGGCTTTGACAATAGGAAAAGGCTTCGCTAAAAGCGTTACGAGAACAGTGAACAATGACGCACCATGTTGTCGTAGGCGTGGCCTGTCATGCGACCACAGTCATGGTATACATGCTGGTCTGAAACGCTGCCGCATCTGGTCGAGAAGGCGTTTCGAAAGCCGCCAGCCAATCATCGCAAGCCGACATTTCGGAGTGAGGCACAGCGCTTAACGACAAGCCCGAAGGCCAGTCGTGCGCTGTCCGCTATTCTTGTCGGAACGAGGGCCGGACAAAGAGGCCGACACGTCAAGGCGCTTCTTGCAGTGATTGTATTGTCTTGCGCCGGTTAATGGTCTTGTCGGCAATCCGGCGCATTCGCTGCGTTGAAGTCCTCCCAGTCCGTCGCAAAGCGCACCGCGTGCACCAGACGCTCGTCGCGTGCGTCGCATCCTCCTCGTCAAGCCATCGCAAGTCGCCTCCGGTGCGTGGAGGCGCTCCCTGAAGCCCAAAGTGAATACGGGCGACGAGGAGCGCCCCGACTTCCAGAAAGCTGGATGGCGGAAAGCCCAGCCTTATGAAGGGACTGGAAGCCGGGCAGGTGTGGCGCGTGACACTAGCCACTAGCCTACCTTCTGCACGGTGACGTGACTTGACTGCATAACCTACCTATCTTCCCAGTATGCGGTCTGATGTCTCCTCTTGTGCTATAATTCGGAAGATACAGGATGTTGTGGCTGCTTCGTGGTGTATCGCACTACGAAACCGTGAAACGTGTAGAGAGCACATCGCCTACCGTTTTGAGGGTCGACGATTGCTGTGGCTAAGGTGGCCGCGGCGCAGGTAATCCGTTCGACCTCACGCGTTCATGTTTAGAGATTCGTCGCCCTTCACCACCACCAGTCCGCAAGAACGACTCGTCACCACCTTCGCGGACAGCAGCAATGCAAGCGTATTATTCCGGGGCATCCTATGTAAATGCAGTTGTGCGTGCGAATGTCCCACAACCCTACCGCTACAAGTGGGCATTCAAGCTTGGGTAGAGGTGGACGCAAGCCTATAGACGGCATTGCTCTCGATCACCCTGATGGCAGCATTGCTCATATGGGCTCCGGTGATGGCAAGTGCAGAGTACAGAATCGAATCCAGGCGGTAGACAGGATGGGTGAGCCATCTGCGACGCGCTCTCAGCTTGCTGACCCGTAGTTCGACGCCGACGTTGAAGCAGCGGAGGCCAAACGACCGTAGTGCATAGTGGAAGTGACGTAGCGAGCTTCGGTGTTTGATTCTGGATGACCATGATCCGGTTCTTGGCGGCCATATTCTACCCGAAGCAAGTACTGGAACGATCGCACAGACATTGCACCGGACAGACCGAGCACAAACCTCCGGAGTTATGAAGCTAATTTGTCCAGAACGAGCCGGTAGTCGCAGGAGTGAGCTCGCTGGTACGCACCGCAAAGGGACTCTCGCACCACCAAAGCTCACATCCGAAAGCTCACTTCGAAGGCATCCATTTCCTTCACACTGAACGTCAAGCCTTCCCCCTTGTTTCATAGTCACCACGCTAGCACATCTTCGTATAGCCCTCTCGTCAGCATCAAGTCTTTGGCTTCGCTCACTGCAGCTCATTATCAGCAAGCTCAGGGCTACGAACTTCCACCTTTTATAGGCGGCCAATTGGCATATCTGGATTTAGTCAGATCCGGCTCCGACTCTTGATCTCATCCACCATATTGGCAGCAGTACTGGTGTTCCGATTTCCATACCATCGAGCATCACAACCGACCCTTCCGATCTATCACTTCCGCCACCGACCACAAACGTCTCCCGACCTTCCAGCACGTTAGAAACAGGCTAGATCGTGAAGGAAGGGCCGAAAGGTGCGGACTCCTGTCTCTTCAGCTTCGGATACGCAGGTCTGTTGCCTTGCTTAGTGGTCGGTAGACTCTGCGCTTAGGCAGCATCATTGCGTGCTCACAATTGACACTCGAGGACAAGACTTATTGCCAGCAAGCCAATCGAAAGCTGCTACAACGATACGAACCAAGCATTCTCCAAGCGGCATACAAGTCTTCTAAGCAAGGAAGGCACCATCGAAGGAGCCGTTCAGCAGGCTTGGCAATAACCACGAGTTCCCATTGTCAGACACTCACTTAGAACATCACGTACATTCGACAATCATTGCCAGCATCTCGAAGCTCAGACGCCTGCGAGGAGTAGTGACCTCGCAGGGCAGCACGCAGAACAGGTTGGTTGACGGTACATTAAATTTCTCACTCTTTTTACCATCACCCTACCGCGTACCACATGCTCTTACAAAAGGAACCGCAACCTTCCTTGTGACGATCACGAGCGCAAGTGACCAGGCTCCCAACCATCCATTGCCACCCTCTCATCTTCCCTTTACAGATAACATCATTGAGCTTGACCGCAGCTTCGAGTTAGCATTCACCCACTCACAGTCAGCACAATGAGTGGTCCAATGTCATGGCGAACTCAGTCCAGACCTCTCCGCACCCCACGGCAGTCACCCCGCGACACACTATCCCCCACACCGTACACGCAGTCGCGGACGTGGTTATCTCCGAACTACAGAGGCTCAGCACGCCCCACAGGTCCCGCTCGTCGCAGCAACCTCCAGCTCAACGACGCTCGGCGAAAGCTCTGCCCCAACTCACCCTTCTGGCACCGCGACTTCGACTTAGACCTGCATAAGTCCGACTGGAAAGCCGGCGAACTCCGCAGAAAGCAGGCTCTACTCACCCAGAAGGCGCACGAGCAAGATCTACACGACCGCTTACACGACCCCAACACCCCTGACAGACCCATCCGCCGACCACTAACCGGCATCCTCTTCCCCACCCAACTAAGCGGCACCCTCCTCTGCAACCGCGGCAGCGTGCTCGGCGGTGAGGAAACAATCTGGTGTCCGCAATACCTCTCCTACAAATCCGACGTCGCTCCCTGGCCCAGCAGACACGAGATGGACTACGAAGGCGACGGTCGGCTGGCCACGGACCGCTTGCACCGTCGCTTCCTGCCCTTGCCGCGGGTCGATGAAGATGCTGCTTCACAGCAGAAGAACTGGCAGCACAGGGCTGTGGTGCCGCAGGCGTGGTTTGATGAGGTTTATGCCTGTGGGCCGGAGAGGTTGGACAATCCGTTGAGGATTTCGTGGGAGGATGTTTGGTTCAGGTGTTTTTGGGTTGGGGAGAGGGAATTTGAGGATGAGAGTGGGGAGGTGGATGGGGAGGGGAAGCATGCGGTCGGCGAGGCGTTGTTGGCTGTGTTGGATCCGTCGGATCAGTGGGTCTGAGGGTGGCGCAAGGGACCGCCGGCAAGCGACCGAGAGCACAAAAGCGTTCGGGATGACGGTCCGCGACAAGCAAGCAGCAGAGACCTATGAGTTCGGCGAGTGCGCGTTGCGCATCGACTTTTTACGCTGCATCTGCATCTCAGGCATTGGGTATCAGCATTTCAGGCGTTGAACATCGGCTTTTACGGAGTCAGCAGGCGAGGAGGGAAGGCGAGGGCAGCATGACTTACGAGAGCATACGCCCAGCGGCCAGCCAAAGCAGCGAGGCATTTACCTGGTGCTATACGGTGCATTTTCGGCTGCATGCATAATAGGAGTCTGCTTGCATCTCAAAAGCGATGGATCTTGAGCACTATTTAGTCTAGTTGGCTCTTCTGCATAGCGTGGCGTGGTAAAACAGCTACAGACCGTAATTCGCTCTTCAATACAGAGCAGGAGGACTGCACAAAAGACACTGGGTTATTTCGTCACAACGACTACTCGCAGGGAACTACGCTTGTCGTCGTACCCATCCTATACATTGTCTGCGTAGAATGCACCGTTCCCGTGTCTCGGCATGCAGACCACATCTCCAGTATCAGCACATACCTCATCAACTTACATTCAACGACTCACCTCGTGCGCACATCGCACGCACGTAGCCACCACCACCTTGCCTCAAACCCCTCACAACCCCAACCGGCCAACCGCCTCACTCATCATCCTAACCTCCCTCTTCGCCTTCGCCCTCGCTTCCCTCTTCCTCTCTTCTTCCCGCAAAAACTTCATCTCCACCTCATCGCGACTCCGCCGCTGATACGACGCCTCCGTCGACCACGTCCGCTCCGGTGCGGGAGGCATAAGTGGGAAGCGCAGCTCGTTCATGCGGATCGCCGGTGCGTCTGGGACGATTAGGTTGGTGAAGCGTTTGGGATTTGTTGGGCTCGGGAGTGAGGGGAGGGGTTTGTTTGCTGTAGTGCTGGTACTGGTGCTGGTCTGCTGGGGTTTGATTTGGAGCTGGAGCTGGAGCTGGCTGAGGACTGGGCGGGAGAAATGGGGAATGTTCGTGCGGGCTGTGGTTGTGGTGACAGTGGTGGGAGCGGGAACGGGTTTGCGCTTGATTTGTGTTGGCAGTGGACGGGGCGGTGAAGGTGGGTTTGCAGGTGGGATCGGTGCGCCGCCGCTGCTTGGAGAGTTGGGTTCGAAGTAGGAGTCCCATTTTCCGGATTCGACGCGGCTGTAGTGTTTGCGGAGGGTGGCGGTGTCGGCGAAAGCTAACGGGGTGTTGGGGCGGTGGATTTCCGAGTTGTCAAACTCGCCGGACTCGATGCGGCTGTAGTGCTTGCGGTGAGTGGTTGTATCGGCGAAGCCGACGGGTGTGTGGTTCCTGTCTTGGCTCGTTGGCGTGGGATCAGTAGCCTCGGGAGCCTTGTGCTCGGGCTGGGAGGATGTCAGCGGCTCGTTGAAGGGGTTGAAGCTCCGGTCTTGGTACGCCAAATATAACCCACCTGTACTTGCAGAAGGTGTCACGAGAGGCTTGCGCTCGACGGGCGCGCTCTTGCCCGGCAGCAGGCTGTCCGGGTGTCTGACCTTCCTTGGCGCTCCATGCGTGATTGACGGCGCAGGGATGGAAGTCGAGCCGTTCAACGCATCTAGTGCGCCCTGCCGATGCTGCTGCGTCTCTCCGTCACTGTCACCATCAGCTTCAGGACAAAATTCGCAAAGCTTCAAGTCGGCCACTTTGGGAATGTAAGGCAGCGTCGCACTGCTACTCCCCACCTCTTCCACCAGCGCAGTTCGCTCAGCACGCATCGTGTCCCGCTTCGCGGCTATTAGCCGTGTGAACCCATCCATACGATCGCAGAACGAACGGAATGAATCAGCGTTTGCGGTCATTTCGGTGCCTCGCCACGAGACGCGGAAGATGCGATGAGGATCCACCTGGCCTGAGTATTCGTTTGACTCGGCGATAGAAGCCGGCGTGTCGTCATCCGCCTGCTGCTCACCATCAGCAGTGTTGACAGTAGTAGCGGTGAAAGCGGGAGATGGCGCACGAATGACTTCTGTCACGGCCGGATGAGCAACGAGCACGCTTCTCCTTACCACCTCCGGGTCCGAGAAGGAGCCAGTGTGGGAGTGGACGGTGAGTCTCTTACCTGAAGGCGAGGTCTTGACGATATTAGGTAGTTCGGAGGAAGAGGCGGAGGAACCCTGTCCCCTGACGGTCCCGCGGCGACGAAGGGAGCCGTGTGAGCGAACGGAGGACGTTCTAACAAGCTGGTTAAGCCGGGCACCACCGATGAAGTCAATGCCGCTGTGTCTGGCGCCCGGCGAGGTGAAGCTGGGCGGACTGGGGTTGGTGAGCCGGTGAGCACTGCTGCCGAAGAACTTGCCAAGCTTGCCGAACGTCTGGCTGATTTTGTGGCAGATACGCTTGTTGCGCAGCCGGAGGGAGCGGCGCTTGCGCTGCTTGATGCTGCTAGCTGGAGATGGTGGAGCGGCCGACTGGTACATTGTCGAGGTAGCGCCGTCTGTTGCTTGCGCGCCGCTTGGTGTAGGCTGATATGGAACGGAGGGCTGAGCATCTGGCAACATAGCAGTATTGAAGATGCCGGAGAAGGTTGTCTGTGGTCTGGTGGAAGTCTCCATTGCTGCTGAATTAGTTGAAAGAATCGTTGCGAATGACGGAGAAAGATGGGCAAGTGTGAATAACGGTATGATTTGACTGTGCTCTTCTTTGCAAGTGTTACCAGCCAACCGTAAGAGAGTCACCCCTCGTTGTCCTTGGCGGAATGACGGGAAGCAAACGGGTCCAATAAACGATGAAGCAAGATCAGCCAAGCGCTGCTTGTGGGTAGACATGAGGGTGACCGCTATATGCCAGCTCGAAGCGAACAAAGAGAAGTCGAAGAATGATGGCAAGTGACAAAGACGCCGTGAAAGCCTCGAGGCACACAATGGTACAATGGACAAAGAAATGGTGGCTTACTTGTCATCGACACAACGGAGAGGCCATGATGACGTAGGCAGAGGTTGCAGTACGAGTTGTGGTATCGTACAGCAGGCTGGTATAGGATGGTTGATTATTGACGGTAGTATGTGGTTCTGCTAGCCTGCAGTTTTCGGACCGCTTCTAGATCATCGAACCGGCGGTAAGCGTGGACATTGATGGTATTAAGAAGCACGCTTCCGCATCACGGACTGTGATATAGGTCGCGCCGGGCTGGGAAGATGTGCGGTGTTGTTGCCATAGTTCCAGGCATCGTCCGTCGTGCTTCCGCAGCGAGCAATGACCCAACATCAAGGGTCCTGGACGACTCGAACCCCCCAAACCCGCGCATGTAGCGAACCGTGTAGCTTTCAGCCAAAACTGTTCCCCCACTCACCTCCCAATCCAGATCCCCTGCCCCAACCCGGGCCCACTCCTCTCATTGACCGGCCTCTTCGCCACCCTCCCCTGTCCCCTCACCCCCTCCACGATCTTCTCCAACCCCGTCTCCACCACCACCCCACCCACAATCATCTCCCCCAACACCGCATGCAGCACTTCGAAATTGAAAATCAAATCCAACTCGCACACATTCTCAAACAACCGATCCAATGCCTCCACGAAGACTTGGATCAGATCTAGTAGTGCGAGGGGCGATTCGGTGGAGGTGGAGATGAGGATGAAGTAGAGGGTGGCGTAGTGGCGGTAGGTGACTAGGGAGGGTGCGTCGTTGTGCTCGGGGGTGGTGGGCTTGGTGGTGGTGGTGGTGGTGGTGTTGGTGCTGTTGGGGGCGAGGAGGGGAGGGAGGGGGAGGAAGTTGCAGCTTGAGGCCGGACGGGCGGAGACGAGGGTGAAGATTTCGGAGAGGAGGCGTTGTTGGACGGAGGTGTCCTTACTTACGCTTTAGCTGGAGGTGGTGGTGACTACTACGGGTGGGGTATGGTGGACGCACGAGTTGGGTGTAGAATTTGGTTAGGCGTGGTTGGCCGTTGTTGTTGAAGACGAGGACGGCGTTGATCATGGTGGCGGTGGCATGTCTACTCTTTACGTTCGTCTTCCGGCAAGAAGTGGGCGTGAGATTGAACAAAGCGTAGACCCAACACGTTATGCGTGGGAAGAGGACGGTCACATGATCAGCGAGCGTTTGCCACCGTTCATGCAGCCAGCCGCTAGACCCCGTCTATACGAACCAATCGAAACTGGCGTCTTCCCTCAAGTGAATGCTGCTATAGCAACCCATATGTGCTGACAACATTGGCTATAATGCGTGAATGGACATCAATTAGTATACGATGAGAGCAAGCGTGATAACCCTCTCCTACTCGTCATTGCTCTCACAGGTCCCAAAGCGGCTCGCCTTCCCAGTACATCCACCAGCATCAAAGCTCCCCATGCCCTCCCACTCCCCCCCCTTCTTCAACCCTCTCCCTCCCCTCCACCAAAGCCATATACTCCTCCTCGCCCCTACAAAACCACCACCCCATTTCAAACGCTTTCCTCAACCTCCCCAACGCCTCCTCCGCCCGCGCATACGCCTTTCCCACCGGCTTGAACGCTTGCTCATGCGCCTCACGCGTCTCCGGCGGTTTCTGCGTCAACCGTTGCCATCTACAGAGTCGGTTTTGGATGGGTTCGAAGGTGTTGTATTCGTTTAAGAAGTGGAGGTATGCGAAGCGTGTCTCGGTGACTTCTTTGGCGAGGGTTTCCAGGACGTGGTAGCAGGCGTTGGCGCGGTCGACGGTGTGGAAGAGGTGGTGGGCGGTGGGGGAGTTGTCGTCGCAAGTAGGGCGGGTGAAGGTTGTTTGAGGTTGAGTCGAGGGAATGGTGGCGTAGGCGGTTGCGGCTGTGGAGAGCGCGATAGGTAGGATCACTGCTTGGAGGAGACGCATGATCTGCTTGCTGTGTTGCGTAGATTGGACGTAGTCGTAGGTATCTTGCAGGTTTATAGCTTCCTATGCCGTATTAACCTGAACGATTGCTTGGCCGCGTTTGGTAGGTAGCGATGCTGCTGCCGCCGATGTTGGTCGCAAACAATACTGAGCCTGACTTGGGATGCTCCAAACCATCATGCGTATCGGTCTCTGCTCCATCCACGGATTCGTGTCTTGCGCTTGCCATGACCTTCTCGTTGCCCGTCCGAACCTGACAAGCAGGCATGATCTCTTTTTACGGCAAGCACACTTGCAGCGTCGCAGCCCGGTCTACCGAGGTGGTCACCGCATGCCATGTAGTCATCACCATCTCGCCTCTTCTACACCACCAGTCTCGCCTCCCGTCTTAACCACTCCTCCCCTCCGCCGCCCTCCGCTCAACATACCACCCCTTGTCCGGCCTCCGCAACTCCCTGAGCTCCTGCTGAGTCAACGCCTGGTCGACTTCCTGCACATCCACCAACTCCTTGACCGCGAAGATTTGACCCGCGACATCGGGGCTGACGGGGTGGTAGACGGTGCGTAGGCGTTTGTTGTGCAGACCCAGGGCGGCGAGGATGCGGGAAGTGCGACCGGGGAGACCAATGGCGGAGCGGAGGAGGGTGATGCGGAAGTAGCGTTGTGCGGATGACATGTTGGTGCGGTGTTATATTGAGGGATGTGAAGGTGTGGAAGAGGGTGCGATGAGAAAAGTACTGTAGCCAATGCTTGAAGCTCCACCTCCGCAAACTCCTCCGCATTGGCATGCGCGCAACCAAGAGATATATACACTACACCATACACACACCACCCGCCTCTACCGGCGCAACACCACCACCATGAACGAACCACCACCCCCCGAAGACGCAACAATGCGCCTCGCCGAGATGTTGAAGAACCCGGAAGACCTCGACAAACTGCCCTCCCTCCGCACCGAGTTCACGCGCAAGAAAGCCGCCGTCGACGGCCAACTCAAACTCGGCCTTGGCGCCCAACTCACCACCACCCAAAATGGCATGTCCGCCCTCACCGAGTCGTCGAGGCTGGTGGCATCGATCAAAGACGAAATGGCCAAGATCGACCGGCTCTGCGCCGAAGCGGCCACCATGATCCAAGACTTCCCCGAGGTCAACAAGATGAGCGTCATGCAGCGCAACTTCGCCGCGGTGGAGGGCATGAAGGGTCGTATTGATACGTTCGCGGAGCGGTTGGGGGAGATACAGGAGTGGTTGGGGGAGGATGCGCAGGAACTTGATGTGCAGACCAACTTACTCGCGGTGCATGAGGGACTGACCGGGTTGAGGGAGGTGCGGGATGAAGCGATGGAGCAAGTGGGACGGGCGACGGAGGGAGGGGAAGCGGAGAGTGGGGTGGAACTTATGGAGAACTTACCTTTGGATGGCGGGCCGACGTTGAGGGAGTATTTTGTTAAGTTGGACGAGGTGGTGGAATGGTTTGATGAGCACGTGCGGCATGTGTGTGAGAGTGTGATTGCGTTGGTGCAGGCGGGGAATCATGGGTTGGTGGTGCGGATGGCGGTGGTGATTGAGGAGGAGGAGCGGAAGGATCGGCAGGTGAGGGCGGTGAGGGAGGCGCAGAAGGAGTTTGGGGAGGTGGTTGCATCCAGATTCCGCAGTCTGAATATCTACGGGCAGAGGGAGGTGCGAGATTACCTGGGCAAGTTGTGGAAGAGCGTTGAAGCGAGCGCGAAAGTGCAATTCGAAGGTACAGCAGACGCCTTCGACCAAGACCCCGAACGGTTAGAAAAAGCCTGTCGCTGGTTCTTCAACGATCTCAACACCGTCAAACTTGGCCTTGTTGAACTCGTCCCCAAACGCTGGAAGATCTTCCGCGCCTACACCAACATCTACCACAACCTCATGCACGACTTCCTCATCCGCACCCTCGACAACCCCTCAATAACTCCCGTCCACATGCTCGCCATCCTAAACTGGGTGCCGAAATACTACGACAAAATGCGCCGGCTCGGCGTCAACGAAACCGAGCTGAAACCCCAACTCATCGACAACCGCGAACTTGACCTTGTTCGTGAGTACCGCGGCCTCATCACCAAAGCGGTAGAGGAATGGATGGAACGTCTCTCCACCGCGGACCGCAAACAATTCCTCGCCCGCGACGAAAGCAGCCTCGACCAAGACGCCGACGGCCGCTTACATACCAAGTCGTTAGGGGACATGTGGACGATGCTGCGCGAACAACTCGCCGTGGCGCAAGCCTCCGGCCGCACAGACGTGGTGGAGGGAGTAATAGACGCCATGATCCGCGCGCTGAAACTGCGGCAGAAAATGTGGGAATCCCTGCTCGATGCCGAATTCCGCAAGATCGAAGAAGCCGCCGCAAACATCACCACCACCACCGGAGGTGGAGGAGGAGGAGAACTGGAAGGTCTATCCGCCTACCAAGACTGGCTAGTAGCAATCGCCAACGACCAAATCACCTGCATCGACGACGACACCACCATCACCTCCTCCCCCACAACCACAGCCACAACCACGACCTCCTACCTCACCCGCTTCAAATCCGACTTCACCCCGCTCGTCTCCCCCTCCTACCCCCTCACCGCCGCCCCGGACCTCGAAGTCCTCACAAACGGCTACATAGACCTCGCCTCGCACTGCATGTCCCTCTTCGCCCGCCTCCTCTTCGCCACCGACTTCCGCGCCGTCATCCGCACCTTCTTCGTCCCGCCCGCGTGGTACGGCGAGCAAGGCATGAAGGCCATCACGACGACGTTTGAGGATTACCTGGCTGGGGAGGGGAATGTGACGCAGGTGCTTCATCCGTCCCTGCGGGATATCCTGGTGGAGGAGTTGGGCGACGCGGCGTTGGTCGCTTACCTCAGTTCTGTACGACGGAATCGGGGGGTACGGTTCAGGAGGGGTGACAATTTCACCGAAAAGATCAAAGAGGATGTCGTGACCGTGTTCAATTTCTTCGGGAACTACCCGGATACGTTTGATTTGGTCAAGGATAAATGGCGGGCGGTCAATCATTTCGAAAGCTTACTTTCTGCCGATAAGAACGCGGGTGGTGGGTATGGCGCGGTGGTGGAGGCGTTTGTGAGAACGAAACAGGCGTATTGGGATGTGCAGCTGGCGTGGGTGGAGGCGGTGTTGCGGGCGAGGGATGATTTCGATAGGGGCATGCTGAGTGCGGTTAAAAGTGCGGCGGCGAGTGTGGAGGTTGAGAGGGGTGGGGGGGAGACTGTGATGGGGAGGGTGAAATAGTGATGCTACTACAGCATGTGTGCAGCTTCTCGTTGTTCGAATTTAGCGAGGCGTTGGGGGTTGCCCTCGCGTGTTTTGTAGCGAGCCGCCGTTCCACGTTCTGTGGCCAGATCCTGCTACCATGGCATAATTTCCACTTCCCATGGTGTCATGGTATATTCCGGTCTTCAACCATCACGCCCCCAAATCCGGCACCCCCCAAGGCGTCCACCCCGGATCAAACGACCAATTCCCCACCGTCCGAAACACATCCGTACTCACCCCTTCCTCCCCGACCAAAAACCTCTCAAAAAATGCCTTAATCTCTCCCTCCTGATCCGGCGGGAAGGAGCAATGATTATGCGGCCCATCCTGCGAAAACCCCTGATTCGACGGGACACCCAAAGCCCGATAGATCTTATTCGCCGCCGTCATGCACTCGAGATTACTCCAGTCCCCCAACCACAAGAACCCGACGTTCGATGTCGAGTAGAGACCCCGCGGCGCCACCAGCCCCGCTAACTCGTGGTGGTCCACTGGCAGTAAACCGATCGTATAGTTGTCCCGTGCGAAATAGTCGAATGATTCGGCGAACCAGACATTTTCCGTAACAATCTCCCAAGCCGTTTGCGTAGCAAGTTGGCGATTGACGAGCATATCCCGACTGGTCCGCCAACAAGCGTCACCCCCGCTCCCGGACTCCTGCGGGATGGTGAGAGCGATCCGTGTATCGAAAGCGCCGGCGACCAACGCGCCCTTGCCGTTGCGGGAGCAGCCGGTCACGGCGAGGCGGGCGGGGTTTATACCGGTTTCTGGATGCGCTTCCAGGGCGTCGATGATGCGGCTAACGGCCCAGGCCCACGCCATCAGCGCGCCGGCTGTGGTGGTCGTGTTGCCGTAGAGGTCGTAGAAGACGCCTATGCCGCGGCTGGCGGGGCTGTTCTGTTGGGCTATAGTGTCGACGTTGAGGAGGATGGTTGCTGCTTGAGGTGGGATGGGAATGCTGACGGCGTCGTAGACGATCACCGCTGGGATTGGGGTGGAGGCGGGGGTTGTTGTGTTTGGGTAAGTGATCGGGACGGAGAAATTGATGGTGTTGGCGTGACTCAAGCCGGCGACGATGGTTAGGGTGTTGTTGGCGAAGGTGGAGGTGAAGATTGGTGGTTTAGGTGGTTTGTAGCCGAGTTCGTATTTTTGAAAGAGCTCACGGAGTTGCGCCGCGCGGCATGTCCAATCGGCTCGGTTGCGTACGGGCTGGCCGTTGAGGAAGTGGAATGGATCCGGGAGGGTGTAGGTCTGGTTGATGAGCTTCATGTGAGGTGGGAGGGTTGAGCATGATGCTGGGCAACCCGCGCCAAACTCCGCGCCGAACGCGTGCGCTGATGCAAGGGCAGCAGCGGCGACTGCAGTAAGCAGTGATAGGACTCCCATGTCGTCTCTTCGTCAACAGTGATACCGGATGAAAGTGTGGTGTAAGCTCATGCTCGGCGGCGTCCTCTTATATTCTTTTGCGTGAACAAGCCGGCATGGCGGAGCGACATCGTGCATAGCCGCAACATCTTGCTCTGATCGACAATACGGTTTCTCCGTCTAATTGTCCATCAATCGTCTTCTGGATCTGCTGCACTCAAGTGGCAGGCATCTTGGGAGTTGCTGTGCTGTGCTTATTCGCATGTGAGGGGTGAGTGCCGGCTAAAGTAACCCGCCAAGTGTACCTGCATGAGCTCTCTGTAGCTCTACTCGGCTTCCTCGGCTGTCAGAACTTGAGTCGAATGGATTCCTCAACAGTGTCTGGCATCCGGCGTCCGACATTATAACGACACATCTCAGCCCGCCCCCAAATCCCTCAACGCCCCCCTCAACTCCCTCACCGCTGTAGCGACATCCTCGAAATTCAACGCCGAAATGGCCCATTTCGCATGCTTCTGCGCACTGAGGACCGACTCATCATCCGTATTGTATCCCCTTGTGGGCGGTGTTCGCCCGGAAGCGACCTCTCCTCCAGCACGAACGGGCGGTTGATGACTGGCAGCAGGTCCGGCGGTGGAAGTAGGCGCCGGCGGTGCGTTTCGATATCGATATGGTGCAGGCGCAGGTGTAGGCGCGGGCGTGGATCGCCCTGGCAGTGACGTAGTCTCCACATCTGGATGGAACGAACCTGCACTTCCACCTCCACCTCCACCTCCACCTCCACCTCCATTAAGTGGCGGCGGTAACGGTGTAAGCTCCGAAGCCGCTCCTCTTGCGGACGGCGAAGTGACAGTGGTAGTGGTAGCATTAGCGCTATAAAACTCCGCCGGGTTGTCAAGGCGTTGGTACGTCGTAGGTTGCGGCGCGACGATGGGTGGCGTCTTCGGCGGCGCCCCTCCCCCTCCCTCTCCCTCTCCGTCGTCCTTCTTAGCGTCAGCGTCAGAGTCGGGCATCGGCGTATCTTTCTCCTCCTCCCCCTGCCCCTCCCTCTCCTTTCCCGCCTCCTCGTCTTTCTCCGTGATAGCAGGAAAGGTATCGGCGGGCGTGGAGGGGAAGTAACCTCCGCCGAGGGAAGAGTGTCGTTGCTGCTGCTGTTGCCCTTCGGACGGCTCGATGGGCGAGACATCGTCGTGGTTGGTTTCGCTCGCCTGGCTCATGGATTGGCTGGTCTCGCTCATGGCTCGGATGGGGTAGGTGGGTCGGTGGGAGAGCTTGTCCATGTCCGGGTGCGGCGCCGACGGGTTGGGTGGGGATGGATCCTCTGCGTTCTCGACCGTCGCTTTTTGGTAGAAACTTTCCGTTCGCGTGCCATCGTTTTGCTGCTGTGACTGTGATTCCATGGCCTTGAGTTCGGCGTCGATACCGTCGTCCATCGGGAGCGCAGGCGGTGCTTCCTCGGCAACGACCGGATTACTCGCGTTCGGATCCTCGCCCGCCTTGATCGCCTTGGCAATGCGCAAGGCGTGATACTTGGCGAACTTGCTCTTGGCCGCCATTTCCTGATCCAGCGGGCCCCAGATGGTGAGGAGGTCGATGAAGGTGGCTGCCGCCTGGAAAGTGTCCGCCGTCTGCCTCGTCACGTGATGGCCTCTTTGCGCCTCGTCGGCACGGTGGAACGTCTCGAGGGCGAAGTTCTCCACGTATGCCTTGGCGGCGATGTCGTCGATGATGGCGTCGTTGGTGGTGTTCGCCGCTTTGGTCTGTTCCAGCTTGTCCATGAGGTGGATGGCGTAGTTCTGGCTGTCATTGTCGCCGATGTGGAGTTGTTTGGATAGGATTTGTTGGAGGGCGTAGTACTCGCACTGCCAGACCATTAGTATGTCGCTCTCACCATCTGGGTTGGTATGGCATGGTATATCGCACCCAGTAGCTCACTATCGGCCTGTACTTCTCCAGCTGCGCCGCCCGTGTCGCAAATGGCTGGATGCCCGCACTCTTCAACTTGCCCGGTAGAGGTGTCGCCATCCTGCAGCTTTGATTGAAGACAACTGAATGCTGGACAATCTATAACGGAAGCATTGGGGGATTAATGAATATCTACCTATATCAGATATGTTTCAGGGTGGAGAAGGTGGGTGGAAAGAGGGTCTGGTGGTGCCTTCCCTCTGCGGGACAAGGTTCGCGCCACTGCGGGGAAAGCTACCGTTTCAGGGTTGGACGCACATGCCAAACAGGACAAGTTGCTCTTGCTCCGTCTGACACTCGCACATATAGCAGCAACAACCACCTCCTCGCACCTCCCTCTCCACCCTTCCCACCTCCCACCGCCCACAATGCTACTGTCTCTCACCCTCACCACCCTCCTCCTCCTCCTCCTCCCCTCCACCCTCGCCGCCGGCCTATACACCACCCACTCCCCCGTCCTCCAACTCGACGGCACCACCTACCACTCCCTCATCGCCAGCAGCAACCACACCGCCATCGTCGAGTTCTACGCCCCCTGGTGCGGCCACTGCAAGAACCTCGCCCCGGCCTACGAAAAAGCCGCCAAATCCCTCTCCGGCCTGGCCAAAGTCGGGGCGGTGAACTGCGATGCCGAGGAGAACAAACCCTTTTGCGGCTCGATGGGCGTGCAGGGGTTTCCCACCTTGAAGATTGTGCGGCCCGGGAAGAAGGCGGGACGGCCGGTGGTGGAGGATTATCAGGGCCCGAGGAGCGCCAAGGGGATTGTCGAGGCGGTGGTGGAGAAAATCCCGAATCATGTGCGCAGGTTGAAGGATGGGGATTATCAGGGTTGGTTGGAGGAGGGGGAGGGGCCGAAGGCGATCCTCTTCAGTGACAAGGGGAGTGTGAGTGCGTTGTTGAAGGCGATTGCGGTGGACTTTTTGGGGAGTATTAGTGTGGCGCAGATGAGGGATAAGGAGAGGCAGGCAGTCCAAGTGTTCAATGTGGACAAGTTCCCGACGTTGGTGTTGTTGCCTGGAGACGGCAAGGATCCCATCCACTACGACGGCGAGATGAAGAAGGAAGCCATGGTCGCCTTTCTCTCGCAAGCCGCCCCTCCAAACCCAGATCCAGCACCAAAGGAGAAGAAGAAGAAGAGTACGAAGAGTTCAACTACGGACAAGAGTAAAGCGAGCAGAGCCTCCTCCACCTTCTCCAAAGCATCCGCCGCAGACGAGTCATCCAAATCGCAAAGCGCCAAAGCCTCGCAAACAGCAGAAACGCTAGAAGACGAGCCCATTCCCACCGCCACCACCAACCCCGACATCCTCCCCGAAGAGGAAGGAGAGAGTACAGAAAGGCCCATCAGACTCCCCGACCCGGCTCCACCCATACCCACCCTCTCCGACGAACTATCACTGCAACACAAGTGCCTCAACAGCAAAGCCGGGACCTGCATCCTATCCCTCTTACCCAACACGGACGACACAAGCTCCTCCCAAGCCATTACCAGCCTAAGCGAAATCCACCACAAACACGCCCAAGCCTCACGCCCACTCTTCCCCTTCTACGCCCTCCCCGCCTCAAACCCTCTCACAACCGCCCTGCGCTCCGCGCTGAGCCTGGAAGCAAACACCCTCGCCCTGATAGCGACAAACGGGAAAAGAAGCTGGTACCGGCTCTACACCCCACCCAACCCCACCTCCTTCTCCCAAGTCGAGATCGAGAACTGGATCGACGCCATCCGCATGGGCGATTTGTCCAAATCCGCTCTACCGGAGCATCTCATACCCGCGGCCGAGGAATTACCGCCCTTACCCGCAGCAGCAGAGGCGGAGGCAGAGGCAGAACCGATCAAGATCGACTTGTCCGATCCGGAGACGCTGCGGAAGGTGATGAGTGGTGAGGGGACGGGGCCGGGGGGAGTGCAGTTTGAGATGGAAGAGGTGGGCGATGGGGAGTATGAGAGGATTGTGAGGGAGGCGAGGGAGAGGGCGGAGGCGCGAGAGGCGCGAGAGGCGCGGGAGGCTGAGGGGAGGAGGAAGGGGGAGGAGGCTGCTAAGGGGGAGGCGAGGGGGGCTAGTCAGGCGTCTTACGCGGCGGCGGCGGCTGGGCATGAGCCGGTTGCGGAATCATTGCTTGTGGAGGAGCATGATGAGCTGTAACGAAATTCAACTAGTTTTGCAAATTTGTGATGTGTTCGTTCGGTATCGATATCGACATCATGATGTTATGTTATTACTAACGACGTACTGTACTGTACTGTACTGCACACGCTCCCCCCCCCGGGCGGCGTCCCTCCAATCTGTGTGCACGAATGGAGTACATACGCGAACAGTCTTGGGTGTATTAACGTTGCGCCTGCCCCACCTACTAGACATCCGCTATAAACCTTTCGCCACCTCTGTACCGTATCGCCGTCAAAAGGGACGAACGAGCGCGCCAAACAGCACCAAAGATCCCGCTTCCTTCTCACCCCTGCCACCATTACCGGAACGAGAACCGGAACCGGAACCGGAACGAAAACTCCCGGGAACGCCATAGCTAGCTGAAACGGAAAAATAAGAAGCCGCGAAAGGTGGTATCTCTAGCATGATCAACAAGCATCGGTGATTTGACAGAGCAAGCAGATCGGGGAGTATGAACAACGCTAGGCGCCGAGAATGCGCCGCGGAGGACGCTTTGTTGCTGTTTGCTGTTTGCTGTTTGTGCGGTGGTGTGGGGTGTATGTCCGGTGTGTATATTCGGTATTGCTTCCATCGCGGCCCGCCTTTAGAGGTCAGTTTTCGCTTCCGGCGATGAGCATTTGGGTCCATCTTCCCAGTGTGGTGGGTAACCTCACTTGCGCACGCCGTTAGCGCTGCCGGAGTCGGCATTGGCGCTGCCGCTCGTCAATTCAGCAACGCGCGCCTTGATGCGTGCGACGCGGGACTCGATGGCTATGAAACGCAAACACACCAGTCAGCATTTCTCACTCATAATCGTTTCCACTACAATGGCATGAAGACGAGGCGAAAACTCACTCTCCTCCCCACTAGTCTCCCCATCATCCGTCTCCCGCGACAACTGACTCTGGTTCGTGCGACTCTGCATACTATGTTCCTCGCTCCCTCTCGCCATCGCCGCGCGGCGCGCCGCATTCTCGCGGATCTTGGCCCAGCGATCTTGCTCCGCGGCCGACTGGTCGTGGGCAGGTTCGTGTTCGTCCATTGTGACTTCTGACTGCGCGTCGTGTGTCGCTGCTGGAGGTGCAGGTGGAGGTGCGTTTTGGTACGTGTCTTCTTCCGCTTCGCTATGCTCCAAAGGCGTCACGAAGGCCTCGGTCTCCGCTTCCTGCGTCGGATGCTCGGTTGTACCCGGCGCGATGCGGCTGGCTAGTTGGGTGTTGAAGTGCCGTTGCGGCGTCGGAGCGGGGAGTTCGGTTTCAGGTTCCTCATGGTGATGATAGTCCGTTCGAATCTCCGGAACGTCCTCCGCCGGCGACGCAGAAGGCATTTCCGCGATCGGACCTTGGTCGAAGCGCGAAAACTCCTCCTCCGGGTTAGCATCTGAGCGAGCGTCAGACATGTCGACCGCGCCGTCGCGTTGTCCAGGTAACTCCGGCATGGGTTCGTGGATAGTCTCGGGCGCTGGCTGGGCGATGGCGATTTGACTGCCGTTCGGGCCGCCGCGGCCTCCCTTCCTCCGCAGAAGTGACAGCCGACGACCGAGATTCGTTTCGGATGGCGGGGCAAGACTGTCTCTGTTGGGTGCCGGAATGTCGAGAGACTGCCGGTTTGCACCGTCCTTCTTGCGGTTGAATAGCTTCTTGAGTCCGGCACCGCCGCCGCCGCCTAGCTGCTTCTTGTTCTTCGGTTGCTTAGATAGAGACTCGGGACTTGAGGACCCCTTGGCAGCCATTGCTCTTTGCGCTGCAACAGCTGCTGCGTTTTGCGTGGGGCTCTGTGGGACTTGCGGTTGCGGCCGTGCTGCTTGTGGCTCTCGCGTGAAGCTGAGCGCTGGAACCGCAGCAGAGGCTGGCTCTTCATTGGGCCTTTGACGGAAAGCGGGATGCTCCTCAAGGTTGCCTGATGGAGGGACCGGCTTCCTCGAGACTTTTCCGGTAGGCGATGAAGGCACCCCAATTTCTTTGCTGAGAGTGTTTGTGGGTTGTGCGGGTGCTGCCTCTGCATGCGTGATTGGCTGCACCTCTTCTGGTACCTCGTCCTCTTCCGGCTCCGCTGGATGCACACTGACTTCCGGAGGCTTGGACGGCAGCAAGCCAGGCGCTGGTGGTTCGTACATAGGTACGGCCTCCTGCTGCGGAGCCGCTGCGGGATGTGCTTGCACCGGCTGCGGCTCAGGAACTTTAGCTGCGTGATCGTTAGGCAGGCTGGGTAGATCGCGGTTGTGCGGGCCGTCGGCCGGGAACGACGTTGCATTTGGCGAGAGCGCAGGTACACTCGGTGCGCTGCTGCTTGCGCCATCGCTCATCATGTTGATATAAGACGACCGATTGCCTAGATCTTCGCGGCTCGAATCCATCCCTTTACCGGCGAACGAATCACCCAGATACTGAGCACGGATGGCGTTCTTGTCGTATGCATGTGCCCACTTCATGGCCGGACTTGCTTCGGTCATCATACCTAACGTCAACATACTGCTCGTCTTCGCCGAAGCGTTGTCCTCGTGGCGCCCACGCCTCGTCGTAGACTCTACATCACTCTGGTCAGTCTGTCGGCGTGCGAGAGCGGCCGCGGCTTGCTTGATCTTGGAAGTTTGATCCGGCGCAAGACTGCTTTTGCTGGGCGTAGGCGACGTCACACGCTCTATCGGTTCGTTGGGTGGTGGAGAAAGCCGGTCCGACTTGGTTCGTTTGGCCTTGCCGCGCTTTGTGAAGCCGAAGATGCCTTTCTTTGGCGCAATGTAGGCGTCCTGAGCAGGTTCTGGCGAGGCTCCCTTGACTTGCTCTTCCATTATCAGCCATCTGCCGTGTAAAACGGTCGTTTCGATCAGTGCACAACGTCCGAAAACAGCTTTCCGGTCGGCTGGTTCTTCGCTTGACAGACTCGTCATCCATACCCACCAAAAGGCATCATCGAGCTCAACGTCTGTGATGGCTGCCATTTCACCTGGAGCAAGATCATCGCCTGCGCCATTGACGGCATGTGACGGGGTGTGGGTTCTGCTACCGATTGGCGGTAATACTCTGTCGGAGGGTAGGCTCAGTGACGTGGGCGACTTTGCGATGTCGTCGTCCGAAAAGCCAGCAGAAAGGAAGTCAGCCCACGATGGCGTCGTGGGCCTACCGTGTTCTGCGTTCCTCGACCGCGGTTGCGCTTTCAGCGCCTCACCGGGTGGGCGAACGCTACCATTCATGCCATTCGGAGCCTTCGGTGCAAAGTCGAGGTCCGAAAAGCCAAGGTTCTGGAAGTTCGACCATGTCTCCTGTCCAGATGTTGTGCGACTAACACCGTGTCTTGAATGAGCTGCTGCGGAGTTGGTCGATGATACGGCGTACAGCACACGCTTGCACTCGTCCGTCAGCGCATCCAGTGGATCGTCAAACTCGGAGTAGGCGCGCAACACGCGATCGTTATCGCGGTACTCGAAATGCTTGGCGCGCCGCAGTAGCGCAAACGGTGTTGGCGAAACGGAGTCTACCAGCATTACCACTCGCGGCGTCAGCCGCTGCAGTAATGTTGGCGTTTCCGGTGGGTACTCGGTCGAAGCGAGCAATGCCTGCAAAGAGCGCGGTATTCGCTCGATGACGCTCAATGACGGGTCAGCCTCGGGTGATAGTGAGCGTAGGTACGCAAAGAACAGATGACTAGTAGCGTCTGCTGCAGTCGTCCACGACTTGTAGCCGCCCTCGAACCCTTTGCCATCGTCTGAGTGCTCGAAAGCCCACCATCCCGCTAGTCGAGAAAGCTTGCGGCCGCCGAGACCGTTCGTCTTGCCGTGAGCCGCTACAGCTGCTAGCAGATCGAAGAAGTCGAAGATGATGTTCTTGCGCGCTTCGCTACCCGCCCCAATCGGGATGAAGGTGTCGAATGCATTGCGTGCCATTTTGGACTCCTTCTCGCCGATCTGGAAGCCCTCGTACACCGGCCATGTCACCACACCACCAGGCATCCGACTCCAGCACCACTTGATGATGCTGCAGAGCACGACGGCCTCAGTGAGACGCAGTTCTTGAGCCAGACCTGATCCTCGAAATTGATGCGATCCCTCTGCATTGCTTTTGAAGAAGTTGCGGATGAAGGTACGTGCACCGCTGGCGTCAGTGTCTGGCCGAAAGGGAAGGAGCAAGAACGGCGCGTCCAGCGCTTCACCTGTTCGAACGTTAGTATCTCGACCACCGAGCAGCTGTAGCAACTGCGTCCGTACCTCGTGATTTCATCTCTGCGGTACATAAGTGGACCAGCTCCTCCACCTCCATCAGCTCGACTGTCTTGCTGCTCCATGTTGACTGATACCTCGCCTTGACGGGCGCAGCAGGCCTGCCATTGGTGTAGTCGGGAGTAGGCTTAACCTTCGGTACCGGTTGTCCTCCCTTGTTCTTAAACCGAGAGAACAGCGGCATTGTCGTTGATGAGGCAGTATAGGTTGATTCAGAGCTGCATTAGAGCTTCTCCTGAAAGAGGACTATCAAGGTCGCATATGGCAGAGCGTGGATAGCAATGTGAACGTGTGACGAAAGGCTAACAAACTGCTCGAGGCCAATGTAACAGGTCGGACAGTAGGCCTTGTCGCAAAGATCGACAGTGATTGTACGTGAGGTTGTCCCTGAAGCTTTGGTGCGGCGTGCAATGCGCTATTCTTGGTCAATGTAGCAATGGCAGATCGACGGCGGCTGCAGTCGCGTGGAGATATGATAGTGAGAGCGCTATAGCACACAAGGCAATACAGAGAAATACAACAATGAGTGTCTGGTCGCGAATAGGGTCGGGCGTGTTGATCGAAGGGGTACAAACTCGCCCGTAGCTAAATTTAAGGGTTCGGAAGGCATCCGGCATAACGGTAGGGAGATCGTGCCAAGTGGGTGGATAGGGACGGGGCCATGGCTTGGACGGCGCAATCCCTCGACTCGCCCGCTCGAGGTGGCATTGCATCCAGCTTACACTCTCATACATTTGCCACATGGCTGCAACTCGCCCTGGCGCGTTTCACGATATGCGACCCTGTGTCACTAGATCGACGGCGGCGAACGTCGAATGTTCCGACTGACTGCGGGGCTGTCCTAGACGCCCATTAGTACAAGCTTATCAAAGTCTATTCCTATCGATGGTTATGGTTCCCACATCCAGCCTGGACTGGATGGCAATGCCTCAGTATCTGCGCACGAGCGTGGCGATGGGGTGGCGGCTGTAAAGACCCGAGATGTTCACCAGAGCGCCGACGACAAACATGACGCTGTGATACCAAGCTCTGGGAGAGATCTTGGGCCATCGAATACCGCAATCTAACAAAGGCGCCTACCCGGCACCAATCGTGCGGTACATCCTGTATGCCGATGCAGCTCGCTGCACACATCCCTGTACACTTGGGCAGCGCCTCTACGCATTGCTGGACCGTCATCTTCATCAATAAGATGCCCAGGACGTGAGGTTTCTTTCGCATTTACCTTACCTACGTGACGCGACAGACTCTCGGGCAAGCTCCACATCTCCGTTGCAATAATATAGTCCAGAGCTTATCATAACAAGCCGAAATGACCAACGAAGTAGAGTACATGACATACGTGACCGTTTCCTTCGTATCATCGTGTCTCATCAGACTTCATCATCGTTATTGTGCCTCTGACCAGCCAACAGCGTGCCCTCTTCTTCGCGAGCAGCCTGCTGCTCGTCGTCAAGCTTGACCCTCTGCCATCCGCGGTAACGAATCCAGTCATACCATGACTGCGCCACCTCCGGATTCCGCCTCAGTCCCAGTCCTGTAGCCACAAGAACCAGCGATATGAGTGGCAGAACAATCCATAGAACTTCATTGTACGAGGACCCCTTTCCCTTGCCACTGTTCCTTTCGCCCCCGACCACATAGGCGATGGCTATTCCCATGACCGGTTCGAGCGAGCCGTCGTCAAGAGCCATGGGCGGGTGCTCGATGGTATCGTAGTACGCTTTGATAGTCCATTGGTCATTACGATCCACCGCACCTACATCGGTACAGACGGGAATATGAGCGATATGCTCCATTCCATCCACCGAAGCGTCCGCCTTGCCATAGGCTGCCCGCATGGTACAGATCACCTTGTCATCCCGCAGCATGTCGATGTGCGTGCCGCCGTCATGCAAGTGTCCGCCGACGAAGGCGATCTCGCCGTAAGCCCGCACGTGGAGTCGAGGACTGCCATACTCGAAAGCTTGGTCCGGCAAGGCAGGTTTGTCAGAATTCCCACATCCGCCCACATCGAGCCAGTATGGCACAACCTCCCTGAACCCCGCGGCTATGGCGGAGGAGCGATCAATGAACTCCCACGTCACAGAAACGACGACCTTCTGCGCCTCGTCGAGCAAGTTCATCAACTCGCCCTGCATCGCGAGCATGTCGGTGGCGTTAAAGGCATACCCGAGTTTGTTGGCGCCGCCAGCGGTCAGATCGACCTCCGTCCTTTCGTTCCCAGAGGCGAAGAAACGCTGCTGACTTGGGAGGATCTCGGGACAGGTGGAGTCGGACCGGTTGAGGTTGACGAAGACGACGTGGTGCATCCACATTCCGGTTGAGGCGTCCGCGACGGTGTCGTTGGGGTAGCGGATGTCGGCAAGCATTGAGGTGACGAGGCAGTCGGTGCATGGAGGGCTAAAGCGGCCTCGGAAGTGCATCATGCCATCGTCTTCGCTGCGAGGTGGAACGGTATAGGTGCCGTAAGTTACTTCGATGCGCTGCGAGTTGAGAGACTGAAAATGTGTTGGCTCGAGCTGGATACCTGTCGAGACCGATCGACTTGCATCTGCAACGTGAATTAGCATTGGCTCGGTATGTCATCTAACCCGGCTTGTAGCGATCATTACACTCATGACTGCCGTCTGCTTTGGAAACAGCTGCGGTCGCTGCCAATATCGCGACTATGTGCTTCGACCACCACATCTTTGCCATACCTGAAATTTGAAGTGCAATTGAAGTGGAAGATATACATTGTGCTCATGAACGCTGCAAAGCACCACGGCACCTATGATAGCTATGTCAAGCGTTATGTGGACGCCTTGAAGGATTGCATGCGGAAGCGAGCTGCTCCACCACAGTCCGCGCGTCGGCCGAGGTCAAAACGCTGGATGCAGGGGAGCAACAACACTCATTTCGAATGGGAGTGTAAGCGAATGTGTTCTTCTGAACGAAGTGCTATGGCGTTGCTTATGTACAATTTGCCGTTGTTGGAGCAGACTCAAGTACCGGCTTGCATCGATCGTGCAATCCTCTCGTCACTGCATATCACCGCCTAGCGAAGCTCTGCGGCCTTGCCTCCTGTGAAAGATCCTCCTGACTCTCACCAGCCTCTGACGGCGGGTTGAGCGCTAACCCACCTCGACTGTACGCCTCCCTAGGGTCCGCCGCAAACGCCACAGATCGCACGCTCGACTGGCGAGACGGCGTCTTCGGAGCTGAGAAGGAAAAGTTTGGCGGATGGTACGCCCGCTCTTCGCTGGTAGGCCGTTGCGACATCGCTATGTTTTGCGCAGAACTGTAGCTAGCTCTCGGCACAGCATCTGACGACCCTTCTCGAGTGTACGCTCTGCGCTGCTGCGAGAAGTAGTCGTTCTGCTTCCGGTGCAAGCTTACGCTGTTGTAGCTCACCGGCGGCGGCGATGGGCTGGCTAAAGGTTTGCTGAGTTCTGGCGTCACGGAGCCAACGTACTCCGGAGGCCGTCTTCCACGACTTGGCGCGCGTAGCTCAGGTGAGGCGCTGCGTTTGCTGTCCGAGTCTGCGCCGCGGTCGAAGTCATGCAGCGGGCTTCGGTAGGCATCGTCCGGACTTGACAGCACGGTATCCGGCGACTTGCAGTCAACATGGAGGTCTAGGCTCTTGAGCGTCGGCTTCTGCATCTCGAAAGTCGTGTTCCGGTGTCCTCGAACGTGATCGAACGTCAGCAGATGCTGGTTCGAATGTGATCGCATGACCTCTGGTGTGGCGTCTAAGCTCACAAACTCCTGCCTCTGTGGCCAGATTTTGCCGTAAATGTACTCTCCCCAGGCTGGGAATATCTCTGGTCGAGTCAAGAAAATAAAGCATTGGAAACCAGCCAATGAGAGAAGTAATAGAACGGCGACTACGGTCGACTCGGTCACGACGAAGTTGTTGACGAGGCTGAGACACTCGTCCTTGTCGTTCGGGTGGAAAGCGAGGCATTCCAGCCAAGGCTCCACTTTGTGCCAGTCGGTCAGAACCGATGCCTGCAGGTCGTCCAGATAGACGAAAACAATCGCAAAGAAGACCACGTCGACCAGGATAATGCTGACAATGGTGATGCCGCGCCATTGCAGCCACAAGACTTTCTTCAAGCGACGAAAGACTGCGCTCGCTGTCTGCGCACGTACACTGCTTGTGTATGACGGTAGGCCTGTATCATCAGAGCCCGCTGTTGACGACTGGTCGGTCCAGAGACTCTGCAGGTACACCTTGACACAGTAGGCGAAGGTAAAGAGCTGTAGCACGCCTGCAGCGCCAGCAAATCCTAGCAACGGCCCCCAAAAATCCTGCATTGAAGTTTCATGGTTGATGTGGCAAGCGGTGCCAAAGCGGAAGCTGACACCCGTAATGCTCATGGATGCGGCGAATAGCGCCGCTGGAATACCCCAGCCTATCGCCTGCGAAAGGTAGAAGAATCTCCGACCAGGTACGATATCCCAACAGATTTGTAGGTTCATCGACAGCGCTCTGATGAAGATCCACAACGTCGCTGAAAGCCCGCCTGCGAGAAGGAAAGCTCCGCTCCAGGCGCATTCTCCGGATGAGTACATGTCGTGCGGAGTGATTTCGTTAAAGCATTGATCCGGTTTTGCCGCTAATGGAATGATGAAGCCTATCGATAGCATCATGCAGGATACAACCAAGCACACCGAAAGGTAATGGCTTCGAGTCTTCTGTGCCGGCAACACCACGTATGACACCAGCATGAACACCATCAAGACCAGTCCAGCGACATTGAGCCAGGATGCTATTCGGTCGTATGTTTTGAAGCTGTCGGAATATGACCAATCCGTCGCCGGACATGGCAGACAGCAAGTAGGCGTTCCGGGGAGGCCCCCAATTGGTGCACAAAGCCGTCCGCGAGTGACTGTTAAGTGTAAGCTTTAGGTTTGTGCTGATACGTAGCCTTATACGTACAACCCTCGTCTGACGGGAACCTTGAAGCATCGTAGAAGGGTGCAATACAGTTGCCTCGAAGGAATGTCTCGTTCGCCATGCTGTCCAATTCAGATATGGTGGTCAATGGCGTCCTTCCAAAATCTGCTGTCGATTTCTTCCAAACTCGGTTATATGCAGCTCATACACCTGGGCTTGCGACCTTTTGCGCTCTTCACAGTAAGTTTCGGTTATATACACGCAGTCGACCCGGACATGCTTAAGGTGAGTGCGTCAACAGCAGCGCTCGATCGACCTGAGGTAAGCCAAGGGTAACGGCGGCGTCAGTGGTGCAGCGATACACAAGAGATCCGAGCCAGCAAGACAATAGATCAGAGTAGAACCAACGCCTGACAAGAACGAACGTAGCTAGCGAGAGGATGTAGGAGAGTAACGAAAGTGAATAATCAAGGGTAGCATAAGCAGTTGCTCAAAGAGTATGACATGGATGCGGGAAAGGTAGTCGCAGCTTTCGACGTCCAGAATACCTACCTTGCCCACACGATGGGCCTACCAAAGCCACTTCGTCGGGTAGACGTTCCAGGACTGAGTATTCGCTCGAGTCTACAGGCGGCGGAGGACGATCGCCGGGTGGTTCTGACCAGTCAGTTGGTGACTCTCATACAGCCGTCCCAACGCCGGTGCGCGCAATGCGGAGCGGAAATTCATTCGCGGTTGTTTAGCTCCTCTTGGGGCCTGAGAAACGCTGTGCAGTAAATGTATGGCGTTTTCTAGCTCGCTGCCTCTCCGCACCGTCGCAGAACGACGGGTTTAGGGAGGCGGGAAGGTTTGCAGCCGCAAGCGTGGGCCGACGACATGGGCCTGCATGCTGTTCCTGACCAGTGAGAGGCTTGACGCCAACTAACGCAGTGTGCCTGGGCTGAGGACCTGCATCTTACCCTGCATGCCGGTGTGCGCGTGGAAATGGTAGTACTCAAGCGCTGATTTGCGAATCCGTGGCCAAGCCTGACGTCTCGCCCCTCAAAGCGGTGGAGCCGAGGCTACTGTAGGACCGTGAGTTCCGCTGGTTGTCTCGCCTTACGACATCGAGCCGCGTGCGTATTGCCGTTGATGGAACGCCAGAAACGGGCGGCGTGGAATTTGCGGAGCGACCAGGATGACGACCCATAGTGGTTCGAGCACACCACCACGCGTACTTCCTGGTTTCTAGGTAGTCCATTACACGCGCAGGCTGTATTACATCTCCAGGCGCAGTCACCTGAGCTGAATGAGATTCAGCTGCTGCTTCCTACAGCGCAACAAGCTTCGTTGAAGTGATGCCCTTCGCAAGGCCGGCAAGGACACGCTGAAATTTGAGGTTGTGGCGGCCGTTTTCGGTCTCAGATGGCGCTATGAGCCACGCTAGCGTGACCAATCCTCCTCCGACAACCGCGTCTACCCATTCGATTGGTGGGGACATATCCGACTCTTCATCAGACGTCGTTACCTCTTCGAGCATCAATGCCCAGATGCGTCTTGGCCAGATGTCAGGAGGAAATTGTTGGGAGAATGTCCCGAGCAAATGCGGGAATGTCGAAGCAAGTGGAGACGAAATAAAGGCACTCGCTGATGGAGAGAGAACGAAATCGTATTTGAGACGGGTAAACGCAGTCCGAACGCGACTGCAGCAATGTCTCGGTACCCACCATGCATGGCGGCGCCTTCGCGAGCGGCACAGCAGCTGCTCAGTCATGCTTTCTCTAACGGCTGCAACGCCATGGCTGGGACGAGACGCCCACCTTGAAGCCCCAATTGCGAACATCCTCGATGATTACCTTCTGGCTGTAACGGTCAAGTTCGGCGGCTTTACGTAAACGCCTATCCATCCATCCCTGCCGTGCTGGTCCCATCTCCACATGCAGTACGGGTGCAAGGAGAAAAGTGTCTGCCTGTAGGGAAGCAATCCGGACCTGGGAGCGACGAGCAGAGCTCATGGATGAGAAGGACTAGCTAGGTACCAGAACCGATGCAAAGCTCGCACGATCAGCACCCCGTAGCGCTTTTAGACGGCTCGACGGGAAAGAAGCGAGACCACCGCTTGCTTCTGGTGTGACGCCACCATAGTTTGCCTTGGGTGCTTACATTCATGCATTTCGGCAGCTTCTGATGCCTTCGATGCCGAAGCTGTCCATGAGTTCATTCTATCACACTACACAGTAGCTACGCGGCTACCGTTGGTGCAATCGAGCCTAGTAAATGTACCTGAAATTGAGGTTCTCCCGGTCTAGATCCAAATGTCAGTGGAGTTCTGCGCGGAGAGGAGTACACACTTACCAGTCATGTCCGAGAATGCCGTGGCATCCAGGTCTCGACCTTCCAACCCGCCCTCCATTTGGCCCTGTATGCGGTCTCTCCGCTTGTTCTCGCGTGCGAGGACGAACCTCAGTACCAGAACGACACAGACTTCGATCAAATGGCTGACAATCATACTCCAGATTCCCAGCTCATAGCGCGGCGCTTGCGAGGTCTTGTAGAAGAATGGTCCGGCAATGTTACCGGTACAGTACCCCAAGAACAGGACGGCATTCGTGACGACCTTCTTCGTGTGACCTGCGGTGTTGGCTGTTGACATTGAAAGGATCATCACGAATGCCGCGTTATAGGGCCCAGTTAGGTAGTACGAGATAAGTCGTCCGGCTTGGTTGTCTGCCGATAAGAAGCACAGCCCAAAAGATCCCGCAATGTTCGGACAGAGGAACAGTAGGATGAACCAGCACCGTGTCTGTCGGCCCTTACGAGCCATATAGTCGTTCGTGAAGACGCAGGTCAGGATGGAAATCGCGATGATGCATCCGTACGGGATCTGCATGAGTGTGGTTACCAGCGTAGAGAAGCCGAATCCCTTGATAATGAGAGTGCCGAAGTTGCTGATGCCGCCATTGGGTATGTTTCCGACGACGCCCAGCAGAAAGAAAAGGTACAACTTGATATCTGCAAGTGCCTCGCGGATTTGATACCATTTTAGGTGTTTATTTTCAATGCCGGTCTGGTTCTCTCTTAGACGCTCCACGGCGATCCGCTTCTCGCGCAGAGAGAGGCCCTTGGCCGTCACCGGCGAATCCGGGAGGAAAATGTACATCACGATGCCCCAGATGAGGCAGAGGGCACCTATGATCAAGAATTCGAACTTCCAGCTCGGCAGCTTACCGCGGATATTGCCAATGCCGAAGCCTAGCAGACCGCCCAGAGCGATGCCAAAGCCATTTGCAGTGTACCATAGGCCCATTCTGATAGGTTGCTGTCGTCTTGTGTACCACATGCACGTGATCAGCATGAAGGAGGGATCGGAGCAGGCTTCAGCAGCGCCAGCCAAAGCTCGAAGTACGGCGAGCTCTGCGAAGTTCCTCGCGCAGGCTTGGAGCATGAGGAAGACACCCCAGAGGCATATATTAAAGCCAAGGTAGCGTCCGATTGGCAGCCTTTGCATAAGTAGGTTTGTTGGCAATGCCCACGCAAGGAAGCCTACAATGCGATAAGTGCAATGGTTAGCCATATCGTAAGATAGGAAACATGAATATGCCTTTCAGCCACATACCGAAGTAGAAGATGCTGGACAGCCAGCTGTACTGCGTTCCAACAAGCTTCAGGTCGTCTTTGATGCCGAAGATGGCGGCATATGACAGCGTGGTCTTGTCGATGTAGAAAAACGCGTAGCACACCGCAAGATACGGGAGGATCATGAAGTCGATCTTGCGAACAACCCGTCTTTCCTCTGCCGGGTCGATCGGCTCGTGGACTTCAGTAGGTGAATTGAACAGAGCCATGGCGGTGTCGCCATCGCCGGTCTTCGAGACCTTCCATTTGGCGTGCTCTGTAGTCGAGACGGTCTCATGGTGAATGGCTTCGACATCCTTCTCGATGCTGTACTCGTGTCGTTCTGGAGACACAGAGCTGGGCGTGATGTCGTCCGGGGCAATGACAGTGCGTTTGAACAGCCCCATGCTGACCTAGAGTACGCGACCTCAGCCAGATGACTGTTTGTTAGCAGATCTTCTGCAACTAGAAACGGTGAAAGTCTATAGAAAGCAGAGGCAAGACGTGAGAAAGAACGTATAATTGAAAGCTAAAGCGACAGCCTTCGTGATCATTATCTTACACACATGATTCTGCGCATGATCCTTCGCCATCATCAGCCTGTAGCGGCCTATCTTTGCACCAAACACCGACATGAAAGTGCAACCCGCAACCAATCGTGGCATGCTTTTCAGCGGAGACTGTCCAGCAGCCCTCCGTTCTCGCAGATGCAAATGCAACCACACTCCGCAAAAACTTCCCCGCACGGGGAAATGATCATCGGCGGCGACTTTATGTATTGCCGCCAAGGCGCGTTCGGCAACCTCGGTGGATCAAAAGCCGCTCACACCTTGCACAAGTTCATAGGCGTTGAGGCCTGGTACATGCCGTGTCAAGAGGGCACAGCTCGCGTGTGCGAGGCTCCCGCTACGCCGCCAAGCCTTCTTATCTCAGCTTCTGCGCTTCGCATATTGATCGTACAGCATGCGGTCTTCCTGACGGTATCTCTTGTTGCCTTGGCCAGATACATACGCCGTCGTGAAAGCATCTTGCCACATCACAGGCGTGACAGTGGGCACGCTTGAGATCGTGGGTGAATCCGGCAGAGCACCGGCCATACTCGATGACAGCGGGTTGGCAGGATACATCGCTGCCGGATGACTGGTGGGAGCAGGGTAGTGGGTAGGTCCATTCGATGTCGGTGACATTCGAGGGTTGATGAGATGTGCCGCTTGGGGCGAGGTCTGAGCCGGCGCGCCGAAGGCGGTGTTCCACTGCTGGAAGATGCCCGATGGGTCCCACACCGCGCTAGCCGGCTGCTCGTTGCTAACGACTGGCTCTAGCGCATAGCCGGTTTGAGGTGCAGACGTCACTTGCTGTTGAGGTGCGGTAAATGCTGCGTCGGTGGGCACTTGGTACCCTCCGGTCATGAAGTTCATTGCAGGATTCGCAGGTTGACTCGTTACGCCTCGGCCCGGGATATGCTCGAATGGTCGCATATAGTCGCTAGTGGGGCTCGCGGTATTCGAGTGAGCAGAGTCTTGCAGCTGGGGCCAGCTGGCCGAATGATGGACAGCTTGAGCCTGTCGAAGCTCTGGGGAAGTCCGTCGCTCTTCCGCTCCAGGGCTTCGCAACGCTAGACTTGGCTTGAGCTCAAACGGCTTGCTTGTATCCTGGCTGAATGCCTCTCGAAGTGCGTTGATCTGAGCCTGCATATCAGAGCTCGCAGAAGGTATGCACTGCTCGAGGATCCGCATGTGACGTGGGAAGTACATGCGCGCTTGTTCATAGAGCGCAGGATCTGGTGAGGTGATAGCAGCCTGGGTCACATTAGCTTCGAGCCTCTATCTGTTCATATCATCTTCGCTCACCAAATGCAACATTGCACATGTCAGCACGCAGTATATCGTAAAGTTGGTCCCGCGCTGCATGAGTTGTAGCCCATGTAGGCCAAATTCGCGGATGAGAGCCTCTTGCAGTCTGCAGAGCAGCACCGCTGACTGGAGACAGATCTCAAGCTCCGTCTTGAATGCAGGATCGCGCTTCTCCAACAGCGCTTGGACTTGGGGACGGTGCTGCATTATGACCACTAGGTTGTGGTAGATGTGTAGATATGCCACGAAGTGGTCGCCGTGCAGCCACGGTGGGCTCTCATCGTCCGGGTATTGCATCTGCAAGTCAGCTGGCAGCTGCTTCAGCCAAACGAAGAGTTCGTCGTTGTGACGGATGAAAGCCGGATCAAGAGCCCAATCCTTCTTATACCGGCGCATGTTGTGGTACAAGTTGTTCGAGTACTTGATGTTGCGTACGTTCTGTACCAGGATATTGCATCGTCTGGATGCCTGATATTCGAAAGGGTCAATGTTTGCATCAGGTGGAAGGACCTCGCTCTCAACCGTGTCAACTTCAATGGAGAAGTCCGTTCGACCCTGCGGCGCACCAACAAGGTTCTCCAACGAGAACAGTGTTTGCCATATACGCGTACGAACCATGCAGTCAGCCTTCTTGAGCGAACAAGCACTGCCAAAGCGATGCTGATCACGGTGCTCATGCAAGCCCAGGTCGAAGGCCATAGTGGTCATGTACTTGACGGCCATCCACGAGCGGTAGTAGTATCCGCGCCGTGGCACGAACTCTCGAGCTTTCATCAGCATTAGCAAGGCTTGAATGGTGCTTAGGCGAGGCACATCTTTGAAGCTCTCTTCGTGCCTGGCTGCCAGAGCCAGCCATCTTCGCACGTCGTAGGGTTCTTCGAGATAGCGAGCCACACACGCAAAGATGCCTTCCAGCAGTAGCGGCGAGATAGAATGCCGTGCGGTCTGCCATTGCTCGTAGAACGCCCGCTTGTTCAACACAGGGATATACGGGTGGATGAAGGTGAAGAAATAGCCAAAGTACTCCATCGCACGCTCATCAGTAGGCATCATCTCCGGCGGTATGCGCACTGTCGAATCAGTGCCCACCGATGGCGGTAGCGCGACCTCTGCCTCCTCCACAGCGGGAGTCTCGGCGAGGATGCGCCGCTCATTGGCTACCCACGGTGCGACACTGGTCGTCTCGATGGTCAGGTCACCCATCTGCCCCGACAGCTCCTTGACAGTGGCGTCAACCTCGTGTGGGTCGCCACTGGAGACGGAAGAGGCGTCCGTGTGGGAACGGAGCAAGCTTGGCGTTGGCCGAAATTGTGACAAATCCGGTACCGAGGTGTAGCAATCGCTGTCAGCGAGACCATATGCGGGATCCACTCGGAGGCCAAGGGGCTGGTCGAAAGGGTACGATGAGTAACTGCCACTGTCGATGCTATAGGGTGGCGCTGTCGTAGCAAGCGTGGGTTGCAGCGCAGCCGCGCTGGTAACCCAATCTTGCGATTGCGACGACGGCGTAGGATATCCATCTATCGATGTAGGAGAGTTGTTGCTGCCGAGAGTTGTCGTTTGGAAGGTAAAGTTTCCCGGGCCCGATGGCGTTGTGACGGGCTGCTGTTCGTCGTCGGAGTCCTGTGTTGGCGGCACGCATTTCAACTTCAACCGGACGCATGCTCCGCAAGGCCATGGGCCATTTTGGAGCGCGCCATCGCAGCGGATCTTGCGCTTTCGGCAGCCATCGCAAGCGCGCATTACCTTTAATCGCTTGTGTCGATTGTATTCATCGACAAACACATACTGCTTAGTGTGCCCGGACGGGAGCGGCGCCAACATAGTGGGTTCCATTGAGAAGGTGAAGTGTCCGGAGGTCGTTACGAGAATGGAAGCTATGGAGCGCGTAGCACTCGAGAGGTCACCCGAGTTTAAGAAGAGTGAGAGCAAGTGAGACCGCAATCCTCCGTGCTGAGTAAGGCATTGTTGTCTTGCATGCAGAAGCCGCTGTGTGGGATGTTTGCACGCCTCTATGTCCGGTGTTTCTTGGCCGACTACACCATGTGCGCACGTAACTTACGTCGTATAACAAATTGGGAGGTCATTGCAGCGGTAGAGTCGGCCCTTCGCGTCAACCCCACACAGCAAAGCCATCTCGATCCGAGAGAAGAGCCTTGCGGGCAGCTCGGTGGAGGCACAGCACAACGGTCGCTCGTCATCCGGTCAGCTCGCATCACATGCATGCTTGCAAGTGGCGTGACGGCCAACCTTCAGCGCGGCGTGCGCACGCGGTGACTGGGCAGACAACCCTACGTTGAGTGGCACCTGAACGCGTGTTACCACGCTGGAGACTTGCTGCAGTCGCCATCGCGGACCAAACTCTCTTTCCGTGGTCTAAACGAAGAGATTTCTTCGGTTCCTGCTTGTGGCGCTTGCGCTACGCCGCCACGAGCCCGTCCCGCCGGGTCCACTTGGGGCGCTTCTTGACGTTACACTACACTACCGAGGCCACGTTCTGGGATTTGGAAAATCGCCATCTAAGACATCCCACTCAACGAGCAACAATAAGGGGTCGAAGGTCCAGCGAGCGATTGCAGGCACGACAGAGGTGCCAAAGGTTTCAGCTTCCCAACTGCCGGTCTTCGTTCACATTGGCCCGTACCGACTACCGGAAAAAGCTTTCGACGACCATGGAGGCCGACAAGGACAACGCCAACCCTACCATTCTGAACCCGTCCGATCTCCCATCCCGCCGTAGATCCGCTCCAACGGCGAAGCGGGTAGGAATCTTCGAAGCTCTAGCGCCTGCGAACATCAGCCCTGCTGACCCGCTGGCACCGCCTGTGGCTTCAGACTCCACGCTATCAGACGACGAACGGGAGGAGATTGACGAACAAGAGGTGTACGACCTCATCTCCACTATCTCCGACCCGGAGCATCCTCTGTCGCTTGGGTCTCTGGGCGTAGTGACGCTGGACGATATCGCTATCATCCCACCTGCGTCGCCGCGCTCGCGTATCAGTAGCGTTAGGGTTCTCATTACGCCAACCACCTCGGCTTGTTCTTTGACGACAGTCATTGGCCTTGGCGTCAAAGTTAGGCTGCTCAACGCGCTACCGCCTCGGTTCCGAGTCGACGTGCGTATCAAGGAGGGTACTTCGCGTACCGCTGACGAGGTCAACAAGCAGCTAGGCGACAAGGAGCGGGTCGCTGCCGCCATGGAGAACAGGTCGCTAGTCAATGTCGTCAACAACATGCTAGCGACCTGCGCGTAAGCTGGCTATCGCGAGATGGGAAGCCAAGACCGCATGCCGGTTAAGCTTCAGGTTCGAGCATGTCACGCTGAACAAGGAGTGTCATACACTTGAATGGGACCTACACTCGCACTCCCACATGAGCTGACATCAAGCTTTAACTCCACCAACGGAAAGTTCCATCGTGCAATCGCGGAAGGTGCAAGCCGGACGTAACGTCCCTGCGCACTTCAAAGTTACATATGACCTGCGCCTTCGTTACGTTATTATCACGCAATGGGCCGCCGTCTCGATGATACTAAGAGTTCAATCGGAGTCTTTGTCGACGCGGTACCTTTGTTAGCGCGGGATGGAGTGGATTGGCGCGATGCTGTTGCTGGACACGAAGGATCGCTTCCGTGGAGAGCTTCGAAGAACGCGAGCTTTATCGAAACGAGTCATTGACACGCGTGTGATATGTGGAGAATGTCCATTAAGTTCAACTTAACTTCGACTTCGGTACCGGAAACGGTTGCGCAAGGTAGGTTCCATTTGGTCGGATATACAGATGGTCCCCCGCATCAAGGCACGCTGCAAGTCTTCCGTGTTCGATGCATGAACTCTGAGCTCCGCTCGAAATGCTAGCCGTACAAACGAAAGCATCTCATGCCCGGACTTCCAGCTATCGCAGAAGTCGCTCAACCCAAACTCCTCATTGCTCTGCAGGCGCCATGCTCCATGTCATCACCACGCTTCATGCTATGCTAACGCTCAAATTACATATCTCGCTTTCGCAAAAAAGCTCTAACCTTCTAATGGCGTGGTCCTGCTGTCGGAGACCTTCCGCTACTCTCAGCTTCGAGCGTGGGCGTGGATGCTAACGGCTGCACATGCACCGTGCTTTGCTCCGTTGGCTTATTACTGTCAGGAGGCTGATACACTGGCGGGGGTGCATCTCCTGCAGTGTACGCTGGAGGTGGCGGAGGATAGTGCTCCATGGCGTAGCCGTCGTGAGCGGAGTAGCGATTGTGTGTCATAGGCGCGCTTTGGACGTAGATCATCCGCTGCTGAACCATCCACTTGTGGTATCTCAGGGGTGGAAGGCCCTTCCGTATGCGGTGTCGAGCATGTAGGTATCCACCCACAAAGAAAAGGAGGATGGCGGCAAAGAGCACAGCGACAACGGCGTAGCGGACCGCAATGCCAGCCTGTTCATGACGTTAGCTGCTTCATTGCTAAATCCTACGGTAGCGCTACGTACCGGTGTCCACCACCATCCTACTCCTTCATATTCATCGTATACACCATAGTCTCCACCACCATCAAAGCCACCATAACCGTAGCCATTACCTCCTCCTGATTGCCGCTTCGACGCTAGGGCCGCCTTTGCAGACATGGTAATAGCCCCGTTATGGATACGTGGGATGTGTGCACAGTGCGTAGGAATATGGCCGAGGTCTTTTGCACTGTCACCCGAGTTGCTGCCAGAGGAGGAAGATTACGTATCCCTGATCAATTGTGTCTCAGATGTACGGAAAGAGCTGCCAATTGCAACGGAGATACAGAGTACCAAGACTGAGGAGGTGGTTAGGCGAGCATGTGCCTCCTGGGCATGCAAGCAAGTAGCGATTGTGGTCGTGATGATGCCGGTGTGGCAGGTGAAGTGTGGAGGAGGTTAGTGAATTCAGGCGGAACAGCCACCAGCAAGCGCTAAGGCGGGACCGAGGCGACTAGGTCTTCCAGGGGATGCGCACTGTGAAACAGGTTGCGACGCCTCGACCAATACCGTCGTGCTGGAATGTCTTGCGTCAAAATCTGACAATACATTGACTGAGACACCTCGATCGCGTGAGCAAAAGAGGCTTGCACTCGTACGGCATGGTCGTGGCTCTCACTTGCCATTGGCTGCTTCGCACGGGTGCTCGCCGGCGATGTAGCATGCACAGAAAACTGTCATGGAAGACGCACAGAAGTCACGCTAGAAGGGGCGCATGTAACGCTTGTGAACCCTAACGGCTCGTTCCTGTGGGAGGGAACTGCTGCTGATGGTCAGACGGCCGAGGGGGACATAAACATTAGGGCTGGCTGATTGTAACGAGTGGCAGGCTCGTGTACCTATTTGAGACAATCCACGCACTCCGCGGTCTGCAATGCGTTAAAGATAACTGCCGCCAGAGAATTTCGCCGAGAATCCGGCCGCCTTATCGAGCATCTGTTTACGCTGTGCATTACCGACGCGCATACCGCTCCTCATGTCTTTCTCGCGGTCGAAGGCTCGCTTGCTCGGATCATCGTCGGCATCGTTGCCTTTCGCTTGCTCGTGCTGATTCATCAACGATGGGCCACGTGCCTTCTCCTGTTGTTCACACGGTCAGCGAGCTCATTTCACACAGCAGAAGATGGGTTGAGCATACAATATCCTGTTTCTTCCTCAAGCTCTCAACGTCTTCGCGTACGCTCGTAGTCGACCTCGCTGCGGTCATGCTTGCTGGCGGTGCCGCTTTCGAGACACCCATTACCTCGTCTCGCAGTCGTTTCTGTCTTTGCTCGGGCGTCTCATTCCATGCAGACTTGTCATCAGCTGCTGCATCTGGCCCTTTTGCGCTCTTTCCAGTATTGAAGCCTCGAGGTCTCTGCTTGGTTGGATCCATCCGCGCAGCTAGACCGTCTTGCTCTGGAGGCATCATCATCCACTCATCCCTCTTCGTCCTTTCAGAGCTTCCATCATATCCTGTTGGTGCCACATTCAATTCTGCATTGCCTACATCCAGTGTAGGCAGAGCTGGCTTGCTAAATCAGTACAAGCCCGCCCACATGGGGGCTGGTATAAGTTACCTTGTTCGTGTTGATGGTTGGCAACGCTGGTCCAAAGTCGTCCTCATCTCCCTCGCTATCGGCATCGGCCTCTATTGCTGGCTCTAACGGACGTTCGTCAAGCGACGCAGGTGGCATGGCTGGTCCAATTACTCTTGGACGCTTCTCACTCTCATCATTACCTTTTGCGCCGGCTTCATCCTGCAGATCGTCGGCTTGTTGCCTCTTGCGCTTAGCGATGAGATGTGGTGGTAGGCCTGGCCCAATGCCTGACATGTTGATCCGAAGTGTGGATGTAGGAGATATAGGCAAAGGTATCTACATGGGTGACGACTAGAGTGAAGGCACATGTTCCAAACTACACTGCTAGAGAAATTGACGCCTTAGGCAGCTCTGACTTGTCGGCTGCACTGTATCACTCCACCTGCATGCATGTATATGCTGCCCCAGTAGTAACTTGCCGCCAACCCATCGTAGCGAAACAGTCCCGCAAGTGAGGAACGATTTCGAACGGGATTACATCGCATTGGTGCCATAAATTTGGCGCAACAGCATCCTTTCCGGACACCCAAGATTCTTAAGCTTCAGCCTGCGATTCGAATACTGGCGGTCCTAACCGCAAGTCTTGGTCTATGCTGGCCGACGGAGGGATCTAACGCCATGTGCGTGTGGCTAGCGGGCCGATGAGTTCCGTCTCTGGTGGCCATAACGGCGGTATCAATGAAGATGCTGAGGCGGACGAGTCAATGCGCTCGGAGGAGCAGAGAGCATTCGACCAGGATACGGACGAAGCTGAAGACGCGCCCGTAGGCTGGGAAGAACTAAAGGATGGAGTGGATAACGAAGTTGCGGATTATGAGCCGCCGGTGACTGGCATGGAGCCCAGGAGCGTAAGTCCACCAGGCGAGGACGATGTACCTCAGCTATCACATGGTGTTGTGGACGATGGCAATGGCGAAATGCTGTCTGACATGCTCCCCGGTGATGAGCCTGATCTAAGACCCACCACTCCCATCGTGCAGAGCCCAATCGTAAGTCCAGCGGAATCCGGCTCAATACCAGACGACACTCCGTCATTGCACGGCTCTTTGGCCTCATCTCCAGGTCGCCTTGCGTCTCCATCTCCGCTGGCACGACGAGCTGTATCCAGAACGGCATCCGGAGCTTTGCAACCTTTCGAGCGGCGCTTCGAGACCCGGCTATCTGCTTCGCCGTCTGGTTCGCCTCGGCCTGCTTCGCCAGGGTTCTTGACCCCACACTCTCGCCAAATATCACTCACATCTCGCATCTCGCAGCTTTCGTCACAAGACGAGGGTCTTGGAGATGAGACACCTCAGGCACCGTGGGAAGTGGTCCGTTGGACGAAACTACGGCTCATCACAGGCCAAGCGTTCTCCGAAGCAGGCAAGCGCAATTTTGGGCGTCCGACATGCCTCGCCGTCTCTGCATTGATTGCGATTGGCACTTCGAAGGGTCTCATCCTTGGTTTTGACTATCACCAGACGCTTAAGATCATCATTGGTCAGGGCACTAAGGCTACAGAGTGCGGGAGTGTCACTTCCCTCGCTATCGCTGCTGATTACTCTACCATCGCGAGCGGACACGCTAATGGCTCCATCTTCACATGGGAGATCAGCCGACCTGCGAGACCCTTCCTGCAGATTCCAGCGCTTGATCGGAGCGTACTGCAACAACAGTATCATGATGATGGCCATATGGTGGGCACGGCAGTGCTACATATCGGTTTTCTGGGAACCAGACATACGGCCCTTGTGTCTGCAGATGCCGGAGGTATGGCCTTCTCCCACATAGCCACCAGAGGTCTTGGTCCGGTCGCCCGCACAGTCAGGTCGACACGCCTTCTTGGTAGATACCCTGCAGTGAAAGCGGAGGCTGACCGCAGTCGCAAGCCAAGCTCCGTGCTTGCCTTCTCGCCCTTACCGCTGGGTAATGTTGAGCAGGCTACTGACAGTATGGGGCTCACAGCGCTCTTGACGCCATATTTGCTTGTTGTAGTGTCTACAACACCAATCGCCCGAACACAGTACAAGTCACCTAGGCCGAAGGAGGTTAAGCCACACAGCACGCTCAGCGGTTCCCTTGCATGGTTTCCGGCTGTCAAGCTGAAGCCGTCCAATTCCTCAGCTGAGCCCAGCAATTCGGATACTAAACTGGCATACTGTTGGTCTAATGTAGTCACTGTCTTAGATGTTAAGGTAATGGAGAATGAAGACGCTGTGAAGCCCCCAAGCCTTGAGTTCCATCTACGACGTCGCTGGCACGCTGAAGAAGCAGTAGTCGGCATACAGTGGCTCGGACGCTCTGTGCTCGGTGTGCTTACGATTAGTCAGAGACTCTTGATTGTGGAAGATGGCAGTCTGCAGGTAACAGACGCCATTGACCTCATCCACAAGCACATCTATCACCAGGATCTATTCTCCCAGCAACTGCATTCTGTGGTCGAACATCTGGACACTGATGATCCCTCGCTCCACGGCGTTGTCGCAGATGCCTTCTTTATGAGCTTTCGAGCTTACAAAGGTCGCACCTTCCTGCTTGGCTTCAACGATCTGACCGTCGGCACGTTGTCGAACTGGGCGGACAGGCTGGTGGCTCTCATGGAAGCTGGTGACCATATTGCTGCCATTCGCCTGGCTACGGACTATTACACCAGCGGTGCGCATAACGTTGCCATCGGGCTGCCAGAAGACGACGAGTCAAGGCATGAGATGGTCAGGGAGAGATTGCTGGCTATGCTCTCCGCATCCCTCAACTACACCTTCGCGCAGAAGGAAGAGCACCGGACCAGTAGGCTCCAGGAGCTGGCCGAGGTTTGCTTCGAGGCTTGCACAAGGATGAAGGACACGGACTACCTGTATAACGAGGTATATGAGATGTTTGATGAAGCAGACGAGGGATCTACTTTCGTACTCACACTTGAACCCTACGTGCTTGACGGAGAGATCAGATCGGTGCCTACGGAGGTGGTGAAGAGCATAGTCGCACATTTCATCGCGGAGAATCAAGCCGGCAGGCTTGAAGAGCTGCTATGCCGACTCGATCCACTTTCCTTCGATCTTGATCAAATTACAATGCTTTGTAGGCAGCATAGCCTCTACGACGCCTTGATTTATGTCTGGACACAAGGCATTGGCGACTTCGTGACGCCTCTTGTGGACATACTCACCTTGATCCGAATGCTGCAAGAGGGTAACGATACTGACCAATCCTTGGCCGGCAACCCTTTTTACGAATCAGCGATGAAGGTGTTTCCGTACCTTGCATACTCCCTGACTGGTAGACGTTACCCTAGCGGTGATGTGCTGGACGAAGATGAGTCTGCGCGAGTCAAGGCGGATTTATATGAGTACGTCTTCGCAGGTACTCCGACGGCTTGGCCTCCGGGCAGCAAGCGTGTCTTGCACACGACGAGCGACGCCTCCTTGGAGCCCGCATTTCCGTATCTGGTCTTACTCTTGGAATTCGACACGGCAAGCTTCATGAGCATGCTCAATGAAGCGTTCGAAGACTCTTTCCTCAATGAGTCAAGTGACGACCATGCCATGAAGGGACCCATGGCGAACGGCACGCCCAGCAGGCCAGGATATAAGATGACGAGGCAGCACATCATCAGCATCATGCTGGACGTAGTGCGGCAGCACGAGTTTGACCCTGTGCAAGTCGTCTACCTGGAGATGTTTATTGCACGTAGCCTGCCGAAGTACCCGGGTCAGCTAGTCTTCTCTGGCTCACTGCTTAACCAGATTCTTCAGAGGCTATGTCAGCCGCCCACGGATGCGCTTCGTGAGGACTGCCAGTTGAGCGTTGAATACATGCTATCGGCGTACCATCCGTCAAATATCGCAGCGGTCATCGCGGCTCTGCATGATGCTCGTTTCTACAGAGTATTGAAGTCCGTCTATCGAAGCGAACGCCTTCTCACCGAGCTATTAGAGCTATACTTCGAGGACGCGGAAGACCAATACGGCGTGTTCGACGACATTGCTTTCAGTCTAAAATCTGCCACCGATGCGAGTCCGAAACAGATTGCTGCTGTCAAGCGGGCGATCATAGACCATATCGGCGACCTTAGCAAGCTGGACATCAGTCGCACAGCGCGCACGCTTGCTGTGTACGCCAAGGACCTGCTGAGACCGGCAGTGTCTGCGCTTGAGGAGTCGAGGTTGCGGTTCAGTCTCCTACGTGCGCTGTTGGAACCCGCCCTCCTGCAGGATCCCCGCCAGCGGCAGGTCGCTTTGCTCTTACAACCAGGCGAAGCTGCTCCTTTCGTTGAACAATATGTGCAACTGATGTGTGTCCATGATCCAGGACATGTTGCCGACTACGTCAATATCCTACCAACATCAGAATTGCAACTAGATAACCTGTTGCCGGCTATGGAGAGGGCTGGCGTCGTTGACGCTGCGGTCGTGCTTCTTAGCCGTGATGGGCGCGCCCGAGATGCCATTGATCGCTTAGTCGTCCACCTGCAGACATTGGAGCAAGCACTGACAAGTCTTCTTGCTGCGGCGGCTGACTCGCCAGATCCAACGTCAAGCAAAGAAGCTGCGGACGACCTCGTAGAAGCGGTCGAGAAGTATACGAAAATCGGCACCTGGATCTGTCAAGGCCAGAGCGCGAGTGTTCAGCGTCGACCGCGACCTCGCACAAATTTCGCGTGGGACATTCGAGAGGATGATCTTGACCTTGACGAATACCTCTGGTTGAACCTGGTCCATGCTGTCGTGCAGCTGGCCAAGAATGTTAACCTAGCGCTACATCATGCTGAAGATGCGCAGTCTCACGGCGAGAGCGAGACAGTAGAGTTCTCCAACATGACTTCTGCTTTGCGACTCAGCGTTCAGCAGGTCTTTACCTCTTTGCTTGCCGCGACATCAACACCTAGCATCCAACAAGAAGCGGGCACATCAGCTGCTCATCGACCGACGCCCGACAATCTCAGCTGTCTCCGCGTGCTGAGAGCCTTCTTATCTCGCGCTAGCAAGACGGCACCTTCGCTATCTGACCTTCGCGAAGTCTTGTCGGACATTTTCTCGGCGTACACATACGAGCAAGGCGTACTCGAGCTGGCTAACGAGCTGCTGGGAAGCGACGTGTTTGCAGACGTCCGGGAGGCGAACGAGCTACGGCAGCGAGGTTGGCGACCTCGAGCGCAGGTCTGCGAGCATTGTAAGCGCCGTGCTTGGGGTCCGGGTATCGGAGAGGTTGTCTGGGATGAGTGGGTGCTACGAGAGCAAAGCAGGGAGGCCGAGAAAGCTCGTAAGCTTGCTGAGCGAACCGGCGGCGAGGAAGTCCGCCGCCAGGACAGAGGCAAGGCTAGAGCTAGCGATGTCGGCTTAGCCGAGCGGAATGACGACCAGGACAAGGAGGCGCGAAAGCTGGCACTTGTGGTCTTTGCCTGCCGGCATGTGTTCCACCGTGTCTGCTTGGACGAGAGCTACCGAGATAGCGGACGTCCGATAACGGGAGTGTATAAATGTCCGATATGTAGAGAACGGACGTGAATCGAAAAGAGTTGCTCAAACTTGTCATAATATCATCTGTCGTTACGTCTGGTGTGAGTCTCCGTTTCTGTCACCTAAAAACTCAGCTCTGACCGCGATGAGGTCTATGCTTTGTCCTCCCTCTGACCACCACAAACAGCAGGGCAGGAACCATCGTTGCTCGTATCTCGGACTAAACACTTTTCAGTATGTCATCGACATTCTGGATGATCGGGTGCTTGAGCGGCGCATCCAGCGTCGTCTTGGGCGCCTTCGGTGCTCATGGCCTCAAGAGCCGTATCGACAGCCCGGCCCGTCTCGCGAACTGGCATACTGCGGCACAATATCAAGTGGGTCAACCAAGCGGTATATGACGAGAACAAGGCATCGTTGCTAATCAACAATAATAGTTGATGCACTCGGTCGCCTTACTGGTTGCTGACCAAGCTGCTCCTAAGAATGTACGGAGTCTTGAGCCTCCGAGATGATATTGATATTTGCATTGACCAGTCTCCAGATTTGGGCGAAGAGTCTCTTCACGGCAGTAGGACAATCCTCATTGCCATTGCTAATACATGCATCTATCGCTGACATGCGCAGGGAATCACCATGTTCTCTGGCTCTCTCTACCTGCTGGTTCTCGATCCTCAACGGTTCAAGCTCATGGGCCCTGTTACTCCGTTAGGCGGTACATGTCTGATAGGTGGATGGATTGCGCTGGCGATAGGCAGTCGCGGCAGGATCGCTGGAAGCAGGCTATGACCGGATTGCGATGGCTTAATCAATTGTGCACCGTCTTGTGGTACTTTAATATAGTTCTACTCATTCCCGAGTTCATACCAACAGGGGTCGCAGCTGCATATTACCCGGAACGCTACGCCTCGCTCTTGATAATATCGCCAACCTCGCTATGTTTCAGTGAGAAGAAAGTAAACTCGTACGGCAAGCAAACGTTCAAAGTTCATCCCTACCCGGACCCCGAAACTCCCATCCTCGAGGCCTGATAGGCCTTCCAAGCCAGAAGTCGGTCAGCCTGCTCATCTCATGTGTGGCGATACTGCCCAGCTTCTGCGGTAGTCCCAGCCACGAGTTCAGGACAAAGACATAAGCCCGCCAGACAAGGCCAAACTCCTGCCAGAAAGCGTCGCTCAACGAGTCTACATGCTTCGGTGGCAATTCGTCCGCATCTGCAAAATCGTCCAGCTCGCCAAGCCCGTCCGCGCTCTCCGCAGGGCTTGCGTGTGCAGCCTTCCTTTCCGCGATTGGGTCGGCAATGTTCAGTTCAGCAGCGAGCATGCCTCGAAAACGTTCCAATGCTTTCATCGCGGAGCTAATCTTATCCAACGTGTTTATCAGCGCGACCAATTCGGTCCGACGCAACAGCGGCTTTTCTTCGCCTGCGTGTCCGTTCCCGAACTCGAAGAGCACCTTCAGTGCGGTGCCGAAACCGTTGGTCTGGATTTTACCCCATAGACGGCACTTGTCGCACCCGACGCAGTCCATGATCCTACTCACGTTACGGAAACGGTTACGGAAGTCTTCTTTGAGGCTGATGCCATTCTCCATCTGATCGTCCTGAAACATGACGCTCTCGTCGAAGATGTGCGGTCCAGCTGGTATAGCAGAGGCCAATCTCGTGATCATCTCCTTGGTCTTTTTGTCCTGCTGAGGGTCGCCTGTGCAGAAGGTGTAGTCTGGAACGTATTCGCGCAGCTTGCCAACTGCGCGTAGTACGAGTGCATAGTTGAAGTAAAGGTTGGAGATGCGCTCCGGGTATTCGTGCAGCCGCTCTTTGTAGCACTGGAGGTTCGGTCCCCATTGCCCGGTCGTCTGGTTCAGGTAATCGTAGCACAAGTGCGTCGATATGGAAGCATGCATGCCGGAGATAATGCGGTAGAAGACCCGTTTCTCCAAGCACGTGTTTTCGGAATCATCGAGTGCTTCAGCTGTGCCGGACTTGACCGCCTTCTCGCGGTCGTGGGCCCGCATCACCTGCTTGAAGTCCATAGCTGCCTGTGCTTGGTTCTGCGAGAGTGCCGGCTGCGGCGCAGAAAGACCTGGTACTCCGACGCTATGATCGCTGACTGGATCTTTGGAGAAACAGTTCTCTCGATAGATCGCTTCCCAGACCTGGTGGGCACCTTCTCCGGCATACCCAGTGAAGCGCTCAGGGTTGTTCGCCAAGCTGACATAGTCGCCTTTCCCACCTGCCGTCTCGTCTTCTGGCACGCAGTAGTCCCGATCGTCACACTCGTCGTCGTACTCAACCACGCAACTCTCGCCTACACCGGCACCGAGCTGATCTAACAGCGGCCTTTGTCGCTCTTGCTGTTGCTTCCTTCCTGGATGCTGCGCCCTTGGACCTTCCAGTTTACTGAGCTCCTCCGCCCGCCATATCTTCGGTACGTCTTCCTCATTCTCCAGCGTTGTTACAGCGCAGGCTATATTCCCGCATAATCCATTCTCATCGTCCCAGAATGGGCACTCTTTGTTGTACAAATTTAGCCGATAGTATGAGAAGAAGTCCGTGTTGTTCGCCAAATTCCGCACATATGGATGTAGTCTGTCGTTCAGAGTGTCGAGATCAGCATATGATGCGCAAGCGTCGGACACCTTCGCGGTCGGCTCGAGCTGAAATGCATCAATGATTACCCTTGACGTAGATTCGGGGTTGGACGAGGTACTTACAGCGCAAACGTCTGGGTTACTATGCGAAGATGAAGGCGTTGCTGCCCGTGTTATACAGTCTCCGCTGAACAGAGCGAAGACTGCAAGGTAGAAGGCGCCGGCTCGTGATCTACGCATGATATCGAATGTCGAAGCTTCACCCAACGTCAGCGCTGCAATGCTGTCAAACGGGTCAACTTACCAGATCCTCGTGTCGTGTCTAGCCTCCACAGGTGCTATTCAGCATTGCATGCGGCGTCGTTGGTCAGGCCTGACAAAGAGAGTTACCTTTGTGAGGAAACGTTACGAAACACAACACAGGACCATAGGTTTATCGAGGTAGTTGTGCTAAACACCTACAAGGGCAGAATACAGTTGAAGCCACTGATCAGATATTGGTATGCAGCTTAGGTGGCCTATACACAGGTATGTAATCAATCGACACGCCTGCAGGGTCAAGTGGCTTCATGTTCGCCACAATGCGCGTTCCATCACACGTGCATGCTGCATCCACTTGCTGTGGCGCAGTCGTCCAGAGGCTTACATGTACATGTACCTGACCTCAGACTCCAGATTTGTAAAATCCTGCTCGAGTCTCTACGTTCTACAAAGTCGCTAAACCAAGCGCTTTGGTTTCAGCAGTCTTCTAGGTCGAGTGCTACCAACAGCAACGACAACGACAACAACAATGCACAGACGGTAGGGCTATCGTTCCATATGGTTCCAGAAGCCTCTCAAGTTCTCGGCTACCTCTCTTGGCTACATGCATGCTACCTCCCCCTGAACTAGCAATGGAATGCCAGGCGGCAACGGTGGGCTACACCTATTGTGCAACCTCGCACTTGGGCAAGGATGTTGAGTAGCAGGCCTCCCATCCCAGGACTCCTTGTAGCTATAGACGATGATCCTTCTGTCTTCTTCATCGAGCATTAATGCTGTCTGGTTAATCCGTGGTCAGGGATTTCGTCTAACCGGAACCCTCCCGCAAGAGGGGACTCACCAGTTTTCGTCGAAGTCTCGCAGTGATGCCACGGAGCACGCGGTACGGCTGATTAGCATTCGCTTGTTGTTCAGCTTGCTTTGGTGTTGGTCGATAAATCTCTCGTACCTGGCGTAGATGGACGATAGCGTCAATAGTCACGTACACAAAGCTGGATGTTTGAGGTACAAGATACAGAGTCCCCTAGTCGCAACCTTACTGCATTGAATTCATTTGATGAAGAATGCTCCAGTCATGTTTGATTGAAGTACAATGAAAGTTAATTACCCCGTCTTACAAAAAGCTGCTTGAGCACCACCCCTTCAGGAGGTCGGCCTGATCACTGCATCAAACACGTATCACAGATGTCCAGTTGTTGACCTTTGACGATGTGAAGTCGAGGCTAGACTGCCCGCATTCCAATGACTGGCAGTCCATTGCGGTACCTGAACGCGGCTTCGTTTAGCAACTACCTGAGGTATCCTGACAGGAGAGGGCACGGCGTTACTCTCTGGGACATTCGTGGTCCGGACACAGCCTGTGTAGTGAATCTGAATCATGACGCGCTGTACGGCAATACGGCTCGTATGTATTACAAGCGAGACGGGGCGAGGCGAGTATAACAGCCTGTACTGTATCGCGATCGAGTTGTAATACTATGGAGCCGCTTTTCCGGCCCCCAGATTGCAACAGCCCAGATAGGAAGGCATCCTCTGGCGTTTCAGGCCGTAGTGTGATAGTATGGAGGACATGTAGTCCGCTTTGAACCAAGTGGAGTCGCCGTCCACTATCAACCGAGTGGAATGTATAGTGCACCATGAACTGAGTGGAGTTTGTTAGCACGGCACCGACCAAATCCGAGATGCTGGTAGCATCGTATGGTGTGCGGAGAGGCTTCGAAGAAGACATGTAAATCACCGACTGGACGTAGAGACAGGCTTTTCATCTGCAAAGCTTGGAGAACTGTATAATGCGGGTACAACGGATGAGACGGCTGGCTTGGCTACATTTTCTCTGTCACTACTGCAGAGTCTGCGACGGAAGCGAGTTGTCGGGTTTGAATTATGGTGGCGAGTGGATGGAGCGAATCGTCCCAGCTTAGACTGACTCGCCCGTTGCACCGGTCAGTCGGCATATGTATGCGCCGAGGGGTTTCGCTACGCTGTAGTAAGTCATGATGCAAGAGCTGCGGCTCTGAGAAGGTGACGCTAGAACATTTGATCAGCGCACTCTGCCTGGAAACTGACCACTGATCGAAGCTTGAAGCTTGAGCTTGTGAGTGTTGGTTCCTGACAATACAAATCCGAGATCGATGTCTGAAAACACTTGGCTAGTGCGAGGGTCCCTTGATGCCCGGTAAAATTGTGCCGTTTTGGCACAACAATGCGATCGCCTCGATGTGTCTTGGTTATAGACCCTATTTAGACGGCGCGTAACACCAAAGGCTGTGACCAGCCGTGAACACAACATACACTGTAGCAGTGTAGCATTCCCACAGAAAATGATCGTTGATCGTCTAGCGCTGGGGGCAGCCTCTCCCGGATGTTCGCTCTGTCGCGCCCAAACGCGTAGGAAGCCCCAAAAAGCCCTTTCTGCAACCACGACAAGGGCTCCCCACGTGCAACAAGTCCGGGCTTGGTCGCGCTCAACAGCAGAATGCACGGTTATTCAGAACCTTGTCGATCATCCATAGCAGCGAGTCGGAAAATTTGTGTGATATGGAAGCTGCCGTATAGCTCAGACACTCGCGTCACTAATGCAGAACTCGATGTCGATCGTCTCCTCATTCCCCGAACCATTGCGATGATGTCGAAGGATGCAGCGATACTTCCGTCGCCAAAGAAAGTGCCCTGTGTTGCAGTAACGGGAATCGCAGCGATTGCGGCCTATCTCAAACGTGTTGAATTGCTGCCGTCCAGGATTCGTCTGGGCAACAGTCGCTAAACAGGGCAGCGGGTGTTAGCCGCAATCTCAGCGTCGAACTCTGTTCCTGCCACCAGCCAGCTCCCCGGGCAAATCGTGCAGCCTCCTGCAGTCGAGTCCAACGCCACTCGATCATCACTGTGGAAACTGCAGGGCGAGAAGCCGGCCTGCCAGGGACCGCCGTGCTATTTGCCGCGCCCGAGGAGAGTGTGCATCACAGTACAGTGGAGACGTCTGATCTTTGCCAGTTCGCTTCGCCTGATGGCTGGTCCGTGAACCACAGCGGTCCCGTTGGACCCAGCATTGTCCAACTTGGCCTGATATACCCTAAGTAAGTAGCCGCATGTCACTCTCTTCGCTCTCTTGGTCTCCTCTCGACGGTTTGTGTGTCCGAACTGTCACTTCTTTCTCTACGCGTGTTGTCTTCACGCAACCTTACCGGGACCATGCGTTTGATATGGCCGATTGCCGCTCTTGCGGCTGGTGCTCTCGCGACTCCTGGATTCAATGGTCCGCCACAGGGAGGCAACAACTTCAACAATGCTAAGGGAGGTGCACCGCCCCAGAATAACAACAACCAGCAGCAAGGCCCGCCAAACAATGCAGGACCACCACAGCAACAACAAGCTCCAAGCTCCGCTGCGCCAGCCGCAGCGCAACATCCCAGCCAAGCGCAAGGTGGTCCACCGGCAGCACAACCTACCAGCCAAGCGCAGGGGGGTCCACCAGCGCAAGGTGGTCCGCCAGCACAAGGCGGCGGTCAACAACAGGGAGGACCGCCGACCTCGAGAGTCACAGTATACATGTCTACAGACTCGACCGTGACATCGTGTCCAACCTCGACAGCAACTTACGGTCCGCCAGCATCACATCCCACAACATCTGCACCCTCGTTTGGTGGTCCAGGCGGATATCCGGGTCAGGGTGGTCCGCCGTCATCAAGTAACTGGTGGCAATTCTGGCAACACAGTGTCGCGTTTCAACCCCCTAACTCGCACAACGCCATACCAGGATCAACTATAGTCGCTCCCAAGCCTTCGGCATCAGCTGCGGCAGGCTCCGCGGGCGCGGCGGGCCCCGGTGTTGCACTCACCAACTATCAGCAGGTTGGCAACTCGACCCTGGGCACACTCAACCAGCCTTATCTCCCGCAGTGGCTGGACGGCGGCTCGACACCACCTTGGGGCGCCAATCGCACTGTTTACAACTCTGACGCAACCGTCAAGGGCGACATTCCGGTCACTAACGTCACAAGGTTCTACGACTGGACTGTCAAGCGTAGCCGTATCAGCGCAGATGGCGTGCTGAGAGACGTCATTCTCGTTAACGATATGTTCCCGGGTCCGATCATCGAGGCGAATTGGGGAGACTGGATCCAGGTGACTGTGCACAACAACATTTCGAGCCCATTCGAAGGCACTTCGCTGCATTGGCACGGTCAGATCATGAAGGGCACGCCTTGGGAAGACGGCGTTCCTGGTGCTGGACAATGTCCAATCGCACCCGGTCACTCTTTCACTTACTTTTGGAGGGCTGAGCTCTTTGGCTCGTCTTGGTGGCACGCACATTACAGCGCACAGTACACCGCGGGTGTCGCTGGGCCTATGGTTGTTCACGGGCCATCACCTCTGCCCTACGACAATGACGTCGGCCCGGTCATGGTGTCTGACTGGTACCATATTCCGTACTTCAGCATTGTCAGCGATGCCGTCGGCACCAACTTCTCGCTCATCCCGCCGACTAGTGACGCGGTCCTGATTAACGGTCGCGGTCGGTACAACTGCTCGGACCCATCGTATGCGAGTGGCCAAGAGCTACTTGCCAGCAACATCATGTCCAACATCTCCTGGCAGTGTACCGAGAATGCACCTTTGTCCATGTTTCGCTTTCAAAGCGGCAAGGTCCACAGGCTTAGACTCATCAACCACGGTTCGAACGGCGTCCAGAAGATCTCGATTGACAACCATATGATGACCGTCATCGAGACCGACCACGTACCGAATATCCCATATAACACTTCCATCGTGACTTTGGGAGTGGGCCAGCGGACTGATGTCTTGGTTACGGCGAACATGGCGCCCAATACTGCCGTGTGGCTTCGAACCCATGCAGGCGGTGCTGAACCCTGTGGCGGTTCGCAAAACCCAGACATGATGGCTGCGATCTACTACGAGGGCGCCAACACCAATGCTGCCCCGACCTCTTCGTCTTCCGCCACCAACGAAACCTGCCTCAATGATGCGTTGACGATTACACGACCTGCGTTCCCCATCACACCCACCAACACTTCCTTCATCCAAAATCTTGAGTTGACACTGGAGGTCAACTCTACCGGTTCGTTCGAGTTCCGCGTTAACGGCCAGAGGTGGCACGTTGACCTCAATGTGCCCCTTCTGCCCCAGTACGCTTCAGGCAACTTCACCTTCGAGCCGCAGTGGAACGTCTACAACTTCTACGAGAACAACACGGTCATCTTGAACATCACCAACAACATGCCGCTCGTTCATCCCTTCCATCTTCACGGTCACAACTTCTACGTCCTCAATGTTGGCGACAACGGAACTGCGGGCTCGAACGCTGCCCTCGGCAAGCGACAAGTCGCTGGACCGACATTCGAGAGCGGAGCAACCTGGAACGGTGAGATCGTCAACCCTGAGAACCCGATGCGCCGTGATGGTATCCTCATCCCGCCTTACGGATTCGCTGCGATCCAGTTCGAGCTCGACAACCCGGGTGTCTGGGTAAGCATCTGTTCGATATCATCGTCTTCAACGTGCCATTCGCTGACTCTGTTGTAGCCACTCCATTGCCACGTTGCATGGCATCTTAGCGGCGGCCAAGGTATCCAGATCGCCTACAGACATAACGAGATCGTCCCGATACCTAGCAACTTCACCTCGCTATCATGCGACGACTGGAGCTACTACTCACAACATAACGTTGTTGACCAGATCGACGCTGGCGCATGAGCAATGCGACCTCTCCATCTCAATATCTCGTATTCCCTTACTTCAGCAGGGTACAGTGGGTCGCTGTTCATAGCGTCGGCGTTGTGGGAGTTCTTCCAGTCTTAAAGAGGGGTCTGCATGGGCGCAGTGGAATGACCTTACGGCACACCGGCATAGAGTGATGTACAACGTCACGAGCTACGTCTAGACGCCCGCGAAAAGGCTGTCGAATTTTGTATATATTTGCAAATAATTAACATAATACATGATGTCGCATCATCAGTCGCCTCGTCCAATCTTTGACGATGCTTCACATCTCGCAGATCACATCCTTCATTTGCCGTACTTACCGACGAACTCGATCAGAGCGTTGTCGACCTCTTTCGGATGGCTGAAGGACAAGAAGTGCTGGCCACCCTCAATCACTTTCAGCTTCGCATCAGGGCTGTTTTCGAACAGTCTGATCTCCTCCTCTGCATTCTTCACTGAGTACACGCAATCTGCTGTACCATGCAACCACAGCACGGGACATCTGATATCGAACAGCCTGCTGTGCAGACCATCGCGCTCACTTAGGTTGATGGCGGCCATCCGGATCCGGCGTCGCCCCTCATCACCTTGGTAGTTCGCCTTGATCTCGTTCACCCAGAACTTGCGAGCATCGGTTGGACAGTCTTTCCCGAAGCCAATGTCGATGAGAAAGTTGCAGTACTCTTCGCTTGGCTCGAATTTGGCCGTGTCATCGTTGGTCGACCAGGCTTTGATATTGGGCTTCAAGTCTGCGGGACCGTCCCAACAACCCAGTTTTCTGGTGCGATCAGACTCACTGTCCATCGAAGTGCCAAGCGGGATGATGCCGGTAATCTTGTCGGGAGCGAAAAGCGCCATGCGGACGGTAATCCAACCGCCCTGGCTCGTCCCCAATACGAACACCTTGCGGCCGCCTCCGGTCATGCCCAGTGCGTCCAGGACCTGCACGTTCATAATCGCAGTATCCCAGTAAGTGAAGTTCTCCAGCCTGGTCCTGGTCTGTCCATGGCCGAGCAATTCGATGGCGATAAGGTTCATTGCATTGTTGAGCTCCTCGTTGGCAAACTGACCTCGGTATAGCTCGGACGACGTCGTGAAACTGTTGACCAGAACGAGCGTGGGCTTAGACGGGTCGTACTGCCGCTGCATCTGGTATGCGGCGTCGATACCGCCTAAATGTGGTACGCTTACTGTCTTCGTGTTTGGCATTTTGGCGTATTCGGCGACAACGAGCGAAATGACACTACGATGCGAATGTTACGTGGCAGAGACACGCTGCTTAGACCATCCAGAATCCATCGTACAAAGCAAGAGACAGGTCTGATCTCCACTTCAAGCACAACCGAGGTGGAATAGCTGTCATCCTCGCATCACGTTACGTGTAGCTCTGTTGTGGAAGCTGGCAAGCAATTGGGCCCCTCACTATGCAGGCTTATACCAGCCAGTCTATTTCACTATGCACAAACATCGAGGTTTGTGCGTCCCGGTCGTCGCATAGGGTGGCTGTTCGTGTAGGCGTGGTGTGAGGACAAAGGCCTTACGTGATCGCCGCTAAGATTTGCGCCCGCTAACAACATTCTCGCAAATAACTTCATGTTCCCACCACGCACCACACATCGCCCATCACAACATCCCGCCAGTTCCGGTACGTTCCAAGCATACATTTGTCCCATGTCTTTCCCTGATGACACCATATGCTTTATATTCTGGCACCTCTAATGTCAGGGTGCCTCGTGCATTCGATGATCTCAACCTTGTTGTCTGAACTCCTTGACAGATTTCAACTTCTACGCGCGATACAACACAATCTGCCGACTCATACTGACTTGTCTCGCAGAGGCGGCAACATGAGCACGAGTGCCACCATGTGGAATCAACTTTCGGTATAATCCCATGGATATCCTATGTATTGGACCTCGCGCCCAACGTTCTTCGTGGCTCACCGCGTCCTTCTCCCGCCTTCGTGGGACATGGATTCAACCTCGTATGGACGTTGTCAGTAGTGGAAACAGTAGGGCCCCGTTCCCTTGATATGGCTTTTCATGCTGTTCCTCCCCTGTCACTGTTCTTTATGGTTTGCAGCTTTGCCAAGGTCATTTCTCCCGGTTGATCAAAGTCGGAACATGCATTCTTCCTTTGGTCGCAACTATGCCTGTCCTGTCAAGCAAAAGGCCTTCGCCAGTTTCATGTCCTGCCTGCAATGTTCAGCAAACAGCACACAAGCAAACTGTCATGGCAGCATAACCATCCGCTCCCTGCCACGGGAAGATTCTTAGCTTGCTCCCAAGCCCCTCAGTGTGCGCAACAAAAGCTATGATGCTGTTACAAGCCATGAACGCGAGACAAGCTATGCTGCCCGGACCGCCCGGCCTCCAAGGCCTCCCGTGCATCTGCGGCCTCAACATGCGGCACTCCCTCTACCCAGAAGATGAAGTTCAGAGCGATACCTGCGGCGACTGGCGCCACCGTGTCTGCATGGGTGTAGACGACGACGAAGGACACTTTAACCCAGCTACTCAACAGAGTAACTGGCATTGCGAAGCCTGCCGACCCCAGCGTCACCTCATCACACTCACTGCGCTTGCAACAGGCCGACCATTGATCTGGCAATACCGGCAAGAACGAGCGGACGACCTGCAGCACCGCGAGCTGTTGATCGAGATGGCGACGGCGCCTCAGGTACCGTGGGCGCCGCGCTTTGCACGCTACGAAGGGCCAGCGACGCCGAGAAAGCGAGCAGCTGCGGTAAGGCAGACAGTCAAGGAAGGCATGGAAGTACTGCTCAACATGATCGCGAACAGAGACGAGAACGAACGCTTCTTCCGCGTAGTCGCTCTGGACTTTGTGCATGAACGGTGGGACAGCGTGCTCGAGCGCGTGCTGCTCATGGCGCACTGGGTCTCGTTCTCCGATCGCTCCGCACTCGTGCTGAGGGCCACGCTTCGGAAAAGCTTCGCCATCGGCATCGTGTTCCCGCGCGAGGCGGTCTTGAGCGTGGGACCTACGGATGGAAGTGTAGATGAGGACAGCGATGTTATCGACGGAGGCTCTGGGGCGGTTGGGCAACCATGGAACGGAGCGAATGGGTTACTCGTCCTCTTCATCCTGGGCTGTATGGGCTATATAGCCTTGTACGGATCTTGACGGAAGAGTGCATTCAAACATGCCTGCGGAGGTATCTATCGCTGTGTATGGACATCATCATCGTAAACCTACATCGTCCCTTCCGGCGCAAAACTCTGAAACGCAGGCATATCGGCCGTCAGAAAGTAGTTCCAGTCGAAATCCGAATTATTCAAAATATCCATATTCCAGTCCTCGCCACTGCTGGTCGTCATCGGCGTGCCCTTAGACAGCGGAGGTACGCCTCCCATCAACCCTGCACCAACCCCGTTGATCTGCAACGGCGACGTGGTCATAATACCTCCATTCCCATGCGGCGACTGCTGCTGCTGCTGCTGTGGCGGCCTCTGCCGTTTCACCTGCGGAGGCTTTTGTTGTTGTTGCTGTTGCTGCTGCTGTTGCTGGTGTGGTGAAAATTGTGACTGTGACTGCGACTGCGACCGCGACTGCGACCGCGCCATCTGCTCATTCCTCAGATTCTCCAACTGCGGCGGGTCACACTCCAGCCCATCCTTCCTCAGACTCTGACCCAACACAACCGAATCCTCATCCTTCCTCTTCTTCCCCAACCGCACGAGGAACCGCGCCGTCTTCAGCGCCTCCCGCATAGCCACAGTGTGGAAACGCTCCACCACCTCCTCCAACGTGCGCATGGCCGTCGCGACGTGGGCGAGACTTTCCCGTGAGTCCATGGCGAGGAAGACGCAGATGCATTGGAATGTTACATTACCGACGTGCCACCATGGCATGCGACGCTCGGCCATGCGGCGCGCGGCTTCGAGCCCTTTGAGCGCGATGTTGATGATGCGGTTGGTGATTTCGGAGGACATTGTGGGGTTGGCTAGGCGGATGCGGCGGTATCCGCAGAGGGCTAGGTTGGCTTTGGAGAGCATGATACCGTCGTGCCGGACTTCGTAATCCTCGAGCTGCTTGAGGAAGTCCTCCCATTGCTGTCCGGCCTGGTTGGTGCGGTCCGGATCGAGGCAGCAGGAAATGCTGTACAGGTTGATGTAGTCGTTGGTGTAGTCGTTCTCCTGCGCGGTCGGCATGCCGCAGGTGATGCCGCGCAGGCAGACGCGCGTGCGGCCGTATTCGAACGAGACCCAAGTGTTCAGCATGCGCGCGACCCAGAAGACGCGCCGTCGGATTTCGGGGTCATACAGGTGGTCTCTGGCGTGCGGGTGCAGGGTGGAGTTGCTCGTTTCCTGGTAAATCCCTATCGACTCCACCAAATGCATGGTCGTGCACGTAGCCATCCAAACCGCGTGTGGGTGGTCCGTGGAGCGGAGGTACAGTACGCGCAAGATCCAAGACTGCACGTCCGTCAAACACGGCGGCTGCATCGTGCTCGTCCCCTCCAGCGACCGCTTCGCCAAATCCACAATCTGTGGCAATGCGGCGTTCAAACTCCCGTCCGACCACAGCATCCCCATCGCCGCGATCCCAGCGAACAAATGATCCGGCAGCGTACAGACGTCCGGTCTCGCCCAGCGGAAGCCCAGCTGCTCCATCACGGACTTCTGGTCCAGAAAGCCATACAACGGGTGCACGTTCAGAAAGTAATGCTTCGCAAGCATGTACATTTGATCCTGCGCCAGGAAGTCCGTGATCGACGGCAGCGAAGGCAGCTGATCCACGCGACTTCCGACGTTCCAAGCAAACGTGAACAACTTCGGCCCCGAGCTAGGATCCAACCTCAACCCCAGCAGTCTCGTGAACGCGAGACCGGAATTCGCCTCCATCGACCGCATCTTCGTCGCATCCTCCAGCGTGGGCCGGTCATCGCGCACACTCTCCGGCGTCTCGACAACGGCCACATCTCTGACTCCAGCTCCGGCTCCGGCTCCGACGGCGGGATGATGATGATGCTGCTGCTGCTGCTGATGATGATGATGATTCACAAGCCCATCGTGCAGGGCCTCGTTCTGCTCGACGAGTTTGCTCCGTTTGCGCGGGTGCTTCTCAAAGTAACATTTATACTCGAATTGCGAGCACATGTTACAAGGGAGATTGCCGTCGCAGCGGCGTTTGCGCAAGCGGCATGGTTCGCACGCCTGCTTTGCGCGTTGGCGCTTCTGGCCGCCGGCGCCGGGGGGACTGCCGTCGTTGCTTTCGGTGGGATGCGAGTCGTCCTGAGGGGAGGTGGTGCTTCCGTTGAGCAGCGGCGGCTCCATCGCGGAAGCCGAGCTTGTTGTAGCTCTGGTAAGGTTCGACTTGTGGCTTGCCCTGGGAAGGGGGAGGTTGGATTACTTTGCCGATTAGAGCACTACTTTTCCGGGAGCCTGCAGAGTCAGGATTTGGGCGTAGAATTTCTGTAGTAAAGATTATGGTCGTTGCGACGAGGGTTCGCGATTCTACCTTTAGTCAACACCTCGGCACGGATGGTTGAGCAAGGGTCCGCGGCCGGAAAGACACCCGAACTGACCTAGCGTTTCCGATACATATATACAGTCACGTGAGGCTTACCCGAAAGCTGCGGACCGCATCTCGACCTTATCTCGAGATGTCCTGGTCGGGGTGTCCGCCCGCTGCAAGAGTGTCTTCACCTGTTACCACCGCATAAAGGTGTATATACACTGTGACGGTAGGAACTATACACTATGTCGGCACGATCTCTACATGCGTAAACAATCTTGGACATGATGCGATCGTTCAGAGCGGGCTTGCACGAAATCTGGCTTTCTAGCAGCTCCGGTAAGGTAGGGAGGAGTGAAGAAAACAGATGACAGCGGGGGAAGAACTACATTTCGCTAAAAAGCCCCTACTATGTACATGCCACGCACAACCACCTATCCCTCTTCCTGTCCCGCTTACTCCGACGCAGAAGCACCAGTAATGATGTCCACCAATTCGTTGGTGATGACAGCCTGTCGGGTTCGGTTGAACAGGATGGTGAACTTGCTGATCATGTCGCCGGCGTTCTTCGACGCATTGTCCATGGCGTTGCGGCGCGCGGACTGCTCGCAGGCGTGGCCTTCAGCGAGGGCCCAGAAGATGCTGTTGGCGAGGGCGTATTCGCGGAGGTTGGCGAGGACCTCGTCGTCGATTTCGAAGGCGGCGAAGTTTGCTGTAGTAGTGTGTTAGTCAAGCGGCGGGTGCACATGTTTTGTGGATGGGAGATTTGTCCGGGGGAGCTTACGTGACGCAGCAATCGCCTCCTCCGAGTAGGCCTCCACCACCGTCGGCTCGTAGGACTGCGCATTGATGAACTTGTTGTACATGATTTTGATGCTCGCGTAGTCGGTCGGCAACAGCGAAATTTGATCCGCAATCGCCTGCGCGTCGGCGAAAGTCGGCACATCCTTGCCCACGCCCGCAAACGACAGGATGAGCTCCTTCGCATTGCTCCGGCTGAGCTGGGCCTTGCACTTCTCCCCCAACACGCAGATGTCGTAGTCGCCCGGGTGCTCGTTCATGAGACGGCGGGTGGCGCGGGTCATGCCCGAGTGGATGCCGCCGCAGAGGCCCTTGTCGGAGCTGCAGACGACGAGGAGGGTCTTGCCCGCCTCTTCGGAGGGCTTGGTCTCGGCTTCCTCGAAGACTTTGTTGGAGGTCTGGCCGTAGGAGCGGGATTCGGTCATGGCGCGTTGGGCGCGGGTGAGTTTGGTGGAGGCGACGATTTTCATGGTTTTGGTGATCTTTTCGATGTTGCGGATGGATTTCAGGCGGCCTTCGATTTCGCGGAGGGTGACATAGTTGGCGGTTTGGGCGATGGGGAGGGTGGCGGCGGCAGCGGCGGGTCTGTATACATACAAGTCACTTGGTTAGCTTTGCTGATGGCTCTCCGGGAGTGTGTAGGCTTGTGAGCCATTGCGGGTGGTGCATACCGCAGCGCGACGGCCGCACCAGCCTTGAAGGCGGGACGAGCAGCTCGCGACAGCATATCGGCGGCTGTCGGAGGAGAAGAGATGGGAGTGTTGGCTGATGGGGGAAACGGGTGGTGTCACTGCTGGCGGGTGGTGGATGAGCTTTCGCTTGCTCTTGCTCCTTGCCCGCTGTCGCCCGAAGTGTCTCCGTGGAGCTCACTGAGGTGTCTGCCCTGACCCTAACCCTAAACGTGGCGTCTCCGGGCATATCTTTGGAGGCATGAAGGCGATCATTTGTCTCACACTCTTCTGTTTTCACTCACTCCCCTTCTGTTGCCTTGCATTACTACCTCAGCATTGATGCGTCACTGACGGTCCCTTACTGCACTGCCCGTCTCACCAACTTTGCCTCAGTGCGTGGTCTTGCGAGGCTCCATACGCGCTGGGTACTCGGGTCAGCGCGTCGTTTCTGCCGAGTGGCCACTCTCAGGCGCGTCGAGTCCACAGCAACCTCACTTCACAGTACATTAACTCCATCTTCTGCCACCGTCGACAGGCAGCAGAATGTCTGACTCCGACGATGACCGACCTCTCAAAGGTGCGTATCCAACATCTTCATATCATACGGCTTTTTGCAGTGCTTTGCCATTGTGCAGTCAGTCAGTCAGTCCCACACAGGGAGGGGCGGACTTGGTCAAAATTTGCATTTCCTTCACTACACGCAAACCACAAGCACATGTGACAAGCTCGTCCATTACTCGTACACATAATAGATCGATTTCTTCATTTCTGCATTTGCACCCTCCTCATGAACAAGCAACATCTTCAACAAGCACTGCGTCACGTGCTCCCAACTAATACATCATCTTCAGCCAAATCCAAGGATACCATCTCCAAATCGGTAGACGCGGCCATGGATAAGTCAATTCATTCCAATGGCCACGTCGCGCCCGGCATCAGCATGGCAATGGGACCATTCGACGGCATGGACGTGGACAAGCCTGTCACCAACGGCGTCAACGGAGTCCACGGTTCTAAGAGGAAGACTTCACGTCCAAACGGCGCTAGTTACAGGGAGGACACTGATGATGACGATGACGACGACGTGCCTCTTACCAAAAAGCGGAAGACGAAGACGGTGGCAGCAGTTGACGACGAAGACGATGTGCCTTTGAAAAAGAAGGTATCCAAGCCGCCGAAGGCTACTGCCCCACAGATAGGCGCTGTGGACGGAGGTGACCTTCCGCTCGGCAAGAAGCTCCAGCAGGAGAAGGAGGAGATCGAGCAAGAGGCAAAGAAGGAGGCCCAAGCGATCCGGAAGAAGGAGAAGAGCACCAAGCGGAAGGCCGAAAGTGACGATGAAGATGACGTGCCTCTGAAGGAGAAGGCGCCCATCAAGAAGGAGGCTGCTGTGAAGAAGATCAAGAAAGAAGCGGACTCCGATGATGACGACGTGCCGCTAAGCAAGAAGGCGCCCACTAAGAAAGCTGCGAAAGTTAAGAAGGAGGAGACTGCGGTCGCTGCGAAGAAGGGCAAGGCTAAAGTCAAGCAGGAGGAGAGGACGGCCGAAGATGAGGCGGCAGACGATGAGGAAGAGGAGTACCGGTGGTGGGAGGACCCTGCGAAAGGTGACGGCACGATCAAGTGGACAACGCTTGAGCACAACGGTGTCGTGTTTCCACCCGAGTACGAACCACTCCCGAAGCATGTCAAGATGTTATACGACGGTGTACCTGTCACTATGCATCCGGACGCGGAAGAGATCGCATACGGCTTTGGGAGTATGCTGAATTCGACTCACAATGTTGAGAACCCGACCTTTCAGAAGAACTTCTTCGGCGACTTCAAAGAGATGCTCGACAAGACCAAGCACGCCAAGGACAAGGACGGCAACTCGGTCAAGATTACGAAGTTCGAGAAGTGCGACTTTAAGCCGATCTTTGACTACGTCGACGCCGAGCGGCAGGCGAAGAAGGCATTGCCCGCTGCGGAGAAGAAGAAGCTCAAAGCGGAGAAGGATGAGAAGGAGGCGCCGTACATGTACTGCATGTGGGATGGTCGTAAGCAGAAGGTGGGCAACTTCCGTGTCGAGCCCCCGGGCCTCTTCCGTGGCCGTGGCGAGCACCCCAAGACCGGCAAGTGGAAGAAGCGAGTACAACCCGAGCAAATCACGATCAACATCGGCAAGGAGGCGATGGTGCCGAAGCCGCCAGAAGGGCACAAATGGAAGGAGGTCAAGCACGACCAAGAAGGCACCTGGCTTGTGATGTGGCAGGAGAACATCAACGGCGCGTACAAGTACGTCATGCTGGCCGCCAACTCCGACATTAAGGGTCAGAGTGACTACAAGAAGTTCGAGAAGGCGAGGGAGCTGAAGAAGCATATTGGCCGGATTCGAGACGACTATACGAAAGAGCTCAAGGACGAGGAGATGGTGGTGCGGCAGCGTGCCACGGCAGTCTACCTGATCGATCAGTTCGCACTCCGTGCTGGCAACGAGAAAGGCGAGGATGAGGCGGACACTGTAGGCTGCTGCTCCCTGAAGTTCGAACACGTCACCCTCCGGCCTCCGGACACCGTCATCTTTGACTTCTTGGGTAAGGACTCGATCCGCTTTTACGACGAGGTAAAAGTCGACCCGCAAGTCTTCAAGAACCTCAAAATCTTCAAACGCGCCCCCAAAACCGATGGAGACGATATCTTCGACCGCCTGACCACGTCCGGCTTGAACAAGCATCTCTCCAAATACATGCCCGGTTTAACCGCGAAGGTCTTCCGTACCTACAACGCCTCCTGGACAATGGCGACGCTGCTGCAGAAAATGAAACCGGACAAAGCCATGTCGATCGCGGAGCGAGTGAAAGAATACAATGACGCGAACCGCAAGGTGGCTATCCTGTGTAACCACAAGCGCACCGTCGCCGCCTCACACGCCGCGACGATGGAGAAGTTGGGGGATAAGGTGAATGGGCTGCGGTATCAGCAGTACCGTCTCAAGCAGCAGATGCTCGTCCTCGAGCCGAAGCTTAAGAAGAAGAAACCGGAGGGTTTCTTTGATCTTCCTGAGGATCTGGACGAGGAGTGGGTGAAGGCGCATCAAGCTGCGCTTGTGGAGGCGGAGCGGGTCAAGATCCGCAAGAAGTTCGAGAAGGATAATGAGAAGTTGGTTGCGGATGGGGGGAAGGAGATGAAGGCTAAGGAGCTTCAGACGAGGATGGAGGTTGCGGAGGAGCTGGAGGAAAAGTTTAAGGCGGAGTGGAAGAAGGGGGGAAAGATTGAGGTGGAGGGGAAGAGTGCGAGTGTGGAGAAGTTGGAGGCGGCGGTGGAGAAGTTGGAGGGGCGGATTGCGAATGAGAAGGTGAAGGGGGAGGACAGGGAGAATAATAAGGAGGTTGCGCTGGGGACCTCGAAGATTGTGAGTGCTGACTGCTGGCTTATGGCTTTTGCGAGTGTCGTGCTGACTGGGCTTTTAACGCAGAACTACATCGATCCGAGACTGACGGTGGTGTTCTCGAAGAAGTTCGATGTGCCGATTGAGCGCTTCTTTTCGAAGACGTTGAGGGAGAAGTTCGATTGGGCGATTAAGTCGGTGGATGAGGACTGGGACTTTTAGAGCCGGAACAACATCTGTTTGCGGTCCGTGATGTCTTCTGCCCTGCAGAGAGTTCGATGGAGATATGACGACGGCGAGAAAAGCTCACAGTGCCCATGACATTGAGCATATGGAGGCGGGAAGCTTCAGAGCGGCAGATCTAGTGGGTCATTGATGGAAAGATAGTATAGCAGTGGAAGAGCGTCTTCCTAATACTGTCCCTCTGCGCCCGTGCGTATGGCTTGTAAGCTGTCTGCTGCACTCTTCATTGTGGAGGCTGTGCATTCAAACCGCGCTAGCCCGCTCCGGAAGTAGCCACTGCTTGAGGAAAGCACGACCGCATTCTCACTCCTCCATGCCAAGACCGCGATGCAATGCCGTGGCCGGACTGGCTGTGGTCACGTCGGAGCAAGAACGACGATGACGATGGCAACAACGATGTCGTACGTCCGCCGCAAGACGAGCGTCCACGCAAGCCCACGGGCACGTGGGAGAAACCACTGAACGCGGTGAACTGGGCCAACTATACCTCCCCGCAAACCATCATCGCCTGTACCATCACCTCAGCCGCTACCCTCCTTCTCGTCCACGCCTACAAAACCTACCTCCGCCGGATTCCCACGGTCGAGTACCTCAAACCCAGCATCTTCGGTAAACGAAGTCTCTACGGGTTTGTGACGAGGGTAGGCGATGGGGATAACTTCCACCTCTTTCACACACCTGGCGGGAGACTGGCGGGGTGGGGTTGGCTACCCGGCAGACGCGTCAAGGCTATGATGCAGGAGAAGGGGCGGTTGAAAGGGCAGACGGTGCATGTCCGGCTGGCGGGGGTTGATGCGCCGGAATTGGCGCATTTTGGCCATCCGGCGCAGCCGTTTGGGAAGGAGGCGAGGGAGTGGTTGGAGTCGTATATTCTGGGACGGTACGTGCGGGCTTACGCGTGGCGGCGGGATCAGTACGAGCGGGTGGTCGCTACGGTGTATTGTCGACGGTGGGTGGTGTGGAGGTTGGATGTGGGGGAGGAGATGTTGAGGCAGGGGCTTGCGACGGTGTATGAGGCGAAGGCTGGGGCGGAGTTTGGGGGCAGGGAGAAGAGGTATAGGGAGGTGGAGGGGTGGGCTAAGCGGAGGAAGGTGGGGATGTGGACGGAGCCGGGGTTGGTGGAGAGGTTGGTTTTGGGGAGGAGGAGGGAGGAGGTGGAGACGCCGAGGAGTTATAAGAATCGCGTTGCGGCGAGGGCGAAGAGTAGTGAGGCGGCTGCTAAGTGAGGCGATGCTGATGCGAAGCACGTACCATAACCCACTCGGATGTACAAGGTGATAGGCCCAGCCAATTCAATGCTTCGACGGCTGGTCCGGACATTGCTCAGTCTCTGCTTTGCCACGACACGCCTGACTACAGCCGCGACAGGACTCAAGAGTGCATAGTCTGGCTCAAGCAATTAGCGCCGGCGTTATCCTGACAACTCCGTTGTCTCCATGTCTACCCCGAGTACACATTCGAACGATGGGGGATGATTTAGATGACAGACGCTGGCGCGGTGGCGTTGCTTTTGAGGATCGAGACATAGTACCCTTTGGTGCATACGCAATCCTTCAACGACGTACACCTACATGGCGCTGGTGGAGTGGTGCAGCCAGCCGAGACGATGTGGCGAAGCTGGCAGTCATGGGGCACAGAACCTCTGGTGACATGGTGCTTCTCAGTCGCGAACCGTAGCCGTGACGGCATCTAGACAGCTAATGCAACAGTGCGGGCCCTTAGGAACGAGGCATCATAGCTCTAGTCGCCGAAAGAGCTCCAAGAGCTTGCTGACATTATATCAACGTGCGAGTTCTATCGCAAGCCGGGATCATGCACGGTTCGTCCGACCTCGTTCATGCTTGCTGTACAAATGCGTACAACGTTCGGCAGATGCGGAAGCCTTTGAGAAGTCACGACTGTCGCCTCCAAACACCCCGGCCTGGCGTTCGGTTATGCCGATGGGACAATCTTCTTTAGCACGCGCCCAAGACTGTCGGACTGTGTTTCTGTCAGCTTGATTGACTATGAGAACGGTTGGGTACGTACGTGAAATGGTTGGGTAATCTGGAAATGATTGCCCGTCATATAGTCGAAGTCATACTTCGCTCCGGGCAGGAGTTGCTCCCAGCCTTCTGTCTTCAAATCACCTCGCGGCTCAAGAAGGAACCTCGTGACCTTGACATTCATGTCGACTTCGAGTCCGGAGTCCTTAACACTCTTCACTAAGCCCTCTTTGACCCAGATGAAGTTGACTTTGGGTGGAACATGCTCCTTGGGTAACGGTGTGGGCATGTACTTGTCCACAGATAGCACGGTAGAGGTGAAATGGGCAATGAGCCACTCCGGCGCCTTCTTCTGCCCAACAGCGCCCATCAAGCCCTTCTTCGTCAGCTCCTTCACGACACCCTCCGGTAAAGCCTCGAAGAACAATCTGCAAGGCGAGTCGATGAGGATCATCTGCTTGATCTTCTCTCCCGCATTGGTCAAAAGCTTGGCAACCTCAAACGCGTAGTAGCCTCCGGCGGACCATCCGCCGATTACATAAGGCTTGCCTTTGGGTTGCAGCCTGCGTAATTCGTCGTACCATAATCGCGCCATACGTTCTATCGAACAGGTGAAGTCTTGTGCTTGTCGCAGGAAAGGCGAGTTGAGTCCGATTAGACAGATGCTGTTGCCGAGGACTGGTAGCGTTCCGTACGCAGTGCCCGCACCACTGCCATCTGGAAACAAGAAGACCACATGTTTCGACGTCGTCGGGTCGCCTTGAAGTATGACTGATAGTGGAACTTTCGGCTTCGGAACGCCCTCCCAAGGATCCTCTGGTTCCGGTATTCGGTTGGTCTTGGTTTGCGATGACGTTCCGTTCACTTGAGTAGAACTTCCATTCGTCGTTCCTCCTTTCAGGTAGGCCTTGAAGGCACCGACGGTAGGATACTTCGTAAAGTCTTCGGGTTTTACATCAAGGCCAGTCTGACTTCTCAAATCCGATATCGTTGCCGAAGCGAGCAGACCGCTTAAACCTAAGAATTTCCATGTCTCGTGATCCTGAAAGTCTTCCGGTTCGGTCGATATTGCTTCGCCTATCACCTCCAGGGCTTTTCTGACAACCTCGTCAGACGCCATGCTGGATGGTGTAGAGACGAAGCGGACAACTATGCGATGTATTTTGGGAAGTTGCCGTTGGAACGCTTGGACCGCTCTTCGGCCCCACCGTCGCGTTCAGCTGAACGATATCCTCACCATCTCGTCGACAATTACTTGTCGATGTTAGGCGCCGCACACCGGCAGCCACGCGGTCTTACGCACCATGAATGGTCAGCAGTTGGCTGTGGTGCTCGAGCAGTCCGAGAAGCATAACGACCGAATCTCACTGTAACGAGAGAGGAACGCGTCGCCGACGGGTTCACAGGAAGTCAAAGAGAGGCTGCGTGCAGTGTAAGAAGCGGAAAGTGAAGTGTGATGAGATGAAACCTGCTTGTAGTCATTGCGAAGACCGCAAATAGATGTGCGACTTGCCAGATCAAGAGGAATTATTTACAGCCACTGTCACGAAGATTCAAAAGGATCGCCAGAGCCTCCCCATTCAGACACTATGCGTCAACGCGCCTCGAGGATCTCCTTGTACCCAGCATCTTTTGCTATACGCGCAGGTCTTGGACATCGTCAATGACGACATCCCGTCCTCTGGCAGTACGCTCTACAAGAGAAGCCACCTGCCGGAGTTTGTTGAGACCATTTCCTTGATACCACCGAGCTGTGGCTAGGCTCGCCTTTCTGTCAGAAACTGATTCAGTCCCACAGTTTTCGCCATGACTTCACGCTCCGCACCTACTACACGCTATTCTGGCCAACTTAGCGAGCCACCTAAGCTTCATCCGGCCTGAAATCGAATGGTACGGCGCTGCAGCCACACTGCACAACACGAGGTCTTTGCAAGCGTACTGTAAACTCTTCAGGCATGACCTCAAATATGGTGATCCGAAGGCCATGGTTGCAGCAAGCCGGCTGCTGTCTAAGCTGTGTTTCATCGACATGCCATTGGGGGCGTCTGCAGCGCACTACAATGAATGCGACCTAGCATGGGTGAAGTCCATGCAGGGAGTGCGGACAATCTTCTCGACTTCCGGCTTGCAGTCCCAGCTCGTTGGGTCCATAATGGGTCCACTCATGCAAGGCTACCTCGAGAAGGATCAGCAGTATCACCGCGAGCAGCCCTGTACCGACAGGCGGCAGACTGCATGCATTATGAAGCAATTGAACGACACTTGTGATGCGAGTGTTCGTCAGGCCGACGTGAACCCATACGCTCTTATTCTAGCAAGACTCGAGTAACTGATGGGTAATTGGCCTACACACGAGCAGGTCGACGTAGACCGGGCTTTCCTTGCGAACTTCGATACGGACTTTCTCGGGCTGTTCCGTCACGAAGATGCTCTCGCGCTGTGTTGATACTGGCCATATGGTGTGCAAGTCCAGTATGGTCCCGCAATGGTGGATCACAAACTTCGCGATGATGGAGTGCAGGCGTCTTTGTGCTCGGCTCTCGCGAGAGAAGGACAGCAGGATACGAACCTTGTTGCGGTATCCCGCAGGCATGTGCGGTTACGAACTACCGTAAAATGATCTGGTAAGGCCGTAGAAGTAGCGGACTTCGCCACGTGCAGCATGAGCAAAAGACATTATCAAGCTGTACACACTGGTAGCATTAGCAAATACCGTCATAATGAATTACAGCCACTGACACAAGATACTCATCGCCAGTCTAGTTACCCTTCTTAAGAGCATCCAGATGCCATTTGAACACCTTTTCGAAGGTGCCTTTCCCGTTCTGCTCAATCACATCGCCGTGACACGGGATCACCCTGTCAAAATCCCACTTTGCGATCCGGCCAATACTTTGGTTAAAACCATTCCGGTCCGCCGCGCTGATCGCGTACCAAATGAAGCGACGCTGCCAGATCGCTTCGCCACGAGTGTTGTTCATAGCTGAGAACAGCCTCGTGAGGATGCCAGAAGTAGGATTCATCTGCGTTTTGCTGAATTGCTCGTACGCCGGTAGGTTGAAGAAGAGATCGGCCTGTATCAACGTCCGCGTTGGCTTGTGACGAAAGATGAGCTCTTTGTTGGGATGAGAGGAGTTGTACTCCGTATCGAACTCGCGGTCGAACTCCTCGCTCACGCTGAAGCCACCCGCGCGATCTGCGCTGCGCATCAAGACCCATCGATCTTTCGGGATCTGGAAGTAACCCTGCTTGTCGCGATGCTCGGGTAGCGTGTCTGGGCCAACGACCTTCGCGTCGGGGAAGGCTTTATGCCATTCCTCCAGGAAGATGTGGTGTTCTTGATCCAGGGCGGTGATGTACTTGACTTGGCCGTTGCCAAACGTTGCGAGCTCCTTCTTCACGGTCGCTGTCATTGCCACAGGTGAGAAGACGGCAAGGTTGCCCGACTGTAGGGCAACAATGGTACCGCGACCGCCGACCTTGATGTAGCCGAAGCGGAGCTATGGAATATGAGTTACGGAACAAGTAGAAGCTAGTCGCTGCGGTCGTATTGCGATATACTTACGAAAGGTGTGCTACAGATTTTGATGTTGGGCGTGACATTGCGAACGACCATCACCTTCTCCGGGTCGGATGGGATGAGCTTGTGTGCGCCGGAAGCCATCGCGTCCACCAAGGTTGATGTTTCACTGCAGGTATTGTACTTTGTGTATGTGTGAATGTAGACAAGAAATGGTGTACAATACTGCCTGACTGCTCGGGGCACCTTCAGCCTTTATCTGTTTCTAGCCTTGCCTTACGGCCGCGCCGAAGTGATCTCGACTTACATATAGCAGGCACGGATGGCTCACGAAGCGATGACTAAACAGCTGCAGGATACGATCTCAAATCACCAACAACCTCATCTGGCGGACAACACCCTCGTCTAGCATCCGCTATAAGCCGCGAAGACGCCCATATCTGCAAGTGCTTACTCTTCCAAATATCCCGAGCCTTGTATGCGACGTCACTCGCCGACTCACTCGTCTCATACCTTGGCGTGCATGGGCCGTTCCGTGTGGACCTCGGAAGTTAATGCCATCCGGACAACCATTTGCAATGCTGTAGTGCAGTGTGCTCGACAACATGCACCGTCTGGCTCGAATAGGACAATGGCATTGACACGATCAGTGGCATTCCGAAAGCTCCTGGCGCTGCCGCCCGATGTTCGTCGTCGACTCTGGTCTTCAGCGGTATCCGTTACTCCAGGCAAGCCGGACATCTACGATGTTGTCTGCATCGGCGGCGGACCGGCAGGCTTGTCGTTCGCTTCAGCGTTAAAAGCACATAGTGCGACACGGGCACTAAAGGTTGCCTTGATCGATGCGCAGGATATCACGACATCTCGGACGGGGAATGATGGAGATGCCTACTCTAACAGGTGCTCCTCACTCACACCAGCTTCATCACGCTTTCTGCGGAAGATTGGAGCATGGGACCATATAAATACGGGTCGAGTGCAGCCGTATCATGCAATGGATGTGTGGGATGGTGTGAGTGGGAGTAAGATACACTTTGACCCGGTTAGCAATGCGCCAAGAGGTCTACTGGATGGTATTGCGGAGCTGATACCTGGGAGTCGCTTCCAAGCAAGCAAGAGACGGTATGAAGCGGGTTCAGACTATGGCGTGGTTGCCACTATGTGCGAGAACGGTAACCTCACAGCGGCACTGTTGCAGCGGCTCCAGGCGTTGACTACTGGGGATGCCGGAGCCGGCAGCGTGTGCGATATACTGGACAAAACAAAGGTCGAGTCCATCGAACTAGGTCCACAGCCCGAAACGGAAGAGACCGTCGACCTCTCTCAGTGGCCAATTGTAATGACATCTCAAGGCCAGCTAGCGGCCAGACTCCTTGTCGGCGCAGACGGAGCCAACAGTCCCGTCCGTCAGTTTGTAGACATCCCCAGTCATGGATGGGATTACGGCCAGCACGGCGTTGTCGCGACACTAGAGCTCGAACAGACATTCGCTGCTGATGAAGTGCGAACGGCATTTCAGCGCTTCCTGCCGACAGGACCAATTGCTCTCTTGCCCTTACCCGGTAACAAAGCCAGTCTTGTGTGGTCAACAAGCCCTCAACACGCGGCTAAGCTCAAACAGCTTCCGCCAAATGACTTTGTGGCGATGGTGAGTGCGGCCTTCCGGCTCATGCCTGTGGATGTCAACTTCATGCTCTCTCCGGATATGGCTGTCACGCCATCCGAGGAGCTGCGCTGGCGCGAGCCAGCAACATCGCCTTCATCGACTGGCCTGCCATCAACCTTCCCTTGGATCACTGGCGTACAGGAGGGTAGCATAGCATCTTTCCCGCTCCGTATGCGACATGCAGATACGTACACCGGTCACCGCGTCGCGCTGATTGGCGATGCTGCACATACGATCCATCCACTGGCTGGACAAGGGCTGAACCTGGGCCTTGCAGACGCAGAAGCGCTTGCGAATCAGATCACTTATGGCATGGAGCACGGCATGGATATTGGAAGCAGTTGGTGTTTGGACGGCTACAACAGTGAGCGGTGGGCTGCGAACAACGCCATGTTAGGCGTAGTTGACAAGCTGCAGAAACTGTACAGTGCAAGTGCTGGACCGGTCGTGTGGAGTCGAAGTCTGGGTTTAGAGGCTGTAGAGAGGATGAGCTGGGTGAAAGGCGCGCTCATGGGGGTTGCCGCTGGAGCGAAATAGCATCCAGATCCATTCGCCTTCTCCTTGACATGGATGTCATGCAGCCGTGTCACTTTCGTGTCACATACTGCGGGACTGGCCGTCTTGGCGCGACATGATGCTCGAGTGACGATCTGTTCCAGAGCGACGAGACAACCACACGCAAAGGTGCTCGTGTACATAGAGGGTGCGCTACCAACAACACCGCAGCTAAGTGACATGCTGCTTTCCTCAATGCCTCCACTACGGTGCCTCTCCACCCTCACTCGCAGCAGCTCCTCGGCCTTCCAGCGGCACGCAGTAATAGTGATATCATCTCGACGTCTCCTTCAAACACCTCCAAATCCTCCTTCTTTCCACTCCATGCAAAGCACCTCTAACATAGCCAACAACCTCACAAACAGACTACAGCAGGTGACCCGACAATTCGCCACCTCTACCAACCAGATCCAGGGAACCTCAGGAGAAACCAGTATGGCTTCCGACAATCCTCGTGCGCACAACAACCAGGACTTCCAGCTCACTGAGCTGTTCAATGTCAAGGACAAGGTCGCCTTGGTTACAGGTACAGCGAGCCCTCACCTTACTAATTGAGTAGACTTCTGTGATTTACTGACGATGCTTAGGTGGCGGTTCCGGCATTGGCTTGATGTGAGAGATGCGCCCCGGAGAACGAAGCGCGTTGACTCTGGTTCGTGTCACTGACGCGGTTACGCACCGTCTAGGTTCACTCAGGCTTTGGCTGTCAACGGAGCCAAGGTCTACATTGTTGGCCGCACCGGCGAGAAGCTCGACACCGTGGCCAAGACCTACAGCCAAGACATCCCAGGCCAAATCATCCCAATCCAAGCCGATGTCACCAGCAAGCAAAGTATTGCCAAGCTGTTCGAAGAGGTTTCGAGCAAGGAGAAGCATCTCGATATCCTTGTGAACAATGGTACGCGATCGATGAGCACTCGCTGCTTCGCGGTTTCATGGGATTGCTGACAACCTACCTTTCTGTTTCCAGCTGGCATCATGAGCGACAAGACCATCACGACTGAGGCCAACGACGCCGCGGAGATGAAGAAGAACATGTTTGACGATGAGAAGAACTCTTTCGAGGATTGGGACGACATCTACCGCACCAACGTCTCTCAATGCTACTTCATGAGCACTGCTTTCCTGCCACTGCTTGAGAAGGCAAGCCAGAACCAGCACGCGTGGAGTGCAACCATCATCAACACCTGTTCAATTAGCGGCATGGTCAAAACTATGCAGCATCACCCACAGTACAACGCAAGCAAGGCGGCCACTATCCACCTTACACGTATGCTTGCGAACGAGCTTGCCAACAACCAAATCAAGATTCGCGTTAATAGCATCGCTCCAGGTATGGGTTCAACGGCTGCCAGCACATGATAAACGGCTGACGTTCCTGCAGGTGTCTTCCCGAGTGAGATGACGGGATCAGGTGAAAGCGCTGCCAACCAAAAGAGTGAGCTGCCGAAGGACCAGTTCGAGAGCAAAGTCCCAGCTCAGCGTCCTGGCAATGACCGCGACATGGCATCCACGCTCCTTTTCTTCGCCACCAACACTTACCTCAACGGTCAGACACTGGCGGTGGACGGTGGCTACACGCTGACCTCCGGACTCTAAGCGGAGAAACAGTGAAACCATGCACCTTCGGAACTAGCGTGGTAACACCCAAGTGTGAGGCTGTGCAAAAGCGTACCTAATGCAAACGACTGCGGCTGAGCTTCATTGAACGTGGTATGACACTAACGCTATACATTACTGTACTATAGATGCGACACCGCTTGCGTCAGTCTTGCACATTATCTACAGTCCAGGCCAGCTTCCCGTCTCTTGGCCTCGTCGTTTCTCTGAATGCATAGCTCTTCCCCAGAAGGCGTATCCTCCAGTCTCTTGTCCTCTCGTCATGCCACTCTGCCCCCTCAAAGTCGTCTAGGCATTTGCTGCCACAAAGGTAGCTCATCACAGAGCCCAACGTATCCGGCTTCCGCGGCATTGCGGGTTCCTGGAGCCGCGAGGCTATCACCATGACCACGACCACAATCATAATACCAAGGATGACGAGCGACATATAGGCGGAGATCAGGAATTGCATCCAAGTCTCACCGGTAGCGTACGGCACGCCGCTGATTACAATATTGAGCGCCTCCGCCGTTAGGGTAACGGCTGTGACCAGAGACGAGAAGACGTATCCGTGCCAGAGTGTAGTAAACGTCGACACGAACGGCGTATTGTGCGGTGTAAAGAGAATGGTGCTTCGTGGTGGGCATGCCCTTTTCGCCAACCGCTTGTAAGGCGCCATGATGACTGCGCTCTGCTCCACGGACTTGAAGAGACTCGCTATGATTGTGCCGGCGCCGGTGAGGATGAAGCGCGGGCCAAATGTGTTGCTGCTGAAGTAGCGGTTGAAGCCATCGTTACTGGAGTCGAGGTAGTAGGCCAGGACGACACCGAATGTGCCGATTACCACAAGTGCGAGGATGAAGTCCATGAATCGCATGCGGTGAGCGGAGTGGTGGGTCTGCCGTATCGAGTGTGAGCCAGCTACGGGCTCATAGCGATGCCCTGCAGCCTTGTTGTCAACGAGACCGGCTTCTGTGGCATGGATACCGTAGCCTGGTTCGCCGCTTGCGGTCTTATAGTACCCCAGACGGTACCGTTTGCCACGTAATGCCTCCTTCATCTCGCTGACGTAGGCGTCTGTGGGTGCGTCGCTCAGATCTTCGAGCAAACCTGGGTGGCGCATGAGCGACCCAATGGTAGCCATGGAGCTGGGGTTTGCGGGTAAGCCGGTCTTGGTGAGCAGCAGTGTCGAGAGCAGGACCAGAAGCACGAGTGCTGCGAAGCCCAGTAGACCTTGCAGGAGACGAAGAATCAGAACGTTGGCAGTCATCCTTGGCGTACATGGGTTCCTGCCGTCCATTGGGTGCGGACATCCCCAGTTCGTATCGACGAATATCGCTTCTGAGGCAAGGGCCGGAAGGAAGCAGGCGATGAGATAGGTCAGTGCAGTAAGCGCAAGAAGCAGTCTCCCTTTCGCTAGTGCAGAAAGCGACCCGAGGAGATTCGACTGCGACTGGTAGAAGGAGAAGAAGGCTCGTTCTGCTGGGGCGCCGTTCGCCTCACTCAGCATCCGGAATGGTTCGATCAGATTGAGGTTGTTGTAGATCACGGTCCAGATCATGCGGTAAACGACAGCAACAAGAAGTGCCATATATGTGTATAGGAAGACTTGTGCGGAAGTGAAATGGTGGATGATCGTAGCATACCTACCGTAGTCGTTGTCTGATAAGCTAGAATCATCAGTGGTTGGTAGTGCTGTCGAGGTAGGAGGCGGAGTGGTCAAAGCTATCATGCTCGCGGTTGAGACCTGGACCGTCGAGGTCACCGTTGAGCCTCCCGAGACCGATGTAATCACCGAGCCGTTGGAGGTGGACACCACCGTCGAGCCTCCGGAGACCGATGTTATCACTGAGCCGCTGGAGGTGGAGACAAACGTCCAACCTCCGGAGACCGACGTGATCACTGAGCCGCTAGAGGTGGAGATCGTCGTCGAGCCTCCCGAGACCGAGGTGATTACAGTACCGCTGGAGGTGAAGATCGCCGTCGAACCTCCTGAGACCGACGTGATCACAGAATCGCTAGCGGTGAAGGTCGTCGACGAGCCTCCTGAGACCGACGTGATCACGGAGTCGCTGGCGGTGGATGTCATCGTCGAGCCTCCCTCGACCGATGTGACCACTGAGCCGCTGGAGGTGAGAACCAACGTCGAGCCGCCTGTTACGGTGGTGATGATGCTGGGAGCATCCTGTTTATCCGAGGTTGCGGAGAATGTAGAGAGTATCCGAATGTCGGAGGTGCTTTGCGAATACTGAACAGTGGTTTGGCTAATTGGGATTACCGAGGTTTCTGAAGCGACCATAGTTTGACCGTTACTGGTCGTTGTCTGAAGAACCAAGATGGTCGACGATGTGACAAGCACGGTACTTGACACGGGCACATCGATCACGCTGGCGCTAGAGATTGTAGTCACTTGTGGGCTTGGCTGCGTAGGTGTCGAGGTGGGTTTGCTTGATGGGGTGACGGTTTGCGTCGTGTCCGTGTTCACATAACCGCTGATTTGCCCAACCATCGTCGCCACAGCCGTCGGTTGACTCGAGAGAGTGTAAGTCTGCGTCGTATCCGTGTCAACGTAGCCAGTTGTCTGCATGGCGGCATTTGTCTGGGTTGTTGCTGTGTTGACGTGGGCGTCTGGAGAGGTGTACGATGTCAATGACACAGTCTGCGTGGCGGCTGTTGAGACGTAGTTGCTTTCTTCAATCGTCGACGTTGGCGACACACTCTGTACGTTGCCTCTTGGCCTGCTAGACGTCAAGGCTATTGTCTGCGTAGCGTCTGTCGAAACGTAATTGCTCTGCTCAACTAGCTGACTCACCGCACTCTGAGACTGCTCTTGCTGCGCGCTAGACGTCAAGGAAATCGTCTGCGTAGCGTCCATTGAAACATAGTTGTTGTTTGCCATCGTCAAGGCCACCGTCTGCGTCACCACCGTGGAGACATAGTCGCTCGGCACGGCAGCAAGGGCGTTTGCGGAAATCGCGGCAAAGCTTTGGGTCGCAGAGCTGCTCCCCGGACCTGAGGTCGAGACACTAGTAGTGGCCTCATCATTGTTGCCAACTGCAGCGGCTGCTGTTGCGTTGCGCACATAGATAGGGTGCAGTTGTCTTCTCGCGATGGATTGGGATGGTGATAGGGATGCGGATGTCGTTGGTAATGCTTCTGCGCCACTAACGCCGTGAGGGAGTTCGATGACAGCGTACTCGAGGAGGCCAATGAGTGCCAGCGTAAGGATGAGCATAGACAGTAGTGACAGAGTGCGCAGGATGTTTGGCTTGTAATTGAAGGTCGCTTCATGTGATTTGTTTGCTTCTAGCCATTAGCAGCTTGCCCTCACGATGCCTCAGCGAGACTACTTACGGGACTTCTTATTCATTGCAGGTTCGTAAAACGTATTAGTGCGCATTGTAGCTTCGTGAAATATGCTGAGCCGCTGATACGGCTGGTGGGATGTCATGGTGGCAGCTTTGAGCAGCGAAGGTAACGACTGTGTAGTTTCAGACAACGAAAATGGCTGCCAGAGCAGAGCAGAGTCTAGTTCGTGAGGGAGAAGGCAGAGAATATACGGATACAGACCACAGCATTTACCGTATAGGTGCAATACAAGGCGTTCCTCTAAGCAGCCGCGGGTTCTCACAGCCTTCCCGCTATGTGCATTGCAGTATGTCGATCTAATACTGTGTTACTAACGGAAACTTACCAAGAGAAGCACTTTAGCACAGCAACTTCATCTTCAGACGCGTATGCTCTCAGTGAGTCTGCAATGGCGTTGCGATGCGTTATGAACATGTCTTGGAGACCTTCGAGTGTCGAAGCGTGGAGTTGCCCAATGGCGGTGGCTATTTTTGGGTTCAGCTTTGGCGCATTGCGGGGAGGTCGACGCTGCTACTGGCACCAGAAAGCAGGCGGTGCTCCTCGCGTGAATTCTTCTTGTGCTGCAGAGCGTTGGATGTACTCCTTGTTTGACTTCTTCGCTCCAAAGACAGCATTGCTCTGGGTGTGATGCTCTCATCGAATCATGCTGCGGTTTGACGAGCATGAACGTTGCAAAGGTCACGGAAATCAGCGGCATACTGATGAACGGGCATTCAGGCTGACAATCAGCCTGTCTTGGGTGCCTCTCGCGCGGCCTCCTCAAGCGATAGCCCATTCATGCCATTCTTCGCGCCGTCCAACAGGACGCCTGATTCCGGCAATGAGCCCAACTCCTTCCTTCCAAGCCTCTTGAACAGCTCAGCTTCCAGGTCCTTCATTTCGACAAGCACGCCATTCTTCTCCGGATGGTCTTCGGACAAGCCATTCTGCTTAATCTTGCACTGGCCCTTTGCCAACTCATCCTCGCCCAGAATGACACTCCATGGTACACCGTTCACCTCCGCAGCCTTGAACTGCTGCGGTAGCTTCGGCTTCGCTTTCCAGCTGAACTCGGCCTTGATGCCGGCATCCCACAATCGCTTGGCGACTTGCATGCGTTGAGTGAGCAGACCTGAGCCAAACGCCATCACGAACACATCTACTTCATTTAGCCGGATAGGCGCCGCTGAAGTGTCGGCTGCGCGGCGTTGCTTGGTGATGCTGAAGATGCGGTCCACACCGAAGGAGATGCCAACACAAGGTAGATTGTCCTTCTTGCCAGAGAACATGGAGACAAGGCCATCGTATCGGCCGCCAGCAGCCACCGAGCCAACACCAACGCTTGGGTCGTTCGAGCGGTCCTCCTCTCCATCAACGTTGGCGGAGTGCTTGTCGCGCTTGCTTTCTTTCTTGCCGGCAGTCTGAAGAGCCTGACCTTCGGACGTCTGTGGTCTGCTACCTTCGGTGATGACTTCGTAGATGACGCCGGTATAGTAATCCAGACCACGTGCAAGAGAGAGGTCGAAGGAGATCCTGTCCAGCACCTCGAAGGTTTCCAGGTACGTAAAGAGCAAATCCATGTCGTCTAGTCCCGCCTTTGCCGAGGCGTTCGCCGAGAGCTTCTCATCCTTTTGTAATCGCTCAAGCAGACCTCTAGCCGAGAGCTTCTCGTCCTTCTGTGACCGCTCGAGCAGATCTTTACCGCCACTCAACACCACGTACTCACCTATCCTGTCTGCCACCTCCGGATCTAGACCCTTCTCCTCGGTCATCTCTCTCCTCACTTCCGACCATGGACTCTTATCTAGTTTGTCTACCGCACTGCTGATCGGTCTTAGCTTCTCGGTTGGTACACCGCAGACCTCAAACAGCCCGTCCAGAATCTTGCGGTGATTGATTTTGATGGTATACCGCCCTGACCACTCCAACGCCTCAAAGATCTCGCACGTGATTCGGATGATCTCTGCATCGGGCAGCATGGGGTCGTACACGCCTGCAATGTCAAAGTCGCATTGGTAGAATTCGCGCATGCGGCCCTTGGTCATAGCTGGTTGATCTCGACGGTAGACTTTGGCGATGTGGTAACGCTTGATGCTCTGTATGCTGCTGTTCATGGCTAGCCACCGGGCAAACGGTACGGTAAGGTCGTAGCGGAGTGAACAGAGCTCTCCGCCTTGGTCGGCGAGGTCGTAGATGAGTTTGCTGTCTTCGCCATACTTGCCGGCGAGGATCTCCTTGAGCTCAAACACCGGTCTGTATGCATGAATGTCAGCACAGGCCCGGAGCACGTGGAAGGGTGGGTAGGTTGACCGACGTATCTATCGTGACCGCGCCGTGACGCTTGAAGACTTCGGTGATTTTGCTGAAGATTTGGTCGCGAATGACCATGTCTTTGCCATCCCAGTCCTTGGTACCTTTGGGTGTCTTGAGCTCATAGCTCTTCTTGTCTCCCTTGTCCCTCCCCATCGCTTCCCAGGCCGCGACCGTGTGCTCTCCCGCAGATGGCTGTATTAGCGAGCAACGATATAGTGTTGGCGCAGATCGTAATGCTCGAGGTCGAAGAGAAGAGCGAAAGGGGCGTAAGAGGGGCTTCATGCGAGTTCGATGTTGTGCACATGCGAACTGACTCAATGCGCGAAAAGTTTGGGTGGAGTCACGATCGGCGTCATGCGCGCCAAGAGCTTTTATGCCGCCGAACGGCAGGCACGACAGGTATGTATGGTCACATACTTCAAAGTAGGTATACAGTATAAGCAACAGTCTCTTCGTGAACGTAGACCATTCCACACATCACGCGTCACCTGTATCACCAGCTCCAATCTTCCCAGCAACATTCTGTGATCCTCATTCTCGCCACTCATACTTCGTCCGTCTGCCCCAATGCATCGCCCCTGCACAACGTGGCACTGCCAGTCAGCAAGTTAATACCTCAACCATCTTAGCTGGGCTTGTGTGAATGCGCACCTCCCATGGCACCGCCATGACCGTGAGCACTCCCTGCGCATCTCCGCCATTCGCTACCAGATAGAAGTACTGGCGTCATCGGCCTCTGACCAATGCCGGAAACGCTTCACACGGATCATAGTACACAGCGGTAGTATCTAAAAGACTGGAGGTCGTCCGCCAGCTGTCGTCCGATCAAGCCGCAGCATGGCCAGCAAAGGGCAGCCAGCAGGGTACCCCAACATCGCCACTTGAATGACATCTCACGAAAAAATGAAGTCCTTGAGTATCGGACTCGCCGCGAATTCGGGATTAAGCAGAACACAGTTCATGAAATGCGCCAGGCCAGCTTTCCTGGATTCAAGAAACCTCGGCCTGAACCTGCTGACTGTGCTCTTTCGTGGCAACTGTGGGATCATAGCCTCTGCATGCGGGAATGCTCGCACCAAGTCTGTCCTAAGTCTGTCAAACTCCGAGTAGCGCTTGCGCATTTCCAGATCACCCCCCTTCAGTGTCGCGACGGTGCAATGCCAGACCACGTAGGCACCGATCCCAGTGGCGCCCGAAACGATGGTGAAGTCATCAATGCTGACAGACTTGGCCCAGCAACCTTGGGTCACTTCGTTCTCCTCGAAGGAGCGATCCTCGAGCGTGATGGGCGCAGGACGTTGCCCGTTGATTGAGTGGTAGCTGACAGATGAGACGCTGCGGCCATGGCGAGTCCAGAAGGGCGGAGCATCCGTGACATGGAAGTCTTGTCGACCTTCTACCGCATTCGCAGTACAGCGTCCAGCAGTATTGCATCCATCTGCATTTAGTGTGTCATCCGGCACGTGAAGAGCGGCGGTTGCTGTCCTTTCATCCTGCGGGCTCCCGTGGGAGACGGCATGGTTGGGTGGCGATGGCTCGTCTTCCATCCATCAACCGCGAGAGTTCCCGGCTAATCACTGACTCACAAGCTTCCAACAGCTTATCCTGTCAGATTCCTGGGGCTCCCTAACCTAACAATGAGATGCAGCTAGATATCGAAGTAGAAGATGGGAAACGCGCGTCCACTGCATTGGTTCACATCGTGCTGCAAGCTGGACCCAAGGTGGATCGGCGTTCCGCCATCTCTGCGTTCGTTCAGGCGGGAGCCTGTCTGTATGTCGTTAGATGCCGCGCCTGGCCACCCCAGATTGCAATTGTGGCGTGCATAATGAATCCCTGCATGACCGAAAGAAGCTTTCGAGTGGTCTATCAACGAAGCATGTGCGCTACTATTCCCTCTTCACATGCACCTTCGGCTCCATCTACCTGCGCGAATGTGACCTGTAACCCGCTCCAAATGGCGACTAAGCTGCTGGGAGTGCTACTTTGGACATAGCTAAAGGCCATAGCTCCCAAATTTATTCGCCTCTTCGGCTTACGGGATGGACGGTTTCTCAACGGTCAACCAGCCTAGAGCGTCGGTGGCAGACAAACACGCAACGCAAGGAAAAGTATATAGCCTCACTCGCCTTCATTTCCTCTTCATACACCTTCAAGTGCTCCGTTTCGCCATTTCAGTTTTCCATTCAGCTTACGAACTCTTTCACCAGTCGCTTCCTTCGGCCTCCGGGTATATATTAATAGAGACGAGGTAGGTGCAGCCACGATCAACCTTCGAACCGGCTCACAACGGCGAGGGCTTGTTTGTTTGCTTGGTCGACGTTGTGGTATTCTAACAGTCATCCAGTCCGCTTTTCACGAAGCTTACGAAAAACATTACGAAAAGTACGGCCACAATGCAGACCATCACCGCCATCTCTCTCGCTGCGGCGGCACTGGTCGCCTCCGTAACCGCCCAGCAAGTGTACACCATCAACCCCAACTCGGTAGCAAACACCACCCGTCAAGCTTGGTGCACATCTCAGCTATCTCAATGCCCGATGTAAGCATAGCACCCACAACCTGACCGTAAACCCGCACACTAACGAAGCGATCCCAGCATCTGCTCCCAAACCTCGGCCAACAGCGCCGCCACCCTCGCCAACACCTGCGATTGGATGTCTCTCACCTACGCCTGCGTGTGTGCCAACGGTCTTAGCCCGAACGTGAGCGAGTACACGCAGACAATGCCCTACTTCGTCTGCACGGAGTGGGGCAACCAATGTTCGAGCAACTGCGGCTCCAACAACCAGTGCGCTTCGGACTGCCGGTCACAGCACCCGTGTGGTGCCCAGAACCCTACAAGAGTCAATACCAGCACCATCAGCACCAGCACTACGATGAGTGGGTCGGCGGCAAGGAGCTTGGGTGGATCGTCAGCGACGACAACTGGAGGGCAGAGCGGGACTGTGTACACTGGTTTGGTGGGCGCGAGTAGCACTGCCAGCAGTGGTGGCTCCGCCGCCGCTGCTGCTTCCGCCTCGCAGCGGGCTGGTGCGGAGAGTATTCACGCTACGGCGCTGAACGTGGGCCGGACATTCGGTCTGCTCGGCGTTGCTGGTGTGATTGCTGGTGGCTTTGCCGTATTTTTGTAAGCCTTCTGGCTTTTTGCATGCTTGCTTACTCCTTTGCATAGCGATGAGGCTGTTGTTTTCTAGCGACTTGGGTTGATGCGATGGGTAATAGCAGGCATGGAGCTACGGTGGAGCAAAAGTCGTTCAGCAAGAAGCCATCTACGGCCGCATGATCTTCGAACGCTGTGCCTCCTTACTGTAAGACCGTCAATCGAAACATAATTGAGGTTCACTTTGTATGCTGTGAGCCTGCAATTACTGGAACAGACCCTGCTGTTATGATCGACCGCGCATATGCCGAATCATGTACATCGTTACCACGACCTTGGCAGCAACATCCGGATCTTCATGCATTCAAGGTAGAATCCTCTACACTGGCGGCGGGGCCGGAACATTCTAACGTACAGTCAGCACATCTTGAACTCCTTGACTGGAGCGAGGCATGAAACTCCACACCAAGATCTCAGCACATTTGCCCGCAAACCGGTAAAACTCCAACGAGCTTGCATGTTGTCCTGCTCACTCTTGCACTTCGAATTCACTCGCTCCTCACTAACATTTCCAACGTACAGGATTGTATACGGCAAGCGTAGAAGGAATCACCTTGCCATGAACGCTATATGTAAGTAAACACCCTCTCGTCAACATCACTGCATGTATCTTTTACGATCACCGGCGGACTCACTACATGCATCACCACCATGAACTTCTATTCATACATTAAACCAATCATCCAACAGTCCATCACTAAATCATCGGTTCTTACAGTAGGCATTGTTTGTGCTACAGCACTCACTGGCCTTGTGATAAAGGATCGGACCGTACAGCGCCAACTAGACCACCAACAGCGCCAATTAGAGCTCTGCCTTCGGGAGGCAGAACGCCAACGACAGCACGATCAAGCACAGGCGCACTTTAGCCACGTCTGGAAGCAAACACCCTCTGGTAACACCTCCAGCCAAGATATCATACGGTAGCCTTGGCAGCACAGTGCACTTCTCAAGACACAAGAGACAACATGTCAATCAGCGGACGCTGCCTCTGCGGCAAAGTCGAGGTGGGTTACCTGACCTTTCTGCGCACATAGTGCGGAAGCAAACATGCTAACTCCACCATCAAGGTTGCAGTCAACAAGCCGATAAAGGACTTCGACACTCTAATGTGCCATTGTGCCAACTGCAAGCGACGTTCAGGCGGTATTGCATCCTACGCCTTCCTCGTGCCGAAAGAGCACGTTACCATCACGGGTTCGACGCACGTGGACTACGCAGACAAGGACACGGGTTCTGGCGAAGCCATGCACCGGAGCATGTGCTCGAGCTGCGGCAGTCCAGTGCGCATAATCGAGGGGCATGCTCCCGATATATGGTGCCTGCAATACGGGCTTTTCGCCGATCAAGTCAATCTGCCGCCACCGAAGCTGGAGATGTTTCGTAGTCAGGCATGCCGGTGGGTGCAGGCGGTTGGCGATGATGTCAGGGAGAAGGCTTGAACGCCAGCAATTTCGTGCAATTGATCTCCAAGGCTATGCGAATGACATGATATAGCATGGGGGGGAGATAGCCTTTGTAAAGGTACCCATACGGTAGTGTCGTCTGAAATCCTGCACTTCAAGTCTTGTCTCGTGAGGTATATCGCCCTAACCCGACGGTTTTGGCAGCAGATGCGCGCGTACTTTTACGTCGTGAGATGTGCCCTTGCCACCATTCGAATCGTGTAATTCGGGAGCCTACGGAGTGCATCGCAAGAGATTGCGTGTCTAATGCAAGTTTGTCGTGGCTGAGTCGGCAAGCCGAATGCTGTCATACGAACATCGAAGGCTTGGCGCCGCCGAAGCAGTCCCAATGTCTGAGGTGAGCCTGCATGTTCTTCACTTTGGCGCTTCTTCGATTTGTCCGCACACGGGATTTAACCTATCTCCACCCAGAGCGGCTTGTTGAAAGACATCAACAAGCCCAATAGGCAAGGCCACAACCCAAGCGACCTTTGTAGGTTTAGACCGTAGCACTGGCGACTCGGCTCCAGCGCGCCCGGTAGAAGGGCAGAGACACTTTACAAGCGAAGATGGCCGTCACGAAACGAGCAGGGCGTAAGAAGGATGCCGCTCAAGCACAACCACAAGGCCGGCCTGCTGCTGGTGGCGCGGGAGGCCAGCCCGCAATCCGGAAGGCCGCTTACGAGACTTCGAAGAAGAAAGAGGTCGGAGTGTCAGACTTGACCTTGATCAGCAAGATCTCCAATGAGGCAATCAACGACAATCTCAAGAAGCGCTTTGAGAATGCGGAGATCTATACGTACATCGGGCATGTGCTGGTCTCGGTCAACCCGTTCCGCGACCTGGGCATATATACCGATCAAATACTAGAGAGCTACCAGGGCAAGAATAGGCTGGAGGTACCGCCACATGTCTTCGCTATCGCGGAGAGTATGTACTACAACATGAAAGCGTACAACGAGAACCAATGCGTTATCATCTCTGGAGAGTCTGGGGCAGGCAAGACGGAGGCGGCGAAGCGCATTATGCAATACATCGCGAACGTGTCTGGTGGAAGCGATTCAAGCATCCAGCAAATCAAGGAGATGGTACTCGCGACTAACCCGCTGTTGGAGAGTTTTGGCAATGCTAAGACGTTACGCAACAACAACTCGAGTCGCTTCGGCAAGTATCTTGAGATCCAGTTCAATGCGCAAGGAGAGCCCGTTGGAGCCAACATCAACAACTACCTGCTCGAAAAGTCACGAGTGGTTGGCCAGATTCGGGACGAAAGGAGTTTTCACATATTCTACCAATTCACGAAAGCGGCAAGTCAAGAGCACCGTACCGATTTCGGCATACAGCAGCCTTCCACATATGCGTATACGAGCAAGAGCAAATGCTACGATGTGGCGGGAATTGACGACGTGGCGGACTTCAAGGACACCCTAAATGCGATGAAGGTCATTGGTATGACGCAGCAGGAGCAAGATCAAATCTTCCGGATGCTGGCTGCGGTACTGTGGATCGGCAACGTTTCGTACGTGGAAGATGATGCAGGGAATGCGGCTGTGCACGACCAGAGTGTGATCGACTTTGTTGCATACCTGCTGGAGGTGGAGTCACCGCACGTCAACAAGGCGCTCACGACGCGCATTATTGAGACGTCGCGCGGCGGTCGCAGAGGTTCAGTCTACGACTCGCCGATGAACATCGCACAAGCAACCGCCACTCGCGACGCTTTGGCGAAAGGAATATACACGAACATGTTCGACTGGATCGTGCAGCGCGTGAATCAGTCACTTCGCGCTCGCGGCGCACTTGCGCACTCGATTGGTATCTTGGATATTTACGGCTTTGAGATCTTCGAGCGCAATTCTTTCGAGCAGCTATGCATCAATTATGTCAATGAAAAGCTACAGCAGATCTTCATCCAGCTCACGCTCAAGACCGAACAAGAAGAGTATGAGAGGGAGCAGATCCAGTGGACGCCGATCAAGTACTTTGACAACAAGGTCGTGTGCGAGTTGATCGAGGAAAAACGACCGCCTGGCGTCTTTGCAGCGCTGAACGATGCATGTGCGACTGCTCATGCCGACCCTGCAGCCGCAGATCAGACCTTCGTTCAGCGGCTCAACGCGCTGTCAGGTAATCCCAACTTCGCACCGCGGCAGGGACAGTTCGTTATCAAGCACTATGCCGGCGATGTTAACTACGCTATTGAAGGCATGACGGACAAGAATAAAGACCAGCTGCTCAAGGATATTCTCAACTTGGTGGCAGAGAGCAGCAATCAGTTCGTGCACACTCTGTTCCCGAATGAAGTTGACCAGGACAACAAGCGAAGACCACCCACAGCCGGCGACAAGATCAAAGCATCCGCGAACGATCTCGTGGCTACTCTCATGAAGTGCACTCCTAGCTACATCCGTACAATCAAGCCGAACGAGAATAAGTCGCCCACGGAGTACAACACCGCAAACGTCATGCATCAGATAAAGTATCTCGGTCTGCAAGAGAACGTGCGCATCCGACGGGCTGGATTTGCCTACCGTCAAACCTTCGAAAAGTTCGTCGAGCGCTTCTACCTTCTTTCGCCGAAGTGTAGCTACGCTGGTGAGTACACGTGGACGGGTGACGCCCGCTCCGGTGTGCAACAGATTCTCAAGGATACCAGTATCCCGAAAGAAGAGTGGCAGATGGGAGTCACGAAAGCGTTCATCAAGACGCCGGAAACATTGTTTGCGCTCGAGACAATGCGAGATCGGTACTGGCACAACATGGCTATCCGGATCCAGCGGGCGTGGCGGAACTATCTGAGATATCGCATTGAGTGTGCGACACGAATTCAGAGGTTTTGGCGTAAGAAGAGCGGTGGCGAGCCGTTCCTTGTGCTGCGTGATGAAGGCACAAAACTGCTCGCTGGACGGAAAGAGAGGCGGCGCTTCTCATTGTTGGGTTATAGACGCTATCTCGGCGACTATCTGGGTATCGACAACCAGGGTGGCACTGGCGAGCTACTTCGAAGGAGTGCTGGCATTGGCTCGGGCGAGAAGACATTCTTCTCCTGCCGCTGCGAAGTCCTCGTGTCGAAGCTCGGTCGCAGTAGCAAGCCTGAACCACGCTTCTTGGTGTTGACTAGCAAGGCCGTCTATATCATCAAGCAAGCGCTCGTCAACAAGCAGCTGCAGATCTCGTCCGAGCGGACTATTCCGCTCGGAGCGATCAAGTTTGTCAGTGCAAGCAATCTCAAGGACGACTGGTTCGCCATCGGTGCTAGTAGTCCGCAAGAGCCGGACCCACTGGTAAACTGCATTTTCAAGACGGAGTTCTTCACGCAGCTCCGAAACGCCTCGCGAGGAGCCGTTCAGCTGCAAATAGGGGATACTGTGCAGTACAACAAGAAGCCGGGCAAGCCTTCCACTATCAAAGCGGTGAAAGATCCATCTGTGAGAAGGGACGATGTGTACAAGTCTGGTCAAATCCTGACGGGCCCGGGCGAGCCACCAAACTCTGTCTCAAAGCAGACTCCTAAAGGCAGGCCAGTTGCTGCCAAGGCTATTACTACGGGCAAGCTCTTGAAGAAGAGCGAAGGCGGAAAGCTGTCACAGCAGGCGGCGCAGCGGAAGCCGATACCGCAGAGTCGACCTCTACCCGGACAAAGTACGACAACCGCTACAAGAGCAAGCGAAAGGATCGTGCCACAGCCGCAGCCGCCGACGATGCAGCAGCCGGCAGCCTTCCATCAGCCGGCGCCTCACACACAGCCCGTTTCTGCGCTCACAAATGGGACAGTGACGGGACATAATCGCAATGTTTCGACCGCTTCGACTGCATCTGCAGCGTCTGGGAGAATTCCGCCGCCGCCACCACCACCTGCAGCAGTGGTGCAGCCGCCGAAGGATCCGGAATACAGGGCTTTGTATGAGTTCGTGGGACAGACGGGTGGAGAGCTGAGCTTGGACAAGGGCGAAGTGGTTGTTATTACCCAGAAAGAGAACAACGGTACGCTTTCAGATTTTCACCATGGATTGCATTGTGCAAAGCTAACGCGCTTCGCAGGCTGGTGGCTAGCTCGTCGACCAGACCACTCCGCTTCAGGCTGGGCGCCTGCCGCATACCTCGAAGAGGTCAAGCCACCGCCCCCTCCCGTCGTCGCACCAGCAGGCATACGGCCTCCGCCTCCTCCTGCGCCCGCGGCGACACGAACGAACGGCGCTTCGAATGGTGCTCCTGCGCCAGCGACGAGAGGCAAGCCGACACCGCCTGCGCCTCCGGCGAAGCGACCTGCAGGACGCAAGCCTGTGGTGGGCAATACGCCGCGAGACAGCGGGTACTCCAACGGCGGTACGCCGGATGGAGCTGCTAGCGGCGCTGCGACACCTAATGGTTCAGCGGGCGGTGCTGGGATTGCGGGAGGCTTGGCTGAGGCATTGCGGGCGAGACAAAAGGCTATGCATAACCGCGACGATGATGAGGCCGATTGGTGATTTTTGCTGGGCGAACGGGTTTCGCTGATGACTGAATGAGTGCTACTTGGAGGGGATGCTGCTTCTGCAGGGTGTTATGGCGTAATCTAGTCGTTCTTGTGAAGAGCTGGTAACCGAACAGATGAACGTTACTAGACGTAAGAAAAGACTAAAGTAAAAAGCCTTTATGCGCTTGAAGCCTGCTTATGCAATACAAGTCCAGACTGTTGGTCGCTTGTACGCTCTTGTTAGCAGCAGGACCATTTATACCCGGGCAGCAAGGACTTCGTTCAACTACCCAGGCTTCTCTTCTCCATCGCCACGTCTATGGCTTTCTTGCCACTCAATATACTCGTTGTCGCAATGATTAGCTTTCTCCCGCTGCTAGCCTCGAGTTGCTTGCTCACGAGTCGCACAGCCGCAATTTCCGCGAAGGTCACGCCGCCGACGAAGAAGACAATGCTGGTCTTCGGGCCCTCCTTGTTCCCTCTCAGTGTTTTGCGTGCATTGCTCGCATCTGCATCTGCGCCTTCCTGGACCACATCAACCGTGGCTCCTTTAATTCTAGATAACACGTCCTCGAAGCCCTTCCACCCCATGCCGGTCACTGCCGCCGGAGCAGGAGCCTGTACGCCACTGATGTTGCGTGGCGGAGCCACAAGACTCTGCAGCTGGCTCTTCTGTACAATAGCCTGCACCAGTCGCACGCTGAGTGGTGCGTAACCGCTGAAAGCATATGCGATATCGGTCGGCTCGGCTTCCTGTACGTCGTCGGTCCACAATTGCAGACCTCTTCGTACTGTATTCCAATCTGTGGCACTCTGGCCCGCTGAACTGGCGATCGGATTAAGATAGCCTTTATGGCTCTCCTTAGGGACAAGCAAGCCCATCTTCTCAAGGTTTGCGAGGGTCAGGAGATGCTGGTAACCATACGCTTGCAGGATCATGCGCTTGAAGTGGTCCAGCTCTCGCTGTCTGATACCGTTGCTAAGGCAGCTCTCAAGGCATAGCAGGCGCAGCACCGTCTGCAGCGGCATGTCGCGAGCAATGAGCTCTTCGACATTCTCGTGCATCGTGCTGCCTTCACTGCCGATCAGGAGGTTCTGCTCGACTTCTAACGTGCGTCGAAACAGCTCGGAACGGGTAAAGTTGGTGATCTCTTCCGCCAAGCTAGTATGTATCTTCAAGCTCGCTGCTTCTGCCTGGTATGACGGAAGCTTGTTGTGTACGAAGTCCTTGAGGTCTGATACCGTCTGATCAGCTTTATGTATGCTTTGCTGATCATTCTGCAACCGCCTTGCGGTAGCGTTGAGCATGGGTCCGATTGTAGCAAAGTTCGCATCTCTGAGGCTGGGAAACAGCTTATCGGTGCTGTCAAGCTGGACCTTACGCTTCGTGGCAGTGGTGGGAGCGCCGGCGGCTGCACCATTCTGCTGCTGCGGCGCTGGCGCACCACCAAGAACAGAAGAGTCGACTTCTGTTTGATTGTTGCTTACACCAAAGACTTCGTCTAGCAGACCCTCGTACGTTAGTTGGGTGGCTAAAACGGTCGGAAAGTCCACCTCGCGATCAATTATGATCAAGCTCTCGATCACGCTACTTGGCGTCAAGCCGAAGGACGTCAGATACGTATTGCTTGCATCTGCAGAATCGTTGACATCCTCTTCGTTCCGCATGCGCTGCAAAAGCTCAGCGAGCTTCTTCGCATTTTCGCCCTTGCCGATCATCCGCGGAAACAGTCCATGCTGCTTCTGCAGGAGCATGAGCGCTCTCGCTGAAGCAAATATCGAGGTCGGATCTCTACGCAATACCAAGTCGCTGAATGCGTCCTCGAGTTCGAGCGACAGTACGTCTGGTTCAAGCGACACAAATTGCAGGTCCCACTCGCTGATGTTCGCTTCGCCGAGGACGCCGTGCTCCTCGAGGACCACATTGCTCACTAACGTCCGCCGAGGCACCCATATGATCGAGAAGTCGTGGTCGATCTTACTTTCGCTGCGAACAAGGCGAATCTGCTCTACTGCTATCAGTACGATATCGCTCATGATCCGCTCAAGACCAAGTAAATACGAAGCAGGACTCCTCGCACTGTATCTGAGCCACTTAGTTGGTCTCAGAGTTTGTCGGTGGCCGCATATTGCTTACGTCTAATGACGGATTCACAAACGAGCATACGCAGTAGCGAGAGTCCTTGCTCTGCCATCCTTGACAGTCCCGCCGTTCCTCACCTTGGATGTGAAGACGGCCGAATCGTGGCAATGAACACCCTGAACATACCGGCTACCGTCCTGACTCTCTTCGCATTGTCCCCTCGGACAAGGAACACGATGTTCCGTTGCGTGGAGTCCACATTGTGATTCTCAAGGAAGAAGAGCTTGTCGACGCCGTACTCTTGCAAAGTGCTGAATTTGATGAACAGTCCAACGGTTCCGGCCAGTGAGCGTTCAATGACCAGGTTCTTCTTACCACGCACGGCTTCAAGTTGCTGAAGAAGAGCTCGTCGAGCTTTGTCAGTGATATCCTGTGTGTCTATAGCCTTCGTGGCCGCATGTGCTGCCATCACATCTTACGATGAATGTAGAGAATATGCGTGCAATGGCGTCCGGGTGGAGCATCGTTGTCAATTGTGGCTGATTGGCTGAGTCAGCTGTACATGTGCTTCCTCGATGCGATTATCCCTCGCTCAACATCAGCCCTGTGTAATCATCTCTCTCACAAAGCACGATACGAGAGTCATGGAGCCTGGGGAACTGTGAGTCTAGCGCCTAGAGCTTTCATCAACACAGTGGACCTTGCTTGATGCGACGGAGATTGTGCGATGAGACATGACTAATCAGAGCTATGAGTTCACTATCTGGACTCCTTTATACCATGAGACTGGAGAGGACACAGATGATGCTATTGCAGTTGATCGCGACAATGTCTGGACGCCTTTGCAGCTTGCCGCAGCGGACGGCAAGTGCGATCTCGTCCGAGACCTTCTCTGTGCTGGCGCTGACCCCAACGAAACCCCGAACGGATGGTATGGTAAGACCGCCTTGCAAGCAGCTGCTCTGAATGGTCACCTTGAGGTAGTGGACCAGCTCTTGTCAGCCGGAGCTGTTGTCGACGCACCCGGTGGCAACAACGGGGGGCGTACGGCTCTAACACTTGCGTGTGGCACAGGAAGGTCCGAAATGGCGGAGCACTTGATAAGTGCCGGAGCTGATGTGAACATCTTCCCCGCTAGATACATGGGAAGGACTCCGTTGCAGGCAGCGGCCGAGAATGGGCATCTTCTAGTTGCGATGCTTCTCGTGCAACACGGCGCCAAGGTCAACGCTCCTATCGCGCACTATTCTGGTCGTTCAGCTCTTGCCGCAGCTGCTGGAGCGTTGTATCCGCGCCTCGATATGGTTCAGTTCTTGTTGGCGCAACATGCAGCCGTGAATGCACCAATCTCGAGGTACTCAGGTCGTACGGCTTTGCAAGCAGCTGCTTGGAGAGGCCATGACGGTATAGTAGAGCGGCTCTTGGATGCTGGTGCCGAGGTAAATGCAAGAGGCAGCTACTATGGTGGCTGCACCGCTTTGCTTGCTGCCGCTGAGAACGGCCATACGTCTGTTGTGAGGACTCTTCTTGCAGCAGGGGCAGACCGACTCCAGCTATCTGGAAAGAACAACTTGACGGCTTTCCAGGTTGCAAGCAGGAAGGGCCACACGGACGTAGCGCAGACGCTACTCCAACCAGGAAGTGAGTGAGCCATTGCCGACAGCCATTCAGTCACGCATATTTGTGGGGACAGCTTCGTTTACTCATCGTCATCGTATCCGCTAAGGCGCAGCCACTTTTTATACGAGGGTTGGCCTTCTGGAGCCTGAGCCCAACGCCAAAGCTTACCGGAGTTGCGACACTGGTGCACCCAACCGTAGCCATTGACCGTGCTCCCGCGGAATGGCTCGACGGTATCATCTGCCGCACAGGAAACAGCCTGGTTCTCATCAGCGTGGTTGCGCACACGGCATTAGCCCATGGGAAGCCTCACCTGCTCAAGATAGTCCAGACAGTGAACCCAGTGAGGCTGCTTGACTCCGTGCATATGGTGCATGTAGCCCTTTCCCGCTGCGCTACGCCGGTGAGTGTGCCCGTCTTGGTGTGCCGCAGGGTCTTGCTTCTGGACAAGCGCCATGCGCAGCATCTGCAAACAATGCAGTTGATGGAACATGCTGACACCCGTGTAATACGGGGTACCGCTTTGGTTGCTGTGGAAGATGAATCCGCCATTCTCGGGAATGATTTCGTCCCACAGCGTATCTCCATCAGATGTCAGATCCCAGTACTGTTTACGCATGGTGAATCTCACAGGGCACGTCTTGGTGAGATGTGCTCGATGAATGGATGCATAAGTGACACCAGTGTTGGCTTGAATGCCAAGAATAAGCGTAAAGATACACACCAGTGCTGTGAACGCTGCAAGCAGGAGTTTGGTTATAGTGTCCCAAGTGAAGGCTAGCTGTCGAGGCATAGCGACGGCCACGGACAAGCTGGAATAGTAGGTTCCTACACAGCATCCATAAGGTGCGTTTTGGTCAACTGTGCGCTTGAGGTGATAGTTCCACCTTATTGTCGTACAAAGGCGGCGGTGGGAGATGCGGGTTTAGAAGCGTTCTGAGAGTGCACGGACCACATCTTCCCTTGTGTGCTTAACGGGCAGCCGCCATCAGCTCAGTGAAAGTACGATATGCATCGATTGTGAAGCTTCGAAGCACGTTGCCAAGTAACCCAGGAAACATTATGCGAGCAGAGCTCGATGTCCGTGAGAGCAACGCCAAGACGCCTTGCATCGCTTGACCAAGGCTAACAAGTTCCCATTCATGGCCCCGCTCAAACCAGCCGAATATGCAATTCGTAGGCCATGCGGCTAACCATCACACGCTCGGGTCATGGTACAAGAAGTTGATGTCTCGCGGTCGTCGCCGGTTAGTTGCCACGAATTCCGCATCTCCTGGCGGCCTCTCCGCTTTCGTGTTACTCGCCAGCATTGACTGAAGGCTTATGCATATACTCTCCACATTATGCACTGGACTCCAGCCCTGCGCATCGAGCAGGTCCAAGCAGATAATGCCATTTGAGTAGATGTGCGGATGTATTGGGACCTTGCGTTCCGGATTCGGGAGTGCGAGGAAGACACATTCCGGCGCTTCGATGGGATAGTTAGGCGAGAATTGGAAACGTAACCGGTATGGCTCGTTCGGAGGATAAATGGGGTTGTCGGGTACTGTGAGATCCATCTGCCACTCCCGGAGATTATCCGCGGATACGAGCGAGATGCCGGGTGGTAGGGTGCCTTGTATCTAACGAGCTGTAAGCATATATCCCATCCCCACGAATACCCCTACCCTCCAAGCATGGGGGTATCGGATCCCCTTCCTGTTGCCTACCTTTGCCAGCTCTTTCTGCAGCCGCTTGCTGCTCATGCCCGCCATGTTGCCGTCCTCACTATGCGCGCAAGGATACGTGTTCTCCAGTAATCTGTGGCAATGCTGTGTTACAGAGACTGCCCGGAGCCGATCAATAGGCTTTGGGCCTCGCAGCCAAGCTCCGGAATCTGTCAGATACCGTAGTGGACAACTGGATGCCTATGGAGGGCGATGGTTGTGTCGCTAGAGACCGTCAAATACTGTTCATCAAGTGGTACTAAGCTGATCGTAGGACAGGAATGTTCAGGTGTTTCGCCGCAATGAAGCTGAGGCAATCACATGCTACCCTAGGGAAGGAAGAAGTGTCGCGTTAGTTACCATCAAAGTGTGGGGAGGTTCTAGATGCGGCGTTGCGCTAAGCCTCAGCCCTACGATAGCTTCAGGTCTACAGTGTTTACGCAGAACCAACGTTGTTGCATCCGTTGCGATATCAGAGAGAGAGAGAGCGTCGTTATCGTTCCGTCTCGGATTACCATGCTCACCAGCTCTCTGAGCACGAGCCACACTTCTCAATGCGGCAGTCACGACGCCAGCGCAATCCTGAAACAGCTGACATCTGCCTCAGCCCCGCCATAGTCGACAGGGTCGTGGAGGCGCAGTCAGCCTGGCTTTGAACTACTCCTCATCGGCCAGTGCCAGGCTTGCGACGATTCGAACGTACAGATATCTGGCTTGGGTTCTTCAACGCAGTCTCGAAGATTGATCGTCTGTACTGTATTGCCCATTCCTCACATCGACCACTCCTTCTTGCAAGCCAGGTCCCGCTACCGCAGAAGGAGAAGGTGTAGTACCCAGGGAGCTGCGAGGCTGTGTCGCAGGGCAGGCAACATGGCGCGTGAGTACTTTCGAGAGCTTTACACATGCTCACCCGCATCGCTACTCGTCCCACTGCTTCCCACACTACCGTCACCTCAGGTTTCTCAGACGAGCCTATTCCTTTATACACAATCAACATCTCACCGACGCCGATTTAGCAGCTAACAATGTCCAATGCAGTAACCAACATGCTCAACAAGCTGCATGGCCAGCCAGAAAGCTATGATCGGAAGAGCAAGTACCGCATGGGCCGGACGCTGGGAGCTGGTACCTATGGCATTGTGAAGGAAGCCGACAGCCCAAGCGGCAAGGTCGCGGTCAAGATCATTCTGAAGAAGAACGTCAAAGGCAACGATCAGATGGTGCTAGACGAGCTCGACATGCTGCGGAAGCTGAGACACCCTCACATCGTCCGCTTTGTAGATTGGTTCGAATCGAGAGACAAGTACTATATCGTCACGCAACTGGCAACGGGTGGAGAGCTTTTCGATCGTATCTGTGAGAAGGGCAAGTTCACGGAGAAGGATGCCTCTCAAACGATGAGACAGGTACTTGAAGCCGTCGATTACCTCCATCGTAACCACGTTGTGCATCGCGACCTGAAGCCTGAGAACCTGCTGTATCTGACACGCGCACCCGACTCCGACCTCGTACTGGCAGACTTCGGCATTGCGAAGCATCTGGACAGTGAGAACGGCGTGCTCAAGACGATGGCGGGTTCCTTCGGCTACGCCGCACCGGAAGTGATGCTCAAGCAGGGCCATAGCTACCCGGTCGACATGTGGTCCTTGGGCGTCATCACCTACACTCTACTCTGCGGCTACTCACCCTTCCGGTCTGATTCGCTCCCCGAGTTGATCGAGGAGACAAAGCATGGCCGTGTCGTTTTCCACGAGCGATATTGGAAGGACGTCTCGCACCAAGCGAAAGACTTCATCTTGACCCTTCTCAAACCAGACCCACACGCTCGTTCGACAAGCGGGCAAGCGCTGAAGGACCCGTGGATTGCGGGGGTTGGCGCGACCGAGCACAACTTGCTGCCCGAGATCAAGGCGTACATGGCTCGCGCAAAGCTACGGCGCGGCGTGGAGATGGTTAAGCTTGCCAACCGGATTGAGGCCCTCAAGATGCAGGAAGATGAGGAGGAGGATGTACCGCAGGAGGCAGATATACCCGCGGATGCTCAGAAGGCGGCTTGGGAGGCTGGTCATCCGCCTGAAAGTGGTGGGCTCGCGCCGCCAGAGCATGAACTGCCTCGAAAGCGAAGTTTGGGAAAGCTGGCCAAGACGGCGATCTTCCGAGAGGTGTGTGCAACGAAGCTGTCTTCGCTGAAACGTAGCTGACCGATTTTTCCTGCAGGTTGTTCTTGCCAAAGTTCGTGAAATGAAGGCTCAGGAAGAGAGCGACCGGATGATGAAGGAGGCGAGTACTAGCTCCCAGCAATGAGACCCACTTGACGACCAGGAGTCTGCGGCGTGCTCGCTATTTGTCTCAGCTGCATTATGGACCTAAGCGGAACCTCTTGTGCGTGCTGGAGAGGCTGGGTGGGTTGCGTCAGAGTTGCTGAAGTGACGATTCTGCGGATATACCCATTGCTAGCGATCAAGCATGAAGCTGCCTGGCCTAAACATATCCGCGTCCAGTATTAAGCAAACCCGGGCGCCACGCGTCCAATCCTTACAGCGAACTTCATTGTCTCCATGCACGAACCTAAAGCTATCGCGCAAGTCAGTCGTTGCCTTTGCAGAGACGTAGCAGAGGTGTGCGTGTAGTTATGATCTGTATCAGAGTCCCGAGTTATAAGCACCGACAGCAGAGATTTGTCGGTCCCAGCCATTCCTAATACGGCTCTTCCTATGAAGCAATATGGGGTTTGGTATCTCATCACCAGATCAAGGTGAAGATGAACAATAGGATTAAAACGTACCTGAGCTAAGCTCGAGTCAACATGCGTCGCGAAAACTCGTCCAGGACCTGAAAGCGTCTGGTCTGCAGCAAGAAGGTAAGTTCAGTCGTCCCCATCAGTGTGCAAGGCAAAGAGGCCGTGTCTTTGCCATAGTTGCTGGCGCTGGCGTGTTAGTTCAGATGGAGATAGCTGTTCGTGTTGTAGAATGAAGCGCTTGAGGACGTTAGTCCTTCCTACCAAGCTCCGTGCCGTTTATGCGTGGCTTTCTTAGAGCTAGCGGATGTTCTCATGACTTGGGAAAGCAGTGTTATAGCTTAGATAATTATGCTTGATAAGTGTCTGAGATCGGTCTATTGGCGGGCTATTCCTTTTGGGACACTCTGTTGATGCTGCATAGACCACAGTTACTGTGAGCAAGTCGGCGCTTCTGAATCTACAGTTCCTCGCCGAGCGACAGAGAGTTAGACTGGCATGACCGTAGTCTCTGCATCAGTATCATGTTGTACGTGGGATCTGGGGCGGGTGGAGATGGAATGAAATGGCTTTGTCTTGTTATGCAATATACAACAGTGATATCCCGGATTGTGCGTTTCAGCCCTGCAGTAGGGCTGCAACTCGGTCCCGACACCTTTGAACGTCAATCGCGACCTTGCATGGCTGACTTTACATACCTATATCGCTACCGAATAATATTCACAACCATTTTGGATGGGACATGCGGCGAGGGTCGCATAGAAGTAGTCGTTACCGAGTAGTGACTGTTACGACAATCTGAGTCCTGCAATCATGAGCAATAACAATCTCCCGCCACTACGCCCTCCGCCCAGGCCTCATTCACCGGCAGGTCAAAGGTCGCAATCGTCATTGTCGCAGACTTCGGTGCGAAGCGAGTCAAGCATGTCAACAACATCCAATGACTCAGGCAAAGCAATGCCAATGCCAGCGATTCGGCGTTCTCCCTTTTCGCAGCAATCTGCCCAGGCGCAGGCCAGACCGTCAACCGCTGGCGGACCTACGCCGTCGCAGAGTACCAGCAGCCTCGCATTACATCAACAAAACATTCGGACGTCTGTTGATGCACCACTGCGGAACGTATCACCTTCGATGTCCGGAGCATCCATTGGGCACCGCGCAAGGCAGCGCAGCCAAGGGTTCTTTGAGCCTTCTTTACCGCATACCACATCGAACAGTACCGGCCTGAGTGCTTCAACCATCGCCGCTCAGACCGCGATGCACCATATGTCGCCACCACCAATGCATGGCTGGGAACGTAAGCGATCACATCCCGGACTAGCTCCTATCAATACTGGCGGAGACGCTAGCAGACGGTCGAGTAACACGCAAAGCCCGCAGGTGTACTCGGCCGGCGGTCTACCCTACAGTAATGGTACTGTGGGTGGCAACAAGCTGGCTGCAGCAACGGCAGCGAATGTTGCATTCCCAAATGGTCGAAGCCCGCTACCTTCGCCAAACTCAATAGCGCCTCAAAGCTCGCCTCCGCCGATCTCTACCCCTGATAAGGAGCCGAAAGCCAAGAGTTCGAAGATGAAGCTCTTCTCGAAACCCAAGTCCCTGTCCTTAGCGAAGGACAAAGAGGGTAAAGTACCCGCTGGCGCTCCCTCACCTGGAAAAGGAAGCATCACCGCGAGCCTTCTTCGAAACGGATTTGCCAGTGCTTCGACGACTAGCCTTGTTGACCCAACTTCTGGTGCGGGTTCGATCTATTCGTCTGCGAATGCGTCTACTTCTACGCTTGTACCCCTGACAACCTTGGACAAGGAGAAGGAGAAGCGCCCTCACTTCTTGTCAAGGCAGAAGCACAAGCTCAAGGATGAGCCTGCTCAGCTTCCGCTGTCTTCTGCTCATTCCAACTCCCAACCCACTAACCCGGAGAAGCCGCAACCGCTCTATTCGTTCACCCCTGATTCACCGGGTCCTGGCAGCTTCACGAAGTCAATGTCCGGCTTCGATCTCAGACACGGCGCTCGGGCATTACGCGAGAAGAAGAAAGAAGAGAAAGCTGCTGCTGCCGCTGCGAAGCTCGATTTGGCACCGTCCGTGACGAATACATCCACTACGGGGCAATCTGATCAGTACCTTGGGCCCAGTCAATATGATAACAACTTCGGACCTCCCTCTGTCAGCGCAAGTGTCTTCTCCTTCCCAACCGACACCACTGCCTCGGCGATGACTTCGCTGCAAACATTCAATAGCATCGGCGCGCAGATGGGTCTTCCTGGTATTGGGCCGGACGATGCGTGGCCGCTTCTCAAGGCTCGCCTACTCAACCTGTTCTCGGGTGAAGATCTGCGAACACCAATCGAAGACTTCAACATGCTCGTCAACGTGCATATTCGACGGTGCATACAGCGCAAATCTCCAATTGTTCTGATTGAAGATGTCCGCGAGCTGCTCCAAACCGGCTTCGTTTCGCTCTCACAGACTCTGAGGGGCGTGCCTGACGATAGGCTTGTGCTCAAACTTGTCGAAATGTGGATTAGCGTGTACGGCACCGTCTTGCCATTCCTGCAAGCTGTCTTTCTGCCCCTCGACCTGGAGTTCAAAGGCACAGGTACCATCATGAGCGCGCGGGAAGCGCAAGAGTTCTGGGGCGCTATGCCGCAGTCACTGAAATCTGACGAGAGACCCTCCTCCGCTGGCGGCACGATACGAATGCCAAGCCTTGGTGAAGAGCTAGATGTGCGACGGTTGACGCTCATCTCCTTCCGAGACACTGTCATATTACCGCGCCATGAGCCGTTGATGGCTACTTTCAGCCGGCTATCGCTTGACAGCATCAATGCCGGGGCGTCACCTGACCCTGCCGCAGAGGGACGCAAGCACGCGCGAAGTGATCCCGCGACCACCGGTGCCGAGAGACCTGGTACTGCAGGCAGCCTCAGCCCACATCTGAGCAGCTTCAACTCGCAAGGCTCGACATTGCTTGATGCCGCCAGCAGTTCCTCGGGCGGCGCTCTGAGCTTGGCGAGTAGAAGCCGCGCGACGTCGAACACCTCAGCAGGCTCGTTCGGCACCAGCATGCCGCATCTTGGCTCGCCAATCAGCGCTGGGCCGGGTTCATTCAGCGCCACGAATCAACCAGTCTCTCCGCCTGCAGCCTTCACCGACCCTGCGAAAGTCACGGAGACGGTGGCAAGGATGCTGCAGTGCCTGTACGTCCTGGCTAGTTGTCAGACCGGCGATGTCGGACAGGGCATTGTAGAGCGGCTTACGGGCGCCTTGAAGTATAATTGGCTTGGTCGAGGAAGGACTGGTAGGGATCGACGAGGGTTTGTGGGCATGAGAAGTCCTATTGCGCAAAGGGTAGGCTTGGTTGGTGCGTAGCTTAGCGTTGTTGGATATGAGCGCTGCCTTGGATCAGTGCTACTTTATGATGGATGAATGATGCGTTATGACCCGATTGTCATGATTCAGATCGCCCGACGTCGCTATGCTATTTCCGTTGGGTCGCAGTGTTTCAATGAAAGCTCGCTATAGCTTAGCATGATCTCATCGGAGCCGGAAACTCCAATGCCTTCGGGCCAGCCGAGTCACGTTGAGCTTCAAAAGCGAACATACCGATGATGGGAGCTCCGTAACGTTAGACCGGGTACAAACCTAGCTAGTGAGTGGATTAAAGCGCCTTGCGGATAGCTCATCAGCTTGCCATACGGCTGCCCTACACTCGCATTCCTACGCAGCCACCAGCCTCTGGCTCCCGTCGTACCATCTGACTCGGCCCATTCCTCTCAACCAGGTGCCACCACTTCAACTGTTCCGCAACGTCACTCTGTAACGCTTCGACAAGAGCCCCCAGCCCTAATCCTCGATCTCATCCAGCAACGTATCACTCTGAATGCTAACCGCATCTTCGCCATCATTTTCAACATCATCCCCATCCACCGACTCATCGGCATCCGTCTCCTCCGTCTTCCGCCTCTTAGCAGGACTCATCGCGCTATCTTCCGGACTAGCCGCGTCCATAGTCACCTCGCGCTCGCTGGCGCTAGTGAACCCCTCGCTACTTAAGCCCTCGCTCTTGGTGCGCATAGAGCCCCCCTTCTGCCCGAAACGGTGGGTGCGTCTCGTGCCGAAGAACTGAATGTACCAATCGAAGTACTTATCGTTGTCGTTATACCACTTGTGCTCGTCTGCTGTATATCTCTCCTTCGCCCTCCCGTCCGACCCGTGCTTCGCGACCTTGCCCTCAGCGTCTCCGACTTCCTCTGCCTCCTTCTTACGCTTGTCAGGATTGTTGCTCTGCTTCTGGCCCAACGCAGCTCGAATGCGCTTCGTGACCGTCGCCTTGTCAATATAGCAGCCGTTCCAAGACATGCGATCGCGCACCTCCGTATTGCCGCAACCGGCTTCCGAACAAATACGCAGGAGCGGCACACGGCAAAGCATATCTGGGCAGAAGTCGATGATGCACATGGCGGCACGTCCGGTGAGTACTAGCGTGTTGTCGTACTGCTGACGCGTGATAAGCGTGTCGTAGATGCGGAAGCGCGCCTGCTCCAGGCCTAGGGAGTGGCTCTTCTTGCCCGGCAACCAGCGGATACAGATGTGCTTGCACAACTCCCATTCTACCTCACCAGCCTCGGCGGCATCGAGTACCTCGTACGGGGTGGTGCACTTCAGCTCACTCGCTCTCGCCCTGTCAGCGTCGCTAGCAAAGGAGAAATTGCCTTCGCCGCCAGCGCTTTCGGACTTTTTGCGCGGACTGCCCTCGGCCTTCGTATCCTCTTCGCCGCCAGCTTCGCTACTCTTGCTCGGGGAACTGACTTCGGTCGTAAATATCCTAGCTTTCGGAGGAGCCACGCCGCCTGCCGCGACAAACGCTCGCGCAGCCGCAATGGTGTTCCTTCCAGTGTTGCCGGCTTTTTTGGCCGCTCTTTGAAGCTTCTGCTTCTCGAGAAGCTCCTGGTCAATCTTATCCACGACGGGCTGATTCTTCTTTCGTACCACGTTCATTGCTTCGATGATACCAGCATCGTAGTGACTCTCATCCCAGCTTGCATCTTCCTTGGCCTGGACGAAATCGATCTGGCGATGCCATGGCATCTTCTCCGCCTCGGCCGGCTTGCGCATGGTACGCTTGGCGTTCTTGCGGTTCTTCGCGGTCTTGCTGATCTTGCCGACCTTCTTACGCTCGGATGGACGCTCGCCCTCGGGGTATGGTGGGATCGGACATGCTGGCATCTCACTATGCGCTTTAGCTGTCAACGACAACTTCCTCTTCCTGCCCTTCGAATCGGTAGGGCCGTTGTCGTCGATCGTGAGCGCATCGACAAACGTACCGGCGCCGATAGCCTTGCCTCCTATACTAGGCATGCCGAAGACCGGTGTTTGTTGGTGCATGCTGTTGACACGTCCAAGAGACTGCGGCTTCTGAGCGCCAGGTTGCGGCATGCCAAGAATTGGCGCGTGTTGTGCCATACCATGGACTCCGCCAACGTGCTGCGGATGACCAAACGGCAGTGGCGGCGGGCCCATTGCGCCTTGATGATTAAATCCTGGGTGCTGATACTGGCCTGGCAGCGTCTGACCAAACGACTGTGGCATTGATTGAGGATTTGGTTGTGAGCGGAGCATCTGTGGTGGTGGTGGCATACCGTGTCCATTGGATGGTGGGCCGTGATGCATCTGTTGCGGCGGCATCCCATTTGGAGCGCCGTGCGGACCTCCCATCGAAGGCTGACGGCCCGGAGGCGGACCCTGCTGCGGCTGCATCATGGGCATAGTCCGCGAGAAGGGCGAGCTGCTCGAAATATATTGGGTGTTGCGATGCTCAGAGTAGACACCGATGCTGAGGTTGCGCCATTTGGTCCGCTTAAGCAGGTTCATGTAAGCATCGTTGGCCGCCTGCTTGTCGATGAGCCACTTGTCAAGTGGGAAGTCTTCGAGGTATCGAAGCATCTCCTTGTCTTGCTCGCGATGGTAGTCTTCAGTCAAGTCCCAATTGCCCTGCAGCGGCGCCAAACGGTCTTGGCAGTACATTTGCTCAAACTTGCGGCGCGCTGTTTCGTCAAAACCGGAAATCCTCCATGGACGCTCGAGATCGATGGCTTTGCTGGGATCATCGTTGGGCTTCGCTTCTGATTTATACTTCTCATGGTCGTCGGAAGAGATGGAAACGACGCTCTTCTGATCATCCTCCATGTATGAATGGTCTTCGAGTTCGGCAGGGTCGACATCGCTGTAGTCAATGGAGCCTTCATCGACAGCTTCCCGCTCGACTTCTTGACTCGGCTGCGCTAGTAAGCAAGGCCACGTCGGTTCGATAGGCTGTAGAAATAAACTTACATCATCAAGCATGATAGCATCCTCCGCACCGGAGCTTGGCTTGCCTTGATTGCGCTGGGCTTGCAGCACGCTTTCACGTCTCTCGAGCTCCTCGAGGTCACTGAGTGGTGACCCATCGTCACTTTCATCGGCTTTCTTGTCATCTGAGTTGGTAAGGTCTACAGTGGTAAGCTTCTGCTGCAAAACGATGTTCTCTTCATCAAGCTCAGCATCTTTAGCATCTTCACGAGCTAGAGTAGGATTTGTTGGCGCATTAGCTGACGGAAGAGAGTAGGCTGGCGCTGGTGTTTTGCGTGGCCTGCCAACCCTACGCTTGGCTGACGGTGGAGGCATGGCTTTCTGGTCTCGTGCATTGCGCTCGGCAGCCGCACGGTCGCGTGCTTCAATGTCACGTGCTTGCTGCTCTGGGGAAGCAACGGGCGCCTGAGCGGCGACTGCGGACATGGCAATCTTTCCAATAGCGCTGTCGTGGGCATAATCTGTCATATCTACAGTCAGTAGGCGATAGCAGAAGCTGACGCTGGGATCTCACTTGCGTTTCAACAAGCAGCGTGAGGCTACGCGATGTGTCAAGGCGGTATGAGCTGGAAAGAACTGTCTCTAGTCAGCACAGTGTGCTTTCAAGCAGTCACGTCAGTGAGCGGCGTCGACAGCCCACGGTTGCCAGTCCGGTCCAGAAGGTATTCCAGTCCAGTCTAGTCCAGCGGTCATGGTCCTTGAGATGGATGTCCAAGGTGAAGTACGGTGAAGTTTGCAGAAATGGCACGAACGAACAGAACGCCAAGCTTAATATTCGAAGCGCAGTGATTCACTTGGAAACGGCTTCGGTCTCACGTGCACGCATGACAACGTGCGTGTTGGCGTTGGGATTGTTCGAGAGGTTACTGTCGAGACGGTGGAGGAAGGAACGCACCGGACGCACCTTCTGCTTTCGTCGAGCGACCAGTGTTCGAAGCTCGCTAACCTGACTTCACATGCGGTCTGTAACAATCGCACACAGCGTCAGCCAGGGATAAGCTGCACGTTCAGTAACATCGTGCACCTCCCATAGTAAGGTCGATATGGTCGAAGCGTGAAGAGAAGAGAAAGGTAGGTCAATGAAGTGAAGCGCAACTTGCGCGTTGGACGGAGGTGGGCTAATGCGGAGCTTACCCGCTTTCGGCGATAGCGCGTACGAAGTGAATACAGAGCGAACCAATGACGCAAGTAGCGGGCCCGCGCTTCATGCCTGTGTGACGCGAGACTGATGTCCAGCGTGTGGTGGATTTGAGGCGCATCAGGAGCATTCATAGTGATCACCTCAGGTATACTCGCCGCCGCCGCATCGCCTTGGAGGAGGGAGAGGAAGGCGCTACGTGGTACACGGCAGGTCCAGACAATGCGCTTCGATGCAGCAGCTGCAATCGACGACCGGACTTTCTGAGGCTTTCGTAATTGCGTGGAGAATGGCATCCTCGAGAAACGTCTGCATGTTCAAGACGTATAGGACTTCTGGAGATACCGATCATCGTCGCGCATCCAGGAGGGGCGACTGCCCGCATTTCACCATCCCCTTTCGCCGCGACGGGGTCATCTGCTACAATTTTGTGTCCATAGCATGTTGGTAGCGCTTTCTCGCCCCTTCCGTAACCAGTGCCATGGATACTCATATGATAGCCTCGCCGCTATGCTCCACTTCAAAGCCTAAGTCGGCGAGTCGCTTCTGCTTCGTCTTGTCGGTCTTCTTGCGTTCTGCATCCTCGGCCTTCTTCAATGCAAAGACCTTCTCGACCGACGCAAGCTGATAAGGTTCCGGGATGTAATCGTCCTTGTCCAGGTCCTACACACTCATTAGCGGACCAACCCAGAATCATGGGAACAACAAAAGCCTCGTACGATCTCCCCAAGCAAGCTCACGTTCTCCCCTCGTACCAGGAATAAACCTCGATCGATATCCGCATACACATTCTGCACGAACAGTCTTTCGACCGTGTCCTGCAAAACAAGGTTGCCAAACTGGTCCCAGCTTCTTAATACACCGATAAGTTTCCGCCCATCTCTTAGCGCAACCATCAGTTTCTTGTCCGTAAGATCCAGTAGTTGGGCGGCAGTCGTGAACATCTGTGGCGGTAGTTGTGCCACTACAGGAGCGCCAGGAGGACCCATACCCATCTGCTGCTGGCCGGGACCTGGAGGCATCATTTGTGGAGGTGGAGTAGGCATTGGACCTTGTGGCTGTTGGCTCATATGTGGCGGTCCAGGCGGGTGCTGGCCCGGTGGTGGGCCAGCACCAGCATCATGGAGGCTGAGATGCTCCATATGCTCCAGTAATTCTGTAATGAGCGTTGAAAGGAGTGTTCATGGGTCCATCATTTGTGCAATTGGCTGAGATGGAGCAGTGAAGGCGGGATGAGTGAAGCGGGACAGTGGCTGCCAAGGCCGGCGTCACTTCACATAGCTACACGAGCAATCCATCATACATCTGCCCATCATCGGAAGTTGGAGAATTCTTGGCACTTCGAGTAGCTGGCAAGGAGGTCGCATAGTACCTGTCTGCATGGAAAGTGTGTCACGGCGTACAACCACCAGGCTCGCCTTCATTGGAGCCCCGGTAGTACTGCCAGAGACGGACATGGAGCAGTATAGAGGGGGCGTAGACAAGTAGTCGCGGAGCTGCGATAGTATAAAACACCGGATGATTGGCCGTCCAAGCTCGTATCAACAATCATGCTCTCCGCCTTTCGTCCCGAAGCCATTCATGAGTTCAAACAGCGGGACAAGTCTAAGGTGGAGTCACTACTAGCATACGGAGATAGGCTGCTTGTTGGTTTGAATACGGGAAGCTTGCGCATATACCGTGTCAATGAGAACGCTGGTCAAGAGGCTGCTACATTAGAGGCAAACGGTCAAGATGACGATGGCACTAGCACCGCGACAGCTAAGCCGAAGGCAGTGGAGTTACTACGCGAGGAGGAGAAGTTCAGTCGCAAACCCGTACAGCAGCTAGCCATGATCAAGGAAGCCAACCTTCTAGTCAGTCTCAGCGACGGTTATGTGTCTCTCCACGACTTGCAGACACGCCAGCTGGTTGAGCGCCTTGAGCGAACCAAAGGCGCAGTATGCTTCACCACCACAAGCAATGTGGTCAAGGAGGACCCTGATGCGCCGCCTTCACTGGTCAGCCGTCTTGCTGTGGGTGTAAAGCGGAAGGCGCTGGTCTGGACATGGCGAGACATGGAGATGGAGAGCAGTGGGCCGCTCGAAATCGCCACCGAGGCGACTGTGAAGAACTTGATTTGGGTGCAGGGGAAAGGAGGTGTGGTACGGCTTGTGGTGGGCATGGATGCAGGCTTCAGCATACTGAATCCGGAGGCTGGAAATCCGGAGGAGGATGCCCGATCGGTCTACAAGCCTGCGTCGAGACAGGATGCTACATCAGGGGAGCTAGCTGGTGTGAGATTTGGTGCGGTGAGCAGTAGTGGCATGGGCTATATGGGTATGGGATCTTGGGTGCCGAAGCCTATGGCCACTGGTCTTTCTGAAGGCCAGATTTTGCTCGCCAAGGACGTGAACACTCTTTTCACGGATTTAGATGGCCACCCGTTAGAGAAGCGGCAAGTGCCGTGGGCAATGGCACCCGAGGCGGTAGGCTTCAGCTACCCTTACCTACTCGCACTGCAGCCGCCGGAGAAGGGTACGTTGCAGATCCGGAACCCGGATACACTAAGTCTGCTACAAACGATCAGCATTCCAGGTGCAGCGATACTGCATGTACCACAGCCGAACATCAGCTTGGCACACGCTGGTAAAGGCTTCATCGTGGCTTCAGACCGCACAATTTGGCGGATGAACGCCCTGCCGTACGATACGCAGGTGCAGGAGCTTGTAGAGAAGCACCGCTTTGACGAGGCTGTCAGTCTTCTCGACTTGCTCGAAGACACTCTGATCGACGACAAAGCGGGCAGAATTCGCGAAGTCAAGATGCAGAAAGCGACGCACCTCTTTCAGCAGCAGAAGTATCGAGCAGCGCTGGACTTGTTCACCGAAGCCGAGGCGCCTCCTGCGAGGGTCATCGCGCTGTATCCGCAAAGCATCGCTGGTGACCTGAGCAGTGTGCCAGAAGCCACCACCGACGGTGAGGAAGTTGGGGAGGATGACAGCAAGCCAGAAGAGACTCCGGTGAAAGAACCTCACAGCACGCCACAGAAAGGCGTTCTTGGCAAACTGAAAGCAGGGCACGCGCGGCGGGATTCTGACGCTGCTTCGACCAGGAACACTCCTCGAGCCGACAGTGACAACATGAGCATACGGACTTCCAAAATCCCTCCTGCCAAACCAACCGACAGACCATTGGAAGGCGACGACCTGAAGATTGCGGTTCGGTGTCTATGCTCCTTCCTCGCACAAGCGCGCGTCCAAATCCAGAAATACCTCACCACCCAGGGCGCCTTGAAAGAGAATCCGCCTGAGCTCGATCCGGAGACAGACAAACCTGCTTTCGCGAACCTGCTGCCCACGGACATCTTCACTACCGCTACCTACAATCCGAAGACTCTCGACTGGCAGAAAGAACTCCTCGAAACAGCAAAGCTCGTCGATACAACCCTGTTTCGCGCCTACATGCTCGCCCTGCCTTCACTTGCAGGGCCGTTGTTCCGACTCGACAACTTCTGTGATCCGGACGTTGTGCAGGCGAGTTTGTACGAGCACGAGCGTTACGGCGACCTGATTGACTTCCTGCATGGCAAGAGGCTGCATCGGCAGGTGCTCGAAATGCTGACGAAGTTCGGCAAAGGTGAGGCAGATGCTGAGGCGACACCGGACGACATGAAAGGGCCGGATAGGACGATCGCGTATCTAAAACAGCTTCCGCCGGAGCTGGTCGATCTGGTTCTGGAGTTCGTACGGTGGCCGGTAGACGAGAGTCCAAGCGAGGCGATGGATGTTTTTGTTGCTGATACTGACCATGCTGAACGCATGCCGAGGAAGAAGGTGCTGAAGTTCTTGGAGGGCATCGATAAGGAGAGAGGGGACGGCAAGCTGGAAATGCAATACCTTGAGCATGTTGTCAATGAGTGGGGTGATCAAACACCTGAGTTCAACCAGCAGCTGGTTGAGCTATATCTGGCGCGGCTCAAAGCACAGGAGGCTGCGTCTGCCGAACGGGAAGAGCTACAGCGCAAGCTGGAAGCTTTTTTGCGCCGGAGCAGGACGTACAATCAGAGCGCTACCTTCCGACAGTTACCGGCTGACGATGCGACATTTTTTGAGTCCCGCGCGATCGTACTGAAGGCGATGGGCAACCATAAGCAGGCGCTCAGCATCTACGTCTTCCAGATCAAGGATTCTGCCAGAGCGGAGCAGTATTGCAATGAGGTGTACCTGTTCGAGCAACATCGGGATAAGGATCTTTGCTTAATCGACGGGATAACTCCGCACGAAAAGGCGACTTACGGCACAGGCTTCGAATCGGAGGATGCCGCTAATCAGCCCAACGTCTTCGCGCTGTTGCTGGGTCTCTACTTGCGCCCGCCACCAGGTGAGGAGAAGCGCTGGCCCGAAGCATTGGAACTGCTGAGCAGACACGGTGCTCGCTTACCTGCTTCGAGTACGCTGAACCTTATGCCAGACGACCTGGCCATCAAGGAGCTGCAGGATTACTTCCGAGGACGCATCCGCAATGCGACTTCAATCTTGCGGCAGACTAGTGTCATAAAGAGCCTCTCTGCGGTACAGCGCGTGAACACGGAGCGGCAGTGGCTACTCGGTGCTGACCAGGTTGTAGACGCGGGTGGAAAGGGTGGTAGGAACCGCAGAGTGAGGATCACGGAGGAGGACCATTGTCGGGTTTGCCACAAGCGCTTTGGTGCGAGTGCGATCCGAGTCAACCCTGACAACACTGTAGTGCATTATGGTTGTGTTGGGAAGAAACCTAGTGAAGCCGGCCCAACGACAGCAGGCAGAAGGGCCAGTGCTCAAAGAGGCTGGAATTGATACAATGGTGAATGACAAGGACCTTCTAGGCACAAGAATGCATGCAATAGGCCCGGCTTCCTGCACTTCACGATGCCTATTTGTCGATACTACCTTCCGCACTGTACGGTGCTCCTGCCTCATGCTGAGGATTTGCAGTTACTCTCAGTTCGCTCATGGACAGCAGAGGTAGGTGCGGCTTCAATGCGACTTACACTCATCGTCAGCTCAGAGGTACCGCAAGACTGTTTGGGCCCCCACCTCCAACACATTCTCCCACTTGTGCATTTCTAGGCGGGTATCATTATGTCTCGCAGAACGATAGACATCAATATGGAATCCAGCGAGTTCCCGGATCGGCCCCCTCCCTCACCACGTCTTCCGAACATGCCTTGTTCTATGGGCGGCGACCCGTCGTCCGAAGCAGCGGAGATGGACATCGAGGAAGGCGAGGTCATCGAAGTCACTCCTCGCTTTTCAGATCTCCCTCAATCTCCCACAACGACGCCGCGTCAACCCGTCGGACTACCGTCGCAGTTCGACGGCCCACTGTCGACAACAACGTTTGGACGTCCTTCACTACCGGCGTCGGAATATGAGGGTAGCTCATGGCATATACGTTCCGAGTGCGCCACCTCAAGCCCGGCTCGAACGGCTGAAAGCGAGGCGGTTAACGCTCCAGCCCGACGGCTTTCGCAGTCAACTTTAGATGTGCTGGCGTCCACAGCACGGTCGGTAGTCCGACCGTCTACGGAGGTACCGCACGAGTCCGGTGATGCTTGCTTGATAGCGCTACCATCAATCTCCTCGAGTCGCTCACGGAGTCTGGAAGACAGTCCAGGAGCGTCACCCGTGGCCTCTTCAGCACCCTTAGTATTCCGCAGCAGGAGCTCATCTCTATCGTCTGATTGCCTCGGCCGCCACCCTCGCCATGGCATTACGACCTACGCTGATGTTCCGAAGGAGACAGGCCTTCTTGTTCCGGACGAAACCCAGCTAAGACCCGGCCGCGCGGAGCGTGAGAGGACGCCGCACTAGGTGCGTGGCTCAACGAATGGCATGTACCTTGGCGATCTGCACACTCCCTGGCGAAGGCTGCAGGCCGAGATGCGAGAGCACGTCGAGCGCAGCCCGTCGCCATCTCGGGAACAGGTGATGCTGCCGTTTCTGGAAAGCTTCGATCAAAGCATGAGTTGGGACAAGAAGCGAATCGAGATTGCGAGACAGACTCTGTGCAATCCTAGCTCCTGGATGACCAAATTTTGGGACGTGACGCCACGCAAACGCTCGAAGAAGGAGAAGTGTCCGGACTGCAAGCGGAGAAAGTGTTATTGCTCCTCTACAAGCTCCGAACCTCCTGCGAAGAGGGCGAAGAAGGAACACAAGAAGTACACCCACGCGCAAGAGGGTGCCGAGGACTGTGCAGAGACTGTGGCAGAACCGGAGAACGATCTCCAAGTGGCTAGAAAGTTACTCGACCTCCAGTGCAACGACCCGTCTGCAAGGCGGTCTCTGAAGACTGTAGCCGAGACGGATTCGCCGCCAAAGCCGCGAAGAATCCGCCTCTTACCGCCCAAGCCTCCAAAAGCCGATGGAAGCGTGAGATGTGGCAGCTGCAGGAAGTTTCTCGGCCTCGGCGACCACGTCAACGACGAGTTTGCCGCCGCGATCTGCTTCTGTGACTGCGGAGAAGGTGTCTATTGTGGCACCCGGTGCCTTTCACGCCATAAGCAGAGTCACCACGGGTTTGGCGAGGCAGCGGAGAATAATCAGGCCTCAAAGCGGAACGGCAGCATGACCACGACATGCGCACAGTGTGAAGCAGCTTTGCCCGAGGACACATATGATTTTGACACCGACGAGGAGTTGATCTTCGAGTGCAATGTGTGCGAGACCGCCAGGTTGTGCAGTGATGAATGCCTTGCCTTGCATTTCTCGATGTGTGATAGCCCTGCCAAGGGTCCTAGTGCTAGAGCAAAAGGGAAAATGAGAGCACGCTCTCGGTCACCCGAGAAGGAGAATGAAGAAGATGAACAAGACGACTGCTGGCGCAGATGTTATCATTGTCTTGCGCCGCTACCGGAAGAGCACGCCAAAGGCGATGATGATGAGCCTGTAGAATGCCAAGTCTGCGACGATGTCATTTGCTGCAGTGACTCGTGCCTTGACGAGCATTGGGGCGATGAACATCCTGATGCGACCATCTCGCCTCCCCGCACTGCCTGCAGCCGCTGTCTCGCCAGACCACTGGGTCCAAATCGTCTTCAACGCTGCACATGCGGCAAACGTCTGTACTGCGACGCGGAGTGCCTACAGTTGGATTGGGACGAGAGGTTGCATCGATGCACCGACAAAAAGCACTGCAATCGCTGCGGCGTGTCGCAAGCTGAGGACGGTGGGCCTCTGAAGTCATGCCCTTGCGACCAGAAGTTCTATTGCAGCAAGACGTGCCTTGTGAGCGACCGGAAATACAGCGTTCACTCGTGTGAGCTCTCCGAATCTGACAAGTCGTCGCGAGCGGGCCTGAAGAGTTACGAGCCGGACACATCAGCGGGTGCGGCAATCATCGGTCACAGGTTCCTTGACAATCGCACACTGGAGTATCAAGTGATCCGTCCAGATCAGCCCACGATTACCGTCCGCGCAACAACATTGCAGGGACAGTCATGGACGGACAAGATGCGGAGCTACTGGACACACCCCGAGTCCATGAAGCTTAAGCGGAAGGTGATGGAGCATCCTCTGGACTACGACCGCGAGCCCGGACCTATAGGACGATTTGTACAATCTGCTGCAATCTTCGCATACCGAGAACTCCTCTGTAATGTGAGGGAGTTCTCGGCAGGTGGTCAGGATGAACGACGCGCTGAATCTCTAGGGCCTGAGTAGGACAAGGCTTTGGCGAAGTTCTGGAGACATGTTGAGGTAAGCTACAAGTGGTCGCATGTCGCGAACGTCATGCAACAGCAGCGACGACAAGCGGACTCAACAGTATCATGAGCAGTAGAATGCACGACATCCGATTCTTTCAGGCTTCGCAATTGACATTCGCTTCATGGTAACGAAGTGTTCCATCGTTCGATCGATCCAACGGCCAAACGTTTCTCAGTCTAGCTTTGACTTGGGCACGGTCCAAACGCTTTACGTCGCGTCCATTGTATGATATCAGTGCGGTGAACTGCACTCGCCAGCCTGGAAGCATCCCTGGCTTGCGTTGCTCCCCTGGTATTGCCTGCGCAAACGAGGAGTGCCTCATTGTTGTGTAGTGCATGGCGAGGAGCTTGGCTGTATGTGATCGACGACTGTATGACGTACGCTTCCAATCGGAAGCCGAGGCACATGACATCGAGTTATTGCTGGGTGCAGCCGCTAGGACCTGCGGCCGTGGAGCGATCGGAAGCGCATGCACGCCGGAGGCCACGCACTTAGCCTTCGCATGATCGAGACTTCGGATAGGTGTGGCTGCGACGACACGCATCGTGAAAACACGCAGGAAGACGTAAGCTGAGCGTCTTCTGCGCAGCAAGCACCGCGTACTCTTCAACGTTTATTCTTCAAGTGATGGATTCGGCATCCGCAAGTCTAGAATCTACAGTGACATCCATTAGTGCGGCGGTGCGCCGAGTGCAGTTTCCGCTTTGGCGACACCAAGCTTCTGTGCGACATAGCCGAGAGCGCGCTATGATAGGCTGCAGCGGCGCCAACGGCGAGCCGCACAGGAGATGAGATGAAGGAGTGTAGGCAAATGAGCTTCCATCAGCCACATATGACATCCACAACCGCGTGGAATCATGCCAGGACTCGTGGCCCGGTCGACATCGCTTTCTTGGCTCTGGTAGTTCTTTCGAAACATGACATCAGCTGTGAAGACGTAGATATGGCCCATGCAACAGTCGTAGAAGCAGCGCCACATCATCGCCAGCGCACGTTTAACTCAAGCTTTACCATGCCATCCAATCGAAGCGCGCCGACGCCACTTTTCAATGGAGGGCTTCGAGCCGAGATTTGGGACGGGTTGCAGTCTGCTGTGTTCGATTGAAAGTCGACGCTTTTGTGTGACGCAGGGGCGGTAAGTCATGCCAGATAGTCACCCCACGTGGATGTATCATGTTGAAAACAGGTCCCTCACACTCCCTGGAACGGTCCTGTCAGAAAGAAGTCGTCCACAGCGAGACAGAGCTCCAGAAAGCGATGTACCATGTGTAGCTGAAACTGTTTCCATATGCGGGGATGCAATAGCACGCGCTCCATTAGCTCGCCCCTTAGCGTGACTCGGCAGGGGGGATGGCGCGTGCTGCATGAAGTGAAACTGGGCAAGCTTCAGCAAGCAAGAGCGCACTTTGTGCAGGAAAGCAGGCAAATGAGATAATCAAAGGCACATCTTAACCTTCGGACGTAATCCTTCTCTCCCTCCTTTCTTTCCACCACCGCGCCGTCAAGCATTCACATCAGTGACCGGTCCTGTACAAGCTCCATATCGGTAGCCCACAGACTTTCGTCGACCACAAGCACTTCAGTCACCAGCAGTTTTTGCACCGTCAACCACTCTTCGACACCATGAAGACCACGTTCGCCATCCTCGCTGGCGCCGTCCTCGCTGCCGCCCAAGACCTCAGCTCGCTGCCTCAGTGCGGTGTAAGTAACCCCGACGATCCTGTGCCAGCATCGAAGGAGTACCTCATTGCGCGCTCGGTCGGCCTCTGACTGAACTGTTCATCACTGACCAGCGCACAGCAAACATGCATCAACAACATGCTCCAGGTTGCCAGCTCCCAGCTCGGCTGCGCGGTAGGCAACGTGACCTGCTACTGCACCTCGCCCGAGTTCGGCTACGGTGTCCGTGACTGCTCGAACCAGGCCTGCCAGAACTCGGCGGACGCGCAGTCTGTCATCTCATACGGTCTCACATTCTGCTCAGGTAAGGGACCGCAATGGGAGCTGTTTGCGACCCTGCACTAATATCTGAGATCAGCTGCTCTCGCTCAACAGGTCGCGTCCGGTAGCAGCGCGGTCACTGCCTCTGCAAGCGCTGTCTCCGTCCTCGCTTCTGCCGGTGGCTCAGCGGTGTCTGGTCTCTCAGGTATTGCGTCTGGCGCCTCTTCCGGACCTGCTTCCGCCGTTGCAACCGCGACCGTTACCTCGACTGCTGTGCCAAGCGGCAGCGGTAGTGGCTCCCCAGTCACCACCTCTGCCCTCATCGCGCTCGTCTCTGCTTCGGGCTCGTCATACACGACCACTACCGGCTTCACGACGATCTATGGCGCTGGTGTTGTGGGTGGTGCCGGCGCGAGCTCAGGCAGCGCTGGTGCTGCAAGTGGCGCCAGCGGCAGTCCTTCCGCAATTACCACCTCCGCCTTGACCGCAGTCGTGTCCGCTTCTGGCACTCAGTACACCACCACCACCGGCGAGACGACCATCTTCGCTGGAGGTGCGGGTAACGCCACTGCCGGTTCTGCCTCTGGAACTGGTGCAGCCGTTGCAGGCGGTGCTGTCTCGTCTGGCGCGTCTGGTGTGTCTTCCGGGGCGGCTGCCGCTTCATCCGGCGTTTCTTCAGGTGCCGCTGGCGCTTCGTCGCGTGCCTCCTCCGCAGGTGGCGCGGTCAGCTCAGGTGCTTCATCTGCAGCTGGTGCCGCTAGCTCAGGTGCCGCGAGCGCCTCTACGCGCGCCTCCAGCGGTAAGTTCAAACTACACATAGTTCCTCGTGAGGAACAAAACTAACATCTTCCTTAGCCGCCGCAAGCGGAAGCGCCGCTGCCTCATCAAGCGCCGCCGGCGCCGCCGCAGTTCAGACGCTCGCTCCAGGTCTCCTGGGTGCCGCCGCGCTCGCCCTTCTCGCGTTGTAAAAGAGCTGCAGTCACGTTCTTGTCGGCACCAAGATCGTTCCTTCCGCGAGCGTTCAAGGGGTATAAAACGCACATACACGCGTCTAACGCTCGTCACGACTTGAGAGAGCACAGGCTGGCTCTCCCACGAGATGGAGGAAGTTGAAGAGAGTGTTCTTGATGCTTGCGATGATACCACCAAAGCGGGCTGCTGCTTTGACATGCATTTTTTCCACGAGCGTTGCATGGGCTGACGGTGTCATATTATCTCTCGGATGGGTTGTCTCGTAGTAGATAGTAATGTATCGAAGAGGTGAAGTTTGAAAGTACCATCAGCATAACTTGCATTCCTTAACTCGGACCATACATGAAGCTCGACGTCGGTTGATAAGGTAGGTTAGCGTAACCTCACGCGTACGACTTCATTCTCACACAAGCGATCTATTTGGCTGGTAGAAGACTGCACAGCAGCGAACTGGAAAGACGAAGACATATAACTGTGATGATCGACCATACCATATATGAGGGATAAGACCGTGCGTAACTGCGTAGACCAATCCCAATGATATGCGAGGTAAAAGCTGGGCACATATGCATGAGCTGAAATACGCAGGAAGCTGGTGTTCGCGTTTGGCCGGCCCAGCAAGCAACATCGCTGATAACGACTGCGTACCTAAGCTCCGCTGAGGGCGCCTGACTCAATCTGACTGATTGCCGGAAGGTAGACAATTGTTACCTTTACACCAGCTGACTCAGAACACGGCGCATGGCACATGTATCCGCCCGGTCTTGCAGCCGGCAACCCTAGTATTGCCACAGTCTTACAAGTATATGGACGGAGAGGTGGTTGAAACCGAAGTGTATTCAAGTAGCTTCTCATCAGGTCACGTCTTGTTTAACCTCTCCTTCCTACACTCACTACCAATGGCAGACATGGCGATGGCAGCGTCGCACAGTGAGCCCTTCCAATGGAACCAGAATGTTAGGTCCGTGAATGATGAGCAGACCGAGTATCGTTACTCAAGTCCCGGAGGAGCTACGCAGCAAACCCATCACCCTCTCCCAACCGTCGCCCAAATTGAAGGCACTGGTCGTCCTCTACCGAAGACATGCATCGGTATGCCTGGCCACCAAATATCATTGGCCTAAGCAGAGACGGAATATAGCTGATGCAGGAACCGATCAGTAACTTGTGTCGACCATCGCATCTTCCCAACAACTCTTCTCCGATCACAGCTCAGCGAGGCGTCCTTATTGCGCACCATTGTCGGACATCTACCGCCCGTCTTTCATTGGTTTTGATATCACACCCCAAGGCTTCGAGGCCTTGATCTTGGTTTCCCACACGCGTACATACAGTAATCGTGCAACTCATGGGAGCAGAACGCTGGCGTTGCGAGCGCAGAGCGTGGCACCCACTGCTCAACGGATCCTAGATCTGCCCGAAGCTGGAAGCGCTGTCTCCGGCCCATGAGCACAAAGTGCAGATTATGGTTTTTGGGACGATCAGCACAGGGTCGGTGGACCAGATAGATCTGTGGGACGCTTGCTGGGCAGCACCGACTTGCTAGCTGCATTGGCACCAATGGCATTCAGCAAGCCCTTCAAGTGATATCGAATGGTCCTGGGCGCAGCCTTAGAGCGGCAGGGTATGGCGCAAACAATGCGGGGATGCGAGTTCGATATCTATACGGGCAAGCTCCGGCAGGTCGTTCAGAAAGTGTCCGGTCGTGAACGTTTTAGCACCTGAAAGGGCCGTCGACCAGGAAGGGACAGCGATCTGAACTGACATAAATGTACTAAGCATACAGCTTGCTCTCCCGACCGCCAATGGACAAAGCCTCGGGGCCTTGCATAGCCTTTTTGATTCTACGATTTACATCCTGCTCCGGAATGAATGCGCCTCCGATCATAACGCTAAACGCCCGTACAATGAGGTGAGTTTCACTCGCCGTGCCCGTGATCATGCTCCGACTGCTGCTGCGGCGGCGGCGGCGGACAGCACGACCCATTAGTCCCGCAACCCTCACCACACTCCAACAGGCAAGCATCGGCCCCTCGCACGCTGCCAGCGTGGCTATGACTTTGCGACTTCGGCGCCGATCCGTGTCCACCATCGCCATCATGCGAGTGCGCATGCTCCTCCTGGTGGTCATGATCCGGATCCAGGCAGAACTCCGGCTGAATTGTAGACGAATGGATGCCGTACTCGTGCAAACACTCCCGGATGTTCTGGGCGAGGTGCATGTACCGCGCGGAGCCTTCGTCTTTGAAGTCGAACTCGACTTGCACGTGCAAGCTGGCCACGAGCTTCGTGTCGCTCAACTGCCATACGTGCAGATGATGGCAGCTCAGGATGCCGGGTAGGTCCTGTATGTCGGCTGTAATGTCGTCGATGTTGATACCGATTGGCACGGCTTGGAGCAGGATGCGAGATGCGGCCTTGCAGAGCGGGATCGCCGATGCGAGGATAATGACTGTGATTACGAGCGAAATGGCCGGGTCGAAGTAGAAGCGGCCCGGGAAGGAGGTAAGCCAGATGATCAGGGCGGTGGCAATGACGCCGATGTTGCCGAGGGCGTCGCCCATGACGTGCAGGAGGATGCCTCTCATGTTCAGGTCGCCGTGTGAGTGGCCATGGCCTTTGCTTGCGTCCTTCGGCTGGCGGTGGATGTGTTGTTTGTGATCGATGGACTTGCGCTTGGATAACGTTCCGTAACCGTTCGAGTGATTGCCAATCAGAGCGCTTTCCTCATGTGCGTGGTCTGCGTGGTCGTGCGAGTCGTCGTGATCGTCGCCAACAGCATTCTCGTTTTCTTGCTCGGTGTCGTCCTCTGACTCGTAAGGTCCTAGACGGCTGGCATCTATAATTGATTTGCGAAACGCGCTTGGGTTGACCTGAATGTCGTCGAAGCTTGAGTATGCGCGAGATCGTGACCGGCTATGAGCGTGCTTGGCGAACTTTGGCTGCCGCGGAGACTCAGCGTTCACCGCGGTAGCCTCGCTGCCTTCCGTGTCCGTTCTCTGCGTCTTCGGCCAGCCTGCAACCTGGTGTTCCGGAAGCACGTCCGCTACATTGCCGCCTTCCTCTGCAAAATGCGCATGGGCGTGCCCTTCCTCTGCATGGCGCACCCCGTCCCCGTGCTCATGCTCGTGACTGTGCTCCTCGCCTTCACCATGGCTATGACCACCAGGTCCATGACTGTGGTCGTGGAAGAGGAATATGCCCGCAATGTTCGAGGCAAGGCCGAAGCAACCCACGATGAGAATTAGCTTGGGCTGGGAAACTTCAGGCTTGTCGACAAAGCGCTGGATTGCCTCGAGGAAGATGGTCACGCATAGTGCGACCAAGAAGACACCGTTCACCAACGCACCAAGCGTCTCTGCCCGCTGCCATCCGTAGGTGTACATTTTGCTGTTCGACTTGCGGTTTGCGACCTGCACCGCCCACAGGCCGACAAGAAGCGAAAGGACGTCGTTGAGCATGTGGAAGGCATCGGCCACCAGGGCGAGAGAGTGAACGACATAGCCGATAATGAGCTCGGTGAAGAAGAAGACAATGTCGATGGCCAGGAGGATGGCAATGCGCTGCGTCTTGGTCAGACCCATGTTGCCGGCGAGGCTTGCCACTGATTGGTATCCGAAGAGTATCTGCGGCCTGGAAAGCAAGAAGAAAGAAGGTGGTATTATTCGCGACGATGATCTGTCATTACGGTAGCAAACCTCGCCACATCCGGTCTCGCTGTTCTACAAAGTGTCGTGCAGAAGTCGGCGGAACACTGAACTCAAAACGGTATTACACCATCGGTAGCCGAGGTGAGGATCCGTGTCAATTGTCGTTGTCATATTGCCTTATCAACATCTACGCAATCGAGAACATTCAGCGTACCTCTCAGGCCTGGGAAGTGGTGGCAGGGCAAGGCCACTGCATACTCCTACCACCATCATGCGGCGAAAGACTCTGAGAGCTTCGCGCTCCTATTGCCATGCGACTTAAGTCAGCGAATGCGCCATCCGGCGACCCGATACCAGAGCCTGAGCCCGTCCATCTCCATGGCGGCGATCGACAGTCTGTTGATGGCGAATTCGAAGCGACAGAGCTGCAAGACGTAACCCACGATCATGCCGCGGAAACGTCCAAAGTGTCAACCAAAGGCAGTCCGACGCTCGCACCACGCCACTGGAGTGACCCTTATGCCAAGTTTTGGCGACATACCATCGAGCTCAGTGTGCCCCATAAGGATGCTAGAGATCACTTGGGTAGGTCCATGGTTCGAGCAGTTGTACCTGCTTTCCATTTGACTGGAGCAACATGCTCCCGCGTGTGACCCTTCGTACACCCGCTGCCACACGTCTACCAAGCGAGCACAGACTGACGCCTTCCCCATCGCTAGCAAACGAGCGCACATATCTAGGCTACATGCGCACCTCCGTCGCGCTGTCCATGCTCAGCATAACCATCGCACAGCTCTACCGCTTGCAACCTTCCGTCCCCGCAACTCCCGCCTTCGGCTTCTTTGCCTTAAGCAAGCCGCTCGCAGCCATTTTCCAGGCCGCGGCGATTACGGTGAGCTTACTCGGCGCGTCACGCTTTTACCGCCAGCAGCATGCGATGGCTGTTGGCAAGGTGCGGGTTCGGGGGTGGGAGGTTTGGGTCATTTGTGTTGGTGTACCTGCGGTAAGATGACCGATTATCTTGCCCGTATTGCGGTTGTGGTGCACCGTGTCGTGCTTGTTGCTGATTCGCTTTGCCTCCTGATAGCTACTGCTTCTCCTGTTCATTGTGCATCTGGGTGCCGATTAATCTGGCGGCGTCAATGGGGAGTGTCGGGCCAGCGCGCCCAGCGAGTAGAGCTTCCTGAACATCTCTACAAGGCACGAAGAGCAACACGAGTGATGTTCATAAGGTTAGATAAACGGAACATAGAGTGCTAGAATCATTCACAGGCGTAAACATTAGGCTTACCTCAACGCTAAACTAAGCATTCCGCGATCGAACAGGTAAGGTGTTCCGTCGCTCCCACGTCCTCACCCTTAACTTAACACCCACTGCGCGCTACGCATGCCCGTTCGCCACACCATTCGTCCACGACCCCGACTCGAGCAGCTCCACCACAATCGCACTCGCGCCGCCACCACCGTTGCAGATGCCAGCACATCCGATCTTACCCTTCTTCTCCCGGAGCACACCCAGCAACGTCGTCACAATGCGCGCTCCCGAAGCACCAAGCGGATGACCTAGCGCCACAGCGCCACCATGCAGGTTAACTTTGTCCTCCGAGATGCCCAGCAGCTTCATATTAGCCAACGCGACTACCGAAAAGGCTTCGTTGATCTCAAAGGCGTCGACGTCTTCCTGCTTGACGCCCGCATGCTTCAGCGCTTTCGGTATGGCGAGCGCAGGCGCGGTGGTGAATTTGGACGGATTCTTCGCCGCGTCGCCCCAGCCGAGTATCTTCGCCAAGGGCTGTAGATTATGCTTCTTGACATACTCCTCACTTGCCAGCACAAACGCCGCCGCGCCGTCGGATAGCGGTGAAGCATTGGCCGCCGTCACCGTGCCGTCGCTCTTGAACGAAGGCCGGAGAGTCTTCGTCTTCGACTCGTTGAAATTCTTCGGCTCGTCATCCTTGTCGATTACAGTGTCCGGCTTACCCTTCGCGCCAGGTATCGTGACAGGCGCAATCTCCTCTCTGAACCACCCGCTCTCTTGCGCCCATTGCGCCTTCTTGTAGCTCCGGATGCAGTACGCATCTGACTCTTCCCGGTTGAAGCCGTGGTCGTCGGCACACTCCTCGCCTTGCAGACCCATATGCTCGTTCTTGTATACATCGGTCAAGCCGTCTTTCAGCACGCCGTCCACCATCGACTGGTTGCCGAACTTCACACCATTCCGCATACCCGTCACATAGTGTGGCGCGTTACTCATGCTCTCCGTGCCGCCTGCGACCACTACCTCCGCATTACCGCATAGGATCGTTTGCGCGGCTATCGCCATTGCCTTGACGCTGGATGCGCAAACTTTGTTGATTGTAGTCGCGACGGTGGACTCGGGCAGGCCGGCGTAGATTGTGCATTGTCGTGCTGGATTCTGGCCGAGGTTCGCTTGGAGAACGTTACCGAAGAAGACTTCTTCGACCTCGGAGGGTTCGATGTTGGCGCGTTGCACGGCGGAGCGAATGGCGTGGCTGCCGAGTTGGATGGCGGAGAGGGAGGACAGGGAGCCTAGGAATTGCCCTACAGGGGTGCGGACGGCGGAGAGGATGTAGACTGGTTGAGGAGGAGGCGCCATGGTGTATGTAGTGTTGAGAGGGAGCAAAAAGAGTTTCGACGTGGCAGGGAGTGAGTGTTAGCCTCGAGAGTGATTCAGTCGTACGACAACGACTTGTCGGTTCATGTTACTCGTAAGACAATTAATGTCCGCATGCCCAAGCTCCTCCCCCACCGCATCCGTTGGCCGCTAGGACTTGCCCTGCATCATGCACCACTGAGTCAGCGGACGAGCAGCCTTTGTGGCGCAAAACATCGCACTGACTCGGGTCGATATGCGATCACTCTGCGCAAGACTGTCGCGTGCCATAACTTAGCCGCATACTGCACACTCACTTGGGTAAATCTGGAGTACAATTATAGCTGCGCGGTATGGACGACCTGTACGACGAGTTCGGCAACTACATTAGCGAAGAAGTCGACGAAGATGAAGAAGAACAACCCGCCGACAATGCCTACGCGCAGTATCTGGATGATGATGCGGAACCTGCTGCTGCCCCGACCGGACAGGAGCTTATGGAGGTCGATGATGGGCCTTCTAATGCGGTAGTATTACACGAAGACAAGCAATATTACCCTTCCGCCTCTCAACTCTATGGTCCAGGTGTCGAGACGCTTGTCCAAGAAGAAGACACGCAGACTCTACAACAGCCTATCGTGGAGCCTGTCATCCATAAGAAATTTACCGTCGAGGAAGACGATCTCCCGCCCGTCTACTTCGATCGCGGCTTTCTTACCGACCTTATGAGCTTTCCGGAACAAATTCGGAATATTGCCTTTTGTGGTCATCTGCATCACGGCAAGACCAGCTTGATGGACATGCTTGTTGCGCAAACGCATGATGTCTCGAAACTGCGCCTCGGTCTCAAAGGCGAGGAGCGCGACCAACCGATGCGATATACGGACACGCATGTGCTAGAGCGCGAGCGAGGATTAAGCGTCAAAGCGAGTCCCATGAGTCTTGTGTTGCAAGGCACGAGTGGCAAAAGTCACCTCCTCAACATGCTTGACACACCGGGCCATGTCAACTTCGCAGACGAGTTAGCTGCCTCCATGCGGCTGGTTGATGGCGTGGTGTTGGTGGTTGACGTGGTGGAGGGCGTGCAGACGCAGACAGAGCTTGCGATTAAGCACGCTGTACTCTCAAACTTGCCGGTAGTCCTTCTGGTCAACAAGATGGACCGTCTAATTCTGGAGCTCAAACTGCCACCCACCGACGCTTACTTTAAGGTGAAGCATGTTGTGGAAGAAGTCAACACCTACATCGAGTCCGTTATACCTGGTCGAGGCGAACGCTTCCGTGTCAGCCCTGAGAAGGGCAACGTCGCTTTCGCCTGTGGCAGTATGGGCTGGTGCCTCACCTTACCTAGCTTCGCGAAGATGTACGCGGACACGTATCCCATTTCGCAGTTCGACCCCTCCGAGTTCGCACGACGGTTATGGGGCGACATTTTCTTCAACCCTGGTTCACGCAAGTTTACACGGAAAGCAGTGGAGGAGAGAGCGAAGCGCAGCTTCGTGCATTTCGTGCTAGAACCGATTTATAAGTTGTACAGCCATACCATTTCCGAGTCACCGCAGGATTTGAGGAAAACGCTCGAGGAATTGGGCATCTTCCTCAAGCCCTCGCAGCTGCGGGCCAACGCCAAAGATCTGCTGAAGCTGGTCTGCGAACAATTCTTTGGCCCTGCGACGGGGCTAGTAGATATGATTGTTCAGCATGTCCCTTCGCCCCAGAAGGGCGCAAAGAGAATGCTGGATCAATTCTACACTGGACCACAAGACACGAAGACGGCGACGAGCATGCTGGAGTGCGATGCAGAGGGGCCGCTGGTAGTGCACATCACGAAGCTGTTCAACACGTCTGACGCCAAAGGCTTCTACTCTTTTGGCCGAGTCATGAGCGGGACTGTGCAAGCTGGCCAACAGGTGAGAGTGCTAGGCGAGAACTACAGTATTGACGACGAAGAGGACATGGTTAATACCACGATCGAGGCGGTGTGGATCGCAGAAAGCCGGTACAACGTGCCTGTTTCCGGCGTGCCAGCCGGCAACTTCGTGCTGATGAGTGGCGTTGACAACAGCATTGTCAAGACTGCCACGCTTGTAGCGCCGAAGCTGCCGAATGAGGAGGATGCATACATTTTCAAGCCCGTTGCTCACTTCTTCGAAAGCGTTTTTAAAGTGGCTGTGGAGCCGATCAACCCGTCGGAGCTGCCGAAAATGCTAGACGGATTGCGCAAGATCAATAAGTCTTATCCGCTCATCACTACGAAAGTCGAGGAGAGTGGAGAGCACGTTGTGCTAGGTACAGGCGAGCTGTACATGGACTGCGTGCTCCACGATCTCCGCCGGCTGTACGCACAGATGGAGATCAAAGTCTCCGATCCCGTAACGAGGTTCTGCGAGACGTGCGTCGACCAGTCCGCCATTCAGTGCTATGCTATCACGCCCAACAAGAAGAATAAGCTCACCTTCGTCGCGGAGCCGTTGGACGACGGCATCGCAGAAGACATCGAGCGCGGTAAAGTCAGCATCAAAGACCCTGTGCGTACCGTCGGCAAGTTCTTCGAGGAGAATTACGGGTGGGACCTACTCGCCAGCCGCAACATCTGGGCGTTTGGGCCGGAAGAAATGGGTCCCAATATCCTGCAAAACGACACGCTGCCGAGCGAGGTCGATCAGAAGATCCTCCGCTCGGTACGAGACGGCATCAAGCAAGGATTCAGCTGGGGTACGAGGGAGGGGCCGCTCTGCGAAGAACCGATCCGTAACACCAAGTTCCGCCTCACGAACGTCGATCTCGCTTCCGAGGCCATCTTCCGTGGTGGTGGACAGATTATTCCCACGGCGCGGCGAGCATGCTACTCTTCCTTTCTTATGGCCAGTCCGCGGCTCATGGAGCCTGTCTATGCCGCCACTATGCTCGGACCGCTGAACACAGTCAAAGCGTTCTACACCGTTCTCGCTCGCCGGCGGGGCCACGTTCTCACAGACGCTGCTGTGCCCGGAACTCCACTCTACTCAGTCCGTGGACTGATACCTGTGATCGACTCGTTTGGGTTCGAGACCGATCTTCGGATACACACCCAAGGGCAGGCAACGGTGAGTTTAGTGTTTGAGAAGTGGGAGGTTGTGCCGGGAGATCCGTTGGATCGGAGTGTGAAGCTCAGGCCGTTAGAACCCGCGCCTGTGCAAGGGACGGCGAGGGACTTCGTGTTGAAGACGAGAAGGAGGAAGGGGTTGAGTGAAGATGTTGGCGTAGGAAGGTTTCTGGAGCCGGAGTTGGTGAGGAGTCTGAGGGAGAGTGGTGTGCTGGATGTAGGAAGCTGAGCCTTATAAGCACGATCTTGAGACACATTGCTGGCTTGATACTCTACCCATAGCTCTAGATAAGCAGCGTTATCGCATCACGTGCGACCCTGCTCTGCCCCATTCAACAAGGTTGCGGATACTTCCGCCACGTGAAGATGCTAAAGCGCGACGCGTTCTCCAGATCTTGTTCCACCAACAAGCCGCTGCGGATATAACAGATACCTGGAGCAACAAAACGGTGACCAACACCGACCGACTCATCATCGTGAGCGTCATATCTCAAAACTCAACCTTTCCATACCGACCACACAAGCATCCTTCCACCAGTAGGAGATTCAGATGGGACCCAAGTGAAAGCATTCGCTAATACTGTGATAGTGCTCGAGGCCCGCCTAGAGCAGGCACAGCTGCTCAAGAAAGTGGTCGACGCAATCAAGGATCTGGTCCAAGACTGCAACTTTGACTGCAATGACTCCGGCATCGCCCTGCAAGCCATGGACAACTCCCACGTCGCCCTCGTGTCGATGATGCTAAAGTCCGAATCCTTCTCGCCCTTCCGCTGCGATCGTAACATCGCTCTCGGTATCAACTTGACCTCCTTACAAAAGGTGCTACGATGCGCGCAAAACGAGGATATTCTGACGCTCAAGGCGGAAGATGCGCCGGATGTGGTCAACATGCAGTTCGAGAGCGCTGATAACGATCGGTTGAGCGAGTATGACATCAAGCTTATGGATATTGATCAAGAGCATCTGGGCATTCCGGATACGGAGTATGCTGCTGAGATCTCTATGCCGAGTTCGGAGTTTCAGAGGATTTGTCGAGATTTGACTGCGTTGTCTGAGTCTGGTACGACAGCCAGCTCGTAGGGAGCGATGATCAACTTCTAATGGGTTCGCAGTTTCGATCGAGTGCACAAAGGAGGGTGTCAAGTTTGCCTGCAGCGGCGACATCGGTTCGGGCTCAGTCACACTACGCTCGCATACCGACGTGGACAAGCCTGAGAAGAACATCGACATCCGCCTGACCGAACCCGTGGCGCTCACCTTTTCGCTCAAGTACCTCGTCAACTTCTGCAAAGCTAGTGGGCTGAGCGACTCCGTTAAGCTGTGCTTAAGCAGTGAAGTCCCGCTGTTGGTGGAGTATGCGCTCAGCAACAACAGCTACCTCAGGTTCTATCTGGCGCCAAAGGTACGTATCTTATCAACCGTGTGCGAGTCGGCAGATACTGATCGTACGATAGATTGGAGACGAGGAATGAGCCCAGCATTGAGAGAATCGAGCTATGGTCAATGCCTCCGATTCAGACGAGCTGGGCGGTTGTTCTCTCGCGAACAAACATGCCATGGCCATTTGCATATCACGGATTGATGTACATGAGGGGTATTGGTAGGCATGCATTTGCAAACGGAGTCCTTATCGCAAAGAATCTCTGTGTCGCTGGCATTGAGTAGGCGCAACTTTTGCGTCATCGGCGAAGCGGCGGCTGTTTGTTTATCGCACGAAATTCTGACAACAATTTCCTCAATCAACGTGCAATTTCTTCACACTTTCTCTGCCATTGCGCGATTACCAGCAGCATGGACGACGAGCCAGAGGTGCCGGAGACTCACGTCCTGGCGATCGCCAGTCATGTGGGTTCTCCCCCTCACACTATGGGCGGCTAAATGAACGAACACTGACTGTTCCGTCAAGGTCACCTCTGGGTACGTTTAGAGTAGACATCATGCAATCAACCGTAGCTGAGATACTCGCAGATATGTCGGCAACACGATGGCGACGTTCTGCATGCAGACATTGGGTTGCGAGGTGTCTGCGATAAATACCGTGAACTACAGTAAGAGCGAGGACACCTACTCCGGATACTTACAGGTCATGGTAACCGGTTGCGACAGGCAATCATGTCGGCTACAAACGATTCAAAGGTCGCAAGACACCACCCGAAGAAGTCGCGGAACTCTGGCAAGGTCTCAAGGAGGCGAAGCTGGACACTTTCGAAATGCTGCTTTCCGGCTATAGCCCGTCTGCCGGCCTCGTCGAGCAGATAGGCCGCATTGCCCGGGAGCTCAAAGATCGCTCACATACCAAGCCAGGATCCTTCTTCTGGGCTATGGATCCGGTGATGGGCGACAACGGGCGTATCTACGTGGCGGAGGATGAGTTGCCGGTATACAAGAGCTTGCTCAAGGATGCCGATCTCATCTTGCCCAACCAGTACGAGGCGGAGTGGCTGAGCGATGTCAAGATCCACGACTTGCCGTCGCTGGAGGAGGCTATCACGAAGCTGCATGAGACGTATCGAGTGCCCCACGTGCTCATCACGAGCATACGACTACCACCGTCGACCTCGAGCACGCCTACGACGACTGATGAGGACCTCGCCTCGCAGGCAATGATGACGGTTATCGGCTCTTCTGCAACCAGCGAGCGGAAGCCGCGCATGTTTCGAATCAGTATACCGGCGCTACCTATAATGTTCTCCGGAACAGGAGATATGTTCGCCGCACTTATAGTGTCACGGTTCCGACAAGCCGCCCAACAAGCTGGTGTGCTCAACAAGGCAAGCTGGCGAACTCCGGACGACGTCGCTGGCCCGGACCTACCTCTTGCCAAAGCGGCGGAGAAGGTGCTGGCGAGCATGCAAGCGGTGCTGAAGGATACGGCAGCGCATTATGAAGCTGCGTCAGAGAGGCTGAAGCATACCGAAGAACATGCTTTGAATGAAGGGAAGGATGAAGAGGGAAGTGAGGAGAGGGAGACGCTGAGGCACTTAAGGCTCACTCGAGCGGCTGAAGTAAGGGTGGTTCGCAATGTGGAGGCGCTGGTGAGGCCGCCCGATCTGGAAGGCTTCAGAGCTCAACCGGTGACGGTACACGCTGCGGAGGGCGAGGAGTAATGTTCGAGCGGGCTGCCAAGAATTGTCCAGATGCATGAAGTGCGTGCCGATGAACTTAGTGGACCAGGCTCTTCTACCATTTCGAATATGACCATAACCGGCATTGTCTTACTTTGACCGGTACGTAGCAATCATCATTCACTTTCCCACCCAGTCACAAACCTTGCTGATAGATCGCCTTCTGAAACACCAGGCCTCAGGCAGAGGCGGGTCGCATGGAGGCCACCATAAGCTCAAGAAGGCTGCAACCCTCGAACGTTACAAGCACTGGTATCACTTGCTTTGCGTTTGATGCTTAGTATCAGGTGGAATTTTGGGAGTCCGGTGACTCAAGTGTAGTTAAGGTGAGGCGAACCAAAAACAAGGCGACAGACAGCTTGCAGGGCGGGGCCATTACCTTCGACCTCACTTCTTGCTGCAAGGCTGCACGGTTCGACTGATCCACACTGCCTGCTTTGATATTCTTCCACAGTTCTATAACAGCTGCAACCACAATGCGACATGGCACTTAGCGATCCTCCTTCGAAGGACCAAATCACTGACCGACCGCTCCGCCGCCGTGACCATCAATCCATCCGCGATGCACAGACCAATAGTAATACCAAGCATGACATCTCGAAGGACGACGGCATCTTTCGCTTCTTCGACCTACCCCGGGAGATGCGTGATCAAATCTACGACGAAAGTCTCACATTCAAGCAAAAGTACCAGTCCCAGCACGGCATTCGTCTACGTGGCAGACGGGTCGTAAACCCAGCCCTGCTGCTCGTAAGCAAGCAATTCCACCAGGAGTACGTCGAGCGCGCGGATCGAAAGACAACGCTCGTCATCGTAGACCGCAACGTCTATCACGGCGAACTTCTGGAGGTATCGAAGCTTCCGAAGCAGCTGACGTGCGCCACCAAGCTCGAGATTCATCTTGCTCTCGCTTGTAACGGCGAGGCAGATCATATCACAAATGGCTGCCGCGTGCTAAAGGAGCTCCGGATGCATCGCAAGTGGATTGTCGACCTCGTGCGGAAAATGCGCCGCATCGGTGCGATCGAGATTAAGGTCGTTCTGGATCCGCGCGATCAGGGTTCGGTATGCGAGCGCAAATTCATTGAGCTGCAGTACCTCTTCACCAATGTTGAGGAGCTGCAGCGTCTGGAGGTGTTCCATGCCGATTATGGGATGACGGGCGCGGACTGGAATTTCCAGAAGTCACGAGAGCTGGTGATGGAGTGGACGCAAGGGGCTTGTGAAGTGCGGAGGGTTGAGATGCCGTCAGTGAAAGGAGAGGCATCAAGTATGGGGTCTGTAAGCGGTAAGGAAGATTGATGGCGCCGGCCATATGCTCATGCTTGCCGCAGAGACTGGCTTTAGGAGTTTCGGGGCTGGCGAAGGGGTCTGGCGCTGAGGCAAGTGTTCATTGCGCCAATGCGCTGCGATATACCTTCATCTATGCTCTGTACTGCAGCCTAATGTTTGACCACCTAATTTGACATTGTTCACACTACCCGTGCCCCACAGGCAGTCACTTATCCACATTTATCTCACTTCGTCACACGGACAGCGGATGGCCGAGGCAGGTACGTGCACATGGAGGTGTGTTCCTTCCTAGTTTGCAAAGCACGGTAGGTCCCGAGACACTAACTGAGCTAGCGCTTTCAGAGTCCTAATTGTGAGCGGTCACGCAGGCAGCATCTTATTAGCACCGAAGCATGCAAACACCGACTATGAGAACACCCTCCGATATGGCGCTTACAAGTAAGAAGCGTGCGAGTATGTTCGACTTTTTCGGCCTGTCTCGCGAGCTGCGTGATATCGTATATGCCGAGCATTTAACGACAACACGCAGGTAACCAGTCCGCCTTGCCGAAGTTGATGGCGCCACAGCTCATATCAAGAATGCGGCTGTCAACCCCTACTTGCTTGTATGCCATCAGTTCAGCGCCGAGTACGAGGACTGCGAGCGGTGTGTGAGGACATTGGTCATCAGCGATCAATTATACTTGGACCCGAGCCATCAGCGGACCGCATTTACCACGCAATCTCGCGGCTGCAGGTAGCTCGGGGCAGATCTGTATCTGCCTACTACAAACCCGATGCAATTCAAACTGAGCCCCTCCGCCGACAAGCTCTTCCATCGGATCAGTAGTGAGCTCATATTCCACACCGAGCAGCTAGTTATTCTGCTAAACAAACGCGAGGGAGTCGCGGCAATGGAGCTCACAGTCAACCTCCACGTTGATGGCGACTTTGGTGAGGTGATGCAAAACAGTCGCTTCGTTACAGGGGTCGCACAAATGGCCAGTCTCGCTGGCCCGTCACGAATCCGTATCTACCAGATCGACTTCTACATTCAAGGTCCTCGCGTGTGGGACTACGGCGCACGTGAAGCACCGGTCGCTGAGTACACCGTAGAAACGCTTCTCTCCAGGCGTACCGTATAGGACGGGGCTGTGGCCGGCCGCATGCTTTTCCAGGTCTCGATACGGATGTCATTAGCGGAAGTTCGTGATGCGTGGCGGCGGTCAGAGCACGATGAGCTGTTGCATCGGCTTGGAGATGGCATGGAACGTGCGGTGGATTCGTTGCGCTTGTGATATGGGTGCTCACGCCGCAGGGTCAGGGGAGCCAGAATATCTAGGAGCAACATCTCAAATCTCATCCTGTCAATGCAGGCGCCCACTATGCTGCAATGTCAGCATTAACAGAGGTGTGTCTTGTGCAGTAGCGTATGTGCGGCCAATGCAGCCTGGGACAGCGGCATAACAACCTAGATACGTCCTCATCAACGAGCGACCAATGTGGCTCAATTTCGACCCCGTCGTTCTGGAACATACATTGGTTAATGAACCAGCGTTTCTATAGTAGCTCTGAAGTTGAGCTTCAGCCTGGAGAAAGGAGCCTGACAACCCACCTCGTTTACGCTCAGAACTTCCAAACGCCACCCTTGATATCGCCCTCCTTCCCTTCCTCAAGGCCGTTGTAACGCAGACAGCCCTTTACGCGTCGCACAATAACATCCATCAAGAATGGCCCAGAGAGCGTCGATGCCGCCGTCTTGAGCGCATCAGGGAACAGCCACGGTAACTTCTCAGCACCTTCCACCTTACGCATGTCCTCAAGCTCCGCTTCCGAGAAGCCGGCACCGACCATGACTGCTCGAGGAATGCGACGCTTCTCAGCGTCCGATTCGTAGCCGACGTCTGATTCGGGTGTGAACGGCTTGCCGCTCATCAAAAGTGGAAGTTCCTTGTGCACGGCGCCGGTGCTTTGGAAATGGTGGACAACTGTTGGTTTGCTATGAGTTTCCGTGAGAGTGGATACGGTGGATTTGTGATACCTTTGTATTCGGGCATCATGGAGTCCGAGAAAGATGTCGCCATTGAGGAGCTTTTGCCACAGAGGGCAATAGGAATTGGAGCCATTCTTGATCGAGCGGCAATAGAGAAAGTACGGAGGGTAGCAAGCATGAAATAAGTCGAGTGAGAATGAAAGCTTTTGTACAGACCAACGTTGGGAATGTATATAGTAGTGTTCGATGCAGCATCGATGATGACGAGTTAGCCGGACCGGTTAGTGAGAGCATAGGCGCCGGACAGTTTCATGCACCGAAAGGCAACGCGCAGCGGTCATTGAGTTCCGCAGGTTGTTCTTTTTGGAGGAAACACCATCGTAGCCACACAGTGATTATCGCCACAGAGTGCCCAAGTAAGCAGGATGTGTATGGATAACTGATTGATAGCTACATCGAACAGTTGACGAGGTGGGCCGAAAGCCGATCGGCACTTTCCGACCGATGTGGGCTCGGCGCTGGCGCCGAGCAGCCTCGCAGCAGCGAATACTGCTCCACCAAGAACATCATCTCACAAACCATAACCAAACAATATAGTCAACCAGGAACAGATTGATCATAACCGGAGATATGTTGCAAACACCTCCGCCACTCGCTGTGTCGCTATCAGCCCAACTCCCGGACCGTCAGCCTACACCTTTTCCCGGTCGCAAAATGCTCAGCTGCAACAGACGACCAGTTGCACTGTACTCGGAACCAGTACGTCGTAGGAGCCAGTGATATATCGTGAAGGTGATATATCGGAGGATGTGACGAAGGTCTGATGATCTAAGGCTAAGACTTGCCATGGTTTGACACCACAACATCACTCGTCCTGCCCGGGAGTTTATACAGTTCATCCGGCACCATTAAAAGAGCAGCATCCATAACGAAACTGGCGGCACGATTCAAAAAGCTCGAGGATCAGCTGCCGTGAGCTCGAAGCATCCGGGCGCTACCAACACAACAAGGCTTTCTAAAGTTCGGGGTACTGGTTCAAGGCTCGCTCCTTGTTGATGTCGTGGGTGCGCCAGCCGAAGCGACATTGAGTTGATAGGAGCATTGTGATTGACGGCGAGAGTGTGTGGAAACAAGAGGTATTGTATTATCTCAGTATTTCCTCAGCATAAAAGAGCCGGCTTGGCCACGGATGGAATGTGTATCTGCTCTTGTCTATTTCATAACTCTTTGCTATTTATATCCGAGTTTCTACTATGGAACCTAGAGCTTCATGCGAACAGGCTTCCGTGCGCAGTCTGAGCAAGCAGACCACAGGCTTACGCGTAAAGCCTGCGTCGGCAAGTCAAGGTACGTCGTTCCTGCACTCTATGCGAGTGTTGAGGACTAATAGCTATCGCAGATATAGCCAAGTTTCTGGTCCTGGTATCTGTTAAAGCTCTGTCGAGCGTGTGCCACGAGGAGCATGCCCGGAGCGCGGACCTTCTACGATGCCGTGGCCGGAGAATCTCTAGCGAACACTTCGCTCTGGGTGCCTGTTCCGCTCGTGTTAAGCCGCGACATGGCTGCAGGCCTGCACGATCGATACCAGCGCAAGCGCAAGGCAACGTATCCGAAAGAACCACTATAAGAAACCAAATCGACCGCAGCATCTGGCCAGAGTCATCGGCAGCCACCACAAATGCAACGAGCGGCCGGTGGCACCGGCACGATGCTCGGTTGCGTTTACCCGTGCAGCGCGGGGAGAGCACCAAGCTCTGGTTGCGTCACCACCACAACCCGCGGTTAGCATCGAACGAGCAAACGTGGCCGATTGAAAGCGCAGACAAGCCGGCATTGGGCTGCTCAGTCTTCACACAGGGTGCGCGTTCGAAGTTCAAGCGTGTGCATACCTACTTCACGTCGCGGATCGCAGTAAGGACAGGGAATCGGAGCCGTTGAGAAGCTGACCGACTTCGGATCCACCCTCCGCGATCTGATTGGCTCACCGGCTGGCTACGCTGAAGGGCAGTACATACGCTCCAAAGGACGAAGCAACGGCAAGAAGAAGTGCATGGGTGAGTGAGTCAGTGTTCGGAAGCTGCTCCTCATACGATTCACGGGATGTCGGTGGTGGTGGTGGTAGTGTCGAGAGGGTGAAGGAGCGCTTGGCAAGGCGAATCAGCAACAACACGGTTTCGGTCCGTGCATGTCCTGGCCGCTGTTTCGCTTTCTACAAGATTTGCGCCTTTTACATTGACCTCATCAACACTTCCCTCCACTCACACGCACTTCATCGCGTACACCCGCTCACGCTTCTCTCGCCATCAACCTTTCCTCATTCCACTATCAAGCGGAGGGCAGTACCCGACCGTCCACGTACCATCACGCCTCACGTCACCATAGGCCCACCACGCTGACCGCGTTACCTCCTTACCGTAGCAACATCATGGCCGACGAGGCTCCCGCCACTGCGCCAGTAGACGCGCCAGTAAGTGAAAGCTCGTCGTTACATGTTGTCACGTCATCGTCGCTAAGCCCTGCCCAGCCTGCCGCTGCCACCAATGAGCCCACCCAGCCCGAGCCAGTCAACGGCGAGTCTACGGTCACGAAGGAGGACGAGGAGACTGCTGGCAAGCAAGCCACCACCGAAGTGAACGCGCCCGACGGCGACACGACTGAGGTGCTCGACGGGCCGTCGGCCGTCGCAAGCGCGACCGACGCGACGCCCGCGTCTGGCAAGAAAGAGAAGCGCAAGTCGAGTGCTGGCGTTCCGGAGCACAAAGTGAAAAAGCTCAACAAGAAGAAGTCGATGCCGTCGCTGCAACTTGAGTGCAAGCCGGGCCAGCTGTACTGGGCTAGGCTCAAGGGCTACCCGCCGTGGCCCGCGATCATCTGCGACGAGCAGATGCTGCCCGAGTCGCTGCTCGCTTCTCGTCCAGTCTCTACCACGCGTCCCGATGGCTCGCTACGTGATGATTTCAAAGAGGGCGGCAAGAACGCGAAGGAGCGGACCTTCCCTATAATGTTTTTGTCTACGAACGAATTGTAAGTCGCAACGCGCTTCGTGTCATCGATATTACCGTTGCTGATATGAACGTGTACAGTTCATGGATGGTCAACACCGCCCTTACGCCTCTCGAGCCGGAAGAGTGCAAGGACAAGCCGAAGTCGAAGATGACGAAGGCGTTGCAGAATGCTTACGAACTCGCTGCGGAGGATCACCCTTTGGAGTACTACAAGGAGATGCTCGTCGAATGGCAGAAAGAGATGCAGAAGATCCGCAAGGAGCAGGCGGAGTGGGACGCCGAGCAAGCGCGTCTGGCGGAGGAGCGGGCGCAGAAGGAGGCGGAGGAGGCCGCTGCTGCTGAGGCGGACGAGCCGAAAGAGAAGAAGAAGAAGGCTCCGCGCAAAAGTAAGGGTGGAGACGATGATGCCGTAATGGAGGACGCTGAGGCACCAAAGTCGTCGAAGAAGCGGAAGAAGGAGGGCGAGAGCGATGCGGAGGGTGCTAAGGTACGCTCTTCACGCTTCCATCGGGTCACTTACGGCTCGCGCTAACTCTGTATACAGCCCAAGAAGACGCCCAAGGTCACCAAGCTGAACGCACCAAAGACGCCCAACGGCGACGCATCTGCGAAGAAAGCCTCCAAGCCGAAGAAAAAGGTGGCCGCTCCTAAAGCCGACGAGGTGGAGGAAGAGGAGAAGCCAGAGCTTACCGAAGCTGAGAAGTCGGCTCAACGCGAGAAGGCGGTCCTCTACCTCCGTCACCGCTTGCAGAAAGGCTTCCTCTCTCGCGACCAGGCACCACAGGAGACAGAGATGGCATCCATGGCCGAGTTCTTTGTCCAGCTTGAAAACTACGACAACCTCGAGCCGGCTATCATCCGCACGACGAAGATTCACAAGGTACTCAAGGCTATTGTGAAGCTCGCGATCATCCCGAAAGACGAGGAATATCAGTTCAAGAAGCGCAGCGCGGCGATGCTGGAGGTGTGGAATAAGCGGATGGAGGCTGACGGTGGCGATAAGGAAGGGCCGAGCTCGGCGGTAGAGCCGAAGAGTGCTGCTGCTGATGAGGAGGCGCCTTCTGCCCCGGGCGCGGGCCCGACTACGAATGGCGAGGCGAAAGAGGACGCCGAGAAAGAGGTTGAGGAGGAAGGGGAGGAGAAGGTCGCAGATGAGGCGGAGAAGGAGATTGATGAAAAGGCGGATGTAAAGGGTGATGATAAGGATTCGACGATGCAGGACGTTACGGAGCCTCCGGAGGCGCCGGTCAAGAAGGGTGAGTTGGGAAATGATGCGAAGGACGAGGCGGAGGTTGGGGACGTGAAGGCGGAAGTGGAGGCTGAGGAGGCGGCTGCCGAGGCCGCATAGAGAAGAAGCGAGGGCGCGAACGCACCTTATAAGCTAGGCCGTCATGGCGGTTGAAGGCGGATGTATGCTTGGTTGCGGCATCAGGAGGGCTTCCCGTGGAGGCCACGGAGGAGACAACTACGATGGTCGGTTACTGTGGCCGCACTGCTACATGTGCCCAGCGGCGATGTTGACAGGTCTAATTGGCGTCTTGGTGTTGAGCGGTCGCAGTCATAAGTGACTACTATGATAGTTATTGCTCGATTATGTATACTAGGAGTGTTCGGCGTAGAGACTGCATCAGCCGCGTGTGCGCACACAAACCTCCGTTCAAAAGCTAACCGCGTTCCATCACAGCAGTCAGGACATCTTCAAGCAGTCACTGCGAACCACGACCGCTTCAGAGTCGAAAGCCATTTCTAGCAATACGAAGCTATAGCGGATAAGCGTGGCGATTGACACTGACGCTATCGCGCCATGGCTTCCGTCAGACTGTCGAACATTGCAGGAACACGGTCAATACTCTCCAAAGCTCGCTCGGCATCTTCACATGCCGCCTCGCCGACCTCAGTCCTCCCTCTCACAAACGTAGTGGTCGCGCTACTCGCGTCCCCTGCCGCCTCCGCCCACGCCTTACCACTCCCAGCGCCTGGCTGAACGAGATGGCTCTCTTCTGCCAACCGAGCCATCAATCGCTGCGTCTCCCCTTCCGAAGAGGCGATCTGCCGGCGGAGCTGGGCGGTTTGCTGTAACAGAGACTGCTCCTCATGCTTTGCTGAAGTCAGGCCGGCGATGTAGGGTAGTACTGTTTCTGCGGCTTTCTCGTGCTCCGGTTTTCTGCTGGGACTTCTTGGAACGGTCGGGCTGTTGCTTTCTGCGGTTGTGTCTTGGCCGCGCACAGTGGGTGTAGAGGAGACGGTCTGTAACAACTGTCGCCTCGCGACGATATACTCTTCGTACGAGCGTCCAATGTCCTCGAGGCTTGCCCATTCAGACGACGCTACAAGACCGTTCCCACGGAGTGGAGGTGATGTGGTGTGTGTTTCACTTTCCGCGTTCCCCATGATTGCGAGCTGCTGCTCCATCCAGCCTGTCAGCTCGTTGAGGGCAGCCTGCAGTCCCGTAACTTCAGCATTGCTTTGACCACTTCCATTCTCGGTGGAATGCGGACGGTTGTCTTGACGTTGGTTCTGCGCGTCGACGTCGCTCTTTGCTGCGAGCACGGCCTTCTTCAGCTGCAGGATTCGGGCCTCCACAGCAGGTCCTTCGCCAGATAGCAGGGGTTGATGTGACGGTGGCGTAGGTAGCTCACCAGAGTTGCTCCTGATAATGTCGTTAGGGTGGTTGCCAATGAGCTCCTTTCCATTAGCATCAATTTGAGCAACGGCATGATCGACGACCTGAAGTTTACGGTGCTTCTCCCTCTGTCGCAGCAGTTGAACGACAGCCTCGCCAGAGATGGGCTTTTCATTTGAGCTAGCAGCAGACCCAGAAGCAGCACTGGAGGAGAGCTGGGCGACCTCTGCTTTCAAAGCGTCATACCGTTCCTGAGCTGCGGAATGTGCTCGCAACGCTCTCAGATAGGCTCTCCTTACGCCGGTGATGGACGGTGGCACTTGAGCGGAAGCTTTGATCCCAGTTTTGACAAGGTCTACAGCAGTAAATGAGCCACGCTGACCGAGAACTTGCTCCTCTAGGTGTCGCTGTAGTCTGTGCCGGGTACGAGTGACTTCCTCACGGGGCCTGATGTAAGGTCCCAGCGCCTCCGCGACATAAGGCAGGGGGAAGGCGTCCGTGTCCTGCATTGAGTTATGTGTTACGCTAAGTGCACATCAACGCCGGAGTGTAAGGCCGTGCTTGTCGGTTTACTGGGTTATGTCGCTCGGTATGGCCAACAGTAGTGAGGTCAGAAAGTTGGCGCGAGTCGTGGCAGGTCGCGAGTCACGAATGCACCGAGTCAGCCTGATCATGATGAGGGCAAACTTCCATCGGAGAGTGATCGTGTGCTGCATACATTAACGTCGCCACTTACATCCTCTCTGACTCCCAGGACGTAAGGTCGCTCGCGCGTGTGCGAGTAATTCTCGCGATCATGGCGCACAATCAGAAAGGCGGCGACAACAACCTGTCGCAGTATAAGTATGCGGCAATGTCCAACCTGGTCCTCCAGGCCGACAAACGATTCGTGTCGCGCCGAGGAGATGATGCGACTGGCGATCCGGAGTCTCTCGCTGGTCGCATCAGCTTAACCGAGATGGGATCAAGGACCGCGCGAGAGGCAGCACCCGTTCAACAGCCCGCGCGAGAGCAAGCGCGCAAACGAAAGCGAACAGAACCGGTGCAAAGCTCGAGGGCAGCAGGAATCCTTAGTCAGGCAGACCTCAACATCGAGGGTCTACGGTACCGACCCAGGACTGCGGCGACCAAGGATGTGTACGATCTCATTGCGACAAATGTGGCGCAGAAGATGGGCGGAGACTACGGGCTGGCGGTCACAGCCTCTGCAACAGATTCAATATTGGAATATCTAAAGGATGACTCGATGAAGGACTTCGATAAAAAGAAGGAGATCGACGACATCTTGGGCATCATACTATCGAGCAAAGAATTCAATCAGCTTGTAAACCTGGGAAAGAAGATCACGGATTACGATGCGCAGGACGAAGACGAGGAGATGGGTGACGAAGCCGGGGAAGGCGCTGACATCGACGAGCGACAAGGTGTAGCGGTCGACTTTGGCGACGAAGATGAGGATGAGGAAGGCGGAGGACAGACTTTCGAAGTTCGAGAGGATGACGAAGAGTCTGAAGACGATCTTGCTATGGGGACGGAAGAGGTCGCAGATGATGGCGCTGGTCCACCACTGGATGGCGCCGCTGCTGAAGATCAGGACGAAGAGATGGATGATGACGGGATGGTTATAGAGAACCGAAGACGGCAAGCTCGGCGAGACGATCAAGATCCGGACGCCGTGCCGGCTTACGAGATCGACGCATACTGGCTGCAGAGACAGATTGGCCAAATCTATGAAGATGCACATATCCAGTCCGAAAAGACCAGACTTGCCGCGGACATTCTTGCTGGTGTTGATGACGCAACTGGCGAAGAGAAGCCACTGCGTGAAGTGGAGAATGACCTTATGGAGCTATTCGATTACGAGCACCATGAACTAGTCGGCAAGCTTGTCAAGAATCGCGACAAGATTGTATGGGTGACTAGGTGGAGAAAGGCTGCAGAGGATGAGAGTGCGCGCTTGACCGTGGAGAAGGACATGGTCAATGCTGGCCATGCTAGGATCTTAAAGGAGCTACGAGGTCGCGACGAGGCACAGGCAGGTCCAGGCGCACCAAAGCTGAAGGTCAAGCTCGACCCAATGGATCTGGACGCGAAGGTGCCGGTCAAGGGAGAGGAAGACGGCGTTAAGGAGGGTTTGGTCGGCGGACTACAACCTCGGCGAACCCTCAACCTTGATGACCTGAAGTTCGAACAGGGTAATCACCTCATGACGAACCAGAATGTTAAGCTGCCACAAGGATCGACTAAGCGGACGTTCAAAGGTTACGAAGAGATCCACGTCCCAGCTCCAAAGCGCAAGCAAGATGCAAACGAGCCGCCTCTCATGCCAACTTCACAACTGCCGCCATGGGCAAAGCAAGGGTTTGGCTCATCGACCACGCTCAACCGCATCCAAACGCGTTGCTACCCTTGCGCTTTCCAAGACGACGGCAATATGCTCGTTTGTGCGCCTACGGGGTCTGGCAAGACTAACGTAGCGATGCTTGCTATGTTGCGTGAGATCGGCAAGCATCGAAATCCGCAGACTGGCGACATTAATCTGGACGAGTTCAAGATCATCTACATTGCGCCCTTGAAGGCTCTTGTGCAAGAGCAAGTCGGCAATTTCGGCACACGTCTGCAGCCTTACGGCATTCAAGTCGCAGAACTCACGGGTGACAGACAGCTCACCAAACAGCAAATTGCGGAAACCAACGTGATAGTGACTACGCCGGAGAAGTGGGATGTTATTACTCGCAAGGCAACTGATACCAGCTACACCAACCTCGTCCGCCTGATATGTATCGACGAGATCCATCTGTTGCATGACGACCGTGGGCCGGTGCTGGAAAGTATCGTCAGCCGAACCATCAGGCGCCAAGAGCAGACCGGCAATGCTGTTCGCATTGTTGGCTTGTCCGCCACATTGCCGAACTATCGCGATGTCGCAACGTTCCTTCGTGTCGATCAGCAGAAAGGCCTCTTTCACTTCGATGGCTCCTACAGACCTTGCCCACTGAAGCAAGAGTTCATCGGCGTTACCGACAAGAAGGCCATCAAGCAGCTGAAGACGATGAATGAAGTCTGCTATAATAAGGTGCTCGAGCAGGTAGGGCAGAACAAGCAGCAGATGCTGATCTTTGTCCACTCACGCAAAGAAACGGCCAAGACCGCCAAATTCATACGGGACAAGGCGCTCGAAATGGATACCATTGGGCAGATCCTGCGAGTTGACGCTGCTAGCCGTGAGATTCTGCGGGAGGAGTCCGAGCAGGTGACAAATGCGGATCTCAAGGACGTCTTGCCCTATGGCTTCGGAATCCACCATGCTGGCATGTCTCGCGCAGACAGAACGACCGTGGAAGATCTGTTCCAGGACGGCTCGATTCAGGTGCTTGTGTGCACGGCCACGCTGGCGTGGGGTGTCAATCTGCCTGCGCACACCGTCATCATCAAAGGCACGCAGATCTACTCTCCCGAGAAAGGCAGCTGGGTCGAGCTTTCACCGCAAGATGTCTTGCAGATGCTTGGACGAGCCGGCAGACCGCAATATGATACCTATGGTGAAGGTATCATCATCACGAACCAGGCCGAGATGCAGTACTACCTGTCGCTTATGAACCAGCAATTACCGATCGAGAGTCAACTGGTAAGCAAGCTGGCCGATAACCTCAATGCCGAGATAGTGTTGGGCAATGTGCGGACGCGAGACGAGGGTGTAGATTGGCTTGGTTACACGTACCTCTTCGTACGCATGCTGCGCTCTCCGGCTCTGTACCAGGTCGGCGCAGACTACGAAGAGGACGAGACGCTTGAGCAGAAGCGCGTCGATCTCATTCACTCCGCTGCGCTAGTACTGGAGAAGGCACAGCTGGTCAAGTACGACAAGAAGACCGGACGCATGCAATCTACGGACCTTGGCCGGATCGCGAGCCACTACTACATCACGCACAATAGCATGCTGACGTACAATCTGCACATTCAGCCCTCTGTCACACCCATTGAACTCTTCCGGGTCTTCGCGCTGAGCGAGGAATTTAAGTACATACCCATCCGGCAGGACGAGAAGCTGGAGCTTGCGAAACTACTTCAGAGGGTGCCGATACCCGTCAAGGAGACGATTGACGAACCGCATTGCAAGATCAACGTCTTGTTGCAGGCATACGTCAGCAGGTTAAAGCTCGAGGGCTTGGCGCTGATGGCAGACTTGGTCTACGTCACGCAGTCTGCCGGCCGTATCCTGCGCGCCATGTTCGAGATTGCGCTCAAGAAGGGCTGGTCTGGCGTGGCGAAAGACGCGCTCGATCTATGTAAAATGGCGGAGAAGAGGATGTGGCCTACCATGACGCCTCTGCGGCAATTTCCGGAGTGCAGCAGCGATATCATTAAGAAGGCGGAGCGGATTGACGTACCATGGCAGAGCTACTTTGACTTGGACCCGCCTCGGATGGGTGAGCTGCTGGGCATTCCAAAGCAAGGAAGGCAAGTATGCGCGATGGTTGCAAAGTTCCCACGCTTAGAAATTCAGGCGCAGGTGCAACCAGTGACGAGGAGTATGCTACGAGTCGAGCTGACGCTCACGCCGCGGTTCGAGTGGGATGATAACCTGCATGGTCGGGCGGAGGGTTGGTGGATCCTGGTCGAAGACTGCGACGGTGAGGAGATACTGTTCCACGATCAGTTCCTGCTACGCAAGGAGTACGCTACAGCCGAGATGAATGAGCATTTGGTCGAATTCACCGTTCCGATCACGGAGCCAATGCCGCCGAACTACTTCATCACTGTCGTCAGTGATCGGTGGATGCACGCTGAGAGCAAACTGGCTTTATCATTTCAGAAGCTAGTGTTGCCGGAGAAGTTTCCGCCGCATACTCAGCTATTGGAGCTACAGCCTTTACCGGTCGATGCGCTGAAGCGGCAGGACTATGTGGATCTGTACCCGGACCGGCGGGAGTTCAACCGCATACAGACGCAGACATTCAACGCGCTATTTCAATCCGACGATAACGTGTTCGTTGGCGCTCCTGTGGGTAGCGGCAACACGGTTTGCGCGGAATTTGCGCTGTTGAGGCACTGGACCAAGGCAGTAGGCGGCAAGGCGGTCTATATCGCTCCGTTCCAGGAGCAGGTCGATAGCAGACTGAAAGCGTGGCACGACAGACTCCGTAATCTGGCTGGCGGGAAACAGATCGTCAAGCTCACGGGAGAAACGACGGCGGACTTGAAGCTGCTTGAGCAAGGTGATTTGATACTTGCCACGCCGGTGCAATGGGACATGATGTCTCGACAATGGCAGCGGAGGAAGAACGTACAGAACGTCAAGCTTATCATTGCGGACGACCTGCATATGCTGGGTGGCCAAGGCGGATACATCTTCGAAGCCGTCGTCTCACGCTCGCAGGCCATTGCCGCACAGCTGGAGAACGGTCTACGGATAATTGGACTCAGCGTCTCGCTTTCGAATGCACGAGATATCGGCGAGTGGATTGGTGCGAGCAAGCACACGATCTACAACTTCAGCCCGCATGTCCGGCCGATACCGCTAAATCTCCACTTACAGACTTTCAATATCCCGCACTATCCGTCACTTATGCTAGCTATGACGAAGCCGGCATATCAAGCTATCTTGCAGTATGCGCCTGACAAACCCGCAATGGTCTTTCTGCCGAGCAGAAAGCAGGTTCGCTCTACAGCCCAGGATCTTCTCGCTGCGTGCGTCGCGGACGACGACGAGGATCGCTTCCTACAAGCGGACTCTGAGCAGCTTGAACCAGTACTGGGTAAGGTAAAGGAACGCTCGCTGGCGGAGTCTCTCGGCCACGGCATTGCGTACTACCACGAAGCATTGAGTGAGTCTGACAAGCGGATCGTCGAGTCGCTGTTCAGGCAGGGGGCGGTACAAGTAATGCTCGTCTCCCGAGACTGCTGCTACGAAGTGCAGAATGTAGCTCACCTAGTCATCGTCATGGGCACGCAGTTCTTCGAAGGCCGTGAGCATCGCTACATCGACTACCCAATCAGTGAAGTCCTGCAGATGTTCGGGCACGCTGGCAGGCCAGGGCAGGACAAGGACTGCCGTGGTGTATTGATGTGCCCGGATGTCAAGAGGAACTACTACCGCAAGTTCTTGAGCGAAGCTTTGCCGATCGAAAGCCAACTGCAAAGCTATATGCATGATGCCTTCGTCACCGAGATCAGCACGAAGACAATTGAGAGCACGCAGGATGCGGTCGACTGGACAACATACACGTACTTCTATCGCAGGCTGCTGGCGAACCCAAGCTACTACGGCCTGACAGATACGACCCACGAAGGTCTGAGTGCTTACTTGTCCGAGCAGGTGGAGACTACGCTAAAGGACCTTAGCGACGCGAAGCTCATCGAGCTGGATGAGGAAGACGATAGTGTCACTCCGCTCAACGCCGCGATGATTGCAGCGTATTACAACATCTCCTTCATCACGATGCAAACACTGCTGCTGTCGCTCAAGCGCACAACTAAGCTTAAGGGTATCCTGGAGATTGTCACCGCGGCTACAGAGTTTGAGGACATTCAAATCCGACGCCACGAAGAAGGCGTGCTTCAGCGCATCTACGACCGCGTACCGGTCAAGCTATCTGACGTCAACTTCGAGTCGCCGCATTTCAAAGCCTTCGTACTGCTGCAAGCACACTTCTCGCGCATGCAATTGCCTACAGACTTGGCTAAAGATCAAGAGGTCATCCTGCGCAAAGTGCTCAACTTGCTGAGCGCTTGTGTGGACGTACTATCCTCAGAAGGCCATCTCAACGCCATGAGCGCGATGGAGATCAGTCAGATGGTCGTACAAGCTATGTGGGATCGGGACTCGCCACTCAAACAGATTCCTCATTTCGAGGATGAAGTGGTGGAAGTATGTAACAAGGCGGGCATCAAAGATGTGTTCGAGTTCATGGAGGCCATGGATTCGTCGGAGAATCAGAACTACGAAAAGCTGGTCAAGAGTATGGGCCTCACCAACAAGCAACTCGCGGATGCGGCCACATTCACGAACGAGCGGTATCCGAACGTCGACTTGGCGTTTGAGCTCGAAGACGCGGAGAATGTGGTTGCCGGGTCGCCTTCGTATCTTACTGTCACCGTTGAGCGGCAATTGGAGGAGGACGAGGAGCCAAATCTTACGGCGCATGCGCCTTTTTATCCGGCAGAGAAGACGGAGAATTGGTGGTTGGTTGTTGGCGAAGAGAGCAGCAAGACGCTGTTGGCTATCAAGCGGGTGACAGTTGTACGGGCGTTGAAGACGAAATTGGAGCTTGTGGTCCCAAATCCTGGGAAGCATGAACTGACGCTGTACTTGATGAGTGATAGCTATGTTGGTGTGGATCAGGCGCCGACCTTTGAGGTCGATGCGGCTGAGGGCATGGATGAAGATGAAGAGGAAGAGGAGGAAGCAGAGGAGTGAATGCCGGGTCTGAACGAGGCTTGTACGCCCACGTACCACACGTAGATACGCGCACTCCAAAAGACATGACAACCATGCATCGATATATCCGTTCCCGTAATGACACCTTCTTCCACCTTTCTCACCTCAGTGTCTTGCTGAGAAGCCACGTTGTGCCCCTCAAACGTTGCCTGTGACGCAGCGCAAACAAAGAAGCTCCAGACTTTGTCAATAACCCGCAGCTTCATTTCTATACATGAGCAATGTCAACCACAGAGCTAATTCAGCAACTATCACAACTTACTGAGGCTCTGAAAGAGGTGAACGCACTTATTACCCGCCTGTCGAACCTCGAGTTCCAGCCGGGCAGCGAGCCTCTCGAATCCGAGGACAGCGTGCGGGTTGAGCTTGCGCAGGACATCCACGACAGCCTCAAGCAGATCGACGACGACCTCGAGCTGTTAAAGCAGGACGCTAAAGACCTTACTGCCACCTCCGACTCACACCGACGAAGTGATAGCGAGAAGGAGCGGGAGAAGGCTCGCCTAAGTGCACAGGTTGCCCGCTTGGCACAGGACGCTAAGCAAGCCAGGTCTACCTTCAGACGGGCACAACTCATCGCGAAGAGGGCAAGCGAGGCGGCGAAGCAGAAGGAGAGAGAGCTCGTCTTTGCGAGTCTGCAGTCGGCGCCTGACAGTGATTCTGCGAAGGGTGACAGCGGGCGTGAGACGCCAGATCTGTTTGCGGGCAGGAAGCGAGCGCAGCAGAAGCAATTGAACAAGGACGAGCAGCTCATCAGCGCCTCGAGCGACGTTACTGCTGCATTGAGACGGACGCATAACTTGCTGTCGACTGAGCTTTCGCGGTCACGATTCGCACAGGAGACGTTCGATCAGTCCAGCGCTGCACTTGCGGAGCTTGGCGAGCATTACAGTAATCTTGACACGATCTTATCGACCAGCCGTAATCTATTGGGCACCTTACTGCGGAGCCAGAAGAGTGATACGTGGTACCTCGAGACCGCTTTCTACATCCTCATCACAACTCTTGTCTGGCTGATCTTCAGACGTCTACTGTTCGGCCCATTCATAAGACTGCCGCTCTTCCTGTGGAGATCAAGTTCATTCTTACTGCGCTGGATGGTACTGAAACCTCTGTGGCTGTTTTTGACTTTCACTGGTATAATCACCACCGAGCCTATCTCAGCTGCGGCGCGCAGTGCGGCGATCAGTCAAAGTACAACGTCACGACCGCCGCTCATCGTGCAGAACAGTGCTACAGGTGGTATCCCGACTTTCGCCATGTCTGACCGCGAGAGGATGCAGCAGGGAGGTGGCGTGCCTGCTGGAGCAGGTGGCGCAGGAGCAAAGGTTGGCCAGGATTCGGCACTGCAGGGTCACGTGAGCGAGCAGATCGCTCAGATGCATCAGCAGTCTCAGGATGAAACGCAGCAGCAGGCTTCAGATGGAAAGGACTTGCCAAAGAGAGGAGATGGCACCGTACTACAAGAACGCGGCGACATCCCACGCAACCCGAAAAAGAAGATGTTCGAAGCCGATGTGGAAGACGCCAAGCAAGCGCAGCGAGAGCGAGACGAACTGTAATTCATACTCTCCGCTATAGCACATCAAGCATTGAAGTAACCGCACTTTCACTGCGGTGGCAGTGTACCAGCGCCAAAGACCAAAGGCACACCCTGCGTAATCTGCCAGTTCTGGCACCCGTCCGTCCCAAACTGCGCGCTACCCATCCCATAGTCGTCACCATTCGCGCAAAGCCACGCGAACTGAGCATTGCAGTACTCCACCGGCACCCACACGCTGTCGCTCGGACACGTGGAGCTCTCGGTAATGAGGACGTGGAAGCCGCCGGTGAAGACGCCGCCGTTGGCGTACGGCGTGCCGACGGTGAGGTTGTTGGCGAGCTGGCCTTGGGCGTTCTGGAGGTTGCAGAAGGTGTTGATTGCTGCGTTGACGGCGGAGTTCTTTTGGCCGCACGTTACGGCGTTTTGGTAGTCTTGGCTTACCATTGTGTCAGGGGTGACGCCTCGGATGGTGTTGCTGGCAGTGGGGTGGGCGGAGACGGTGCTGGCTGCCAGAGCCAGCGTGGTGAGGAGGGTTGTTAGCTGCATGGTTGCTATACAGAGCTGATGGTGAGTGAGTGGTGACGAATGAATGTTAGGTGTTGACTCGAGAGCGTGGGTGTGGACGAGGTGCTTCGCCTCATGTACTTGGAGGACAAGGCAAGTCCACATAACAATGAAGGCTTTGTCGTAGTCACGAGAATGGGTCGCAGAACAAAGGCGCGTAGGCATACAGGCATATGATAGCACGTGATTACATATGCTACACCATCGATTGACAGAAGACTGCTGCTGTGCACTTCCTGTGGTGCATGACTTGGGAAGGGGCTCAGCAAGACTTCGTTGTGTCTATGCAAGATTATTCATACAAGTGCGCAATCTCCTATAAAGATGTTATACGCGCCGAGCCAGTCTTCGCCCGTGGCCGTAGGTTGATGACCGACTCAAGCTCTCGCAGCATATTAGTATTCGAGTCGCGCTTCGCCCGTACGGTAGCCTGACGTTCTCGCTCCTCTTGCATCTTCGCGATGCGCTCTTCACGTGACAGAGTGCTTCGCTGTCGCGGCATGGCGACAGCCTCAAACACTTGCTCCTCGTCTGAAGGCGTTGTCGCCATGCTTGAGCGGTCGCAGAAGGTTTCACCGTTTAGCGCTTTCAGCGCTTCCGCTGGTGTACTGCCCTCTTCGACGGCTGTCAATCCGCCGAGACTGCCGCCAAAACTCGATACGGGTGAGCGGATGCCGGATGCAGCGCTGGAGGATGCCATCGAGATGCGGTGCTCTTGCTTCGTGAGGTTTGTCTGCAAGGAGGCTTTGCCGGCTTCCCAGGCCTGCATCAGCTCCTTTAGGTCGGTGCCTATCGATTCGTACTGAGCCATTAATGATGGCCCCAGATCCGTGAGGTCTTCTTGCTGCTCGATAGATCTATTGGTTTCCTCGCGCAGTATGTGCATTTTGGCCTGAAGCGCTCTGATTCCGGACGACAGCATGCTGATCTTTCGCACTTGTCCGCGCATCCTCTGGCGAGCTTGACCGTGGCCGCCTGACTTGGGCGGAGTCAGCGGCGTCGCTGGAATGGTCAGGCTCTCCATTTCGGTCATAATCAGGCGCAACTTCTCTGCTGGGCCGCCGAGATTGGCTGAGAGTGCTCTCATTGTCTCGGTTGCCACTCGCCATCGCGCGAAATCAGGCTTGCCACCGTCGGCCTCCAGCGCCATCAGCGCACATAGTACTATGCGTCGCAGGATGCCAGCTCGGTAGCTCATGACGCGCAGTGACTTCAGCGACTCGGCATCGTCTTCGAGCGGTAGGAGTGGGTCGTCTCCGCTGGCTTGCTTCGCATCCTGCGGATTCACATCATACACTTCAAGGAACTTCTCGAAGTCGTCTTCGTCGCTGAGCCTTCGCAATGTCGTACATGCCTTGACGCAGGTCGGTATCGCTGTGGTGTATGCGTTATGCAAGGCTTTGCGTAGTCTACCGCACCGCCTGGACGTGCCGTTCTCCTCGATTCGGGAAGCAGGAGGCAGTGGTGTGCCAAGCTTGTAGCCTTTGGAGACCAGTTCAACCTCTTGGATCAAGGATAGCGCAGAGCTTGTCGATGCCTCAAACCCTTGCCAGCTGGCAGTCAGCTCCGAGACTGCAGTTACCGCCTGCAATCTGATTGATTTCAGCCACTGACGGCGCACATATGCGTAGCCGAGAAGCGCTGCGAGTGCGAAGGTTATCAATGCCAAGGCAATCCTACCCTTGCTCACGGACCCACTGCGTTCGCTTGTTGCCCAACTCAGAACGCACACCAACGCGAAGGCGAGCACGGCAGTCAGAGCGGCACCATATAAGCTTGTGGTCAGACTGGTGACCCTCAATTGATCCTCCGCGCCATCGAGCTGCAACGGATTACTGCCTAGTCCAGGATGCAATGCTCCATGGTCTAGGTACTCGTTCAGTAGTTGAGAAGCAACAATAGTATAGCGGAAGTGTTCCAAGAAACGTGCATTGTCTGCGCTGCCCAAGCGCGAGTTGATCGCGACAGACCAGGCGTTGTGGAGGCGCTCTATGGTGCTCGTTTGCTTCTTCTCTGCAGCGTCGGGCACGCTGGTCTTGCGCAATGGTCTTCGGACCGCATCCGCCCCATATCTGCTGGAGGGTGCAAACTGGTTCGATGTAATCGCAAACGGATGATCTTCTCTGTGAGTCTGCTCTTCCTCTGGCTCGAAGGATCCCTGACCTTTCGCGGAAGTCAGCCCTGGTACTGCAGCAGTCGGCAAACCGCGACCCGTACCCTCCAAGTATGCTGCTAGAGGCGTGCCATCAGCATGGACAGTCTCCATTCCATCGTCGGGTCTAGCGCAGCTTCATTGCTGACTTCTTTCTTGGTACGAGCATGCGTTTTTACTTAGTGATGCCAATAATGTGTTGTATATGGAGGCCAATGTCATATGCTGTAAGAGCATCTACAGGGTGCATCACCGGTCCTGCGGCCAGACCATGCTGGCCAACGCTCGCGGCGTCTGCAACGTTTCCTTGTTTAAGCCGCCGAAATTACCAACGAGTAGAACAGGGGTCGCGGATGCGGAGAGATAACGTCGACGGTTCCCTCGGACCGGTGCCGGCGTGCGGTGCAAGCGTTCTGTCTAGGTTTCGCACTCTTTCTCTTCATCTTCAAAGCAATTTCCAGGTTTAAACAGTAGCTCGATATGTGCTGCAATGCTCACCCGTAAAACATCATATCGCCCGGGCGCCGCGGCTTGCCTGCGGCAAACACTTCGCTCAGGTTGGAAAGTCGTGCCGTTCTGGCAGACGCAGCATTGCCGCCAACTCATAGCGAACGGATACCGGCAAGGCACCCAAAGATACTTCGCGGTTGCATTGTAGGGCTGACGACTCAGATTGCTTATCAGAAAGCGTAGAGAAGAATCTATGAGCGATTTTGGGAAGTCCTATCTTTGTGTATGCGGCACTGTATCTGGCTATGTCGGCTGCTGAGCGAAGTGATCGGCACCCAGATCCGCACCATCCCGTTATGGAGCTTCGAAGGATCTCACGCTCCGAGTTCCCGGCACGCTCACTACGCGCTCGTGAATCCGCTTCCACCCCGGCCCTTCCAGCATCGTGAGATCTGTATTCTTCATGAGCCCTCCGCTGCGCCTTCTCGCGCCTTCCCGGACACTGGTCGCTTCGCGAGTACCTACAGAACTATCCTCTGATTGACGTTGCATTCCTAGGCCCCTAGCTGCTTGCTAACCCGCTTCTCTGATGATGGACCGGATCCTCTCGCGCACTGCGTGATCCTGGAACGTACACGAAGACCCGAACACGGTCGCGTGACACTACGCTGGAGCTTCTGCCAGTCACTAGCGCTATACAAGACTGGGCTGAGCACTGCATGGTCTGCCAAATCGACAATTGATCTCGGACGTCTATGGGTCACTCGGATGACTTGCAGAGATGCGGCCTGATCTTCGGCGCACCCGCGTCTCATACATTAGTCGAGGCATATGAGGCGCATGTTGCGGTGGGTGCTCTCGTTACAGGTTTCCTATTCCGGCCGTTCCTACTTTCCATGCCCTTTCTCTGCACCTAGTCTACCCTCTCCTCTTGACCCCATTGCTTGTTGAATTGCACTGACAGTCGACGATCGGCAAACAACATTGAGGCATATACATCGCATATGCATGCAACCACAGAGGCCTGGGACTCGAGCGACTTCCAAACGGAGCTGCAGCATCAATGGCGGCCGGGCCAACTGCGGCGTCAACTGCGCTGTCGAATGGATAACCATCGAACGTACAAAAGGTGCACGCACACTCCGATGAATGTGGGCATGCGACGCCAACTTCTTCGCGCTACACTCTCGGTTGCCAGGGTCACTCGAGTCATGAACGGAGAACATCGCATCAGGGTTTGTATGACCAGCGTCAGTTCGATCTACATGATGCTCCGCGACTCACCTCACGAATGGCGCCGTTATCTGGATCTGGCGCGCTCTGTCATTGCACATTTGGATAACACAACCTTTATGGTGCAACCTCACCGCAGCGCAGAGCAGACTTGGCTGGTTCGCGGTTTGCAGCGGCTAGCACTGGCCGATGTCGACAGTGGAGAGGTCATGGACATCTCAAATTGGTGCACTCGACAGTGGATGCTCCTTATCCAGAGACAGCCGCACAACACTGAAGCATTGAACGGCATAGGAAGATCTTGGCTTGCACGAGCTCAACCTGCACTCAAACGCATACATCGTGCCGAGGGCACCTCGTCTTCCAATAGTGCCAGCTCCCAGTTGTCTATACCCTCCATCACGGCAGGCGAGGATGAGCGGCTGTCTGCGGCCGCACTCGCCCAAGCGGAGTTGAGATCAGGGACAGCAGATTACGTCCAGGCGAGACATTTTCTCCAACCAGCGACTGAGTACTTCGAACGAGCGATCGCTGCTGCTACGGCACAGCGCGCATTATCTGGAGGTCTCCTGGCAAAAGCCGCTGAGGCTTACATGTCGCTCGGTAATGCGTCAAGTCCGAGGGTCAACGAGCAGTATTTCAGACGAGCCTTGATTCTGCTCCGTGCTGCAGCCGCCATTCCGGGCTACGCGCTTGGACGTTACCTTCAACAGTACGTATATGATACAACATTTACGGAGAGTCCTGCTAATGTTTACAGGTACCTAGATGACTACGGACGGCTTCTCGATTAGTAGGGACGGGATTGTTCAGACGGCAGGTTGTTGCGGAAGCTGACGGTGGGCGCTCTGGTCGACTGGTCATGGAGGGCTATTTGGGATGTATGCGCGGCTGGTTGGTTACGATGTTACGAGCTTTCTCTGGTCCTTTCGCATCCTTAATGCGTATGAATTCTCCGTACATAGTTTTTCGAACAATCAGGGGCATTCATCTTACTGTCCTTCGCTCGTCATAGGCAATACTTAGTTCGCATGACCCTCCCGTTCATAACCTTACCATAGCCTGCCGATCAAGGCTAGCATTCAGCAGAGCCTTCCAATGATCACAACTGATCTCCTAGTAGCCATGTACCGAGGAATGGCATGCTCTGTGGAAGAACATCTTCAGCGTGGCTTAGCGAAGAAGCCCTCAGCTGCTAGGGTGAAGTCGGACTGACGTTCGGATTTTCGGATCACGGTTAGTCAGCATGGACTTCTCTCCCATTGGCCGTCAGCACCTTGGCCTCCCGAGATCTCAACTTGGATCATCTCAATCTGAACAACCGTCAACACTTTCCCCGTCATTATACCACTGTCCTCAACTCCCCTCACCAAACCAAATACTTGCACTAGTCACTGCTGCAAAGATTTATTCTTGGATTCGATCGGCAATACCATCTACATCCGGTCTGGCACTACCTGCCACACATCCATCGGCGTCACAAGCAGAAAGCCTTTTGTCTAGATCCAGTGAGCTGAGCGAATGATAGACACCTGGTACGGATTCTAGGATTCGTCGAAACGACTATGTCCGACGAGAGGGAGCTCGTCATTCAGCCGATTGTCACGGAAAGTGTCCAGCACAATGCTCGGGTCAGCACCACCTGTACCCTTCAATGTCATCCGTACTGACATGCACCTCGCCACAGATCGTCTCGAACATCCGCGCCCTGACAGCGTCACTCTTCGGCGTCGCCGCGGGAACGCTGGGATTAGAGAGCTATCCCGGGTTCTTGTTCTACTTCATCGGAACGGCGCTGGTGTCCGTGCTTGTCTACTTTTTCAAAGCCGAGAGCAAGCCTCAAGCCTACTTCTACCGCCCAATTGGTGACCTTTGGGGCGGCGACATGTTCGGTGGGCTGATGTCGTTTGTGCTCACCTGGACCCTCTTCTACGGGCTGTGCAAAGCTTGAGTCATGCGCTGGCATTTTACTATTTACTCGCCTTACGGGATGAACAGCGCCAGCGGCTTCGTTGTGTCCCTCGGTAGTGGCAAGCCTTGTGTGGGCGCGTCACGAGTACTACGCGACTGCAATGCACATTTACACCTTGGCCGAGTGTGGCCGCAGTGCGCATATCGAGCATTTCACGGCTGGTACGGCACATATGGACACTACCATATGGCTTCTCATAAGAAAGCGATCAGATGCAGCCACTGGCGACAGTCAAACCATACAGGTCAGACTGCCCACCAGGCTCCCGTGACAGGCGCCTGTGCGACTGAACCGCAGCCTTCGAGGCCTTTGGTGCGACATCAGTCTAGAACTGAGCCTGCTTACTCACAATCCGCTGACCGGCACCCTCCATACCCGCCTTGAACATCTCCTTCAAATCAGCGCCAGCGTTACCGCTTGCCTCCAGCTTGGTGTGCTCCTTATCCTGGTTGAGACTATCCAAGAACATCTCCCGCACCATCTGCTCGCCCTGCTTTTCCGCCTGCTTCCCCTCTTCTGCACCTTCGCCCGCCACACGTTCATCCAGCGCCAGCTTCGACTCGCCTAGAGCATGGATCTGCTCTTCGATCGTGCCGCGAGTCACAAGCCGCACAACCTCTACGTCTCTTGTTTGCCCGACGCGATGAGCGCGGTTCTCCGCCTGGATATCGTCCTGAGGGTTGAAGCCGGAGTCGAAGATGATGACCTTATTCGCGGCAGCTAGGTTGATGCCGGCGCCCCCGGCTTTCGTAGAGAGCATGAACACTGGGATGTCGGTATTCGTGAATTGGTCGATCATGCTCTGACGAACGTCCATCTTCGTGCTTCCGTCGAGCCGCATAAAGTTGATGTCCAGGGTGCTGAGGACGGCTTCGAGTATGTCCATCACAGTGGTAAACTGCGAGAATACCAGAACGCGGTCACCGTTCCCCATGTAGGCCTCCATAAGCTCCTTGAATTTCCGGACTTTACCTGAGTCCATCCATTCCGTCTTCTTCAACGCGAATCGGTGGAGGTACGGCCGCGCTTCGCAGAACCGGTGTATCGCAAAGTCGCCGCCTTTGAGATTCTGGCCTGTATTGGCCTCGCTAGTCAAGTACGCTCGGATCTTGTCCGCAGGGTTCTCGCGGAATTCGTCGTGCTTCCGCAGCTCCGCCACGATCTTCTCGATCTTCTTGTCCGTGTACAGACGGCGCCGCAGCAGCGGATGTATAGCTGCTTGACGTAGAGCCATGATGATGTTCGAGCTTGCGCGAGCCTTCGCAGCCTTCACGCCGCCAGCGCTCAGCACTTCTTGCGCCTCCGACACCACTTCATGGTAGTACGCAGCCTGCGCAGGAGTCATGTCACACCACTCCACGCGGCTGTGCTTAGCGGGCAAATCAAGGACCTGCGCCTTCTTCCTCCGGAGTATGAACGGCGTCATCATCGTGCGTGCCCGGGAGATGCGCTCGGCGGAGAGCAATGCCGCGTGGTCGGCGTCTTTGGTGCTAGCCTTCGCCTTGAAGATAAAATCCAGCTTCTCTCGCTTCTCCTGGAAGAGCTCGGGCATGATGAACGCTAGGATAGCAACAAGTTCCTGCAGATTGTTCTGCAGCGGTGTTCCAGTCAACAGTAAGCGGAAGTCAGCGGGGATCTTCGCGAGCTGCTCGTAGCGTTGCGAAAACGGATTCCGAAGCTGGTGCGCCTCATCAAACACGCACACGGCCGGTTGTACGCTTTTGCGGAGAAACCTGTTGTCGTCCATGCTCCTGGCGACCTCGTACGTCGTTACAATGACGTCGAGCGTATCGAACTGATCCTCGATCTGGTCGCGTAGATCCGGGCGCTCCTTGTCGCTGCCGTAGTACGGGAATACATTGAGTGAAGGCGCAAAGCGAGCAAACTCCCGCAGCCAGTTCTCGAGAGTCGAACCTGGCACGATAACCAGATGCACGCCATCCACTGCTTGTTGCTGAAGGTGTGCTAAGAAGGCAATGACCTGGCAGGTCTTGCCAAGCCCCATATCGTCAGCCAGGATGCACGAGATGCGCTTCTGCCACAAGAGGTTCAGCCAGTTCAATCCGACAACCTGGTAGTCCTTCAGCTGCAAGTCTATAGACATATTCGCCGGCTGTTTGAGGAAGACACTCTGGTTCTGCTTCGACTTGGACCTGTTGGCAGAGCCCTGAGCGTCGTCCGAACCGTCGGACGTAAGAGGCGTGCCAATACCGGAGTCGTGTGCATCGTCCAGATTCATGAGTTCCAGCTCCCCGGCGGTAGCTCTCGCTTTCTTCCCCGTCCAACTTTGCAAAGCCTCTTGGATTGGCCTTGCAATCTGTTCGCAGTCATTGACAAGCTCGTCGACGGCTTCATACCCTGCAAGCATCTGACGGCAGACCTCGACAAGCTTCTCTCCAACCGGTCTTGCTTTGGACTTCCGGCCAGTCTTCGTCTCTGCCGGTACGCTACTGACTGCTTCGACCTGTGCAATGCTACGAAATGGCCGCTTCGCCAGCACGATTTCCGCTGTCGACTCTGGCTGCGCGGACAGCTCGGCGAGATCCCGTGGGGTACAGGTGTTAAAGAATTCAAGCAGGCGCTTCTCGAACGCCAGCTCCTCCCGCTCGGAAGGCTTCTCAACATCCTCGCTCCTGTTGCGGCGCACAGCAGTGTAGGCGGCGTCATCGTCGTCATCGCTGATAACAACAGTCTGCCGCTTTGCTTCCTCGCGACGTCTAGGCTGCGGCAGCTTCTGTGGCAGAGTAGACGGAGACGAAGGCGGAGATTGTAAGCGCGGCTTACGGCCTTGCAGCAGTCTACGACGAGGCTTGACCTGATCCTCGTCCTCGGCTTCGTCTGCTGCTTGCGAAACTTCAGGCTGCGGACCCAGCTTCGAAGTCTTGACTGCAGCCTGGGTCGAACCGGCGTATCGCTGCGCGATGCTCTGCGTCGGGGCCTTGATCTCTTGCTTCGCTGCCGGACGCGAAGGTTGCGAGCTTTGCGCTTGCTGAGCCGCTTTCGTCATTGCAACGCCACGCTTGGGTGGAGGGCTCATAGACCCCAACTCATCGCGGTCCTCGTCCGGTCGATCGTAGGTGTCCACCAGCCAGGTCTTTGCCTGTTCGACATTGTTCTTGGTCTTGACAAGCGCATCGTAACAGCGCTGAACGCTTTCTTCCCCCAAGACCTCTTGGATGCGCTCAATGTTTGCCCGGGTTACGTAGTCTTCGACATCATCCAAAGTATGATATCGTATTGCATTGACACCCGGTTGCGCTTGCGCTCGCGAAGGCATTCGCTGCTGAGCCTGCGGTCTTGGAGCGCGCGAACTTCCGGCGTAAGACGAGATCATGTCGTCTGCAGGCCTCTTCACGGCGTCGTGACCGAACTTATCCATCAGACTGGAGAAGATAGTGTTGTTAGACGATGGTGGCTGGGCCCGCGCTGCCGGTGCCGGTGACTCTCGGACCGTGTCGCTTGAGGCGACCTTGTCACTTCGGTTTGGCGTGGAGTCCAGCCCTCTGCCGCCTTTCCTGAAGTTGGTTGGCTTGATATTCGATCTCAGGCCCTGGGTCTCATCGTCGCTGTACTGCACAGGCGGGTCATCCTCGTCACTGTCGTCAACAGGAATTACAAGCGGTTTCGATTGCACGCCGAGCGGTTGGCGGAATGCAGTGCCAGATGGCGCGAGAGACTTGGCGAGTAGACCGCCGCGGACTCTGTTCTGAAACACCGGCTTCTGCGATTGCGATTGCGATTGCGGGTGCGACTGCGGAGGGGGAACGGGCGCAGTAGGAGAAGAACGGTCGACAAGCACTTGCGATGTCGGCGGCAGTAAAGGCTGGGTGGGCTGGGTGATGTGACGGCTCTCGACGCCTCGCATAGTCATTGACTCGACTTCCGAATGGAAAGCGCTCGGTGGGAACTGCAGTTGCTTCCGCTTCTGGCTGGCCAGCGGCATAGTAGGAACGGTCTCGTAGTCTTCGGCCGTGTAGTCCTCTCCGCTATCGTCTTGCGAGTCCCACAGCTTGTCATTAGAGTCGAGCTTCCTTCTCTTGTTAGGAGTCGACTCGGATATAGGGTCCGAGTCCGCCATGGCGGCTGTAAACGGTGCGGTGCGGTGCGGTTCAATAAGTGTACAAATGTTGCAGCGCGGGGCGATGCACTCAAGACAGCGCCATCGTGGCGTAGAGGAGCGAGCGCGTGTGCTGGCAGAACGGTACACAACCCGCCTGTAGCCGTTGAAGGGTGAATGTGTGGTCAATGCCGTGTTGAAAGTGAAGTCGACGAAGCACGCGAGCGAGCGAGCCACGCGCGGGTCACTCGCAAGGGTTCATTCACTCAGCCCTACCACTCGCCCGGCGCCGACCAAGGGAACGTCATTCCCAATTGGGCAGCCACGCCTTACTCACATTGCTCCATTGACCGGTAGTGATGGCAACAAGAAGAATCACCACGCAGGAGAAGACTGTACTCGACCAAGATGAGACACGTGAACAGAGCAGCGATGTTACTCCCGCCATCGCGCCGTACGCCTCTATGCCTCTTGACTCCAATTGCGAACGTAACGCATGGCTAACAGCATATCAGAGCAACGATCGCCAAACTGCTGTTCTTCACCTTTGCTATGATCACGGTACCGCTCGGAAGCTACTTCTTAAGCGTGAGGACATTCTTCAGGGGTACGAACACTACATCGGAGGCTCAAGGCAACCACAACTTCGCTAACACAGCATCGACGAACAGGAAACTCTACTTACGCCGGCGCCCTTGCAGCACTGATGGCCAACGTCGTACTAATTGGCTACGTCATCGTCGCCTTCCAGGACGACAAAAGCGAACGGGAAGCGGACGCAGCGGCGCAAGCCAAGAAAGCACGATGAGAGTGAGCGAAGCAGTATGCATGCAGATTCATTATGCTCATCTAGTAATGAGCTCAATGGCTTTCTTCAGCTGCATCTTGCTTCTTACAACATCGATGAGGTAGGCTGACCGACACGACATCGTCCTCCCACCTTCTGGGCGTTCGTGTTACCCCTTCGTGATGAGCCGAGCATATGCAGTGCTGTCGGAGCTTATACCGCCCCAAGCATCTCTCAGAAACGCCGTCGTAGCCAAGATGCATGGGCTGAATGTAATACCTCTCCAAGACACCCGAACGCCGCAGAATGCAACTCAGCGATGTGCTGCCGCCACCGCCACAACCCCCCAAGATGCATATTCTAGTCCCAGGGCAGCACTGATCTTCGGTCATCAAATCATCATACGGCTACCGTGAAGACTCTCAATCCTTCTTACTGAATCTCCGCTTGAGCCAGCCTTTCTTCTTCTCCGGCTCCGCTCTCGCCACAGAGGGCAGCTTGCCAGGTGGCGAAATAGGAGCGTCACCCGAGTTGCCAAGCGGGATTGGGCGGCGAGGTCCATTGGGCGCCTGAACAGGCCCACCATACGCGCTACCACCCTCCTCCATAATCGGAGGATTAGATCCATAACCATTCGATACGTAGCCGTTCTGTTGAGGCCACTGCTGATCCCCCGGCTTGCCCGCGCCAACCATGTTGCGGTCGATGGAGCTGTTCTCGCTACTCGGGTCGGTGTTGCTCGCCCATGGACCGGTACTATCGGAGCCGTTGGTGACGCCGGTGTTCATCGTGTCCTGGCTTTGATGGTAACCGTGCTGTGGGTACGGTCTTTGATGCGGGATCGCGCCCTCCGAAGCCATCCGGTTACCGTTCCGCATCCTAGGCGGTCCGTAGCCGTTGTTCATATAGCTCTCGCGCCGGCCGTCACCGTAGTAGCCGCCCCCACCGCTCATCATGGCGGAATGGCGGTTGGAGCTTGGGCTGGGGCCGTTGGAGTCGAAGCCTGCAGACAAGGCGTTGGCGCTCGAATGACGTTGCTTGGGAGTGTCTGACTGCTTGAACTTACCACCGAAGTAGCTACTCCTCCTGCTGGCATATTGGTTGTTCTGTTCGAAAGAATCTATCCTCGGATTAGCCGCCTGTTTGAGGTAGTGCCTGGTGATGTTAAGCTTACCCGAACGTATGTATGAAGACCGTCTCTTGTAGCCATTGTCAATAGCCTTCTCAAACGATCGGATAGTGTCAAGCGGCCTTTCCAGTCGAGGTCTGGTAGGGTTGGAAAGGTCCGGATCAACTTGGCTTCGCGTTAGTCTGTACCTCGAGATCGTGAGACGTCGACATACCTATGACGTTGCCGTTGACGTCCAGATGTTGGTAGTCTCGCAGCGACTGCAGCGTTGACTTCTCGGTAACATTGAGCACTTGATCCACCTTCAAGTCAGCAAGAACTGCTCTCGACGTTTCTGCCGGCACCGTCATGCTTGAGGCTCGTATTACGCGTGGTGAAGCAGTAGCGGGCAGCTCGCGCACTAGAGTGAGTGATGCCGAAGCAATGGGTAGGGACACAACTTACAGGCAGGCTGCTTTTCCTCCAACGCAGCGTTGGGGTTAGCTTTGCTTGAACCCTTCCAGATACTATCCCGGCGAGCTTTGTCCTGCGGACTTTCCGCCGGACCTCCCTTGTCGCGCGAGGCACCGCTCTTGTCGCTCCGGAACGAGAAGCCACGGGCACGTCCTCTCGGCGAGCCCAGGGGCGGCGACGGGTGCTGGTCCATGCTTGTCATCGCAGGCAAGATATGGCCGATATCCGCGGTCGCAGTGCTCAACCGGATGGCTGGGCAGGTTTGTTGGCAGTGAGAGTGGGTATGTGGAGGAGGCAATCTTGTTGGACGCACTTCGGAGAATGCTGGTGAGAAAAGTGTAGCAAGGGTCGTACGCTAGATAGCGCAAGCGGGTAGCGCAGGAACAAGTTCGAACGGCGGTGGATGATGATCCAAACGACCGTTAGTGGATCAGTCACTGCCGACGGTTATGTGCAAACGCCGCCACCCCTGTCCTGCGAACGAGTGAGATGCCGACACAGCGGTGGAGGTTGGTATTAATGGAGGCGGAAGATGTCGCGGACATGCAGCGGCGGTCAAAAGAATAGAGTCTCGGCGTAGAGGTACTACTGCTTGGACGCGCAATGCTGCATCCGTGCGAGGGTACGCGGCGGAGAGGGGCCCGCTGCAGTTGAACCGACCGACCTCAACCAAAGCAGTAAGCACGAGTGGTAATGATGCGCGGGGAGATGCAAGCTAGTCACAAGTGACCAATCGATCTGGAAGAATGACGGCTGTTCCGTGTTTGGAGTCTGACTTCACCTTGGCAGCGCTGCATAAAGTGGCAACCTGAACGGGATGTGGCAAGTTTTTTTTGGGGTGACAGCGCGGCAGCCTCCAGTCACGGGCGGATTGCAGATCAAACGAAGTCCGAAGGACGGCACTTCTGGAGCAGATTAGTTCGCGGTGACAGCTCCTCGTCTTGCGAAAGCGAGGCAATTAATCGACGATGTCGAGTTGCTTACAGAGTTCACACTGGAACGGTACCACTGTACAAGCATACTGTGGCCCTCCACGAAGCTTCTTTGTTTAATTCACCACGGTGTACCCTGTATTCACACACCGACGAACCTTCTTGGTCCTCAACCCAGTGACAGGTTCCATGCGTCTGCCTGCTCTGTCCTTGATAGCGCTGGCCGGCCGTCCAAAAAGCAACGAGCATATATCTGGAGTACATAGATACGCCGCGCGGCTAAAAGCTGGAACTGCGGCAGCTGCCTTGGCAGAGATGCATGGAGGATGATGTGCAGTTGAGCGGGAGTGTACTCGATTGTCGAACCACATCCGCATCCTCATTGCTCTCCGGCATGAACGTCTCGGCGGAGATCTAGTAGTCTACACCCTTCTCCACGATACGGTAGAGTCAGAACGGTCCCCATCCAGCATTGAGCGAAACCGCCTGGTTGATACTGCCTATCACCCTCGTACTCACTCATCGTCCCGTGTCCTTCCCTTGTGCCAGTTGGCTCTGCCGTTCCCTGTCCTTCTGCCATGCGCAACTTCGCGAGTTTGCAGTCGCCGCTTAGCTTATGCTGGGTGCTTGATTGGTAAGTTACTTGGGGCGGACTGTGAGGAGGGAGGTGGTCTTCGCCAGCAATAGCGAAGATGCCACCTCAGGGTGCCATGCAGACGTGGACTATGCCTCAGATGGCTTCTTCCCTCGAGTCTTCACGATTCTAGCTTACTCCTCCTACTCAAGCTCGGTATTGGGAGGGGGTGCTGCCACCACGGCGTGAGTGAGCGGCTGTCCGTCGCTGTGGCGAATCTGTCCATACCTGCCTACTTGAGTGCGGAGATCGCTCATCAGATACACCCTACGCGCAAAGGATCCCGTTACGTCCAGCTACCTTCGACGGTCTTGTACGTTGGAGATGTGAGCGAGGCAGAGGCAATCATAAATTGGGTATGCACCGGACGAGATTTACTCCTCGTTCAGCACGGTAGGGTGATGGAGGTTATGCTCTTCTTCAAGCGCCAGCACAAGGCCAGCAACAGTGATGAAAAGGTGAGTTCGCGTCAGCTGGAGGCAGTGCAATACCAGCGACACAGTGCCCAAGGACATAGGCAAGCCCAGCGGCCCAAGGACGAGTGACAAAAATTTACTAATCTTGAATCGTCCGTAGACGAGTTTCAGCGATTAGACTGAAAAGAACAGATACTACACTTGATCTAAGCCAAAAGGCACTGCATGACTGTTAGCAGGATCTCAGAGTGTAGGGGGAGGGTGACGTCTTACAAGAGAGCTGATCTTTACAACTTTGCGCATGCGAAAATACTTATACTGCCCAACTGCGCTAAACTAGCGCGCCGCGAGTCAAGCCGGGCCGAAGCGAGGGAAAATGAAAGACACTATGACTCGGAGGGCTCTCATTCCGGGAATATCCACTTGAGGATCAGAGTGATGCTCACGTACCAAACGCAACTAGCGGGACAGTGCCGATGCGACAGCGCTGAGTGTGCGATGATCCTGGCTCTTTTTGTCTACTGTTCTCCGAATGTCGCTGTATCGCACGAAATGGGCGGACCTCCGGTCTCGTTGCGGAAGACCGTCTGCTATTTATCAACCCTAATGCGGCAAAGGGATCACACTTTACGTGAATTGACGGATTGAGTTGACCATCTTCGTTGACCATCTCTACGGACGAGATTCGCTATCATAGTACTCCACCCTCATAGTGGCCCAGCGGTGTAGAGATCGAGTACTCCTACAGCGACCATGGGTAGCTGATAGAACATAGGAGCGACAACCTCTATGAGACCTCACAGGTACGGCAGCTGGATCTCAAGCTGAGCCTTGGACTGTGCCCTGGTCCGGACCTTTCCAACGTGAAGGCAGCTGACATCGGTCTCCACAATTGTGAGCACCTCTTGTCCTTCTAGAAGATCGGCTTTCGCCATGGAGGTTTCATAGGGGATGAACAAGACTCCGTGGTTCGGCGCACTTCGACAACTGCTGCGTGGACGGAGCTATGCGGTTCTTGGCCTTGATAAAGCTGCGAACTTGCTCAAGGGCAACATCACCTTGAGACTACGCTGTCGCTGCGATGGACGCTCCGGCACACCCGTTTATTCAACCTCTCCCGTGACGCCGCGCCTGGTGTAAAGCGTGTGCACAATCCTGCGAAGCTGCTTGGTCTCTGCCGTAGGCCATGCAGAAAATGACGACTTTGAGATCGCACTTTCGATCGTGAAGTCTTGACCCCTCAGATCTGTATAAGCGAAACACGCTAGCGACGGTACCCTTGTACAGATCCATCGAGCCTCCTTCAATCACGGCAACAAGCACCTGTCAAGTTTCACGTGGCGCTGCGCAACCACTTCAATCTGCGGGCCTCGCAAGGACACAGTATCTGGCAAATCAGTCGCCACATGACCCAGGCTACTGCATCATTCATATGGGAAGTCGGCACGCTCCGGCTGAAGTGCCCTCGCTGCGTGGCGCACTCGCGCACGTTGCGCAAGCCTTGACACATCTCGTGCGTATTAACTGCAGCCACCTCCGCACTGGATCAATCTGGCTGTTTGGGAGCACGAGCCCGAGCCGTCAAGACTCGTTTCACCCACGCAGTAGAAAGGCCTCGTACCGCCGTATACCATACCCTCCGCGACCCATCCAGTCCATCCTCCCTGCAAGCGAGCTTGATGTAGATTGCGTCTGTGCTACGTCGATAGATTGCTTAGGCAGTTCAGCCGTCCATAGATGTGACAGGCTTTTTTGAGGGTATTGATGCCCTGAGTTATGTATAAGTTCATCGAGCACCCTGCGCAAACACAACAGCGCTTTCATTTACCACCAGTCAACCTCTTCAGGCACCATTTCATTCTACCTTCGAGCGTCTCTGGGAGACTACAGCTTTCTGGGAGACTACAGCTTTCTTCAACCGACATCATGTTGAGCAAGACTCTCCTCCTTGCGGCTGCTGCCGCCTCTGTGGCCATGGCCCAGAATGCCGCCTACTCTCAGTGCGGTGGTCAGAACTGGTATGTCGCTCTTTGATGCGTAGTCCATCGAGTTGGGAGAAGCGCTGACGACATCGCTAGGTCCGGGTCCACCACCTGTGTAGCTGGCTACACCTGCCAGTACCAGAATGCGTACTACTCGCAATGCCTGCCATCCAGTGAGCCGTGGCCATTGTCGTGTTACGTTCCTCATACCTAATACTGTTACCAGGCTCTAGCGCAACTACCGCCCGCACCAGCACGACCACCCCCCATACCAGCACAACCACGCCCCACACCAGCACGAGCACCCGCGCTACCACGACCACCACGGCTCGCACCTCCACAAGCACGAACTCGGTGGCGGCCACCGGTGTGTCCTACAAGGCAAGCTTCACCGAGTACGGCGCAGGCGACACGTTCGGCAGCCCCAACTGCCAGACCGACACCGCTGCCTGCGGCTTCTACACCTCTCCTGGCTACTCCGCCGCCGTCTCGCAAAACCTTTTCGGTGTTGGTCCCGGCGCAGGCGCGGGACCGGCTTGCGGTACTTGCTGGAGGCTCACTATCCAGACTGACAGCTCCGGAAACCCTGTCTCCAACGCCGGCAACAGCATCGTTGTTATGGTCAACAATCTCTGCCCTGCTTCAGGCAACCCTCTATGCTCCCAGAACGGCCTCAGCGGCACCAATCAGTACGGAGCCAATGTTAACTTTGACACCTGCATTGACTCTGGTGCCTCCGCTGCTTTGTTTGGCAACTCAGGTGTTGGATTGGGTATTGGCACAGCGACCCAGGTCTCTTGCTCTCAGTACAGTGGCACAGTCATTCATTAAGCTTCGATCATGTCTCAAGATGCCCGTTGCTGAACGAACGAGATTGCAGACGTGGTGCACGGTACAAAAGCTTCTTTGTGTATTTTAGTCGTCTATATGACTTACAACAGGCTTGTCCAGCATCAGTGCAGCGCATGAGCTCGGGCGGACATGGCTGAATCTCACCACGTTGCATGCATACAGTTGACCGAATAGGTAGGGGCATGAATACACTCGCGTGTGTGTCTTCGTTCGTTTCTGGAACCCTTAAATTCCATATGGAAGCAGGACCTGCTTCAGTATCTGAAGAGGTTCCTTCTTCTCTTGGCTGCGACAACACGCAGATTCGGTGAGTCGATATGTTTGCGTAGCAACAGTCGCGGCTACAGTCCAGTTTTGTGTTGCACATTCTTCGAATCGAACAACGAGATCATAGACGAGCTCTCTCTGGTCTGTCCGTGACACACAGGCCTTTATTTCTGCCGCTCTCGCGGTCTCTCGCCTTCAATATCCGCCGCAGAAGCTTTCCAGTTGGCGATTTTGGTATGGCGGTACAGAACTCAATCTCTGAGAGCCATTTGTACTTCACCTTCTTCTCCTGGACAAAGCGTAGCAGCGTCTGGCCGACTTCTTGGCTCGCTTCGACACTCGCTTTGGGTACGACGTAGGCTTTCGGCTTTTCGCCGGCGTAGTCATCCGGTATCCCGAGCACTGCACAGTCTTCGACCATATCGTGGCCGAGCAGCAAGTCTTCCAGCTCGGCGGGGGGCACCTGCTGCCCTTTCACTTTGATCATCTCCTTGATGCGGTCTTCAATGTGGATCAAACCTTCGTCGTCTATGTGGCCCACGTCGCCGGTATGCAGGAAGCCGCCCTTAAACGTCTCGGCGGTGGCGGCAGGGTTGTTCAGGTAACCCATTGCTATTTGCGGGCCCTTTGCGCAAATCTCGCCTGTTTGGTTTGTGCCCAGCTCACTGGTCGGGTCATCCAGGTCTACAACTTTAACGACGGTGTTGGCGCACGGTAAGCCTCCTGTGTGCGCGTACTTGTAGTCGTAGTGGCTTGGCGGATGGCAGGAAATGCATGCTGTTGACTCCGTCGCACCGTAGCCTTGCCGGAAACCGGTGTTTGGGAACTTCTTCTTCAAGAGCTGGATGATTTCCGGCGCGGTCGGTGCGGAGCCAGAGGACCATCGTTTCACCACTCGCTGAAGGTCCGCCAGGTATTTGTCGACTACAGGGTCTCTGACCACTCGAATTATAATCGGCGGAACCAGAATTAGCTCCTCTATCTCGTGTTGAATGATTGTTTTGAGCATGGTCTCCATATTAAATGAAGGCATCATAATGCAGTCTCCGTTCATGAAGACCGGGTAATGGCAGAAGCGGACGAGACCAGTGATGTGGAAGAGCGGCATAACCGCAAGAATGGTGTATCGTTTGCCAGACGAAACGAGCTGAAGCTGCTTGAGTTGATGACATTGTGCAATTATGTTGTGGTGTGACAGCATGACCGCTTTCGGCAGGCCAGTCGTGCCAGAACTGAAGTTAAGATAGCCACATACATCCCTGTTGGTCTGGCTTGGTGGTATTTGCCAGGATGGGAGCACGAAATAGGCCTGTCCCTCAGCCACGAGATTTTGAAGGCTGACAAAGCCGTTTCGCTGGCCGTCGAGGAGGAAGATGTTACTATGAGGCAAGCCTACAGCGTCTGCTGCCGCCACTGCAACGTCGAGAGAGGCAGGCAAGGTAAAGAGGAATCTAGTGGAAGCAGTCTTCATCGCGAAGGCCATCTCTTCAGCATTGTATGCTGAAGACGCACCGTTGACCCTGCCACCCGCTCGAACGGTTGCCCACATTGCAACTGGGTACCAGATGGAGTTGGTGGAGAACAAGGATACGGTGTCACCTGGTTTGAGGCCATGTTTCTGGACAAGCACAGTACTCAGGAGAGTGGCGCTTTCCTTGACAGTATCGTAGGTGAGACGCTTGTTCGTTGCTACATCAACGTAGCTTCCAAGGTTCTCCTTTGCAGCATAATGTGTGGGAGCGTATCTTGGCGATTCAAAGGCCCACTGCCACGTCGTTAGGGTTTCTGGAACTGCTACAACGTGAGTCCAAGTACGAATGCAAGCTCATGCCCGGTATAGGCATACTGTCCAAGCCAGGATGCGGCGACTTCCACAACATTGCAGTGCAAGGATCGAAGCGAAATGGGCTAGGAAGGGCAAGTTGTGTTACTGTTGCAGGACAAGTAGCGTTACAAATCGATAAGGATAAGAAAGATGTACTTGCCGTTGTCACTCTGCCACACAACCTGTGAAACTACATCTACACGTTCTCTGGGCCCTTGTACGAGCGGAGCATGCAGACTGCAATACCGAGGTTGCCATGCTCACCATGCAATTCTGCCGAGATGGCTGCGGCTGCTTCCGCGCTGACTTCTGCCACGCTCCATGGAGGTGTGTACAATTGAACGTCGTCGCATATACCCCAGTTTAGTCCTTGGCTGTTTCCTACACGTAGCTTACCAGTAGCGAATAACTTGTGCCAGCGTCAGCAGTGTTAATTTTGCCTCTACGAAGAACGGGAAGACATCGTAGGCGTGCGAAGTAAGGCGTGACAATTCGACAGCGTTGTGGTTCCCTACCTTGTCTAACCGTGATCTTCCTTGCTGTTTGTGTGCGGAGCTCGTGATATGCAGCGATACACAGTTCAGAGACGATGTGCTATGCAAAGTCTCGTTCCGGGCACAGAGCTCGCGTGCAAGGAGACCGCTCTTCTGACGAACTGCTGCCGTGGCGCGTTCTCTTGCTACGAGAGACAACGATGTGGTACCCGCTTTCACCGCGATCTTGCAATGGTTGACGAGCAATGAGGCAGAGAACATTTCCGGTGACGCATAGCGTTGTCCTTTAGAGGGCCAGTGGTCTTCCATGTAAGGCATCAAAGGCACCCGCGACTCAGGACGCTGCGATCTGTCAGGGTCAGCGCAACAAAGGCGTGCGTGCCTGCGGCCCAACAGATTGCAGCAGCTTTGGCAGACTGCAGCGAAATGTTTGCTCGGAGCAGCTGTAGTCAGACAGCGATTGACATGCCTCGTGGGCTTGTCAATGTCTGCCGGAGAATTTGCACACGAACAGGACGATGATGTTAATCCGGATGAAGGTGCAAAAGGCGGCAACGACAAAGTGGAGGAGCAGACAGGAGCTGATGGTCCGCTTGCAGATTCTGACAAGCTTGACATTGCTTCTGGAGAAGCAGGGCTGGCGGATGAAGAAGACTGGGATACACGGCATGCACAGCACCTCTTATCGAAGTGCAGAGTCCCGGTTGGAGCGGCAGATGCCGGGTTTGTGCAGGAGTGTGACGTACAGTGCAGTGACCATGATGAGCTGGGTAAGCATCAGCGGAGGGAGCATGACATGAGTGAGACTTACCCCGGGCACGATGAGTGAAGGCTGGCATAGGTTAGCGAAGGCAATAGACTAGAGTATTGTAAAATTGCGCTGAAAGTGCCAACAAAGCTGTGATGCATGTATGCTTCACCTACGGAAGAAGCGCGACATGAGTGCACCGCCTACATTACGTGCCAATGATGCCGAGTAGAGCCCGTTTCCAAGCAAGCCGCTGGCCTGACTGAACTTGTCGCACCGCGAGAACGCCAAGGTGTTGGTGATGGTGAGCACAAGCGCAATTGCTATCTGGATGTCAGCCTGACGTACCAGTCAACCAGCACTTCTCGGATTGTAACTCACCGACAAGTGTGAGCCATATGAATTGAAACCTCACAATCGCCAAGATCGCCAGCGCAATCCAGGATGCAGGCTGCACATATACAGCTAGCCAGAAGAAGCGCTTATCCGTAGCATTGATTATTCTCCCACCAGGTTCATTGGGCGGCGGTGCGCTCTCGAACACCCAGTGTGTGTCGCCAGTCTGTGGATTGACCTCATTCCACCATCGCAGGCCTACCAGCCGCCGGCCAGCGATGTTCTTGACGTAGTAGAAGTCCGCAGCCAGTAGTAAGATGGTGATGATGAAGATAAGGACGAAGTTGGAGGTGAAAAGAAGGCCGAGAAGGTAGACGACTAGCGAGGCTGTCAAGAACTATTAGTACTGACCATGATACGACTAGAACTGTGACCTACAGGCTCTGAAGCCTAGAAAGGTCACGAGAGTGATTGGATGTGCGCTCAAGCGCCAGTTAAGAGTGCCAGAGGGCTCTTGAATGTCCGCCATCTCGCGTCCACCAAGTGTTGTCAAGGACCTCCCCAAAATGCTCTATACCATTGCCTCATGGTAGCCAATGCACACAGTAAGGAGACGCGTATCGCGAACGCCACGACTTCTGTCTGGAAGTGTTGGTCCATAAACTCGTGGTACATTTCGCTCAGAGCAACATCACCCGCCATGATCGAGTACATTGCCCGTGCCTTATTTCCGGGACAGTAGGTTCAGTACAATAGATTCATGTCACGACTCCTGCAGAGGATAAAATTCCCTGAGTCAAGTATGTAGGCTGTGATTACCGCTGTCATTCGCTAGATCATCTACCCTCCTTACCTCAGTCCGCATTTACAAGTAGCCGAACATGGCGGGCATGGCGGCTCAGGTCATTCGGCGAGCACAGCTTTACGGTACGCTCTTCCTACAACCTAAACTATCCAGCGTCTGCTAGACCCATATGGGTATTTCAGGTAAGCTTGCTTGACAAATTGTTGACTGAAAATGAGCAGTACCTGGCTCGTCAATGCGATTCCTCGAAAAGTCCCGCGGTCTGCAAGCCGTTGACAGCGTCGCGTATGATCTTGAAGACTCCGTAACCCCTACAAAGAAGCCGGAAGGCCGACGCAACATCCTCGAGATACTTAATCGTGACCGAGTCCCTGGCATACGCGAACAGGCTGTTCGCATCAACTCCGTTGGCTCCGGCTTCGCATTGGATGATTTGACCGAGATACTCAAGGGCAAGCACTTGGACTGCCTCGTTGTGCCCAAGGTCGACAGTCCAAGCGACTTGCACTTTGTCACCGATGTACTTAGACAGAAGCTACCAGAACGGCACTCTGAAGGCTCGACAAACCCTGTCAAAATCGTTGCTTTGGTGGAGAGCGCCAAGTCCTTGATGGACCTCAACAATATCTGTAAAGCCTCGCCTTACATCTCCGGCTTGACGTTCGCCGCGGAGGATTTCGCACTCGACCTGTCACTTACCCGCACGCCGGACTTGCACGAGTTCACTTACGCTCGCTCGGCTATTGTCACAGCCGCTCGGGCACACAACATTCCGTCTGCCCTTGACCTGGTTTCGACAACCTTCCGTGGGGAGGAAGGGCGGCGTTTCCTGCAACTTGAGTCGGAGAATGGAAAGCGCTTCGGCTTCAACGGCAAGCAGTGTATCCACCCTGACCAAGTGGCGACCGTGCAGGAGGTCTTCAGTCCCAGTCCAGAAGAAGCGGAGTGGGCGGTGAGGGTGGTGATTGCTGATCAGAAAGCCGATGCGCAAGGCAGAGGTGCGTGGACGTTGGACGGAAAGATGATTGACGTACCTGTCGTTGGAAAGGCCAAAGCAATTGTGGCAAAAGCAGAGGTTTGTGGGATTGACGTGAAGGGACTGATGGAGAAGTTCAGGGATGAGGAACCGCAATGAGTGATGTACACCGAATAGTGCAGATTGCATGCTTCGATCATCCATACTGAACCAAAGCAGACCAGTCGAGCAAGAGTGACACCAGACCTGTGCAATACACAATCTTCATTCGTGCTCATACGTCGCATGGAGGAGGGGTGCGATGCTCAACGCAAGTACTAGAAACAGCATTGGAAATTGTATCTTCAGATCCTCACATTCCGAAGTCTAGGAGGCCTGAGCTATATGGCGCGACTTTACGCAATGTCGCGGGTTGGTGCCTCACAAGCATTAAGTGGGATGCGGAGTCTAAACGACCGCCACCATAGGCGCAGGACATACACCTTTACCAACCCACTCCCACAATGCTCGCTTCTCGGCCGACGCATCGTCAGCTTTCTCAGCCGCCTTTGCCTCGTCGTTCGCTTTGAGAAAGGCTTCCATCTTCTCATCCCAGAATGCTTGCAGAGTCGTCTGGTCACTGACCACCCCACCGGTCACGGTGCTCACCGAACCGTCTTCAGATGGCGTTCTCTCCTCAGCCTCTTGTGCCAGCATTTCCAGCTCCGTCTCCAGCAGGTTGACTTCCTTGAGCCCATGCCCTTGCACCTTGGCTTTGAGAGCCACCTCGAGGTCGCAATAGACACCTGGCGAGACGGCGAGCGCGACCCACCCTTGATCTGCTGTTTGCTGCACGGCTGCGACGAAGTGGTGGTCGATACATGGCCTTGCGTCGTCCAGACTCGCATCGGTGTCCATGGCGAAGTCGACGCGGAGACTGGTGAGGGCACCCAGAAGTGTACGCTCCGGTACCAGTAGGAGTGTGAGCGTTCCGGTGGAGCGCCGAAAGTAAGACTTGCTGGTTTTGATTGAGGCAAGGGATGTCTTGATGCGGGCGATCTTGGCCAGTAGGGGTGGCGAGATGTCCAGGCTTGGCGAGGTTTTGACGCGGTTCGCTGGCGCTGATCTGCATATCTTCTTCTTGCATTGCTCTGCGGTAGCATTGGAGGTGGGATTGCTGGCATTTTCCGGAGGGGGCGCCTTGCGCTTTTTGGTCAGCCTGGCCGCTTTCTTCAGGCCATTCGCTAGCGCTGAAATGTCTTGCTTCTCATCGCTACGCTTGCGCTTGTTCGATAGCTTTGAGATAGTATCGTCAGAGGAGGAGCCGGGGGCGCCAACCGACGGGAGGAGGTACTCCCGCTGCTCCTTCACCACCCGGTCACGTTCATGTTTGGGCATGGCAGGGGTGGCGGGACCCTTCCCGAGAGTATTAGCAATCTTTGACCTCTTGCGCTTGGTCACGGTGCTGCGTCGCTGCGGTTTTGCCGGCACTGGGAAGTTTCGAACAAAGAATGCCGGTTGCGGATGGTATCGTGGAATGCTATGCTGCGAAAGTTGCAAAGGAGGTTGAAGATGCGCGAAGGAACCAGAGGGTTAACAGAGGCTGTTGAGAATATGAAATTGTCTGCATTGTGCGTAATGGCTGTAGGCTTCAGTGAATGCGAGAAGTGAGACTTTTTTTCTCCATAATGTGAGCTTTGCGTGCGAATGGCCAAAGTGAACAACGACAATACGCGGATGGACCCCGCAGGACGTGAGCCCATGCCATCGGCGACCATGCCCGACGTTCGTAGAGAGGGGGTCAACACGAGCGCGTCTTGTTACAAACATGTTGTGATGGGTGACGAGGCTTGATAAAGGAGCAGTATCCGGGCCTGTGGACGTGAAGGCATCATTCGTTCTAGCTAGCAGTGCATTTAGTACTTATCACAGTAATGCCTTGCCATACAGTAAGCAATGTTCTCGTTACCTGCTGCCGGAGGAGGATACGGCACGCATGGGGTGTTGAACGAAGAGGCGAAGGTGAAACCAGAAGGGAAGCGATCATTCACTCTTCGGATCTTGGCAGGCAGCCGTTAGCGTCCGTCTCCACGAGCCAATCAGGACAGGTCAGCAGTCTAAGGCCGACAGAGAGCGGCTCGTGCCGGTGCTGGTCCTGCGCGCGAGTGATTGGCCAGCGGGCAGTGACGCGAGCCGGCCGAAGCTCGTTCATGCACTCACTTCAAGGTACCGCAACTTTCTGCAGCCTCTCTTCGTTTGGGCATCTCCAAACCATCGACGACTCCTCTACCAAGCGCCCATCGACACTCTCTCAGTGCACCGAGAAAAACTGGAGCTTTGAGCGAGGCGCAACAGATCGCGCCTGCATCCACAACTCCTCCACTACCGAAGCCTTGTAGGCTCAGAGCTGACACGCTAGCACCAAACGAGCTACATCTGCAGTTGCAGTCACGAATCCATATCTTCGCGCCGACGAGTATTGAAAGGCCGAAGTGTTCCTGCTCATCTCCTCGTCCATCGCAAGGCAACTGCGTCAGACTTGTTACTTTTCCGGCGGAAACGTGCATTTTCACGTCGCTTACTCTACCAACCACTGCCAACATCAACCGCCGGCGGCCGAGAAGCTGGCGGACAGCACCGAGTTTAGGCATCAGCGGTAGAGTCGCGCAGTTGGCGCAGGATGGGGCGGATCAAGAAGGTGGCCTCCGAGCGGCACACGGCAACACTCTCACCCTTCGTTGACAACTTCGTCAAGCAAGCGATCACAGTACCTCTTTATGAGCTACCGTCAAAGCTTGCCAGCTTCCCACGACACTGGCCGTTTCCGCGTGGCGATCTGTATCACTGGATACAGCTTCTAGACCGTTTCGACCATGTGCTAGAGCTGTTCACTACGGAGTATGGACTTCACGAAGGTCCACAGACGCAGCCGTTTGACAAGCGATTACTACAGAAGGGCGATGCGGAAGATGGCTTGCCGTATCCATCGCGGGGCGGGCAGCCGCAAGAGCTTGACGCACTTGGCTATTCGGAAGAGGGTGACGAAACGTTGGTAAAGTCGGTGTTGCAGTTTACAAGGCTATTGCTCGAACACTGCGGCAACAGGAGCTTGTATGCGAGCAGTGGGCACATCAGTGATCTGCTTAACACCACTTCGCTGAGCTTGCTACGGCTGAGCTTGAAACTTGCTCTCCGCCTGGCCCAGCGATATCAGGTCGCTCGGATGAAGGCTGGCAGTCCGCATGCGCAACCGGGGCTCATGGCAAACCACTACAACTTCAACCTTGACAACCTGCACAAACTTGCAATGCCGTTTGCAAAGCCAACACAAACAGGCCTGAATAAAGGCAAAGAGAAGGCTCTGGCATCGTCAGCGTTCAACCCTGCAGATCTCGTCAGCATCGCGAAGGAACCTGCATCGCTTGCCTTAAAGGGTGACCTCGGTGCAGTAGCGGTGACCTACTACGAACAGGCTCTTCCGGAGTCGAGACCGGTGACGACAGATTCACCGACTGAAGCATCGCCAACGACACCAACACCCGTGCGGAGAACGTCTAATCTCGGACCGTCTCGTGATCGTGACCCCGTTGCCGACAGAAGCATGAGCTTGAATGAAGTCCCCGTAACGCCGGCAAGGCCGCGCGAGCAGGGTGCGTCTTCGTCAGCGCCACAGGTGTATCGCATGACCTCTGACAAGGTCGCAAGCACACCAACTTGGGCTTTGGTGCGAGAGGCTCTAGTACACTTGCCGGCAGAGGTTCGATATGAAGTCCTCAATCGGATACGGATCGCCAAGGTCTTCGCATCGGCAGACGCCCCGCCTCAGCAGATTGTCGAAATCCGTTTACTTGCCATTGCCAACCTAGGCTACGCCTTGAATGAAGCCAAATTTCAAGAAAAGATTGGTAGCGTAGACAGCGAGGAGCCGCGGCGCTTCCACCTTGCTCAGCAGCTGTGCGATCTCTTACAGCCTGCAACCGACGGCCAAATCGCGCTTTCTCTCGAGACCGAGACCACTGTTCTTCTCACGCTAGAAGCCTTGCTGAAAGCTCGGCACAGGCTTTCAGAAGTCATCGATGCTCTTGCGATCACCGTTAATCACGGTCTAATATACTACGAGCTTCGGAGAGTCATCGATACGCTCCACGCTAAGGAGGACACCTTCACGGAGGACAACCTTCGTGAACTGGAGTGGCGCGAAGCTACGTTTGACCTGGTGAACACTCTGCAATTGCACAACTCTCACGCTCGTGTGGGCGAGCGCATGGTGACTGCTGGCGTCATGGGCATACTGCTAGAGGTTCTGACTCTCAGGACGACCCGCGCAGAGCGATTCTATGAGCGCGTGCTGTTATTCTTCGCTGCCTTTATCCACAACATCCCGAACGCTCTACAATCTTTCGCCAATGATAAGGGTTTTGACATTTTTGCCGATCTCGCCCAGTACGAGGTTGAAGCTGCATTGAAGGACGCCGGCAGTGGCAACGGGCTGCGGTCTGACTTCAAAGCGAAGGTCATAGACTACAACATCCCATATCATCGGCAAGCGACATTACGGCAGCTCTTCAAGCTGACCGTGCAGCTGTTTGAGAGTAATGCTGGCACTCACGATCGTCTGCTCCGCAATCTGATCGATACTCCACAGATCTTGTCGTCCTTGAAAGCGGTCATAGGAGACTCAAAGACATTCGGCTCAAACGTATGGAGTGGCGCGGTCAACATTATGAGCGCCTTCATTCACAACGAGCCAACAAGCTATCAAGTGGTTGGAGAAGCTGGGCTACCTCGAGCACTGCTGGAAGCGATCGTTGGCCACAAGTTGCCCGAGGAGATCCCTTCAGACACAACACGCAGCGAGTCCGATATCCCTCCTCCAATTGAGTTCGAAGACGGCGAGCCGGTGTGGCCCAATGTTGAAGGCATTCTGCCCGTGGGTGAGACCATGGTCGACATACCGACCGCCTTTGGCGCTATTTGCCTCAACGAGAACGGCATGAACTTCTTCAAGGCTTCCAACGCGCTCACCAAGTACTTCGACATCTTCGTGTCTCCACCACACGTGAAGGCGCTGGAAGAAGAGGTCAACGTTCCTAGCAACATTGGCCAGGCCTTCGATGAGCTGGCGAGACATCATCCCCGGCTCAAGCAGCAGATTGCAACGGCTGTGAACAGCATGGTCGAGCGCGTCGCAAAGCTCAATCGTAATCTAGCGGAGTACAAAGCGATAGGCGCAAAGCTGTGGAGAAAGAACTCAGAATCCTCCGCCGGCTCAGACATTTACGTTGATGGCGGTCACGCAGCTCTACTCGGCGTCGACAACCAGGCCTTCGCGGAGGCCCGCGAGTCCGAGGGCCGGTTCATCCCTACTGAGCGTACTGTGTACACCCGATCCGAACATCTTAAGGAGACGGTCGGAGAGCGTGGTGATGCGCTACGGTACTCTAACGTGTGTTCAAAGTTCCTCGAAGGCTTCTTCAGCAGTAACAACAACAACAACAGCATGTGCGTTTCACTCTGCGAGATGGGCGGAGCGGAGCATATCCTTGACCTGCTGACTTCCTCTGCGAATCCGGCCGACTTCTCCATGTTTGGTGCGCATCGCTCACTGCTGAACGTCCTGAAGATTATGTGCGACGCCAAGTCGCATTTGGTTCTTCCAAGCGTGCTACGGCGGTTGCAGAACACTTTCACGGCGCTTCAGCCTCTGATCAATGGGCCTGCGAATCCAGAGGGGCTGTTCCACACCTTCGTCGACCTTTCCAAGCCGATTCCAAGTCCGCTGCCTGCAGATTTAGACGGCACAACCCTGCTGAAGTGCTTGCGCAACGCCCAAGTGCTTTCGGGAGCGTTAAGTAAGCTGCTTTCACCGCCAGCATACAGTTCTCGGCACTCGGCGCAGACCAATCAACTGTTTACAAACCTGAACTTCACCGACGTGTACATTCGGCTTGTGGACGATCTGGGTAAGCTGCATGCCAACTGCCTCTGGGAGAACCTTGCGCTGCAGCAGACACTGTCTCCGGAGCTGAAGGACAAAACCGACCCGAAGTGTGGCAACGTTCGGCGGCTCGACGTAAACGGCTATATTGAGATCATGGATGGCTCGCAGAGGCCTAGTGAGACCCAAATCAACGGCGTGCATGATGGCAAAACGCTTTCACATGAGTTGAGTGAGCAGGACTATGCCGTCAAGAACATCAGGAATTTGCGCTTCGTGCTTGACGAGACACCGAAATCCATCAGTCAGTTTTTTCATACTCTCGGACAAGCGCTGGCGCCCAGGCGCAGCAGCCATGATGCCCCGAAACAGCATGCTCTTGTCGTCGCGGAGCATATCGCCAAGAGTGTCCTTTGGGAGCTGGAGTACCGCAAATTCGGCGACGCCATGGACGAGACCGCGGAGTTGAAGTACATTGCCGCTGCGCTGCACGCTGTCACTCGAGTGATGACCAAGTCCCCGTTCGGCATGACCGAAACGTATGGTCAGAAGGAGGCTTTGACGCTGGTCCTACACAGGCTGTACGTCAACGATGGTTTCACGAAGCTTAATGGGTACCTTTACCGCTTCGGCGAGGTCATAGCTGCGACTAAAGCAACGGAGAGTAATCCGCGAGTGAACGCCGCAAGATTCGGACTGCAGGGCATTCTGGACTTCTACGCCTCGGTCGTGAGGTACAAGACCATCCACGAAGCTATGCAGACAAACGCAATGTCCGTTCGCGACCCGACCTTCGCTGACTACTTCATGCCCGGGCAGTTTACGGTGGAGCTCAGAGACGCGATCTTGCCTGCCGTGAGCAAGCTCTGGAACTCGCCAGCCATCGAGACTATGGGCGACCAGTACGTTAAGAAGATCCTCGACATACTCCGTCAGATCCTGAAGGGCGAGGGCGAAGACCGAGCGATCAAGCGGAGCATGATGGCGCACAGGCGAGTGCAGACCATTCAACCAGAGTTTGCGCTCAAAAACCCGGGTTCCTCTTCCAGTGTGCGCAATGATCGTGTCGACATGCAGCTTGCGCGGGAAGCGATATACCGATGCAACAACCATGAGCTCAATGCTCGCGACTACGCCAATCTACGCACGCCGCCGCACAGCGCTCCGAGGTTCCCAATCCCTTCGGGTGAGCCACCTGTGAATGGTGTTAGTGAGCCTGAGCGGCCGTCTTCGCAGCGATCGGTGGAAATGACCGATGCCAATGGCGATGACTCCACCGAGGCAATTGTTGACCGTGCCGCTACTGCGAATGCTGATGCGGCCACGGAGCCTCTGTCTGAGGATGACGACGAGGACGATGAAGATGATGACGAGGACGCGCCTATTAACAACATGCCTAGCGACATCGTGCCCTCTGACTTGGCGAGTATGGCACTTGGAGGTAGAAACATCGGCGACCTGATCGACTTCTCCAGTGATCTTCCAACTGTCGGGGGTTCGGCTGCTTCAGCGGCGAAAGAGACTTTGCAGCCATATGTTACCATTGACGATCTCGACGAGAAGAGGAAGGCTCTCCGCGATGCCCTCATCGACCGTTGCCTAGAGGTGCTGTCTGCGGTTCCTAATGTGACCTTCGAGCTCGCGGATCTGATCCAAGCGGCTGTTGCCAAGAGCGGTGAAGCGGCGAATCCGCGAGCGGAGATTGGCCGCACGTTAGTCTCATCACTGATGTCGCTGACGGCAGATGAGCCGAGCAAAGAGTCTGGGGTCAAAATCGCGGCGTATGCGCATCTCGTCGCGTTGATTCTGCAAGACGGCGACTTTTTCGCCTCGACGCTTGATGAGCTTAAGGAGTACTTCGATGCGCTGGTGAACTGGGTGCAACTCGGCCAGGACCAGAAGGCTGAGGATACACCTTGGCTGGAGACGGTGCTATTAATTATGGAGCGAGTCCTCGCTGAAGACGAGCAGCCCGCCAGCATCGAGTGGGTGCCACCGCCTGCCGACGATCCGCTCAAGCATTTGCCAGAGCCAGTCGTCTACGACCAGGTAGTGTCAAGTGATTTGAGGATGGAGCTCTTTGAAGCACTGATCAACATCCTGCCGAAGATTGGCAAGAACGCTTCCCTCGCCCTATCCGTGTCGCGTATTCTGGTGATGCTGACTCGGAGACGCGAGCTTGCAATGAAGCTCAGCCAGAAGCCCGTTATCGGCAAGCTCTTCCTAATGATCAGACAACTCGCTGGCTCCCTTGACGACAAGCTGCACACGTGCATAATGTTGATCCTGCGGCACTTAGTCGAGGATGAACATATGATCCGCCAAATCATGCAGACGGAGATCAGAGCGACCTTTGAGGGTGCGAGGGCGGCGCGTGCTATGGACACGTCGACGTATACTCGCAGTCTCTATCATCTCGTCCTGCGCGATCCCAACATCTTCGTCGAAGTGACGAAGGACTTGGTGGAGGTCGCTCGTTACGATGGCCGGCCGAGTCATGCCCAGTCATTGACGCTGAAGAAGGAGAAGCCGGCAGCGCCAGCTGGACCCATCCCAAGCAACGGCGAAGACAAGTCTGAGGGCAATGACAAGGCGAGCGAGGGTGTGCAACCGAGCGTCGAGGGCGCAGAAGTCGAGAGTACTGGTGTTGGCGAGCAGAAGCCTTCCGAAGCGAAGCCGCCAATGGTCGAGAGCCCTGACGGCGTCATTGCGTTCCTACTACGCGAGCTTTCTAACTATCGCGAGGTCGAAGATACGCCCACCTTGGCGCCCAAAGACTCTCAGTCGGCACCGCAAACGAATGGCGAGAGCGGTCCCGACGTCGACATGGCTGATGCTTCTTCGTCAACGCCAAATGGCTCGCCTACGCCGCAAATTGCGACCAATTCGAAGAATGAAAAGGCCACTTTCAAACCAGAGGAGCACTCTATCTACATCTACCGCTGCTTTCTCCTGCGGTGTTTGTCTGAGCTGCTGTCTTCGTACAATCGCACCAAGGTCGAGTTCATCAACTTCTCGCGCAAGCCAGAGACGCAGCCTGCTACACCTGTCAAGCCAAGAGCCGGCACCCTCAATTATCTACTTCACACGCTTATCCCTGTCGGCACCCTTGAGCACAAAGATGATGTCGGCCATCGCAAGAGGATCTCAACTTCGAACCTGGCCAACACGGTGCTTGTCTCGCTTTGTGCGAAGACTCCGGAACGCACCCGGCCACTACGTGGCGTTGAGCTGGCCGCAGACGAAGACCCAGACCTCGGCTTCGTCCGCAAGTTCGTTCTTGAGCATGCTCTCCGCTCATTCAGGGAAGCCATCACCTCCAACGAGCCGCTTGACCAGAAGTACGCGCGGTTGTTGGCGCTGGCAGAGCTGTTCAACTGCATGCTGAACAACCCAGAGAGGGACAGCCAAGGGGCTGACTTCACCCACAAGCAGCAGATCGGCCGCATCATGTATGAGAAAGGCTTCATTGGTGCACTGACCTCGGCAATCGCTGAGCTGGACCTCAACTTCCCGAATGCCAAGCGCGCCGTCAAGTACATCCTTGGGCCGCTAAGGCAGCTGACGGACCTTGGCGTGCAATTCAGTCTCACTTCGGATGTATCGTCGTCGAGCGGGCCAGGCACGAGTGGCGAAGATGATGACATATCATCTGCGACGTCCGTCTCCGAGGGCGATGAAGATGAGCGCGAGCACACGCCGGACCTATTACGTAACACCACACTCGGGATGCTTGAGTCAAGCGCCGCGCCCATGCATGTCTTCACTGACGATGAGGGAGAAGACGAAGAAGACGATGACGATGAAGAGATGGACGAGTATGATGAGTATGACGAGGAAATGGTGTTCGAAGACGAACAGATGCCCGAGCATGGAGACGTTGTCAGCGACGAAGATGACGATGTTGACGGCATGGGCGATGTCGAAGGCGTACCCGGAGATATTCCCATGGATGTCGAGGTCATCATGGAAGAAGATGACGATGAAGACGACGAAGACATGGACGACGACGACGACGATGACGATGACCATGATGAAGACGACGCAGACGATCACTTCCAGGAGCACATAGATGAGATCACGGGTGACGATGAGAATGCTAGCATGGGCGAGGGAGACGAGGCCGACTGGGAAGAAGATGAAGATGGCAACGCCTTCGAAGATGATGCTGGTGAAGGCGGCTCACCTCATGGCGGCCCGCTTGAGCATATTGCGCAGGTTATTGGCATTGATGAGCACTCCGAGACTGGCGAAGGTGGCCGCCTTGTCCGTGTCGATATCGGTGACGGCGAAGAGGAGTACTTCGAGGACGAGATGCCTCCTGAGGATGAGGATGGTACGTATGAGCTGGTGTATCTCTCTCATGTTTCTGCTAACGAAGGGAACAGAAGAAGCTGAAGAAGGGGAAGGGGACTACAACGGCGACGACTTGATCTACGAGCCGGAAATTGAAGGTTGGTCCGACATCGTGAATCGGCTTGCACTTGATTTGAACGTCTCTGACGATCGCACAGAAGACGATGATGAGGAGGATCTCTGGCGGAGCCTGCACCCAGCTCCTATGCCAGTCATTCGTGGTGGGCACCATCACCATCATCATCACCATCATCCGCCAGTCCGCGGCTTTGGTGGCATGTTCGACATGGCTGGCGCCGACGGCCTGAGAGGTACGTTGCGAAACTTACAAAACTTGCGAAACCGCTTGACCGCGCTAGAACGCGGGCTTACCGAACCAGCACCGACCTTCCGGTCACATCGTACGGCTCCGACAGGGCGCACGGACGACGACGGCCAGAACCCCCTGCTTCGCCGCGAAGGCAGCATTAGCGTGAATCGCGACCGTCCAGATGTACAGCAGGATCCGTTGGTTCGAATGAACGGACGGTTGCAAAGGGCTTTTCCACCGGAAGAGTTGATTCGCGATCTTGTAAACCAAGCTGGGCCTGGTCGTGCCGCTACTATCAATATCAACATCAATGATCTGCCGGGTGGTATCAGAGGCGGCATACCCAACATATTCCAACTCCCTGGAGGCATCGGTAACCGCACTCTGATCGACATTGATCCAACTCGGCCGGTGCGCGACCAACTTCAGCTAGCGCCGCGTTTCAGCGACTGGACTGTTGGGAACGGCGCAAACGACCGGAGCTCCGGCATGACTGACGAGGCTCAAGCTGTTGACTTCACTGTCACAGCGACAATTGTTCGCTGGCAGGAGGAGGCGAAGATGGTGTTCGGCGGGAAGCACCACGACAAGGCCACACGAGTCGTGTCAAGCCTTCTGCGGGTGCTTGTGCCACCGGCTATGCAAGCGAAGCTAGTCTATGACAAGGCTGAGCGCGAGCGCAAGGAGGCCGAGGAGAAGGCGAAGGAGGAAGAGCGGAAGAAGGCTGAAGCTGAAAAGGCTGAACGTGAAGCTCAGGAGAAGAAGGAGCGTGAAGAGCGTGAAGCTCAAGAGCGCGAGGAGGCCGCCGCACGGGAGCAGGAAGAGCGTCAGGCTCAGACGGCAATTGAGCTTGAAGGTGCAGAAATGGAGGGTGTTGAGCAGACTCAAGGTGAAGCACAAGAGGCGACACAGGAAGAGACGGCGCCGCCTGCTGAACCCGAAGCACCTGTCGTGCGAATGACTACCACAATACGTGGACGTGAAGTCGACATAACCAATCTTGGCATCGACCGTGAGTTTCTCGAAAGCATTCCGGAAGACCTTCGCGAGGAAGTCGTCATGCAGGCCATTCAAGAGCACCGGAGCCAGCAGCGTGAGCAGACCGGCACCGAGCAGCCCACTGAGATCAGTCATGAGTTCTTGGAAGCGCTTCCACCAGAGATCCGACAAGAACTCCTGCGTCAGGAGGCAAGTGAGCGGCGCCGCCGTGAGCGTCATGAAGCTCAGCGCCGTGCCGTTCAAGAAGGTAACGCACAATCCGCCCAGCCTGAAGACATGAGCAACGCAGATGTGCTGGCCATGCTCGACCCTGCTTTACGCCAAGCAGTGTTGTTGGACCAGGATGAAAACACGCTTGCGATGCTGCCAGAAGAGATTCAAGCGGAAGCACGAGCGCTACTTGGCGATCGGTTCCCAACAAGAGTAGCTGGGGGAGGAGGAGCATTTAGAGCTGATGGTAATCTTCCACGAATCCTGCAAGAAGCGCAGCGAACCGACCAGGCTGCCCGAGAAGCCAACAGGCAGCGCAGGCCAATTGTCCAAATGCTGGACAAGTCAGGTGTTGCCACGCTACTCAGGCTGATGTTCGTCTCGCTCCACCACAAGGCTAAGTCAAGCTTGGTCAGCGTCCTGGCGGACGTGTGCCGGAACGCGCAGAACCGTGCCGACGTCATCAGTACCCTCTTGACCATCCTGCAGGACGGCACAGGAGACGTTGCTGCAGTTGAGCGAAGCTTTACGCAGCTCTCGCTTCGGGCGAAGCAGGTATCTTCCCAAAAGACACCACAACCCCTCAAGCGCACCCCAACTGGACTTGACATCACGCCAACGACCGAGCTCTCGCCTCTCAACATTGTGCAGCATTGTCTGTCAACGCTTAACGCACTCTCCTCGGACAACAACAAGGTTCCCTCTTTCTTCTTGACGGAGCATGAGACGCCCGCCAGCCAGAAACCGAAGACCCCAAAGAAGGGCAAGGGGCGCGAAAGCAAGGCTTCTAAGTACCCATTGAATGCGTTGCTGACTTTGCTGGACCGCAAAATCATCACCGAAAACACTAGCGTGATGGAGGCTTTGGCGAGCCTGCTCAGCCGCGTGACGCAGCCGCTCACACTTCTACTTCGTCGGCCCAAGGAAGCTCAGCTCAGCGCAGGCAAACTCGACGGTGCAGCCCAGGATGGCACTGAGCAGCCGCAAGCCACCGAAGGCGATGTCTCGATGACCGAGGCCGCGCCGGCCGAGCTTGCAGCGCAAGCCGCAGAGTCTAGCGCTCAAGAGCAAGCCGCGCCATCAGCGTCCATGGCCGGGTCATCCACCGAAGCAGGCAATGACGAAGCGAAGCCAGAGGAGAAGAAGCATCGTGAGATGATACCGCCAGAGGTACCCGAAGAAAACATTCGCTTAGTTGTCAATATCCTCGCCGCGCGTGAGTGCCCAAGCAAGACATTCAGCGACACGCTTGACATCATTAAGCACCTCTCCGCCATTCCAGGAGCCAAAGAAGTCTTCGGCAAAGAGCTCGTGCGTCAGGCTCAAGAGCTTGGTCAAACCGTGCTATTCGACCTTGAAGAGCTGGCTAATCAGATCAACTCCGCCGAAACGAGCACAGACTTGCAAGGCCTGGCGATTGCGAACTTCTCCTCCTCCGGGTCAAAGCAGCGCATGCTGTTGCGTGTGCTACTCGCCCTCGATCACCTGTTCGATCCAAATCGTACTCCTCAAGGCACGCCGTCTGCGGCGGCCATTGACCCGAAAGTGAAGGAAGATGTATTGGCTCTGTTATACGAGAACAGCACCTTCGACAAGCTCTGGAGCAACCTCACTTCATGCTTGGCTGCGATTCGTGCGCGAGGCAACATGGTCAACGTGGCTACCATCCTTCTGCCACTGATTGAGTCGCTAATGGTTGCGTGTCGGAACACGACACTTAAAGGAGTGCCAGCGGCCACGATGGTAACTTCGCCCATCGATACGTCGGGCAGCACGCCGCCTCCAGATTCGCGCATGGAGGCGCTCTTCTTCAGATTCACGGAGGACAACCGCAAGATTCTGAACGAACTAATCCGTAACAATCCCAAGCTTATGAGTGGCAACTTATCGATCCTTGCAAAGAATTCGAAGGTTCTCGAGTTCGACAACAAGCGCACGTACTTCGGTCGCAAGCTTCACAATCGTGGCGAGGTCCGCGTGCCACATTCCACGCTGCAGCTTAGCATTCGACGTGACCAAGTCTTCCTTGACTCTTTCAAGTCGCTGTATCACAAGCGTGGCGATGAGATCAAATATGGAAAGCTCAACATCCGCTTCCATGGCGAAGAGGGCATTGACGCAGGCGGTGTCTCTCGTGAATGGTTCGCAGCAATGGCGCGCCAAATGTTCAACCCGGACTATGCGCTCTTCAATCCGGTGGCATCTGACCGGACCACGTTCCACCCAAACCCTCTCAGCGATATCAACAATGAGCACCTCATGTTTTTCAAGTTCATTGGTCGCATCATTGGCAAAGCACTCTACGAAAACCGCGTGCTCGACTGCCATTTTAGTCGTGCAGTCTACCGCCGCATTCTCGGAAAGTCTGTGTCCTTGAAAGATATGGAAAGTCTCGATTTAGACTACTACAAGAGTCTTGTGTGGATCCTCGAAAACGATATCACCGACGTCTTCGATGAGACGTTCTCCATCGATGTCGACCGATTCGGCGCCATCGAAACTGTGGACTTGATCGAGAATGGCCGCAACATACCGGTGACCGAGGAGAACAAGCAAGAGTACGTGCAGCTTGTGGTCGAGCATCGTCTGATTAAGTCAGTGGGACCTCAGCTCGAAAATTTCTTGGACGGCTTTCACGACATCATACCCAAGGAGCTCGTTGCAATCTTCAACGAGCAGGAGCTTGAGCTGCTCATTTCTGGCCTACCAGACATTGACGTGGACGACTGGAAGAACAACACCGAGTATCACAACTACCAGGCCACCTCGTCGCAGGTTCAATGGTTCTGGCGTGCAGTGCGCAGCTTCGACAAGGAAGAGAAAGCGAAGTTGCTACAGTTTGTCACCGGCACAAGCAAAGTGCCACTCAATGGGTTTAAAGAACTTGAAGGCATGAACGGCTTTGCCAAGTTCAACATCCATCGTGACTACAGCAGCAAGGAGAAGCTGCCGTCTAGTCACACATGCTTTAATCGTAAGTTTTCCAGCTCGATCACGAAGGTCGTAAGCTAACACATCCTGCAGAGCTAGATCTTCCGGAATATGAGAGCTACGAGCACCTTCGTCAGCAACTGTACACTGCCATTACAGCGGGAAGCGAGTACTTTGGGTTCGCATAAGGCGTACATGTAGCATACAGCGGCGGTGTACAATAGGAGTTCGGGCATAGCTTGGTTGCATGAGGTGCGCTGAGAGCGAGCGAGGAGTTTGGGCGGACCAGGAGCATTATATATGAAGGCGGGCGGTGTGCATAATTTGCTCATTCGTTCAGCGACGATAGCACGGAGGCTGCTGGCCTGGAGTTTGCTGCTGTCGACCAATATGTTCGCTTGTACAACACCACGTTACAGCAAACACTGTCACGAATACTTCGGCAATTCACGCTGAGGGCACCGACCTGTAAGTGTTCACTGTTCAATTGAAGGTATCATCTACATATTTCGCTCTTGTTATGCCAGCATTCTTGATTTCTTCAACCGGAAGAATGTCGGCCCTTTATGCATCCAACGTGCGGCTTCGCGCGGCCATATCTGAAAGGCAAAATAAACCATCAAGCTACCTTATGTATATCGAAGCATATTCAGCAGGATTAGTATAGAGGTTGGCACTGGTCTATGTGCTCTGTTTGCACAGCATATGCTGATCGAACCACATGCTCGCAGTCAATGAGCCGCCGAGACTGAACTAGTGGCGTTGATGTTGGCGTCAGCACCCAGGTCTTCACAATTCATCATCACGAATCAGCAGCCACCATGCGAGTGCGTAATGTAGCCCTCCACCAGCGTGGGAAGAGGGTCAAAGGGACTTTGACGCTTGAAAACTTTCACCTGACCTTCACATTTGCGCCGGATGACGGAAACGGCATTGCTAGCAGTCAAGGCGAACATGACAGGCACGCTTCGGGGCAGCATTCTGCACTTCCGGACGCTGGTAAAGAAAGTTCTAACAACCATGTCGAAGCGGCATCGACACCTAAGACAAATGTGAGTAAAGATGCCAGTCTGCGCCGCAAGGCCAAGACGAAAACGATATGGATAGGGTACCCGATGATCAACTCCTGTGTCCTCCGGCCAAGTCATTTGCGAAGTCACGCCGGGACCAACGTAACGGTCAATGGAGACGCTCATGGCTGGAATGAGGCAGACGATGCTTTTCCGCCTAGCTTTGGGACTGGCGGGTATGGGAGGCCTTCTGTGGACTCTGCTCGCCTTGCACCGTACTCAGCGTCGCCGCAGCGACCAGCTTCGCCGGCTACTTCATTCGTGGAGGACGGTCACGGTGCGGACAGTGGACGCTCACCAGCCATTCGTATCAGGTGTCGAGACTTCCAAATGATGGCTTTGCACTTCTATCCTACCCCAGATGGGAGAAGTCCTGACGACATGGCGAGGGAGGTCTTTTTCGCGTTGCGCAGCAAATGTTGTGTCGACAAAGTGGAAGATATGCTTGCATTTCACTTTCAGCCTCCGGTCGAGGAAGCAGCGGTAGAGATACCAGAGTACGACGCGCGGAAAGAGTTCGCCCGTATGGGCATTGGCGGTAAAGCACCAGAGGGGCCAGGGAGCGCATGGCGAGTAAGCGACATTAACGAGCAGTATGCGTTCTCCGCCACCTACCCTAGCCTACTCTGCACGCCGCGGAACGTGAGCGACAACATGCTGAAGTACGGCGGACTCTTCCGGTCACGCGCGCGCATACCTGCGTTGACCTACCTGCACTTCAACGGCGGGAGTATTACAAGGTCTTCACAGCCTTTGGTGGGCGTTCAAGGCAAGAGGAACCCGCAAGATGAACGTCTTGTCTCCGCTATCTTCTCGAGTCACACGCCGCCCCTTGAGGCCTCCTCGCATGACCCTCAACAAGAGCCGTCACTGACATCTGCCTCGACCACCACACTAGACTCCACTGCTTCTGGTTCAACGGGCGATGCAGAAGTGCCTGGCCTAAAGTCGAGCCAAAGCGAAAGTGTACTTGATGAGGCCGCAGCAGATGCTTCACAGCTATTGAAGCGCAAAGTCTACGGTAGTACGCGGCACAACCTCATTGTCGATGCCAGGCCGAGAATCAATGCGCTTGCCAACCGAGCTACTGGAGGCGGTATAGAGGACGTGTCGAACTACTATGGTCCCGCGGATGTGCCAGTGGAGCGAGTCTTTCTGAATATACAGAATATTCACGTCATGCGATCCTCTCTAGAGAAGGTTGTCGAGAGCTTCGAAAGCTCGGACTACACTACCCTGGCTCCTGATCAGGAGCTGTTACGGAAGTCTGGATGGCTCGGCCATATTGCAGGCCTGCTTGAGGGCGCCGAGCTCGTGGCTAGAGCTGTCGGTCTTGCAGGAAGTCACGCCCTGATCCACTGTTCAGATGGCTGGGACCGTACCTCGCAGGTAGCTGCACTCGCCCAGGTTTTGCTCGACCCACATTATAGGACACTCAATGGTTTCATAACGCTGGTGCAGAAAGACTTCCTCGCCTTTGGACACAAGTTCAGAGACCGCAACGGCATCGGCGGGTCTGAGAAATGGTTTGAGATTGAGAACGAGCGCATCGCTCCATCAAGAGCGCGTGACGCAGCGGGCTCGGAGAGCAGCAGTCTCAACGCGATTGGTGTGAAAGCTCTATCCGGGGCAAAGAGTTGGTTCGAGAAGAACCGAGCCAGCCTGTTCCGGCAGCAGAATCCTGGGGTCGACAGCACCAATGATGCGTTGTCTCGACCAGCTTCGCCACCTCCGAATCCACTCATACACTCTCCGCCCACTGCCTCAGGCAAGGACGAGAAGGAACATCACACGAGTGAAAAAGAGATCGCACCTATCTTTCACCAGTTTCTGGATGCTGTGTTCCAATTGCAGAGGCAATATCCTACGGCATTCCAATTCAACGAGCTGTTCTTGCGAAGACTGCTCTACCAAGTATATGCGGGCCAGTATGGAGAGTTCCTTTTCAACAACGAGAAAGAGCGCTCGGCGCAGCAGGGCAAGGTGCCGTCAGTCTGGATACACTTCCTCTCGCGGCGTGGCGACTTCATTCACCACGACTTTGCGCCTGAAGACAAGGACACGCTGCTCTTGCCCAAACGAGATCAGAATATGCAGATTGAGGTGCGCTGGTGGAGCCGACTCTTCCAGAGGAACGACAACGAGATGAACCTACCGCGAGCGCTAGCGCCTGCCGACCCACCGTCGTTCAACGCACAGCCCTCGAGCGTATCCCTTGATGACCGCGCAACGCCTGGCGCTGAGAACATGGCGTCATCGAAGTCAGGAGATGCCCAGTTGAGGGAGGCAAAGAGCAGTCCAAACTTGGGAGGGATGGTAGACAACTTGTCGAACAGCATGGCTGCCATGATATCCGGCGGAACGGCGACACCTGCACAGGACACGCCTACGAGGGCAAATCACAGGACTCCCACAGCGCCGCAGGAGACTTACGACGAGCTGCCAGAAACGTCTGGCGCTTCGTCGCTGCCTGCAGCCGGATCAGCGACCGAGTTGAGCATGAGAAAAATGATGCAGGACCAAGAAGATGAGGGTGATCCACTCGGCGTCACTGCTCATGTGCCACAGGCGCTTCCCAGGAGTGAGATCAACATGGCGGTCTTCGCGTCGCAGAACGCGTTCTCGGATCGGTAGTAGATTATCATGGTAATGTACTTGGTAGTCAATGTGACTCCTATGCTTGCACGTCGCTTCCATGTCTCAATAGATTGCTAATTTTAATGTTTGCCACCCTTTACATGTAGCCGTAGCCCACTCAAATCTAGGAGTGGAGCAATTGGAGTTGACTCAGCTGAGTCCGTGCATAGGAACGTGATCGGAACCGTCCGTGCAGGCGCGCGTCAAACTCCTTGGACGCGTCTGCGTTGCGTTGCCCAGTTTCAATGCTATGGTGGGAAAGCAGACAGAGATCATGATTGGTTAGTTCTGGGAAAAGAGGCAGAAGCCCCTCCATGATCTTGGGAGTGCGCTGAACTCAACATAACTGTTCAACCAGTCTCACACAGCGGAGGCACTCACCACGATGCCAGGTCTACAGACCCAGGGGGACACCTCCAAGGAAGAGAGGTTGAAGGCAGCCCTTTGGCATTCCGTGGGCTCGACGGTTGATGCGGTGTGCATTCAGCAAGACATAAATGCCACTCCACACTTCATTGCAGGCTTGAACGAGATGTGCTTTGCTCAGATCGAGAACATTGCTCATGACCTCGAAGCATTTGCGAAGCATTGCGGCCGAGGAGTCATCGGTGCGAACGACGTTGTATTGCTGGGCAGGAGGAACGACGGCCTCAGTGCAGTTCTACGAGCCGAAGCGAAGGCAGTGAAGGAAAGCAACGACCTACGATGACCGCAAAGAAGAAGCTTGCCTTACTCCGCCAGTGGCTCATGGCAAGACGCTACGCAGCACTGAACGCGGAACAAAAGCTGTGCGCTCAAACTCATCGAAAGTTGTAGTATGGTCAATCCTTGTCCGGGAACCCAAGTTTCACCTGCGAGCAGTCAGTATGTAACCCCGCTGCATGACTTAAGATGCTTTACTGACGCCGAATGCAGGATACACGAAGCGAGTGATGCCTTTCTTCTTGTGGATGTTTTCCAGCGCCTCCATATCCGATGCGTCAAGCTTGACCGTCTTCAGATTCTCCTCAATCCGCGAAGACGTTACCGACTTCGGTAGGACGACATGACCTTTGTTGACTGCAAGCCGTCAGCGCACGCGAGAATGACCACATATAGATCATGCTCACCCTGATAGCTTATGAGAACGGTCCCGGGCCCCACGTTGTGTTTCTTGGCCACCTCCTGCACGCCCTCTTCTTGGAACAGTGGGCTGCCGGTGCTACCCAACGGACTATACGCCTCGATCCTGATCCCTTTCCCTTTGCAGAAATCTGCAATCTCCTGCTGAGGAAGATAAGGATGGTTCTCGATCTGGTTCGCAGCCGGCACGACCTCGCAGTGCGGTAACAGCTCCTTCAAGAACGGCACACTGTAATTCGACACCCCAATGGCCTTGGTCTTACCAGTCTTCAACAGCTTTTCCAGCTCTTTCCACGTCTGGATGTGGCTCCACTCCTTGTCGAGATCGCGCGAGCCATCCTCGAGCTTCGGAAACAGAGGGTGGTTGCCGTTCGGGTTCATCGGCACAGGCCAGTGCATCAGATACAAGTCGACATAGTCCAATTGCAGCCTTCTCAAGCCTTCATCCAAGCACTCCTCCGCTTTCCGATGATATGTGCACCACAGCTTTGACGTTACGAAGACGTCCTCTCTCTTGCACACGCCCGCATCGAAAGCCTTCTTCAGCCCTTCGCCGACCTCGTTCTCGTTGCCGTATACAAAGGCTGCATCAATGTGTCGGTATCCCACTTTCAGCGCGTGCTCCACCGCTGCAGCCACTTGGCCTGGATCACTCTGCCAAGTACCGAGTCCGACTGCAGGAATCCTTGAGCCGCTGTTGAGCGTGAAAGTTTCCGCCGCCATTGTGTTCTCCCCGGGATGCTTGATGCTGTCAGGTGTACGCGCAAGCATGAACTTCGCCAGCGCCGGGTTCATAAGCGCAGCATTGCGTAGACAGCTCGGTGTTGCAATGCAGCGAACAATTCCTGCCCCACACTCACATTACTACGGGATGCTTGAAGTTTTTCCGACCACCGGCTAATCAACCTCGACCTCTCATCGGCTTTTGACAAAGAGCCTCCAACCTAAGGAACGATACCGCAATCAGGGACAGACCTGAACCCGCAATCCTTAGGCAAGTACGCCGTTTGCTACATATAGTCTGCAGATGCCAAGAACGCCTACTTAGCTTCGATCAGACTTCGTCCGTCGAATCCTGTATACTCGAGCAATTATGCTGTATAACCACTAGCCCTTTCTGCAGACTCTCTCCGAGACCAGCAATGCAGGATTGTCAACGGGAACCGATCTTGTCTGTTGCGGTTCTGACGTCCGGCTGGCGTGAAATACATTCGAGCCAATCCTCGACGGGAAGAGGCACATGTGCTGCTGCAGCTCGCCAAAGCTGCATCCTCCATGCAGCAATGCAAAACGGCGATGCGGCGCAGCAACAGCCAGCCACTCGTCCCGCTGCATGGTCCTCCACAGCCCCGTCGAATGGGACTTATCTGGTCCGCAAGTGACTGGAGATTATAATGCTCAGATGTGTATCTGGGAACTTGACAATTGAAAACACGACCAACTGAGACCGCACGGCGTCTCCTCAATAGAAGCTCTTGGTGCGGCCTTGAGCGTGTTTTCAATCGTGACTGCTGCTATCCAAAGCGCTCAGTATATCATCGAGACAGTGGATAATGTCAGGATGTGCCCGAAAGCCTGAAGATTGTCAAAGCTGACATTAAGACTTTACTTCCGCTCCTGAAAACGGTCTAGGCGACTGCATGGCATTATGGAAATACAGGCCGCTATGCTGACTTTAAACCCGCCATCGACTGCTGCGAGCACGCATGCTTCAGGACACGCATGAGCATTGACAGATCGATCAAGCATGACCGTGATCCAAAAGTCCTATACTGGATTGGCGGATTAGCGAGTCGAGTTCAATGGCCATCAAAGACTCCGTCCTCGTTACGCAAGCGGGGTCGTCCGGAAGTCCCAAGCCCACAGTCGGTCACCGCAGCTTCGGAATCTTTCTCGAAGGCAACCTCGCTAGGACGACACACGAACACAGAGTGGCAGAGTATCGAAGGCGTGCTAGTAAGGCGACGGAACAGGATAGCGGAGGAGGATGGCTCTGGTGAGGAAATTCTCCTTCCGTTATGGTTGACGTTTTGGCCGCCGAGCCTAGATACCGTTTGTTTGGTCGGCGCCCATCAGGAACAGGTCGATGATGCGGCGTTTGACAAAAGTGACGCTAATGCTCATATACCATACGACGCTTAATCGTGAGCTCTCCTGTCAGCATTCAGCCTCTACGAACAGACTTAAAGGTATAATGATCAAGGCGTGTTCTGGCATGTGGACATGCTTGACGGGATGTACTTTCAAGCTGAGGAGGCTGTATGTCAATCGAAGGAATGCGGCGCCAACGCGCTACTCAAGACGTGAAGAATGTGCTGCAGCCACTTTCTCCGCCGCCTCGGTACTGCAACACCCAGCATAGAATTCGTCTGCCAGCCACGGCCGTATACATGACAGTGGCTGAGATGGAATCTCCTTGCTGAGTATGAGCATTCTCTCTCGGCGTATCGATCAGTCTCCTCTCGCCTTCCGCTTCTCATCATACGCTCCTAGTTCGTCAGTGCGAAGATGAGAAGACAATGCATATACAACCTCCTACTTTTGCTGCCATCAGCGCTATGCCACATGGAAATGAGCTGGCCATACCCGTTCCGCAGCAAATATGATCCTGCAAACAATTACGAGAACATAGACTACAGCATGACTTCGCCGCTGGATGCGGACGGATCGGATTTTCCTTGCAAAGGCTATCAAAATGATGAATCCACAAGGTCGCCGATCGCATACATTGCAGGCTCAACGTACAACGTGACTCTGGCAGGATCGGCGGCGCACGGCGGCGGGTCATGTCAGCTGTCCCTATCGTATGACAACGGGGCTACCTTCCGAGTGGTCAAAAGCATGATTGGGGGCTGTCCGCTCACATCGACGTACGATCTCACCATTCCAGCATATGCTCCAGCCGGAGCCGCACTTCTGGCATGGACATGGCAGAACTACGAAGGCAATCGCGAGTTCTACATGGTAAGTATCTCCAGGCTTACATCCGAGGTTGACGCTTGCTGACTCGACGATCGGAAACGTAGAACTGCGCCGCAATACGCATCACAAGACAGATTCCAAGCCTTAGAAGGCGAAAAGCGTTCAGGAGCTTCGAGAGCCTGCCATACATCTGGCGGACTAACCTTGCAGGCCTCAACAACTGTACCACGGCGGCCGAGCAGCCACCGAGCGATACAGTGGTGTATCCGAATCCCGGACCTGACGTACAGTACGGCGGAGGCATCAACAGCTCGAGTCCAGCAACGCAAGGTGACTGTGACTTACCGATGCCTTACGGGCAGACATACCATCACGACAGCAACAGTGCCTCCGAGCCTGTCGCGGAGGCTAGTGACCCTGCAGAGCATACCGCTGCGAGTAGTCAAACTTCCTCATTAAACCCATCCCAAGCGGAGGCTCCGGCCGCACAGTCACGAAGCGCAGGTACGGCGTCTACCACGGGTTTCATGCTTCGTCAACGGCCGGTATTGACGTACGATTACTCTCCTCCAACGACCATCACAGTAATCGTGGAGTGCCCATCGGTGATCACCATCACCACAACAGTCACTCCTGGCACCTCGACAGTGACACAGACGGCTGTGCCTGATCACACCACAACAATCGGAGTCGTAATTACTGCTAGTGAAAGCCCCGTTGCTGAGCCTTCGTCGGCACCCACATCTGACAACAACAGCTCCTCCAACAACAACCGACCCGTTAACCAGCCTCCCTACGCCACTGGAGATCTAAGTGCTTATCTCCCTTGCGTTCCCGGCACGTTCATATGTAGCAACAGCACAACCTTCTATACCTGCGACTACAACGACGGCTCCGATCCATCAAGGCCCTCCAACGCATACATCTACGACTACCCGCGTACTGTTGCTGCCGGGATGGAATGTCTTCCCTACTACTCGCCTTATGCTAGCGATACCACGCAGTATGCGCAGCAACCTACTTGTCCGCAAGGCTATTGTAGGGATGACAGGTATGTCCGGTATCGACCGGACGGTGACTGCAGCGAGAACGGGAGCATTATGTGTACGGATGGGGGGCAAATGTTCGATATGTGTGATCAAGGCGGGTGGGTACAGATGGGCTCGGTTGCGGCAGGCACGACGTGTGAGAACGGAGAGATGGTCGCCAGCAGCTAATGATGACAGAGCATGAGTTCGTCTACAGTTCACGCATTGCTAACTCTTTCCTGGTATCGTTCGTGGAGAACATATTTGAGTCGAACCGTCCAATGCCTGCATAGAGCTCGAAGCGCGAATACAACGCTGATGCCTGAAAGCCCAATTGGTATGCTGATATGTATCGCTTACAGTTTCGAAGGCGGTGCGCCTTCGCTGCTATCAATGACTACCTTCAGGACGAGTCTGCCGTCGGCATCTTTCGTCTTCCCAGCCATCTCAAACGCTTTCGGCGCCTCCTCAAGTCCACAAAAGCGGTGCGTGACTAGCTTCGAGAAGTCTGGACCGTCCTTACTCCTCATTGCTTGCTGCACAATCTCAATGCTCTCAGGGTAAGTATTTGCATATCTGAATACGCCTACTATATCCACCTCCCTCAGCGCCGCAGCCGCGAGCGGCAATGTCTGAATCGGGTGTCCCATACCGACCAGCATCAACCTGCCGCCAGGCCGAGTCGAATAGATGCCCGCTTGTACGCATGAAGGTACGCCCGTGCATTCGAAGACTGTGTCCACTTCACCCACGCCGTCGATCTTGCCGATTGCTTCGGCGGTCTCCTTGGCCATTGTGAGACTCTCGTCAATGTCTTTCCCTCGCCGCATGGGGACTGTGTAGCTGTTGTGAGCGAATCCGTTCTGTACAGCGAACTCTAACCGGCCAGCATCGATGTCCGCTATGATGACCCGGCTGGCCCCTTTTAATTTTGCCACTGCGGCACAAAGAAGACCGACTGCACCGGCGCCGAATACCAGCACTGTAGCCTCCGGTTGCATTAGACTTCTGCGGAAGGCATGCAATGCTACACCTAACGGCTCTAAGAGGGCTCCCACGTCTAAGCCCACATCCTCTGGCAGCTTGTAACACCACTTCGCTGGATGGTTGATCCTTTGTTGCAGTGTGCCCTGAAAATGCGGGAAGCTCTTACCGCTACTCCTAAACTTCATTTCCTTACAGATGTTATACCTTCCCTCTTTGCACTTCGGACATCGTTCGCATGGCAGGCCAACTTCTAGTGCCACCTTATCACCGGGTCTGAGATCTGAGACTGACGAGCCGACTTCTGTGACTATACCGGAGGATTCATGGCCAAGAGATAGCGGTTCTCGGACAAGGATGTCGCCGTTACGGTAATGGGAGTAGTAGTGCAAGTCGGAGCCGCAGAGGCCGGTGGATGCGATCTGGATCTGGACTTCGTTTGCAAATGGCGGAGGAAGCTGTCTCGACTCCTAGTATAGCATTATCGTCAGCTATGGTTCATCAATGTCAGTACGTCCACTCACGATTCGTAGATCTTTGACGCCGTGCAATACCGATGCCTCAACCTGCGTCGCCATATTCGAGAGAGCTGCTGTGATGGGCACCCCCAGACGTACGAGATGAAAGGCCGAGTTATATCTGATCAACTTCTCACCCGATCTTGCTAGTAGGCTCTTCAACTGTCAGCAACATAATTCATGTTGACATTGTCATGCTGCCATTGCTACTCGGCGTCTGACCAGAGATCGGCAATTGATTCTCTTGCCAGCCGAGGTGCCTTCATCCTCGCCTCGAGATCTAGGAACGAGACCATCTTCTAGCACAACATATATGGCGACAATACGAGCGCAACAACTGACCGAGCATCTACAATCTCCTGCCTCGACGATGGCATCGGTTCAGCAACTTTTCTCCCTTGAGGGGCAGACAGCGCTCGTCACTGGCGGAACGAGAGGGATAGGGCAAGCAATGGCGATTGCACTGGCGGAGGCAGGAGCTGACATCCTCTTAGTACAGGTATACAAGAAGCTCGACGCTTGAGACAATACATAGCAGCCCGTGTTAACACATCTTGCAGCGTAACGAGAATGACCGGGATACAAAGCAAGCAATCGAGAAACTGGGCCGAAAGGCCACCATCTATACTGCAGACCTGGCTTGTCCTGAATCGATGAAGGCATTGTTACCGAAGATACTCCAGAATGATCACCGTGTTCATATCCTCCTGAACTGCGGCGGCATCCAACGGCGACATCCGGCCCACCAGTTCCCAGACGATGACTGGAACGAAGTGCTACAAGTCAACCTCACCGCCGTCTTCACACTTTGCCGCGACGTAGGCGCCCACATGCTTAGTCGTCAACCGGACCAATATGGCCGAAGAGGCAGCATCATTAACATAGCTTCACTCCTCTCCTTCCAAGGTGGCATCAACGTCCCCGCCTACGCGGCGAGCAAAGGCGGCGTGGCACAGCTCACGAAAGCATTGAGCAATCAATGGGCGAAGGACGGCATTACTGTCAACGCCATTGCTCCAGGCTACATTGCCACGGAGATGAACACGGCGCTGATGCAAGATGAGAAGCGAGCAGCAAGCATCCTTGAGCGGATTCCTGCGGGAAGATGGGGAAGTCCGGATGACTTCAAGGGTGGTGTAGTGTATCTTGCAAGTAGGGCGAGTCAGTACGTCTCTGGTGAGATCCTGACAATTGATGGTGGGTGGATGGGTCGGTAGATCACTCTTTCACTCTTGATAGCACGCGAGAAGGCCGCTAAGCCGACATTTGCGTGCTTGCCTTTGCCGACTTCAATGCATTTTCCAAACGCCGACAACCAACGTTACGGAATATGTACAACCGAGCAAAGATCGCTGCTCGGACGGTCCGACTATGAGCCAGGATCAACGTTTGACCGAGCTCTCGCTCCGACCGGAGATCGAATAACTGCTCTGGTTGGCCCTCGACCCATCGCCCCGCTTCCCTCGGGGATACTGGAAGAGCCTATGCTCCGGATTGCTCCATTGGGTATAACTGCTCCGTCACGGCCACCGAAGGATCCGGTCTTTCCAGCGCTAGGAAGACTGATTCTCCGTTGGCCGCCAATAGCACTTCGTGGCATCCACACCCAACCTGCTCGCTCGTGGGTCAGATGAGGCCATGGTAGGCTTGCTGCATGCCCTTCATGCCGATCGTGCAGGTGTTGTCTAGGCTGACGCTGCGGGTATAGCTAAGGTAGGTCGGCTGTGGTTGATATACATTATGAACACCTCGCTGCCGAAGGTAGGCTCCTACTTCTGATCGATCTCGTTGGGCTCGTTGAAACAGTTGGGCATCTCAACTTGGACCATACTATTGCATGGCTCTAAGATTTCTCCTCATCCTTCTTCACTCAGCCGGCTCCCCATGATGGCCCCAGCAACGACGTTCGAAGAACCGCGTGTTGCAGAGGACGTCAATGACCACCGTGATGGCCTTGCCCTCGAAGCAACCTCTGATGCCATCGACGAAGTCAACGTCCTGAAGGCCTCGATGCGGGTGAAGAACGGCACAGCGACCCAAGCGGAAGTCGACCTGTACGAGAAATCCCGCTTCGACGCCGACAAAGACAAGACCCAGTTCCGCCAGTACGAAGCCGCCTGTGATCGAGTCAAGAACTTCTACCGCGAACAGCACTCCAAGCAAACCGTCGCCTACAATCTCAAGGCACGACATGACTTCAAGACGAAGACGCGGGCCGAGATGACGATCTGGCAGGCCATGGAGAAGCTGAACACGCTTATCGACGAGTCCGATCCGGATACGTCGCTCAGCCAGATCGAACATCTGTTGCAATCCGCCGAAGCAATCCGCCGAGATGGCAAGCCCGAGTGGTTCCAGGTGACTGGCCTGGTTCACGATTTAGGGAAGTTGCTGTTCTTCTATGGCGCGCAGGGGCAATGGGACGTCGTGGGCGACACTTTCCCCGTCGGCTGTCGGTTCGACGAAACGATCATTTATCCCGGCACATTCGTCGACAACCCGGACAGCCACGACCCGATCTACAGCAGCGAGTACGGGATCTACTCGCCCGGCTGCGGGCTGGATAACGTGATGCTGAGCTGGGGCCACGACGAGTATCTGTACCATATCTGCAAGGAGCAGAGTACGTTACCTGACGAGGCGCTGGCGATGATAAGGTATCATTCATTCTACCCGTGGCACTCGGCGGGTGGGTATCGGTGGATGGTGGATGGAAAGGATGAGAAGATGCTTGCTGCTGTTAAGGCATTCAATCCGTATGATCTGTATAGCAAGAGTGACGACACGCCCAAGGTTGAAGATCTGAAGGCGTATTATATGGAGTTGATCAATACGTACTTCCCGCCCCGGGAGGGGGAGACGGAAAGGGTGATCAGATGGTAGTGCGTCGTTTCTTTCGTAGCGCATGATGGGTATGCAGCTGCCGTTTCGTCGTAACGATGAAGTAAAGCAACTCAGAAGGCGTTCCTGCGCACTTGTCCCACGCTGTCACCTGCTACAACAAGGCCGCAAGCAGGTCAGTATCCAGCTCCCACACTTTCTCGCTGCCTCCGCGCATCAATTAACGCGCCGGTGAGCGTAGCCGCGGTAACGACGGCCACAATCGTCAAAAGCACGACAACCTCCCACCAAGCCCAGCCTGGTCCGCGTCTGCTCCTTGTCGTTGCCGAAAGTGATGTCATGTTGCTCGGTTCCGAGCCTGTGAGGCTGTTGCATGGTGTATAGCTATAGCATGGCATAGATGAGCTATTTCGTACATAGTTGCTGAAATATGCTGGCGGTGGCGGATCCTCGGTTGTGTACTTTGGTGGTGGTACGTCGCCTATGTTTTCGATGTCCGTCATCATGAGGAAAGCTGCCAGTATCGTTGTACTGACCGTAAAGGTGGCGCATCTTATGTGCTTGTAGCTGCATCCTCAGCTGGTTCGAAGCTGGGTTAGACTCCCTTTGTCCCCCAACGTAAGCTTTTGCGCTGAAAGCCCCCCCATCTCTTGCGCAGTTACACAGAGCCATAAGACTCACTCTGCCTCAGCATCCCAGCTGAGCATCTCGGATGATTGCCTTTCTTTTCACGGCCCCGCCGGCGCATCCACTCCCGCCTTCCTCGCATCCGACCGAGCCTTCATACCCTGGTACGCCACATCGCCCACACTCGGCGCATCAAACCCAGCCGCCTTGGCCGCCTGATTCACATCCTTGGTCGCCGCGTCCGCCTGACCCGCAGCGCCCGCCGCCGCCTGACCGACCGCACCCTGTCGTCGCAGCGACCACTGCATTTTGGCTTTCTCGTACGCCACTGCCGCGTTCGTGCCGGCGACCATCATTGACTCCTGCGCCCAACCGATGTAGGATTGCTGGTTCTTGCGCTCGATTTCCGTCTCCAGGTCTTTGATGTGTTGCTCCGAGATGTCGGTTGCGTCGGTGGCGGTTGAGGTGGAGGAGGGTAAGGCGTCTTTGACCGCGGCGGGCACTTCGTCGAGTTTTGTTTTGCTCATCTGTTCGGTCGGAGGAGCGTTCTCCGCTTGCGCCTCCTCCTTCTTTTCGGACTCTTTCCGCTCTTGCTCCGCCTTCGCCTCTTCGGCCTTGAATTCCTCCTCTTCCTTCTGCAGCTCGCCACGGTCGATGTCCTCGAAGCCGACCTTGTGCAGGATGCTACCAGTGAGGAAGCGGTAGCTTGTGTGGTTCGACACCATGTCGGAGACATCGACGCTTTCGACCCCTTTGACGTTCTCGATAGCCTGCAGCCCGGCGACTCCAAGCTGCAGACTGCTGCTCCGGTACAGGAAAGCGAGGATATAGTCTTTCGTGCTATAAACGTTGACGACTCGGCCACTCACCACGGTGCGAAGCTGTCTCCAATCGGCAGAAGTCGAGGGTGTGGGTGCGCCGATAAGCACGGCGGACTCCACAAGGCCAAAGGCTTTACGCTCGGCGAGTCGCTGAAGGCAGGTGAAGATGACTTTGGCGCCGATGGAGTAGCCGATGAGCGTGATCGGTCGCTCACCTTGCGCTTTGTTGATCCTACACTTCGTTAGCAAACATCGCAAGCTGGTACGATACATTGTGTCAAGACTGACAAAGCATCGGCAAGCACCTCGCCAGCTTTCTGCGCGCGGTAGTTCGCCACCGACCACGGGTTATCGATGATTCGCGAGATCTTCAACAATCCCAACGGCCACAGTCCAGCAGAAAGCGAAGCGAAGACCGTCCGCTTGATGATCTCGCTTTTCGCGTAGCCCCAAGCAGCGGACGTGACCATGGTAGTCATTGAGTTGCCCAAGTTCATCAGAGCTTCCAGTTCGAACCTCAGCGCAAACGTCTCCATTTCCGTGCCAATGACCTTCCACGGCGCCACGACTTCTTCTTTGTCGGTAAGCCAGCCACTAATGCCGATTGCTACGCGCAGTCGCCGGTACTCCTTCTCGATCTTACGGGGCTTGTGCCGCGCGCGGACGCTGACGAACGCGAAGTCCTCTACCTCACGTGCGTACTGGTCCACCATCTGCCCAGTCATGCGGCCACCGTAGGCGCCAAAGAGTCCGCCTACGATTACAGAGCTGCCGGCGACTGAACCAAGATAGCCCGCAGCAGCCGTCGCTCCAAGACCGAGACCTCCCATCACGGAGCCAACGCCGGCTGCAAGTAATGGCGCGGCGAGACCGCCCGTGACACCAATCAACGCCGCGCCGGCCACAGTAGCCAGTCCTACTTTCCACTTCCGGCTGTCCTGGTTCTGCTCGGCGGCCTTCTTAGTCTCCTCATCTGCCTTCATGTTCTCTGCGGCCGCCAGTAGGCCTCGAGCGACTTTGCTTTCGTCTTGCGCCAAGATTGAGATGCTCAGGGCCAAGCTTGTGGTGAGGTAGAGTAGGAGTGTTCGGGAGTAGGCCTGGTAGTGCTCCAGACTCAGCAACAGAAGCAAGAGTGAATGCAGGATCAGCGCTCGTTGCTCTTGTGGGAGTTTCTTGAGCGAGTTGTTGATGGGTGGGTACAGTTTCTCCATCATCTCGTCCACGCCGGGATCGTACTTGGGCGGGTCCGGGTAACGCATTGGACTTCCCGCACGTTCTGGCGTAGCCTGCTGAGGTTGGGCATGGTGTGTATGGTGCTCGGCCGTCTCCTTCGAGTTCACAATCTCGCCCACACGCTGGATGACGGACGCTCTCCACTCGTCAAAGTGCTTCAGTGCTGCCGTCTTGAGCTCCTGCATCTTCGGCGCCCCGAGTTCTTTCTCACGCGCCGCCAGCTCCCTCTTGAGCTTATCCTGCTGCGCTACGTCGACCGTGCCCGGCTTAACATCCGGGTTGAGCAACGCTTGGTCGCCTGTGAGGTCTGATACCATGTCCGCCTTCTTGCCCGTCTGCTTGGCGTCGAAGATGTCCACGAGCGACTGTCGCATCACTTCCGTGCAGTCGGCGACGAGGATGGTGAGTGCGCTTCGGTCTTCGCGCGTGTGCAGTATCGTCGTCAACGACTCGCCTTCTTCGTCGGTCTTCTTGATCTTCTCCTCGTGCCCGAAGGCACCGGCCCACGGGCCGTTGGACAGCATGCTGGCCATGTTGATGTCTGTTTGTGGGTGAGTGAGTGTGGTAGTCGACCTTTGTCAGGTCGAGCTCGAGAGAGAGAATTCCATCTTTTGCTTTGTCGACATCCAACACACCACCCACCCACCGTGATGTCACCCTGCTTCCGCCCTTGCATGTAAGTGAGGGCCTTCTGCGCCACATACATGTATGCAGTGTTCAGTCAGCCACACGGGCATATTTCAATACCGCCACGCTATAACAACATCGAACTCGGGTACATGTATTAGATGATTGTGAAAGAGCATGTCGTTCTAGGGCTACATGGAGCAGTCGCCATCGCAGTCGAAGAGACTGTCACTACGACCCGAATGGCGTGACAATCGACTCTCCTTCGTGGCATCCATCAAACCGAGTCCGAGTACAGATCAAAGCACTCGCAATCCTACCATCGAGCAGTCTCCCTTGAAGCAACAGACCAGGCCAGACATCTTCGAGCCGAAGGTTGTAGGCCTCTACCGGAGGCTGGTCGAGGTATTGTCTCGCGCGCCCCAATCCTTATTCACACGTTAACACGAACAAGCCGCAGCCACACGACGATGTCGATGAGCTTGCCGAAGGCTTCTGGGCGGAGCTCTTCCTGCTCAAGCCAGACGTACCAAGGCTCCGCCAAATACTCGACGACACCGACACGGACAGTCTCCTACACCTACAGCATTCAACGCAGCAGCTAGTGGTGCAGAGCATAGCAGCCACCAAGCTCGGTCAAGCGCCTTCTGATGAGCACGCTCTTGAAGTAAGTCTACTATCATCGTGTCTTTTCCACGCCCAGCAAGCATCCCTCCGACTCATGACTTAGACTCTCACAGTACTCTTCGCCGTGGTTCTAGCTAAGAAGTACACCAACCCTAATGCCGACATCATCGAGGTGCTAGCCGGCCTAGACCATGTTGATACTGTCTTCACCGAGCTAGCTGCCACCCTCGACCATGTCATCAGAGATGGCAGGACAGATGATATCAAGCAAAACGCTGTGAAGACGGCTATTGCTGTTGTGTCTGGAGGCTACCAGACAGCGCTTGTATCCTACTTCATGCAGCGCGACTTCTTCCCTGGACTGATTAAGCTGGCCCAGCAGCTGGCGAGCCCGCTACAAGCAGCACAGCCTCTACTGCTTGCGGGATTGCTGGTGAACTACAACAAGTTCGAGACGCACAACCAGTACAAGGTGCGGTTTGCGGACTTTGTCAACGACGATGCGATGCAAAGTATAGTAGCCTCCGTGGGATGGACCAGCTCCCTACTCCGAGCTCGCTACATCGCGATACAAGATGACACTCCTACCAGCTGGAGTGTCGCCGGAACACTCTCATACGTCGGCCTTGGAGCCCTGGCTGGTGCGAAGCCCACTGCCGCTGCCAAGCCCACTGCTGCTCCTGTAACGGAAGAAGCACAGCGAGAGCTATTTGGCCAGCAACCCGGCCCGGAGAGCGCTAGTTTTTTGACACTCTACGACTTCGTCCTCCCCAACAAGTTGTCCTGCCATCGATTTATCTCACAAGCCGCGCTCTCGAAGGCGGAACCGCCGCCATTCAGCGCCTTCCTCTCTTTCGCTAGCTACCTTTACCAACATGCCTATCGCTCCGCGAGAGCGGCGGCGTACGCTTACCTGACATTACTCATAGTGCTGATCGTTATCGAAGATCAAACCACCGCAAAGCTCATATGCGAGACTGTGGCGCCAGTGCGACTATGCCGGCAACGCCCGCCGTTCCTGCCCTTGCCCAAAGGTGATCGGACGTATGCGGCTGCTATCCTTGATCTCTTAATGGACGGCATCAACCACAACTTACGGAAGCGACTGGATGCGAGCTTTTACCTGCAGTCCTTAACCGTGCTGTCGCGCCTGCTGACCTACCTCGCCCGATCACGCACGAAGCTGGCTTACCACTGGTCAGAGCTCTGGCGCTCTCTACTATCGTTTGTGCGCTTTCTGAACCAGTACGCGGATGATATCAAGACACTGCCGGACGCCACGAACTTGATTCAGACGCTCGTGGACGTCCTGGCGCTCGCTCTGACGAGCGGGGAAGCGTTCTTGCCCAGCACGGCGGCGTACGATGACCTCTTCTACAAACTTGTAGAGTCCGGCGAGGCACTCATCAAGCTACGGGAGCTACACCACTTGGCATCCGCGGATGAAAAAACGGCTTCGGTCAATACTCTCATCGGCGTCTCCGAGCATTATACGGAGTTGATTGAGAGCCAACGAGCGAAGAAGGAACACCTCAATCCCGCCGAGATTGGCAAGATCATCAAGCGCGGGTATGAGACGTTGAATCTCGAGCCTGCCGGGGAGGGGAAGGTCGAGCACGTGCAGAGGGTATTCAGGGAGGCGGATTACAAGGCAGAGGTGAAGCGGATTGTGAGGGTTGTGGTTGCTGATGCTTTGGGATCTGTGAGTGGGGTTCAATGAGTGTACCACTGCTGCACCACTCTGGTTAGTAGACGTACCATAGACTCAATTGTATGCCGTGCCATGTTAGCCTGTGGTACTCGGTCATCGGTCGTGAAGAAATGGTGAGCACGCTGCCAGACCTGCTCTACTGCTCCGCGTAGTGTCGGTGCGTGAGCTTCGCTTGGACTTTAAGCTTTATTATATGTTGGTTTCCATCAGAACCTATTAATGAGGCAGACGAGGTAAGCGGCCAGCCAGGTCGCTAAATTCGAACTCGAACAGGTCTTCTCCACGCCGAACTGCCACCTCATCCCAGCCGCACCGGAGGACGCACGTATACAATTCAGGATCGGTAAGGACCAGGTTAGCCATCCATGACATGGAAATGGGCACTGATGCGTGAATCCCAGATCTACAATACTATCACCTGCTTCTTGTCGAACCCCTGGAAGTTCATACACCGTTGATCAGTCTGGGACAAAAGCATCCCATCCCAGTCATGCCAACTGTCCCCGTTCTGAAATTCGAAGTAACGACAGGTACTACACGCTGCCCAGCTACCGCACGCACGAGAAGATGACGACGCCGCCTCCTGCATGGCAACCGCGTGTAGTGGATAGAGAGGTGAGGAGCGGACGTCGCAGAGCTCCAACGCCGTATCCCTTCACGCACCGTGCCGAGCCGGCCTTCAGCGGTCGCGTGGTGTGGATGATTGTGGGATGCTCTGTGGTTTTGGCGGGCATTATTACGGTCGTTCTTGTTGTGGCGGCTGTCGCACGTTATCATGTGGTAACGTCCATGTGAGTCGAGCGTCAGGCTTCCCAAAGCGAGTGGTGGAGTAGCGAGGCGTCGTAGGGGCAAGATGCTGCATTGAATAGGTTATGGGGATGGGATGGTTGCCACTCTGGCTTGGTACCTCATGTATGCCGTACGGCTATCGTACAGTTATAGCACAATGACTCACCGGAACTTGCTTATAATCACGGCCAGAATCAGAATAACAAGCACAGTAATAATCGCAATCGTAACGATCTTGTTCGTCGCCATCCTACATCACAAACCAGTCAGCACACGGTCTACACCACATCTCACCTACCAAAGGCCAGGAACATACCTCCGAATCATCCCCCTCAACGTCTTATTACTCCGATCCGTATACCCCTCACTCTCCAACAATGTCGACCGTGTATGCTCAATCGTTTCCCGCTGCCTACCCAAATCCGCCAGCGTATTCCGCCCGATATCCTCCGTCTCCAGCGCCAATCGCTGACTCTCCCTCAATCGCCCCGTACTCCGATCCAGCCGGTCGGTGCCGGAAAGTAATTGCTGTCGCTGCGCTAACTGCTCGTCTTGCGCTGAGCCAGCGGGTTCATCTCTGTACCGCTTCCCGAATAGTGCGGATCGGTCGTCTTTGAGGGAGGCGAGTTTGCGTTTGGAGGCATCTATGTCGCTTTCGTGGTTGCGGAAGCGTTGGTTTATCTTTACTTTGCTGGACTGGGGGAGGTTTTGTTTCTCCAGTCGCATTGAGTCGAGGAGCTCTTTCGCTTCATCGACCGCGCGTTCGGCTTGGGAGATGGCGGCTTTGCGTGGCTCGCCGGTGAGTTCGGGGATGCGATCAAGTTGTTGGGAGAGGTCGGCTTGGACGAGCTTGAGCTCGGCCTCGTAGTTGGCGAAGAGCTCGCTGCCGGTGTCGTCGGCCATGGTGGTGGTGGTGGTGGTGGTGGGCGCCGAGAATTATTTGGATGGTTGGGTTACTGCTGGACTATGTTACCGCGGAGTGGGTCGAACTCAAGCTTGCTGTTGGTCTACAATGCGATATAGTTGTGTATATACATGAGCTGCCTCGCTGGAGGGGGATGACGCCGCGCCCAGTCTGTGGCTGAGGATTCATGCAGGGCGCCACGTGGAATGCGAGGAAGGGGTAAACACGGCAAACACCTTCTCAAAGTCTACATGTACTTGGACAGTTGGGACAATACGGCGCTGTATAATGCTCCAATGCGCCTTGCTCTACACAGCAGCGACTGTAGATTGCTCGAAGGCAGGTAAGAGTACATGTAGCACATCCACTTCGCTCTTACTTTCCTGTGGCGGCTCGCTTCTCGCACGATCATCCCATTGGCCACGTCCATCTCAAGCCTGCAGACTATATCCAACCGTTTCACCTCCCCCCAACGCCGTTTCATCTTGTTCTTCAGACCTACTTCTCCCTTCTCAGATGAACCTCCTTCGTCGGTCCATGAACGGTCCCGAAGCAAGTACGAAAAGGAAAGCAGAAATGGCACCCGCAATAACAACTCTTCCATCCCCGGAACCGGAAGCATCGCCCAAGCGACCCAAGATCGCCATCGTAGGCTCCGGCTGCGCAGGTCTCGGTGCAGCATGGGCGCTCAAGGATAGCAACTACGACGTCCACATCTTCGAGAAGGCGAATAGACTAGGCGGTCATACTAACACTCAAACCTTCCACTATGCGGGCCCGGATGGCAGCAAGGAAAGCGTGCCCGTCGACACGGGGTTCATTGTGATGAATACGGCTACCTATCCCAACTTCATGCGTTTCCTGCGCGAAGTCGGCGTCGAGCCTGTAGAGACGGAGATGAGCTTCGGCGTTTCCCGGGACGGTGGTGAGTTTGAGTGGAGTGGCGAGACAAGAGGCATCTTTGCGCAACGTTCGAATCTGCTCCGGTGGCGGCATTGGAGGATGCTCTACGATATTGTGCGGTTCAATCAGTTCGCGCTCGATCTCCTTGCAGACGAGGGGGAGGACGGCTTGGAACGGCTGGGTTCGCCACGCAAACGAGGAAAGCTCGCGGGTGAGATGAGCATCGGGACGTATCTCGACCGCGAGGGCTACTCGGTCGCCTTTCGCGACGACTACTTGATTCCCATGACCGCTGCAGTATGGAGCACGTCGCCGGACAAGGCTACTCTGGAGTTCCCGGCGAGGACACTGATTCGGTTTATGTGGAACCATCATCTCTTAACCACTCTGGCTGTCCGGCCGCCGTGGCTGACTATCCCGGGTGGCTCGCAGCGGTACATTGATGCTGTCATCAAGAGCTTTCCGAAGGGCAGACTCCACCTGCATACGTCGTGCGAAGTTGCCAATGTGCTGCGACCCTCACGTGGAGAAGACGGTGGAGTGACGGTGTCGTGGATTGATGGCGCGAACGATTGCAAGATCGAAGGCGACGTCTTCTCCCACGTCATTCTAGCTTGCCATGGTGACGAGGTATTGCCTATACTCACCAAACACGGCACCCAACCGACCCAGTCAGCCGACAAGACCAACTTCCCTCACCGTCGGAAGTCTTCCTCCTCCGCCTTGCAATACGTCACCGAGGAAGAACATTCCATTCTCTCCTCCTTCCAAACAACCGAGAACATCGCCTACCTCCATTCCGACCTTACCCTCATGCCCCGCCGCCGCGCCTGCTGGACAAGTTGGAATTACCTCACCACCTCTCACGCGTCAAAGCTCGCTCACCCCGCGGAAGTGAGCCTGACGTACTCCATGAATATCCTCCAACATCTGCCCCAAGACACCTACGGCCCGGTACTCGTCACTTTGAATCCGCCCCACGAGCCACGGGAGGAACTCACGCAGGGGAAGTTCGTATACCGGCATCCGCTTTATACGGTCGAGAGTGTGCGGGCGCAGAAGCGGTTGGAGCGGATTCAGAATGCCAGGGGCGTCAGCTATGCGGGCGCATGGACGAAGTATGGCTTTCATGAGGATGGGTTTAGCAGTGGGGTGAAGGTTGCCATTGAGCACTTGGGTGCTGAACTGCCGTTTGAGTTTGTGGATTCGACGTACTCCCGTGGGCATCGACCGGACTTGGGGTGGAGGGATTACTTGCTGCGGGTTGTGCTGCTGCTTATACTGCTGGTGATCCGACTGCTGGAGCGTGTATTTGGATGAGTAATGCGGTGGCTGAGCGGGTCGTTTGGTTAGCTGTTATGCGCTCCCGCCCTCGTGGTGTCGCTCACTGTCCGTCAGATGGAGCGGTGGTAATGAATGTGGCTTTGGATCCGCAGACGACACGCTGGACCTGGACGTCCGGACTAAGAACGATCTCACTCCACTCGTCCACAAAGTCTGCCACGGAGCCAGCACCGAGCTGGCCATATTTGTTGTCTCCCACAATAAAGATGCGCTTGCGTTCGCCATCCGCAGCGACTGCAGCGACGTGACCATCACCTACACTCACATCTACTACATCCAACGGCTCCCCATCACTACTTTCCGCCACACAAACTAACCCCACTTCACCCGGACTCGGGAGACACCGTATCCGCTTCTCTGAGCCGGGCATCCCAGCGCCCCAGAGATACATCGCGTGATCTTCAGATACCGCTGCACTCATCCATCCTCCACTCGCGATCTGCGCCATCCTCACTCCAGCTAGCGCATCAACAATGCCGGGCTTGTCAGCCGGAGTCGAGTCGTCTCCCACGATCCGTCGACCGAGAGATTGATACCGTGGATCACCCCAGCTATAGACGTCGCCACTTTCCATTAGCAGCAGAAACGAAGCTGTGTTCGCTAGGAGCTGCTTCGTCCGGCCCGGCACCATGTGGTGGTGGTCCGGATAGTGTTGGCTATCCGATGGGTCCTTGTACCAGTCAAGAAAGCTTTGTATGCTGGCGAACTCGACGATATGACAGAGGGAGCTGTTAGGCGCTTGCTTGAACGTCACGGCGACCCCATCGTTGCCAGCGAGCACGATGTGACTTAGACGTGGCGAGTCGTCCGACGTAAGCTGCACGATCTCATGATCCAGATCATGGCCATCACCGGGCTTGGGTTCGATGCGGAACAGAGTGCCCGCCTCGTCCAAATAGCCGTGGAGGCCATTATGGTCACCGAACGCTGCTTTGGGTGGGGATGCAAGCTTGTGGTCGAGATGCTGGAAGCCTGTGCTCCAGATGAGGGTGTCGCTCGCTAAGGCGGTGGTGCTCCAGCCTGAGAACAGGACGGTCGGAGCTTGTTTCTGGGAGAAAGGAGGTAGCAAGGGCAGTGGGCTGAAGGCGCGAATGTCGCTATCGCCGTTCGGGACGAGCTGGCCGTGAGCGTTCAGGCCTGCGGCTAGTATGCCAGTTGCCTTGAGCTCCCCATCATTTGGCATGATCGATCCTAGTCTCTCCTCTTGATTGCATGGAGATATATTCACATACTAGAGCAGACATTCCTACCAGGGCATTCCGCTCTCACGCAACATTCACTGACTGTTCAGTCTCGAAGCTTCAACCTGATAACGAAAGAGCTTTGCTGGTGCTACTTCCTCAGCAAATCCGTCACTGTTGTATACGTGGGCAGGTGTTCATGCTATACATGTAAATGTATCAGTTGCCCTGCATCCACCGGTCGAAGAACATGAAGGGCACGTGAAGTGGCGTCAAGCCGAAGAAACGCCGGCGCATCACGAATTGTTCGAAGAGACACTCACGCGAGCTTCACTCTTCGCATTTACATTCACATCTCCACCACATCTCCACCATCCTCGTCTATCGAACACCTTCACACCTGCTACCAAAGACTTCTCAATTGCAATATCAGATGTCATAGCGGACTATACTATAAGGCGGCCTCTGTCACCGCCCGCCAATCCGAACAACGACAAGGACAGCGACAGCGACAGCGACACCAACACCCGACGATGGACCTCTACTCCACCAACGGCTACCTCGATGCCGACGACTCCGGTCCGCGCGTCACCATTCGCTCCGCCAACGACACCACCATCTCCTTCGTCCTGCAGCACACCTCCCTCGCCCTCGCCAACTCCCTGCGCCGCACCATCCTCGCCGAGATCCCCACCATCGCCATCGACCTCGTCGAAATCGAATCCAACACCTCCGTCCTTCCCGACGAGTTCCTCGCCCACCGTATGGGCCTCATCCCGTTGAGCACACGGGATGTGGAGGACATGTTCTACACGCGCGACTGCGCTTGCGACGAGTTCTGCGATAACTGTTCCGTTGTGCTGCAACTGAACGTGGCGAACCGGAATTTGGATCATAATCTCAAGGTCTTTGCACGCGATCTTACGGTCACGAGAGTCGACGGCACACCCATCACCGACCCACGCAGCACCGCCCATCTCACCAACGGCGCAGCGGGACTACATTCCCACGCCGAAGAACTCCCTCCCCGCGGCTTCCCCATCCTAATGGACCCCGAGCAGAAAGGTCCCCTCCTCTGCTCCCTCCGCAAAGGCCAAGACCTCAAACTCCGTTGTATCGCGAAGAAAGGTATTGCAAAAGAACACGCCAAATGGGCGCCCACGGCTGCGATAGGATTTGAGTACGACCCGCATAACAAACTCCGTCATACCACACTCTGGCATGAAGAGGATGCGAAGAAAGAATGGCCGGAGAGTAAGAACAGGGAGTGGGAGGAGCCACCGCAGGAGGGGCAGAACTTCGACTTCGTGGCGGAGCCGGAGCAGTTCTTTTTGAATCTCGAGGGGACGGGCGTGATGCCGCCAGATGGTGTGGTGCATGCGGGAATCAGGACGTTGCAGCAGAAACTCGCGACTGTCATACAGCAGTTGGCTACGACTACGGACACGGGACATGAGATAAATGGTCTAGGTGGCAGAGGGGATGCGGATATGGGCGGTATGAGCCCGCCTGACGACGGTGCTGGCACTGCGTATGGTGGGAGGATGTCCGCATATGGGCAGACTGCGTATGGTGGTGGAACTACGCCGGCATATGGAGGGCAGGGAACGGCATATGGAGGCCAGACGCCGGCGTATGGGCAGGGCAGTGTTTATGGTGGGGTTGGCGGTGCGACGCCTTATGGGAGCCGGCCGGGGTACTGAATAGGCCTGTGGGAGTCCTTGGTGCTGTGTACTTTTAGCATGTCAGGCAGACAAGCAGGCGTTAAGAGGTGGAAAAGGCATAGCGATGGCGTTGCTTTGGCGTCGGACTAAGGGTAGCTATATGGTCGGCATCGGGTCACAGCTTACCCTTCGGACTTGGTATCGAACGCGAAACGGCGCTGCAATCAGCGTAGACGGCATACTCATCATCATGAATTTGTGCAAGCGGAGAGTCCAAATTTTGCGAGCACCCAATGCGCCCGACCATCTGTACTTGAGCCTTTTCCACGCTCAAACTGCGGAACCTCCTCCCTCCTTCTCACGTTGTCGGAACCGGACCGGCAAAAGTCAATTTCAAGCCTACACCAGCAGTCAGCAACCACAGTCTACTTCCAAGCAACGCACATCGACTTACTAGTGGGGAATGGGAAGTACATATCCCAATCCTCTGTCAAGAATTGATGGTAATGCCACGCCTCTGGCATCACCTTCAGATCTCCCGGAATGAACTCCTTGACCACCTTCTTCACGGAGCTCGTCGTACTGACTCTACCGATTGCGACAGGCGCCGGCTGTAGCCGATCAAGCTTTGCTATCACTTTCAGCATCGTTGTCAAGGCTACCCGAGTCATGGGGAGACCGAGACATTGGTGCGGGCCGTGGCCGAGGTGGATGTAGGAGTCTAACGATCGGTTGAGGTCGATAGAGTCTGGGTTCGGAAACGCCACGGGGTCGCGGGAGGCGGCTTTGAGGTTCACCATCACTTTGTCCCCAGATCTAAATGTGTGGGTCTGCGTGCCGAGGGGCTTGGTCTGGTCGGGGAGGCTGGGGGAGTCGGTGATGGAGACGCTTTGGCCCGGTGGAAGGTCGACCCAGCGAAATACGCCTGTTTCGCCGTTCAGGCGGGAGGCTTCCATGAAGTAGTGCATGAGCTTGTCGTCGGCCTCTGCAGTATTTTGGCGAGCAAGGGCTTGTACTTTGGCCCAGTGATTCTCCTTGTCGACTGTCATGAACCAGTCCATTGCTTGGCCGAAGAGTTGGCCCTGGTTCGCCACCATTCCGCCGGCGGTGCCCATGATGTTGCCCCAGACTAGATCCTCAATGTTCGTGTCGGCTTTCACGAGCTGGTGGATCATGTGGATGCCATACTGACTCAGCTCCGGTGCGGAACGGTCGAGCTGCTTACCAACGTATTCGGCAAGGTTGCCGCCGACTTTGATTACGGTTACGAGACCCTTGACGAAGGCGCCGAGCGTTTGGGTTGCTGCTCGGGCTTGCTGGCGGAGTGGGAAGGATTTGGGCGGGTCGACGTCGAAGAAGACGCAAATGAAGACTGCGGCGGTAATGAGGTAAAGTTGGCCCTCGGTCAAGATGCCGCGCGGGAAGTCGTCCGTCTTGAGCGGGAGGCTGAAGAGCTCGGCGGCGAAGTGAACATGGACCATGTTACCTACATCACGGATGATGTCGACGTACTGCGTTCCAGCGAGAGTGTAGCTTTTCTGCTTCAAGAGCTTGACGGTGGTACGCTCATAGAAGGTTCGGACCGACTTCAGCCACTTCTCATCGCCAGTTGGGATCGCACGAGAAGGCGCTGGTGGGCCATTGGTCTGATAGAGCGCCTTTTCCATCAGCTGCCGGCTTTTCGCATTCGGTGGTCCGTCGCCAGAGAGCATGAAATTCGCCGCCGCAGGGCCCATCAAGAACTTCATGGGCTGTCCCCACGTCACTTTAAAGGCTTGCTGGTTCTCCATGATCTTCGTCGCTGCGTCGTAGCTGAAGACAACGGTGGGCTGACCAATGGGTTCGGGCCTATCGGTGAGGTTGGTGTACAAGTGCGCTTTGTTCAGGCGGGTAAGCACGTCCGCCATGCCGTCTTTGCCATGTGGTACTGTCATCGGATAGTGCACGTACACCGACGCCGGGTCGTAGTTGTTTGGCAGAGCGCGCAGGAACAACTTGTACCAAACGCAACCATTGTCGATTGTCAAGTCGGAGGATGCCTCTTGGAAACCCCAGTTGGTCAGAGACGCTGGCGTGTAATTCGTAGTGAAGAATCTGTCACCGCGTACAAGCGCGACCGCGTCCGACAGCACACCACGAGAGACTGTGTATGAGGGGCAGAGACCGGAGCCGGGCAACATGGGCACCTTGGCGTCCTCGACTACGAGACCTGGGTACAGCTCAACGTTGTCGGGTGTATCGTAGAGATGCTTGAGAGCTTCCGCTACCTCCTTGTCCTTGGTAATGTCGTCGAAAGTACGATGCGGCGTCAGGCCGAAGTGCTTCCGGAACTCATTCAGCGTCGCTACCTGCCATGTTCTGGACTGCATGATGCCAAGGATCTCGATGGCTTTCATGACAGTCGGTACCTGGCGGGGCCCGTACGCGTTCGCACAGTCTTCGATCGACTCAGTGAGGATCTTAGCGATATCGTCGTCTCTGTAGTTGCCCTTGTACGGTCCATCCGGAATGCGCTGGAGGACCTCATGTTGCAAAGCCGGCCATTTTCGGTCCATCGGATCCTGTCCCATGAACTCACCTTCCTTCGCGGCAAGTATACCAAGGAATTTGTAGATGTTCTTAGGCTCAGCAGCCTGCTGTGGAGTCATATTGGGGCAAATCTCCCTGAACAGTTGCTGGCTCCACTCGTCGTCCCTCCACGACACAGCCGCATGCCAGCGATAGACCAGGTTGAACTCGGCACTAACTTGGTTACCCGTTCCTCGCGGCGGCCCATTAGGAATGTCAACGCGCGGATTGAGCTGCCAGTTCTCATCCGTGCGGTTGAGGTTGAGTATGGTGCGGACATAGTCGATGAGGATGAGGTTGACGTACAATCCGCAGACTATCAAGCGTGCAGTCTGGAAAAGATCATCATCGCGCTTATTGATCTCTTCCAGTGGCTTCTCTGGCTCACCCTTCTTGCTGGGCTCTCGATATCGCTTGACTGTGAGATGCTTGGGATCCTCCGTGAACCGGCCATCCTCATTGATAGCGGCCAATTGCTCGACGACGTAGTTGTGATAGCGATTAAACATAACCAAGACGGCACCAACACCGGGCGGAAATGTGAGCAGCCTCGGCTCAAAGAAGCAGTCAGGCTTGAGCTTGCCGTCCTTGAAGGTACGCATTGACTTCTGATCCTTCCAATTACTACCGTACAGCGGCGCCAGGTCGAGATATGATGAGGTGTCTGAAATATTGAAGTCATCGTGATCCGTCTTGAAGATGTCGTGAATGATGATGGAAGCCAAGTAGAACAGCATGCTCGAAATTCTGTTTGGGTGCGTCTCACCCTCAGGCTTCCTTCTCGCCATCAAGCTGTCGAACAAAACGCCAGGGTCAGGCAGAGAGCCCGGGAGCTTTGTCTGACGAGCCACGGTGCGTGCGTACGGCATGCCCGCAGCCCCAACCTGTGGATATAGGTAGTTGTTCTTGCTGCCATCAGGCATGCGGTACTGGTACTCGTCGCTCAACAGAGTTTGCGGCGGATGCGCCAAATCATTCCATAGTTGCGTCACGAAATCATTTGTAAGCTTCGTGTCGAGTTTGTCTGGTGGCAGCATGGCAGCAGCCTGAATCAAGCGCTCCATTCGGTAATCGCGGTCGTTGATCAGCTCGTGCGTCAACCCAGCTTTCGCCACAGTGACAAGATTAGCCACCTTGTCCGGTCCCAGATGCGCAAGATCTCTGAGTACTTCGCCCAGAATCTTCACGGAGCTCTCCTTCTGCACTGGCGGCAGTTCAGAACCGTCTCCAGTTTGAGTTGGTAGCGGGTCCCGGATTGCTTTGAGAAGCGTTTTCGCTTGTGTGACAGACTGCCCAAAGGACTGGGTCCACTCATCTAGCTTTGACAGAGGCTTCGGCTCCGGTGTACTCTGTCCATTGTGACCCACGCTTGACAGAGCCTTACTAATGGTTTGCATGGAGTCCATATTGTGTCTGTGAACGATCAGTCAGCGTCCAAAGCCAATGCGCACTCCCCGTCAGAGGCTACACGATTACAAATAACGCAACGCTTCTTTCGTGCCCGGCTGTATGCTTGCGTCACGAGGCACGAGCCTTCGAGGCGATGTTCGAGTCCCATCCCGCGTGGCTTGACTTGCGGGCTCTGGTGGCGATCCATGGCTCTGACTGTTTCGCTTTGTCTGCAAATCTTCCAGTACCGATCCTTTGGTACCGCTCTGATCCCGCTGACCCGCGTGGCCAAGGCTATCGTGGGAAGCGTGACCAGAATCAGAGTGTCCTCTACCGGTGTGGGAGGGATCCCGGTCAGCCGCTGCATGGTGCTGGTGGCGATGCGGTAGCCAGCGCTCGAAAGCTGAGACTGAATGTTGCTTGACAGGTGCCCTCCGCTGGTGGCTCTCCATTCACGAGGATGTAGGCTGCCTGTATGCCCATGTTGCAGGTCCTTCCTGAGAAAGGTAGAGATGGACGCGCTCCCAGCTACCGGGGTCACTCTGTGGAAGCAGCGGGCCAGCTTGGAAGTGGAAGGCACGATGGGGCCCCACCTCATGTTGCAAGAGTTACATGCAAAACGCACTTACATCAGTATGGCAGTAGCGGTAACTGTTCAATTGTAAAGACGCACTCTGCGCCGTCAGCAGCTTCTATCCCGAGGAAAAGGGAATGTAAGACGAGAAGACGTCAGGCTTAGCAGAACGTCAAGGTCGAATACCTTTATATGCGCCACTCAGGCTGTGGCCTGCTGAGTGCTGCACGCACCTTACCTTGCAGGATAGTATAGGCACTCGCTCTCACGGTTGAGGCACGGATTATACCACGCATGTTCTTCTTCACGCTACCACCACAGCTGCGGCTGACTGACGTGACGTTCCGCTTCGCATATCTTCCGCCCCGACCTGCATCTGAAGTGGAAGGACGAGTGCTGTGTGGGTGGTCGTGCCGCTCGAAGGAGCAAGAGGCGTGCGGTCGACGGCGCTAATCACTGCAGCTCTGCCAACCTACCTTGCTAGCGACATCATTCCCAGTCGATCAGGCAATTGCCCACAGCGCCCCGCTATAAGCTGCTGCAGGCGGTGGCTGTCAAAGCCTCGGTCTGGACCAGATTCTGCGCTCCGCCGGCCTGTGCCTTGACGACAGCGTCATCGCGATCATTGACCAGAGCTCCAGCAGTCTAAGATAGTACGTGAAGAGAACAAGGTGATTTTCTTCTTCGTATAGCTCCCTCAGGCGTGGTTCCTTTATTAGTGACCCTGCAGTAGCTTTCGGCATGCCGAGGCTTGTGGCTATGGAGCTGAAGCTCCACCCACCAATCGTGAAGATCAACACACAGCACCTGGTAAACAGGATGCAGATGACTATTGACTCGAAGACGACCGTAGAGGATACGTGACGGATCCAACCTTTGATAAGGAAGTAGCCGGAAGGCTCCCAGAGTTGCGACACGTACTACATGCGTCCTTGCACCACTAAAGCCACCTTTCCGCAAGCAATAGCTCGCTGCATGAGAGGCCGCCTTCACTCGCTAGTCGCAGAACCCGACCATGGCCTCCAAGCCAGTTACACTGAAGCTCCAATCGCGAGGTACAGTCTGGATCTTGAACAACAGCCATAGGGCAGCTTCTAACCAGTTGACAAGGCAAGCGTATTCCCAAACTTCCCAGCGAGACCAACATCTATGTACAAGGCAGCTCCGCAGACCTATACGAGCGGATAGCCAAAGACACCGGATACTCGGTTCACCGGCTGCGGATCACTTCAGGCGAAGATGGCAAGCCTATACCGAACGACAAAAAGATTACTGTTAGCGGTGCGGGTCTTGGGAACGGGAGCGTTATACAGGTGAAAGATCTTGGTACGAGGGTGTAAATGGGGAGCTGCCTTCGCAGGTGCTAATTGATATCAGGCCCACAGATTGCCTGGCAAACGGTGTTCGTGATCGAGTATATCGGACCGCTTATCATCCACCCGCTCTTTTACTTCCTGCGGCCCTATATCTATAAGAACGCACCGCCGCAACCCTCAACGCTACAAACACTGTCATGTGCAATGATCACATCACACTTCCTCAAGCGCGAGCTCGAGACACTGTTTGTTCACCGCTTCAGCCATGCCACCATGTCCGCAAACAACATATTCAAGAATTCAGGTCACTACTGGATTCTGGGCGGTTTCCTGATAGCATACTTCACTTACGGGCCGAACTCAATCACCGCAAAGGATACTCTGCCGCTGCTAACGTACGCCGGCGTCGCGCTATTTCTGTTCGGCGAGCTTGCCAACTTGAACACGCACATGGTTCTCCGGAATCTGCGCTCACCCGGCGGGACAGAACGCGGGGTACCAAAGGGTTTCGGTTTCGACTTGGTGACTTGTCCAAACTACCTCTTCGAAGCCATTGCGTGGATTGGCGTGCTGATGGTCAACCGGTCATGGACCACGGTGGTTTTCATCGCGGTGGCGGTGCTGTTCATGGCAAGGTGGGCGAAGACGAAGGAGATCAGGTATCGGAAAGAGCTGGGAAGCAAGTATCAGAAGAAGCGGTATGCAATGGTACCGGGTGTATATTGAGCGTGGATGCGAAGTCTCAGTACCCTACCTTTCAACTGCCGCTTTTATAGGTCCTTGAGCAGGTCAACGACTGTCAATCACTTGCTTCGACTGGCATTCGAGCTGGCTTGGGAAGAAGCCAGGAAAGTAGAACGCTCGCCCAAAGGCATTGAAGACCGTGGCACAGTCACAAATCATAGCCTGCAAGCGCGTCCTTCAGCTAGCACACCCGGCATAATAAGGCGAAACGCTCCGGAGAATATAGGGTCGAGAATAGCGGCAGATGTGGTTGAGATCCAAGCTGTACCTACTGTCGTCTGCATACTGCATACAAGCAGATGAGCATGAGAGTCACTATATGAACAGGCGCTCCCATCCAACCCTGTTTCATTAGGGCTAAAAGAGTTGAAGATCATGTCACGTGCTCTGTAAACAGAGCGTCTGCACCATCGGCTCTCCAACTCCGTTCGCCGACGATGAATCAGCGAACCAACAACACCACCTGCCACCTGCATACGAAACCCAGCCTTTGCAAGCCGCGCAATCACCGCCCCGCCAATTCTCACGGCAGCGTCATGCATCTACCGTACAAGGCGTGCCAGTCTTGCGCCGCAGCAGCTCCAACCATCCGGATCAAGGGTACTGCTGTGCCTTGCTGCTATTTTGGGCTAGGAGGAGGCTTGGTATACCCTTCCCGGCGTAAACTCCAACGGATGCCGCCAATGCTCGTGTAGGGATATGACATTACTACCGTGCGACGATCTGTATAAGCGTAGAGGGTCTGGCCTTTCGTTGGTCTACTGTTCTTTGTTGTTTACGTTCTCTCCTACAGAACTTTAGCATCATTTCATCTAGCATTGCATACAGCAGTCCCATGATGGACCATATGAAAGCAGGCCTACTCCTAGCCTGCGGTAAGCACTCCTTACCTCACAACGCTTCCCTTCCCATCCTAACAATCACCTAGCAACCCTCGCAGCCGCGCAATATGGAGGCTACGGCGGCGGCGGCGGCGGCAACCCATATTCCTCCGGCAACAACCCATATTCCAATGGCGGCAACGGGGGCAACGGCCCCCCTGGCAACTCCTACGCCTCGCGCTTTGAGAACTTCCCAACCATGATCACCGCCCACGCCGTCCTCGCGACTCTCGCGTTTGGCTTCTTGTTCCCCGTCGGCGGTATCATGATCCGTCTCGCCTCCTTCCCAGGCCTCTGGTGGGTGCATGGTCTATTCCAGATCTTCGCCTACATCCTCTACATCGCTGCATTCGCAATTGGCGTCTACATGGCGACGAACATGCGGATGCTGCATCTGGCGCACCCCACGATCGGCATAATCTTGTTCGTGGTGTTGCTATTTCAGCCGTTCCTGGGGTTTGCGCATCACTTCATGTTCAAGAAACATAGCCGCAGAGTTGTGTGGAGTTACGGACATATCTGGCTAGGACGGATCGCCATCACGCTCGGCATCATCAATGGTGGCCTGGGACTGCAGCTGGCGCAACGCACGCGTGCCTTCGCGCCGAGTCAAGGCGTGATCATTGGATATGCGGTTGCTGCGGGTATTGTCTGGTTAATCTACGTCGCTTCGGCAATTTACGGCGAGGTGAAGAGACGACGATCGAGCGCGAAGGGCGATATCATGCCGCCGCCGTCTTACGACGAGTCGCATAGACATAGGCATGGACATGGACGGCGGGAGAAGCCGCAGTATGCTTGAACGGCCCTATTGTACTCTACGTTGCGATAATGATGGCGGGTGGATGGCGTTGGGAGGCTCAACCTGTACAGATACTGGACTAGTCATAGCGTAGGCGGCGACTTGTGAAGATCACGCTTTGGCATATGCTCCATACACCTCAAGCACTAATATTCCAGTCTGTCCTTACATTTTCACGCGGACTGTTGGGAACGATCACTTCTACCTGCGTGTCAAACAGTTGGTTCTTGGTCGGTAGTCCAGCGACACCAGGCCGCTTTGGACGTTTTCTACAACATGCCTCGCACACGTTTGAGCGAACCGGGACAGTCCACGTCAGCCTATGTGTAAGTTCACTTACATGCACCCTTCTTCCGCCTACCCAACGAGCTCCGTGACGAGATCTATGCCTACCTCCTCGCGGATCTATACCCAACCTCGACCGGGGTCTCCACGAAAGTCCTATGCTTCAAAAGCATCAACAGCGCAACGACTTTACACCTGAGCTGCCACTAAGTCGACGAAGAGTTTGCCGCACCGGCTCGACGCTGTGTCAACGCGGAGTTGCGACGGCTCTCAAAAGTATACGTCTTCCCTTTTCGACGGGAGGAATGGGGCAAGGTGTTGCTCGCGAAACCGGAGCTTAGAACTTGTGTTGGCTGGCATAGCGATGCGGAGAAGGGACCGTCGGGTACATGGTTCGTTACGCTGACGTGTTCGGGCGGCATTCTGCATGTCAGTCTGCAGCCATGTGGGAATGGGATGCTACATAGGCCCAACATCACCCGAGGAGGCGCGGTTGCCGCGCAGGTTTCGTCTAGCTGTGAAATTCTCGAGGCGCGGAAGCGGGTCGGTGTTGAAGCACGAGAGCATTTAGTGGTACGTTCGGAGAATGTGGCTGCTGCTGGACGCATAGTGACCGCAAGACGGAGGGAGACTTCGACCAGAATTTGGCAAGCGGATCTAGCGGACAGAGACGCGGAGCAAGTGAAAGGGTGCAAGCAGCGGCTGGTAATACGTCTGCGCAAGATGATTTGTCGCGCTCGTCGCCAGTTGGTGGACGATCAGCTCTCCAACAAAGTACGTTTGTCAATGAGCAGTACGTGAGTGCATAGTTCAAACAGTGCCTGCCTCAGCCGCTACCCCCGCCGCCACTCTTTCGTTTCTTCGATGAGTGAGATGAAGCTGCGCTTGCACCTCCGTACGCTCCGCTGTGACTCCGCTCGTAACCCTTGCCTTTGCTGTCTCCCCGGCTTCCGCTAGCATCTGCTATTGCCGTAGACGGTCCGGCAGCGTTAGAAGTTGAGCTCACTCTAGATTTGCCTTTGCGGCCATCCTCGCCCGGCTTAGGCGGGTGAGGAGTGAAGTCCTCCTTCCAGCGGACCCTAGTGGCTTCGTCTTCCGGCGTGAAGCCTGCTGCCAGGTTTTGGAAGTGAAGTCGGGTCTGCACTAAAGACTAGATCTCGAAGCGTGAGCGAGATGCTTATGCTGCGAGTAGGACGATATGGCTCGGAGCGAGGGGCTCATCTCTACTTACCTCGCACCGATGAAAGGAGAACCAGGAGAGCTTCTCATAGCTCTGCAAGATCTCGGCGGCTTGGTTGCGTCGGTAGAGTGAGTCGAAAGACTCGGGACTTAAGCGGGAAAGGGTACCGGTTGATGTTCGAGATGAAGAAGCTGTTGTTCGTTGCATTGTTCAAGACTGGAGAATCGTCCCGAAGACGATGGGATGAGACTCTGCAACCTTATAACGCCCTGCCCGACTGCTCATGGCTCCTATAGGCGTTCTGCTGTGTTGCTTGCTCGATCTGTATGTTTGGTACCATCTATCCCTGTAGGTAGTACGATTACTTCCTAGCTCGATGCAATGATCCTGGTTGACAGCTTGGCAAGCACTACTACCATGCATCCCCAAGGTCGCTTATGGGCGGGGAAGACCTGCCGGTGCAGACATGGCTACCTGTGGCGTGTATGCATATGTGGTAGAGGTGGTGTTAACGGAGAAGACGAACGTTATGGTGTGCCTTCGGGGGTTTGTCACGTTGGCCGAGATATATCAGCCAATGGTTGTGGCGCTGTTCCAACGGTTGTGCAGATCTTCCGCCGGTGTGGCTTTGGGGTAGTCGTACATGTAGTTTACGGTGCTGGTCTTATACGTGTAGTCTTCACTAGGAGATGCTGTAGATGATGAACAAGCACAACCACATAGTCTCTTGGGCGGAAGAGGAGTGAAGATACCCCCGAATCAGTCGTGTTATAGCCCCAATATTACGGCACCGCACCAGGCATTGTCTCGAGCGGCGAAGGCTTGCATTCGTAAATCAACCGGAACGCTAAGACGATGATACCTCGACCAGCCATTCGGTAGCAGGACGTCACGAAAGCACCCGAGCTGGGCTACCGGCCAGTCTGCAGGACGCAGTTCCGAGCATAATGCCACCGTACTGGAACCCATGCTCCTATCTCCCGCGCCGGCTACAGATCGTAGCCTCCCTTACCACCTTCATCCTACTCTGCTTCCTCTTTCTCGGAAGCACAAGCAGAGAAGACACCGATCCTTACTTGGACAAAGTACCATTCGGGTCGCAAATACAACAAGGCGCACACCAGGTAGTGGACAACCTACCGAAACTGCCCAACGTTAACACACCGCAATGGCTCAACCCTTTCCGAGCACCCGCGCATACACCACCTCCGGAGCAAGCGAACAGCAGCAGTGGCGAGGCGAGATGGTATACGGACTTCAAGTGGCGCAACCCTTTCTCCAGCAGTGTGACGCTGGACGAACAGAGAGCAGTCCTGCCGCCATTACCTGACAGACCGCCAGTGTACACCTACTATGACCCGGGCGCGGGACGGAAAGATGAGCATATGAAGCAAACCGAGCAAGATTTGTTGCAGATATGGCGGCGAGCATGGTGGGCGCAGGGCTTTAAGCCGGTAGTGTTGGGAAGACCGGAAGCGATGAACAACCCGCTGTTTCGCCAAGTGCAAGGATTACAGCTTGAGCCGGAGTTGGATTTGGAGATGATGAGATGGCTGGCTTGGGGCAACATGGGATCGGGCATCTTGAGCAACTGGCTCGCGGTACCCATGGCGCCCTTCGATGACCCACTTCTGACGTTTCTGCGAAGAGGCGAATATCCCGAACTCACCCGGTACGAAGGACTGGAGAATGGCATATTCATAGGCAGCCGTGATGCCATCGACAGCGCTATCAAGGCAGCCATCGCCGAACCGACCATTAAGACTAAGAAGTCTGTCGTCGAAGCGTTGCCCGGTAAGGCCTTCCGCATTGACTCCAACAACGGCGGCATAGCCTTCTACAGCACTGGCACAATCAAGGAGAAGTACTCCGCCATCTCCGCCAAACTCTCCAATCCCTCGCTCATAGGCGAAGGCCTCGCCATGCTCACCGAGCTGATCAACAGCCATCTCCATACCATTTGGCAGAACACCTTCAGCTCCGGCATAGCGGTGTTGAAGCCGCTACCCGAACACAGTACGGCTATGATCGAGCCCGCACTTGACCTCGCCCGGAACTTGACGCAGTGCGCGGCAAGCCCGATCCCAGCTTCCTGTCCTCCCAATCGACCGAGGTGTAAGCCGTGCGTTAGCGATCGGATGCAGATCCACACGCCGCCCGTTTTTCGTAACACGAGCACGCTTTTCACCATCGCCACTGTTCCGCATCCGTACACGATGACCTCGCTCCTGCATGAACGGGACGACCTCTCCGTGCGCTTCGTGCGGCGCGAAACCGCGCGAGACCAGTGGATAACGGCCGCCACAAAGGAACTGCTAGGCACGGGTCTCAGTTCGTTCAGTCGACTAGTCAGTGTGAAGGACGCGGTGGCGAGCGATTACGGAGCAGCGCACAGCCTCTGGCTTACCGCCGAGCGACCACCGGACAAAACGAGTGAGAAGGACCTGGAGGAGCTGGACTTCATCTTCGGGTTTACGCTCCCCCGCACGCCAACTGAGGATGGTAAGAGTGAAGACCCCGTACCTCGTCCCAATCGCGAGAAGCCTCCTTCTCTCCCACCCACGGACTTCGGAGAAGGTATGGTGCTTTCAGGCCCTCAGCTGGAGAAGGAGAGATCACTGCTAGAGAGGGCGAAGATGTTGTTACGAAGAGCGGGCTCTACGCGACAGATCGTAGGCAAGCAGAGCAGTAACCCGGCCGCCAGAATGAGAGGAGTCGTGGAGGCGTGGAATCTGGCGGACACGGAAGCGTGGAAGTTCGTGAGAGCGTTCAATGCCCGACGACGGCTCGAACGGCGCAAGTGGGAGGAAGACGAAGACGACTTTCTCGGGAAGGGAACTTGGGATCGGTGGGTGGATAAAATCATATGAGCATGTAGGATAGTGTGGTGCGCTCCCGGTCCTGCTTTGCTGAAGGCTATTGGGGCAAGCGATGGTGTTCTTGGCGCACCCGGCGTTGTGCGTGTAAGATTATGGCTGGAACGGGTTGTGAAGGATACATGGCTTGATAATGATTAATGTTCTGGCTCGCGCTGTATACCATGCAATGAACAGACTAGTTTCCAGACGGCGGTATAGTCGTGCATGCTCCGGAAAGCGTGCTTTCTTCGCCAGTACCAACGTCCCGCTGTGATAGCTGACTTTTGGTCGGAGACATTCGCTGTGCTTTGAGCCGCCACGGGAGGTTTGTACAAGGCGCCGATGATCTATCTTAACGTTGCTAAAGGTAACACGTGTGCTGAAGACCACCAGCTAGCGAGTCAAGATCACGGGCAACGTTACTCAGTAGCAGAAGCTTTCCGCGCTTGGGCGTGCACACACAACGATTTGTAACGGTACCCAGTGGAGATAATATCAGCGAAGCTCCGATCGCACCGGCCGCCTGAGATGCTGGGAACTACATATCCGGGCGTGATGACGCTGAAACGCTTGACGCAGAGCCTTATGAAGCTGTAACACCGCAGGTATAATCATATCCATTATACCGGGAAGTTGGCCGTGAAGAACGTGTAGCTGTCGAAGCCGTTTTAACCCTCTGACTGTCGGCCGTCTGACCGTGCGGTGACCTTTCAATAAGCCTGTGTTCCATCGTGCCGTCAACCGTGTGATCGTGGAAGAACAAGTCGCTCGACCGTGCGGTCGAACGGTATGTATTGATCGAAGGGGGCTGAAAGGAACCAACATATAGCCCTTGATGCGGAGCCTCCTTGTCCGAACCTGCGAGTTGTAGCCCGGTATCTCTTGGCTAGGTACTGACCGCGCGGTCGACCGTATGCTTTGACCGCATTTGCAAATCCTTCAGGACTGACAGGGGCGGAAGGAACCCGAAGTGGAAAGTGCTGTGATATAAGACACCGTATTCTAACCTGCGAGTTGTAGCTCGTTGCCTCCTGCTTATACGTTGCGACTGGGTGGCAATGTGCTTGACCGTGTGTCTGATCGCGCGGTTAACCGTTTGTTTCATAGTGCGGTCGAATATGTGCTTGGGCCCTGTTGACCCTGTCATCCACCGTGTCGTTCACCGTGAGGTCAACCGTGTCTTCCACCGTACGATCTTCGCGCGGTCCACCGTGTTTGACTGTGTTACGGTTGACCGTGTTGACCATATGATCTACATGGCATTTCAAGTCCTGTGTTGGCTGCTCGGTATAGGCCTGTTTGATAGCGGACAGTGGAGCGAAGGCAAACCCTTCTCAACAGAGTAGAAAAGCGGCTACCATCATGTAGGCAATTGCGTCAAAGTCTTCAAGACTAGTCATTCCATCGCACTCACGACACTTTGCTGTCAGCGTGCGACGCGCTTCTCGAGCGCCTCTTCAACGACATCATAAGCCCACTTCAGGCAGGCCGTCATGTTCGATTGTGCCTCTGCGGAAGGCGCTCGGATGTCGAGCCGCTTGAGCACAGCTTCGTCATACTCACCCTCTACATTCTTGTCCTGGAATAGAAAGTCATGTTCCTTGACGTAGTTCGGCCAGACAACATTGTCCACGTAGCCCGGCGGGTCCTCCTGCAGGGTCATCAGTTCAATATGTCGCACAACCTTGACAGAAGCGTCCTTACCCAGAACCCTTCTAGAGTCGCGTACCCACTCCTTGCCTCGCGCCTCGCCCTTGCAGTTTTGAGATCAGTCCGAAGGAAAATCTTCACGTCAAACATTTCCCTGACGGATCTCATACTGTCGGAATACAACAGGAAGCCGTCGATAATAGCAATAGGCGGGACGTCCTGGAACATCCATTTGCCACCCCTCCACTTCAGGTCTTCAATCACACCATGATCGACATCGACTGGCCCAATGGAGTTCCGGTCCTGATAGCTTTCGAAGTCTGGCGGCGGCATGCCATGCTCGCGGATATATTGGAGCGCATGCTGAAGCTTCGGCATGTTAATCGATTCAAGAGCATCCCAGTCCAGCACGCCGGAGGGATGTTTAGGAAGCTCCGCCTCGGGTTTGTAGAAGTCATCTTCGTGGAGGAGGAAGACGTTGGGAAAGACATCGCGGATAAGTCTAGCTAGGGTGGTCTTCCCGGACGAGGACGGTCCAGACATGCCAACTAGAAGTACATTGTTGGGCTCAGCCATGATCCAGTTGTGTCGGGGTGCTAAGACGGAAGCGGAAATGGATAATGGGAAACCGGAAGGTAAGTGGTGACGGCAACGCAGCGGCAGATAGCACGTCCGTGACAATGCGCTTAGTGTTGAGGTTCGATATCGAGGTATTGCTCTGTACGCGGTCATCGCATGTAGGCGCAATCGTTGTTGGAATCCATATTGGCCACACCTTCTATTACTGCCACAGCACTTCTTTAAAACGGACTGTCATGGGCAACGAAGACGCCATGTCATACGGCTACTGTGTAGTTATATTTGCCCGGCGACAACGAGGCATTTGCACGCCTGAGGCAAAGAACCAGCTCTTCCGACGTCGGTGGGGGAGCTCCCAGACCTCGGCCCCTACCATTGCCCTTTGACATCGCACTGTAGCTGGGTCGTCGGTTGTCTATGGCACTGGCGAAGTAGGATAGTGTTTGGCTGTGAGTGCTTCTCGAGCAGGTTCCCTCCGTCCCACAATGTCTTTCATACCACGCCAACTGGTCGGCCAGCGAGCATATAGACACCTCTCGAAGCGTCCCTTCTCACTCTCCTCAAGAGCATCAGCGGACCATGTTCGCATTGTCGAGGTCGGGCCGCGGGACGGCTTGCAGAATGAAAAGACCAGCATAGCCGTCGAAACGAAAGTGGAGTTGGTGAGAAGACTGGCTAGGACAGGACTACAGACAATCGAAGCTGGCTCGTTCGTGCATCCGAAATGGGTGCCGCAGGTATGCCGCCTGGACAGCCATAGTAATGTAGGTCAGTGCTGAGTACATCTGGTAGATGGCTGCTTCCGATCGAGTACTCTCCTCCATCCTCACAGCCGAGCCGGACTCTCCAGGTCCTATAACGTACCAATGGCTTCTGCCAAACAGCAAAGGCTTAGACAACTTCTTCAGGATCATGAAAGGGTCAAGCTCCAGCTCCACTGGGTATCCTACGCCACCACCCTCGCCTAAGCATGACTCGGGTCCGGCGATGAACACATCGAGTTCGGACCCCAACGCCATGCCTTCGTCTACGTCTGGCGTAGATGGCATGTCCCAGTCTCGCCAAAACACCTTACAATCACAGCCCAGCCAGAAGCACGAAGTCTCCATCTTCCTAGCCGCCACCGAGTCCTTTTCCCAAAAGAACACCAACTGCAGCATCCAAGAGTCTCTCGACCGTTTCGCGCCTCTGATGCAGCAGAGCAAACAAGAGGGTTACCCGGTCCGAGCCTACATCTCCGTAGCCCTCGGCTGTCCCTTTGAAGGTCCCGACACAGACCCTCATGTCGTCGCGAATCTTGCAGTAAAGTTACTGGAGATGGGTGCAGATGAGATTAGCGTGGCGGACACGACTGGCATGGGCACCGCGCCTCGTACGCGGACACTCCTCCGAACCCTCCACGAAGCCGGGGTGCGGAACGAAGACCTCGCACTGCATTTCCACGACACTTTCGGCCAGGCTCTTGTGAACACAATGATCTCGCTCGAACAGGGGATACGCACGTTCGACTCGGCCGTGGGTGGGCTAGGCGGATGTCCTTACTCGCCCGGCGCAACAGGCAATGTAAGTACCGAAGACCTGGTGTACACGCTTCACAGCCTGGGCGCGAACACGGGTGTCGATTTGGAGGAAGTGTCTCGGATTGGGGGATGGATTACGGGCGAGATTGGGAAGGGAAACAGTTCGAGTGCCGGTAAAGCCACGATGGCAAGATTACGTCGCGAAGCTAGCGCCTGAGAACGCCACTATATCTTAATCATACTCGATGCAGAGATCTTAAGCTGCACTTTCCTGTATTGTCCCTTCCACAAGCATCGGCGCCTCCTCTCGTTCCCCGGCCTCTTCCAGTCCCGGCACCCACTTTCTGGCACCTCTCGGCCACACCCTTTTGTAGAGACTCACAGCCACACTATCCAGTGGGTTGATCTTACCATCAAATTCCGCCTTGAAATAACCATGCGTGCCCAGAGCTTCTTTGATGAAGCCACTCTTACCTCGCTTCGTAAAGAGTTGCAACGCCTTGAAATACTCCACATTCTCGGCCGAGAAGAACATGTAGCGCACTGTAACGAGGCGTTTGTGGATCTTGTAGGGGTGGCCAGTCAACAGAATCCGTTTCGTGATGATGCGTTGGGTGGACGGTGCCATGCTTGTGCCCGTTGCGATGAGCTCGAGCTTGGGCTTTTGGTGTAGTGATTGGGCGAGGTCCTCGACTGGGTCTTCGGACAAGGTGATGGGTGATGTGCGCCGAAAGTACAGGCACGGCATGCTGCCCCACATCACTGGTCCGATGAAAGATGCCACCGCTGTGCGCCCAGGATGCAGATACCGCTCGAATTTGTGCACGTTGTTGGGCGTATTGCCCGCTTGGCTGTAGAGTGGATTGATGAGCAGTCTTCTCGGTCCGCATTGCAGGATGAGCTCTTCCTTACTCTTCAGCGGCCTGCCGAAGTCTGAAGACAGCGAGATGGAGGTGTTGACGGCTGTGTGTTTGTGCTCGTGACGGAGGAGGGAGAAAAGAAATGTCGGCTTCGGCAGGGCTCGGAGCCCCTCGGGTGACATGGAATGTGGGAGGCGCAAGTAGATGTGTACCCGTGTTCCTGGCTTGACGCCGCCGGTCAGTGACTCTTTCATAACGCGGATCTTGGCAGACTTGTAATCGGCAATTTCCAGTAATCTGCTCCAGTCATCAGGCTGGTACATTTTATCTTCCTCTGCATCCCAGGTACTTGTGCGTATGCTCTTGAGGCCTCGATATCTCGCGAGCCGTTCGCGAGCGTCGATATTAGGATGCAGCTCGATCTCATCCGGAAACTCCAAGTCTTCGGCGGCTTCGTCATGCCTTCGTTTGCGGTAGGCGGCAATCTGCTCCATCTCGTTCTCCGGTGCCGCGTCCGGAAAGGCTTCGCTTTGAGGGTATTCTGATGGCTCACCAATTTCGGTAGGTTCATGCATAGGCATCTCGTCGTGATGGCCGTTGACAGGGTCGGCTTCGTCCATGGGGTCCATGTCACCGTTTATCTCCGTGTCCACATCCTCCATGTCCGACCCAGAATCGGAGATGTCACCGAGGTACCATGCAGCTTGGTACTTGCTCGTGCCCTTCGGTAACCGCTGCGGCGTGGCTAGTTCGTCCTCGTCCTCCTCATCGAAGTACTGATGGTCGTCGAGTAATACATGCCTTCGGTCAGATGCAGCGAGCGAAACCGTGGGCACGGTCATTGCATCGTCCATCGCGACTTCTTCCGGCGCCAGCTCCGCCAGATCGTCCTGATCCTCGCCCGGCAGCTCAAGAACCTTCCCCTCGTCGGTCTCGGGAGCATCGACCACCATGTCGACCGTCTTCAGCCGCTTGTTACTCCGTTGCTCGAGCGGAGCAGCGGTGATCTTGTCTATTTGAAAGTCGCCCCATTCGCCCACCTGCACTAGACGATCTGCTTTCAAGCCTCGACCACGAACGACACCGGTCACTACCGGTCCTCGACCTTCCCACCGCACATCGTCTAGGAGCATCCAACTTCTGTCCTCCCTCCAGCTGATACCTTTCGGCGTCGTGGTACATAGACTGCGCATAAGGTTGCTGCAATCCTGGCGACTGCCGAGATCGTGGACCTTCTCCATGCTGGCGAAGAAGTGGGTGATATAGCTCTTCAGGCTCTTAGCAACATCTGGTCGCTTCTTAGCCGGCTCAACTTTGTCCAAACCGTACACGCCCGCCAATACTGTAGAAATGCCTTGCGACTCCACACACCTCAACATCTGCTCGCCCACCTCATCCACCTCCTCCTCCGCACTCAGTACAAACAACACAAAGTCCGCAACTCGACAGGCATCCATCACCGCAAACAACTCCCTCGCTGGAGTCAGATACTGCACCCTCGTCTTAAACCTCGTCACCTCTACTCTCTCACTCCCCGCCTGCCGCTCTCCCTCCACGCTCTGGCACAACTCCCTCACGACCCCTTGCACTTCCACGTCGTTACAAAGCGGTACAACCGCCACAATCCTCGGCGCACCGTCTCTACCCGCGAAAACGCTGCTCTCTTCCCGCCTCTCCCCAATCTTGTTCTGCCGTAGCTGCTTGGCATGATTGCGCCGGTCGAGCTTACTCATGACTTGCTGATGCGGCGTCTTCCTTACTCCTCGCTCGAGCCTCTCGACTTTACCCTTTGCGCGGTCTTTGAGGGCGGACTTGGTGGTGTGGCGGGATTTGAAGGGTTTGGCGGGGGTTTTGGTGGTGGAGCGGTGGTGGTGGTCGCCGATGGACATGGTTGGGTTGTGACTGCCGCCGGCTTTGAAGCGGTAGGGGAGTGAAGCCAGGGTGGCGGTGTTCGTAATATGAGCGTCTACCCAAACCGTCGTAGCTTTCTCACGGAACAGCAAGATGCAATTATTGGTGCTATCGATAAGCCGAAACACGAAATCTTGGCAGACCAAGGGACGACTAGAGGTCTGTGCACGGGACGAGCATTAACCGTGATGGCGCATTCCAGTCGAGCCTTCCTCCTCCGTCACTCAACTGGCCGCACCTGCCCAATTCCACCCTCGGAGGAGGTGGACCCGGTGATGCGGTCGGTGATGCTTCGCTGACACCCACTGGAGCAGAAGCAGAGTTGAGTGCGAGGGTTCAACGCGATAATGTCGGCAATGACATCAACCAGCCGTCATGCGCGTCTCACACCACACATACACGTCTATCAGCAGCCTTTCGCCGAGATTGAAAGGTAAGACAAGTCAACATTCCCCTCTTTCTGTATCTTCGCGTCCTACCTCACGTACCTTCCTTTTCTGTAAGACATATCACGTGAAAGACTACCAAGATGCCGTCCCCAGTTGAGCCCGTCTACCAGCTCAAATGCAGCTGCAACAGCTACCCGTGGGGCATGACTGGCAAGAAGTCCATCTCTGCCCGCTTGTGTGAGAAGCAGCCCGGGTGGGACGGTGAGGACCCGAAGAAGGACTTCAAGATCCAAGATGACAAGCCGTACGCCGAGATGTGGATGGGCACCTACCCCGTCCTGCCCTCGTACATCATGGGAACCGGCGAGGACTTGCAAGACGTCCTCGACGCCCACCCCGAAGAGCTGATTGGCAAGCCCGTGATGGAGAAGTTCGGACACACGAAGCTTCCGTATCTGCCAAAGGTGCTGTCTATCGCGAAGGCACTCCCACTCCAACTCCACCCGAACAAGGATCTCGCGAGCAGGCTCCACGAGCAGAATCCCGATCAGTTTACCGACCCCAATCACAAGCCTGAGATCGCCGTCGCTCTAAGCGAGTTTGAGGCATTCGTCGGCTTCAAGCCCCTCGCGCTCATCAGCAACCTCCTTCAGCTCGAGCCGCTCAAGCGCTACCTTCCCAAAATCCAAAAGCCCGACTTCGACGACCAAACCCTCAAAGGCGTCGTGAAGAAGATGCTCCAGGCGGACGACGCTTCCGTGAAAGAGACGTACAAGGGCCTGACGTCACTGGAGGAGAAGGACTTCGGCCCGGACACGTACATTCCCAAACTCGCCCCAAGGTTGGCGGAGCAGTACTCGGAGAGCGACCCTGGCTTGCTCGTGGCGCTGATTACGATGAACTACCTCGTGCTTCAACCGGGCGAGAGTGTCTACATCCCCGCAGACGGCATCCATGCCTACCTCTCCGGCGACATTATCGAATGCATGGCGCGCAGCAACAACGTCCTAAACACCGGTTTCTGTCCGCGCTCGGATCGCGACAACGTGGACCTCTTCTGCTCTTGCCTGACTTTCATGCCACACTCTCCGGAGGAGTGCAAGCTACCTCAGCAGAAGTTTGAGCGCAGTAAGAACGGCAAGACGCTGAAGTTTGCGCCGCCAATGAGTGAGTTTGATATGCTGCAGATGGAGCTCAAATCGGGAGAGAAGGAGGAGTTGGGGGCGGTGAAGGGGCCGGGTATATTGTTGGCTACGAGGGGTGGTGCGCAGATGAAGGCGGGTGGCAAGGACGTTAAGCTAAGCGAAGGTCAGGTGTATTTCGTGAGTCAGGGCACGGAGTTGCAATTCGAGGCAGGTGGAGATGGTTTGTTCATGCACATGGCTTATGTGGAGTAGATTCGTGATGGAACGGATACGATATAGAAGGACTAACGGCCTTGCATGTTGCCATTGTGGAACTGTCGCTTGTGCTACCATCACCGAAGCTAGCCAGCCAGTTAAAGCGCGAGGCTAGCTCGGCCGAACAACACCCGACCGCGTACGTTTATCCTCGCTTCTTTCTAATTCCGTATAGTATTAACATGGAGAAGCTACATAGTTACTATAGTCTGTAAAGTAAGGATAAAGCCTAGTGTGCCTTAGGCACATATAGTCATATAAGTTCTTGTGTCTTGTCGTTTTGCTGGCTTTCGACGCACAACAGATTCAGGCGGGTAGCGTGCCATCTATATACGATGAAGCGACATTTAGTTCTACGGAAGCGGACCTCACCTATGTGGGAACACGAACCGCGGCTCAAGCATCCTACATGCGCCCATCCGCTGAACATAGGGTACTGGTTCCAAAAATTGCTTAGTGGACATGAACCGTATACCTGCATACCTTGTCCTGAGTCTTAGTCGGCGCAGCAGCTTCCACATCCGGCTGTTAGAGCTGATATCATCTCTAAGCAGCTCGCGAACTTGCCTTTACGACCTCATCTTGTGTCTCTCGAGTAGGAGACGCCTGTTATAAGTCGAGCCCCTGTGGCCCTGTCGTATATCCGAAAGATGGCCCTATTCTGCTGTCTCCCACATAGGGATCGGCGTCGCAAGTGCTGAACACAGAGGTGTCATTGCTCCAGCCTAGATATCCGTCGCATATCCAGGTCTGCCCGAGGAGGTCACTGAGAGCAGGAGTCAATCGTTAGCATGTAGCCCCTCGTGCTGAGTTGGGGTTAAGACTTACTACCAAAGGTTGAAAGACCAGCCGCCGCTGACGTCGATGTTGATCTCAGTAGAGATGTCGAATTGACATTGTTCTATGTAACCGCAGACATCGTCGGTTGGATCAGGGTTGTAAGCTATAGCCTCGCCGGTAGTGACCTCGACAGTGTTCGATCTGATTACACCACTGCCAGCGAAGTAGAGTGTCAAGCCAGCGCCGGTCGTCGTGCATGTCGGACTTGCCGCAGCGGTAGGGATGCCACAGGTACTGGAGGTTGAAGTTGGGGATGAGCTTGTACTTGAGCTTGACGTTGTGGTTGTGGGTGTAGTAGAGAAGAGGTTAAAGCCCATGACATTCGTAGCGTCGGTATTCACAACATCGAAGTAACTGGTGTCGTAGTTCTGGTTGAGATACTGCTCACACACCCACTGTCCTAGCCCACCGTTGAGGTACAGCTGGAATGAGCTGTCGCTGTCCTCAGACGACATACTAGCACATTGTGTAGCAGCGTCGCATGGTGATAGCGTACTTTCGAAGTAATTGGTGATCGGTGGGAAGGAGCTAGGATCGATATTGCCGTCGTTATTTGGATCCAGTGTCAATCCTCCGGTACTGTAGTAATACATGCTGTAGGTGTAGCTACTCCCAAAAACCGAGTTGGTGATGGTAGTGCAGGTTGGACTTGTGACGGCGCTCGTGCTGCTTGAGCTAGTCGTGGCAGTGGAACTTGTGCTGGTTATGCTCGTGCTTATCGTTAAGGTGGAACCCGTAGTAGCAGTGCTTACGACTGCGCTCGTGCTGACTGAGTTGCTCGAACTGGTCGAGCTGGTCGTTGAGGTCATAATTGTAGTGATTGTGGCCGTGCTTGTGCTTGCCGGAATCACGGTCGTCGTGGTTGCCGTCACGTCAGTCCCATCCAGGCATGAGAGCTGAATTGAGTCCCCGGCGGTCCAAGCCGTACCAAGCCCGTATGAGCAGCCGAAGTTGCCCTGCTGCACGGAGACGACGCATATTACAGCGCTATCGACATATGCAAATCCGAACCAATTGTCGTTGCTGCCGACGGTAAAATTTAATTGCAATGAAGTGCCGTTGGTCCCGATGGTGTAGACATTATTCTGGCTCCATGTGCTTACCTCTACATTGTCGGTCTCACACAGATTCTCCACCGTAACGTATGCCGTGGGTGTCGGAGTGTTCATACTGCTGCTCGTGGTAGTGGTTGTTTGCGCGGTTGTGATCGTGCCCGGCATGGTCGTTGTTGGGTCTGATGTGCTTGTCGTTGTATTCATTGTGCTTGTGGTAAGCATAGTCGTCGAGGTGGGCGCCGCATCAGTACCATCGGGGCATGATAACTGGACTGCGTCCCCAGCAGCCCAATACGCACCTTCTCCATAAAAGCAGCCAAAATTGCCCTGCAGCGCAGAGACGACGCACATTCGGGCACCGTCGACATACGCAAAGCTGAAGTAGTTGTAGCTCCTGTCGGCGGTGCTCAGGTCTAACTGCAAGGAAACGCCGCCAGATCCGATGCTGTAAACATTGTTGTTCGTCAAGGTGCCTACGCTGGCAATATCTGTTTCACACAGGTTCTCCACTATGATGAAACCGGCGTCGGCGCTGCTCGCGGTGGTGCCGCTCGTGGTGTTACTGCTCGTGGCGATGTAAGCTGTCGTGGTGCTGCCCGGCGTGCTGGCAGTGATGCTGCTGAAGGTCGCATTACATTGAGACACGGTCTGTACAATAGTTCGCGTGGCCATCTGCGTTAGGGTCTGTGTAGCTGTTTGGACAATGGTCTTTGTCGATGTGACTGCCTGAAACCCCGTCTGTGTGTCGGTCTGGGCGCCGGGAGATGTGGCCTTCTGGATGATCATCTGTGTGCCATTCTGCAAGCCGGTGATTGTCGCCGTCTGAATGGGGGTCTGAATATATGGCTGTGTGCCGTTCAGAGTAACAGTCTGAAGGATGGTCTCCGTGGCGTACTGGAAGATCGTCTGAGTGGCCGTCCCATTCTGCGCAACAGGAGGCGCAACCGTCTGAGTGATCGTCTCCGTAGCGTTCTGGAAGATCGTTTGTGTAGCTGTCCTATTCTGCACACTAGGATCCGTTACCGTCTGAGTAACCGTCAGAAGGATCGTCTCAGTGGTGTTTTGGGTTGTCGTTTGCGTGGCTGTGCGATTCTGCGCAGCAGAATCCGTGACTGTCTGAGTAGTCGTCTGAAGGATCGTCTCTGTGACGGCTTGGGAGATTGTTTGCGTAGTTGACCTATTCTGCGCACTGAGAGCCGTAACCGTTTGAGTGATAGTCTGAAGAAGTGTCTCCGTAGCGTTCTGGGATATGGTTCGTGTAATCGTCGGATCTTGCGTAATAGTTTCCGTGTTCGTTTCTGTAACGGTTTGCGTGGCTGTCTGATTCTGCGCGATAGCATCCGTCACCGTCTGAGTGATCGTCTGTAGAACGGTCCGCAGGGCCGTCTCCGTTACGTTTTGGAATGTGGTTTGCGTGGCCGTTCCATTTTGCGCAATGCCCGTGCCTGCAGGCAGAGTTACCAGTATACTTGTGGTTTCCGTCACTGTGTCCGTCGTCGAGGATGGAAGCGTTAGCGTATAGATCTGCGTAACAGTGTCTGTCGACATTGCAGGCGTTAGCGTAGAAACTTGCGTGACCGTGTCCGTCGAATTCGAAGGCGCCAGGGTGGAGACATGCGTAACCGTGCTGGTCTCCACCGACCCAAAGACCGTGACCGTGAGCGTACTAGCGGCCGGCGTTGCCGTCACAGTCGTCGTACTGGGCGATTGGGTGACAGTCTGGGTTAGGGTTTGGGTACGATTTGACTGCAGGGTCGTGGTGCTCGCCGGCTTAGTGGTGATGGCCGTACTTGTGACGGTCGTCGTGCCCGCCGGTTTCGTGGTTGTGGCGGTGCTCGTAATGGTCGTCGTGCTTGCCGGCTTCGTGGTGGTGGCGGTATCCGTGATGGTCGTTGTGCTCGCCGGCTTCGTGAATGTCGCTGTACTCGTTACCGTGATGGTGCTTGCCGACTTTGTGGATATCGCTGTACTCGTGATAGTCGTCGTACTTGCCGGCTTCACGGACGTACTTATACTCGTGACGGTCTGTAAGACCGTGTCCGTTGTGATTATAGTCGTCGTGCTCGCAGGCTTCGTGGATGTTGCTGTGGTCGTGACGGTGCGGGTCACCGTACTTGTCGATGTAGTAACCTTTGCGAAAGCCTGCTGGAAGCTGGCGAGCATGATCATCGCGAACATTAAACCGCTTCTGAACGTCGACCTTGACATTCCGCCTGAACGGCTTCGCTTCATTGTTAACGGAGACGTCGCCACTGATTTCTGTCCGATCAATCTGAAAGGCCGCACTTCAAAGTGACAGATCTCGGGCGTATCTCAGCGTTCCCTGTTAATCACGGGCAGATTGCGAGACGTCCAGCTGAACGAGTGAAGCTGCCGTCGCTCAAATGATCGTCCTGAGTTGTGCAAACATCAAAAGAGAAAGAAACAAATCGCCAAAGGACTTACTGCTGCCATGCCATCCTTGTGTAGTAGCACCAACCCACACAAGGTTCGGCTAGACAAGACAAGGGGACCAGCGGAGCAAGTGTCCAGACGCAGATTGCGAAAAGGGCCTGTCACGCTCCAAGCGCACCGGTCAAGTGCGGTCAGGCCGAACGAAGAGACAAAGGCGCTGTGGCTTGACTAGTCGGAGCTGAAGAGGAACAGTAATGCGAATGACCTCCTAAGCGAGCGCACGGGAAGAGGAACCTCTGCAAGACAGAGGCCTGCTAACCCATGGCCAACGAGCGATCGGGGGGCAGGTTGCAGTTTGGAAGCAAAGAGCGATATACCTTGTTGTATACCATAGAAGACGAATGGAATGTCATGAAGAAGACTACGGAGTACAGAAGTCTTGCTTGGATGCTAAGACGAGGTAGACCTACGAAGCTTTCTGAACGTTGGCTTGGAACCCTTGGATCTGGCCAAGTCTGCCCCTTGGCGGATTAAGCTTCTCCACGTTAGCCTATTCAGGGCGGTGCAGGAGCCGAACCAGCCTATTATCCTTGACGTGGGTAGATACAGGAAGGCAAAGAGGCTGTTCTGTTAACGACGAGCCTATCGGATATGGTGGTGCTAGCTGAGATGCCTCATCAGGGCAATGAGGCGAACCAGGAAAGACCTAGGTATTTCAGCTGGTACTAATGTAGTACAGAGTCACTCGTGTCCGCATGTAGCTGGCTGGGGTCGCCGCTTGAAAAGGTAACAAGCCGACCTCCCAAGAGTCAATCCATTATTAGACCTGCTGTTTGCCATGTGCGCCTTGCTTTGGCCTTCGTTCTTCACGTCAAAAACAAGAAGCCACTCCACTGTACACGGTCTGACTTTTGCCTGCTATTGCCTGCAACCACCTTCGTCTTGCAACGTTTCAGGCTGATCTCATACCGCATAAGCCTTTACTCTCACTAACAGCAATAGACCACTATACTGCCGCGAAAGGCTCACGTCCGCCACCTAAGTGTGCGATTATTGCTGGCGCCATCATTGGCGTTGTCGGTGGTGAGGGGTCCTTGCCTGCATGTGGAGTAAGTCATACTCTTATCGTAAGTCGCCAGAAAAGTCCGTCATGCAAATTTTGTGGTACCGCAACTCTGTAGCAGCAACATGCTTGGCAAAGCGGCAAGTCTTGGTTGCTTCGAAACAGATATCATCTGCCTCTGCAATATCGATTTCGTCTCCGATATTCACGAGTGTACCCTCGAGTCCTGCTCAGATTCAGGCGATGCAAACCCTCCACACCTGACACTGGTGAAGGAATTGCCGCGCTACCATTGCCTGTTCCGTCCTCACTACGAGTGCTTCCTCCATATCGACCACAGCCTCAGGTTCTACAATCGCTGCCTTATCCAGTGCTATCTCTACTGTCCCACCTCCTACCACTATCACTAGCAGAGGCATGACCACGAGGTCCCGCGTTGGCAGCTCCGGCCCTAGCATCTCTGGCTTGACCGGTACAACCGGGAGTGCCACACCTGGTGCAATTCCCGCCTCTGGCTCGGCATCAAGGGTTGTCTCGTCAGCCTCGACCATGGTGACCATCACCACGTCCCCTAGCCGCCCCGCCTCGTGCAGTTCTGCTGCCAACACCGCCATCAGCACTGGCTTTCGCCCTCCGCTTGGCTACCTCGCCCCTTACGGCTGGGCAGCGTGCCCGAGCAACGGTGCTCTCATCTGCGACTCGACTGGACGCTGTCAAGGTCCGTGCAATTGGGGCTCGGTTATCTAGCAGCCAGTCGCCGCCGGAACAGATTGCGAGGGCAGCATGATCGTCGGCAACGGTACCAATGCTGCGCCTGTCGCTAACGGTACCAATGCTGCGCTGTCGCTAACGGTACCAATGCTGCGCCTGTCGCTTCCGTGTAATATCCTTGCCCCGAGCTAGTGAAAGCTCAAGCACCTTGCTCATACACTCGCTATCTCGGCCTAGGTAAGCAGTAAAGGCGTTCATAAAGGATAATACTAGCGCGTGCTATCGGGAGCTATTTTTAGCTAGTCGTAGAAGGTGACTACCGCTATAGGGTTAATATAGGTTCGATAACAAGTTGCTAGACAAAGTTAATCGCCTAAAGTTTTAATTAGTATATATATTATAACGTTATTCTCCTAGTAAAGCTTTATAGGGCTAAGTTTATATATAGTAGCGATATTACTATACTTAAGGCAAACTAGCTATAAGTATTCTTATTATATACTATTATACTTATATAATAAGAGTTAAGTAATTCTATTATTATAAGTAGAGTTAGTACTTATTAAGTAGTCTAGTAGTTAATAGTAAAGTATTACTTAGTTAAAGTATAATTAATATAAGAGATCGGAATAAGATAATAAGTTAATTCTAATTAGTCGGTTTATAATATAAGTTAAATATAAACTTCTAACTATAAGATCTACTATAATTATTTAAAGGTATAACTAAGTTATACTATCTAGGACTAAGAAAAGTCGTTTTTAGGTTTAAAAAACTTAGATTTAGTCTAAATAAAGTTAGTAATAGTTTTTATAAGCTCTTCTACTAGAATAAAGTATAGAAAAACTCAGAAATATAATAAATTATTAGAACTACTAAAAATAAAAATAAAAAATAAAAAATAAGAAACTTTCTTAAATTTTAATTAGTAACTTAAAGTTTTTATTAATAGTCTTATAGTTTATATAGACTTTATACCCTATAGAAAGCTTAGGAAAACTATAGCTTATATTATAAAAACTTATATAAAGCTTAAAAAACTAAATCTAACTAAATAGATTAAAAAAATAGAAAATAAGTTTATAACATATATATATTATAATCTAAAGCTATAAAAAAATTATTAAATAGAAGAGAAAGCTAATTTTAATAAATATATTTAATATAAGTCTATATAAGATAAAAGAATATTAAATAAATAGATCTTTAAATAGAAAAGTAGTTTTAATATAAGGCTAGAAGTTTTTACTAAAAACTTAATAGTTTTTATAGATTCTATATATACTAAAGAATATTAGAAAACCTATAGCTAGTTAATAGAAACTTTATAGCTTAGTAGAAAACTAAATAAGTAGGATTTTTAAGAGAAATTAAGTTTTAATTATAGCGTAGAAGTTTCTACTATAGTTCTAAGGGTTAGGGTTAGGGTTAGGGTTAGGGTTAGGGTTAGGGTTAGGGTTAGGGTTAGGGTTAGGGTTAGGGTTAGGGTTAGGGTTAGGGTTAGGGTTAGGGTTA